CCCCCCATTTATCTCCGGGGTATGATCCGAGCGCAAAAGCGTCTGTCACTGCAATGCCTATCGTTTAGATTCAATTGTGAATTCCCTTCCGCGTTTCTTTCGGAAAACATGCACGTCTGTATGATTGTCGCTTGATTTAGAGGAACCATTGGGAGATTCTCTCCAGTTCTCTTTTATTTGTTTTCACAATACTCTTCGAATTTACTGCTATCCCAGGTTGCCTGATCGATATTTGCTCTCTGTGATGCGTCTATTCTTTCGAGCAATGTTTCGAGGTTTCGTCGCTCTTCTTCACTCTCGTCTGCTCCATTCTTTTCATACATAATAGCGTGCATCGTTATCCAGCCTTGAGCACTCGGCGTGGCATCTCCATCGCTGGTGTGGATGCACTACGGAACAGATCAGCTTTCGCATACCACTAATCGCTTCCGAATCGGTTCGTTGCTCGCGACACGAAACTGACAGTTTTCATATATGCTGGATGTCTTGCAGGCTGGACAGGCTGTCTCTCTGCTGCGGTGGCGCGACGCGGTCTACTATTCGTCTACCGGAATCTAGGTGACGCTTTGACGCTTAAAACTCGATCCAATTTCCAGAATCTATTGTTTTTTGATTGAGAGTCTAAGGTGCGTTACATCACTTCCAACATTGTGGTCACCCGGACTAGAGGCTGGTACAGTTTCGCTGCTCGCCGACCCTCCTCCCAAATGTAATTGTTTGATCATACGCAAATACTTCTTCCTGTTAATGTCTTCAATCAGTGGCGTTTGTACTTGCTACTCCGTTTTTCGATATAGTCTCTATTTTGGTATTTTTTATATCGTCCGCTCCGGTAGCGCATTGCGAATTCTGGCCGTCACGTCATACTCTGTGCGTCTCGCCGATCATGGGGAACGTGTTAATGACCTCTTCTAGAGCGATTGCTCTATCGGGGCCACTTGCATTTTTGATGGAATGGTAGCAAAGTATAGTTGTGTATTCAATTGCGTTTCTAACTTCTAGTAATAGTATTCACCTGATTTTCGCCATGCTATGCAGAGGTGTCCGACGAGTTTTTTTCTAAAAAAATGTCAGGCTTTTGTAATTTGAGGTTGTGTGTTATGGATGGCCGTTGTTGCCGAATATCGGAAAAAAAGGTGACATAGTAGCTAATTCCAGAGGACTAGGAAAAGAAGTGGAAACGAAATGGGGATGTGCTACGACGAACGCTGCAGTAGTTTCGTGTCTATGTCGCTATGGTTGTGGAATCCTGTCGTCTCCAACATATTAATGTTCCGTACGACTGAACGCTCCAAGATGCAATCAGAAACCACGTTGTCTCGCTCTCCAGGAATATTTGTTACTCTCCTTTAGAACTGACGCATTTGGTGATCGAGCTCCATCGCGACGTAACGCACATCGCAAAAGTGATCTTTCCGGAACACTTTTTCAAAACAGAGTTTCATCTACCACCTGAATGCTTGCAATGGGGACGCATCGCGGGGAAACTAGCGGGCGGATGCCTACGTCAAAATTTACGACAAGTACCGCATCAACGGTGCTGGACACAGGAGTGACGCAGATATTTACGAATACAGGGCAATTAGGTGCCTCAAGAATGTGAGGAACCATAGGATCCTCATCCTCGATTGTATCATGATACGCGTTGTCATTGTGCTGCACCCGGGCCTGTTTTGCGAAGGGATGCTGGCAATCATCGATGGTATGAAGAACGATCGCCAGCATGAACAGGAGATCATATTTGTCGACAAGAGAACATCACACAGGAGAAGAAATAGGTATTCTGTTATCCGCGCAAGTATTCAAAAGCGTCGTTCGGTCTCGGGACTTGTCAACCCAAGAGAAAAACCTGTCATGTATGGAAAATATGAAGAGAGATGTTCCTTCCTCATCTTGCCCTACTTCATGGTTTTTGGATCGAGATCTCGAACGCAGGGCCGAAATGGAGCTGAGTATGGATACAATGGAGTATTGGAGAAATGGCACTGAAGAACTCCTCCAGTTGCGCTTTATTCGACCGGTTTTGCGAATTCCAGTCACCTGTTTTGATTTTTGACTTTAGAGTTCTTTTCGCCTTCATGGAAGAGGTTTATCCAGTGCCCGATTGAAGCGACAGAGACGTAACCGGCGAAGACCGGGACACGTACTAGATGCGGAAATTCGAGTTCAAGCGTGCAAAACCGGCGAATAAAAGGTAATTATGGGGGCCATCGATAACGATCGGGTATACATATATGTACATTTTCAGCGGTTGCAGGTGCTTCGTCCCATCCCGTCTTCGTTACCGCCCTCGCCGAAGCACGGAAACAGGAAGGCCGGCCATGGGATATATAATCCCCACGAGGACGACTTCGTCGTCGGCCTCAAACCCTGGATTACTGACTTCATTACCATCGTTGTAACAAGCGTTAGGTACATAATGTACTGAATGTAACTTACGTCGGAATGACAGGCGTCTTTTGAGGTTCTAGAGATCGACGTTCTACCCAGAAGCGGGAATCGTGAATACGAGGAAGGAAATTGAGACTTGGGATGCAGAAGTGGAAGAGCATCTCGAAGTTGTGAGCGAGGTGAAGAGCCGAGGAGCGGATTTTCAGGCTTTTCAAGATTTCATGGATGTTCGTTTTGCTCATTGGGATGCGCTGTGGAAGGAGTATACAAACCCCCGGTGGGCTTTTCTACGTTCGAATCTATACTGTGGGAAGCCGCATGCATTCGCCGACTTTTTCAATGAGTTGAGCTCCTTGAAGGAGAATGAAAGTTTGAGGCTCGTAGTAGCATATTGAGCATGGAGCTGGGCGTCAAAAAAGGGGACTACGCGAGCTCCAGCGACAAGAACATTCAAAGAGTGTGCACGGCGTCTCTTTACGGTACCTGTAGATGAATTTGGAGCTTCGTATACACACCACGAGCTGGGGTGTACATTCCAGAGGGGCGAGATGCAAAAGTGCCAACGGAACCCTGAGGAAATAGCAAACTACGGACCGCTGACGGAAGAGCAAATGGAAAGGAGCGCAAAAGTTCATGGACTCCTTGCATTAGTAGGTACAACGAACGATGGCGAGAAACGGATGGAGTTCGTGAACCGAGGCTTTAACGCCGCTATCAGTATCAGTAGATGTGCGGTGCTGGAGAAGAGACCTGCAAACTAGACAAGAGACAACTTTGTTGGACAACCTCCCAAAGTCGAACTATATGAGAGAAAGTTGGAAGCAGTAGTGGGTGGCCGGTCGAAAACGGCGGGGAGGCGTCTGCACATCAGCTGGAGACGTTATGTCTCGGGCGCCGGTGGCCACTACTGTACACGGCCGGCGTCGTTCGACTTAGTACGGCGTTTCGCCGTGTACGCTTCGCGAACCAGATCATCAGGAAACTTCAGGGCGCCGCGCTTAACTCGAAGTGCGCCATACCTTCGGACTTGCTCGGAACATCCGATGCGGATGAAGCCTAGCCGCAGGCACGACAACCACTTTGGGACGCGTCGCTCGAGCGTGGCAGAGTGATTGCTGGATTTTCATCAAAAAATCCGTATGGCTGTAGCATGAAGCCAGTGCTCATTGCCGGCTGCACTGGAAAGTCCTCCGGTCTCGGCAAGTGATGAATGCCGAACACGTGCCAGAGCACAAGATCCGTATCCTCGATGCATCGATTCTGAGACACAAATCGAAGGATGCCGTCCTGTCCGTCCGAGAGATTCACGAATTCACCAGCTGGAAAGCGCTCTTCCGGGTCATAGGCTGTCACCCACAAATGACGACGGATAAAGCCGGAACGCTGTCCAGAGGGTGAGTCCGGGTCAAGGAACGGCGTGAGCGGATGTGCCGGTTCTAGTTTGTAGGCGACTGGCATATTAACACGATTCTTTTTGTTCGGATTCAACACTTTCCAATACCGGTGGCTGGCAGGATTCGCACAGCGACATGCCTCCAGCTCTGTTCGTAGCGGCGTCTCGGTGACGTAGTACGCATTCCCGTAGGGATTCGCAGCTGCATCCTCCGCTCGCGTATTACACTCTACAACAGAGTTGCGATCCCTGTCTACGCTGAGGTCCATCCGCACGCAGAAGTAATGCTGGTGAATGTGTCCTTCGACGCCAGGCATAACCTCAGTACCGTAGCGGCTCGGTCTGCCCGGCTCGCAGGCCACAGTGTTGATGACGCCAGTAGCCCGCATTTCGTACTCAATGGCGCCGTCCGGACGAAAATACCAGTATGAGGCGTACTCGTAATTGCAAACCGTTGAAATGCTGGAGATGACGAGGCGTCTACCGCGCCGCGTTTCTGCACGGTCGGTGCGGAAATCCCAGTGCTTCCAGAGCAGGCCGGCATCCTCTTCGTGAATGCAGATGGCGTTTGGTATGGTCAACGGCTCGCCGTGCATCGTGGCAACGTGGGCGTCCAAATAAACCACGCAACCGGTACAATCACAATTCATCCGTAGCGAGTTCGCTAGCTTACCGATCCCGTACTCCCCAATATCAAAAACATTCTTTCGAAAGTGGGGCTCCACTGGCGTGCCGTACGGCACGACCATCTCCACCAGGGAGAGCCTGCGAGCCACTGGGCGTCCAGCAAACCGAATATCATGCAGCGTGATACCCTCGCGTGCATTGAAACCAATCAACAGAGACCATTGATCCCAGGCAATTGAATGATCGTTCAGGACAAAGCTCGGTCCCTGGTCCTGCACAATGCGCAGCGGCTTCAAGGGCTTGCGAATATCAGTTCTCAGATTCGGTTCGTAATTGCATTCCGTTCGCGGTACGGGGATATTCTGCAGATCATAAACTTTGAGCACTTTATTGGCCAGGACATCCACCATCGCGTAAAGTCCTTCAATTGGGTGTGCATAGAGGTTGTCATCGGCATGATTCCGTACCCAGCAGAAAGCCAACGCAAGATGGTGATCCTTCTCCTCAACGGAACCGAACGCCCCTGCCGACCACGGATCAATACAAACTAGACTCATGTCTTCGATACCGTGTTTCCTGCACGCAGCCTGGAACTCCGGACACGCCCGTACAGCTCCTTCTATAGCAGTGAACTGTTCAAGCTGGAGCATAGGGCGAGCGTTCGGGTAGTACTTTTTGGCGATTACGATCTCTTGCGAGAGCGAAACGATCAGCTTCCACACGCCAATAGAGCTTCTTCGGAAGATGAAGACCTCGGCCTCACGTTCGGTGGGCTTGCCGGCCACCCAGAGCTCTTTGGGTGGCTCGTGGAGCTGAATTCGCTCAAAGAGCGGTTCCTCTGGGAAAGGTGCGCCCTGGCGGCCGATGCTGGCAGCACGTAAAATCTCCGCTGGCGTGAGCGGTGTCAACGGGTGCATAATAGAGATGTCCTGCCTCATGTGCAGTAATGCAAAGACAACACGAGCAACCAAGGTTACCTCGGTTGCGCTTCAAGGCGCCTCAGCGTCTACCGTACCAAAGACTGCAACGGAAACCGGGAGCAATGAAGGAATGAATTCCGTTGAGCGATCAACTTGCGACATAGATGTACAGAACGTACAAGAGCAATCTGGGTGTCGGACACGTCTCCTTCATCGAGCGGGGAGGCGTCTCGCGCAGTGCACGCATCGCTCTCGGTGAGCGTATACCTGGGAAATCAGGCAGTCAACTGACACGATGCGTACGCCGTTGAAGCGAAACGCGATCCTGATCAGTAGGGTGTTGTTGAACCGGAAAAAGTTGGATTTCAATTCAGGTCGTAGCCAAGTACAGTTTTTCACTTCGTATTTGTTTCAACCTTCAAACAAGTCTAGACAAGTGTTTTTTCGCAGTATATAACAGAAGCGTTCAAAGAGCGTTCTTTTTCAAAAAAAAACCTAAAAAAGGAAAGCTTTGAGAAAGCAAGCTGACGATCCTGGAGGGCTAGGGTCGCCGGCCGCTAGAGACAAACAAAAAGCAGTGCCGAGTCCAGAAGAAAAGGAAGAGAAGAAGAACCGAAAGCGGGAGGCCCTACGTCGGAGGCGGCAAGAAACATGACTGTAGAACGAGATGGAGGTGAAAACCTTTCTTCTTGGACATATCAAGGATCCCTACAGGGAAAAGTTGCGAGAAACTATCGAAAAACGTGTCGACTCGTACTCCAAGAGTATTGCCAAGGCGTCGTCAGGACTGATGCATATGGCGAGGGAGATGTATCGCGACGTAACGCACATCGAAACGGTCGAGATTCCAGACGAGCTTTTCGACAAGACCTTTATTCGTCACTTGATGCTTGGCGCAGAGAAAGCGCCGAGGGAAAATGTGCTAGTGCATGCCCTCCACGAAAAACATCCCTTTTAGAGCTTCGACGGTACTCGATACACAATTGACTGGTGCATTTACACATACGGAGCGATGAAGTACATCACGAACCTGAAGAACCATTTGACTATGAACCTCGAACGCTTCATGATACGCGCCGTGTTTGCGCTGTACCCTGGCATCGCTCGCAAAGGAAAATGGGCGATTACCAATGGCGTCACGAACGATCGCAAGCATGAAGATGCTATCGAGCTCGTCGACAACAAGACATCACGTAAGCGAAAGAATGAAGCTTCTGTAATCCGTGCGGCCATACACGAGTACCGTACAGTCTTGGGGTTGGCAAATCCGACAGACAAGATATCAGAGTTGAAAAAATATAAGGAATGGTACTATCGCCTCGTCCTGCGCTATTTTGTGTTTCTGGACCGAGAACTCGAACGCAAGGCAGAGGCGAGGCTGAGTGAGGAAAAAAATGAAGAGTGGGAGAGACGGAAGGCTTTCCTAATGGGTAAGCGCTTCAACGTCGTTCCAACGTGCAAGATCAAGTGACATTTGTGACTATCGACTCTAGAATCCTTCACGCCATCATGAAGGAGATCAGTCCGGAGTTCAGTGTCAGCAAGGAGAAGTTCTCCGGTGAAAACCGGGAGAGGTACTGGAAAAATATCTTCGATTTCAAACGCTTGAGAGTGAGCAAGGAAACGTTGTTCACCGGGATGTTTGAAACCGATGGAGTAGCCTAGTGTGTACACTATCGGCGGTTCAAGAAAGATCGTCCTGGTCCGCCGTCGGCTGTGCCCGTGACGAAGGATGAAGAAAAGAATGAGGCGGATCCTGCGACGCAGGAGGTGGAGGAGAACGAACTTATCTTTGACGCGGCGAATCATGAAGATGAGGAGGAGGCGGATCCTGTGACGCAGGAGGTGGAGGAGAACGACCTTGTCGTTGACGTGGCGAAGCATGAAGGAAAGAAGGAGGCGGATCCTACAATGCAGAAAGTGCAGGAGAACGACTTTGTCGTTGGTGTGGACCCTGGAAATACGAATATCATAACCATCGCAGCACCCAAGCGCGCGGAAGATGGTGCTGATGGTAACTTGCGTCGGAAAGACATGCGTCTTTTGAGGTTCTCAAGAGCTAGATATTACTGAGAATCCGGTGTAATGAATGCAAGGAAGAAAACCGAGAAATGGAATTCAGGAATGAAAGATCACCTAAAAGCTTTGAGCGAGGTGACGAGCCGAGGAACCGACTTTGAAACTTTTCGGAAATTCATGGAAGATCGGTTTGCGCATTGGGATGCGCTGTGGGAGGAGTATACCATGCCCCGGTGGGCTTGTTTGCGTATGAATTTGTATTGTGGGAAGCAGCGGGCGTTCGCCAACTTCTTCAATCAGTTGAGCGCCTTGAAGGAGGACCAGAGTCAGAGGCTTGTAGTAGCGTATGGGGCAGGCCGCTGGAAGACCCAAAAAGGAACTATGCCACCTCCAACGACAAGAACGCACAAGGAGTGCGCACAACGTCTCGTTACGATACCTGTAGACGAGTTCCGAACATCCTATACACACCATGAACTGGGATGTACACTTCAGAAAGTGGAGATGGAAAAGTGTTAGCGGAGCCCTGAAGACATAGCAAAGTACGGTCCTTTGACGGAAGAGGAAACGGAAAGGAGACCGAAAGTTCGAGGGCTACTCGCATAAGTGAATACAACTAACGGGAAGAAACCGATGGAACTCGTGAACCGGGACTTAAATGCCGCTATCAATATCCGAAAATGTGCGATGCTGGAGACGAGACCTCCAGAATGGACAAGAGAGAACTTTGTTGGACAACCTCTTGAAGTCGAACTATATGAGAGAAAGTTTGAAGCAGTAGTCGGTGGCCGGTCCAAAAAGACGGGTAGGCGTCTGCACGTCAGTTGGAGACGTCTTGTCTAGGGCGGCCCGGACGCCACTACTGTACACGGTCGGCTTCGTTCGAGTTCAGAACGACGTTTGGCTGTGGTGTTGAATGTCGAGCGCCGATCAGCCTCCGACCCAGTCTCGAGAGCAAAACTGGTCTCAGGTCTCGAGCACTGTCGTCGAAGTTGCCCACACAGTGGACGTTCACGTTCAACCCGTGTGCTTCGTCGATCTGAGCGAGGAAATTCACGCCTTCGCGCAGCTAGAAAAGTTTGCGAAGTGTGAATCATCCGAAGTTATCATAGATCTTAATGTCCGAAATACACATCAAGCTGTTGGGGCCCTCGTTCGCTGTCTGGAGGAGCGCGGAAAGTTGCCAGCTCACTCCGGAGACTTGCTACGGCGGCAGCTCCTTGGCGCAGAGCCACCGTCACTCTTTCAACTTGCACAGCAGGGGCTTCATATGTCTAGTGGGGGAGACGTACTCGGCCACGCTTCTGGATACTGGACACATAGCATACAGGGGCCCTCTTTTATTATTGGGTATACCGAAACCCCTTTGTTGCTTAGTGACGAGGAAGCAGTAGCAGTTGCACGGCTCGCACACCCGCTCAACGCTGGGGCACTCAACAACTCGCTGACACGCTTCCTAGTACTTGTACTGACGCTTGCGCACGATACACCCCAGGTTCGCCGGGCGTCCGAAATGGCACGCGTTTTCGCTTCGCTTTTCGCAGATGAAGTATTCTACGACGAAGCTGTCGAGGCGTCCGATAGAGCTTCTTTCCTGGAGGCTATCCATCGTTTCCTTGAACGGCAACGGGACGCTGCACGAGAACGCGAAGCGCTGCATCGAAGCGTTCGATTGGCGACAGCAGCCACGGTGACTTTCTTCGATGATGATAATCATGTTGATGGTGATGGCGTTGCGGAGTATCTTGGTGGTACAGATGGCGGTACCCTTTCTGGGTGCAGAACAAAAGATGTGACTATTAACGACAATTTTGGTATCATGAACGCTCGCCTCGACCGATACTTCAAAGCACAAGGATATTCGAATCTGGATACGGTGCCACGCTGGAAGTACTGGTTGGCGCTGTTCTTTCGCTTTCCGGGGGTATTGATGGCTGCAGATCTTCGCCGCCGTCTACCCCATTATCGATCCGACTGGACAGCGGAATGGAACAAGATTCACGCTCTCGGAAAGTATTTCTTCGCGAGTATTTTTCTCATATTTACAGTCACGTTGCCTGCGATTGTTTTCGGCGTTATAGCGAGTCGCACGACTCACGGAGAGATTGGTGTCATCGAGTGTCTGTTTGCCCAGGGTGTACTGGGCATTGGTTTTGCGTTCTTCAGCGCCCAGCCGCTGATGGTGAATATGGTCACTGGTCCCACCATCGTCTACATTCAAGTGCTCTATCGCTGGTCCCAGAGGCTCGGGTTCGCATTTCTCCCCTTTTTCGGATGGACGGGTATTTGGATGGGCATTTTTGTGATGTCGTATGCGATCATGAATACGTCAACACTCATACCGTACCTTGGCCGATTCACTGATGAGATTTTCCAAACCTTTATTGGAATCATTTTTATTCAATATTGGTTTACGGAATTTGTCCGAGTTACGCACACCGGTTACGAACAGGTCCTTTTATTCTTGGTGCTTTCTCTGGGAACGCTTCTGCTTGCGTTACTTCTGGTGTCTGTACGAGGCAGTTTCCTGCTACGCCCCATACTGCGATCCATTCTGGGGGACATCGGCCCCGCTCTCTCTGTTTTCATTTGGACCGGTCTGTCGTACGCGTTCGATCCGATTGATGTGCCTCGTCTGCAGATACCGGGCTCTGTTGGTTACAGCACAACGACTGGACGACCGTGGATTGTCCCCCTAGGAAGTCTATCCGTCGGCTATGTATTTTTGGCCATCGTTCCCGGCTGGCTGCTCTCGCTCATCGTCTACATTGATCAACAGGTGTGTACTTATATCGTGGAACGACCGGAAAATCGCTTGCGCAAAGGCACTGGGTACAGTTGGAATCTTTTTGTGACTGGCGCTCTTGCCGTTCTTGCCTCGATTCTCGGCATACCTTGGATGTATGCAGGGCTGCCACACTCGCTTTTGCACGTTTATGCACTTGCTGAAATTGAGGACATAGAGCTCATGGGAAGACGATGGATACGTGTTCTTCGTGCGCGGGAGGTGCGCATTGCTGCACTAAGCGCTTACCTCTTTGCCTTGTTGATCATTCTGGCCAAACCAGCTCTAGATCAGCTGCCGATCTATGTGTTGTACGGCTTTATTCTGTACATGGGTGCAGCTTCATTTCTGAACAACCCTCTCTGGGATCGATTCGTTCTCTTGTTTACGCAGCCAACCAAGTACCCACCGACACATTATGTTCGACGTGTCCCCATGAGTCACCTGCACCTCTACACCTCTGTTCAGGTAATCCTTACAGTCGTTCTCTTTTTTGTCGCGGTCAATTTTTATCGAGGTGCAACTCTATTCAATACTGGCCTCATCTTTCCATTGGTCCTGTTCCTTTTCGTCCCATTCAAGTGGATGGTGTTGTATCGCTGGTTTCCGCGACGTGAGCTGCGCGTGCTTGAAAATCAGCTTTAGATGGAAATTTCTGATCGAGTCTTGGGAGTTTTCCAGTAAAATTGGCCATCGCAGATTGATAGATAGACTGTAGAGTCGGAAATCGTGTTTACATTTCATCGAAGCGCAAATTGCTGGGGCAGGCATGTATCAGCAGAGGCCCTTTTTGCGAGTACGGGAGGTAGGTGCTTTCCTGATGCGAGGCCGAGATCTCGAGTCCAAAGTGATCCGCTGATGCTTGCTTTTCCAGAGGTAGAGACTCCCTTTGCCGGAACTGGTCGTGATTTGTACCCACAACCGGTACGGAAGGCACGTCAGTGAAGAGATTCGCTACGACTATACGCGGTATCATACGATTATGCTGCGGAGATCTCGGATACGAGAGCCGAAATACAACACGTGGCGCTGATAAAAACAACCCGCTTGATTGCATGCGACTTGTTGGACATTCGGGAACAAGGCGGTTCATTTTGGAACGCCCATGCCAGCATACCTTCTTTGTTTATGTTTGTTATTCTCGCTGGTATTCGCGAATCGACCGTGTCGCATAGATTGGAAATGAGCCGTGGAAAGAGTACATGCTGTTATCATCGGACAACGTCATACGAGATTACAAGTGAAACACAGTGATTCTAGGGTCATCAAACGGATGAACGAGTTTTTCGTTGTACTTATCTTGACCCTCCTACACCCAAAACTAAACACAGAAATATCGCCTACAAGACTGTGTCCGGGTTCATCCTTTTCTTTGCATGCGACCTCGAAGAGAGACTACAATCACCTACAGGGTGTGAATGGTCCACATCGTTGATTCGGACAGCGATCAAGGGACACAGACGGACAGAAGTAAGGCATTATTTATTGCAGACCGCCACGCTCCGAACAGGGCAAAATCGAATTCATACTCAAACGCACGCGTATCTCTCGGGAGAAAGAGGTATGGATCTCGAATGGTGAAGTTCTAGTCAAGAGAAATACTATTCTTGAATATGGGTACTCGGAGGTTAAGCGTAAACCCCTGATCGTAAAAGAGACAGCGCGCAACCTGACAACATCGGTCTTACCAGTTTCCAAGTACATCGTGTGCTGGGAATCGCGGAACTTGCAGCATAACTCAATGACACATGTTCCTTCCGAGTACTTCGCAATGCCTCCTTCACAAAACCATAGAACCCGATCGTCGATGACGTCGGTCTCCATCACATAGAAGCGGACGGAAAATACGCAGCTGATATTGGCAGCTGTTGCTATTTGGTCCTTCCCATTCTATCTGGACAAAATCAGCAACTGGGATCTTCTCTGCAGTCAGACGATGATCGTGTATACACAGATCACTTAGAGAGTTGTTCGAGTTCGTGAAATTGAACTTCTTTGATAAAACCTTCCTCGACATATCGGTGACCTACTTTACCAGCTCATAGCCACCGTCATCTTCCTCGTACATATGAAGGAGGAGGAAGAAAGGCGAGCGCCAAACTGTAGGCGTGCTCGCGACGGCAAGACTGGATTGATTTACTAGAAGAAGTAACTTTCGTCGCACGGTCCATCCCGCACAAACGACTCCTTTTGGAAACAAATGCATCCACAGTAAGCTGGCCACTGCCAAGCACTCCTTCGGTGTGGATGAAAAACGGTGTAACGGGAAGGATGAGAAGCAACGGGAAAGAAAGGAAGAGAATCCTCCAGGAAGACGACCAAGGAGGACTTGGGGCAAAAGCTGTCGGAGCGGAAACATCTTTCAGGAACCATCGTCAAGGCCTCCGTCCTACAAATTACCATCAGGAATAATCTCCCACACAACGAAATGCTCAACATCGTTCCCGATCGCGTGGCTTCCGTCTCGACGCAAGGTAAACCCAGTTTCCCGCTCCACGATGCATGTCGCCGAGCAGGTGTTCGTACCAGTCTCGGACGCAGAGCTGCTAGCAGCCGGGATTCCTCGGGAGCTTTTCGATCTCGGCTTTGTGCCATAACACAATGGATGCTCGGGACGGAAGACGCAGTGCGGTCCGAGTACAGGATCAGGGAGATACGCGCACACACACACATTACCCAGACTTGGTTGACGCTTCACTGCACAATGTTGACGATCGGAACATCTGCACTGCAGGCGGCCATAACACTATCAAACCGACCACTGCAATCAAGTCCATACGCCTGCCAAATGACGAGCGCTCCATGCAGCGCACCCTGTAGGCGTTCTATTCTCACGCTGGCGGCCCCGGTGAGTTGGTACTGACACCAAAAAAGAATCTTCGCCTCTGCGCATACACGAGCGTCCATATCGCCCAGGCGGACAATCCGTGGCACGAATCCATGCGACAGTGGTGGTGCTGCCAAAAGATTCCATTCGACGGAGGCAGGTCTCTTGCATTCACCAACTTGTCCAATGCACTGAAAAGATAAGTGACCGAAAAGCCGTTTTGTTTTCCGGTGGTAACCCGCGTCGCTGGACGTTCTGTGGCGAGCCATGGAGACGCCCATGTCCCTTCGACGAACGCACGCCGCAAGTGCATTGCTCCATGCCGAACGAATCCCATCGATGCATCCAGGGCGCCATCCAGGTATGTTGAGCACGGGCGCGCATGCACGAAGCTACAGAAGAAGGGCTTGAAATACATCCAGATGAACGAGATGGCGTGCGTCTCGCTGACTTGACGGAGATACGGATGCCTCGATCGGCATCCGAAAAGGACCCCTGCGATTCGGGAGCGTCCATCGTTTCTTTTTTTCTGCCGGAGGATATTTCCAGTTGATCTATTGACGACGCAGTGCGCCGTTGTTCGGCAGAGCGGAATGCTTCTGATCCAAAGAAATCAATGCCAAAGATACAACGCATTTGATTCCGGTCTGGAGAAATGCACTGGTATTGTATGAGCTGCAACCCAGGAGGTCTTGAGCGCCGTACGTTTGCACTGGAAGTAATGCTTCCAGGCAAAAAGTAGAAGATATTGCTGTCCTATGGTTCGCTATTATTGACTAGTAAGTAAGAGCAGTACGGCTTCATTTGATCCAAAAGTGAAATCGACCACCGATAGGATTGTGACAAGCGTCAATTGAGACGAAGAGCGCTCCTATAGCACGATAGACTCTATGACAGTTGCTACATAACAAACACGGATGCTCCTGCATTCAGCGTATATGTCGTGCAACTCCATGCTTCAATGTGTCCAGTCATGGTCGGCCGTTTGCGAGCGTGACAGTCCACGTCCACTCAGAGAAGCAGTTCTCCTCGAGAGTCAACGTAGGCACAGCGTTGGGGTCCACCTGATAGTAGCGTCTCACAACTGATACCAGCGTGATTAGGTGGCTTAACGGCACGATACGTTTATCCTAAAAAATAAAACATCCCAGCAATACGACAGTCAGTGCATTGCTTTCTTCGGGAAGACGACTCGTCTATTGTTAGGCAACGTTGCGGTACGACACGCATCTCACCGGACACGTAGGAGAAGGCGTATATCAGCAAGAGGGATCCTACTCGTCCCCCAGTATCCATTCGCATTCCAGAATGCTATCGGAAAGAAGGAACCGACGAGCGCCGCCGATCACACTGCTGGAGTATCACAGGGGCATATCATACTAGGTGTCCCTATTACGGCAATAAGCTCCTGAGCAAACCTTCTGCAACCATAACACAAATTCTGAAATGCTCTCCCTATTTTGGATGACGTCCGAAGGCTCTATCCGTAACGTCCAGGATGGCACCTGTGCCTGAAACTCGCCCTGCTCCACCTACTGAGCGCACGTGGACCTGAAGGCGCACAGGAAAGAGCACCATACGCATCTGCTGCCTACATTGCCGAGTGAATCGTAAGACACCACGACCAAGAAAAGCGTTTATACACAGTACGCACCAACGCATGCCATCCCCCTCTGATCCGTCTGGAGTTGCCGGACGCACGCTTCACAGTCGCAACTAGCCGGCTGTCCCATGAGCGAGGTTCAGCTACAGATCCACCCATAACAGATTCGATGTCCCTGCTCGCCTCCTAACGTCCGACACTGCTCCCAGAAGCGAAGCGCCTCATTCGCACAAACGCGTGCTTAAACGGCAACGTCCCTACCGTACGCAAGAACCGCGCCCGTACAACCCGCATCACTTGAACTGAAGCAGCGATACCTACAGTTCCCGATGCGTACAGCGCTCGTCACGCCCGGGGCGCTTGGCGATGTGGCTTGCAGGGCAGAGAGCGTGGGCGAGCGCGCCTGGGAAATCGCGCAGTCAACTGACACGATGCGCGTGCCGCCGATGAAGGGAAACGTTGTCGTGATCAGTTACGTGTTGTTCTGCTGTAAACATCGGATTTCTGTTGAGGCCATAGCAAAATACAGTCTTTCGGTTCGGTTTTGTTTCAAACTTCAACCAAGTCTAGTAAAGTGCTTTCTCGCAGCATATAACAGAAGCGTTCATTGAGGGTTCTTTAAAAAACGAAAAACGGAAAGCTATGAAAAACCAGTCGACGATCCTGGAGGGCTAGGGTCGCCAGCCGCTAGAGACAAACAAAAAGCAGTGCCGAGTCCAGAAGAAAAGGAAGAAAAGAAGAACCGAAAGCGGGAGGCCCTACGTCGGAGGCGGCAAGAAACATGACTGTAGAACGAGATGGAGGTGAAAACCTTTCTTCTTGGACGTATAAAGGATCCCTACAGGGAAAAGTTGCGAGAATCTATCGAAAAACGTGTCGACTCGTACTCCAAGAGTATTGTCAATGCGTCGTCAGGACTGATGCATATGGCGAGGGAGATGTATCGCGACGTAACGCACATCGAAACGGTCGAGATTCCAGACGAGTTTTTCGACAAGACGTTTATTCGTCACTTGATGCTTGGCACACAGAATGCACGGATGGAAAATGAGCGAATGCATGCCCTCCACGAAAAACATCCCTTTTACAGCTTCAATGGTACTCGATACAAGGGTGACCGGGATGTTTACGACTATGGGGCGATGAAGTACCTCACGAACCTGAAGAACCATTTGACAGAGAACCTCGAACGTTCCATGATACGCGCCGTGGTTGCACTCCACCCGGGCCTGTCTCGCCAAGGAAAATGGGCGATTATCATAGGCATCACCAAAGATCGCAAGCATGAAGATGAGATCGAACTCGTCGACAAGAAGACATCACGTAAGAGAAAGAATGAAGCTTCTGACATCCGTGCGGCCATACAAGAGTACCGTGCAGTCTTGGGGTTGGCAAATACGACAGACAAGATATCAGAGTTGAAAAAAGATAAGGAATGATACTATCGCCTCATCCTGCGCTATTTTGTGTTTCTGGACCGAGAACTCGAACGCAAGGCAGAGGCGAGGCTGAGTGGGGAAAAAATGAAGAGTGGGAGAGACGGAAGCCTTTCCTAATGGGTAAGCGCTTCGACGTGGTTCCAATGTGCAAGATCAAGTCACATTTGTGACTATCGTCTCCGGCGTCCTTTACGGCATCATGAAGGAGATCAGTCCGGAGTTCAGCGTTAACAGGGAGGAATTCACCTGTGAAAACCGGGAGACGTACTGGAAGAATATCCTCAATTTCAAACGTCTCAAAGTCAGCGCGAAAAAGAAATTCACTGGGATGCTCGAAACCGATGGAGCAACCATTTGTGTACACTATCGGCGGTTAAAGAAAGATCGTCCAGTCCCGCCCTCGGCTGAGTTCTCTGCGAAACATGAAGAAAACAAAGAAGCGAATCCTGAGACGCACAAATTGCAGGATGACGACCTTGTCGTTGGCGCGGTGAGGCATGAAGAATAGAAGGAGGCAGATCTTGCGACGCAGGAGGTGCAGGATAACGAACTTGTCGTTCCTGCGGACCCGGGGAATACAAATATCATAACCATCGTTGTGCCCAAGCATGCGGAAGATGGTACTGACGGCAACTTACGTCAGAAAGACACGCGTGTGTTGAGATTCTCGAGAGCGAGAAATTATCGAGAATCCGGTATAATGAATGCGAGGAAGAAAATCGAGACTTGGGATGCAGGAATGAAGGATCAAATGGAAGCTTTGAGCGAGTTGACTAGCCGACGAACGGACGTTGAAGCTTTTCGGAAATTCATGGAAGTTCGCATTGCGCATTGGGATGCGCGGTGGGAGGAGTATACAAAGCCCCGGTGGGCTCGTCTGCGTATGAATTTCTACTGTGGCAATCAGCGGGCGTTCGCGAATTTTTTTTAATAAGTTGAGCGCCTTGAAGGAGAATGAAAGTCAGAGGCTCGTAGTAGCGTACGGAGCAGGACGTTGGGCGTCGAGAAAAGGGACTACACCAGCTCCAACGACAAGGGTGTACAAAGAGTTCGCAAGGCATTTCGTTACGATACCTGTATTTGAGTTCCGAACATCGTATACACACCATGAGCTGGGTTGTATACTCCAGAGAGTCGAGATGGAAAAGTGCCTGCGGAGTCCTGAAGATATACAAAAGCACGTACCGCTGACGGAGGTGCAACTGGAAAGGAGGGCGAAAGTGCGAGGGCCTCTCGCATTAGTAAGTACAGCCAATGATGGCAAGAAACGTATGGAGTGTGTGAACCCAGATTTTAATGCCGCTATCAATACAGGAAAAAGTGCGGTGCTGGAGAAAAGATCTCCAGAGTGGACAAGAGGGAACTTTATTGGACAACCTCTCAAAGTTGCACTATATAAGAAGAAGTTGTAAGCAGTACTAGGTGACCGGTCCAAAAAGAAGGGGTGGCGTCTGCCCTTACTTGGAGATGTTTCGTCTAGGGCGCGGTTACAGCCACTACTCTACAGCTGGCGACAGCGTTTTTTCTTTTGAAAGGTGTTTCTTTCCAGGGGTGCGTCCGCCAAGCGACACTATCCAACTGGAAGCCCGCAAGCACCAGCAACGTCCTCTGTAGAGCGCAATCACGAAACCTGCACAGGATCACACGTGGGCGGTACCAGCTTCGCTGTCAATGCTCCTCGAGAAAATGCTCTGCAGCGGGATATAACGCGCTGCCTGGCCGAACTGTAGGCCGAAGCTCACCAGCCCGTTTCCGTGACTATAATATATCGTATCGAGGTTTCGCGTCGTAGCGCTTTGTATACCGACGGTTAAATAGAGTGTGGAGGCAAACGACGAACGCTTATCTCGCACGTACGCAGCACAAGTTAAACTAACTCAGACGATACCGCTTGCAGACGATTCGACGGCGCCTGGCTCATCACTGTGCAATTCGTCGTGGCAGACCCCTCTGACGCTCGGAGTACTTTGGTCGGCAAAGATATTGGCTAAAGAGGTTTGTGTACTTGCTGCTGGGAACTCCTTCTGTTCCAGGCCTGGTACGAGCGCCAACTCCGGGAGATCGTTTACGAGCATCCAACTTTGCCGGACGTTGGTGATGCGGGCGGGCGGTGGTAGCAAGTCGAGGCGCTAGCGCCGCGCTTCTAAGGCGTCACGAGCGAGCAAGCAGTGAAGCTTCGAAGTATACGGTGCCACGTACGGCAAAGAGCGTTGTCCCCCACGTAATCCTGACCGTTTATCTTACGCAAACGCGTCGGTAACCATTCCTTGCTTTCCCAACATTGAATCTATCAACTGTTTCACCTGTGCGCACTACTTGTTCACGAACTTAGAGTGAAATCCGCCTCGCACGAAGCCATTCGGATGAACCATGCTACCTGTGCTCCGCCAGCGATGAGGACGCGGGTCTGCGCTCATCCGTCGTGTTTTGTACTAGCTGAAGGACTTCAATAGTACCAGTGCATGAGAGCATTGACAGCAAGTCTGAGAATACGTCGCCACCGCAGTGCAAGCACGGTACAAGCACACACGCACATGAAACCGCTACTATATCCATCTCTCTCGGAGCAAGCATCATCGGCCGAGTCACTATTTCGATCGATCTAATAGTTCACATCTTCTACGGTTTCCATTCCACACAGGATTCACATTTCGATATTCTGTTTGCTGCTTATTTTAGCAACGCAACAGAACAAGTCGCTGTCGCAGAATAGCCCCAATCTGACCACTGCGCATCTGGTTCGGTCGCTGACGTTCCCTCACGGACGCAAAGCGGAACTATGGCAACAATGTGTATCGAATGCTACAAAGAAAGCGGATATACACGGAGAGCAGCTCGAAAGGTGCGAAACGAAGCATACAGACTGCGAGTTTTTCCAAGCTCCATCATGAATGTGGCATTTGCTAAAAGAACCTCCCCAATACCGTGACATTGTAAACGGAGCGCACCGTTCCAGTACAGAGCAATTTCCATTCCCGTGTTCACCGAAATGGAACGATGCCTGGCGGATCCACTCCGCTGCAAACAGTATTTGCGGAAGGCCAAAGCTTCAGCGATAAGGTGCACTTTGAAACGCGCCTGAAGCAGATGTAGTTCTGTGTACGTGTAATTGATGCGCTGCGTGTATTAGCACCAATAGTGCTGCTCGAAAAGCCCTTGATAAGAAGGTAACGGGCAAAACTTTTCGTTCCAAGTCACTCGACAGCTGGCGTGTATTGCGAGGTGAGGTCACTCACCGGTTCAGAAGTAATAGTACGCGAGCGTGTGTTTCAGTGCTGCTGCCGCTTATTCCACCAGATGACTCGAGACCTGCTACATAAAAGTCATGAGTTCCGTGCATCAGCCACGTCCACACTGCGGCTGAATTGCCCAGAGTGCACTTAACACCATCGAGGAGCGCTTTTGCAGAGCGTCCTGCCTCCCATGCATGGATCCCTTGACTGGGGCGTTCTGAGCACCTTCAGCCGATAGGCTATTCTTGAAAAGATCAAATGATGTTCTGCACGTGTTGAATTCGAGGAACGACATAGAACCAACGACCGAATGCCGTCATATTCATCCCATTGTTCGTGCTAGATAGACCGCCGCTGCCACTGGTGCCTGAACCAGAAGTTCCGCTGCTGCTACCACTACCGTTGTCACTGGTGCCTGAACCAGAAGTTCCGCTGCTGCTACCACTGCCGGTGTAACTGGTGCCTGAACCAGGAGTTCCGCTGTTGCTACCACTGCTTGTGTCACTGGTGCCTGAGCCCAAATTCCCGGCTCTGCTGCTACTGCTGCTGACAGGGATAGCGGATGTCTGCTCGATGATCCTATCCGGGCCTGAAGATGAAGTAGTTGGAGCATCGATACCTGTTCCAGGGCGGGGTGTTGACCCTAGACTGCTAAAAGTTGGCGGACTTATCGTGGTACGCATCGCTGGTGCGACTGCCCCCAGTGTGGATGAATGCGAGTTACGTTCTCCGCCGGGTTCCACATTGTCTAAAAAGGAGCCGCCAGAAGTGCTCGTTGTAATAACCGGAGTAAAGGGCGGTGGTAGTGTTGCCGTGGTCGCCACAGGTAGAGTGCTTACAGAGAGCGATGAGGCCTGTGATGATGAGGGGGTCATCGACATCGCATTCATCTTAGCGATGTACGGAGATGGTGTGGGATGAACAACAGCTGGAGTAACCGTTGCAGTTGCTCTTGGAGCGCTTTCGGCACTATGGGTGCTGTTCCGCTCAGGTTCAGCAAAAAAGGCCTCAGAGACGCCAGACGATGCCGTGCCATTCGAGGTTGACGTACCCGCCTGGACGCATACGCAAAGGTCGCCAAGGCAGACCTTGGCCAGGTTACCAGAACAGCTGCCGGTGGTCGTTACGCACCCGCAGATACCTCCCAATAGACATGTGTAGACGACTCCTCCGGGGCACGTGGGAACCGAAGTAGACGAGGCCGTACTCGTCGATGTAGACGTCGACGTAGGCTGCGAAAATGACGGTGACGGTGTCGGTGTCCCCGCTTCAACACAAACGCACGTATCACCGACACACAACTTGACGAGGTTCCCAGGGCAGCTTCCGCTCGTTGTCACGCACCCACAGATATCACCCAACAGGCAGGTGTAGACGAGTCCGTCAGGGCAGGAAGCCGTCGTTGTTGGTGAACTCGTGCTCGTCGTTGTTGGTGAACTCGTGCTCGTCGTTGTTGGTGAACTCGTGCTCGTCGTTGTTGGTGACGTTGGCGACGGTGTCGGTGTTCCCGCCTCGACGCATACGCAGAGGTCGCCAAGGCAGACCTTGGCCAGGTTACCAGAACAGCTGCCGGTGGTCGTTACGCACCCGCAGATACCTCCCAATAGACATGTGTAGACGACTCCTCCGGGGCACGTGGGAACCGAAGTAGACGAGGCCGTACTCGTCGATGTAGACGTCGACGTAGGCTGCGAAAATGACGGTGACGGTGTCGGTGTCCCCGCTTCAACACAAACGCACGTATCACCGACACACAACTTGACGAGGTTCCCAGGGCAGCTTCCGCTCGTTGTCACGCACCCACAGATATCACCCAACAGGCAGGTGTAGACGAGTCCGTCAGGGCAGGAAGCCGTCGTTGTTGGTGAACTCGTGCTCGTCGTTGTTGGTGAACTCGTGCTCGTCGTTGTTGGTGACGTTGGCGACGGTGTCGGTGTTCCCGCCTCGACGCATACGCAGAGGTCGCCAAGGCAGACCTTGGCCAGGTTACCAGAACAGCTGCCGGTGGTCGTTACGCACCCGCAGATATCTCCCAATAGACATGTGTAGACGACTCCTCCGGGGCACGTGGGAACCGAAGTAGACGAGGCCGTACTCGTCGATGTAGACGTCGACGTAGGCTGCGAAAATGACGGTGACGGTGTCGGTGTCCCCGCTTCAACACAAACGCACGTATCACCGACACACAACTTGACGAGGTTCCCAGGGCAGCTTCCGCTCGTTGTCACGCACCCACAGATATCACCCAACAGGCAGGTGTAGACGAGTCCGTCAGGGCAGGAAGCCGTCGTTGTTGGTGAACTCGTGCTCGTCGTTGTTGGTGAACTCGTGCTCGTCGTTGTTGGTGAACTCGTGCTCGTCGTTGTTGGTGAACTCGTGCTCGTCGTTGTTGGTGACGTTGGCGACGGTGTCGGTGTTCCCGCCTCGACGCATACGCAGAGGTCGCCAAGGCAGACCTTGGCCAGGTTACCAGAACAGCTGCCGGTGGTCGTTACGCACCCGCAGATATCTCCCAATAGACATGTGTAGACGACTCCTCCGGGGCACGTGGGAACCGAAGTAGACGAGGCCGTACTCGTCGATGTAGACGTCGACGTAGGCTGCGAAAATGACGGTGACGGTGTCGGTGTCCCCGCTTCAACACAAACGCACGTATCACCGACACACAACTTGACGAGGTTCCCAGGGCAGCTTCCGCTCGTTGTCACGCACCCACAGATATCACCCAACAGGCAGGTGTAGACGAGTCCGTCAGGGCAGGAAGCCGTCGTTGTTGGTGAACTCGTGCTCGTCGTTGTTGGTGAACTCGTGCTCGTCGTTGTTGGTGAACTCGTGCTCGTCGTTGTTGGTGACGTTGGCGACGGTGTCGGTGTTCCCGCCTCGACGCATACGCAGAGGTCGCCAAGGCAGACCTTGGCCAGGTTACCAGAACAGCTGCCGGTGGTCGTTACGCACCCGCAGATATCTCCCAATAGACATGTGTAGACGACTCCTCCGGGGCACGTGGGAACCGAAGTAGACGAGGCCGTACTCGTCGATGTAGACGTCGACGTAGGCTGCGAAAATGACGGTGACGGTGTCGGTGTCCCCGCTTCAACACAAACGCACGTATCACCGACACACAACTTGACGAGGTTCCCAGGGCAGCTTCCGCTCGTTGTCACGCACCCACAGATATCACCCAACAGGCAGGTGTAGACGAGTCCGTCAGGGCAGGAAGCCGTCGTTGTTGGTGAACTCGTGCTCGTCGTTGTTGGTGAACTCGTGCTCGTCGTTGTTGGTGAACTCGTGCTCGTCGTTGTTGGTGAACTCGTGCTCGTCGGCTTTTGGGTGGGCCTTGTGGTGCTTGTAGCGATCGAAGTTGGTTTCGATGTGGTGGATATGTTTGATACTGTAGTTGCGCTCAATACAGGACTTCTTACAGGTATCAACGTCGAGACTACGGTGATTAATGCTGTTGCAGATGTTGAGACAACAGCGGTCCTTGAAGGCGGTACAGTAATTGTTTGCACCACCGTTGGTTCATGACTTGTTACAACCGGTGTTGGCGGTAGCGTCCGATGTACTGTTTGTGGCGGAGTTTGGGCCATATGGCTCTTCGTCGCCTCTGGAAATGGAGTCTGTTGAATTGGACGGGGCGTCTGAATAGGGAAAACCTCTACACTACACGTTTCCGAGAGCAGCTTGCACTCATATGTGCAAAACTCGCCTAGAACTATGGAAGTCGACGTAGTGGATTCTTCACCATACGAAGACGTCCACTTTCTGCTTGTTTTCCAATCTAACTCATTCTGTCGTTGAACATTCCCTTTTTCATATACCGCTGTAGAAGACTTTGGACATATTTGCAGAGCCTCAAACTTTTGCACGCAAACCTTGCATGTGTTTTGGTATTTGTACTCCACACAAACTTCTACTGATTTGAAAACACATTCCTTCCTACATTTTTGAATATTTTTCTGCGGTGCTGCGTCTTCGAAAGTTGTGTCTGAGGTCCAACGACGTCTCCAAGTCACTTTTCCGTTCCAGGGACCACCATACTCGGGACTCTTTGTCTCAGGCGCTGCTGTTGTACAGACGATATTTTCTTTCGCACAGACCAATATATTTTCATACGCTGCGCACGTCTTTACTAAGCTACACGGCCCGACCACGGTCTCCGGCTCGCAGAACTGCCATCTTAGCCCGGAGCTCGTAAGCGATCTACTCTCTCCATCAGTTTTGATCGGTGAGCTCGCCTCTGTGGAGACGGTCAACAGTATCGCTTGTGCGATCGTAATACAGAGAATCACAGATAAAGTCCGCGTGAACTTCATCGTGTGTGGTGTATCCTTTGTGTGTCTACGAGTTTCCTCTTCTACAGCACCAACAATGTTCTATAGAAGATGTAGTGTCCAGCTTCGAGTCGAGGACGGGCTCGCACGGAAGTGGGATATATGGCTCGATCCACCACTAATTTACGGGGATAAAGGACGTAGACCATTGCTAGCTGTTTTCGTGGACAGGAATGCGTGCCCGTCCCCGGAGAGAGACAGCGCAAACCTCGATACGGAGCTCCCGTAGAGCCGACGCAGCATACCCGTTTGCCGCTGTAGACGCTTTCCACCATACATTTATCATGCTGTGGTGAATATTTGTCTCGTTTGGCGGCATCACGGTCGCAAGACGCATCCCCCGGGAAACACGTATCGACGCGTCCATCGCAGAGAAATTAGGGGACGCCCTCCCGCCACGTGCGCTCGCGCGAGATCGCATCGCTCGCGCCCTACCCTCGAAATACCATTCCCTACCGAGCTTTCCGGGGCACGAGCGCCACGTGAGTCGCAAGCATGATACCTTATCTGATGTGCGATTCTGGACCATCAATCCACAGATTTGCGGCACACATATCGTGCTGGGCCATGCACGACTGCCGCACGATCTCGCGGCAGCCTCGAATGATCTCCACGTTTTCATGCCCTGCTTGCGCAAATTATTTCGTGATAAAGTTTTCTCGTATCGTTTTGGGCTGCGGCACGCTTTCTTGACGGTGAAAGTGGGAGCTGAAGTCTTGGTTAGCTTGCTGAAGTTATCAACCCTCCGTCAACGCGCTTCGGCACCCCAGTGCTTCTAGAGCGATATTCGCCGCGACAAGGCGTGCGTACGGGAATCGTCGTGACGACTACGGTACTCGGGGCAGAAAACCGCCGAAGTCTGTGCTGCTGGTGGAGAGCACAAAAGTGGCATTTCCGCGTACCTGGCTAGGAGTATAGAGCGTAAAAGTACCGCTGAGCCCGAGTTACCCTCTTCGTCGGGCGATCTAGGTACGCTCGCCACCCGCTTCTGTGTCCTCCGAGTTCGATTGGAATATTTTCGAGAATTCACCTGAGCAGTTGCCCCTTAGAGGTGTCGACCAACGTGTGAGTGTGAACGCGTGCGCACTTGCACGGAAGACGATCATGTTTTCTCCGACTAAAACATGTCGCCAGTGAATAGATTTTTGAGTGTCGACTATCTGATTTCTTTCGAAGAGAAGAGCATGCCTGAATAACTCATCACTTGGCAATACAACGACTTTGGACGTTTCCTGAAGTGCCCTGGCACAAGCGCCCGAGAAAGGTCCGCTGATCTTAGAACGGTACTGCACAAAGGTGTCAGATACGGGGGCGCTGCTCGGTATCACGTATGCTTTTGCGTGGATCCCAGAAAGACGAAACCTGGGTTATGATGCATCGCGGAGTTGGTCATTATTTGTGCCGAGCTACATGTGTAGACCCTCGTAAGTAATCGGGAACGCCCGCCATCATCGGCGGGGCACGTTTCATAGCAAGTGCGTAGGGTATTTGACATATGCAGCTCAGAACGCTGAAAGTGAGTACGAGATTTGCTCGCTTTCTCGATGACCATGCACTTGTCTGACGAACATGTGCTGGTCGAATCTGCTGCACTTTCCTCTGAGTGACATGCCAAGGTTGCGGGCTTTTGCGATCCAGCAGATGTACTTGACACCCGTCGTATGTACCTGACTTGATACAGGACACATGATGCCCACAAGAGGCCCGATTTACGGTTCAGCTTAATCTTAAGACAGACGGAACATGTTGACATCTATACACCAGACACTGTTCTATGTCGGATCATACTGGGGTGTGTTTTTCAGAACGTACCGCGCGCTTCATACGACTTTGCAGCCCGTTTAGGCTTTTGCTCGGCATGCCGTTCTGGGTGGATTGCAGAATTCTGATGGCCCGTTGTTCTCGTCACCCCTCTACAGTGAATGTCTTGGGCGCATCTCGCAGCGTGTTTGGGAAAACTGCCCCCGTACAGTCCTTAACCAATGGAACTTTTCAAGAAAGCGATGCAAGTGCCCGAGCTGCGAGACGCGCATCCTTAAAATTTCTGCACACTATCTAGTTTCTGCATCGTTCGCGTATCTCCGTTGCGAATCGCAGCATCTTGCGCACACAACGCTATGGGAACGATATGATTTTGCTGCGCAACGGACACTAACCCAGTTCCTTGCGGGATGAAAGAAAGCGTGAGAGAAGCCTCAGACACGAGCATGGAATCATTTCCTGCAGTGTCGAGACCTTACGAAATTGTTTCCAGCAAACTTGCGCTGCGTATACGGATGCTGCGATCGCGCGTCCATACTGCAGCAAGGTCGCTCGCGTGTGTACATGGATCGACGCTACTCGCTGACGCAGCTGATGGGATTAAATGAGCGCGGAAACGTTGCCAGCCAATCATAAACTTCGAATGCAATTCGGTAACTCGTATCACATGAACACGATAAATTTTCTATCCATTAGTGCTCACAGTCCCCGAGATCATATCAAACGAATTTGTGTTGCACGACGATGTTCATCTTATCGTCCTCCAGTTTACAGGCGTCCCGTCTCACGATCATAAGACTCAGAGCAGCTCGGACGCGGACGCACAACCTTGAACCTTTGAGGCGACAGTTTCTAACATTGAGTCGAAAGACGGAGGACTCCGGAAAACCACCAAAAGTATACGTTGAGTGCCGTATTCTGATGAACAAACTACCCCGTCCAAATCTGCACGAATGCAGGTCTATGTTAGTCACCATCGGCACTCGAGAGAACGGACAACAGTGAAGCTACCGATAGTACCTTCTATGAAGGTAGTTCCGCACACTGCTTATCGCCACTTGACGTTTTCGACATTGATGATAACTTAGTCGTGAGTCTCTGAAGCCTGTGCGACACCGAACAGCCTATCCTAACGCCAGAGGCTCATCGTCCCGTCAGCGACCAATCCAGCTTCAAGAATGAGTCCTCGTACCCCGGAATCTCGAGCGTAACCAGTTCCATTGTCTTCAGAGTCGAAGTCCAGCCCCCAAATGAGGTAAAGTAGGTGTCGGAGTCCCCTAAAACACGCCCTGATTGTCTCCTTCTTCGAGACCTCCTGAGACCTCTAACGCAGGCAAAGGTAGTGCGGGTGCGCCCCAGGCACACAGCAGCACTGCTCTCTACACAACTTGGAATAAGCTGTTTTACGTGGCACCGCACAACAGCACGTCACTCGTGTTCAACAAAATCAGAGCGGCGTCGCGCAGAGAAAAAGGAAAGAGAATGTACTGATGATGTAGTGTGTGTGGTACTTGTGCGCAAATGTCTCGATTATCCTGCCTGCACAGACGTGTCCCATGAGACGCAGGTACGGTGCGACCCGCCGCAGCGAGAAGCCACACCACGGCGCCGACGGTGGCCGCAGCAGAAAGTGTCGTTGCGCTGCACTCCGACAGCGCTGCTGAGCCCCGTGTGAGGACTCGCGAGGCCGCGGCGGGTGCCCCTGGACCACCCTCTCGAGCCAACGAGTGTCCCATAACGCCAGCAACGGCAACTCCAACGTTGCCAAAACCGTTGTTGCTGCGGGACGCACCCGTGCCTACAAGGAACAACGTTTGCAGTCGCGCGCGATTGGCGCGCCTTGGTAGGAACGTTCAAAGGAGTCGGATGCCGGCAAGTGATTCCCATTTCGATGACAAAACGTTTCCATGAACCATGGATCCCAGTTTGCGGAATGGGTATTCGTAATCGAAAAAAAAGGTTCATCATGCGGCAACTACCTGCATGTTCCATGAACCATATATCCTCTCGGATACACTGGTCGTTTCGTGCGCTCTATCGTGTGCCAGTTGTCTGCCTGGCTGCACTCGCAAAAGCAGTCATACCGCTGGAGCAGATGCAGCACGGAGACAGAACGGCTATGACATACCACTCAGGGCATCGACTCGATGCTTGGTTCATCCGAGACCGATGCGGAGTACATAATCATTCTGGGAGCCCGCGACAGCGCGATGCGACATACTCAGAGTGCCCTGTGACCAGGGCGTCGCTCCACACGCAGCATCATGCTCCTAGTCCGAGTTGCGTTGCGGACGAGCTGCGTAGGTCTCGTCAAAACACCAGCCACTGGAGGAAGCCCGAAGCACTAGCCAGGCAGACTCACACGGCTCGTGGGACCTTCCGCCTAAGCGGTAAACGTACAAAGATACGGGAACTATTCCCCCCTTCAACGCTTACTATCAAGGTCGAGCGAAACGATTGTCGAGTTGCGAGTCAGTGGTTAGTTTCCGTTCTTTCGGCAACGTGTCGTGATTCGTTATCATTCTCGGAGCCTGCAAGCTGTACAGACAGACCAATTGCCTTCAGCAGCGCGAAGCGATATACAAGGAGTCATCTTCGACCAGTGCGACGCACACTTGCAGCATACCCGCTCCTGGTCCCAGAAAAATCTGTTTTTCGGACGAGTAGCTCAGATCTCAACGCAGCATCTGCCAATGCAAAGTCCCACGGAGCGCAAGCCCCGCAGGCTCGTCCGGCTCGCGGGACCTTCTGCCTGAAAGGTAGGCTTTCTAACATACGGAAATACTTTTCCCCTTTCAACGTTTGTTGTAGAGAGGGAACGAAATCGTTATATCGTTGCTGGTGAATTGTGAGTCTCTGTTCTTTGTTTTAAATAGCGCTGTCGATTTGCGCACCTGGGAGATCTGGTAAGCACGTGGCACGACTCAAATGCCGCACTTCAAGGAATACGAAATCGTGGCAGCATCTGTTCTTGTTGCTGTACCGTACAAGTTGTATTTGCGTTGCAGTCACACAAAAGTATAATTTTTCAGTTCATTCATGTTTCATACCTCAAACAAATGTATTCTAGTGTTTTTGTGCAGTACATAGCAGAAGCGTTTAGTGAGCCTTCTTTCCCAAAGAAACTAAAAGAGGGAAGTTATGAAATTGCGACTCGACGATCCTGGAGGCCCAAGGTCGCCAGCTGCTAGAAAAAAACAAAAAACAGTGCCGAGTCCAGAAGAAAAGGAAGAGAAAAAGAAGTAAAAAGGGAAGGCCCGACGCCAATGCTTGCAAGAAAGACAACTGTACGACGAGAAGATGGTGAAAACTTTCCTTCTTAGACATATCATGGATCCCTACAGGGAAAGTTGCGAGAAGCTATCAAAAAACGTATCGAGTCGTACTCCTTGAGGATTATGAAGGTTTTCTCAGAAGTAATGCATTTGGTGAAGGAGATGTGTCGCGACGTGACGCACATGGAAACGGTCGAGATTCCGGACAAGTTTTTCGATACGACCTTTATTCGTCACCGGATGCTTGGTACAGAGGAAGCGCGGAAGAAAACGAGCAGGTTCTTGAACTGCACGAAAAACATCCTTTTTACAGCTTTGAGGGTACTCGATACAAGGGTGACCGGGATATTTACATGTACGCGGCGATGAAGTACATCACAAACCTGAGGAACAATTTGACAATGAACCCGGAACGTTTCATGATCCGCGCAGTGGTTGCACTCTATACGGCGCCTATCTCACAATGGAAAATGGGCAATTATCAAAGGTACCACGAAAGGTCGCAAACGTGAAGACGAGATCGAACTCGTCGACAAGAAGACATCACGTAAGAGAAAGAATGAAGCTTCTGTTATCCGTGCGGCCATACACGAGAACCGTGCAGTCTTGGGGTTGGCAAATCCGACAGACAAGATATCAGAGTTAAAAAAGATAAGGAAAGATACTATCGCCTCGTGCTGCGCTATTTTGTGTTTCTGGACCGAGAACTCGGACGCAAGGCGGAGATGAAGCTGAGTGAGGAGAAAAATGAAGAGTGGGAGAGACGGAAGGCTGTCCTAATGGGTAAGCGTTTCGACGTGGTTCCAATGTGCAAGATCAAGTCACATTTGTGACTATCGACTCTAGAATCCTTCACGCCATCATGAAGGAGATCAGTCCGGAGTTCAGCGTCAACAGGGAGGAATACTCCAGTGAAAACCAGGAGACGTACTGGAAGAATATCTTCAATTTCAAACGCCTCAAAGTGAGCAAACAAAAGGTATTCACTGGGTTGAACGAAACCGATGGAGTAGCCTTGTCTATACACTATCGGCGGTTGAAGAAAGAACGGCCAGTCCCGCCCTCGGCTGCGCCCGTGACGAAGGAAGAAAAAAACAAAAAGAGGATCCTGCGACGCAGGTGGTGGAGGATAACGAGTTTGTGGTTGACGTGGCGAAGGATAGGGATGAGAAGGAGGCGGATTCTGCGACGCAGGAGGTGCAAGATAATGACCTTGTCGTCGACGCTGCGAGGCATGAAGATGAGAAGAAGGCGGATCCTGTGATGCAGGAGGTGGAGGGGAACGACCTTGTCGTTCGCGCGACGAAGCATCAAGAAAACGAGAAGGCGGGTTCTGAGAAGAGGAGGTGCAGGATAACGACTTTGTCGTTGGCGTGGACCCTGGGAATACGAATATCATAACCATCGCTGCTCCCAAGCGTGCGGAAGATGGTACTGACGGCAACTTACGTCAGAAAGACATGCGTGTTTTGAGGTTCTCGAGAGCGAGATACTATCGAGAATCCGGTATAATGAATGCGAGGAAGAAAATCGAGACTTGGAATTCAGGAATGAAAGAGCACCTGGAAGCTATGAGCGAGTTGACGAGCCCCGGAGCGGATTATGAAGCTTTTCGGAAATTCATGGATGTTCGTGTTGCCCATTGGGATGCAGTGTGGGAGGAGTATAAAAAGCCCCGGTGCGCTCGTTTGCGAATGAATCTATACGGTGGGAAGCAGCGGGCGCTCGCGAACTTTTTCATTCAGTTGAGTGCCCTCAAAGAGGATCAAAGTCAGAGGCTAGTAGTATCGTATGGGGCAGGGCGCTGGGCGTCGAAGAAAGGGACTACGCCAGCTCCTACGACGAGGGTGTACAAATATTGTGCATGGCGTTTCGTTATGATACCTGTAGACGAGTTCCGAACGTCATATGCACACCATGAACTGGGATGTACACTTCAGAGAGTGGAGATAGAAAAGTGTCAACGGAGCCCTGAGGAAATCGCAAAGTACGGACCGCTAACAGAAGAGCCAATGGAAGGGAGGGCGAAAGTTCGAGGACTACTCGCACTGGTGAGCACAAAGAACGATGGCAAGAAACGTATGGAATTCGTGAACCGAGACTTTCACGCCGCTATCAATATCAGGAGATATGCGGTGCTGGAGAACAAACCTCCAGAGTGGACAAGAAAAACCTTTGTTGGACAACCCCTCAAAGTCGAACTATATGAGAAAAAGTTTGAAGCAGTCGTGGGTAGCCGGTCGAAAAAGACAGGGAGGCGTCTGCACGTCACCTGGAGACGCAATGTCTAGGGCGATTTTCCCGCCACCGCTGTACACGGCCAGCGTCGTTCGACTTTCGAAAAGCGTTGTTGGTGTGTGCGTGCGAGCTCGCGGGCGCAATGAAAAGAAAAACACAACAAAACGAACACGTCGCAAACTATTTATTCAAGAACAAGTATCTTAAAGCCCCACCAACCACGCCCGCCAGAGAGGTGTAATTTTTCCGGAGAAGCTCTGAAATTGGGTTAACAGGGGGTGTTTGGGCGACGGGGAAGGAAGCCCACGCCAGGGACCTTGACCGCAACGAACAGTGGGGCGGAGGCAGTAGCACCAGAAAATATGGATGAAAATTCTGAGCAGACATCCGCCCCTCCCGAAACAACGCTGCAGGTTCGGGCGCAAATCCTGGACCCATCCTCGAACTCAAGCTCAGGATTACCTCCTACCTTGTTCCCTACCTCAACTTTGGAAACAATCTAGGCGGATACTTTGGAAGACGGCTGGCAGCATGTTCGCGGTCGAAGCCGGAATAAGCGACTTGCCCGCCTATGTGTCTGGGGAGCGGATACGAAGCCGCTGAAAGGGTGGTTTGCAGAGTATTCCCAGTGGTTGAGGGGAGGTTAAAGCGTCGGGCAATAAAAAGGTCGCATTCGAATCGACCTTGACTAATGTACTTCTGATTCTACGCTAGCGCTGCGGCAGACACTCAATGAACGACTGGAATGCAGGAGGCGCTGGTGGCATGTACGCTCACACATACCGCGGAGGGTGCGTCTAAATCGACGGCGTATCTCTTGAGTACTGCAGCGCTACTCCAATTCCCTTACGCGCTACGACTCAATAGGTTGCGCATCATGGAATGTTAGCGGGATCGCCTCGAATCTAGACTAAGAGATATCGAATTACTAGTAGAGTAAAGAGGAACAGATACAACTGGAGGACTCTACAACAGGAAAAGAGACCCAACCAGATACGGAGAAGGAGACACAGGAACCTCATGATCCACCTAGATGCAAAATATCCAGAGAAAGCAGCTCGGCAAAAAGCCCGAAGAAGAAGAAGACCAACAAGAAAAGACAGAAGAATAGAAAAAAGAACTCCCAAACGAGTCCATCACAAGTCATTTCCCGAAAGAGCACCCCAGCGGGAACTCAAGAAAGCCGTCGCCAAACCCAGTCACCTACTCACAGCGCTGAAGATCCGAAAAGCCATGAATACAAATCTTTAGACCAATTGGCATGCGAGTTTATAGATGGGAATCAGAAGATCGCCAGAGAGCTGGGACTGCTTGCACCAGAACGCAATAGTTGCAAACCTCAGTACCTGAAACGACGTACCAATACTCGGATTGATGAATGCCGCCGACTTAACAAGATCGTCAACCGCACCGCCATACGCGCCAACGCGGGAGACAAGGAAGCGAAGGCAGCGCTACCGGCGCCACAGGCGCAACATGAAGAAGCTATCAAAAGAAAGAAGAAACTTTCCAGAGAAAACAAACGAGAGGATCGAAACCACAAAGTCGCCTCCCTGGCGAAATCTATGCTAGAGAGCATCAACGAAGATGAGACCTGGTGCTCCATCCGATCGAGACTGGACCCACCAAAAAAGTGCCTGGGGCTCACACCAATCGTTTATAAGGAAGCGCTGAGGACGGAGCGTGCCTCAGTGAATGAGGCCTGGACGGACCACGGGCCAGAGCTGCATGAAGACGCAACTGGGCACTGCCGAAACCGAATCTATTGGCACCAGTATGCCGCAGAACTACCGCGCCTCGAACCGGTACCGGAATGGGACGACCCAATCCTCTGACCTGAATCTGTCCGGACCCTGCTACGCTCAAGCAACCGCAAAACACCTGGCATCGAAGGTATCGCGACGGAGTGGATGAAACTGGTGACCCCAGAAGACGGGACAACAGGGACACCATCGATACCAAATGAACCTGACACAATCTTAGGCAAACGCCTTCTGGAGCTCATCCAACGCACGTTTGAAGAAGCGTATATCCCGAATGTATGGAGGACTGCCGAGGTCGTACAAATCCTCAAAAAGGACTCCAAACCCCACAGACATGAACAACTACCGGACTATGCGCCTCATCCCGTCAATCATGAAGCTACTTTGCGCCATGCTCACGAACCGGATCCAGAGGCGCCTCCAGGAGCGCAAGTTCTTCGCCCCAGAACAGGCTGGATTCCGGAGCTGCGAGGAGTGCATGAGCCATGCCCTGACCTTCATGGAAGTGGCGCAACGTCGCTTCATTAGCGACCAACAACCAGCTTACGTATGCTTCATCGACTTCCAAGAGGCCTTTGACACGGTCCCGCATGAGGCTCTATTTCTCAAGATGGAACGAGCCGGAGTCTCCAGAAAGTGCTTAGCGTTCTTCCGTGCGCTCTATGCAGACTCGTGGATGCGCATCCGACTGGGCGATGGCTCAAGAATCCCTTCGATAAGGATCTGCCATGGACTGCGACAGAGCGACCGCGCATCCCTGCTCCTTTTCAACATCTTCATCAACGATCTGCTGAACAATTGCAGACAATACGGGCTTGAGGTGCCGTGGATAGGCTGTGGAGATGCCCGATGAGGAGCGCCCACATAGAAACCGCCTCGCAGGCCGTCTATTTGCGGACGATGTCGTGCCGTTGGCACCCGCCCCGGAAACGCTTGCGACTAGCATGGAACAAGTCAGCGCCTGGGCCGATCGCTGGGTTATGAGCATAGGAGCATCGAAGTGCGGCGTCATGGCCATCCATGGAGACTCGCAGAGCATTCGCAATCGCTCGTGGCGGTTGCAGAATCAGGAAATTCCGATCGTGGAAACATATCGCTACCTGGGGGTCTGTCTCACGCCGACGCTCGACGAAAAGGCACACGTTGACGAGATGATCGCCAAGATGCATAGAGGTACAGCGATCGCACGCCCATTCCTATCCGATCCCTCTATCCCCTTAGCAATCCGTACGAGGGCGCTAAGGATGTGTATCATCCAGCCTGCGTCCTGGGGTGCTGGGTGGTGCGGCATGAAGCACACAAATGCCTCGCGTCTGCAGGCAGCCGCCAACAGGGCAATGCGACTCGTTGTTGTTGGGTGCTCAGTACAGAGCAGAGCAACCAACCTGCCTGGCACTCGGACTTGAACTCCAAATACCCTCGACAGAGGCGATAGCAGCAGGCTGCCGGGCACATGTATGGGCCAAAAAGCCCACTGTGCGCACCAGGTTCAGTCGGAGTTTCATGCAAACCCCAACGCACCGCAAGATCACTTGGATGAAATCGACGCATATTTGGCTGAAGCGCCTCTTGGGCGAAAACACGCTCCCCAATCGTTCCCCAGGAATGTACAAGGCTCCCGCCGCCTCAAGCGAACGGTCCAAACACCAATATGGGAACGTAGACACGGTACCAGTCGCGCTAGTAACGCCGGCTTGACTCTATACCGGAACTACAACCTAACATACACACGCAAGTACTGGTAGAAAGCGCTGGAATTCCCGGGACTTGCTCGAGGTACCCAGTGGCTCGCCAAAATCAGCGTTGGTGGCTCCTGGCTACCAGCACCGGCTCTAAGCCGGATAGGAACACTGGAACCACACTGGGAGTCACACTGTCCCTGCTATCGAGACGAAATCCCCGAGACGCTGACATATTTACTGTTACAGTGCCCGCGCTGGAAGCAGGAGCGCAGCGAGCTCCTCGAAGGACAGCAGCAGCTCGGCAACACCGTGATAGTCGAAGGCCGGACATTCACTTTGAGTGCAGCACTGGCAACTGATGGTCCGGTAACGGAGCCTCAGCGCTCATGAGTGGCGAACAAACTCACATGCTACCTTCTAGGCGGAAGGTCCAGCGGATCGGATGCGCACACGGGCCCAGTGCGCTCTCTACGCCTACCCACTGTGGTGGGTGTCAAGCACAAACCCGCATAGCCAACCGACAACAATGCATTCCATGCATGATCACGAAGGAGAGAGGCGGCTCCCAGAATTCATCCTAACAACCAAGTTTCTCCAGCGTGTCGTGCAGCGAAGGCAAGCCTGCATCCGCAGACTGTCCGAGCACAATCTGACGACGAATCCCAAGTCTACGTCGGATGAACCACGCCTCGAGCCGATGCCCTCTGGGGTATAGAAAAGCCGTTCTAGCTCGATGAACTATCAGCTCCAGCGGTTAAGTTCCAAAGTCGTATGATTAGGTTAGGTACTAGGCACACCCGATAGGACGTATGAAACGACCAGAATATCCGAGATCAAGTATAGATAATGTAACTTGGAGGTAGGTGGTTTGATGGATGCCTCGCCGCGCAATGAAAACATAACACAAAAAAGTAAGAAAAGAAAAATGCGCATAATCGGAGAAACCTGGCCTATGGAAACGTTTTGTCCATGAAACAAATCTCGCCCGCAGGCGCAAATTGAGCTCGTGCGCGCCCGAGCTCGCCTAATGTTCCGGGTAGCTCGCCGAAACACGCTTGCAGCAGCTCTGTACCGCAAACTTAAAGCGTGCAGACAGCTCAAGAAGTACCTCTAGCCTTTGTGGAGCAGGTACGCGTTGTCTAGGTAGGCAGTCCGTTTGCGGTCGGCCTCGAACGCCAGACCAATAAATCAGTGTGTGCTCCGAACTGGTGCGCCTGGTCTCCGGAATCAACAAAATCCTTTCAAAGGTAGCGTGTAAAGTGCTGGCGGTCCACTAGGTCAAGGTGTTGCGTCGGGAAGCGCCCTGATATCGGAGGTTTCGCGTAAGTAGGCGGTGCCTGCTGCTGCAGAAGAGGGCAGCGCTCGGGCGTGTGTCAGACAGTGCACAGCTGCAGCTCGGACCTGTGGTGACGCTCGCGAACGATTGCAGCCATTGAAGCCATTGTCGCGACACCCAGAGCCGATCTCAGGGCCAGACTCTCTACCGCAGGCAAGGGAGCGCTACCAACAGGCACTTCGTCGGTGCTGTCGGGACACCGTTTCACGGAACGGCAGCGGCCGTAGCGTCCATTGACGGAAACCTCGAGTTCAAGAAGACGACTGCTCGGACAACCTTCGCGTGTTCGCCGGCTCGTTTGCGTATGAAGCTTTGCCTCGACGAGAGAACCTCTAAGCATCGCCCTTCTAGATCTGTTTCTGGATCAATCGAAAAGTACCCGTGCATGCTTCTAGAAGTTCGCCGCGAGCGGTGTTTTCCTCTTCAGCCTGGATCGCAAACTCGATCTCTCGAGGTCCGCTACAGCGAACGCACTGTTGTTGTTGATGCCAACAAAACGCACAGGAGCGCAACCGGAGCCGCCTCATGAACCTTGCACCAGCGGAGCGCACGAGTCCCCGAGTCCGAGTGCCGCCACCCACAGGGAGCACGTGCAAGCGACTAGCCATGAACAATCTTCCGGGACTGTTGCGAGCTCGAGCACCGCCATTTCGACGCAGCAGTCACCGGTAATAGCCCAGGAACCGGGAGCGACGTATTCGGAAAGGGCAGCGTTTCAGCCCAGCGGAACAGTACTGGTGCCGCTTCAGCAAGTTCAGTGCTTCGTGTGTGGGTCGCATCTGAGCTACCGACCCGGAAGTGCCTGGATACTCTGCCCGGGGTGTCTTATGGTGCTCAATCTGCAACCATTGCTGGACCCGAGAGCCTTCGCAGGCTTCACGGTCTGCCCCGGCTGCCAGTTTATGATCTATTTTCCGCTGGACAGTGGACGCACAACTTGTGCGTACTGCTCGCTCAGTATCGAAGTGACGCCTCCGCAACAAATCAGCTGCGCAGTGTGTCGAGCGTGCCTCTTGTACAACGCCCCTTCCGCCTCGCCCATTATGTGCCTCGTGTGTCAGACTGTGATGCAACCAGATGGGCAACCCATTCAGTCACCCTATGTTTCACAACAAGCTGCTCCGGGGGCGGCACCGGGGCCCACGGGTTTGGTGGCACCGCTGGGAGCCTCAACAGGAGTGCAGCCGCTGCAAGCAGCCGCCGCATCGCAAATGTCGCCTTTCGGAGCGCTTCCGTACCAACCCCAACCAATTGCATCGCACCTGGAAACGCCGACACCTTTTATGTCCCAGAGATTAACCCGGGCGACGCAGCCTGCGACGCATGAGCAGTTCCAAGTGTCGGGTGCTGGCGTCCCCGGCGGTGCATCGGTGCGTACATACCGCAGAAGAGCGGGTTTCCAACCAAGCGCAGGCGCAGCTGTCGGTAGGACGTCAACGCTAGTGCCTTCTTCAGCGCTGCGCTCGACTGAGCATGAACATAGTGGGCGTGGAGGCAGACCCGTATCACCGAGTGCTGTGCGACACGCGGAACTCACGGCTGAAGCGCCCACAGAAACATCATCAGAACAGCCGCGTACCGTACCCGCCAGATCGGCGCTCACGTCGCCCGCAGTCGAGACGAGCGCTACCACAGAGAGCACCGGCTTTCCCCAGCGGCAAGCAGTCTCCACTTTACCCACCAGAGGCACGAGCAACTCTAATGAAAGTGCAAGCTCAGGTACCTCCGCAGCGTCAGCGGTATCGCCCCCGTCGATTGCACCGGCGAGTTAAGAACAGCGTCCGCGAGGCAAGCAGCGCCGCCTAAGCACCGATCCAGCGCGAAAGGCTGTATGCTTCCCGATGTCGGCGGTATTGCATTAAACAGCCATAGGTTGGATCAGATATCCCGACGAAAAGGTACTCAGCACGCATGGGCGAAAAACTCACCCCAGCAATTTCGCCGAAAATGTCGAGCACGGTCTCCCAGACATAGCCGTAGAGGCTCCCGGACAGTCGCGCCTCAGACGCATCCACGAGGGAGTCCGCCTCACTGGTTTCGCGTGAGCCCCCGAATGCATCAACAATATGAACCCAATCGGCAACCTCTGCGACACAGAGAAAACGCCCATCATCCGAGTATTGCAGGCTGCGAACGGCACCGAGACGCGCGGGAAACACACAACGGAGCGGGGCACTCGTTTGACGCACATCCCAGATGCGGAAGGTCCCGTCCTGGTTACCGGTTGCCAACTGGATACCGTTCGGATGCCAAGCTGTTGCGAATGCGTAGTCTCGATGCCCCTTGAGCTTCTGGACGCATGCCCCGGACTCGTGGTGCACCAACCAAACCTCCGTGTGGTCACCCGCAATAGCCAACAAGGAGCCCGGTTCAGGATGACGCCACGAGCCTGTTGGCTGCACAGTAACGTGATTCACCGGCCACGGGAAGGGTACCTCCTTCAACAGTGCGTCAGCAGGGGGAGCGTCTTCACCGCTGCCGCAGCCGCAGCGCTCCAGATCGAAGAGTCGCACGAAGCAGTCGTTGTGCGCGGTGGCCATACGGCGAGCCCTGCCCAAGGATCCCGGTTCCTTCGCCTCTGTTCGATAAAAGAGTTCTATATAGTTGGTGATGGCGTTTTCGGTATTGCGAGCAACGCGCCAGTCGAACTGGACTGCGCCTGTCTGTGCATCCACCGCAATGATTTCCCCAGAAAAGCCACCCGCGACACAGAGCCGTCCATCGGATGCCATGGTACTGACCTGCACCCTTCGTCCGTCGTTCCGATACGGAGGTGTTCGGTAAAACTCCAGGGGCGACTCGGCTTGCTCAGAGCGCCCCAAGTCTGCCGGGGACAGCGCACGGTGTTCTGCGTCTGTCTCGGGGTCTATGGGTGAGTCCTGCGCGTCCCCTGCATCCCGGTCGGTGCGCACACGCCAGTCGCTCTCCGAAGCACGAGTCAACCAGCGACCACTGAGGCGCCTTCCCTGGTACCAGGTCGGCGGTCGCTCTCGAAAGCTGCGCGATAAAGCCGTCGTCGAGAGGCCCAGCATCCTGCTCGTATTCCAGTATACGGTTTGTCCGCTCAGATTCAGCAAACAGCGCACCTGATGCAGAGAAGGGCAGTAGTGCAGGAGGCAGTTATTCTGGACCAAGTACACATCGTCTTCACTGGTGGCACGCAGCAGGTGGCGCAACTGGAAGTGTACCACCGAGGGACGCACTCGACGCGTACACTCGACCATGGAGTAGAAAGGTAGTCGGGGGCTCCCAGGCGCCAAGAATGCCCTTTCTGCCCGGCAAGTAGAGACATCCTCCTTCTTGCTCCAAGAACGAGCCGCGCGCTCATTCGTGCTCCTCGGTGGAACGCACGGCGCACCCGCATGTAGCCACCGCTGAAGCGAATGGACATCGCTTCGACTTCGGTGACAACGCACTTGTCCGTAGCCACCCAGCACATAAGCTTGCAGGGCTCTCGTGTCACGGGTATCGCAACGCGCAGCGACCATTGAGTCAGCAACATTCATATAGTTGGGATACTCACGAATACGCTGATGATGGTGCGCACTCCGTGCACTAGTGTCGCTTCCCCAAGGTATGCCCTGTGTATCCATAATCGCTCTCGAGGCCCGCACATCACTGAGGTAAATATCTAAGAGGTTGCTCCACTGAAGCACGCCCATGCCCGACGTTTCGGTTTCCGGAAGCGCCACTTCTCGGAGGGCGAAGATGTCTCCGCCAGCCGGCGATTCATCTTCCATTGACGCCTCCGAGTCGCGGTCATCCTGTTGATGCCAGTTGAAGAGTTCCTCCAGAGTCCGCACGAGACGCTCAGCAAAGACTTGATCAAGAGGAGGGCGATCCTCAGTGGTCGCAGCAATCTCGGGTGCGTCCGCGGGCTCTCGGAATACGTCCACTTCCCAGGTTGGTCGATGCAACGCTGGACCTTGACCCCTGTTCAGTGCAGCATTCTCCAGCGCTGGCCAGTGTCGTTGCGCTCGCCACGCCATGGCACCTCGTCGGGGTGGTATCGGGCGAGGCGGTAGTGCAGTTGCAGAGACGACCTGCGGCCAAAGCACTTCCCGGGCGGTATTCCGTTGATGAAGCGCCTCCTGCCGGGGGCCGATATCCGCTCCTGGTCCATCAACCCGACGCAGAGGTACTTGAGCTGCATCTTGTCTCGTGACTGGCGATGATGCCTGCCCCAGGTGCCTCGTGCTCGTCGTCGCCACTTCATTTCGAGGCGACCGAGTTGCGACCCGTGCGGCGCTCGTCCAGGCCTGTCCAGCTGCAGGTGAACCAGAGACGTCTGCTGCGGGTGTCTCTGAGTCAGGAGGCACGCCCGATGAACCGGGTTCGTCGACGGCTGCACCTGCAGTAACCAGCTCGTGTGCTTCGTCGGTCCCTCTCGGGTACTGATCCACTACTTCGGCTCGCAGCGAACTCGCTCGTGCCTGGCGCGTCGCAGGCGAAAATGTTTGCGCTTCCGCAGGTAAAGCGTCAGAGATGTTCTCGGTTTCGAGCTCATCATTGAATGTTTCACGTGGTCCCCCGGACATGGTACACTCCGCCTGTAGAGCGAACACCAGCGTAGGACCCAAATGCCATCTAGACCGTTGCAGGCTTGATGCGCACAGCGTTGGGTGTCGCCAGTCAGATCGGAAGCCAGTTGTGAAGCGATACGACGCAGCGTTCATATCACGTTGCTCGCCTATGCTTCTGGAACTGATGCGGGGAGACGAGCGAGGAACGCTCTTTTAAGTCATGTTTCGTGTGTGATCGGTCGTCTTGGACAAGCTGCTGAGCAGAGGACTCAATGGATCGAGAAAAAAAAGGCTACGCTGCGGGCCACAAGCCAGCAGCAAGAAGGCGTTTTTCGGTACTTTTTTTGCTGAGGTGTTCGCTGTTGGAACAGTGCTTGGTTTCATAAGGCTTAAAGGCTCCATCTAAAGCGTTCTGGAAGCCTGGGCAGGGGTGCAAGCGTACCTGTGCGACACGCGACGCCGAACCAACCCAGAAACTCGTCGATAGTGGACGGGGAACCGGGTAGCGCTTGCCCGCAGCAACTGCACGGCATTGAGCGCGGATAAGCACGTGTCGGAAAGTAGCATTCGCAAACACTTCAGCTACAGCGCAATCTTTCGACGCTGGAGCTGAATGCAGCTCGGGCCGGAAGCTAGTGTCACGTGCACGCGGACTGAACTGAGCTAAACTGAACTGAACTGATCTGGTCTTGATGGGCTTCCCTGGCGGGTGCTGGGGCTTGCTTACACAGCATCGATCGCTGCGGATACCGTGGGATACGAGCGCCTTGCGATAGCGCGTGTCGGGGTCCATGTTGGCCCCTGTTGTGCGTATCTCAGGGGATGAACACATGTTGCGGCGCTACACAAAATAGTGCTGATTGGTTACTCGACATATCCGCAACAGTTCGATGCTGCAGCGCAAACACGGTGTCTATCGCGGTCCATTCGGTCGCATCCGGACGCTGTGCAATAGTCGCCGCCTAGGATGAATACGATCTGGACTTGTGCTGGAACCCATGATCAGAAATGCGCCCAAGAACGAAAATCTTTGTCATTAAACGACGCGGAAACCGAAGCGATCACTGGTTTACGTAGTTGCCGTGGTGGCTTCCGAATTCCTGTTGTTCGCCCACGGGGAGACTGCGAACGCGCATCGTTGGTGCCAGTGCTTCGTGATCGCAGCCCTATCATGCCCCATCAAGTATGTGCAGACTCTTTTGGTACGAGACGAGGTAAAATGGCGTATGGACGCGCTCTCCATGGAGCGCGCATCGAGTAGGAAAACGGACATGACTATGTAACCTGCAAGTCTCAGAGCGATAAATTCGCGCACATGTCTATCTGCACACTTGCCACGGATTCGATGGATCCGACTACATCCCGGAAACGGTGTCCCGTGGAGTACCAGCGTAACTCGCAAGGCGTGCAAACACGGGCCGCTGCCCTGTATTCGCATTGTATCCACGATGCTCAGCGAACGAAGATACGGAAGCGGGAACTTGGCTGCGAATGCAGTCGATGCTCTCTGGGGTCTGCACGTCGAACCAGGGAAACGCAAGCTCCCCGGCCTGCTGAGTACTATTGGAGCTGGTTGATGCCAAAGTCTTTCTCGCGCTGCGCAGCTACGTTTTTCGACTCTAGTGCTATTTTGCAGTGCGCGCTCCAGCGAAAAAAGCGAAGGAATCCCCAGACGCGCGGAACCGGATCCAGTCTCTAAACCGCACCAAATAAGAGTGTCCAATCAGTAAACTGGAACGGCCTCGGACACGAGTCCTTCGTCAGCGTATTTGCTACCGATACGTTCAACGCTTAAACTGTGCTATTTGCGTCTGATTTCGAGCACGAAGGCATCGCGTTCAGCGACTCGGTCGCAATATTCGACCTGCATCCGTGCACGTACACAGATAACGCTGATATACTGTGTCGCCACCTGTTACATACGGACATATGCACAATACATGGAATCCATCATTCACAGGCATGCACAGCACTTGTAATGGATCAAATATGAATATGCACAATACATGGAATCCATCATTCACAGGCATGCACAGCACCTAAAATGGATCAAATATGAATATGCACAATACATGGAATCCATCATTCACAGGCATGCACAGCACCTAAAATGGATCAAATATGGACATCCACAATACATGGAATCCATCATTCACAGGCATGCACAGCACTTGTAATAGATCAAATATGAATATGCACAATACATGGAATCCATCATTCACAGGCATGCAGAGCACTTGTAATGGATCAAATATGAATATGCACAATACATGGAATCCATCATTCACAGGCATGCACAGCACCTAAAATGGATCAAATATGGACATCCACAATACATGGAATCCATCATTCACAGGCATGCACAGCACTTGTAATAGATCAAATATGAATATGCACAATACATGGAATCCATCATTCACAGGCATGCAGAGCACTTGTAATGGATCAAATATGAATATGCACAATACATGGAATCCATCATTCACAGGCATGCACAGCACCTAAAATGGATCAAATATGGACATCCACAATACATGCAATCCATCATCTATAGACACGCATCTCGTGCGCCTGCATCGCTTCTTTTCAGCCAGCACTGGACACGCCGACGATCTCGTTGGGGGCACGCACGTGCGCAGACACGCAAATCGCGCTACCGAACACATTGGCGATTGCTCATTGGCGCGTGAAATCCGGTACGTCGCGAGGATTGCGCTTCGCAGATGATTCAAGTGTTTTTCTAGACTTGGAGCTTTCGGGTGCGTTGACTCCAAACCGTGAGGGCTCGCTCTGGTACTTTGATTGGCCTTTGGCGTAGTTGTAGTTGAGGGAGACTTGGACTGGCTAGGCGTTTTGGAGTTTCGAGGGGTGCACTGGCAACTGCGCGCACGCGTGGACTGCAGCAGTCCACGGCGTTTTCAACTTTTCAGAGCAGCCTTGGTGCTACACACTGTGTCCGGTGGGTCGAAGGACGCTAGGGACTCGAACCATAGGAAAACGCTGCTGAAGAGTTTATGAGCGGGAGCTGGCAGAGCTGCTCTGATCAGTCATCACAGCGTGTGGCGGAGTGGGTTCGGGAGGTGTCACGCCAGCAGTCGACGACTCGGTCGAGCTCCTCGGGAGCACCATGCTCGCGGGTAATGCCCCCACCGCCGCATCGTCCGTTACCGCGGTGTCGGCGATCTGTCTCGGGCTCGGAGAAAACGCTGGCGCCCAAAAGAACGATGCCGCCGCTGCGCCCAGGTGCACCAGTGCCACTCGAGCGCGTGGCGATTATCGTGCATGGTGGTGCATGGTCGATACCGAACGACCGCACGGATGCTTCGCTCGTTGGGGTTCGGCGGGCCGCCCTAGCGGGGCATGCGTTCCTCTTACAACCAGATAATCACCACGCTGCGCTAGACGCCGTCGAGGCCGCTGTTAGGACCATGGAAGACGATCCCGTGTTTGACGCCGGCCGTGGATCGGTTCTCAATGAGGATGGACAAATTGAAATGGATGCCGGAATCATGGAGGGACGCTTCCTACGCTACGGTGCTGTGGCCGGCCTCAGCGGCTGCGTGCGTAATCCGATCTCTGTTGCTCGTGCTGTCATGGAACGCACTGAGCATTGCCTGCTCGTGGGCGCCGGCGCGGATCGTTTTGCGCTGCATTGCGCTGCTGAGGGCTTAGTGGAAGCTGTTCAGAATGAGCGTGCCGAGCTGATGACGCCGGAAGCGCTTGCCGAGTGGAAACGTCATCGGCACTTTCGCTCCGCCGTTCGAGGTTGGTTTGGCGGCAGCTTCTCGACGGTGGCGTCGCGGCATCCGTCAACGAATGGGAGTCTGTCCCGATCGAAAGCCCCCACAAGCAGAGAAAAAGCGGACTCTGGCAGTCGTTTTCGATCAACAGGCACAGTGGAGCAGAGCCAAGTCGAGCCGTATGCAAACCTGGGCCACGACACGGTCGGTGCAGTGGCGATCGATAACTTTGGTAATGTTGCGGCCGCGACTTCCACTGGTGGCATTACCTCCAAGATGGTTGGTCGTGTGGGCGACGCGCCACTTATCGGTTGTGGCTGCTACGGCGATAACGCAATCGGAGCAGTATCGGCGACGGGGCACGGCGAATCCATCATGCGCATCATGCTGGCAGCCCGCGTGTGCTCGCTGCTGCAGGCAGGCCTGAGTGCTCAAGAAGCTGCTCGCGAAGCGCTTCGCCATATGGACGCCCGCGTCGGAGGCCGTGGCGGCGTTATTGTCGTTACCAAGAGCGGTGACCTTGGCGTCTCTTTCACCACGGATCGCATGGCCTGGGCCTCGATCAGCGACGGTGTCATGCGCTCAGGCATCGACGAAGATATGAGCGATTGCCTAGAGAGTCGCTTCAGAAATGACTCGTCATTCTCCCGATAGCATACGTTTTTGAATCGCAAGTCTGCGAGGCTCGTTGACAGACCGCCTCGTGAGGACAACGAAGACTCGCTACTGTTGCATGACAAGAAGGGGCTGACGTCGCCGCGGGCGAGCACATCAACGCGGGCCTGAGAAGGCTGCGCGTTTTTGAGCCGCCTGCTGCCACAGCTGCCGAGCAGCAGCTTGCTAATATGATCAGGTGTACACTCATGCGGAATTAAACTGAAAGATTGAATCGCTCACGCTTTTCGTTTCTTGAGGTTCTTCATCGAAACTTCTTAGATACACGTACACGACGCTCGAAACGCAACAATAGAGGCTCATGGACTCATACCTACTTTTCCGCCTCTGGATCGTATTTTCGGAGTGCCTCCTTCGGCGCTCTACCGCTGGTATTCGTGACGTTCCCCTGATCAAGAACATTCGCAACACCCATGAGCAATGGCTTGGAAAATGCAGGATATCCTTATCCAAACGCATACGTACAAGCATCCGTGGTTCTTCTTTCCTCATGAGTTGCACGTTCAAATCACGCATCCATCAAGTTTTCAATTTTCATGTTTCATGGAAACTTTTCTTTGCTGCAATCCGCACTGCTGGATCGAAGAAGAAAAAAAGCTCGACTTGATTTTGTGACGAATTGCGTACAAGCTCATGCCTAATGTTCACAGAAATTATTTACGCCAATCGATAGATTCCCTTCGTGAGACAAGTCATCCTCTTTTGGCTAACATCGACGACGCTGCATTCCACAGCTGCATGAGGCCTCGCCCGAGATACACTCCCAGACGCACCCCGCTTGTCTGATTCAACGCGCGCGGGTAGTGGACTTGGACTTTACGCAACGCAGGATTCGCTTTCGATGGAGAATGCGTCATCGCTTTACACGAAGCGCTCGTAGACGGATCAACCATTCCGGCACTAATCTCGAGCCCGAATCTTCATCCCGGAACTTGCTCATCCTGGACGACATCGCGTTCCACTAATCCTCTGTTGAACGGAATTGCTTGCGCATCCGCGTGCAGCTTTTAGAGTACGAACCGCTAAGACCACCACGAGAAGAGGCCCGAAGTCCGAGGGTACTAGAGTGGTTGCGGCAGCGGAGCCGGCCACCAAATGGAGCCCTTTGTACCCGTCAAATGCTTGCACCAAGCGTTGAAGAAAGCTTGAACGCGGCACAGGGCTTCCCTCGGGGCAGGAGCTTCTGTAGACACATCGAAATACCTGACCATCGTCAAATTTCAGCGCTGCGACGGGCGCCCAGAGGTTCTGTATAAATAAGACAAAATCGGTATACGAAGCGTAGATGGTAGCCTTCGCCTGGGCATCAATTGTGTCGACAATAGCTGGAAACAGTGAGGTCGTGACTTGAACGCTGCAACCAGCATCCTTCGACTGCGAACTACGAAGCTGAAGGCGAAGGACAGACCGTCGTGCTTAGCATGGGAGGTAATGGAGATGAAAATGAACCAATGGCAGAGAAAGCCCGTATAGGCTGGTGCTTCTCGTAGCCGCAACTGACGCATACGTTCGCGTGGACACCCACGTTCTTCGATACAGTTCATTTGACTCGAACAGGGTGTCGGAGCGATAGCGATACCCCATTCCTACCCGCGAGTGGCATTTCCGACGCTTCGCCGATGGTACTGATGTGCCCGAGGGAGCAACGCCTTCTGGGCACGAGCCATCGTAATGCTTGGCCCAGTGAATTCAGCAACAACGGGAAGAGCGCAACTTTTTTCTCTTCTCTTTTCCCAGAAGCATTCAATCGAAAGAGTGCAGGGCGTAAATGGGCGAAAAGTTTCCGGAAGAACTCATGTTGTCCCTGCTAGCGCTAGTGAAAAGGCACGTATTTACGAGCCAGACATTCTAAGATCAGCGAGTCGATGAATGTACTTTCTTATGGTCTCGCTTACGAACCTCGCGCATCCAAAACAGAAACTATTTTACGCTACCTACACAAGTTTATCCTCGTCACCTCATTCCAATTTGTGCATTCTCTTAGAAACGCTATCAAACAAGACGCAGCATGTGCAGTGCCCGTACCGTTCATACGAACGGTGGTAAAGGGAGACGAATGGACATCGAACGAAGCACGTTCCGATGGGAGACTGTTGCGCGTTGCAAAACACATGATGTATTTCGTACTAAAAAACGCGAATGCTCATCACGGGATCCACGGATGCTCGTCTCACTTGATGTGACCAAATTCGCGTACAATTGCTGACCTGTATCGTGTGTGATCTGAAAGAAGGGCAGAATCGCCGTTCGCAAAGAAGAGAACAGCGATCAGTCGAGCAACATCAGCTCAGGGCGCGAGTCCGTTACGTGATCGCCAATATACCGAACAAGACGAAGAGCATCGTTTGACACTTCACGCTCCGTCCAAGCTCTTCGAGTATTCTGTGTCCCATTTTACTGTGTCCTGCTATGAGATAACGTGGATTTCCAGCACTCTGAATCAGGTACGGATGATGCCTCTGCGATTGGCAGCGAGCCGTCCTTCGCGGCAACTTGTTCTGACCGCTTGAATCCAAATGAATGCGTTGTCTCTGCTGTTCAATTCCATATGAACCCTCGTCGACGCATAAATGAGTCGTGCACATCAACGGCACCGAATCTGCTCGAAACTCCGCGCTCTAACTTCACTAGCGCTCCACTGCTGAGGCTTGCTTCAGCTCATCAGCGCGTGGAGGCAAAAAAGCGTGATTTGCTTCGTTGGCGTATACGCGACGGAGAAACTAACGAAATGGAACTCAGGGAACGGCGCGTGCACAGATAGCAAAGGAGAGTTTCATTGCTACCGCCAACCTGGTGCGTCTGAAGCCTGCGAAAAAGCAACAGTGGACAATGGCCGCTCCATTCATGCCACATCGCCAGGTAGAAGAAAAGGCAGACAGAGCAGAGGAGAGCCTTCTCGGACATGTAAGAGGAGGGTCCTAACGAACAGGCGACCAAGGAGGACTTGGGGCAAAAGCTGTCGGAGCGGAAACATCTTTCAGGAACCATCGTCAAGGCCTCCGTCCTACAAATTACCATCAGGAATAATCTCCCACACAACGAAATGCTCAACATCGTTCCCGATCGCGTGGCTTCCGTCTCGACGCAAGGTAAACCCAGTTTCCCGCTCCACGATGCATGTCGCCGAGCAGGTATTCGTACCAGTCTCGGACGCAGAGCTGCCAGCAGCCGGGATTCCTCAGGAGCTTTTCGATCTCGGCTTTGTGCCATAACACAATGGATGCTCGGGACGGAAGACGCAGTGCGGTCCGAGTACAGGATCAGGGATATACGCACACGCACACACACACATTACCCAGACTTGGTTGACGCTTCACTGCACAATGTTGACGATCGGAACATCTGCACTGCAGGCGACCATAACACTATCAAACCGACCACTGCAATCAAGTCCATACGCCTGCCAAATGACGAGCGCTCCATGCAGCGCACCCTGTAGGCGTTCCATTCTCACGCTGGCGGCCCCGGTGAGTTGGTACTGACACCAAAAAAGAATCTTCGCCTCTGCGCATACACGAGCGTCCATATCGCCCAGGCGGACAATCCGTGGCACGAATCCATGCGACAGTGCTGGTGCTGCCAAAAGATTCCATTCGACGGAAGCAGGTCTCTTGCATTCACCAACTTGTCCAATGCACTGAAAAGATAAGTGACCGAAAAGCCGTTTTGTTTTCCGGTGGTAACCCGCGTCGCTGGACGTTCTGTGGCGAGCCATGGAGACGCCCATGTCCCTTCGACGAACGCACGCCGCAAGTGCATTGCTCCATGCCGAACGAATCCCATCGATGCATCCAGGGCGCCATCCAGGTATGTTGAGCACGGGCGCACATGCACGTAGCTACAGAAGAAGGGCTTGAAACACATCCAGATGAACGAGGTGGCGTGCGTCTCGCTGACTTGACGGAGATACGGATGCCTCGATGGGCATCCGAAAAGGACCCCTGCGATTCGGGAGCGTCCATCGTTTCTTTTTTTCTGCCGGAGGATCTTTCCAGTTGATCTATTGACGACGCAGTGCGCCGTTATTCGGCAGAGCGGAATGCTTCTGATCCAAAGAAATCAATGCCAAAGATACAACGCATTTGATTCCGGTCTGGAGCAATGCACTGATATTGTATGAGCTGCAACCCAGTAGCGTTTAAGCGCCGTTCGTACACATACATACCATGAACGATTCGCCAGCGCAACTGGCGAACGATCATGGAGCACCTGTATTCCATACAACTGAGATTAGCTGCATGCTCGCAGCGCAATCGAAACGATCGACGAGCAGTTCATGGAACTCAGTCCGCCGAACCCGGCGGCATGGATGGAACAAGTACCACGAGGGCGCTATCCCGACGTAAGAGCACCGTTGCCGTCTTTTCTGCGGAACGCGCTGCAAGGAAAGCAGGTGCGCCTGGTAAACAACGCCAGCGCGGCCGCTCCGTGCCCGGGCGACCATACTGCTGGGCAGGCGACGCGCGCCCCCCGACCGGAAATTGGATGATCGCGCCTCCTGCCTGACCTCGGCAGGCAGTCGACTCCTGCACTTGGTACTGGCAACTGGACAACCCGTTTTTGTTCTTCGGCCGGTAAAGCGCTTCTGTCGTCCGTGGGAACGCAAAGCAGTCGTGCTTGCGGTTGCGTACTGAAGCGGCAACGCCGAAGCAGTGCGTGCAGAACACGCACCGTCAGCCTGGCACTGCCTCTTACCGGGGACTCGCGAACGCGGCAACCAATAGCGTTCGTATTTCCTAGAAAGGGTGAAAACCTTGTCCATGCAAACGCCAAAAGGACACGTACTCGCAAAACTATGGTTCGGGTTGCGTTGTTGGCGACTGTCGCGAACGTCAAACAGCGTGCTGCCAGAAACACGACAACGGCAGTGGCGGTGGCGGTGGCGGTACGGACTTCACTCCAGAGGCGCCCACGACGCTTCCCCGCGGACCTCCGTCGATCGCGAACAGGTTAAACGCTTTGCAGAACAAGCGCGGGACTGGTGGAACCCAACTGGACCTGCTGGCATGCTCCAGCGAATGAACCCAGCCCGTATCGAGTTCATCAAAGAGGCAGTAGCTGGGGCGCTCGATATCACGCATGCGCCCATTGGCGATGACACGCATCCAGGGACAGCAACGCGATCCAGCTTCAGGTCCAGTGCCCGTAGCGCTGGAAGCGGGTGCGACACGCACCACTGGGCCCGCCTACGTGTCCTCGATGTTGGATGCGGGGCGGGCCTGCTGAGCGAGGCACTCGCCGCGCTCGGTGCACACGTCACTGCGATCGACGCTGCCGCAGAGGCGATCGCCATCGCCCAGCAACGCCAGGCGGCGATGGCGGCGCTTTCATCGATGACGTCGTCGACGAGCGGCATGGCGACGATGCGTGCGTCCCGCGCACGCTGCCTGGCGGAGCGTCTCGCGTACCGGTGCGCATCGATTGAGGAGTTGCTGGCGGAGCGGGGCAACGCCGCATCCTTCGATGTTGTTACCGCGTTGGAGGTGCTCGAGCACGTCCAGAATCCGCTGGTATTTCTGGGAAATCTTGTACAGATGCTGAAACCTGGTGGGGTGCTTGTGATCAGCACGCTGGATCGATCCATCGCGTCTTTCGTAGTGGCGATTCTCATGGCTGAACGGGTGCTAGGCCTCGTACCGCGCGGTACGCATGATTGGAGCCGGTTTATTCAACCGGAAGAGCTGACGGAGGCGCTCTTGACGCTTGGGCGGTCAGCTGGTACGGGTTCAGAGGTGGCGTGTCGGGGGTCACGGCACTCGATGGAGATTTGTCGGGTCGCTGGCCTCGTGTGGAATCCCTTGTCCGGGGGTTTTGCACGAACCCGCTGGACAGATGTAAACTATATCTTGGCAGCGCGGAAGAGGCGATGAAAAGAATCCTGGTCGTCGGAGAGGTAGACGCGCGGCGTTTCAGGCGACTGAGGAGGAAGGATGGATTGGAAGCGCATGCGTGCATGCATAACGATTGCAGGCTGGTGGACTGAACTAGGATTGCTCGCGAGACGGCATTCACGTTGACAGGGATTCACTGGAGCAGGTAACCGGCTGCGACGTCAAGATGCTTCTGGGTGTTTCGCGGTTCGCGCCTGCAAACCGCGCGGCAGCGGGTCCCCTGCGATGGCTGTCGTCCCAGGAGTGCTGACGACGACGACGACGACAGTCCTGGTGTCAGATGGCGCTGAAGCGATGGTGCACGCAAATGCTTGTGAAGGACCTGAGCTATTTACGTCAGCAAGCAGCTGGTTACTAATTGTTATGCACCAGAGGTGCTTCGCGTCTCCCTCGGACACACGGAAGAGTGCGAGTGAACCTGGCCGATGGCGAACGTCCCGTGAAACGCTACGAAAATGCGTCCCGCAATTGCATTGATGATAACGCGACGGCTAGTCCATCTACTTGGCTATGTTCATTGGTCTAGGTGCTCGTCTGCTCGCCTGCCTGCCTCGTGTCGCGGACCCAGGGCCTTGCCGAGTACCGTGACGCTTGCAGCAATGATGATCTGACAAGGATCGGTGTAAAGCTTCGGCTACCGAATTCTAGCGTTTCAGCACAAGGGATTCGCTTGACGCCACAAGTGTCAGCTTCGAAAGACACGTTGCACGAGCACACGTACCACATGGTGCTGGTCGGGAGCCGGCGCTGCCAGCACACTGCGGAAATCGTATCGGATCGAGCACATGAATGTGCCGCTTGCCGGGACGCAGGAAACGATTCTGAATGCACGAGCACGAGTGCACGACTCGGACGCGACAAACGAGTCGCCCGGACGTCCTGACACAGAAGATAGAATCTGCTCCCTATTTCCCTTCGCGTCTGCACAACGTCGTGAGGTTCCAGGCGGAACGCACACCCCGTTGAAGCAGCACACAGCAGCGGTGACGTCTCTGTTGCGCACCTCGATGGTCACGTTCGATACCAATGACCTGGGCGTTGCATTTGGCCTCGAAAGCTCGACAGCAGCGACCTGGTGTGAAACACCCAGGCTGTCCGGCAAGCAATCCTATGTTGAGTTCATTGCATGCCACGCTGCTGAACGATGGCCTGGATGAGTAGCCGCGGCACGGAGGAAGCGCGGTTGCAGCGGCATGACGGCTTCTGGTCATGGAGCTGGCGCCAGGGGCATTCCTCGGCACTCGTCAGGATCATAGCATGTTTGCCGTTGCCACGCTTTTTGGCGCAGCATACGCCCCTAGTCCCAGCACCATCATCATCGTCATCATCAGCCGTGATTGATACCCGCTCACAGCGTCTGCATCGATTCCGTATCAGCTTGCGACACTGCCTCTATCAGCTGCCGAACAAGTCGTCGCGCTTCCGTTGGACTTGAACGAATGCCGCGCTGGATCGCGTGTCGAACGAGAATCGTTGTCCGAGTCGTGCGGCCCTTAACCCATACGATTCCATTCATGCCGATAGCCAGTTCGAACACGAGCTGTTTCCCTAGCTGCTGCAGAACCGGCGCGTCTTGCCGAATCATCTGCCGTGCTGCCGCCAGTGATATTCTAAACAGCGTTCCTCCTGCTAGTCTACCGAAGATCGCTTCACCACTGGTCCAGCTTTTTGCACTACCAGGCGCCTGGCAGCTGAGCTCGGTCTCGGCGAATCGTTGCGGGGTAGGCACCTGCGTGACACGCGCATAGACAACGTGCCCTGGAGCCAGGTGTGGACGGTTGCGTTTGGTTGCGCCCTCAAAAGCGAGGAGTGGTAGAAGCGCGGGCGTTGCTGCGCCAATCGCAACCCGATAGTGGTCGCCCCCGACCCGATCGACCACAACCCCAACAACAACATCGTTCACGTACGGAATGTACCGCCGCTGGTTTGACTCGACGTGCATTCGCGGAGCGTAGCGCAGTCTGCCTGTACGAGTCGCGATCAACTGACTTGGACGGTTCCAGTCGGGGAGCGCAGTGATGCCGGGCCCCACCCGCAACGGCACCAGGTTTGCGGGCAGCTGTGCTCGAGCGTCTGCAAGTACAGTGTCTCCCGGGAGTACCAAGGAAGACTCAGGTCTGAGAACCCGAGAAAAAGACTCGGAGTCGGTTCTCTCACTCATGATCAGATCGTGGGGATGCGTTGCGCTCCCATGGAATGCCTAGTTCGGCACAAAGTATCCGTCCAAGGCGTAGCTGACGTTGAACGCCCCCGCTGTGACGGCGGCGTTTCGCCCGTGCGCTCTCCGGATGCCGCTCGATAGCGCTGGTGCTGGTGCTGCTGGTGCGCTTTCCCATAACCAGGATCGATGGATAATTTGATATAATGTGGATTGTGGTTACCTGTGTACGTACGCTACCGTATGTCTGGTTCGTTCATTGTATGCATAGGCACGCGCACACACACACACACACCTTGATCCATGAGTGACTCTGTATCGTTTTATCCTCGAGTCTGCCTGTAAGATTACCGAGCGTTCAGTGCATATTCCAGAAACCTCGTTTACAGAGGACACGTACGCGCACTAGATGCACATCGAAGCATCCTGGTCGTGGATCGATTACGTCCCAGACTCCTGAAAACAGCACCGAGAGGGATTCCCGCTCATTCGTATGCGCAAACCTAGCGCATGTGTCCTGCTTCCGAGCACGTGTCGCCAATCGCTTCCAGGAATGAGGTTGCGCGCTACATGGCACTCAGGGTACGAGATGCTTGCGCAGCAGCGGAGCAATGGGGACACCCCGTCGACTCTGGACCGCGGGACGCACTAGCTGCTCGTGCGTACGAACGGTAACCCATTCGGGACCAAGTGGCGTACCGCCGACCGTTACAGCCTCAAAGTGAGCGGCACCCTGGAAACCTGACGGGACTCGCCGAACCTGAAGCATATCTGCAGCGCGCGCAAGACGACGTTCCGACAGGATGACGTGCCCCAGCTGGCGGTCACGACGGCGTGCCTGCGCCATCGCTCGAACGCGCGCTGCAGCTTGCTCGCGACGTTCTTTCAGGCGTCGTTCGTAGGCGCTTTCCAGACCTGCCCCGGACCAAAAGCCCCAGCCAGGAAGCACCGTTGGAATCGCACTGGTATCCGCGAGCTCATCAAGCTCAGCCTCTAGCTGCGCTGCTTTCTGTCGGGCGAATTCTGCTTCATCCTCTGCGGTGGCTGCCCCCGCATCACCAAAGGCCACCTGCACCCAACGTACCTGTTCATCGGAGGCTTCGTTATCATGTCGATGGCCGGCCGGTTGATCCTTGAGTGCGGATCCCGCACTCGCCGCCGCCGCGTTAGTTGCGCACTTGTGTTGCGCAGCTTCCGATGGTGCATCTGAAGACACCGACGCGTTTGAAGCGCTCACTCTGGTACGTGGAGTAGAGGCGCGTGCTGCTGAAACGCAACTCGCGTCTGCGGCGCCTGGAGTCGACACGTACGTCAGCGCGTCTCCATTCGGAGCCGGAGACGGCGCCCGCAATCTTTTCAGCGCAACGGCATCAGTTGCGTGCGTCTCAAAGCCGGCATTGGACGACTTGCACAGTGGATCGCCTGGATGACCTGCGGAAGCAGACTGTTGCAACCACGGATTGCGATACGGGTCAGGTGTCGATGATTTGTGCGCTTCCGCTCCCGAGGTATCGCCAGTAGGCCCATTTCTGCGGACGCTAGCAACGGATTCAAGATGCCGAGCGGAGCACGTTCCATCGCCCAGCGCACTGAACTCGGCTGTCTCTTCCGCACGGTGGCGTTTGCGCGAAGCGCTAGGCGCAGCTGGCAGCGCGTGTGCCGGCACACCGTCACAAGTCTCGACTGGTTGCTCCGAAGCGGATTCCGTGACTGGGGTTTCATCATTCGGCGTCGTTTCTCTGTTCGGCGCTGAAGCTGTTTCGAATCGTTTCGATGCCGCTAGCTCGGTTTCGTCGCCCAGCGCGGCCTCAAACTTTTGAAAAGTCGCATCTGTTGGCCGCAGCGGGATCGAATCGTCGCCGATGGGCCCAGCTGCACCACTGGTCCCGGTATGTCGCGTCTCGGGGTTCTTGCGTTCTCCGTGGCTGCAGCGTGCGCCACAAGCGGCACGGTCATTGGCGTCCTCGTCGTCTGAGAGCCTATTGCGGATATTATCCAAACTGTCGTCTTCGTCTTCGCTGGACTCGCTCGCGTCCGTAACACTTGTATCTGTTGCGGAATCAGCAACGCGAACGCCGTAACGACGCCGAGCATGCACCCAGTTCTCTGCCTGACAGTCGCGCTTATTAGGCACATCATGCAGCACTTGTTCCGCAGCTCGTTTCATAAAAGCCAAACCAGCAAGTCCCGAAAGAGCGCTTTTCGTTGCCCCCTGGCCAGACCCAGCTGCAGACGATCGTGCGGCAACGTTTTCAGTTTCTAGATCGCTCGGCGCATGTTGCGGATTGGATGGAGGCAGCGAGCCGCCGGCATCTTCCATGCGTTCTTCAGAGGATCCCGTGGACAGCAGCGCCGCTGGTCGACGTAGCGCCAGGTCCGCAGCGCGATCCTGCTCTCGAATGGCATCGCGAGTCGCTGTATCGAGTTTCTCGAAGCCACGCTGCAGCTGGTGACGCACCCATTGGCTCTTGCGTCGATGGCGTTGCGTTGCACGCTCGAGGGCGCGTTGACGCTCCTGTTCCCGTTGGAGAGCCTCTAGCTCTGAGCGAGCGGCTGCAACCTCATCATTGTTTGTAGCTGCCGCTGGGCGCTGCCCCGGAGCCTTCGATCCTGCACCAGCGATGGCCTGCAAATCTCGAATGCGGAGCTCCCGGACGCGCTCTCGTCGGTGCTTGCGTAAGCGCCGCGTTCGTCGACTCGTGATCCGCTTGAGGAGTTTCGCGCGCTGCTCCTGGTAGAAAAGCAGCGTGCGATTCCTGGCGAGTTCCCGCTTACGGCGTTCAATTTCAGAGCGAGTGAGATGTTGGAGAGCGCGGCTTTCCGCCTGAAGCATCTGGTTTTCATCCAGTGCCTCTTGCGCAACGAGAATATCGCGGACGGTGGTCTCGAGCCCCGCTCGCGGAGTCTGCCGCATCGCCCTATCCAGCTGTTGAAGGTCGTTGACTGCCTCCCCGAAACTTGCTTCCCCAAGTTCTGATGCGTCTTTCAGCGGGAAAGATAGATGCTGCTTAGACTCGAGGTGCTGTACAACTGGCCGCCAACCTTCAAGCTCCTTCTTCCGTGCCTGGTATGCTGCTTTTTGCTGTGCTGCCGCAGCAGCGAGTCGATGTGGCGGTGGTCGCAACCGCTGATCCGGTCTTGCTTGCGATAGCCGCTCAATGTGGCGCTTCATTTCTTCATGGTGCACGTCTCTGGGCGACAATGCGCCTAAAAAGTCGGTCAGCCGGACCTGTGGCTGTTCATGGCTACCGCTCCAGCCCAACGACGGCTGCTCTGGGTGCTCAGGCGGCGCGTCAAGCCGTTCTCGCACGTGTCGAGCGCGGCTTGGTACTCGGCCCAGAACCGATCGGAGCAGCGCATCGTGCGCCTCGCCGCTGTCGACGCCGGGTTCAGCGTCCGCGCTCAAGTACCACGCATCTGCGTCGGACGCCTCGCTCGGGCCGTTTGCTGGTGAGAATTGTTCCTCAGAGTCAGTGTCCGACCAGACTTCCAGACCAAGCCTTCGCTCCAAGATCTTCATGGTACTAAATTGGTGCTCTCCGTCCTCCGATGACGACATGTCTTCCTCTGCTGTCGTCAACAGCGGGCACGCCTTGAACATACGTGTCCGTAACGGAGCGGCGCATGCGTGTCGGTGTCGCCGCGTGCACGCATGCGTGCAGCAGCCCAGTACCAGGAATGGAATATTTTGTCGCAGATCTGCTGTTGCGCTGCATGCAGCTGCGTGCAGCAGCCCAGTACCAGGAATGGAATACGTTGTCGCAGATCTGCTGTTGCGCTGCATGCAGCTGCGTGCAGCAGCCCAGTACCAGGAATGGAATACTTTGTCGCAGATCTGCTGTTGCACTGCATGCAGATGCGTGCAGGCGAGCACCGCAGACCGTTCGCGTTGCAAGCTCTGGTAAACGATACAAGAGGCTTGTGCACATGGCATGGACTCTGGGCAGAGGAGACTCTCTCTCAAATAGTGCTTTTCGGTAGATGTTGCGAGACGCTTCTAAAGATGGGATGGAGTATGGAAATAAGAGACTTGGCGATTTCGTCAGATACTGTGGAGCGGAACAACGACGCAGTGCGCTTCGACGGATGGGAAGACTTGTGGAAACGCGATTCAGCCATCGCGACACCAAAGCGGAAGCGCGGAAGCAGCGCGTGCATCGTTGCTGCATATGAACAGCTGTCATGACGGAGATCGAAGGCGTGCTCACTACTTGCAGCAAGACACGGAAGCGAGTATGCGTTGAGCGCGCTCGACGAATGACCCGGTGATTGCGCCAGCTCCTTATGATCGGATCGGGAACACGGGACGCAGCCCCGTTCAGCGGCACTGCCTGAAACCGACAGAAGGCACCGAATGAGTACAGCAGCCGAATCGAGGAGTTGTGGACAACCTAGAGTAGATCGAGAGGGCCATAGAACGTTCATGGAACTCTTCCAGAAAAAAACACAGCGGCTGCTACCGAATAGGATCCGGCGAACACCTCCGCCCAACAAACTAACAAACAAACAAAGAAACAGCTGGAGCGTCAAGCTCCCTGTCTGGTGCCGATTTCTCCACAGCGCGTGTGGTGCACCGATAGACTCCGGGCTGACGCTGGTTCATTCCTGGAAAAGCACCACGGGCTCTATCAGGCGAATGCAACCGCTCCGTGGCCATAGATCGGCGCCAAAATGCTGATAAACAGCGTCAGTGCCCGTTCAGATACCTAGAAGACATCCGGCATGTCTGGACGGCAGCGCAGTGCCGCTGAAACCTTTCCCAGAGACCAGCAGCAAACGCGTCCCATACGACGTCCCGATAAAGCAGACCACGACCAGCGTACCGCGACCACCTGCGCTGGCATCAGGCCCGAGCGATACGCACTGCGCTCAGACGTGCGGTTGGTGCAAGCCCTGTCGCTTCACTTGCCATAGGTACCGCAGCATTTTCATGGTCGAAGATGAACGCCTCTGTCCAAACTCTATGGCGTGCGCGTTGCGAGTCGACTGTCGGCGTCGGGGGCTCGGCTACTCCGAAGACGCTCAATGTGTGTTCGCGTAGAGTGTCGGGTGCCTCGAGGTGCAGCGTTCGAGGCACCACGCTACGTCTTGCTCCGGTGCCGCGTGCCTACTTTACACGTATCCACAACAACACACAGACACACACACAACCACAACTCTAGAGGCATATCCATTGGGTTACAGTGAAACCCCGCCCATGACCAACGCGCACTGATCCATACAGAGCGCCAAGCTCTCGACACCATAGACACCCTCGATGTATCACCGATATCACTGGGGTGGCTGCTGGGGGCCCCAGGCGAAGGGCCTCACCTCAGCCAGGTCCGGGTAACGGTGAATCCAGTCCAGATACGCCTCTGGTGACTCGTCGCCCTCTGATGCTGCCTCTATCTCGATGCCTACCGCCAGAGCGTGTTGCCGTCGTTCACCAGCAAGTCGAGCAATATTTTCCGACCAGTACGCATCCAACTGGGCTGCTACTTCACAAAACGCCTGCTGCTTCATCTCAGCCGCTAAAGGCGTCGTGATTCGCATCATCGGCTGCGGGGGCGGCCACAAGAGGCCGTGTTGCTGGACTCGGCGCCAATAGAACGCATGTCGAATCCAGTCCGCAGCACTGAGCGCTTCGGTAGCGCTACAGCTCCGTCGCAAAAAGGCGGGAATAGCACGAAGCTGCGCAAGCGCCTCCGTCGGATCGGCAAGCACGCTCAGTTCAGAGAAACGATCTGCGCTGTTCAGATCGCCCAGAAGACGCTCATAAACCATCGCCATGAGCGTTGTGCCTAGTCTGCTGTCCGTGTGGTGTGCATAGAGCCACTCGAGACCACGTTCGAGCGCTGTGCTCGAGTCGTGCCCCAAAGACGCCGAATCTGTCGCAATCTGTCGTTCGTCCGCAGAGGCCAGGGCTGCCTCCGGACAGCGCACCTCATTCAGAAGCGCCAACGCCACCACGACAACCGCGGTATCGATATCAAGTCGACCAAGACGCGAGAGTAACGACCAGCGCTCCACGTCGTGGTAGCAAATGCATCCGGTGAAGGCGAGGCTCACCAGAAGCAAGCCCGCCAGAGGTCCACGCGCCTTCGGTCCCGCTCCCTGCAACGTATTGATGAGCGTCTCAAGGGCTTGTCGGACACCGGACTCCAAGCCGTCCTGAGCCCCATCATCACTTCGAACGCATTCGAGTAAAGCGAGCAGCTGCAACATCGCGAAGAGGATAGGCTGAGCGCGGGCACCGCCAGAACGGTCCAGTATGCGCTGCAACACCTCGCGAATGCGACGCAAACTCGGTACTGAAGCCTCGGTTACAACCAAAGTCGCGCTGGAACGCGACCGTGACGCTGCTTCCTCGCCTGCCGAGCACGAGGACGAGCAGAGAGCTGTCAACGCGGCTGGCCCGAGACGTCGCAAGACCTTCATCACGATCTGAACAAAGCGACTCTCGAGTGCTGCGGTGCCTGCTCCGGACGGCAGCGCTCGGTTGGCGCGCTCGAGTGCCTCCATCGCCATGTGCCAGTTGTGCTGTGCTGCTCGCTGGCATCCGAGCGTCCACTGCAGCTCAGCAAAGCTATCCTGAATGCGCGCTAGACTCGAATACAAAAGCGCATCTAGCATGCACAACGAGGCTTGCATGTTGCGGGTCCCGGTTCCGTCGGGTTGTCCCTGCACAGTCGCTGTCGAAGGTTGTGCGTTGTCGCTTGTCGACACGATGGGCGCTGTCGGAAGCGCCACAGCAGCATGCGCAGTTGCAGCAGGAGCAACAGCGGCTGTTTCCGCTCCTGCTCGCGCTGCAGAGTCGACAGTACCCCGGGTACCGTCTAGGCAAGCCCGCTGCCCCGCGATTCCACTCCATATTTCCGTCTCCACTGCGGAGGCGGCTGCTCCTGGCACCTCAGGTGCCTCTGTGTAGCGCGCGTGCGCAGCTCGTTCGCTTTCATGTGACGCACCGCCGGCGTTTCGCTCAAGCAACAAGCGTTCGAGCTCGCCAACGAGGCTCAAGGCCTCGGTGTGCCGTCCCTCTGCAGCCAAGAGCGACGCATACGCTGTACCGACAAGTGTCATCAACTGGAGCGCGTCGCTACTGGATGAACGCATCAGATGGTCTCGGAAACTCCAGCTCCGCGAAAGCGCCTCGGCAGCTGCAACAATCTTACCCTGCTGCTGGTAGGCCTCCCCGAGTGCGTACCAGGCGAGCAGTCGCCGACGATCTCGAAAGGCACTGACATCCTCAGTCTGCAGGTATTTTTGGAGTGAGACGGAGCAAGCCGACCAGTCCTGCCGCTCGAACTGCAACCAGCCTAACGTGAACCAGGCCCATGGTAGCGTCCTCGAATGAGCAGCGATCGTCGTCAGGCACACTTGTTCCATGCGTTGGACGGCGTTCCAGACGGCGCTGGAGTCCATTCGTTGCACCTGCTCGTGCAGGAGCCACGAGTAAGCCTGTACAAGTCGTAGCGCGGCAGTTTCATCGCTCGGTTCGAGTGCATGCGCTCTTTCGAGACAATGCAGGGCGAGCTGCCAGTACCGGCGAGCTTTCTGAGAACGCTCTCGTGCATCGCCGCGATTCACCTGCTCTGTGACACTGGCATGCTCCTGCGACAGGGGCTCGTTTCCAGGCAACGGATGCTCTGCGGATGCAGCGCTCCCCTGCGCCTCACCTGGGCCTGTGCGCCGGTCTTGAGGCTCTGCACTGCGCGTCGCATTGTCCAGTGTCGATGATGACGGCGACAACGTACCCGGTCGCTTCGTCGCACTGGGTTCGCTCCGCTGCCTCAGTCGAGCGGCGTCCGCTTCGTTCGGAGTACCCGAAGCATTCATGGACGCTGTCGTCGACGTCTGATGAGCCGCGCTCGAGTCTGTAACCGGCACCTGCACATCATGTGGGAGCAGTGATACCGAAACGCTCGGTCGCGCGAAGGGCACCGCTCCAGACAATGCACCACAGCCCGAGGCTCCTGCGCGTACTGCAGCCAGACTTGCAGCAGCGGTCGGATTAGCGCTACCCGACGCTTTCCAGATAGCGTGATCCATCTCTGGTGCCGGGGTGTCCAGCACCAGGGCACGTTCGCCGGCACCCGACGGCCAACCCAGCGCTAGGGCGCTTTCCCAGAGTACGCGCGCCAGCTCCAGGTACGGTGCACCGAAACACGGGTCGATTGCTATCGCCGCCAGCAAGTCTGGTATCGCATCAGCAGCTCTGGAGCTGGCGTCGCACTCCACTGGGGCGGATTGCTTACGCTGGTGCCGCAGACGGCGATGTCGTGCCCGACTTTGCAAGGCGAGTGCTCGTAGGCGAGAGGTCGAGGCGACGTCACGACCCCATCCAAGAAGCACAAGTCCCAGGGGCATCGGTGTCGGCTCGTGGTCATCTGCTTCCACCCGCAGATTTTGCAGCACTGACCAGTGTCGCTCCCAGTCGACGCAGCGGTCACCAGCGTAGGAGCGCCCCAGTGACGCCTCTGAGCGTGCCTGCTCATCGTGCCACTCTATGCGATGAACTTGTGCCCACAAGTCATTCGGATCAGCCGCCAACACCTGTTCACAGAGCGACAGTGCTCGTTGGCGCGAGCGCACATCGTTGTGTTGCCAAAGCTCCACTGCAAGTAGGCGCCAGGCAGCACAGCGCAGACGCGTCGACCAGAGCACCGCATCGCCCGTGAACGCTTCGGTGTGAAGAACCTCCAGAGCCATCTGGAAAGCATCTTGTGCCTCCTGCGGATGACCCAGCGCATGCTTCGCAATACCCACGGCCAAATGGAGCGATGCAAGGAGTACGGAAAGATGTCGCTGCTCTGACTGAAGCTCGCGGAGATGCTGCACCGCGCGTCCAGCAGCTCGAGCAACGACATGCCATTCTCTGCGGTGCATGCCGACACCCAACTGCAGTAGCGCCTGCGTCAGAGGTGTCTTACCTCTAAAGTTGTCGATGGCGAGGTCCTCGGTGCTGCTTCGAGCGGCAGTGCTTCTGCTGTCGTCATTCCGACATCGAATAGCAATCACGAAAAGAAGCACCCGAGCCAGCTCGTTGGTGTGCGCACTATACGGCACTCGGTGAACCGTTCGCTGGCACCATTCTCGCCATGAGTTTACCAACGACTGCGGCGCTGTGTCGTTGAACAGCAACGCTTCGAGTACGCTGGTGCATACGACGTCACCGCTTGCGGCACCGTTTATCCAGGAGTCCAGCAGCGCATGCGGGTCGCCTGCGTACGTCCACATGCTCATTGCTGCTCGGAGGTACGCGTCAAAGCGAACAGGGTGCTCGCGCCATGCCCTTGTTGCTGCACGTTGAAACCATCTCCACAACGCCACGAGTCCGCCGGTGGTGCTGCTTTTCAAGTAGCCAGCCATGTGTAGCCACTCGAGCGCGTCGGGCTCACGGTGTTCCACTTCGAAACGTGCCTGGAGACGTTCGCAGTCTAGTTCGTTGAATGCATGATCCGAGGGTGTTCGTCCACACAAGACGTCGAGTGCTCGTTGACGACGCACCAGAAGCTGCTCAAGTCGCTGTTCATCTGTCGCTGTTGGCTCGGCTTCTATGCAGCGGTCGCACGCTTCGAGAACCGCACGCCAGTAGGCTGTCGACTCGGTTCCCGTTGCCTCAGCGGCGGACTCACAGAGTCCTCGCCATGCCAAGAGGTCCGTCGGACGCAGCGCTGTGGCGCGCTGGTAAGCCTGGAGCGATCGTTCTCGCTCGCCAAGGCCCGCTGCAGCTGCACCCACGAAAACGTATGCGAAGTAGTTGCCTCGATCCTGTTGAAGGACCTGCCGGGCACACTCCAGCGCATAGGCGTAACGTTTGTCGCGAAGTGCCTCTTTCGCCTCGCGGAGCAAACCCGAGACCGACGCGTTTGCTCTGGCGCTCATGATCCATATTCTTGAAGCTTGCGATTCGCGCTTCTGCACAAAAAGAAGAAGCCTGAATGCGTCGACCAAGTCGCTGCGTTGCTGGTACTCGACCCGGCGCTCGTCGTGGCAGCCAGTGCCTTCACTGGCGCAGCTCTAGGCCGCCGTTTTCGGCACAAACCGAGTACCGGACTGCAGATTCTCCGAACACTCGCTCCGTTTCCGCCAACGTCTGCAGTTGATGAAAGTATGCTATAGGATCTTGTTCTACCAGAATCAGACACCTGAATACGACACGAGAAAGCACGAGCGAAGCAGGCCTGAACGGCTTGGAGACGCTCGTGCCGTCGCCTGCCGAGCACGTCCACGTCGCCGCTGCACTGCAGGATGCATTCATCGATACCGGGTGTCGAATGAGAAGCAACAGGTCAACCTGGGTAATGAGGGCGTACACACACAATAAAGTTATGCTTTGTTGGTAATTGTCAGCGACAACAGCCTTGACGGGGTTGCTCAGCGAATGCTTGCGTATCCTGTCTCTAGTCTCTGGATTGAGAATCGGGAATTTCTCCTGTAATTCCTGCAGCATTCTTCACAGTCAAAGCATGTTGATGGTCGCGGTCAAGTCCCGAGATCTCGCCGCTTCCCACTTTTTCGATGCACGTTATGCACAGGCATAAGCTGCAATCTACGCTGCGATGTCTATGTTCGTTTCCTTCGTGTAATGCCTCGTCTTGCACTTTGGAGCAGCAGCGACGCTTGACGCTGCGCAGGTGTTGCCGCCTGTCGACTGCAACTCCTCCTCGTCTTCCGAGTGCTGCACTGTGGCGTGCAAATGCTTGCTCCATCGCTCGCCGTATGCCGTTGACAGGTACAGAAGGATACGCTCGATGCCGTTTTCCGTTTCCGCACCTGGTGCAGGACCCGGCGATCACGGGCTTCGTCTGGCAGCTCCACCAGACGAGTACTCTGCCCGCTACGTATGGAAGCGCGTGCTGTTCCATTCGATAGAGGGTGTGTGGACCGCAATGCTTTCCATGATGAGACGAGTACCGGAAGGAGAATCAAACCCGGAAAAGAGGGAAAATTATTCGACCCGTCTACGTTCTCTTCGTGCAGAGCGGTGACGCATGCCGCACGGGAAGCGATCGCTGCGATGACTCAGGCCCAGCTTCCATGAACATTTTTCGAGCAAACATATGAAACGCCACCCCTGATAGCATATACGGTGCGAGGTATCACGTTTCTGTCGAATGGCGTCTCGTCGATAGCCATAAAGAAATCGGGATCACTTGCCATTCGAATGGAATGAATGATTCGAGGTGACACGATTCGTGGACGCTTCGTATGCGCTTGGGGAACGTCATCAAGTATTGAGGTCGAATCCTTTTAGTCTTTCATCCCGCACCGCGAATAACTCTGCCCACGAGTTGCCTTGAAACCGAAAGATCCAGAATCTGAACGATATGTGATTCGAGCAAGCCCTGTCTAGCGTACCGAGAACAACAGAGGTATCTACGCAGATACTGATTCACAATTTCGGCTACTGTACGAACGCTCGTTCGAGAACGTTGCGAATTATCTTGCTTTCGATGAACGAATGTACTCCAGCAGGAAAGCGACGATGCAATCACTCCGAAAAGTCGACCTCGAATCCGATAACCTTCACTCCTGCAAACATCATGTCGACGCTTCGCATCGTAAAATATCCGAAAAAGAATCAAGAGTCCGGAGCAGAACAAGCCGTTCTGCATTCTATGGTACGCTGATAGGGGTGTAGCGGTACGGGCGCTGCGAAAGCTTCTCACGCTGTACGATCGTCGATAGCGGAACCAGAGTACCTTCCGATCCGGTAAGATGATCGCCAGCCGCGAAAGCATCCATGACACTGCACCATATCTTCGAGTGACGGGAGCGACCCGCACCGGTCGTCCATTTCATCCAGAATATGAGTCGGTTCCTAGGAGCATCCGAGTGCAGAGCCTATCAGCAGCGCCTCCCCGAACGCTGCCCCATGAAGCGAAGGATGCCCCCAGCGACGCTCGTTCAGCAGCGCTCGACGCGGCAATGGCGAAGCGTCGACGACGCCCGGTCCCGTGACTCCTCGTTTGCGCTGTAGCGGGCGAGCGCTTTGGCTCTGGGACGCAGTGGTGCCATCGAGGCTTGAATGTCGCTATACATCGCCAGGCGTTGTTGATGATGCACCTCGGTGCGCACCAAAGCGACGCTTATCTCGGTTGGCTTCCGCCAAACCTATCCCTCAGAGACTTGGATGGTTACACCGTCGCTGACTGCAGCGCACTGCTCGCTCCACGCGGAGGTCGTCTTGTGCTGACTCCAGCTGAGAGCTCGAATGCTTCCGCATCAAGCAATAAGATTGTGCAAGCGGAGATCAATGTGGAATCTAGGCGGCATGCAACGCTGCGTTGGGCGAGTCTGGACGAGGCGTCCACATCCGAGTTGCTTCTCGGAGCTGTGCACGGCTCCGTGAAGTTCTGGATCTGCGACGAGGCGCGCCAGACGACGTCGTCGTCCGCTGAGCAGCCCTTCGTATCGAATGGCTCTGGAACTGCTCAAGTCACTGAGAGGCAACTGCGGGTTTTGATGGACCGCGAACCGACACAGCTGGGCGCACGGGGAAACCACGTCAGCGGTGAGCAGTCGGGCCGTGCGACGACCGAGGCGCACCTTCGTGCAACTTGTCCCGCGACCCTGAGCAGCCCAGTCGAAAGCGATACCCAGCTACCACCGGAAGAGTGTGCGCGATGGCGCTTTCTGCGAAAGCAGGCACGCGAACGCCTCGAGCATTTCACTACGAAAACGAACGTTACAGCTTCCGCGGAGCGGCATGTGCACGAACAAGCACCGACACAGCGTCAATCGACACCTTCAAAGACTCTGCAGGCACAGGGCGCTACATCCGTACCAGAGTCGTCATCCAATGATGATGATGGTGATGATGATGATGCTGTGCCCCAGCAAGCGGAGCATTCCATTTGCGAGGAGTCACTCGTACCGTTCGATGCCTCGATGCATTTACGAACCAAGTACATCAAAAAGTATCGTCGGAAACCCGCCAAATATGCTCGCAAGATTCTCAAGCGCCCACAAGCATACCTACTGCAAGCGAATTGGCTGCCAGTCGCTGCGGAGGATCGAAGCGAGATCACTGCCCTGCGCATGGGCACCCGAGTCGATGATCATAACCGAGTCGATGGAGCCGTGCTTGTCCGCGAGATGCCGACACCGTCCACAACCTGGTAGTCGTCTCTTTTTGTGTCATGATTGCATATCTGGCGTGTTGCGGAATGGGGCTTCGCGTTTACGCGCAACAGCAGGTGCGCTACGCGTGAACCGTACCACCGAAACGTCTGACTCCAGCGTAGGAGCCACCGCGTGGCTACATCATCGAGTTGTCATACATGTTGACGCAGCATCCCTGCTACCGATGCGCCGTGTATCCATGAGGCACCTTCCTCCATCGTTCTATTGTTGTGACTTTATAATTGGTGGCCCCGCCGGCGAACGCGACATACATCCATGAGGTACCTGGCGGCTGGCGGTCGCGTCTTGTGCCGTCTGGACGATAACGCTGACACAGACAGCGACTCGTTTGGACGAACGTGTGTCACGCGTTCATGGTGCATGATAAGGGCGCCGCTTTCTCTCGTGGATGGAGTCAACGGTACAGACCAGGCACTTGTTCAGGTATCGCAGCCGGTACTCTGGCACGAAGGCGTGCACTAGTTCCGCTTGTACCCATTTGAGAATAAAATGGAATAGGTCCTCCAACACGGGTGTTCACTTTAACTTTTGGACTCTTTCCATTGGCAGCGACAACAGCTTTTGTGCGCTTTTTCTGCGACTGCTTCCCTTGGCTCGCTTTGATGATGTGCTTTATGCACGCTGGTCTCTCCTTCGGCCCAGCCTCGTTGTCAGCATTCGAAAGATGTTGCTGACGGCAATCAGGTCCCGATTTCACGGCTTTCGGCTGTTGTCCACGCGTTTCATGCACAGGGGGTTGTTGCAATGCACGCTCCGCTCGCCATACTGAAGTTTGTTGTACACAGCTGCGGTGCACAGTGCGCTTGGATGTCAATGGACTGCGCTCAGGTGTTTCCATATGTCCACCAAACTTCCTGCTCCGAGCGCTGCCCTGTGGCACATGAACGCTTGCTTCATCGCTCGGTACATGCCTTCGATGGGTGCAGAGAGCTCGCCGCGGTGCCTTTCTCGGCTTTGGTGTCCGGTACCGTACACCGCTACGATCAGCAGCGTCTTGTGGAGGCTCCCGTGGTCGACTTTTTAGTGTACGCTGCACAAGCAAGCATATGCACTTGCATTCGATACAAACGTTGTCGTATGTGATGCTTTCCATGATGAGAAAACAAGTATCGGAACACACATCTCGGACTGGAGATCAAGTTCGGGATTTCGATTCGTTTACGCTCCCTGCCGTGCAAGGCGGTGATGCACGCTCCACTTGAAGCGATTGCCGCGATGACCCAAGTTCGAGTCCCAGACCCTTGTCTACGCAAACCGAAGGAACGATAGTGTCTGGGAGCGTATCTCGTGCGAGTGATCATGGTGCTGTCGAGTTCTGTCTCATCGACGGTGATCACAGCGTAAGGATGATTCATCACGCGTACAGCATCGATTCCTTGAGGTGGCACGTTCACGGGGAACGTTCGGCATGAGCGCGTACACAAGTGTTCAACGGAAACACTGAAGTTTGTTTCGTCGTCGATCCGGCAGCGCGAATGCCTGTGCCCACATTCGTTGCCTCGAAACAGAAAGACCGAAAAATTCCAGATTGCAGCTGATTTGAGCGCGCTCCCTAGACGCAAAAGCGAAGCCTGGACGCTTGCAAGTGCGAATTCCATCATGATAGCGGTCGTAATCCAGATCTTACGTCGGAGGCTTCGCAAATCCTGCTGAGCCCCGGGAACGCAACAGATTCCAGCGGGAACACGTCGAAGACGCCACTCCGACACCCCGCCAACGAACCCCATTCCTACCTATGCATCAGCGCGCCCGCATTCCTGCTCCCTGAACATCCAAGCTCCACATCGAAAGCAAACTCAGAAAATAAATCACAAACACCAAAAACGGTGCAAGCAGATCCGTGTTCCATGTAAATCCTTCCCTTTATGGATCTCCGATCGAGGTCGCGACAGGAGTGCAAGCTATGGGCGTACCCGCGCATCCAGGAGCTGCTCTCGCGATACCCACAACCCCAGATGATGCTCCGCGTTGCAGCGTATGCATACTCCAGGTGCCGCGTTTTCGACTACGCCGCCCATCGGTGAACGCTTCCAGAGCGCCCACCTATATAGATCTCGTTGCGATCCTCGTGGTAGTAGACAGCGGTCACGTCACTGAGCGCTCGACGTTCCTCGAACGAGTCACGATGCGCCCGGATTCGGCCTAGGCAAAGTCCGGTAGGAATGTGTGCGATCCAGAGTGAGCCGCTGTGGACGTCGTAGATCTCCGAAAGCGGACGCTGCAGTTGACCAGCTCGCAACCGTTCACTGGAGCTAGTACCGGGTACCGATGCGAACTGGTGATCGCTCGTCGAAGAGGGTGCCTGCAACGTCGGTGTTCCTTTGGCGAGCGATGGTAGCGCAGGTCGTACCTGCGGACGCACCCCTGACGCGCTACTATCCCCTGGGGCAGTGGCGCTTGCGTCAGGTGTCGGACCCAGCACAGGTGCTCCATCCATGGACGTCGACGTCGACGACGACTGCGGCGTCACTGCGGTATTCGGGTCAGCGTCGGATGCGTCCGGATCGTCGTCACGCGGATGCTCATTCGCGTCGCTCGCTGCCTGATAAGATACCAAAATATCCTGTGCAGCGGATATGTAGAGGGTATTGTTCGCTGCTGCCGAGATGGCACGGGACGGATGCTGTCTCGAGAGCCGTTGAACAACGGGTCGAGCACGAAAGTCCCAAACCTGAATCTCCTGATCCCGGAAGACAAGAAACAATTTGGTCTCGTACAGAAAGATGAAATGGTGAGGCGTCAGGTGCTGTGAACCGAGAAGCTCCTGCTCCGTACTGGTGCGCAGATCGACGATACGGAGGTTCACGCCCTCCTGTTTCACCAGCAGGCGATCGTGGAAGAGCTCGATGAACTCTATCTTGCGAGATCGGTTCAGCAAGTAAAAGAGTTCATGTCGCACGGCGCCGGTTTCGATATCCACAAACTGGAGCGGCACATGGCTTCCGACGCGCTGATAGATGAGCAACATCACGCCCGGTGACACCTTGATCTCGGCGATAGAGCGACACGCGATCCGGTAGAGGCTTTGGTAGGTTGTCAGGTCCCATACTGTGTAGCTGCGATCGTTGGCACTGAAGGTAAGCACCTTGCCGTTGACATCGTCAAATTCGACAAACCCCGGCCAACTGAGGCATTCGCTCGTAAAGATAGGGATGCTGTCTTCAGGCTGGCCTCGCGCGATGGCGTCCATCGGGATGCTGCGACAACGAAGTCGCAGGAAGCGATCTTCGTGCCGCACGGAGACAGTGATGAGCGCTCGATTGGCCTTGTTGAGGAAGATAGAGCGCACGACTTCATCAGGGCTCAGGTTCAAGCAGCAGAGACGCTTTCGTGTAACAGTCTGGAACGCTGTACAGACCCCGTTGGCCGTCAAGGTGAAGAGCAGATCGCCGAAAGCGACGATTTCTACCACGCCGGCACGCCGTTGAAGCAACGGAAGCGAGAAGCTCCGGTTGCTGTCGTTGGCGTCGTAGGTCTCGCGGAGACGGAGGCCGCGAAAGCGGCACAAGAGCGTTTGTCGATGCAACGCATGTTCGGGCAGAATGCCGGTCTCACGACGACGCAGGGCATCGAGCGGCTGGAATCGCCACTGCAGCGCGGAGGAAGCACGCTGCAACCCGTGCCCTGCTCCAGCATTGAAACCGAGTTTCGATGCTGCTTCGATGGACACGGGCGTCGACGACAAGCCCACCGGCGCTGCCGCACATGAGAATGAACCGCAACCAAGTCTTCGTCGCTTCTTCGTCGCCTGGGTTAGAGGTTCACAAGCGTCAGCCATTGGGGTCGCTTCGACCGCGCCAGGCGACACGCGCTGGGATTGGTAGACTCGGGCTGGCCAGTATGCAGTCGTGCGTGCGCTCGTTTCTTGGCTACAAGTTGCAACATCGTTCGAAATACTTGAGCACTGACTAGACGTCAACGCTGGAAGAGGGAACAGCGTGGACGAAGACTCCGGCGAGCGCGCAGACTTGCCACGTGGCGAGGCATCTCCGGCAGGAGCGCCCGCATACGTGCGGGTTGCCCCCGGTCGTGGGCTCTGCGCACACAAGTACTGCGCCGCGTGCCGATCATCTTCGCTGAGCAGCGAACATACGTCACCAGCGAGCTCGGAAGCGCCCGCTGCGTCACTCAGAAGCGCCACAGCTTCTCGGCGCCAGCGTTCGCACGACGCATTTTCGAAACGCTGTCGGGGAACGTACACCACCGAAGGCGAAAGAAACACCTTGCTCTTTCCAGACCAAACCTGGCGCGGTCCGCAGTCAGTGCATGCACCCTTGGTACCGTCTGTGTGCACGGCGGAAGACATGAAGCCTGTTGACGGAAACAGGAACTTCACCTCGGGCGCAGTCAACCCAGGTCCAGGTGTCGACGTGTACTCGCGTGTCTGCACGACTTGTGTACAAAGCGCGTACGTACAGCGCACGTCCAGACGAGTTCTCAGTACCGCTTGTATTTTGTACGCGCGGTGCTTTCCCCAATACTCAAGGTTTGCACGAGTGTGTGCCCAGACAGACACGTATTCGCGAGCAGCGGGCGAACGGAGTCGCAGCGCAGGCACCCCGTGCGGCCCTCCGCAGACTTGTAAAATCGCAACCGCTGCTGCCCTGACTGCGGGTATGAGCGGTGTGTCGCCCGCAGGCCGTTGCGATTTGGAGCGCGACTGGCGGCGCTGTTGCCGCGTCGAAAGCCGATAACGCCTGGAGGAGGCGGCGGCGGCGGCGCACCGGTGGTGCTTCAATGCACAATGCAGATCGCTGGGTGCAGATGGGATGAATATGGTCTAATTTGTATATTTATGGTATGTGCCATGGAGGCGGCGGCGGCATGCACGGTAGCCGAGTGGTCGCTGCTGATCCTGGGCGCGTGCACCTGCAGCAATCCCGCGGGAGATGCGCCGCTGCTGGCAACGCCTGGGGCAGCGGCTACCGCTCTGCACCAGACAGTGTGCCCTGACGTGCCACCAGCCTCCGATTCGTCATTCCGACGGAGACCAGGGCTTCTGTCTAGTCGGCGATTCGGTTGGGTAACGGGGCATGGCGGGCGCTGATCCCCGTTCAGGACACGATCCGGGACGACGGGTGCGTCGCCGGCTTCTTCGCTGTGCGGAGACGTGCGCATGCAATTGGGTATTGTTTGGAGGGCGTCGGATCGCTTCCGCACGAACCGCGGCATCCCCGAGAGCGTGGCGGGTATCGGTATTCGGAAGATCGTCCAGCAGCCAAGATGCACCAGAAACCAATACTCATGCTTCGCTCTGGAGAAGACGCTTCCTCCGTGCGATCCACCGGGTGCCTTGTGCCTGTCATGAGCATCCATAACGGTAACGCCAACGGCTCTAGCGCCCGCTTCGGCATGACACCTCGTGAGCGGGCGTCTCTGTTGGCCCACACTGGTAGACGTCAACTCAAAGCACGCATCGCCCGACGCCGTGTCAGGACTCGCGGGCGGTGTCAGCCTCGATAGTCGGCGCACACAGACCTGCCCTGAGACCTCCGATACGCCCGATCGGGGACCGTTCGATACGCTGCCTCCCGCGAGCGCATCGGAGGCGAGAGCACACCCAGCCAGCGGGCCCGGGGTGCCGTGCGCAGCGGCCAGGCGCGCGCGCACACACACGCGCACGCGTGGCATTCAGCAGTTTCGCACAACGCCACCGAAACGACGGCGTATGAGAAGACTATCGCGCTCACTTGTTTCGTACAGAGTACTTTACACGCTGCGACGCCCAGTGCGGTAAACTTGTCCCGAGAACGCTCTACTTCCTTCATAGCTCACTCAGAATTCACAAATGCTCGTTTCGAGTACAGTTTTCGCTAACCACAAGGGCGGATGCGGCAAGTCGGTCCTGTTATTCCAGTCCGCTGCGGAGTACGCGCTGGCGCACCCTGATCAGCACGTACTGGTCGTGGACATGACCGTGGTTGGCGACCTGACGCGTCTTTTCCTCGGCGGAGACTCGTTTGAGCGCTCTTCATCGGTAAGTTTGAGCGACTTTGTGGCTGTCCACGGAGGCACAACCAAACTCCTCTTTGATTGCCTCGCGTTCGAGCTGGGGTTCCAGTCCGGGGCGCTGCGCGAGACTGCGACCACAGCGAGTGGGAGCAGCGGCAGTGGCCCGCTCTCCTTCGTGAGTCGTTTGCGGCAGACGTTTGGCGGTGGCACGGGCAGTGAGGACAAGAGCGCTGGTGGCAGCGGAGGTGCCTACCGTTTCCCTGTGGAAAAATACCTGCTTCGTGTCGCAGACGTCAATACACACATTCCTGCAAATATCTACCTATCCATGTCGAGCGGTGGTGGATCCCAGCATCCGTTCCGGCTCACTGAGCGCCTCACTGTGGTCCAGGGCCTTCGCCGCGCTTTCCAGCAAGCGCCCGCCTCGTATAAGGTTCTGTTCGATACCGACGGCGACCTGCACTTCTCCGACTATACCCGGATCGCTATTGGTGTCGCAGACCATTTGGTGGTGCCACTCTTCCCCTCGTTTACGGACTTCCACCGCGTCGAGACGTTTATGGAGGAGCTCTTCCAAATGCGTCAGAACGGAGAGACTGACGCCAAGGTACAGCTCATGGTCTGGAACAATGTCGATGTGCACTACAATCGGCCATGGTTGCCGGTATCCCGAAACGTGACGCCCACCAAGGCAGCTCAAACGGTGATTGAGAAACTCAACTCGCTACTGGCTGGGGTCGCAGCTCAGTATAGTACGCTTTTCGTGCAGCCCATTCCGGATAATGCAAGCCCCGTGGAAGCCAGTGAGCACTTTTCGGAAACGAGCTCCATGATCATGCGAACCTTCGGGGTAACCGGTATGGCTAGCGCGGATCTGGGCATTCCTTTTGCCTGCATGCAACCAGGCACTCTGACTGGTGGCGCCGTCGAGTACCACGTCAGCGCCGAAATGCTGGAGCTGCTACGCGCGAATGTGCGCGAGCTCGCCGATGTGCTCTGAACGGCTGCGGTGATTCTGTGACCTCGAAAGGTCGTATGCCAGACGTATCGTTTTTTCTGACAGTATCAGGTACAATGCAGTGTTCACGCTGGTGCGGAGACAGGCGACCGTCCGTTGCCGATTTTTCGCAGAATGGCGTTCAGGGCGGAGGCGGTATATCGGCACGAACACAGACACCACGAGCGATGCAGGCCACGCTTCTGAGTGCGCCAGTGGTGCCGGTGCCGGCACTCGTCGCGGAGCAGGGCATGTTCTCCGACGCTGGCACTGTTCCCGAATATCTGGTTCGTTTTGGAATTCTGTAATGTGAAAAAGGTTTCGAGAGCGTGCACCCCGATGAACGGATCACCCTGATGCCAAGTGATGGATTTCCTGTCGTGCCCGAAAAGCGACAAACAGGTAGAGTTGGTTAGCGACACGAGGACACAGGGTGCGTCCCGCGTCGGCATGCGCGATGCCTGCAGGCAGCGAGCACAGCCCCCAGAGACTGGACTCTAGGATGGACGTGACGCGCGGGTACCACTGGTACTGCTCGCAGCACCCGTCGCCTCTGTGTCCGGTAGTCTGTATCCTTGAAGATGGGCGCCCCCCAGAGACTGGACTTTAGGATGGACGTGACGCGCGGGTACCACTGGTACTGCTCGCAGCACCCGTCGCCTCTGTGTCCGGTAGTCTGCATCCTTGAAGATGGGCGCACCCCAGAGACTGGACTTTAGGATGGACGTGACGCGCGGGTACCACTGGTACTGCTCGCAGCACCCGTCGCCTCTGTGTCCGGTAGTCTGTATCCTTGAAGATGGGCGCCCCCCAGAGACTGGACTTTAGGATGGACGTGACGCGCGGGTACCACTGGTACTGCTCGCAGCACCCGTCGCCTCTGTGTCCGGTAGTCTGTATCCTTGAAGATGGGCGCACGCACGCACGCACGCACGCATACATACATACATACATACATACATACATACATACATACATACATACATACATACATACATACATACATACATACATACATACATACATACATACATACATACATACATACATACAGTGCACGGGCGCGACTCTACCGGACGGTGCACGGGTAACGCACGGCCTATGCGCGGCCGCCTCGTTCACCCGACAGCGACGGCCGCATATAGGCCTGACCACTTCCAGTATATGTTCTTATGGGTGTTTGTGCAAGCGTAATAGTCGCAGGGTGCCCGGTTACGCGTAAGCGTTCGCTCTGCGTGTTGAGCGTGCAAGCACCGCAGCGTTGCCCTACCGCTGCCGGGTGCCTGCGTAGCGAGCTTTGAACCGCATCCTTTCCGCATCGCACGGACCTCTAGACCGTTTCCCCGTGGATACCATGTTAGCTTCTTTCATCCAAACGTATAAACACATCTTTTGTTACGAAAAAGCCCCAGGTTCAGGCTGGAATAGAGCGCACAAGCATCACATCCGCTGTGCTGCCTGCGATACCGTTCGGCACGGGCGCGCCCGCGTCGCCATCGGCAGGCGCGCGCGCAGACGAGTGTGCGCGCTGGTGATAGGTCACTGGGGAGGCCTCGCAGGCGCCTCGACAAACGCACTCGAAAAGTTCCGCAAGTATTTTCCTGTACTACCCTCTAAATCTGTATAAATCTTATTGGTGACAGGATATTCGACTTTGAAAAGTGCTTTGCGGCATCCGACCTAGCTACTTGTCGGGTGATGCTACGCGATCGGCTCTACGCTGTCGCCGTTGGTTGTGCAGCTGCGGCAGGGTTTTCTTGGCACTTGTCCCGTCTGGTCGGAGAGCAGCCTGCGCAAGCGGTCGCGTGCAGACGCGAGCAGCTCGGGACAAGTGGTGTACGACCGCAGCTCCACTACGACTGGCAAAGCGCGGGCCGTAGAGTCATCCCGGACCTGGTGCCTTTTGCAGCTGCCGGGACAGTGCAGCAGAAGCAGTCGCAGCAGCAGCAGCAGCTTGAAAATCTGGAGCAGTTTCTTCGTCGACGCTGGGCTTTCACGTGGAACGAAAGCATCAACGCGCTACTGGATGCCTTGCAACAGTTAGATGCGGAACGACTCCAGCGATATCCACGTGAGTTGTGGCAGCGATGGCGGCGACAGCAATCTGTATGAGCCCCGGGTACCGCGAGTTGCGGATGGATATGCGACTTGCACGAGAAGCCGAAAGATTGATGCGTTTCTGGTGCGCTCCGAGGAGGTTGAATGGAGGTTCGCGACGCGTTTGACACGGGTCTCGTGGCGCCGCGGATCGTTCTGCAACAACCGGCCGCATGCTCGCTTCGACGCCGTCTGGTACGGTTTCGCAGGCTTTGGTATCGCATTTCTCGGAAGCAGCGCAAGCGGCATCGGATGCGTGGAAAGAAAGTGAGACACGGGTTGGTTACAGAGCCGTCCCCGGATTCCGGCATGCGTTACTCGCGCTTCGTACGCACTGCAAAGCGTACGCGTTCACGTTATCCAGTCGCGCAGCATGCGCATCGCGTCGGTTGCGTCGACTGAGGCGAACCCCGTGTCGAGCGCATTCCCAGGTGAGTCGGGGTCCCTGGTACGGTTGCAGTCACGCGACGCCTGCGCCCTCGACGATGCGTGCCCGGCGGTGCATGCTCAGCTTATCAAGCAGCCGCTATGAATACCGCCGCAGCCGCCGCCACGGAAATGCACCATGTGCGTCATCTGGGTTGCACCCGGCACGAGGCTGACATTCGAATACTTTTTAAGGAAAGCCCCCGGTGCCGAGGTACACGCGTGCTGCCGCCTGGCATGGACAAACCGTACCCGTTGCCAAATATGCAGAATGCACCTTGCCATCCTTACCAAGATACATTGAGATCCTGCACGCGCTCAGGTCGAGGACGCATGCGTGTCATTCACTGCAAACAAGATACTTGCATCTTTCCAGATGCTTCCGAATGCGTATATGCTGCATACGCTCAGGAGAATGGCAATACCGGGTCCTATACAAACGCTGGGTCTTTACACGAGCTCCATCGCAGAGACGCCCCGCATGAAATACAGACTAGATCAACCTTGTCACTCGTTGGACGCCGAGCCTACCTACCGCACTACCCCTACAGAGAGCATACGGCTTTGCCAGACTCCAACGGGCACCTGTGCGGCGACGACACCAGCATGTCCATGCGGCTGCACGCATTCCATATGCATGCGTGCGCCTCGTGACTGCAGCGTGAAAGGCCGCGCTTGGAGAACGCATATAAAAAGCGCTTTGGAACTGTTTGTGACGCTCTTTACGAACTGCGTATGCGTCACTGATGATCGCTGTAGGCGCCGCGAGATTTGTCGACTCGGGCAGAGCGTCTGGCTTCGCAAACGAGCGCCTTGAACCTGACGCCATCGACGTATAGGCAGCTCGTGGCGAAGATTTCTGGCGCGAGGGTGCATACCATGCACGATCCAGGCCGTTTTTCTGTTGCTTACTCGGTGCCATGTTGCTTGCCTGTGTCTCGTTTTGGATCAGGTTCACAGGCGCGATCATGCGCTGGTCACTGTGGACGCGCGTGGTCGTCCACCGTGCCTTGTTGAGCGTGCTTCGCAACGGTGCGTGTCCATGAGGCAGCCCTGCCGCTGCCCGAGTGTTGAATAAATACCTCCAGAGCATTACTCCATGGGTCCAGGTCGGGGCAAGCGGGCGGCAAGCAGCAGGCGCCGCAGCAACGTGCGCTCTGTCGACCGGGCCGTAGACTGCCCTGCTGCGCATGCGCCCGTCTCATCTGGGCTAGCGTGGGAGCGCTCTGTTGACAAGGCATCGTCGCTGCTGTGGCCCCTGATCGGCCAGAAGCGTGTGCGAAACCTGGAACTAGCCGCACACATCGTGCTGGGCGCCACCTGTTGTTCTCGTTCTTGCTGCTGCTGCTGCTGCTGCTCCGCTGCTGTGCCGGGTGCGGCAGCCTCGAGGTCCGCCAAGCCCGACCGAGTCACATCTGTCATTTGAATGCAGTATGCGGAACGACTCCGACGAATGGACAAGGCGTCGTCGTAGCCTTCGTCAATTTCATCGTCGGCTTCGTCTTCAGGATCACTATAGTGGCTGCTTGCGCCGATTTCGGCTCGCCTTGGGGCATCAGGACCCGAAATAACCAGATCACCGGCACCCTGCACCACTGGATCTCCATACGAGGATCCACTCGGCGGGATTGCAGAGGCTGCCAACGAATCGTAACTCGTCGAGGCCGATGACGGTAGCGGAGCTGTTCGACCTGCGATAGCCGACGACGACCCGTTTCCCGTGTCATCGGTTCCGTCGAGCGACATCCGCTGATTGTCCAACAACGATACGCCGGGCTGCGAATGCAGCGACGCGGTCGAATCCCTGCGATCTTGCGCTGCTGTGGGCAGCAACGAAGGGCCGTCGGTGCCGTCGGCCGATGCCGCCCGCGCAGCACTGCCCGGGGCATCCGTCGACTTTTTAGGCCTTCGCGGTACGGTTTCGCTGGTGTCTTTGCGACGACCGCGCAGCGCTAGCTTTTTCAGGTCAACCTCCCGAATGGAGATGTAGCCCGCGCCGCGCAGCCGCGATAACGGCATTCGCATACCCAGCACCGCGCGACTACTCAACGTGTCGGGAGCGCCGTGCGCACCGTAGCTGCTCGAGAGCAGCATCGAGGTCGTCGCCGAGCGCGCTAGGTCGATTGAGCGACGCGGAAGGGTTATGTCACTGGTTGCGATTGGCGCTGGGGCACCGCCGCCTGCTCTGGTGGCGACCGCCTCCGCAGGTCGAGCTGCAGACGCTTCGCAGCTCCGGGAGGTGCCATACCCGGCCACAGTACCGCTGCTGGCGGACAGGAAGCGCTCGGCATGTGCACGTGTGACGGGCTGTTTGCTCTGCATATCATAGTAAACATCGGATTCGTCCACAATCTCCTGCTTCAGCAAATCTTCAATGATATCTTCCAAGGTGACGATGCCTAAAAAGTGGCGCTCCTTGGGTCGCTTACTCTGTGGGCGCTCATAAACAATAGCCATATGACTGTGCCCGCGCTGAAACTCTGCCAGCAGCACCTCCAGGCTGGTGCTTCTCGAGACCTCCAACGGTGCCGTAGCGATCACACAGCGATCCGCGTAGCGCAACATGATATCGCGCACGGTAAGGCGCTCGCTCGGCGAGTACGCAATAAGACCTTTCACCAGCAGGTAAGCAACGATATTATCGCGGGCACCGTCGTAGAGCGGCACCCGAGAATGCCCCTTGTGGACCAATTCGAGGGCAAGCCTACTGTCCAGCACCTGATCCAGGGAGAGCATGTACACATCATCAGCAGCAGTCATGACGTCCCCTGCGGTACGTTCGCGCAGCATCAGGGTCGCCTGCAACATTGCCGACTCCTCGCGGCCGAGGTCGCCGACGTGGTGTTCATCCATGAACTGGAGAAGCGAGCTCAACTCGTTCCGGTTCATTGCTCGCACGCCTAGCACACTCTTGCCCACGGTCTTGTCGAGAATCCAGGCCAGCGGGAAGGTTATCGGGTAAAAGACAACCAGCACGATACGCATGACTCGGGCACAAGCGGCTGCTAGGCGCAAACCATACGCTGGTTGCAGCGCGTACACAACAGGGAGCATGTTGCCGAAGACAAACACCAGCGCGGTCGACAGGACCAGCGACATGCCCGTACCGCCCGATAGCAGCGCATCTGCGAGCAGGGCGGTAAGCTCCTGGGCACCCGTACTGATCAGGACGAGCGTCACGAGCAACAAGTTTCCGCGCCTCCGCAGTGGAAGCAGCGTCAGTGCTTGCTGTTGGTATGCACTCCGCGTGTCCTTGCTTAGCGCTTCCAAATAAACCACATCGATAGAGAACAGGGCCTGTGCCAGCGCCGCTGTCACTGCACACAACGCCACCGTTATGAGTAACGCTCCAACGAGTACTGGAAAGCGCACGCGCTCCAGGGAAGGAACTCCGGCTGCTGGTGCTCGGCCAGACATGACCTCGATCACCAGCAGCCAATCAGGGCTGGAGTTCCCCGACGTACCCCAGTAGCTCGATAGTGTACGCGGTACGGAACCTGTTCGGTAACCGCTCAAGACGCCCGCCTGCACCCAGAGGTCCAGGTCGCTGGACGCGTTTACCAGCCAGCACAGCGCCGCGTTCCGGAGCGTTCGCTCTACGGCCTCCCCGTGTGACTCGAGTTCGGTTTGACGTCCACACGCCCGCCCGCACGCACGCACACACACACACACACAAACAGCCAAGGAAATACGGTACCGGTCGTGGTAGTCGAACAAGGCTGCTGTCGGGGTCGTGCGGGCAGCGCCCCAGCGCACATAGTGCTACCGTTGCGACGCGCCCGCCTCTACATCCACGGTCGGTGAACATCAAGTGGTGGACTGCTCGCTATTTGCCTGATTTTCGACTTCTATTCCCGGAGTTTCTTCTGGGGTGTACAGGCTCGACATTGAAATCCTAGTAAGAAATGCTTACGGATCCATGTATCATAGTATGCGTCTCAGTCACGTCTTTGGAGTGATTTGTTCGACGCTTTGCCGCTGGAACTCGGTACGTTCACAGAATCACGATGCCTCACGTCGCCGTCGAACAGGCTTTCGTCGAATAACCGGTATCACGATCAGATTCGCACGTACGGGTTACACGCTTCTCCTTTGTGCATGTGCGGCATGCTAGAATCATGCACGTTTCAAGCTTTATGCTTGATGGCGCAAGGGCGCAGGAAATCCCACCGCTAGCGTGACGGCTATGAAAGTCATCGTCGTCTGCTGGCGACATGTTCACCAGCTCAAGCCGAATAATCGCTGAACTTGTCTCATCGGATAATCAATTTCGTTCGAAAGACATATCGTTCTCTCTTTGTGGCTTTCTAGGAGACGCCATGCAACTGCGGCACGACACTTGTCGCTGGGTATGCGGCCAGAGGCTCTGGTCTCCTATTGTTTTGCATGGACATGGGTCCTGTAATTGGACTTTATTCATCGCAGCAATCGTTTCTAGTACAGGCTGCGTCACCGCTTTGTATGAAAGGGGCGTAGACGGATCGAAACCTTTCGAGTTGGTGTCCAGTCCGGAGTTTCCATCCAGTCCTTTTTCATCACGGATAACATTGCATGCAAAAAATCATTGATCAAATGGAGCAGCGTGCGCTTGTGCGTGCAGTGGGCAACGTATTCGCCGAGGATTGATACCGCCCAGGAGAAACCCGTGCTCATAGGCCACGGCACCTGATGTCGAAATGGAGAAGGGAATCGAGTGCATCCTTCCGCACCCAGCAAGGCTATGCATCGAGCATGCACATGTCGCCGAGCGGCGCTCAGAGAAGGACGCGGACGAGATGGTAGTGGTGTTGGTGATGCTGGTAGTACTGCGAAGGACACTTGGAAAGCCCTAACCACAGTCAAAGGTCATCGCTGCGAGCAGCACACCGGGGCTGTATCCCAAGAACATGAGAATTACAAGCGAAGTATAGACCGTAACTACCCTCTGTACATGAAATGCGTAGAAAACTGCTGGGAGCAACGTAACAGGGACTCGAACTGTACCATGAACATCCCTCGACTGCTGACAATGCAGCTGAAGGGAAGGATAGACCGGCTTACGTAAAGCCGCCGATGCGGGAGAGGAAACGGGAACAGTCGCAGAAAAAGCGCGCCAAAGCTTGTGTCGAACAAAATGGGAAGACATTCATGATTTAGGCTATACGCCGGCCTTAGCTTGGCAGACCTGCTCCATGCTATGCTGAGACGGGTATGGGCGGCAGACAGACACGCGGATGCGCAAAGCTATGCACCACACACATTCATGGGGTAAACATGCGCATGCTGAATCCGTGATATGTATGGTTGCAGGCTGATTTTGCTGATGCTGCAGCGACGACACATTTGTGTATAAAACTGTACAGTTTATCCCATAACATACCCTAGGATACCACAGCGCAGTGCGATGACGCCTCCTGAATCGCGACCCCATCCGGTAACTACGATAGACTACGCCACACGCTCCGTTTCAGAACGGCGAGTGCCACCACTGCCTACACCCGACTTTGCCCTGGGCGACGACGACGACGACGACGACTACCCGGTGTCGTTTCATCACCTGCGCTCAGCGAGTTGCCCTGCCGCTCCTTGAATGCACCACCAAAGACCGAGCCTGGCGGAGCAGCGAAGCCAAAGCGCTAAGCTCTAGCTCCTGGAGAGGTTCGCGGCGCGCCTGGAGAAAGCGCCTGCAGTGTGGCCAAGGACTCACACTGGTCTCCAGAATAGCTTCGGTGCGGCACGCTCGTTACATTGGTGGCACGTTTCCGCGAACTGTGACGGGTAACGAAGCTTTTGAATCGAACGTTGGTCTATGGGTACCCAGACTCTAGTGCCGGACGAGAAAAGCACGAATGCTACCATAACGTGCGTTCTGCGAGCCACGAACCGCTTTCGAGACTGCTTTGTTGCAGTGCCGTCGGCGCTGGCAGCGTTCCTTGAAAAGTCTCTGCCTCCTACCGGCAGTTCGACAACCAGCGCGGTGGCAGAGGCGCAACTCGCACGCACTCTCCAAGAACATGTCGTGCCGTTGCTTCTCAACAACCAGCTGTTGGTCGGCTGGCATCGTGGTCGTCTCTCTCGTACCATAGCTACACGGCTGCGTCCAGAGGTGGAGATCGCGTCGGAGCTTGCAGCATGCAACGGTCTGCTGGTGCGCGATGCCGCACCTGCCGTGTCGTCGACTGCGCAAACGACTACAGCAGCAGCAGCAGCAGCAGCAGCAGCGCCCGTGCACCGTAGAGCCTCTGCGGCGGCCAGACCGGACCTGCCAACAGCGTCACCGCCGCCCGGCGACAGCCGAACAAAGCCGGGGAACAGAGCATCCGCAGATGCCAGTCTGGAAACGGTGACTGTTCAAGTTTCCGTCGTACCCCGAAACGAACTGGAGATAGCGGAGCGTGTTATTCTCGAAGCGCTGGACGAAGAGAATTGGCAACGGCTGCACCAGCACCGAGAATGGATTGAGCGAGAGCTCCTGCGCCAACTCCGACTTGTACAATGGGATCAATGCATCCCTATCTATCTAGTGGATCAGCCACAGCCTGTGCTTGTTACGGTGCGCCAAGTTCGCATCACCGAGACGGTCGCACTGAAGCAGCATTTGCTGGGCGCTGCCGGCACTCACAACTCGCTCGTGCAGGGATCCGTTCGTGGCTATTGGCTGAGTTTGGGCACTGAATTGGTTTTCGTTCCACCGGGCTGGGCTGCAGGCTCCGCGACTGACGACGACGGGAATGCGTCGCCGAACGCTGTCTCACACAACATGAAACCAGAGCTTCGGGTCCGCGTAGTACCAGCAGTTGGTGAAGTCGACGGTCCAGAGTGCCTGGGTGCAACGGGAACCGTCCACCCGGAGACGCTTATAGCCCTGGGCATGCCACGCAAGCAGTTGCTGGATACCAGTAGTAACAGCAGCAGCAGCACCAAGACACCTGCAGCGTCGCTGGTGCTCGTGTGGGAGCCAGCGGATGCCGCTACAGATGCTCCGGGGTCAGTGGTGTTGTCTGTAACCGTCGATTCGAGCGTACCGCCCTTTCACGTTCGAACTGCATACGCACCGCCGTTCTGCTGGGCGCGGGCGCACGACCTCTGCGTTGGAACTGGCCGGGACTCCTCGGCTGCGTCCTCGATTCGACGCTACGACTGGGGCCAACTGCCTGTTGTGTACGGCAACCAGAGCGGCAAGCAACTGGTGGAATACCTTGTGGAAGCTTTGGAGCCAGTTTTTGCCGCATATCAAAGCACGCCGCCGGTTCGGTTTTCGCGCTTACAGGGACGCGTTGTGCTCCTCGGCGGTGCCGCTGGCTCCGGTAAGTCGCATGTCGCCTGGGCAATCGCCATGCATTGTAGCTTGCGCTGTCGTCTGCAACCACGGCCCGTGTACATCCCATGTCGCTCTATCTTCCAGTCTGGGGCGAGCTACCACAGCGAAGGGATCCGCCAGCTACTCGATGACCTAGTCGGAGGCATGGCTGGTCGACCCGCCGTTCTTGTACTGGACGATTTGGATGCGCTTTTGGCTGACGAGACCGGTATCGCCAGCGCTGGAATAACGAACGCTTCCAGTGGACGGGCGCTGGGCTTGCCGAACCTCATGGAGCAGATTGCTGCCGTCCTGGAACGTTGCACACAGCTCGCCAACGTAGCCATCATCGTTACCGTGACGATGGAACGCGTAGGCACCGCTGCGGGACCGCTGCTCCCCGGCGGCATAAGCGGTGACGTGCTGGACACGCGACATGAACTTCCCTTGCCCAGCACTGAACAGGAGAAAAGTGCTTTTGCAGGTCGAGTACACGAGAGTGAAATTGCCGATCTGCACACCCCGGCAGACTTGCTTAAAGTCGCGCTGCTTCGGAGCATCTTCAAAGATGAAGCAGAGGCGGTATCTGCAACCGGTGCCCTGCAGCCGCTGCTGGGCAACGCGCTGGTGACCCCGACGGATGTTGCCGGAACTGACCAACCGGTACTCGCGGATCTGGGCGGGCTCGAGAAAGCGAAAACCGTTCTCGTGGACACTTTCGTGCTACCACTACGCTTTCCAGTCATCTATCGCCAGGCACCGATTCGCTTACCAGCCGGTGTACTGCTCTACGGGATGCCGGGCACGGGAAAGACGGCATTAGTGCAAGCCGCCGTTGCCGAAGCGGGCCTCCGGCTTGTGCACATCAAGGGTCCTGAGCTCCTGAACAAGTACGTGGGTGCCAGCGAAGCCTCCGTGCGAGCGCTCTTCTCCAAGGCACGACAGCAACGGCCTTGTGTGATCTTTTTCGATGAATTCGAAAGCCTTGCCCCGAAGCGAGGCGGGACCGGTGAGCGCAGTACCGGCGTCACTGACCGCATCGTGAACGCTTTATTAACGGAAATGGATGGCGTTGAATCTCTGGACACTGGCGTGTTTGTGGTCGCAGCGACATGTCGCCCGGATCTGGTGGATCCTGCGCTGTTGCGGCCCGGACGTATTGATCAGTGGATTCGACTGGACCCGCCAGCGCACATGTCAGAGCGTCAAGCGATCCTCCAGCGGTGTACCCGGGACTGGTTCATCATCGATAGGCGCACTGGACAGCCACTTGATGACGCTCAGCGGGAAAAGCTGCTTGCGATGCTCGCGGAGCAAACATCTGGATCAACGGGAGCCGATCTGGCTGCGCTGTGCTCCTCGACGCTGATCTGCGCTGAGAAGCGCATGGCGGCAGAGGCAGCATCGGGAACTGTGCTCGCTGCAGCAACGACTGCGAGCACACTGCACGTGACTGAACAACTTGTGGTGCTACCTGAGGACTTTACTGCAGCACTCAGTACGCACCGCGTTTCGCTGCCTGCGTCGGAGCGTCAACTGTACCTCTGGGCTATGGCGCAGTTTGAGGGCAAGCGCGCCACCGACCAAGCCATGGACCATGGATCGAGACGCGTGATGTTGCAATAGGGAGGATGCACAGAAGGAAGGGTTGCTTGCTTGCTTGCTTGCTTGCTTGCTTGCTTGCTTGCTTGCTGATGCTGCAGGCACTCGAAAGCGAGGATGCGAGACCAGCGCACGTCCACTCTGGCTGTTCCGTTAGACCGCACTGGTACCGCGTACAGCGATGCACAGCCGGGTCACTGCTGCGTCGTCTCGTGTGCCCATACCATTCAGTTCGTCGCTGTGGTTATGAGGTTGACGTCCCGTTTCTGGGCTCTGAGCGCCGCGCTGTCAAGTAGGATGCGACATCTGGAGCGCGCTCCGGGGTTATCTTTTACTGGGCCTCGCATGATTTTGGCGACCAATTTCCATCATCATGCAGAATCGATATCTGGTGGCTGGGGGAAACGATAACGCGAGCACTGCATCTCGCTTCGGATCTCATAAACGACATCGAAGCGGACGATACTGCACTCGTGTACGCGCGTGTATGTATCATAATGGCAGTAACCCACTGTATAACGATATCCGCAGCGCGCAGCACGACCGTCTAACGACCAGCGCGGCGCTTTGGAACGCACTCTACGAGAACGACGTCAAGTGACAGGTCCCGCCGGCCTGGTACAGGATACTTTGTGCAGCTGGTACACGCTCCAAGGCCAGATCAGTCTGCTTGGAACGAAGCCTCACCGATGGTCTGCATGCGCTGAACCAGTGAGCCTGTACCGACCTGGAGGCATCGAGAAGGTGCTGTATGCGATCGGCATGACCGAGTTAGACCAGGTGCGGGGAACCAGGTACTGCGGTCCGTGGCTTGCTCCAACGAAAGCACCGAAACCGGGACGATCCTGGGCTCATTCCACGCATCATTGACGAGCAAGGCGAGCTCCTCCTGGAGCCCGCTCCCGAGCGCCTCCCAAACAGATACATGGACACAGCTGGTACCCGAAACGTTCAGACGCCCAGAAGCATCCGGATATCTGCGCGCGGATATTGCCGGGAACCTCCTGCTTCAACGATACGCACTGCTTCAAGTTTGTAACGATTCCAAATGAATGCTCCTTGTTGACTCCATATGGGACAAACAGATACATGGACACAGCTGGTACCCGAAACGTTCAGACGCCCAGCAGCATCCGGATATCTGCGCGCGGGTATTGCCGGGAACCTCCTGCTTCAACGATACGCACTGCTTCAAGTTTGTAACGATTCCAAATGAATGCTCCTTGTTGACTCCATATGGGACAAACAGATACATGGACACAGCTGGTACCCGAAACGTTCAGAGGCCCAGCAGCATCCGGATATCTGCGCGCGGATATTGCCGGGAACCTCCTGCTTCAACGATACGCACTGCTTCAAGTTTGTAACGATTCCAAATGAATGCTCCTTGTTGACTCCATATGGGACAAACAGATACATGGACACAGCTGGTACCCGAAACGTTCAGACGCCCAGAAGCATCCGGATATCTGCGCGCGGGTATTGCCGGGAACCTCCTGCTTCAACGATACGCACTGCTTCAAGTTTGTAACGATTCCAAATGAATGCTCCTTGTTGACTCCATATGGGACAAACAGATACATGGACACAGCTGGTACCCGAAACGTTCAGACGCCCAGAAGCATCCGGATATCTGCGCGCGGGTATTGCCGGGAACCTCCTGCTTCAACGATACGCACTGCTTCAAGTTTGTAACGATTCCAAATGAATGCTCCTTGTTGACTCCATATGGGACAAACAGATACATGGACACAGCTGGTACCCGAAACGTTCAGACGCCCAGCAGCATCCGGATATCTGCGCGCGGGTATTGCCGGGAACCTCCTGCTTCAACGATACGCACTGCTTCAAGTTTGTAACGATTCCAAATGAATGCTCCTTGTTGACTCCATATGTGACAAACAGATACATGGACACAGCTGGTACCCGAAACGTTCAGACGCCCAGAAGCATCCGGATATCTGCGCGCGGGTATTGCCGGGAACCTCCTGCTTCAACGATACGCACTGCTTCAAGTTTGTAACGATTCCAAATGAATGCTCCTTGTTGACTCCATATGGGACAAACAGATACATGGACACAGCTGGTACCCGAAACGTTCAGACGCCCAGAAGCATCCGGATATCTGCGCGCGGGTATTGCCGGGAACCTCCTGCTTCAACGATACGCACTGCTTCAAGTTTGTAACGATTCCAAATGAATGCTCCTTGTTGACTCCATATGGGACAAACAGATACATGGACACAGCTGGTACCCGAAACGTTCAGACGCCCAGAAGCATCCGGATATCTGCGCGCGGATATTGCCGGGAACCTCCTGCTTCAACGATACGCACTGCTTCAAGTTTGTAACGATTCCAAATGAATGCTCCTTGTTGACTCCATATGGGACAAACAGATACATGGACACAGCTGGTACCCGAAACGTTCAGACGCCCAGAAGCATCCGGATATCTGCGCGCGGGTATTGCCGGGAACCTCCTGCTTCAACGATACGCACTGCTTCAAGTTTGTAACGATTCCAAATGAATGCTCCTTGTTGACTCCATATGGGACAAACAGATACATGGACACAGCTGGTACCCGAAACGTTCAGACGCCCAGCAGCATCCGGATATCTGCGCGCGGGTATTGCCGGGAACCTCCTGCTTCAACGATACGCACTGCTTCAAGTTTGTAACGATTCCAAATGAATGCTCCTTGTTGACTCCATATGTGACAAACAGATACATGGACACAGCTGGTACCCGAAACGTTCAGACGCCCAGCAGCATCCGGATATCTGCGCGCGGGTATTGCCGGAAACCTCCTGCTTCAACGATACGCACTGCTTCAAGTTTGTAACGATTCCAAATGAATGCTCCTTGTTGACTCCATATGTGAATGTGTGTTTGCGTGCGCATGGCATGCATGCATCCGATTTTCCCCATCTTTACATATTTGTATCAATATGTTTCGGAGCATGTGCATGGACCGGCCTGCACCCTTCGCGTCCTCTACTCGCGTATACACGTAACCTTCTCACCGGTTATCCGTGAAGCCGTTTGTTCACGTCGACAGGAATCCTTCAGTCTGCGTATAAACGTATCGATATTTCAGTAGATCTGTGTATCCATGCACGTGTGCAATCGGGCGGGAAAAGCTTCAGGGGCACCACGATACCGAGCTCTTGCGTTACGATGGTACAAAAAGAGTCCTGGTCTGATGCTTGCGCCGCACGTTTGAAGACGTACGGTATTCAAGCGATTCCTACAAAATACAGGCGAACGAACGAACGAACGAACGACCTAATTTTACTGGGAACAGCTCCGGGTTCCATATCAAGGCATGCGTTATGTGCGCACTAGACAAGCGTATCGGGCGGTCTCACCAGACTCCGGGGAGGAGCACGTAGGGAACAGCTTCGCAGTAGGCGCGCCACGCGGCGCCATACTTTTGTCGACAGCGAGCTTCATCACGCTGACTTCGGTGAATCAAAAGCAGCAGTAAATAGAAAAAATATATAAACGCAACAAAACGGTACGCTCCGCCAAGCGTCGGCATGCTGAACGCCAGTGCAAGCAGCAAATCTCCGAGGTAGTTCGAGTGACGGGCTACACTCCACCAACCAGAGGCTAAAAGTCGACCGCCACCAAAGGTGCGATTCACGGCTTTGGTTGCGGTTCCATGCGTCACACCCGTCTGGGACGTCTCGCGCTCGAGGCGGTGCCAACGAGGTATGCCGCGCGACCAGCTGACGAACCAGCTGCTAACTGGTCGCTGAGAGTCCCTCTTGAAAGCATCTTTCTGCGAGTTTGCAGAGCGGAAAATCCATCCACCAAGCACTACGGTAATCAGCGTGCCCAGCAAAAGCCCTACCGACATACGCCGTTGATCGTGCACCAGACACCACGCTGGAGTACTGAAAACGAACGGGATGAACACCAGGTCGCCCCAGATCAACATCAGACCAAAATGTTCCGCAACAATATCCCAAGTCGTGGTCATCTTGCTCTCGTGCCAAAAGTAGTCCAGGATGTAACCATTCATGATCAGCTGCGTCAGCAGCATGCGCGTTGTTACACGGCCTAGAGCGTGCCACTGCTTGGCAGCAATGGAGAGGTTGAGCAACATCCAACCGATCATCGATGGCCGTAGCCAGAAAAACTTGAGCTCAAACCGACCCAAGTGCGGGTTCAGTTCGGCACCGAGAATAAAGTCTCGCAGCCAAGACCGCTGACTGGGTCCGGTGCTCGCGGAGGCCCGCGATCGCCAACGCTGGCGAAGCAGCAACAACGTGGCAAGACTCCATGCCAGCAGGTTTGCTGCCGCCAGAAACGCACCCACGTTATCCGCAAGATAGGACCAGGTCCAAGCGCCCAGCCCAGAGCCCAGAGCAGCCCATATCGCCACCGTAGACCCCAGCACAGCGAGACCGTTGCACTTGTAGTGAATGCGCTTAGAGCCATCCGCGGGAATCGTTCCCGGGTAGACCCAACCGGGAAGCGCTTCGCTCAAAAGGGCAAGAACACCAATGTAAACGAGCAGCTGGAGCGTTGCCAGGGAAACGTTTCGAAAAGTAAGCGAGCAGCCCAGCTCCCGGGCCGCTACAACAAACCAGCGCCAGTCGCAGGCGAGGGCCAAACCCACGACAGCAACCAAGAGGGCGTAGGTCAGTGCCATCAACGCTCTGATGTTCGTGACTTGAGCTCAGGGGGCAGACGCTGCACCCGACTTGCTGGTACTCGCGTCACCCTGCCCAGTGAAGTACGCACCGCACAAGAGGGGCGCTGCGGACGACTCCAACGTCCACAGGATACCGCACAGGGGTACCGCTCGGTAAGAGCGAAACGTCCAAGTACAAGAGTGCCTCTACAACTGGAACACGACAAGCAACCTCAACGTTCACGTACGACTGCCGCACGGAACGTTCCAAGGACGTCTCGGTGAAGCCAATGACTTGGAGTCGAGGTCGTGCGGCGGACGCCAGCGTCGACAGAACGCTGCCGAGCGCACCAGCAACGCCCGAGGAGACCGACTCAGAAGCGACGCAACTTTAGAAGCAAGCTGTAGACGTCCGGAACTAGTCTGGCTCAGTGCTTAACGAACGGAAGTCTCGTGCGCGTCCAGAAACATCTGGTTAGACGGACGAACTCTAGACTCTAAAAAGACCGGGAGAAAGCTTGAGAAGAACCCCAGTCTGAAGGACACCTTCTCGCTTTGAGACGACGCTGGTGGTGGTGCAGTACCTGAGCCAAGGGCTCTTCGAGCAGGTAACGCGGACACCAGAGACCAGAGGCTGTGCGCTTGAACGTTTAGGTAAGGGCGCTGCCTCTGATCCCGAGTCTGAGTCCGGGATCACCGAGCAGCAAGCCTGTACTGGACTTGGCGCCCGGGACGTGCCACTGCACAAGCACCGTCCAGCGCTTCAAACAACAGCACGGTGCCCAGGCTACAGAATTGCATTGTGTATTTGGTTTCGAAACGGCCGGGTAGCAACGCACCCGGCGCTTGGCTGATGACTGGTTGCGGGGAACAGTACTACTACTACTACTGCTGCTGCTGCTGCTGCTGCTGCTGCTAGAATCGCAAACTTTTCTCTGCAGTCCAGTTGTTTAACAACCAAGCGCCACTAGACTAGCGCTCGTGCAAAACGCCGCGCTGTACTCCGAACTGCTTCAGTGCAGTCCCGGTACCGCAGCCGGTGCACCTACGCCATATCTTGAACGACGACTCGGTGCATGCCCGGGGGAAACACGACGCGGCCACGGGACTCGACTCTGGTGACGCGACACAACAGACAGGGCACCGCTTCGCGAGCACAACGCACCGGCATACCGCAATGTCGTCACTTGAGCCGGGAAAATACCCGAGCGGACCCCGTCTTGTGCGACCTCGGATCGAACTCTTCCGGGAGGGATGCCCCTGCGGCAGCATTGCCGCCGGCCAAGTCCAGCTCTATCCGCAAGGCCTGCCTGCCGAGGCGCTCAAAACGCTGGAGACCCAAACACGAGACGTTGCCAACGTCGACCAGCTCGACTGGGAGGCGCTGCACGCTGACTGGTTCGCAGCACAACGCTCGCATGGTCTACGTCAGAAAGCGACCAATCATCGCCTCCCAATACCAAAGCACCCTCTGAACTTACAGTTCAGCGCCGATGAAGTGCTCGTTGGACCCGCTCTGGAACCAGTCGCATCGACACCTGAAACCAAGAGCACACGCGAATCCACATCTTCATCTACCGTGGAACAGGACAAACTCGACCTCTCCCGTCAACAAGTGATTCTCCGAGGCCATGCGGTACTCCAGGTCGGTGATGCCGCCATCCGGGCCCCCGGCATGCTCCTGGATATGCCACGCGGCATCGTGCAGGCCGCGGGACCCGTCATCTGTCGATGGGGGGCGTATCAGAATCCGCCACTGGCGGCTCCGTCAACCTCTTCTGTGGCGGATGCTCCTTCAACGTCACAGGCAGAGGACTGGTCGCCTCACGGCGGTGTTCTGGTGGGCGGGCGCTGCACCTACGACCTGGAGCAGCGCCGACTGACCTGTGATCGGGTCGCGGGTGCACTGCGGATCCACAGGGCGGTACCTGACCAGGAAGAGCATTTACTGCCAGCTCTGGAGACGTTTGATGAGGTCACCGCGCTTGGCCTACCCTGGGGCCGAAGCTTCTTCCGTCGTCTGAAGGACAGTGAACCGCAGGGTGCTCGCGGCTGGCAAACGCGCTCTCGAGCTTCGAACAGCGCCTACCGACAAACGGCACAGACGAATATCGTTCAACCGGAGGCTGCTGCTGCTGCTGCTGCTGGAAGCCGCCCTCATGACAGGGATATGCAAACTCTCGCAACAATGAGTACCTACGACCCCGAGGCCGCTTACTTGCGGCTTCGTGCGGAACGAGTGCAACTTCGTATGGGACCCGCACGCCTTCGCGAATGGGTCGCCGACCAACCCCGGCTCGCGGAGGCTATTCACTTCAGCGAACGTGCCCTCTACGATGCGCGACTCGAGTGGGATCCCAGTAGTGGACCGAAACACCCCGGTGCACAGCTCGAGGCGAGTCGGTTGTGCTGGCACGACCGGCCACACCAGGAGCCGGAAATGCGTATCCAGCGTGCGCTGCTGAAGGTCAACAAACGTTTGGCGCTGCCCGTGTTGCAGCGTCAACTGAGCCTCGGCCAAGGAGGTCTCTCTCCTGCCGCTCTCGACCAGTTGTTGGATCTGGGTCGCAGTATGACGCGATTTGCGTACGATGTGGAGCAGCACGGCGGTTTCTACCTCTCTTGGCCGCTCTGGACGGATTCACTCCAGGCACCAGCTGGTACTCGTGTACACGGGCAAGTCGATCTTCTGACGCGCTTGGCGGCTTCGATACCTTTTCTGCGTCGTTGGGTTCTGCACGCATCGCTCGCGTTGCGTAACCAGAGAACCAGTTTTGGTCGCATTCGTGCACATGTGCAGTTCTGGCTCGAGCAGCCGTCAACGTCGGCTCGGAGTAGCGGACGCATCGCTGTCGTAGCGGGCAGTGGCGAGGCGTCAGACGACGACCGTTTGGTGCCTGCTGGTGCTACGGCAGGTGCCGCGCATCCGACGGAGGCCAGCTCGCGGTTAACTGCGGAAAACCCCCGCCAGCGTCAGCAGATGCGGCAGGCGCTCGTAGCGGACGCTGCACTTGCAGCAGCGCGTAGCAGCACATCGAGCCGCAACTCGACGGAGTTGAACGTGAGCGCTGCGAGACGCCCCGCTCTTCGCGATGGATTGCGTAGCTCGGGGCGTGTCGAGCTGCTTTTCGGTGGATCGCGATCCTTCCAGCTATCGTATCATTCGGATGAGGTTGCGTTTCAGCCGTTTCTGCCCCTGGAGGTGCACGCTACCGCAGACGAGGTCACATGGCCGCTTCCACGCAGCTGTCCGTGGACCCGACTCGGCCGTCACTGGCTCGCGCGAGGTACGCTCTGGCAACGGCGACGTGTTTCGGCACCGGAGCCACGAGCCCGCGTCCTCGAGGGTGTGCATATCGGGTACGAACGGGTGGATGCGGCGGTGCTGCCGTCGAGTGCACTGCTATCGACTGTGCCCGCTCGTAGCGTTGTCCGAACGGACGAGCGGGTCCAGCGGATGGTGATTCAGTACGGAGTGCAGGTAGAGAGCCTGCTCTATGCAGGTCGACGCACGCGTGCCCAGCGCACTCGACCGTACCTGGCGAGTTTTGCGGCGTTGGATGCTCGACTCGAACGTACGCGATGCTCGTTTGACCAAGAGCCGTGGACGCTACGCGGTGCGCTGGTAGGCGGTCTACGCGCCCAGTTCGGATGTTTCCAGCGTCGCTTTTTGGACGCCACCGGATTCCTCATACGCGTGCGACAATCGTTTGGAGTGCCGAGTCCACTGCTTTACCAGTACGAGGCGTTTCCGACGAGTCTGCACCTGGGTTGCGGTCAACAGGTCTGGGGACCCTTGCGCGTAGCCGCTGAACGGGTCTGGCTCTACTGCAGCGGGTACTCGTCGCCGTTGTGCGCTGCAAAGGACTCGTTTGTGCCGCTAGAGACCAATTACGTTGTTGAATGGCAACAACCAACGTTTAAGATTGGCATGATTTGGAGTGCTGAACGCCACCAGGGCCAAGTGCGCGCCTCCATGACCTGGTAATGCGCCCCGGTAAAGCGTAGGGCATTCTGTTTCTATTTCGTATCCGAAAGCAGCGTTGCTCAGTGAGCGCGCCGGAGCGCAGCATGCGCCGACGTTTTCTGCGTCCTGAAGAGTGGCGATGGTATGGCGAGCGCAGTGCGGAGTGAGGATGCGCAGGCGTTGAAGCACGTGCGACGCTTTGGAGACGCTGGTGAGGCAAACGCACTTTGCCTGCAACGGCGTGATGCGTTCTTGGTGCATTGCTTGATCGCCAGCGCACCCAGTGCACCAGTGGCATGCGCGCTTGAACATTGTTTCAGGCGTGAAAACGCAGCAGGTAGCGGTCTGGGCTCGCAGGTCTCTAGTCCCCGGCAGCAAAGCGACGCAGCGATCTTCTGAGCGCTAGATCAAGTTCGTAGGGCGCTCGCGAAAGCTGTGGCGTACGTTCGTGGAGTAGTGACGTGCACGGAAACGTTTCGGAGCGAGACGAGGCGCTTCGGGTGCCGTCGCTGCGGATGCCGCTGCCACAACGGCACCAGCGTCTACCCTGTGGGTGAAACCCCCGGTGGTATCGCTGTTCGTACGCTCCAACGGATTCAAGGCCGTGCACTGGACAGGCGCGACAACGGACATGGTGTATTACCGCCCCGACGAGGTCCATGCCCATGCTATTCGTTCTAGGGCATGCAAGTGGGGTCCGGATCCGGAGGATCTCCAGCCGCCAGCTCATCGCGAATTACACCTCGGATCTGCAGCATCAGTGACCGAGCGCTGGCGACACGAGGTGTCTATCTCGAGCCGACTCTAAGCGGCAAGCACGTACTTACCCAGAAGTATTCCCAGTAAAATCGCCATCACAAGTTGCACCCACGGTAGGATGAGTAGCGTTGGATGTGGTGAGGCACCCAACGCGCCCGTGCTCGAACTCTTGAGCAAGCGGCTGGCGCTCTCGAGTCGCGACTTGAGCAGGGCCACCTCTGCCTGACTCCGCGCCAGCTCGCGCCGCAGTCGAGCCGTCTCCGACTCTTCTCGTGTCTCCGTCTCTGTCATGTGATCCGGGGTGATTGCTGCTGCTGCTGCTGCTGCTGCTTTCGACTGCTCCGTTGCAGCATCGTCCCAGTGCACAGAGGGCGCCGCCGCTGAACCACCACCCGCCCCGACACCTGCCATCCGTACCGCGTCACCGTCGAGGCGCTCGCTTGCTTGCGCGCTCGCCGATGCCGGCGGTGTGCCTGCATCCATACCAGAGGCCGCTGACTTGCCTCCACTGTCCACGGACTGCGACATTCGCGCTCGGTAGCTCTGGAGCATATTCTCCAAAGTATCCTGATTAAACAGGAACTCACAGCGAAACTTTTGTTCGAAAACCTCCTCACGATCAACGGTATCGAACAGACCCGCGTCGAAGGACCGGTTTTCCAGTAACAAGCCTTGGATTAAAAACTTATCCTCGAGTTCCTTGCTGAGCTCCTGTTTCAGACCGTCATAGGTGAGCACGTCGGCAGCGGGTGTGGCGCTGGTGGCGTCGCCACCGCTCGAGCGGCTCTCCGCCTGCCGTACCAACGCGGCGCACGCGTCCGCAACCACTCGCTTTAGCGGTTGTAGCTGCACCTGAAGGTCAAGCGTCTCTCCGGGTGCTAGTTTTGCCGCGTTTGGCTTGACACAGTAGCGCTTCGGACGCGTTGTTTTGACCTTGAACCCCACGTGATCGTTCGCCTCGTTGCGAAGCTTCAGCGTGAGCAGTGTCGGTTTCTCCAGTGAGTCTATATGGAACGTAAACCGCGTCTCAGACACGTTCAAAATACGATCCATGGTGTAGTCAACACGTTTTCTCAGCAGCGTTGATCAGTGCTCAGAAACGAAGGTGTTCGAGTCCCTGCGCTCGCTCGGTAATCGCTAACCGTTAAAGGGGTTGGGTAGCGGAGGCAATCCATCGATCGATCGAGCGATCGATCGATGGATTGCAGCAGCGCCCTGGGGGTGGCGCGGCGGCAGCGCGCACTGCATCGCGCGATGCATCGATGCTGATTCGGGGCGAGGGGGTGGCGGCGGCGGCGGCGGCACAGCGGAGCATCGCGCGCGATTTTTCGTACGATAGTGGGTCTCGGATGGATGTTTTTCAGGAGAAAACGTTTCCTTAGGCCAGCGTTCTCCGATTATGCGCATTTTTCTTTTCTTTTTGGGTTTGTTTTCAGTGCGCGGTGAGGTATCCACCGAATGCTCTACCTCCAAGTTACATTACCTAAGAAGGTCTCGGATGGATGTTTTTCATGGAGAAAACGTTTCCTTAGGCCAGCGTTCTCCGATTATGCGCATTTTTCTTTTCTTTTTGGGTTTGTTTTCAGTGCGCGGTGAGGTATCCACCGAATGCTCTACCTCCAAGTTACATTACCTAAGAAGGTCTCGGATGGATGTTTTTCATGGAGAAAACGTTTCCTTAGGCCAGCGTTCTCCGATTATGCGCATTTTTCTTTTCTTTTTGGGTTTGTTTTCAGTGCGCGGTGAGGTATCCACCAAACGCTCTACCTCCAAGTTACATTACCTAAGAAGGTCTCGGATGGATGTTTTTCATGGAGAAAACGTTTCCTTAGGCCAGCGTTCTCCGATTATGCGCATTTTTCTTTTCTTTTTGGGTTTGTTTTCAGTGCGCGGTGAGGTATCCACCAAATGCTCTACCTCCAAGTTACATTACCTAAGAAGGTCTCGGATGGATGTTTTTCATGGATAAAACGTATCCTTATGCCAGCATGCTCCGATTATGCGCATTTTTCTTTTCTTTTTGGGTTTGTTTTCAGTGCGCGGTGAGGTATCCACCGAATGCTCTACCTCCAAGTAACATTATCTAAGAAGGTCTCGGATGGATGTTTTTCATGGAGAAAACGTTTCCTTAGGCCAGCGTTCTCCGATTATGCGCATTTTTCTCTTCTTTTTGGGTTTGTTTTCAGTGCGCGGTGAGGTATCCACCAAATGCTCTACCTCCAAGTTACATTACCTAAGAAGGTCTCGGATGGATGTTTTTCATGGAGAAAACGTTTCCTAAGGCCAGCGTTCTCCGATTATGCGCATTTTTCTTTTCTTTTTGGGTTTGTTTTCAGTGCGCGGTGAGGTATCCACCGAATGCTCTACCTCCAAGTAACATTATCTAAGAAGGTCTCGGATGGATGTTTTTCATGGAGAAAACGTTTCCTTAGGCCAGCGTTCTCCGATTATGCGCATTTTTCTCTTCTTTTTGGGTTTGTTTTCAGTGCGCGGTGAGGTATCCACCAAATGCTCTACCTCCAAGTTACATTACCTAAGAAGGTCTCGGATGGATGTTTTTCATGGAGAAAACGTTTCCTAAGGCCAGCGTTCTCCGATTATGCGCATTTTTCTTTTCTTTTTGGGTTTGTTTTCAGTGCGCGGTGAGGTATCCACCGAATGCTCTACCTCCAAGTAACATTATCTAAGAAGGTCTCGGATGGATGATGGATTCTGCATTGCGCGATGGATACCGGTAAACAAGTTCCATGACCTATGCTTCCACACGGATGTCCTGATCGTATTACATGGAACGGGTCCAGGTTCGTGACTCGGACGTACTCGCGGAGGTGTGGCTCTGTTTCGACGTTCATCGGCACGAGTCTCTCTGTGGGATTTTTATGTGTGAATGCCTCCTCTTCGGTTCGATCATCTGCAGCCTGAAGTATTCCGGTCGATCCATTTCGTCTGGTGCTATTATCAGACGCCAAATGATCGTGATGGCAGCGTTCAAGTCCCGTTGTCTCTGTTCTTTGTTGTTGTGCACGCATTACCTGGACGGGCGGTGGTCGCGATCTGCGCTTTCCGTGCCATGTTCATCTTCTTTGTCTGAAACTTCGGTGTGCCTTTCGACGCGGTGATGCTTTGCAATACCAGGGTTTTCCCGTAAACGCACCAAAACATTCTTCTTCGAGGAATGAAATATGGAGCGTGAACGCTTCTTTTAGCGATCGGTGCACGCTCTTGACGAGTGCACACGGCTAACCTGAGTAGGTCCCTCGGGTTCCGCGCCCGGTGCTGTGCCCCGAGATCCAGGAACTCCTCAGGGGAATGCCCTCGGCGAGTACGCTACCTGCTGCATACGCAAGCGAACGCTGTTTGATTCAATAAGGTATTTGTAAAATGCAAGTTTGTCAACGATGAAACATGCAGCAGATGGAAACTCCATACTGGAGAACAAGCCGAGAAATAAACCTCGATAAGTGTATGCTCCACTCGTGCGAAGCAGAGACGCATGCTCCATCAGAGGCGATCGCTGGGATGACGAAGATCCGACTCCAAAACCTCGCTCGATGTAAACGTAAGAGAGGGAATGCCCTGGCAGATGTCATGCTGCTGTTGAATTCCGGGTCCTCGATGGCCACAACGAGTGGACGATTTGTCTTTCAAAGATAATTCACTTTGTGACGGAACAAGTTCAGTGAGCTTTTGGTAAGAACTTGTGAACAAGTCGTGAAGGCATGACTTCAAGTTGCATACGTCGTCCATCCGGCGCCGGCGATGACTTTTCGACGGCATGCTTTGAAACAGAGGGTTCGAAAATTTTGAAGAATCCGTGATCTGAGCATGCCATACGTAAGGCAAGGACAAGGCCGAGGGGTCGTACCCATGCATGGGATTATGATATCGATTCCCTGATGAACCCGTGCTCGTGTTCGTCGTGAACCATCTTGATCCCGGTGACCTAAAGAATTCCAACGGCGTCGAAGAAGCCTCTCCAAAACGAATGCCGAAAATCCTGAAACGACGTATCAATTCATTAGCCCTTATTGCTGGACTTCGAGGTTCGATGCGCAACATCTATACAAGCTCGGAAAGTGATCGAAATGCTCGAACAGAGCGAGCTTCTCATTGTTCCATTTTCATTTGATACAAGTGTCAGCAGCAATGTTCTCATCCGAGGCGATCAGTGCATCGGGGATGTCCACCGCGGCGCTTGGCGATCCGCTGGGATTTATCCGTACATCGGGCGAGCAATCTTTTACCCAGAGACTTAGGATCCAAGGTTACAGACACATCTGGGATGCGCCCGGTAGCATCGTCTACTCACGTATGCCCAATCGTACATGTAATTCGATTTTCATACAGCGACGTTGTCACCCAAGGCGCTATGTACATCTCAAATGTCCTTGCTGGGTTTTCAAGTCTCGGTGCACTCCGCTGATGACACTGCTCAACGCGTTCAGTTCAGGCTCTACCAGAGACCAACACGACAATCGCAAGATCAGGTCAGACGCAAGCAATACCAAATGGATACCGTCGAGCTGGCACGCGCCGTCGCGTGTTCCCGTCGGCTCCAGCACATGCTGCAACAGTAAGTCGCATCGTACAGGGGCGCCATTCGGGCTGCGTTTCGATCGTCTGAGCTATCATTACATGACCAGTGCGAGAAACACGAGATTCGCACGATGGCTATGCGTGCTGGTTCCAGCCAGCTCTCAGCGTGGCTGTCGATCTATGTACACGGAACCGGAAATGCACATGCGCTCCTTGCGTTGAATACCGAAGCGGTGAGTGAATCCTGCAGTTCACGCTGATACCTCGGTTCTCAATTCCTGATCCATGCGAGCACTCCAAGACACTATGCACAGCTCCGAGCTTCGCTCATGCCGCGAACCAAGCCCAGTATAACCATCTGCATCCCGAGTCATACGCGGATTCGAAAAAACGAACGACGACCTAAGCCGTACCCCCGCATCAGCCTGAACCAGATTCCGAATACAAAGCTTACCATTGTAGAAGGCTGATGCCCTGCACTGAGCGAAACCCAGTAAACCCTGACTCAGCATACTCGCGTACACCAGCGAAGGCCTTATGGCGCATGTCCGTGACAAGAGTCGTGTGGCAATGCGCATCCATGCGAACATGCCGTGTGGAGCTGCGCTGTACCCGCAAGGCTCGATACCGCCGCCATAACCCGGCAGCTACGAAACGTCAGCTCGCCTCGTGTACAATCTACAAATGATTTGTTCCCGTCCCATGGCAGCGCTTACAGGTCAGCATACCCTTGTGTTGGCAGACGGGGCACGGTCGACACACGGTCGACGGATTTCCAAGACGCTCGCGTGCCTCTGCGTCACCCGCTTGCGCCCGCTCAACGAGCTGATTCATCTCCTCATAGCTGGGAAACGCGGAAACGTATCGGCAGCCAGCACCGCGACACCACGGGCACTGCCGCGCGCCCGCGCCGTCGCACCAGATACAGCGATCCATGTAGCTACTGAGCGGCGAGCCGAACCCGTCACTCGGATTCCGCTTTCGCCGGTAATACACAACCGAGACTCCCCGCGATGCCGCACTGTCCGCAGCACCCGAGCCGGAACGTCTGCACGTGCAATCGTCAACGTCCTGAGCACAGGAACCGGTCCGTGCCTGCAGGGTGCTGCCTTCACAAGCACAGTCCGTCACTCCAGCAGCTGAAGCGTCCACAAGCGGTGCACGGTTGCCGGACGGCTGCGGACTCGACTGACTCTCTGGCGTAGCGGCTCCTGTTTCTGTACCTGTGCTTCTGTTTGGGTTCACCGTACGCGTGCCCGTAAGTACGCTCTGCCGCAGCTCGGACGCGAAGCGTGCCTGGAAACTAACTTCCGGGTGATACACGCCCGGACGCTCAGCCCACGCCGACAACTCCATCGCCACCGAGACCGCGTCGCGCTCATACGCTCGCTCCAGGCTGCGCCGCGTCGTCGCCCCGCCCTCGCCCAGCGCTCGTAGCTGCTGCCACCGACTCGAGTATCGACTCCGTTTCTCTACTGTCTGACCATAAATGCGCCAACTATGTCTACTCGAAAGAAGTCTATCACCTTTCGTTCCGAGAACAAACATTGTCGTTCCCTCGGAGCTGTGCACAAAACACCGAACACTTTTGAAATGCTAGCAACTTTAGAAGCAACTGCAGAGGCGTTCACCACAATGTCAACGGAAGCCGCTACCCGCGAACGGTGATGGCGCTCTTGCCGGCAAAGCGCCTCCGTCAAAACGCCGCCATCACCGCTGACGCGCGTCGCCATCTCCATCGACACGCCATCGATCGCCAAGATCTTACACCACGCAGCGGCCTGCGTTACCCCGAGCTGGGCGCTTGGTATCAGTGCACGGTGTAGCATCCATCGACCGACGCCCAAGCCCCATAACCGATACTTCTGCTCGGATATACTGGTTGCTTTGTAGGTTCTATCGTGCGCCAAGTGTGTGTCGTGAGCGTCCGCGGCAGCGCCCATAGCGCCGGTGCGGTCGCTGCACGGAGACAGAACATCGTTTCCGTACCACTGAGGGCGTCGGATCAAGGAATGCTACGCCTGACACGGACTCGGGGCTGGTTATCATTCTGGGAGCCTGCAAGCTACACATACAGAAATACTGCCTGGGGAAGCGCGAAAAATGATATGCTTGGAGTCCACTAGGAACAACGCGACGCCCAAACGCACACGAAACACCTCCAGTCCCAGAATGAAATGCCTTGCGTACGAGTTGCTCAGATCTCGCTGAAGCGTCCGTCGCTGGGCAAATCATGAAGCACAATCCTGGTAACTCGTCCGGCTCGCAGGAGCTTCCGCCTAGGAGATAAACTTTCGGCAATGCGGAAAGCTTTTCGACTTTTAAAGATAACCGTGGTGGCGGAAAGAAATCCTTTTCTCGTTATTACTAGGTGTCTAGTTTCTGTTCTTTTTTTCTAAAGTGCGCTCGATACGCGCACCTCTATATCTGGCAGGCATCAGACACGACGCGCATGCCGCCGTTGAAGGAAAACGCTATTCTGATCCTTCGCGTGTTGTTCTAAACTACAAGATGCATTTGCGTTAGAGCCCCAGCAAAGTATAGATTTTAGTTCTAGTGTGTTTCAACCCTAAGATTAACGTATGCAAGAGTTTTTCGCGGTTTATAACGGAAGCGTTCAAAATGCGTTCATTTTCAAAAATCAACATATACAGGAATTTTATGGGGATGCAGGTCGAGGACCCTGGGAGCACCGCTGTCGCCGACTGCCGGAAGAAAACCAAAACCAATGCCGAACCCAGAGGAACAAGACGACACCAAGGAGCAAAAGCGTGAGGCTCGGCGTCAGAAGCTGCGAGAAAGTCGACACTACCACGAGATAATTGTGAACGCATGTCTACTTGGACATACCAAGAATCCGTACAAGGAAAGGTTGCGGGACGCCATCAGAAACCGTAACGAGTCGTACTCCAGGGGCATTATAAAGGCTTCGTCAGGGCTGATGCATTCGGTGGAGACGTATCGCGACGTGACGCACATCAAAACAGTCGAGGTTCCGGAGGAGGTTTTCGACAGGACCTTCATTAGGCACCTAATGCTTGGCAGAGAAGGAACCTCGATGAGAAATGAGCGAGTGCATGCCCTCCATGAAAACTGCGGCGAACAGCGCTTCAACGGTACTCGGTACGGCGAGAACTGGAAGATTTGCTGGTACGGGACGATGGAGTACCTCAGGAACCTGAAGAACCATTTGAACGTGAACCTCGGACGTTTCATGATACGCTCTATTTTTTTCGCTGTATCCGGGTCTCTCTCGCAAAGGGATATGGATCATCATCGATGGCATCTTTAACGATCGTAAGAATGAAGAGGAGATCGACTTTGGCGACTAGTAGACATCACGCTGGAGAAGGAATGCGGCTTCTGTAATCCGTACGGCTATTCAAGAGCACCGTGCGGTCTTGGCGCTGGCGAATCCAGTAGAAAAGATATCAGAGTTGAAAAAAGATGAAATGTACGTTATGCCCTCATCCTCCGCAATTTCGTGTTTTTGGACCGAGAACTCGAACGCAAAGCGGAGCTGAAGCTGAGTGAGTGGACAAATGACGAATCGGAGACACGGAAGGGTGCCCTAATGGGGAAGCGCTTCAACGTCGTTCCGTTGTGCAACATCAAGTCGCACTTTGTGAGTATCGACTCTGGCGTCCTTTACTGCATCAAGAAGGAGATCTGTCCGGAGTTCGATGTAAGGAAGATAGAGTTCACCGGCGAGAACCGGGAGACGTGCTGGAAGATCATCTTCGATTTCAAAAGTGTCAGATTGCGCAAGAAAACGGTATGCACTGGGATTATCGAAAGCGAATGGGTATGCATATGTGTTCACAACAGGCGCTTGAAGGTAAATCATCTTGTTCCGTCTTCGTTGGCGCCCTCGGCGAAGCGTGAAGAAAACAACGAGACGCGCTCTGGAACACATGATCCGCAGGAGAGCGACTCTGTCGCTGGCGCGGACCCTGGGAATACGAACATCGTGACCATCGCTGCACCTTTTGTTGGGTAGATGGCAATGACCGCAACCTACGTCAGAAAGACATGCGTGTTCTAAAGTTCTCAGGAGCGAGGTACTATCGAGAATCGGGAATAATGAATGCGAGGAAGAAAACAGAGAAATGGAACGCAGAAGTGCAAGAGCACCTGGTAGCGATCAGCCAGGTGACGAAGCGCGGAGCGAACTTTCGAGCTTTTCTGGAGTTCATGAAAATTCTTGCTGCTGATGACGAGGCGCATTGGAAAGCGTATCCAAAAGCCCAGGTAAGCCCGTCAGCGTTTGAATCTGTACAGAGGGAAGCAGCGTACATTCGTCACCTTTTCAATGAGTTGAGCGCCCTCAAAGAGCATGAAAGTCAAAGGCTCGTGGTGGCAAACTGAGCAGGGCGTCGGGTGCCCTGCCCAAAGGGTGTACACCAGCCCCGTCGACATGAGCGTACAACGAATGCGCACAGCGTTTTCACACCATACCGATGGATGAGTTCCGAGCATCCTATACACACCATGCATTGGGTTGTACGCTTCAGAGGGTCGATATGGAAAAGTGTCAGCGGAGCCCTGAGGGTGTAAAAAAGTCCGGAGCGCTGACGGTACAGCGAATGGAACCGAGGGCGCAAGTTCGAGGACTGCTTGCATTCGTAAGTACAAGCAATGATGGCAAGAAACGTATGCAGTTTGTGAACCAAGACTTTCATGCCGCTATCAATACCAGACGAGGAGTTTTCATGAACATGAGACCCGCAGCGCAGACAGAATCCAACTTTGTGGGGCCACCTCCCAAAGCTGCGTTCTACAAGGAGAAGCTGAAACCGACAGCGGACGGCGGGTCCATGAAAAACGCTACGAGCCGTCTGTTTGTGGGCGCACCAGTACACCGCACATAGGCGCGAGACATTTTTTGCTCTGCAGGTCACATATATTGGCGCTCATCAAACGTCGAGGCTGGATATCTACATCAAATTCGCAAAAAATACTCAAGACAGGAACAGAGCGAGCAGATGCATGTTCCAGTTTAGACAAAAGCGAAAGTAGGGTGCTGCGCGCTCGACCACTCGTCTACCGGTATACGAGTCCGAGGAACGAGCCTGCACCGGGGAAAGCTCGTGCCAAAACAACGCACCCTTACCGACGAAAACGATAGCGTACAAATGGTACCTCAACTTCCTCACCAGTGGAGGCATCTTCTGCCATGACTTCGAAAACCAGGAAGCGGTCCTTGTCGGTCAGTTGTATTTTTCCAACGGCTTGCGCAAGCTCAGTAAGCGGCGTCGCGCGGCGTTCCGCGGCCTTTTTCGGTGCTAACCAGCCTGAAAAGAGGATCGCAACGCCACACGACATCATGCTGATATGGAGACCAAGCTCGCGCTCAAAATGCTCCATGAACTCGGCCAACGTCAGATCGTGTCCATTTCCATCTACCTCGATACGATCCCACAGCGAGAACGTACGGTTACCGCTGGGTGACATGGGCTGCAACGGGGCCTGGATTGGTTCGCTAAAGTTGAAAAGTGAAAGTGCCAGGTTCACGTAGCTGTTGCGGAAGCGCTCGAGCACCTTGACGCGATCGACGAGCGGGACGCTCGTTCCGTTCGTCACAGCGGAGCTCGTGCTGATCGCGGAGAAACTCGAAGCTGAAAGCGCCCGTGGATTCGTCCTCAAGATCGGACGGATCTGAGCGAGCTTGTAGATCTCGAGACACACGAGCCCTGCCACCAGCGCGGTACTCGTGGCAATCGCGGGTATGATTCGCCCCGCGATGCCTCGTGACTTGTGCTTGTCCGCCAGCGGTATCCCATAATTCAAAGCGCGCAAATTGCTCGCAGCGGTGACGAAATCCATGTCCCAGCGATCCTCGTCGTCTTTCTCGAACTCCAACGGATAGAGGGACAAGCTGGCAAATGATTCGGGTGGCGGCAAGCGCGCCAACAGCTGCTCAATGCGTTGTTGGTCGACATTGGCGGTCACAGCGGCGCCGCTTGCTTGCGCCTCCTCCTCAGAAGCGGCAATCTTGACACCAGAACTCGGTTGGAAAGCAGGTACCGAAACATTCGCAACGATCGCTCGTACCTGCTCGCGATCTGTGCAGAGAGGTATTCCGAACGTCTCTGCGCGCAGGTTTGCCGCCGCTACAATGAACTCAAGGTGCAACGGATCTGCAGGATCGAAACGAAGCGGCGTCGGCGCCCGTTTCGTCCCGCTCCAAAATGGCTGTCCCGAGCTGTCAACCATATCTGGCGGAAACGCGTGAAGTAGCTGGCGAATATTGTTGACGTAGAGTTCTTCGAACTTGTTGCGCGCCCAAACCACGCAGTCCTTGAAGTTTTGCGGGCGATACGTCTGCAGGTTCTCAAGTACGTTCTCCAAAGCTCCAGAAAATATGCCGGGTCCCTGTTTCTCTAGCTCTGCGATGTACTCAGAGCCTCGCTCCAGGTACTGCTTGGTATCCTCGATGGAGGCCTTGAAGAGGCCCTCAAACAAATCGCGAGCCCATTGAAGCGTATGTTCGATTCTGTAGGGGAAATTTTTCAGCGTACACATGGGAATGCTTCGCTCCGGCGGGTCGCGCGACGATCCGTATGACTCGGTGAGATAGGGAACCACCACTTGGGTGCTGCCTTTGGTGCCTAGCGTGCCGGAATCCAGCAGAGGTTTCAGATAGTAAACGCAGCGCTGATCGATATATAAACGAGCGTCAACATTATCCAAGGCCGTGCAAACCCCATCGAGCGGCTCCCAGAAATCATCGCTGAAGACATGCTCGGTGTCCGGTCCAACGCGCATCTCGAGCGCTCGAACGTTGAGCTCCGGATTCAGCCGCAGAGCGGCATCGCGTGCCGCCAGGGACTTGCTGCGGCCAATGTCGGTTGCTCGGAAGAGAAACTGCCGATTCAGATTGCTCCGTTCTATCGTGTCCATATCGGTAATTGCAATCGATCCACCATGACTCGCGAGTCCCAGTCCCATGCACGCCCAACATTTGAGGAGCTCTGCAGCAATCGCTCCGGCCCCAACACAAAAGTAGGCCAGATCGTGAATCGTATCCTGCAACGCACGGCCAAAGACTGCAATCTGTCCGTCATAGCGTGTCCCCCGGGGAGCGCACTCCAGCTCGTTTGGCAACGGCGTCGGTAACGCCTCCATGGCGTTGAACGAAAAGATCTGGTGAATGGGGGTAAACTTGCCGGTGACTGCCTTGAGAACCTCCTGTGCGGCGATCCCACCAAGAATCGATGCCATCGGAGCGAGCTCCCCGTATACGGTTCTGACAAACGCGTTAAGCAATGCATCGTGCTTTTCTTGAATATCGGCGGGTAGCATGCGCTTGAACGCCGCAACTTCAGCCTCAGTACCAGGCGCAGGCAACCGTCCGAATTTTGATAGAGCCTGAAACATGGCATGCAATGCAAAGGTTCGCTCCTCATTCATAAAGTCCAGCGATGCAAACCAATTCGGGTCCACCACGTCTGAGAGCGTGGCGCTCTCTGGATCCCATGTCGACGCTGCCATTCTATACAGCAGCTCAACCGGGTGAAAGTGCACCGTGCGGGGTACTTTCACTTCAGTGACGATGCCACCCCGTCGGTAGACGCCGGCCTCACGGGTGTCAGCGTCAATCACAAAAGTATACGGACTCGTGATCTGAACGACACGAAACATCCGGTTGGGTTCATTGAACATGGGCATTCCGTCCACCTCGGTGAACATGACATACATTCCTTCCTCCAGGTCATGCCGCTGATCATCGAGGCAGGTGACGCACGCCTTTTCCTCATTCGAAATATGGCTGATATGCGCGGATCGTGGCTCCTCTCCGTTGTCATCGATAACTGTATGGGCGTCGCCAAAATCGTTGAGGACGTAGCCGAATACTCCTCGTGACTGAACGATCGTCAGTGGCACCCTAACCGATCGGCAGACGCGATCGAGCTCGATGTGCCTATCGATGGAGAGCTCGTTCACTAGCACAACTGCTGCAAACCCACGAATACGATCTGGATCAATGAGTTCCGCCCAGGACGCCGCGTCCTCCGTGTACACGTGACAGTACGGGTTCAGCTCCACTAGGTGCGGTACCACGACCGTATGAAGTGGTGTCCCCAGCAGTGACGCATCGCAAGCGTAAAAATTGGCGGCCATATGCTGCAAAGCTAGTGGTGCTGGATCATAGACGTGGAGCGCATGGAAGCCAGCCAGCGCCAGGTCTTTCGCGATCTCCGTTCCCGTCCCTGTGAGTCCAATCACCAGCACTGAAGCTCCTGCGAGGCGACGTTGCGCCTCGTGACCCAGCACGTACAGTTGACGCGAGTACAGGGACTCGTCTATGGCCCCGCTCTCTGCTTGCGTGCGCGACACGCGTTCCGGTGGGACAGAGTCCCCCAGCCGCAACATGCTTGTCCGGCGGTTTTTCCAACTACCCGAAGGCGACTCACCGTCAGGGCCCCGTAACAGACGTTTGCTTCCGGTTCCCGTCTTGACGCTTTTCGCTTTTTCGCACAAACCTGCGCACAAATACAGCTGAAGACGACGCCTGCCGCTGATCGCTTTGTCGACTTTGTTCACCACCGTTTAGGGCAAGCGAGCAACCTAACCAGCTTATGAGACGTCCCAGAGCAACTTTTCCGTTCAAACGCTTGTCACCTGAGCACTTCCCCGATGAACTATGGGCACACAGTCAATTTAGACGATCCTGAACACAACGTCAGTCCCGAACATGCACCTGCACTCATTCGGCGCACGCAGGCAACGCACCGACTCCTGTCGTCACGCTGGCAGCGCTGGCGCCGCCTTTCGGGCGCGCGCTGCGGCGATTGCGTGCGGCTGTCGATGATGCGTGACAGCGCATTCGTGGCGTGGCACGACGCGCGGGAACATTCGCACATTCACCACCACAAACGCACACACGCATATCCCGTATGCATGCCACACACGTCTTGCTATTTTGGAAGACTGCAGAAGGCAGGCAGCGTGCCTCATATGCCGGCACGAAACCGGTGATCAGCAACGAGACGTCAACGCTCCCGCAGACGTTTTTCTCGCATGAATACCAGTCCAGTGGCACTCTGGGGACAAAGTGCTTGAGCGATCAGATGGCGTCCCTGGTGCCGAGTCTCCGGCAGATGCCGCACCGAGCCAGGGCCGCGCTCCTCTGCCTGCGCAGGTGACGGATCGAGGCATGCCGGGCAAGTCCGCCGTCGACGCCGCAGGAACATGAACAGGCGATGCCGAGCGCGTCCATCAGATTTTTTGTGGCGGATGACTGAAGAACCTGATGAAAACTCCCCGGATGCGCGTGCGCTACAAGCGATCAGGGCAGAGACCGCATCACCTCAAGGGATGCGATGAGGCGCTATGAGTCCCAGAATGGTGCGCTCCTCAGGCGTATCGGCTTGATGGGTCGTGTGTAATCTCCCGGATACCGAGGATGCCTCACAGGTATGCTGTGGTGCCCCAACTGTCGCCCTGCAGCGACAGATGGGCATTCCGATTCGTGTCCAGGCGTCGTTTCATGGGCAGGTGGCCAGGTGCGTATGCAGGAGCACGGCGACTATTACGTGCAGCGGGCACCGAGGACCACTGGAATGATCGCGCTTGCTTGCGTGGCGCGTATCAGAGGACGGGCGCGAGTCTTCTGGTATAGACCTGATCCAGAGGTAACGATTATTCCACACGAATGAACCTGGACTAGATGCACTGCGTAACAACCGTCCGCTTACGGGCTCTGTGCACACTTTCGTCCATCGTTGCATACCGGAACAGCAGAACAGTAGTGTCCGAAATCATCCATGTTTCGAAGCCGCTGCACGCAGAACTGAATGACTCGAGACTGTGCCGCCGGAACGCCCCTTCAAGCGCAGCATTGCCATACGAGTGCACCGGTGTACGTCAAGCGCGCTGTGCCCCCGCGTCTCTCTCCATTCCATGAGGACAGAACGACAACATCCCGAAATCGTCCTTGCCCTAGTAGAGAGGCCGCGCGAACAAGCGGATCATGCCGCTGCACCTGAGGCGCCGACACATGCAACCAGCAGCAGGGGCAGCAGTGTGGCGAAGGCAGTACGCGATCACCGGCATGGATCCTCCTCCAGACGCCGACGCCCAAAGCGCTGCCCTTAAATTAGGGCGGATCCGGCCTCTAAGGCCAATGTGGTTGCGAACGTTTACCGCAGCGCGTTTTCGCAACGCGAACGCACGAGCGACGGGCCTGCTTCACCACAGCCGGCTACGAGTCCGACATCGGCTGCATATGTCTGGGGCTGGCCAACCGATACCACTTGTGGCGGTGCTGGCGTTCGACCGCCCGGACGCTCGCGAGTTGCGTCGCGCGAACCGCACTGCACACTTGGAGTGGGCGACGCAGCAGCCGTGGATACGGCTCGGTGGCCCTTTGAGTGACACTAGCGCCACGGAACGCGAAAAAGAAAAAGTCATAGGCTCCTTCCTTGGTTTACAGACGGGATTTGTGGAACATCTCAAACAAGATCCATACACACAAGTTGGTCTCTTCGAACGAAGCGAGCGTTACGTGTGGCGCGTTTCCGTCGGCTCTCTTGCCAGTTTCCCACCAGACGCTGTGGAGCTCTCGCCACGTCATCAGGACAGATTTTATCTTATCTGGGGTGTTGATAAGCCCGGTGCCCTCGAACGCCGGCTCGCTCAACGCGAAAAGCATCTAGCTTGGCTCCGAGCCAGCGAAACGCGCTGTGTGATTGCCGGTGCCGTTTTCGAGGAGGCACCTCCCAGTGGCGACGCGGCAAGTGCAAGTAAGCCACGAGGAACGATTTTAATTGTTCGGGGCTTTAACGATGTGCATGAGTTGCGTTCATGGCTCGCAGGGGATCCGTACCAAGAGAGCAACGTCTTCGAGCACATCCATATTTTCGGGTTCCAGCCGATTATTTGTCGCGTTGATTCAAATTCGCCGTGAATGGAAGCGGATGCCGAAGCACAGGATATACAAGCTGCATGCGTTCTTGCACCAGCACCGGCACCGTTCGAAGGCGGCAGGCGACGCCGAGGCACGCGCTTCCATGGCAGCTTCGAATGCGTGCCGGACACGCGACGCTCGTGCATGCACCTATGGCGGGCATTCCACGGACCAGGCTCGCTGCGCTGCACAAGCAGACACCTGGGGGATAGACAGCTGTCGTGGGAACGTCGTATTGGCGCCTTGGTACGTCATGTCGCTTGGATGCACCAGAAAACGCCCACTCGTACGGTGCGTCACAGCCGAAAATTGCAGGACACGCACGGAGACTTGTTGCTGTTCCCGCTTTGATGAAGTAGCGGGAGGAAGCGCGCATTGCGTTGGATTTGAGCTCTGCGTAGGCGGTGCCAAATGGATCTACTGGTTCAGTGGTGACGCGCGCTGTAGTTACGTGCGAGGCGCTCGAATTAAGACTCTAGCGCAACATTCGCGGATAGTCGAAACGTATACAAGTCTCTAGGCGGTGTATATAAAGAAGAGCATTCCAGCCGTAAAACACGCGCTCAGATACAGTGCGCAACACGTCTACTCCAGCTAGTCGACTGCGTTTGCAACTCTCAATGGACGTTATCGCGTGTGCGCGCGTTCCCTAGGGCTGGACTCGAAGCGACGCTCTCTCGCTCTTGTTCGACGAGGAGAGGTATCGGTATTGATCAAGAAACACGTAAACATAGCGCCGCTCTGCAGTCTGCGGCGTTGTGGTACATCCAACGTTCGTGTGATTCGCACCCGGTTCTTCCAACGCAGACATAAATAACCCTCGATGCCGCCGTCGTTCTGTACCAGCTTGCTCAAGCATCCATCTGTTGATCAAGGACACGCGTGAGGCATCGAGGCGATTCTGCAATCCACATACGCAGGTGCCTCGCTCGATAACATCCGGAGCATCGACGGACACTGTGCTATATTCCATGGAGAGCCACTGCTAGGCAGGACACCTGGAACGCCTCTCCCAGGATCCCAAGTCAGATGCAGCGTGAGCGCTCCACAATGCCCAAGCGCAGCTTCCAATGAAGCATCGGTGATCACGCGCTCTAGGCCATGAACTAGATATTAGCCAGCGCCTCGTCACTGGGAGTTGGTCGTTTGAGCATCGGCCTCGTGAGCACAACAGCAGCGCCGACCATAGCTCCAAGTGAATTCGCAAGCACATCCGCAAGCTCGAACCGGCGACGCACAAAGGGAATCAACGCTTGCAGTGTTTCAACTGCCAAACCTAGAAGAACTGAAACAGCAACACTACGCCAAAATAGTGTCCATAGCGAAAGCTTCGTTCGGGTGGCGCTCGCGGAGACACGGTCAGCCGCTGCGGGCAACCGCTTCCAGTTGCCGCAAGTGCCGACCGTGCCCGCCTCAAGCTCCAGACCAGGCTCGATGTGAGCCGGCGCGAACCGCTCGCGGCCAACTTGGTAAGACTCACAAAGTTGTGTCGTCGTCAGCTCGGAACCTCGGGACTCAGAGGTGCTCGAAACGTCGTCCAGGAACACCGGTCGCTGCCAAGACAGCAAAGCTACGAGTGCGGCGACCACAGCGTATGCCAGAAAGTGGAGTTGGAGGTCCACACGCCACGGCCAGTGCTGCAACAGTCCCTGCGCTGTAAACGAAGTAGGGCACAACGAGCCACCAACCACTAAAAAAGTCCAACACGCGAGGCCAAAGCTCAGCCACCGGAGGCGCCGGGCGTCCATGGCTGCAGCGAGCACTGTGGCCCCGCCAGTTCTGGACGAGATGTTGGCTCTGCGCTTCGTCTACGAAGCACATGAGCCTGACGCTGTGTTGCGCATTCAGAGGGCCGGCTTGCGCGTCTTCAGAGTACTGCTTCCCGGACGCCGTTGCTCAGGAGCAGCTGGAACTTTTGCTGCGCTATCGGCGACCTTGTGATAGACGCAGCGTGCAGCCATTGCATCCCGGTTCGGTGTGCTGACGCTAGGCACTCGACACCCAGAGGATCGCACAAGCGAACCAGTGCTATGATCTCCAGAGGTAAGTTTGTGTGATGGTGAAAGTGATGGTGATGATGGTTTTGGTTGTTGCCCAAGGACCCTGGAGGTCTGTTGCTGAACGTTGGACGTTCTCTCGGATGCAGGTAACCCGCTTGCAATTGAGAATCCCCGATACCTGTTTAAACGATCCGACATCCGAAAAACTATCGTCCGCAGCGCTGCCCCTCTGAGACGGTCATTGATGGATCACGCAGATCTTCCAGTCAGAAGCGCAGCTTCTCGGTCGGTGCTGAGAGTGAAGCATCTATCGCGTATGTGTCTTCATGGAAAAAGCGACGCACTCCTGTCTCTTCGCACATGCTCACGGTCACGCGTTGCTGCGGAATATGCACCAGTTGACCGCACCGCCTGATCAGCGCCTGAGGCGAACATGAGAACGTGCTGCGCAGCGCATGTGCGGCCCCGAAACGATTCCTCTCTAGCGCTCGATCCACTGATGGAATGAAGGTCGCGTCCGAGACTCCGCCACCGCGACGAAGCGATGCTACCAAGATGACGCATCTGATGATGCTGAGCGGTGAACGGGTTCTCGCCTGCGTCCATGCGTGCGTGCGTCCTCGTATAGCGCCCCAGTTTTCCATACTGGACGGTAACGTGGCATTTACTGATCGCTTCGCACACAGGCAGTGTCAATGTGCACACGAACGCGTGTATGAGCATCGACTCTGGGGCGCGCTACTCTTCTGGCTCGCGACCACGTCCAGGCCGGTAACCGGGCACGCACACCGGTCTTCCATATAGCGCTTTTCCGAATTCCGTAAACACTTTTCCAGAAGGTTTCCCTTGCCGCTGTTTGTCCCAACGCATGGCTGAAGCTTTGAAGCGCCCGGAGCTCATCAGATGAGCGCAGGCGTGGAAGCGAGCGCGACTCGATCGCGATGCACGGCGTCTCCCTCGAGTCGGCGCCCTCTGTGTGGTATAGAAAAGCCGTTCTAGCTCTATGAACTATCTGCTCCAGCGGTTCAGGCGCAAAGGCGGAGACGGAACTGCAGGTTCTAGGCACACACGATAGGTCGTATGAACCGACCAGAATATCCTAGAAGAAGTATAGGTCGTGTAACTTGGAGGTAGGGTGTTTCATGGATACTTCACCGTGCACTGAAAAAAACACAAAAAGAAAGGAAAAAGCGCACAATCGGAGAACGCTGGCACAAGTAAACGTCTTGTCCATGAAAAAACAAGAAGAAAAAAATGCATGGCGTCTGCGCGAACAGCCGCTGCGGAGCAGCGTACCCGCCACGTCAACCGATATTGAACGAGGTGTTGGAGTCTCGAATGCCTGGGAGCGTGCCCCTACTCAGGTGCTTATCTATTAAATAAACGTCGCTGGAGCTATCGAATATTGGAGCGAGGTGCTCGCTATACTTGCTTGTGAATCGAACCGGCGAAGCGGGCGCTTTGCTCGGAGGTTCTCGCGAGGTCGGGTGGGCCGCTACCTCTGCCACAGGCATCGGCAGGTGCAGCGCACCGTGCACGTGGTGCCTCTTGGAGACGCGGCCCGCGTAGCGCTGGCCTTCTCGTCGCCGGTGTGTGTGTGTGTGTTTGTGTGTGTGTGTGAGAGGACTATGGGGCTTTTGCGAGACCTCTACGGGACGCCGTTTCCGCTCTACCTAGCCGCCTTCACTGCGGTATTTCTGGTTCAGCTCCGTGCAGCTCGTCTTGATTTGAATCTCGTGCGCCAACGGCTTCGACAAAGGTTTTCGGAAACCGCGCGAAATCTCGGCTCGGCAACGACCGGAGCCTCCGTATCAACAACGGCTACTCCGACCGAGGCGGGCGCGTCGGTGAGAAACCCTCCACAAGCGTCGCCGGCGTCACAGTCGAAAAAGTCTGGCTCACGTACAGCGGGACAGTTCGGACGAGTTGAATAGCCTCAGCGCCGAGAAACTCGGCCTATGCGAGATGGAACCATAGGCCGCATAACACGCCTCATCGCACATTCTCGTGAACAAGTCGGGTACAGCGCGGCTCATTTGACTGAAAGACGGATGCATTTACTCCGGTTACAGCCGGGTTGACGTACGCTCGGAACCAAGGCTCGCATTGGAGGTTGTTTTTTTCAACCTTGCGCCCTGGATGCATCACCGAATAGCTTCGAGAACCTTGCTGAAATAGAAGCGCGTCGCCGTGAATGCCGACGACTGCACCCGCCAACCGTTGCGTTCTAGGGTCTCGCGAATTTCCTTCTCTGAATGTAAGTAAGCTCGAGTCGCCTTACTGGGACCGGGGAAAAAGTCCCCAATGCGTTTCAGCAGCACGTAGTAAAGCGTTCGGGGTGCAAACGAAAGAATCAAGCGCTGCCGGGCGATTTTCGACAAGTGGTCGATCATGTCCGCAGCCTGCGCTGTAGGATAGTGGATCAGGACGTCTATGCAGCACACAGTATCGAAGCGCTCAGTTTCGGGGATGGACTCGAGGTCTGCGGTGCGAAACGCACAACGAGCAAACTGGTCAGCGGTGAGCAGCTGCTCTGCCCGCGTACGCGCCTCTGTAGTCATGGCAGTCGAGATGTCGCATGCCAGGAGATACCTGGGGTTGCGCTGCGCGATAGGAATGGCCAGAGAGCCGACCCCGCAACCAACGTCCAGAACAGTGTGTGTAGCCCAGTCCACGGAGGCTGCATCAAGCATACCCAGTACCTTGTGTACGGTTTCCGCGTGCCCTAACCGGATGTCACGCTGAACGCGGTTTACCTGTTCGGAATCGGAGTAAATTCGACGCCAGCGCTCGAATCCAGTGGTGTTAAAGTAGTCCGTAACAACTTGTTTGTCATCAAGCTTTCGACAAAGCAGCCTAGGACGCGGAGCGCTTCTTGCTACTCGTCGCCCGTGCACTGAAACTCTCCGAGCGCCAAACGGGGCGCAACCTAGCGGTGAGCAGCGCACTGGGGGTTCGCGTTCACCCGAAGGATTCTGTTTCGCTAACGCGCTACGGACAGCAGACGCCTGAATGATGAACATGGAATCCCCAGGCGCTTCTACCGAAGATCGCTTACAACGATAGCAAGAGACGTCTGCGTTGCCTATATCGTGGAAACCTCGTCCGTGGATACCCCTATGAGTAAGGGATTGGCGACGGAGCTGGGATTGTCTGTCTTACACCAGCGGCGGCATCGCCCGGCGAGTACCGCTATCGACGCGACGCTGGGATACGGCAAGAGCGCAGCAGATGCTTTCGCTTCTGCAGGGTGCCGCTTCTGGAATGCCGTAGATAGTCACTGGCAACGAGACCGGGTAGAGGTAGCGGTGGCGCGATTTCCAGCTGTATACGGGTTGCTTGGAAACTTCCGGGGGAGTCTGGAACGGTTTAGAGATCCTCAAGCCCGAAACCTATGGACGTGGTGCTCGGCGGCGATCGGTGTCTGCGCTGCTGCCTGACGCTGCAGAGACCGCAAGGGAGCTCGCGTATCCGGTCTTCTTCCGTTCTCCAGTGCGACCGGGTTTGAAAAGCGTGACACGTGAACTCTCGGGGTTACACTATTGCCCTCGAACGTAAAGTTTTCTCAGGAGAGTGGCCTCGGAACCCCATGAGGCTGGATTGTGGCATGATAATCTCGTCATTTATATCGAGTAATAGTACAGTATTCTCGTTCACCCTTTCCCCAGGAAAACCTTTCCAGTTGTATCTGAACCCCGCCCGAGTCTCGTTGCATGGCCCAGCCCATACCATTGCAGTATCGTGCTGCGGGACGTCATGCAACTCTGTGGCTCCAGGCCACTGATTTCTTCATCGCAAGCCTTTTGCGTTGCAGCACACTGCCCATACGGTGTACGGAACGATTCCCGGGGAAGTTCGCTCCACACAGCGCCGCTAGACGCTGCCCATGCGCGAGGACTATATCGTAAGATCGATTCTCTTTGCTGTCGATGTCAGGCGCACACATACACACACCAGACCGACTTGCCCACAGCGCCGCACAGTGTCGCGTCCATAAGCGCGCCGCCGCTGCTACTCGAATACTGGACCAGCACCAGCAGCAAATCAAATGCCTTTACGTTGACTAGGTGAACACATAGGGTCGATCCATTTGCACACGCGCAATATCCTTTGCCAGAGATTCGTGCCTATGATACAGGAAGGTTGACGGCTTTGGCCCGAGGAGGTCGCCTGTGGAACATCGGCCTGGTTCCCGCTTTCTGCTTATCGACGACGTTAGCACGACCGCCTTGCAGGATGCTCTCGAATGCGGCACCGTCCCCGTAGATCCGCATGGTACGAGACGCACTCGGCGATATTGAAATGAGTCTGCATGGGGTTGCCCGCGCACACGCAGTGGCAGCACGTCTGATGCCGTGTAGCCAATTGCTGCCGCTGTAGACGAAGGCGCTGGAGCAGCGCCAAACAGACCCGCAACCCCTTGGCGGCCGAGAGCGGACGGCATGATCAGCTGTGTTGGGGTTGCTCGGCGCGGTTCGGCATCATCCCCCGAGGCAAGCCTCCGACGTGATTCCCTGTGCAGTGGCGGTCATTACATCATTCGACGCCGACGGGCGGGCGTATGGCAACTCGAAGCAGAAGGCAACGAGGCTCCCACCCGTGTCGCTGTGACGTTTGTTAAATGGTGTGCGCATAGGCATCTCTACGAAGGTGGCGCTGCCGCAGACTTGAGATTTGGATCCTTCTTGATAAGCTCTTCTGCCTCGCGTTGCTCCCGTGCCATCGCCTCGGTGAACTGCCGATCCAAGCTACGAGCCGCAGCCAGCCACATGATGATGATGGATGCGAGAAAGACCGCGAGGAATGGCGTGCTGGCGGCCAAGGATCCAGTAGCGAAAATAAGGGCTTGCTGGATGAATGAGCCTCCCGACTTGCCCAGCGGGTTCCCGATCACATCGATGGCAGCTTTGCCCTTGCTCTTCGACTCTGCATCCAGTGGGATATACGCCATCTCCTTGCAAGGATCAAACAGGGAATACTTGCTGCCCTTTGAAGCGATGTTCTGCGCCGCACCGATGAGTACCGCCAGGAAGAGAGGCGTCGTGCCGAGCGCGGCAACGACTGGGCTCAGCTGCTTTGCGAATAGGGTTAGCGCAAAGAACATCATGCCCGTGATGCCTAGCGTAATCGGAGTGATCATTGCAGCCACGCCCCATCCGAAGCGGCGGAAGATGATACGGCTTGCCAACATCATGATAATGGTGAACGAGCCCGTGCAAGTCGAGAACCAGCCCATGAAGGTCGAATATGCGTTCGGGTCTGGATACTGCTCACGGAGCTTGCTCTTCCACGAGACCTCCACAATATTGATGGACATGCCGTACGCGATCACCAGAAGGGCCAAGTTGCGAATATACGGCGACGCGGCCAGAAACTTGGCTGACTCGACAAGACCCAGCTTGGTTTTCGTCTTGGCTTTCTTCTGACGCGCCGGATCGACCAATGTCGGATCCGTCATTACTTTGCGCTGCATGTAGTAGAAAACTCCCACGATGATTGATCCGCATACCGCCACTGCCCCCATTAAATAGCGCAAGCTCACGAGCCATCCGTCAACACCGGGCGGCAGATGTTGACGTATATCCGATACGAAACGAACGTACTGACCCGAAAAGATCAGCGCAACGTTAGCCATCAGACCAAACACAGGGTACCACTTCTTCGCCTCGTCTACGGTGGTCACCTCATTCGCAAATCCCCAGAACAAGAGCGAAACCACCACGGAACCCCAAAGCTCCGCGAGCGTATAGAACACTGCGGATGTCCAGTGCCCGATAATCGCCAGCGGAGGCGCGAATGTCGGTGGCAAATACTGCAGCGCCCAGCTCACAAACCCGCTAGGGTGCAAAAACGCCCTATTGGGATAAAGAAACCACGCATAGCTCAAGAAGAAAAGGAGGAAAGGCGCTATGCAGATGTAGAAAACAGTCTCCCGAGAGAACACATTCGTGAGCTTCGAGTACAAAATCGTAAACAGCACTGCACCGGGCAAGTTCGCATAGGTCTTCAAAAAGGGAATAATCTCTGCACCGGCCGCAGTTACAACCAGCACGTCCTTTGTATCACGCAGGATAGTGTAGTTGAAGAGAATGAGGAAGAACATAAGACCAAGGGGTATGATTTTGCGCAGCTCCCGGCTCGGCGGTGCAGGCGAGCTACTCCCGTTCGTACCGACCATGCCGTCACCGTTCGTGCCGTACGCACTCGAGCCTGCTGCGGAAGCATCGGCCTTCAGAACGAGGCCCTCTTTTGCCTGGTCCTCTGGCTTCTGCAACCCATCCTTCTTTTGGGAACCCTTCTGCCACGAAGCCAGCAGCGCCGCTACCCCACCAAGCGCCAAGCCTACCAGTGCGCCAAGCGGCGTACCCCAGAGACGTGATGCCGGCGCCGCCGCTGCCGCCGCTGTCGCAAGTTGCGGCTGCTGAATAGACTTTTCAACTTTGGCCTCGCGATTCTGGACGATGCCAGTGCGTGGCACCACAACAATCTGCGTCGATGTCGAGGCGGCGTTCTCTGCACCCGTGCCTGTACCTGCGCCAACACCCTCAGAGACTGCCACCAGTACGTGCCCAACGCGGGTTTTGGAACGGTTGCGGGTACAGCTTCCGCGCTGCACACCAAGAAACCCCCTGTTCCGATAAGTCCCTCGAGGAAGAGACTGAAACGCTCTGAATGTCGTTGTGAAACCAAGCATCATAGCGACCTCTATAACGATTGAACTTGTTCGACGTGCGTGTATGTCCTACAACAACCCGACACGCATTCGAATTCGCATACGCACGCATCCGGCGCACGCATGCACCGACGGTGATGAAACGCCATCGCGATGCGTGCGCAGCATGCGGCGGTGGTGGCGGTGGCGGTGCCGGTGGCGATGCCGGTGGCCAACTCCCGTACGTTGGGTCTGTAGGCGGCATCGCGATCGCCCTGCGATGCGGCTACGGCGGCGTCGGTACGCTTCCGCCGCGGCCCGATGCGCTACGAAATCCGTTGACAGCGCGGTGACGTCGCGCGCGTCGAGCCTCGGATGCGGCGTTCTATCGCGTGTAGCGATGCTGCTGATTTTTTTCATTGACAAAACGCTTAATTTGACCACGGGTCCTCGAATGAACGATGATCATTGACGACTAGGGTGATCGGCCATCGTAAAGCACCCTGCATCCGGGTTCCATCACCTGTTCTCTGATGTAATGATCGTTTTTACGTTCTATCGTGCGCCGAGTACCTGCTTTTGAGCGCCTGATAGAACGCCTGTAGCGTCACGCATGGAGTAGCGGGAGCACCGACGCGTCCTGCATGCTATCCTGCGGAATCCTGGTGATGCAGCTCTGAAAAGCGGTATCTATGGCGGTCGCGCTGAAATATGTGCTTTCGACGGATTCGCTGCAACCGTTGAAGGTTCGGTTCCAGATGGTGTCGGTGTTCTGCGTGCTCGAGCGAGCAGGCTCTGGTGTATGATGCGGGCTGCCTGGTGCTTAGCGTCTGGATGCAACGGATGCGCTTTCGCAAACAGTTCGTTATGTGCCGTTTGCGTTCGAAACTTGTTACCTTTCAGGAGCGAATGAAGCTTTCCACAGTACCCGTTTGAAAGGGTCTTTTAGAATGTAAAATCGGGGAATCTGAACAGAATACACGGGATTTGCGGTTGCTGTGCGCAAGCGAGGAAGAGCGCTTGATCAGCGCTGCTTCGTGGCATGTCGGGCTGGTCAGCATCGATTGTGCTCGTCCCAGCGAATCCAACCGCGCTTCTACACAGGATCACGCCCGGTCAGCGGCTCTGAATCGAACTTTTTCTGTCGACTGCTCCGAGTCGCATGTCGTTTTCTGTTTCGCACATGCACATCAACCATGGTTTTCAGTGGATTTTAGCATAAACCATTATCTGATCTGTAGCAGCGAAGTGCCCAGACTGCAGCCTCCAGGGACAAACCGAAGGCCACACCGACAGCCGCGCCTACCCAAGAGAGTGGCACTGCCCGCAAGCCAGTTGCACCGTCCACAACCTGTTCATGGATGAGATCCGTGAGCACAGCTCCGAGCCACCAGCCGAACGCGCCGAGGGCCAGACTGCCGAAAAGGAGCTGGCTAAGGAGGAGGGCGTCTCGGTTCCCGGAACCCGTGTGCAACGGGGCAGTCGCCTGTTTCCTCAGAGACTGCGTACACTGCTCATACTCGAGTCGTGCGAGGAACGCTCGGAACCTTTGCCGCGCTTCATCGTCAGCGCTTAACGAAGTGTCATCCTGCGGCAACTGCCAGCGCACGAGCGTGCTCTGAACGAGTTCACGCACCGCATCCTGGGTGTATCCCGAACCGAGCGCGACGTCCAGCAGCTCTCTGTGCGATATCCAGCACTTCTCGAAGGTCGCTGTGTCGTCAAGCACTGAACCAGGCCCGGAAATGACATCGCGCTGGCTGCGCCCCTGAGTCGCTGCTCTCAGAAAGGCGCGAACTTTGGGGTCTGTGGCGTCGAGCCACGGCATAGAGCCGACCAGCAAACCTCTCCACGAACTGACGACGATTCGCTGCTCGTGTACTCCTGGCTCGCGCAGCCGGTGTCCGTGTCACGCTTCACAGGGCAGACACAACGCAGTGTTCGTGTCCTACGGAACGGTAACGGTCGAGTCAGACGTCGCGTACGACAGCAGGCAGCGCGCAAGCTTGTCTGCTGAAGCAACACCACCGCTTAACGCACACTAGTTCGACTCGAGTGACACGCTCGAGTACGTCTCTTTGTTGTGTGTGCGTACGCATCGAGGTTTCGTGAACGTTTATAGTGCATGTTTGCAGCACCGACACTCACGGCACCCGCTCGACCGTAGCATCTAGCCAACTCGCTACGTTGCACCAGTGTCGTGCGTCACGGAACGCCACGTTGCGGAGCGCACCTGGACCCTAACGACGACTGCTGCCTGCTCATCACCGTTGCTTTATTGGAAGCACACCAATAGTTTTATGGGTGCAGCGGCAGCAGCGCCTCGTTGCCTTGTGCTTGCCGGCCCTTCGGGTGTCGGCAAGGGAACCGTGCTTGCGCGTCTCAGTCAAGTGCTCCCGGACGTCTTCGGCTTCTCCGTATCGCATACGACGCGGGCACCGCGTCCTGGTGAGTGCGACGGGCGCGAATATCACTTTGTCACGGAGGAGGAGTTTCAGCGAGCCCGCGCTGAAGGCCGCTTCCTCGAAACTGCATCCGTGCATGGTCAGTGGTACGGAACGAGCTGGGAGGCCATTGAACGTGTACGTCGCACTGGACGAATCTGCGTACTGGACATTGATGTGCAGGGCGTGCGCAGCATCCGAGCTGCAAAGCTTCCAGCGCTCGTCGTTTTCTTGCGACCGCCGAGCATGGCGGAGCTGGAGCGACGTCTCCGTGGTCGCGGGACGGAGGACGAGGCCAAAATCCAACGCCGCCTCGAGACTGCTGCCGAAGAGCTGCGGATAGCACATGAAGAACCCTCGCTCTTCGATGCTATTATCGAGAACCAGGATCTCGAAGAGACCTGCGCACAGATACGAAAACTGCTTGACGAGGACGTGCAGGCGCTTCGCGGTGTGCGCGAGGCTGGAGCAGCATCCGCTGCACAGCGAACGAGTTGAAAGCATTAGTGTGTGCTATGCAGCTGGATCAGGTTTGAGCACTGAACTGGAATCTGGAAAGGCACCGTTGGAGCTGGTGTTGGATCATGAGTTCGCGTGGATGGAGCGGTAAGCGCAGACGCGTCCGGCGGTACGACAATGGGCCTTTGCACCTCATTTTCTGGATGCGAGCAGGGATCCCCTGGACTGTCGATCGTGCAGTGGCATCAGAGAGCCTGCTGAGGCACTTGCTCTGGTCGCTTTGCTTTCATTTGTGCGCGCCAGGCCTATGCTATAGAGCTGGATGCACACGAACTCGTGCGTCATCGCGCAGGCTGATGACCTGAATCGACAGCGTGCTTATCACTTCGCTTATCATCGCGGGAGCGCATGGAATGCCTCTGGTTCAGTGCTCGATGGACCATACGGAGGCGTTGCGCTCGCCACGAGTGATTGCTCGCTTTCCTGTTATGGTGGCAACAGGATACCATGCTCTCAAACGACTGCATTAAGTAAGGGTGCTTTTTGGTATACGTGGTGTGATCCGGGAGCTGCAGGGCGCTGCGAACGCATGAGCGACAAGCGTTTGTGCTTTTTCATATAGGATAAGGACGTACCGCTCGAATGGAGATTGCCCGAATACATCGACAATCTGATACTGACAGTACTTGTATTCGTCAAAGTCATTTATCTAGCGAACGACCTGGCGTTTTGAATAGAGCTTGACGGAATGCATAAACGAGCTGACACCTTTGGCATTCCATCTATTCGACTTCTCTTTACGACGAATAACAACGCATCCTTCAAAAAGGGATTCCTCGAATGCGTAGACGAACTGATACCGTCCACCACTGCCAGATCCAATCTAACGCATACGAACCTACACCACGACGCGGAAACGCTGATTTACGCTACAGAAAATGGCGGCCACACCTGCACCTTAACGCTGCACCAAACCAAGTCGCTTGGACAAACCCTATATCATAAGCGGATGAGGACGAGGCACCAGGCACTGACGGAATCGGAAGCTTCCGCGTCCCCGAGCGCAGCGATACCCAGACTGGTCTGTTCACGGGCTCGCAAACAACACAGCCTGCTACTCGGACGTTACCCCATCGCTGGGCAACCCGCAGCACACCTGGCGTTCAGCGAATCGTGCCTCCTTGAATGGTGGCGGCTCGACACGGTCCTTTATCCGTCGTAAACGGAATGTCACCGTAACGAGCCTCACAAGACGGATCCGTGCTCGTGCGGAAATGTTCTGCAACTTTCTCGAATATTTTCTTCTTCGGATTCAGCTGCGCATCCGGCTGGTTATCGCGGTCTGCATCTGTACCGGGAAAGTAGACGCGGTCTCCGGGCTTGGCTCCAGGAGGCGGCTTGACGAGTTCCACTTGTGTCCCGTCGGCTGAGGTGGCGCAGAGCACCATCGCCTCGGAAACAATACCGCGCATTTTCACGGGTTTGAGGTTTGCCACCACGATACACGGCCCGAGTAGCTCTGCTGCATCGGGGATGTACTTGCGGAGGCCACTGCACACCGTAACGGGACCGCTGTCTCGACCAATATCGATTTCCTCGACATAGAGTGCGTCGGCATCGGGGTGCGGCTTTGCAGTGAGAATCTCCCCGACCCGAATATCGACGCGAGCGAGCGGAGACCGGTCCTCTTTTGTGGATGTGGGCGATGGACCAGCAGCTTTCGGTGGTGGTGCTTCAGGAGTCTTGGTTTTTGAGAGTTTCATTGCGGGAGCTGCGTTCTCCATAGACGCAGGAGGCGTCTCGTGATCGACTTGTTCAGAGCGCGTCTCTGTATCCTCTGAGGCAGCCTTTGTGGTCGACATGGTATCGGCGGCGTTTGCCTGCGCAGGTCGAGGCGATACGCTATTGTATTCCGAGTCGTTACCACTGGCATCATCAGTGGCGCGCTTCCGCTCTCCAAGCGATGCCGTATCCGCCGCCTGTGCTTGTCCAGAACCGCCAGTCGCTGATGCCTGGCTACGGCGCTGCTTCGTGGTTGCCTTACCCCAAGCGCTTACTTGTTTTGCCCCATTTGCACTTTCGTTTGCGGTACCGATGCCGCCGCTGACGTCAACGGCATTGGCAACGGCCTCGAATGCTGCCTCTTCGTCGTCCACGTTGCTCACTGCTCGACTGCTAGCATCAGCTGATGCCTGGCGGCCCCGAGTGCCCTTGGTTTTGCGCCTCGTTCCTGAACCAGCACCCACACCTGCGCCGCTATCGCGCTCGCTGTCCTTCACCGCAGAGGTGATTCCCGCTGTGGCATCTGATGCTGCCTCGTCTGGGATGGAACTAAACACGAGCCGTATTTCACCCGCATTCTGGTTGTCGCTGTCCGGAGACCACAGCTTATCGATCAGCGCCTCATCCTGCAAATCCAGGATCTCGTAGTCGAAGAGCGCGTGTGCCACCGGCGGAAGCACGATATGGAACGTCTCCTGGTCGCCGAATTCATGCACAGCGTGCTGTGTGAAATCAAACCAATCCCAGAGATTCAGCATCTCCTCCGAATCGTACCTGGTTTCCGATGAACGATTCCACCGTGCAATTACCGGCCGAACGGCAAAGAGGGCGACGACGTCTGCAACGGTTAATTTGGTACCCATGAGGAAACGTTTCCTCTCCCGGTTTATCATGGACGGCAGGATCTCTTTGGCCAATCGTTCCGGATCCTCGCGCCGCAGCCTGTGCAGAAACTGTTGCACTGCTTGGCCGCGCTCCGTCACGTCAGACTTGCTTCCCCAGAGTTCAGAGTTCTCCGGGATAGCGCTTCTGCAGGTCTCAATGATCGCGTCGAGGTCAGTGTAGTCTGGTAGCGCAGTAACTTGGGAGCAGAGAGCGCGCCAGTGGGTGCGCGCTAGTGGCGGTACGCCATAGAAGGTCGTAATCGCGCCTGTATCGTACCGGTCCGTGAACATCATTCGAAGTCGCAAGCAGTCACCGGGATCTGTGTTAGAGTACCTCGCTTTATTGGCGTGTTTCCGTGCGCGCACAGTAGTACCGGGGAGCCAGCATATCTGCAGACCAGCTGCGTTCACCCTGTGGTGTACGAACGCACTCGCACAACGCATCTTGAATCGGACGCGGGCAGAAGCAGTTGCAGAGGCAGGCGCTAGCGCCGCGCCCGACCGGGCCACAATGCAGCCGCGCCAGCTTACCTCGACACCAGTCCAGTGGCAGTATCCTAGCCCGTGGCAACCCCGGAATCGACCCGCTTCCATCCTGTGTACGTCCAGCCACGCAAATGGCTTTTTTGCTCGACGCTCGAATCGGTTTCACAAGTCGTCTGTGAACGCTCACACACCAACGGGCAAGATTCGATGCTGCGTACGCGCTCGATCAGCGCCGGAGCGGCCACGCTGAAAGGCGTCGAGCGCCCAGCACGGCCAGCGATCTTCCGAATAAGATGAGACATAACTTCCATATACGGACCGTACCTGTTGCGGGGCATCGCGAGGCCCGCAGCAATGCTCCCCCACTAGACCGACGTTGACGAAGGGGATCACAAAAATGCACCACCCAAGAGGTTGTGGTGCAGAATCCAAGCACCCGTTTCATTTGATGGCTTGTCAGCGCGGAGAGTGCTGCTTTCCGGCGTGCACACGGGCCCGTGTTTCACCGCTGAGCCTCTAAACGATCCGCTCGCGCGCGCACACACATACACACCCCAGGGCTGGGAGCGTGCCGGCATTGCTGCATGCATGGGTGCATGCCTGTCAGTGCCGCTTTGGATGCACGCATGAAAGATTTTGGTGTTACATCGGAATTGCCGACTATAGCTACCGGGAGGACGCTCCGGTGTGTGCTCCAGTCTAGCGGTATCTTGCGCTTTACCGCCAGTGTAACTAACCTGTTCTGTCTGGTTCGTCGCGAAGGTGCAAAACCAGTCATGAGAGCGAGCGAGCGAGCGCATTGGAAGCGACTCGGACACCGGCGCCGCACGCCCGTTTCACTTGCAGCCCATGCATCCTGCACCGAGGAACAGCGGCTGTCATCTCAGCAGCGAGCACCGTCTCGATCACGCAGCGCAGCCATGCATCGGTTGATGCGGCTTGTAACTCTGCCCACATATACACACACACACACACAGACACAGACACAGACACAGACACAGACACACAGACCGATGTCAGAGCCATATGGAACAGTTGCTGTAACCTGCATCGGTCCTATGCACCAAAGCTTGAGCACCTGTTGACTGTCTACGACAACAGCTTTTGCGGGCGTTTAAGCGACGACTCCAATTCCTCTATCCAGTGTTCGGCTGTTAGATACGCAGATGTGTTCTGTCGTTCCAGCTCCATTGTCAGCAGTCGAGGGATGTTCAAATAAGCGTTCACGTCTGGATTTCGCTGCTTGCGGCCATGGTCGACGCAATCATGCGCAGACGGATGTTGCGATCTACGTTTTGCATGCCATTTTCATCTTCTTTGTATAAAGCCTCGGTGCGCCTTTCACAATGGCGACGCCTAACTGTGGTCAGGTTTCTGTGCATCTCCAACACACCTCGTCCTCCAAAGTATGCTCGGCGACGCGTCAGCGCTTGTTTCATCGCTTAGTCCATGGCCCCTAATGGGCCCAGATGCCTCCCCTCTGATATCCTCCCCCATTTCCACTCCCAGCGCAGTACCCAACGATCATGTGCTTCTTCCGGGCGATCGCTTTGGGGATGACGCTGTCTGCTGCACGCGCATGCGTATGCTGTCGCATCCGCTGGAGGATTTGAGGATCGCGATATTGTTTTTGATGAAAAAAAAACTGAAAAGACGAACCGGTCTTGCGAACGAGTCAAGAGACCTCGACCCCTATACGCTGCCCTCGTAGAAAGCGGTGCCGCACGCTCCACCGACAGCCATCCCTCTCATCATTGAATCCCAAGTCCAAGATCCTTTTCTATGCAAACAGAATATACTAAAGCCTCTCAGAGCATTTACGTGACAGGTATCATGGTCGTGCGGAATGCGCTTTCGTCCACGGCAGCATGGAGTGTGGGGTTTGTCTTTCGAATGGAACCCATTATATGACATGAGAAGCTCAGTGGACTTTTGGTATGAGCTTGTGAACAAGTCGTCAACGGAGAGCATATATGTCTATCTTCGACAATCCAGTAGCTTGCAAAGCTGCCTTGAGGAAAGGCAAAACATGGAGGCCTATACCTGCGAGCTAAATAGGGGTATCGATTCGTTCACAAAGTCCTGTTCGAGAGCGTCGCGAATGAACTCGTTTCCGATGACGTAGGGAATTCAAGTTCCAAAGAGTCAGCGAACCGAATCCGAGAAGACCACCAAACATCCTCGAACGACTTGCAGGTCAGGAAACCCTCATTGCCGGACTTGGAATGTCGAGGCCGCACGCTTAGAATGTGCCCTGGAAAGATGCTCAAGGCCAGGAGCAGTGCGATAAGTCCAGGGCAGCAACTTCAGGTAGAACAGGTTCACAAGTTCCAAAGAGTCAGCGAACCGCATCCGAGAAGACCACCAAACATCCTCAAACGACTTGCAGGTCAGGAAACCCTCATTGCCGGACTTGGAATGTCGAGGCCGCACGCTTAGAATGTGCCCTGGAAAGATGCTCAAGGCCAGGAGCAGTGCGATAAGTCCAGGGCAGCAACTTCAGGTAGAACAGGTTCACAAGTTCCAAAGAGTCAGCGAACCGAATCCGAGAAGACCACCAAACATCCTCGAACGACTTGCAGGTCAGGAAACCCTCATTGCCGGACTTGGAATGTCGAGGCCGCACGCTTAGAATGTGCCCTGGAAAGATGCTCAAGGCCAGGAGCAGTGCGATAAGTCCAGGGCAGCAACTTCATGTAGAACAGGTTCAAATGTGTACAATGGAATCCCGCGTCGATCGCGGCGCTGGCGAGTGGCTTGTCGTTTTTTTCGAACATAGGGTTCGGTTCTCGCTGATCCCTCACGCCGTAGGCAGGCGTCTCGCGTTGCGCTGCTCGTTTCCAGGCCGCTGCTGAGCCACTTTCGGGGCACGGGCCGGTGCTATGTTTTTCAAGTCACCACGCGCACCGCTGGCTTCCGCTGTGCTTTTTCTAGGCTGGAACTTGGTGTTGTGTTTGTCGGCGGTCCCGGTGGCGCGCTTCGTCTACGAACTCCCTGTCTGGGACCTCCGGGCGGAGCGCTTAGTGGCCAGAGAAACGCGCGCTGCGCTGCTTGCGCAGCTCCAGGAGTCGGCAGCGACGACTTCGCCGAGCTCTAGCAAGTAGCCGTGACGAGACTTGAAGCACAGGCGGCGGCCGCAACAGCTCCATGCCGCCTGCTGACAACGACTCGCTCGCGGGTTTCCTGCGTCAGCGTGCCGCGATCGCTCGCGCTCGCGGTTCATCTAGAGAGGCGCAAATACTCGAGCGCTCCGCCAAGTCGCTTGAGTGCTTCCCGGTAGTTGTCGGAGACCTTCGCTCAGCCCGTCAAGTGCCCGGGGTTGGCGCGACGGCTCTGAGGCACTTGCGGGACTTGTCTGCGGAGTTCGCAGCAAGCGAAGAAGTGACGCGAAGCGCTGCGCCACCAACGGCTTGCTCGGGAGCGAGCAACACATTCCAGCAACCACAAAAGGCACTGCATGATGCTCTGCAACCCTGCACACGATCATCGAGCAGTACCAGCGATACCGTACATGGAAAGAATAGCTACTCGGATGCTCAGCGAGCAGAGCATTCAGCAAAGAAACATACACAAAGCGTTGATCTAAACACGCCGAGTGCCGCCACAGACAAGAGCTTGCGGCGCTATTGCCCACGCGTCGGCACTGCAGCTGCGGCACTGCTACTTGGCCTGTGGGATCTGGACGGAGGGCCAGCTACCAAGTCGGAAATCGTCAACGCAGCGCAACGCTATACCATGGTGCCGCTGGTGCGCCTTCATCGCGGCTGGAGGAATTACCACCGGCGCGAGGCTGAGGATCACGCTTCGACGGCGCCTTTCACGTGGTATGACGGCTGGTCGTCTATGAACAGCGCCCTCATTCGACGAGGTTTGGTGGTGGTCAGCCAGTCAACGCGGCCCCGAAGCTATATGCTCACGGAGACCGGCGCTACGGTTGCGACATCCCTAATACAACGCAGGCCCGCAGTGGACGACGATACGCAAACATCAGTGGATGATCCGGCTACGAGCCGAGTCGATGGCGCGGGAGCCGTTCCTCCGCTGGTAACGCTACGCGGTACCGCAGAGCAGCGAGTGCCGGGTCGCGATCCGCTTCGTGCTGCAACCGGCGTGCGCGAGCGCGTCCCTGCACAGTACCCAGCCTGCGGCACAGGGCATGCACACTGCCCAGCAGAGGTCCCGAGTCGGCTGCGGGTTCACCTAGTACTGGACTCGCGGGAGAAACCAGAATTCCAAGCGCTTCTGCGGCAACTGGGTATCGTGTTCTGGGTGCGTTCGTTACCAGCCGGTGACGCGCTCTGGGTTGCAAGCAAGGACGCATCCATGGAGCAGACGACCACTGCGACGCCAGGAACGACGCCTCCCGAACAAGCCCACGTGTGCCAGGTGCTCGTGGAGCGCAAACCCCTCCCTGATCTGGTTGCTTCTATTCGAGATCAGCGATATCGCCTGCAGAAAGCGCGGATGCGGACATCAGGTTTCAGACGCCTCGTGTACCTTATCGAGGGCACTGCTCGAGCGGAAAGCGCGGGTGCCACCGCTGAACACGAGCGATTATGGCGCACGATCGAGAAAGCAGCACTGCATACCAAAGTGCGAGACGGCTTTCATATCGTCCGGGTTCCGAATGCCGTCGTCACTGCCCACTGGTACCAGCAGATGACGCGACACCTTCAGCAGCGACTCGATGCTGGCGATGCATCAGTTTTGGTGAGGGCGTCCGCTTGTCCGGACGCTCCAGTAGCGCCGCTCACGCTGGACCAGTGGCGATACACCATGCAACAACGGGAACAAGTGGTCTCTCTGCAGGCGATGCTGTGTCGACAATTGCAGGCTTTACCCGGTATACGAGAGCGGATCGCGCAGGAGGTCCTCCGTTGCACAGGAGCGACCTGTGCGCACGAGCTTTACGACTGGTTCAAGCTGCATGCCCGGCACCAAGACGGGCCCGCGAAACTCGTCCAGGCATCCAGAAGCGATGGTAACCGTGGGTCGCGTCCCGTGCCCGCGACAGTGGCAGCGCTACTCTGGCAGCTGTTCACGTGAGGCGCCCCATTTTCGTATTCGTACGCGATCGGATGGTGCTGCTGTAAAAGTTTGATGCCCCGTTCCCATGGGCTACCTCCAAAATGACACATACGTACACACACACACACACACAGAGACAGAGAGCGTACGCTCTTTCAAATGCGTGGCTCCGCGATAGCTGCCAGTTCTTCCAACTCGCGGTCGACGGTCGTGTCAACAGGGCTGCAGGATGCCGCAGTAGCACCCAGTGACGTGGCCCGTGTACCCCTATCGGCAGACTGGATCGACTGGGGAGGCTCCGGCAGCCGTGCCGCAATACGGTCCGTGCGTCTCGTGAGGGTGCCGGCTTCGCTGCGCACCTCGACCGCAGCTCGCTCCATACGACCGTTCTGAGCGACCGCAGCACGCGACCGCCCAGGAGCTTGAGCAGCAGCCAACTGGGCCCCCTGGATTGGTATTTCGTGGAGAAGGCGGTCCTCATCGACCTCGAACTGGAGTTCCACCATTTGTCGCTCAATCTCACCTTCATCGACAATGTCCGTGGTGATCGGTTGCTGCAGCGCCATAGTTATCTCGTCGACTCTACCGGTGTGTTCCTGCAAGTCCAACATGGTGCGATCGACTTGTTCCAGAGTCAAGCCCTGATTCATGCGCTGCAGCACTCCGTTGCCCATTCGTAGCGCCTCGTAGGTTTCCTGGTTATTTCGGGCTGTCTCTATGGCCAGGATTTGCTCTTCGATGCGTTCACGGGCAGCCATGGTCGTGCGAATCTGCGCCTCCAGTCGCGTTCGTCGCCGCAGACACATCACTGCTCCATCGCGGTTATTCCGTCGAACTTCCTGTCGCGCAGCCTCCTGTGCTTCCTCTACTCGTCCCCGGAGCAACTGTTCGCGCATATTCAACAAGTTGATGCGCTCACGCATCTGGATGATGGTCTGGCGAACGTCGTCGCCGGTGACGGCGCCCCGAACACCACCTCTGCCCGCAGGTGACCGTTCCTGGGTGGTACCATTCGTGAGACCTCTCGTCGTTAGCGGGGCTACGGCGCCGCTGGTCTCCGTGCGCCGCCCACGACGGTTCAACCAGGAAAATAGGTGAGCCATAGCGCCTTGTCGGTAACGCTACGTTCTTGTGTGAAAATAACCTCTCTCCTGGAAAACGCTGTACTCGTTGGAAAACCCGGGGTCTCGAGTCACAGACTCGACTGAAGGCCAAGAGACACACTGGCACAAAAAAACGTGTCTTCGTTACGCCTGGTCACGTACACGACCGCAGCGGTTCAAGGCGCCCGTGCGAAATGATCCCAGCGGCGCTACACCCCGTAGCGTCCCTGATGCGACAGCAGCAACCACAGAAACACACACCTTGGACTCAAGAGCTCACAATGAACAAGTACGCAGGTCGAAAGTCCACGATACCACAGTCTGGCAACGAGACAGCACACACAAGCGGCAGCGCGAACAAAACGCACACGCTGTCCCTAGAGCTCGGCAGCGCCGGTTACAATTTTTTTTAATTTCATAAAGCGTTGACGAAGGCCGGCATTTCCCGATTGACTGCTGGGGCGCTTGATACCAGCGTGCGGAGCAGCATTCATGATTCCACGTCCGACTTCTAAGCTCCATAAGCCATACCGTGTCGTGGGTATACTGGTTGCTTCGTATATTCTATCGTTTGCTGAGTGCGTGTCCTGATCATCCGCGACACCGCCTATAGCGCCGGTGCGGGCGTAGCACGGCGACAAAACGGCGTTGCCGTACCTCGGAGGGCGTCTGCTCGAGACGGTAGACAGGTACGCTAGCGCAGCCAGTTGCCCGCCTTTTCTGGCCGGCAGACTGCAGTAGGTTTCAGCTTGTGCTTGCATACTTCGAGCCTGAGAAGCTGTCCGACAAATCTAGATGGCGGCAGCTCCTTGGGTCCCGTCTTCAGCGCGGCAAAACTCCTGATATAGATAGCAGCGTTAAAGTCTCATTTCACAAACTCCATGCGTTTATTGCCGCTGCTCGAGCTGACCAATGGAAGGAGGCATCGGACTCGTGCCCGCTGTGCCACTTGGTTCGCTGTCAGCAACTCGTACTTTTCTGTGGCCGAAGGTCTCCGCTGTCTTCTCTCCGTATCGACCCTCTGGCGTGTACATCTGTGCTGATTCCTTAGATTTTACTTGCTTCATATGAACGCACTTTTTTATGCTCTTAGGTGAAGACCTTCCCCCGGCGAGAGGGACTTGCGGAAGAAAGAAGGCATATGTCCAAACGTCAGCGTGTGCTAGAAGCCGCAGCGATTCTGTCTGAAGAGCGATCATTACGTTTCAGGACTGAAAACGCTCTTTCGATGGAGTTGAGCCACGGAGAGTACGAAGGAATGAAAAGCAGCTCTACTCCCGGATAGAATCAGCGAAAAGCTCGAACGCGAAGGGCAATGGTGAAATGCTATGTTGTCCAGTAGAAGGACGTCGCCAGACCTGCGGGGAAAAGTCTTCGATCATTCGACGAAAGGGTTGCTGTTGTATGAGCGTTCCCTACGAGCGAAACTCAGGCCGTCAAATGAATCCATTCTAGCTAGAACAGATGATGATGTCCTCGTTCTCCTCGAGTTCTACCGAACATTGCACGGGCTCCGTCTCCGCAAATACCCATCTACGCTTCAACCGCTTCATCCGAAGCAAGTCTCATCGACTGAAACAAACCGACATGACTCCGCTTCATGCTCATCGCGACGTTCCAGCAACGCTATCCTTGCGATTTCGGTGCAAGATGGTCGCGCGTGAACTACGACTCTTTTTGCGACTATATCCCAGTGTTTTCAGGACGACACGAACAAGCCGTTCAGAAACAGAGACGCCCGTGGTGGCTGTTACCGTCGCTTTTGCTTTCCATTACATGATCAACGGCTCGTTTTCTATCATTGGCCGAAAGCAGTCTTTCACAGTACCAGTTTCTGGCGCGTGACGCGTATACTTCTTTCTTTCAGTTTCCCCAACCATCTGAGTGCTGTGGTACATCTGACCTGAATGCGGAATGCAGTCCTCGTTCCACTATTCAGTAAAGAATCTTTCCTAAAGAAAGTTCGTCGTCAATCTACAATATACATTGCGTAGTGTTTCCGATCTCCTGCAACACACCACGAAAAGCATTCAATTAAATGCAGCGAAGTTTGAACAATGTTGAGTGGAAACACTATGAACAGGTGGATCTCCTCTGGTCTGGATGCAGCAAGTCGCAGATATGTCGCAGGATGTAACATTTGGTTTCAGGGAACTGTTATCGAGCTTTGGGACGATTCCAGATCTCCTGAACGCTCTCGATTTGGCATTGTTCTGAATTGTCCATTGCTGCAGCGTATGGACGTGGAGCCGTTCTCTGAGGAATTCCGATAAAACGCTTTCGAGTGCGTCTCAATTCGACCTAGGCATGAACAGCCGGGGCGTTGGAAGCGCCTCGGAAACGTCAGGCTGTGTGCAGCATATTAGCATTTGCTTGGGCAGGAAGCAAGGATTCCGCCTCGCATCACCTACATCGAAAGTGATCAAAGCATACAAGCAACGCATTCGCCAGCTCAAATTCCAAAGTGCCAGCGAATGGACGGCCCAGTCGCGCTGGCGAACCTTGTGCGCAAGCCTCATGAGGAATCCCCAAACCTCTGGCGTATCCTGGCATCTGCACTTACCGATTCGCTTCACGAACATTCACCCATGCGCCCGCAAGCAAACGCATTCCTGGCAGCAATGCTTTGTATGCGGATATTTCGTTAATATCGCAGCTTACAGGTTATCTTTCGCTGCAGCGACAGAACAGGGCATGCCGTGCAGCTCCGGCTGTCGCAAGCTTATTTGCAACCCTTCTCCTGAATCACGTATAGGCGACTGCGAACCGGCAACTACAGATTGCAGCTTCCGAGACGCGAACCAGCTTCTAATCGATGCCGGCGACGTTGCTCGCTATCGCACGCTGGCGGCAGCGCGTACCAGTCTCCCGTCGACGCATGGGGAACGAGCATACGCAATCCAAATGCTCGTGTTTCTGTGCGTCATTTCCAAAATATATAGCTTTGTCTCTATCATTTGTCTGCCGATCCATGCACGCCAGTGCTGCTCGCATCGCACCGTTTTCTCGACTGCACCATCAATCGATCATTCGAGCCGAATTCCCTGCATGCACTGCGATTGCCGTTCGCAACCAGGGAAGCGCGAAGACACCTCCATGCCTTTCGGGGGCGCATGCAGCTCGCATAAGACCCCGATCACTCGTCACGTTGCGTAGAACGCATGAACCCAGCGAATGCGCCATTGTTCAGCGCCATTTGAACCCCCCGCTGCGTCGCCGAAAGCGCCATCCACGCGATACCCGCCCAGCAACAGCGCAGCAGCGTCGACTCGAGACACGCCTCCGGTTGCCGTGTGATCGACGAGCTCCCGCAGCGCGTGCAGATCACCGGCGAAGGCAACGAAGAAGCCGCAAGGGGCATTGCGCTCCGGATTCGAGCTGCCAACGGACGCGCGCGCCCAGCGATGCGATGCGACGCCCTGGGGATCACGACGGCACGCATCGCCTTCGATTTTCTCCCAAACGCGTTCATTTCTACCACAAGTTTCGCGGGCTCCAACGGCGAAATCCATTTTTGGTGGGGACACGTGTCCGTCGTGATGGTGCGTTCCTGGCCAATGATATATCGAACGAAAACAGTGCTTGAGACCTTTCCTCTGTATTCTTCTGCGGCGCGGCTGTTATGGATGGACACCGTCGGCTACGTGGCATCACGTGGTGACGCGAACTTGTGAAGTACACCAAAATTTTGCATTTGATTGGCGTTGTCATCGTTCGGAAAGAAGACGTGACATATCCCATTACGATTTAGAGTATACTACGCAAGTATTCGACGAGAAGGATAATACATGATGCAGTACAAACTCCAAGTGCGCAACTTTATCTTCGTAGTGCTCAGTCTGGCGTTGCTGGTGGGCCTTGCCTCGAGCGTGGCCGCTGAAACCCTGGACACTGAGGGTCGCTGGTATCAACAGCAAGTGACGGTGACTCCACAGGTGCAGTGCACACCTGTGACGTACACGGCAACTTGTGTGCCGAAGCAGGCGTGCGTTCAGTACACGACACAACAGGTTTGCGAGAAAAAGCAGACCGTATGCCAGCAGGTGCAGCAGGTGCAACAAGTGCAGAAGACGGTGGTTCCGGTGAAGAAGACCGTCATGCCCATGAAGAAACAGCCCTTATATCGCTGGTACCAGTATGAGCAGGTTCAAGCAACGGCTACGCCAACGCCGATTTGCACTCAGGTGTGTCAGTACGCGAACGTGCAGGTCTGTGCTGCCTATGAGCAATACGAGGTTTGCAAGGTTTGCACGCAACAGTACGAGGAAGTTCAGAAATGTCAGCAGCAGTACCAGCAGCAGTACCAGCAGATGTATCGGTGGTATCAGCAGGTGCAGGTGACCCAGTGCCCGGTTGAATGCCAGGCGGGTCAGGTGCAGTGCCAGTACGTGAAGCAGGTGATCTCGACACCGAAGGTACCGTTGACGAAATTGCCGCCACCACCACCACCAAGTGTGACGCCAGTGCCAACGGTAATCCCTACGGTCATCCCGACGACCGTCATTCCTACGGTCATCCCGACGACAGTTATTCCTACGGTCATCCCGACGACAGTTATTCCAACGATCGTGCCAACGACCGTCATTCCGACAGTCGTCTCGACGACGATCACTACGGCGCCTACAACGTCAGTGCTGCCGTCTGCATCACCACTGTAAGTTACGTAGCCGACGAGCGTACATTGAAGTACATCAGGAGTGCCGGGTTGAGCCCAGATGGAGGCAGAGGGGTACGAGGCCAAGATTGGCCTTTCGTATGGAGAGAACGAATTAGAGAAATTGGAATCGGGGTAGAATTTCAGGCGATGGAGCTGGTCAATGAATACATTACTTCTCTGAAACGGAAAGAATGTCTCTCGGTCGCAGTGCCGAGGCGAGAACGTGTGACGAAAAGCACCAAAGTGAACAACCAGCAGCGAGGGAGACGTGTGCTCCAGTCTCTGGCTTTCTGCACAGCACTCATTTGCGCCTTTCTGGATTTCCATTATAGTCTTTCACCTTAATTGTATTCCATCATCAGGTGCGTATACTCAAATGCCTTTTCGCATTTCATAGCCAGAAGTGTTCGGATTGCGTTCATTTTGAAAAAATAAAGAGCCCGATGGAAAGTTACGGACACGAAAGTCGAGGATCCTACAGGGCCATCCTCGCCAGGTTCCGCTAAAAACCCGAAAAGAATGTTGTTTTTGCCTGTGAACGAGGGAAGAAGAGCAAGTGACAAAGAAGACGAAGATGGAGATGTTGATGGGTGATAGGCGGGACCAGGTGTTCGCGAGACTCGGCGATAACGAGACTGGAATCGCACTGAGGGCTCGAGCTTTGGCAATTCCTGCATTGATGAGTTCAGCCACGGGCAATAAACACAAGGAATTTGTGAATTGAGACTTCAACGCCACCATCATTAGCAGACGCTCTACAGTGCTGAAGACGACGAGACCCGAGGAGCTACGGCGATCCGAATACGTGTGGTATCCTCCCAGGCTCGTAGTGAACTGGTAGAAACGGATGCCGATACCAGACTGCCGGTCAAAAATGCAAGGAGTCGTCGGTGCATGGGTAGATCTATTTATTCACCGTTCTTGTAGAACGTTTTCTGTTTTATTGAGAGCAACGATTATCTTCTGCTGCTGCATCCTCAGCACTTTTCTGCAGTCACGACAGCAGGCAAGTTTCGGCAGCCGAAAGCGCCCCTGCTGCCGCGTTCTCGATCCGCCATGAAAAAGCGTACGCAGATCATGCGATCCGGACGAGTGTGCATCTCCGGATGCTTGACTCTAGGTATGCCTATGTATTTGTATGAGTATGTGTGCCAAGAGCTGCAGCGATCTGATCACGAGAGTTACCGCTCCTCGAAGCTGCATGCGGTACAGCGACGGCTGGTCAAGGCGACAAGCAACCTGCGTACCAGAGGCATACGCTCGTGTACCAGCAGAGAAATTGCGGATGCAGCCGGGTGTGTACGTTTCAAGCGTTCGTGCACGCTACCAGTGAGCTTGTCGCTTTTGCACCCGACTGAATACAATTGGGGTAACGGACTTACAGGCCTCATACGGGCACTCCAAGTCGCAGATGCCAGCGCACAGGGCCTGCTGGTCGCCGGCCCGTCACACCGCTCGCTGCCTGGAATCGCTTCGTACGCCTTTGCACACAGGCAGTGTCGAGGCGAGATCTCCACTAAATTCATGCACTCTACATGGAAACATCAAATGATGCTGCCTGTATGGATCCGAATATCATTTGATGCATCCAGACATGCTGTCGAATGCGGTGGAAGCACGACGTGTCCGATTTATCTTCCTGGAATGTGCACCAGTGCAGCAAGTACCCGAACGCTTGTTATACGGACGCACGCCCTCGCCCGTTTCGTGGCGATGATTCCGTTTCCAGTGGCTAGCAGCGTCATGAGACTGGTATCCTCCCCGAGCGCCGGTTTGCTGAGGTCACTACATCCCTTCCGTTCTGCCTGCATCCAGGCAAAACGCGGGCGCACAGCGCCCCCATTTCCACATCCGATACCGACACATCCATCTGGATCAGGGTGCTTCTGCGGTCGATGCGTTCGCGCCACCCGGTACATTCGAAGATGGAATACGGTTGTGCAGCAGCAGCATGTCGAGATAGTCCAACGCTCTGCTCAAGATCAAGTCCTGGTCCTGGGTAGCGTGGCACATTCCTTCGATCAGGCGATGGAGCGTCGCGAGTTGGGCCAGACGGATGCTATCCGATGTGCGGGCCTGCAGAGATCCAATGTACAGAAGCAGGGATCGAACCTGTTCTTGCAGCGATCCGCTGGCGAGATCGTCGGGAGCGGCTTCGTCCTGCTCGGCGCTTCGGAGGGGTCGCGTTTCATTGGGACGCGCTGGGAACCTGCGAGCAACACTGTCGGAAGGCAGCGCTGTCATCGATGACGCGGTGCGCCCGATGGACCACAACGAGCGGGGTAACGCGTCCGAGCGCCCAGAGACATGCCAACGCCCGCCGTCGTCACCCTGTGCTTCGTGGCTCGGGGTGTGCACGCCTGCATTCGACGACCGGGTAGCGCTCGGTGCTGGTGGTCTTTCGCTGCCATCAGACGCCAACTGCGGCGCCATCGGAGCGACCCCTGCGGCTCCAGCAGCCTGCGCATGCGTCCGTGGCATACCCTCGCGTTGTTGCGGTGCGGAAATGCGCTGCGTTCGCGAATGCGTAGGATCCGCTAGCCCCAGCGCTCGGTCATGATTCGCATCTGCTGGCGGCATGCTGTCGAATGCGTCGTACGCTTCTGGTTCCCATGGGTCCACGGTCGTGCCCCAGCGGTCTGCAGATGTCACGGGAAACCCGCGTGCTTTCCGATAATCGACCGCGGAATCGGGTATCGCTGGAGCGAGACGTGGCGCATCTTCAAACCCGCTCAGATTGGAGCGAGCTTGGATCAAACGAATGTCGGGCGTGGAGCGTTTGTCAGCAGTACCTGTCTGCGAGTGATGCGCGGTGCAAGCAGAGACGTGCGCTGTGCGCTTCCGCGTCTGCTCAGCGAGCTGTTGTCGCAGTCCAGCAAGCTCCTGCTGCAACCACGCAAAGCGCCGTAACCAGCATTGCTCGGCAGTGGGTTGATCAGGCGTTGCTGTGCAAAAACAAAGCCGAGCATCGAGCGCTGTCCCGTGCTCGATGCCGTCGTCGGGAGTCGTACCTGCTGAAGCCCAACGCGCTGCAGTCGAGGGGTTTTCCAGTCGCGCTGGATCCGTCTGCTTGTTCTGATGCGGTGACGTTGCTGCATGCTCGTTGCGCTGCTTCGAGGCGATGCCCACTTTGTTGTTAGTTCGTTCAGATTCTGCGATCTGCTGGTACTGCATGCCCATACAGTCCTGAAACCGATCTTCGATACGTTGCAAGAGTCGGACTGCTTGTCGCTGCAGATTTGTCGTGAACTCGCGGAATATTTGGACATCTCGCGCGAGGTCTGCACGCGACTCCGCCAGCGCCTGGGTTTCCTTCTCGAGCTGCTGCCACCAATGGCGACAACCAGCGAGTACGGTGAGTACATCACGTGCAAGTCGCTCGCGGTCAGTGCGCAAGCCCTCGAAGGCTCGGCTGAGCGCAGTGAACTCGTGCTGGGCGCGCTCAAAGAGACCACGCCACTCCAGGTCGACGCTGGCCGGCTCTCGTGCTGGGGACAATAGGCTCGCGGGCCGGTTCCGCTGAGCATCGCGGTATCGCATGTGCTCTGTTGCCATGTGTTTGCCCTCGCAACGGTCAGGTGTGAACAACCAGCATTCGGTACCTGCATCGTTCGGCGAAGGTACAGCGGCCAGTGTCGAGGGTTCGGTCGGCTCGATTGTGAGCAAAGGCATGGAGCTCTTCGATTTTGCTTCTGGAGCGATGACTTGCTCACGAGGCACCTGACTGTTAGCGTCATCTGCAGTGTATCTTGCGCGATACACGCCGCGAAGCTCCTGCAATGAAGTCAGCGGTTGGTCTCTGTTTCGAGACGAAAGCGGTTGAAAGCGTACGCCAGCCGGATTATTTCGTATTGGCCTGGAGGTAAGCGCTTCCGCGAGACCTGGCAGAGTATCCGCGTTTTCCTTGCAGGCAACATCGAGCGCAGCCGGCACGCTCTCGCATGGTTCACCCTCGGTGATGGTAACGGCCGCAGCAACGCTTGCTCTTGGCGGGCTCTCGGAGCAGACCGGGCCCTGATGATAATGAGCATGTCCCCGAGCACCTCCTGACACGCCCTGAAGAGCGGTTTCACAGCGCTTGGCTCCAGCTCTCCCGCGCATAGGCTCGGTGTGCGCTATTTCACGGGAAGAAGCGTGATCTTCCGAGCGCTGCAACTCTTGTAAACCTGGTTCGCTACCGTCTACTTCATTAGAATTCTGGGCTGTTCGAGAGCTCGTTTCACTTCGGGCCGGGTGCTTCTTTGGCCCTAGTTCGATGTCTCGTCGCCGGAGAAAGGTCTCTCGGCGCCTGCGCAACTCGTTTTCCCAACGAGCACATGCGTCAAGAACTTGCGTTTCCATAGCGTACATCAAGTCGACGACTTGTCACTTGCAATGACCAGCATCGAAAACCTGTCTTGCAGTCGAATCAATCGAATCGACTGCTTGTTCCTGGCAAATGGAAGCGTTTCTCAGTTTACGCGTCGGTAACGTAACGCGCCTCGCCTCGCGTCAGCGTTGGCGCCAACGCTGCTTACCTAACGGTTTCGCTGAGAATGCGCTTTCGACGGGAGCAGTCACCAAGGACCCAGCCTCTGCTCCTGTTTGGGCTTGTGATCGGTGCTCTAGTCCTTTGGGACTGCTGGTGGCAGCTATACTGGAAAGCTCCGCTCACAAATGACGCCAGCGCTCGACCACAACTACTTCCGCAGCAATGGTTCACCCGAACACGGACAGGTCAGTTGCGATCGCTTGCCCAGGAGTACTTGTCGCCCTGGTTGCTTTTGGGTATTCCACGAACCATGTTGGATGCTGCTGAGGTTCCTTTTCACGGTGCTGGTGTACATATTCGGGTGCCGGTAAACCTGAGCGCCTCAAAGCGTGAGCCGTATATCCTCTACAGAGTTCTTGATCATTTTCCGCAGACGTATCGAGACCAGCGCCTGCGCTGGATCCTGCAGCTGACGTTGGACGCTTTGCCGCTTCCACCAGGTACAGAGTTCTACGTTAATCTCGGTGATTGTCCGCGCTCGACAGCAGACTCCTCCGGGCGAGCAGCATTCGCCGGGATGCCGATTTTCTCGTTTCGTACAGGCGCAGCGTACATCGATATCCCTATTCCAGATCCGGCAGAATACGGCGCTTACGGTAACTACCAGCTGGTCGATCGTAGCAGTCGTGAAACACGACACGACGACTTGAACGGCTCCGATGAGGATGCTGGCGGCGCGAGTATCCGCAGCGACGAGGCGATGCGCGGTACTGCAGCCTCGACTAGCGCAGACTGGAAGCACCGCGATGCACGGGCATTCTTTCGCGGAGTCACATCTGCATTCGAGCACCACGATGGCAATGAAGTTGCCGATGTACGTATCCAGCTGCACGTTCTCGCTTCGCGTCACCCGGATCTGTTCGACGCTGGCGTGGTGGCGTTCACCAAGTTCGAAAACAGCTCGCTGGCGCTATCACCAGCAGCATACAACACCGCACGTGTTCCTGAGACGCCGATGGAGCAGCGGTACCCTCCATTGCTGCCACGAACACCGTTATCCAGCATGCAACGCTATCGCTATGTGCTTGATGTGGATGGCGGACTAGGTTCCTCACGCAAGAGATCTATACTTCTGTCGAGCGGGGCCGTGCCCCTCTTTCAGCAATCGCCCTGGAAACAATGGTACGAGCCGCTGCTGGTGCCAAATGTGCATTACCTGCCGGTGGACCGCTGGCTCCGCAACCTGACGAAAATCGTGCGCTTGTTGCATCACCAGGATCGCGAAGCGCAGCGGATAGCGATTCGAGCCAGCACTTTCGCTCGCCACTACCTCAGCTACGAGGTAGCCGTGTCGTACTATCGTATTCTGCTACTTCAGTATGCGCAGCTGCTCCAACCTCGCCGTGAAACAAACGGCGAGCTCAGGGATGCTCAAGTGCCGTGGCACCATTGTGCGCAGCGTCCGGGTCTGCGTAACGGCCCCATGGGGTGCTGGCGCGGCTGGTTCGTCTACCGCTCGGGCGATGCGTTACCCTTCGGGTGCTCGTATCGACGAGACCGTACGCCGACGCATCAGTGCTGGCGAACACTACCTCGTGACCCGAGCATGATAACGCTTTTTTCGCCATGGAACGCCTCAGGATCGCCCTGGTTGCGACAGGAGAAGCGTGGAATCCACGAATCGTACCCGACGGAAGCAAGCGCTGGCTAGTTCTCAGGGATGCCGTGGCCGGCAGCTGATGCACAAGGGATCTCACCTGATTTGCATCCTAGTCTTACCCGGAATGCAGTGGTTAATGCACCAGCATCTTTAGGCGTGTAATGTGCCGCTGGTTCGTTTTAAGGGACGCACTGGCCGGTAGTGGATGCCCATCGATCTCGGCTGCTTCGCGTCTTCGGTGGACCGAAAATTCACTCAGATATACGCCGAAATGTTTCGGTCTCTTTCGCTTTTCAAAGCATGCAATGCTCGTATGGAGCCAAATTCAGGCACTAGGACTTGCGGAATACTCTGAGGTGTCCCTTGGGCCAACCCTGCTTTGCAGTGTTTCGTGGAGACTGCTTACAGGCAGCGGCTAGTCTTGCTGATGCCGCTCGACACGGGTCTCGAAAAGGCGCTCGCGGTTCCGTGCGCGTCTGCGTCTGGAATGCCTTGGAGGTTTTCGTCTTTCCAAATATGCTGCACGAACCGGAATGCCTCAAGAGTTTCTTGGTCTGCAGCCTCTACATTCACATTAGAGCAATACGGGTCAACGGTTTCTTACATAGTTCTGGGATTCTTGAACCCGGCAAGCTTCTAGAGTATCTTGGTCTGCAGCCTCTACATTCACATTAGAGCAATACGGGCCAACGGTTTCTTACATAGTTCTGGGATTCTTGAACCCGGCAAGCTTCTAGAGTTTCTTGGTCTGCAGCCTCTACATTCACATTAGAGCAATACGGGCCAACGGTTTCTTACATAGTTCTGGGATTCTTGAACCCGGCAAGCTTCTAGAGTTTCTTGGTCTGCAGCCTCTACATTCACATTAGAGCAATACGGGCCAACGGTTGCTTACATAGTTCTGGGATTCTCAGCGGCGTTTCGAAATGACTTGTTAGGCTTTTTGCCGCAGCAACACGTTACGTCACTGCGTTCAAGATCATTCGCGAGACTCTCAAGCAGGCATTTGGTGTAATGACCGATATCGCCATCCAATTCCCGTATATAAGACTCCACTCTTCTTCTTTCCGTCTGCGCACCATGCTCAAATCACGCGTTTCTTTCAATTTTTCGATCTCTGTTTTTCAGGGAAACAGGCTGGAACAGCGATTCGCGGCGCTGGACTGATGAAGAAACATACCCGACCTTGTCCCTGGACGACCTGTCCACAAACTCATGCTGAAAGCGCACTGGACATGCCGCGCCGAATGATCGATTCCGTTTCAAGAGAAAGTCTTTCTCTATTTGTGGCTATCGACGATACAGTACTCGACAGCATCAGCACGGTACTTTACACGGGAACTGCTTCAAGAGGATCCCGGCTCTTCGGTTTCCATGGAAAAGCGTCTTTCTTGGGTTTGAGTCGTCGAAGCAATTGCTGTTTCGGGAGATTTTGTCACCGCTTGCACGACGGGAAGGCAGACGGATCGAGATTTATGGAGTTGTTCTCCATTATGGGCTTTCCATCCGGTATTTAATGCATCATGGACAACCTCGCGTTCAGCAAAATTCTTTCTCTAATGGGACCGCATGCGCTGGCATGTGCAGTGGACACAGTACTCGACGCCGGACTCGCCTAGAAGACGCCCGTGAACATAGCATATGGCACTGGGCACAGAAACGGAGGAGGGCATTTCTGGAAGCCTTCTGCCCGTGTCGATGGCCATCTATCGGGCGATCTAGCAAGCCTGTATGGACTGTAGAGCGGCGCTCCGGGCATGCGGTCTAGTCGACACATGAGAACCCCTAACCACGGTTACGTTTCATTGTTGCAACGGGCAAGCCGACGTTGTCCCCGAACAAGATGAATTTGGTCATCGAAGCGAAGCTCGCAGATTCTTCCCCTGCATGAAATGCATAGACACCAGCCGGAAGCGGTGAAATCTCAACAAGCACGCCGCGATCATTACCTATCGACCGCAGACAACGGAACTGCAATGAAACGAGAGACCTTCGTATTTAAAGCCAGAGAAATACGAGCGGAATCGCGGCCAACAGCACAAAAAAATCCGCAAAGGTCTGTGTTGATGACCAATGGAAGCGGTGTAGACTTTAGGGTGTACACTCGAGCTACAGGACGCGTTCCACTGCATCCTAATACGGTTGCAGTGCCGGCGACTCGGACCTCTACACCTGCACATCTTTCGCGAGAGTCGTCGGCCTCAAACCCGCAGAAAGGTTGGAACGAAACCGTTGAGTGTGCACGGTATATGCCGCAATGCATCTGGTTCCACAGCAAGTGTCTGCTATCGCCTCAACGCCTTTGAAGTCACCAGATCAGACACCCACTTTCGCAGCATCACACCGGTTGTGGACGAGATAGATCCTGGAAGCGTCTGCGGAAGCAGTGAACACGACGCATCGGGAAGCGGCAGGGTTCGTACATTCGGACTAACCTGGGACGATCCACTGATTCTCTGGGTGATCCAGGACAGGTATCATCGAAAGTGAGGATACATGCACACGTGCTAGAACGCGGTGTTGCGTTGCGCTCTGGTACAGGACTGAAGCATGGAACCCGGGTTTGCTCTGAATGTGCAGTTGCTGCTGAGCGTCAGAGAGGAGATGCTGGCCACTTTACAAGCGCTTCTGCATACAGCAACTCTGCAGCAGTGCTTCTCTTGAGACTGGAAGCTGGATTGATCCAGCGAGCCGTCCGCTGCAGTGCCGGAGCTGCCGACGTTTCTGTATTCGTGGTTGAGGTTGCCGCTGATCAACGACTTGTTGCCTTGGCACAGCTCGCGTACTGGCGATCGCTTCAACCGAGCAGGCGCTCAACACTGTACCCTGCATTTTGATCAAAAAACCTTGATACTGACTAGAGAGTCCCGATGACGATATCATTGTCGGTAACCGAGAAAACTTCCCGGGAAAGGCGACGCAGTCATTGCCTCGGACGCCGGTGCGCCGCGTTGTGTCAAGTGGGGTGACGTCCACGCGCGCACCACCGTGCAGCACGTGCGACTCGGGTCTGCGGTACTCATGTGGATGTCTGTGGTGGATGAACGCACGGGCAAAGCGACCGAGTTGGGCAACGCGGAAACGCAAGCGTGGGATAGAGATGGAAATAGGTGACGGAGAGTGCGCGACGATAAGGACTCGTTGGCGTTGGCGTTGCCACAGGGTTTCCAGCAACGTACCCAAGTATTCGAATGTGGATGATTAAGCATGCTTTTACCGATGACGCAGTGTTCTGTGTGTACCCTCACCAACCCATTACTCAAGATCTGAACGCATCCATTTAGTATTTGTAGCCAGCCTCAAACGTACCAGTTACATCCAGTGTCGGCTCTGAACCCGGAACGTATTTGCCCAGACTCGCCTTGCTGTTGGCTCGCGCCCGTGCAAGAAGCGCCTCCTGAGCCGCCCGCACATTCTCATCCTTACCCATCCACGATTTGAGGCACGACTGCTGCAGCGCGCGCCCATATGAGAAGGACAGCGCCCACGGTCCCTTGCGTGGACGGCTGTTCAGGGCGTTCAGGTTGATCGTGGCCTCTTCCTCCGTCATGCCACCAGACAAGAACATGATACCAGGCACCGCTGCAGGGATCGTCCGCTCCAGCGTGCGAACCGTCATCTCAGCAATCACATCCGGCTTGACCTGCTGCTTGCTATCGGCACCAGGGAGCGTCATGGATGGTTTGAGAAGCGAGCCCTCCAGGAAGACTCCCTGTTGTTGGCACAAGTTATAAAGAATGGAGTAGACCTCCTCCTGGACCTCAGCACACCTCTCGATGGTGTGGTCGCCATCCAGCAGAACCTCGGGCTCGATGATCGGCACCAGGCCCTGATCCTGCACAGTTCGGGCGTACCGCGCGAGACCGTAGCAGTTCTCGAAAATTGCCTGGCGAGTCGGACCGCCTGGTGCAATCTGGATAACCGCACGCCATTTGGCAAAGCGCGCACCCTGAGCGTAATACGCGGCTGCTCGCTCCGACAACCCGTCCAGGCCGGTGCACCAGGTCTCGTGCGCGAGCGCTGCGCCATGGAGCGGCGCCAAACCCTTGTCCACCTTGATGCCTGGAATCACGCCAATGTTCCGCAGGCAGTCCACAAATGGACGACCATCCCGAGTGCTCTGATACAATGTCTCTTCGTACAGGATAGCACCGCTGATGTACTCACCGAGCCCCTGGCACGTGAAGAGGAGCTCGCGGTACCCACGCCGGTGCGTCTCCGTGTTCTCCACACCAATCGTTGCCAAGCGCTTTCCGATGGTTTTCGTGCTCTCGTCCACTGCAAGAATACCACGACCAGGCGATGCTATCTTGTTTGCAGTCTCCACCAGCTCGTCTGCGAATTTCTCCACCCCGCCCGGGCGCACGCCCCATGAGCGCATGCGCAGCGTCACAGAACGCGCCACTCGCGCACGAGGAGCGCCAAGAGACTTTTGACGCAAGTTAAGCTTCACATTCTGTTGGAAGAAAGAGGAATTAACTGGAATCTGAACGAATGCCTCCATATTGCCAGGTCTCAGCTCGCGCTCGCTGCGTGTCTTCGTGCCGCGCACACACCACAACACCAACACGCAGTCAACGTCGCGTGTGGCAGGCATCGCTCGTCGACGCCTACCGTCACGACGCCGCCGGCGATGCGTCGCCGACGCCGCACGCATCGCGTTTTTGGTGCGTGCATGCGTGCGTGCTGGACGCCCGGCGCTGCGGCATCGAGCATCGTCGACGGTGCAGCGATCGGGGCAGCGAGATGCGGTGCGCGCAGACCTGGACATCATCGCCTCGGATGCGTCGCGAACGTTCGATTTTTTTCATAGACAAGACGTTTACTTGTGCCAGCTTTCTCCGATTATGCGCATTTATGTTTTCTTACCTCTTTTGTGTGTTATTTTTTGTGCGCGGTGAGGTATCCATCAAACGTCCTACCTCCAAGTTACATTACCTATACTGATTCTCGGATATTCTGGTCGTTTCATACGTTCTATCGGGTGCGCTTAGTACCTAACCTAATCATACGCCTTTGGAACTTAACCGCTGGAGCAGATAGTTCATAGAGTTAGGAGGGCTTTTCCATACCACAGAGGGCGTCGGTTCGAGGCGTGGTTCACCCGACGTAGAACTGGGATTCGTCGTCAGTGTGTGCTCGGACAGTCTGCGGATGCAGGCTTGCCTTCGCTGCACGACACGCTGGAGAAACTTCACTGTTAGGATATATCGTGGGGGCCGCCTCTCTCCTTCGTGATCATGCATGGAATGCGTTGTTGTCGGTTGGCAATGCGGGTTTGTGCTCGACACTCATACAGAAGGTAGGCGCAGAAAGCGCACTAAACCCGTGTGCGCATCCGATTCGCTGGACCATCCGCCTAGAAGGTAGCATGTGAGTTTGTTCGCCACTAGTGAGCGCTGAGGCTCTGTTAGCGGACCATCAGTTGCCAGTGCTGCACTCAAAGTGAGTGTCCGGCCGTCGACTATCACGGTGATGCCCAGCTGCTGCTGTCCTTCAAGGAGATCGCTGCGCTCCTGCTTTCAGCGCGGCCACTGTAACAGTAAATATGTCAGCGTCTCGGGGATCTCGTCTCGACAGCAGGGACAGTGTGATTCCCAGTGCGATTCCAGTGCTCCTATCCGGCTTAGAGCCGGTGCTGCTAGTCAGAAACCACCAACGTGGATTTTGGCGAGCCACTGGGTACCGCGAGCAAGTCCCGGGAATTCCAGCGCCTCCCACCAGTACTTGCATGTGTATGCTAGGTTGTAGTTCCGGTATAGAGTCAAGCCGGCGTTACGGGCGCGACTGGTTCCGTGTCTACGTTCCCATATTGGTGTTCGGACCGTTCGCTTGAGGCGTCTGAAGTCTTCTACATTCCTGGGGAACGATTGGAGCGGACAGCCTGCTTCTGGGCGTCGCGCTGGTCCGAGTGGACTCCGAGTACGTCGCTTCGTGCTGCTGCAAGCATTAGGTCTGTCTGCGCAGCTTACTGGCTCCCAGCATGATTATGTAGTCCGAACCCGTATCCAATGAACCACAACTTGAGGCGACGCCCTCACTGGCATGGCAAAGCCGTTCTGTCTCCGTGCCGCATCTGCTCCAGGGGTGTAAGCGCGATTGCGAATGCTCAAGGAAGGTTACGTGCACAGTGGAATGCACGAAATAACCAGTACATCCGAAAGGAAGTACAAGTAATGGAACCTGAAGGTAGGGTCCAGCAGCATGATGGGCGCTTTCCCGAATGTCAATACCGATCTATCGCGCAATCTGGCCTCCATGGTCCATAGAAGCGCTTTGGCATCGGCGGGAGAACCGGGCGTCGCCCCGCGCTGCGCTCCATGGAACAATGCTCAAATCACGAATAAATTGTACTTTATTAAATCTGTATGTACTATGATGTACAAAATAGCATTCCAGGAATCCCGAGATCACACACGCGCTCGAGACGTGAACTGTCTCGTCACTCTCGGCTACGGCTTCATCTTCCTCGTATTTCTTCGCCATTAGATACGAGTGCGGTAAGATTCTGGGCTGAAGTTTTCAATATTAGTGATGGACCCAACCAAGTATACACCACGCGATACTTTTGACGTGAACGTGCTTACCACGAACGCTGGGCAGCCGGTGACGAACAACCAGTCTTCACGCACTGTGGGGCCGCGTGGACCGGTGCTGCTTGAGGACTACCACCTCTTGGAGAAGCTGGCTAACTTTGACCGTGAACGGCAACCGGAGCGTGTTGTACACGCGCGCGGTGTGACTGCCAAGGGTTACTTTGAGGTGACACACGATATCACAGACTTAACCTGCGCGGACATGTTCGCGGAGGTTGGTCGCCGTACGCCGGTGGCTGTCCGGTTTTCGACGGTCATTCACTCGCGTCATTCACCGGAAACCTTGCGTGATCCGCGCGGTTTTGCTGTCAAGTTCTACACTCGTGAAGGAATCTGGGACCTCGTCGGAAATAATCTGCCGGTCTTCTTTATCAGGGATGCGATCAAGTTCCCGGACTTAATTCACGCGTTCAAACCAAACCCGCGGACAGAGGCGCAGGAATCCTGGAGGATTCTCGACTTTTTAAGCAACCAACACGAAAGCCTGAATATGCTCACGTTCCTTTTCGACGACGAGGGTATCCCGAAGGACTATCGGCATATGCGCGGCAGCGGAGTGCACTCGTTCCGCCTTGTAACCAGGGACGGACGCTCGACGTACGTGCGCTTCCACTGGCGCCCCAAGTGCGGTATGGAAAACTTGTTGGACGAAGAGGCTGCCGTTGTGTGTGGTCAGGATTTTTCTCACGCAACGCATGACTTGATCCGGGCAATTGACCGAGGCGACTATCCCGAATGGGCGCTCTATATCCAAACCATGGACCCGGCAATGGTTGAGAACCACGTGTTCCCGTGGGGCGATCCACTCGACGCGACGAGAGAGTGGCCTGAGAAGGACTTTCCGCTTCGCCCTGTGGGTCGCATGGTGCTGAATCAGAACTGCGATAACCAGTTCTTGGAGAATGAGCAAATTGCCTTCTCGCCGGCACTCGTTGTCCCAGGTATCTACTATTCAGACGATAAGCTGTTGCAGGGTCGCCTTTTCAGTTACGCCGACACGCAGCGATACCGTATTGGTGCCAATTATCTGCAGCTGCCGATCAACGCACCAAAGAATCCGTTCCATAATAACCATTATGATGGCCAGCAGAACTGGATGCTGCGTCAGGGCGAAGTGAACTACTACCCCAGCCGCGTAGACCCGGTGCCGGAGGCGCCCCCGGCCGCATTCCCAACGCCTCGCGATGAACTACGTGGTCAGCGGGTGAAGCAGCTGGTTCCAAATCAGTGCGACTTTGTGCAGCCTGGAGAACGTTACCGCTCTTTCGATCCGGCGCGCAAGGAGCGGTTCGTGAACCGGATCGCGAAACTGCTAACAGATGAGCGCGTGACCCCAGAGCTGCGAGCCATCTGGCTGGAGCTCTGGAGCAAATGCGATGCTGAACTGGGCGCAGCGCTGGCGACCAGAGTGAAGCAGTGTACAATGTGAATGTCGTTGTCGTCGTCGTTGTCGTCGTCGTCGCTGTGCGCTTGAACGGTCGCTCCAAGCTCAAATAAAGACTGACAAACCAGATGCAGTGCCGATGCGTATATAGCCGCTGCAACCATATGACGGGGCTGGGTGCGCATCTCCGGCAAAGCGTGTTGACGGCATGTGCGTCTGTCTGAACGCGATCGGACGTAGACGCTTCTTTGCAACCCGCGAGGAAGTCATGATTGGTCGATTGAACAGTTGGTATGGTTCAATTTGCGTTAGATCGAAGGAATGGGTGTTTTTCGGTTTGTTTAAACAGAACGCTGATCGGTTTCCACGTGTCGCGCCCTAGCATGATCCGAAACGACCGCCGCCGCCACCGCCACCGCCACCACCACCACCACGGTGACGGCCATAACCACCATCGTAAACACAAGTCACCCTTTCACCAGTCTGCATTTGGATAGAGAAGGCTGTCCCCTTGACTGATATCGCGATCCCTGTACGCGTCCACGGTCTCAAGCGGCTCCGAGTACGCATCCGAGGCGACCGGATCAATGACGTCACTGTCGAGCGCGTCCGAGTCCGACAGCAGCGCCTCTGCCGCAGCCAGGCGTGATCGAGCGGGCGCTGCCGACGCACGTCTCGCAGCTCGCAGGGCTTGTCGCGGACTGGTGACCTCGACAACGGCGGCCGGATTCCCCGTCCGACGCATGGACTGGCGCTTCGCCGCGGCCGGCGACATCGGCCGCCGCATTGGTCGACTAACACCGCGGATGCCGCTGTGCACGTGAGGATTCCGTCGGCGTATCACGAACGGCCCATCCGCGGAAACAGCATCGATAGGCGCTGCAGCACGAGCGGCTGTCGGTTTTGGCTCGGCTGCGAGCTTTCCCGATGCCACAGACGCTGCAAGGTCAGCGCGTCCGCGATCGCCTGCCAGCTGTGCATCATCTTCGGTCACCAGAACGGTATCCATAGCTTCCAACCGATGCACCAAAGAGCGCAGCTGCTGCTCTAACTCCAATAACGCGGATTTCGGAGGCTGCTCATAGGCATCGTGCTCCTCATCGGCGCTAGACGCGTTCATTTGCTCGGAATCGTCTTCGGCATCCGTCGCGACGGTGCCGGGTGGCGCAGCGCGCGCCCGCCGTGCGTGCAATCCGCCGCTCGCGCGTTGCCATGCGTGTCGCCGCTGCAGCGCCATCACGCGTCCGTGCGCCGCTGCCGCCTCCGTGTCATCGAGCGCCGTGCCGCGTGCTGCAACCGCTGATTCCGAGCGTAGCGCGCGACGTTGCCGCCGCTGGCGATCACGTGGCGGGAAATCGGGGACAGCACGCGACGCGCGCTGCTGCTGCTGCTGCTGCTGTCGATGACGCCGCTGGTGGCGGCCGATGCGTGCGCCGCTGCACGCATCATCGGCGGACACGTATGCTGCGGATGCATCCGAGTCGTCGTATCGCGATGCTGCTGAAGCATCGCTGTCGAGCGTTCGGGGCGCAATGAACAGCTTACGCCACCAGCGACCGAAGCGGACACCTACCTCCCAAAGGCTGTCGTTCAGGGCACGTCGGCGCCGCCGCTCACGACGGTGTCGCTCGGGAGCGCGGCGACTGCGAGCGCGTGAGCGCTCCTCATCGGAGCAGGCATTGCGCGCCAGCGGATCGCGATAGCGCCCGGCGCCGTGGCGCACGCTCCCGGTATGGCGCGGGACGTTCTCCGCCAGCGCCGCCTCACGTCGAATGAGCTGACGGAGTCGCATGACGCGCGCTATAAGCGCATCGCGATCTCGAGCCAGGGCTGAGCGCTCGCTATGGAGCTGGGCACGCTCCGCGCGTACCGAGTCACGCTCTTTCTCGATACCACTCAGTTTCTTGAGCAGCAGACGGTGTTCACGACGAGCCTCTTCGAGCTCGGCGCGTATCTGGGCGACATGCAGTGGCGTGCGTCCGTCGGCGCTCGCGTGCGAGGTATCGCGAGTGCGCGTCGCCGCCTCCTGCCGCGCCTCGTCCATGCGTTCAGGTTTGGCGTCGGCGGTGCGCCCAGGGTCGTGCGCTTCCTGCTGGACGCCGTTCGCTCCCGCTCCGGTATCGGATGCGGACAGCGGCGGTGGCGGCACCGTGCGCTCACCAGCTGCGGCATTCGATGCATCCGGATTCGCTGGCGTCGAAACAGGCCGCCCAGTGTCGTCCGTGGAGAGCGCTGCCGCCGGTGCCGCTGCTGCCACTGCCTCCGTTCCAAGACGCTGCAGCTCAGGTGCAGCGTTTCCAGCGGCCAGCGCCGGTGCCGGACGTGCCACGCTCGGTGCGCGCGGCGGTGGACCAGCGGGCGATTCTGTCGATGCTGCGGCTCTGAGTTCCCCGGGCCGCATCGGTGCAGCAGATGCGGTCTGCAGTGCAGTGCCACCAAGCTCATTGTCCGTGGCGAATGCTTGGAATTTTCGGATGAACGTGGTGCCAGCAGGAAGCGGCTGCTCTTCTGTCACTCGATCTCTGGCTGCATCCTGAGTTGGACCCGGATTCACTGGCGGTTTGCGCACGCTCGGTCGCGGGCCAGGCTCGGGTCCCGTCGACGCTTCAATCGTTTGAAAACGTCGACGGAACATCTCTTCGCCCTTGCCTCCGCCGAAAACTGCGCCAGCACCCGCATCATTCAGTACCGGTGCCGTACTGGCGGCAGTCTCGACCGCGGCACTCGTCGTTGACGGCGGTCTGTCGTCGGTGCCGGGCGGCCAACGAGCACGCGCACCGCGCTGCGCCTGCCCGGGGAGCGGTCGTACAGCCGCCGGGGGCGCTCGTGAGCGCTCCCGCTGCGATACGGTGCTGAGCTCGTTCGCAGGCTCGGCTTCGGTAGGCGCTATACCGAGTTTCTGGTTATGGCGCTCGACTGCACGTTTCCACCTCTGCATCGGGTTGAGATTCTCCTGCTCGAAGGAGTCGTCGGCTTTGCCGATATTCGTCGCAGTTGCTGCAGCGAGAACTTCCGCTGTAGGTCGTATAACGGATATATTCCCCGCATTAAAAGGACGTAAAGGAGCTGCATTCGGTGCCCCTGTTGACGCTTCAGATCTGCCAGCGGCGAGCGCCGGTTTGCGAAACACCGATGGCGCACCTGCAGCTGTACCCAGCCGGCTCGTAGGGACGCTTTTCCCACTAGTCGTGTTCGTCCCATCCCCTTTTGGTGCCGGGGGTTTATTGGCTATGTTCGATGTAGAGAGTGTGCTGTATATCGGTCTCATCCTGTGAGCGAAGTAAAAGAGAGACGGTGAGAACGCCAAAGCACAACCGGGATCGGTTTGAAAATTTGAATCGGAGGGAAAACGCTGCGGACACCTGCATGCCGATCGATCGCGCACGCGCGCACCCGTCCGGCGCACGGTGTCGCCGCTGGCAGCGGACATGTGCGTCGGTTCATCGCGGGCAGTGGTGTCTATATTGTGCCAGAAATGGAAACAAGGTACAGTGTTTCATGATGCGCCGTCCCGCAGATGACGTCGCTGGGGGCGTGTCCGTGAAAAGCCGCCTGCGAAGCGGTGTCCGTATTGTTCATCTAAAAGCAGGTATGTCTAGACGCTGATCGTTGCCCGCGCGCGCCGAGGATCGGGCTCCGCGCGGGACTCGCGCAGTGCCGACTAGGGCTCCATTGGTGCGCCCGCATCAGGTAGAATGCGATGACGCACGAGCGCTCTGTAATGCTCGGGACGAAAGCGTCTAATGTACTCCGCTAATTTTCCCCGCACGATTGTCTCTGTCGATGCAATGCCTATCTCATCCGCGAATGACTGAATCAGCGTTTTCGCTGACGCAACGGCCTCCTGCATGATTGGACTGGTTCCGCTAAGCAATCGATCGTTATCGCGATATAGAACCAGTACTTCAATTTCGCCAACGGTGTAACCGTAATCCGTCCGATCCAGATCGATGTTCAAGGTCTGCCCGCGATAAACGACTTGTAAAGTTTCGCGCTCTGTCACGATCCGGGCAAACGGTGCTATGCGGCCTTCCCGAAGAGCCGTGTCCGGGCTCCACCCGAGCGCAGCCTCCACGTCTGCGAACTCGTCCAACTCTCGGTAAGTGTCCAGCGTAGCTGTGCGTGGCGTTTTTCCCCAAGGTATTTTGAGCTGCCACTGCAGCTCACGTTGCCGTAGCCACCAGTCGCGCAGTGTTAGCGCCCAGGCATCTGGTACGTCAAAATAGGTATCCGTAAAGCAGGCAGTACGCAGCCGACGTTTCTCTGACACGATCGACGTCGACTCGAGCCTCTCCAGCAACCGTTGGGTCAGTTCTGGAGACAGCACAAACTTGCGCTCTACTTCAATGCTAGCCGTCATGGAGCAGGCGAGCGGACCAACTCCAACCGGCCTGCGCAGTTTCGCGTACCCCCAGCAGACACTTCGGAAACGCCCGACAAACAGCCGCTCCTGGCGTCCCGGGTGCGAAACGCCTCGCGCACACAGACGCGTTCGTGCTGCACACCCGTGTCGACTTGAGCTCGCGGGCGCAACGAAGCCAGCCAGACTCGGTCTCGAATCAGCAAAGAGGTACCCCTCGCCAAACGCCATTCTTAAGTCGAACGACGCCAGCGGTGTACAGTAGTGGCGACCGGGCCGCCCTAGAAGAAATGTCTCCGACTGATGTGCAGAAGCCTGCCCGTCTTTTTGGACCGGCCACCTACTACTGCTTCAAACTTTTTCTCATATAGTTTAACTTTGAGCGGTTTTCCAACCAAATTCTCTATCGTCGACCCGAGAGGTCTTTCCTCTCTCACCGCACATTTCCTTATATTGATTGCGGCGTTAAAGTCTCGGTTCACAAACTCCATACGTTTCTTGCCATTGATTGTACTTACTAACGCAAGCAATCCTCGAACTTTCGCTATCCTTTCCATTTGCTCTTCTGTCAGCGGTCCGTACTTTTTTTATATCCTCAGGTCCCCGCTGGCACTTTTCCATCTCGACCCTCTGAAGTGTACAGCCCAGTTCATGGTGTGTATACAATGCTCGAAATCCATCTACCGGTATTATAACAAAACGCCGTGCGCACTCCTTATACGTTCTCGTCGTGGGATCTGGTGTACACCCTTGTTGGGTCGTCCAGCGCCTTGCTTCGTACGCTACTACGAGCCTTTGACTTTCATCCTCCTTCAAGGCACTCAACTCACTGAAAAAAAAATGCGAATGCCCGATACTCCCTACATTATAGATTCATGCGGAGATCAAACTGCCCGCCATCCGAGATTGCATGTACGGATCTCAGCGCTCGCGTCGGAAGCATCGGCAGTGGACGAGCGCCTTGTTGTGCACTGCCTGTCCACTGGACACGCAAGGTACTTTCGTCGGAACATGGGCGTTGAGAATGCTTTAGGCGGTTTCATAGTAACGAATACCTTCAGCGGTAGCGGTGTACGTTTCGTCGTACGGAACCGGAGCCAGTGCAACTCGCTGGTGGTGCCTGGGTTCCGCGCGAGGCGGCGTACGCGCTGCGGAGCACTTGCTCGCGTACGGGGGACAGATTCGGCGCCAGAGGGTACCCCCGACGCCGAAGCGAGGCACCGTCCCAAGCCTGGTGAGCGAGGGCTCTTCCCGCTCGTTGCACCGCGTGAGGATATCGGGCGCTATTTCGTTGGAGAGCGTCGGATTTTGGACGAACGCACAGCGCGCTATCCGCTACGCTCGACGGTAGAGGAAGTGCTGGCGGGCATTACGGTGGCGATGGCGCTGCTGCCTGCGGCGGTGTCTTGCGCGTTGGCCACGGGCGTGCCGCCGCTCGCTGGAATCGTCTCGACTGGTCTCCTGTGTGCGATAACTGCCGCACTGGGAGGACGCCCTGGCATGATCTCAGGAACATCTGCAGCGCTCATTATTCTGCAAGCGCCTCTCTATCAACAGTACGGCGCAGCAGCGGTCGCTGCCGCCGTGGTGCTCAGCGGTATACTCCAGCTTTTCTTCGGGATCTATCGTTTGGGAAAGTTTGTGCGGCTGATATCGTACCCTACCTTTCTGGGATTCATCAGCGGCATCGCCATCTTGACGGCGACAAGTCAGGTCTATGCGTTTCAGCTTCCAGCGGGAACCGGGCTGAGCCCGGGCGCACCCTGGCTCCAGGGTAACATGTTGCGTGCAGCGTTGATCGTCGCAGCGCTCGCCGCTGGAGTCGCCCATGTATGGCCCTTGATCATTCAGCGACTACAGCGCCGGCGCCCCGATAGTACCCATCGGTGGCAGCACCGCCTCGCTGAGCTGTTGCGTTGGCTCCCAAGCCCACTAGCGGGCATCCTCGTGGCATCCATTTATGCGGAGGTGACGCAAGCGCCTGTGCGGCGGCTTGGCGACTTTTTGCGCGACACGCTGGCACAGTCAGGGGCCATTGGCGTATCCTGGGCAGCCCTGCCGTCAACACCGCTGGCATGGATGGCCATTCTGAGCACCGCGCTTGGTCTCGCATTCATCGGTCTTTTGGAATCTCTGTTAACCATGACTTTGGTAGACGAAGTCACGGAATCGAGGGGTAGCACGCGTCGGGAGTGTCTAGCGCTTGGGGCAGGGAATATCGCCGCGGGCTTATTCGGTGGCGTGGGCGGCTGCGGCCTCCTGGGCCAGTCGCTCCTGAACACGAAATCAGGGGGACGCGGGCGTCTCTCTGGACTGACTGCGGCGCTGTGTCTTCTCGTGTTGGCGAGAAATCCGAGCGGACTGATGATTCGGATTCCCGTCCCAGCCATTGCAAGCCTTATGGTGCTGGTGGCGCTGGGCTCGTTCGAATGGGCATCGCTGCGCTTGTTTCGTGCCATACCTCTCGCTGATTCGCTGACCATTGTGAGCGTTGCCCTGATGACTGTAGCAACGCGCAACGTCGCCCTGGCGGTCCTGTTTGGTGTGGTATTCTCGGCGCTGGTCTTTGCCTATAAAGCGTCGCGACGCATTACCGCCCAGAGCTTTATTTCGGAGGACGAGCAAACGCGCGGATGGCGGGGATACCGGATTGACGGTCCGCTGTTCTTTGGCACGGCGGAGCGCTTCAGTCGTCTGTTCGACCCAGCACGGGATCGTGCCGAAGGCCATGAGCACGTGATCATCGACTTCTCTGGTAGCCGCATCTGGGACGCGACAGCGCTAGAGGCGCTAGACTCCCTAGCCCGTCAGTATAGGAGCTATGGTATTCGGCTGCATCTGTGGGGTCTGTCTCGAGATAGCGCACGTCTGCTGCGCGAGGCACGCGCCTACATCGACGAGAGTGTCACGAACGAGAAAGCGCTCTACTTGTACGAGCGGGTTGTAGCCGACTATCCCACAAACGATAGTCTAGAGGTTGAGTACGAGCTTTTCGCGAAAAGAGAATCGGGGAATGCAGCGTAAAGACAACGGGCATCGCTAGAGGGCATCGCAGAGGAGCAACGGACCCCCGCAGGGCGCGAGCGGGTCGTGCGCTCGCTCCTGTATCATTTTCGGTGCCGTTTGGTTACATCCGCTTACGCAGATCGATAAGTCGAAACAGACAGCGGTGATTGCCAAGCATCGCGTCGTTCCTGTGCGCCCGAACGGAGATGTTGTCAGCGTTCCGCTCCGCAACGTTCCATCCATTGCACCGAAGTGCGCCCCGTCGACAACACATTCCAGCGTGGGATCAGGCGCACGAAGTTTCCCTGGCACAGCAGCAGTGACGGACATCAAAACAGTCGAGGTTTCGGAAGCGTTTTCGACAGGACCTTGATTTGTCGCCTGATGCTTGGCACAGGGGAAACGCGGAGGGGAAATGAGCGGGTTCATGCCCTCCACGAGAATCACGCCGAGTACCGCCCTGAGGGTACTCGATTCAGGGGTGATTCGGATCTTTAAACCTACGGGACGATCAAGTACCATACGGACCTGAAGAACCATTTGACGATGAACCTCGAACGCTTCATGAAACGCTCCGTCTATGCACTCTACCCGGGCATCGCTCGCAAAGGAATATGGGCGATTATCAATGGCATCACGAAGGATTGCCAGAATGAACAGGAGATCGAATTCTTCGACAAGAAGACATCACGCAGGAGAAAGAATGAAGCTCCTGTAATCCATTGGGTTATACAAGAGCATCGTGCCGTACTGGGGCTGGCGAACCCAACAGAAAAGTTATCAGAGATGAAAAAAAGATAAGAAAAGATACGATCGCCTCATCCTGCGCTATTTCGTGTTCCTGGACCAAGGACTGGAACGCGAGGCATAGATGAAGCTGAGTGAGGAGAAAAATGATGCGTCGGAGAAACGAAAGGCTTTCCTAATGGGGAAGCACCCTAACGTCGTTCCGTTGAACAACATCGAGTCACACTGTGTGACTATCGACTCCAGAGTCCTTCAAGGCATCATGAAGGAGATCAGTCCCGAGTTCGATGTTAGCAGGGAGGAGTTCTCCGGTGAAAATCGGGAGATGTACGGGAAGAACATCTTCGATGTCAATCGTCTCAAAGTGAGCAAATAAAAGGTATTCGCTGGGATGATCGAAACCGATGGAGTAGCCATGTGTGTACAGTATCGGAGGTTGAAGGTGGATCGTCCCATCGCGCCTTGGGCTTCGCCCGTGACGAAGCATGAAGATAAGATGGAGATGGGCCCTGAAACGTGTAATCCCCAGGATAACGACCTTGTCGTTGGCGCGGACCCCGGGAACACGAATATCGTAACCATCGCAGTACCCAAGCGTGCGGAAGATGGCATTGACGGTAACTTGCCTCAGAAAGACATGCGTCTGTTGAGATTCTCGAGAGCGAGATACCATCGAGAATCGGGAATCATGAATGCAAGCAAGAAAATCGAGACGTAGAATGCAGGAATGAAAGAGCACCTGGAAGCTATGACCAAGTTGACTAGCCGAGGAGCGGACTCGGAAGCTTTTCGGAAATTCATGGAAGTTCGTGTTGCTCACTGGAAGGCGCTGTGGAAAGAGTATACAAAGTCCCGGTAGGCTTGTCTGCGTATGAGTCTATTCCGTGGGATGCAGCGGGCGTTCGCAAACTTTTTCAATGGGTTGAGCGCCTTGAAGGAGGACGCAAGTCAGAGGCTCCTGGTAGCACACGGAGCAGGGCGCTGGAAGACCCGAAAAGGATGTACACCAGCTCCAACGACAAGAACGTACATGGAGTGCGCAAGGCGTTTCGTTACGATACCGGTAGATGAGTTTCGAGCGTCCTATACGTACCATGAACTGGGGTGTACGCTCCAGAGAGTCGAGATAGAAGAGTGCCAGCGGAGCCCTGAAGATATAAAAAAGTACGGACGGCTGGCGGAAGAGCAAATGGAAAGGAGGGCGAATGTTCGAGGACTACTTGCATCAGTAAGAACAACCAATGGCAAGAAACGTATGGATTTTGTGAACCGAGACTTTAACGCAGCCGTCAATATAAGGAGATGTGCGGTGATGGAAAGAAGACCTCCAGGATGAACAAGAGTGAACTTTGTTGGACAATCATCTAAAGTGGAACTATATGAGAAAAAGTTGAAACGAGTAGTAGGTGGCCGGTCGAAAAACCTGGGAGGCGTCTGCACATCAGTTGGGGACGTCTTGTCTAGGGCGGGTTTCCCGCCACTACTGTGCACCGCTGGCGGCAGCGTTTTTCTTTGAAAGGCGTGCGGTGTGCGCAGCATATCGACATAGTTCGTTATCGTGCACCATAGTCTCTGTTCACTGCACCGGCATGGTACACCCAAACGCTGGCGCGCAGGGCGCCGAGCTCCTGTTCTGTGGCTCCTGCAAATGGGACACACAGGGGCGCGACCGCAAAGGCGCCATCGAGTACGGGGAAGAGGTACTAGCGCCACATCGTCTCACGGGCTCGGTCACACTGGGAGGTCTCACGACACCAGCTGACCGAGCACAGATGCTGCGGATCGTTAGCGGACCGGTGGCAGCGCACGCCGTGCTCATTTTAACTGACGGACGTGCGCTGGCAATAGGGCGAAACACGCACGGTGAGCTCGGTATAGGTACAGCGCGGCGCTTTGCTCCAGTGTTTATGCCTGTCGTCTTCATCAAGGGCGGGCGCTGCACCGGCGCCGCCTGTGGTCGCACACACACGCTCTTCCTCATGGACGACGGCGTGGTGTACGCGACCGGGGCGAACGATGCAGGTCAGCTTGGTGTCGGTGCGCGGGGCATCAGCGCCAGCGGGGCCAATGTACCGGCAGCTGTGACCCCGATCCGCCTGACGTACCTCGCAGAACATATGGGCGTGCGAGCAGCCCAGGTAGGATGTGGAGAACAGTTCTCCGTCGTGCTCGCTGATGACGGCTCGCTCTACACTTTTGGAACACATCGGGACGGTGTCCTGGGACTGGGCACCACCGGCGAAGTCATTGGCAAACAACGCATGGAGGTGGAGAGCGAACCCCTGCCGCGACGGGTCACGCGCTTCGTGCGCTCGGACGGCATCGTCGTTGCTCTCGATGAGTCCAAAAGCATGGACGAACAAAGCGAGGATATACCCCGCTTCACACAGGTAGTTTGTGGTCAGCGGCATGTGGTTGCTCTAGACTCCCGCCACCGCGTCTGGTCGTGGGGATTCGGTGGTTATGGTCGTTTAGGTCATCGAACGCCGAACGATGAGCTGCGTCCCCGATGCATGGAGTTTTTCGAGCGTTTGCGCGACGACCGCCGGCGATGTGTCAAGCTATACGCTGGCGCCTCCTGCTGCTATGCGCTGACCGAAATGGGCACCGTGTACTTTTGGGGCATCACAAAAATGACCGGTGAAGCGACGACATCGCCGCAGATGCTCTACGATTTGCACGGCTGGAAAATTCGAGATATCGCCGTGGGCATCTCATCGACGATGATCGCTTGTGAGGAGTGCACGACGATCGCCTGGGGTCCGTCACCCGCCTACGGCGAGATGGGTTTCGGTGAGACCGTCGTTGGAAGGAGTTTTGCAGGCAGGACAGGCGTACTCAAAAGCAGTACCCAACCACGGATTGTCGATCCGCTGAAAGGCGTCCAAGTGAGTCAGCTTGCGATGGGGGCTTTTTTCACGTTCCTCCTGCTTCGACCCGAGGAGGTGCAAGCGTCAGACGACCAAGGCACGAAGGTGCAAGCACTCCCGACGCTCTCGTGGGATGCGCATGCCAATATCGGCGCGCAGCCTGTACGCGGTTTGACGATCCTCGACGCAAGCTCGTTGGGGTCCCGGCGCGGTCGGAAACCCGGCAAGGTCGCTGCTCGAGCGACCAGCAGCGCGACTAAAACCCGCGTAACCTCAGTGTCCGCGGTCGTTGTTCCGGAAAAGAGGCGCCGCACCTAGTGCGGTGTACGCTCGCGATACAGAGGCCTCGCGAACACCGTTGAGGCTAGCCTGATCCGCTGCTGCGCTGAGAGATGCGCATGCCTCCATTCTGTAACCGCTGTGTAAATCTACCGCTCACGTGTGCATCCTTGCACCGATGAAGTATGATTCGTGACTTGGCCGGCGCGACACAGGCGACGGGAGCGCACTCACCGAGGCATCAACACAATGAGGCATGGTCGGGGTTGCAGGGTGCTGGTGATGCGGCAACTGCAGCCTGCGTTTCGGTGTCGTGCGAGGCAGCGACAAGTTTGTCGCACGACATGTACCAAGAGAAGTGGAATAGAGCACTGGGAACCTGCCCATTGGTGACGGTTGCCACGTTCCCAGTGTGCGCGTGTTTGTCGGTTTACTTGGGGAGTGAACACCTAACGCGGCGTATGCCGGCGCGCAGCAAAGTAAGCATGATGCATCTCCGATAAAGAATGAGTCTGTTGGCTAGCCTGGATGATGAACGCTGGTGTCCATGCGCGCCGCGTCCGAAAACGTAGGTGCTAGACATACGCTGCCTCATAGGCGGGATGTCTTCTGCCCGCTACATGGAGCACTCAAGTCCTTTTCATCGACATTGACACTGGGCAGCAGTGCAGATCGGGCGGTTATCCGAGGCGCCGCTGTGCAGCCATCAACGTTCAGTACGAGGCTTTGCTGCCTTGCTTAGCACCAAATGCGGTATGGGTAACAGACGCCATTTTGTAGCTTGCCCATCTTCTGGGGATGCAAACGTTCCCATCAATCAACGAGTTCGCCGGCGCTCCGTTCCGAACACCAAAACAGGGAATTACGGGAAACGAACGCCACCCTTGCGTCCTGCCCTGCAACCATTCGCCGCAAACCGCGCACTCACGCCTCGGCTGTTGCCACTTTCACTAGGTTCCGGGCTCTGCAGGCAGCGTTCGGCGCTGCGCATCCTGAACACGAGTCACATGCGACTCGAGGACGCGCCCATCGAAAGGTCGCGGTGTTCGGCGCTGGCGAAGTATCTCCGGACGCGGGATAATCGCACCACTTCGCTTGCTGATTCGTACTCGGGTCCCATCTTCGAGCCATCGAATGCCAACGCGCGTCGGCAGACCAGTTTCTGGACACACGATTGCCACGTTGCTGACATGCAGCGGGCCCTCCGTCAGGATAACGCGTTTGCGTTGGCCGCCACCCACGGTTGCACTCGGCGCCGGAACAAACTTCTTCACATAGTTCACGCCTTCCACCACAACTCGATTACTCCGCCGAATGACCTCCAGTACACGTCCTTTTTTCCCGATATCGCCCGGTGGGCCGCCGATCACCTGCACGTAGTCGCCGCGAAGAACTCTCCACTTTCGCGGTGGTATGGGCGACTCTCGTTTTGGCGAACGCGGGGTACGAATGCTATCCAGCATCGACTCGAATCGGCCGCGCATCTCTGCGGAGGGCACACCAACGTTTCGACGCGGCGGGTGCAGAGGCGGCCTGCTTGCAAACCAGCGTAGCGCTGGGAGCTGCGCACCCGTTGCCGCCTGTGTTGGTTCGGGTTCAGCGAGCAGAGGCCTGCATAACCAGCTGCGCCAGCAAGCGTGTGCTCCTGCTGGCATACGCGCAAGGCGCTGAAGCCCCGCCTGCATGAATAAAAAGCAGGCCGTTTGAGGAACGCACCCCGCGAACGCTCCACCCTATGTGCGCACTTGCAGCACCATGGCTGCTGCTGCACGAAGCGTCGCTGCGCCGAATCCAATCATCGCCATGGAACAATCGCATTTGTCCGTCTACAACCATGATATCCATAAACATACAAAATGTTGTATGTTAGAGATCTCAGCCAGTTCCACGCCCCCTGGCGAGGATTGCTGCCTGCGCCGCCATTGACGGGCGTGCACCTGACAACACCCCCGTGGATGTGCAGAACCTTTCGGGAACCAGGAAAGGAACTGCCGCTTCGCCACAGCAGATGCTACGTTCCGTCAGGTTCATGCAATGATCTTCGTCTGAAATAGAGGCGTGGTATTTCCATGAAGCGGCCGGATACGCAGCATACCGCTGGCACAACATCGATGCAGAATGGATCTACGATGCCTTTGCGTGCATCGGCTGCAGACGCTGCTCTGACGGTTACTGGTACGAGACAACGGTCGCGGGTCGGGAATGTATCGTCGCTGCACGTTCGAATTTCTGCGGGTGCTTTTCTATCTACTCGTCTCAAGGACGACGTCGACGACACCCGCGTTAGAATGAGATTCGGGCGAGTCTATGTTTTGCAATCTCGGGCGCTCTCGCTCAAGTATTCGTTCTTCTCACGTACGTCAACGCAAGCTTTCGGGGCTTGCTTTGCGACCGCTTTTCATCCCTCTGTCCTATGTCAGGCTCAAAACATACGACGGAATCTCTTTTGCTGTCAGTACTGGTGCCGGGAGTCGAAGCACATTGATGATGGTGGCGTTCGAGTCCCGATTTCGCAATTTCCGGCTGCTGTCGATGCATTGCATGCACAAGCAGAAGTTGTGATCGATACTCCACTTGTCGTTTTCATCTTCTTCGTATCCAACATCGGTGCGCCCTTCGAATCGTTAACACTTGAACATGGTCAGGTGTTCTTCTAGATCCATCACATTCCTCGTTCGAGGGCAGCTCTGTGGCATGTGAACGCTAGCTCAATCACCCGGTACATGCCCGTGACAGGTCGAGGAGGCTCCCCTCGATGCGCTCCTCAGGTTCGACGCCCGCTGCCGTACCAAATGATCAGGGGTTTGTTTCGCGCAATGCCCTCGGTGAGTGCTCTGTCCGCCGCACACGCATGCGCAAACCGTTCGTTTCGATAGAGGATTTGTTGAACGCAATGCTGTCCATGAAGAAAAAAGTACCAGACGGAAAAACCGGGCCGGAGATCAAGTCGAGCAACTTGGATCCGTTCACGCTCCCGTCGCGCAAAGCGGTGACGAATGCTCCACTGGAAGCGATCGCTGTGATGTCTCAGGTCCGAGTCCACGGTCGTAGTCGATGGACACTGCGGAGACGGGGGCGTCGCGTAGCATATCCCATGAGAAGTATCATGGTAAATTGGAATGCCGTTTCGTCGATGGTCATAGAGATGGGTAGAGTTGTCATTTGGCCCGAATTGATTACTTGAAGCACGAAAGTCAGGGAACTTTCGGCATGCGTTTCTAATGCATTCGCCAGCGGACATCGTCGACCGGGTTCTCAAATCCATCGAGCGGCGCGAATGGCTGCACCCACGAGAATCGCCTCGAAACAGAGAGATCTACTATTCGAAGCATGCATGATTTGCACATCCTGCATCTAAGAAAACGAGAAGAATAGAAGCTTGTATGTATGCAGTGCAAAATTGCGATATCGTTCGTTTTATGAACCCTTGTTCGTAGGCTTCGCATATCGTCATGACTCCGGTGACGAAACGAATTCCTGCGGCGATGCGTCGAGAGCGTCACTCCGAAAACACGACCTCGAATCCTTATACGACGTATGAATCCTTAGGGTCTTATGGCTGCACCTCGAACATCGACGCTGCCTATTTACAAAATCTCGAAATGCAGGATCAGAGCACGTTCTTTCGTGTTCGGTTTTCATCTATCCCTTGTGCGGCGTTTTGCTGTCGTCAGCGAACGAGTCGAGCGCGTCGAAGCGTACGCGTACGCACTCGCGCCTGGAGCCACGGTGAGCTCGCCCGGCTCTGGTACCGGCAGCGGTTGGACGCACTGTCTCCAAGACTAGTTCGACGTCGAGTCTGGCACTGATGCGAAGCGCTCACTCTCCAAGTGCACGACTTTTAGCAGACGCAGCAGCAGTTGCTGTTGAACCATCCAAACCCCTACCCCAATACTACAGTAGCGTCTCAGATGCTGAGGCAGACGTCATGAGGCACACATCCGCGCGTCAGCTCCACTGGTTCCGTTCGCAAGCGCCGCTCGCGTAACACGGTGCACCACACATATTTCGGAAGAACGTCCCTTTGTCTCGTAGCGTTCACGACAGCCGCCCTGCTCTGCGCCTGCCACCCGACGCGTCACGCCTCACACCAGTGTACGCTCGTGCGCGTCATTCACAGCCCAAATACAGCGCCTATTGCGACACCAGGCACAAAAGCAAACAGAGTGAACATCGTATGCATCAGTAGCAGGCTGGCTGGCTGGCAGGCAGGCTGGCTGGCTGCCCCCTGTCCCATACAACCTGCTGCAGGGCGCGGGCGGCGATCCGTCGGCCGAATTAGGCGAGGGATCGATCCCGCGATCCAGAGATCGCTGCACGTGTTGATCCGCAGGTAGCCAGGGGCACAGCGCGCCACAGCCGTCCATTGCTGAGCCGTGCCCTGCCGACTGACATGCCGCTCGAGTCGTCGACAAAAGGCGCCCGCAGGTGCGCCGCGTCAATCCGGCAGGGCACTGCTCAGCTGCAGCTCACATTTTCTCTTCAACGTTGCTGTTTCTCGACGGCTGCTGCTGGGCGGGTGCGGATGCTCGCGTCCAGAGCTTTTCATAGCATATCTCCGGAAGAAGGAAAAAGTCCTCGCTCTCGTGGACTGCGACGTGCATCCTCTTGGAACCGGCGGGGTGTACTGTGGCTCGTTGCGATCGCTTTTTTTGGAACAGGATTTCTTCTGGGTCTGCTGTGTGCGCCGAGCGTGTCACCGTTTCGGCGTTTCGGGGCGGAAAGCGTCGATTCAAGTACAGACGCGGTGGACCAAGAGAGAGCGCACGTCCAGGGTCGTCGAGACCTATCGGAGGCAGGCACGTCCGGGCGCTCTGCTGTGGAGGTTGTTGCGGCGGCGCTGCTGGCAACCCAGAACCCGACAGACTGCGCCAAGGCCCGATACCTGATTGTAGACGAGTTTTCCGATCAGCATGGACTTGGTTTCAGTCTGATCACGGTGTTCAAGTTCCTTTATGTTGCGCATGTCGAACGGCGCGTTCTGCTGCTCCTGCCGTCATTCACGTCTTACCCGTGGCGTTGGTGTCATTGGCCGCCTGCATCGTACGGTTGCTATTTCGAGGACGTCACGTACTGCGCAACGCGGATGCAGTTCGACCAGGCGCTCCGCGACCGCGTCATTCCACGGAACTGGAGCGCGATCCCCGACTGGAAGGGCATCGAATCCATCGATGAACGGGTGGTGATTTTCCGACAAAAATATCTCTCGCGTGCCCGGATCGAAAGTCGCGCAATCTACCAGGCCTGGAGCATGTTCGAGCACGCCTTTGGCAGCGGACTCAAGAAATACGGGCGATTCTTCTACTACGCTGTTGCGCAGCGCGTGCTGCTGCAACCCAAGGTTTGGTTGGAGCACGCTGCGCTTACCCAACGCGAGCGCTGGAGTCTAGAGCAGAACAACCCGCTCGTGGTCGTGCATGCTCGACACGGAAGCAAACACATCGAGCAAAAGCATATCCCGGTTTCGGAGTTGGCTGCGAGCGCGCTTGCTTTTTGTGAGTGCCTCGGCGTGCGCGACATTTTACTGATCACCGAGACCGAGCGCGTCATTGTCGACTTCAAACGAGCCGTGCAGCATGCACCAGTGCGCGTCCTCTACACAGAGTATTGGCGCCCAGAAGGCGATGTCTGGAACAAGAATCTGGTGGGTCAGCTCAAGCTGAAACCCGTGAACGATTCCGTGATCGACGTCATCGCGTACCATTCGATTCTGAATCTGCTGTTGGCTCGGACAGGCGTGGCTTTTGTGGGCACCATCCAGTCTGCCTTTTTGAAGTTGCTAGTGAGCACCGCATATGCGCACCAGAAAGCACCAGTCAGTATCCATAGCTTGCGCGCTGGATGGCGAATCAGGGACGGGTACCCTGCAGCGGATGCCAAGTACTGGAGTTTCGACCCGTGCCGCTTACCACATCCATGTGAACACGTGGCGCTACCCTGCTCCAAAAACGGGAAGGGATTTCCAAGGCGAAGCATGAGTCAAGCAACCGACTTTTCGACGCGACCGGCCGATATCGACCACGAGCCGTCGCAGCTGCACGAATGAGCTGGGGAAGCGGCTGCATAGCCAATGCCGCGACGCGTGCCTTGCGCGGATGCGCCGGCACCCGTCGTGAGCGGCCTCTGTGCAAGTCACCCGGACCGCGCTCCAGGTAGCAGCAAACGGTGCCCGATACCCCGTTGCGCTGACAAGCCTGGATGCTGGGCAACGACGCAGGTATACACGGCCGTAGGCACAGGGATGCTGGCGATCGCGTCGTTTCGCGGCGCTTTGCGATCACGTCACCGGCCTGCGTTGGTGTCCGCGGCACCGTGACGCCACCTGGATGTATCGTTCCCGCGTCCTGACACCCAGGGCACTCGACTCGAGTCCCCGCAGCGCTGATTCGTTTGTGCTCCAGACAATCCGACCACGAGTAGCAGCGCTGGAGAGATGGAAAGCGCTGTTGGGCGACGCAATGGCGTACTGCTGCTCCTGATCCCATATCTCTGCATCCGTACGCTTCGACAGAGGCGAGCGCGTCTCTTTGATAGCGGTAATGGGCGTGTACAGTCCAGCGTGATTTAAACTCGAGTTTATAGTCGCAACGCAGATGCATGCGATAGGTGATCGTTGCGGACGAAATCCGCCGCACCAGCCGCCTTGCCTGGGAGCAGACGCTCGACAGCAACACTACTTGATCACCGTTACGAGGACGCACAAGACGATCCTGTTAATCAACGTCGACGTCGTCGCATGACCCCACTCGGTACTCCATGTCAGCGTCCTATTCCTCGTCGTCGTTGCCGCGTGGGGTGGTGGTGTGAGCCGCCCGCTCACTACCCGGCGTTTTGCCTTTTCGCTTCGCTTTGCGCTCCGTATCGGGAGTCGGTGCGCCGTCCGCGAAAAAGTAGTTTCCGCTAGCCTTTTGCTCCTGATCCTTCACGGAGCCATGCTTATTTATCCGAGGTCGCAGATTCGTGGGATCTCGGCGGAACGTGATATCGAGGGCGCGCAAAAACCGATTCATCCCGCTCACGAGCGGCTCCGGTGATCGAGCGACGGCTTTGCGAGCTGGCTCGCCTTCGTAGACGATCACTCGATCGGCCAGGTACGTGGCCATGATAAAATCGTGCTCCACAATAAACGCCGTCTTTTTCGAGTGCAGGATAAATCGCTTGATCACTTTCGCAGCGATGATACGCTGCTCCGAGTCCAGATACGCCGACGGCTCGTCCAAAAGGTACAGGTCAGCGGGCTTGCCCAGCGCCAACACCAACGCAACCCGTTGGAGTTCACCGCCTGACAGGTGCTTCACTTCCTGATCGAAGAGTTTGTCCACGGATAACGGCTTCAAAACGTCAGTTTGGAATTGCGGATGTGTGTATGCACTCTGAATTCGCTTGTGCAGAAGCTGCTGCACAGTGCCTTCAAACGACGGGGATATCTTCTGCGGCTTGTACGATACATTCAGTTGCGGGATCTCGATGTGTTTCTCGGGATCCGATAGATCGGGATCGGGTTGCAACAGACCCGCGAGAACGCGAATGAGGGTTGTTTTGCCAGTGCCATTGCGTCCCAGTGCAAGTACGATTTCCGAGTCAGTAAACTCTCCCCGCTCGACATCAAGCACAAAGGTGCCCAGCGTCTTCCGAAAAGCCGGGTACCCATATCGTCTTTGCTTCTCTGCATCTGCAGCGGCATCAGGCGTCTCGGCACCCTCTGCGATCTTAAAGGTAAGTTCGGTTTCCCGGAATCGCATGTTTTCCGTCGGTACGAAACCCGCGAGAAATACATTGATGCCCTCCCGCACGGAGAACGGATACGTCACGACACCGTACGCACCCGGCACGCCGTATAGGACGCAGATGTAATCGGAGAGATAATCTAGCACAGCAAGGTCATGTTCGACGACGAGCACGTAGTTGTCGGTACGACACAGGGAGCGAATGGCTCGGGCGGCTCGCAGACGCTGTCGCACGTCGAGGTACGATGAGGGTTCGTCAAACATGTACGCGTCGGCGCGCTGGAGGCACACCATCGCTATCGCGAAGCGCTGCAGTTCACCGCCAGAGAGTTGCGAAACGTCGCGATCGAGCACCTCTTCCAGGTCAAGCATATCGATAACCTCCGCAAGGCGCTCGGTCTCGTTGCGAGCCGCGAGCAGATCGCGGACCCTGCCTTTCACCGCTTTCGGAATATGGTCTACGTATTGCGGCTTGATCACTGCGCGCAACTCTTCGCGGAGTATCTTTTCGAAATAGTTTTGCAGCTCGCTTCCCCGAAAGTAGCGAAGTATTTCCGGCCAGTCCGGAGGATTCTTGTAGTTTCCAAGGTTAGGTTTCAGTTTCGCCGCCAGAATTTTCAACGCTGTCGATTTTCCTTGGCCGTTGCCGCCGACGAGCCCGAGAACCTGGCCGGGGCGCGGCATTGGTAGTCGGTGCAGCTTAAAAGAGTTTGCCGAGTAGCGGTGCGTCGTCTGCGAGTCCAGATCGGTTGGTAGATTGATGATCTGAATCGCACCAAACGGGCACTTGCGCACGCAAATTCCACAACCGATGCAGAGTGACTCGGAGATGAGCGCAATGGGCGAGCTTGGCATCACTTCGATGCATAACTTACCGATTCGGTTCACTGGACAAGAGCGTTTGCACTCCAGCGCGCACTTACGGGGTTTACAGCGGTCAGCCGACACGATCGCGATGCGAGTCAACTTTTCCTCACCGTTGGTGGAGGAAGAGGTGGTGGTGGTTGCGGCGGCTGTGGAGTTGGTGCTACTAGCCCCGGCACCGCCACCTGGTCCGCGCTTTCCTGGAGGCATCCCTGAGGCCCGACTACTGCCGCAGACCCAGTGCGTAGAACCGGGGTCGATGCTACTCCGAGAAACATGACCCCAGAGCTGCGCGCTCTGGGAGCAACGATCGCGACGTTGCGGAGCGGACATATTGAGACAAACATGCGACATGCGGTTGCGAGCCGGCATTGCCGCAGCAGCGTGTTCTGCGCTGGACGGCACGGTACGGGCCTCCTCGAAGGCTCCCTCGCATCCAAGCAAAAGTTTTGGGCATGCTTAGGATCGTTTACAAGAACTTGGGATCCCCATGGCGCTAAACTTATTTGCATCTGCTCGAAACCTCCATGTTCCGCGAGACAGTACCACCTATACTTCCTCGCTGAGAAAATTAGTGGTATCCATGGGAATCGCGTCACTGATCGGCATGAGTCCGTTAAAGCAGCGCAGTACTGGTGCGGTCGAGAGCGTTTCCTTCCTGGTCTTCTGCGAAGGCATGCGTCTCTGGGTGTACTTTTGCTTTGCAGAGAGGCTGGTCCGTGTTCGGGGCATAGGAGGCCGATCGACGCTTTGACGAGGTCATCACGTATGGACAACGCGTCGAGTTGGATCTTTGAACTCGACTCGTGGTCGAGAATGGACGCGAGCGTCACGATTCGGTGCAGGCAATGGAAACGCACTGATGGCTCAGTGCGGATTCCGAAGCATTCTTGGGACAGCGTTGCCTCCTTGGGTGCAGTTCACACGTCGCTGGCACGACCGACAAAGCGCACATCGACGCGGATCGTGCTCCCAAATCACCGGCGAGTGTAAGGTTGTTCCCGAAAACCCCGAATGTGTGCGTCACAATTTTGTTCCTTGCTGCTGGAAGTGAGGCGATGGCGGCTGCAGCGTGTGCGCGCTCGCGTTCAGGGGCGCAGATGCGCTCCCGCCGCGCTGCGACTCGCCGAAACGATCCCTCCCGGAGCGTTCGCCCGCAGACGCGAAACGATGTGGCGCCCTATCCATAGAAGCAGGACCCCGGGACATTAGGTCTCACGCGTTGCAGGGTTGTCCCTGAACACGTCACCGAATCGTTGACCGCGCACGGGTCGTTGCGCATTCGCGCGCGTGCGCTCCGCTCGACTCTCGTTCTGCGTGAACGAACGGTGCACCAGGGGGCTCCGTTGGGACGCGTCGCCGCCCAACATTCTAGGTGCTTGCCAGCTGTTGGTGCCGGCCTCTGCGTCATGGTCTTGGGAAAGATTAGCACTCGATGCAAGTCATAAAACAGCTCGATCCCTGCTCCAAGTCGCGTTGCAACAGACCAGTCCCGGGCTTTGGGGCGCGTTCCTCTGTGTCGCGGTGTCGCTATCCAGCCTACGCATTTTGAACTGTCCAAATATGCAATTGGAGGCACCGCCTGCGTGCGTCTCCTAGACCTGAAAGACGAGCGATCTGCATTGCTCGTTGCCCGCAGTCAGCAAATTTATTCGCGCCTGCTCCGCCGAATGACTCCACGAAACACAACTGCTTGACGATGACGAAGTGCCAGACATGAACCCGTAGCACGCACTGCATTCGCTGCAGTGCACGTGAGCGGATCCTGGCGAAGCAGCTGGTACGGCAGGGGGTGGCGGGCGCGCCCTCTCTAGCGGTGCGCAGCGGTCGCCAGCTGGAATCGCACGGCTCCGTCCGCTATGTCTCATTAGATACATTTATGTACGGTGATGTTCGCTGTCATGCTCCGTCGATGCTCCGGGGGCGCCCGCACTGCACCCGCGTACAAGTACCCTGGCCGACAAGTACTGCCAACGATTCAGAAAAGCGCTTCGGAGCTGCTTTGTAGACTGGCTTCCAGACACCGCCAGTTTGGTAAGATTATCACAGTACGGAGAAGAAACCGTAAACGATGGGTGGTGGATTTCCCCGTGGCATTCGCTCCGCAAGAAAGCTGCGCGATCGCCATAAGCGCAACCGCTGGGCGGACAAGAAGTATGCGCGCTCGATGTCGGCATCGGCTTTGAAAGCGAACCCGCTCGGCGGCGCATCTCACGCGAAGGGCATCGTTCTCGAGCGGATAGGAGTGGAAGCAAAGCAACCCAACTCTGCTATTCGAAAGTGTGTGCGAGTGCAACTGATCAAGAACGGAAAGCGGGTGGCTGCTTTTGTTCCCCGTGACGGTTGCCTCAACTTTATCGACGAGAACGACGAAGTTCTTATTAGCGGTTTCGGAAGAAAAGGACACAGTGTGGGTGATATCCCGGGTGTGCGCTTTAAGGTCGTGAAAGTGCAGGGTGTCTCGCTTTTGGCACTGTTTAAGGGAAAGAAGGAAAAACCACGCACATAGGTTCATGGTATACCGGTTATGGGAGCCTCCTTGTTGCCTCGAAACCCCGGTGTTTGCGCTATGTAGCGTGGGTGAATGAGAACTGGGGCACGTTGCACAAAAATGGTCCCGAAAATGAGGATGATATGCTGTGCCTCAGCCGAGCGTCGAAGTAGAGCGTTATGTCTGGGTATCGAAAGAGATCCGCGTTGCGATTCGGTATGCTCCGCGAGCGCTTCGAACTGCAAGCAAGCTTATCGAAAATAACTTGACGGCGAGAAGGAAATCAGGGAGTAGAAAACGGTCGGCGAGTCGGCCCGGGGGCGATGCGAGCGTGCGCAGTCAACTCTGGGTGATCACCTGGCGTTTGGTTCTACGAAGGGCCCCTGGTACGCCTCTTTGCAACCTCAGAGCACGCGCCTCATATAGTTTAATCGCCAGTTTCGCTGCTGGTTGCCTTTCAACTTTGGGGACTGCTTCGCTCGGGTGCTGGTGGCGCCGCGACTCGGCCCGCACAGGCACACGTCAAGAAACGCTCTTGGCGAACGCGACCTATCCGTGAATTGTTTTGCGCAAAACGCTCTGGTTCGGCGGACTTTGCCGCAAGTTCCATCACAGACTTGGGAAGATGCCCTCGGTCACAGAATTTCAGCATGTCATGAAGATGAAACCCCTTTCCTTTCACCCAAAACAAACGGATGCAGCGCACCGCTGGTCATCAGCAGTGCTTGATCTCAACCTGGCGAGTTCCGAACGCTGACTCAGGACCATTCAGGATACCTGCTTTATGAGCCTTCACTCCAAAATCAAGCGCTGCAGGGCACGTGCCCGTACTCGGCTCCAAGCATCCTTCCCTTCTTTGATCCCAGAATGTAGTCTGAGCCTCGACCCTCTCTAAATGTTGGTACAAAGCGATGCCCACGCAGCCGCTAGCCAGGAACGCGACCAGTGTCGCCCAGCTCAGGCCGACAAGGACTCGAGCCTGGAGACAGGCACCAGTCACTTGCGCCGCACTGTAAGCATTGCGTGGGCCCGTAACGGACAGGATAATGGACAGCGATAACCAGACAAGAATCAGGAGCACATGGCCCACGAGATCTATCGCGGCAAGGGTCCGTCGCATCGTACCACTTTGGATACGGTGTTTCAAGTGAAGAAGCGCGGCGCATACCAGCACACCCGTGAGCACTATCGTTATGATACCAGCTGCCTCGGTGAGCGTACAGGCAACGGCTAGTTTAAAACACCGACAGCTGCTCGGTGCTGAGCGTTGCGCCGGGAGTGCAATCAACAGTGTCTCCGTCAACGCAAGTCCCGCTGCCAATACGTAGAGTGAACACCACAGTACAGTTAGCCGCCACGCTGTCGCCGACATGATCAGCACCGAGCACCTCTACAACCATGCATGTGTTGTGGGGAGCAGCGCGCGCTCCACGGTCGCCACGGGTCCAAAACGAAACGAAGAAAAAAACGGTGCGCGAAGCGATCCGATCGCAAGTGTCACGCGTGACATCTGCGATCCCGCACCGGCAACGCGGGTGTCTGTCTCGCGTGCACGGCTGCGAGCAAAATGCAAGGCACCGCTGCAGACTCCAGTGCAGCCGCAGCATGCCCAGCGGGAAGCTTCGAGCACGTCTGGCGTCGGAACGAAGAGCAGGCACCGCTGGAGGCGCGTTGCCGACCCGCGGAAAACAAAAATACCCGCTACTACATGGTACGTGGTCGAGTGGCGCTGTCCCTGAGACCTACCCGCTGGTGGCGCCCGGCTCGAACGCCCAGTTTCCGGGGCGATGCTGCAACGAGCAAGCGCTTGGACGCGGTCGGTAGCAGCTCGGGGCCAGCGCCCAGTCGCATCGGTAGCGCGCTACCGCCGATGTCCATGACGGCGGTCGAGGTATCGACGGAACACCAGCGCTGGGACGCACACACACACACACACCGCCATTCAGAGGGTCTTATTCGATGGTGGACGGAAGGGTTGCAGTGACCAGGCATGCTCGCGATCGTGCGATGCCGGCAATGGACTACCGCGAGACCGGGCCGTTGTGCACGTCCAAATGCTGCAGCAGCGCGCATCCGTGTGCGCCTGCGTAGATGCTGGGGGCCGGCTCCGGCGAGCGATCATCGCCCGCGGTGGTCACGCTGTGTCACGAGCTTGGACACGCACGCGCAAACAAGCACCGCGCGGCTGTTGTTCAAAATGCCCCCGCGGCGGCGGCGGCGGCGGCGGCGGAAGCCAACGCACAGCGACGTGTTTTTGTGCAGCACGTTTCGTTTGTTGGCGCCAATTGCGCAAAATCTGCGCTCTACTCGTTTCCCCTTCAACACGCCTCGTTTGGCTCCCTGTGTACCGCGAGTATTCATTCAGCTCTAAAATGGAAGAGGTTGAGGGTAAATCAAAGCTGTGGTCTGGTGTGCGTTGGGTGTTCTATGTCACCGTAATGACGCTGTCTATTGTGGTATTTGCGTGTATCGCGAACCGTCTGTTCTCTGCGGGTGGCGGGTGCAACGGCTTCAATAGCCGGGACGGCTGCAACTACGCTGTTGCCACTGGCGTCATTTCCTTCGTTTTTCTTCTATTCTGGCTTATATGGACGAGTCTAGAGTGTTTCGACGCTGTGCCGGACTCGTTCGGGCCTCTGCGAGTGATCGGCGTCGAGCTCGTCACGAATTTTCTCGTGATGCTGCTTTGGTTCGTATCCGGCATCGTGCTTAGCGCGCAACAAGACGGAATTAGCAGCTGCACGTCGGTGACGGGCGTTACGTGCGGCTGTGCGCGTGCAGCTCTAGGAATTTCATGGGTGAACTGGGTTCTGGAGCTTGGGTTCTGTACGGCGCTTTTGGTGACTGCACTCAAGGGCTCGTAAAATTTGAGTTGCGGCCACGGCGCGCTACACGCTTTCCAGAGTCGGTAGCGAGCGTTCTCAGCATGGACTGAGGTGACTGCGTCCAAGCTGATGTCGCTTTGCAGTTCGCGGAGCTTGTGCGATGGCCCCGGTGGGCCTCACAGAGAAGACGGCGGGAGAGTCGATGTTGGCAGGCCAGTGCGCGGCGCGAAAAACCGCCACCTGGACGGGGATGACGCTAGACGCTGCGCCCTGCACCGCATGCTGGCAGATCGGGTACCCGCTGGGGATTCAGGGTTCGCACTGAGCATCATTCGTTGGACAAGGAGCGCCGACTTGTGTCATGGGGCACGTTTCGCCCCGAACGATGCCGCGCTCCGTTGCTAGGTTTCTGTTTTAAAGCATCAAGAAACGGTCGGAACGAGAAACTCGTGACGACGCGTGGGTAGTTGACCGACACGAGCCCCTTAGCTGCCGCGCGGTTCGCGTCGAAGCCGCCCGTTCCAGAACCGAGTGCCGCCATCGACCAGAGCAGAAAACCTCGCAGGCTTTCGGGGATAAGCGCACCGTTGCGCCACCGTCGGCGCTTGTCTTCGTCAGCGTCAGAGCAGTGAATTCCGGAATGCCTGTGTTAGCACGCCCTTTTTGCCGTTGCATGTCTCGTGCGCAGATTCCAACACCATGAATGAATCCTCTGGAGGGCCGCAGAGAGACTGCGTGTTATCACTGCTAGCTTGCGCAAAATGCTCGCACGTGTGCAAGTCAGTTTTTCCACGGGCAGCACGTGGATCAGTCGCCATGCTTGTAGCGCTCATGTGGAACGTCAAGCACCGAAAACGAAACGTACCCAACAGTTTCTATACGACTGTATGCTCGTCAAATCATCCGGCTCCCTATGTTCTTCGATGAAACACTGTAAAAGATGCCGCAAGATCTTGAGGTTCCGTACTGTAGACAGGACCGGCAATGAAGAAACATAGACAGACAAAAGGAAAAGCGCGCGTCTGCCGGAGAACGCCGCGCGTTGAACGACGCATGATCAGTTCCGTCCTGAAAAGCGAACGCCTGTTATCGAAGGGCCTGGTGGTCATCTCAAGCGATGAGACTCGATTCAGCGGAAATAGTAGACCTGAATACGGGTACCCACAGAAGAGCAGACCGCACATCCTTAAAAGTGCCCAGCGAGCATTCCGTCAAAATCAGTCCCAGCGGCGATTCAATCTTGTAGATGGGTGCAAATCACCAAACGGGCAGGATTCTTTGAGATCGCATCTTTCATTGAATCACCTTGTCGTCGCTCTTTCCCTTATTCTTCTGTTCTGCTGCCAGATAACTTTCCAACATTCAACTGCGGCTGCAGAACACGCAGCTGAGCTCGGCAACGAGCTGCTCTTCGTGTCAACTGCTTCTCCCTGGTCCAATCCAGTCGAAGCCGTCTTCGCTGGTGTCAAACGCCATTTATACGCTAACCGATCAACAGATAAGTCGTTCTCTACCCTCACCAGCCCTGTAGTGCTGTTTATCTCCACTGTTCTTGCGCAGGCGGGAGCGGAAAGACCCGCTCCACACTGTGGGCATACTCATCACGTTGAGAGTGAAGAAAGGCACTGGAGTATTGATAGGCACAAACGCGCATCGAAGAGGCGAGCTTTGGAAACACCGTCCATCCAGTACGTCCGAACCCCGAGGGAAGACACAAGTACAGAGTATACCAACCAAAACAATACATCCCAGCCAAGTAGAGGAGAGGGCGAAGGAGCTGGTCTCTGTAACCAAGCACGAAGCATTCGAGCAACACCGCGAGTAGCATTGGCAGAACTGGTTCAAGGTCTCTCGTTTACAGTGACGATGGAGACAGACACGATATGCATCTGCTTGCACTGGGTGAACCATTCTCCTGAAATGAGCAAATCGATTCATGTTCAAATGCTCCCGGTACATGAAGACGGAGACTTGTCGATGAGCGTAGATTCCGGCTAAAAAAGGCGTCATGGCCGTCGTCGTATCCCCAAATGAAGAGGACTGAGCCACAGACTTGGATGGTGAGCAGATGAAGCGGCTCAGCAATTCCAGGAATCCGTGGTACAGTCTGTCGGGCATGATGAACCCCGGGAGACATTCCACCACTTCGAATGACGGCGACAGGACCCGCTCGCCGTTCTCGGGCCTCTGAACATCGCATCGAACAGGATTGGATGCTTTATATGCTTTTGTCGGCGGGTAAAGTAATGGATCATATAGATGATCTTCGGTCGGCGTCCATGAAGCCACACGTATGTCGGCGACAGTTTCAGTCGTCCAGAGGCCAGCAGCGTGCAGTCGTCAATGTCTTGCATGCAATGAATAAGAAAACGACCGAAAAGTCGTATCGTTTCCTGGTAGCATATGGCGCTGGACGTGCCGTAGCGCGCAAGGGCTGCACTCCTGCTCCGCCCGGACCAGAGCATTTAAGGTGTGTAGGAAAGGATTCTTTACGATTCCAACCGAACCGCTCAGGATGACATGTGCGCATCACGAGCACGAGTACAAGCAGAGACTCGTAAAGAGAAAGCAGATGAAACAGCGCGGGGTGCCTTTTGTGGTATACGGTGCGCTCACCGAACGTCAGATGGAAGGCCAGTCACAGCGGAGAGGCCTGCCCTGCAGCGATTCCGCCAGCAACCGTGCGCGCACGCATCTACCGCTTCGAGATTTGAACGCCCCGAGCAGCGTTGGGAAACGCCTTGGAATTCCGAAGTATCCAGCTGCTCTACCTCAAGCGAACTTTCCATGGCATCGTTTAGGACTCCATGCAGGCATCGTACTGAATCACCGAAGACTTTCGATGGAAACAACTCAGTCGCAAGTGGGGACAGGGCTGGATGCTCGCGTGCAGCTCGGCACTCGAATGCCACAATCCAGCAATGCATCGAGGCTGGAGTGCTGCACGCAAGGATCTACACAGGGAACAATGGCCCGGTGCACTTGATCAGACATCATCGTGTCCGACAATTCGATACGTTTGCGTATGTGCGTCGACCGTTGCCGTAAATGGATTATATACGCGTCTTGATGACAAGCTGACGCATGTTGTCCAGATGCAGGTCGAGATGCCTGCTCGCGAATCCCGATATGTCTCTACCGTTGACGCCGTGGCAAGCGCGCCTCCGCAGCGATGCACGGATGCTGCGTGTGCGTGGCACGCATCCGTCACGTGACATCATCCGTGTATCGCGGTGCGTGGCAGCACTCTGTGGACACGACGACGCGGGATGCACATGCATCCCGGCGTTTGCTTCGGATGTCTATAGAGCGTCCGTTTTTTTCGTCTTTTATCGATAGGTGAGTCTGGATCGGATGCTGAACCTGGGCCTTTACCGAGTCGACGCTGCAGACGTCGCATTCCGAAGCGAGTCCTGGGCCAGCAGAGAACGCTCGGTTAACAGACCAGCACGCACGACGCGTACTGGTTTCTTCGGTGTATTGCGGGGGCGGTTGCTTCCTACCTCTTCGATGCGTCGAATCGTGTCCATACCGTCAAGAACCTGCCCCAAAGGCACGTATTTGCCGTCCAGATACCCGGCATCGGAACCGGTCGTGATGAAAAACCTGCCGTCGCCCTCGTTGCGGTCGTTGCGGACCAAACCGACCAGACCTGCACGATCGAAGCGCAAGCGCGGAGCTTCTAGTAACCATCGTTCGCTTCGGGGCACTGGGTCACCCGCTTGCAACGTCAGTCCCGGCACAATGCGGTAGAATGACGTGTTCGTGTACCTGTGGATACAGCAGTCGAGGAAATGTGCACTCGACACAGGCGCCACCTCGCCAAAGACTCCAATAACGATTCGACCAGCCGGTTGGCCATCGATCTCAATGTCGAGGTAGCAGCGGTCAGTGATCTGTGGGGCCAAGTCGTCCAGCGCCTTCAGCGCAGAGTCGCGCTTCGCGCCATTCGATTCGCTCGCAGCCAGAGCCGTGCTTTGCAGTGACATCGTTCGAGCTGAGGCAGCTGCTGTAGGCGGCGTACCGTTAGACAGCTGATGCTCCACAAATCTCTGCAGTGGAATGTCGGAGGCGTTGCAGGTTTGCCAAGATTCGGGTGCGCGTTCCAGATGCGTACCTACGAACCCTGATGGCAATGCGTCTGTGTCCGCTGCAGAAGCAATGACAACAGCGGAAGCAGACTTTGGCAAAGAAGCTCTTGTTGCTGTTGGCGCTTCTGGACGGGCCTCAGCAACACGACCTGGACCTGGCATTGGAGCCATTGCAGCGTCGACAGAGGCGAACGGCAGCCATAAACTCAACGCGCTCCAGGCTACGGCCAGGATGATAGCACTTGCCTGAAATGGCACTTGCTTACGTCCAACCGAATCCGAGGAGCGTGCACCACCACCGGAAGGCGCACCAGTAGCGGTCTCGTTGCGCGTAGCACCAGCGGGGGTATCCCCATGCGACTGGCGTTGGATGGGTGCACAGGCGCGTTCCAGCCACCGAAGAACAGCGGTCTCGTTACGTTCCTTCAAGCACGGTGCAATGCGTTCATACACTTCACGATGATAATGATTCAGCCAGGCGATCTCTTCATCAGACATCTGATCCAAGTCTAGTAAATCGGTGGATATCGGGACCATGGTCAAACGCTCAAACCCCAGAAACCGCTGACCACCAAAACTGCGCGCCGTCTCTACTGGTCGAACCACGAGCAGATTCTCAATCCGAATACCAAATTCGCCATCCTCGTAGTAGCCGGGTTCGTTACTTAGAATCATGCCTGGTCGTAAGCCAACCGATGCAGCGTTCATTCTCGGAGAGATGCTCTGCGGGCCTTCGTGGACGTTCAGCGCTGCCCCGACACCATGCCCCGTGCCGTGGCGATAATCCAGACCCAGACCCCATAGCGAGCGTCGAGCAAAGCTGTCCAGCAGTGTACCAGGGGTATTCTCTGGGAACACCGCCGTATCAATCGCAATATGGCCCCGCAGCACGCTCGTGTAGCAGCTCCGCACGTACGCGTCAGGTTTCCAAGTCGTGCGTTGTCCGCCGAGGAACAAAGTGCGCGTTACGTCCGTGGTACCGTCGACGTACTGGCCGCCAGAATCCAACAGGAGCACGCTATTCGGCTCCCAGGTCCGACATTCATTCGGATCCGCGCGGTAGTGGATAATGGCGCCATTCGGACCGAGTCCCGCGATCGTATCGAATGAAGTGAATAGGAATCCTGATTCTTCGGCGCGAAACGCGGTGAGCCTCTCCGCGATGATGTGCTCATTCAATGCGCTGTACTTGGAGCTATCTTCACTGATCCGCTCCACCTCTGATTCCAGCCAGTGAAAGAACCGGCAAAGAGCGACTCCGTCACGAAGATGTGCCGCACGCATCCCAGCTAATTCCACGTCATTCTTGATCGCTTTCATCAACGAGAGCGGTGTGGTATGCAGATACACTGCCTGAAGGCGACGTCGGAGGATCGCTGGATCCTCTTGAGCGGCAACGAAGCTATCCGCATCCAAGCCAGCGGCATGAAGCAGCATAGCCAACGAGACACTCGAAGGATCCATCCACAGGCGCTGCTTGCCTGGGCCGTAGTGTTCCCGTAGATACGATGCACACGCTTCATAGGGGCGCGTCTGAACCCCGTTCGCACGCAAATGTTCCTGGACGGCGACAGCGTTCGCCCCATCAAGTTTGGATGTGTCTACGAACAGTAGTGCGTCGCCCTCGCGGGGTACTAGGCCGTATGCCAGCACAACCGGACAATGTGGGATATCCTCCCCGCGAATGTTGAAAAGCCACGCAACCTCATCGAGCATGGACACGAAGACGCCGTCGACTCCTTCAGACATTTTTTGCCGGATTGCGGCAATTTTCTCCGCTGTAGATTGCCCAGCGTACTCCAGTGGATGAACTCGTACTGGGTTCGTCGGTAGCGACGGGCGCTTTGCTCCCCAGATCCGATCGACTGGGTGAGCCACAGCCTCCGGCAACGGCACAAGATGGATATCGAGTTCGAGCACCCGGGAAACCCAGGCGTAGTGATGCACAAGCGGGTCGATGCCGACGCGATAGATACGACCAGCGCGTCTATGTTCACGGGAGCGTTCGGCGAGAAAATCTTCCAAAGTTGGCGTACCTGGCGTGCCCGTCTTCATGAGTCGCCAGCCCTCGGGCAGCTGCCGCTCAGCCTGAAGGAAGTACCGGCCATCCGTCCAAAGATACGCCTCCGCGTCGCTGCTGGTCACCAGGGCGGTCCCGGCGGAACCAGTGAAGCTCGTGAGGAACTCGCGTCGCGCATAGTGTGGCGGAGGATACTCCGACTGATGCGGGTCTGCAGTTGGGACAATGAAAGCGTCGAGTGACTGTGAACGAAGCCAGCCTCGAACTGCCTCAACTTTGTCCGCAAGCGCAAAGACGTGGACGTGTTTTCGATGTTGCCTTCGCGGTGTCTCTTCTTGGGGTCGATCTCGTACGAGCCTTTCCTGTCGCCTCGAACTTCGAAACCTGGTCCAGAGAAGCCGTCTGTTGCTTGGCGCTCCAGGAGCAAACGGCCGCCGCGTTACCAGACTGAGGCAACGACCGAGTTGTGGCTGCGACAGCCGTCCCGACGCCACGCTACCTGTGTGTAACCACATGCAACCCGAGTAACGCGCACTGACAACGCGGATTAGACGGCGAGCTCGTAGGTGTTAAGAATACAACCGCACGACTTTGAACCTCGTTTGTTCGACGGTCAACGAAAGCCTTATCGCAAAGCACGTGCAAAGTGTTTATTCGACTCGCAGTTAAATCCGTATCACAAAGCACGTGCAAAGTGTTTATTCGACGCTCAGTTAAAGCCTTCTCACCCAGCACTTGCAAAACACTTGCGCAAACGCCACCGAACGACGCGTTGTAGAGTGCAGCGCTGAAGCAATTCGGTACTCAGCACGTGGCGGAACGTGTGTCGCGGGTGTACCGTTTGCGAGCCCCGATGTGTCCGAGGTGCCTCCCGCGTCTTTCTCGTATGGCGAGGCGCACCAGAGCAAGTCGTTGATCAAGCTTGCGGTTTAGGATGCTGGGCGTGTCCCGGAAGTCGCAGAATCCATGGTTCGCATTCGCTGGCAACTGCAGCACCCTGGACGCCCCGCATGGATTAGCAGCATCGCCGCGACTGCCATTACAGGTAACCGCACGCGACTCGTCACCTGGGATAGCGCGTTACCTACTGATCCATTCCCCTGCTGAATTGTGCTTCAATGCCGCTGGGATTCGGTGAATATCCGGAGTGCCTGTCGCTTTACAACCTGAGTCACAGTCCAAGTACATCGACCTCCGTTGTGCCGGGTGCTAAGATGCCTCCAGAAAACCCACGATTGCTGTGCTGAACACCGAGGAAACATCCCATTCAGGATGCAGCACGGATGAAATGAGCCAAAACGCAAGGAAGCAAGTGAGGGAAACCCGCTGCTACACCACAGCGCTTTGGGGTCATCGCATCGATGAGAACGCACCCTTACCTCGACGGGAAACCCGCTGCTACACCAGAGCGCTTTGGGGTCATCGTATCGATGAGAACGCACCCTCACCTCGACGGGAAACCCGCTGCTACACCACAGCGCTACGGGGTCATCGTATCGATGACAACGCACCCTCACCTCGACGGGAAACCCGCTGCTACACCACAGCGCTTTGGGGTCATCGCATCGATGAGAACGCACCCTCACCTCGACGCATGCCATTTTTGGCGCCGCGACTGCCGCCGCCGCTGACTGCCAGCGTAACGTGGCAGACGTTGGGCAGCGTTCGCAGCCACTAACACACATCCTACAAAAACGAATAAGCAGGCGCTCAGCGTTCCGTACCACGAACTACGGCACAACGGATGTGCGATTCAGGGATACAAGCAGGTGTGATAGTTACCTCCTTTTTCGTCATAACGTACACTACAGTATAGATCGACGCACTCCTCGACTTTTGGCTCGTGGCGCACGCTGCAGTCCCAGGTGGTGCTGGCTGCAACCCGAAAGCGCTAGGGAACACCAGCTTGAACCCGTTGGTGGTGGCGGTGGTAGTAGTAGTAGTCATAGTGGAAGAGCTTGCGCTGTGGTCGACCACGAGCACCGAACACGTTGCGTCGCACCGTTGGGCAACTCGGTGCAAGCCAAGTTCACGCTGGAGTCGTTGACTTGCTTGCTACACTGTAATCGCGCTCACCGATCGCACGCAAGGAGCAGAGGCGCAGCAATCGAACGCGAGTATGCGAGAAAGACATCGTCTACGGGCTGGTGAGCTATGCACCGCAAGTAGCGGAACGCCAAGTTTTCTTCTGGAATGTTTCAACAACGTGCTTAGTGGGTGTCACTGGTGGCGGTCGCGAGAGCTCCCTCACGATACGGGCAGTGTGTCGAAGCGACGCGTCTCCGAGCACTTGCACATCCGCAAATGGCCATGGGCGCGTCTCTGCAAGTGTTTGATGGTACTTGTCATTCTGGTTACGTTCGTTCCATATGATTGGTGGTACCGCTACATCCGCGGACCCGAGCCTGTGACAAGCTTTCCCCCCGACGTGTACACTGGATGCGCTGCTGATGATGCGCCCGTTCGCTTGGCAGTCGTGATGCCGCTAACTGCCCGTGAACTTGCTCGCGCGGAGGCGAACCTCCGGAGCTGGGCATTCCAACCTGAGCTGGCGCCCTGTGTCGGTGATCACAGGGAGACTGCATCTGCGCCATTGGCTGATTTTTATTTCTACTTCGATTTGCCGTTAGATTTCGACGAAGAGACCGTTACAGCTGTTGAGAGGCTGAAAGCGTTACTGACCGAGGTACCGGCGAACGTGAGCCGATGTTTCGGCTCGTTCTCGTTCATATCGGCAGACATGACGCCCTCAGAGTCACGCAATACGTACAGACACAGTCTGCTGACTACCCAGGTGGCAACGCGAGGAACCGTGACTCAGTTTTATCGCCTGATCTTGGATCATGCCCACATGGAGCGATATTACACACATGCGTTCTACATGGAGACAGACACGCGGCCAATGCGGTCGGGCTGGTTACAGGCTCTGTACCGAGTCACCGACTCTTCTGTCTGGGTCAAGGGCAGCATCATGCGCTACCCGAAACCTACTGTGCTCGGTTTCGAGCCCTATCGTTCCATATACCTCTATCATATCAACGGGAACGCGATCTATCGCCTGGGTTGTCCGTGTTTTAAGTCGTTTCTGCGATCAGTCCGCGAAACGTATCGCGATTACGCATTCGACACGAGCATGGCCTTCTATCGTCTGGAATTACGACGTTACGCGCTCTTTCAACGGATTGCACACCGCTTTGCGTTTACGGATGTCATGGCAGACTGGTGCGACTACGAGTTCTCTTTGAGTGATCTCGGAAACACGTTCCTGGTCCACGGCAAGGCACAGTTAAGCCACTACGACTGGCGCAAGCTGGGGCGCTACTAGCTGGTTTCCTGCGAATCCCAAGTCGCATCTCTGTCTGCATGCTATCGTTGGGTGCATTGCATCACAATCGGCTTTGTGTTGGCCTGGAGTCGCCGCTCTCCCGCTGTCCAGGACACGACAAAGCTGTCCCGCCTACGAAGCGCGGGCCCAAGAGCCTGTCATCGCTTCACGTTCATCGTTGTAGATCCGTACGCGCTGGTGCTTATCACGGGCATTGGTAAAGAATACGGGGAAACGATGGAATGTGCGAGACCGGTATCCATTTGTACGGGTGTGCACGAATGGATGCGTCCGGGCGTACACGTGACGGCAGGAGTACGTGTGCTTCCGTTCACTGAATGGGTTTCAGATGAAAATAGGACATTGAACGGCTGACTCTGTTCTTGCCTCGCGATTTTTCCGAACCCGTTAGATGTACGGACTCGACATTCGACGTCCAGCAACAAAGGCTCACAGATTCACACGTTGTTTCAGAATCGCCGGTCATCGTTTGGGAATCGCTCCTTTGATGCGTTCCAGCTGGAATTCGTTCCGTTATCGACAGTATTTATGATTCCTGACGCCTTCGAACAAGGATCCGTAAAATAAGCGACATTATGATTCAATGCATGCGAATAGGCCTCTGTACCTCTAATTTCCTTACATCTCTCATGATCAAATCGCGTATGCTTCTAGTTTTCAAGCGTTCTATTTCGAAGCAACATGTTAGCCCAGCAATTGCTGCCGCGGGATCGACAAGAACGAAAAAAAACGACGTCTTCCGTTGCCGACACATCCAATAGCGCATGCCGGCACTTCACTGAACTTGTCAAGTCCTATCATCGATTCAGGTTGAATAGCAATTTCTTCTCATTGTATGTTCACGAACGAAAATTCTTTCGACAGGAACACGGTGCCTCTTGCAGAATATGCTTCCAGGGGTTCCTGGCTCTTCTCTTTGTATGGAAAAGGGTCTTGAGCTTGGGCTCTAGTTCAGACAGCGATCGTTTCTAATGGAGCATGCATCACCGATGCGCACCAACTCAGCGTAGACGGATAGAAAGCTCTCGACTTGTTCTTCAACCTGAATTTTCTTGCCTGTACTTGTTTCAGCACGGTCAAGATGCCGCTCCACAAATCCCTTACTGAATGAGGCATCGTGCACTTTCGCATCCAATATCCACGATGCTCGTCGAGGGGATCACCCAGAGAACGCCCGTGATGCTTAGGCACTGCAGCGCTCGCAAAAAACGGAGCAGAGCATCGACAAGAAACTTCTGTACTCGTCACGGGGATGCACCCAGGGATGAAGCGAGCGTTGAGGTTTCACGAGGCAGCACGCTGACCAAACAGCGTCGTTGACATCCGGGTACACCAGAACACAATCCATGCCAGTTGTACAACGAGCGCATCGAGACTTTCTACCGAGCACATGAATCTGGCGAGCGATTCATAGACCGCGAATTTTTCGTACATGCATCAGCTATGTAAAAACAGAGCCGGAAACCGTGAAATCTGGATGCGAACGCTTCCGTCAACATTCGTCGACTGCCTCCAGCAGCGCCGCTGGAGGCACCAGCGAGACCTGCGTTCTGAAAACCAGCGATTAGAACCACGAATAGAAAGCAGTCGCCCGAAAAACCCAAAAAGACTGGCGTCCACGACACCTACAATCGACCCGAACCATTCTATGGACGCCCGAGTTCACCAACTGGACCCGCTCCATCGTACACGGAAACAAGCGTATCCGGAGCGAGACGTAGGCGTATGGCATCGACACCCGCCTCGGTGCAATCTCCCGAAAACGAAGCTTCACGCGCTGTAGCACCACACGAGCACAACAAACATGGTGCAGGCTGCAACTACGGAGACGACCGGCTTTACAACACCAGTTTTCCTCGGTTTCGACCACATACATCTCTACGTTGGAAACTGTCTCCAGGCGGCGGTATTCTACGCGACTCGGTTCGGGTTCCGAGTCATCGGCTACCGGGGGCTCGAGACTGGCTCTCGGCGCCTGTGCAGCTACGTCCTGCAGCAGGGCCGCATCGTGTTCGTTGTTTCTTCGGCTATGAATCCTGACGATGCTGAACTATCATCATTTCTCTCGAAGCACGGTGACGGGGTCAAGGATGTCGCGTTTGAAGTCGAGGACGCCCGAGCGGCGTTCACGTACGCTGTAGGGCGCGGCGCGCAACCCGTACAGCCGCCCGTCGAACTCACGGACGAGAACGGCACGGTGACTGTGGCAACTGTTTCGGCTGGCTACGGCGACCTGGAGCACACGTTTATCGATCGACGTGGCTGGCGGGGAGCGCACTTTCTGCCCGGGTTTGCTCCGCCGCCGCTCGATATGGCGGCAGAGTCGACGCTCGTCCAGGAGGTGTTCCCCGAGTGTCTGCTGTCGCAGGTGGACCACTGCGTGTCGAACCAGCCTGAACATGCCATGGAGCCGGTTGTCAACTGGTACACTGAAAAGCTGGGGTTTCATCGTTTCTGGTCTGTTGACGACAGGCAAATACACACCGAGTACTCGTCGCTGCGCTCTGTGGTGGTAACGGATGCGCACGAACGGATCAAGATGCCGGTGAACGAACCAGCTCCCGGCAAACGTAAATCCCAAATCCAAGAATACATTGATTACTTCGGCGGGCCGGGTATTCAGCATATTGCACTGTATACACCGGACATTCTCCGCAGCGTGACCGCGTTGAGGGAGCGCGGCGTCGCCTTCATCCAAGTGCCACCAGCGTACTACACGCTGCTGCGGGAGCGACTCCACAAGGAATGTATTCAGCTGAAGGAGGACTTGGATACCATACAGCGGCTGGAGATACTCGTCGATATCGATGAAGACGGTGGGTACCTCCTGCAGACCTTTACCAAGCCGGTAAGTCATCGGCCGACACTCTTTTACGAAATCATTCAGAGACATCGGAACACGGGATTCGGTGTAGGCAATTTCAAGGCGCTGTTCGAGGCCATTGAACGCGATCAAGCGAAACGCGGAAATCTGTAGACATATCGGCAAGGGGTTTCACGTCTACACATGGATCCACATGGACTAGGCACCGGTATAGGCATCGATTGCCCAGGGCGGCAGCGTTGTTGTTGGCGGAGCATCCTATGCGCTCCTAGTACTGCATTCCATCGATGTCAGCGAGGGTACCTACGGTTGCTTTTCGGCGGATTTCCGAGGCAAGGCGTTGTCTGATGGACGCCATCCCGATGAGCGATATCCATTGAGCAATCGGGGACCTATGGTCAGAATAGGCACACGATCGATCAGAGAGAAAGCCTGTTGGCGAGTTCACAGGCGAAGCAAGGCGTTGTCTGATGGACGCCATCCCGATGAGCGATATCCATTGAGCAATCGGGGACCTATGGTCAGAATAGGCGCGCGATCGATCAGAGAGAAAGCCTGTTGGCGAGTTCACAGGCGAAGCAAGGCGTTGTCTGATGGACGCCATCCCGATGAGCGATATCCATTGAGCAATCGGGGACCTATGGTCAGAATAGGCACACGATCGATCAGAGAGAAAGCCTGTTGGCGAGTTCACAGGCGAGGCGCTTTCAGGGCGCTACACGTGAAACGCCGTACATGCACAAGTGCGTGCATGGACGACGGACTGCAAGCGGAACGTGTATCCGACACGAATGCTTGCACCGCCCGCAAAGATACAAAAACACATAAGGTGCAGTGTAAAAGGCATGGGTACAAACCTCTATCCTCAGGCGAATCGCAAATCGCTACAAGCAGCTCGGGCATTGTGTATCAGAAACAGTTAGTGGCTCCGGTTCGTGGTTGCTGCTGCTACTGCTACTACTGTTGTTGCTGCTGTTGTCGTTGTTCTTGCTGTTGCTGGTGGCAAGGCCTGCGCTGCGGGCTCGCAGATGGCGTCGTTGCATCCACATCGAAGCGCCCCTCACCAGAAGAGCCATCTTGGCGCGTCCAAGGGCGGTTGCAATACCGCCGTGGAATGCTGCAATGTCGTCCAGCCTCCGATCAAAAGGCGTTTCAGTGCGCTACTGATGAGCTTCTCAAGGGCATGCAGCGGCACCATCGAGAGCGCTGACGATAAACTGCCCTGTAGCGCAGGATGATACGCAATCGTTGAGGCCTGGTCCAGACGATCTCGTCTGGACAACATGTCATTCATTTTTGCAGCTGTTTGAACAGGTGCGCCATCTGCTCGGTTCATGGCACCGCTGTCTGGCGTTGTGTGACACTTGTCCAGCGATGGTGAATACTCTTGTCGACGCACAAGTCGCTGTTGCTGCTGCTGCTGCTGCTGCTGCTGACGAAAGTGCATTTCGTTCATGGTCAGCAAATAGGAGCGTACTGCCTCAGAGACTGCCGCAGAGGCCACCTCCTTTAAAACCTCCTTCTCTTGCAGAGCCACTCGGGTGATTCGTTCGAGAAACGGCGACGTCGGTGCGCTAGCAGCGGTCGTCGACACCGCCACTGGCGAGCTCTCCACCATCGTTTGCGTCCGATCAAGGTCCGACGCCGAACTCGCTATGTCTCGCAGAGGTGCCCGGTCTCGTGAAGCATGTAGCGCGCGAACCGGTGTCGCTTCAGACGGCAAGCATTCCGATGCAAAAGTCACTGCTAAAGCGCGTGCCGCATCAGCCGGTCTCGCCAACCGTGGCGACGGAGACGAAGCAACCCCCATCGAGCGACCATGGTCAGGATGACGTTCCTGGCCGCCATCCTCCAGCAGGATAGGCATAGCGGCTGCAACAGCAGCTGCGACGCTCTCGCTGACAAGCCGGCGTCCCGCTTCGGTGGAAGCGAAATTCAAAAGCACCGACAGGAAACGAAACCGTGCAGCATCAGCGACACCACTTGCCGCGCGTCTCTGCGAACGTTCTTCCTGGTCAGCAGCCAGATGCGCTCGAACAGCTTCAGAGACGGCGGCACAAACAATGGTTTGGGTGAAACGTAGCCCCGACTCGCCGCTATCGATCAGAAGCGACAACCACTCAGTGGACCAGTGCCCGGTGGTGCCGTTCGATGACCCCCAAAGCCCATTGCGACGCTTTTGTCCTTCTAGCTTCGCTGTTGCACCCTCCTGTGGTGTGTTCTTCGAGTGCAGCTCGCGGAAGACTGCAACCAATGATGGACGTAGCCCGAGTGGCGACGCAGCCGCCGCTGGCCGGCTCAGAGACCGCTGCGGTGCTGTGTCGTGCTCACGGGCTGCACGCACCGCAGCGCTCACAAGGTCCGCCAGAAGCGACCGCACGGGTTCTCGGCAGAGCAAAGAGAGCAAGCGCTCCAGACGTTCGGTCGCAGCTGCGTCCGCAGTATCGGGAGCAAACGCAGAGCGCAGGTCGCGAGCAGCCTCCGCAGTGACCTCGCCCAGGTCAGAGACAGCGTCTGCTAGTCGTTGGGCACGCTGGTGTTGCACCCGCAGCCACTGACATAGCGACTGACCTTGGCCAAGCCCAACACGAACGCCCTCGTACACGAGGAGTGCACGCAGCGCCCGCGATAACTGCCAGAGCCACCGTGGCGATGCACGCTTCCCAGTGTTCGCTTGGTGGCCTCTACCGGCTAGCCAGAAAACGAGAAGGGAAGAAACTGCCGCCACTATTTCAGTCTTCAAAAATGATAAGCTCGTGGGACGTGTCTCGTTCAGCGACGCAGGCTCCTGTCGTTGACTGCTCGTGGCGGCTGCAGGTCGCCGTGCCGCAGCGACTTGCTCCATGCCTTTTAAAACCAGCTTTGCGCCGTAAACCGCCGGCACTCACGTACCATAGGCAGCGCGAACGCTTCCGCAAATTCAAAGTATGCACGAGAAACCAGCGTGTCCGGTTCGTCGAGGGAAAACCCCCCAGAAGCACCAGTCTTCCCAGCGGAAATAGCGCTGATGCGAAACAGACCGGAATGCCGGTGCCTGGTGGAGGACCTCCAGCGGAGCGCGTCGCCCAGTGCAGCGCATCTCGAACAGACCGCTTCAGGGACGCTGCGACTTTGGTACGCTCAAATGATGGGTTGAAGCTTCGTTTGGCATCGGCGTTACTGGATCTGAATTCGTCGAAGCGACGGTCTGAATGTTTCTGCGCCTCCACCAACGTTGGCCGTGGCGGAACTATGGACCGTGGCGCGGACGATGGCTGCTGCCTGCGAGGGACGCAGGGACGCCAGCGTGCAGGAAACAGGTGTCTGTCGTGGAGCAGTCGCGTCAATCAGTGCTCGACTGGCGATTCAATAGACTGCTCCAGGCAGGTTTCTACGGACTCGGCTCCCTGCTGGCGTACGGTCGAGCACCGGCAGTGCGCTGGACAAGCAGCGGCAGCGTACCGCAGCGTGAAGCCCCCATTATCGCCAAAACGCTGCAGCCCGTACAACCTACTGGAACTACCGCAGATGCTGGCAAGAGTACGTCGGAAGGAGAGCCCTGGGCGAGTCTCGGGAGCTCGAGTGCACCCACTGCAGAGCTGCTGGCGCTCGAGATTCGCGCCGAGTCCCCGCACGCCTTCATCCAGCGACGACTTGCAAAGGCACTACTCGCTGCTCGGCTTCGCTTACCGTTGCGTGACTTGCGCGTCGTCGATCCAGCGTTCCGGAATGAAGCTCCAGTCGTGCTCGCCCGACAGAGCGCAATCGTGATTCACCTCGAACACATCCGCGCTGTGGTCGAAGCTGATCGGGTCACGCTGTTCGACCCCGAGCAACCCGCAGTCGAGGCGTTCCTCCCGCAGCTGCACGCTCGCCTGGCACTGTCGAGTCCGCGTCCCGCGTTGCCGTTTGAGCTGCGAGCTTTGGAATCCATCCTGGTGGATGTCTGTAACAGCCTCATGCGTGAGATGCGGTATCTGGTTCCTGGCATTGAGTCCTTGCTTAGAGCGCTCTCCAGCGACGACGTTGCGGGAGCGACTGCCTCAGCGGCCGCTGCTGCGGATGCCAGCACCACACCGAACAGTACCGCTGGCGATGCCTCCTCGATCCCACCTGATGTGATCATGCTCGATCGTTTGCTTGGTGCCAAGAACAAACTGAACGAATTACAGAATCGGGCGACCCAACTGCGCAACGCATTGAATGAGGTGCTACTTAGCGACGAGGATATGTCAGAGATGTATTTGAGTACCAAAGCGGAGAGCGGTCATCGACGACGTGTTGATCAGCACGAGGAGGTAGAGATGATGTTTGAGAACTACCTCAAACAAATCGATAGTTTGGTTTCAGAGATTGCCTCTCGTACGCAAGCGATCCAGAGTACCGAAGACTTTGTGCAGATCAAACTGGATGCGCTGAGGAATCGCATTTTGCGGCTGGATTTGGTTTTGAAGCTGGGCTCGGTATCTTTGAGCTCGGGTGCGCTGGTAGCCGCCATATTTGGGATGAACCTGCACAGCACGCTGGAAGAGAGTCAGCTCGCGTTCTTGAGCGTCACTGGCGGCCTCGTGGGTATAAGCGGCCTTGTGTTTCTCGGTGGTGCTGCGTACTGCCGCTATAAACGTTTACTGTAAGCGGCGCAGTGCCGGCATGTGCCGCTCGGCGGCGTTGCGTCGGGACCTGCGCACTTGCTCGGGGCCTAGTGCCAGTGTATCCGGGTGTCATTTGTTGTGGCAGACGTATTCCGACTGGTTAGAATTCGGGAAATGGAATCCGAAAGCAGGGCAAACATGCTCCCTAAGAATGACTCTGGTGTCTGCGGCTGCAGTGGCTGGTGCGGCTGCCGACGCAGGTTGCGAACAGGATCGAACGACGTGGACGAGCGGTGTCTGGGCCCGGCACGACTCAGACGCGAGCTTTCCACGTACCGAGAAACCGGACAGCTTGGACGCTGCGGCGACTCTACGTGGTATCCTCAGAAGAAGCGCTGCAGCAGCTGCGGGAACGCTGCACAACCGCAAGTCACTGGCTGAGCGTAAACTGGGTAACCAGCACGCCTACGCATCGCGTACCTGGACAGATATGCCGCTACCTAACGCATTGAGCAGGCAGGGACGTTCTTGCGCTGTGCACTACGGTACGCGCATGTCATTCCATGCAACGTCGTGCCATTTCTGTTTGTGGTATACGAACACCACTTTCGATGATAGCGTCCATTTGGCGGATAGGTTCGCGAAGTGCGTCCCCGAACGTAAGCTCGCTTTGATTTACACACACACACACACACACCCGTGAGCATTGAGTACGAGTATCCCACCTGAATCCCGAAACGAAACAAGGCGGACGCGGGATGGGAAGGTTCCACGGGAGGCGGGGCGCTCGTCAGGAGCGTCTCACGCAGGGCACGGCACAGCACAAGCGCTCGTGCATGAACAGCACCGCCCGCGTCTTCTTGGTAGTACGAGGTCTCGCGTACCTGAGGCGCACGCGAGTCCACTGATTCGCGCACCTCGTCACTGGTGGATCCCGAGCAAACGCCTGCGTCAGGAATCAGCGGTACATGCGATAAACGTCCACCGAGGAGCGACTCGGCACCCGAGAACCAGCCTCAAAACCACGTTTCCCGAATCGTCGTGCAGCGCTGGCATGCATGCAGCCATGCGTCGTAGTCTTGTGGAGCAGAAACTGACGACAGGATCCCGCCCTGCATCGGGTTGGCGCCCTCAGTTGTATGGCAGCGCTGTTCTGTTTCCGTGATGCATCGGCCCCAGCGTTTGAGGCGCCATTACTGGTGCCCAAAGCAGGCACTCGGCGCACATTAGAGCGAACAAAACGACCAGTGCATCCGAAAGGAAGTACAAGTAACGGAACTTGGAGGTAGATGCGTCACGATGGACACATTCTCCAAATCCAGCATCCGTCCGGCAGTCTGGGATCCGTGGTCAATTACAGACGTTTTGTCATCGAAGTAAATCAGCGCACGCACACGCACGCTCGTATCCTGCAGCGCATGGACCGGGGCGCTGTGTGCCGGGTGTCGCCGCCAATGCGCGCGCATCGCAAGCTACACATTTCTTTACTTTTTTGAATATAACGGTCAGTTCGATGTTGGACGCTACGATCGCCATCAGGCGTCTGAGAGGCGCGCCTGCGCGTGCGCAGCGGCTGGCTACCGGCCGGCACGCGTCACGCGTCACGCGTCACGCGCATCCCGATCGCCAGCGCATCGCCATTGCGAGCGTTTCGATTGTGCGTCTCGCGCTTGCGCTGTGACGTCCAGCCAGGTACGAACTCGTAGCCATGACCACAGACCCGAGTAGCAGCGATCGCACAACACCGGAGAACGGTATTCATATAAAGGCAAAAGAGATGGTTCAGCGTCTCGACGAAGAGTTTTCGCGTTTTCCGCGGATCGAACCAGCCTATACGACGGTTAAGCGGCGCGTTCAGCGGGTAGTCGACGATCCTCGCGTGCGCACGGCGTACGAGACCGAGGTCAAGCCACGCGTCAGGGCGGCGGTGACGCGCCTCGAGGGCGTTGAGCTTTTCACCCTGCGCGTGTTTGTGGCGCTTCTGTACCAACTGGAAAGCGTGCTGGACGGTATGCTGCACCGGTTCGGGGAGAGCGCGCCTGCCTCTCATGCCGCACAGCAGTCGTCCGGTGCAGGAGCGGAACCAGACGAATGTAGTCCTGTTTCAGCAGCGGACTCATTGGATACAGCTATTCGCAAGTTGAGAGCACGGGCGTGCCGTGTGCGCGTCCAGGTCGTGGAGCTGCTGAACGCCTCAGTTGCTGGCGCTCGTCGCGTGGGCGACCAGGCGGGCACTTTCTTGGCCGATGAACGCACAGTTCTCTACCGCTACGCCAAGTCGCTGGTCGTCCGTCTCCTCTCGATGCTGAGGTCGCTCGCTGACTACGGCTTGAACGCTCTGGGTAAGGAGTATACACCGGTATCGGTACCGGTACCTCCGGGGCAGAGCGGCGCAGCAGAGGCAAGTCAAGCGTCGGGCGTGCTATGAGGCGCCGTTTTCTGCGTATATGGCAGATTTCGTAGCTGTTCTTCGCTGCAGACATTCCTGTGTACGAAAAGCCGCCAATTGTTTCTGTAATCTCTGTAATGTAATCGATGTTATCCGTGCGCTTGTTGGTGTCGTACGTGACCAAATCTAGTCCCTTGTAAAGTCGATATCTATGTCACCGGGAAAACCGAAAAGAAAGCCCTGCGTATCGCACCTGCTCAAGCGATTCTCCGAACGATATCGATCGCTGTGGTCAGTGAGCGTCCACGAACGCAGCAACAGCGTGTTCACTCTCCGAGCAACGCACAAGCTCCTCGGGAGTGCCTCACGTCATCGACCTGATTCAGGTGCATGCAGCGGGAGTCCTCGATGCATTCGCGTTTTTCGGATAGAGCACGCGTTCCAGTGACCAGGTGGCTCTCAGATGCACAGCTCCATCGTGCACATGTCGAATGCGGCATCGTGAACATCGTGATGATTCATTTTGCACCATGATGCACAGTCGACGCCTGACCGTACCAGCAATCCGGGTTTTCTGGGCCGCGGTCACCTCAGCTGGCGACCAGCATCGATACAGTACCGTGATCCTGGCGCCTGCGTCGAGGCACTGACCGCCGTACCGGTCGTGTGCGCATCCGCCAGTCTGCTGGACAGTGCGCGTGCATCTCGAAGCCGAGTAATCAAAACAGTATGCGTCTCTCTGGTATCCGGCGTATTCTGGAAGCGTCTGTTGCGCTCCTGGATACATGCCCCCAGGCGCCCGACACCTCCGTATCGCTCGATATCCCGCCCGAAAAGCTAAACACCCGCAAAGCACCTCAATACCGCTCGCGCGCTGTGTGGCACCAGACGCAAGCGCACTGCACTCCATGGATTGCAGGCTCCATCACGCCTCTGTGCCTAGGGATCGCATCTGTCGACGAAATGCGATTGCTGCCCAGGTCACTGGGCACCGCGCACGCCCGTCCAGAGGATCCCTGTGCGATGCCTCGATGCGCGGCGTTGCAAGATCGCCTGGACACGAACCGCCGGCGATCGGGCCAGCTGCCCGCTGCGCTGCACGCATGTGTCACGCGTGCAATGTGACATCGCACCGCGGCGCCCACGCCGTCGCTTCAGCGCCATCCCGCGATATCACTTTTCGCATGGTAGGGCACGGCTTTCGCGCTCTGTAGCAGCTGCGGTGCTGTGAAGCGAGCGCACGTTCGGTAGTGCGAGGGAGCGTTTGGAAACATGGGCCACGCAGATATATGGAATAGCCATCCGAAGGATCATTGCAAGGGATCCCGTCGTTGTCGGGTGTGTAAGGCGCACCAGGGACTCATCCGCAAGTACGGACTGAACATGTGTCGACGCTGCTTCCGCGAGCACGCGAACAAGATCGGCTTCCAAAAGTATCGCTGAGCAGAACGACGAGCGCGTTTCCATGTCGATCGGAGGACCATTCATTCCTATAGTTTTGGGATAGAATAAAACCTGTTTCAGTTCTGGTGTAATAGGCACCAGGACTCGCACACGAACGGCTGCCGCTGCTGCTATGTATTTACGACTTGTGTGTGCGTATTTGAGGCAACCGGGGTCGGTACGGCCTCGCTGCCGAATCGAACGCGGTGAACGAAAGCGTTTCGGAGCTGTTCGTAGGGCGGGTGCGACCTTGGTCGTGCGCAGAGCACGCGTGCATGCTAGTGCGCAGACATATCGACAGTTGAACGCTGCTGGTGCATATCTAGTATAAAATCAAAGCGTTTACGAGATTCAATAGTGCTTTCCTCTGGTCTGCGCGTCGCGTTGTTTCCGCTCGCAGACCCAGCCTTCCGCCGTGCGTGGATCCGCTCGCTTATGCGCTGGTGCTGGTGCTGGTAGTGTTCACGAGCTGTTGCACGGATACTGCCGTCACCGTACCGTTCGGTGGAAATACAGACCTAACCATCCCAAAGACGAATAAGACACTCATGAGGTTCTCAACAGGTTTCGTGTTGTTTGGCAGTGTCAGTAGCTGAACAGCACCGGTGGTTGTCACATTAAGCGGAACACGTAATGCGTATGGGATCGTTCCATTCGCACTTGCCGCTTGCGTGACATTCACGTCCTGGATACCTGTGATGTTGCGCACAGCCGATACGAAGCGATCACGGAAGAGAGCGTTTCGGGTGGCGTTTGTAAAGTCCTCCACGGAGACGCCCTCCATCTGGAAGGCCACATTGATCGCTGCTTTGCCTGCTGGTGGTGACGGGAAAGCGGCCAGGTTCGCCGGCCCCGGAACCGGGGATGCTGCCGGCGTTGGCGATGCTTCGCAGAGCAGACCCGAAAAGCCCGGCACACAGTAGCAAACGCCATTGATGCAGGCACCATTACCGTTACAGCAGGTTGCGGTCGTCGCGTTCTCCGCCGTTATGCCCGCCGGTCGGCACGAGCTGACGCAAAGTGTTCCATTCAAGTCGAATAGGCGACTTGGCTGTGCCAACGAGTACAGAGGAGGAAGCTCCGATGGTCTACCCAAAAAGTCCAGGGAGGTAATGTTCTTGGTAGGCGTGACCCGAACGGTGATATTCGGGCTCGATGCTGCCCTCGCGACACTGATGTACGTCTCCGTGGAGACGCTCGTGGTCGTCTCCAGCCGAGTATACTCGCTCGCAACAACCTGTCCAAATGAACCGGACTGCACTGTGCTTTGCAGCGTCGAGTAAACGGATAAGTACTCCACCACAGACGACATGACACGTACAGAGATGCGATTGGCGTGCCAGCGCACACCAGTCGCGGAGCTTGACGAGCTCGTGTAGGTCACGAGGCCATTGCTCTGGGCCTGAACTCCATTGCAACTAGAAGGAGCGCTGCCGCCTGTGGAAGTCGAGAGACATTCGCAGTTGGTGATCTCGACCGCAGTGGGCACCAGACCACACGAGCTTGCTAATGTGTTCTGCACGATATACGAAATCTGGTCACACGTCCAAACGTTGATCTGCTCGACGACCTCGACGTCAATCTGCCATTCATACCAAACAATGCAGACAGGAGGCCGTTTGACGACCACCTCGACCCATTTCACGGGAGCCGGAGCAACCGCAGATACGTATTCAGCGGTCGAGGTTACCAGCTGCGAGTACTGAACGATATCGGTATAGAGTTCGCCACCGCCACACTTGGACTGATACAGCTGAACACGTTGCCAAAAGTAGTTATTCACGAAGTTGTCACGAATTGCATACGTGTACTGGATCGTGTACGTGGAAAACGTCTCCAAGCGGATGTGGACGACTGCATTCCAGGTATCGATTTGCTCACACGAATGGATCGTTACGATTTCGCTCGGTATGCCAATATCGTTGCACGAGTTCAGGATCGCCACTTTGACATCATTGCAGCTCAGAACCTGCGTACCAAAGAATGCAGATCGACAGTAAAACGCTGTCTCAATGAAGACTCGCCGCGGATAGATCTGTACTGGGACATAAATGATGCTGGTGCTCTGTTCCAGGACAACGGACGTTACTTGCTCGTATTCGACGGTGCTCACGGTGAGCGACGGCGAGATTACTGTCGTCGTCTCGCTAGCGCTGACATACAAACTCTGCAGATACACGTAAGCCTGGTACATCCGTTCTTGCCAGTTTGCCGGTGCATACTCGGGAACGATCGAGCAGGCAACGTAGATAGAGCACTCTGTCTCGATAGACAAATGCAAACTGCCCTTGCGTGGCTGGCTATAAAGCAGACTTTGGCTGCCATCATCCTGCACCATGAGCAGAGGTTGTGCGGAACGCCGACTTGTGCCGGAGCCAGAGCTCGCCAGATTCACCACAACATCTGTCTCCGTGAAAGACTCGACATCCAAAAAGGCATAGTAGTAGACGCGCTGTGCTGTGGATATAACTTCCGAGCAACTCGCACTCACGCCGACCGCGATCCGAATGGTCGGATTGTCTGGCAAGACTATCTTGTTGGTCGGAAGCGGACTACCATTCGGGAGCGCTGTGAGGTTGGGGGTTGGTGTTGGCGGAGGTACTGGCTTTCCCGCGCCGCTCGGCAGATTAAGTGTAGTGATACTCGTGACAGAGAGTAAGCTCGCGAGTTTCACCTGCACAGTGCTGGCCTCTGAAACTGCCACGACCACAAAGACGGTGAATTGAATATTCACTGCGACTGTAGTCGATGTGGTAACGCGCATCTTGGTAGAATCTCGATCCCCCATGAATTCCGAGAACCATCTCAGAGGAGCCAACAGTCCCAAACGTGAGGAACTCGTTGAGGTCGGAGCAGCAGCACAGTTGTTCGAGACGGTAACATTGGATGCCGGCACGCCGAGAGCAGATGCAACTGCAGCGGCGATCGCTGACGCTGCAGACTGACAAACCTCTGCGGAGGTGACAGAAAGGTACGTGCCCTGAGATACTGTTGTAATAGCGGGTGTCGGTGGTGGCGTCGGTGCTGATGTCGGAGTAAAGGTTGCCGACACGCTCGGGGACGTGCTCGGTGATACCGAGGTACTCGGTGAGCTCGTTGGCAAATGCGACGCACTTGGTGAAGGGCTCGGTGATACCGATGTACTCGGTGAGCTCGTTGGCAAATGCGACGCACTTGGTGAAGGGCTCGGTGATACCGAGGTACTCGGCGAGCTCGTTGGCAAATGCGACGCACTTGGTGAAGGGCTCGGTGATACCGAGGTACTCGGCGAGCTCGTTGGCAAATGCGACGCACTTGGTGAAGGTGTCAGTGGTTCCGAACTCGGAGACGGTGCCGCGGTAACCGGCGAGCTTATGCTTGATGATGGATGCAATGTAATGCTCGGTGATGCGTGGAACGTTGCGCTGCTTCCAGCCGAGGCTGAACGAGAGGGGCTCAACGTCCCAGTCAGCACAGTCGATATCGATGGCGAAGGCACTACTGAGCTAAATCCAGTGCTTGTCGATGACGGCATTGGTGTCAAGGTTTCCGCGGCACCAGAACTCGGTGAAGGGCTTCCAATGCTCGAGGGTGATACGGCGTGAGTTGGTAGTGTGCTCCCTGGAATCGTTGTTGTCGACGACGGCGTTGGCACCACAGTTGGTGTCCCCGCAGACGCAGAGGCATGTGTCGATGTCGGTGTCAGCAATGATGTAGGTGTAGGTGAAGGCGTTGGAGTCGGCGTCGGCGTCGGTGTCGGTGTCGGTGTCAGCAACGGCGTAAGTGTAGGTGTAGGTGTAGGTGTAGGTGTAGGTGTAGGCGTTGGAGTCGGCGTCGGCGTCGGTGTCGGTGTCGGTGTCAGCAACGGCGTCGGTGTCGGTGTCGGTGTCAGCAACGGCGTCGGCGTCGGTGTCGGTGTCAGCAATGATGTAGGTGTAGGTGTAGGTGAAGGCGTTGGAGTCGGCGTCGGCGTCGGCGTCGGTGTCAGCAACGGCGTAGGTGTAGGTGTAGGTGTAGGTGAAGGCGTTGGAGTCGGCGTCGGCGTCGGTGTCGGTGTCGGTGTCAGCAACGGCGTCGGCGTCGGTGTCGGTGTCAGCAATGATGTAGGTGTAGGTGTAGGTGAAGGCGTTGGAGTCGGCGTCGGCGTCGGCGTCGGCGTCGGTGTCGGTGTCAGCAACGGCGTAGGTGTAGGTGTAGGTGTAGGTGAAGGCGTTGGAGTCGGCGTCGGTGTCGGTGTCGGTGTCGGTGTCGGCGCCACTGACACCGAGGGTAACGGTCTCACAACGTCCGGAACTTGGGGAAACTCCGTCTCCCCCTCAGCCTGGTGTGGCTCTGCGAGCACCAACAATGACCCCCGCTCAGCTCTCCCTGTGTGCTTACCCCATAACTTCCAGTTGAGCGGTAAGCTGCCACCTAGCAAAAGGAGAATAAAAAACGTGAACAAAAAGTGACGGAGCGCAGCTTTTTGAAAAGCCGCCATCTCCGTTTTGCTATTAGTCTGCAATGCAATTGAAACTCAACGATATGAAATTCTACTTTTCCCAACGTCTTACAGCAGCAAACGCGTTGAAAGGGTTCCGGGTCAGCGGGACACGAGCACCACGGGTGTTCATGCAGACACGTGGAGCAGCCAAATCTGGATCGACGGGACACGTGTCCTGATCCGATCACGTATCGAGCGCCAGACACTGCGCCGCCCGCCAAACAACTGCGGTTTGCATTTCGTCGCTCGATACGCGACCTCGCCTGCAGAGGGTGTACGCGGAGCCTGGACCCGGTGTCCTCGGGGGCTGGTCATGTCTGTCTCTGACAATCTGGGGAGGACACAGAATTGCATACGTTATGTATGGATTGAATAGGTGGATGGAAAAGTGCAGCTTACTTGGATAAAGAAGACTAGGAGAGGTTCGCGAAGCAACTTACCGGATAAACGATCACGTGAGTCTCACATAGGAGAAGCATACATCAATACCTGTCAAAAGTCAGTTGCGTTGCATGGTCCAACGAAAAGCGTGTTTCACCTAGCGCCGTGTAAGTTCCTGGGAATTTAGAAGGAAAAATTATGATGGACCCAGAGATTCGGATGGTTGCGCTGCACGCGGCGCGCGCGGCTGATGTGTCTGCGTTGCAGCGAATGATCGGCGAGCGCTTCAGGGACACCTGATTTCTGCAGCCACGCAGCGGCCGAGGCGAGGACGAAAACAACAACGAATGACGATATTCTAAAGTGGAGTCACATCCCGGTGTAGTCGAAGCTGTCTCGAATATCTCGATTCAGGACATCTACCAGGCATCCATCGGCGCGGACAAGCAGATGCAGCGTTGTAGGGCAGCTACCTGTCATATCCTGTGCACGACCCCGCTGCCATCTGGTGACAACACGGAACCACTTGGCCGGGAGCTGAACATGAACTCTAGAATGATGGCTGTTCCCCAACGCCCATGGATGCGTGCGCAGCATAGAACCACAGCGATGTTCAATTCGAGTGTTCAGGTCCTCTTGACCTGGAGAAAGAACGCTCCGTAAACAGGCATCTAAAGCTCCAAAGGACCCTTGAGCGCCACTTAAAGAACGCATGGGCTCTCGATTGGCGGTTTTCATCCCGACACATTGCTTGGACATGGAGGATTCGTTCTTCTTCCCGCTTTTGCACCAGTGCAACGCATGCGATGTCTGGCGATCACGAGCGCCTCCGCCGTATTGACGATCACGAAAATCACGATGAGCCACCGCCAAAGGAAGCTGCTTGCTTCCATATTCGCTGGAAAGCAAAATACTCCACCTGGAAGAACCGGACGATTCTGATTTCCTGAAAGATCGGTACCTCTGCGGAAGCATCTCAAGGTAATCATAGACGCGGGTTTTATAGATCCACGTAACTATCGACCGGTTCGGCATTTCCACCACCGCAATCCCCACATTTTTTGACAAGACCAAAGCAGGCCCTCCCGCACATGCAGGTGCCTCGGAGTACAAGTAAAAATATGATCAAAATGAGAAGCAGAACCGCACCCACAGGAGCTACAATAAAGATGATTATCGAATCTCCCTGCGAGCCGGAGTTGGACGTACTTGGCACCTGCGGAGTCGGCGACACCGTGATCGACGCTAGAGCGAATGAAGTCATATGCAGGTTCGACACCGCTCTTGTGACCTGCGCCGACGCCGTCGCCGCATAGGACGCGGGAAAAGGCACCAGCGTTGGCAATTGCTCCGCTGTCGGTAGGGGTGAGGTTTCTGCGGGTGTTGGCGACGGCAACGACCGCGATGGCGAAGACTCCGCCGATGGCGACGGCGATGGCGATGGTTCCGTGTGCGCAAAGCGTCCGACCCCTGGGTACCTCTCTATCAAAATCCCACCGTTTTCAGCGGGAACAGCGCGGAATGATGCGCGCGGTTCGAGACCTCTCATGAAAACCGCGACTTGCTCCGCGTTGTGAGACACGGCTGAAATCGACACTGGGACTGTCGGCTTCGTTGTTGTGGATAACAGTGACCTGCGACGCTGGTGCCTCGCAACGAGCCGCCGCGGCTGCCAAGCACTTTTCCGAAAGTGAGCACACATATCGTTTCAATATACGCAAGACCAAGACTTTTTCTCGTTCTAAAGGCGGTACTAGCCCAAAAAAGCTAAGGAAACACGATCCAAAAGAAGCGCTTCGCACAGCGCTATCCGGTGTGCAGCGAAGAAGATACAGCGCCCGCAGCGTGGTGTTGTGATCTTCGACGCAATGCACGTGCTCGTGACATACAATTCAACGGGAGCTGACGCGCTGCGGCCCCAACGGAGCTGCCGCATCATCACGTCGCTGTGCGGTGCAATGTGACACCCTGTAACGCGGTGTGCAGGATTTCGACGCCCCCGCACAGCACCGTTGGCACGAACGCTACCGAGCGACGCTTCGTCGATTGCATCGACTTTCCATGGCACGTCGAAGCGCAGCTTTTAAATTGAGTCATTTAGGGATGATACGGATACGGACATTTCGATCTCGCATCGCCGTCGCGTGTCGATCCTGTATCTTGCATTCGACGCTGGCGCGATTGCTGACGGGAAGCCCGTTTGCCGTCAGTCGCGTGCTAGAAACGGCATTCTGCAGGCTTGATTGCCACATACCAGCGTGCACAGGTGATCAGCGCCTTTTCTGATGAAAACGTAAAGTTCGAGTACCTTGTCCAATGGTATCTTCTGTCTGGAGACGCCTGCGCTGAACCGCGTTGTGCCGAAGCGGTGCCCCGATATGCAGGCACACGCGACACGGCGGATACGTATTCGGGCCGGGCGAGGTCATCTCTTCCGTGATCTGGCGTCCGATGGACGAAAGTCCGCTTATCGCCGCCACGAGCGCTCGGAATCAACGGAGCGGAAGCAGCAGTTTGCGGAGACCGGCCAGCGGGCAACCCTAGTCCAATCTGCGTCTGTGATACGGCATGGTCGGTGTATCCGATCAGCGCTTTGGGCTATGCATTTGCGGGATAGTCTTCAAAGCGCCGCTGTTGATGCCACAGCCCGAGTGTCCCCACTGAAGCGATTCGAAGGGAGGATTCTTCCGCTCTGGACAAGTTCAGTGCTCGCTGGGACGCTGTACAGATTATCTCCTCGGGTTTTATGAAAAAGAAGCACCAGCGTTCAAGTCTTTTAAAGAGTGCACCGCTCATGTGGACGATGTCCAGATTCTTGGTTGCAATTGCAACGGTACTGAAGACCAGCGGCTGTTGCACGCGAGCACGCACCTCTAGAGCAAACAACGAATGAGGCGGTATGGACCGGCTCGACTGGAGAAAACTTTCCATCCTCCGTAACGCTGTCAGATTAAAATGATATACAGAACAAGTTGCTCTGTTCCTGCCATGACAATCTTTTCCGAGCTTTTTCCCAGATGTACCGCCTCCACATTCGAAGTGCAGCAATAGGGCTAGGGGATGCATACGTGGTATTTGGATTCTCGGTTGTCTTTTTTTCCGACTAGTTCCGTAGGTTCTTTCGTGCTGGAATTCGTTATGTCATCGGAATCGAGATGACTCGAGACGTCCTCGAACTAGCTTTCGTACCATGACGGACATCATTATCCTACGCATATGTAGACGTCTACACGCTTCTCCATTGCTCACCTGGAACATACGGAATTCACGTTTTCTTCGAGTCTTCGATCTTTCTGGACCAAGGCGAATTGTGGGCGCAGCGATTCTCGCTACCGGATTGACGAAGAAAAACACTTCACAACGTTTGTGGACGACTTGTTCACATGCTCATGCCGAGTATTCGCTCAGCTTGACGCGTTACATAATCGATGAAGATCCAAAGAAAAATCCCCCCTCTTTGTATCCATCGACGAATCCACATTCAACGACAGCATGAACCCTCACAGATGGTCTGCTTTCAGAGACGTCCATCTCTTCCGTTTCCACGGAAAAAGGGTCTCGGACTCGGACTTGAGCCATCATAGCGATCGCTTCCTGTGGATGGTGCGTCACCGCTGTACACGAAGGACCCGCGATCCAATCGAGATTTCTCAACGCGATCTCTAGCCTGGATGCTTCTTCGTTAATTGTTTCATCATAGACAAAATCGCGTTGCACATACTCCCTATCGAACGGAAGAGTGTACGCGAGCGTCTGCAGCGGACAGAGTACTCGTTGTGAGGATTGCCCAGAAGACGCCGGTGATCTTTGCGTATGGCACAGGTCGTGTCAACGGAGGCGGGTATCGAGACGCGTCTCGCATATCCGTCAAGGGCATGTACCCAGCGATGAAGCACACCTGAACGCACCACTCGTCGACCCTCGGAGCAGGAAACGAAGTGGTGAACATACGGAAACACATGACCGCAGCCAGGTATCGCTGCTGCAAAAGGCCGCACCGAGGTCGTACACAAAACGGATGAAAATGACAAGCGAAGCGTCAATCGCAACTACCGTGTCTGCCTGAAAAGCGTCGACAACAGCCAGACGCAACGAAACCGGGACTCGAACGCTACCACCAACATCCGTCGACTGTAGATGCTGGAACCGAAGAGTGAGGAGACACCGACGCATGTAAAACCGGATACAAGGAACATCAAAAGAAAGCAGTCGAAAAAAGCACCCAAATGCCAGTCTGGACGACAACGCGAATACACAGCAACAAGAGCGTGTGTGCGCGAGTTGGACGACCTGCTCTTCTCTATTCTGGCATTGGTGTCATTTACGAATACCCGTCGCTTTTGTACATGAAAAACGGATGATTCGTGTACTTATGACTTCAATTCCCTAGTTGCCACCAGAGCAACGTCCATCAATGAACCCAGCGGGGAACGTCAACTTCCGAGCGCTTGTACCGCAACCTCCACGGTCGGCAGCACGATGTGCACGCGAGTCGATACGCGCTCCCAGTGCATACATTCAAGGACTCCATTGCATCAATGAACTACCGTACACGATCCGTACGCTTCGTGTGAACAAACCAGACGCGTAATGAGTCCGGGCCTGTGTCAGCGTCAGCGCGTCACCGAGGTGCTGCGCGATCGCGAGCGCTTTCGCTGAGACAATACACTCAGTGCAGCAGCGGAACTCGAACGCACCAGCTTTGTACTCGAGGGCGGCAAGGCCCCTGGCATGCTTCCCTCGAGAGCGCCCTTGCCCGCGAGCATGTCCGACGCTGTAGGCACGAGAGCTTCAATGAATGCACGAGCGTCGAGCATACAACTTCCACCAAAGAACACCTGCGTGCCGCTCGACTCCGAAAGATCATAGGCGTACCGCGTCTCATTCCACGAGAGGCCGCCAATGACAAAGATAATGATGCGACGCGTCGCAGACTCGTCTACGCTGCCAACCGATGACGAAGAGGAACGTCGACGATTGCGACGACCGAGAGACGACTCACGGATTGCCGACGACGAACGACGCCTGCGAAGACTTCGACTCGTGCGGCGAATACCGCTCTCCTCGTCATCGGTAGAGAAATCGGAGAGCTCACCGGCTGACGAGTCGTCGGACATGTACGCGCGATCGAAGTGGCGGCTCTCGCCGGCATACGGGAACGCGGACTCACCGAGGCGACGCTCGATAAGCAATGTCGCAAGTTTCGCGAGCCGTCCATGGGTCTGTTGCATGGCTTGCATCTCCGATGGCGTCTTCCGCAACGGCACTCCGTAGGCGATGCACAAACGCTCAATGACAGCGGTCAGCTGCGGTGCAGTCCGGATATCCGATGCTGTGGTAGAGGTTCCAGTCGATGCACTCGACCCTGCCGAAGTACTCGAAAGCGCCGCCGATCCCTGTGACGATCCCCATGACTGGTGCTCCCCGAATGAAGAGCGAGCAAATGCCATCGAGACCAGCTCCTGAATCTCAGCTGTGCTCGTATTCTGCGTGAGCGCAAACAATACAATCAGACGAGCTTTGTCCACCAGGCGAATATTGTCCTCGTCGAGCAATTGTCGCAGCTGTCCTCGGACACGCGTTTCAGCATCGGTACCGACGACACGCTGCGCATTGAGCATGTCTCGTTCGAGAGCAGCAATCCTGGCGATTTGCGCATTCTCCCAGAGATCCTGCGCGCGACGAGCCAGGCGCTGGTGACGCTCCAGTGACGCAGCGTCGGCATCGCTAGGCAGCAAAACGTTCGAGTCGGAGGTGCTCGTGGCGAGCGCGCCTCGTTTCGCGGTCCGGAGGCGCCCGACCTGCTCCACTGGGCGATAGCGCACGAGGCTCCAGACATCGTCAGCGTACTCATCGAGCACCAGCTGGGATCCAGCACCGCTATCAGCCTCCAGCAACGAAGGGAATTCCTGCTTCAGCACCGTCTGATACGTATCATCGTGCAACAGGGGCGTCAACAGATCGCAGTCTCTGTCAACAATGAGGAGCACCGTCCGAGAAGCTCCAGCTCGAGGAGCGGATCCCGCTCTTGTCGGCAGAATGAGAGGACCGTACTCGTCGAGTATCCTGACGAGCTCCTCTGCGACGGCTGCGGGTGCGCCCGTGAACGAGTCTCGCGCGAAACGGATACGCGGTCGCTCCTGCAGTACGGAGCACAGCGTCAACAAGGACTCGGCAATGGTTTGCGGCCGCACCGGCTGCAGATCCGCAGGATAACGGCCGAGATGAAACAGGCGCTGCTCGAATGCACAGAAATCGATGTTGAGTTCCGTGAACTGCGCAAGCCGTTCGACGAGCTGCGATGCCGCCCGAACTCGATCAAGATACGTTTCGTCGACGCGAGATGTCGCGAAAACTTCAATGATGGTCTTGCTGGAGACCTTGGGCGTCTCCGAGTCATCGTGTTCTCCGCTTCCTCTGTCAGACGCTTTGGTCACATGTTCAAGCGACGCAATCAGCGTATTCACCGCGTTCGACGTCGGCTTGAAGAGGTACACGAGACGCCGACCTTGGTCGCTTGGCGGCAACGCGTTGAGCGTTGGCGGCTGCTGACCAAGTTCCTCAACAAGGAACACACCATTGCCCACGAGGTCACTCATGCGGCACGCTGCAGACAATACCTGGATGCCGCGATCGTCTGCTACTAGCATTCCGGGAGCGCGACGCTGATCAGCGGAGCTGCCGCGGGAGTCTTCCGCACCGGCAAGCGACGACCTTGCTGTGCCCGCCAGCATGCCGTACAGCAGGCGCTCTCGCGCGAGTTCGCGCAGTGTGGCGTTCGGGCCCACAACCAGAGGCATGGTAACCACATTGGCGCTGTCGACTGTGCCCAGTGCGGCAGCTGTGCTGCCAGTTGGTCTCAACGCTGCCACATCAACGGTATCGTTCTGGGAGACTCGGGATCCGGGAGCTATTCCCGCGAGTGCCGCTGACGACGGCACTGTGCCTGTTCGGTTGCGCTGGCGTTGCTGTCGACGTCGCCTTCGCCGCAAGAAAAGCCATACAGCCAACACGGCGAGAATCAGGGCAGCAGCACCGGCCACAGCGCCTCCAATGATTGCCCCCAGAGGTGCACCCGAGCCAGATCCGCTGCCGGAAATCTGAGAGGGGTCACCTGTGGCGACACGTCGCACCTCCACTGATACCACGGATCCATTTGGAGGGAACGCCTGTCGAACTTGCTCATAGAGGAACACAGTGCTTAGCAGACGGGTGACCACATTCACATCGCTCGGTTTCAGGATCAACTGTACGGCGCCGGTAGTGGTGACACTCGTCGGTGCCCGCATCAACATGTAATGCAGGGAATTATAGGACTCGCTGCCGCCGACCACGTGAATGCGTACCAACGAGATCTGCGCAATGGACTGGATGCTTTGCATCAGCAAATCGCGGAAGCGGGCGTTGTTGGTGCTGTTGTAGAACTGACTATACGACACGCCACGCAATTCCATCAAGAGATCCACGGCATCGTAGCCCGAAGGAGGCGGCGGAAAGCTCGGTAACGCCAAACTGGATGGCGAAGGCGACGCAGACGCTGTCGACGACGACGACGACGATGATGATGAAGGCGCATTCTGGCACAGCAAACCTCGATAGCCACCAACGCAGTAGCAGACGCCACTGACGCATACCCCGTTTCCACTGCAGCAGTTTGCCGGCGAGACGTCCGAATCGTTGATGCCAGGCGGCCGGCACGAAGCGGTGCATATCCTTCCACTGAGATCATACAATCGCCCGGGCTGGACGACGGAATAGAGCGGCTCCAATGTCGACGGTTTGCCCAAAAAGTCCAACGAGACTAGACTCCGGTTCTGGGAAATCTGAATGCTCACATTTCCATTCGTACTGGAATTGTGATGGCTACGCTGATGACGAAGCTCACGAAGCTTCCTCGCAAAGGTGTTCTTGATGTGTGCCGAGTGGTACGCAGTGGTCATATTTTGGCTCACATTCTGTGCCTGGAAAGCATTCGTCAGCACTCGACCGGAAACACGATTGTAGTGCCATTGCACTGCGCCAGCTGACGTGTTCGTACCGGCAGGTGTTGGGCTCGCGGTTGGCATCGGCGTCTCTGTACCTGACCGCACAGGTGCTGATGTTACCGTCTCTGGAGGCGACGCGGTTGCACTCGCAACAATGGCGTTCGCTGTCGGGGTGACAAGCACCGCAGATGGCGTCGGCGCAACGCTTGAACTGAGCGGCAAGACTGTGCTCGTGGGAGTTGTCGTCGACATTGGTGCCGACTCGAAAATGACCTCTCCGCTGCTGGTCGTGGTGAAACCGCTGCAGCTCGCCGGAACGCTACCCTGTCCATTGACCGCGATACACTCACAATTCTCGATGACAATTTCGGAGACGAAGACGCCGCAAACCTCGGCGAGCGTCTGCTGCATCACATACGCAACCTCAGAACACGTCCAGTACTCGACGACGTCCAGTGCCTGACAGTAGTATTCCCATTCGATCCAGACGCCGCCAACTGCAGGCCGCTCGGTCACGACTTCAACCCATTTCACTGGCGTTGGCGTTGGCGTTGGCGTTGGCGTTGCGGATGGAGCGGCGTAGCTGCTGGTACCGATCACGTCGATGTACGAGTATTGCACGATATCGGTGTAAAACTCGACGCTGCCACAACTGGTTTCGTAGGTATTCACCTGCTCAAAGTAGTAGCCATTCTGGATATTGTCTCGCAAGGCGGCAGTGAACCCGGAAGCATACGTCGAGTACGTATCGATTTGGAGGTGCACCACCACGTCCCATTCGTTGACCTGCTCGCAGGAGCGAATCGTCACCACCTCGGACGGGATTCCGATATTGTCGCAACTGTTCAATATCGCTGTCTGCATCGAGTTACAGCTTAGTCGAACGGAGCCGGGCGACGCCGAGCCGCAGTACAAGGAGGTCCGAAGGTAGACACGACGAGGATAGACGGGCACCGGCTCGTAGACAAGATTGTCGCTGTTTCCAAGCAACGCCTCCACGACACTCTCCTGCTGGGTGTACGTCAGCGAAGTGACGCTTTCAGAGTTCAGCGTCGTCAACGTCACTGTTGTTGATGTTTCGGCTTGCATAATGATCTCGCTCTGTAGCGTGTATGCTGCTTGATAGTTGCGCTGTTGCCAGTTTGCCGGGGCGTACCTGGGGTAGACTGCGCACGCTACGCTGAATGTATAGGTCGTAGAATAGCTGAGACGAAGAGCACCCTTACGTGAGCGCCGCCAACTTGTCAAACCGCGTAACCCGTTTTGAACGAGATCGGACGGCGGTGCACCCGCTCGCATCACTTGAGACGAAGAGCACGGGCTCAGAGAAACATCCTCCAACGTGAAATCGGGAATGTCCGCGAATGCGTTGTAGTATGCCGTTTTCGCCGCGGCTTGAATCGCCTCGCAGGAAATGTTTGCGTTTCCGGGAATCTGTATCGTGGGCTGGTCAGCAAATACAAGTTTTTGCTGAGGGATCGGGCTACCATTCGGAAGCGTGTTCAGTAGCGGGGTCGGTGTGGGAGGTGGCGACGGAGGTCCGACTCCTTGTGCGAGGCGCTGATGACGCAACGAGGTCGAGCTCAGCAGCTTGTTGAGTTCTTGCTGAGCTTGACTCGCATTAGATACGGGTACTGTTGCGAAAACAGTAAATTGCACAAGGCCACCGGCCCCAGAGCTCGTCTGACGGAACAGCGTCGTAAGGAATGGTAAATCGAACGACGCACCCGCTGGGAGAAAGCGCTGGATGCGTTCCTGTAGCAGTACTTCTCGATTCAGCGGCAAGCCTGAAGAGAAGCATCCATCGGACACGGTGACAGCACTCGGCGATATGCCCAAGGCGGATGCAACTGACGCAGACAGAGCAAGCGATGCGGACGAGCATGAAGCCTCAGTTCGAACAGAGAGGAAGGCGCGCCCAACAATGGACGTCGTAGCGGGTGTTGGTGATGTTGACGGTGCAGGCGTGCTTGTCGCGTTGCTCACAACAGGCGTCGATGATACAGAAGGCGACGGTGCAGGCGTGCTTGTCGCGTTGCTCACAACAGGCGTCGATGATACAGATGGCGACGGTGCAGGCGTGCTTGTCGTGTTGCTCACAACAGGCGTCGATGATACAGATGGTAGAGGCGTAGGCGTGCTTGTCGCATTGCTCACAACAGGCGTCGATGATACAGAAGGCGACGGTGCAGGCGTGCTTGTCGTGTTGCTCACAGCAGGCGTCGATGATACAGATGGTAGAGGCGTAGGCGTGCTTGTCGCGTTGCTCACAACAGGCGTCGATGATACAGATGGCGACGGTGCAGGCGTGCTTGTCGTGTTGCTCACAACAGGCGTCGATGATACAGAAGGCGACGGTGCAGGCGTGCTTGTCGCGTTGCTCACAACAGGCGTCGATGATACAGAAGGCGACGGTGCAGGCGTGCTTGTCGCGTTGCTCACAACAGGCGTCGATGATACAGAAGGCGACGGTGCAGGCGTGCTTGTCGCGTTGCTCACAACAGGCGTCGATGATACAGATGGTAGAGGCGTAGGCGTGGGCGTGGGCGTGGGCGTCGGTGTTGGCGTAGGTGTCGGTGTTGGCGTAGGTGTCGGTGTTGGCGTAGGCGTCGGTGTCGGCGTAGGTGTCGGCGTAGGTGTCGGCGTAGGTGTCGGCGTAGGTGTCGGCGTAGGTGTCGGCGTAGGTGTCGGCGTAGGTGTCGGTGTCGGCGTAGGTGTCGGTGTCGGCGTAGGTGTCGGTGTTGGCGTAGGAGTAGGCGTAGGTGTCGGTGTTGGCGTAGGAGTAGGCGTAGGCGTCGGTGTTGGCGTTGGCGTTGGCGTTGCCCGACGGGTAGACGTCATTGCCGGTGTTGAAGAGGCAAGCGAATCTACAAGGCTGTTTCCATGAATGTAACTATCTCGCGGCCGAGACGTCGGTGTCGCAGAGCCTGTCCCTGAACTCGTTAAACTTGGTGTGAAAATCGCACTCCCACTGTTTGAGCTAATTCCCGTTCCTGTGGATGATGCAGAAGCGGAACTAGTCGCGGTATTCACGCCGAAGCTGGGCGATGGTTGCAAAATAGGCTGAACAGTAGGTCCTGTTGTGTGCTGCGTATTCGGTGATGGTGATGGAGTTGGTGTAGGAGACGGTAACGGTGTCGGTGTAGGCGTCGGTGTAGGTGTAGGTGTAGGTGTAGGTGTAGGCGACCTCATAGGTGTTGGCGTCAGCGCTACCGTGGGTGTGCTCAGCGCCGGTGTCGAGACGGGACCGGGCGTCGAACTAGTTATGCTGGTTGGTGGCCCAGACACCGCTGAAACCCCAGAGTCCGTCGAGGTGCCACTCCCGCCTGTCGACGCAGCAGTGCTCGTCCCTGTAGATGTAGGTCCCGTGAAGCTGGTGCCACTACTGCTACTGTCAGTGAGGCCACCAGGCCCAGAGTTACGCCCGCCCAAAGCAGGACGCAGCATCTCGAACCAGTCGCGTTCCTCGAGTGACACATGGTCACTTTGCGAGGGTGCCTGTCGCGGACCCGCCGCGCTTGCGCAAGCCCGAATCGGTCCCCAAACTAGCGAAAGCAATAATAATAAAGATAGAACAAGAAAAATTAACGTTCCATATCTTGATCCTCTCATCGTGCGTAAAGTGCCTTCATTCATCGTTCTAATAAGAAGTCCTTACGGAATATGCCCAGGCTGGACGATACGCGTTGCGGGAGGAATGCCACCGGCGGATGCGCACGCCAAATTTGGCGCGAACACGTGTCGTGTACACGGATCGGGAGCTCACAGATAGACACGTGTTGCGATGACACGTGTCCTCGACGCATAACGCTGCGATTGCGTGCTCGCCACAGAGCATCGGTGATCTCGGGTCCATCGCCATTGCGCGGATATGTAGGGATACGGGATCGGTGAATCGTATCGGATTATTCTAAAAATTCAAACGCTAGAACAAGTCTGAAGGAGCGTGATCTCAGATACCGCGAGACGCATCTACGTTTCACCGAGTACACAACAAATCCGTTCAGGCGCATAAACTCGATCGATAAAACGACGTAGGTTTTCCGGACTCCGTGTCTTCCGAGGTGCCTTGTGGTGGCGCTGTCGGTGCGGCTGCGGACGCCGCGTGAAGGCACGACGACTTGGACGTAGACTTATGGGAGTCGGTGCAAGCAACGAGCGCTGTGAAGTATGGTCGCTCGCTCGAACCAGAGGACCTTCTGATCGATCTAGTGTGAGACGTTCCCCGTCCAGTCAGGGGACCTCCTCAAGCTCCGCGTTCAGTCTCAATGGTATCGCTGGGACACGCCATGGAGAGCTGCGATTCAGTCTTTTATCGCGCAGTGCACATTCATCGCTGACAATTGTGGTCTGAGGCTCTTTCGAGAAGAATCAGGACTCCATCCCAGGTCTTCATGGTCGGTCACCCCTTTAGGGGTCGACTTGTTACTCCGACGCACAAATCCGTAGCAAATCGAGAATCAACGGATCGTGAAGGTTTTCTCGAGTTGCAACGTGCCCTGGAAAATCTCATGCAACAGCTGCGAAAATCTGGATATAAAATTGCCCCAAGCAGCGACTTTGCGTGAACACAGACGCAGCTCATCCACCAGCGAGTTTCAGGGAAAACTCGCAATATGAGGCTACCGTCGCACCGAGCAGGTAACGAGCGCGGGCGCAAACGTACCTCGCTCGTCAGCTAGTTTCAGGGACGGGACCGCCCCAGCCGCCTCGGCTGCAGCGAAGTGCGACGAGAAGAGTCCCGCTTCCATTCTTTCAAAATCATGGTGCACCTCGGAGGGCTCCTGTTCGACCATTGTCCATCGTTCGCGTACAGCACCTGCTCGGGAGCAGCAACCACGTCCGATTGCACGTGTGCGACGAAGTCTTCAATCACCTCGTACTTTTGCATCGCACACGAATCCCCCGCGTTCCGTACGTACTCGGATGCACCGTATTTTGCAGCAGAGCACGCTGAAGCCAGAGGGCAAGCGCCCTGCCACGCCTGTAGGAAATCCTTCCGTCGAGGTTGCTGCGCACGCATAAAAGTCCACGATCATTTGAGTTTATTTGCCAATACTATACAACTCATACTCCCGTGCATCATACATCGACTGATGGATGCGAGAGCTTTCCAGAATGCAACTTTCCATGAATAAGCGACACACGCGCTGTACTGCCAAATACTTGAACAACATGTCTCAGCTTCCGTATTGACTGGGATCCACCTCGCCGTGCTTCAGAGCAGCGTAGGGCGCCGGGTCCCCGCGATGCGCTTTAATGAGGTTAGCGCGCAAGTGATTCACATCCCGGTGGTGCGCCTCATCTGCGCGCGTCGCCAGGACGACGTCCCGTAAACGCGCATTCGGGTCCAGCTGCCAATAGTCAATCGCAATGGGTGGCGCGGGAATATTCGGGATGCGGCCGTCGTCGATGTCCTTCAAATATTCCGTGTAGGATACAATCGCCTCCTCTTCGAGATAACCAACCAATCGATGTGCGGTCTTTGGTGATATTGTGTACAGCAATGTATAGAAACTGAAAAAGCCAGCCTGGGCGAGGATCACGAGCGCGCGCTCCAGCGCCCTTGGTTGTGCAATCGACATGTAAACCATGAGGTGCATACGCTCGTTTTCGGCCTCCTCGAGCAAGACTCGAATCCAGCCGCCAGACTGACGGAAACGACGCAGGCACTGCAGATGGAGCATCATGCCACCTACCATACCAGGAACGGCTGCAACGGTCTCGAGCACAACTGCACGGTGGCCATAACGTCTTTGGAAGAAGGCATCGGCAAAAAAGCGCAGAAACTTCACCGTATAGTATGCAAAGCGGTCACTAAATCCTGTTGGTTGCACGTGTCGCTTCAGATCGACGTTCAAGTTTGGTTTATAGGTGTGCTCGGGCAGGAAGCTGTGCCACTTCCACGGGTAGTTCGGGTCGCTCTTGGGCGGTGCGTCTCTAACTGGCTGGTATGGTGTCTCGTCCGGCCTTCCAGTCGCGTCGGTTATTGTTGTTGTTGAAGACGTATCTGGCTGTGGCTGTGTACTAAGCGCCCGCGCACCCGTGCGCCAAAGAGGGGCGGCGGCAAGCCCAACTGGTGGCAAACGAGGTTCCGACTCCCGCACACCTCTCGCGGTATAGGTTGCGCTCCAGGTAGTTAAAGACTTGGAACTCAGGCAACCAGCTAGTGACCAGTCTCGACAAGGCAAGTGCGGAGCATTTCCCGGAACGTTGCGCCACAGCCCCTGCTGACGCGCTAGCAAGTCGCCCACTCCGGTGGCGCGCACAGCCCGTCCAACTACTCTACAGTAAATACTCGTGACTTTCGGCACAATCCCTGCACAGACCATACACTCAAGGTTGCAAGCACGAAAAGCTGGGGAAGTACTTTTTCGAAAACCGATCGCTTGACACCTGCGTTTGTGATCCGAGACTCAGCGGATAGTTGGTAATCCAGAATGAGGAACGTCTGCGCCACGCGCGAAGTGGCGCTCGCGCGCATCATGGCAGCCGGTGCGCCCGCTTCTAGAGCTGCACTACGCCCGCAACGCTGCGCACTGAATGAGCGTCGTCGCAGCTTGCGGCAGCGCTCAGCGGGATGCGTTTGCAGGCGCGCGCTGGCGCTCGTTGCGATCTGTGCACCGAGATGCCTCGCCCAGCGCCAAGCCGCTCAGAACAGGAAAGAGAGCAGGCAATCCATCGATGAAGGGGTACCTACCCGTTGTGTCCAGTGTTCGGGTACGGATCGGTGTCGACCGTTACGGCTCGCGCGAGAATATAGAGCGGGCGAGGTGGATGCATTGCACCTGTTTGCTGCGGATGCGCGAATATTATCAGTCCGTATGGACTTGGCCGCCGCTAGACTCCAGACGCTTCCACGCTCCAGGAAGACGAGAACAGTTTTTCCGTGCGGAAACGAACTTTGATCAGTCGAGGAACCCTGCGGGTGCCGAGGCTTTGGTGGGCGCTTCCTTCGGCACCGAATGCTCCTTCGTGGATATCTCGCGGAGACGAAGCGGCTTCTCGCCCGTAAGCAGCACGCTGCAGCGAGCGGCCTCGGCCATGCGCGAGTTGATAGCGTCGCGCAAATTCCGGTGACTGTTTTGATCATAATTTACAAGAAACCTCCCATAGCGTCGATCTCCAGCACGTTACCGCGGTGGAATCTGGCAGCTCCGAGGGACGCGCCTCGGATAGCTGAGGAGCTAATGCGCTTCCGTCGGCGGGTGACGCAGCTCCAGCTCAACCTCTGTGCCGTTCTCGCTGCCGGATGCGAAGAGAACTCCTGGAGGCCACCGCTGGTCAGCCACTAGTTTCTAAAGACTCATCAAATCGAGCCTCATGTTCGTACCCGTGGTTTTTGAGAAAAAGAAAAGTAGGATTCATGCCGGCCGCGTTCATCGTAGGCAACTGCTCACGAACCTGGCACTCGGTGCTCGCTGCGCGACGCACCTCTACGATGAACTCTTTTCTAGGTAAAAGCAGCCCAGTGCTGCGACGCAGCATGCGCTTCAGGCTGGCCCTTGGGGCAGGCGGCGGTCGGAGCCTGTGCGTGAGGTCGAACTGCGAGGGACGAGCTCGACCCGGCGAACCCGAGCCGCCAGACTACGGCAAACAGTCCAAGGGGCCTGGTGGAAGCAATATCCCAGGAAGCGGCAGACCTGAGGAGCTCCCCGAAGAGGATCGGCCGCCGAGCTTTGAAGAGCAGTCTCCATATGAGTTGACTCTGTCGCAGCAGCTGCTTCTTCAGCAATACATCGCGGAAATTGAGCAAACTAGCGCAGAGACCTGCCGTGAAATGTGCGCGGCCATCATGTCGCAGATGATGATGAAAGAGAATTTGATTAAGGAGCTCTTGGGGCGTGACGACATCCAGTTTCCGCCGATGCCCCAAATTCCGGGCTCTGATGATCCACCGCTCGATAGCGGGCCGAGGCGGTAACATCTATGCTTGGAACTGTCGTTCGCGTTATTCGGGCCTTAATCCAGCATGCGCAAGGATAGCATCACCAGGGAACCGGGGTTTGCTACCTCGTCAGTACCTGCTCGAACCGAAACGCTTCGTCGTATGTGTAGAAGTGGCATGGATTTTTCGTGCATACGGCTCGACCGCTGTAGATGCGATCCTATTCCTGGTGCCCGCAGTTTCGCACAGGTCTACGAGACGGAAAGCACCATAAAACATTTCGAGTTTTGAGGTGTCACCGCACGCAGCGATCACGCACCGGGCACGCGGTATTTTGGAAAGCACAACAACGCTGCGCGTTGTTGGTTTCACTGGAAAACTTGAACTGCACGAGGGTGCACATGAACGGTCAAGTAGCGTGGCATGGATGCAGGCGCTAGCAGGCCATTCCGCCTTGAGAAAGGTATGCGGGAGGAATCATTGCATAGGTTCGAGCTCATTGCAAGCTTCACGTGAAGCGCACATTCCAGCAGTTTTGCGCTGAATCACGCCAGTATCGCACGATATCCCAGCCGCTGCTTCGTACCGCACACAGGCCTCTGTGATGAAGCGTTGCAACTTTTTGATGAAAAAGCGATTCTGTCTCTGGGGTAGGTTTTGTCGGAATATATACAGGCGTCCACCGCGTGGGAACTGTAGATTTTTGCGCTGCGATGGCCCCGGGTGCGCGTGCATCTGAGAATTCCTGCGGAAAAATTGCGGGACACTGCAAAGCTCCGCTGCAGAAAGCTCCACGCTTTTCGTTTCTTGCAACTCGTCCAGAAAAGGGATGCCGCTGAGCACGTAGCCAAGCTGGACGACAATACATGGATATACTGCAGAATGTTTCCGTGCTCTCCACCGCGTCCGGAAAGATGCTTCAGAGCCGGGCGCATACGGAAACGTGTGCTCATTCTTTACCAGTAGAAGAGCAGAATCGATTAGGTTTCTGTGAATTACCAGGAATGGACATCCCCTGGTGGAAAGACTTTATTGCAACGCCCGCAATGAGTAGCAAAGACATTGGTTTTCGAAATCGTATCAACCCTGCCGTGCTGTTCCATACCAGGTCATAGAGAACGCTGCAACGCAAATCGAACATCTCATTCGCGACCTGAATCGTAGCCAAGCGGAAACCGCAACACCCGTCGATATTGATTGAAAAAAGGTGGGGCCGCGCATTTCAGGGAGAGAACCTCGGGGCCCGCTTCAAGCATTCACTCGCGCTAAACCCAATGTATGCTCTCAGCTGGTGCCCTGGTTCGACCATCTTGAAGGCCAGCGAACGCAATCATACTTTGCCTCGTGATTGCCCGATGACAAGGCATCTCTGACGGCCTAAAAAAGGCAGTACGGCAGTGGCAGTTTCAGATGTAGACCGCCGATTTCTTCCAGAGTCAGCTCCAGGCTGAGCTCGTCTTTCACCGGTGCCCAGATGCACCAGAAATACGTGTCAGCTCCGTTATGTGCATTGCCACGAGTAGTTATCAGTTTATTGGTAAACTCGCGCTCAGGAAGGCACGCTCCGAATACGACACAAATGAATAACGTGCCTGCTCGTACGGGGCTCTGTACCCGTTTCAGATTAACCTGGAACACTGAAGTGCTCGCGCGTGCTCAGTCTTGCGATATTCTCCGTCTTTTTTTTCATATGTACACCCTCGACATTCGCATTCCAGAAATAAACGATTATGATTCGTAAATAGTTTCGGGGTTGTCCGTCGGTGTTTCGGAGTCGCCCCTTCCACTCGCTCTAAAGCTAGAATTCAATGACATTGCAGGAATCAAGATGATTCGAAACGCTGGCAAACGAGGCTTTGTGAGCTAACGCGAAACACCCTCAAATTCATAACCATATGCATGCACGCTTCTCTTTTCCCCTCGGGTTGCATGCTGAAATCAGGCATTCTTCACGTTTTCGATCTCCCTGGTTCAAGGCAACTCGAGGTGCAGCAATTTGCACCAATGGATTGACGACGATCAAAACTCGACCTCGCTGCTCGACAACTTGTTCATGTGCGCATGCGGAAAGTGCGCTGAAGTTGTCACTTCAAATAATCGATTCCGTTCGAAGGAGAGATGCTCACCCCTTCGTAGCCATCGACGAAGCGGCATTCGAATGCAGCATAATACCTCTGATAGGATACGCTTCTAGAGGCTTCCGTCTCTTCTGTTTGGATACAGGGCTCTTGGACTCGAACCTGAGTCACTGCAGTGATCGCTTACAGTGGAGACTGCGTCACCGCCGTGCACGGACACAGCGTAGACGATACAAAGTTTCTCGACTTGTCCTCCAGCTTGGATTCTCCTGTCGGGGCTCGCTTCATCATGGGCGAGGTTACGAGGCACAAATCTCCTACTGAATGCGACCGTATGCGCATGCGCGCGCTGTGGATAAAGTACTTGCAGAGGGTATCGTCGCAAAGAAGCCCAGGATATTCGCGTACGGAACAGGACATAGAAAGGGAGGGAGGCACTGAGGTTCGCCTTCTCTATATGTGAAGGGCATGTAGCGAGCGATGAAGCAAGCTTCTGACGCCTCAAGGCGGTGCTTGGAGGAGGCGCTGTCGTGGACGTACGGTAATACCCGAACACAGCCAAGTGTTACCGCTGCGAACGGTGCACCGCGGCTGTTTACACAGAAGATTTAAATGGAAAGAGAAGCGTCCACCCCAGCAATTGTTTGTGCACAAACTGCATTGCCAGCAGCCAAACTCAGTGATACCTGGACAAGAACAACGTCATCAACATCCTGCGACGGCTTACAGCAGAGCTGGAGAGAATGCAGATGCCGGCGTTCGTACAGTCAGAGATTCCGAGTTCAAAGGAAAGCGATCACAGAAACAAGAACACGTGGCTGGTGCTGATGTCAGTAGAGAGTGACCCAAGCCTTCGATGGTCCACCCAAGGCATCCATTTTTTCCGTGTCGCTGTATTCCAGTCTAGGCATAGGCCAGTTGCGCGTACTCTTGTTGCTGAACCATACACGTACATCGTTGTCCGCTACGCAGACAGCGCGTGCGTGCGTGCGTGCGTGCATGCGTGCGTGCGTGCCATGCCGTCCGCGATGCGGAGGCGCATCGCAGCGTGAACTGCTGGACGCGTGCGGCGATCGGAGGCGCTTCCGCCTTCCGCATCCGCACCACTCGCTGCGCCAGTGCTCTGCGAAGAAGGTTCGTGTTCACCGGCTCACAGCGTGAACGCGTGATCATCGTTTCCAGTCATCATACGTGCAAAGCGTTCGTTCCAGAAAGCTTTAGAAAACGTCGAAAGCAACAGTAAACCAGACGCACAGTAATTGGGTGCGAAAACGTATGCCCTACTTCGGAAAGCGGTTTCAAAAGAGTTACGTGCACGGAGGCACCGTTGTTTGAGCACTTGTTCTAGACAGAGCGGTTGCACAATTTTTGCAGCCAGTTATCTAGATAGAACGTAGGCTATTGCGAAAAAGATGCGGCGGGCGAACTCTTGTTCAGTTCTGACAGAGAAAGACGAACCGAGCCACTGGAAAGCGCCGGCTCTGTCCCCGCTTCAGCATATGCCCCTCGGAGTGGCGTTCTGCGAGCGCCAGACGGGCGTTCTTCGGAGTCAGGATAGTGCAACGGTTCGGGCGTTATTAGCCGACACTGTCCTTGGAACAAAGGTGACGAGCCAGCCAAAGTTTATGATGCCTGGCATGGCATCGGCGGATCCCAGCGCTGGGTCCAAAAAGCTCGCGCAGCTGGGTGATGAGGGTTTTGCGCGCTCCAGAAGCGCTTCGAGTGAGGAGCTTTCAAGAAGTGATAGCGGCGAGGAGAATGAGTTGGCGGTTCCAAACATGGATGATAACTGTTCCACCAGTGCCGTGGTACGGCGCGCTCGCGAGTTCGCACAGAAAAAGCATCTGACACTCGATGAAATCTACCGTATCATCGAGCTTTTGTTCCGACACGCAGGTCTTGGCGATTCGAGTTCACCGGATGAGGTCGTGGAAGCACTCGGAGAGGATGGTCTCGAGCTTTTGCTTCGCTTTTATACCAGTGCGACGGAATACTACCTTAAGCAGCGTATTGAATCGGGACTGGGACGCTCGGAGCGCCTGAAAAGGGCGATGAGAGAATGGGAGGTTCATCTGCATGAAGAGGACAGCACAGAGAACGTTTCTGATAAGGAAATCGGGCAGACAGTAGGGAAACATGGAATCGATATCCCCCAGGAAAGAGCCTTTACCGAGCAGTCAGAAAAGATTCCCTCTCTGGAAGGGCTTCATCAGGAAGTCACAGAGCCGCATGCGAAACGACAGCGCACTGAGTCTGAAGGCATGTCGGCGTGCAGCTCGGGAGAGTCCTCCGAGGAACTTGATCCTCCAATGACCCTGAAGTACAAAGCCGACACCGAGATCGCCGTCTCGCGCATTTTCGCCTTGGGTTCGGTGGTGCCACCTCGAAATCCGCTCATCAAGCCAGACGATCCGTATGATGGACCTCCTGTGGTGACCATGACTGGATTCGGAGAACTTGGTCGCTGGGGAAACCAAATTCTGCAGTACGCCTTCCTGCGCATTTACGCGAGCAAATGCAACGCGGGTATTCAAGTCCCGGACTGGGTGGGTAAGGCCATTTTCGGTCTCAAGGATCAACCAGTCGAGCGTGCATTTCCCGCTGTGGTTGAATATGCTGAAGCAAAGGCCAACTCTACCTTTACCTCGCAATTTCTGGACTACATTCGAGCATCGAACGCCGGCGCACCAGTCCCCGAGGTGAAAGAGTCAGACCTGGCGCCCAGCGTGGAGCCGCGTTTCGTGAATCGCGACTTTTGGGGCTGGTTCCAGTGGCACACGAGTGTCTATCGTCCGTACCGTGAGCTGCTTCGCCAGACTTTCACAGTGGTTCCGGAACTTGCCGCACATCTAGACAATGTGATTGCACGCACGTTACGTAAGACTGGCAGACGCGGCCCTGTGACGCTTGTAGGCCTACATCTTCGCCTCGGAGACTACAAGAACATTGCCGCTTCATCCTTCGGATACTGCGCCCCGACCGCGTGGTACCTCGAGTGGCTTGAGCAAATATGGCCGACGCTCTCAAATCCGGTGCTTTTCGTAGCCTCCGACGATATCGATGCAGTGCTTCGGGATTTCCGCGAGTTCAACCCGGTCACCTGCGATATGCTCGGTATCGAAATGCCACCCGCCTGGCAGGGTCTAGGTGCTGGTTTTTTCCCCGACTGGTATGTTTTGACCCAGTGCGACGTGTTGGCGATCAGCAACTCCACCTTCAGCTTCACTGCTTGTATGTTCAACCAACGAGACGGAAGCGCAGTCGGCGGGAGGCCTCGCTTCTATCGCGCGCACTACAGCCAGCGCATGATCCCCTTCGACCCGTGGGACGCTGAACCCATCCTCCATCGCCCGGGCGGGACCTGGGACACCTTACAGCTTCTGTACCAGACACAAGGAACACGAGGGCTAGTTCGCAACGTCCTCTACGAACTACCGTACTACCGGCTGCGGGACGTGATCATAAGGACAGTACTGCGAGCGCGAGCTCTCCGGAAGCGAGTGACGGCAAGTGCCTGAACGGCGACACGTGCAGCGAAACATGAGTATCGTGCTGGCGTTGTGCTGGCGCAATTGGAACGCAAGAATCGACGATTTGAAAGCCGGTATGTGTACTTAAACGTTATTGTGCATTATGTTTCCTAGTTCGAACCAGACGCGTCTCATGAGTATCAGGCGCTTTTTCATAAACTGGGTCCCGCTGTGCGGTTTTCTTATCACCTGAAGCTCAGCGGAATTCTGCATGGCATCAGTCTCGCTTGCCGCAGCAGCAGGCTATGCTCTACTCGCCGCACCTGTGCTTCGTTGCGCATCCCCGGTGACCATGTTCCCCGAAACAGCACCCAAAGTAGTATCGGGTGGCGAAAGCCACCGGAGTACCGAGAAGTCGATCGACGGAGCTGCGGGTATTTGTACAGCAGCGATCAACGATCTCTTGCACATGCCTTACAGAATGAGATCATGGAATGTGAAGCGGTCCTTTCGCGTCAACGCTTTTCATCTGCATTCAGACCAACGACAAACAAAAATAGAACGATTCCGGTTAGCGTACTCGGGCATAGACTCTAAAATTGGGTCGCTTCCACGGTCATCAACACCAGCCTCTGCGAGCTTTTTCTAAGACGACTACGTATGCCCCTCCCTGATCTCTGTCTTTACGAAAGCTGGTTTCTCCCGTCGCTCCAGCTTCGTTGTCCGCAGTCGAAGGATGTTCATCACAACGTTAAAGCCCCGATCTCGTCGCCTTCGGCTGTTATCGACGCATTTTGACCCGTAGGGAAAAGTTGCGAGCCACCTTCGGCTTGCCGTTCTCCTTTTCTTCGCATACAGCATGGGAGCGCCATTCGTATCGTTGACACCTGGTTATGTTCAGGTATTCCCATATTAAAGTCCACCAAAACGCCTCCTAGGAGCGCCGCTCTGTGACAAGTGAAAGCTCGCTTCGTCGCTCGGTACATGCTCTTCATGGGTACAGAAGGCTGGCCTCGATGCGCGCCTCGGTAACCGCGCCTGATGCCGTTCCTTGCGATCACATACTTCTTCAAGCCGATGCATTCGGCGACTGCTCTCTTCGCCGGGTGCGCATGTTCCCGTTATTGCAGGTGCTAAAGCATGTGTGGATCGCGATGTTGTTCATGATGAAACAAATGCTGGAATGAAAATCCAGTCTGGAGAGCACGTCGAGAAATCGCAATTCGCCAAGGCTCCGTTCACGCAAACCGGTAACGCAGGCTCCGTTGGAGGCGATCGCTGCGATCGCTCAAGCCCGAGTCGAAGACCCTTTCCACTCGTACAGAACAGAAGAGAGTGGAGCCTATGGGAACCTATCGTCTGAAAGGTACCCTGTTGCTTTGGAATACAGTTCCGTCGATGGCCACAAATAGAAAATCTTTTGTCCTTCGAACGGACCTGATTATTTTTATTAGACAATTGCGGTGAAATTTTGGCATGCACATAGGTAAAAGTCATCGAGGGATAGAGTCGAATGATCTATTTCGCCGTCACTCCAGGAGCGCGAACTGATCCACCCACAAGTTGTCGCCAAACTGAAAGATCGAAGACTTGAAGCATTCGTAATTTGAGCACGATGCAATTCAGCGAAGGGGAATAGCGGAGGATCGTATATTTGAACTGGATAATGATATCGGTTATTTTACCAAACCTTTTTCGGGGATGTCGCAAGTCATCTTGATTCCGATCTCGCAAAAGAATCGCAGCGACTTAGAGTCGCAGGAGCCACTCCGAAAAGACGACCGAGAATCCTAAGGGAATGTACAGACCCGTTAGCCCTTATTGCTGCACTTGGAATGTCGAAGCTGTCCATGCGAAAAATGCTCGGAAAAATCTCAAGGCAGGAACCGAGCAAGCAATTCGGTGTTCAATTTTTATCTGACACTAGTTGAGCAGCAACCGCCAGTCTGCACCAGGCATGATTTCATTCTGCGCTGCTTGCCAGAACACTGAAAACCTGTTCGGCGCGTGTGTACCAAACGCAACACACGTTCCACTGGGCAGCAGTTGGCGGGTTATCGACGCCCTTGCTTGTGAGGCACTGGACGACACCTTTGTGAGGCACTGGACGCCTCGAGCGCCAACACCAGAACTGGACGCGGGCGTTGCACTTGTAAGTACCTGTACGCAGGTGCTTTCTTCGAGCTGGGCTCGAGCGCTGCGCACGCCTTCGTAACGTGCACTGAGACCGAACACGAGGAAAATGGCTGCGACATTCGGTACAGGAACACCATTTGGATCGGGATCGTCTACGGCTTTCGGAAACAGCAGCAACTTCGGAACTGCTGCCTCTGGGGGCGCTCTGAACACCGCGACACTCAACCCGAACAACGACTTTATGGTAAGTGATCCGCCAAATGATACCATTTCATCGGTGCACTTTTCACCGGCAGCGCTACTGCCCCGTAACTTTATCATCGCAACAACCTGGGACAATGAGGTACGCCTCTGGGAAGTTCATTCCAATGGCAGTACCCAAGGTCTGGGTATGATACGCCACGAGGCTCCGGTGTTGGCGTCCGCCTGGAAGAGTGACGGCACCAGAATCTTCTCAGCCGGTTGTGATCGCATATGCAAGATGTGGGACCCAGCTACTAATGCAGTCGACACTGTCGCCTACCATGACGGACCTATCCGTCACTGTGCGTTCGTCGGCGAGACCAGCGGCGTTGCCGGCACTCCGTTTCTGATGACAGCGGGCTGGGATCGAACCCTCAAGTACTGGGATGTGCGCGCTCCGCCCAATCCGGCACAAGGTGGTGGCGGTGCCATGGGAACCGTGTCGCTCCCGGAGCGCTGCTACGCAATGGATGTGAATGGGTCGCTCGTCGTGGTCGGAACTGCGGATCGTGAGGTGCTCTGGTTCGATCTCCGACAGCCGCTGCAGCCGGCAGGTCGAAAGACATCGCCACTGCGTTACCAGACGCGTTGCATCTCGATCTTTGCGGATCGTACTTGCTACGCGATCTCGTCCGTAGAAGGGCGGTGCGGAATCGAGTACCTGCAGGATACTTCGAAATCCTTCGCCTTCAAGTGCCATCGCATTGATCAGGGTGCAGGCGGTCAGGAGCGGATCACTCCAGTCAACTGTGTGACGACGTACCCGTCGACCGCACCAGAGCTGGTGGACGTGCTTGCAACCGCCGGCGGCGACGGTCGGGTGAATATCTGGAATAAAGCCGCGAAAGTGAAGACCAAGGGCCTCAAAGAGGTTCCTTTGCCGATCGTTGCCCTTGAGTTTAATGCGAATGGTGCTATCTTGGCCTACGCTATGGGCTATGACTGGAGTCAGGGAGCCAGCGGATACGCACGATTTCAGTCGGTGCCTCCCGAGCAGCGCAACCTTATTTTTCTGCACGCCGTTCAGGACGACGAGATTCGTAGCAAGAGCGCTGGGGCTCGACCGCCGGTTCGCAAGGGCCTCTTCTAAGGATCGCACAGGCCAACCGCTATCCTAGGATCGCTTTCGTCGAGGTGCACAGCATCGCGGATCATTCGAGTGGCTGCAGCGTCGTTCGTGGAGCGGCAGCAGGCGGCGCATGCGCGCAGCGAGGCGTTCCACTCACAAAGTGGTGCGTTCTGGAATACCTATACCAGCATGAACGTTATGATTTTGTTTTGGTTTTCTCGTAGGCATTCAGAAATAGGAATGGAGCGCGTGGCTTCGAGAAAGATCGCGGTAAAGCTTCATGCTGTGACTGCTAGCTTGCGAATAACGGCATGAATTCTGCAAGTTCGTCATTCTTTAGTCAGTGGATGGATGCGCCATCGCTTCACTAGTCCGTATTTCGAACATTGTGCACCAAAAGCAGAAGTTCTCAAAGCATACTTACACGACTACCTCCTCGCGAATCCATTCGACTCTGTCCGTCTTATCCGGAATACTACAAATGAAGTCGTAGGATTTGAAGTTTTCGTATCGTTCAGACAAACGGTGATGACGAGATGCAGATGGACAATGTGAAAGACGCCATCACCAAGATTGAAGCACCCAGAATTGGATGCCATGAACAGCAGCCGAACGCTACGCTCTGCAGCGTACTCAATGACCGCTTTTGCGTGATGAAAAGCGATGTTGTCTAAGGGCCGGAAAAGAGATTTTGGGAAGCAGCAGCCGCTGCATGCCTCATCGAAGAATGAGGTGATGAGTGATTCCCTCCGTTCGGCGCGTTCTAGGCGGCGAAACGATCGCGTCGCAACCAGTGCTGACGTTGGCGCCACTCCCGCTGGCCTCCTCTAAAAGAGCAGCGTTCAGCAGCTCTCTGAGTAGCGAATAATCCTGTACCATTTCTTCCAAATGAAGTCTTATCGAGTGAGGCGAGCACCCGTTTTTCCTGGAGTAAGCGTCCGCGTTACATGACGAAACCGACAGTATGTTGTTCAACGCATGAGGGTCCCCCGTAGACGCGTGCTGCTTCATTCGTTCATCCGTGTTACTTGACCACCGTTCGGCTCGAGGGTACGGGAACTTCATATCACGAGGATTGTGCAGAAGTTTTTATTAGAAAACGTGTGCGTTGGAATCAAATTGACATCGTGACAGTCTTTTGTATATAGTTTGATAAATACTGATTTTGGGGTGCACGAGGTTCACGATGAGGACTAGAAGAGCGGCGATTCATCCAGCCGCTGGCCCAAGGAATCGCTTGGATTCGTAAGGCGGCTTTTGCGTAAGCTAGCGGTGACAGCATATAAATGGTCTTCCCGGGCAATGCTCTCGTCCACGAACAAGACTCGTTGTCGAATACCTGCAAGAAAAATAAACAAAAACAAAAAGAGAGTGCTTCTGCAAGTGTTCCAGAAGTAACTGCTTCGAGTTATACGAGCTTGGCTGAGCCCTGAGCAGGGCCAACAGCAGCGCTGTCGTGCGCTAGCGGCGGCACTTTTCGGCGCAGAAGTGCCGGCAGCCGTCGAGCCTGCGCTGCTGGCCGCTAAAGGAGAGTGTTATGGAGCGGACAGGTTGCCAAAGGGTCCGTGCGAGCCGCGACGCACCTGCCTTCGCACACTCCTTCTCCCGGGTGTTCCAGGTGCGGACGAAAAAAAGTCAGATCGGTAGTTTTGCAGCTTCGGAGGTATGCATGTTGAGTGTGGGTGGCAACAAGAAAGCCCTGTCCGCGATTCGAACGAGATCCCTCGGAGGGTTCGGCTGTTCCGAGTCGGGACCTTCTGTTTACAAGACAGATGCTCTAACCGCTGAGCTAACAGGGCGGTAGTGAAATCGTTCGCAATTCCGCATATAAAGACCAAAATCCCGGTCGATGAGCAGATTTCAACTCAAATGCGTTCCGCATCTCGGTGCGTGTCATTGAACGCTTTTCCGTAGTGTATAGCAGGAGCTGGAAATCACGATACAATATACCCCATATTTCGTGGACGAACGGCCTTTAGGATGTATTCTTTACCGAGGAGTGCAAGGAGGATAGCATGCGTCCTTCAGGTCAGTTATTGCCCAGTACTCAGATGGTGAAGAACCCTGAAAGAAAGCAGGATACGCGCTCCGCGCCAAAAACCGATATGCTCACAGCGTGCTTGTGGTAAATAGTAGGAAACGAGTCGTTGATCACTGTGTAAGGTAAGCAAAGGCGGCGATAGCGGCCGCCACGTGCGTCTGTGTCGCTCAACAGCTTATTCGTGTGGTCCTGAAAACACTGGTATACAGGCGCAAAAACGTTGTAGTTTACGAACGGTCATCTTCCATCGAAATCGCACCTACAACGTTCCGAGAACGTTGCGATGAGTATGGAGCGCAGGGGCGTCGATATGTTTTTTTTCAGTCGATGAGGCCTTCTTCGGATGAATCGGTCGGGGTGTATATGGGTATTCGCGGGGTAGGCAGCCCGTTCTACGAAAGATCGAACCCGAGGTGAACGACGACATCATCATCATTATCTGCTCCAGCTGCAGTGGGTTCATTTGACGGCCTCAGTTTCGCTCGTCGAGAAGGCTGATACCACAGCATCGATCACTTTGTCGAATCATTAAAGACTTTTCCCTGGAGTCTCGCGACGTTCCTCAATTGGTAAACGTGGTATTTCATCATTCCCGTTGCGTTCGAGCTTTTGCCGATTCTATCGCAGTAGAGCTGTTTATCATTCCTGCATGTTTTACTTGGTTCAAGCCCATTAAAAAGAATGTTTTCTATTGTGGAACTTGATGCTCGCTTCACCGGGCGAATTTGTCTGTTTGATAGAACGTTTACGCTGTACTTGGGATCTAGATTGCGCGATGGATATACGCTTTCGGGAAAGCGTCCATAACGCTCCACCTACCTCCAAGTTCCATTACTCATACCTCTTCTTGGATACACTGGTCACTTCGCACGTTCTTTCGCACTCCGAGTGCCCGCCCTGATCGTCCGCGATAGCGCTTATACCGCTGGTGCGGGTACAGCACAGAGTCAGAACGGCTTTGCCATACCACTGAGGATATCGGACCGAGGAATGCTTCACCTGACACGGAGTCGGGGCTCATAATCAATCTAGGAACGAGCAAGTTGTGCTGATAGCCTTACTGCTCGCAACAGCGCGATGCGATGTTACAGGAGCCCACTGTAACCAGGATGACCTCAGGACGCATTATACGCGCTCCGGGTCTAAGGATAAACTGCGTTTCGGACGAGTTTCTGCTCAGATCTCGCCACAGCACCCGCCAATCTGGAGAGCATAAAGCACGAACCTTGCAGACTCGTCCACATCGCGGGACCTTACGCCTAGAAGGTGAACTTTCGACCGTTCGGAAAGCTTTCCCCCTTCAATGCTTACCGTTCGAGGGGGAAAGAAATTGTTATCTCGTTGCTAGTTCGCGGCTCGTTTCTGTACTCTTTTTTCTGCGTTACGCTCGATCACAAAGATCGCGATGCGTACGAATTCGCGCGTGAGTGTCGAGCCTCCACGCACATGGCGGGTCAGCGTTTCAGTTTGCAGCTTCTTGTTCATAGTGCACATATCGGTGTGGAGGTTGGAGCAAAGTGTTTCTTGTTTTCGCTGGATGGCGAAAACACAAGCGCGGCAAGGGCAGCGGAACGCGGGGACCGACACAGCGCAGGGTCTTGGTCAAACTGTCGCTCCAGCGGCGGAGCCCGAACCGAACGATGCTCGAGAAGCACCAGCTCCGCAGCTGGAGACTTCTTTATATGATAACGACTGGACCCATCGAACACATGCACTCGATGTGTTACGGTGGCTTGGATTTGGTGACTCTGTTGAGGCGCGCAGGCTCCGACGGTCGTTTGTTGCGCGGAAGCGTTCGCACTCGCCGGGTCAGCAGCGAGCCGGCGCACCGCCTTCGGGCCAGAATCGTTTTGACGGTCACCGTCGGAGTGCCGAGGACTCTACCTTTGCAGATCTTGAGAACGCTCGCGACGCTGGCGCCGAAAGTTCGCCGCACTGTGTGCGATGTGGCACGGAGTATCACGGTGAGGTGATCGTGCGCGACGTTACGTTCTGCGTGCCGAAGCGAGGCACGGGCTTCCTTCATCTTGGCTTCTGTGGCGCTGAGGTGGCGCCTTTGCTCGAGCACGTCTACGCGTACTTTCCACCGGGCAAGCTGTCCGGCATTATGGGCCCTTCGGGTTCAGGGAAAACTACGCTCCTAAATCAGATCGGGGGACGCATCCGTACCCTGGGAGCGACCGTCGCCGGGGAGATTCTCATTGACGCACATCAAAGGCCGAAAAAGGCAAAACGCTTCGTCGGCTACTGTGAACAGAACGACGTCCTGCCCGGTGACTTAACCGTCCGAGAGGCGCTCTGGTACGCTGCCCAGTTGAAACTACCGGAGCACTTATCGGACGAGGAGCGTTGGCGACGCGTAGAAGAGGTAATTGAAATTCTGAGTCTCGAGAAAATAGCGGATCAGCGCATCGGCGCTGATAACGATCGACAAATCAGTGGCGGTCAGGCGAAGCGGGTCAGCATCGCACTGGAAGTCATTGGCGATCCCCCAATATTCCTTGCTGACGAGCCAACGAGTGGGCAGGATACGCGCACCGCTTACTCTGTATGCCAAGCTTTACAGAATGTGGCACACATCGGAGGCCAAACGGTCATTGCGACGATTCACCAGCCCTCGGTGGATGCCTGGGCCCTCTTCGATAATTTGGTGATCCTGGCGGCAGGTCGGGTGCTGTACAGTGGACGCGCGCAGCGTTTCCGCGACTACCTTATGCGAATAGAATTCCCGATTCCGGACAACCTCCATATAGCTCTACCTGACTACTTTATTGCCGTTGGTGTCAAGGCCGAAAAGAAGGAGCATCGCCTGAAAGGCAAAGGAGCAAGGAACTTTGATGACGAACAGGAGGACGAGGATCAGGACTTCGAAGGTGATGGTAACGACAACACCGTACAAGGCAATTTTGCTGAAATGAACATAACGGCCCACAAAAGATCCACTCGCGGTCAGCGTCGTGCGAAAACCTGGATATCGGGGCTCACGCTTCCCTTTGCTGCACAGGAGTCAAGTCTGCGGTCCAGACGAATGACACGTGAGCGCAGTTGTACAGCATCAAACATGGACAACATTGCCGAGGTAGCTCGCCGCACCTTCGAGCAGCGTCAATTGTCCCATTATTCCGCAGTGAACGCTAGTCTGCCAGAGGAACACGAGCGAGCCATCAGGCAACGCACTGATGGCGACGACGCCCTCGTCGAGTCGATACTCGAGCGGCAGCGCTCTCAGTCACCAATGATGACATTTCGCCGCACCCCACAGGAATGGCGTGAGATCTGGGAGCAGACTACCGAATACAAACGCCTTCGCTATGTTGCTGAGAGCCGCGCGAAATGCCTCGGGGAGTGCGGACTGCCGTACGCGTTCGGTGAACCGACGTACATCACGAGCTGGTGGCGACAATTCCGGACGCTAACGGTACGCGCGTTTCAAGGCGAGGCGACGTCGCCACGTTTTCTCGCTTATCGCCTCATCCTGGTGATCCTCGTGAATCCCGCAGGTCTGGCTACGATTTTTTGGCCTGCTCTGCGGCATCATTCGTCGTTGGCTCAGAACACTGCAGCAGCATCCTTTGTCGTGGCTGTCGCCAGTTGCATGGCGATTATGCGCACCTCCGTCGCGTTTTTGGAAGGGCGTGCGCTCATGTATCGTGAACGCTCTAGCGGTGCGTATCGCTCCTCCGCGCATTACCTGTCGACAATCGCCATGGAGGCACCGTTCAACGTATTAACCGCGATTGTTTTCTCCATTCTGGACTACTGGGCATTTGGTTACCGCAAGAACGTCGGAGCGTTCTTTTTCTTCCTTTTCATCGTATACTTGAGCAATGCTTGTGCAGTGGGTATTGGACAGGGCCTGGCAGCGATTGCCCCGGACATAACGTTCGCATCGTCCTTTGCACCGGTTGTCTACATGACGTTTGCGGTTCTCGCGGGCTATCTGCTGCCACAGAGCCTCATCCCAATTTACTGGAAAGTTCTTCTGTACTACGCGAATCCGATCAGCTGGGCGTTTCGAGCGATCCTTCTGAATGAGTGGCAGCCGTACCTGGACGGAGCAACGCCGCCACCCTACTTAGACTATCGTTCGGAACTGCGAACGCTTGGTTTGGAAAATCAGAGCAGATGGACAAGTGTCTACGTGTTGGTGGGCATTTATGCCGGCGCACGGCTCGTGACCTACGTCTTTCAGCGTTTCCTGAAATACGCCCATAACTAGAGATAATACGGGGTATGCAAGGGCGCGCCAGCGCGGCCCCTGCGGGCGCGTAACGCCGACGACTGCAACGAACAGTGTACCAGGTGCTGCAGTGGCGACTGAGCTGAGCATTTCGAAAGAGACGCCAAACAAGTTTGACCGATGCTGCAGTTTCACACAGAGCAGTTATTTGGTTTCAAAGGAAACGAACAAGACCCGAGGCTGCAGGCAAAGTGAACGTGACTGCAGGCGGTTGCCGTAACTCGTGGAAACAAGCCGCTTCAGCACGGTTCGGAGACGCGTATCATTTCGTCCTTTGGGGATTGCGGTAAAAGACGCGTCCTAGTCTTGTAGGCATAGCATATGCGTACAGTTCGAACACAAATGTAAATGCATCCCTACTGACTCTGTGGGAAAGGCATCGACTGATTCATGCAAGCTCTCCCCTGAGGAACGTTCAGGTTCGAAGCGGTGCTCGCAGGGATCCGGACTCGAACACCGACGAATGCAGTCGGGCGTCAAGCGTTTGTGTCGGATCCCGCCCTCCGAAAGATTCTGTATAACGTTTGATCCGGTTTGGAGCCTGCTCTGTTTTTCGCAACCATGACGTACCAGTGGATGTCAGACGCAAGATCGGAATCGAAGAGCATCTAGGTTGCACGTGCGCAAGGCGGCAAGGGATCGTCGGCGTCCTCTTCACACACATGACAGGTTCAGGTCGAATGGGTCTACGATCCTAACTCGCGGGTAGACTCGAAAATGCTGCTCTCTGTCTGTCTCGATCAACACCAGCCTTTACGAGATTTTGCTGTGACTGTTTCTTGATCTCGCTCTCGAACCTTTGGCTTTCATTACGCATGGCTCTTATGACATGCCGGGTCCGCTGTTAGTAGTTAAAAGATGTTGACTGCAGCAACAGTTTAGATTTCGGTGCTTCTGGTTGTTGTCGAAGCATTTGATTCACAGGCGCAAGTCGCGATCTCAGCATCGCTTGCCATGTTCATCTTCTTTGTATACAGACGTGGTACGCACTTCGTAGCGATAAAACTTGGGTATCTTCAGGTATTCCTTTTTCGCTGGCACATCACATGCTCCGAAGGCTGCACTGCAACGCTTGAACGTTTGCTTCATCTCTTGGTACATGTCCATGACGGGTACAGGGCAATGCCCTCGATATTCTCATTAGAGTCCGCGCCCGGTGCCGCACCCAGTGATTACGGGCCTGTTCCTGGCGATACCGTCGGCGAGTGCTCTGGGCGCTACACTTGCAGGTACACGCTGTCCCATTCGACAGACGATTCGTGAGACGCGATATTGCCCATGATAAAACAAGCACCGGAGAGGAAGTCCAGGATGCGGCTCAAGTCGAGAGATTTCGATCCATATACGCCTCCTTTCTGCAAAGTCGTGATGCATTCTCCACTGCAAGCGAGCGCTGTGATATCTAGGTCCGAGTCCGAGAACTTGCCACGTACAAAGAGAAGAGAGAGACGAATATCCAGGAGCGCGTTCTATGACAGGTGCCATGCTGCTTCGGAATGGTGTCTTGTCGATAGTGACGCAGACCTGAAGACATGACTTTCGAACGGAATCGATTATTTGATGTGACACGCTCAGCGAACTTTCAGCATGAGCTTGTGACGGATTCGTCGAGGGACGACATCGATCTTTCTCGTCGTCAGTCCAATGTTGTGCATAATCGCCTCTGCGGATTGCCTTTAACACAGAAGGATTGAAACTTCAAGAATGTTTGATTTAAGCACTCTGCGTCTGAGTAACAGGGAAGAGTGGAGGCTTGTACGCACAGATTGGAGAAAAATCGTTCCAGGTACGAGCCTTGTTCACGGGCATCGCGATTGATCCTGATTCCGGTGACGTAACCAGTTCCAGTGTGAAAGCGTCAAATGAGGTACTCCGAAAGCACTACCGAGCATCCTAAATCTATAAAAAAGTCTGCAAGTCCTTGGTACGAGACTGCGAACGTCGAGACAGTCCATCTAAACTAATTTCGGAGAGAATTCCAAGTTAGGAACAGAGCCATTCGTTGTGTGTTCTACATAGGTCTGATGCGCTCTCTACAGTACCTGGGTGGCCCGCTTACAAAGCAGGTGCTACTTCACCAGAGACACGTTAGCCTAGATGTTGACTTTGTGAGGACGCGGAGCTGTAATGCAACTCGGCCGGTCATGCAAGCGGGGCCTGGGAATCCACCCATTTTATCGGTAGAATGACCTCAGCATGTGCCGAGACTTTCCATCACAACTTCTGTCTGTCGCACGTTCCCGAATGCCTGTATTCATTCATTCATCCATTTTCACGGTATAACGCCCTCATCTTGGGCTAAATGTTTCCAAAGCAAACTGCGTCAGCTGCGCACTCCAGAGAGTCTGTATCCGCGTTGCATGTTGCGTTCGTGTGGAGCCGTTCGCGCCAAGCGCCCCTCTCAAGTTATTGTCATTGTTGTTATTGTTGCCACCTGACTCTGGAGACTTCGTTTGCGTGCAGCCCTCGGTTTTCCGGGATGGGGCACTCCACCATCGTGGCTGTTGCGATCGGCGCTGCTGCTTCGCGCTAGTCACTGCCTCCGCAACAAGAGCATAGACGGTGTGCCAAGATGGGTCGGAACGAAGAGCCAAGAATACCGCGCTGCGCTTATGACCACCACCGCTACCCCCAAGGCAACCATGCTCGAAAGCAGCAAGAGACTCGCGCTGCTGACGCACGGTCGCTGCAGCAGCAACGACCTGGCTTTGCCGCTACCGCCACCAACACTGTAAACGGATGCCGAGGCCCAAGTGCTCTCGGCAGCAGCACTTATTGCTAGACTCTTGAGCGTGGAAACTTTGGAATGTGCCGCATCGGGCACCTTCGATACCCAAAATCCGTTTCCATGTTGGCGCTCTGGAACTCCTTTCCTGTTCGCGCCTGTATCGACTGAAGCAGCGGCGGCGGCGGCGACAGCGGCTGGATCCATTCGTACGGTGGAGCGCATTCTCCGATACCGAAAGAGCGTCGCAAACAAGTGGATGCGGGCCACCTGGAATATCTCATCACCGCTGCGCAAGTCCAGCATGGCCGCACAGAAGCGGTTACAGCGCTCGTCGCGATAGCGACTTGTCGGTAAGCCGTCGGCCTTGATGAAGACGGCAGCCCCGCCGCCCGCTGCCTGGTTACTACCACGTACAACGAAAACACCATCATCGAAGACGGCGTTCCTGCTGCAACCGAATTCGTCTCGATACCTGGAGAGGATAAAACGTGCAATATCCACGTGGAAGGTCGAACGCGGAATCCGTCCCAAATAGTCGGGGAAGGCGTCCAAGAAGTAGTCGCAGACAGCCCCGATTCCGGCAGGCGACGCGCCAATATTCGTAACGGTGAAAGTGCATCTCCGCTGGTTCAGAAGTGGCAGCATCAAACACTTGCTGAAGACTGGTGACTGTATCCGGCGCCCGCGATGCTTCATAGAGATCATGGTGAGCCCGAGATGGATGACAAAGGGGTACGCTCCGTGTGCGCCTCTTTCGGAGCCCAGGCCAGACGTGTCCAGATACACCATTGCGGTGAAGGCGCACGGTTCACCGTCAGGAGCGAATGCAACCGTCACAATACGATTAGCGAGTGCTGCACGCGGTCTAGGCCCAAATACACCGTAACTCGGGAGTGCGTCCATGGAATTGCGTCCAACGTGCTCGATCAGGCGAACGAGCGCGCTGAGCTCACGGTTGGTCATCCATCGCCCCGGCTGGTCGTATGTGCAGGTTCGATACCCAGCTTGCAACGTTGAGTGCCAGGCTAACACCAGCGGGTCACGCAAGTACCCTAACCTTGTCCGAAATTGACGTGCGTTATCTGCGAGGACGACATCAGTGCCAAATATTTTCAGCAAGAACTGCGCAAGAACTAAAGCCGTTTTTCTCCATTCGCGCACAAGAGCAGTATGCTTCAAATCGAGAAATAGTACGGCGAGAATCGGAGATGAAGCGATCGCAAGTGTGCCTCCTAGCAGGAGCCGAAGACACCACCAGAGGAGCCAAAGCGCAGCGCGTCTTCCCTGGCAGGCCTCAACGCGCTCTGAAGATAACGATAGCATGAAACGTTCTTTGCTATCCAAGGTCTTGTTCTAGTGCATGCAGGTCAATACCAAACCGTGCACGAATTTTGTCGAGCGCGTAGTACCTGATACAGCATAGGCACGAAACACGATACATGTAGAATCTTACGTTTCTTGGAAGCGATGTAGGATGTCCACGCGCGAACTCCGTTGCCGGCGGGAATCTGGAGAATCTCCCGCATCCGCCCTGAGGCGTGCGCTGGCGTAAACGCGCCGCTCCGAATTCTTCCTGATCGATAGCTCGTTGACAAGAGCCGGAGATCCCCAATTATGACCATGATTTCATCGATTGGAGAAGCATCCATCGTTTGGGGACCTAGCTCCAAGCGCCGTTCCATGTGCTCAGCAAAATGGAAAACGTGTCGCGATCATACGGTAAATGAATACCGATGTGGAGGCGGATTCTAGTCGTTTTCGACCGGCCCATTGCTATCGACTTCAGCTTATCTTTGCATTCATCGAGTCTGAGAGGTTGCCCCACAAAGTTCGCTCGTGTTTGTTCCTCGGGCCTCGTCTTGAACACCGCACATCTCCTGGTATTGATGGTAGGGTTAAAGTCTTGGTTTACGAACTGCATGCATTCAATGACGCTTATTGATCGCACCGGTGCAAAGAGTCCTCGAACCGGTATCCTCTGTGCCACGACACTCTCGTTATTGTCCCGTCGGCAAAGCACCTCTTCTCGCGTATCTCCCCTCATGTTGTTCTCCTGCGCCGCTTGCGCTTCTCTGTTCGCTGGTCAGCGAGAGGAGGATTTTTCGTTTTTTCTTCGACAGCCCGACAAGGCTGCCTTCCAGGATCCCCGACCGACGAACCCAATCCTTTCCCCAGGATTTTTGTTTTTTCAAATGAACACCCTACTAACGCATCAGCTATAACCACGAAAAAGCATTCGATGGCTTGCATTTAGGGGCGGAACACAGCTGAGGTGAAAGACAAAACACGGCAGATGGTGCCACTGCCAGACGTACGCGAGAGGCGTCACGGTTTCACTGGACGCCACGGATCACAGCTTCGTATGATCTTTCAACTCATTTTTGTTTCACCCGAGCTGTGGTGAATAGCAGGAGATAAAAATCACGATGCCATCTACCCTGTAGATCGTAGGCGATTTGGCTATAGGATAGCTTCTTTAATGAACAGTGGAAGGAGGACTGCTTTCCTCCTTCAGGTCAGTCATACGACGGTTCGCAGATAGCTGAGGAGCACTGAAAGAAAGAAACAAATAGATGCGCTCCGCGCCAAAAAAAACCGGTACTTTCAAGGCGTGCTTGCGGTCAAAGGAAGAAAACGATCCGCTGATCGCCTTAGTGAAAGCAAAAGCGACGGTAATAGCCACCACGGGCGTCTGTATTACTCAGAAACTTATTTGTGTGATCCTGAAACCACTGGAATATGGTAGGAATAGAGTCCAATCTCATTCACGGCCATCTTCCATCGAAATCGCAAATATCGCATTCCTGGAACGTCGCGACCGGTATGAAGCAAAGTGAAGTGGGTTTGTTTTCTCACTCGATGAACCTTTATTCTGGCGATACGCTCGGAGCGTATGTGGGTACTCGCGGAGCAGGGAGCCCATTGTATGTGCGGTCGAATTCGAAGAAAACGAGGGCATCGTCTGTTCTAGCGGCGATGGATTCATTCGGAAGTCTCAGTTTCGCTCGTGGAAAAGGTGCATACCACAGCAGAGACCACGTTGTCGAATCGTTGAACAATTTTCCCATGACGTCTACTTACTTTCTTCTATTATACAACGTCGCATTTCAGCATTCCGCTTGCGTCCGAGCTTTGTCGATGCTATCAGAATAAAGTTACTTCTCATTCCTCCATACTATCCGTGATTCAAGCTCATTGAAGGAGAGTTTTCTATCGTAAAATATGTTGATCGCTCCACTAGGCGAACCGCTGAGGGTGTCACCTTACAGTGAAACCGGTGCATTTTTTCGTCTTTCTTATGCAAATCCTAGTCCCTCCGTGTAGGTCCTCACACAACGGCATCAACAATTGCTTTCATTTTAAAAAATAAGGAATGAGCATGAATGCACAATTCAGGAGATCGGAATGCAGAAAAGCCAGCGGAGCGCTGACAGAGCAGCAAATGATACTGAGAGCGCGAGTTCGAGGACTCCTTGCACTAATGAGTTCAGAAAACGCCTAGAAATGGAGGGAGGTAGCGAACCGAGACTTTAACACCGCCACTAATATCAGGACATGTGCGATGCTGACGACGATACCCGAGATGCTGAGGCGATCTAGTTTTGTGAGACAGCCTCTCAGGGTTAGAGCGTACAAGGAGAAGCGAAAACCGATAGCAAGCGGCTGGTCAAGAAACGTCGGGAGGCACCTGCGAGTGGGTAGATATACTTACTCTCTATCATTGTGAAGCGTTTTTTTGTTTCACTGACGATCTCTGCACATCATTCACCCATATAAGAATCAAATCGAACGGGTCTGCGGACACGGGCAAACACACTAAAATTCCGAGTCTCTTCCATCTGTGATGAACACCAGCATCTGCGAGGTTTTTCCTCATCAATCTCCGTTTCCCGTCTCGTATTCCTCGAGTTACGTACGCGAGTCTCTCCTGCTCTTCCAGCTCCGTGGTAAGCAGTCGAGGGGCGTTGATGGCACTGTGCAAGCCCCGATACCACAGCTTCTAGCGCTTGTCTACGCATTCTGTCCACGAGCCAAATTTGCAAGATACGCCTCGATTGCCAATTTCATCTCCTTTGTAAAGAGCATTGGTGCGTCCTTCGTGGCGGTAACGCTTTGCCATGGCCAGATGCGCCCATGTCTCCACCAGAGCTCCTCCGAGAGCGGACCTGTGAGATGTGAACGCTTGCTGCGTCGCTCAGCTCATGCCCTGGATGGCTAGAGAAGGATTCGTTCGATGTCCTTCTCCGTTTTCGTGCCTGATGCCGTACCCTACGATCACGAGCTTCTTGCACCCGATCCCTTTGGCAAGCACGCTGCCCGCTGCATGCCCATGCGCATGCTCTTCCCTTTGGTAGAGGATTTCTGGAACGCGGTGTTGCTCTTGATGATACAAGGCCTGGAAGGAAAATCCAGGCTGGAGGAATACATTCGGAAGTTTTAGATTTTTCGGCGCTCCCTCGATGCCAAAGCAGTAAGGCGCGCTCCATTGGAGGCGATTCCTGCGATGACTCACGTCCGAGTCCAAGACCTTTTCCCATGCAACAGAACGGACAGGAGCCTCTGTTAGCATGTTCCGTGAGAAGTATCATGGCGCTTCGTCGATCGCCACAAAAATGGAAAAATTCGTGTTTCGAACGGAATCAATACATTTCCATGAGAAGCCATGTGAAAGCTCCGCATGATCTTACGAAGAATTCTTCAACAGTTGATGTCGAATTTTTTTGCTCGTCAGTCCATCGGCGCGAATGAATGAATGAACCCACGAGTTGCCTTGAAATCGAACGTTTTATGAACTGGAGAATGCGTGATCCGAGTATGCTAAACGTAAGGAATGGAGCAGCGTGGTGGTTTGTGCTCTAGAGTTGGGTGAGGAAAAAATCGTTTCCTTTTTCGAGTCCTCGTTCGAGAGCCTCGTGGTCCAACTTGATTTCGGTGACGTAACGAATTCCTGCGACACAGCGTCGAAAGAGCCATCCCGAAAACACGACCGAGACTCATGATGCTGCATATGAAACCGTGCGCCCCTATTACTGCAACTTGAATCTCGAGGCCGTCCAGAAAAATTTCGAAAAAATCTCAAGTCAGGAACCGAGCAAGCACTTTAGTGCTCCATTTTCAGCTAACACAAGTGCTAAGCAGGGCGTGCCGACGCTGGAGCAGTGCGCACACCCACGGACAATGCGAGAAGCGAACGCTGTGGGCTCTTTCCAGCGCTACTGCGAGCGCACTGGGCAGTCGCTATTGCCGCACCTCACACTGTATACAAGCGACCTGGACGGACGTACACGCAACTTCCAGAAAACGTACACTTGGGGCGTTGGATGGGTGCCCGTCACCAGCGGTGTGTAGCGGCTCAAGCTGAGCCTAGTCCTGGGAACGCCAGACGCATTCGCAGCGGAGACTCTATGCGTACCGCTACCGCTCGTTTCTTCCCAGCGATGACTGATCAAGCCGCGGCACTGCGACGCCGGCTGACGAGACCCCAGCGCTCCCAACTCTGGTTCAAATGCCAAAGCGGGCTATGAACCTCATACCGGGCAGTGCCAGTCTGGTTCCTGCTGGCATTCCAAAGGCCTCCTTCTCCGCGCTAGTGTGTTCTATCTTTCCCCACGCACACTAGTCATCTCTGCTCTCCTGACCGGAACGCTCGATCGCTTGAGCGCAAGCAGCAACCAACAGCGTACCCGCTCCTTTTCAGCACGTGACAGTAGCGTTTCTGACACCAAGCGGCTATGTTCGCTCTTCCTCCAGCAACCGACAGTCCACGGGCTGTTCGGGTCAGAAGCGCGCACAGCGAGGAATCCGCTTTGCCGATGCGCTGTGGTGTTCGCGCGAGCTAACACAAGTACATAGATCGAGCTTCGATACTTGCTGCGAATGATGACAAGCTCGCTAGGACTAGGATTTTCATTTGTATATCACCCTCCGCACAGTTTATATCAATGGGTAGATGAGCGGTCCTTAGTACGAACAGACACGCTGGCAGCGACGCGTACGTCACGGTTCGACGCTGGGCAGCACTGGCGAGCCAGTAGCGTACGCAAAACGAACTCGCGAAGCGTTCACTTGCTGTACAGATCTTTGACAGCGAACGCGAACTCAGCAAGCGCTGCAACCACGCACGTGCGGAGGGAGTCCTCGGTTTTCTGGAACTCGTGGCCTCGGCGGCGAAGCGTTTGTGGCAAGCCACCGGAGCAGCCTCGAGCGATTGCTGCTGTGTGGCTTTACGATGCGCCCGGAAACGAAGTCGAAAACCTCGCTGCACTTCAGTTGGCACTAGAATGTCACGGTTCGCGGCAGTTGCGGGTCTTCTGGATACGCACTGGCGCCTCACAACTGCGACAGGGACTGCGTTGGCGTCCCGCGGCACGCCAGCGTCACAGGGAGGCAGCTGACGCCGCCCTGAGGGCATTACTGTATTCTCAACACCACCTTTGCCTCGAAGTCATCGAGAACGATACGGATAAGCGCCAGCTCTTGGACGATGGTCAATTGTACCGAACGTTGCTCTTCAAGCTACGCATGCTCGCACCCCATTACCTCTATGTATCCGCGGGATGTCGGTTGCTCGTTGAGCGCGTTTTCCCATGGGGCAGCGGTATCCAGCACTGGCAACAGGTGATCCGGCAGCATGTCCGGGAGGCTTCCTGCTCGTGTTGGGTGATCTTCCCGCATGGAAACAAGTGCATATCTTCGCATATTTTCATGCTCGGTGCCGGGCCCCTGGTGCCGGCGGCACCCAACTTGGTTCTCGAAGAGATCCAGGCCCGGGGTCAAGTGCGCATTTTCCGGGAACCCGACTGTTCTGAGAATGACCCTGCGGAGCAACCCTTCATCATGAGCGCCGACTCCAGTGAGCGGTCGCTGGTAGAGCGCCTGCGCAACTGGTTGATCCAGGTGTACCTTCCGCACGGCTACCCGCACACGGTAACGCAGGACTACCTGGCTTTCACTTTGTGGCGTCTGCTACAGAATACCGCGGCATCGGTGATGGGGGTCTTCTCCACCGAGGCCCTTCTCCTGGGTCTCGGTCTCGGGAAAAACGTGTCTGGCACCGCCCAGGCTGTGCAGTGGATCCTCAAAGACGGTTTCGGTCACGCCGGAAAGATCGCCTACGCAGCCGTTGCCGGGAAGCAGTTCGACATGGATCCACGAAGCTGGCGAATCATGAGCGACCTCCTCGAAGATCTAGCCGGCGTTCTCGAGATCATCACACCGATTTTCAGCGGTCAGTTCCTGGTCCTGGCATCTATTGCCACTACCATGAGAGCGATCGCTGCCATGACAGGAACGGCAACCCGTCATGCGATTTTCAAGAGCATGGCTTTGGCTGAAAATCAGGGTGACCTCGCTACCAAGGGGGAATCCCAGGGTGTTACCACCAAACTAATCGGGCTTGGCCTCGGTATTACCCTCAGCAAACGAATAGGCCAAGATTACACGAATCTCCTAATCGCGTATGGCATTGCAGCTGTTATTCACTTGGCTGCAAATTTCAAAGCCATGCAATGCGTCGAGTTCTCGACGCTCAACCGTCAACGAATGGCGCTTCTTCTGGACGCCTTCATGTCAGCGCGCGCGCAGACGTCTCGCCAGGCGTCCAGGCAACTGACACTCCCAACTCCACGAGAAATCTGTGCAAAGGAGCGCTTTATGATTCCACCTTGGCGGGACTACCGTCCTGAAATCGTTTTCGGAGCGAGTCTGCAAAGAGTCAAACACGCTCGACACTTTCTCCACTGCGCGGCACTGTATCGGAATGAGCGTTACATTATCTACGCTGAGCCTTCAACAAAGCATGTCTTGGTTTTCCTGCGGGACGGTGCAACCGTCAAGGACCAGCTCAAAGCTTTCATGAATGCGCAACGATACCTGCTGGATCGAGATGCCGAACGTGCGTACAACTTCACACAACGCGAATTCTCCACTTTCCTGCAGGCTACCGTCGCGAGCGGCTGGAGCACCAACGTTTCGCTGTTGAACCCCACATCGTACCGGATTCGTTACCGTGGCGACAGGCACCTCGTACGCTCCTGATCAAAGTGCGACGCGCTTTCTCTGCTATTGAAAGATGCAGTCGATAATTCCTGATGCAGCAAATGCGGCTACGGTAGCCGCTGATGAAAAAACGGTTCCAGAGTCGAATGACGTGCTTTCGCGGAAGCGCAGCACCGCTGTCTCTGGGTGCCGTTCCCCTGGTACGGCATTAGACGGGCGCTTGACCGCTGTCTCTGGGTGCAGTCTCCGCAGAAGCCCTCTGTCCGGGGTGTTGCTCGGGTTCGGCAGCCGGCTGCAGCGGTTTCAAGTCTAACACTCGTTGCGACCAGTGCGTCTGCCAGTCTTCGATACTGAGTCGCACCTCCGCCGCCAGGTGTGAGTTCGGAAGTCGCAAGATACGCTCCAAGCAGCTGGGCACCGTGCTCAGCGCTCCAGCGTAGCCGCTCACCCCAGCAGTGGCGACAATAGCGAGCACCCGCAACCAGGCTGGAACGCGCGCACGCCAACTATCCTGGAAAAAGCGTGTCGAGCCAGGACGAGCCCGCCATGGTAAACCGTAGAGCACCAGACTAGAGAGCAGTGCGCCGCCGACAAGTGCCCCTGTTCCTCGAAGAGCTGCCTGTCGTGCGCAGTCCCGAAGCACCAGCTGCTCATCCGGACGCATGCTGGACCAGTTCAGCACCAGCGACTCTGATTTTCGGCCTGTGTTAGCTTTCTGCCGTCTGGTATCAGGGGTCTCAGCTCGAGGCTGCTCAGTTGTCATTGGGGGTTTTCATCAAAAGAAGCAGCAACAGGAGCAGCGGCGACGAGCGCAGCCCCGTGCCTTGAACGCACGTGCCTGCGCTGGATGGACAAACCTCGTTTCCTCGTTGCGACGAGAGGTCGCCATACAGCACTGCATTGAACGGGAGAATATCGGGTGCGTATGCGTAGAAACATCGACTGACGACTCTGTGCGATAGTGTTCAACCCAAATCCTTTAGTGAAACGTCAACAACTGAGATTCTGCTAAATGTGCTCCATTTCCGTAAGCGACGTACGTTGCGTCGCTCGAACTCCAGCCGCAGCTAACGCTCACCATTGCTGCTACAGGCTGTGAACGAGGTGACCACTGTTGAAGCTGTCGTGGCTCACGCTTCTCTACTGCCTTTTCCTGCTGCTTTGAACAGCTTTTCCGACGGAAACTAAACAGAAACTCGGAGACTTGTTCCAGTCCGTGAACCTGTTTGCATCTGTAGCAAAGGCCTGGCGTCCTCAAGCGTGAAAGCATCCGGCGCGCTTGCCACAGTGGCGACACGTCACGCTTCAACAACGGGTATTGTAACGCTTTCCATGTGTTATTGAAGCTCCAGTCTGGCGGCTGCACACGGCCGATGCACTCCCTCCGAGTCGTATGCGAAAACGCGGCATCGAGCGATCCCTCCCCAGAGAAGAGCAACGACGCTCGGTACTACCAGGAGAGCGTGCCCACTGAATTCGATGTGCATCGGCTCTGGATGACCCTGTCCAGCGGGTTTCTACCTAACCACGAGTTGAAGACCGGACACAAATGGAGCCCAATTCGTTCCCGAATTCACTGTAGACGGCAACAGGTCTTCGCGCGGCCCGGATTTCATCGATAGCGGCTTTGTAGTCCTTGGCACCAAACACTGCTGAACTGGCTACCAGGGCGTTCGCACCCGCCTCGACAACACGCCAGGCGTTGGAGCCCTTCACGCCGCCGTCGACCTCGAGCCAGAGATCATGCTTGCCGAGGCGATCAGCCATCTTCCGTATCTCGGTGATTTTCGGCAACACCTCGTCAATAAATGCTTGCCCGCCGTACCCCGGATTTACGCTCATCACCAGCACCAGGTCCACGATAGGTAGGACGTACTCAATTGCCATTGGTGGCGTGGCCGGGTTCAGAACGACACCGGCACGACACCCGAGGCTTCGAATCATCTGCAGCGTTCGATGCAGGTGGATCGTCGACTCGCCCTCGCAATGCACGCTGATGATGTCAGCGCCTGCTTTGGCAAAGGCGGGGATGTGTTGGTCTGGATTCACGACCATCAAGTGAACGTCAAGCGGCCGCTGTGTAACCGGACGCAGCGCCTCCACGACGCCTGCGCCGATGGTTATTGGCGGTACAAAGTGCCCGTCCATAACGTCAACATGTATCCAGTCTGCACCGAAACGGTCTACGGCGCTTACCTCTTCACCGAGTCGGGCAAAGTTTGCCGACAGAGTGGAAGGTGCAACCACAACTTGCCCCGGTTTGGGCGTGGGGTACCCTTTCCACACCCATGCGCAGGGGACGACCCTTTGCTGTGCTGCTGCGCGGTTTTGGTCCCCGCCTGCACGCTACCGTCTCTTACGTCCAGACATTTGCTTGCGCTCGAGAGCACTGTGAACCAGTTACTATAAACGCGCACATGGAACGAGTTCCAAGCGCCGGTGCAGCTCGCCTTGTCGTAGACACAGATGAGCGCTGGAGCGTACAGCGCTCGGTGGTACCTAGCGGCGTCGGTGGCGGCGGTGATGAAGCGTCTGAGACAGGCGTCGATGGCCGTCCAGTGACGGGTGTCAAATTTGATCTAAAACTGGAATGAGTGTTCAAGATTCAAAGGTTGCCGTTGCGGCAGCGGTGCCAGGCTGCTCTCTCGCAGGGATACTATTTACGTAGCTACGATCAATATCCAGAGCTGCATCTAGGATGCCTCCGAACAGGCTCGCTTTGATCATATGTGGACCGTTTCGACGGGAACGCTTTCGACAGCACCACACGGACCTGGAAGGTCGTTCACCTATCTGTTGAGAAAAAGCGCATATACGGCACATGAACTGGCTGGTCCACGGACACGTCAGTGACAACTCATTTTCGCAATGCGTTGTGATATATCGAGTGAACCGTCGGAAAAACGTCTTTACCACTGAACGAGTTGAGTATACCTGACTAGCGGCGCGCGTGAAGGACACACTCGATTCCTTTTCGTTGGACGAAACGTTGACCCACAGAGCAGCAATCCCTGAGAGCGTGCTCGGTAACCGCGCGTTGTGGGGTTTCCATCGTTCCGCGCCCTCCTCGCAAGTTCCGCTTCCCATACGTTCCCTCGGAGGTACCGATTATTTTCAAGTTCGACCGTGTGCCGACTGCCCGTCGCGAGCGTCCGCGATAGCGCCTATAGCGGCGGCGCGGTCGTAGCATAGACAGAGAGAACCGACATGCCATACCAGAGAGCGCATCGACTCGAGGAATGTCACGGCTGAGTCACGGTCGAGGTTCATGATCATTCTGGGAGCCTGCAAGCTGCGCTGGCAGACCTACTGCCTGCGACAGCGCGAATCGATATCCTAGGAGTCCACTGCGACCAGGGCGACGCCCAGATGCAGCTTAACTGTCCCTAGTCCCAGAATGAATTGCTTTGTGGACGAGTAGCACAGGTTTCTTTCAAGAACGCGCCGCTGGGAGGGGCATGAAGCACGAGCCTGGCAGACTCGTTCGGCTCGCGCTACTTTCCGCCTAGACGTTAAACTTTCGGAAATACGGAAAAAATTTTCCCCTTTTAATGTTTAATGTAGACGGGGAAAGAAATCGATAGCTCGTTGCTCGTGACTCGTGAGTCTCTTTCCTTTTTTTTCTAAATAGCGCGGTTGAGACGCGCAATTCAGAGATCTGGCAGTCATGAGATATGACGCGCTTGTCGCCGTTGAAGGGAGACACGATCCAAACCTTTATGATCCAGCAGTAAAGTAAAAGTTCTATTTCCGTTGAAGTCGTAGCAAACTGCAGTTTTCAGTTGAATCGTGTTTCAACCCTCAAATAAGTGTATTCAAGTCCTTTTTCGCGGTTTATAGGAGAAGCGTTCAAAGAGCGCCCTTTTTCAAAAAAAATAAAAAAGGAAATGTTATCAAAAACCAAGTCGACGATCCTGGAGGCCAAGTGTCGCTGGCTGCCAGAAAAAACAAAAAACAGTACCGAGTCCAGAAGAAAAGAAAGAGAAGAAGGACCGAAAGGAGGGAGGTCCTACGTCGAAGGCTGCAAGAAAGACCACACTACAACGAACTGGTTATGAAAGCCTGTCTTCTTGAACAGATCAAGGTTCCGTGCAAGAAAAAGTTACGAGAGTCCATTCGAAACCGTTTTGAGCCGAACTCCATGACTATAATACAGGTGTCGTCAGGACTAATGCATTTGGCGGGGGAGATGTATCGCGAAGTGACGCACATGGAAACGGTCCAGCTTCCGAACGAGTTTTCGACGAGACCTTTATTCGTCACATGACGATTGGTACAGCGGAAGCGCGGAGGGAAAATGAACGCGTGCACGTCCTGCACGAAAAACACCTCTTTTACAGCTTCGAGGGTACTCGGTATACAGGTGACGCGGATATTTACATGTACGGGGCGATGAAGTACCTGACGAACCTGAAGAACCATGTGACGATGAACCTCGAACGTTTCATGATACGCGCCGTGTTTGCGCTGTACCCGGGAATCTCACGCAAGGGGATATGGGCGATTATCAATGGCGCCACGAACGATCGCAGGCATGAAGATGAGGTCGAATTTGTCGAGAAGAAGGCGTCAAACGAGAGCACGAATGAAGCTTCTGTAATCCGTGCGGCTATGCAAGAGCACGGCGCAGTCATGGGGCTACCGAATCCAACAGAAAAGATGTCAGAGTTAAAAAAAGATAAGGAAAGGTACTATCGCCTCATCCTGCGCTATTTTGTGTTTCTGAATCGTGAACTCGAACGCAAGGCGGAGATGAAGCTGAGTGAAGAGACAAATGAAGAGTGGGAGAGACGGAAGGCTTTCCTAATGGGGAAGCAGTTAAACGTGGTTCCGTTGTGCAACATCAAGTAGTATTTTGTGAGTATCGATTCAGGCGTCCTTTACGGCATCATGAAGGAGATCAGTCCGGGGTTCAATGTTAGCAGGGAGGACTTCATCGGTGAAAACCGGGAGACGTACTGGAAGAGTATCTTCGATTTCAAACGTCTCAAAGTCAGCAAACAAAAGTTATTCACTGGGATGATCGAAACCGATGGCGTAGCCATGTGTGCACACTATCGGCGGTTGAAGAAAGAGTGTCCAGTTCCACCCTCGGCTGCACCCGTGACGAAGGATGAAGAAAACAAAGAAGAGGATCCTGCGATGCAGGAGGTGGAGGATAACGACTTTGTCGTTGACATTACGAAGGATGAAGATGAGAAGACGGCGGATCCTGCGACGCAGGAGGTGCAGGATAACGGCTTTATCATTGGCGCGGCGAAGCATGAAGAAAACAAAGAAGAGGATCCTGCGACTCAGGAGGTAGAGAATAACGACCTTGTTGTTGACATTACGAAGGATGAAGATGAGAAGACGGCGGATCCTGCGACGCAGGAGGTGCAGGATAACGGCTTTATCATTGGCGCGGCGAAGCATGAAGAAAACAAAGAAGAGGATCCTGCGACTCAGGAGGTAGAGAATAACGACCTTGTTGTTGACATTACGAAGGATGAAGATGAGAAGACGGCGGATCCTGCGACGCAGGAGGTGCAGGATAACGGCTTTATCATTGGCGCGGCGAAGCATGAAGAAAACAAAGAAGAGGATCCTGCGACTCAGGAGGTAGAGAATAACGACCTTGTTGTTGACATTACGAAGGATGAAGATGAGAAGACGGCGGATCCTGCGACGCAGGAGGTGCAGGATAACGGCTTTATCATTGGCGCGGCGAAGCATGAAGAAAACAAAGAAGAGGATCCTGCGACTCAGGAGGTAGAGAATAACGACCTTGTTGTTGACATTACGAAGGATGAAGATGAGAAGACGGCGGATCCTGTGATGCAGGAGGTGCAAGATAACGACCTTGTCGTTGACGCGACGAAGCATGAAGAAAACAAAGAAGAGGATCCTGCGACTCAGGAGGTAGAGAATAACGACCTTGTTGTTGACATTACGAAGGATGAAGATGAGAAGACGGCGGATCCTGTGATGCAGGAGGTGCAAGATAACGACCTTGTCGTTGACGCGACGAAGCATTAAGAAAACAAGAAGGCGGATCCTGCGATGCAGAATGTGCAGGATAACGACTTTGTCGTTGGCGCGGACCCTGGGAATACGAATATCATAACCATCGCTGTACCCAAGCGTGCGGAAGATGGTACTGAAGGTAATTTACGTCAGAAAGACATGCGTCTTTTGAGATTCTCGAGGGCAAGATATTACCGAGAATCCGGTATAATGAATGCGAGGAAGAAAATCGAGACTTGGAATTCAGGAATGAAAGAGCGCCTGGAAGCTTTGAGCGAGGTGACGAGCCGCGGAGCGGATTATGAAGCTTTTCGGAGATTCATGGAAGTTCGTGTTGCCCATTGGGATGCGCTGTGGAAGGAGTATACAAAGCCCAGTTGGGCTCGTCTGCGAATGAATCTGTACGGTGTGAAGCAGCGGGCGTTTGCGAATTTTTTCAATCAGTTGAGCGCCCTGAAGGAGGATGAAAGTCAGAGGCTCGTAGTAGCATACGGAGCAGGGCGATGGAAGACCCAAAAAGGGACTACGCCAGCTCCAACGACAAGAACGTATAAGGAGTGCGCACGGCGTTTTGCCTCGATACCTATAGACGAGTTTCAAACATCGTATACACACCATGAACTGAGGTGCACACTCCAGAGGGCCGAGATGGAAAAGTGCCAGACGAACCCTGAGGATATGAAAAAGTACGGACCGCTGACGGAAGAGCAAATGGAAAGGAGGACGAAAGTTCGAAGATTATTTGTATTAGTAAGTACAACCGATGACGGCAAGAAACGCATGGAATTCGTGAACCGTGACTTTAACGCCGTTATCAATCTAAGGAGATGTGCGGTGCTGGAGAAAAGATCTCCAGATTCGACAAGAGGGAACTTTGTTGGACAACCTATCCAAGTCGAACTATATGAGAAAAAGTTGGAAGCAGTAGTGAGTGGCTGGTCCATAGAGACGGGGAGGCGTCTGTACGTCAGTTGGAGACTTCTTGTCAAGGGCGGGTTTCTCGCCACTACTGTACACTGCTGTCGTTCGACTTAGAACGGCGGTGGTGGCTTGTCCATTAGCACGCGTCAACGCAGACTTAGGTGCCCGACGCTTCTTGGATACGCGCGCCGCCTGTAATGAACTGAGGAAACACCAGCAGCACTGGCGTCATGCTTGAACGCGGTACGCTAGAAGCGGCGAAGACTGAAACGCCCGCCTCTCAAGCGGTTGTTTCGGATCACTCGGAAATAGATCGCGTCCGCGTAACGGTAACAAGCCGGGATCGACCGGGTATCACCGCAGCTATTACAGCTGTGGTGGCGCGATGCTCCTGTGAGATCCTCTCCGTGCGTCAAGTATGCGTGCGTCGACGTCTAACCTTGATGTTTGAGCTTCTAGTGAAGAACGCGTTTCCACAACAGTCTATCTTTCGTGAGCTTCTATTAGTCAGCAAGCGTATCGGAGTGTCCGTCGATTTCTCGCTACAGCCGTCAACAGAAATATCTTCCGCTGAGGCTTGCATGCTGCAGCACGCGTCAGAGCAGTACGTCATTACCGCTATCGCGGCGGACTCGATTACTCCGGCGTTTCTCGCTGATCTTGGGCAGAAATTGCAAGAACGGAACTTTGTTCTCGAGTCGGTGAACAAGTTGAGCCAGCATCGCCTCGGCTGCATTGAACTGGTGGTTTCATCCCCGGCGTCCTCGTCGTCCAGCGACATTCAACAGTTTCGCTCGGAGATGTTTGTGCTTGGGCGCAAGTACGCGACCGATGTCGCCGTGCAAAAAGAGAGTCTCATCCGCAAAAGCAAACGCCTCGTGGTCATGGATATGGATAGCACGCTGATCCAACAGGAAGTGATTGATGAGCTCGCTCGCTATGCAGGCAAATTCGAGGCGGTGCAGGAAATCACGCACCGAGCCATGTGCGGGGAACTCGACTTTAGAACAAGTCTGTACAAGCGCGTGGAATGCTTGAAGGGAACGCCCGCCACCGTCTTTCAAAAGGTGATCGATCATCTGGTGTACACGCCTGGTGCGCATTTCCTGGCACATTCCTTGAAACGACTCGGGTACAAACTGGCAGTCATTTCCGGGGGCTTCGCTCCGATTGCCCAGCACGTGCGACAGACGCTCGGACTTGATTATGCGTACGCGAACCAGCTGGAAGTTGGTCCGGACGGGTGTTTTACGGGCCGAACGGTGGGCCCCATTGTCGACGGCCAACGCAAGGCAGACCTCTTGATGGCCATCGCCCAACAGGAGCAGATCGACCTCGAGCAGACAATCTGCATTGGTGATGGAGCCAACGATTTGCCAATGTTATCGATGGCGGGTCTCGGCATCGCCTTCAATGCAAAGCCTGCTGTCCAGGAGCGGGCAGCTTTTCGTCTCAATCGCCAAAGCCTCGACTCTGTCCTCTATTTTCTCGGTATTCCAGAATCTGAGCAGATTCAGTTACGAGAGCACAACGATGCATCGTAGAGGCATCGGTACGTATTGGAAGAGACGCCGCACATCCTCCAAACGTGATTCGTTCCGGGGATCAGCGATTGCATTTGCGGCACGTGCTGCACGCGAAGACGATCTACGCTTCGCTCCCGCACCACGAACTGTTCGCTGAATGCGAGGGCACCGGCCTGCACCCGCCAAGGTTGTATATGTGTGTGCGCTGTTGAGCAATACCCGGACGCGCGCAACGCCGCTACGGCATATGGTACGATGCCGAAGCGCATGCCCAGAGGCAACGAAGTTGCCGACATGCGGCTCACGCTACGTCTGCGCGTATCCTCGGGGCGCTACTGAAGCGGATGCGATGCTGCTGGGCCCTCATTGTACTGATGAGTATCGTCGACCAGATTTGGGGACGAGGTGCATGCCTGGTTCCGAATACACCTAGCGACACGTGGATGCATTTATCGCCAGGTGTCCGCCAAGTGTTCCATGTACAGCAGCAGGGCGGCAACGCAACGCGCAAGCGCTTGGGCAGCTCGCGGGAGAGCCACGAGCACGTGACTCGGTCCGGCAAGAGCCTCTGCGGAACAGCGCGCTATCTGAAGAAGCTGGCACTACGGGAATGCTCCTGGGATCACGGAATGCGGGCATGTGCATGTTGTAGCTTCTTTTGCAGCAGGCACCTGTCTCGCGATCGAGGCGCATCACAAGCGCACTAGAAATTGGAACAGCAGTGCAAGGTGATTGTCGCGATACCACGCTATTTATCTAGCATTGCACAGTGTTGCGATGGGCGCGTTTTGTGCTTCCTGCCCCGCACTGGCATGTGCAGTTACTAAAATCAGCATGCTTTGCAGATGACTAGGGAGCCGTTTGTGCACGCTAACGCCTCGCCAGAACGACCACAATAACGAGGCGACAACGCTGCAGCAGACGTCGTCAATACCACGACCACCACCACCACAGCACAGACGTGGGAAACCGGCGAACTGGTGGCATGCACGATATAGTGTCCATTGTCCAAGAGCGTGTTACGGAGCGCTGACGGTGTGTCGTATCTTGGCAGGAAACGCACGAATACTGATCTACACTGCCATCCTGTTCTGCGGAACGAGCTGCAGTTGGCGCCCGCACTTTTCGGACATGTACCAACGCCAGAAATTCCAAAGACGTCACGCTTCGGGTTCATAAGTGACCTGCTTTCAAGAAGCTAGTACGTTCGCCTACTTTACGCAGACGTTCGGCAACGCCACCTCTTAGAGCAGGCCGCGCGTACAATTCACATCACCCGACGGCTTGCTCCTATTGTCAGTCGTGTTCAAGGCCCATTCGCTTCTCCATGGCGAGGTGTACATCCAACACGCGCTCATCCAAGCTTTCCAGCCGACCAGCGCGTGCGTGAAACTCGCCAGGCTGGAGTGTTTCGATTGCACCGCTTAGTACCTCCCAGCCCAGGCACGAGGAGCGCATGGTCACTGGACGATAGACTTCTCGCATGATGTGCTCCTCGAACAGCAGCCTCAGCGGCAAGTGTGTTCCGTATACTTGAGCGAGCCAACGCACGCGTTCCTCGCGGTAACGGGTGCGGTCGCGTTCCTCCAGCACTTGCACGGGGTGGCGCTCGCGACTGATCGAATCCACGGTTTCGTACGGATTCGACCGAAAACGGTCTCGAGGAAAGTTTCGCTGCAAGTCCAGATCGTAAAAGTCGTTTTTGCTGCCGCTCATAACCACAGAGTCTGAGTGCGTTGCGTCCGCAAAACGTCCAAGGTCGCTCACTGCTCTACGCTGCGCGCTGCTTTCGGCGGTTCAGCTGCGCCGACGGTGCACAGCGCGCCTCGCTTGGCGGCGATGTCGAGCGGGAAAACATAGTACGCCGCTGCGTCCTCATATTGCCGTCGTTATTCATGGTGCACGCTCGCTGAAAATCTACCGGTGATTATCGGGTGTGCTATGGGTATCAAAATGTGGGGAATGCATCCTGGATCGGTTTGTGTTCCGCGCTGGTCCTAGCATGTGCGATGCACGACTCGAATACACACACAGGTATGCATGTGGTATTGTCATCGTCGGTGCAGCATTTCAGAGGGCGAATGTGACGATTTCGGTTGAAGCAACGTGGGCAGGGCGTCTGCGGCAACTTTTCTGGATTCGGATCTACAGCTGTCGGATGGTCCATATGGCGGGGCGCCCTTGGCGATGCAAAGAAAGCGGGTATCGTTGGAGTGCGTTTCAGAAGTTCACTCAAAAGGAAGCTCTCTGACGCATGACACATCAATCTGAGAGAACTGCGTCCATACATAGCGCGATGCACGTTCCATATTCAGGGATACGTCTCATTCATAGAGTGCGGGATCGACACATGTAGCCAGAATCATGTTTATAAGCGATGCTCGGCAGGCAGCGACGAAGCATGCGCGCACAGCACCTCAGCAGATCCTCCCGTATTCGATGCACATGGGACGATTTTCCCATTTTTACAGTATAACATGGATCAATCTAACTAGCATCTTCTGTGGACGCCATTCTTTTCGGTAAAAAAGAGAAGCTTGCACCATACTGCTCCAGAAGCTTCCACGTTCCACGACTCGTATAAGTGGCGTCGGTGCAATGCGTGCGCTGGTGCGCATCGCCGCTTCCACTGGATGCGTCCACAGCAGTTGAGGCATGCGGGCACAATAGCTCATGAGGCGGTGCATGGAGACAATTTGCGTGCTTTGAGAGCGTTCTGGTCAGTTCAGTGCCAGCAACTTGCAGACACAATGCAGGTCTCACGGGACGGTTCACGAACCATCGCGTGATCCCAAATCACTTTGCACGTGCAGGTAAAGCGCCTTCGTTTCGAAATATCGCTTTAGAACTCTTTCCCGCTAGAAGAGGAAGCCAGCCAACAAAATCCACGGCAGACTCTCACTTCGCTGAACCGTTACCAAGCCACACACTAGTCGCCGAAAACACGCTTTTTCCCGCTCGGCTATGGCTAGTCGTGGAAACTGAAGCAAAAAAACACAGAAAACGCAAGGGCATGGCCAGTTCACTCAGACGGTTCCGTCAAACAGCGCCAGCGCTCAAGTGCTTTTTCCCACGACTCACTTGCGCCCAGAGACGAAGAATTGGAGCACGACGTAGCTGCACAGACGGTAGAATGCGATCATTGCGATGAGTATGCCCGAGTTCATCCAGATATTCTTGAACTTGACGTCATAGAATTCAAGTACCTGTGCGCCATTCAACTGAATCGTATCCCCGACAACGTTCTCTGAGAAGCCCGTTTGAGAGCCGAAATTATTTGCCATGAAACTTCCAAACCCGTAGGTGTGTAATGAGATGTAACCAATCCAGCGGACCCACCAGCCGATCTTATTGAAAGTCGCGAAAAACCCACAGGTCAACATATAGGCACCGTAGACAGCAGCTCCCAGCGCGATTGCCAGGATCGCGATCGGCACGAGGATGCTGATGAGCATCATGAGCGCCTCTGCAACCGCAAGCGCTAGGAATAAATTCCAGATGAAGAAGAAGAAACGGCCGGCTGTTGGCGTGAGTCCCACCATCCAGTATACGATGGACGAGTTCACGAGCGAGATGAGGAAAACCGCAGGAATGGAGACGAGGGTGTTTGCGATCATCCAAGAATCCACGCTATAGAGGCCGTTTCCGCGCTCGCGCAAGAACACAAGGCGCTCTTCGATGAACATCACGACGGTGCTGACAGACATGAAAGTCAGAAAAGCCGCAACGAAAAACAAGACGCTCACGATATCTCGAAGCTGGCTTTTGCCCAGCCGCAGGTACACGAGGCCAACGAATATAGACAGAGCCACATACATCGCCATACGCAGCAGGACGGCAGCGGGGTTACGTCGGTAGTTGAGGGCGTTCCGGCGGGTAAGCACTTGCACCTGATGCCAGCGAGGCACTGGCTTCACCTCAATACTCTGGCTCTGCTGCTCAGTCTGCGTCGTTGCGCGCAGTTTCTCAAGTTCCGCATCGAGAACCTTCTTCTCTTCCGACTGTGTCCACGCGTTGCTAATCTTTTCCACTTGCTCCTCGCTCGCAAAGTCTGAATTGATACAGTCCAAGAAAAAGTCGGCTGGATTCTCAAGGTTTGGAAGTGGATACCCAATTTTCTCGAAATACTTCACAGCATGGCTGGTTGGCCCAAAGTATACAGTGCGCCCTCGAGAAAGGAGCATGAGCTTATCGCTCAGTGCCAGAACTCGGGCAGCCGGCTGGTGGATCGTGGCAACAATGGTTACGCCCATGGCAGCGAGGTTCCGAATCGAGACCATGAGATGAAAGGCGGCGGCTGAATCGAGGCCAGAGGTCGGTTCATCGAGAAAAAGGATGCTGGGCAGGCGAAGAATCTCTACACCGATTGACAGGCGCCGCTTTTGGCCACCAGAGATACCTCGGAAAAAAGGCGAGCCCACCAACGTATTCTGCGCATCCTCTAAACCGAGTGTACGCAGCATCTGGTCAACGCGGTCTTCGAGTTCAGACTTGGACACACTTGGACCCAGCTGCAAGGTTGCTGCGTAACGAAGCGATTCGCGAACTGTCAGTGAACCATACAGTGCATCTTCCTGCTCGACAAAGGCGTGAATCTGACGCCAGTTGGTTTGCTCACGGGGTATGTCGTTGACATAAACCGGAGTCTGGAGGCCAACCTGGTGCTCTATTCTGTCAGACAATGCAGATAAAAGGGTAGTTTTTCCGCTTCCACTCGGTCCCATGACGAAAAGCACTTCGCCGGGGCGCACCACACCGCCAACGTTGTTAAGCAGTACCTTTTTGGTTGGCGAAGCCGACTCTATATCCGTTTTGGACACCTTCTTGCCAATCTTGAGAGGGACCTCGAAGTAAACGTCCCGCCACCAGAGTATAGCACGTTCGTCTTCAGGAAGCTTGTCTCCATGTTGACCGAGAAATACGGGAAGTCTGGTGATGTACTGCGAAGTCCCTGTACCGTGGCTGGACAGGGAAGCGAGACGCGCTTCGATATCATCTCGCTCCGAGATTTCCCGCCCCCTTTCGATGCCTTTGTTTTGATCTAAGAGTGTCATACGAAGATTAATAGTATCCACGACGATTTAACTTTCGTAGAAGGAACGTATGTGTTGTGCACAGTATTGGACACGGAATCAAAACACAGTAAAAAAATCAGATTTGAGAACCGGGGGTGCTATGTGATAGTGTGAGACACCGGGGCGCGCGCGGAGGTACTGTGAGACTCCGGGGTGCGCGCGGTGGAGTCAAGCGTCGCGCGCGATCCGCCGCCGTCGATCCGCCGCCGTCGATCCGCCTCCATCGATCCGCCTCCATCGATCCGCCTCCTCCGGCGCGTCTCGTGAGGCACCGAACAAAACAAACTAGTCACAAACTATTTATTAAAGAACAACTATCTTAAACACCCACACACCACGCCTGCCTAAGAGGTCTAGCTTTTTCCGGAGAAGCTCTGAAAGTGGGTTAACGCGGGGTGTCTAAGCGACGGGGAAGGAAGCCGACGACACGGACCTTGACCGCAACGAACGAAGGCGCGGAAGCAGTAGCACCAGAAAATATTGACGAGCATTCTGAGCAGTCATCCGCCCCTCCCGAAACAACGCTGCAGGTTCGGGCGCAAATACTGGATCCATCCTTGAATTCGGGCTCAGTTTCACCTTCTACCTTGAGTACCTACCTCAACTTTGGAAACAATCTCGGCGGATACTTTGGAAGACAGCTGGCAGTATGCTCACTGTCGAAAGTGGAATAAGCGACTTGCCCGCCTATGTGTTTGGGGAGCGGATACGAAGCCGCTGAAAGGCGGTTTGCAGACTGTTCCCAATGGTTAAGGGTAGCTTCACGCGTCCGGCAAGATAAAGGTCGCATTCGAATCGACCTTGACTAATGTACTTTTGATGCTAACTTCGTGCTGCGGCAGACACGCAGTGAACGACTGGAATGCAGGAGGCAATGGTGGCATGTGCTCTCACACACCCCGTGGAAGCTGCGTCTAAATCGACAATGTATCTCTGGAGTACCGCGGCGTTACTGCTATTCGGTTATGCGCTACGACTCGATAGGTTTCGCATCATGGAATATTAGCGGGATCGCCTCGGTATTGAACTACGAGATATCGAATTACCAGTACAGTAATGAAGAACTGATACAAGTCGAGGACTCTACAATAGGAAAAGAGACCCAACGGGATACGGAGAAGGAGACACAAAGGCCTCATGATCCACCTAGATGCAAAATAACCAGAGAAAGCAGCTCCGGAAAGAGCGCGAGGAAGAAGACCAACAAGGAAAAACAGAAGAATAGAAAAAAGAACGCCCAAACGAGCCCATCACGAGTGATCCCCCGAAAAAGCACCCCTGCGGGAACTCAAGAAAGCCGTCGCCAAACCCAGTCACCTACTCACAGCGCTGAAGATCCGAAAAGCCGTGCATGCAAATCTGTAGACCAACTGGCACGCGAGTTTGTAGATGGGAATCAGAAGATTGCCACAGAACTGGGACGGCTGGCACCAGAACGCAACAGCTGCAAACCTTAGTACCTGAAACGACGTATCAAAACCCAGATTGATGAATGCCACCGACTCAACAAAATCGTCAACCGCACCGCCATACATGCCAACGCCGGAGACAAGGAAGCGATGGCAGCGCTACCGGCGCTACCGGCGCAACATGAAGAAGCTATCAAAAGAAAGAACAAACTTCCCAGAGAAGACAAACGAGAGCATCGAAACCGCAAAATCGCCTCCCTGACGAAATCTATGCTGGAGAGCACCAACGAAGATGAGACCTAGCGCTCCATTCGATCGAGACTGGACCCACCAAAAAAGTGTCTGGGGCTCACACCAATCGTTTATGAGGAAGCGCTGAGGACGGAGCGTGCCTCAGTGAATGAGGCCTGGATAGACCACGGGACAGAGCTGCATGAAGACGCAACTGGGCACTGCCAAGACCCAATCTATTGGCACCAGTATGCCGCAGAACTACCGCGCCTCGAACCGGTACCGGAATGGAACGACCCAATCTTCTGGCCTGAATCTGTTCGGGCCCTGTTAAGCTCATGCAACCGCAAAACACCTGGCATTGACGGTATCGCTGCCGAGTGGATGAAACTGGTGATCCCAAAATACGAGACAACAGGGACACCATCGATACCACGCCTCAAGTCGACGCCCGTTGTGGTACGGCAACGCCGTTCTGTCTCCGTGCAGCGACCGCACCGGCGCTATAGGCGCTATTGCTGTCGCTTTCGGCAGGCACTAGGCACACACGATAGGACGTATGAAACGACCAGAATATCCGAGATGAAGTATAGGTAATGTACCATGGAGGTAGGTGTAGATCGATGGATACTTCACCGCGCACTGAAAAAACACACACAAAAAAAAGTAAGAAAAGAAAAATGCGCAGAATCGGAGAACGCTGGCCTAAGTAAACGTTTTGTGAGTGGAAAAAAATTTGATAATCGCCCATATCCCCTTGCGTGAGATTCCCGGGTACAGCGCAAACACGGCGCGTATCATGAAACGTTCGAGGTTCATCGTCACATGGTTCTTCAGGTTCGTCAGGTACTTGATGGCCCCGTATTCGTAAATATCCGCGTCACCTGTATACCGAGTACCATCGAAGCTGTAAAAGAGATGTTTTTCGTGGAGGACGTGCACGCGTTCATTTTCCCTCCGCGCTTCCGCTGTACCAAGCATCAGGTGACGAATAAAGGTCTCGTCGAAAACTCGTTCGGAAGCTGGACCGTTTCCATGTGCGTCATTTCGGGATACATCTCCCCGCCAAATGCACTAGTCCTGACGACACCTGTATTATAGTCATGGAGTTCGGCTCAAAACGGTTTCGAATGGACTCTCGTAACTTTTTCTTGCACGGAACCTTGATCTGTCCAAGAAGACAGGCTTTCATAACCAGTTCGTTGTAGTGTGGTCTTTCTTGCAGCCATCGACGTAGGACCTCCCTCCTTTCGGTCCTTCTTCTCTTCCTTTTCTTCTGGACTCGGTACTGTTTTTTGTTTTTTCTGGCAGCCAGCGACACCTAGGCCACCAGGATCCTCCACTTAATTCCCCATAGGTTTCCTACTTTATTTTTTTGAAAAGGAACGCTCTTTGAACGCTTATGTCATATAATGGGAAAAACACTTGAATACACTTGTTTGAGGTTTGAAACACGAATGAACTGAAAACTATGCTTTGCTACGACTACATCGCAAATCCAACTTGTTCGTTGGATCTACACACTCTATCTCGCCATGCGATGCCGTTGTCATCCGTTCGACAAGGCCCCCAGCCACAGTGAACGCGCCTAATCTGGAGTCTCATGTCCCCCTAACAAGAAAACGTATTGTCAAGCTCGCGTTTCCCTTCAACGGCTACATTCGCGCCGTATCTCGTGACGGCCTGATCGCCCAGGTGCGCGTATCGAGTGCGCCACACAGAAAAAAGAACAGAGACTCTCGATTCACGAGCATGTAGATTTTGTTTTCCCTTTCGACGATAAACTTTGAAAGGAGAGAAAGCTTTCCGTATTTTAGAAACTTTACCTTTTACGCGTAAGATCCCTAGAACTGTAAGAGTCTGCTAAGCTGGTGCTCGGTGTTCATCTAAAGTGGCTGGAGCAGCCGCGAGACCTGAGCAACTCGTCCCCAGAGCGGTTTATTCCGGGACCAGGGGTGCTTAGGCAGCGTCTGCACGCCGCCCTGGTCGCAGCGTATCCAGTGGTAAGCCTAGACTGTTCTGTCTACGTGCCATGACCGCAGCGGCGCAATGGGGGCTACGGCGGGTGCTCACGGCATGCATTCGACACGCGATAGGGCGTGCGAAAGGACAATTATATCCGAGAAGAAGAATGGCTAATGGAACGTGAAAGTAGAGTGCAACATGGTGGACGCTTTCCCCGAAGTCGCTGGCGGCGCGTCTCCATTCCATGCGAAAGTGCTGCACCGAGTTACTGGTATCGATGACCCGAGTTCGATTAAACTTGAACAGTATATTGCTCGCCCTCTTCCTGCTTTTCGAATTTTAAAACTTTATTCCGATGGAAAGCCGCGGCATTCGAAAAGGGGCTATTGTGACTTACGCATTCTAACGAATATGCGGATCCTCGGCAGCGTTTTTGGAATGGCCTCCTCAACGCGTTACCACGGGAACTCTTTCAGTTCCGGGACGCGAGCTCATTTGCGAGACCCCCCGAGCGAGACTTCTTAAAATACCCGATACGATGATCCACCGCATACGCCCAAGTCTCCAAGCTTCCCTTTTTCTCACGATAAGTATGCTTCAACCATAAATGTTTCAAGGCGACCCGTTGACGCAGCAATGCACGTCACTAGATTGATGAGCAGAAAAATTCGACTTGCTCCACTGTGAGCATGTTCATGAGCTCGCACGGAAAGCTCTCTGAACTCATCAATTCAAATAATCGATTCTCTTCGAAAATGGACAAATGCTCCTCTATTTGTGGCCATCAAGGAGGCCGCATTCGACAGCAGCACGATGCCTGTAATGGGATACGCTTCCAGAGCCATCCGCCTGCACAGTGTGAATGCAAAGGGGTCCTGCGCTCGGACCTCAGCCATCGCAGCGCTCGCTTCCTGCGGATAATGCGCAACCGTTTCGCATGATGGGGGCGTAGATGAACAGAGATATTACGACTTGACCTCTAGCCTGTTTTTTCCCTTCCAGTGCCTTTTCAATGTAGACAACATCGCGTTCCACAAACCCCGTATCGAATGGGACAGCGTGCGCTTGCGTGTACCTCGGACAGAGTCCTCGCCAAGGCGATCGCGCGGAAGAGGCCGGTGATCAGAGCGTACAGTAATGGGCACGAAAACGAAGAATGCGTCATGGGGAGCGCTCTGCACCCGTCAACTACTTGTACTGAGCGATGAAGCGAGCGGTCAAGCGCCACCAAGAACGCCTCAACCTAGTTGTCCAGTTTTCCTTGGGGGGCGAATGCGCTGCTCCAGGTGGAAACCCTCCTGAAGCGCGGCAAGTGGACGCGCGCTGCATCCTTCCAAAGCGATACATTTTGGGTCAAATCGTACGCTATGAACAGTATCCACCGCGGGCGCTCCGTCGAGCACCTGCGCTTCCGAACGCGGGTATTCGCGTAAACACAGAGGCCATGTCGGGAGCGTGCCGTGTCACGGCATTTTGTTTCGCTTCTACTCATATCATCACAAGATCAGAAGAGCGATCGGCTAAAACAAGGTTCATATGGAGATGGCGCGTTCAATGGCGCGCTTCACGCTCTGCTGTGAACCGGCTTACTTGCACCGCGACCTCACCGTCGTCGCCCAAAACACCAACAACCTCTGCAGACGGGCACGCGCGGGACGGAACAGCGGGCCTGGAACCCTTGCGCGTCTACGACCCGGAAGTGTACCAGATTCTCGAGAAGGAGAAAGAACGGCAACGGAGAGGACTCGAACTTATCGCATCGGAGAACTTCACCTCCGCCGCAGTGATGGAAGCACTCGGATCTGCCTTCACCAATAAGTATTCAGAAGGTTATCCTGGTCGCAGATATTATGGTGGAAACATGTATATCGATGAAGTTGAGCGGCTATGTCAGGAACGCGCACTCGCCGCGTTCTCCCTGTCGCCAACCGACTGGGGCGTCAACGTACAGCCGTACTCAGGGTCACCGGCCAACTTTGCAGTCTATACGGCGCTGCTGAATCCGCACGATCGTATCATGGGCCTCGATCTTCCTTCCGGCGGACATCTAACCCATGGTTTTTACACGGCGAAGAAGCGCGTTTCGGCGACCTCGATCTACTTCGAGTCGCTGCCGTACCGAGTGAATGAAACCACTGGTTACATCGACTATGATGCGCTGGAGAAACAAGCCGCACTCTTCCGACCAAAGCTGTTGATCGCTGGGGGCAGTGCGTATGCACGCGAGTGGGATTACGCACGTTTCCGGCAGATAGCTGACCAGAGCGGCGCGTACCTCTTGGTCGATATGGCACACATCAGCGGACTTGTAGCGACCGGCGAAGCACAATCACCGTTCCCCTATGCAGACGTTGTGACGACGACGACGCACAAGTCGCTGCGAGGCCCCCGAGCTGGAATGATTTTTTATCGCCGGTCAGCGCTGGCAGAAATAGCACCGCGTGGTGCCGACCTCGAGCAGCGCATTCAGGAAGCGGTATTTCCGGCTTTACAGGGTGGTCCACACAACCACCAAATCGCTGCCTTGGCGGTGCAGTTACGCGAGGTACAAACGCCCGCCTTTCGAGCATACGCCAAGCAAATTCGACGGAATGCACAGGCCCTGGCCCGACGTCTTGTACAACACGGGTATGATTTGGTGACCGGTGGCACGGAGAATCATCTGGTACTGTGGGACCTCCGACCGATCGGAATCACGGGAAGCAAGATGGAAAAGTTATGTGAATACGTGAGCATTACACTGAACAAAAATGCAGTACCCGGTGATACCAGCGCCCTGAACCCAGGTGGCGTTCGGATCGGCACGCCAGCGCTGACGACTCGCGGTTTTCGTGAGGCGGATTTCGAAAAGGTTGCAGACTTTCTGGATTCATGTGTGCGGATTGCACTCCGGATCCAGGAACAAAGCGGTAAGAAGCTTAATGACTTTGTCGCAATGCTTCCAGACGATCCAGAGGTGCAAGCGCTCCGTGAAAGCGTGGAGCGCTTTGCGAGCACCTTTCCTATGCCTGGTCGCTGATTCGTTACCCTCAAGCTGATTGCCCTGCTTGGACACGGACCCTCTATCTCTGTCGGGGGGTATGCACGAATACGGTGGAGGCACCTACACTCGCCCGTACTGTTTCCGGCGCATTCGACGAGAGCAGCGCCCTTATCTTTGTGAATCAGGCGTGGACGTCTTCTCAAAGGCACCGCGATGACGCTGAAAGTGGTCACGAAACCCGTACGCAAGCAATAGATGCCGTCTATCGGAAACAGTTGTTCATCGGGGGATTTGCTCATCCACACGTCTGCACGCGTGGATGTTAGGGTGGAATCCAGCATGCCGGCATGGTAAAAATTCTCACGAATCGTTGATCCTCCGAACCGTCGGCATCTGCACGTACAGGTACGGATACTAAAGTCGAATCCTTTATTTTCGTGATCTGTATCCACGCGTCTGGCAGCTCGTGCTCGTCAGCGCGTTTGCCGCAACCTGCTGCTCCCTCTTCGGTGGTACGAATGTCGCCCAGCAGATCAGTTTCACCGTATCCGCCAGCCCAAAGTCGACGACGATCACAAAACAGGTCCCGGGTGCTCGTCACAACGGACCTCCGCTTTCGCGTCTGCGAACGCGAGCATCGAACGCGGAGCTTGCACGGCGCCAGGACGAGCGCTCGTTCATGCACAAACGCAAGCCTGTAGAAAAGCTTTCTGTGCTTCGTGCGACCTTGCGAAGCGATTTTGCAGGCCAGTGCCGGAACCTCGCCCAACTGATGTACGGCAACGCTGATTGTGGAAACGAGACAGCAAATTCAGCTGGATATCTGGACCTCTTCCCCTGGCATGTTTTACACGCCGTTCGATCATGACCAGAGCAGCGACTGCAGCGCTGCGATGCCAATGCGATCGCCAAGAGGTAGCGTCCCTCATCTGCAGGTCATCTAACAATCTAGGGACTGGTCTGTGGCAGCGGTGTGTGGCCCCCAGCGGTTTGCATTCCTTTGAACTGAAGAGGCACGAGCAGTAGTGGCGTGCAATGCATACGTCGGAGCCTCCTCGACATGAACGCCTTTCTGGGTAATACTCAGACTAGTGCCTTCTAGAGTGCCTGTACCAGCACGCCCGATTTGGTTTTGTTTGTTTTCCTGGCAGGAGGATCGAGTAGGATGACGAGGTCAGGACCCGTCTCGATGCTCTGGGTTCCTTTCCGATGAATGAGGACATTTTCTGCGCCTTATTTCGAGCGAATATTAGCGTCCAACTAGCGAAATCGGACAATCTCCGGCTGGAGTGCATGACATCGTGCACGGGACGCCAACGGTATCCGCAGTGCAGAGACAACAAGCGTGGATTCAAGTGTCTGCTCAATATGTAGGAAATAGAAATGACGAACATGACGTGTCGTTTGGTCGAGGCCCCTGGCTCTGGAGGTGCTGCAACGCGCTGAACCTGCACTTTTGCTCCGTCGACCAGCGCGCACAAAGTGAGCAGGAACTGAATCTTTCCATCTCCCATCGATGCAATCCAGACGATTTGAGCGCATCACGAGCACAAGGGCACGTTGAGCGTGCTAGACGACAACAGCAACATCGTGAAGCAATGACGAATGCACCAGATGATGGAAAGTTAGTTGACCATCCGTTTATGGCGAGGCAGTCGGGGGCAAGAGACTTGCGATGATATGACTCTCCGCGCAACAGTACGCGCCATGACTTGATGCATCGTGACAGGAAGGCTCCCATCACGAGCGAGGGATGTCTCGTGCTTCCCGGGCGGACGTCCGTCGGCTCGGTATCCAGCGAGCTTTCGCAGGAATCGTTTCGTACCAAGCGTGTGCGTTGTGCTGCGATGCGGAAGACTTGCGCTCACGAAATCAGTGCCTGGGAGAGGGTCATAGATTCCCGTCTGGCTCAAGGCCCTGGCATGATACGGGGTCACCAATGCGGCAAGGCTGGTACGTTCTATGCATACATCGGGAACGGTTTCCCAGGTAATCGGTGAACAAGAATGGTGCCATATCATTCAGTAGTACTGAATATTGGTATATATAGGCAGAACGTTTCACCGTAAACCTCTGATGGATTCCTAAAGCAACGTCAGACTGAATCGGATCGGGTCCGTTCAGATAACCCGAGTGTTTACGCTCAACATGAGGGTCTCTTCTCCTTGTCATCAACATGAGCGTTTTGCGCGCTTCCACTGCGAATGCTTCCTTTTTCTCTCGCTTATATGCGGTTTTCAGTGTGCCGGTCTCTACGATCCCTCCAGCTCCGATGTCAGCTGTTGGGGAGAGTTCATGAGAGCGTGTGAGTCCCGCTCTCGTCGCTTCCTGCTGTTGTCGACGCATTGCATGCCGAGGCTCAAGTGACGATCTACATATCGATTCCCATTTTCACCGTCTTTGTAGATAGCCTTGATGCGCTCTTCGCAGCGCTGTTCATTCACTGAGCTCAGGTGCTCCCATCTGTCCACCGACTTTGCTTCTCAGAGCATTGCCAACCTCTATAGTGTTCGAAAGCTTCGTTCATCTCGTTCGATGCCGTCCTCCGTTTCCGCGCTCGGTGCCGTACCGTGCGATCATGAGCAACTTCTGTATGAAAACTACGGCGACTGCGCTGTCCTCTGCACGTGGGAGCGCGCGCTGTTCCATGAAAGCCCGTCCTTGTGGAACGCAATGTTGTCCTTGATGAAACAAGTACCGAGAAGCAAAATCCAGGATACAGAACATGATAACGAATTTCGATGTTCCGGTGCCCCGTTCGAGCTAAGCGATGCTGCACGCTCCACTGGAAACAATCGCTCCGATGAATCTAGTCCGAGTCCGAGACGCTCTTTTACGAAAACAGCAGAAATGCGAGCTTCTCGCAACGTATCAGAGGAGAAGTATCATGCCGTTGTCGAATGGCGTCTTATCGATGGGAACAAAGATGGAAAAATCTAGTTTTTGAACGGAACAGATGATTCAACTTGACAAGTTCCGTGAAGTTTCGGCTTATACTTGTGACCGAATCGTTCACGGACGACCTCGAGTATCTTTCCTCGTAAACCTAGCGGTGCAAAGGGCTGCACCCATGATTTGCCTTGAAATAAAGAGATCGAATCCCTGAAGGATTTGTGACATGCGCGTGCCTCATATAAAGAAAAGAGATGGGCGGAGGCTTTGCCTCATGAATTCGATGATGATATCGGTAATTTCACGAACCTTCGTTCGGCGGCGTCGCCAAACATCCTGAATCCGGTGACGTAACAAAAGCCAACGGCAAAGCGTCGTAGCAGGCACTTCACCACTGAGAACGCTGAGCCTACGTATGCATCCGCAAGCCCTTCGTGCAGCACTCGAAATTACAATTCTATACATGTACATACGGTTCGGAAAAAAATCTCAGGGCATGAACAGTGCGACCAGTTCCATGTTTCAGTTTACTCTGACACGCGTCCTAGTGCAGGTAGCGGGGTGCGAGCTTCAGCGGCATCGTCCTCGCTTGACCAAGAAGCCTTGTAGTTACAGCGGGCGCGCTCCGATGCCTGAACGTCATCGCGAGCCCATCGGACAAGTTCCGCACTGAACGCCAATAACGCAACCCTCGTATTCGTCTTCTGCGTGTTGTGCAGGAGCCCGCCCTGGCAGCGGTTTCTGCAAAACTCGGCACCGCTCAGAGGACCTGTGGCACATCCACGGGACAAGGACATGATACGCGGGCAGCGGGTACCGGTCCTGGCCCTGGTTCCGCTGACGACGGCACCTCAGCCATAACTTGCGTACTGCGACGACGAAAGCGACGTGCTTGGTGGCACACGCTGCGCACCATGGTGCCGCTCTCGGGTCCAAACAGATGCCGAGATATACCATCACGAAGCCCTGTTGCAGGACGTTCACAGAATGAGGCAGGTACAGCCTGTGCTTCCCACTCAGTCCAAGTCGGGGAACGATTCAGCGCACCAACAAGCCCAGCGAGACGACGAGTCGCAGCCGTCCGAGCCACTTTTTCTATATCCTCGACAGGCTCATGCCTGGTGTTGGTACCGCTCAGCGAACCAACAGCTGACGTACTCGAGGAGCGTGTGCGCACACCAGGTCCAGAGTGGCTCGCTGCATCCGCAGATGACGATCCGAGCGCTTGCGTTCCAGAAAGTGTTCGTGGACGCGACGCTGACGCCGTCACCGATCGGACATCGTCGAGGACTTTTCGAATCTCTGACAAGTCCGTAGCATCGGGCAGCGCGCTGCGGCGTGTGCGTTTCTGTGGCGTTTCCGGCGGTGACATCACCGGCGTCGCCAGCCCTGCAGCCGGTGACGACTCCACATCCGAACTCGGGCACGCTGCCGTTGGTGCACCAGAATTCCGAGACCCGCCTGCGAGCGGCTGGGATAACGGCGTGCTCGACTTGACTGTCCGCTCAGGCGTTTTCAGCGCTGCTGCTGCTGCTGCTGCTGCACCTTTCTGTGAACGCAATGACCAGTGCGGGCCTGCCGTTTGCGCATGCGTCGAGAGCTCATCCAACATGGATGCGCTCGCAGGTGAATGACCTGATGAGGGAGTTTCGCACCTCAGGTCTCGCAATTTGGGTTCTATCTGGACCAGGTAATGCTGTTGGGCTCCGATCACAGATCCGGGGCGGCACAGCCGACACCAGGCAATGGCCTCCGTTGCCGTAAAGCCGTACATGTGCATCAAAGCACAGCACATAAGCGTTCCAGTGCGTCCAAGGCCGGCCTTGCAGTGAACCGCAACGGCACCCGGTTCATCCGCGCAAATCGCCAGAAAACGCTGGACGATATTCCAGTCCGGACATGCACCGTCCGCAAAGTACAGATCGTAGTGACGAAATCCCGCTTGGCGAAAAACACGCGCGTCATAGCGTCGCCGGTTCAGACGTACCACAGCAGTGACGCCAAACTGCTGAAAGAGGCGAATAAAGTACTCGGGAGCACAGCCCACGCCGATGTCTGTTGCTTCCGGGCAGCTCGTCGGACCCGCGAACGCCAGCAGCTTACCCGGAACAATCCAGTTCAGGTCGCCGTTGTGTACTTGCTCCCAAAGCTCATATGATTCGATATCGAACGCATCTGGTGCGAAGAGGTGGCACACATTGGTCGCCCGATGCCAAGCGCTGATGCAGTCAAAGACGCCCAAAGGGAACGAGGATTCCGGACCAGCAGATGCATCGCGAAAGAAAACCAAAGAGCTTTTGAGACGCTGGAGTTTTGCATCGGCCTGTTCGGGGAGATCTCCAAGGCGAAGAACGCGATAGGCGCCCACCAGGGCTGCTGCGTTCGTCAAAGACTCTAGATCATCTGTACAGAGCATGATGGCGATAGGAGACGCCCTGCCGGGGACATTGTCCTCCACGAAAGATCCTTCATCTCCGTCGCTAACAACAGTTTTCGGAGCGTATGCAAGATTGTGTTTCACTCCCTCGCCTTGGACTGCGTTGCCTCGCAGTGCTCCGTCGCACATACCCCGAGGCATCAAGACACCGTCCGTGCGTCCTTGCCAGAGATGCAGCTCTCGGACGATACTTTCAATACGCTGAATAAACCGCATGGTCTGCGCGAGATTGTATGGTCCAAAGTCGTTACAGAACGCCTCGTACACAAGGTCGTCCTGGACGGAAAACAAAAGTCCAGCCAGGTGTCGAGTTCGGTTCGAGCGAGCGCCGCCACCTGCGGTGTCCGCAGCGTCCGCCTGCGGCCGGAGCGGCGTGCCGTTCGCAGTCGCTTCTGCGAAGAGCCCCAACAGCGTCGGCGGTGCTAACAACCGACAGTCCGGAGTGCGTCTTTCGCAGCATCCTCGATCGATGCTTTCAGATACTGGCCGGTCTTCAGGGTCTCGGGCGCGTACCGACCACGGAACCAGGTACACGAGACCAGGAACAACCTCAGCATAGAGCTCTAGACGAAGATGCGATCGCAGTTCTGGCCTCTGCTCCAAGGCAGAACGCAGCCAAGGAGACATCCAAGCCCATTCTTCATATGCACAGTGGGTTCTTTGTTCGTCGCCCTCAAAGCAACTGCTGCTTCGCTGCTCTGAGGGTTCCTCAGCTCCGCCCGGTCCCGCGCTTGTTCGCACGCGCTCCGACACAGACTGCGCCCTGCTCTGCTGGCGGGTGCGATGCGCAACACCGACCATCATCTCCGTCGTGCCTGTGCAGCTACTGAAAGCTGATAAGCACAGGACAAAAGTTCAGAGGCTACAAACACGTCTTTGCATCCACGTCCGAGCACACATTCGTCAGGGACGCTGCAAAATAGACCCCCGATGGATCCGCCTCCGATGCCGGGGAGTGTAGGCCCCGGTGCGCTTCGACGGCCTTGTTTCGTTGTTCGCAGCCGCAGCTCGATGCGCGATCTCCGGCGGATGCGCGCCTGCCGTGGACGTAACGGTCGCGCGATGCTACTGGGCCTTGCATCGCATACGACTCAAATGTACAGAAATGTTCAAATTGATACGGCGATCGTTACGAGCGCGTGTGCGTGCGATTTGGCTGTGATGGAAAAACGTGTCCATGGACTGTGGATGGCCCAAATTGCGGGATAGGTGAGCATTGACATTCGGGAAAGCGTCCATCATGCTGCGCAATACTCACGCCCAAGTTCTATTACCTATGCTTCCTATTTTCTATATGGTGCGCTTGATATTTGCACCTCCAGATCTGACATGCATTGAACACGTCGCGCATGTCGCCGCTTTAGGGAAACGCGATACTGATCATCAGCGTGACGCTCGAACGAACAAGTTGTATTTGCGTCAAATTCGTACCAAAGTAGAGTGTTTATCCCAATCGTGTTTCAACCATCAAGTACGTGTATTCAAGTGGTTATTTGCAGTTTGTATCAGAAGCGTTCAAAGAGCGATATAAAAAAATCAAAAAATGGAAAGTTTCGGAAGAGGAAGAGGAGGATCCTGGAGGCGGAGTATCACCGGCTGGCAGAAAAAAACAAAAGACAGTGCAGAGCGAAGAAGAACAGGAAAAGACGAAGAAGCAAAAAGGAGAGGCTCTACCTCAAATGCTGGAAGAAAGACGACGGTGTGACGAGATGGTAGTGAAAGCCTGTCTTCGTAAACAGAACAAAGATCCGTACAAGCAGGCGTTGCGGGAGGCCATTAGAAACCGTGTTGAGTCGTACTGTAGGAGTATTCGTAACGCTTCTTTTGGACATATGCATATAGCGAAGGAGATGTATCGTAACGTGACGCACATGGAAACAGTCGAGGTTCCGGATGAATTTTTCAACGAGAACTTATTCGTCGCTTGCTGGTTGGCACAGGGGAAGCTTCGACGAAAACAATGAGCGAGTGCATGCTCTCCACGAACATTGCGCCGAATTTCGCTTCAGCGATACTCGATACAAGGATGTCCGGCATATTTACACCTACGAGCCGATGTAGTACCCGACGAACCTGAGGAACCATTTGACCAAGAACCTCAAACGCTTCGTGATACGCTCCATCTTTGCACTATACCCGGGCCTCTCTCGCAAAGTGATTGAGGATCATAGTCGATGGCATCGTTAACGATAGTAAGAATGAAGAGGAGAACGAATTCGTTGAGAAGAAGACATTACACAGGGGACAGAATGAAGCTTCTGGAATCCGTGCGGCTATTCAAGAGCACCGTGTGGTCGTGGGCCTGTTCAACCCAGCAGAAATGGTATCCGATATGGAATAAGATTAAGAAAGATGCTATCCCCTAATCCTGCGGTTTTTCGTGTTTTTGGACCGAGAACTCGAACGTAAGGCGGAGATGGAGCTGGGTGTCGTAAAATGAAGAGTCGGAGAAACGGAAGGCTGCCCTAATGGGAACGCGCTTCAACGGCGTTCCATTGTGGAACATCAAGTCGCACATTGTGACCATCAACTCCAGAGTCCTTCACAGCTTAATGAAAGAGGTCACCCCAGTGTTCGATGTCCATGAGGAGGAGTTCAGCAAAGTGACAAGCCGCGGAGCGGACTTTCGAGCCTTCCGGGAATTCATGGAAGCTCAGGCTGCTCATGACTGCGAGATGTGGAAATGGTCCGGAAAGCCCCGGAGGGCCCGTCAGCATGTGAACCTGTATTGTGGCAAACAGCGTGCATTCACCAACTTCTTCAATCAGTTGAGCGTCCTCAAGGTGGTCAAGAGTCAAAGGATTGTAATATCGTACGGAGCAGGGCGCTTTGTACCCGGAAGACGGAGCGCACCCGCTCCATCGACACGAGCGAACAAGGAGTGCGCATACCTGTTTATTCCATTTCCGATAGATGAGTTCCGAACGTCCTATGTGCACCATGAGCTGAGATGTGCATTCCAGAGAATCGAGTTGGAGAAGTGTCAGCAGAGCCCTGAGCAAATAGAAAAATACTGTGCGCTAACGGAAGTGCAAATGGAAAGGAGGGCGAAAGTTCGACGGCTACTCGCATTAGAGAGTACAATCAACGGCAAGAAACGTACGGAGTTTGTGAATCGTCAATTTCACGCTGTTATCACAATAATGAGATGTGCGGTGCTGGAGACGAGACCCGAGGAGTTGACGCGAACCATCTCTGTGGGGCAGCTCCTCAAGGTCGCATTGTACGGAGAGAAGTTGAAACCAGTAGTTGCAGGCCGGTCAAAAAAGGCTGGGAGGCGTCTGCACGTCGGTGGGAGACGTATTGTCTACGTCGGGCGGTTTGCAGCTCGCCACCACAGTACACCCGTTATGCAGCGTACGCCGACTGAAACGCAATCGCTTCTTTGTCACACAATTTTGTAAGCATAAAGTTGAAATCGCTCCTTGAAGCATGCACTCGTGCACTCTGAATTTTGGGTATTGCCCCAGCGTTATCAAAATTGCCCCTTGGTGGATGGTTTTGCAGCTGCCTCCTTTTCTCTCCATCATCTCCGCGTTTGAAAACGTCGGTCTCTCGAGTCCCTACAGCTCTGCGGTCCGCAATCAAAGGTTCTTGATGGCAGCGTGCAAGTCCTTATTTCCCAGCTTCCAGGTGCAATCGACACCTTCTATTCACAGGCGAAAGTTGCGATACACGCATCGCTTGACATTTTCATTCGTTTTTTTGGACAGGTTCGGTGCTTCCTACGCAGCGGTGACATTAGAATGCTATCGGATGCTCCTACGCGTCCACCAATTTTCCTCATGCTCTGACCACCGACCTATGGCGCGTAAAGACTTGAGTCATCGCTCGGCACATACCATGGACGGCTAGACAAGGCGATTCGCCTCGCGCTCCTCTGATTCCGAGCCCCGTGTTGTACGCTACGATGACGGGGTTCTTCCGGGCGATCCCTTCGGAGACTACTTTGTCCAGTGCACACGCGAGCGTATGCTGTCCTCTTCAAGGGCGTATTTGTAGAACGCAATGCTGTTCACGATGGAACGAGTACCGGAAGCGAAAAATTCAGACTGTAGAAAAACGTGACCCAAGAACTTCGATCCTGCTGCGTGCCCTTTGTGCAAAAGCGACGGTGCGCCCTCCAATGGAATCCATCTCGACGATGACTCAGGCCCGAGTCCGAGACTCTTTTCCATCGAATCACAAGAACTGGGAGCCCCTGTGACCATATCCCGTGATACACGTCATGCTCGTGTCGATTACCATGTCGTCGAGGGCTACAAAGAGAAGAAGCATCAAATTTCGAACAGAGTCGATTATATGACGTGAGCCATTCACTTTTCGTTAGGCCTGAGCCCCCAGAGAGGCTTCCAAGGTTCGAAGCCGATCATGCGTCCGCGTCAACCCAGCGGAACGGAATCCTGGTCCCAGACGGTGCTCTGAACGAGAAAGAGTGAAAATTTGACGAGTGCATGATTGGTGGACGGTGCGCGTAAGGAGATATGTGTAGTCGTCTTCGCATGTAATGGATCATGATTCCTGATATTTTACGATTCCGTGTTCGTGGGCGTCGCGAGACATCCTGATTCCGCAGACGTAACGCACTCCAGCGGCAACGCGTCGAATGACCCATTCCGATACGACGACAGCGCTTCTCCAAACGACGTATGATTCCATAATCCCTTCTCGCCGCACTTCGAATGTGGCGTCTGTGCGCCTAACCGATTTCGGAAATTATCGACAGACCGGAGCAAAGCGAGCAGTTCAGTGTCCCATTCTCATTGGACCCGGGCCTCGGCACCGTCGACAAACAGTATGACGCAACCTCGTATGGACGTCGCCCGGCTCATGCCGCAACGCGACGATCGATCAAGGCCGTGGTCTGGACGATCGTTTGCGTCTGCAGCCTGCCGTAGTTTGTTTGTTTGTTTTGTACTTCCACAGGCGACGTGACCTTGTGCTTCGCGGTACATGTCTGCTGAGAGCGACCTGGCTGATGATTTGGACCGGCAGGCCTCATTGACGTCATCGAGGACGAAGAAGATACCCATTCAAGGAACTCGAAACGTCCTCGTTACGTCCGCGTTACCGTACGTCAACAACGTGCCGCACCTGGGAAACCTCATCGGTGCTGTGCTCTCCGCTGACGTCTACGCGCGCTACCTACGTCAGTGTGGAGTCAATGTGCTCTACATCTGTGGCACTGATGAGTACGGCACCGCCACAGAAACAAAAGCGAGAGAGGAAGGCGTATCGCCAAAGGCGCTTTGTGACAAGTACCACGAACTGCACCGACACATCTACCAGTGGTTCGACATACGCTTTGATCACTTTGGACGAACATCTATCCCTCAGCAGACAGCCATCTGTCAGGAGATATTCTGGGATGTGTACAGAAACGGCTTCGTCGTCGAGGACACCGTCGAACAGCTCTACGACGCGGAGGCGGGTATGTTCCTCGCAGACCGCTATGTGCGGGGCACGTGCCCGCACTGCGGCTACGCTGAGGCGCAAGGAGACCAGTGTGACGCGTGCGGGAACCTTCTGAACCCGACGGAACTGTTGGATCCTCGTTCCGCACTGACCGGAAGCGTCCCAGTGCGCCGCACGTCCCGCCACCTTTTCCTGGACCTTCCGCGGCTGCGTGACGAACTGGAGGCGTGGATTGAGCGCTCTGCAGCTCGGGGGCAATGGAGCGAAAATGCCCTCACGATGACGCGGAGTTGGTTGCGTGATGGTCTCAAAAAAAGATGTATCACAAGGGATCTGCGTTGGGGCGTTCCAGTTCCACTAGATGGATTCCAAGACAAAGTTTTCTACGTCTGGTTCGATGCTCCGATTGGCTACCTGAGCATCACTTCGGACTACATGGGCGACAACGAGAGCTGGCGCTGCTGGTGGCAGCAGCCAGACGATGTTGAACTCATTCAGTTCATGGGCAAGGACAATACACCATTCCATACGATCATTTTCCCGGGAACGCTACTCGCTACCCGGCGTCCGTTCACCATGCTTTGTCGCTTATCGACGACAGAATATCTGAACTATGAGAGCGGTAAGTTCAGCAAAAGCCGCGGTACTGGCGTCTTTGGTGACAGCGCATCCGAGACGGGTATACCCGCTTATGTGTGGCGTTATTATTTGGTGGCAAATCGACCAGAGCAAGCAGATTCTGTCTTTACATGGACCGATCTGGCTGCAAAGAATAACAACGAATTGCTTGCGAACATTGGCAACGTCGTCAGCCGCGTGGTTGCTTTTGTTCAGAACCAAATGGGAGGCGTGCTGCCGGCGCTCGCGGACGCCTGGTCACCAGCGCCGCTCGATGAACGCTTGTTCGAGCAGGTTACGGCGGAGTTGCAGGTTTTTCATCAGGCAATGGCGAATATCGGCTTGAAGGCAGCGCTGCGCTCGAGCATGTCCATCGGAAGACTCGCGAATCAGTACTTGCAGGAAACAAAGCCGTGGGACCTCTTCAAACAGGACTCGAAACGCGCAGACGGTGTTCGTGTTCTCGTCATCGCGAGTGCAGTTATCCGCTTGCTGGCTGTGACCCTCGAGCCGTTCCTGGGGTCGGGCTTCGCGAGGCTGGTTTTCCAACAAATCGGTGTACCCCATGCCGATGAGACAAATCGAATTCCGCAGCGTTTCGATCGATCGCAGCTTCAGGAATGGAACTATGGCACCGAATCATTTGCGTTTGGCAAACCACAGCACCTGTTCACGAAGCTGGAACCCAGCTTCATAGAAGAGCTCCGTCGCCATTTCGCGGGACATGTTTCTGCCAACGAAGGCTCGGCATCGAGTGGTGTGGCATCTTCCGACAGCGAGCTACCTCTGGAACTTCGTCTCGGACGGATTATGCAGTGCAACAAGACAGCGCAGTCCGATCAATTGTATCAGTTGGTGCTGGATCTAGGCCCCGAGGAGGGATCTCGCCAAGCAGCGGCAAATCTCGGACATGCGTTTCCGATGACCAGCGACTTGCTCGGCCGCTTCGTTGTCGTATGCTGTAATGTGGAGCGCGCGGTGCTAGGCGGTGTGCAAAGCGAGGCTATGGTGCTCGTTGCAGAGAAGAAGGCGCGCACAGCGCTCCTAACAGTGCGCCACGCGAATGAGGCTATGCTAGGGGCAAGACTGCTCCCATGGTCAGCGTCTGAATCAGGAAATCCGCACACGGCACTGATGAACGCAGCTCCGCTGTCACCCCTGGATCGGAAGGGTCTCCAGAGCCGTCTGAAGGAACTTCGTGTTCGCGACGACGGTGTCGTGATTTGGAAGCAAAACAAGCCGCTGGCAGCTGTCGTCCGAGATCCCGATGATCCACGTCCTCTTGGAACATCTAGCGACCCCGCGATGAAGCCGTCTACCGCATGGGTCGTAGTTAGCGCCGAAGCATCCCTGGATGTAGGATTCTGGAATAACGCACGTGTACGGTAGCGCCGTTCGCATTCGATGATCGACGAGCTGCTACCTACCTTAGGATACCTAAACACCGCACTATTCAATCTCGCCCCGAGGATGGAATGTTCGAAGCGATCGAGCAAGAGCTGTTGACCCGGGCTCTGCAGCCTGAACACAAGTATGTGGACTAGAGCATGCGCTCTTCCATCTGTTGAAGTCGTCCATCATCGCGGATACTACAATTCTGTTGTTCGACTCGCTCCTGAACAGGACTGGCTATTCACATGGCAATCAATGGAAAAGCGGAGACCGACACTATCAAGAGCGGCTTGAGTCGTGCCCGGCATTCACCCGTTACGAGCACGATGCGACGCATGCGCGTCTGGCGAGGCCTCTACCAAGCGCGCACTGCAGACGGAACGCACTGCACGGGAGCCTGTCCACGCAGGGCGACGTTTTCGGTGGTGCACGTCGTTCTACCAGGCCCCTGAGCGCGCTTCGAACGATGTCGCCCTCCAAGATCCGCAGGATGCCGAGCGACTTGACCCGCGCGTACTGAGGTAAACGACGCGGTCCTAGACTGTAGCAGGTATCCGCGAATCACGCAAGCCTAAAACGCCAGTGCTGTAACTGCCGAGACTTTCCAGACGCATGTACGGATGAGCAAACTCGTTCATCAAGTAGGACAGGGCCCAAAGATGCCAGCATTTGCACCAATCCAACATGTACGCGGTGTGCCGCTAGCCTCGAGTGCGTCCTCTCCGTCTGCTACGATGCGGTCGCTATGATTGTACAAAGGGTGTGCGCGGCTCTGCATGAGCATGCTTCCGCGACGACATATGATGACATTCATGAATCGTAGGCTGTTGGAATCTGAACACAAGTGAAGAAAGGATAGACACTCTCCTGGATGCCGATTTTCATCCCGGAATCTCCGATCCCTGGTCAGTGTCGATGCAATACCCATCAAAACAATGACTGGTGTGTGCGCGTACATCCGTAAACGTGCATGCTTCTATGCACTGGGAGCTCGCCTATATCCAGGTCACATGAACACGGAATACTGAACTGCTCGCGCTGTTACACCCTCGATATTGTTTCCGAAACTGTTATAGATGTCCCGACTCGACACACGAATTGCAGCAGTGGGGATTGCGGATGCCTAGGGCATTGCAGGATTCCGGGCCTTGCTTCCCGAGTCGATCCTTTGACGCCCTGCCGCTGGAATTTCGTACGGTCATCGGAATCAAGATGACTCGCGTCGTCCGCGAACAAGGATGCGTCAACGAAGAGAGTTCATGTTCAAATGCATATGTGCCAGCCTGAACGCCTCTCCATGCCTCATGTGTATCGTGGCTAGTTCATACAATTTTCAAGTTATCGGTTTTTCTGTTTCACGGCAACTTGTGGACACAGCAACGCTCACCGCTGGATTGAAGAGGAAAGCATGCGGCATCGTCACTTAAAGTCGTGTTCACACGCGCACGACGAAATTTCACGGATCTCTTCGTGTCAACCGAGAATCCATTTCGATCGAAGGACAGCGTGTACCCGATTGTGGCCGTCGGAACCAACGGCATTCGACAGTAGCATGATGCCTCTCACTAGATATGCTACCAGAAGCGCTGGGCCCCTCTGGTTCCATGGAAAACCGTCTTGCACTAGAGTCATCGCAACGATCTCTTCCAGCGGGGAGTGTGTCATTACGCTCTACGAAGATGCGTAGAAGGATCGATATTTCTCGATCTGATCCCCTGTCTGAATTCTTCTTCCGGGGCATGTTTCTTCATCATCAACGTTGCGCTCCATAACTCGGTTGCGTGTAACAACGTGCGATTGTGCGTACACCGGACAGAGCGCTTGTCGAGAGGATCACCCACGAGAAGAAGCTACGGATCGTATGGTACGGAACCGACCGTGGAAACGGTTGCGCGCATCGGCTGGAGTCATCTGCTCCCGTCACGGGCAGGCACCGTGCGATGACGCAAGCGTTCACGCGCCACAGCGTATTCCGCAGCTGAAGAATCGTTGTGGATATCTGGGAATCCCTGATCCTAGCCATGTGTCACGGTTGCGAAACGCACACCGATGCTGTCTACAAACAAGACGGAAATGGCAAGCGCAGCGTAGATCGCAACTTTTGCACCCACGTAATATGCATATACAACATCGGGAACTATCGAAATCAGGAACCTAACGCTGCTGTCGATGTTCTTCAACTGCTGACAACACAGCTGGAGGGAATCGAGAAACGCCCGTCTGGAAAGCCAGAGATAAGAGACAGGAAAAGCAAGCAGTTCCATGCAGAGTTTGAAAAACACTGGTATTGAGTACCAGAAAAAAGAAACCCAAAGGTTGAAGTTCATGCCCGAGTTACACAAGTAGACCTGTTCTATTTGATGCTCACATCGCTAGCAGACTGCGCTGATCCAAGTCGCGTGAAACGCTGCTTCGCGCGCACACATCGTCGATTCGATGTTTCGCAACGATTCACAGCGTAAACAATTTCTTCTGTTGCCGCTACTGTTGAACGTTTCTGCACGGTAGACGCTGGTGCCTGCCCAGTCTTGAGATATGAGTCAGGTGTTCATCCTGAAGCGTGTTTTCAGTCGGTGTACGAGACCGCTTCTACCAGTGGTAGAACGAAACAGCGGAGCAGCGAGCTGCTTCGTCACTGGGTACCACGGGGCTGCGCTCTCGACGCAAGCGGACACGGTTCCGAGCGTGCGCCCCGGCACCGCTCCGCGGGTGCTCAAGTCGTCTGCTCCATCGCTGCCGGTGGGCATGCACCCGGAAGGAAAGTTAGAGTATGCCGTATCGAAGCTGGACGACTTGGTGAACTGGGCGAGGCGGAGCTCGGCGTGGCCGATGACGTTTGGTCTCGCGTGCTGCGCAGTCGAGATGATGCACGCAGCTGCCGCGCGCTACGACTTTGATCGATTCGGCATCATCTTTCGACCATCACCGCGGCAGAGTGATGTTATGATCGTGGCCGGGACTTTGACGAATAAAATGGCACCAGCTTTACGGAAAGTGTATGATCAAATGTCGGAGCCGCGCTGGGTCATCAGCATGGGGTCTTGCGCGAACGGCGGTGGCTACTACCACTACAGTTACTCGGTGGTGCGCGGTTGCGATCGAATCGTCCCCGTTGACATATATGTACCGGGTTGTCCGCCGACTGCGGAGGCCTTGGTCTACGGTGTATTACAGTTACAGAAGAAGATGAAACGCCAACAGACTTTGCTCGCTTGGATGAAGAAGTGAGCATATCCGCGCAGCGCATGCAGGATGAAGAGACCGTTTCTTTCCCAAAAGCAAATGCGTGCAGGCAGCTTTTGACGGCAAGGTATGCGACATGAGGCTGTGAATGATCCCCGCGACCAGGGTTATGGAGATGAGCGACCCGCCGGCGCCTCGAACCTGTGCACAGCACCTCTCGTAGAAGCAGGGGGTGTTCCGGCCCGACCGTGGAGTCGATGAACGCAGTCTGGTGACTGGCATGCCCAGAGCAGGACGTTCTAGAGTACCTGTACCAGCACGCCCGTTTTGGTTTTGTTCGTTTTCCTGGCAGGAGTCCAGTGAATGCAATGTATCCTGTGGATCGAAGAAAGGTCCTGGAGAGACTCTATGCTGTAACTGCTTGCTTGAGAAAAAGGCGACCGTACCCGTCCAGCGTAGCCATTCTACGCTCATCGTAGGGATTAACTGGCCTCCTCGTTCTCCGCAAGACGAGCGCCGTGCGCCCGAAACAGTACGTGTCACTCTCTATCGATATGACGGTTTTATGGTCGATCCATTCCATACTGTCTCTAAAAGATATAATTGAAGTAGCCGCATGGTCTGAAGCTACCGTGCTGTTGATGCGTCCGGTGACCAGGAGACAGCAACGGACCGAGAAGGAAGCACGCTTCTGCGAGAGACCTTCGCACATGAGATGCCACACACTTGACTCTGGTAGTGCGCTGCGAACGCTGGGTACAGGGCCGACGGGTGTTCGTCTCACACGCTGAGACTGCATTCGTGAGAAACGGTAGACCTGTATATACGTACTCAGAAATGAGCAGGCCGTCGTTTCTAAAGTAGAGACAAATGAGCGTTCCGAAAACATCATCTCCAGCGGCGATGCAGTCTTGTAGTCGCCTGCGAATCCCAAACCGAATAGAATCGCATAGCACTTGAGCTTTCATCGAAACGCTTTGCGGCTCCTGCTTCCCACATGCTTCCGTCCTGTTATTAGAAAACGTCGCTTCCCATGACTCAAGAGCTATCAAATAGAGCGCTGCTGCTTCTGGCGTTCATCTGGTCTCCGTACCGGCCTCGGCTCAGTGGTTCAGTCTAGCCGAAGGCATCCTCTCGGCAGGCAAACGCCATGTTCATGATCGTAGAACAGTCGCTAAGTCGTTCGTGTCCACGATATCCCTCTTGGACAACTCGCTGCAAGCCTTCACCAGCGGGTGAGCTGCTGCTTTGCTTCTCTGTCAGTGCGCGGGAGGGAGCGGAAAGCCGCGCTTCTGTCTAGAGATACGTTCGCGCCGAAGCAACCGACGAAAACGCACTCGAAGAACCGCAGAGACGCACAGACGTAGGAACTGCGGGGTTCGGAAACCGCGTTTAGCCGGCGCGTCCTAGTCCTGAGGGAAAACTTGGATATAGATTCCAGCGAACACATGCATCCTCCATCGCCAAGTCCAAAACGAAGACGAAGAAACCACCAGACAAAGGAGAAGAAGACCCGCCCCTAAACGCGGACGCAATTCGACAAGAAAGGAAACGTTCGGGGCGCGATGGTTAGTCTGAAGCGGTTGTCAGCGCCATCCTCCAACATAAAACACGAACGGGGAGTATCCTGCGAAAAGTGACATGCAGGAGTCCATCAGGGGTCGCTTGACGCACCTCGTCGAGCACTTGCTCCCAGAAGTGGTGGACGCCGGGCTTCCAGCCGTCCATATTCTTCGCGAATTCTTGAGCCAATGCTTCGTGCAACTACACAGCTGTGATGCTGCTGAGAAGATACAAAACGGCATGAATTGCCAGGATTCCATGGTATCGGCAGTCAGGCATCATGAACGCTACGAGGCACACCAACAACTGGAATGATATCATCAGGACCGAACTTGACCTTCTGAAATACGTATCGAGCTGGGAGCTATGCCCTGTACGCTTCACCGAGAGCGTCCATGGTCGTCCAGCTCGCTCATTAGGACAAAACTTGGCAGAATACATGAGAGCACGCTGGTGTCGCCAACAGTTCCGATTGCGTGGAAGCAAGAAGCATGCATTCGTCAGCCTGAAGAATGAGCTCGAGACAGAAGCAAACGACACGTCGCGTCCTTTTTATTGGTATCCTACGGCGCTGGCGTACCGTACCGTCAACGCTGCACGCGTGCACCGTCGACCAGACCATGCAACGAGTGCAGGAATCAATTCAACGGATTCCCGTCGATGCACTCAGGACGGTACCACCGCATCATGAGCATGGATTCACGCTAATTCATGCACAAAAGAGAAATCTGAAACGGAAACGAATGCATGAGATGGTGTACGCTACGCTGATCCAACACCAGACGGCGATGCAATGGTGTATCGAAGCGTCTGGCGATGGGTTGCGTTCCACGAGCGGGGACGCGCAGGCACCTGCTGCACTCAAACTCGAACGCTTCGATCCTCATCCTGAACGATTTCGCAATGCCTTAGCACCCAAAGGCTTTGGGTCTAGCCAACTTTCAAGATCTTGGTTTAGGATTCTCAGTAGGCATTGTGTTGCTACGCGGAAGACTGGTGATGAAAAGAATACTGGGGCCAGGAAACAGGGTATTCGACGCTCGCCTGGATCCGGGTACTGGTGTGTGGTAGCGCTCAGCCAGCGCGAAACACCGCAGCGGCATACGTACATCGACACGGGAAACAATTTTCCTGGGCAATCGATGAACGACCATGATGTTCCATGAGTCCACGGTACCGAGTATACCACGCTTCGACCTGGTCAACGCATCTCTCTGCCCTGGAAAGCATTCCCATGGAATACGATCATTGCAGCGTTGACGGGACCGGCGAGCGGCTGAGCGCACGTGCCACATACCCAACCCGGTCGGCAATAATCCCATCGACCTGCCATTCTATGAGCTGCATCGCACAGTCGGGTACCGTGTTCGACCGGCCATAGCACATGACCAGGAGTCGGTACTTGTGATGCGCTAGCCGAATCAAGGAAGGTCCCGCTGCCAGGAGGATCTCGTTGAAGAATACCACGCCGCTGAGGCGTGCCTGCGAGGCGAACTCGAGCGCGCGCTCAGCTCGCAACCGGCGGGGGTCACTGTATACGACGTCGCCGTCACGGTCCTCAGAACAGAGGAAAAAAACGCGACAAACGTTTTGCTTGCGACGCAGCAGCAAACAGACTTCAGGATCGAATGAAAGGAACGAAAGGCGAGAACCAAGGCGAGCTGAGGCGTCTGCACCCCCGCGACGTACGGGCGCGAAAGCGACGCTGAAGACGGTGTCTAGTACGCGGTCTACGAGGTAGTTGCGCTCGGGGGCCGGCACCTGCTCTCGACCTGAACCCTCGGGAAGTGGATATTTGATCTCCACAAGCAGGTGGACAAACGCTGGCACCTTTCGCAGCACGTGCTCTAAGGTCGGCATAGAGTCGCGGATTACCGACTGGTGTTGTCGACAGTGGACACAGAGGTGGTATCCGCTGCGCGTTGGCTTCGCTTTTTCGGGTGCAGCGCTTGCCTCAGCGGCGCTGCTTCCATCGAATTGGCTCGAGACTTTTGACGACTTGTTCGACTCGCTGGGTAGTGTAACGAGCGACGCTGCCACGGACGCACCTCTCGACGGATCGCACCCGAACTCGCTAGTGTTCAGTGCCCAGGGCGCCGAACTGTGATCCATATGCCTGTTCAGGGCTTGGAAGCGCTCGGTTGGAGACGCCCGCTGCGCGTGGACGAAGGTGGTGACACCCTGATCCCGGTCGGTTTCAAGTGAGCTTGGGAAATCCAAATCTTTTCGTCGCAGCAGCAACGCCGATGCTCGCTTCCATTCCTCGAGATCCATGGTGAAGATGGGGCGCGCTACACAACAGCGACTTGGTCTGGCGTTCTGCGGACAGCGAGGGCGATGTTGCGGCCTGGGCACGCCGTATCCGCGTATGAAGCAAGCTGCGGAGGAAGGAGATTTCTCGCTGTCCTCGTCGTCGTCGTCGTCGTCGTCGTCGTCATCGTGGTCGATGTTGTCGTCCAGAGCATTGGATAGATAGGGCAGCTGCTGCCCGCCCCAGTCTTGGGAGATTTCCGGGCCGCTTGGGCAAGGATATACGCTGACCGAAGAGGCACGCTGCGGAAACAGGCCCACCTGCAGAGGCTCAGACTTTGGCTCCCAAAAATTTGGCGCTGCTGACCAGTCCGCTTCGAAGCCGGACGGTCCAAAAATATCGGGTGGCGGAATCGATGCTGAAGCGCTAACCATATCTGGTGGCGCTCTCTGAGAGCTAACCAAGCGGCCAGAGGAGGCGGTGACGCTTGTGCTACCGAGCCTGCGCTGCGGGTGCGGTAGCCTCAGGACTGCATCGTGGTGCACCACCGGTACTCCGTCTCGAGTGAGCTGAACATCGAGCTCGACCGCCCGAACATTCTTGCCTCGGATAGCCGCAAGAAAGCTGAGCAACGTATTCTCCTGCAACAACGACGTTGTCTGTTCGCCGTCTCCCCGATGACCGATGAGCGGCGTGCAGAGCAGCATCGATTCTTCCGCGGCAGCAGCGACGGGAAACGGAGCTTCCTCTGCAGAGTCTCCACTGAGCGTCGGGTCCGTTGCAGCGAAATGCGCCAGAATGAACCTGGGCGGCTTACTCCCGGGTCCACGAGTTTGTTCGAGGGCAGCGTTGAACGCAGCGCGGCTGTGCTGTCCCTGATACGGCTCGATCAACATGTACGAAAAGACAAATTCACCAACAACACGACCAAGAGCGGTCACAATTGGCCTTTTCATGCGGAAACCGAAGCGATTCCCGTCTGCTGCGCGATGATCATCTCTGAGGAGGAGCTCCGACCCGAGCACCGCCGCTCGACCAAGATACATGCGTTCGCTAACATCCGATCCCGGCTGCAGTGCGAAGAAAGCCACGACAAAATCGAAAGCATGAGGTGTGCCCTGAAACGCCACTGTACCCGACGGCGTTTGGTGTTGGCCCTCTTGAGGCAGACCAGCGCCCCGACGCGCCTGCAGCTCGGCGAACTCTGCAGTTATGGACTCGGCGTATGGCTGCGCAGGCTCCCCAAGCGGTGCATGCAGCCGCACTCGCCACTTGTTCGCGCCAAACGAAGTCATGGAGACGCGTTCAGCAAAACTTTCGAGGCTGACTAGCTCGGCGTCGCTGATAACAAAGTCGAGCTCAAGGTCGGCGCCAACTACGGACCAGCCACAGCCAGCACGAAAGCGCACACTTGACGCCACACACGGAGCTGCTGGGGCACCGAGTGTCACGCGCAAAGAGCGCACACACTGCACGCCGGCGTCGTCTACCCACAGAGTGCCGGTCACCGGAGACCGTCTCCCTTCCATATGCGGTGTAAACCAGTCGCCCGGCCTCGAAGCGGTGCCCATGAGCACGGAACCCACACGGTGCTCGTGCCCCGACTCCATTGTAAGTGAAGTGCAACTCTCCAACTGCTCTTCCTGAATCGTTCCAAGAAGTATACGGTTTGTTCGAGCCATGAATATCGTTAATGATTCGAACGCCAGCAATAACCACACACACACACACACATAGACACCGTATTTTTCGGATAAGCGAATCTGGCGCATACCGATGCAATCGGATCAGGCGCCAGCATCGCAGCATCGATGCGGCTTCGTATCCGGGATGCGCGTAGCCGCTGCGATTCCGCGATGATGGACTAGATGGATGACGGGATCGAGCGATGATGGACTAGATGGATGATGGGATTCTGCGATGCTTTATTAGACGGATCATGGGATCGAGCGATGCTTTATTAGACGGATCATGGGATCGAGCGATGCTTGACTAGATGGACGATGGGATTCAGCGATGATGGACTAGATGGATGATGGGATCGAGCGATGCTTTATTAGACGGATCATGGGATCGAGCGATGATTGACTAGATAGATGCTGCGATTCAGCGATGATGGACTAGACGGATGATGCGATTCCGCGATGATGGACTAGATGGATGATGGGATTCATCGATGCTTGACTAGATAGATGATGGGATTCCGCGATCGAGGTACGCGCACACCCGGTGATTGGCAGTTAGCGTCACAGTACCTGGGATGCCGCCGCTGGCCCTCTCGGGTGGTTCTGCTAAACGCCCTTTGGTGCAGTACACGCTCTAGCGGGGTTTCCATAAAGCCCCGAGTCGCGACCCTCAATCCACGACACGCACGCTGCAGTGCACTCCCTGGTGTTGCTTCGTCTGGCGATGAAGCACACGCGCACACGTGTCGGGCACGCGGGCGTGCATGCGCGGCATCGAGCACAGCGTCGGACACGTTGCCAGCCGCGATGCACCTCATTGGCGTATCGATAGGAAAGCGCGTTCGTGTGGAGTACAGGGAGCACATCGCTCCATGCAAGGTGTCAGGCGATAACTGCATGAAAACCGACAAACAAATCAGGCGGAAAAACACGCAAGAGATTTAACATGCAAGTGACTAACGTGCGCCGGGTGTCCACTTGTTGCCCGCGGCCTCATCTCGTGACAAGATAATGTGCATCGCGCTACGGTACGCAGCGGTCTGTATGCACAGGTATCAGGAAACGATGCACGAACGAGTGTGTGCATCGTCTCTGGTGTCTAATGCTGCTCGAGAGCGCTCATCGGTTCGTTGCCACGCAGCGGCGTGCTGGTCCCTGTCTCTGCGTGGACACCTTTGGAAACCCTGAACGTATCGGGATATGCATTCATATGCGCTGAGAGGCGAACAGGCTTGCCTGTAGAAGCTGGATTCGACGTCCAACACCGGATGGTTGCAGCGGCAACGACAGCGGCGTCTGCATCGCCGGTTCCTACTTTTTACGAGCGAGCGTTCGTTGCTTCTCGGCACGCTCGACGAGTTTATAGGCAACCAGCCGGCCTTTGCGTGCTCGGACTTGCTCCATCAAGTTACGCGCCAAGTTATTCATGGACGCGGTGGTGTCCTCCACGCCCAGTAATTCGATATCCTCGGCGGTGGCCGGGTACCAGAAGGGATCCTCTTCGATCACCTTCCAGTCGCCGACGAAGCGCAGCTCGACATCACTGGCGACGCCGCTACTCGCCCGGCGTATCTTCTCTGCAAGACCGAAAATCGCAGATGCAGGGACTAGTGCGCGAATGAAGAACGTGGAAGTAACCTGATACTCTTTGATTTGTTCGCTGAGCACTTGGGCGCGGGCTGCTCGCAACACAGTGTGAACCCGACCGAGAGCATTGGACGAGCACTGCACCTCTGTCTGGAAGAGCGGCTCGACAAGTCGCGGGTTCGCAGCCAAAAGCGCCTGGCGAAGCGCCTCTGTCAGAAGCGAGATCAGGCTGGTAGCGTCCCTGGTGGAGGAGGCGCTCAATGAACCGGCCCGCGTCGCTGAGTCCGATGTCTCTTGACATTCGTCTGCAACATGCACCACGAAGCAGACGCCCTGGAGAGGCTCCTCCACAAGGGGACCGGCAGCACAAACCACCTGGAACGCCGAAACCAGCGCCCGATACACTGTGGTCGGCAACGATCCCTCTGCGGCTGCCGTGGTGCTCGGGAGCGGCTGGCCCCAGACCTGCCGAAAAACGTCGCGAATTCTATCCCAGTGACGCATTTCAGAGCGACTTGCAGCTCCTGCGGCGTGTTCTGCTTCCGTGTTGGCTTCAGGAGCATCGCTTTCAAGGTCTTGGGGCCGCTCATGATGCGTGTGGTACCCGGCAGTCGCTGCCGTTGCCGCTGCCGCTGTCGCCGGTACCACCAACACGTTCGAACCGCAGTCGTGCGGACCCAGCGCTGCAGCCTGCTCCACCAGCATACGGAATAACGTCGCAAGGCGACGCTGAGCGGTACCGTCCGTTATGCTGCATTCATGCGGTGAGCATTCGGCTCCCTGCTCGACTAGCGCTGACGGTGCTGGACGCTGATCCGCGGAACCCGCATCTTCCATAACGGCCCGGTGGAGGCGCACGAGCAACTCCGCTTGGAGCCGTGGCGCAGTGGCAGGTCGCTGGGAGGCAACCCCACGCTTCGGTTGGAGAAAGAGTGAGCGCAGCGCGCCTCGACTCGAGGATTCCCATGCTTGCACGAACGTTCTCGGCAGTGGAGCTGCATAGATGTATAGCGTGATATTGTGGGACGGCAACGGCACCGGCACGATGCCGCCACCGAGGAGCACGCGATGCTGCTCTTCGCGGTATCCGCTCCATGAGGCCCACTTTTCCAGCGCCGCAGCGCCGCTGAACGTTGACGAAGCGTCCGCCATTGAACCGAGTGCTGCACGCTCGTGAACACTCGTCTGTTCGAAGCGTTCCGCCAGCGACTCGAGTACAGAATCGGTGTTTTCCGTCGCAGTGCTCGACTGGCCTGCACCATGCACAGCGGCGCCACTGAGGCCACCGACACCAGCCGATCGCGTGAGCAGGACGACCCAGGGGTTTGCGGGACTCGTCGACACTCCACCAGCAACCGTTTCCCGTACTGCCGTCATCGGTGCAGAGCATTTGACCGGCACACCCGCGAAACGTTCTTCGAGGTCGCACAGGCAGCGCTGGAGGTGCAGTTCTCCGCTGACACCGAGCACCATTTCGCCTGACCCTGAGATGAACGTCTCCACCGCTGGGTCCGCCTGATTGAGGAGACGCAGGCCCCGACGAAGTCGTGGCAGATCAGAGAGCTGCGCTGCCGGCTCCACAGCGAAAAAAACCACCGGACTCGTCTGTCCGTGGCGCAAGAGGTTCGCACACGGCAGACAACGCCCCGGCGGAAGTGTCGAAATCGTTGCCGACTTGAGAATCACCTCCCCGACACCATACAGTGCAACCACTGCACCAGGTACGAGCCGTTGTCGAACTGATGTCTCCGTCTCCATCCGGTCTCTGAGCGAGGCGACGTCTCGTCCATGCAGCAGAAAGGCTTCCAGACGCGCATCTGGAAGCCGCACACAGAAAGGTTCCGTGTGTGTCTCTGCATCTTCGGCGTTATACCGAGGTCCGTACACGAACAGTTCACCAAACCGCGAGGAAACCTCCACTGCACCGCAGAGAATACGGCCCAGTGCGAGCTGGACCTGCTGGTCTCGTTCGAAACGCTGCTGGGGCTCCCAGCACTCGTCCTCCTCCTCCTGGGTGTCGGAACCCGCCGGAGGGCGCCTAGCCGGGCGTGCCGCCACGCCGAGTGCCGCAAGCGCAGCGCCCTCGACACCCATCACTTTGCTCACATAAATCATTACCGGGGCTTCGTCGGAGATGTCGCCCTCGCTGATCGCCCTGGCCAGTACCTGGGCCAAGGGATGCTGCGTAGCATCATGAGGCCACAGATTTCCCAGCCGCTGCCGGTTTGCGATCACGGCAGCGGGTACCAGGTCCACCACAGCGTCCAGCACGGTCTGACTCAACGGCAACCAGCGAGAGAGCATACTCTGCAGCGCATAGCGCCCATCGCGATGAAAGAGGTCGCGCTCTGGAACGGCAATGCCGAGTCGCTCGACCAAACGTTGCCGCTCGGAGCGGTCGACCTGCTCATCATTGGCACTCTTGACCAATCGTTGATAGAGGTAAGCGATTGGTTCAAGGACAAACTGCGCAAAAAGACTCCGTGGTGGGCGTCCGCTCGCTGTCAGACTTTCCCGGATCCGCTGGACCCGTTTCTGCTTAGCATCAATGTAAAAGTCACCCCAGAGGGTGCGATCGAGCACCTCCTGGCGAATCCCAAAGCGCTGCGCCACGAACTGGACCATATCCGCGAGCCGAAACGCCCATCCGTCCAAGGCAGATGCGAACACCACGTTGCCAGCTGCTGGTTCGAAGAGGGTTTCCTCCTCGTGGACTTCCGCCTGATCCGTTGGCATTGATGGGTGTATTTCGACCGCAGGCACTGCTCGCGCCGTCACCTGAGCACTGGTACAGGTCGTCTCTTGATCGGGGGCGCACGCCCAAAGCGAGGCCTGCTCTTCCAGGCGCAGCCGCTGCTCTGCGATATGGGCGCCAAGCACAGCATTGGCATCCTCGAGAACACGTCGCAGGTGCAGGTATGCTTCGGTGGCATCCAGTTGCAGTTCCAGGAACAGTCGATCGATCTTGTTCAACACCAGAATCGGCTGGAGTCCCTCGCTCAATGCCTGCCGGAGAACTGTGCGTGTTTGGCTGCAGACTCCCTCAACGACATCAACGACGATGAGCGAGCCGTCACTGAGCCTTGCAGCTGCCGATACCTCAGCTGCGAAATCCACATGACCCGGCGAGTCCAGCAACGTTACGACGTATTCGTCTGCGGCTTTCGTGTTGGCTTCGCGACCACCATAGCGATGATAGAGCGTGACGCCTGCCGACTTCATGGTGATGCCTCGATTCTGCTCATCGTCGCGAAAGTCCAGATATCGCGCTTTGCCTACGAGTCGCTGAGAGAGAAAACCGTTCGACATGAGCAGGGAGTCCGTCAGCGTGGTCTTTCCATGGTCTATATGACCAGTCACGCAGATGTTACGCAGTCGAAGTGGAGCCTCCGTCAAAATTCGGCGAATGCGGTGGAGCCTCTCGAGCTCTCCGCCGGCCGGTGAGCGGCTTGGCTGACGGAAACGTCGCCCCGGCGGGTGCACTGTGGAGGTTTCCGGAATGCGTTCTTCCGCGGGTAACAACATCGCTCGGTTGAGCGTTTTAATCGCCTAGAGAAAGGAGCCCGGTGGTGCAAGAGCCTTGTTTGCTCGGTAGTTCGTCGAACAAGATGACAGGCTCGCGCCGCCACCTCTCGTACAAGTTGCCAGTATACTCAAGACCAGCACTGGCTTTGTGTTCATGGCCCTGAAGCCTTTCAGGGGCGGCTGCTCGTTTCGATACAACTTATGTATTTACGCGGTGAACGAGATACCTAGAAACGACTTGCGCGTACCACAATGGGAGAACGTCGAGAACGTTTGCAGAGCGTTTCAGGAAGACGTCCGATACGGACATCGTTCTTGGTAAGCGCTGGCAAGGGCACTGCTTCTCTGCGGTTATAGCAGCAGCTACCCAAGAGAAGAGGGTAGGTAGTTGAACGTTGGCGTTAAACTGCGACTGGTTTTCTGTTTTTATAAAAGCAGCTACTTCCGAGATGAAGGGAACTAGATGAACGTAAGCACCAGATAAAGCGACGACGCCTCTGGCGCAGTCGTAGCGCTTGCTCAGAGATAAACAGGGCTGGACACCATCACTGGAGCACCAGTCCGTATGCTGTATCTCAACAAGGCGTGCTGTTTCGATTCACAACGAACTGCGGTGTGGTGGCCCGTTTGCGCGAGACGCCTATCTGTGCACCAGCAAACGCTGCAGCGTAACAGTGCACTTGTCCGGAATACGTCTCCGCGTTGCAAGGCGCTGGTGCGGTGGCGTTGCGCCTCAGTGGAAACCTTCAGCTCAGTCGTGGTGACTTGACGTTGCCTGAAACTCATAGGCTCAGAGAGAGAGAGAGCGGAACTTGTGGGGAACAACGATCGACTTCATGGTGCTCGGCTGGAGACGGTTTCCCTGCGCAGTTCCTGGTCCCGCAGAGGCCTGTGAGCATCGGCTCCGATAAAGAGCTCGTGGTACGCTCTCGGCTGCTCGCGGCGAACTTCAGATGTATCCATGAGACAGGTCGTTCCTTTGCTCACTAGAAGAGACGAGCAGTTACATAACAAATTCATTTATTCGTACCTGGATAGAGGAAATGTTCAGACACACACCAGAGCGGCCGAGCAGCAAGCGCGATGACCCCGGCTGGAACAGCGTGGAACTCGTCATGCCTGTTCCAAGCGGTTTCGCAACCCAAAATGCGTTTGCAGTGGCGTCATCTGCTGAATTCGAGTCGAACAGAACGCTTCTATGTTGCGGTCGATCGTCGACATGGCTCGTTCTTTGGCAGGGAATGTCAAGGAATCTCCGGCTGCTGCTGCTGCTGCTGCTGCTGCTGCTAAGATGTACCCTGCAGACAGCAAAGAAAACGTTGATAACGAACTGTATGCGTTCCGTGCAGAGAAGACACGCGGCATTGCGTGAGATCTCCGAAGCACGACGATCAACGCCAAACAAAACGGCAGGCGGGCACGGTACCGACGAATCCGACACCCTCCGCATACACGACGCTGGACAGTGATCCGCATCGGAAACGGCCACGGCACACAGATGACGTGTTCGTGAGCGAGGCATGCTCAGGTGCCCTGTGTGTAAAAATGGACATTCAATACCTATTCCACCGGAACCATGGCCTACCGCATACTGAAATCCCATATTCAGTGTGTTTTCGGCCCGGAGACCTGTATTGCTGCTCTGCAGTCGCGAGCAAAGGCGCGTGATACCCAGATGAATCGACGAGCGCATCAACTCGTCAGGGTAATGCTCACGTTGCACTTGCCGGAGCGCGTGTATGTCCAGAATCCTGGCAACCTCTTGCGTCACGCTGACTCCGCGGTGCTCACGGGTCTGTTGCGCTGCGTCCATCGCAAGTTACGCAACAAAAGACTACGCAAGCGGATGCACTCCTGCTCAGGGGCCTGAAAGTATCCAGATTCGAGCATGCGTGGCGGCTCGTGACTCTCGTAGACGACCAAGATGCCGAAAAACATTCATCAGCGCTCTGCCCGTAGTATCCTGCTTCAGTGATGCAAAGGACTTGATATCTGTCTCGGAGAAAAAGTAGTGCCCGCGAGTCTCGTCCGTTTCCATGTCCTCATAGCGGCAGCGCTGATCAAGCTGCGCAGAAGTGAGCTCATGCTTTGGACGACGCAAAAGCGCATACTTATAACGCAAGATGCTCTCAATATCGCTGATCGCTCTATGCAGACGCTCTATGGTGACGCGTCCGCGTATGTGCCCCGGAACTTGCTGGAGCGTCTCCTCAGTCACTGGCTCGACGCGTGGAGCGGCGTCAACCGCCGGCGCTGCTCGGGGAAACGAGTCTCGCTTCCGTGGAACAGGCGAGACACTGTCGTTTACCCTGCCAGTGGGTGCTCCTTCTGATCCAGGTGGCTGCTGCGCGCTCGGTGGTGAAGCGTCCTCCGTACCAGCGCAAGTGCGCCCGGCGCGTCGCCGCTGCTGGAGCGCCACCTGCAAACGACGCCACTGCTGCCGCTGCTCTCGTACTCGGCGACAAAGCTGCTTCATTTGTCCGGCATATCGCAAGTCCTCCTCTAGCGCCTCTTTCAGCCAGTAGAAGTGCGTCTCCGCTGCTTGGAGCTGCGCCTCGGTGGCGTACAAGTGCTCATCCAACGCTGGCACTGCCTCAGCTGAGCGCATCAGCGCCAACCACTTGAGAGTACGCACCCGCCGGACAAGAGTCGCAGCATCGGCACCCAGTTGACTCCCAATACCGAGTAGTCGTTGCTCATCGGGATGACCCTCAACCGGGACCTCTGAGCGTTCCCCGCGAGTCGACAGCATATGCAAAAGGTCCGACACGCGCCAGGGATTTTGAATGTCGCGGCCGCAATGGACGGTGCTTTGTTCCAATGCCGCACACGTCGATGAAACAGTCGATGCTCCACGAGCACGCAGGGTATATGAATACCGACGTGCAGACGCCAACCAGTCTATGTCGACCGGCCAGCTACTAGTAGCTCCAACTTCTCCTTATACGCCTCGAGTATCAGAGGCTGCCCCATAAAGTTGGTTCGCGCCAGCTCCTCGGGTCTCTTCTCCAGCACTGCACATCCCCTGACATTGAAGGCGGCGTCGAAGTCCCGGTACACAAATACGATACGTTTCTTCCCGTTGTTTGCACTTACGAATGCAAGTAGGCCTCGATTTTGGGCGCTCCATTCCATTTGCTCCTACGTCAGCGCTGCGAACTTTTCTACATGCGCAGGGCTCCGCTTGCACTTCTCCGTCTCGACTTTCTGAGGTGTACGCCCCAGCTCATTCCTGATTTTCTTGAAACTGAATGTATTTGTTCAAGACTTTGGGTGAAGACCTCCCGAGAAAGAGAGAAGGGCTTGCGGAAGAGAGGCGAAATTTGCCCTGGTGTCTCATTGTGTGCTGAACGAATCAGCGGTTCGCCCAGTGGAGCGATCAGTACGTTTCACGATAGAGAACATTTCCTCGCAGAGGATGCGCCACGATGAGCATGTAGGAATGAAAAGCATCTCTACCTCAATAGAATCGGTAAAGGCTCGAACGCAAGTGGAATGGTCAAATGCCAAGTTGTCCAATAGAAGGAACTTCGCCGGACGTCAGTGACAGGTCTTCAACGATTCGACAAAGCGGGTGGTGCTGTTGTACGGGCCTTCACTACGACCGAAACTAAGGCCGCAAAATCACTCCGCTGCCTCTAGAACAGATGATGTCGTTGGTCTCTTGGAGTTTGATTCTACATACATCTTGGTCCCTGCTCCGGGATTACTCATATCCGCTTTGACCGTTTCACCCGAGGCAAGTCTCATCGACCGAGAAAACAAACCGACGTCGCTGTGCTGTATACGGATCGCCGAGTTCCGGGAACTTTCTTGTAGTTGCGATTTCGATGGAAGATGGCCATATGTGAACAAGGACTCTTTTTCCGACTGTATCCCAGTGGTTTCAGGACCACTCGAACCAGCTGCTAAGAAACAGAAACGCCCATGGTGGCTCCTATCATCGTTTTGCGCTTTCCCTAAAGTGATCAACGGGTCGTTCTGTACCACTGACTGCAAGCGATCTCGAAGAATATCTGACTTTGGCGCGGGGCGCGTGATCTCCGTCCTCTCAGTGTCCCTTAGCCATCTGAGAACTGTGGTATGACTGACCTGAATGAGGAATGCAGTCCCTGTTGCACTGGTCAGTAACGCGTACGTATCCCACAGGCAATTCTTCCACGATCTATGCGGCACATTGCATCGAGATTTCGGTTTCTTTGTACTCACCGCAGCGGGGGTGAAATAATACTGAGTTGAAGGACTTTTACGCTTCAAATACCATCTTGGATGGAAATATTCAAGCGTCATGCTGGAGGCTTCCACATCCGCATGGAGTTCGGGCCACGTGCCGTGAGACGCTCCCGTCTTTGCGGGGCCAGCACGCAAACGATTGCATAGAGCCTGTAGATGAAACCTCGGCAAACGCGTGCAAAACGCTAATAAACCATGACAGTCGCCGCGGGTGGAAGTGCCTCAGCGTTCCAGCGACCCGCGAGGTGCCGAGTTCCTCGGAAGCGCTCGCCACGGCACCGGACACGTAGCGCCAGACGACGCGCGGCGTCAGCACCTCTAGGCGTTGCGTTTAGGGCCCTCGGCTCCATGCTGCACGATGCCCGTGCCGCACAGTGCGCTTCCTCGCCTGCTGCTGACGCCAGCGCTGGTGAAACAATGCCAGACATACCCACTCCGTGCCGTTACGTATTCGGTGCCCGCGGTGTTCACTGGTCAATGCATTCGATCTTCACAACAAAGCGGCTGCTGCGAATGCCAAAGGAACAGATCCAGCTTTGCACGCGACCCGTTCCGCTTGGTTGCCAATACGAGGAAACCGCTCAGGTCCGTGGCGCTGCACACTGCTAACGATGCCTGGATGGTATGGAATGCGGGACGGCAATGCAGCCGCTTCGATAGAGTTTACATGCCCGATGCAGCTCGTACCTCAATTGATTCAGGCGCGGGGAACCCAGGCTAGATGAATCCCTAATTGACTTCGGAATGCATCTCATTGTTCTCCAGGGGAGTTCCACGGTGTTCGTAGGAGAACGTATCGCCTCGCTGGCCGCACAGGAGCAATCCGCGGCGACTCCCCGTGCAGCTGATCCATGCTCGCCATCCAGCCTGCAATGATGGCATAAAGTGTTAGGTACCACGTTGTTTTTGGTGCGGTCTCGGTGCGAGATCGCGTTTACTCCTCTGAAACCCGGCTGTCTAGCCAACTGCGAACATTCGGCATGATCGTTCACAGGTGCTACCAAAATTCCGGCATGCGCGACGCATGTACTGTATAGGCAGCTGGCTTTCGGAAATCATCTTGCGTTTTGGAGCAGTAAGCATCGCACTCGGCCTCGGATAGAGACTGGGAACGCTGGCATCGATACCGAATGAACAAATGGCAGCGTGCAGTCGAACACGACTGCTTCATACAAAACAGTCGATCGAACCGCACACAGAGCACACACAGACGAGTCAAGAACGTATCGACTAGACCAGGGCGCCGGTTCCCATACACGCTGCAAGCACAGCATCGCACCCGCGGCAGACAGCTATTACAGGGTATCTCGCGCCAATGACCAGGCCACAGACCGGTGTGCAGCGCGGAATTCAGCAAGCCTGGCGGCCTTCTCATGCGTGTGGACAAAGTCGGCGGGGTTTGGATTCACGCTTGGCGCCCAGCAAGCTGATCCGTGCTCTCCATCTGGACCCAAGCCTTGAAGCGTCGCCGCATCTGTGCCACAAACGCTCCGAAATCATTCGTTCGGTTCAGCGTTTCCACCATTTGTGCGAGACGTACATTCGCTGCTCCGGCCGTTGGCTTCATTACATCAATGTCAGGAACGCAGTCCTCGACTCGGAATAAATCTGCGTCCTCATCTACATACACTGTAAAAGCAAACTCGCGATCCGGCGCCCGCGAATCGATGTGTCGGAAAATCACGCGAACCTTGCCGTCAACACGCCCGGCCTCGGTCGCCGAGGCAGCGCCAACTCTCTGAAACCGCAGCCCCAGTCTATCTCGGTACCAAACAAGCGCCTTCTGGAGATGCAGCAGACGCGTGCGCCGTGCCTCTTCGCACGCATTCAAGAGCGCTCGACGGCGCTCAAACTCCTGCCGGCGCTCAGCGATCTCCTGCTCGAGTTCCTGCTGCCTCACCGGTAGCGCAGCGGCCCGTGCCTCGAGTTGCGCTATTCCACGCTCGAGGGCGTCCAGCTCCTCACGCTCTGCCTCTAAACGCTCCTGCAATCGTGCCGCTGCTGCCTCGAATTGCGTGCGCCGCTGTACCAATGTCTCCGTTTCCCGTGACACCCGCGCCGTTGTCTCCTGCCAGGTCCGCTGTACCTCTTCCAGATTGCTCAAACGTCCTCTTGCCCAAACCTCAAACTGTGTCCTAGCGTGATGAAGGTTTTCATCGAGATGTCTCAAGTCTACAGTATCCATCAACGGACTAAAAGCGTCGATGGCAGAAGGAGTCGCTCAGACCTGCGGCGCAGTGCTGCTTTGCGCGCCTTTCTGGTGGCGCTGATTTCAAATCGCCACGATGTGCAACGCTGCGCACGCACGCACGCACGCACGCACGCACGCACGCGTTTCGCGCTTCTCAACGCCCTATGCCTGGGTGTCAACCTGACGAGGATGCGCAACACATAGTGGCGAAACCTTCCAGTCCCCGCTTGCTGATGCCTTCTAGACCCCTGAGTGACATCCAGGAAAGCTGGGAGGATCGAGAGAACGCCCCACCGGCTGCAACGTGGACGCCTTTGGCGAAACATCTGCCGGCAGACGGCACGGCTGCTCCCAGTGACGGTGAGGTGGCCTCCAACACGCTTGTTCGGAAAACCGCGCGCAAGGGTTCGGAATATTCCGGTGTATCAGGTTGCATCTTCACGACGGCAGGAAGCACCACTAGCGCCGGAGTTTCCGAGTGCGGCGAGTCCACGGAGCGCACGGCTCTCGCTGAAGCGCGCCCAGTAGCTAGCCTGTCGACGAACGCTGGCGCCGTTCCGGGAACCCCAGCATCGCCTGTTGCCGCGGAGGCGTCGAAACACTCTGAAGTTAACGTTCGACCAGACAAAGGAGACGCAGCGGCTTTCGACCAGCTGCTTCAAACAGAAGCACGAACAGCATCGCCGGCCGGCGCGGCGCAGGCGCAGGCGCGGCAACCTACACCGCCAGCGAGGCATACAGCGGAAACGAGCGCTACTTCTCAGCTCGCATGGCGAGAGAACGATACGTCGAGAACGAGCCTAATCCGGCCCGACTGGGCTGCTCCTGATGAGTCGACACTTGACGGACAGCAGTCAGCACGCGATAGTCTACGCGGTGCGCGCACACCAGCGACACGTCGGCTCTCCGGTGGTGTGCGGACCACCAAGAGTCGCATGCAGCATCGTCGCTCCAGTACTGCAGCGAATACGCAACTACCAGTACCGAGAATGGTTACCAACGAAGACAAGAGCGAGGCAGGGGTGCCAGCATCCAGGCAAGGCTCTGGCGCAGAGCCTCGCGCATTGCAGCAGGACACGTCGCCAGCGCAATTGCCTTCATCCGAACGAGCTGCTGGGACACAGGGCGCCCAGCGTTTACCAGCCACTACATTTCCGTGGAATGCAAATGGCACAATACAAGCAGCAGAGGCCACGCGTGCCTTCGAGGAATACCGTGCTAGCGTCGCAGTCCAGTTAGATGCCGCCGAACGGCTGGTCGAACGTTACAAGAGCGAAAACGAACAGCTGCGACAGCAGCTTGACCATGCAGAAGTGGCGAAACTGCGCCAACGGGTCGACGATCTCGAGCGCACCCGAACAGACCAACAGCTGCGATATCTCGAACTGCAGAAGCATGCGATTCAGCTAGAAGCTGACCTCGCGCGAGAACGTCTCGCACTCGAGCGCGAGCGATCACAACTCGCCCAGCTCGAAAACGACGCCGCACCAGCAGCAGCGCTTTTCCAACTATGTTCTGGGGCGACCCAGGTGAAACCCATACGCGTTCGCTACGAGTCCACGGGTACAACGCCAGAGACCGAAGCCAAACTCCCCGGGAACACACCGTCCACAGCGAATCGTCCACAGGCCATTTGGCTTAACGGCTACCAAATACTCCTAGAAAATAGCGCCTTGCAACGAAGAGCTCTCTTTCAACTCGTTCTCGATGACTCGGGCGATGTCGAATACACGCCCCTGGAACTGATGCTCGGCGACGCCGCCACCGATGCACCAGACTTTCTCCAGGAGACCATCTACTTTCCGCGAAACGAGTTGCCCCTGTTCTGGCTGCGACTCGTTGGCGTTCTCTTTTAAACCACGGTTACTCCACTCGTGCCGCTTGACACGTAACGACGACACCTTCTGGACACGACCCCAGAGACGCAGCTTCCGTCAATGCTCCAACCCGGCAACCTCGACGATGTCGACGTTCAAACAAACCTGCGATGCGTTCTGCTCGGGCGCGACGCGTCCTCAGACAAGCGCACAGGGACCACGTCTTGTTCTGGATCAACCTGGTAGCGTCGCGGCTTTCGGTCAGTGTTTGGACGCCATCAGCGTCGCTGGCTTGGCACTGGTCGTTACGGTGCAACAGGACGGAAGCGTTGCGCTCTGGGTTACTAGTGGACTGCGCTTTTATCGTCAGTTTTTTTGGAGTGCGCGACGTGAACGCATCATCGATGCGGATTGTCATTCCGTAACGTCTGCTGACGATTTTGATGCTGTGCTCAGTGCACGCTTTCGGAGACCGGACGGGGCGCTGGTTCTAGGGACGCACGCTGGACACGTGGTTTGTATTGAACACGGGTCGGGGGGCGGGTTGGCGAACCTGTATCGCCGCTGGCAGCTTGTAGGTCGCCTCGACGCTCCGGTGTGGCTCGTGGGCAGTGTCGCACCAACGCCGACGACACCCGTCGACACAACTGCTGCCAACAATGGCGACGGGGATCAGGGCAGCACGGGTGCCGCTTTGTCGACGGGAGCACCCGGCGAATCGCATACCCGCCCGTTACCCGCGTCTGTGTCGGTATCTGAAGCGAGGGCGTGCTCGCCTTTGGCAGCGATCAGCACGGGTGTGGTCGTGGCGTGGACGGAGCACGCGCTCTGGTGGTATGTGCCAGCGCTCCGCCGATGGCATCGTTGCCCACATCCAGAGGATTTCGAAGCGCAGCAGCAGCAGCAGCGCATACGCGATGCTCCTGCGATCTATCTGGGGGAGGTTAGTGCCTCAGGGTGCTTTTTTGCGTGGACGTTGCGGCATAGTGACGGGTGCTGGATCGGCGCATGTCCACAGTGGCATGCAGCTACGTTCCACGCTGCATCGGATACCGATACCAACGACAGTGCTGATGACAATGTTGATCAGCGTATGCACAGTGAAGCTGTCTTCATTCATACCTCAGATCCGCTGTGCAGTCTTGCTTGGAAACCGGCACCGATTCGCGGTGGCGAGGCGCTGCTCGTGGGCGATAGATGCGGCCGCCTGAGGCTCTTCTCTGCAGCGACAACGGACTGGCGCTCGATAGCCACGGTGAGCGGCATGCCGCTCGCGACGCAGGCGGTCGATACAGCTGCCTGTTTCGTGCACCAGTACGGCAGCGGAGGCATCGCTGAAGACGAGAATGACGCTGCTCTGGTGGTTCTATCCGAGTGGCATCTCGGGGGCGCTGCAGCCTCCGGCGATACACGTCCACATGCAAAGCGAGACGCTCAGTCCGCACAGGGCATCATCGTGCATCCATATCGAGCGTCGATTGCGGTGCACTATATTGGGCAATGGATTCCGGGGATGCCCACGCTCTGGTGCGTCTCGCACCTGAACGATGAACCGGTACCCCGGGTGGTACCGTTCCATCGGGCCTCAGATGGGGCGTCAACGCCCGTGGCGCCTCCCGAGACGGACGCCAACGTTGCAAGGAACGGCCCGCCGACGCCTGTTCTCGAGTCAGTTGAGGGCGCCGCTGCATCAACAGCAGCATGCCTTGCGGTACGTATCGAGGCAGCAGCAGAGTCGTGGCGAGCGCCGGTCAGCGCCGCGTGTGCTCCGGCAAAGGAGCTGCGGAGCCAGCAGCCGCCGGCGCAACCTGCACAACTGAACTGGATCCTGCAGAGAGGTCAGGTTGTGGAACGTTGGTACCAAAACGGTCGCCCAGGCGATGCCCTGGAGTTCTGGTCGCACGTTGTCAGACTGGGCAACGGCGATGTGGGGTCCATCGGCGCGCTCTCCTACGGCTCTCGAGCGCGCACGCTGGTAGCACTTACGAGCACGCAACGACTTGTGTGCTGGCCGCTACCAGGCTGGCCGGCGCTGCGCTCCGGATACGGTCCCCGAACGCTGCCGACCCTGACCCAGACTAGAGTTTCGCGACCAGGGTGGGTTCACTGCGCCAACCAGCTTACCGCTTGTGTGCGTTGCGCTCAACGCGTTGAGTTGGCCTTGTTCACGATGACGGAGGCAGGTCTGCTCCAGCTGTACGGCTGGCTGTCGCCGCCCGAAGTAGACGCTCGTGAAACGCAAGCTCGGATACCGGACGAGGCCACCGCTGCGCCGCTGATGTGTGTGCTATCCGCGTCGACACCGCCGGGGGTCCAGGTCGACGACTGTGCCGTTTGGAGTCGTCATCAGCCGCAGATGCTCGATACGCTCGAGGCGGACCAGCCGCAAGAAACAGGCTTGCTCTGCTGGAGCGCCCTCGACATGGTCTGGTACGTCTCCAGGATCATTGGTGTTCGGGACGCGAATGCAACTTCCGTGGCTCATTCGGTGCCCGCCAGCATCGATTCGGAAACCGGTGATGCTGCCATTGCGCCATTGGTGCCTTGCGGAAGCGCAACGCCCGTGCAAGCCGCTCCCGCATGCAACCAGCACCAGCCCGAAGAGGGGCAGGCGACTGCCCGCGCCAGCTCACCGGCCCGCAACTGCCGACATCTTGCCCTGCATTGCTTCGACTTGTCGCCCTGGGTACGATTATGTGTTTCGGATCCGCCGCCTTGCGCCTTTGCGGTTCGTACAGACAAGGTATTCGTATGGCGGGTGGACGGAGTCCTCGCTGTGTACCGACTCGACACCTCCAGGTCGGTACTGGAACGGATTACGGCATCGCGCCTGGTGGCGGAAACGCTTCATGAACGCGCACACTGGCACCAAAGTCGCCTGGTGGTTTCCGCTGACGCCCAAGAGGTCGCCGTCTGGGATGCAGCGTCACGTCGACTGCACCTGTGTTCATTCGACGGTGCGGATATCTACGCATTAACTACTGTGGATGTGTCGGATACGCGGCCTGATGCGGATATCTCGTTCGCACGCTACCGTAGTTGCGCTTATCTCACGGTGGACCGGTGGCTCTATTATCGCCGGGGTTGCCGCTGGATCTCGTGCGGTCAGTTGCCTGGCGTCGTTCACCACACGATTTCGCTGCCGGAAGGTGTCGTCGTCGCTTCGAGGAACGACCAGCTCTTTGTGTTCGATGCGAGCATGGCAATGTCAAGAGCGGATCAGGAAACCGAGGCCCTCAGCGCTGACGCGCGTTACGAGATGGCGTTGATGGCGGGCATCGGGGCTGGACTCACACCGGATGCAGCTATGCGAATCGCGCAAAGCATCGACTCGGCGGCACTGGCACCTGGCGAGGACACCGGCACTGCCGCTGATGCGACAGCGCATCCCGAGAGCGTCGCTCTCGAGCAGCTGGGTACAGCGCGTAGCGCTTCGCCGGACCCGCACGCCCACTGCGCCGTCGATCGCGAGCACGACGGAATGCCGCCAACTGTAGCACCGCTGATGCGGAGCGTAGATACAGGCGCGGATGCCGGCGCTTTCGCTCGTGCTTGCCACGAGAGCTTTGCTGCTCACGCCAGAGCCTGCGCTGCTCTGGACGCTAACGGCTCCGTTTTCGTCATCCTCGCGGATGCATATCGGCGTCTTAATCTGGAAATTCCGCCGCAGGTCCTGCAGTTCGCGTTACACGCAACTTGCGAAGAAGCGATATTGCAGGAGCTTGGACTTTTGAGCGGGTCCGTTAAATGGCACATGGCGCGCCAATACGGCTGTGGCTATTGGGTGCGCTCGGAACTGCTCATCCACCGTCTCGTCGAGGTCATTGCTCGCGCAACCTACAACGCATCACACAAGCCGCGGGATGCAGTGCTATGGTACGTGCTGCTGCGACGACCGCGCGTGCTGAGCACGCTCTTCCGTGCAATCGGCGAGCCGCGAATCGCGGGCTTCTTCGCGCAAGACTTTGGGGATGCCGCCGTTCGAGAGCGGGCCAATAAGAACGCATTTGCAAGACTCGCCGTCCATGACTACGAGCTGTCAGCGGCGTTCTTCATCCTGGGTGCTGACCCATCCGCAGCCATGCAAGTCATCCGGGATCGCCTCGGCGACGAGCAACTGGCGCTATTGCTGTCGCGACTTGAACCGACGCTCCAAGCAGAGCAGGCGCTGGGGAATGCCCAGGAGCACCAGCAGGCACCGGAATGGCAACTGCTACGCGCTTGCGTCATTGGCAAATACGACCATGCTGTAGCGATCGTAGAGCGTATGGACTGGTTGCGGAACGAATCGCAGGCCAGCGCCTGGCCCGCCATGGCTGGTGCTCTGCTCCAGACGAGAGCACTGCAGGCAGCACCCTCTGTCCAGCGTAGGCCGGATTTCATCGGAGCGCATCAGCGACTCCGGTTTCGAGTCGGCCATCTTTTGGCACAGACCGACCTTCTGCCCCTGGCTCAGCGACTGGTGCATCCGGCGTGGCGTATCCAGATGCAGAGCCACGCCCTCGGCCAAGCGCTGCTGCGCAACTCCACCGCGTGCACTCTCGCGCGCCCCGCACTGCGTGCCTGGGTGCAGCAAACGATAGCCGTGTCCGAGGAGCCGCTTCCCGTGCACGCCCTCGAGAGCGTCCTCGTGGCCACGGGGCAGTGGCTCCTGCACCAGGACGCGCCCCGTCTGCTCGGCTCGCTGAACGCCTGGATCGTCATTCGCCAACTGCTGGAGTCGCACCGCTCTCGCGTTCACCGCATCTCGTTAGATGAAGGTTTCCTGGACAGCATACTCTCTTATCTAGTCGCCACTATCCACCGAATCGCTTTGGGTGTCAGCGATCCCGACGAAGACATCAGCGAACCTCAACAACAACAACACGTCTGGTTGATGGACGCTGCAGTGCTCACAGAACGTCTCCAAGCCGCATCACCTCCAGTGGTACCCGAGGCAACGCGAGTTGCCTTGTCACAAGCAGCACAAGTTGCGCGTTTCCTCTGGATATGGCGGCATGCGCGCTGGACACCTATCAACGCGATGCACGCATCGTGGTGCGACGCGGCGACACGCATGCAGCGGACAGCACATGTTCCCGCCAAAGCGATTGAAACGGACACGGCGATCGAGCCCCGACCCCCATCAGTGCCGTGCCTGCCGCGTCGTCGACAGCGCGCGCACTGCCTGTCCATGCTGCATGCGCTGTGCCTCGTCGACGCCCTGGATCGCTGTGCGGTGTGCCTGCAGACGACGACGACGGCGGCGGCGGCGCTGCGCTGGGCGACGGCGCTGCGTACCGCCATCCACCTCCTGATCGAGCGCATCGCTGGAGCGCCTGGGCAAGGCGATGCGCTCGCCGGACGCCATCAGCAGCAGTTGCCCGATGGCGATGAGGAGGCAGTGGAGCAGCTGTGGCGACGCTGCTGGCTTGCTGGTGGCTGGGTGCGTACGCAACTCGCGCGAGCGCTGCTCGCGGATCACGCGGCCGAAGCGGTGCATCCAGCGTCATGTGCAGCGGCGGCGGATGGCGTCTCCGGCACGACGTATCCGCTTGAGCGGACGCTCTATCCGGTGCGATTTCCGGTGCGGGAGATTCGACGGTACGTCGCTCGCAAATCAAGACGCGCCACAGCGTCCTGCTGCGCGAAGCGACCCTGATGACGGCGCTGGCTGTTGCGCCGCATGAGCCGACGCGGCTTGTCGTCGCCACACTGAAGCCGCATCGAGGTCTGTATGAGCTCAGCTGGGAGCCCGCTGAGGGTGTCTCCACGGACGGCGAATCAGAGCGTCTGCCTCGATCGTCACCGAGCTCGGCATCGGCCGTCGTGCGTGACCTCCGCGCCGGCAACTGGCACGGGCGTGTACCCGACGCGCGGCATGCGGAGGCTGCGGCAGCGTCGCGCGGGCTCCGCTGGCGCTCCGAGGTGCTCGCGTCGAGTCTGGCGGCGCATCCCTTCTCAAATCGGTACATTTCCGGAGATACTGAGGGTGACTTGCTTTTTTGGACTTTTGGAGAGCCGTTCGCTCTAGCCCAGCTCACATGGGCGCACGCACGCGGCCAAGTGGTGCAGCGTGTTCGCTTCGCACCTTTTGGAGATGCCGTGGTTGCTGCCTACGCCTCAGGTCTGGTGGCGCTCTGGCGCGTGCCCGATAAGCTTGCCATCTGCACGCCAAGTGAGCCGGAACAGGTCTGGCGACCTTTCGGCGATGTCTGCGTACATGATGTCTGCTTTGTCGATCAGGAGAATGTGATTGCGACTTTTGGTCGCGCCTATGACGGCAGCAATGCGACTGGCGGCGACATAGGTCCCAGTCGAATGGACACCATTCGAGTCTTCGATCTGCGGGCGGGGGCACTGAATCCACAGCAACAACAACAACAACAACGTTACCATCATCAGCCTGTGCTGTGTTTCCGGGCCCACACGCTCCCTGGTGGAGATTCGAGCGTGCGCGGCTCTTCGAGTTGCGAATCCCTCTGCGGACTCGTACTGGGCGATGGGACGCGGCTCCTGAGTGCGTCCTCCGAAGGCCACCTAGCCGTGTGTGATATGCGAACGTCTCGCTGTGCAGCCCAGTTCAGGGCACACTCGGACGGCAGCGCCATTCGTACGCTGGTCATGGAAGAGCCGCGGGGACGGGCGCTGATCACCGGCACCGACAGCGGCCAGGTGCGGCTCTGGGACGCGCGTTCCCTGCGTCTGCTCGAGGAACTTGGTACGGTGCATCGGCCAACGCGTCATTTCCGCGCTCGGGCACGTGCAAGTCAACATGCCTCCAGTCTCCGTCTGAGTGGCGGCACTGCACTTTTCGGGCTCTATGGCGTGGAGTGTGCGCTGCTCACGGATTATAGTCTGATCACTGGCGGCGGTGATGGGTACCTGTACGCACACGGGCCCGGCTGGGGCGGCACTGCGAGCCCAGCAGTCAGTGATCACGTCAGCACTTTTGCAGACGATGTGGATACGCAACTGCGACGCGTGGAGAGCGGTCTTGCGCTCTTCTGAGTGTTCGCGCCTCGCCATGCTTTCGATCAAGTGACGTGTCTGCACTTGAAGAGAAAAAAGGATCCGCAGAGTCTAGAAACAACACCGTTCGGTGTCACGGGGTAGCTCAGTATACGGTACAGGGTTTGCCGTTCCCTCACGAATGTCTTGCTCCCTGATTCGCACAGGCACTGTGTCATCGTTGAAGGAGTTGCCAAGCAGCGAAACCCGCCGTTGACGTGTCGAAACCTTGCCGTCTCTATCGACGCCGGAGTAATCGCGAGCCACCCGGTACGACACATGGTCAAGTGGGCTACGTTGCTGCGCTCGTCTCTGACGCATTAGCTGTCTGACGAAGCGCGATGTCTGCTGCGTCATTACACCTTGTTCGTGGCGTTTTGTATTCCGGATCTTTGGCCAAACTGCATGCTTGCATATCGCATACCGTACTGTGGTTCTGAACGGCGTCCAGTGCACTAGGGTCACAATTTCACGTTCCTAACGATGCACCTGTATGGGCTCTTTGGGTTCGCATTGCAGCTGAGTCTGATCCGATGCCTTCAAATGACACCGAGGCGTGAGCACACGATCCATGCTGGTCGTCCTCTCACTGCGAAGCGCTCCGCGAGGCATTCTTGCAGCCGGCGACACGCACATGGGGGCGGAAACACGCACAAGCCGCTGCACTAGTGCTCGAATGTTACTTTTGGAGGCGTTCGCACGTACAAGCACTCCATCCCAGCTGCTGTATAGGCTCGGAGCGATATTCATGAAGCGGGAAATCGTTCGTGCAGAGCAATAGCCGACGTTGAACCTACCTGGTTTCATCCTCTGAGGGTCAATGGCTCATCTGTCATCCCTTTGCAGGTTCATTGCACCCTCGAAAGCGCCGTGGCTAGCAGCTGAGGCCACTGTCGTCGTTGCTGGCAGACGCGCGCCGCCTTCAGCGCAGCAGTACTGGCGGTAAACGTTCGATTTCGTCGCCATGATGACTGGAGGTTGCTCGCCTCGCGTGCCGCATTGCACGCTTATCGTTGCGCAGTGCACCCGTTTCCACTGCGAAGCAGAGATACGACCTCTCCTGGAACTGGGTTACATGCACTTCGTGCTTATCGCATAGACTCCTTCAGCCTCGGAGCTATCATCACACTGGTGCTGCATCTGGGGCACCTGCACGCAGTCCTGTACCGTGCAGCGCTCATTCGTAACACATCAGCCGGTGTCGACACGCTCTATGCACGTGCTGCCCTTGTTACCGGAGGTATTTGCGGACACGTGCCTAGTTGATACCTGGATGCCCGCTTTTTTATGTTGCCGTTTTGGGGTGTACCAGGGGCCATACGCGCGCACGACGTGCCGCGCAGTCAGCAACACCGCGTCCCATCTCGAATCGGCGAGTCAGAGGCACTCCGCATCCCTTGCATGTGGTGATGAAATATCGCGAGGAAAACGAGACAGCTGTGAACACGTTTTCCATTGGTGCACATGCCCGAACGCGAGCCCCGGCGAATCTGTGTGCTCCCTGCCGGACTCGCGGCATTAATGCGTCTCTACAACGCGCTGATGGAGCGTGCTCTGTTCAGCATCGCTGCGAGCATCCCCTGGAGATTTGGTACTCGGGGCTTCACCGGATGACGCTTCGAGCTCATGAAACGAACACTGGACTGGGGAGTCGGGGTTCAGAGGCGTTTATGACGGCAGTGAAGAAGGTTCCCCGGATGCCGGCAACATTCGCGCTGTCGGGGGATGCCCGTTCAACGCATGGATCGTGCGTCAACTACAACATATTCTGTTCAAATGTATTCACTTATGTACATGATCGTTTGATCCTGATCACCGTCACCTGTGCTCCCTGCTCTCTGCATGATCACAACACATCCTGTCCTATTATATCCATTTATAGAACGAATTGTTTGTTCCTGTATCACGGGTACCAAGCAGATCTGCTCAATGCCGTCTGCACCGGATATCTGCACTTGAACCTCGATGCCTGCCCGTGGTCGCTTCTTGCGATTGCTCTAACTTGTGATATCGACACGCTCGGGTTCTTCAGGGCCATGAAGCTGCGCTACGACTACCAGTACGGGTTCGGGAACCATTTTGCAACAGAGTGTGTACCCGGAGCGCTACCAGTGGGTCAGAATAATCCCCAAAAGTGTGCATATGGGCTCTATGCTGAGCAACTATCTGGGACGGCGTTCACGGCGCCGCGCAGCGCGAACCAACGAACCTGGATGTACCGCGTTCGTCCCTCTGTAGACCACGGGGCATACCAGCGGGTATCTTTCGCAGAGCGAGCGCCAGGTCTGGGCTTTCGAGGACAGATCGCGACACCAGAGCGGCTGCGCTGGCAACCGCGCGACGACGCGGCCCCAGACAGGACTGCCGACGCCGCCGACGCCGACACCGACACAGACTTTTTGCGGGGCCTGTTCCGTATTGGAGAAAACGGGCTTCCCGAGGACCGAAACGGTCTCTCCATATATTCGTATTGGTGTAATACGTCCATGGACGGGGAGGCATTCTACAATGCTGACGGGGACCTGCTCATCCTCCCGCAACAAGGCGAACTCGTGCTCCAAACTGAACTCGGCATGCTGGAAGTGCCCGCTGGGCACGTCGCTGTAGTGCCGCGTGGCATCCGCTTTGCTGCACGTGTCGTTCCCATGAGTGACACTACGTCGACTAGCCGCGGCTTTGTTCTTGAGGTCTACGACAGGCACTTTGAGTTGCCCGACCTTGGTCCCATTGGCGCGAACGGATGCGCTGCACCCCGCGACTTCCGCTACCCGCTCGCCTATGTGGACCGCGATACCCTCCAGAGCTCTTGGCGAATATGGGCCAAGTTCCAAAACCAGATCTTTATGTATGAGACGGATCACTCCGTCTTCGACGTTGTCGCCTGGCACGGCAACTACGCGCCATTTGCCTACGATCTGGACCGCTTTTGTCCGGTAAATGCGGTTCGTTTCGACCACATGGACCCATCGATTTTCACGGTGCTCACTTGTCGCAGCGATGAACCTGGAGTGGCGCTAGCTGACTTTGTTATATTTCCACCGCGCTGGAACGTTCAGGAGCACACGTTTCGACCTCCGTATTTTCATCGAAACTGCATGACGGAGTTCATGATGAACCTAGCGGGAGAATACGATGCGAAGAGTGCGGCGGGTTTCCCACCGGGTGCCTGCTCGCTCCACTCGATAATGAGTGCGCATGGGCCGGATCTCGAGTCTTTCGCCCGGGCTGCCACGGAACAACTCCGACCGAAACGCCTACCGGACTCGACGCTGGCGGCTATGTTCGAAACCAGTCGTATGTTGCGCATTACCAAAGAGGCGCTAGAGCTGCTCCCTCTTGATCGAACGTATACGAGTTGCTGGCGCGATTTTCCGCCAGCAACGATACCTTCTTCATAGCCAGTGCTGGGGAAGCATTGAAGCATGCGTCTTGAATGGCGAAGGATCGTTGCATCTAATCCGGAATCCTCCGCGTCCAGATCGACCTCTTACCGTTTGGTCGCTGCGGCAGACCGCACGAGCTGCGAAGCGCTTCACGATGGAGCACGGGAGCCAGCTGCGTCGATGCCGCCCGGACTGCACTGCCTATCGGCAAGGTGTGTTTGGTTTTTGTGCACAGCACCAGAGACTGCACGTCAGCCCCGCAGTGCGATGGGCGCACCATGCCTATTCTGTGGTGTAGCCCGCAGGGCATACGCAGAAACGTCAATACAGGACGAGAAAACACGTTCAGCTGGATGCAAATCCCCGAGCGGCAACAACCGACGCACCGCATCGCGCAAAAGCCTCGAAGCATCCACACCCGCGTACGTCTCCGATTGGAACACGCAGAACTGCTCATTCTTGTCCTAGCTGGATATTTTCGACGTTGTTTTTTCGAGTTTCGAGCATCGGCATCCAAAGCGCGCGAAAAATGACGTAAAAATTCAAAAGCATTCTAGGATTCTCGGTCATCTTTTTGGAGTGGGTGTTCGGAATCTTTGCTGTTGGCACTCGTCACATTACCGGAATCAGGATGATTCAAAATGCCCTCGACCAAGCGTTCGTAACATATACGATATCATTATGCATTTCATACGTGCAAGCATCCACACTTCGTCACCGAAGCTTACGTGTAGCATGTTTGATACGCGGATGTTTCAAGTTTTCGATCGTGCTGTCTCCATGAAACTCATGGGCAGACCAATGCACGCTTGAGGATTTACGAGGCAGAAAGTCGACGTCGTCCCCAGACGACTTGTTCATAAGCTCACGCCGACGCGCACGGAACTTTTCATGTGAAATCACTGATTCCGTTCGAAATACAAATCCGAGTCGGTTTGTTGCCATCATTGAAGCGACCTACAACGGCGGCGCCGACGGCAGCAGCAGCAGCAGCAGCAGCGTACCTCTCACCAGATATGCTCGCCGAGGCACCCGTCTCTTCTGTTTCCATGGGAAAAAAGAAGCTTTGACACGGACTTGAATCATTGCAGCAATCGCCGGAAGCAGAGCGTACGTCGCCGCTTTGCACGAAGGGGGCGTAGACGACTCGAAATTTCTCGACTTGGTCTCGAGCTTGGATTATCCTTTCGGTTTTCGTTTCATCATCAGCAACATCGTGTTGCACAAACCCTCTGTCGAATGAGAGAGCGTGCACTTGCACGCCAAGCGTAGACGCCGAGGACATCGCCCAGAAGCGGCAACAAAGGCGTGTATCGAGAGGCAAGTCTTCTGGACCAGTCGAGTGCATGTACGAAGCGATGAAGCGAACGTTCACGCACTCCAGTGCAGTCATCGGAGAAGGAGGACGCTGAGGTGCAGCGGATACACCCGGACACCTAACCACATCCACGTGTCAACGCCGCGACGGGCGCCCCGACGCCGTACGCAAAGCAGTTGAAAATGACAAGCGCAGCGTGGATCGCAACTTCCGCCTCTGCAAGAATTGCGTGGAAAGCAGCCAGAAGCAACAATCCCGTTACCTGAACGCTGCCATATCATCCTCCGGGAACGTATTACGGAGCTGGGGCGACAGGAGACCCTGACACAATTAACGCCGCAAATATGAGTGACAGAGAGGGATAGAGGAAAAGGCTGGTACTAGTGGCGATCGCAAGTAATCCGACGTTTATTGTAGACGCCTGACTCAGGATAGTGGACTCGTTTCATTTCAGTCCGATACGGGTGTAAGATCTTTACGGTCCTTGCGTGTGAACGAAGGAGTCAGTGCTTCATTTTGGAGAAAGAATAGGCACGACCTGGCAACTTGTGCAGAGCAATGCCGCCGAGCATACCGTTCAGCTGTTGTGGGTCTTCCGGTGGCGGGCGGTACGTGAAAGCGCCCTCAAGCAACGCGCTTTCCCTGACGAGACCGTGTACTACTCACTCTGTTCACAAATGGGAGCTTTCGAGCACTGTACTCGAGTTTGAAGGCTTGATACGCCAGAACCAGTCTCGAGCCTGCTCTGGATGCGTTCCAACGGAACAATCACCACACCCGAGCGTCCGTACAGGCCATGGTGGAAAGCCGAGCAAGTCCAGCAAGCACTCGAGCGCGGTACAGTGGTGGCAGGAGAACTTCGTGTGAACGCCAAACAACCTGGGGAAGCTTTCGTGCGCAGCGTGCACCACAAAAGAGATATCTTTATCCAGCGGGAGCAGCTTCGCAACCGAGCGCTCGACGGAGACCTCGTTGCCGTGTTGGTAAAGACGCGTCCACGACGCAACAGCAACTCAGCAGCAGTACCAGTAGCAGTTCAGGACTCGTGTTCCGAGCCGTCGACCTCTGACGGGTCGTCGCTCGGAGCCAGCGCCGAACTCGAACGTGACAAGGCGCTAGGAACACTGCCTCTGGGTCAACCGAGGACGCACCTGGAGCCGGCCGAAGGCCCAGAACCCGAACACCTATGCGGGCGAGTCGTTGCTGTTTTGGAGCGCCACCGACCCCGATACATATTTGGGCGAGTGGAACGACACGATTCACTTCTGTGTTTGTCACCAGATGATCGACGTCTACCAAGGTTTCAAATCGAGCTGGTTGGCTTCTGCGCTCGCGCTAGGGAACGCCTGTATCGAAGCGTTGGTCATCTAGCTGTCGCAACGTTCACGGGCCGTTGGCATACACACGACACCTTCCCGCGGTGTGCGCTCTTGCGACTCTGGGACGAGAGCGATGACCTCGCTGCTGGCATGTCGCTTATTCGCTACAAGTTTTCTGTACCACCGGCTACGGCCTCGTGCTGGATACCGCTTTCGAAAGCAGTTGCCTGGGATGCATCCGCTGCGGGTACCGCTTGGGATGCCTGCTCAAAAAGTCATAACATTCGTGACTGGCGCGACGCTGTTCGGGCGTTCACCATCGACCCGGAGACGAGTCGCGACCTCGACGATGCGCTGTCGGTGCGCTGGGATCCCGATGCAAATGGGTACCGCGTTGGCATCCATATCGCAGACGTGTCGGCCTATGTACAAACTGGGACCCTATTGGATGAGGAGGCAGCACGCCGAGGCACTAGTTTCTACTTTATGGACCATGCAGTACCGATGTTGCCGCCAGCGCTTAGCGAAGACCTCTGCTCGCTGCTCCCCGGACGCGATCGACGAACCGTATCGGTAGAGATTCTGCTGACAACAGATGGGACAGTGCAGGGTGAGCCCTGGATCGGTCGCGGGCTTATCCGGAGTTGCGCCAAGCTCTCGTATCAGCAGGTCCAGCGGATCCTGCGGGATCGGGATCCGTCTCAAGTTTCCGATCCGTTGATAGCGGACGTGCATCTCCTGTACCGTTTGGCAATGCAGAGGCGGCAACAGCGACGCGCTCGGGGCGCGCTCCTACAGTTTCAACGCCAGCTGTCGCTGGAGCGAGTGCGCGCTATTCGTTCATTCGCGAACCTGAAGAAGACGGGCGAACCAGACGGTGCACATTGGCTCGTGGAGGAATTCATGCTCCTGGCGAATGAACAGATCGCGAGGTTCCTCCAGCGGCACTGTCCCCGGGAGGCACTCCTGCGACGTCATCCGCCGTTCGATAAAACGCTCGTGGAGCGTATTACCCAGTGGGCGACAAAGCGAGGCCTCGCATTCACAGCAAGCGATACGCAAGCGCTCCAAACGAGTCTGGATGCGCTAGCGGACACAGCACCGATCGCAATGATCGTTCTCCGCAACAAACTTACCAAGGCGATGGCGACTGCTGAATACATCTGTGCTGGTGCCTTTGACGATGCAGCCGCTTACCGTCACACTGCACTCGACCTGGATGTGTATACGCATTTTACCAGCCCGATACGGCGCTATGCGGACATCATTGTGCACCGACAGGTGCTTTCGGTGTTGGACGCGCCAAGTGAGGCACGGTCTGGTTCCCAGAAGCCGGTTGCTCAGCAGGTCGAAGCCGTCTCCGCGATCGCTGCACACTGCAACCAGCGCAAGAAGGATGCCGACGCTGCGGAGTCGGCGGCTGCTTGGCTCCATCTCGCACAAGAGCTCCAGGTCGAGCCGCTCGAGTGCGATGCGATCATTGGGGGTTTCCCGAACAGTTGCCGTTGCTTGGATGTATATGTACCAGTTCTGGACCTGGAGGTCGTACTGGACTTTACAAGGGACCTCGGCGCTTCGGTTTGTCTGCAGACCAGGGATCCAGTGACAGGTCTGGAGGAGCTCGAACTCGAATGGCCAGTGCATATACTGAGACCGTACGGCCTGGATGAGGCGCGCACGTCGTTCATTGTGGGGCTCGGCAAGTCGAGCGGGACCCATCCCGCCGCCTCACTGGTGTCAGAGGCGTGGACGATCCGAGTGCGTCTCCGAGAACTCGATACCTGTCGAGTACTCGTTTCGGGGGAGACTCGACCCTATGTCCACGCTCGCGTGCAGCTGATTCTAGACAGATGCAGTCCAGCGGACGCGCAGCGATACGTTCTGCGAGTTGCAAGCGTGCCGTGCCTATTGACGGAAAGCGACCACGACTTGCTCGACTAGTTGCTGCTGAATGTTTGGTTCGTGTACTACTAGAACGCTGGGTGTTCAGCGGCTAGGACGCTGCTCAAGGATGCTGAAAGCGACCGCAACTCTCTCGACAAGCAGCAGTAAAAGCACCTGAGTTTGCATGTCTGACTCGTGTACCGCTGGAATGATGTCCATTCAGCGGCTAGGGCACTGCTGCGCTACCGCATGGCGCGTACGCAGTTGCACCGGGTGCCGCGGAGCGAATTATAGACTATGTCGCCACGCTGTATGCTTGGCCGCTTGAAGCCGCTCCCTGAAAACAAGCACATACACACATACATAGACGCGTACACACACTGCGTGGTCAGGCAGGTCTGCGGCAGGTCACAAGGCGGCTGAACCGTAGAGCAAGCGCCCTTTTATTCGAGGTGCGTGCGCGCTGCACCCCAGACTTTGGCATAGACTTGTCCGACAAGCTTGGATTGCACTCCTAAGCGGAAAAGTGAGCAAGCTACGGCACCGGCTCTGCTTGAACGTAAACACACAGTACCTACTACAGCGGTCAACGTGACGCTGCAGGCCGGGGCCGCTATTTCGGGCACCGGGGGGGCTGCTGCGCGGCCCCGGGTAGCCCACAGACACCGCGGAAGCGACTCAGTTCCAGCGAAAAATTCCAACCTTTCCTCTACTATGCTTCTACTGCACAGTCTCAGTATCGATAAGAGAACAACACACTTGCCAATAGCCCTGGACACGTCCGTCTACGAAGCACCACGCAGTGCGTGTGTCTGCCAAAGTCTTCCACGGGGAGCAGCGAAACGTTGTGTCCGCTCATCAGGAAGCGTCCCTGGGTCTCGTCCGACGCTCCTGAGTGCACAGAGGCAGCCGAGCACCCACCGAGGGCAACCTCGAACACCGTCGAGAAGGCGTCGGGCGTCTCCACTGTGTTTCTCGAGTGCCCTGCCCTGGGCAGGCACTGGAAGAGCACTCACGGGCGACGCGCGGCGCGCTGTTCTCCTGTTTGAATACCCGCGGCAGCGTCAGAGGCGCCTTGTTCGCTGCTGAGCGTCCCTGACAGGCCCCTGGGAAGCAGTACGAAACGATGGAAACGGACCGGCTCAAGGTCGACAGTTTAGACGCGGAGATCACTGCCACTTTGCGGATTATCGAGCTGAACTTTTTGAATGCACTCGAGCAAGTTGACCGTATCCAGCGAGTGGCGAAACGCTACGTGCAGAGTGCAGAGAAACTGCGGGCGTTTGCCGCACCCTGGCGAAACCTCTTTCACTCCATAGCACGTGATACGTCTGGAGAGCGTCAGGTGGAGACGAGACCAGCTCCAGGCGGAGGTAGCAGTGAAAATAATCTTCACGAGAGACTCGTGAGTCTGCCTCAGTCGATGCGTGAGTCGTTGGCGCGGCTTCGCGCTTTCTTGCCGCACAAGCCGCGCACTGCGGACTGGGGAAACTTTTCAGGGCTGCTCGAGGACGATGTAGATGATGATGACGACGACGCTCCGTTTCTTTGTAGGGTTTCCGAACGCCGCGCGGATGCGGGCGACGCTTTTTGCGAGACCTCGTCGGGGCCGGTGCGAGCAGTCGGGACGCACGGACGCACGTCGTCTCTCGTGGAGGGCATAGCAGGAATGCCTGTCGCTTCACACGATGAAAGCAGTGCAGCTGCTGGGGAGCATGTTTTCTACAAGAGACCGTCGACGAACCCGAACTTGTGCGCGCGCTGGCCGCAGCAGACTGACGCCACCGGAGCAGCTAATACCCCAGCAGCCACAGTGCCGCGGCACGACCTCGTTGGTCCGGGTGTATATGAACCTATTCACGCCGATCGTGGACTTGGACGTTGTTCTCGTACGGCGGACAATAACGAATTGGAACTCGAACGGTTTCCGGAAAAGTTTCGTGATGGTGATGGCGCTCGGCAGCTGCAACAGCTGTACGCTGTGTTTTGCCAGCATCCTTCTGTTGCACTCAGTGCGGCGGATTTGGCCGCTATGCTGGACGGCTCACACAGTCTGGAGGTTTTGGAACTTGTCTGTGAACTACTGGCGAGCCGCAATTACCTGCTAAGCGTGCTTGGGTCGGGGTCAGTTCGGCAATGGATGCTTGCGCCACGGTATGACGAGCCGAGCTCGATAGTCACCGGCGCGCTGGGTGGTTCCAGCGAGACGCTCGACAGCATTGCCGCATCCAGTTTTTCCGTCATCGATACCGCCTTGTCGATAGACGAAATGTAAAAAGTGGTACACCGCAGGGCCTGTATGCACATGTAATCAAAAACATCCGGCTACAGCGTTGTTCGGTCGTTCACAGCATGATTCGGGTCTCGTGAGAAACATCTGGTGAACGACCTTTGCGGGATAATGGGGTTTCAGATAAGGTCTGTACCAAGATACGGTACAACGAAGCGTCTTGACCTGATGCAAGCGGCTTTATCATGGTCCAAATGGACAAATGGCGTGCCCGAAGTGGAATGCGCTCAAACCATGCTTCCTCCGGTGCATCATCCTGCATGAAGGACGGCATGCGTTGGAGCGTAGCGCTCGAGCACCGCACGAGACGCGCGACTGGTGCGCAGTATCTTCCAGGACTTACGCGATCCGCAACGACTGGCGGGTAGAGCTGGTGCACGGCAGAGCGGCAGCGTTCCAATTGTACTGAAGCGCGAGACCACCCGACGGCGTACGAAGCGTCTCTACTCCGTTTATTGGCAGCGTGTGCACCCTCGCGGGAATGCTGCTTCGAACTGTGTTCCAGCAGATTTCGAAAATGCACTGGCAACCAATCGTTCTGAGGCAACGACATCGAGTGCTGTAACAGTGGCCAAGCTATCGACACGCGCATGCAACCACGAAAGCGCACAAACGCTCAGGCGCTTCTGTGCAGAGCGGTGTACCTGCTCACGGGTCTGGGCGCTTTACTCAACCTGTCTTTAACACTTGGCGACAACTATAAACGACAAAATTACAAACAAATGAAGGTCCAGCGGCCTCTCGTGGTGCGCGTGCACGCCTTGCACGGTGCAGCTGTGCTCGCGAGAGCGCCTTCCGGCAAACACCAGCAGCAACAGCGCAGTGCGCTGCTCTAACCTCCGTAGCCCGCTGAAGACGCGCGATCCCAGCTATCCATCCAAGACGGCCTTCGGACTCGTATCCCGTTGACGGAATGCATGGAGGTATCGCAGGTATGCTCGTCGTAGCTGCCGCACCCAAGCGACGAACTCGAGGGCGTAGGCCGAGGCACGCGTACTCCTAGTCAGGGCTGGAAGACCCAAAAAAACAGAAATGTACAGATTACATGAGACCCCCGCCAGCGCCAGCGCCCGCGCCAGCGCCGCTCGTGACGCTGTCCCACGCTGACGCAACGTTTCCCTGCCCGAGGTACCATCGATGCGTCTCAGCGGGCATCTCGCCGCTGCGCTATGCTTATTTGGAAACGGAGAAGCAACCGCCAAACCACTCCAGAAACTCACCCTGCCTGCTGGGGATTCTTTCAGAGAACAACCCCAGCGCGTACCCGTCGGGCGTCACGCTTGGTTCTTCAAGGCGTTCGCCAGGTGCGTGCCTTCCTGCATCACCGCTGCTGCTGATCTCTACTACAGATCTCTACTCATTGCTGATCTCTACTACAGATCTCTACTCATTGCTGATTGCTGATCTCTACTCATTGCTGATCTCTACTACAGATCTCTACTCGTTGCTGATTGCTGATCTCTACTCGTTGGTGATTGCTGATCTCTACTCGTTGCTGATTGCTGATCTCTACTCGTTGGTGATTGCTGATCTCTACTCATTGCTGATTGCTGATCTCTACTCATTGCTGATTGCTGATCTCTACTCATTGCTGATTGCTGATCTCTACTCGTTGCTGATTGCTGATCTCTACTCGTTGCTGATTGCTGATCTCTACTCATTGCTGATTGCTGATCTCTACTCATTGCTGATTGCTGCCGCTGCATCACCGCCGGGGATCGGCGCCGATTGGCCGACGCGATCGAGAGGCCGTCGAGTCGGCGCCGTCGACCGCTCCTCCCATACCTCCTGCAACGCCTCGTGGTACGCCTCCATTGAGGTTCAACACACAGGACGCCATTACGCTTGACAGCTTGGGTAACGAAACAGTGTTCACTGCTCTAGCGGTTCGGTGTGGTGTCCACTGGTAGTAGGTAGAGCCAAGTGGGGAAACGCACACGTCTACGTTTCTGGAGGCCTTGCTCAAACGTGCGTTTTCTCGGAACGCAGAGGCGCTCTGGGGTACGACCAGCGCAAGCCTTTCCTGAGGTTGCCCGCGGTGCCGGGAGCGCGCTCGACACACGCGTGCGTCTGAACGCACGACAACGGGTAAGTTTCGCGGAACCTCGGTGTGTGGTGACGGGAGCTGCTGCGGCACTGGAGCGCCCGGTCACGAGGCTTCGAGGACCTGCGTCTGCGTCAGGAACCTAACTGGTGTTGGTGTTCCGCGCGGAGGGCGCCTGACTTTTGCGTCAGTCCGTCAGTCTGTTAGTCTGTACTCGTGACTTGGACGCGCCAGGCAAGTCGTGAAGAGAGGATGCGCCTCGCCAGCGAGAGTTACGCGACGCACGCACTGCCCGAGAGCAGTCATCTACCCGAAGACGACACGACCTGGGAACGTGGGACCGAACCCGTATCGCTTCTGGTCGCAAAACTGGAGCCGCTTCTGAGAGCCGGTGACGAAGGCAACTGGCGTGACATGGTATGTGTCAGAAAGCTGGCCGCATTGAAAGAGCGCCTCCTGGAAGAGCGGCAACGAGAGCAACGCCAGCAGCAGGCCGCTACGGTGCCTGGTGGCTACGAAAACGACCCCACTGGTGCGCAACTGCAGGCGCAAACGCTTCACACCGTGAATGCAGCGCTTGATAAAATTAACCGGCGCTTTGAGTACATGCGTCAACAGGGACATAACTGGGGATACGGGTCACGCATTGCAGAACCGCTTGCCACTCCATGGAATGACGTGTGGCATGCACCGCCGGTGGAGGCAGCGCTCGGCACCTCGGCATCGAGAAAAGTTCGGGTGCTGCGGCGCAACAACTCCGCGCTGCGACTCGCCCTGGCAGGATCCCTCTTTATTGATCGCTTAGATGTTGAGGGTCCACAGGGTCGCAATTCTCCGGCCGGTGAGGGCGTTCGCGATGCCGTCCTCTACGAGTACATGGACGCAGCAGAGTTTCGACAACGTCAGCTTCTGGAAATAGAGCGAGCGCGGCGGAGTGAGAGTCTTGACCTCGATGATGACGCATCGACGCCACAAGAGACTGGTGATTCCGAAGACAGCGAACACGGAGCACATGAACACCACGAATCCGTCAGCACCCAAGCAGACGCCGGACACTCCGATCCATCGCATGTGGTGAATGCGTCGCCACCGGAGCGCGAAACGCAGTCGAACCTGCAACGTGTCGCTCCGAGTTCCGGTATATTTGCACAATCGCATCTGTCCCGAATATACGCTAGCACCGAAGAGGAGTACCGAGAACAGCTCATGGCTGCATCGTTGCTCACCAGCCTCGATCGCCGCCGACGTTTTCGAGAATCCAGCGCGCAGCGTGAGCCCGTGACACCCTCGCTGCGTTCGGAGTCCACCACGACGCATACAGACCGGAGTGCAGAAGACACACAGCAAGTGGTTTATGCGATGCGCTCACAGAGCCCGGCCCCAGATCCACTGAGCAAGGCGCCAGGATCCACAGACGCCTCGGCTTGTCGTACGTCAGGTGTCTCCAGTGGGTCCAGCACGAACTCTGCTCCACTGGGTTCCGTTCAAGAGCTGGGGGGTTCCGGACGCTATCGACCCGGCAGCAATGCGGCACCATCACGTTTCTGCCACGTCTGCGCACGCACCAAGGACTTACAGACTTGTGCAAACCTGCCAACTGGCTGCCGCAAAGTCACCTGTGCCAAGTGCTTTGAGGACCACGGCTGGGTACGTTCCGATGCCTGGGTGTGCACACATTGCCGCGGTGTGTGTCCAGAACGCTCGCAATGTCAAATTTATCGATTATCCAATCGCAACCGCAGCGCCAAGAATCGACGTCATGGACAAGGCAGATATGCTGGTGCGAGGACACCAGCCGCCGCCGCCGCCGCCACGACCGCGTCGACTACAACTACTTCTACTACCACCAGCGGTGTTCATCGCAAGCGCGTGCGGCACTCGTGATACACGTCTGGGTTGTTGTGCTCGCACGACGGGTGCGTTCCTTATTTGACGCACTGTTCATGCGAATGCCTTGCGTCACGAGCGGTGCCCGATAGATGCGCATGGGCATCGAATGCGTACGTCCGAGTCCGATATGCACGTAGCGGCCTGACGGCATATGCCAGTCTGCAAACGATCCACTGCACTGAACCGTTTTTAGAACGTCTAGATGCGTTTTGTCGCGAAAATGGTGTACGGATTCGGCTTGCATCGCTTGCACTCGTATTGGATGCGGCGGCTGCCTGTCCGAGGTTCGCGCTCCATCGCAACAGCGATAATGTTGGGTATTAAGGAGCCTGGTGACATTGGCTCTACTTGTTTGCTCCTGTTGCTGGTGCTTCCGCTTGCTGTGCGGCATCCACAAAGCCCGCTAGAACGTCAGCGATGCGTCGGGTTTCATCGCGAGCGCGTTCGTCATCACCAAGGAGCCGCTTGATCAGGGCCTGGAAGCCATCATGCGCCGGGTCCGAGCCGCAAGTCGCCGCTATTCGCGCTGCGTACTCGAGCAGGCCAACCATCATCACCGCCTCGGCGGCTGCGCAGAGCGCCGGATCCACGTCGTCAGCCGATACCTTTCCAATCCCCAGCTGCCGATACGCTCTCAACAGCGGACTCTTCTGAAGCGCGTCTAAAAGCAAACGTCTAGAGCTAGAGCACTCACAGCTCGTGTTTGCATCTTGAATCCGCAACGGGGTTACCGCCAGATGACGAGAGAGATGCAGCGTCCAGATTTGAATGAGCGTTTCCATGAACTCGGCGAGCTGCTTCTCGTCCATTGCGATTGCATATCCCCGCATCAGGCCTCGAATCGTGATTTGTACCTCAGTTAGCGCTCTAGCGGTTTCCTGCTGCGTCGACAGACGTTTCATGTGGAGAAGACGCGGACGCCACGCACACGGGCGTACCGTGCTCGCGGAGGCATCCTCCGACGGCACCGGTGTGCGGTTTGAGGTGCCCGACGCCTCAACGACCGGCCGACGACGCACCATAGCGAGACCCCGGGGCATCCCTGTTGCCGGATCGAGGACGCTCATCGCTCGATACAGGTCCGGGAGTGCCACCCAGTGTGGTGGGTACTTGAAGCGCGCCACATCAAGGATCAGGGCACGATCCGACACCTCGTCGTATGCAGCAATCGGGGAAAAATGCCCGGTGCCTGTTTGCTGCAGGGCCTCGCGGGCGTAGCAAAGCACCAGGAACCCGCTACCGTTTCGGGGGTCCCGATCACTGCACATTCGTTGGAGAGACTCACGGAAACGCTCGAGCGATAAATGCTGGGACGGTGCCACACCAGGTGCTGGTGGCTGTGCTGTCTCCACGAGGGCACCATTGCATTGACCCAGGCAGCGGAACTCGTCCAGGGTGATGCCCTCGCGAGCGACGATATGCAGAGGCAGACAGCAATCGAGGAGCTCCTCAGAAAACCAGCGCCAGGGGCCTTTCCACGGACGTCCGGGATCGACCTGGAGCGCGTTGAGCACCATTGCGAGCGAGCCTAAACCGCAAAAGGCCGGCTCGCTTTGCGTAGTAAACTGGGATACCAAGGGCAGGAAAGGCTCTGCTAGGCCCGAAAAAAGGCTGCGCTCGAACAAAGCTCGACCCTCAGCAGAGTCCAGCGCGATGCACGTTGCCGGAAGCGGGCGACGATAGAACGACACCGCCGGCGGAGGAGTTGCGCTCGGTATCCTCGTCGTCGTCGTCGTCGTCGTCACCGTTATCGTCTGTGGTGTCTGTGTACGCAGCACCGTGGCGTCATTCTCTGGTAGCGCAGGAGCAGGTTGTGTGCGACTCGACGGCGTCTGAACTGGGCACTGCTCAAGCGCTGGCGCCATGGTTGCTCGAGTCACCTGCGGTTGCGAACGAGTCCTCAATCTTTTAAAGCAGCCGCCACGCCCTTCGTTTTGCAGCACGCACTCAAGCGGACGCTGGAGCTTCTCGAGACGACACGCGAACCCGTGGTAACCGCAACGTACCAACGGACGCCAAATGATCATCAGCGGCGACCAGCCTGTGAGGTGAGCACCGTCTTTCACTTGTCGTCTGCAACCCAGACTCGGTGCTCACTAGTCAAACAAAACCCCCCTGAAGACAGTTCAACCCTTGTTTACAACACAACGACCTACAGCGCGTATCTGGCTAGGCTAGTTCGAATCCCGTTCCCAAGTCCCGCCTGCAGACTCATGGCTTGGCCTGGGTGGTGGAGGGCGGCAGCGGCGGCGGCTGCCGCCTGGTCACGCGCGTCTACGAACGCATGATGGCAAGCGCGCGTTTCGCTTCCTCCACATGGGAGAGAAAGTCCATCTGACTGTTGTGCACCTTCACAACCTTACCCTCCTTGTCAATGACGTAGGTTACTCTCCCTGGTAAAACACCTAACGTATTCGGAACGCCGTAGAGCTTGCGCACCTTGCCGCCAACATCTGCAAGCAGACGAAAGCGATATCCCTGTGCCTCGGAGAAGCGCTTCTGCTCCTCTACAGTGTTCGAGCTGATGCCCAGCACCACAGCGTCTACGGACTCGAAAGCGGCGAGATCATCTCGAAAGGCGCAAAGCTCTTTCGTGCAACCGGGACTCGACGCTGCCGGATAGAAGGCCAGTACCACGGGTTTACCACGCAGCTTGGACAGGGTCACTGCTTCTCCATTCTGATCAAGCAGCGTAAAGTCCGGCGCCATAGAACCCTCCGTGACTCCAGCACTCCGCAGCGTGAAGAGCGAACGTCGAGCAGCGGCACCGTGGGAGCGTTTAACAGTCAGCAGGGCTGCTTGTCTTCCGTACCGAACTCGAGCGGGTACAGCCTGCTCGAATCCCTGGCTCGGGTAAGCTTGTGCTTGCCTTGCACCAGCCCTGATGCCAGCGCGCTGAAGAGATTGCGTAAGCGTTAAGGAAACAAACATGAAACGATATGCGCTGATAGCTTGCTCTGTGCTTGGAAAACGTCCTCTCCGCGGTACCAGCTGGACGACTGGCAGGCGCCGCGCCGATGCGATCGTGTGAATGTGAAAGCGCGCACGCCTGGCGATGATGGCAACGTGGCGACGCCTCTGCGGTATATGCCGCAGCAGCTCGGCATGCGCTGCAGGTACGACTATCAGGCGACGCTGATGTTTCTATAGGTGCAATCGCTGTCGCGGGCTTCGAGAGCGTCTCCATACGGACGCACGGGTAAAACGGTGGTGCATAGGGCGGGGACGTCACAAAAAAAAGTAAGAAAAGAAAAATGCGCATAATCGGAGAATGCTGGCCGAAGTCAACGTTTTGTCAATGGAAAAAAATAGGCGGGGCGTCCAGCGCCGTTCATCGTGTGTCCTGTGGATGCAGGTGCGCTGGGGGCGCGTCCGTAACGCACGCCCACGCTACGTTTAAGCGAATCTTAGAACTCCAGTTTCGTTATACCCTGGTAGTCGTCGTACTACCTGTGGCTATCGATCGAGTGCTCTGCAACGGACTCGGGTGAACCTTTTGTGGAACAGTTTTATCCATGAGTTCGGAACAAGCTCCAACCAAGGGGCAGCTTGCTCCTGTCATCAGGGCTACAGACCATAACGGAACGTTGGTGGACACCGAGTCTGTGCGAGGTCAACGGCCCGTCGTGGTGTTCTTCTTTCCGCGAGCGTTCACCGTGGGCTGTACCCGAGAAGCGTGCGCGTTCCGTGACTCTTATTCGGCTTTCGAAACTCTGAACGCAATGGTGGTAGGCGTATCAGCTGATTCCCCACAGGTTCTGCGGGAGTTCGCGCAGCAACATAAACTTCCGTTCCACCTTGTTTCGGATACCGACGGGAGCCTGCGCAAACTCTTCCAAGTGCCCAGATCCCTGTTCGGTCTTCTTTCTGGGCGGGTTACCTATGTCATCGGACGGAGCGGCCGCATTCTGGATATATTTAATAGTCAGCTCAGTTGGACCGAACACGTAAACGTGGCGAAGAAGGCTATCGCTGCAGAGGAGGCCGCTACATGACAAGTCGAGCGCCTCCAGAGCCTCGTCTGCTGGCGGCAGCTCGAACGCCAGCGGTGTTGAAAACGTCGCTCGCCAGTGATCGCGAAAAATGCCGTCATGTGCACGCGTGCCGGCAGTTGGTTTCCCTGAAAGCAACTGCCCAGGTGTGCCTCGGTTGGTACGTACGGTGACGTAAAGCAGGGCGTGGCCCGCTGTGAAAAGTTTTCGTAGTTGAGCTCCAAGTTCCAGCATATTTTGAAGATCGAGTCGCTGCATCGCTGTCTCTGTGGTATATGATGCGCGCGCTGCGGTCAACTCCGAATAACGTCCGACGGACACCGTCCAGCAAGTCTGCAACGACGAGCGGGAACCCAGATACCCATGCATGCGGGATACCGACTCGCTCACAGAAGCTTGGCGACAGCCGCGCTGCGCGTGGGACGTCATGCGGCAGAAGCAGCAGCGTATCGATATCGAAAAGCTGTGCCTGTGAAGCCCAGTACTCAACCTCAAGAGACGTGCGCTGACAGCGAAAACCTTTCTCTCGGACTCGCCGATAACCGATGAATGACTCGTACGCATCATCATCGATGCATCGATTATCGACACAAACGGTATCGAATGAAGAGCGCCTGGTCGCTGCAACGCTGGCAACTGCTCGGGTTTCGATTCATGCTGCGGAGGCTGTGCACCTGCCGCCAACGAACGGTAACACTGCACTCGTGCGAGGCAACCTCGCCATGCTGCTGCCCGAGTTGAAACCCCTGCTCATGAACCTCAGGCGAGTGTCTCGCCGCGGATCTCGTGCCGCGGCAGTCGGGTGTGCGCATGCTTCTATGTATGTCTCTGTTTTTGTCAATGGTTACCCGTTCGTGTTGCCAGCGTCGTTGTAAAAACACCTCGACTGTGCACGTACGGTCGTCGTCGACCGATCCAAACCACAAGACGCTAGCTGCCGAGTCAACGATTCTCGGCAGGTCCTTGACGCCGCATGTGGCGCTCGTAGTAGAATTGCGCAAAGGTAGGCAGCACTCGAGAGGAGACCACGGATGAAAGCGAACCTCCAGGTTCCGGATGCGTACACGACGCACCCGATGCCTGGCGGAAGACCAGCGTTAGCTCATTTAGGAGCGTTTCGTAGCGGTAGCGAACACGAATAGATGGAACATTGGACTTGTGGATATCGTTCCCCTGGTCATTGGTGAGAAACCAGCGCGGTCCGAGCCAGTGCGCCTTCACACAGGGCTCGAAACCGCTCTGTAGCGCAGAGTTTCGCGCCAGTTCACAGAGATCCGAACTGCTCAGTTTCCATATCTGAGCGGCTACCGAGTACTCTTCCATGAGCGGCTCGCGAGAGAAATGGAACATAAGTGGATCATCGGTGCTGAGGCTCACATTCAGCCCGCGTGCAATAAACACTGGTACCGGTGACTTGGTGTAATCGACGAATAGCAGGTTATTGCCCAGCGGAGAGACAGCGAGACCCACTTGGCACAGGTAGTAGAGGTACTGCAGCACGGGTGCTTTTTTCAAGTTAATCCCGTGATTAATACCGTGCGCGAGGAGAAACGTCACTGCCAGGTGATCGATTTCGCCGGCTTCACCAGCATGTGGGCGGAATCGAAAGGTATGCAGGCCTCGATGCTCGCGAAACCTGTTCAAAACCCATAAATTAGCGTAGATGTAGTAGGTGAAGTATGCATAGGGCATCGGTGCTGAGGTACGCCACGCTAGCGGCGGTGGCAAGGTCAACAAGTCGATGCGTGGCTGCGGTACACTCTCGTCGTCAACGGTGTCGAAGCCTACAATCTGTTGCAGAACTGTGTGCAGCTCCGGATGCGTTGATGGATCTTGCGTGACCTCAAATAGCGGGAAGAAAATATTGTTCAACATTTCCTGAAAGGATTCCAGCAACCCTGCTTCGTGGTAGGCGCCGAACAAACGCGGAATCTGGATCAACCATCGGGCGTGATCCGAGTAGATTCGATGCTTGGTGAACCAGCGAGCAAGACGATCCCACTCGCATCGTTTTTTGCCGTATATCGAGATTCGGGGCTCGATATGGGAGTACTTGCTCTCTACAAGATCATCGAGGACCTCGCGGGTGATTTCCGCCAGAAATCGGCCTTCGATAAAGTTGTCCGTTTTCAGAAACACTTCCCGAAGACGAGATTCTCCCAGCGGGGAATACTTGTTATTGAAGCGGTCAAAGCGCTGCACGGTACGCTTATCCGCGTGCACGTCGAGCGTGTCCACCGACAGCTCATACGCCGTGATGCCGAGGGAGTCGAACACCCCGGCCAGCGTCAGAACGCGGCCATCGCGCTCAATCACTGGGGTGTTCGGCTCGGTCTTGAGTTTCTTCTTAATAAATCGGAGCAGGTGCTTCTGGTTCATACAGGAGCTGTGATGAATATGCGTGTCAACCTTGCGGACATTATAAAAGTCTCGATGCGGCACTGTCATCTGCTCTAGCCGCTCTGCTTCATCGTTGAGTAGCAGATGCATTTGAAAGCGCAGAGAGAGTAGTTGCAGACGCCTGTAGCAGAACGAGCGGGAGTCGGGATCGTTCATGATCCCGATCAGCGTGTTCAGATCGTGCACGAAAAGCGCATAGGAGCCAGGAACAACGAACTTGCACGGTTCGCGGCTTGTCTCGGTTGCCGGTCTTGTGACCTCCATGATGCCATCACGAACTTCGAACGCGTAATCGCCCTTCGCCAGGGCTGGCCCTCGAAAAGGATCATACGGTGGCGGGACGTGGATACTCAGGTCACAGTCGCGGTACGGAGGTGCCGGGTTCGCATACTCTGGGACTTCAGGTAGGTAGAGGTATTTCTCGCGGAGGGCGATAGCGTTTCGGAGCAGTGCACATACCCTGCGCTCGTCGGCGTTTAACTCGACCTCGTTCGTGATGAGTACTCGCTGAAAACCTCGCTCTGTAACCGCAGATCGGAGTGAGCGGAAGGCTTGCCCAAGTTCTCGCCGGAGTTCAAGCGTCTGTAACGCAGTCAGGGTCGCCTCGTCTACCGAGGCCGTGTTGTGCACGAGTTGGGTTCCGTCGCTACGGTCACCTGAAGTGGAGGCTTCTTGCGCTCGCAGAGGATCGGTAACAGGAACCAGCAGCGCGTCCCGTGCCCTCTCGTCGGAGCGCTCACCAGCTGCCACCGACGATTGAACTAGACGACGCCAGTGAGGAGACAGGGCGCGCTGTGCAAGAACCGGTTCGGCATCCTCCTGTTCAAGGTCATGAATCCAAACGAGCTTGCCACTATCTCTACCAAATGGTTCCATGAGCGTGCACGTGCTCCAGTTCCCCGACACCGTCACACAACAAACGCCGGTCTAAAGTCGAATGTCGCCTGCACTGTACAGTACCGGCGAGAAATTCGCCCCGGACAAGACGTCTCCAAATTATTCGCGGACGCCTCCCCGTGGTTCTCGACCGGCCACCTACTACTGCTTCCAACTTTTGCTCATATAATTCCACTTTGAGAGGTTGCCCCACAAAATTCTCTCTTGTCCACTCTGGAGGTCTAGTCTGCAGCACTACACATGTCCTTATATTGAGAGCTGCATTAAAGTCTCGGTTCACAAACTCCATGCGTTTCTTACCGTTGGTTGTTATGCTAACCAATGCAAGGAGTCCTCGAACTTGTGCCCTCCTTTCCATCTGCTCTTCCGTCAGCTGTCCGTACTTTTTTATATCCTCAGGGCTCCTCTGGCACTTTTCCATCTCGACCCTTTGAAGTGTGCACCCCAGTTCATGATGTGTATACGATGTCCGGAACTCATCTATGGGTATCGTAACGAAACGTTGTGCGCACTCCTTGTACGTTCGTGTCGTTGGAGCTGGCGTAGTCCTTTTTTGGGTCTTCCAGCGCCCTGCTCTGTATGCTTCTACCAGCCTCTGACTTTCATCCTCCTTCAAAGCGTTCAACTGATTGAAAACGTTCGCGAACGCGCGCCGCTTCCCACAATACAGATTCATACGCAGACTAGCCCACCGGGGCTTTGTATACTCCTCCCACAGTGCATCCCAATGCGCAACGCGAGCTTCCATGAATTTCCGGAAAGCTTCAAAGTCCGCTCCGCGGACCGTCACCTCGCTCAAAGCTTCCAGGTGCTCCTTCACCCCTGCATTCCATCTCTCAACTTTCTTCCTTGCATTCACAATACCGGATTCTCGATAGCATCTCGATCTCGAGAAATCTCAAAAGACGCATATCTTTCTGGCGCACGTTACCGTCAATGCCATCTTCCGCACGCTTCGGTTCAGCGACGGGTATGATATTCGTGTGTCCGGGGTCCGCGCCAATGACAACGTCGTTATCCTCTACCTCCTGCGCGGCAGGACCCGGCTCCTTCTCATCTTCTTGTTTCGCCGCACCAACGATAACGTCGTTATCCTCTACCTCCTGCGTCGCAGGATCCGCCACCTTTTTTTCTTCATGCTTCGCCGAAGCGCAACTGAGGACGGAACTGGACGATCCACCTTCAAGCGCCGATAGTGTACGCACATGGCTACTCCATCGGTTTCGATCATCCCAGTGAGTACCTTTTGGTTGCTCGTCTAGACACGTATGAAATCGAAGGTATTCGTCCAATGCAATTCCCGGTTTTCGCCCGTTAACTCCTTATCGCTGACATCGAACTCCGGACTGATCTTCTCCATGATGCTGTAAAGGACTCCGGAGTCGATTGAGACAGAGTGCGGCTTGATGTTGCACAACGGAACGACGTTGAAGCGCTTACCCATTAGGAAAGCCTTCCGTTCCTCCAACCCCGTCATTTCGTTTCCTGACTCAGCTTCATCTCCGCATTGCGTTCGAGTTCTCGGTTCAGGAGCATGAAATAGCGCAGGATGAGGGATACCATTTTTTTCATCTTTTTTCGTATATGATACGTTTTCTGCTGGATTTGACAAGCCCCATGACTGCACGGTGCTCTTGAATAGCCGCACGGATCAAAGTAGCTTCATACTTTCTCCCGCGTGATATCTTCTTGACGACGAATTCGATCTCCTGTCCATTCTGGCGATCGCTCGTGATGCCATTGATGATGGTCCATATCCCCTGGCGGGAGAGGCCCAGGTACGTTGCAAAAACGGCGCATATCATGAAGCGTTTGAGTTTCATGGTCATACGATTCTTCAGGTTCGTGAGGTACTTGATCGTCCCGTATGAGTTAATATCTGCGACACTCTTGTATAGAGTACCGTCGAAGCGGTATTCGGGGTGATTTTCGTGGACGGCATGCACTCTCTCATTTCTCCTCGACGCTTCCCCTGTGCCAAGCATCAGGTGGCGAATAAAAGTCTTGTTGAAAAATTCTCTCGGAACCTCGAATGTTTTGATGTCCGTCATATCGCGATACATCTCCCTCGCCATATGCATCAGTTCAGAAGAAGTCTTTATAATTCTCAAGGAGTACGACTCGACACGGTTTCTGATGGCCTCTCGTAACTTTTTTTGTATGGATCCTTGGTATACTTTAGAAGACAGGCTTTCGCTACCATCTCATCTTACTGTCGCCTTCGTGCAGCTCCTTCATCTTCGCCTGCTCCTCTGGACTCGGCAATGTTTTTCGTTTTTCTCTGGCAGCTGGCGACACCGACCCTTCGAAATCCTCCACTTCCATATCAATGACTTGCTTATATTTTTTGGAAAAGAACGCACTATGAACGCTTCTGCTGGAAAGCGCGAAAACCCACTGAGCACACTAAACTGAGGTTTGAAAAACGATCGGATTCAAAGACTATACTTTGCTATGACTTGAACGCGAATACATCTTGGACGCTATCGTAACACGCTGATGCCGCGATGCCATGCCGTTTTCGTGCATGCGACAAGTCCCCGGCAACAGTGCACGCTCCGAATGCCGCATCGCGTGTTTCCAGTCAAGTCTACGAATAAGAAGGATGGCGCTTCCATTCGACGGCTACATGCGCTTCTTGTCTCATTTTTTGTCTGACAAACCGTTTACATTTACCATGGATCCTAGATTGCGGGATGGGTATTGGCTTTCGGGAAAGTGTCCATCATGCTGTACCCTACGTCAAATGTCTATGACCTGTTCTCGGATATACTGGTTATTTCGCACATTCTGTTGTGCGCCGACTACCTGCTCCGAGCGCCGCCCCCTGCAGCGCGCACACTGCTGGTACGGATGCAGTATGGAAGCAGCACGGCTTTGGGATGCCGCTGAGCGCGTCAGCTCGAAGCGCTGTTCACCTACAACGGGGTCGGAGTGCATAATCATTCTGGGAGCCTGCAAACCGCGCAGGTAGAGCTTCTGCGTGCGGCAATGCGATGCGATATACTAGGAGTCCAGTGCAACCGGGGCGACGCCCAGACGCAGCCTACCTGCCCCTAGTCCCAGAGTGAATTGCGTTGCGGACGAGCTGCACAGATGTCACTACAGCACCCGCCACTGCAGAGGAATACGGAGCAAAAACTCCGGTGGACTCGTCCAGCTCGCGGGATCTTCCGCCTAGAAAATAATCTTTTGAAAAAACGGAAAGTTTTCCCCCTTTCGAACGCTGACGATGCAGTTCGAACGAAATTGTTATCAAGTTGCTATTTCATGGTTGGTTTCTATCCCTTTTTCCATAGCGCGGTCGATACCCGAACTTGGGATCGCCTCGGCATGCGAACGGTGGCATCGGGAACCGCTGGCCTGTGTAGACATTTTGTCAAATAAAAAACACAAACGCTCCCTGGATCCTTCGAAATCCAATTCCCGATACAAATACTTGTTCGACTGCGGTGCATTGCAGTACTTGCTTGCAAGGAGCATTCGTTACTTTCCGAGACGCTTCCAGTAACCGCGCGACCGGTGATTCTGGTAAGGTGCATCGGGTGCTGACCCTGAATACCCGGACCCCCGCGCGAATGGCCAGGTGCTGGCAGCTCGACGTCCGCCGCTCCGAATGGCGGAGCTCTCACAGGCACTGGACAAGCGTCTGCGTTTAGGATACGGTCTGGGGGAATCGCCTGCCTCGAGAGGCCTGGAAGATGGACTCTACCATGTCAGCTGGACCCGCCAAGTCTCTTCGCTGCCCTTGTACGACCAAAGCGATTGATGTTCTGCCTAGCGAAGACGTGCTTACAACCTAAAGTTTGTGTGTCGCTTCCCAGCGTTATCAACCTCAGTCTATATGAGGTGTTGATACAACTGTCTGCTTTTCTTCCCCATTATCTCCGAATTGAACTATGTCGATCTCTCCGTTCCATCAAGTTCCGCTCTTAGCAGTCGACGTATGTTATAGGCAGCGTTCAAGTTCCGATTTAGCTGCTTCCGGCTGTTGCGCACGAATATCATTCCCATACGCTAGTTCCGAAACCTCGGCTTGAACGCTGCCATCAACAGAAACCGACTGCTTCAACCGGAGCTGCAAGGACAGGCCAAGGCATTGTGTTCAAAGCCGGATTTAACAGAGAAGGAAAAGAGGCAGCCGCAGGAAAATCTTTCAAACGCTTGTGCCAAGAAAGACGTCTGGCGCAACCGCATGCAGTTCTCGTGAGTGCACTCGCCGATCGCTCAGTGGATCCGTTCCACTTTGATACTGGCATGGGTGCATTGAAATAAAATGAGACAATGCACACCTAGCAGCTGCAATCGCGATCGCCAGTCGATGCCCTGGTGAACGCCGTCGTGAGCAGGTCTCGCGAATACTGTATGTAATTGGAACATATGGACATGAGCATACCCGAGAGGCTGCGCTCCCGTCGGGTTTGTGTTGCCGAACTTCGACTGGCTCGCGCTGGCGCTTTAGCCGGGCAGACGCACCTATGCGTTTGGCAGTTCTAGGCTTGCCCTCACCGAGCTTTGGAATGGAACTGGAACTCGCTTTTGTCTCTAATATACTTGGAACGGCGAGAGTAGGGAGTTTTCTAGGCAAAGACGCGAAGGACGCGCTCCTTCTGAATAGCCGGCGGTGGGTTCCGCACGCGAAGCGGTTTCGTTTAGGTCGGCGCACCGCGCTAAGCCTAGAGAGCAAAGGCAAGAAGCACCACGATAACACTGGTGCCTTTACTTCAGGATCCGCTCGTCGGGAGCTTAGTGGTCTAGCGGCAACGAGCGACGGAGGCTCATCTGGTTCTTCGTTCGTCAGCGAGGAAGAAGTTGAGGTGTTGGAAGGGTTCGAAGACCTGCTCCTAACGTCCAACAAGAAGAAAGTGACTCCGAAAACAAAACCAGCACCCACCTCTGATGCAAAGGCCCAAGCTTCTGTTAATGGGTTTGAGGTCCTCGAAGGATTCGAAGACCTTTTCACGGAGCCGAAGAAGGGGAAAAAAGGCAAAAAATCAAAGGCACAAGCTTCAACCGTGACTTCGGCGTTGCGCGCTGCAGCACCAAATGAAGGCTCAGTGAAAGCGTCGCATTCTGAAAACGCAGAGCACGGGATAGCAGCTCCGGCGGACCCTCAACGCAACGGAAAGTTAACTGCTACTACTGGTGAGACCGTGCACTCTCTTGAGAGGGAAACTCAGCGACCCGCTGCAGCCACGGAAGAATCGAAACAAGCTTCCAGGACCGTTGCTACGGGCGACTCGCCCCCGCTGGAGACAGTGCTGGACGCGGGCTCGGAGGAATCCTCGGAGCAGGTTCCGGAAGATGATGTGAGCTCCGGAAACAATGCTCGCCAGAAGCGCCAGTCCCAGAGCACCTCAACTGCCGCGGGGCGCGCCGCCCTCAACCTCAGGGCCGACGCCGGTGATGACATCACGGCCGAGTCAGTGTTCCTTCGTCTGGAGGATGTTAGTGTGTCATATCGGGGAGAGGTCGTTGTGAAAAAGGCAGAACTTGACATTCGCATGGGCGATCGTATTGCTATTGTGGGAAAGAACGGTTCAGGGAAAACGTCTCTTTTGCGCATCCTGGCTGGACTGCAAGAGCCGACAAAAGGCGAGGTTGTGCGCTCGCCCGCAGGCCTGCGTGTGGGTTACCTGCGTCAAGAGTTCCATGACGACCTGAATCCGACGCGAACGCTACGTGAGGAACTCTCCTCTGCTCTGACGGAGGCAAATGCGGCACTCGCCCGATATCACGAGCTGGAGAACCAAGTCGCCAGCGTTGCGCACGATCCCGATCGCCTCGGTGCGCTTCTGGAAGAGCTAGAGCGTGCCCGCATAGAATGCGAGCGGGTTGGTGCTTTCAACATAGATATGAAAGTGGATCGCGTAATGGCCGCTCTGGGCTTCGTCTCCGGGGATGATCCCGAGAAGCTGGTTGCATCTTACTCCGGTGGATGGAAAATGCGCATAGGCCTCGGCAAAGTGCTTCTCCATGAGCCGCACGTGCTGCTTCTCGACGAACCGAGCAACCATCTTGATGTAGATTCTGTGGAGTGGTTGGAAAACTACCTCTGCTCGCTCCCGATTCCCTTAGTGATTGTGTCGCATGACCGAGAATTCATCGACCGTGTATGCAACAAAGTGGTCGAGATGGAGCGAGGTGAAACTGTGAAGTACGTCGGTAACTATACGAGCTTCCTGAAACAGAAAAAAGAGCGTATAGCTGCATGGCAAGCCGCGTATGAACGCCAGATGAAGTACATCGAAGAGCAAAAGGCGTTTATCAACCGCTTCAAGAACAATGCTGCAAGGGCATCGCAAGTCAAGAGCCGTGAGAAAGCACTCGAGAAATTCATGGCCGCGGAGAAGTTCGTGTCGCCACCGCCAGGCAACGAAAAAATGCTTCGTTTCCGCTTTCCATCGGCGCCACGTTCGGCTCGCGATTTGGTTTCGCTTCGCTCGGTCACCATGCGCTACGGGGACCGTACGCTCTTCCGTAATGTCGACTTTACGATTGAGCGGGGAGATCGCATCGCCGTTGTGGGCCCGAACGGCAGCGGCAAGTCGACGTTGCTTCGGCTGATCTGCGGGATAGAGGCTCCGACAGAAGGCGAGGTGGCGATCGCCGAGTACGGTACCAAGATCGCATACTTTGAGCAGAATCAGGCAGATGCACTGGATATGAACCTGACGATCCTTGAAACAATGCAGCGAGCCGCGCCGGCAAACATGCCCTACGAGCAGATTCGTGCGCTTCTCGGACGATTTCTGTTCAAAGGCGATGCAGTGGAGAAGAAAGTTGGTTCACTGAGTGGCGGCGAAAAAGCGCGCCTGGCGCTTTGTAAGATCCTGCTCGAGCCGGCGAATCTGCTCGTTCTCGATGAGCCAGGCAACCATGTGGACATTGAGGGTCGCGAGTGCCTCGAGGAGGCTCTCCAGGAATACGACGGTACGCTCGTTATCGTGAGCCATGACCGCTACCTTGTGTCTCAGGTGGCCACGAGTGTCATTGCCATTGAAAATGGCAAACTGGAGTTTTATGATGGTGATTATCGCTTCTACTGTGAACAGCACCTGGAGTTGCGCCAGCGACTTCGCGAGCGCGCCATCGCCGGTGTGACCGACATCAAGTCGGCGCCAGTGGAGGCCATGGCGCGGGCGGGTGACGGTCAGTTGCACGAAGAACGCAAGAAGACTTTTGGCGGATCTGGTGTGAAGAACAAGAAAGACAGCATGATGAACTCAAAGCGCTGGAATGACTAAGAACATTGTCAGGTCCGGTGTAAACGTCCGTTTTCTTCAAAAGGTACGCCCGGAGGGAGCGTTTTACGAACCCTGTGGCTCTGGTCGTCATGACGCCCATGCTCTGCTCAGCATCGTTGACGCATTCGCAGTTTGGGGAGCACGCTGTACGGTGCTGGAACGGGTACCCGTGTTACCGCAGCTTGAGTGCTTGCTCGGTACGTCGAGCGCTCGCGCAACACCACAGCAACACACTCTGCATCTTCGATGAAAAATGTTGCAGCTTGTTTCCCTCATAGGACTTTCTGGAGGAATCTCTGGTGATGTTCACGCATCTTCTGTGACGAACAAGCAGGGAATTCGCAGCACCTGCATCCGAGCGTCTGCTGCATGTATGCTGGTGCTCGCACAGCGACGGCAACAGTGTCGGTGCGTCTCGGGCCGATGCCCCCAGTGGTACGGCAGAGTCGTTCTGTCTTCGTGCTGCTTCTGCACCGGCGCTAGCGGTACTATTGTGGATGCTTCTGGAAGACTCGGCGGGTCATGGAACATGGTTAGTGACCAGATTCTCCGTGGGGAAATATTGGGCAGTTCAATTTGGAGCTCGGATGTATATCGACAGATGCTTTTCCAATCGCTGATATCAAGCAAGCCGTCGGGGATCCCTAGTCAGTACACACGTTCGATCAAAGGAAACGTGAACGGCATCACTGCTGTGCATCCAAGTCGCGTGCGCCCGCGATCAGCAGCGCACATCTGCCTTCCTTTCAGTACTATACGCAAGGCATTGTTTCATGCCAGAGGATGCGCTCAGATTCATCATGGAGAGGATCTACATGTACAGTTGCAGTCAACTACGCAGCGCTCGGGTTCTACTGACGACTGACCAGCCTGCTGGCTCGCATGCAGTCGACATGTCGTGGCCCGTACCGCACCGTGCGGTCATTGGTGCGTCCCCGGGGCGATGCCCGCTGGCGCCATCGCATCCTGCCCCGGCTCCCGGAACCCATAAACATCCTCTTTGAATGCGTGGAGCGTTCAAGGCGTCGTCTGTTTGTCACCAGTTTTTCAGGGATGAAGCGCAGCCGCCCATTGCTGCAGGAGCCGAGCACAGTCAACATCCTCTTTGAATGCGTGGAGCGTTCAAGGCGTCGTCTGTTTGTCACCAGTTTTTCAGGGATGAAGCGCCGCCGCCCATTGCTGCAGGAGCCGAGCACAGTCAACATCCTCTTTGAATGCGTGGAGCGTTCAAGGCGTCGTCTGTTTGTCACCAGTTTTTCAGGGATGAAGCGCCGCCGCCCATTGCTGCAGGAGCCGAGCACAGTCAACATCCTCTTTGAATGCGTGGAGCGTTCAAGGCGTCGTCTGTTTGTCACCAGTTTTTCAGGGATGAAGCGCCGCCGCCCATTGCTGCAGGAGCCGAGCACACTCAACATCCTCTTTGAATGCGTGGAGCGTTCAAGGCGTCGTCTGTTTGTCACCAGTTTTTCAGGGATGAAGCGCCGCCGCCCATTGCTGCAGGAGCCGAGCACAGTCAACATCCTCTTTGAATGCGTGGAGCGTTCAAGGCGTCGTCTGTTTGTCGCCAGTTTTTCAGGGATGAAGCGCAGCCGTCCATTGCTGCAGGAGCCGAGCACACTCAACATCCTCTTTGAATGCGTGGAGCGTTCAAGGCGTTCGTCTGTTTGTCACCAGTTTTTCAGGGATGAAGCGCAGCCGCCCATTGCTGCAGGAGCCGATCTCAGCACCAGTCGTACCGATTGCAGTGGTACCCGCGTAATGCAGCTCCCCAATGTCGTTCGAGGTACACTGGGGCGCGGTGACCTCTGGGTGCCCCACCCACACTGCGAGTAGCTTATGCGTGTGTAGACCGTGTCAAGCCGTATCAAGAGTCCTCACATAACGTGCTTTTTGAATGTCAGCAGTTGGTCCACATGACCAGGCGCTGCCTTGTCGCATAAACGAGAACTCGGGGATGTCTTCTGGGAATTCGAGACGACTTCCACGAGAATCGCGTTTGTTTGGTAACGAGTTAAAGGACCCATCCTGATCCGACCGCGACCACAACTGCGCTCTAGTGCCTGTATCAATCACCTCGCGCGCAGTTGTGTAGTTCCATGGCTCTGCAAATGTCACAACTCCTCGTACGGAAACGCAGCGACATCTTTGCATGAACTTGACAGAATGCTGGATTTCCTGCTCACTCCCCGAAGCCTAGTCGTTCGGAGTGCTTTCGTCTCGTGGGCTGTGGCGCAGAGCTCTCCAAGGATGCTCCTTTCTGAACTACACGCCCGTGAACAGCGGTGATCTCGTCCATGCATCCAGGTTGCTGACACGCTCGTGATATCCTGGGGGAAACTTTACCACTCAACACTTCGTTTTGCGCACCGATCTCAATACCAGTGAGAACAATGCTGATGCGCATCAACAGAGCGCAAGGCAGCCTCCTGGTCTCGGGCGCACCATCCGTCTCGTGGAGCAGGGACGCTCCAGCATCAAAACTGCTCGCCGATAATCGGGTCCGCTATGCATTTCAGCGCAGCAGTCCATTGCGTGTCGCAAATCTCAATGCCTGTACCCGATTCAGCTCGTGAACACGAACAGAGCAACGTGCACGATCACTAAAGCCAGACAAGTGCACGCACCACAGACCAGCACGCCTCAAGGGCACCTTTCCCTGCCAAGTCAAAAAACGTACCACTGCCCCGAATTTCCCGTACGATGCGTCAGCACCTGTGGCGAAATGAGCTCGTGAGGCCGCACGCCTAACCTCGACGATCAGGGCTGCATCAGCGCGCTCTATCTAATGCACTGCGCCCGCACTAGTCCAGCTGACATGGCCACTCGCTCACGAGAAGCTTCACATTGCAAATGCAGCCACGCGTCATGGAGCGTCTGCGTCCCGGGACGCACACCCGAAATGCCTAGGCGCCCGCTCGCACGCGGATGCTTCCGTGTGGGCAAGATGGTGCACGCCGCAGCGCTGCCGCGTTGCGCACGACCTCCGCTTCGTGCACGACATCGCGTGAGCATACGATCACACTAGTCCATGACACAGGCAGCAAGCAGGAAGATACCCGACCGTATCACTCTTTCCTGGAGTCGATCCAAACGATCCACCCAAGACTCGCGTATTCCGCCGTCCCAGCTCGCCGTGCTAATGCACGCCCTGGAGACACCTCTCTGTGGCACGATGGACAGATCGATCGACAAGCCTCCTGCGTTTACACAGATTCTTAGAAAGGAAAAACATAGGTCGGCCCATGACTTCGAGTCTTGTAAATAGGCTCCCTCTTTTTCTCCCAGTCAGGAACGTGTTCCATCACTTTGGCTTCCCAGGCCTCCCACTGCGCTTTTGCTTTCAGGTACCGCTCGTCCTCTTCTGCCTGTAGGAACGGCGCTAAAGCCGCCCGCACTTGACGACGTTCCTCGAGAAGTTCTCTTCGGTGTAAGTTATAGTTGCCCATTCGCCAAAAACCGTATGCCATAACGAGGGCGCTCCCGAGGAAGAGCGCCGTAGCCGAGGGCCCCACGTTCCGCGGCAGGTTCCGCCGAACGTCCAGCCGCGGATAGCCGCCCGGCGGTGGACCGTCCTGCAAGTGTTGGAGCGGCGGGGGTTTTGGCGGTTCCGTCACGCCAGAGTACGGAGGCCGCTCACCAGTGAGCGACATGTCGAACGCGAGTTCAGGTCACTCCCTGAAGTGGGCAGTATACAGAACTCCAAAAATACCGGCCACTGTGGTTGCACGCGGTTACGCTACTCCCGCTCCACTCTACTACCAAAGCGCAAAGCCAACTACTCTTCAGTCTTGACTTGCTTCTCAAGTAACGTCAGTGCACCGTGCCTTGCGCTTGTCCAGGGAACGTACCAAGCTCTCGCAGAAGTGTATCGCCCGTTGGGCTCGTGGCAGGAGCGCGCACGCGCACACGGCATCGATGTTTTTCCGATGACCAAATTCGTGTCCATGGACCAGGGATCCCAGATTGTGAGATGGGTATTCGTAATTGAAAAAGCGTCCATGATGATGCACTTTACCTTCAAGTTCCATTCCTTGGCCTTCAGCTCGGATATACTGGTCGTTTTGTAGGTTATATTGTGTGTCAAGTGCATGCCTTGGAGCATCCACAACAGAGCCGAAACCGCTGGAGCAGATATTTCATAGAGGCAGGACCGGATTTGCCACACCATTGACTACTTCGACTCGGGGCTTGGATCATCCGACACAGGGTCGGTATACACGATCATTCTGGGAGCCTGCAAATTTCGCAGACAGACCTACTGTGTCCGACTGCGCGAAGCGATATACTACAAGTCCACTGCGACCAGGGCGATGCCCAGACGCAACATCGGCGCTCCGAGTCCCAGAATACACTGCGTTGCGGCCGAGTTGGTCAGATCTCACTAACGCAACAGCCACAGGAGAGAGCACGAAGCACCAGCCCGGCAGACTTGTCCGGTTCGCGGGATCTTCCACCTCTAAGGTAAAGTTTCGACAAAAAGGAAACCATTTCCCCTTCTTCATGTTTGCCGTAGAGGGGCAAAGAACTCGTTCTATCGTTGCTCGTTCGTGGATAGTTTCTGATCTTTTTTCTGTGCAGTGCGGTCGATATGCGCACCTGGGAGATCTAGCACGCTCGAGGCACGACGCGCATCGACAAGTGCCACTGGCGGTGCGGCTTCATTCCATGCGCGCGTGCTGCACCGAGTTACTGGTATCGATGACCCGAGTTCGATTCTTTCATACGACACGACACGTCATCCTCTGAGGCGTACGGGGGTTTCACGCCAGCTTCCCTTTGCATCAAGGCAAGGTCAGGTGCGTATATTGTGATTCTTTCTAAATCGTATCAGGGCAGATGCACGGTGCCTGCTCCATTTTTTCACATGCAGATGGTTACCGCATCTTGAAACGGACACGTCCAAGTTTTCCAAGTGGCGTCCATACGCCCGCAATTTCGAGCGAGCAGCGAACGAACCCGCCACGGCAAGCGCTCTGGTACCACCCGCTCGATTCAGCGGTATCCAGACCAGAGCGATTCGGAGTTGAACGACAAAGACCTAGACATCAAGGCGCATCCCATAGAATAGTGTCAGATGAATATGGAACACTGAGTTGCTCGCTCCTTTCCTGAATTTCGCTCATTATCCGAAGATTTTCAGATGTTCTGCCTCGGCATTTGAATAGTTTCAAGAACGGCTTGCGCATTCATATGTAGTTCTTGGATTCTCGGTCGTTTGCACGGGGCAGGTCCAACGAAGCAACGCAGCTGGAATGAATTACCTTGCCGGAATCAAAATGCTTCGCGACGCCCTCAGACAAGCATTGGTAAAATAACCGATATCATCATCCAATTCATACGTACAAGAATCCGCGCTTCTTTCCTGACGTGAAGCATGTTAGGGCCATGCATGCTTCAAGTTTTCCGACTCTCTATTTCACGACAACTCATGGGCGGAGCCATTTGCGCCCCCGAATGAACGACGAAAAATCACAGTCGGTGTCATCTCTCGACGACTTGTTCATGAATGCATGTTGGAAGGTCACTGAACGTTTCATAGCAAATAATCGATTCTATTCGAAGCACAAACCTTCCTCTCCTTGTGGCCGACGACGGAATGGCATTCGAGCGCAGCAGCTTTATACCGGTCACATGAGATGCCTCCACATGCCCCCGTCGGTTCTGTTTGCGTGGAAAAGAGTTGCATCCTCGGACTTTAGTGATCGCAGCGATCGCTTCTATTTTAGGGTGCGTCAACGAGTCGCGAGTGGAGAGCTTAGACGGTTCAAATTTCTGGATTTGATCTTAAGCCAGGATTTTCCTTCCGGTACTTGATTCGTCATGAACAACATCGCGTTCCACAAATCCTCTACCGAATGGGCGAGCGTTCACTTGCGTGTGCAGCGGACTGGGTACTCGCCGACGGGATTGCCCAGAGGAAGCCCGCGTTCGTCGGGCACGACACCGGGTGCGGAATCCGAAGAAGCCACTGAGCTTAGCCTTCTGTGCCCGTCAAGGGCATGTACCGGGCGATGATGCAAGCGTTTGCGTGCCACAAGACGGCGCTCGGACGAGCAGCTCTGCTGGCGGTCTCCAGGAACACGTGACAGCGGTCAAAAGTCACTTCTGCGATGCGAGAACCGATACTGTATAGAATAAAACGAGGAAATGAGCACATCAAGCATAGATTGCAGCTTCCATCAGTTTGTGCAATGCACCGACAGCTGCCGAAAGTTGCAAACCGGGACCTGAACGCTGTCATCAATATTCTTCGGCTGCTGGAACGTACTCGGAGGCAAAGGGGAGACAGACGAACGCAAAGCCCTTGACAAAGGAGGAGGAGGAAAGGCGGCGGTCGCAAAGTCCTGCAAATACTGATGCTGACGACAAAGGAAATAGACTCAAACTCTAGCGTTAACGCCCGCGTTCAATCTGCGTACCCATTCTTATTTAGTCTGACACGGGGTAGCGCATCTGTGTAACATCTCGGCAAATGCTCCGAGCAGACGCCACTTCACATCGGTCGCCATTCGAATCGAGAGCCACGAATTCCGGGCAGCATCAGCTGCCGCTGCAGTATCCCCGGTTGGCACACCAGGGTCCCTGCAAAACAACGAGTCCATATGCGCATCAGGTATCGGGCTGGCGTCAGACGCGCCAGCGCTCGTGCTGACAACAACGATCGCTTACTGCGCCTGCATACTCACGCGCGCATGGTACCGGTCGCGTCGAGGCGCCGCTGTGCAGGGGCGCAGCTTCACTCGAATACAACGATAAGCACGTTTGCCATCCGGTACCGTCGCCTTGGCGAAGACTCACAAACAGCGCAACAGCCAGTGCAGGTCAAAGAGCGTCAACCTCGGTTGACGCATTACATCTGGATCCCCACCAAGCACATTCTGATAAAGCGCTCTCTTCTCATGCTGAAGCTGCATGACACGTTCTTCGACGGTATCACGCACTACCAGCCGAATTACTTGCACAGACCTCTTTTGGCCCAGCCGATACACGCGATGAATCGCCTGCTCCTCCACAGCAGGGTTCCACCACGGATCCACCAGCACCACATGATTCGCTTCCGTCAGATTGAGGCCAACCCCGCCAGCGCCCAGAGACATGAGCAAAATCGGATACTCAGGACGCTTGAATAGCGAAAGATTCAGCTCCCGTTCCTCCGGACGCATCGATCCATCGAGACGACAAACAGCTTGACCACGCGCCGTCAAGACATCTTCGCATATATCAAGAAAGCTCGGCCATTGGGAGAATACAATCCACTTCTCGGTCGGCGCCTGGATACGACCCTGATCCAGCAGGGCCATCAGCGTGCGCAGCTTGCTCGACGATGAGCCTCCGTCGTGCGTCGAGTCGCGCAGCGCAATCGCCGTCCAGGCACGGATCAGCGCTTCCAGAAGCGTCGCGCGCCTCGCTGTCTCCGGCGCGCTGGCATCGCGTTGGTGCCAGGCCCTCGGGGCGTGTCCGTTGTCCTGCACGCAGGCTGCAGCCTCCGTGCAGGACGCATCCGGAACCTGCGCAGGGGCGTCGCACATCGAGTCGATCTCAACGTGTCCGGATCCGGATGCGACAGCGCCTCGATCCGGTGCGTCGGGGCCTTGCAGTACTGCGCTGCGAGCTTGCTGCTCCTGCATGCTGCTATCCGCGGTGCACGGAGCGGTCCGCAGACGCTCTACGTACGACTTCAACAGGGTATAGTGATCACAGATTTGTCTGAGTCGCGTGATCAGGACGAACGTGTTCACGAAACTGGATGGATTCGCGTCGTTGGTCGAGAGATCTCGGAGAAGTTCGCGGCCAACGGACTCCATGCATTCGTAGAGATGCCGTTCGGCTGGCGAAAAGTCCACGTACTCGACGGTGTCGTGGCGCGGCTCTAGTTCGAGGATCGGTCGGCCATTGACAGTGTCGTCGCGGCAGCGGCGCAGAAGCACGGGGCACAGCAAGCGACCGAGAGAACCGGCGGCCTCTGTGTGGTCCACGTTGTCGGCAGTGCCCGAGACACTGCTCAAGATCCGCGAGTAAGCCTTCATGCTGGAACATGCCGGATGACGCAAAAATAGCAGCAACGCCAGCACGTCATGTACATTGTTCTGGACAGGGGTTCCAGTGAGGCACCATCTGGAGCGAGCTTCGACAAGGCAAGCCGAACGGGATACCCGGGAGTTCACGTTCCGGATGTTATGCGCTTCGTCAAGAATCACGCGATACCATCGGTACTGAAACAGGGGTCCAGCGCTGCGCAGAATCTGTTCTTTTTCTGGGCTCAACTGGGGGCTCTCCGCGCACAGCACAGCATACGTCGTGAGGACGATATCCGCGCACCCCAACTGAGGCCGGAGATCAGCTCGATTGGATCCATGGTAGACGACAACGCTGGGTCCGAGGCCCTGCACGGTGCTCTTCCGAATTTCCTGCGACCACTGTCGCAGAAGCGATAACGGGCACACAACCAACGTCGCCGGTGAAGATGCTGGCGCCTCTCGCATGTCTGCGTCAGCTTTGTTCAGTAAAATGAGAGATATCGCAGTGAGCGTTTTGCCCAGACCAGGTTCATCGGCGAGAATCCCGCCCGCAGGGGTCGTCGGCGATCTCTCCCGCTCTCTGGCGATCATCCATGCTACTGCCTGACGCTGGTGTTCGAGAAGCTCGAGGCCCGGCGTAAACGCCACCGGGGTTCGTACGGCAGACGCGCTCCTCTTCGATTCGATCCAGGTATTCGGGTCCGCATCCAGCGCTCGATGACTCGCGACCAGCATCGACGCTCGGGGCACCGGGTCGGAAGCATCTCTGGGGTCCGCGCACGACATTTCCGATGCGTCCATCAGCGGCCGGTTTTCTGGCGTGAACAGGACATCACGGTCAGCAGCGGATGCACCAAGCTCCCTGCGTTCAAAGGTACCCGCTCGATGCTCATTCGCTATGAGCGATGTTTGTTGGATGCCTCGGCGCGCGCGCATGCCGTTGCCAACATAGAATGCTTTGCCGCGACGTCTACGACTCCGACCATGATCACAACTTTCTTGGTCAACAAGTTCAAGCGAAGGCGAGCTTTCCCATGACTTGGATTCCTCCTCGTCGACCGCAAGCGCTGCAAATCGTTCCAGGTACGCATCCGCGAGCGTTACTGCGCTTTCGGACGCGCACTCACAGCGCTGTATCGCCAAGCTGCCAGCAGGTGCCGCACGCAGTCCCAGACGCGTCAACTCCATGGCGATTTGGTCGCTGCTCAAAGAGGTGCGTGTATGTTGCCGCTCGGGGGTGAGCGTACCGCCATGCATTCCAGGGTACTCGCGAAGAAGCTCGTCAGTCGTTGTTGTTGTCGCAATTGAAGAGCCAGTCGATGGGCAATCATCAATGTCAACCTCATCCATTGGACTGGGCGAATCGTATTCAATCCGTTGGGCGGCGCTGGTGCACGCCGGATCCCCGCGCAGACAGCCGCATATGTCGGGCTCCGGCAGGTCCACATGCGCACTCTTCACGCTACGGCAAGCGTTCCTACTGCTTCTGCTGACGGTGTTGTTCTTTGGTGCTCGGCACTGCGTCATCGTGCGGGTTCCAGGGAAAGGAGTCGCTGCTTCAGGTTTCCGTGGGATTCCGACGTTCAACTCCCTTTCCTCGGTGGTGCTCTCTGGCAGCTCCAGCACCACCAAGTCGCTTTCTGAGCTCTCTCCAGACGAGATCTCGACGACCAAACTATCTGAACCAGTTTTTTCCATTTCGATGGTAGCTTCACCACCAGATTGCCGTTTTGCTATACACGCTCGCGACTCGGTACGTCGTGTGCCAGGGACGGCACCTTTGCGAAACGTTAACCGCAGCGTGTGCCCCTGCAGGCGTCTTCGCCTCGGCTTCGGCCGTCGCGACTGTACGCGACAGCCTCAACTGCGGTGCGCCTTGCACTCGTCAAGAACGTGGCAGTCAAGCGTTGTCAGATTCGCTGGAACTGACGCTCCGGCTAAGCTGAACAGTGCGCGCAGCGGTCCACAGTGGAGACCGCAGCGGGCCACGCAAACGTTCAGAAACTTTATTTTCTTCCACGCCGTCGTTATCGCAGCTCTTTCGGTGCAGAGGTTCCTCCAGCGTCTCCTATCGGTCAATCAATGCTCTGGATACAATAAACCCTCTTTCAAGCACTTTTGCGAGAAACATTGGCGTGCTCCTCGCGAGCCCCTGTTCCGGCCAAGGATCGCTGAGACGCATCGCGATTCAGTAACGGATCGCTTGGCTGCGGCGCTAGCGGGAGCCGCATGCAGCCGCCGTTTTGCCGTTGATGGGCAGGCGCGCGCCACGTGGACGGCGGATTCGCTGGGCGCAGGCGTGGCTCCAGCCATACCGGTTATCGATCGCTTGAGAGCGGGGGCGCGCGCTGCGGCAAGCGCGACCGGCTGCAGGAACTGAAGCCAGATCTCGCGGCGTCGGAAAGCCGCTGCAACGAAGTGCATTCGCGGGGCCCTGCGTCGGAGGCGCTCTGGCTTCGCGCTGGCCGCGGAGCGATCATCGCGCGGGTGCGCCCGTACGGCTCCCCGCCAGTCGCCTTATGCGGTGTGACGCACCCGCAATATCTGGCTGACAGCGCGTACCGATGCTGCCCACGTGACGGCGTCGTTTGCATCGACGAAGAGCGGCAAGAGTTATCCCGACTGGAAGCGCGATTATAGTCGTTCACAGGAAATGCGTTTGCAGCGAGAAGCTGCTCAGCTTGACGAAGAGGTTGTTTCTGTGGACTGCCTTGGTGATCCCGGCCTGGAACCCGAAGCCGCATCACAGCCGACGCTGGCGATGGATGCACCTCCGACCTCAAGTAACGCGCCGGGACGTTCGCAGCGAGCTTCTCACCGCGTCCAGGAAACTCCGGGGTCGCTTGCAGGTGCTTCATCAGGGTTTCAAGACGCTTTTTCGGGTTCAGAGCCGCAATCTCTATCGGCAAGTGTGGGTTTAGTGGAAACCGCGGAGTATGGGCAGGGGTCGAACAGCGTGACATGGCGGTGGCGGTTCCTCGCCGACGTCACTGCACAACCGCCGGACTGCGCCGAGCGCGTTACGCCGAGTGTTGTGTACTCCGACCTGACAGAACAGACGCCTAGCTGCAGATCATCGCTCGATCGCGAACGCTCGATAGATTTTTTGTTGGGGTCTTGCGGTACTGTAGAGGCCGAGGGTTTCGCGCACATCAAGGTAATCGACTCAGAAGATGAACGCGAGATCGCTCAGAGACGGTTGCAAATGAAGGAGTTACAGCGTTCGACGAAGCGCTGTTGGTCGACTGCTCCCTGCGACGCGGATCACGTCATCGAGGAGCCCCTCGCAACGATGACGCCCGTCGCCTCCCAGAAGCAGGCGTCGATGTTGCATTCGGCGGGGTGCTCGGCGCTCTGCACGCCGCACAAACGGCGCTCTCTGCGGAAGAAAGAGGCGAGCTGTTCAGGAGATTTCCGGTCCTTCAGTAGAAAACAGCTGCGGCCGCGCTCCACCGGTCAGGCTGCCCGAAGGCTCACGATCGATGCCCTACCAGCGGACGTTTTGGCGCTGGTGTTCCGCCATCTGAAGCTTTTGCCAGATCTGAGCCTGCACTCGTCCATGGTGAACAGGTCGTGGCGTGAAGTAGCCATGGATCCGCGACTTTGGCGAGAAGTTGACTTTGAACATTACGAAAGGGTGAATGACGACGTCGTGTTGAACTACACTAGGCGCGCGCAAGGGCGGGTGAGCCTTCTGGACTTGTCCAAATGCCATCAGGTTTCCAATGCAACCATCATACAGGTGGTTCGGGAGAATCGCCATCTTCGCACCATCCGCTTAGCTTGGTGTAACTCAGTGACTGATGCTGTGGTCGTTGAGATTGCGAAATGTTGCAATGAGTTGCAGGAGATCGTCCTCGCATGTTGTGTGCACGTGACCGGAGTCGCCATCGACGCCCTGGCCGAGCACTGTCCATCATTGAAAGTGGTGAACCTCGCCTGTCTCGGTAAGATAGAGTCGCAATCGCTTGTCAGGCTCTTTCGAAGATGCGGCAGTCTCGAGCAGCTCCATATCGTGAATGCTGCGGCTGTCGATGATCGCATCGTGGCACTGATGGCACGACGCTTGCCGCGCCTCAAGTACCTGGATCTCTCGTGGTGCGCACACGTCACTGACGAAGCAGTTTACCGCCTAGCCAGATACTGTCGCGATCTGGAACATCTCGAGTTGGGCGATACGAAAGTATCGTCACATGGGGCGCGAATGCTTCTGCGTTGCTGCCGCAAACTTAAGGTCTTAAGTTTACCACGGTGCGTTTTCATCGATGACGAACTTATTCACGCTATCCTCGCTTTCGCGGCAGATCGTTTGGAATCGTTGAATGTTGCCTCTTGTAACCGAGTGAGTGACGACGCATTGCAGCTTCTCGTAGAGCAGTGTACAAACTTGTGCAAGCTCGACGTCTCGAAATTGCCATGTCGTCAGCTGGGTGGCATCCTGCGCAGGGCAAGCTCGCATCTAGAGATTTTTTACTGAAGTAGATTGGTCATGCACCCTGAATCACGGCGATGAGCCTCGACAACCTGCCGGCCGATCGGCATTCCGCACCACAGCGTTCCGTTCTTGACGTCGAGGCACTCAGCTGCTCTGCGCTTCGCTCAACTGCATTCGCTCCAACAAGCGTAAATACTCGGCACCATTCCCTGAAAACATCACAAGTACATTCGCGCACCTATTGCAGGTCATTTTGAAGGTGTTCGCCCACCTGTGCGTCGTACGCGAAGCTTAAGATAACGTCGAAAGACCGGCGCCCTGCGCGACGAACCCGCGCTTCAAGCACCAACGCTGGGAGAATGGTGACCACCCGTTGGACCGCGTTCACGCAGGGGCACCGGCGTGCGCTCTCAAGTCGCCGCGAGCACGCTGGAGTGCGCCTACGATTAACGTCACCTTGGAATGCGTGCGGTGCTTTTTCTGTCCCCTGATACGTGCGAGAAGCAAAGCGCCATGCAGCAATTATTCGTTCGAAGGAGACGCATTCAATCGATGGTAGCCTGGTGGACCCACTGACCCACTCCATGGAATCTTCCGTGGATTCGCGCTTTCCGAAAAAACTCGCTTTTTACAATGCGAGCATTCGCAACAAGATGCGTTGCTTTCGCAACGCCTCCACGCGGCACGCATGCAATCACGGCACGGATGAAGCAGCAAGTCCGGGCGAAACGCGGGAAACGATCATCACGCCGCGGGAAGGGCATCGTGAATGCGTGCACGGGAGCGATCGGCGCCTGCTGTCGGTGACTCGGACGCATTCGCATCCATGCATCCACGATGCGCCTCTGCACCGTGCACTACGTCGACGTGAAACCAGCACGCACCCCGTTGGTAGGACTAGATATCTTCAAGGGAATGGATGCCGAATACGGTCATCGCTAGCAACATTATTGGGTTCGCTCCGAACTCAGTTTGAACACAATGATAATGTTCCCTGAGGGCTGCCAGCGGCAGCGGCCAGGTTCTCGGCGTCTTCGTGTCCTGCAGCACCTCGATACGGGGTGCTTCGTCAGAGCACACCGGAAGGCGCGCCCTTGCAGGCATGCAACGCAAACATCAACGAAAGCTTCCGATGCTGAGCAACTGCAACTCGGACACTGCACCCCATGCGTGCATGCTATCAACAGATCCACCATTTTCGTCAAACGCACGGCGTGCGGACGCATGGTACACTCCAGCTCAAGAGGTCTCCGCTAGTGCGAGTACCTCGCGGCTCCGCCACACATCCTGAGCTGAAAATGGAACCCCGAGGCTTTCCAAGCGTTTCTCCAGCTTCCTTCTTCGGCAGCAGTTGCTCTGCGCAGCGCCAACAGCAGCCTGATCACGGAGAAAGCGCTGCCGTTCCACAACCCGAGTGGACACCGGTCGCGATCGCTGCAGCACTCGGAGACGTGCGGCCCGGTGTAGTCGTTCTGGGGGAAGCTCGCGCACCACGAGGCGTCTTCCAAACAGCAAGTACCCGTCCATAGTTTCCGCTACAATATGAGCCACTTTTGCGTCATCAAAGTGCACAAAAGCATACCCCCGAGAACGACACGTTCGGCGGCTTCGTGCCAAGAACACGTGACGTACACGTCCGAACTGCGAGAAGAAGCCTTTCATCTGGCTTTCGTAAAAACCGTGCGGTATGTGACCTATGTACAGTACACCTCCGTGGACCCGATGCCTCCGCTTCGTGGGTGCCATGTCGAACGTCTCTGTCACAAGGAGAGAACACGCGTCACCGAGACGCCTCCGTGACGTTTCGTTGCAGCGAAGTAGCCACGTCGACACAGCCGTTCCCAGCAGCGAATGCCTCGCCGGCACACAAGCGCCGCCACCGACGCCGCGGCGTATGCGGGTACGCGAAAGCCATCGGCAATGGGCCGTGGGCAGCAGCCTGAACAGCACCTGGCTGCCGCATACGCCGGCCTCCCTCAAAGGTTATGTCGGTAGCGCAGCTGGACGTCTCCGAAAAGCGAGTAGCCGGGAGCTTTCGTAGACTGGGTGCAGCGTAAACAGTACCAGGCATTCTGCCCGGCAATATGCGCGTTGCCAAATACTGACTACGCCAGTGTGTTTGAAAATGGTTGGTAACCAAGAGAAAGAAGTTGAACGAGACCTCGTTCCATGTAGCGTCCTGGTGGTTGGTTCATCAAACACCGACTATGTGTTATCGGGACTGAATCGGCTTCCTCAGCTCGGAGAAACGGTGCTTGTACAAGGAGCTAACGTAAGTTTCCGAACCGCGGCCGGAGGAAAGTCGGCGAACGCCGCTGTCGCTGCGAGCCGGTTCTTTGCAGGTGAAGCTCAGGGCTCCGTCAGCCTCATCACCAGTGTAGGCGAGGACGAGAACGGTCGCAACGCCCTGCAGAACTATGAGCGCGAAGGCATCTTTGCGGCTCTGAGTAAGCGCTCTCCTAGTGAGGCTTCCGGAATAGCGCTCATTCTCTTATTGAGCTCCGGCGAGAACGCTATTCTCGTGGCTCCTGGGGCGAACGCGAACCTTCGACCGATGGACTTTGAAGCCACAGCAGTGGACGGGCACGGAGAGGCACGCCTCGCAGAACTACGCGCTGCTTCAGTCGTCTTGATGCAGTTGGAAATACCCTATGAAACCGTTCGATGGGTGGCGGATGCGTTGTATGCACCACCGCTTCCCCGACAAGGGCCAGTGCTGATCGTGAACCTGGCGCCGATGGGATGCGAGTTAACAGAGCCAATGCTCCAGGAGCTCTTCTTCTATGGCCCTATTATCGTTGTGAATGAAGTAGAATGTGGCCAGTTGCTGCGTATCCTTTGGGCAAACAGTACGGAGGTACTGGAAGAAACGCTGGAAACTGCAGCGCACGACGACTGGCGAACGTGCCTGACGGGCTTGATGGAGCGCGCACCCGCGTTGGCTGCCATAATCCTCACTCGGGGTGCTGCCGGCGCCTGTGCAGTGCACCGTTTCGGGACGGCGTCTGGAACTGGGTCGACACTTCAGTGGATTCAGGTGGCGGCAGTACTAAGCGTTGGTTCTGCATCAGTCGTCGATACCACTGGGGCAGGTGATTGTTTCTGTGGATATTTGGCAGCAGCGCTGGCGCAAATCCTCTACAGACGCTCAGCTCATGCCTCGCGCCATGCAGAGTCGGCAACTGCTTCGCGGAACTTGAGTTTAGATGATGCTGATTTTTCGAGAGCGCTGCGCTACGCAACAGCAGCAGCGACGCTATCTGTGACTCGAAAAGGCGCACAGGAGAGCTACCCCATGCGACAAGAGGTAGAGCGATTTCTGCGGCTCTGGAAAGACTGACTAGGTAGCATACGCGCACACCGATCATGATCAGAGACCGACCACGTACACCGCTGTGGAACTGCGCTCTGGTTACCCACTTGACACGATTGGGATCCCATTGACTGCTGCGAGCCCGAGGTTGCAACCCAGAGGACATTGCAATGTGTGCCTAGTCGCCACGACATGCATTCGCGTGCGGGCCTATGCCCATGATCGGTGAACTGGCTTGCATATGCACAAATTCAAACATTCGATCGACATACTGCCCTTCGGTATAGGAAAGGACATTGCAATGTGTGCCTAGTCGCCACGACATGCGTTCGCGTGCGGGCCTATGCCCATGATCGGTGAACTGGCTTGCATATGCACAAATTCAAACATTCGATCGACATACTGCCTTTCCGCATAGGTTATGCGATGGAACCACAAGCATGAAACACAATAGCCCCGCAACGTCATCAAAGGCGGCAGTGCGCCCTGCGAACGGCTGCTCGCTCTGGCATCTGAGTATCGCAGCACATATTGGGGTCCAAGTGAATGAGCATCACGTGGCTTCATCGTAGCTGCCAGTCATCTACGACTTTTTTCTAAAAGCCGCACCTCGCCCCCTTGAAAGTTTGTGACTTTTATGCTTGTCGTGCCCACAAATAGACGGGTGGTGCGTAAACGCCTTTTTCGCTCCTTGAGACTGTGTGGCGCGAAAGCTACCCAGACCCGCGCCCTCAACGACAATACTTTTGCACCACGGATACGCATAAAACGTGCTATGCGCTCTTTTACCGGTCTTGCGTGTCGGGAGGAGAGATCTCTTTCTTCGTGCCGCCCCAGTTACGCTCACGTCCCCAGTACCGAGCTACCTGTGGAACGTCCAACGTTCCAAGCATTTCTGTGAGGAAGTATAGATGGTTGCCGGTGGACCTTGACGGTGGGATGAGATATGATTGACGCTTTCCCGAAACTCAACACCCACCCGTCTCGCAAGCTGGGATCCATGGTCCATGGAAACGTTTTTTCATCGGAAAAAGCATCACAAGATCCAGAATCCCGGATAGGCATCAACGCGGAGCGACGCACTCTGCAAAATCAAGAGGAGGCTCGCTTCTGGGTACACATCAGCTGCGTAGACGCTCGGAAGCTGCTAGGATTGGATAGTATCCCTGCCACGGTTCCGCTTATGCCCTCATCTAGGTCAAGAATAGAATGTCAAGTTTTTCTGGTGTGCTCGGCCCGAAACTTGTCCTTCGAAGCGGTGACTGGGTTTGTTGCTCGGCGCCAGACTGGACGCGTCAGCGACGCGCTGGAAGTTTCGGACGCTGGCTCAGTACACCACGCGGTTCAGAGTCTACCGCCGCCGAAGAAACAGGCGATGCTCCTTCGAACCCGGAAAATGGTGGGTCCAGTGCGGACGCGGTGACCCCACCACGACAGGTTCCACCGGTGCTTGCGGTGGAGCAGATTCGCTACGGCCAGCGGGAGTACCGCATCAATAGCGCTGGTCACCTGGAGGTGGCGGAGGTACGCACTCGTCGAGCCTGGGGCCTGAAAGCCGCTGACCGCTTTAGTCGTATGTTTCTTCCAGACGGTTATCCGGACTCCGTGGGTCCAGACTACGCTGAATACACCAAGTGGCGGGGCCGTGCTTTCTTCTTCGGAGGCATGGTGGGCGTCTTCAGCACCCAGTCTCTTCTACTTGCAGTGGGCGTCGGACGACCAAGCGCTGCCCCCATCGCTGCAGCCTTGCAATGGGTCATTCGGGACGGACTCGGAAGAGCAGGGCGCATGCTCTTCAGCCAAGTAGGCACCGGCTTCGACGCAGAGACGAAGCAGTACCGGTTGGCTGCCGCATTCGTCCTGAATGTGTCCTGTGCGCTGGAGGCACTGACGCCCCTGTTCCCTCATCTATTTCTACCGCTGGCGAGCCTTGCCAACATGGCCAAAGGCGCAAGCACTGTGGCCGCTGCGTCGACGCGGGGTGCTATTTACCGTTCCTTCATGCGGCGGGAGAATCTCGGAGATATAACTGCCAAACAGGAGACTGTGGGCGTCGCTGGAGACCTCCTGGGAACCGCCGTCGGCGTCATTCTCTCGCGAGCATCCAGCCACTCGCATCGCCTATCGGTGATCGCTTTCATTGGAGCCTCGCTTGGACATCTAATCAGCGCCTATTACGAGGTTAAAAGCGTAGAACTGCGAACGCTGAATCGTCAGAGAGCGCACATGCTCATTTGGAACTACCTGGAAGACCAGGACCGCGTCTTACCCATTCGAGACGTGAACCGGAGAGAGCGCCTCGTATATCGGCCGTGGCTGGACTCGCTGCATGCTCCAAACGTCGAGATCGGTGCACGGCTCTCGGACGCAGCACCGGATGCTGATGCGCTGAAATTTTTGCTCCGACTTTATCGCGACGAAAAGTACATGATGAACTACGCCGGCGGACGCGTCCGAATCGTTCTGCGGAATGACGCGACCCATCAGGATCAACTCAAAGCCTATTTCCAGTCGCGGGCCTTTTGGCGGCTGTACATGACCAGTGGTGAGCGATTCTCGCCCAACCGCGCCCTTATCGAGGACAGCTACCGCGCAACAAACCAGCTTTTCCCCAGTTTTGTGCGCGACTGCCGAGCTGAGGGTTGGAACGTCGACTGCGTACTCTTGAGGCCACTTGCCCGCAGAGTGCAGTGGAGCTAATGCCCGACGCCAGTGTCCGATTCCAATGCATGGACTGACGAGCGTCCAGTGCACGCTGCAAGTCACCACGATGTCAAGCGGAGCACTTACTTTAGTGCTGGCCCGCTCATAAGCACCTTCGCCGATGCCATCTACAAGATTGACCGTTTCATTCAGTGCAGACGCTGCGCCATCCATTCTGGTGATAATCCGCCGGGCAGCACCAGCAACAGCAACAGCAACAGCCCGCGCGCAGCCGGGGCAAGCCCATCCAGGCGACCTGAGCGCTGTCCCTGGGGAGGCACTGCGTCACCGCAAAACGTGCGCGCACTTTCAAGAAAGCCTGGTAGCAAGCGCTCAGCGCGTCATTCCAACAGTCTTGTACGGTCCTCAGCTGAATCCAGTGTGGCACTCGCTGGGCGCTCTTCACGATGCATGAAAAACGCCCTCACAAGATGCCATTCGAATAGAACTGAAATCGATCATATTGCCTGGTGCGCCAGTTATCGATGCTTTCGTCAATCAGATCCAGCACCGCCCGAATGCATTCTCGTTCAGGGAGCGATAACATGAGCCGCTGCCTGAGTCCATCGACCACAGCCATGCCGCCGGCCATACAAGGAAGTCGAGTACCCTCGAGCATGATCTCGATGAGAGTGGTGAGCTTTTCGTGGTGCTTGCGGCACGCCAGAAATCCGCTCACAAAAAGCTCTCTGAAATAGCAGAATGTCTCACTCTGCACATCACCCATCACCTGGAGATACTCTGGGGATAACTTAAACGGAGCCGCTTCGAAACGGATTGAACCGGGTGAGTTGCCCAGCATGAATCCAAAATCAATATGAATAACATGCCCGCTAGCCGCTAGCATAATGTTCCCGTTGTGTCGATCGCGCACCTGGAACAGATACGTCACCAGGGAATAGCCTGCCATGCTTTCCGTGAAGTTGCGCACTGCTTTGGCCAAAGCAGGCGACGGTGGTGCTCCGTACGCTCGCTCGAAATATTCACGCAGCGAGATAAAATTTGGCGTCCGCTTCTTCAATGCGTGCACGCTCACAGCGTCGGGAATCGTCTCCACCAGTCCCGCATTATTGCCAAGACATACGATGGTGAACGGCCGTAACCACAGAGGCAACGACTCTTCTTCAAAAATCCGCAACATCTGCTCGATCAGCTGCACAGCTAATTGCTCTTGGCGCAGATCATCACCTGCTTTCACAATAAATGACGCCAGTCGCCAAGTAGGCAGATGCCCGAACGGCGATGCGAGTCGAACACGTGCCTCCTTCCATGCCCACATCTCGCCGTAGACAGAGAGGAGCGTCGCCTCTCGCGCTCGCCGCTCCGATGCCTCATCCAGTGGCGCCTTCATCTGTTCACGGAAATTGACGCCGCGCGGTACGTGCGCCGCTGCATGCATGAAGCCGCTGGCACGGATCGTCGGGCGATTTCCCGCGGATGCTGTATGCGTGTCGCTCGTTCGATGCCTTGAAGCGCCATACTTTTCGAGCATTTTCTCTGCAATTGCTTCACGAACGAGTTTCCTTTGGAGCTCTTGCAGATCTACGCGGTGTGTGTTTGGCCCGCTTGACGCTCGGGCAGCGGTGGCTGCTTCTGGGTCTGTCCCTGGATGCCGCTGGTTGTTGTTCACAGTGTTGGTCTCTGTCGCGAGGCACGAGTCCGACGCTACTGCCGCTTCCGTATCCGGGTGTGTTGTGTGCTGCAGGCGACGAAGCGTACCGCTGCTGAGCGAGCGTGCGCGTTGGAGGTGTGCACCACTCGCTCCGACAAGATCTGAATATGACGTGATGGTCAAGCTGGCGCTGCCGTTACCGCCGAGGCCGGTTCCGAGGTCGGCAGATGCGAGACGATGTGCGTAACGAGGCAAGAGACGAGACGGGACTGCGTAGACCGGTGGACGATTCGGCGAATGCTGGGCCGCGTTGTCCTCCGGGGTGCCTTCTTCATCGTCGGCATCTGAGGCTTGGGTTGCGTCGTGGGCAAGCGACTCGGTACGGCACGCACTCGCGTGTTCTTCTTGACTGTCGCTCGTATGAGGGGCGATCTCTTCTAGCCGAACGATTTCGACCGGCGCGAAACTCTTCTCGTCGGGCAGAATCGCTCGGGCTGGTGAGGCCGTGTACAGTAGCGCTTCCATTTCGCGCAGGCGATCTTCACTGGCCAAATGCTGGCAAAAAATATTCCGATCGGAGCATTTCATATTCGTCTCGAGCACCTCAGCATACACCATGAAAGGCACCCGATCCTTGCTGGACAAGATGACGCATTCGATCGAAGCGATCCGCAGCAGCCGCAAAACGGACTCGTTGCTTCGCGAGAGCGGCAAGTGGATAGATCGCAACGCGGCACGCGGGCAGCGTGGTGCAACCATTGCAGCGCTAACCTCGATATCTTGCGCTCCGAGCCGGCTTGGTCGTCCCTCAAAGCCGGCTATTCTGCGGTAAATTAGCTCGGAGAGGTCTTCCAATCGAGATCTAAGAATTCTCTCCCGTTTGCTCGGAGATATGGCTCGCAAATCCAGCGAGATGCGCACAAGCGAGCGGAAGAAGTAGAGCATATCGTTGAAGTAATCGAAGCGTTCCTGTTTTGCTGCAAGCAGCCTTGTATGTTCGAGAGCCGAGGGAGGCCACTGCGAGCTGGGCGAGCCTTGCGGCAACGAGCGCGGCGATGTTTCTCGTGACGCGGGCATGGCCGTCGGCGAATGTGGCGCTGAACGGCAGAGGCGATCTGCCGCCATACCTATCGCGCTTTCCGCCAGAGCACGTACGTCTGTCCACGGCCAGCCAGCGGCTTCATCGTGCGATTCGTTGAAGGCGTCCGCTGAAGCGGCTGTGCCCTCGCTTTGGGCATCGTCGCTCTCGTGCTGTAATCGTTCTGTTTCCGCCAGCCACGATGTCTCTGTACGCGTATCCAGTGAACTTCTCCGCGATGTTCTCTGCTTCGCCCTCAAGTCGAGAGAATGGACGCGGCGGTGCCTACTCGATCGCCTAGACCCACCGCTGTGAAGGTGCATTGCATTCTGGTTCATGCCGTCCTGCATCGCGAACAACGATGCACTGGTGTTCGCGCCATCGTTGGCTTGACATCGGGTCGCACGTCGGGTACATGACGCATCCTCAAGACGCACAGGGGTGAAGTCGTAGCCGAGCAGCTCCACGGTGGCCGGCGGTGAGCCCACTAGCATAGTGCTCGCATAGCCGTTGACGGCAGCTGTTTCGCAGCGCGTGCGCAGCAACTGGCAGCGCTTCAGCATCGAGCGATGCCGCGTATCCTCACTGGCGGCTTGTAGAAACCAGTACACCTGAAGCGCGAAATGCATACTTTCTGCACATTTGTCCATGATGAATTTCTCCAAAGCAGATGTTTCTCTAGCATGGAAAACAAGCAGGTTACACAACTGCGGCAGGTACAGCTCCACATCCTCCATGTCCAGACTATACAGCTCATTACAGATGTAGTCGAAGACGCCACGCACAAGGCGGTATCGATACAGATAGGTGACGGCCATCCATGCATCGAAAAAGTCCGAACGGAACAGTCGTAGCAGCCAACTTGTCGACAAATCCGTGCTCCTGTTCGGGGTCGGAATTGAAGTAGAGGGTTCACGGTAAGCGAATCCCTCTTCCGAATCCCTGGTCTCCTTAGACCGTGTCCTTGATGGCGATTCCAGGCCGTCGCTTGCTGCTTGCGAGTGTAGGCCATTCGTACTCACCAGCGGCTCTGGAGCGTGCGGCTCGTGCGTTCTCGCTGTTGACAACTCCAGGCGAGCAGTGGCTTGTTCCAGCACTTGCTGCAAGAGTGTTTCCACCAGAGTTGCTATCTCGCTCGCACGCATTTCCTGCCCTTCTGCTCGCCCAGAGGCGAGAGGGCACGCCGCGCCCCCCGTCTGAGGTTCCGCAGCCCGAACCTGGTGAGCGCTGCTTCGCGCAGGCCCCTTCTCGAGACTGGCCATGCCAGTGCTGCGTCGCACAGCCGGTGCAGTCAAATTTTCAGCTATTCCCCGCACAATCAGGAAACGGCGTCCTTCAGGCCCTGTGACGCAGAAGGTTTCTGGTAAAAGCTTGCGGTATACCTGGCTACGCCACTGAGACTCCGAACCCCAGAAACCTGCACCCGTGAAGATCCCGCTCCAGGTACAAGTATTCCAAGCAGTTGCGTCCCGAGAGACCGTGCAATCTTCTTTGGTTGCTAGCGACAGCAGCTATCGCCGTCCACAAGCTCTCAAGACCCGCTCACCGTTCGCCTGCGTTGCCTGGGGAATCCGCTCGACTCGCCACGTGCCCGTACAAGGCGATCGATCTGAAACGGTCGCGTAGAACACCGGTGCCTGGAGCACTGGGAGCGCCTAGAAGGGGTGCAACCGAGGTTCCTAGACCGTGCTTGCCACAGGACATTAGCGAATACTGGAGCGGCAGCAGCGTTCGTGACAGGCGTATTCAAGGTTCCTAGTTCGTAGTTTCGGCGCTACACCAGCAGAAACTGGAGCAGAACATATTCTCTTAGCAAGCGACACGGGAGGTTTCCGAGGTTGCGAGGTGGTGGTGGTGCTGCTGCTGCTGCTGCTGACGCTACAGCAGCGGATTTTGGAGCAGTAAACGGGACAGGCAGCGATCGAAATAAGTAGCGGCATTGTATGGGGGATCGTTGCAACCTCTCATCTAATTGCTGGCCGCTTACTCATTCGAGGAAAGCTATTCTGAAGCACCGCTCCACCACTGTACAAGAGTCACCGGCCTGCAGTCTATATTATTGGACTGCGGGTTCACGGATAAGTATCACAGACTCTTAGCGTGCTGACAAGAAGACGGACACCGACGATTCCTCTTCAAGACGTGCATATGAAGGTTGCACGGCGCGTGTGTGCTGCCGAGGCCGAGGTCCTGGCCCAGAGCGATGCAGTATCCTGGGTTGACGCTGGCTCTGGCGAACGCCGGGTGCGTTTAGCGGGCTACGGCTCCCTTCTGAGCGTCGCATCGGCACGGAGGACGTGCCCACAGCTGCGGCACCACCGGCTTGCCTGGGTCCAGGGCTATCGTCGGATTTTTTGCCTCGTATCTCTGACTTGTGTGCGTCGAGGTCCGCCGTACGCGGACTGGCGCACGCGTGAAGTGGCGGCCTGTGCAGCGTTTCCAGGCGATTCCGAGGATCGCCTCGCGGTTGCGCTCTTCGATATACCCGCGTCGGAACTGCAGGCGTATCTAGAACGCGAGTCGCGTTACGAGTTTACCGTCGTGAATTGCCTCGAGGCCGACTCCAGTGGCATCCGCAAAGCAATCATGTGTGTTGCACCATTTGACCGGTGGGCGGTGGCGTGCCCCATACGGGAACAGGGTCCGCTGCATGATGCCGGCTGTTGGCATTGGTACAGCGGACCTCTGTGGCGAAAGGATGTGCTGCCCAGTGCTCCCTACCTGCACCTTTGTTTGCGAGCAGCTGCTGCCTTTGACGTGTTGGACGAATTTCTCGATGCATCTTATCTCGCCGATGGGTGTACGACTTTGCGTTCCTACCTTCGTTCCTTAGATCAATGGGGTCCTGCGGCGGACCCAATATCTCTCGAAAAGACGCGTAAGCTGCAAGGAAGCGCAGATGGATCCTTCTTGATCTTTGCAGCTGGGAATTGGAACTAATCCCAAAAGCGTCTCTGTCGTTTTTTTTCTCTGGAGGGAAGACTGTCGCACGAGACAGCAGCCGGGCGCTAGCGCACGCTTTCGGTGGTTCGCAGGCTCGCTATCGAAACGCCACCTCCATGCCACGAAGTCTGGAGCTGCATCCACATCGTGCAAAACAGGTTCGTCTGCGATGCGCCACGAGCATTGGCAGTCTTGCTGCGAACGGCCCGAAACGGCTGTCCCGAGAACGTCACATGCAAGCCCCAGAACGAACGGCGGCCGCCGCACATACGCTGTACCGATCCATCGTGAATGCTGGTACCAGTTTCGTGTTGGAAAATGTTCAGTACTTTGCAGGCACTCAAATTAAATGCATATGTGATCTATTTCAAGGGTGCGTCAATGAAGATCGGCTGCTGCTCGTGGAGATCGATCCAGTTGTCTGCTGCGAGTCGAAGTCGTGCCTGAAAGAGCGCGATATCCGCGGACTCCTCCGGATATACCGTGCCATCTGTCTCATATATGTTATCGAACCGCACGTCCTTGGAGCACTCTACAATAGGACAGGTAATGCAGCGGACCTGAATCTGCATGTTCACACAGTTCGCCAACCTGACCTGCTGCGCTGCCGCAATGCGCACGGTGCAGTTGGCGCACTGCTCCAGGCAGATCGGTCCCAGAACAACTCCGATACAGAGACTGGAGCCTTGCGTATTCCGGATGAAGACCTGAGCAAAGGGCGCGCATGCCTTCACAACGCTGTTGCCGAGCGAGCATAGGTCCAGTGTCGTTGCTGCGAAACCCTCAGCAGCCCGAGGCACTCGGTAAACTTCTCCAACGCCATTTCCACACACACGAACAACAGCATCGTTTGGCGTCATATTCTGGCCTTCGAGCACCACGCTGGTATCAGCAGCAGCAGCAGCAGTGCTCCTCGCTCTAGTGTCGCCATCCGGACAGGGTAGGCACGCACTTTCGTGAACCGGTTTCAAAACAAGCCGCGGAAAATTTTGAGGTTTCTTCTCACTTACAGCAGATATTATCTCGCTTTTTCGTTGAATGCAAACTCCAGGAAAATACTGGTTGCAGTTTGAGCGGGCCACGGCAGTGTCCGCGTCCTTGGGGACTGTGGCCTCTGGCTGCCCCCGGCGGCTGCCAGACAACTCGTGCTGGTCACTTGCATCACCCGCGCACGGTTGGTAGCTACCGTCCAAATCCCTTTCCGATATAACTGACCCATCTCTATTCGTTTTGCTCCGAATCAGCGACATCTTGTCGACACCCGTACCTGCGAACAACGCAACACGAGTGCGTTGCCCGTTGTACCCGCGCTCCCTGGTGCGACAAGTCGCCGAGGAAGCGCGCGCGCCATTCTACGCTCAGCGCCGATTGCGTTCCTGATCGCAGAGGGCGCTTCGAGCCGACCTCTGTATCCAGGTATCGCAGTATTGCACTGCTTTGATGTCGCGATGGCGGACTGCTGCACATGCTAAGGTGTAAGGAGCGTCCACAGCAGGCCTGGTACTCGGAAAATCGCTGGATCAAGACTGCGCCCCTCGGGCGGAGCACGAACATGAAACTACTGAGACCTGATTGCATCGCGCACGTGCTGGGGCCTCTTCGTCGGTCACTGACAGCACACGGGCAGCAGGGGGTGGGATTTGACTGGAGAATTCGACGCTGCAGCATCAAAAACTTTTCAAACTCGTATTTGCGCCAGATCATGTCTTGCGTAGAGCTGAGGCTCTTATCTGTGTATCTGGAAGCGCTCGCGTATCCCCCAGGTTTATCACAGATCTCGAGTTTGCACGACACTTTTGTGAGTCTACAATGGAGCGCTGACCAGCTCGCTCTGGTCCTTCATCTCGATATTTCTCCGAACTCGTTTTAGATGTGTCGCAGCGGGATTCAATGTGCAGCAGGAAAAGAGAATGCGTCGATGCGCGGTTTTAGGATTCCCGGTCGGTTCCTCGGGGTATGATCCCTCGACGCTTTGCCGCTGGGATTTGTGATCGCCATTCGAATCAAGACCATCCAAGACCGCGCTGAACAGCGGTCCGTAAAACAACCGATGCCATCATCCAACTCATGTGTACAAGCCTCTGCTCTTCTCCTTTTCTGACGCGTAGCAGGCTCAAATCACCCATTCTACAAATTATCGATCTTTCTACATGAGCGCAGCAACACTCACAAGAAGAAAAGCTCAACATCGACCCGTGACGACTTGCTCTCAAGCACACTCCGAAACTTCAACGAAGTCGTCAGGTCAAACTAGAACCCACTCCGTTCGTACGATCCACCCCTCCCTCTTTGTGGCTATCGACGCGTCGACACTCGACAGCAGCAGCACGGAATCGCTCACGGGATGCGCTTCCGGGCGCTCCCGTCTCTTCAGTTTGTAAGGAAGGGGGCCCTTGGACTCGGAATTCAGTCCTCGCATCGATCGCCTCCGATGGAGGGTGCGTCACCATTTCGCACAAAGAGACCGTTCGCTTGTCAAAGTGTCTCGGCTTGCTCTCCCGCCTGGATCTTCCGTTCAGTGCTTGTTCCATCACGGACCAGATCGCAATCAGCATATCCGCTTCTGTTCGGAACACAGCAGAGAGTTTAAACAGGTCGTCGTATACACCCAACTTGTTTCGTATGCTGCAACTCGATTGAGAATGTCTCCGCAGCAGTGAGGAACGGGTTCAGGGAAGCAAATGCTCGTTTCGATCTCTCGACTTGTCCTCGACACGCACTGGTGCCCGACGCTCTTGGTGCCGAGACTGCGGCCACCGGCTCGGCGGCGGTCCACAGAAATCTCCAGCTCAGGTGCCGGAAAGTTTCCAACCGCCCTCATAAACCAAGGCCACCTACATAGCGCCGTCGAGCGCTTCATGAGGCGCGTCCTGCGAGCTTCATGCCTGTTGTTCCCTCCGTTCACCGGCCCCAAACAGTAGGGACTGGTGTGTAAGAGGCCTGCGGACGTCGATGGAGGCCAGCGCCGACCTGGCAGCCGCGGAGGACATCGAACTGGTAGCGAGTGTGGAAGAGGTGCCGCAACGAGTACGAGAGGCGCCTCGGATCGTCGGAGCTCGTGGCGTTGGTCTCGACCTCGCAGCGACGGACGACGTATCTAAAAGATGGTCGGAACGTGGTGTCTGTCCTTGTTGCGCCTTGTGCGATCTATCTACTAGAGCATACACCGAGAGCAGGCATGGATGCCCCGAGATGCCCATCGATGAGCCGAGCACGTTGTCCGCGCATCAGGGCCACGGATGCACGCTGAAACCGAGAGAGAAGAAGAGCGTGAACCAGAGCCGCATGCACGAGATGGTGAACGGTACGTTCATCGAATGTCAGATGAGGAGGCAATCGAAAGCGAGGTGCTATCTACGGAGTGCTTTTGAAAGCAGTCACGCGCGCAAGCACTTTCTGCGGCGACCCTTGAACGCCTTGATCGACATCCGGAACGGTCTCGTGCTTCGGGGGCGCGTAGCGGGTCTGTTTCGAGTGAAGCTTCCATGGAAACGTTTAGCACTTTTTTGGACATTGTGCTGAATGTCTGAGGCGTTTCGATTGAGAAAATCAGTGTCCAGGAGTGAGGACATTGGACTCTCGACGGAAGCAGGGCACTGGTATCATCCAGGCAGCATTCTCGAATGGCTGGTGCGGCGTCTATATTTAGATACAACGAGAACTGTATTCCTTTGTACATGATATTTACAGAGTCTAAACGTGCTGCAATAAGGCTAATACTTGCTTTCCGCACAGAAAAGTCGTGAGTTGGCGCATCGAAAGGGCCTCCTGCACCTGCTCCTTGTCCCCTTCGCGCGTGAACAAGCCTTTCCCTGTCCTTTCGGAAAAAGTCTCGCACCAGTGCATTCACGATCTTGCCCAGTTTACAATTCATTTCGTCGTTCGACGATGAAAACAACGCATTCCACCATATCCTGCACTATGTAGGAGACGAGGGCCCTCGTATCCAGGGGCTTTTGCGGACGCCCGTTACAGTTCTGCGAATCGATGATCCACCAATACGCTGAACTGTTGGTCTCTGTAGCACGACGAACCGCTGCCAGCCAGTGCCTCTGCGAGCGCCATAGCTGCCACCACCGTCGGTCCGATTCCACTTCATTGAGGAGCAAACCAACCACATTGGGGCCACTCAGGCGCCGCAACGCTACATCGGTGTTTTTACAGTTGAGGGTATCGACGCAGAGACCCTGGCGCGCAACCGCAGCGCAAACAACTTCGGCACCATAGCACCCGAGCCCGAGACACGCCTTATGTCGTATACCCGGCACTATCGCCGAAACTCCTCTCGCGATCGCTTCGAAGTCTTCCACAGCATATACCGGCCTTTGAAGCAAGTTGTTTACGGCGTGTAGACCACACTGGTACCATCGCTGTTTCTCCAGAAACGCCGGCGGCTGCACCTGAACCTCCGACGCTGTCATCGCAGAGGATGACTGGTACGAATCTTTCACTCCATTCGAGGTCACACTTTTACGGCTGCTTTGCATTGCAAATATCGCCCTTCAAGAAAGCATCCAAGCAGTGCCCAAGCTCGAACGTACCTCGAGCGCAGGGGTCCCAGTCACTTGACTTACACCCTACGCGGTAAAAGCGGGCTTTTCCAAAGAAGCAGCCACTAGAGCACTGAGCACCGTCGTCAACACGAGCAGGCACCAGTTCGTTGCTTTCGACAAGCCAAGAGCCTTTAGCGCTTGATCTCACATACTCCCGCAGGCTGCTCACAAGCTGCTGTATAACACAGCGTGGACAGCGACCTATCTATTTCAGTGCCGCTGCAGCCCTGGTAAGCATTGTTCTGCAAGATCGCATCACTGCAGCAGCGATCGCTTTTCGAGCACGCCATAGCGATGGCCTCTGTCCATCGAAAACATTCGGGAACCGGCTGAACGTACGAGACGGCCATTACATCCTGGGCAAGCATTGCTGGTGGCCGGTGGAAAGCCTGGAAGGATGGTGCGGAACCATGGACGCTCTCACAGGTGTCGATATCAGTCGTTCCATTTGTGATCCCTGGTCGATGGATACGTTCTGGGGATCACAGAAACGGTGAGGGCCGTCATGCGATGCACCGTCTTAGGGCGGGTATTGCATCCACAAGCACAGTAAATGTAGGTGGAGCACCCGTGCCGCCACGTGTTTTTGTTCGGATGGAGCGTGAGGAAAGCGTACTTGTGAAAGACGTCTTGTGATTAAACGGAAAGATCCAGCTGGCGATCTTTCTTCGATGTCGTGGCGCTGCAGCAAGCTTGCCCATTGAAATGCAAGCTCCAAAACATTTGCGAAAGAAGATGTGCTTGGCCGTCATGATGCAGCTGCCGACATGCTCCCGCCAGTTTTCGAGGTTGCTGGACGACGCGCGAGGACCCTCTATGATGCCTGCCGCACCCTTATCGCTTCTGCCCGGGGACCGCGTGACGCCGGACTCGCCTGCCCCATTACCAAATCGAATCTCGAATGGAACTTTCATCAAACGAGTTTGCGTCACTCCGGTAGACTATGCGAAGCAATATCCGCGTGCTTGCTCGCTGCGTGCTCATTAGCCAGCAACGTCGCACTGAACGGACGAACAGGTCGTGGACGATACCACCTGACATCTACATTCCATATGTAACACCACGCAGGTTGCATGTCGTTTCGGAGGACACAATCGGAACTGCTTCGCGCCGTACGCCAAACGCAGCTGCGAGCACCAAGAGTGCAGTCGCGGCAGCACGACTTTATCAGTTGGGATGCTGGGATCCATTGTCCCCGGCAAGCGTGTGCGAACGGATTAGACGCTGACATGCGACGCGTTCGCCTTTGTGTCTCTCGCTCAAGCATTATGAGTGCGATGCAGTTTGAAGGGATTTACGTTCAGTGAAGGAGATGAGTGCGGCAACACCGTTGCGGAAATGGACAGGCCCGCTGATGTACCTCTCGGCGAAAGCGACAGATTCCTGCTCCAACAGAGACATTTGCTTGCACCTGTTTCGCATAAGGTGCTCAAAGTGGTTACGCGTGTGCGCATGGTGCGTTTCTTATCTCGCAGCTTGCGCGTCAGGAACGCGTTGACGCAACAACAGTGCGTGATCGCACGTGAGAAGCAGAGGCTGGACGGCCTGGAGTCCAATGCGGCCGAAGCCGAACTTATTCCCTTCGGTGCTCGTCCGCGAGTAAGTAAGATATTAATTGGAAACGATTGATGGAAATAGACTCGAAAAAAAGACACAGAATGAGGACACATAGATAGTATCGGCTTCAATAACCAGTGAAAACGACTGAGATCCCCGTCCAGTAAGAGTCAGAAGTTGCAGATGCTGCTCATTCATTATCTTGAATCATAGAGAATCTTGCATTGTAAATTAAAACAGACGGCTGCCGAGGGTCTCAGCGGTCGAAACTGCCCACAGACCGCACAGTGGCCCCTTCTCAGGAGCATGCGATCCGCACACTCCTCGATGACGGACTCGGGGATCTCACCTGCTCGCCGGGAAACGGTGCAGGGACGTTCCTCACCAAGCCGGAAGCGGTTGCTTTCGGCAAGTTCTGGCGGTACGTTTGTTCGTTTGCGGCTGCTACGTCGCAGTGGTGCCCCAGGCGGTGTGCGTTCAGCCGCCGCCAGTGCCGCAACCGGTGTGCAAGGTCGCTCGACAGCATCCGCGTCGGAAGTTATGGCTGCCGACTGCGCGATTCTACTAGTCCTGTTTTCAGATTCTTTCATAGGATCCGTATTCTTCATATGAGTGTCTGATGCGTTTCCAGCAGTATTCTTTCGGCGACGACTCCTGCTCTGTTCAGAGGCCGAGGTGCCCGATCCGGTGCACGACGAGGCGTCGGAGCAGGAGCGGCGATGCGTGCAGCTCCTCTTCGACCGATCTTGCTCGAGGTCCTCACAAATCGTCGGATTGTCTAGTTTTCGTGCACTGCAACTCCGGTACGGCCGACCAGATTCTGAGCAACCTGAACTTGGCGTAGCGCTCCTTCGATCCTCGGCAACTAGCCGTCGGGGGCTTTGGGAAATGGTTTCCGTATTCATCTCATCCGTTGCGACCCGTCCAATTCCAGCCACGGGGTTAATATGCATATTCTCGGGCGGTTGATCGGATTCTCTTTCCTTTCTAGACCGGGTGCGAGTCGCTGGACCTAGCGCCTTGGCCGCTGGCTTGGGCTGGGCTTTCGTCGTTGGTGCCCGCCGCCCGCCCTTGGTTTTCAAACCCTCGCGCGGTAAGTGCGAGATCTGCCTCAGGTTTGAACAAGGCCTGGGTGTGTTCTGCACGTACAACGCCTCGTCTTCAATGGGCGCGGCAACAGTCTCTTTCGTAAGCGTCTCACCGTGGCACTCTCGAGAAAAGTCGTCACCCTGCGTAGGTGTCGACTCTCGCAAGCAGTGCCAGCCTCTGCCAGCAAAAAGCTTCCCACTTCTCCGTCTTCTAGAGGAGCTTGCGGCCGACATGTACGCCACAAGCTGGTTCACGGGAAAATGCAAAGAGCAGGGTGCGGAAACACAAACGCAGACCCAAGCAGTGAGACTCAGTTTGAAACCAACAACAACGTTTGTGTACTAAGCTCTCCAGAGCAGACTTGCCACTGGCTAGCTCCTTACGCTCTTGCGTTCCACTCAAAAACTGTCACAGGTTCCGTCAAGCTCGGTCGCGCGCGCTCCTGTCCTTAGTCTTGTAGAAGAAGAATCGTTACACACAACAAGAATGCTGGTGGCGGAATGTTCATCTCGACGCGTTTGGACGTAGGAATGAGATATTTTGATTCGCGGCCGCAAGGGAGGCGAGCGGCCGTGCTCAAGCCACAAAAAACTAGAATAATATGGACTTTTGGGACTGCGAAGCGCCACCCGACGGCGGCGGAAGACCCGCTGGGTATGTTTTATCCTGGACAATCTTCCCCTACATCTGGACATTCACCGGGTCGATTCGCGAGACGCAGGCCACGCCAGTGCCACGCGAGCGCCCAGACGCCTCGCAAGTGTTGGACACTGCGCCAGTCGGCCAGCAGTGCGGCCTGACACGACGATGCGCTGGCGCGAGTCGAAACGCCTGATCGGGCGGCCACGGTGCGTCCGTCCTTCGCTTGACCGGGATGTCTCCGGCAGAGACACGCTTGCCATCGTCGCTGTCCGAGTGGTAAGACAGACGACGCAGCTACGTGTCCGCTATGGCCCATGCCTCCACAGTCCATTTTTGCGTGCCTGCCCATGCATAGGTCAGAGGCCTCGCAGCGCACGGACGGAGCCGTCGGGTGCGTTGCAGCTTCGGGGACTCCTCGAGGTTCCGTCCGTGCGAGAGTCACGTGAGCCATGTTCTCTTTCTGATCGGTAAAGAGCATACAATAATTTACAGGAACGCTCTTCGGTGATGGAATCCAATGAACGGAAGCCGCCTGCGACGTAGAGATGAGCCTCCACAGTACGTACACGTGAACGCAGCTCTGCCCGGTAGAGCGTCCTGAAATGCCTCAGATAGATGTCCGATTCGTTTGCGTGAGAGAATCCCGGAAGCGTTGCCTCGCGCTCGACAGACACACATCATTAGTGATACAGCTATGCCGAGTGAGCACCGGAGCGCATCATTCGCTTCTGTAAAAGCGTATTTCAGCTGCAATGTGCGTATGTATGCAGTGCCGGTGGCGGCCTGGTGCGTTCCCGTTTTACAACAGCGCACTGGGCACAAGCGTCGCCATGAAATGAAAATTGATGCTGCAAGAGAACACTCAGGTGCAAATCGTGCAGTAGAGCACAGCGCATCTCCCGCACATCGTAAAAGATCGAGGTCGCTAGCACCCTTTTGATTCATGTTTACGAGTCGAGAACATTTCTTTTTCTCGACGTGAGCGCAGACAAAGAGCCTCATGCAGTCCTAAACATGATACTCGACAAGAGTATCGCATCCAGGCAGTGCATGGATTTACGTAGCACAGCGTCGGCGATATTGCACATCAGAGTGGAATTTCCTTCGAGAGGACGATCTCATCCCGGGGTATGGCGGCATCATAGGTGCCGTTCCTATCTCTTGCAGTTTCACTGCGACCGCGAACTCGCTTAGCCAGACTGTGCGAGCCGTCTGCATCACAACTAGGCGACGTGAGAAATTTAGCCCACGGAGATGGGCATACTCCCGTTTTGCAACGCAACAGCTGCCGAAAGATTCTGTCAGTCGCCGAAGCGGACGCAGACCAAGCGAAGAACCCGCTACCAAGGCTCCCGCGAGCGCCGTCGGCGTGGTTACGTGTTCGCAAGCGGCAGTGTCTGCAGTCGCCGACGCTTTCTCAGTTACGTTTTCTCTTCTGCCGGTGTGCTACTAGGTCAGAAAGCTGCGAATGCTGGTGCAACAACGACTACGAAGGTGCCCAGTCTGAAGGATTTTCTGACCGAGCAAATGCGCGGTTTGCACCAGTTTCAGTTGCCAAATGGAGCGCGGTTCGTGGTGCTGGAGCGCTCCAACACACCGACTGTGAGCTTCATCAGCTTCGTGGACGCCGGAGCTGTAGACGAAACCGACGGTAAAACCGGGATGGCGCACTTTCTGGAACATCTCGCGTTCAAGGGCTCTCGTCAGATAGGCACGAATAATTGGGCGGCAGAGTCCCGTCTGCTCTGCGACTTGGATCGACTGTATGATAAATGGCATGCCGATCCTGAAGCAGTTCATGAGCAGATCATGACACTTTCACGAGAGGCGGAAGCATTCGTGGATGAAAATGCTTTCGGTCGACTCGTACAGCGGAATGGCGGAATCGGCCTAAATGCAGCAACAGAAGCAGACACAACCCAATACTTTTACAACCTTCCTGCGAATAGAACGGAGTTGTGGTTTGCTCTAGAGTCTGAAAGATTCAGAGATCCAGTCTTTCGAGAATTTGAGCGAGAACGTCGCGTTATCCTCGAAGAACGCCTCCTTCGAGTAGATAACGATGACGTGGGCAAGTTCCTCGAGGAGTTTCTCGAGGTCGCCTTTGAAAAGCATCCCTACAGACGCCCCGTGATCGGATACAAAGAGGATATACAACGGCTGGTTCCAGCTGATGTGCGTTCGTTCTTTCGCGAGTTCTATGTCCCTACTCGGCTTACATTTGTCATCGTCGGTGATGTGAAGCACCAGGTGATTCACGACCTGGCTGTTCGATATTTTGCAGATCTTCCTGGGACGGGCGCTTCTCGACGGCAGATACCCAGATATCCGCGGGAATATTCACCCCAGTCACCAAAGCACTTCCAGATAGACCTCGCCTCGAATCCCATGTGTCTGGTCGCTTATCACGTCCCACCATTTCAGGACCCGGATACAGCGGCACTACGCGTGCTTTCAGATATGTTGGATGGCGGACGCCTCAGCCGCCTCTACAAGTTGTTCATCGAAACAGGCAAGGCATCTTCTGCAAACTTCAGTCTCGGGTTTCCCGGTGACAAGTACGTGAACCTGGGAATTTTTTCCGCATTGCCCATACCGGGACAGGATATGCAACGGATCGTTGATGAATGGCACACGGCCGCAGCGCACCTGCAGAATCCAGCGAACATCACAGACAAGGAACTAGAGCGAGTTCGAAAGCGAGTCCGCGTCTCCCTGCTGAACGCCATTATGAACAACAACGAGATGGCTGGACTTTTGGGCAAATTTGCATTGATGAAAGGCGATGCTCGCGAACTATTTCGTTTTCTCGATCGGCTTGAGGCCGTAAGGCGCGAGGACGTTTCCAGAGTGGCAGCTTTGTATTTGAAACCAGAACACAGCATTACGGGTTTCATGGTTTGAGTGCTTTGCAAGTCAGGGTCCCGCGTCGAGGTCCACGGTGTGTTTGACGCAGCTCCTGAACGAAGATTTGTATGCGCGTGCCTGATGAACTGCACCGATGATAGGGTAAAATGGAATTGGTTTACATAGCTAACTCGGGAGTACACACTACAGTTTGGGTCTCTTCCCATTGCTATCATCAATACCAGTTTTTCGGGCTATTTCCGCGACTGATTGCTTCTCCTCTCGAAATCTAAGGTTTTCAGTATGCTTTTCTGCCCTGTCCCTTCGGCTCCGTCGTCGGCAGTCGAACGATATGGATGGATGCGTGAAAGCACCGATTGGGCGCTTCGCAGCTGTTGTCAGTGAAGTCGTGGTCAGATTGTAGTTGCGATCTATGCTCAACATGCGATTTCCATCATCTTACCACATAGCATCGGTGCGCGTCTCGCAGATGTGGTCCTTCACTGCGCTCAGGCGCTCGCATATGTCCAGGACACCTCCCGCTCGGTACGCTTCTCTGTTGAGCGTGAACGTTTTCATCAGCGCACTGTACATGTCCGTGACCGGTACAGAAGGCTCTGCTGGATGCGCTCATATATTCCCGCGCCAGGTGTCTCGCCGCACGATCACAGTCTCCTTCAGGGCTATCTCGTCCGCGAGGACTATGTGTTGTGCAGGCGCAAGCGCACACTGTTCCATTCGATGGCGGCTTTCTGGAACGCGGTGATGTCGGCCTTGATATGAGAACCAGAATGAAAATCCAGTGTCGAGTAAAGGCTGAGAAATTCGGACAAGTGAACGGCCTCTTTGTGCGAAATGGTGACACACCCTCCATCGGAGGCGATCGATGCGAGGACTGAATTCCGAGTCCAAGGACCCCCTTCCTTACAAACTGAAGAGACGGGAGCGCCCTCTTGAATATTCTATAACAGGTATCCTGCTGTGGTCGCATGCTGTTTCTTCGAAAGCCGTAAAGAGAGGATAATTTTTCTTGCGAACGGGATTGATTATTACGTAGCCGAATAAGTTCAATGAGTATTCGGCATGCGCTTCTATACTATCTGTCACGGGACGAGGTCGGGGTTTATCTCCGTCACTCCAGCGTTGCGAGTTGCTGAACACACGAGTTGCCCTCGTATAGAAAGAACGAAGACTCGGAGAAAGTGTGATTTAAAAATTCTGCACGGAAGCAAAGGGGAAGAGTGGAGGCCTCTTCAAGTTAGATTGGATAATGATTTTTGTTTATCACAAACTCTTATCTAAGGGCGTCGCGAATCATCTTGAAGCAGCTGAAGCTACGTATTTCATCAGCAAAGCGTCGAAGGAGCGATTCCCGAAAAAACGACAGCAAAATCCTGAAACCATGTAGAAACCTGTAAGTCATTATGCTTGGACGTCGGATTTCGAGATTTACGTCTAAAACAGTTCGGAAAAAACTAAATTCCAGAAATATCGCGACCAGTTCAGTTTTCCATTTTCTTCTGTTTCAGCTGCAGGGCGTACTACCTTGGAGTCTGGCGATGATGGTCGCTGTACCATGCAAACAACGCACTCCCGTATGGGATTACCTGTACGGATATCCCGTGCGCTCGACACCATACAATTGCGTGAAAGCGGCACGTTGACCGTATACCATTTTCGTGTGTATCCTGCGGCGGCCCGCCTATCTTATGGTGTACGGGTAATGGACCTATCCAGAAAGCCACAGATGCGCCAAAGTTGCCCCTGTAACTGCCGAACTGTTTTCTGGTGTGCGGTCGATAAGCTGCTCTCGGATCCCCGGATGGATACAAGCTGCAGTTTTTCAGGTTAAAAGCGACGACTTGCTTGAAAGAGGCATGTTTGCTTGGCTCAGTGGCTGTTCTGCAAAAGTGCCGGAAACACTGCTCCGAAGACACGCTGCACGCGTTGAACCTACCAAAGGGCGGCACAAACTCACCTGCGCTCGTGACCCTGACACAAAGCCCGTCTTTTTAGTTGCTTGCAGGTTTTGACAAGCATGCTAGTGTCGCTCTGTATCACGTGTTGGTGGCCGCAAGGATCGTATCCCTCTCAAAGTAAAATCCATAGCCAAAGGTTAAAATCAGGAGAAACACGGGACGTTTATTCGTTCACGCTCGTCCATAGCGTGCTGCAGTGTTGCACCCAGAGACGCTTCCGCGACAACACCTCTTATCGTGAAACGGTATTCACACGTGCTGCAGTGTTGCACCCAGAGCTGCTTCCGCAAAAACACCTCGTATCGTGAAACGGCACTCACACGTGCTGCACTGTTGCACCCAGAGACGTTTCCGCAAAAGTACTGTCCGCTATCCGTCAGAGCGCAGGCGGCCGCACGAACGGCACGCCACCGAGTACAATGCAGGTCTCAACTGCAGCGAGTTTGGCCTGAGGAGTCAACGCAAGCGTTGAGTCTTCGTTTCACAACCTCGACGGGGCCCTCGTTTCCGAAAGTCCTCCACTGCTATGCGTGTTTACTGTCTGACACGTTCCGAGCGTGAACTCAAAGAGACGGCGGTGGCTCGCACGATCCGGAACTTGGATCCTCAACTGCATCCCTTTGAGCGCGCAAGGGAGTACAAGCGAGCACTCAACTCAGCGAAGATTGAGCGTGCACTGGCGAGGCCGTTGGTTGCCGCTTACGAAGGCCATGCCGACGGTATTTATGCTATGAGTGTGCACCCCATCCGAATGGCCGAGGTCGCAACTGCGAGCGGCGACGGTGAGGTACGTATATGGCGCTTATCGCAACGCAGCGCAGGTTCGGGAGAGAGTCTCGTGCAGAGCCGCCTCGGACACGCTGCCCCTGTATGTGGTCTTACAGCAACGTGTGACGGACGTTTCCTGCTCTCAGCGAGCCAGGGAGACGCGGTGCAGTCCGTTGTCCAGCTGTGGCGCTGGCCTGTTGCAGACGGAGCGAGTACCTGGACTCCGCTATGTTCCTATAGACGCCTCCGGGGGGGTTTCGGCGACGTCAGCGCCTCGCCCAGTCAAGGCGCAGTTTTTACGACAGGTTCTGAGGACGGTTTGATTGAAGTTTGGGACTTCCATCGCTCAGAGCCTCTGACACGGTTTGTAAGTCATGCGGAACTCCCTGTCGCTGTGCGACGACTGCATTACCATCCCTCAGAGCCGGCTTTGTTGGGTGCATGCCTTGCGAGTCGCGAGCTAGCAGTCTATGATACTCGTGAGAAAACCATGCTGACGCGCTACCGGCTGCCGATGCAGTGCAACGATTTATCTTGGAATCCGATGCGGCCTTTCCAGCTTGCCGTAGCCTGCGACAATCACGATGCGTACCTCTTCGATATTCGACGCATGGATCGGCCGCAGCAGCTATATCATGGACACGTTGGTCCAGTGCTCAGCATCTGCTTCGCGCCAACTGGGCATGAATTGTGCACCGGCAGCTATGATAATACAGTGCGAATCTTTGACTGTAGAGAGAGCAAATCCCGCGATGTATACTTTACCAAACGAATGCAGCATGTGTTCCGAGTGCGATATACCAGCGACGCGCGCTTCATTCTCAGTGCTAGTGACGATGGCGATCTCCGAGTTTGGAAGACGAACGCCGCCGAACCGTTGCGGCAACTGCTGGTGCGCGAGAAACGGAGCTTGCAGTATGCGCAGAAACTGCGCGAACGCCACCGGTACCTGCCTCCAGTCCGTCGCATTTTGCACAGCCGATTCCTCCCTCGATACCTCCATAACGCAACGTTGCAGAAAAGAGAAGAGTTGAAAAGTCGTCAACGAAAAGAAACTCGGCGTCGATTGCACACTCGCCGCCGATAGCCCGGGTTTTTCTGGATCGTGCCTCGATAAGAGTACTCATACTATGCAGCTCGCGCTATCCGTGGAGGGCGCGGTAGCGATCTCTGGCTCGAGGCATCGACATAGCAGTCGATTCGTCACAGTTTCCCTACGAACGCTAACGATCGAAAGCGAAACCCACCCGACCCTGGGGATAGCGAGTGTTCCAGGAGGTCTACGGAAAGTCTTGATGGTCATCCGGCACACTGTGTGCGAAAATGACGCGACTCTAATAGGATCTGTAGTTCAAAAGTGTGCTGCAAGGTCACGGATGAGCATGGATTTGTGCACAAGGGCAGCGCACACGTGCATCGGGTGTCAACCACGTATGCACAGTGGAGGTGGATGGCTGCTATTTTCGATGATTTAGGGTCGATGCACGGAGCCAGATCATTCTGGGTACGTTGACGCTGTCGTTATCGGAAGCGTAAACCTCGACTGCCCGGTAGGTCCCTTCCCGTACCTCCATTCCCTGCTCAGTGTTGATCGACGCTCGCGTCAGGTTAAAATGGAGCGCTGACCAGCTCGCTCTGGTCCTTCATCTCGATATTTCTCCGAACTTTTTTTAGATGTGTCGCAGCGGGATTCAATGTGCAGCAGGAAAAGAGAATGCGTCGATGCGCGGTTTTAGGATTCCCGGTCGGTTCTTCGGGGTATGATCCCTCGACGCTTTGCCGCTGGGATTTGTGATCGCCATTCGAATCAAGACCATCCAAGACCGCGCTGAACAGCGGTCCGTAAAACAACCGATGCCATCATCCAACTCATGTGTACAAGCCTCTGCTCTTCTCCTTTTCTGACGCGTAGCAGGCTCAAATCACCCATTCTACAAATTATCGATCTTTCTACATGAGCGCAGCTCGTGTGCGCTGCACCTCGCGCAGCAACACTCACAAGAAGAAAAGCTCGACATCGACCCGTGACGACTTGCTCTCAAGCACACTCCGAAACTTCAACGAAGTCCTCAGGTCAAATTGGAACCCACTCCGTTCGTACGACCCACCCTTCCCTCTTTGTGGCTAGCGACGCGTCGACACTCGACAGCAGCAGCACGACATCGCTCACGGGATGCGCTTCCGGGCGCTCCCGTCTCTTCAGTTTGTAAGGAAGGGGGCCCTTGGACTCGGAATTCAGTCCTCGCATCGATCGCCTCCGATGGAGGGTGCGTCACCATTTCGCACAAAGAGACCGTTCGCTTGTCAAAGTGTCTCGGCTTGCTCTCCCGCCTGGATCTTCCGTTCAGTGCTTGTTCCATCACGGACCAGATCGCAATCAGCATATCCGCTTCTGTTCGGAACACAGCAGAGAGTTTAAACAGGTCGTCGTATACACCCAACTTGTTTCGTATGCTGCAACTCGATTGAGAATGTCTCCGCAGCAGTGAGGAACGGGTTCAGGGAAGCAAATGCTCGTTTCGATCTCTCGACTTGTCCTCGACACGCACTGGTGCCCGACGCTCTTGGTGCCGAGACTGCGGCCACCGGGCTCGGCGGCGGTCCACAGAAATCTCCAGCTCAGGTGCCGGAAAGTTTCCAACCGCCCTCATAAACCAAGGCCACCTACATAGCGCCGTCGAGCGCTTCATGAGGCGCGTCCTGCGAGCTTCATGCCTGTTGTTCCCTCCGTTCACCGGCCCCAAACAATAGGGACTGGTGTGTAGGAGGCCTGCGGACGTCGATGGAGGCCAGCGCCGACCTGGCAGCCGCGGAGGACATCGAACTGGTAGCGAGTGTGGAAGAGGTGCCGCAACGAGTACGAGAGGCGCCTCGGATCGTCGGAGCTCGTGGCGTTGGTCTCGACCTCGCAGCGACGGACGACGTATCTAAAAGATGGTCGGAACGTGGTGTCTGTCCTTGTTGCGCCTTGTGCGATCTATCTACTAGAGCATACACCGAGAGCAGGCATGGATGCCCCGAGATGCCCATCGATGAGCCGAGCACGTTGTCCACGCACCAGGGGCACGGATGCACGCTGAAACCGAGAGAGAAGAAGAGCGTGAACCAGAGCCGCATGCACGAGATGGTGAACGGTACGTTCATCGAATGTCAGATGAGGAGGCAATCGAAAGCGAGGTGCTTTCTACGGAGTGCTTCTGAAAGCAGTCACGGGCGCAAGCACTTTCTGCGGCGACCCTTGAACGCCTCGATCGACATCCGGAACTGTCTCGTGCTTCGGGGGCGCGTAGCGGGTCTGTTTCGAGTGAAGCTTCCGTGGAAACGGTTAGCACTTGTTTGAACATTGTGCTGAATGTCTGAGGCGTTTCGATTGAGAAAATCAGTGTCCAGGAGTGAGGACATTGGACTCTCGACGGAAGCAAGGCACTGGTATCATCCAGGCAGCATTCTCGAATGGCTGGTGCGGCGTCTATATTTAGATACAACGAGAACGTTTCCCCTGTGCAATTGGTGTGCTATAAAGGTGCTCCACCCTCCGATACTACTAAGCATCCGATTGAGGAAGGTACCTTGCATGATAAACAATCTGATGCGATACGAGGCCGCCCGGTTGCACAGCGTATGCTCAGCGATCCGAGGGGAAGACCATTCCGCGCAGCTGGGACTTGTGCATATCTGGGATGCAGAAATGCTTATTTTCCTAATTTCCCGGGGAACATGTGAATCTGGAGTACCAGGTAGGCTCAGGGATACGATCCGCCATTTACGGCTCCCGTACGAAACGCTCACAGCTCGCCCGCTCATAGCAAGTACGACATGGACCACGGCGGTAGCGACACATGCGTGCACCCGTTCAGCGAAGTCGGTACATATATTGACAATAATGGATATTTGGGGAGCACCTTGATGACAATGGCAGGCTTGGGCAACGCAGGTGCCTGCGCGCGTATACTGTTGGTCGAGTGGTGTGGTAACGAGTACGTTGTTCGGACGGCAACAGATAATAAGTGGGCGTCTCCCCCACGGGGCTTGTGCTTTGGTTTGAGTATGGAAGCGTCTGATGAGCGTACTCAGATCAAGAGGCGGCTTCAGGGGCGGACGACCTCTTTGTCACGGGCGAAAGAACGAGCAACGTTTGAGCGAAAGCGCTCCGGTCCGGGGAACGTTCAGCGCGATTCTGCAGTGAGGGGAGAAAGATATTCGAACTATTCCGACTTTATACGAGGGCTGCACAAAATGCTTAACCTCGAAGAGTCTGATAACCACATAGAAGAACGCACGCTGCGTTTGTTTTGGAGACGCACGGAAGGCGTGTTCGCCAGTGTCAGGGATATTGTGGTAAAGGTGCTTCAAAATCGCTCTCAGCCGCCGATCAACGAGACCGTTCTGCGGTTTGTGCTTTTTCCTGATCTTCCGCGAGACGTTGTCTGCAAGATTCCTTTAGAGATAATAGAATACGTTGCCGCACTCGTGGAAACGAGTGGCTTTCGGTTTCTTCAGAACATTCGAGTAGGTCACCTGACGGACGAACGCGTACAGTTAAGTAAACGCTTGGAGCACATCCAAAAGATTGCCTCACGCGAAAGCGTTACAAGCCACGGTGACCTGCAGAGCGATGGGGTCCGCACAACGAGCGCGTCGTCTCCCCTGCAACCCGAAGAGAAGCCGCGTCTGTTTTTGCCCCTCGTCTCGGAGGACGTACGCGACAAGTTACCTGTGTTTGTGAAAGATTTCATCGTGAAGAATTTGCCTCGCCGTATGAGTATCGCATTCGATGATACGATTGCACTCTGGCTACTGAACATCGAAGCCCCAGAACAAATGTGTTTGCTGTTGCAGCGGGTTCTTGATTACCTCGAGCGGAACGAGGACAAGATCCCGAAGCGTTGCGGCATGACCGAGAGGATTTTATACGCGCTCGAGGCCACATCTGAGGAGACCATTGAAAACATACTATCACAGCCTGGAGACGCATTTTACCCTACCGCGCGTCTCCAGTGGTTTCGGCCACGGCCTGTCACCGATGAGGAGTGGATCCAGTGGTGCGAAATCCTTGACCGCGACTGCGACACTTGGCTTCGAGCGTTATGTCAAGAATTAGATCCAGCGAATGAAGTGACCGAGGATGAGCTTCGGGAGTATTTCGAGAGTTTGCAGCCACCGTTTCTAGCAGAAGCCCTGCGGAATGAATCGGATCGAACCATCGCACTGCAAGCTGGTAACAGCGTACCGGCCACTGCGGCATTAGCTGGAGAATCTTGGTCATGCGTCTTGCACGATGATGAAAACCGCCCCATAGAGGTCCTTGTACGGGCCCCATTCTTGGATGCCGGGCGGCTTGATGAGGAGCGAGCCCGGTTTCCGCAAATGTTGTTCGCTCAAGGTCGGGAACACGTCGACAGGGACTGGCTCATTCGTATTTTCGGCGCTGCATCAGTGGTCTTTGTACTGATGCCCACACGGGATGCGGTGAAAGAGTCCAGATCAAGGTTCGCTGATCTGTTCGACGAGCTAACCTCAACAGATTCAGCGCTGAAGGTGCCGATTCCGCAACGAGCTCGTATGCTTCTAATTGTGCCCGCCAATGAACGCGTACTGACTCTGCATCCGGACCTACGCCGTTACGCCCCGGGGCCCCAAGTCCTTCTTGCTTCTCGGGTACGCATTGAGACATAGCCGGGCCATCGTGCTTGACTGTTTGCGGCTCGCTTAGGCGCTCCTTCCCTCTTGAAAATTTTGTATGAGGGCAAATGCCGAGAGTGTCTGGAAGATTGCCGCGCTCTAGAGGCTGCTATATTGATCGTTTCGCTGCCACACCAACGCTTCTCAAAGGCGGCGATCTTTCAATGTGTGTTGTCCTCAGGTTCGGGAAGCAGGTCCTTGCTGATGCCGTCCGGCTTCCTGCGAAAGGAAGACGAGATCGGTGCTCCATGGTCTCCGCTACCTTGACCCTGGTGGTTTGCACGCGCTCCCTGATTGTGACCCTCACTGGCGCCCGACATGGGGACTGGTTTATTCAGAATCAGCACGGAACCCTTGAAGGGACTCACAGCAACTTCAAAGTGCGTGCGAACGACGCCTTTCGCGTCCGTCCACTGACGACTCTGAAGTCTGCCTTCAACGTAAACTTGATAACCCTTGCGACAGGCGTTTTGTATGATCTCTCCCAACTTTGAATCATAGATTGCAATATTATGCCACTGGGTCAACACCTGGGAACTTGCGTTTTGACTCGAGGTAAACTCTTTCGTGGCCAGCGGAAACAACGTCACCGTACTTCCGTCTGCTGTGAGTTGTCTCGTGACGGGGTCCCGACCGACGTGCCCAACGAGCAAAACACGATTAACGCTCGCTACTGAAGCCCGAGCTTGAGCCACACCAGAGTTCATTTGCGTCGCCGACGTTTTGAAGCGCTCCCGAGCGACTGTCGTGTTGGCGCCTTCATCACCCTCAGCAAAAGGATTTATATACTCCGGACCTGACGTTACAGAGCGCAAGGGTATGCCCCGCAACGAAAGTGCAGTTCGCGCCTTCCATAGCGCACGAATCGAGGCCTGCATAAAATAAACCTTAGGTATGCCGCTCGAAACGCAAAGGCGCTGCGGAACAGCACATATTGAACGGGAACGATGGCAGCGTTCGCAAGTTCTGTCGCGATATGTATCTAACTACATAGTTCTGATCTGAAATGGCTGCTTTGAAAGACGGCCAATCGCGAAACGCCTCAGCTGAGACATCGACCGAATGCTACCGTACAAGTCTGTTTTCTTAGTGATCGCTCCGAAGGGCAGCACTTCCCGAAACAACTCTGCAGAGACATCGAGCCGAGATCTGCAGATGTTCTCGCAACAAGGTTTTGCCTTGAGGTCATGCACGCAAGGTCGCCGGTTTCAGCGCTCGGCAGTGCACGAGAGGCTTTGCTCCAGCAATAGAATAGATCAGTCCGAACCCAATGTTTTGGCAAGGATGTGAGCCATGCAACAACGCGCGCGTATCCGGAAAGAGTCTAGCGGGGGAAGGGGGTTCATAATCGTTCCCCCATTCGACCGAGCGCTCTATACTCGTCCATGGGGAAGGCTCAACTATGCTACACGTCTTGCTATACAGCAGGGCGCTCGGATAAGCCGTTAGATTCCTCGAAGCTGCATTTAAAAGTTAAGCTTGCTGATTGCGGCGCTTGGGCTCGACATGCGTCGCCTTTGCACGCTCCGGGCCACCTCAATGAAACAGTTATACTAGACTGGGTGCCTATTTGCGAGGCGTTTGACGCATGGCTCGCGAGATGAACCTACCTGACCACAAATTTATCATCTATTCAGTACAACGAAAAACGTTTCACGACCATGGAGGATAAGCTAACACCCACTCGGTGACGCATCCCAGCTTTTTTTGACCGGCCGCCTGCGATCGATTTCCGTTTCTCTTTGTATACTTCGAGCTTGAAAGGCTGCCCACGAAGTTACATCGCGTATGCTTCTTGTGTCTCGTTGTAAGTTTAACACATCGTCTGATATTGATAGCAGCGTTAAAGTCTCCATTCACGAGATCCATGAGTTTACTGCCGCTGGTTGAACTCACCAATGAGAGGATTCCTTCAACTCGTGCCCTCTGTGCCACTTCTATCTCGTCATCGCTCCTTTGGACAAACAACTTTGCTCGCCTATCTCCGCTCTTCTTCTTCTCCTTCATCATTTGCTCTTCTTCGTTCCATGGCAGGCAAGAAGAGGATTTTTGCATCGTTTGCCTGCAGCCGGCGTTAACGGCGCTCCAGGATCCTCGGCTTCGGTATCCATAATTTTTCCTTGAATTTTTTATTTTTGAAAACAACCGCACTTCGAATGCATCTGCTATGAACCGCAAAAAGGCATTTGATGACACGTCCCTTGGGATGGAACCCAACTGGGGTGCAAGACCGCACACACACGATCATGGGCTCTCGCACAGCAGCCGCTTTCGTTACGCGAACTGAATAGAGCAGAGAGGTCTTCACAGGTGATGACGCGCAGACGCGCATCTGTACACATATGGACAATACGGTCTACGCCAGTGTTACTGCTAATACCGATTCGGTTAGCGCCTTGACTGAAACATTCTCAACGAGATAGATCTGCAGGGTGGTGCTGCGGCGGCCTCAAGGCGCTGCCTTACCTCTACTTGATGCTGGTCCCTTTGACTAAGTCGGTATGTTTCGTCAGCAGCTGCAATAAAGCTGGTTCCCTGCTGGTCAGTGAATCCCGCAAAGGCACTTGTGTGAGAAAGCGGCAGCACGCAGCAAACTCGGGTTTTACGCAGCGAAGGAACTGCCTTCAGCTCTGTCTCAGTTGGCAGGATGAGTTGCTTCGGAGTTGTCTGAACGCACTTTCTTGGCTGCGAGGGCAAAAGGATGCCGAGCGGAACGCTGCAACTTGGGCACGCCCGGCGTTCGCTGAAGGCTGGTTCGCCACCAACGTGTTCCAGGTGCGCCAGAGCCAGACGGATCCTGAAGTTGCCTCTTTCCTCTGGTCGAGCAAGGGGCTTGCTGATGAATATGCGAGTGTTGTCGGCACTGCGCCCGTTTCCAAGGACGGGCGATACTTTATCGTCAGACTAGACGTTAGTGGTGAGTGCTTCCGAAGCCACGTCCTTCCAGGCCAGTTTATTCAGATAGAGAGCCCTGTGGATACCGGCCGGCGGTTTCTAGCGACGATAGCATCACCTCCACGAAACGCTGCTGGTCAGTTTGAGATTCTGCTCGACAGAGATAAGCTCGCTGGGCGCTGGTTCCGAACCCGTATGGAGGCACCACGAACGGGCGACAAAGTTCGGATCTCGAAAGCACTTGGGCGCGGCATTGCGCTGCCTCACGGCCCGATACCTGCGGAGCTTTTCCTTTTCGCTGACCATTTTCATGGCTTTGCAGCAGCAAACTCGCTTTTCGAATGGGATGACTGGCGTCGTTGCAGCGGTGAAGGGACAGTCCGCAAGTGTCAAGTTCGAGCCGTGTTCTTCGTAGATCGTTTGGAGAATGTGCCATTCAGTTTCCGTTTTCCATTATGGATCGCATACGGCATTCAGATGTGCTTGCAGCAGCGGGACGCGGACTTAGAGGATTTAGTTCAAAAGCGGATACTAGATGTCGGTAAGCCGGAGAGCACAGCAGCTCTGATTTGTGTCGGAAATAGTGCATTTGAGCGACAAATTCATACGCTTCTTCGTGGGCGAGGGCTCAGAGAGTCTGCCATTGCCGAAATCACCCAACGCACGATGATGGCGGATATGTCTCTGCTGAACCAGACGCAGATCAGGAACGTTGGCGCATCGAATATCGCTACCGCTAACGAGAGTGCTGATCGGTACGATGCGAGGTTCTCGAGCCGCCCCCACGCTCCAGGAGAGTATGCGGCGACCCCGCATGCGTGGCAAGTCCGGGTATGGGGCGCAGCTACACAACCCCAGAGTCAGTCGCAAACATTTCGTATATGGTCTCGCCCCGAAGATCTCAACCCCGCTTCTGGTGGTGACGATGATCACAACGCGGTAGCGTCGACGTCATCAAACTCTGCGAGGCACTTTGACGGAGTCGAGCATAACGGAGCGGCTGTTGAAGATGAAGTAACTGATGGTTATTACGAAGAAGAAGAGAATGATGATGATGATGATGAATGGGAGCGATGGTTCGCTGCGAATACCGAGTCCTGGTCTGTCCGTTTCGACGACGATATCTGGAATAGCTATTGGAAAAGTTGGGAGCAGGAGCAAGCTCGTTGGACTGCTGCCGGCGGTGACTGGACAGAGTATGCTCAGGACAGCTGGCGTGGCAACGCTAATAGTTATCAATCTAATACGAATCGAAGGGATGATTGGGGCCGCGGTGCATATGGCGGGAACGATGGAAACACCAGGGGTCATCAAGGCGGGAGCGATCGCGGGTTTGCAGCGACCTTTGGCAGCATGGATCTGTATGCTGTTCTGGGGGTCTCCAGAACAGCCTCACATGCGGAAATCAAGAAGGCTTATCGCAAACTAGCCAGAGAATGGCATCCGGATATGCACAGGAACGAGAACGAGGAGGCCAAGCGACGAATGCAGCGCATTGTATTCGCCTACTCAGTCTTGCGTGATGAGTCGAGCCGTCGTCGCTATGATCTCGGCATATAGTCGGTAATTTTCGGTAGAGTTTTAAAGGGTTCCGGGAGTATGGTATATTTATACTCAGTGATATCAAATAATATACCACCATTCTCGTTCCCCAGTTGCACAGGGGAAACGTTCTCATTGTATCTAAATATAGACGCCGCACCAGCCATTCGAGAATGCTGCCTGGATGATACCAGTGCCTTGCTTCCGTCGAGAGTCCAATGTCCTCACTCCTGGACACTGATTTTCTCAATCGAAACGCCTCAGACATTCAGCACAATGTTCAAACAAGTGCTAACCGTTTCCACGGAAGCTTCACTCGAAACAGACCCGCTACGCGCCCCCGAAGCACGAGACAGTTCCGGATGTCGATCGAGGCGTTCAAGGGTCGCCGCAGAAAGTGCTTGCGCCCGTGACTGCTTTCAGAAGCACTCCGTAGAAAGCACCTCGCTTTCGATTGCCTCCTCATCTGACATTCGATGAACGTACCGTTCACCATCTCGTGCATGCGGCTCTGGTTCACGCTCTTCTTCTCTCTCGGTTTCAGCGTGCATCCGTGCCCCTGGTGCGTGGACAACGTGCTCGGCTCATCGATGGGCATCTCGGGGCATCCATGCCTGCTCTCGGTGTATGCTCTAGTAGATAGATCGCACAAGGCGCAACAAGGACAGACACCACGTTCCGACCATCTTTTAGATACGTCGTCCGTCGCTGCGAGGTCGAGACCAACGCCACGAGCTCCGACGATCCGAGGCGCCTCTCGTACTCGTTGCGGCACCTCTTCCACACTCGCTACCAGTTCGATGTCCTCCGCGGCTGCCAGGTCGGCGCTGGCCTCCATCGACGTCCGCAGGCCTCCTACACACCAGTCCCTATTGTTTGGGGCCGGTGAACGGAGGGAACAACAGGCATGAAGCTCGCAGGACGCGCCTCATGAAGCGCTCGACGGCGCTATGTAGGTGGCCTTGGTTTATGAGGGCGGTTGGAAACTTTCCGGCACCTGAGCTGGAGATTTCTGTGGACCGCCGCCGAGCCGGTGGCCGCAGTCTCGGCACCAAGAGCGTCGGGCACCAGTGCGTGTCGAGGACAAGTCGAGAGATCGAAACGAGCATTTGCTTCCCTGAACCCGTTCCTCACTGCTGCGGAGACATTCTCAATCGAGTTGCAGCATACGAAACAAGTTGGGTGTATACGACGACCTGTTTAAACTCTCTGCTGTGTTCCGAACAGAAGCGGATATGCTGATTGCGATCTGGTCCGTGATGGAACAAGCACTGAACGGAAGATCCAGGCGGGAGAGCAAGCCGAGACACTTTGACAAGCGAACGGTCTCTTTGTGCGAAATGGTGACGCACCCTCCATCGGAGGCGATCGATGCGAGGACTGAATTCCGAGTCCAAGGGCCCCCTTCCTTACAAACTGAAGAGACGGGAGCGCCCGGAAGCGCATCCCGTGAGCGATGTCGTGCTGCTGCTGTCGAGTGTCGACGCGTCGATAGCCACCAAGAGGGAGGGGTGGATCGTACGAACGGAGTGGGTTCTAGTTTGACCTGACGACTTCGTTGAAGTTTCGGAGGGTGCTTGAGAGCAAGTCGTCACGGGTCGATGTCGAGCTTTTCTTCTTGTGAGTGTTGCTGCGCGAGGTGCAGCGCACACGAGCTGCGCTCATGTAGAAAGATCGATAATTTGTAGAATGGGTGATTTGAGCCTGCTACGCGTCAGAAAAGGAGAAGAGCAGAGGCTTGTACACATGAGTTGGATGATGGCATCGGTTGTTTTACGGACCGCTGTTCAGCGCGGTCTTGGATGGTCTTGATTCGAATGGCGATCACAAATCCCAGCGGCAAAGCGTCGAGGGATCATACCCCGAAGAGTTGCAAAAGATTCTTAAATTACTCATGAATCCGCAAACCCATATTCCTGCGCTTCGAATTTCGAGGTTACACATCTAGACAAAAGCGCGGCAAAAGGATGGAAGAGCAGGAACACAGCGAGCACCTCCGTCCTCCAAATTGAACTGGCACGAGTTCAGCGCTCAGGCGTACACCCACATCTCGACCGCGGCATTTAGAGATTACCATCCATAAGCGCCCTGCTCTGCCGTACATGATTTGTATTCTGGCTGGGTTCGCATATCAACGGCTCGACCTTAGTATCATCAAGCTCAGCTAGAGACCCCCTCGGCTTCCGAGCCCGCCCATAAGTTTTCCAGTTGATAACGCTCCCGCCCATCAGGTGTCATTATGTGGATCACAAAGCGACCAAGGTCGAGCAGCATCCAGTCATCCGAATCACGGCCTTCGATGAAGGGTTCCGCACCCTCTACAAAAACCCCTCGTTCGCGCAGACGCTTTTGCATCGTGTCCGCCAAGTGTCGAACATGATTCAACGTCATTCCAGTCGCAACGATGAAATTATCCACGAATGTCGCTTTGTCAGATATGTCGAGAACAACTACATTGGAAGCGCTCTCCTTTTCGAGCCACATGGCAACCTCCGCGACAGACGGGACGTCTCCGCAGACTTCCAGAGGCCGCAACTCTGTTGTTTGTGATTCAGCCTGCTTCTCTGGCTCATTTGGTGCAGACGCAGACACTTTAGAGGTCGTAGAAAAGGCTATTGAGCAATGCGACGCAAACCAAGATGCACAGAGACACTGTCTGGCAGTAGACTCGGCAAGACTATTTACCCGTTGTCGCTCGACGCCTCGGGTTCTGTAAACATTTCTGTGATAGCCTCTGTCCGGTCGAATGCTGTCCTGCCCTTTGTGGTGGTTACCGTGCGGCAGAATAGAACTTACAGCTACTCGGACGCGGAGAGGCACTCGATGGGGTAACCCAACGGGCAACCAAACGAGTCCAAGGTTATTTCGACTTTGCGAAATAAAGCAGCGACTCACTCTGCTTAAGAGCATACTGAGACATGAAGGCAGCGAGATCCTCGATCTATGTGTCAAGAAGACTGCTCACGTACGATAAGCCAACGACGCTGCTAATATTTCTTGCGCAAGGTTGTGCAGGAACAAGACGTAAAAGATTGATCAACGATTCGCTGCCATGGAGCGTAAATATACGCCCACATGCAGACGCCTCCCAGCCTTTTCGACCGGCCCGCTGGTATCGGTTTCAGCTTCTCCCTGTATACTTCGACCCCGGGAGTTTGCCCCACGAAGTTAGATCGCGTCAGCTGCTTGGGTCTCGTTTTCAGCACAACATATCGTGTAATATTGGCAGCAGCGTTGAAGTTTCCGGCCACGAACTGCATGCGTTTTTTTGTCGCTTGTTGAACGCATCATTCCAAGGATTCCTAGCACTCGTGCCCTCTGTGCCACTAAAGTCTCGTTCTCGCGTCGTTGGCCAAACACCATTTCTCACCAGTTGCCCCTCTTCTTCTTCACTCTCTCTTCTTTGCTCCATGGTTAGCGATAAGAGGATTTTTCAGTTTTTTCCCGGCACCTTACGATGGCGGCCATCCAGGATCCCCGACTTTCGTATCCATGACTTTCCCTTAGATTTTTTATGTTTGGAAATGAACGCACTTTTTCACCCTTAGATGAGGACCTTCCCCGGGAGAGAAGGACCTGTTGTAGGACGACGAAATATGCCCGGGAGTGTCACCGTGTGCTGAACGCTTCAGCGAGCCACCCAATGGAGCCGTCATTACGTTTCAGGATAGAAACACGCTTTAGATAAGGTTGAAATGCGTAGAGCACGGAGGAAGGAAAAGCAGCTCTATCATGGTAAAATCCGCAAAAGGTCGCACGCAGGGGGGACTGGTGAAGTGCCATGTTGTCCAGTAGAAGGACTTTGCTAGGCTTCAGGGGAACGTCTTCAATGGTTGGAAAAACTGGGTTCCATTTTATGAGCCTTTTTGATGAGCGACACTGAGGCCGCCAAATATATCCGCTGCAGCAAATACGGATGATGTCCTCATTCTCTTCGAGTCCTATCGTACATTCAACGGGCGCCCTGCTCAGCAAATACCCAAGTGCGCTCCGGCCGTTTCGTCCAGCGGAAATCTCATCGACTCAAAACAAATCCGGCTTGCCTGTGCTTTTTGTGGATAGCGAAGTTCCAGAAATTCCGTAGTTCCGATTTCGGTGGAAGGTGACCGTGCGTGAAACGGGACTCTTTTTTCGCGACTGTAACCCAGTGTATTCAGGATCAAACGAAAAAGCAGTTGAGAAACAGAGATCCACGTAGGGACTACCATTGTCGATTTTGCTCTCTATATGATGATAAACGGGTGGTTTTCCATCATTGATCGCAAGGATTCTTTGACGGTACCAGTTTTCTGATGCGGAGCGCCGGTACTTGTGTTCCTTTAATCTTCCTCAAACATCTGCGTACTGTGGCATGACTGACCCGAATAAGGAATGCAGTCCTCCTTGCACTGTGCAGTTAAAAACACATATCCTACTAGCAACCCGTCTACGATCTATACGGTACATTGCGAAGTGATTTCGATCTTTTACTTTAGACCGAGGCGGGGAGTTGGAATAGAATTGAGTTGAAAGTCTACAGCAAGTTAATGCGCGGCGATCATACGTACGGAGAGCTTCGCACTCACTGCTTCGGTGGCTTGGAGTGGTCTGCATTGCTCTTCGGGAGTTTGTCTTGACGACCTATTTTTGCTGCTTTTGTGTCGTTGCGAGATACCCAGAGGATCCAGTCTGATAGGTCGCTGTGATTTTTGTACTTCTCCATCGTTACAGGGTTCTTGAAGGCTCGCTCAACTTGGAGCTAGGTCCTTTTGCCCTGGTTTCAGAGCTTTCGCACACAAAGAGGTTATCAACAAAAGGGTGCACTGGGTTTCTAAGGTTCTTTAAGGGAGATCTTGTTAAGGTTGCCTGCACTCCTTTAGTACGCTGAACGCGCTGGCTTCAAGCTGCAGAGTTTTGGGTGTGGATTCTACGTCAGTCATCGGCACGCCGTCTAGGCTCTGCGGTCGAGAGCTCCCAACCACTCCTCGACAGAGGCCGCTCGCGCTCACAAGTTGCTACGAAGCGTCGTCCGCGCAGCACGGTAGAGCATACCTGTGAGCGCGATTTTTCAGTTTCAGAGCCCGACATACTCGGAAAGCTTCGTTCCGTGGCAGCATATATTTGGGTACTGAAAACAAGGATCGGCTGCCTTCCCAGATGAATGCGCTGTCTGCCCAAGCCTCTGTGCTCGTAACAAGAGCAGCACTTGTGCACAAGAACACGGTCGCTCAAGCTGAAATTTTCGGGAGAGCATACCTCTCACTGCCTCGGATCTTTTCCCGGGCGGTGGCGAAAGCCGTTGAACTCCATATCGCCTCCGAGCAAGAAATGCGTTTTCTTTTACTGCTTCTTCTCGCATATGTTTTCGCATTTGTGTATCGGTGTCTGCCATCGGCTAGATGGCGCCACCTGCTATCGGTCTACGGTGGAGCGCTTCTGGGTCAGAATTTTTGCGGTGCAACGGGTTGGCTCTATCCACTGACGGCAGCGCTCGTCAGTTTTCAGCTAATGCACTTGATGGGACCATCCCGAGCAGCCCCGATCGTCTTCGCGTTCAATCTCATATTCCTATTCTCTCTCCATCTTCATCGACAACTGACGGATCCTTTTGGATGGCACCTCGATGCAACATTCATGCAAATGATCGTGACCCAAAAGCTGTCCTCCCTGGCCTGGAGTGTTTCGGACGGTTCACCCAAGTCACTCTCGACGGGCTTGTCCCGTGCCAGGGCAGAATTTGCGGTGCGGGAGATTCCGCTCTTGTTAGAAACGCTAGCTTACGCCTTCTTTCCGCCCTGTTTTCTAATGGGACCAGCCTTCGAGTACATGGACTGGTATCGCAATGCGCACGATTTGGCGCCAGCACTTCAGCTCAACAATGCAGGCAGCAATGAATCTGGTGCCCAAGTGCCAGAGATGCGGCGCCCGAATATACTTGAGCTGTCTGTTGCTTCTCTCGCCCGTTTCCTTCAGGCGGCGCTGTTACTGCTTTGTTTCCAACTCGCGAATATGAAATTACCGAGTGATCTTCTTGCTGACCAGAACTGGCTTCTCCGAAACCGTGCCGAAGGATTATGGCGGTTGTACCTGCGAATCTGGCTCTCTCTGCTGGGACTCCGTTGCAAGTACTACTTTGGATTCAAAATATCCGAGGGTGCTGCAATCTTGTCTGGAATTGGTTTCAGTGGTTACGTGGACTCGGTGGAGCCGAACTCTGGTGATCCTGGGACTCGTCCACCGGCTATAGTAAGAACCCGAAAACCGCGACCCCGCTTCGATCGAGTCCGCACCATTGATATCCTGGCATTCGAGCTGGCTGGTAGTCTGAAAGACGCAGCGGCAGCGTGGAACAAGCCCACAAACACCTGGCTGAGACGTTGTGTTTATGAGCGCTTACCTCGCAAATATCAGCTCGATCTTTACGGGACTTACGTTGTATCGGCGATCTGGCATGGCATAGCTCCAGGTTATTATATGTTTTTTGTTACAAGTGCATTCTTGACAAGCCTTGAGCGGGAATGGCGGCGATTGTTCCGAAGCCTCGGCTTGGCTCAAAAGCTTCAGAGAAATCGCCTTTCTGCCGCAGTGGTACGAGTCATCACCTTGGTATGGACGAGCGCAACGCTGAACTATTTCATTATATCATTCGTGATGCTTACTCGAGATCGCACCTTGCGCGTTTGGTCAGCGCTCTCATACTGGGGCCACAAAATGCTTCTGCTGGATCTGCTTGTTTTATTGGTGGCGCGGATCCTTGTCTCTTGCCTGGGCGCAAGCGCTCGAAAAGAAAGATCACAGTTGCGTGCATGATGGGGGTGCTTGCTCGTTTGAAAAATCGCACGCAGTGCGCAAAATGGACACAGTTAGTTGCAGCGTTGCCCGGCAGCTGCCGCGCACTGCGGTGTTTCCCATGAGTACACTGCAGAGCTGTCGTGTACGCGAGTTGACCGCTTATCCTTTTTTTGAGTCCAGCCCGCATTTATTGCTTTGTAAGGGCTTTGACCAGGGCGGCTTGACAAGGATCGCGCTCTAGGATTGCATCCGTCCAAGAAGCTTTGTGATTCCGCCTAGTAAGGCGATAGGCTATTAGCTAGCGGTGTTCTGTTTCCGTGGTGACCATGCAGCGCAAACGCAGAATTCGGGCAGTAAGAGACTCTGACGGACGGTATGGAGAGCAGAACAAGTTGCTACATCACAGGGGCACTTGGTCTGATGATGTGTAAAAAGTTATCGGGTGATATGGGCAATTAAAAGTTTTCGGACCCAGTGAAACCCTATGTTTTGATGCCTCTTCACCATGCGTGCATCGCATAATCTTGGTTGCGATAAAGCCGTTCGGCATCGACTGGTGTCGGGCCTGAATTTTGAAGGTTCTCAAGTGAAACGAGCACGCCTGTGGGAATGTTGGAGGCCCATTCGGCACGGAGCTCCCGGTCGAGGAGGATACGCTGCGAGGTGAAGGGCAACATGTAAGCCTGCTGTTCAGCACTCTGGATGCACGCATCGGGACTCCGCCATTGTCATGAATCGGAGTGAAGGCACAGGATGAAAAGGAGGCAGTTTTATGGACGAAATGCCCCGATGGCCTCTCCAGCAGTTCCTCGTACCTGCTGTGTCGAAGCTAACGTGGTCTATGCGTTCCACGAGACGCTCTGCAGATTAAGTTGGATCTCGTTCCTGGGTCGACATTTTCGATGACGCGCATTCCGAAGCTTCACTGGATACTTGCTGCTCACGCGACCGCGCCTCTGTGAAGTCTCGTGCTTATAGTTTGGGATGCACACTCCAATCAAATCCGGGTTCGGCAAGCAGTACTTGTGTCATGCGAATCACGGTTGAGAATGTATGGAAACCGCTTCATGTGTTGATAAAAAGGTAAACAATGTCGAATGCACAAGCACTACCGAAAGCGCCGGACTTGAATACTATTCGGAAAGGTCTCTGACGTCTGGGCTTTTGTGGAGAATCGGTTTTCGAAGCGTGTCGATGGATTCTAGTCGGAAACGCAAGCAGCGCGCGTCGCTTCAATGCGCTCTACATATGTTTTTTCAATTTTGTGCAGCACAGCGTTTGACTCGTCATGACCCGCGTAATAACAGGACATGTCATAGAAACGCAATCAAGTTGAAGACGCGCGGTCAGTGCTTTTGCTGGGATGTACCTCTATGATCATGTGTGTTACGAAGCGCATGCATGTGCTGGCTTCTGCAAAACTCGGCTGCGCCCATGTCAGAATAGAATAGATTCGATACTTGATAATTGCGTACACATTAAAGATTGGCGTCCTGCCCACAGTTATTAATACCAGTTTTTCGGGCTATTTCCGCGACTGATTGCTTCTCCTCTCGAAATCTAAGGTTTTCAGTATGCTTTTCTGCCCTGTCCCTTCGGCTCCGTCGTCGGCAGTCGAACGATATGGATGGATGCGTGAAAGCACCGATTGGGCGCTTCGCAGCTGTTGTCAGTGAAGTCGTGGTCAGATTGTAGTTGCGATCTATGCTCAACATGCGATTTCCATCATCTTACCACATAGCATCGGTGCGCGTCTCGCAGATGTGGTCCTTCACTGCGCTCAGGCGCTCGCATATGTCCAGGACACCTCCCGCTCGGTACGCTTCTCTGTTGAGCGTGAACGTTTTCATCAGCGCACTGTACATGTCCGTGACCGGTACAGAAGGCTCTGCTGGATGCGCTCATATATTCCCGCGCCAGGTGTCTCGCCGCACGATCACAGTCTCCTTCAGGGCTATCTCGTCCGCGAGGACTATGTGTTGTGCAGGCGCAAGCGCACACTGTTCCATTCGATGGCGGCTTTCTGGAACGCGGTGATGTCGGCCTTGATATGAGAACCAGAATGAAAATCCAGTGTCGAGTAAAGGCTGAGAAATTCGGACAAGTGAACGGCCTCTTTGTGCGAAATGGTGACACACCCTCCATCGGAGGCGATCGATGCGAGGACTGAATTCCGAGTCCAAGGACCCCCTTCCTTACAAACTGAAGAGACGGGAGCGCCCGGAAGCGCGTCCCGTGAGCCATTCCGTGCTGCTGCTGTCGAGTGTCGACGCGTCGATAGCCACCAAGAGGGAGGGGTGGATCGTACGAACGGAGTGGGTTCTAGTTTGACCTGACGACTTCGTTGAAGTTTCGGAGTGTGCTTGAGAGCAAGTCGTCACGGGTCGATGTCGAGCTTTTCTTCTTGTGAGTGTTGCTGCGCGAGGTGCAGCGCACACGAGCTGCGCTCATGTAGAAAGATCGATAATTTGTAGAATGGGCGATTTGAGCATTCTCCACGGAAGGAAAGGGGAAAGTGGAGGCTTCCTGACATAGATTGGGTAATTATTTTTGTTCACCACAGACCCTATTTCAACACAGCCTTGGATCAGTTTGATTCCGATGGCGATCACGATCTCCAGCGGAAAAGCATCGAGGGATCATACCCGAAGAGATGCAAAACATTCTTAAACTATTCATGAATCCGCAAACCCGTATTGCTGCACTTGGCATTTCGTGGCTATACATCTAGAAAAAGAGCGGCGAAAGAATGGTTGAGCAGGATCACAGCGAGCACCTCCGTCCTCCAAATTGAACAGACATTGGTGGCGGAGTGTCACGTGACATCTCTCGTGCGGATCGCCGATCGCGCCGCGCTGATGCCGCGGCGTTTTCGTTGCGATGTTGGCGTCCAGCACTCTGTGCGCCTTGGAGCAGAGTTTGAGCAGGAACTACACAGATGGACTCACTGGAGACGACACAGCTTGCTCTTGCATATGCAGCCTTGTTATTGCACGACGCTGAAGCGGAAGTCAGCGCGGATAATCTGAAGGCTGTCATCACAGCTGCCGGAATGGATTTGGAAAACTTTTGGTATGGAATGTTTGCACGAGCAATGAAAGGCGCAGATTTGGAAGGAATAATCGGTTCCTTAGGTAGCGCCCCAACTGTCGTTGCGGTGCCGGCAGGTGCCGTCCCTCAGGGCAGTGCGGCGGGAGCGTCAACGGGAGCGGCAGCGGCCGCCGCCGAGGAAAAGAAGGAGGAGGCGAAAGAGGAAAGTGACGAAGATCTCGGATTCGGCCTTTTTGACTAGAGCAAGGCTCAAGTGATGTATTCTTAGAAATTAATGACTCGTGGCGATCTCGCTGTTGATTTAGGGTGCTTGTATGAAACCTCCTGAGGGAGTACGCGGCAGAGCGTTCAGCGCTGTGAATCGACAGTGCTCGTGGATCCATGTGCCGCATTTCTGAGCAGAGTCCTGAAGTGCCGCGTCCACGTCGACAGCTAGAAATGTCGGCGCATCCACTGGCGGCTTTTGAATGTGGTCGTATGGGAAACATTCGTTGCCGGGGGTCATCATCGGCGCAGAGGATCGCATCCTCGTGATGGGATGAAGATGAGAGAGACGTATTTCTGGTCCACCTCTCCACATCAAACCTACCCAATTCACATGGTGGGCTGGAAGCGCATTCATCGCGCTCCGCACGAACTACCATTCTCTCACGCGCCTAAACCTTGCCAAAGTCAATCAATTCCGAAAAATTCGCGAGAAAGCCACCCCGATATCCGACACGCAGTCTGCTGAACTGCGCATTCTGCAGGAGCTGCCCAGTCGCAAACGTATGCAGCGCAATTTAAACACATCCAGACTGCTATGCAGAGCTTTGGAATTTCCCAGTCCGTCACGGTTATACTCAGTGATATCAAATAACATAGCACCATTCTCGTTCCCCAGTTGCACAGGGGAAACGTTCTCATTGTATCTAAATATAGACGCCGCACCAGCCATTCTAGAATGCTGCCTGGATGATACCAGTGCCCTGCTTCCGTCGAGAGTCCAATGTCCTCACTCCTGGAAACTGATTTTCTCAATCGAAACGCCTCAGACATTCAGCGCAATGTCCAAAAAAGTGCTAACCGTTTCCACGGAAGCTTCACTCGAAACAGACCCGCTACGCGCCCCCGAAGCACGAGACAGTTCCGGATGTCGATCAAGGCGTTCAAGGGTCGCCGCAGAAAGTGCTTGCGCGCGTGACTGCTTTCAAAAGCACTCCGTAGATAGCACCTCGCTTTCGATTGCCTCCTCATCTGACATTCGATGAACGTACCGTTCACCATCTCGTGCATGCGGCTCTGGTTCACGCTCTTCTTCTCTCTCGGTTTCAGCGTGCATCCGTGGCCCTGATGCGTGGACAACGTGCTCGGCTCATCGATGGGCATCTCGGGGCATCCATGCCTGCTCTCGGTGTATGCTCTAGTAGATAGATCGCACAAGGCGCAACAAGGACAGACACCACGTTCCGACCATCTTTTAGATACGTCGTCCGTCGCTGCGAGGTCGAGACCAACGCCACGAGCTCCGACGATCCGAGGCGCCTCTCGTACTCGTTGCGGCGCCTCTTCCACACTCGCTACCAGTTCGATGTCCTCCGCCGCTGCCAGGTCGGCGCTGGCCTCCATCGACGTCCGCAGGCCTCCTACACACCAGTCCCTACTGTTTGGGGCCGGTGAACGGAGGGAACAACAGGCATGAAGCTCGCAGGACGCGCCTCATGAAGCGCTCGACGGCGCTATGTAGGTGGCCTTGGTTTATGAGGGCGGTTGGAAACTTTCCGGCACCTGAGCTGAAGATGTTTCAAGATCGCCGACGAGCTTTGGAGACACGTCAAGTTGCTCCGAGAAGTATGTGTGCAAATCTCTGATCTGAAGTTCAGGCCATTCTGTATCTTCTGTCCAGAGCACTAGCTGTGTTCCTGCAAGAGGGTCTGATCGACAAATTCCAGAGGGATGTGGACAGCTCCCAGCCCTGCGTCCGGGACGCCTACAAATGATCGGATGAAGAGATGCGCCATTGCATGGGAGTATTTGGGCGGGACTTTCTCGGGTAGAAAGCCGCGCAATCTCTGATCGCGTCCCGCACGTAACTACTTCGAAAATTCTACCCATTGATGTGTCTTAGTGACGGAGCCTCGACGATAGTCTCAGACTGATCCTGTCGCTCGCAAGGGATTCCTTCGTGTCCCTTCTCGTCTTCTTTTCGGGGGGATCTTTCTCGTCCCCCTCCGATGGCTTCTTCCATTTCTCGTTTTTTTGCCTTCTCCTTTACTTGCCAGGCTACTGCAGATGTGGTCACTGTTCGCTATATCCGGTGTTCGGCGCGAGACTGCGATGCGCTGAGTGAGGGTTAGCACTGGAAATCGCTTTTTCTATACATTTCCCTATTATTCCTGAAGTACCTTTTCTTTAACCTTTTCGTCGAGAGCGCGCTGACAGAACGTAGCCCGCCTTTCCGCTCCCTCCCACGCACGAGAAGACGAATACCAGTGCAGCCCGGTATGGTGAATTTAGAGACCGACCTGTGGAAGGACGGTGTCACACATGCGAATGATTCGTCTATTGATCCGTGAGCACTGAAAATGTCGTTGAACAACAGAGCAGACATCCTCGAAGGGACTGAACCTGTTCGAAAAAACTAATACGAAGAGCAATTCGAGGCAAACCTCAGCTGCGTGCTACTTGACCGCTTTTGAGAGATAAGAATCGACATTGTCGAAGGGCAGGACAGACGACTGTGAAAAGCAGAATCCAAGAGGTGCTTCGAAGAAATATTGTGTTTTCAATAGTCCTGCCTGTTTTTGGATTTAGAAGCGAATATTCGACTGCATCGCCGTTCGGCCTGAGATCCCCACCATGCTCGCTTATCTTTTGTTTACGAAGAAAAGTCGCCGTTCTTTGAATACCCCTTTGCAGGTTTATTACTTCCGCGGCATGAAGCCTCACTGAATGAGACGAAAACGTGTCGCTCCTCTATGTAGCTTCCATGTTTCAGTGCGAGATAAATAAAGTTTGTTAGATATCTTACGACAGTCTCCCATGGAGACGTGCATATTTCTTCGCCCATCCGTGTCTCTTCATCGATGCTCGTTTCTGCGGAATGGAAACTGCATATCATGCGGCTTCTCTGTTGGTATTCTACAGAGACCACACGGAATGGAATGGATTGACGAACAAGCATTCGAGTAGATAGTGTTTGATAACTTCTGTTTTGAGTGCAAGAACTTCAAGATGAACACTTTGAGAAGGATGGTCCGCCCACCTACTGACCGCAATATGACTAAGTTGAACAAGCCAGGTCGCTGTTTGTGCGCTATCAGTCACAGCTTAAAGACTTTTCCCGACCTTTCCCCATTCTACAGTACAAAATCTACGTATTGCATACCTGCGAGAAAAATAAACAAAGACGAAAGTACGCGATTGCATAGAATTTAAAGGATTCACAGCTCAAAGTTGAACGCCAGTGCAACAGCTCCTAGCTCCCGCTGCCACACGGCTTCTTTGCCACGTAAAAAGTTGCAGCTCACCAGACGGGGTTCACTGCAGTCGCCAACCATTGCTCAACTATACGTTCAACCACGGGCGCTCTGACGTATGGCGGATCTCAGCAAACAGCACCTTCCAGCCACTGGAAACTACAGTTTTTCAGGCAGCACTGAAAGCTACTGCTGGTGCATCATTGACGTATGCAGCCTGCCCATTGGGACGACCGTGTCTCGCCTCTGCGACGCTCGCAGATGCCACTGCGCTTCCACGCATTCATCGACGCAGGCAATTCTGGAAGGACCTGCTTGCAACGAGGACTTGCTTCATCGATAGCTTAGGAGGGAACTCATCACCATGTCTAACCATACGCTTCAGTTTTTGACTACAACGGAGACGAGTTTTGTAAAGGGTTCGTTTCCTAGAGACGGTCGCGGGCTTCGGCTGCAGCGCCGAGGGCATCGCGCACTCTTGCGCCACCCACTGCAACCAGTCAAGGGCGCCTTATTCTTAAAAGCAGAGGGGCTAAGTGAGACGCCCGCGTCCGGGGTGACGAACCATAGAGTCCGTTCCGCTGCGCTGGTCGGCAGTCAACCCGGTGCACCGGACTGGATCAAGCGTACGGCGGCGAGAGCGATGTTGCGTGCAGTCCGCTTCAAAGACGAGGACTTCTTCAAGCCACTTATTACAGTATCGTGCACATACACCAACGCGACGCCATGTAATGACCACATGATAGAGTTGGCGCGCATCATTGCGGACCGTATTGAGAGCCGCGGAGGCAAACCGTTGCTGCACGGCACCCCGGTGGTCTCCGATGGAGAGACGATGGGCACCCCGGGCATGCGCTACTCTCTCGTTAGCCGCGATCTCATTGCGGACTGTATCGAGTGTCAGCACGAGGCCTACATGGCAGATGGTTTGATCACACTCGGTGGATGTGACAAGACGATCCCTGGAGCATTAATGCCACTGCTGCGAAATGATTCGATTGGTGTTTTCCTTTATGGAGGATCCATTCTACCAGGTGGGCCTGAAAAAAACCTGGACGTCATTTCTGCCTTCGAGGCCATTGGTGCGCGCTCTGCAAACCGTATAACTGATGAGCAGCTCTTGGAAGTGGAAAAGCATGCCTGCCCCGGAGCTGGGGCGTGTGCCGGCGCATTCACAGCGAACACCATGGCCACGATTGCGGTTGCTCTTGGACTAGCCGTGCCATACTCTGCTGGTCATGTGGCAGCGACCTATGAAGGAAGCGTTTCCGATAACAAAAAACAAGATTGCGTCGATACGGTGGATGCGCTCTTCACGTGTCTGGAGCGAGGTATCACTGCGCGGCAGATTGCAACACGACAAGCGTTTGAGAACGCGATTGTTGTCGCAATGGCCTTGGGTGGCAGCACGAATGCCGTGCTTCACGTGCTGGCTCTCGCACATGAAGCGCAAATCCCGCTCACAATTGACGACTTCCATGAGATTGGTTCCAGAGTTCCTCTCCTGGGGCAGTTTCGACCATTCAGCAAGTATGTTATGGCAGACCTTGATCGAATTGGCGGGGTACCCGTGCTCATGAAACATCTGCTCGCACACGGCTATTTGCATGGCGAATGCCTGACCTGCACGGGGAAAACACTAGCAGAGAACCTAGCACATGTTCCAAATGATTTGCCGCCAAATCAAGATGTCATACTTCCGGTTACTAGACCGTACGCTCCTCCTGGACGCCACATCCTCGTTCTGAAAGGCAATTTAGCGCCGGAAGGAGCCGTCATTAAACTTAGCGGGAAGGAAATTCGGCGACACCAAGGTCCCGCCAGGGTATTCGATTCGGAATCTTCGGCCCTCGACGCTATCCTGGCAGGCCAGATTCGCAAAGGCGATGTTTTGGTTATTCGCTATGAAGGCCCGGCAGGTGGCCCCGGCTGTCCGGAGATGCTGTCACCGAGCTCAGCGCTCGTCGGCCAGGGCCTGGGCTCAGATGTGGCGCTGGTCACCGACGGCCGCTTCAGCGGAGGGAGTCACGGGATCATGATCGGACACGTCTGTCCAGAGGCATACGTTGGCGGACCCATCGCCTTGCTCCAGGAGGGCGACCAAGTCGTCATCGATATTGATGCCCGCTCGATTGATGTAGTCGGCCTCACGTCTACAGAATGGGATCGGCGCCGAGCCAGCTGGAAACGGATTCAGAAGCCGGCCACTGGCCTGCTCGCTAAGTACCGCTCCCTAGTACAACCAGCCAGCCGTGGAGCAATTACGATCTGTCAGACTTAAAGCATCGGTCAACGGAGGCTTTTCGAAGAAGGGGCGCAGCAAACGACGGTGACAGCCTGGTAGGAATGCTACGCCGTGTATCCCCAGCTTCCATGTACCCACTCGTCAATCCAAGGCAGGGACCTGCATTTAGATGCCTGAAGGCTGTCTAATAGCCCGTTCTCAGCTGACGGCAGCAGGATCAGTCCCCCTCGAGGCACAGGAGTCGCTGCCATGGCGATCGGAAACGCCTGGATGCTCCATTTTTGATACCCTCGTCGGTTTGGGCAGCATTCCCCATGAAAGAGCACTCAATGGTGGTCATACCGTGAGGTCTCCGGTTACTGGAAACGTCCTATCGATCAAGAAAATTCAATATTGATCATGAAAAGGTGCGCAAAAAACGCATTTCACGCGTGTGCCTCAAAAGCTCTGAAAACGCGGATCGAGTTCTCGATATAAAACCGTCAACAACATCTGGGTGTTATCCATACGCCGGGTATATCTGGGTTTATAAACCTGCGCTACGATGGTAGGCAGCGTCGTCGAATGACTTAGCAACTCCATGCATCCCATTTTCCGGACCTGGCGATGTATGCACAGACTTGGTCATCCGATGACTCACTAGCCAAGTCAGTGCGACACCGTCACTTCCAAAGAATGCTTCCAGCGCATTCATAAGATGTCCTACAAGATGTTTAGAGATTACTCGTCTCTTTCCGCTTCAGTTGCTTCTTGCTAATGATATCGAATTGACACATGAGTTCGCCGGAAAGTATTTGTATGTGCAGTCCCGTGCTGTCTTCCATGCAATCGTATCTGGTGATTGCAGCTGAAGTGGCCTCTGTCCGAGCCAAAAGACACCGGGCGACTTCACTTTGCACGCAGTCGTGTTAGCGTTCGGAACCTGTTTACCAACAGGCGGGGGAACCCACGTGCGACGCCGTCCGCATTCATGAAAACGCTGCCTTGGAATTCTTCCTCTACTAAGAATTTTCCAAGAAACACCTCTTTCCATTCCAGCTTTCAATTTCCAAAGCATTGCGCCCTGGTTACAATTGTGTTTGTGCTCGCGGGGCGAAAAAGATTCGCAATTGTGTGCGGTAAAAGAATATCCACTCGCAGAAGCTTATTATCCTTTTTTGACCCGCCGCCTGCAATCGGTTCCAGTTGATTCACGCACACTTCGAGTCTCAGCAGTTGCCGCATAGCGTTGGATCGTGTCAGCTGCTCGGGTCTCGTCTTCAGCACAACGCATCGTCTGATATTGGTAGCAGCGTTCAAGTCTCGGCTTACGAGCTCCATGCGTTTACTGCCGATCCCTGATCTCATCACACCGAGGGTTCTTAGTACTCGTGCCCTCTGTTCCGCTACAGTCTCGTCATCGTTCCACTCGACAAACACCGTCCCTCGCCTATCTCCTTCTTCTCCTTCTTCGCCACTTGCTCTTCTTCGCTCGATGGTCGGCGAGAGGAGGCATTTTTCGTTCTGGCTGCGACGAATCCAGCAATGACGGAACTCAGGATCCCCGACTTCCACATCCATACCATTCCCTTGGATTCTCTGTTTCTTCAAAATCATAGCGATTGTTCATTCGTTTAGGTGAGGACCTTCCCGCAAAAGCTAGGACTCGCGAAAGTAAGACACCATGCGCCCGTGTGTCAACGTGTGCCGGAAGCTTCAGCGATGACCCCACTGGAGCGACATCATACGTTTCACAATGGAAAACATTCTTTTGATGAGGTTGAATCAAGTAGAGCACAGAGGAATGAAAAGCAGCACTATACCTCGACAGGATCGGCAAAAGCCCGAACGCAAGGGGAATGGTGAAATGCCACGGTGTCCAGCAGAAGGACGTCGCCCGACGTCGGGGCGAAATCTTCCATGATTCGATCAAGTGGCTGGTGTTGGTCGATGAGCCTTCTCCACTAGTGAATCTGAGGCCGCAAATAAAGTCCACTCCGTCTGAAGCAGATGATGACATCCTCGCTCTCTTCGAGCTCGATCGTACATCCAGCGGGTGCACTGTCCGCGAATACCCATTTACGCTCCGGCCGCCTCGTCCGAAGCAAGTTTCATCGACTGAACAAGCAAACCGACGTCCGTGTCCCGGTCCCTGTGCTCCATACGGATAGTGGCGTTCCACGAACGCTGAAGTAGCTGTGACCTCGGTGGGAAATGGCCGTGCACGAACTGAGACTTTCTTTTTGCGACTGTACCCCGTGTATTCAGGACCACTCGAACACGCTTTTAAGGAACAGGGACGCGCGTAGCGACTACTATTTTCGCATTTGTCTTTCGTAAAAGGTGTCAACGGGCCGTTTTCTACCGTTGATCGCGCGCATTCTCTGAGAATATCGATGTTTGACGCAGAGTGCATCTACTTCTTTCGGTCAGTGTTCGTCAACCATCTGAGTACTGTTGTACGACCGACCTGGAGGAGGAACGCAGTCCTCCATGCACTGTTCTGTAAAGAATATGTATGGTACAGGCGATTCGCCTACGATCTATCGGGTACATGGCATCGTGATTTCGATATCCTGCTATGCACCGCTGTGTATATGGGGGAGCGGAGTAGGCGAAGTGGAATTGAGTTGAAAGACTTAAAGCGCGCGTAACCTCCGCTCGTTCCGATAAATTGTTGAATCTTGTGGTTGGAGGTCTTCCCGATGGACTCAGGCTTGCTTTCTCTAGCAGATAGGACGCTGTTGCAGACCCTTTTCACGAGAGGTTTTCTACAGAGCGAGGAGGCCCTGACGTATTATCGGAACTTTCTCGAGGTAACGCAAGGCGAGGAGGTGCAGCCCGCGACACCCAACCTCGCGCAGTTCGAGGCACTTGAACCTGATGTGCTGGTTTCTCGTCTCAACGGACGTCTCAACGGTGCGGACTTTTCTGTACGTTTGGTCTCAGACGATAAAAGTAAGGCATACCTAACCCTTTGCAACACGAGAGAGGATGCGTCCTGTAGAGAAGCCTGCCTGTACAGTGCACACGCGAGAGCAGTGTTTGAAGGTATTTTAAAAAAAGGTTTCTTGAACCCGCTTTCCCCTAGTCACCAGGAAGGCAGCATAACATTCTCGGAATGTGTCAGAATAGCAGAACAGTTACCTGAACACGTGCGCATATCAGGGTTTGAGGCGGAACTCCTTCAGATTCTCGTGGAGGATGGATGGCTGGAGCGGCTACCGGGTGCTCCAGCGAGCAGAAGTAACAACAAGACGGAGGATTCTTTCCGACCTGGCGTGCGAACCTATGCAGAGCTGAGAGAAATGGAGCAATGGAGACTCCGAAGGCTTCAAGGATGACCAGATACACGTAACCTGCGTCGAAGCCGGGTTTCCGCAAAATAACGCCTCGGGGCTCTCAGCCGGCACTGAATGGCGCCAGATACCAACCACGCGCTTGTTGCTGCAGATTGGTTGTTGTCGCTCGTGCGGTGGTGTTTTCATGAACTGGGGCGTCTTCGCGCGGTAGCGTATCCCAAATGTTTGTACAATGTGTCTGCAAGCCAGGAAAACGCGTTTTTTGCAACTTATACTGCGTTTTCCATATTTGGTAAAAACGATCATGTGTAGGGCTCAGTGTTCTTCACAGAATATTGGCAATTCACGATGATGATTCTGCCGCCACAAATCCAACAAATATTCTCGCAAACGACGTGGATCTGTTGATACCAAGCACTACATCCGCGTTGGGCGTAACGGCTCACCGAGCGAATCTCGATCCTACTGACGAAGCTTGTCGCCAAAAGACCAGCTGCCAAAAGCACGATGCATGAACCTCTGAATTGCCTCCTGAAAAATTCGATGCTTTCTAGACACTGTGCGCATCCAATGGGGGATGCCACATCAAGAGATTCTTCTGCTGCCAACACAGACTATAGGACGCACTGCGCTCTCCTCTCCACTCAACTTCTCATAGGCTATTGTTTTGACCAATCGCACCTCGCCCCGCACACTTGCACCATCCAAGAAGCATCCGTCGGTTAATTAGATAGACAAGTCGATCAAAATGACCATGCATGAATCTCTGCTTGTTGGAAAATGTCTTTCATACTAAAAGAAAACTTCGCGAATTCTGCTAAGACTGCGCTTATTCTGTGAAACAACCCGACTCATCGGTCTGTCATATCTTGGAGTGATCGGCGCTTTGCTCCTCAAAAGAAAACGCTGCTCGGCGTGAGTCTCGTCGCTTGTCTTCAGACTCGTGCCAGAAATCGCTGAAATACATATCATTCGGTACCGAGCTCACAGATAAAAATTATCCAAGTGCCACTTTTTGAATCATTGAAGCTGCTGCTGCTGCTGCACGTCAATCGCTCACTCTACGCGAAAAAGAAACCCGATCCGAGTGATCCCAGTAAGGGATACTGCTGAGCGTTTCGAGGTCTTGGAACAGGTCTATTCTCCTGCGCAGTGCTTCGCGCTGTTCCAGAGATGCTCGAATCCGAAGGCGGCTGCGTCCTGGCACTGCCGGGGGCGGCTGTTGTGCCGGTGTCCGCATCTTGTGCTGTTCCAGTACTGGAGCCGCTACCTCCCTGGGTCTGTCGCAGATCCTGGACTACCTCTTCAAGCCGTACGATTTCGTGCTGACACAACGGGCAACGATTCGCCCTCTGAACCCACTTGCTTATGCAATGGGAATGGAACAAATGACCGCATGAGAGCTTGCGACTCATGTCACCTTTCATAAAAGGATCAAGACAGATTGAACAGCACTGGCAGTAGACGCCGTCGGCTCCACAGAGCCCTTTGCCCTCACGCTGGCTTTCGTTCGGCACAGTTGCGAGCGCTGCAGCTGCCGCTGGGCTCTCTGCTCCACAGCTTGGACAGCTTGTAAGCGGAGCAGGAGGAGATGTTTTATCGAGTCTTGCAAGAACGAGCGACGCAGGTATCCGAGTCGGCCCCCAAACGCCGGCTCCTGCTACCCCGCCCGGCGGAGCTCTCTGTTCTCCACCCGCATTTCCCGGAATGCTGTACAGATACACGCCGTCAACGAAGACAGCTCTCTGGTTCCCCATGCGTGTGGGGTCTTCTGCGTCGCCGACCGCTCGGTTCGCGGCGCTCTCACGAGTCATAGCCCGGCGCAACGCCCGCCGCTCTCGCACGCAGGCATAGAGCCATGCGGCGAGAAGCAAACAAACACAAACCGCCGCCACGATTCCGAACACGATTATTGCCATCCCTCTAGGGGACGTGCCGAAAAAAGCTACCTGGCGGTTGAAGTTCCAAAGTTAAGATAAAAGCGAAATTGTGGAAGTAGGGTATCCCAAATTCCATGCGCGTTTTGATTCAACCACACGACGCAGATCGGATGACCAACGGCGCGCTTCACCCGGCGACGCGCGCCGTGACTCTGGATGAGGGCGGGCTGCGGCCGCAGGACGCAGGACGCATACCCTGTTCACGCGGTCTACGTGCAGGTGCGCGGCATGGTCTGGATCAAATTTGTTCAGTTATATAAACTTATATACAGTCTACAATTGATTCGCACTCTGGAAGTGCACTGATCTTCGGAAAAGTGGGTCATGCCGAGTGCTCCATTCTTCAGTTTCTTCGAACACGCTCGGAAGCGCAGGGTCAGCGAGGGTGCGGCAGCAATGCGGCTTCTCGACAGCTTATTGGTGAATGAAGCCACGCACATGGAATATGGCATGTTCAAGACTATGGGTGCTGCCTCGGGAAAGGCGAGTTGGGAAAGGATACCACACGCATTGCAGTAGATAACGAATAACGCTGCCGTCGCATGATTGAGCAGTGCAGGGCCTTGTGGACGCTCTGCGGTCGATCCAAGGCTAAAGCTTTAGCCGCTGTCGTTTGCTGTTGTTGAATTCTCTCTCCTACGCATCGGCCTCTGGCTCCGCAGTTGCTGGCCGATCGGGGATATTTCACATGGCTTATTGACTGTAAAATTGTACCAATTCAAAGCGTGCGTCCGTGACGATCTTCAGTTCACGGCATGCCTCAGAGCGGGGCTCCAGAAAAGCGGTGATTTGATGGGATGCATCGGAACTGTTTTCTTCAGCGCTCGCGTAGGCGATCGAACTATCCTGAGTGCATCGAGTGAGACGCTGCTTTTTGTAAACGCACAGTGAGCTCTGGAGAGCGTACGTCTCGTGTACAGCCGTTCCCGGTCGTGGAAACCTCCATCTTCATCTGCTTGCTGCGGGGAGAATTCTCCAAATCCCACGTTCCCGGAAGGTGTCTCGCTTATGCGGGGAATGGATTATAGAGATAATACTTCCTCTGTGAGGAATATTTCTTCGACTAGGTTAGATCAGGCACAAGGACAAAACTTGTCTCCTGCATAAGATAAGTGCAACGTCTATTTCAATGACTATTATTGTCTCGCGGATGAGTCATGATGCATTGTCTCCTGCAAAAGTTCGAGAAGCGTGCTTCCAAGTGGCGCAGATTTGCATAGCACCGTTAGGTTCGGAAAAGAGCTCATCTTTGTTGCTACGGTGAACTGCCGGCATTACCGCCTTGTAGGACTTCAGGGGAAGAGCTTGCGCTGGCCGCACTTACTGCAGAGGTCTTTGGTAAGCAGAACATGTTTGACGCTTCGTTGCGGGAACGTTCACAGCTTGGCAGCACTCGCGAGCGACCGGCTCTCGGGGGCCAGTACGCTCCAGGAAATTAGGAAGAGTTTGTACGTCGCAGGTTCTGGCTTAGAGAAAATGAAACTTATACGCTTACTTCACTTTACGGATATTCATTTTCACTCTGTATCTCTCGCTGGACACCTCCCCACCTGGAAGGAGCTTCTCGGTTATGCAAACCTGTACATTGCGGGGAGGAGGAAAGCCTTCGCTGCCCTCGAAGCTGCGAAAGCACTCTGTGAACTCGTACAAAGTCTAAACCCGGATGTCGTTATTTTTTCGAGTGATCTTACGTCAACGGGTACCTGTGAAGAGTTCGCTACGGCATACGAGCACTTAAGGCCGCTAATTGAAAGTAGCAATACTTTTGAGGCAGCGCAAGGTAAAAACAGAAGCACGGCGAGTGGTCCGTTTCTCATCATGGTGGCCGGAAACCATGACGGTTATACCCAGTGAAACCGACATTGTATGGAACTGTCCTTTTGAGCTCAGATGCTGGGCGGCGGGGCGGTCTCTCCGCGCTATGTAACGCTCGGAACCGCGAACTCGAACTTATCCGAATTAAATGATGCTCCCTGCTCGGCATCGCTGGTCGCTATAACGCTGGAGCATTGCAGGCCGTCGTGGCGGAGTAGCGGTAGCCATTACGTCGAGGGTACGCGTGAACGTCTAGAATCAATTTTAAGCAAACACCATACGCATGCTGTCGTTGTGGGACACTATCCTGTGTTGGAGCAGGACGGAGCAGCGCTTTACGAAAGGTTCGGGCGCAGTCTATTGGATGTGAGGACGCTTTCGCGAATTCTGTGCAAATATCCTCCGATCGCTTATTTATGTGGCCATCATCACGAAGGATACATTGTGAAAGATACTGAGAGCGGCTTTCTACACATTAACTGCGGGTCAAGCGGCAAGATCGGCTCCGGACGCGCGCTGGAGATAATGATCGGGTCCCATGCTGCAGCTAACAACCTCCAGGTACCTGAGATTGGTTCCTATCCCCATTTGTGAATATTCACGTGCGCTTTTGGTTGCAGTATACAGTGTGCAAGTTCGAAACAAAAAGAAAGGGAGCAAATTTCATGTACAAGAGTCCAGGCGGTGAATGACAGCCCTCGGTGCGGATCTGTCATATCTCGTCAGAGCCTATCAAGAAGTTGCGAAATCTGCTCATAACACATGAATGTAATCGCCGATGAAGGTGCCACACGAAGAAGATTCGCGACAATGCCTCTGTAAAGCCCCCGGAAGCTATTTCGCATGTAGATTGTACGCAACGCACGAATCATACTCCCGTACGCGACCGGATCTGCGCCGCGCTGCTGCATGCGTGTGCGAGCAACCTGCAATGGGTACGTGACAAGCGAGGCTATAACTTTGGAAGCGGTAGCTGCAATCAGACTTTCAATGACGCTCAGCCGTTCTGCTTGTCCTGCTGAGTTCCGAAGTGAAATAGAATCCAAAGATCGTTCCAGCTCGTTCTCAAGTTCTTCCGAACGGCTCAGCTTTGCCATGAAGCGCCTTCGAAGCAGAGACAATCGGATTTTCTCGTACACAGCGAACTGGATTGCACCGTGCGTCACAAGAAACATCGAGGGCCCAATGCCGCGATAGAAGCCCCTGAGTCCTTCATCTCTCCAGACAGATTGCATCGTCGAGAATACACCCCCCTGGTTTTGAGATAACTGAGCACCTTTGAAGTTGTCTTTCGAGCCCCTCTCCAGCTGCATACGTGTTTTCAAGAGCCATATGGGATTCGTCAAGAGTACGGTTATGATGCCGGCAATTGTGCCGGATATAAGATGGTTGATGCTGCCTCTTTGGGACAAGTACTCACTTTTAACACGTTGTCCCAGAAGAGCTACTAGCATTTTCGCTCGTTGGTAGCTTTCAAAATAGATTCCCCAGGAAAGCGAGGAACCTACAACGGCGGGAAGGGCACCTCTGTAGAGGCCATTTCGGAGACCTTCCTCCCGCACTATTGTTGCTACCGCGTTCGTAATAGTTCGATACGAAAAAGCACCTTGCTTTCCGTGCAAATCGGTCGCCTGATAGCGCGTCTTTATCAGGTCAAAAGGATGCAAGGCAAGAGTGCTCAAGCAACCAGCGCTCAGCCCCGCGATAGCGCGAGTCACACCAGCTCGGGGCTGCGCACCTGCACCCGTGCCCTTGTCCTCTGAGGAACCGCTCGGTGCGCCAGTGATGCGTGCGCTTGGTTCTCTTTGAGCCACATACCCCTGAAGAGCCTCAACGCTGCCCCTCACGCGTGCTGGCGGTGCAAGGCGTTCAGCCTCAGCCTGGTAATCGAGCAGAGGATCAGGTGGACCCCGAAGACCGTCCGTCATACGGCGCACATGAAACCCTACCTTGTGTCAAACTTTTAACCAAGTCTCAAACTGAGCTTCTCGAAACCACCGGAAACTTTGCCGTTCTCATCACTGACTGGAGGTCCTTTTCAAGCCGTGGAACCTCCGCTGCGGAACTCAAATTTTTCTCATCGCACACCGCCTGTTTCAACGAGTTTTGCACATTTTCCAGAAGCCTGTAGCAGCGCGAGCGCAAATGTACTTCACATGCGCTTTTGTTTGATGCATAGCGATACAAGCGCGGTACCGGTGACTATCGAATACAAACGGGTTTCTCTCCTATGCGACAGATACCACGTTACATGCCACGGAAACATCACGAGCGCTCGTAAGAGTGGTTGCGATGCGTCTGCATGGCCGAGCACGAAAATGATTATTCGCATAGGGAAGTACCCCTAGGTAAAAATTTCGATCAAATGTGATAAATGCATCAAGGATGAGCAGTTTCAGCCACAAGGGTACGTTTCAGTCATGCACACTTTACCTTTCAAGTTGAAAATACGTTCCATATAGATCTGTCCATGCCAAGATAACTCTTCCACTTTTAGAGCTATTCCCCGTCGCTCAACTAGTTCCGTATAATACCGCACCGTGTAAACTCGGAGGAATCAGAACTCCGTTAATGATGTGTATGACACCGAGGTCGAAGAAAACGTCCGGCACTATAACCTTCCGTGTTCCTTCGACGTAAATCGTTGTCCTTGTAGCGTTCAACATGAGGGTTTCGTTGTCGAACAGCGTTTTCACTAAAATAACCCCTTCGCCGAGTAAAAAGTGCGCCGAGAGGTTCCCAGGCACGATGTGGTAGAGCAAGACGTCCCTCAAAAGGGTCTCGTTCGTATGAAGCCTCGCGGTGACATTCGCCGGCAAGCTTTCGAAAGCTGTATTATCTGGAGCGAAAACGGTTATTGTTCTGTTCGCAGCAGCTAGAGCGCTTAGCTGAGTCGAGAGCGTGCTGTTCACGAGGGTTATGAGCGTGCTGATATCGGGATGCTCACGTTCGACCTCACTTAACGTCTGTGCCTCAATTCTAACTGCATGTATGAGCGAGAGAATACAAAATAGTCCGAATAAAACCCTTACGACCTTCATCTCTTTCACGCAACACTCTCCCTCGGAGTCACACAGTGGTTACAGAAACAAAATTTTGTGTGGAGGAGAAAATACCCGATCGCATCCGCGTGTCCTTCACCTGCTCGTCGGGTATTCTGTCACGTGACATTCCGAACAGCCGCGAATCGAGCGAGCGCCGGTGTCGCCCGGTCTACGACGACGACGGGTTTCTTTGAGTACCGTTCATGAGGCGAGCTACCCCCCTTTTCATCGTAGGTGGGTGTCACCTGCATTTCCCCTCGTGCAACAGCACCGCGTTTCGTCCACTTTTTCTAAGCAAGCGTTATGGCCAGGAACGTTCGTGGACGAAGACAGGCCTCTGGCGCCTTGCACCGACGCACCAAAGAGGTCAGCGCAGCTCCGTCGCTTCCATTCACCGGAGAAGTCACGGGAAACTAGTGGCCGCGAACCTGGCTATGGCCGTAGAATCAGAACGACTCGGATCGGAGGGATCGAGGGTGTCACTAAGAATCAAGGTCGACGGTGAGAGTACGCGGGCTGCAGTAGACTCGGTGTTGCAGGAGCTCGAGAAAACCGCGACTGTCCCGGGGTTTCGGAAAGGCAAGGTTCCGAAAAACGTTCTCGTGAGCTACTTTGGAGAGAAGAATATTAATGCCTCAGCGCTGGAAGAGGTGGTCAACGAGAACGTGAAGGTCGCTCTACAAGATGCAGGCATTCCGTATTTAGGAAACGCCACGTTAATTGAGAAACCAGAGGACGTAGTTGCGCGTTTTGTTCCTGGAGAGCCGCTCTCCTTTGATATCAGCGTTGAGGTATGGCCCGAGGCGAAGTTGAAAGAGTCTTACAAGAGCACGGAAATCGTCGTTGCGCGACTGCCAGATGATGATCTAGAGGAACTCGTCGAGCGAACGCTCGAGGATCTCCGAAAGCGAACCGCACAGCTCCGGGATGTACCGGGTGGTACTATTGATTACGGATACACTGCCATCGCATCCATTCGATGCTATCGAATGCTTCCGAATGGTAAGCGAGGGGAGCGTATTCGTGGGGTGGCAGCCGAAGATGATGTCCAGGTCCCGATCGAGAAAGGACGCTTCCTGGAGGGCTTCGTTGAGGGCCTCATTGGCGCTAAAGTCGGCGAAGTGCTACAGATCCCCATACGGTTTCCGGAGAATCACAAAGTGAAGAAGTTAGCGGGGAAATCTGTAGTATTTGAAGTGAAAATCCACGCTGTCAAGGAGCGGGTGCTTCCAGAGGTGACGGATGAGTGGGTGCGGCAGGTCACAGAGCAGGAAAATGTCGAGAAATTGAAGGACGTTTTGCGCGCAAAACTAGTGGAAGAGAAAGAGGTAATGCGCGAGCGGAACATGGATCGAGCGATTGAAGACTTTATTTTAAGCATTACTGAAGTGGATTTACCTGAATCTTTAATTGAAGAGCAGATCAAACGGCAGTTCGCGGAGCTGATGACTGAGCTGAAAAATCAAGGAGTGCCAGATCACAAAATCAAGGCTATGATTACGAAGGAGAACTACGAACGCTACCGAACTGGACCTGCGAGAGGAACTGCGGAGAGGAGCCTCCGCATCGGTTTCGGTGTTTCCAAAATCGTGGAGTCTGAGGGTCTCAAGCTCGACGACTCCGAACTCGAGAGGCGTCTGCAAGAGGAGCGAAAATTGGCTGGTGCTGAAGACTTTGACGAGAAACCTGTTCGTGACCGCCTCGTTGCTATTATGGAGCGTGAACTGGTCTTTGACTTTATCAGGAAGAATTGCAACTTCAAATTTATCAGCTCCTCTGTGGAAGACGAGAGCAGACGATCCGTGCCGGCGCAGCTCGCCGCCTGAACCAATAGGCCCTTGTCCATGGGACCCAGATAAATGACTTTATGAGAAAGTTAGCACTATCTACAAGCAACGAAGCCGCGTTCAAATGATAGCCACCAGTCTCGATCGACATCTCTGTCCAGTACCATGCCCTTTCCACCTACCAGATGAAGACTGAATCCTGAACAGCTCGCTCTCGTCCTGCATTTCGATTTTTTCCAAACATGTTTTAGTTTTAAAGCCTCTACATTCAGAATGCAGGACCAAGCGCTGACCAATTCATACTTTGCTTCAGGCTTTACGCTCTTATTTTAGGAGCGACTCTTTCAACTCCCTGCCGCTAGAATTCGATAGGTCTCAAAAATCAAAAAGATTCGGCACGCGCTGGAGAAAGAAGTTATGAAAATGTCGATGCAATTATCCAATGCATCCACACCTGCCTCCTTTGGTGTCCGTTCCTAAAATGCAGCATGCCAGAATCAAGCATTTTTCAAGTTTTCGATTTTTCAGTCTCAGCGCATCTCGTAGTGGCAGCGAGTAGCGCAGCTAGGTTCACGAGGAACAATATGAAATCGAAGTTGGCCATTGATGTTTACTCCACTAGTGCATGCTAGAAGTGCTCTGAACTTCTCACGTCATATAACCGGTTCTTTTCGTAGTACAACTTACCTCTACTTGTGGATATCGACGAAAGGCGCTTACTTGCAGCATGATACCTTTTAGGGAATTTGCTTTCAAAAGATCCCGCTGCGTTTCTTTGATAGGAAATCGTCATGGACTTGGACATAAATCGCTGCAGGCATCAATTCCAGCTACGAAAGCTTCGCAGAATCACACGAAGTTATCGTAGACGCCTCGAAATTCTTGATGGTACCTCCAGCACGGATTTTTCTTCCGGTAATCGTTTCATCATGAACAACCTCGCTTTCCTCGGATCCAATCCTGTTCGGAAAAGAGAAGAGAAGGCAACAGAGTATGGCTCGTATCATATGCTCTACCTTATTCTCAATCGTTCAGCCGGGTCTAAAAACCTCATCAGTGCTGTGAAAGAAAGCAAATGTTCAGCAAACGTGTGGAACAGCGTGCGCTTCCGCGTGCAACGCACGGGGTACTCGTCGACGGAATTGGCGAGAAGATACCCGTGATCGCACGTTACGGCCCTGGGTGAGCAAACAAAGCAGGGCATCGGTGCCCGCATACGGTAACCTTCAAGAACATGTGCCGAGCAATGAAGCAAACGTTCACGTGCCAAAGAGCGGCTCCCGAATGACCAGGAGATATGTTGGAAATCTGGGCACACTTGATCACGTCCGTGTCGCAACTGCAAAGCGCGCCGATACTGTATACAAAAAAGATGAATGTGGGGAGCCATCCGTAGATCGCAAATTCCGTCTGTGCGTGAAATGCGTAGGCAAAGACCGGAAGAAACGAAATCGGCGCTGAAACGATGCCATCAACATCACTCGACTGCTGACAACGGAGCTGGAGGGACCGAAATGACTGACTTATCGAGAGTCAGAGACAAGGCAATGGAAAAGAAACCAGTCGCAGAAAAAGATCGCAAAAGCTAATCCTCGTGAAAAGGGGAAGAGATCCAAACCTTTAAATTCCACACCCGGGCTAGATGACGCGTTCGATTTTATTGTGACATGGGTTTATAGAGCGCTCTGGAGCATCGCCACCGACTTCAAAATGATCTCAGCCTCGCCATCTGTTGTTCGTATCCAAAAATGCACAGCATCGTGAGCAATGCAGTTGTACGAGCTGCGTGATTCAATTGCCATCGCGATACAAAATGATAGAAACCTCGTTTCACGTGCAGCCTTGAAATTAGTAGAGAGGCATAGCCGACAAACCGCTCACGGAGAAAATACTTCCAGCCAAGTCGCCATGAACGCGGGCGCCACGACACGATGCTGCCAGGAGATGTTGTCTTCACGAATTCAGAAACCAGGCCAATGCTTTCAGCAGTTGACTCACAGGAAAGAACAGTTGGCCACGGGCCAATAAACGGTGAAACCTGTAGCGATGCGCGCGACTCTGTGAGCAGTCGCCGTAAAGGTTTCGGTCGCCCAACCTCGGGGTTCGCTCTCTGCGACTTTGCCTATTTGTTCGAATGCCGCCAAGCAGATGATCATACGCACTCAGGTCGACCTGATACAGTGCGACGCACTGTACACGCCAACCTAATGGTCTCAAACTCGGGATAGGAACACCAATGTTCTCTGAGGTAAACTTCCACCGGGTAATTGCCATCTGAGGAGCCAAAGGTTATGATATTTTGTATTTGCTTTTTCGAATGATCCGTAAAGACAATTCGGTTGGCAGCTGTGCCACTGAACAAGACGTCAGCTACATGGCAAAGCGTGATGTGTGGCGCAAATGACGGCTAACTTGAGGTGATCGGTACTGACACCTCCACAGGTATTCTCTGCGCTCGTTAATGCGCCCTGTCAGAAGCAAAATGCCAGACTAAAGGACCATAATTCATGAAAAGTTCTAACAATTACGAAAAGTTTTCTATGATACACTCTTATGCGTCGATCCGCAGCTTGAACAGCTGCCGCGGTGCGGGTCACGGGTGGTCATCGTCCTTGGATGCAATAGAAGCTTTTCTCAAGCTTTCCTCATACGCTGCGAGCTTCTCAGCATACGCAACCCATACACAGGTCTCACAGCCGTTACCGCAACAATCGTAAGGTCCTGGCTCTTCTGGAGGTTGCAAGACTGAAGCGGCTTGCACGCCAGGAGAGGCTTCTTTCATAGATTCCGCCTTACCGGACTTCTCGCCGTCGCGTGCTTCTGTCACACTACCCAGTGTGCTGAGGCCTTGGTTTACACGAGCGGGGATTGACGGCCGAGAAACGAGAGCTTCTGCGACAGTGCCTTCTGTTCCACGGCCTTCTTGCTCAGCTCGCGGTTCAACGCTCGTAGCACTTGACAATTCACGGACGTGCGAAGTAAGCAACGCTCGTTGAGCACAATTTCGGTGACTTGGAGCGAAGTTTCCAGTACGCATATTCTGAAGCGCTAAGCTTACGAAGGGTGCGCAGCCTTCGAGTCACTGCCGGAATGAGATCCCTCGAGCCGTCAGTGTTTTCGTCGTCTGAGGTCTTTATTAGAATCTATATATATTCAGTAAAACAAAAAACGTTCTATGACCATTGAGGGTCAATACATATACCCACATGCGGACGCCTCCCAGCCTTTTTTGACCCGCCGCCTGCAATCGGTTCCAGTTGATTCACGCACACTTCGAGCCTCAGCAGTTGCCACATAGCGTTGGATCGTGTCAGCTGCTCGGGTCTCGTCTTCAGCACAACGCATCGTCTGATATTGGTAGCAGCGTTCAAGTCTCGGCTTACGAGCTCCATGCGTTTACTGCCGATCCCTGATCTCATCACACCGAGGGTTCTTAGTACTCGTGCCCTCTGTTCCGCTACAGTCTCGTCATCGTTCCACTCGACAAACACCGTCCCTCGCCTATCTCCTTCTTCTCCTTCTTCGCCACTTGCTCTTCTTCGCTCGATGGTCGGCGAGAGGAGGCATTTTTCGTTCTGGCTGCGTCGAATCCAGCAATGACGGAACTCAGGATCCCCGACTTCCACATCCATACCATTCCCTTGGATTCTCTGTTTCTTCAAAATCATAGCGATTGTTCATTCGTTTAGGTGAGGACCTTCCCGCAAAAGCTAGGACTCGCGAAAGTAAGACACCATGCGCCCGTGTGTCAACGTGTGCCGGAAGCTTCAGCGATGACCCCACTGGAGCGACATCATACGTTTCACAATGGAAAACATTCTTTTGATGAGGTTGAATCAAGTAGAGCACAGAGGAATGAAAAGCAGCACTATACCTCGACAGGATCGGCAAAAGCCCGAACGCAAGGGGAATGGTGAAATGCCACGGTGTCCAGCAGAAGGACGTCGCCCGACGTCGGGGCGAAATCTTCCATGATTCGATCAAGTGGCTGCTGTTGGTCGATGAGCCTTCTCCACTAGTGAATCTGAGGCCGCAAATAAAGTCCACTCCGTCTGGAGCAGATGATGACATCCTCGCTCTCTTCGAGCTCGATCGTACATCCAGCGGGTGCACTGTCCGCGAATACCCATTTACGCTCCGGCCGCCTCGTCCGAAGCAAGTTTCATCGACTGAACAAGCAAACCGACGTCCGTGTCCCGGTCCCTGTGCTCCATACGGATAGTGGCGTTCCACGAACGCTGAAGTAGCTGTGACCTCGGTGGGAAATGGCCGTGCACGAACTGAGACTTTCTTTTTGCGACTGTACCCCGTGTATTCAGGACCACTCGAACACGCTTTTAAGGAACAGGGACGCGCGTAGCGACTACTATTTTCGCATTTGTCTTTCGTAAAAGGTGGTCAGCGGGCCGTTTTCTACCGTTGATCGCGCGCATTCTCTGAGAATATCGATGTTTGACGCAGAGTGCATCTACTTCTTTCGGTCAGTGTTCGTCAACCATCTGAGTACTGTTGTACGACCGACCTGGAGGAGGAACGCAGTCCTCCATGCACTGTTCAGGAAAGAATATGTATCGCACAGGCGATTCGCCTACGATCTATCGGGTACATGGCATCGTGATTTCTAGCTGCTATGATTGCCCGCAGCGGGCGTGCAAAACATTGATTTGAAAGACTAAAAAATCGAAATCGCCGGTCTGGTTTTTGCGCGCGCCCCCAGGAATAAATTCTATCGCGTTTGAAATTTATACATTTCCCACGTTCAGTACTCATCGCAATGGCTCTAGCGAAGCACGTGATACACGCAGGGGCCAATAACTGGCTGGCATCATGAGTAAGACTGCTCCAATTTCTTTTTTTGGCAAATGAAGAATTCCGACGGACTGCCCTGTACGGAACGATAATTGATTCGCTTTCCTACCACGGTGTCAGATTCATAAAGAGAACACTTAACTGCTTTCTCTGTGGCCGTCGTTCGATTTGCTTCTGAACTTTTGTTCAGACGTACAGCTTCGGCATTCGAAGCGCATCAGTAATGTTCTACGAACTCATAGGTATGTTGGAGATTCCGGGTCCTCGTTTCTGAGCACTCCTTCGACTCTTTGGTGCTGAACGTCGTGGACATCACGGTCAGCGAGACGTCGACGACGACCCCGGACGCTGCTTCTGGGAGCAACCGGTATCAGCAGCCAGTTTCTAAACCTTGGTCGAATATTCCTCAAATACGAGGGCGCCGAGGCGAAGATAGGCCTGCCGCCTGCGAGCGAGCCCGGCGTGAGTCTCAGACGTCTTGGCCGCATCGTCGCTAATAAACAGTACATGCGGGCTCGACACCCACGAGTTGGCAAGGTGTCTCGATTCGCGTCAAGCTCATCGGCACTTTTTGTGCGAAGAATTGGCAGAAAAACGAAGAGCGGGCAAGGAGGCGGGGTCCGAGTACTCGAATCCGACAGCGCGCACACAAATGTGCAGCGAACAGAGTACTCGCTGAGGAAATCACCCGGGAGAGGCCTGTGATCATTGGGCATGGCGCAGCGCGCGGAAACGGAGGACGGCATCGGGCGGAGCCTTCTGGAACGGTAAAGCGCATGTACCGAGGGATGGTTCAAGCGTTTACGCGCCACACAGTGGCGCTCAGAGGCGGTGGAGGACTGGTGGATGCACATGGGAACACCTGACCAGGTCCAAGTGTAACGGGTGGGGAGTGCACCCCGAGGCCGTACAGAAAGAGGATGCAAATGGTAAACGAAGCTCAGATCGTGACTCGCGCCAGTGCATAAAACGGGTCTACAACAGCGAGAAGCCGCGAAACAGAGACTTCAACGCTACGATCAGTATCCTTCGGCTGGTGACCATGGGGCTGGAGAGACATGAGCAACCGGCGTATTCAAAGCCAGAGGCGAGAGGGGAAATGGAAGCGATAGCGGTAAAAGCCCGCCAAGGCCGTCGTTTGCGGTAACGGTGAGTGGCACGAACTTTCGAGTATATGCCTGAGATACGTAATTAGACCTGTTGCATTTAAGTCTGACGTAGGTCCAGGCGGATCTCCACCGGCTGCCCCAACTTGAATTACTCTACAGATCTTGCGCTATCTGCAACAGCGAATAAATGGAGACCCCAGCGCCGCACCCATACAATGTGCTCTACAGAGGCTGCGCCATCTGTAACAAGAAATGACCTGCGTGATTGACCGCTGTACCGATATCCAAACCGATGTAAGCATCGTCAAGAAACTGAGCGATCCACCGCGGAAGTTTTTGTAGAAGAGCCGGTCTTGCGTATCGCCTGTCGGCAAAAATCATAATGCCATAGTCCTGCTTGTTGCGTATAACACGGCCTACGCACTGGGCCGCCTGCCTCATTGCGTCGAAAACAAGAAACTCATCTTCCCGTATCTGATAACGTTGCTGCAGATATGAGAGACGTGCCTTCAGCAGACGAGATTCACTGTATTGAAAAGGAACACCGAAAAGTAATGCGCACCGCCCATAGTGATTATCAAAATCTATGCCCTCTGCTGCGCGGCCGCGAGCGACCGATAGCAGCACAGCGCCCCTGCCCGCGTCACAGGCCATGCGATAATGTTTAATCGCAAGACCAGCCTCGACAGCGTCCTGAGTTTCAACAAATGTGAGCTTCAGTTTCTGTAGACGCTGGAGGATATCGCTCTCTACCCATTGGGAGACAATGTCATGCATGAATTCATAGCTGGGGAAAAAGCAAACAACGCCATCCGGGACAATATCGGCCATATTGAGGAGCAATTCTCCATAGTTCCGAGCAATCGATATTTCCTTCCTCGTGCTGTACTGCGAGCTGATGGGGGACTGATCGACCCCCCGCGTCACAATCAAGGGACACAGACACGCCCGCTCTAAGGACATTGGAAATGATTCTGCGATCGCTGCCCTGAAAGTCAGCAACCGCGGATAGAACCACAGAGGGCTCAACGTTCCAGATGTGATCACCACGCTTTTGAATCGAGTCAAGACCGGTCGCATGGCAAGTGATGCATCCAGGCACGCAAGGTGAAAAATTCTCTCCTCCGGGTCATTGATCACCACAAAGCCTGCAGAATAGGTTCCTAGGAGCGTGCAGAAATCACTCAGCTTTTGCAAGGGAGAGAAGGCTGCAACATCAGATATTTCCAGTGCCCATAGCAATGAAACGAGTCTGTCTGAGGCGAGCTGGAGCGCTCTTCGCTCTGTGCTGAGTCTATGGCATACAGCAAGCGCCATGCGCTGCGCTGTCTCTTCCATGATAAGATTGGAATCGACCAGTTCCTGCACGTAACTCAAGATCTGGCGCAAAAACTGTAGGAATCCAACAGTCGATTGGATTTCTGGACACAGGGATATTCGCATTTGATCAGGTATCATAGCACTGGCATCCGGCGCTGACTCCACAACCAGCGATGGCAGTGCGCTTGGATCGAGGCCAGCTATCTGCATATCCCGAAGCTGCGATTCTCGGTCCGCGGTGCTGATTCCCCATGCAAGACGCTCATATTCTTGGTGGAGTCGTTCCACACCGCGTCGTTTCATCTCATGGACTCTAGAAGAGAGTGTATTCAGATTCCGAGCCGCGCACTGGAGTAGCTGGTCATTCAGCTGTACGCTGAAGGCCTCGGTACAAACATTGTCAATATTATGAGCTTCATCGAAAACTATGATCGTATCGGGACCGAAGTCGCTGCTCACAACACGGCTTACTCGAGGATCCAGAATGTACTGATAACTATAAACCACAATATGAGCAAAGGGAACCATCTGACGCGCCAGAAAGTAGGGACACCATCCTACGCGAGCGCCAAACTCTCGCAAGTCCGAAATAGAATACGCTGCACCGGCTGGTAGAATAAAGTTTTGTGAAGCCGCCGAAGAAAATCGCTCGTAAAAAGGACAGAGACCTGGTGGAATATCGACCTGGTGTCCATGATCAGTCGACTGGTATGCCCTCTCTCGAACCCACGAAGCAGTAAGCGCACGGCAGGCACTTTCCACACCGCGTGGATTGTGTAAAGCCTCCTCGAGCACACACAGGTGGCTCCGGGCAGCGAGGCCAACACATAGAAGCTCGGAGGGATCTCCGCGGTTCGCTTGCATTGTTGCAAAGAGGCGCTTCGCCTCAGCCAGCACCTTTTCCATCTCTTCAACCGTTCGGGTGCAGTAAACAAGTTTCCTGTAAACTAGCGGCCAACGGCTGATGTATGAACTCGCTAGGCTCAGGATGCTAACGGTCTTACCGGTACCGGAGGGCATTTCGATAACGGCATGACCTCCAGCATCAAGGGCACGTTTCAATGACCGCATGTACTGTAGCTGCTCGGGGTACGGTTCTCTGTAGGGAAAATTCACGGCAAGGTCCTCGATATCGACTATCATCGGTGAAACTTCTGCAGCGTATGCGTTTCAGAAGCTTGTGCCGTCAAGGAGCAGCCGCAGCAGCGTGCTGGAAAGTAGTGCAAAATAGTGCAGCACCCTCGTTCAGTGCACTATAGGTGTCAAGCGAGCGAAACGCGAAGCCTTGAAACTGTGTCACTGTGTTTCTGAGCACCATTGAAACCGTGCCCTGTGGAAGCTTTTCAGCCTTGAGAGGCCTCGTTTTCGCCTTCGAAAGTTTGTATCTCCGCGAAAGGTTCGTTCCAGTCACCGAAACGCATAGACAAGCATATGATTATCGAGGAAAAAGTGGCCCGCTATCTCAAAAACTCACGAAGATGAGTTCAAGAGTGTAGGCAACTTGGACGCAGTCGACCGCCCAGTCAAAAGTTGACCGAACCGCAATCCAACCGCATAAGCGTGAAATTGCTCAGTAAAACAAAATATGGTGTACGACCATACAGTAACTGCGTATACCCACTCGCAGAAGCCAGACAGCAAAACTACCGGCCTCTTGTTATCGTTTCAGTTAATCCAGGCAAACTTCGAGCCTGAGACATCTCCACGAATTTGGATCGCGCCAGCTCCTCGGGTCTCGTCTGCAGAATCGCTTATCGTCCGATACTGATGGCGGCGTTGAAGTCTCGGTTCAAAAGCTTCTTGCACGTATTGACGCTGTTGAACTCACCAATGCAAAGATTCCTCGAACTCGTGCCCTCCGTGCCACCATAGTCTCGTCATCGTCCTGTCGGGCAAACACCATTTCTCGCATACCTCCCCATTGTTGTTCTCCTTCGTCATACGCTCTTCTTCGATCGATGATACACAATGAGGGGATTTTTCGTTTTGGTTTTGTCGAACCCGGCGATGACGGCTTTTCGAGATCCTCGACGTCCATGTCCGTACCCTTCCCTTGGATCTTTTATTTCTTCAAATGGACGCACTGCGGAAGCGTCTGATATAAATCGCGAAAAACCAGTAGACGACATGTAGTAGGGGTGGAACCCAAACGAGGTAAGAGACTATAAAATGCGACACTGAACTGCTCGCTCTTTGGCTGCCTTGCGATTTTTCCGAGCTTTTCTTGAGATGCGGATCCAAAATTCCAATTGTAGCAATTAGGACCGAGGATATCGTGGGTATAATGGGCTTCTTTGTCGTCTTTTCAAAGTGACACCTTCGACTCTTTGCTTCTAAAATCCGTTATGCCACCGTCAGCAAGATGATTTACGATGCCTTCGAAAGCGAGTTCTTAAAATAACCGCGATCATTGTCCAATTCACACATACAAGCCTCCATTCTCTTCTCCTTTCTTTACGTCTAGTATGCGCACATCGCGCATTCTGCAAGGTTAAAATCTTTCCGTTTCGAGACTGCTCGTAGGATTTGCAATTTGCGCTGCTGGGTGGACGAGAAGAAAACTCGACGCAGTACCCTGAAGACTTTTTTGCAAGCTCCTGCCGTAAGTTCAAGGAACTGTTCACTTCAAACAATAGGTTCCGTTCGAATCGCCAATTTTCTTCTGTTTGCGGCCACCGACCATACGATTCTCGACAACAGCATGATGGCTTAAACGAGATAAGCTCCCAGAGGCCCCGTCGATTTTGCTTGCATGGAAAAGGGTCTTTGACACGAATTCCAGCCTTCGCAGCGATCGCTTTCGGTAGAAATTGCATCCGTGCTTTGCATGGAGTGTAAATGGATCGAGATTCCTCGAGTCGTTCTCCAATCTACATCCCCCTCCGATGTGTGATTCAAGGCGAACAACATTGCGTTCAACAAATCTATCATCGGATAGAGAGGCATGTCCATGCGCGAGCAGCAGGCCAAGAACTCGCCGGCTGTATAATCCCGAAGCAGCCCATGAGCGCAGAGTACGCCACGGGGCGCGCAAACGGAGGAAAGCATTGGTAAGATCCTTCTATATCCGTCAAGGGCATTTCCTGACCGATAATGCAAATGCTCCCGCGCCGCAGGGCAGCCCGTGGTGCAGATGTGATGGGAAAATGGAAAAACCTGGTTACAGCCGAGTGTCACCTCTGCGAAAGGCACACCGGAGCTGTACAAAAAGCAAATGAAAAAGGCGAACGAAGCGTGGATCGCAAATTGGAACTGTGAAAGGATTGCGTTGATAGCAGCGGGAAGAGGCGAAATTGGGTCTATAACGCTGGTATGATCCCCTTTAGCTTACGGCCATGGAGCTGGTAGGACGTGAATGATCAGCGTAACTGAGGCCGGAGATTAGACAGATGAGAAGAAATCAGCTGTAGAAAACGCACTCTAAGGCTGGTGTTGGTGAACGTGGGAAGAAATCCAAAATTTGAGAGTAAACGTCCGTGTTATTTGAGTGGACCTGTTCAATTTTACTCTATGCTGGGTGTGTCTCTGATCTAAACAAGGGAGTGGCGCTTCCCCTGTTCCAAAGTCGAATAGTTGAACAATTGCTAACGGCTCGCTTGCTCTCACTTTATGTCGAGAGACCATTCCCTGACAGCCAGTGAACCAAGGTTGCGCGAACGCGCTTCCAAAACCCCGGTCGATTCACCTTTCGCGGACGCGTTTCGGGAACTCTCGAAAAGGTCAGATTGTATCTCGAGGCCTGATCTGCGAACGGTGGAATATGCAGTGAAGTATTGCGGTGCTCTGCGGACTCGTCAGCATCCGTGACACTTCCATTGACGCCCAACCATTTTGCTGCCTGGAAGCTGTAAAACAACTGCTTGGCCGCATCGCGCACGTTTGGCTCTGAGCTGTGCTGTAGCTCTCCATAAAGCTTCCGTGCGTCTTCACACGAGCCGAGCGCGTCCTGACAGAGAGCAACTTGCAGCAAAACACGAGACCCCAGCTCGCCGCGGACTCTTGCAAGTGGCCTCACTGCAGTTAGTTGCTCCAGCGCGGATTCGTACTTCCCGGCCTGAAGCATTCGCTCAGCTGACTCCAGAGCAGCGGATAACGCGCTCCTCTCTTCTTCAGTTTCCGCATTTTCGTTTCGTTTCATGCGATACCGTTCTAAAAGCACCCGGAGTCTCTGTTCTCGTTTTTGGGCGGCATCATCTGGGACAGATACTCCACCAATAGGGATCGATCGGCCACCACCGAATGTTTGTGAAACATCAAGAGGTCGGGGGAAAACGCCCCAGGTAGAGACCCTGGGCTTGTATACCGAGTCAGGCGGTGCTGCGCGCTCTAGCTTCTCGGGTTCCATGTTGTTCTCAGAACACATAGCTGGCCCCGATAGAAACAATTTCATTCGGATAGGAACTCGCTTTGGGTTACCTCGCGCTGCGCCTTTGCAAATTTTCGGGCTAATGATCGATAAAAACACTAAGCAAGGCTGTCGGCAGCAGACCCTTCTCGGAGCAAGCCTCGGGTCCTCGTGCTCTAGCGGGAGTTCGTACAGACCTCCTCGGTCACAAGAGCTCGCGTGATTGAACGAAAATCTGAGGCGCATGAGACGTTCAAACAGTAGCTTATTCGTCACCGTCTTCGCCGATAGATAGGTGACCCTGAAAAACGAACAGCGGCAACGTGGCCTCGCCTCGGAGAGAAGTGCGCTGCACAGAATACTTTGCACGCTCGCTTCGAAAAACTGTCGTTCCAGCTGCTCTTGTTTGAGGTTGCTTTCGGAACCCCACTTTATTGCAAGTTCAGTACCTTCCAAAACGTTCCGCTCTCTGGGTCTGTGGAAAGCACCAGCGTGCAGGTGACCGTGCTCCAGTGATCAGACGCCACTGGGGATCAAAATGTTTCACCAGTCATGAACCAAGTTGGCGCATGCGACTTTCTCAGATGACAGAACGTTTAGATTGACCATAGCTCCCAGAATTCGGAATGGATAATAGCTTTCGGGAGAGGGTCCATGATGAAGCGCCTATCTTAGAGTTCCATTACCCATACTTGCTCTCGGATATACTGGTCGTTTCGTATGCTCGATCGTGCGACAAGTGCCTGCCGTGAACACCCGCCGTGGCGCTTATACCACTGAAGCAGATGCTGCACGGAGACAGAACGGCTTTGCCATACCACTGAGGGCGCCCGCTCGAAGAATGATTCATTCAACATAGGGTCGGAATACATAATAATAATCCTGGGAGCCTGTAAGCTGCGCAGACAGATGCGCTGCCTGCGACAGCGCGAAGCGATACACTAAGAGTCCACTGCGACCAGGGTGACGCCCAGACGCAGCATCCTGCTCCTAGTCCCAAAGTGAATTCCGTTGCGGACGAGCTGCGCAGGTCTCGCCACAGCACCTGCCACTGGTGGAAGCGTGAAGCACTAGGCCTGCAGACTCGTCCGGCTCGCGGGACCTTCTGCCTAGAGGGTAAACTTTCGAAGATACTGAAACTTTTCCCCATTTCGACGCTTATTATCAATGTCGAAAGAAACTGTTATCGAGTTGCTAGTCAGTGGTTAGTTTCTGTTATTTCTTCCCTAGGAGAGTACTTGCTGCTCACGGGACGGGCACAACTGGAGGGCCCACCAGTCCGAGGACTGGCCTTTGCTGCCGCTATCTCTATTCAAAGCCCTGCCGAGTGCTCTCTCATTTTCTCTCTCTACAACCTCCTGTCCGCGCCCTTGGCCAAACCTGTGAAAAGATATCGCTCGCGTCACTCGTGTTCATATGTAGGGTACATTGGCGCATGCGATACCCAATGAAATCGGCGTCGTCATCTAACGGATTGGTTGCTAGACTTTGCGCGGCTGTTGGAGAAGTTATTGTATGGCCTGGCACCAAAGCATATCAGAGTTTGCGCGAACTTCCCGGTTTGGCTTGACAGGGGTGCCAGCTGTGGAAAATCCATCTGATGAACCATACGCCTTCCGATACTTCGTGCTACAGTTCAGAATTCGGTGTTCAGTTCGCGATGACGAGTGGCTAGGCGTTTGGGGCTCGCTTCCTCTGCTGCACGATTGTTTCAACGCACCACTTCCGATGAAAAAACTACGTCGCTCAAGGGGCCAGATCGAGTGGGCTTTGCGTGTGCGTTTTCCAAAGCATCTTTATGACGGTTGCGAGTTTACGTATATATACTGCCTGTTACGGAAAGTTTCTGCGGATAGCCAGTATGAATCTTCCTACGAAGTCGTTGGCTGCGAGCCCTGTCCGTTACGCAAAAGTATTCTGAGCAGCGAAATCTTGCCATACGGTTTCTACGAACATGACGATCGCTGGGGTCATAATGACGGGAAGGTATATCCAAGGCAGGATCGCCTGGGTGTACTTGTATACAAGCATCTTTCGCGAGACGCCGCTCCATGCCGCATATCATAGGCAAGAGACAAAGTGACAGCTTGAACGCGCACGTCACACTTGTCTGCAGCACTTTGACGTTTATGAGAAAGCGCTCAAGGTGTAGTCGAAAATTCCATCTCACGTGGCCCAAATGCACAGCGACACAGCACTTCATAGAGCGCGCTCCACCGGCAAACACGAACGGCGGCAGGCATCAATCGTGACCCTGTGCCCGAGCGGAATTTCCTCTGTTCTTACGACTTACAGTTGTTCCGCTCGGTGCAAATATTTCCTACTCAGCTTTAGTTGATAATGAGGCCGAGATCCCCAATATCTGGAATATTGGAATGAGAAGCATGAAGTCGTTTCGTGGTGGCGTCGATTAGCAGCAGTCTACCTAGAGAAATCGCCTATCCGCTCTTTTGCCCCCGGCTTCTTGTTGTATTTGGAGCTGTAATTTCTGGAATCATTGTACCAGAGCACCTTTTTGGTTTTGGTCTGTTTTCGTCGCAGTTATGGAACGAAAGCAATGTGTTCTGTAGATTCGAGAGAGGTCCCGGAAGTATGCTATACTGTCACTGTTAACTTGAGAAAGAATGGCCTTGGCCCTAGAGCTCACTTCTTCCACGGTAAGCAGGTTGATCAACCAAACATGTAGCAGTCCTTATTCTTAACGTCTCGCAATCTAGACAGAATTTATGAATCTCCATTCACGCGAACGTCTTTTGATCAATTCATTCTGCACCATAAGCTCCGTGGGAAATTCTATCCAAGAATCCACGCGATTTTAAGCTTCCTTACCCCTGATACGAACGATAATGAAGAAACACGGATGGACAAGGAAAAAACACATTCTCGTGCGAGACCGTCGCATCTTGAACAACAGACTACCGATTCCATACAGAAACGCGAAAGCTCATTACAGGAGTGAAGGGCGATCGCCTCACTCGATGCAGACTCATTAGGAAGAAATGGTAGACCTCTAGATGGATAATTAAAGAGGGAGTAAACCATTTTTCATGAAGAAGAGACAAGCGAGAATGAGGACAATATTAGTCGTATCGGCAATTCGATCCTGTGGTCGCCTATATGTCACTTAGATGACAGGGCCTGTCAACACCTTATCCATCATCGAAAGCGTCTGAAAGCTTTTCTTTTCAGTATTTCTCTTTAAAACTTGTCGAGAAAACAGTTGCCATGACTCCAACGCGTTTAGAACATACGCAGCTGAGATTGGCGTGAAGCCGCTCCACGTGCCCACCTACTTTCACTGGTTCAGCCGAGTCGGGGGCGCACTCTCTGTGGTCAGACGCCATGATCACGCTCATGGATTCATGAAAGTGTCTTTTGTGTCCATTACACCGTTTTGTGACGAGCCTATTTTCTACAAGATGCTCTCTACCTTCACCAGGGTTGAGTTGCAGTGTTGGTCTTCTGCTTGGGCACGGGAGGGAGCCAAAAGGCGAGCCGGACTCGTTGGCGTGCTCGAGACGGATAAGGTGACGGAAAATGTTCGTAGAAGTAGTAAATGTACACATAGAAAACGCAAGTCTCAGAGCCATCGTAAACCCAGTGCATCTGAATACCGAGGAAAAACTGATATGGAGTATAGCGATCACATCTATACCACTTTTCGAAGAAGGGGAGAAATAGAAGAGAACACCAGACAAAGAAGAAAGCTCCATCCTGTGGGAGGACGAGGAGAGACAGGAAATCATAACACGTCGAAGCGGAAACATCAGTCTGAAACTTTTGACAAAGCCTCCCAGCTAAAACTCATGAGCGGCGAGAACCTTTGGTAATGTGGGATGCAGAACTCCATTGGGGAACGCGCTGACTGTCACTCCATGTGGGGGCGCTTAGCTTCCCTCGCCCTGGTGCATCTCGCCAAACGACTGATCGCAACAGTTTCATTCGCAGGGATCCAAGCTGTCAACATTCCTCTGTAACTTCTCGATCAAGCATGCATCTGAAACCTGATGCTCGGGATAGACGATGCAATACGACCTGACTTTTTCCATGGCTCTGTATTATCTGGAGTCGGGCGTGATGGACGCCAGGCGGCATGCCAGCGGGTGGAATAGCGGCGTCAGACCCGATGATAGCGCTCTGAGCACCTGAACGAGTTGAGCGGGATGCGTTGTGCGCGCCACTCACAGAGCGTACAAGAGCGTGTATCTGGCTCACGTGGGCTATCCCTGGCAGGTTTCCATGAGACCGCATTGAGATCGCCAACCAGCTCGGTGCGATGAAACCACGAGCGCGCACCAGCTCACTTCTTCAATGGAGAGCAGAGGGAGATGATCGACAATTCGCGTCGTTTGGCGGTAGCCTGTGGCGCTCGACGCGCAGTGCTGCGCACAGGCTGTACTCCCGTGCCTTCGACGGCGGCGTGCAACGAGTGCACGAGTCGATTCTGCACTATTGCTGTCAATGCGAACAGGGCGATGGACGCGCATCACAGGCAGGGGTGCACGCTGGAGCTGGTAGAGAGGAACAGCGTAGAAGCGTGTCGGATGCACGGGCTGGTCAACGGCAAACTGACCGGGCGTCAGTTGACGAGGCCATCGAAGATAGGAGACTTGCTATGCCGCGGCTCGATCCGCAACAAGTGCACATGCACTTGCTGCACCCAGACCTGAGCGCCTCGATCAACTTACGGAAATGCCGGGAGCGTTCGGAGCGTCCCGCGGCATTGTGTCGAGCGAACTCTTGAGGGAATCCTTTAGTGCTCAGTGGAGGTATTGTGCTGGGAAGCTGATGCGTTGCGATGAATACGAATCGGTGGTCAGGTGGGCGGACATTGGATATCCGCCCTGGGCGAGTCGCTGGTGTAGCACGGGTCAGCGAACCGGAAAGGCTGGAGCATTACACAGATGTATATAATGGGAACCTTTTCTCCTGGGTGATTGGTGGACCACAATGAAGCTGGATAATCCCATATTACCGCGTATCCGTATTCCGACGCTCCCATGACTTTACGTGCATCGCATATGAACTCTACAGCCACGTCGCGCTGCACTGTCGCAGGGCCTGGGCCCGTACGCGTTCCGCCATCCCAGCTATGATCGCATAACCGATGCGGGCCGCTCATCGTTTCGCGTTCTGGGCACGCGGTCACCGCGATTCGCGGTAACATTACAGACCAGCTTTTTAACATTTTTTGTCTCGGTGACTTCGCGAACGGTGCTCACGACGCGAGTTACTTTACATAGGACATGAGTAGCGCGGATACACCCGAGAGGGTGCAAGCGTTCAAAGCTTACCTCGAAGAACAGGGCGTGAACGCTTTTCTGGTCGAGGCGATCAGCGATCTGTACGCTTCGCAACCACGACCGACGAACGCGCTGCAGTTTCTCGAGCAACGATTGAGTGAAACGCTTAAAAAGCGGAAAGATCCTTCGAAAGTCGCAGCTCCAGAAGCAAGCAAGACGGACGAAGGGATAGGTCCCGAAACTACAGGGAAGGAGACGGAAAATTATTAGCGGAAGGAACAAGAGTGCTGGGGACAACGCCGAGAACTGCGCACGTTGAGTTCTCAAAGAACTCCACTGGTTGATAGCGCCTTCCTTGCAGAACGCTTCTACCGGCTGGCAGTTCCCAAGCTTGCTGTACGACGTCAGACGAGATGCGCAAGTGACTAGTATCCATGCGGATAACTTGGACAATGTAAACGACGTCTCGCAGCGCCGCGCCAATGGCTGGCGCCTTTCCAAGAATGCAGCTGTTCAGGAAAGTCTTTACTCCTCGGAAAACGCTCAGATTTGGGATACTAGAATCTCTGCTTCCTGCAAGAGGGTGTATGTTGGAATCGTCTCAATTTGCCTCGAGTTCTAGTCCAGGCTCAAGGTGATCGTGCCCCTTTTAAATATGGTGGGAATTCTACAGATTTCAGTTATATACCATGTAGCGCCCTGTCGCGCTGAACTTGGCGTAACCGCGGATGACCTTATTGATCGCATCCAGAAAGTCCTGCTCACAGACAGTCTTCCTCCGAGCTCGAATGGCGAACATTCCCGCCTCGGTGCAGACACTGCGAAGATCCGCGCCGGTCGTGTTTGGGCACAGACGCGCCAAAAGTTCAAACCGGATGCCTCGTTCACAATTCATGCTGCGTGAGTGAATGCGTAGTATCGAGGTTCTGCCTTCTAGGTCGGGCAAACTGAACTCAATCTTTCGATCGAGCCGTCCAGGACGTAAAAGTGCTGGGTCCAGCGTGTCGGGTCGGTTTGTAGCCATAAGAACCTTGATATTTCCCCGTGCATCGAATCCATCGAGCTGGTTAACAATCTCAAGCATTGTTCTTTGTACTTCGTTATCACCTCCTTGCCCATCATCGTATCGCGCTCCACCAATCGCGTCCACTTCGTCAAAGAATACAATTGCAGCCCTTTTTGAGCGCGCCAACTGAAACAATTCACGCACCATGCGGGCGCCTTCTCCGACATACTTTTGCACAAGTTCAGATCCTATCACTCGAATGAACGTCGCATCGGTCCTGTTCGCAACTGCACGAGCAAGGAGAGTTTTTCCAGTACCAGGAGGGCCGTACAACAAGACTCCTTTCGGCGGATCGATGCCAAGTTCAATGAACCTTTCCGGATGCAGAAGAGGTAATTCGACAACTTCCCGAATCCGTTCAATCTGCTCTTTGACACCGCCAATATCTGCATAAGTCACGTCAGGTTTCTCTTCCACGGTCATCATTGTAACGCTGGGATCAATACGTGGCGGCAGAGGAAGCTGGATTTGGAACTTGTTACGGTCGACGCCAACACGCATTCCCTCCTCAATGTCCGTGGGCGCAACGCGCTCCCCGAGACCCACAACGTACTTTGCAATCTGGCGGATGTTAATGACGTACTTTGCTCGCTCAGCTCCTTCATCGATGATTTTGGTGCAACGCGCCACTTGTAGGGGCTGCTCTTCTTGCATAGCCTGTTTATCGGCAACGAGATCCCACGAACTCGGGGCTGCTAGACCCGTGTCAAGCTCGCGAACGCCCACAAGCTCGTCAATATTTTTCGTACACTCCTCTATCTCTTTCTCCAACTGCTTGATTCTGTTGCTGTAAGGGCCGAGACCGTAAGACCGGAGCAGTTGTATATCTCCAGCATCAAGAGGTTTCGTGCTCTTACTTCCAGTACCCGTCTCAGAGTCCCCTGCCATGATTAAGAAAGGTTGCCGCTGCAGGGCGTTCAACTCGCTAACAAATTGAGAGAAGACAATATTGTACGCCACGGGAATACAAAGAGAAGTGCGCCAGTGTCCGCCCTAAACTAATAGCGCCTCAGCGGTACTTCCCCGTGCTGAAAAGAACTCAAAGAATTCAACAGTCGGACCTATAGCTAAGATTCAGCGGCGCGCACACGCCATCAGAGCCACCGTACGCCGCGTGCACCCATGTTGCCATAACACGGGCTATGTTCCCGAACTCACGACTATACTCGAAAGTTCGTGCCACTCACCGTTACCGCAAACGACGGCCTTGGCGGGCTTTTACCGCTATCGCTTCCATTTCCCCTCTCGCCTCTGGCTTTGAATACGCCGGTTGCTCATGTCTCTCCAGCCCCATGGTCACCAGCCGAAGGATACTGATCGTAGCGTTGAAGTCTCTGTTTCGCGGCTTCTCGCTGTTGTAGACCCGTTTTATGCACTGGCGCGAGTCACGATCTGAGCTTCGTTTACCATTTGCATCCTCTTTCTGCACGGCCTCGGGGTGCACTCCCCAGCCGTTACACTTGGACCTGGTCAGGTGTTCCCATGTGCATCCACCAGTCCTCCACCGCCTCTGAGCGCCACTGTGTGGCGCGTAAACGCTTGACCCATCCCTCGGTACATGCGCTTTACCGTTCCGGAAGGCTCCGCCCGATGCCGTCCTCCGTTTCCGCGCGCTGCGCCATGCCCAATGATCACAGGCCTCTCCCGGGTGATTTCCTCAGCGAGTACTCTGTTCGCTGCACATTTGTGTGCGCGCTGTCGGATTCGAGTACTCGGACCCCGCCTCCTTGCCCGCTCTTCGTTTTTCTGCCAATTCTTCGCACAAAAAGTGCCGATGAGCTTGACGCGAATCGAGACACCTTGCCAACTCGTGGGTGTCGAGCCCGCATGTACTGTTTATTAGCGACGATGCGGCCAAGACGTCTGAGACTCACGCCGGGCTCGCTCGCAGGCGGCAGGCCTATCTTCGCCTCGGCGCCCTCGTATTTGAGGAATATTCGACCAAGGTTTAGAAACTGGCTGCTGATACCGGTTGCTCCCAGAAGCAGCGTCCGGGGTCGTCGTCGACGTCTCGCTGACCGTGATGTCCACGACATTCAGCACCAAAGAGTCGAAGGAGTGCTCAGAAACGAGGACCCGGAATCTCCAACATACCTATGAGTTCGTAGAACATTACTGATGCGCTTCGAATGCCGAAGCTGTACGTCTGAACAAAAGTTCAGAAGCAAATCGAACGACGGCCACAGAGAAAGCAGTTTAGTGTTCTCTTTATAAATCTGACATGGACTAATGGTCTATAAACTCAACTGTATTCCTGCCGCACTGTGTATGATCGAATGCTGTTTGCGGTCTAGGGCGGGGGCCAGAAATCACGATGCCATGTACCCGATAGATCGTAGGCGAATCGCCTGTGCGATACATATTCTTTCCTGAACAGTGCATGGAGGACTGCGTTCCTCCTCCAGGTCGGTCGTACAACAGTACTCAGATGGTTGACGAACACTGACCGAAAGAAGTAGATGCACTCTGCGTCAAACATCGATATTCTCAGAGAATGCGCGCGATCAACGGTAGAAAACGGCCCGCTGACCACCTTTTACGAAAGACAAATGCGAAAATAGTAGTCGCTACGCGCGTCCCTGTTCCTTAAAAGCGTGTTCGAGTGGTCCTGAATACACGGGGTACAGTCGCAAAAAGAAAGTCTCAGTTCGTGCACGGCCATTTCCCACCGAGGTCACAGCTACTTCAGCGTTCGTGGAACGCCACTATCCGTATGGAGCACAGGGACCGGGACACGGACGTCGGTTTGCTTGTTCAGTCGATGAAACTTGCTTCGGACGAGGCGGCCGGAGCGTAAATGGGTATTCGCGGACAGTGCACCCGCTGGATGTACGATCGAGCTCGAAGAGAGCGAGGATGTCATCATCTGCTCCAGACGGAGTGGACTTTATTTGCGGCCTCAGATTCACTAGTGGAGAAGGCTCATCGACCAACACCAGCCACTTGATCGAATCATGGAAGATTTCGCCCCGACGTCGGGCGACGTCCTTCTGCTGGACACCGTGGCATTTCACCATCCCCCTTGCGTTCGGGCTTTTGCCGATCCTGTCGAGGTATAGTGCTGCTTTTCATTCCTCTGTGCTCTACTTGATTCAACCTCATCAAAAGAATGTTTTCCATTGTGAAACGTATGATGTCGCTCCAGTGGGGTCATCGCTGAAGCTTCCGGCACACGTTGACACACGGGCGCATGGTGTCTTACTTTCGCGAGTCCTAGCTTTTGCGGGAAGGTCCTCACCTAAACGAATGAACAATCGCTATGATTTTGAAGAAACAGAGAATCCAAGGGAATGGTATGGATGTGGAAGTCGGGGATCCTGAGTTCCGTCATTGCTGGATTCGACGCAGCCAGAACGAAAAATGCCTCTTCTCGCCGACCATCGAGCGAAGAAGAGCAAGTGGCGAAGAAGGAGAAGAACGGAGATAGGCGAGGGACGGTGTTTGTCGAGTGGAACGATGACGAGACTGTAGCGGAACAGAGGGCACGAGTACTAAGAACCGTCGGTGTGATGAGATCAGGGATCGGCAGTAAACGCATGGAGCTCGTAAGCCGAGACTTGAACGCTGCTACCAATATCAGACGATGCGTTGTGCTGGAGACGAGACCCGAGCAGCTGACACGATCCAACGCTATGCGGCAACTGCTGAGGCTCGAAGTGTACGTGAATCAACTGGAACCGATTGCAGGCGGCGGGTCAAAAAAGGCTGGGAGGCGTCCGCATGTGGGTATATATTTACCCTCAATGGCCGGGAAGCATGTCTCGTTTTACTGAATATAGTGTTGGACCGCAGGCCATACTATTACCCTCTGTGAAGACGAACATCCCACTTCTGGGTTTCACTCGAGCGGAGCGAATGCTTCCCGCTCGGGGCATGCATCGGCACGTACTCCATGCAGCGCGTTGCGCAGCCGTCGTAGCACTGGCGCGCAGCTCGTTGGATTGTGAACTGGACATCGGGGCGCTGCGCGCTGCGCGCCAGTGTCCAATCTCCGGTAGCATGATGATCGCTGGATGCGTCCAGGCCAGGCGAGCGTGCTCATCTCCGTACGTGCGCAGGCGTGTGTGTCTGGATGTGCGTACATACTTTTTGCTGGAACGCCGGTTATTAAAGGCCGCATGTCTGCTGCAGGTTTCCCTAGAGTTTCGACGGCACTTTCCGCCGCGCTGAGGTCTAGGGGAGCACAACGCTGTGGAAGAGTATGGTGGGCGAGGGCGCCATCGCAGAGCTTGCGGGTTCTGCTTCGGAACTACACACCAAGTCTGGGTTCTTTCGGGCTACGGCGGCAGCTTTATCGTCTGGAGCGAGAAGCAGACTTGTACCCTGAAGATTGGAGAAAGCAGATGATACTCTTAGAACAGCTAAACCGAGAAGGATCTGTTCAAAGTGCCGAGAAAGTTATTCAACGCATCGAATCCGGGAGGTATGCTCTCGGAGAAGAGGCAAAGTACGAGTACATCAAAGCCCTTGTACGAGTTGGAAAACTGGAGGAGCGGTCGAAAACTGGCGGTGGCCTCGAGTCCGTGTTGCGAAATATTCCAGGCTCTGGAAGTGTCCTTTCTCGAACTGGGAATAGTTCGGAAAGTGGTCGCCTTCCCAGAGGCGCTGCCGAGCCTCCGACTGCCGCGCGCTACACAGACAACTTTAACAGTCCTCTCCAAATGTATGCCGGTGAAGGCACGCACCCAACGAGCGCCGGTGCGACAGCTCCCTCCTCAGCGCGAGCGTTGATGGGAGGTGCCTCCGGCGGAGCGTCCGGCAGCACCGAGGAACCGCTTGTCGTCACCCTTGCTGAGCCTACCTTCAGGACGCAACTGTGGAAAACGATCCGCACGCTTGGCACTGTATTTCTGCTAATGTCAGGAGTTGGTGCAGTTATGGAGGAGCGGGGCCTATCCCGAGGAATCAGTATGCAGCAAGAGGTGCTACCCGAAGAAGGCAACAAAAATCTGCGACGGTTCTCTGATGTGAAAGGCTGTGACGAGGCGAAGGATGAACTCATAGAGATAGTCGAGTATTTGAAGGCGCCACAGAAGTTTACGCGCCTCGGCGGAAAACTCCCCAAGGGCGTGCTTCTAGTCGGGCCACCTGGAACAGGCAAGACACTGTTGGCGAGAGCGATTGCGGGCGAGGCTGGCGTTCCGTTTTTCTACGCATCCGGCTCTGAATTTGAAGAAATGTTCGTAGGCGTCGGCGCTCGCCGCGTGCGGGAACTCTTTAACGCAGCTAAGAAGCGGGCTCCCTGTATCGTGTTCATTGACGAAATAGACGCAATAGGCGGCAAGCGGAACCCCAAAGATCAAATGTATATGAAAATGACCCTGAATCAGCTGCTTGTTGAGCTCGACGGATTTTCGTCCTCTGAGGGTATTATCGTGATCGGAGCTACGAACTTCCCGGAATCGCTCGACAAGGCGTTGATTCGTCCGGGCAGATTCGATCGCCATGTTATCGTTCCGAACCCTGACGTTCGTGGACGAGAAGAGATCCTCACCCTTCACACCGAGAAGATTCCGCTTGCGGACGATGTGAATCTCGAAATACTTGCTCGGAGCACGCCTGGATTTTCTGGCGCAGATCTAGCGAATCTGGTGAACATGGCAGCTTTGAAGGCGGCCCGTGAAGGCGCTTCCCTCGTTACTATGGAGAACTTTGAGTTCGCCAAAGACAAGATAATCATGGGTGCCGAGAGACGCAGCGCAGTTATATCAGAGGAAAACCGTCGTTTAACTGCTTACCACGAAAGCGGGCACGCGCTAGTCGCGCTCTTCACGGATGGCGCGCTGCCGGTGCATAAGGCAACCATTGTGCCGCGTGGCGTCGCTCTCGGCATGGTCGCGCAGCTCCCGGAAAAGGATATGACGTCTATGTCACGCAAACAGATGCTTGCTAAACTCGACGTGTGCATGGGCGGCAGAGCTGCTGAGGAACTGATTTTCGGACCTGAAAATGTCACGAATGGGGCGGAGTCTGATATAGAGCAGGCAACAGAGCTGGCAGAGGCAATGGTGACCCGCTTTGGTATGAGTCCCAAGCTGGGTAACATGGCTTACGACATTCAGAGGGAGGTATGTGGGGAGCTTCTGCACGTGGTGGAGAAGGAGGTCAAACGATTTTTGGACGAAAGCTACCAGCGGGCAAAGCAAGTGCTGCTGACTCATGAAAAGGAACTCCATCGAGTGGCAGCGGCCCTACTGGAGAAAGAAACCTTGGGCCGGGAGGAGATCATTCGTATCGTGAGGGGCGATCCTCTCCGCGAGCAGTTGTCGGAGGAAACGACCGTGAAATCCGAAGAGGAGGCCGCCGACACTGGCAGCCTGGCTGAAAACGTTGCAGCAAGAGCACGAGGCGCTGTCGCCGCAGCAGCGGCAAAAGCTGGCGTGCCTCGGCCTGGAAAAGTCCCGGCAACAGCGAAAACGGCCTGAGCATAGAGCTGAAGGTGCAAATGCGATTGCTTTGCACCTCATCAGCTGAGCAGAAGAGCAACCTGGATTCTGCGTCCGGCTTCGGTTTGTTTCCGGGAACCGTGTCCTGTACAGGTATGACGATGCTCAAAGGTACATGAACCCGAATCGCTATTTCGAATGTGTGCAAATGCAAGTCTCCTCTGGAAAATTTCGTTCTGGATATCTCAACAGGTCGCAATGACCGTTGATTCGACGTACACCTGTACGCCCAGAAGACAGGATGAAAAGGAATGGATCTAGATCTATCCGGGTCCGAACTAAATGCACATAAAATCAAAAATCCCACGATGCTAGGTGCTGCATGTTTCAGCGCTGACGCATTCTCTCTATAGGTGATGATGCTCTTCGCGTCGGCGGGATTTGGTAAGCTTCTTAAGAGAGGTACGAGGCACCCAGTCACCACCAAAACCATACATGCGTCATCATTTTTGACGGAAAGTAGGAATTCGCTCCTCATCGGACACTACAAACGGGTTTTGAGTCGCCACCCGAGCAGTTCGTTCCACGCATGCAGTTCGCTTGCGGCATTTTGAGGTTGAAGCACTCTTGGTCCAAGAAAAAGCGTTTCGATATCCTGTTCGCGGCTGAGGGACTTTACATTGTTACTGGAACGAATATGTCGGTTCACAAACCTGGATATATTGTCGAAACACTTCAGTATAAACAATCCTCAGAAACGAGAAATTTCAGACGTCGTAGTGCAACGTTTTTACTGGCACTCGAGCATCGTCACAGAGCTTTTTTATTGCCTGCTTCGAGACCGGCCTTAGAGCCAATTTTGAAGTTTGCGGCATATACATATGTTAAGCAGAAAAAAAGATTCGCAATTGTGTGCGGTAAAAGAATATCCACTCGCAGAAGCTTATTATCCTTTTTTGACCCGCCGCCTGCAATCGGTTCCAGTTGATTCACGCACACTTCGAGCCTCAGCAGTTGCCACATAGCGTTGGATCGTGTCAGCTGCTCGGGTCTCGTCTTCAGCACAACGCATCGTCTGATATTGGTAGCAGCGTTCAAGTCTCGGCTTACGAGCTCCATGCGTTTACTGCCGATCCCTGATCTCATCACACCGAGGGTTCTTAGTACTCGTGCCCTCTGTTCCGCTACAGTCTCGTCATCGTTCCACTCGACAAACACCGTCCCTCGCCTATCTCCTTCTTCTCCTTCTTCGCCACTTGCTCTTCTTCGCTCGATGGTCGGCGAGAGGAGGCATTTCTCGTTCTGGCTGCGTCGAATCCAGCAATGACGGAACTCAGGATCCCCGACTTCCACATCCATACCATTCCCTTGGATTCTCTGTTTCTTCAAAATCATAGCGATTGTTCATTCGTTTAGGTGAGGACCTTCCCGCAAAAGCTAGGACTCGCGAAAGTAAGACACCATGCGCCCGTGTGTCAACGTGTGCCGGAAGCTTCAGCGATGACCCCACTGGAGCGACATCATACGTTTCACAATGGAAAACATTCTTTTGATGAGGTTGAATCAAGTAGAGCACAGAGGAATGAAAAGCAGCACTATACCTCGACAGGATCGGCAAAAGCCCGAACGCAAGGGGAATGGTGAAATGCCACGGTGTCCAGCAGAAGGACGTCGCCCGACGTCGGGGCGAAATCTTCCATGATTCGATCAAGTGGCTGCTGTTGGTCGATGAGCCTTCTCCACTAGTGAATCTGAGGCCGCAAATAAAGTCCACTCCGTCTGGAGCAGATGATGACATCCTCGCTCTCTTCGAGCTCGATCGTACATCCAGCGGGTGCACTGTCCGCGAATACCCATTTACGCTCCGGCCGCCTCGTCCGAAGCAAGTTTCATCGACTGAACAAGCAAACCGACGTCCGTGTCCCGGTCCCTGTGCTCCATACGGATAGTGGCGTTCCACGAACGCTGAAGTAGCTGTGACCTCGGTGGGAAATGGCCGTGCACGAACTGAGACTTTCTTTTTGCGACTGTACCCCGTGTATTCAGGACCACTCGAACACGCTTTTAAGGAACAGGGACGCGCGTAGCGACTACTATTTTCGCATTTGTCTTTCGTAAAAGGTGTCAACGGGCCGTTTTCTACCGTTGATCGCGCGCATTCTCTGAGAATATCGATGTTTGACGCAGAGTGCATCTACTTCTTTCGGCCAGTGTTCGTCAACCATCTGAGTACTGTTGTACGACCGACCTGGAGGAGGAACGCAGTCCTCCATGCACTGTTCAGGAAAGAATATGTATCGCACAGGCGATTCGCCTACGATCTATCGGGTACATGGCATCGTGATTTCTGGCCCCCGCCCTAGACCGCAAACAGCATTCGATCATACACAGTGCGGCAGGAATACAGTTGAGTTTATAGACCATTAGTCCATGTCAGATTTATAAAGAGAACACTAAACTGCTTTCTCTGTGGCCGTCGTTCGATTTGCTTCTGAACTTTTGTTCAGACGTACAGCTTCGGCATTCGAAGCGCATCAGTAATGTTCTACGAACTCATAGGTATGTTGGAGATTCCGGGTCCTCGTTTCTGAGCACTCCTTCGACTCTTTGGTGCTGAATGTCGTGGACATCACGGTCAGCGAGACGTCGACGACGACCCCGGACGCTGCTTCTGGGAGCAACCGGTATCAGCAGCCAGTTTCTAAACCTTGGTCGAATATTCCTCAAATACGAGGGCGCCGAGGCGAAGATAGGCCTGCCGCCTGCGAGCGAGCCCGGCGTGAGTCTCAGACGTCTTGGCCGCATCGTCGCTAATAAACAGTACATGCGGGCTCGACACCCACGAGTTGGCAAGGTGTCTCGATTCGCGTCAAGCTCATCGGCACTTTTTGTGCGAAGAATTGGCAGAAAAACGAAGAGCGGGCAAGGAGGCGGGGTCCGAGTACTCGAATCCGACAGCGCGCACACAAATGTGCAGCGAACAGAGTACTCGCTGAGGAAATCACCCGGGAGAGGCCTGTGATCATTGGGCATGGCGCAGCGCGCGGAAACGGAGGACGGCATCGGGCGGAGCCTTCCGGAACGGTAAAGCGCATGTACCGAGGGATGGGTCAAGCGTTTACGCGCCACACAGTGGCGCTCAGAGGCGGTGGAGGACTGGTGGATGCACATGGGAACACCTGACCAGGTCCAAGTGTAACGGCTGGGGAGTGCACCCCGAGGCCGTGCAGAAAGAGGATGCAAATGGTAAACGAAGCTCAGATCGTGACTCGCGCCAGTGCATAAAACGGGTCTACAACAGCGAGAAGCCGCGAAACAGAGACTTCAACGCTACGATCAGTATCCTTCGGCTGGTGACCATGGGGCTGGAGAGACATGAGCAACCGGCGTATTCAAAGCCAGAGGCGAGAGGGGAAATGGAAGCGATAGCGGTAAAAGCCCGCCAAGGCCGTCGTTTGCGGTAACGGTGAGTGGCACGAACTTTCGAGTATAGTCGTGAGTTCGGGAACATAATCCTTTTTGTAGTTACCTGGGTCTAAAATCGAAGGCTTGAACGAGATGCCCTATGGATGCGCGGTAGCTGCTATCATCTTTGGAGGAGACGGCTTCCCTTTTCTAATCATCACGACGTTACACAAGCTTGGGCCCATTTCTTTCGTCGAAAATGGGGCCTGGATCGTTCCAGCGATGGATCCGCGCAACGCGAAGGCACCAAAGACAGAAATTAATGGTAAACTGCGAACGGGTATACTGGATTAATCTGCTGCCCGGGGGGTTCCGTGTAAATTACATAGCACGTACGCGTGGTGGGCCTCATGCTCAGTAACTTTCGCGAAACTTCTCTCGGGCGCGATGCGGTTTCCAATCAATACCCTCGAATCAGTATTGTTTCGAGTCGTGACGGATTGAAGCATCCCCTGCGCTTTTCCCCCGAGCGATCGCAAGCAATGATTCACGGAATTCCCTGGCAAGAGCTCCACGAGATGCTTTTTTGCTCTAGGAGCACATGGTGCCGGATTGAATTACCTGAGACTTATCTTGGCATGGTAGCCCTACCCTCCAAGGTAGCTACTGTCAGCCAACTCAGATACTAAAAAGCGAGGCATCTCGTTCAGATATCTGCTCACGCGCGTCGAACCGGACTGTGGGGATTTCGTGAGCTTTCCTGGCGCGTTTACCTCAGCCATAGGCATTTGCTGTAGTCACTGGAACCGAGGGCACACTCGAGGTCTCATGCAGAATATCGCTTGGCGCTGGTATATTACCAAATCATATGCAGAGAATTAATGATTTGAGCGTATTGCACAAAACCGCTGTTCAACGAAAGAGAGGAGATTCATTTCGTGTAAAGCGGGCGAACGGAGACTCTTAAAGCCGGAACGGGATCGACGACATCAGATTTGCACGCGCGCTTCGGGTCCGAAGCTGAACGTGCGCGACTCCCGACAAGAGGCCCCGTCCATTTTTTTACCTCTGGAAGATTTACACTGACTATGGATCTCCCGTGGCGCGATTTGTGTTTGCATCCGGAAAAACGATCATTTTTCCACACTATATCATCACGTCCTGTCGCCCGCCACCCACATTTTCCAGACAGAGACACCGTTCATATTGCTTCCTCAGTAGAGCACCAAACTGTTGTGAGTACCGAAATTAGCGCCTAAAATGCCAGGGTAGACGCCCCAACGAGACGGAACGGCTTTGCCTTACCCTCATGGGCATCGGCCTCAGAGGCCACGTCCATGAGCGGTCGCAATCGCCACTTATGTGGAGCGTAGCGCACGCTTGCTGCACGAATCCCGGACTTCTTACAAGTGTGGCGCATGGAAAAGTTGGCAGTCACATTACTATCGCCCGTGAACTCCAAAATTCAACGGCTTGAAGGTACAACTGCCTGTCGAAAGGCACACTGCTACCACCTTCCGTCAGGATTGCGTTTCGCATAATAGTTATTGGTTGCATGGGAGTCTCATACGGTTCATCCTGCGCTTTAATGCTCACAACGCGCCACGGGGCAGGGTCCTCCGGTGGCTTTTCAGCCATCGCTAGCGCCTCTTTGATGCACTGCTCTCGGGAATACAGAATAATGTCAAGATAGCGAGCAACGGGCAAACTTTCGTAACCACCGATTTTTTCAAGTGGAAAATATCGAATTAGTACCGGAACCTCTTTCTCTGTGCGGGCATCATATTTCGTCCTCAAAAGAATTTCGTTCTCGGGTGTTATCTTCCAAACTGAAACGCGTGCGTTTGTAAAGTTTGGGATGAACAAATGCTTACAGAAATCAGCGTACCCTTGTACGAGAGCAGGTTTGTCTCTGAACTCTAGCTCTAGAGCGAGTCGTTCCCTGTAATACTCGTTCAGCTTATCCTCGAACAGCTGAGGTTCAAAGAATATTCTCGTCCCACTGTGAGCAGGGTTATTAAACTGACGCAGAACGAAGCGATCGAGCTTAAGGAAACTAGAAGTTGCCATAGAAGCGTCAACGACGATCGGAAATGTGGCGTCCAGATGGCTCTGATTTACGGCCATGGAAGATTGGAGTTCTCATTAGCCCGAAAGTCAAAATGGAGCCCCTAAGAATAGGTTTTCTTGGCGGAGGTGCCATGTGTGAAGCCATACTCCGTGGGCTGTTGGACAAAAAGGTTGTGCAGAGCTCCGATGTATGGGTAAGCGACGTCGCTGAGTCTCGTCTGGAAGTAATGCGAGGTCTCGGCGTCAACGCCACTGCAAACGGTCGAAAGGTAGTTGAAAAAGCCTCTGTGATTTTGCTTGCCGTCAAACCGGACACGGTACCTGAGGTACTACGCGATGTTCACGACCTGATCAAGCAGAGCCAACTCCTTGTGTCAATCTGCGCTGGAGTGCCTTTACAAGCTTTGGAGGACCTCGTGCCGGACGGTGTGGCGGTCGTCCGAGTCATGCCCAACACCCCGTGCCTCGTCGGCGCCGCAGGCTCCGCCTATGCTCTCGGAAAGAACGCTTCACTCGCAAACCATGCGAATATCGTGGAGGCAATATTTGGAGCCGTTGGACTGACTGTCCGTGTTCCAGAGAAGCTGCTCGATGCAGTTACGGGAGTGAGTGGCTCCGGACCGGCATACGTTTTTATGTTCATGGAGGCGCTCGCTGACGGAGGCGTTTGTGCGGGGCTCCCACGTGACATTGCAAAGAAACTGGCTGTCCAAACAGTGTACGGATCAGCGAAGATGGCCATGGAAAACGAAAACATGCATCTCGCAGAGCTCCGTAACCGCGTTGAATCACCGGGTGGAACAACAATAGCAGCGTCTCGCGCTCTAGAGGCAAACAGCTTCCGTGCAACTGTCATCGGCGCGGTCATGGCCGCGGCCCAGAGAAGCGCTGAAATGCGAACAAAGCCGTCGCCGTTCTAGAAAGGGGGCATGGCCTTCGTCAGACTGAACCGTAACATAGTGGAACGAGAATTGTTTTAAGACCGCAAAACCAGAAAGTAATTTCTCTCATGAATCTATATCCTCAGCAGAGCCAAGTCTTTGGCCAGTACCCCAGTGATGCCCCCGTATTTGTGAAAGAATGGAAGCGCTGCGGGGCTGAGTTATTTCGTTTCTCTGATTGCGAGGTTGGTTGCGTGGACGTTCTCCAAACAGTCGGTACATCCAACTGGGCGTTTTGGTGATTCCCGCTCTTTGGTGTCCATGAAGCGATGGATATATCGCATCCAAGAAGTAGAAGAGGTGACCACTGAGCACGCCAACGATGCCTGGGATATCGAGCCGTCCTGCGAGCAGCGTATTAATTGCCAAAAGCGCGAAAGAAAGGTACGCAGCGGGGACGGCAAAGACAAAGACATGAACTCGTTCACGTGGAAACTTTCGCGACCATACATGCATTATGGCCATCATTAAACATCTGCCGAGAATCGGAAGTGGTACCAAGACCATTGAGGCCAAACACAAGAAAAACTCGATTACTACCAACATCCAAGTGTACTCAGCGGAAGAGCCCATGAAGACTCCGGTTTCGAGGGATTTTGAGAAGCGATAAAGAAACACTAGATCGAACAGGAAATTCAAGCCGAGCGGCCCCAGAAGAAATGACGCTGTCAACGGCCGCCAGATCTCGTACTTTCGAAGGACCCGATCCCAGTCAAGAAGTACCGCCCCAAACGGAACGAAACCCAGACCACAGGCAAGGGTGAATAAAGTGGCAGCAGTCAGCCAAGTTCTTGTCACCCGGGGAATAGAATAATAGAACGAGGTTAGAGACAGCTCGTCCCCTCTCCAGTCACGAACGTTTGCCATTGTGCAGCAAGCAGTACGAAACAATTAGATTTAGGTTTCGCTCATGGAATCGTGGAGACGTTCTTGCAAGTCGTGGAGGGAGCGCTTTTCCGATGATCTGGTTTATGAAATAAATATTCATACCGACGAATACTTCGGAAAATTGAAAATTTTTCTCCAACAGGCACCGTCTGGGAGTTACGTCAAGAAAAAGTTTAGAAGCTGCGAAGCCTCTGGTGGAGCAACTGTAGTGAAAAACTTGAGCTGCGGAGCACCAGTAACGTCAGGAACTCTGGCGTCGCACGGTCCACATCCCAGCGATTTCCGAATCGTCGGTTATGCTCTTAACGAAAAGCGCCTGTGTCGAGATATTACACCTCCAGAAGAACCGAATCGTTTGTGCGACAGCGCTGCCACTGGCTGGACCGCCTGGGATGCTAGCCTAGTACTAGCGAAGTGGTTGGAAAGGCGGCCTTACCTCGTGTGTAACAAGTTATGTCTTGAGCTCGGAGCTGGTATCGGCTTAGTATCCTCAGTAGCCTACTGCCTCGGGGCAAAGCTAACTGTATCCACAGACCGGGACGATGTGATATTCCTCCTGAAAAGCAACTTAAACCGTACAGTGGAGGCCTACATAGCGTATAATAATCAACTTAGGGTGAAACGAGCAGTTGACTCGAAGCTCGCGGCAGAAGTACTTCACTGGGAATCGAAGGAACATTTGGAGCGTGTACTGGCCGTGTATGGCGCTCCTGAAGTCATTTTATGTTCAGATCTGGTTTACGAAGAGTTAGCTTCCCGCGCGCTTGTGCACGTACTTGTCCGAATATCGCGAGCAAGCTTGCAAATGGGGAGAAAACCTTTGATCATAATGGCGCAGGACGAGCACGTCCCTGAAGTTCTCGAACAATTCTTGGCCGGCATAAGTGCGTTTTTCACTGTTGACCGTGTGCCATGCTTAGATTTTAATCCGAATTTTAGCAGTGAGTTGATTAGAGTTTACCTTTTCCGGCCAAAAGCTGAACACTTTTTATATAATCAGTAACACGAGACATGCTTCCCGGCCATTGAGGGTAAATATATACCCACATGCGGACGCCTCCCAGCCTTTTTTGACCCGCCGCCTGCAATCGGTTCCAGTTGATTCACGCACACTTCGAGCCTCAGCAGTTGCCACATAGCGTTGGATCGTGTCAGCTGCTCGGGTCTCGTCTTCAGCACAACGCATCGTCTGATATTGGTAGCAGCGTTCAAGTCTCGGCTTACGAGCTCCATGCGTTTACTGCCGATCCCTGATCTCATCACACCGAGGGTTCTTAGTACTCGTGCCCTCTGTTCCGCTACAGTCTCGTCATCGTTCCACTCGACAAACACCGTCCCTCGCCTATCTCCTTCTTCTCCTTCTTCGCCACTTGCTCTTCTTCGCTCGATGGTCGGCGAGAGGAGGCATTTTTCGTTCTGGCTGCGTCGAATCCAGCAATGACGGAACTCAGGATCCCCGACTTCCACATCCATACCATTCCCTTGGATTCTCTGTTTCTTCAAAATCATAGCGATTGTTCATTCGTTTAGGTGAGGACCTTCCCGCAAAAGCTAGGACTCGCGAAAGTAAGACACCATGCGCCCGTGTGTCAACGTGTGCCGGAAGCTTCAGCGATGACCCCACTGGAGCGACATCATACGTTTCACAATGGAAAACATTCTTTTGATGAGGTTGAATCAAGTAGAGCACAGAGGAATGAAAAGCAGCACTATACCTCGACAGGATCGGCAAAAGCCCGAACGCAAGGGGAATGGTGAAATGCCACGGTGTCCAGCAGAAGGACGTCGCCCGACGTCGGGGCGAAATCTTCCATGATTCGATCAAGTGGCTGCTGTTGGTCGATGAGCCTTCTCCACTAGTGAATCTGAGGCCGCAAATAAAGTCCACTCCGTCTGGAGCAGATGATGACATCCTCGCTCTCTTCGAGCTCGATCGTACATCCAGCGGGTGCACTGTCCGCGAATACCCATTTACGCTCCGGCCGCCTCGTCCGAAGCAAGTTTCATCGACTGAACAAGCAAACCGACGTCCGTGTCCCGGTCCCTGTGCTCCATACGGATAGTGGCGTTCCACGAACGCTGAAGTAGCTGTGACCTCGGTGGGAAATGGCCGTGCACGAACTGAGACTTTCTTTTTGCGACTGTACCCCGTGTATTCAGGACCACTCGAACACGCTTTTAAGGAACAGGGACGCGCGTAGCGACTACTATTTTCGCATTTGTCTTTCGTAAAAGGTGGTCAGCGGGCCGTTTTCTACCGTTGATCGCGCGCATTCTCTGAGAATATCGATGTTTGACGCAGAGTGCATCTACTTCTTTCGGTCAGTGTTCGTCAACCATCTGAGTACTGTTGTACGACCGACCTGGAGGAGGAACGCAGTCCTCCATGCACTGTTCAGGAAAGAATATGTATCGCACAGGCGATTCGCCTACGATCTATCGGGTACATGGCATCGTGATTTCTGGCCCCCGCCCTAGACCGCAAACAGCATTCGATCATACACAGTGCGGCAGGAATACAGTTGAGTTGAAAAACTCTAGTATCCGAGGTCGATTTCCTTCAAGTCAATGCGTTCCGGTTCGTCGTCTTATGCGCAAGTTGTGGAAGCTACGTGCTGTATTCCGTGTTGCCGCATTTAGGTACGCATTCGCATCCAGAGCGCTCTTTGATGCGAACCGGTCCGCAATATGCAGCGCACATGGCAAGGACTCACACCGTCAAAGCACGCCGAGCTTCGCACATGAAACTTTTCGAAAGCTGGGAAAGATAATTTGCTCGTCGGTTACCGGACGGGCATCCAGAAGAGACGTATCGACCTTGTCGAGACATCAAAGGTTTTAGGTTTCTCGTTGCAGCGTCAAGTCGCGCGGACACAAATCCAAGTTTCTTAAGATGATCATCGAGCGGTCGAGGTGGTGCTCTGTGAGAATAAAGCACATCGCTCGCATCGGTGCTCTCAGTACGATGGATACGTGCCGGATGCCTGGCCTGGCAGCGCTCCCGGAACATTCCCAGTGCCTCCAGTGTTAAAGGGTGACTGCATGCCCCCGCCGGCGGCACGCTGGCCCTGCCATACAGGGTATTGCTGGCTGCCATATGGTTGTGTGGCATACGGTTGACCAGCAAACGCCTGTCCAGTATAACCGGAACCGCCGAAAGACTGGTTTCCGTAGCCCTGGGCGTTATACATCATTCCTCCATATGGTTGCGACGCGGCTGCCTGGTGAGATGTCCCGTAAAATGAACCGAATCCACTGCCGTAGTTGCCTCCTACGGACATGCTTCCACTCGCTGGGTAGAAGTCTGGGTTGCGATTGCGTCGGACGCTACGAGTCTGCTCATTGGGGACGCCGACCCCTAGGCCTCCTGATGAAATGCCATACGCAGCGGCGTACTGCTGGGGATACGCACCGCTACCGTAATACAACTCAGTTTGGTTGTAGCCAGTGCTGTGCGTGGGTGCTGCTCCCGAGCTGCCCATTGATGCCGGTTGCGCATGGGGCATCGTACTCAGTTTCGGTTCACCAGGACCGGCAGCATATGAAAGGTTTTGGTTTGTCATATTCGGCGCTGCTTTCGGGGGGTATGCTGTGTCGGTGTAGCCACCATACGGCTGGTAATACGGATAGCCCTGGAGGCCATAATTTGGAACATGGCCCGGCACTCCGTAGGGGTAGTATCCGTAATAGTTAGGGGGTACACCGTTCACTTGTGCCGGATAATGTTGTGGTGACTGAATGTGCTCCGCAGGCGCCGAGTAAGTTTGTCCGCTGTTATTCTCATTCGATGTGTTCGCAGCGGTTTCAGAACCCGACTGCTGGTTCTCTAACCGCGCATTCTCGCGTGGTTGGCTGCGAACTGCGTTCGGGTTTGGTGCCATCGACCATGATTCTGGCGTGCTGAGTTTTGCATTTGATTCAACCTGCAAGGACTTGCTCTGCGCAGCAGAAATTGTTGCAGGGGGCTGCAGGCCCGACGGCAGTCTTTCGGCCCCATCGTACGGAACTTGCCTCGAGGGCTCTAATGGCCGGCTCCCTTGTGCAACACCGCTTTCCGTACTGTCCAATGATTGGTTGGGCAGAGGCTGCCCGTTCACCGCCATGTTGCTAAAGCTCATGCTCAGATGGTGCTCTTCATTCGGGTAATGCTTCTCTATAGTCGGCATATTCGATACAGGCGGAGCATTAGCCCGGCTTTCAGTCGATACCATGCGTCCGTGACTCACTGTCTCCGCTCCGGTCTCCGCTGATGTCGCTACCGCAGAACTCGAGGCAGTGTACTGCGCTTTGTGAGACTCGAGCGACGAGCCAGTAGGCGCCGTGCTAGGCTCGAGACTCGAATTCGCACCAGCATCCACGGGCTGATTATTCTCAGTGGGTGCTGTTACTTCTTGCACTTTCTTCGCCTTCAAACGATCCGCCCAGGTAGGGCCCGCTGGTTTCGGTGGGGCGAGCCCCGCAGCCTTCGTCGGAGCTGGTGCGTTGTCCGCTTCCTCTTTAGCAGCGGTCTGCTTCGAGCGCTCCCCGTTCCTGGCGCTAGCGTTTGCCTTGCGTTCAGGAAACGGCTTCCCTGATTTAGCGCCACCTTTTGGTCTCGACGGACCGGGGCGTCTCGGCTTGATTTTTGAGTCTGGTTCAGCAGCAGCGCTCGAGGCTCGACTATTCTGCTGACGCACCTGCGCGCCCTCCGTGTTGGGCACTCCCCGCCCCTGGTGCACCTTCCTGGGTGCACCACCGGTAAGGGGCACCGATCGATTGTTATTGTTGTTTTTTGTCTGGCTCCCGGGACGTCTCTTCTTGTCGCCAACCTCGTGCCATACGTCGACCTTGCCCGTGAGAAACTTTTCAACAGCCACTTCCTCGTCCATATGTACCTGCTGGAGAATCCTGTACGCGTCTTCCTTCCCAACGTTACAAACTTCCGCGACGTTCGCGACTTTCTTAGCTGCCGAAGCAGGGATACGAGTGGAACTCATTGCTTCGTTCTCGCTAGAAGATAGCTGGCTCCAACGCAATCCCAGCGACAGTTGCTGCAGCGCGCGTGATGGGAGCCGCCGCGCATGCGGCCGGCCGCGTTCCCGGCGGCGGGCGATTGCTGGCGGCGCTCATGCCAAGGTGTCCAGCACCTGCGGAGCAGTACGGATGCCAGTGCTGGTGCTAGTGTTAGAGGCGTCCTTATTGGGTGGAGCTCGAAGGTCTGTAGAGTCCACATCGACGATGAGGATATCGGGTAGGGTGCACAGCGGTCAGGCATAGTTCACAGAAGCGTCAAGCAAAATTCCACGAAGCCGAAGAGAGCTTGCGCACACATGAGCGGAGATCGCGGAGGTCATTCTGTGGGTACCGCCCACCTTATATGCATCATCTCTTGATGAGCTTGCCTTGGCGTTCGAGGAATGCACCTGTGCAGCTTATCCAGGTCTGAAACGCTGCTGCGCTGCGCCTCACCTGCTCTGGCAGCTGCGACGTGACGGAGTTGCGGTTGCAGCTACGTCAAAGACAAAAACCTTTCAGTGATGGTCTCGGAAGGATTTTGTTGAAGAACAGGTTGCATTATTCAACGGACATGGAGAGTGTGATTCAGCTTAGATTAGGCGGGAACAGCAAGGAATGGGGCGTGGCCCTTGGGTGAGGCTTTGGGAATGTCGGAGACGGTCATGAAGGTTGCGCACGGCCTGGTGGGCACCAGTACGGACAGCACCATACGGCAGCGCTTGAAGGCATTCTCAGGCAGCTGTCCGTCGAGGGCGCGGATCAGCCAATTGCTCAATTCTAGCGATGATTTTTTTCATTTCGCTCTCCGAGTGACAGGCTCGCGCTCCCTGTAAACTTCATCCCATGCCTGGAATGGCGAGCATGTATCGACTCAAACCAGATTTCTACGAATGTATATTTTCAAAGCGTGCAGAAGCTTTTTGACCGCTGCTCGCAATGCTTTCCGAGACAGGTATTCCAAAACTAACCGGAAAGCACCGAGATAGGAACGAGGCCGTCAAAAGGTTTTCCATCTCGCGGAAAGCAAGGTTCATTTTTTCTTAAACTTTTCATCTAAATATTTAACACGACTGCCGATAAAACTACTGAGAAAGCACGGCCTGAGCATTTCATCTGTGCTACCGCTGGTGTTGAACGCACCCACAGCTCGCCTGCTTCTATGCAGCTTCGCGGCCTTACAAGCCTTACGAACCGGAGCGCGCTCACTCGTAGGTGCCATTACTTCTCGTGTCAGCGCATAGAGCGTGTACGTTCAAGGCACGCTTTCCCGAAGAATATGCACGCACAGCCGTCTCCCCTGGTAAACCAAGCGTATCGTGCACCGTTGCAATGATTAGGATTCGTCCTGCATAACGTACAAAGCTCGTCGAGAACTTGCAGCAAACGTCTCACTGCCCTTCGTTCGTCTGTAATATGAAAGCAGAAACTCCAAAGAGGCACCGTATCCAGCGCATAGCAAAGCTGCGCAACAGACACTGCACGAAGCGCGTGCGGATCCATCGCTCAGATCGCGCGCGATGCAACCCGGCGAGCCGTGCGACGTTGCGTGACAACGGGACGCCCTGCAGCGCACAGCCGCCGGATCCGCTCGATCCAGAAAAGCTGCACGCCTCCGCTGGAGGATCGCAACTGATGCCGGTGCGCGTGTAATGCAGCCGGACAGACGGCACTTCGGAGCGCTGTTCCTGGGTACTCTTGCGTAGCCTTTACTCACGATGAGCCTGCCTGCCCGGGTGCCGTCTAATTCTGCAGATGATGAGCTCCACCCTTACACAAGGATTTTGTCCCCACGAGAAAACCTGCTCGGAGGTGAGCCTGTCGGTAAGTTTGGCGTCCCGCACTTGCGACAGTTCTTTGAACATATAGGGCGCTTCCCTTCGCCCCTTTTGACGGCGACGGAGACGCACTCTCTTGGAAGGTCATTCATACCCGACGATGAGACTGTGCTCGTGGACATTGTGACCAGATGGGGTGAACCGTCTCCATCACGCGAATATATGCGTTCTGGTCCACGGGAGTTTCTTGCATTTCATCCGCAAACGGTTCGCGCAGCTATTGTTACTTGTGGTGGCCTTTGCCCCGGTATTAATACGGTAGTGAAAGAAATTTACCAATCGCTACGCAACATCTATGGCGTGAAGGAGGTTCACGGTGTACAAATGGGCTACCGTGGCTTTTACACTGCCGAGCTCGATACCATTCTCTTGAACGACGTGTACCTGAAGGGAATACAACATCGTGGTGGCAGCGTTCTGGGCACCACAAGAGGCGGCTTCGACTTAGGGCTGATTGTCGACTCGATTGCTTCCAGGGGTTTCAATCAGGTGTATATTATCGGCGGGGATGGCACGCATCGAGGCGCATACAAGATCTTTGAAGAATGCATCCGGCGGAGACTCATGGTTTCCGTCGTTGGCATCCCGAAGACAATTGATAATGATATTGCAATCATCGACCACAGCTTCGGATTTGTTACTGCTGTCCAGGAAGCGCAGCGCGCTATTCGGGCTGCTTACGTAGAGGCCACCTCCGGATACAATGGAATTGGACTCGTGCGTCTTATGGGACGAAACTCGGGCTATATCTCTATGATGGCTACGCTGGCGGCCGGTGACGTTGACGTCTGCCTCATACCTGAGATCGACTTCGACCTGGATGGGCCTCACGGCTTGCTTGTGCATATCGAAAATCTGCTTCGGCACAAGAAATACTGCGTCATTGTGATTGCGGAAGGAGCGGGACTGCAGTATACTCAGAATGCTCAAGAAGAGAAGAAGGAAGTTGACGCGAGCGGGAATATTAAGATGCAAAATGTGGGGCTGTGGTTGGCCGAGAGGATCAACAGTTGGTTCAGCCTCCGAGGAATTGAGGTCAACCTGAAATTCTTGGATCCGACCTACGAGATCAGATCAGTTCCCGCCGTGGCGACTGACAACATTATGTGCACGTTGCTGGCGCAGAGCGCAGTACACGGAGCTATGGCTGGATTTACTGGCTTTACATGCGGGACGGTGAATACACACCACGTCATGATACCGATGAAAGAAATTATCAGCAGAGGGCGAAATCGTGTGGATCTCAGCTCCCGTATGTGGCATCGAGTGCTCGCGGCGACCATGCAGCCACCACTGAAGAACAAGTGATGTCACTGGAGAGCTCCGTGTCTATGCGCTCAATCATGTATGTCGAAGGAAACGGGTTCTGGTTGGTGGCCCTTTCACAATAACTGAGATTGCCGAGACTTTGCACGCCCAGAGCGGAACTCAGGTTCCAGCGTATAGTTTTCGAGACCAGGAACTATGGAATATGCTGCCAGCCTGCTCAAGTAGTCCGACGAGGAGATGTCGATGCCAGAATTGAGAGCCTTTCACGGTAAATGTATGGCGAAGTCTCATTTACGAGTGCAGCTCTAAAGCCGTGGTGGAGCGATTCAGCGGGCTAAGCCAGAGGCTTCCATACGAAGATGGGTCGCTCCACAAGGAATCGGTCGACGACTGATCCTCGGAACGCACACAACATTGGAGAATCCCGAAGAGCACCATCACTCAGGAGGCCCAGGAGTGAATTGTGCGATGCGCTCAGCCAGCCGACATCGTTCTGGTGACCAGGCAAACGCACATCCCGCATCTGTCTGCCCTGAAAACTCAATCCCCAAGACCACTGCCGACGACATATGGTGAGTTGCTATGCACTCATGGCCCTTTCTGACAGCATGCCACGGACTTGGCAAACATCATGCGAAGGGTAACCTTTGCAGGATTTGCCGCTTGCCACCGAATACGGCAAACATGTCGAAACCAAGTGCTAAGGATATCTGTGGTAAAATGCAGTGCTGTTCTGTGCTCTGGCACAGACTATTATAGGTGAAATCTGAACCGAAGTTTCTGCGACCTTTCTTCGAATAGAATGACCCAGCACCGCTGGTTCACTCAAGCCCAAAAGCGCAGAGCTTTTTGTGACCTGCAAGGAGATTTGGTGCGTTTCTGGGAGGCAAACCATGTACACATATTTGCCCAAAACATGTATATGCATTTACACAACTTTACGTCCATAGACACATGTACACGGACACACGAGAATATCCGCATCTGCACGAAAGTTCACGCACACGTGCGCGACTAGAGGCATATACATACATAAATGCGGACGCAGCGATATACGCAAACACGCACTGCCTGAGGGACTATAGAAAACTTGGTTCTCTAGCCATAAACAACCGCATGCAACACCAATACTCGAAAGTAGTTCTTCAGCAGCGCAATGAACATGTCCAGGACGTATGAAAAAGTGCATGGCGATCTCTCCCGCGTCTATCGAGTACAGCAGATGAGTTGAAAGGCTTCCTTGTTTTCCACAGCGCCTCCGAAGCACAGACCAATGGCAGCGAAAACTGTTTCCAGGCGTCGCATGAGAGAGTCTCAAGACAAGTACCGTCGGGAAGGGCCAACGCATCAGTTGACTTATACAACCGCGAGCACTATCCACTTGAATGCGAGATGTTCAGTTCGTCTTTGAGACATAACATCCTGAACATTAAGTTTAAAATCGATAGCAAACAGGACCCAATGAAGCCTCTCCACATATGCTCGCGACCAGTTAGCCACGAAGCCCATGTCACAGACGTGAAATCTTTCAGAGCTGGTATGCAAAAGAATGACAAAACCTGGTTTGACGGAGCCATCGGACCAGCAGGAATGTCTTCGATTGGACAGATGTGATGTGCGTGTCGGGCATACTGTGTGGCACACATTCATATAGCAGCTCCATCGTTCACCAATTGCCCAGGAGAAGGTTCCCATTACATACATCTTTGTAGTGCTCCAGCCTTTCCGGTTCGCTGACCCGTGCTACACCAGCGACTCGCCCAGGGCGGATATCCAATGCCCGCCCACCTGACCACCGATTCGTATTCATCGCAACGCATCAGCTTCCCAGCACAATACCTCCACTGAGCACTAGAGGATTCCCTCAAGAGTTCGCTCGACACAATGCCGCGGGACGCTCCGAACGCTCCCGGCATTTCCGTAAGTTGATCGAGGCGCTCAGGTCTGGGTGCAGCAAGTGCATGCGCACTTGTTGCGGATCGAGCCGCGGCATAGCAAGTCTCCTATCTTCGATGGCCTCGTCAACTGACGCCCGGTCAGTTTGCCGTTGACCAGCCCGTGCATCCGACACGCTTCTACGCTGTTCCTCTCTACCAGCTCCAGCGTGCACCCCTGCCTGTGATGCGCGTACATCGCCCTGTTCGCATTGACAGCAATAGTGCAGAATCGACTCGTGCACTCGTTGCACGCCGCCGTCGAAGGCACGGGAGTACAGCCTGTGCGCAGCACTGCGCGTCGAGCGCCACAGGCTACCGCCAAACGACGCGAATTGTCGATCATCTCCCTCTGCTCTCCATTGAAGAAGTGAGCTGGTGCGCGCTCGTGGTTTCATCGCACCGAGCTGGTTGGCGATCTCAATGCGGTCTCATGAAAACCTGCCAGGGATAGCCCACGTGAGCCAGATACACGCTCTTGTACGCTCTGTGAGTGGCGCGCACAACGCATCCCGCTCAACTCGTTCAGGTGCTCAGAGCGCCATCATCGGGTCTGACGCCGCTATTCCACCCGCTGGCATGCCGCCTGGCGTCCATCACGCCCGACTCCAGATAATACAGAGCCATGGAAAAACTTGAGCAGCCTCATGTGCTTTCCATTCACTTCGTAGCGTCTGAGCGCTTCACCCAGAGGTACGGCGATGTCCTTGAGGTTGATAGACCGGAGATTCACACCCGCCACGACGCTTGTCTCCTTCTCTCGGTTGAACTGTCGCAAAGCACCCTCTTTGCTCGATTCAAGCCTCCGTTTCACAAAGTGTGGGCAAATGGATATTCAGTGTGATCTTGACCCTCGGATAATTTCCCCCGGGTGCCCTCCCGGGTCCTCTTGTCATACGGATTCTGCTGTTCTGTAACCAACGGAATTTTCTCCATCTCCTAATGTTGGCGCGGTGCTATAGACGTGGACCCTATATCGCATGCCCGCTTTTCTTCCTCGGGGTTCAGAGGCACTGGATGGCCGCCGGCACTGAGACTTGCGTTTTCTGTGTATGTATCTCCAAGTCTTCGAGCGCTCTTCCTCACCTGCTCTGTCGCGGGCACGCTCACGCACCGTAGTGCACCTGTCCGCCCCCTTGGTTTCACACGCGATCGGAGAAGCGGGAGTGCGGTTCAGGCCTGGTGAAGCAAGAGAACGAGTCGTCGTAGGACGGTGCTGCGGATGCAAACGAAGCGTCTATGGATCCGTGAAAGTAGAGACGGCGTTTGACGAAACAGAAGTCGCCTTCGGCTGGGTGCAACCAAAGAGCCTAGGTTGGAACGAGGGACAGCTCAACGCCAATCTCAATTGCAGACGCCCTGACCGCGTTTGACCGATGGAAAAGCGGCACTGCCGAAGAGCAGTGCAGAAGAATTCGGTACTGGGAGCTCACGAACCGCTTCGATGAGGAAATGGACCATTGAACGATCCTGTCTGTTTGGTGATTTGAGGGCGATCCCAACTGAATCCGGGGGCGAGGCGCATGTCGTCACCGTACGCGCCTGTGCCATATTTACGACCAGCGGTGATCCGCTGTTTGAGCACCCATATCGAGGTCGACCATTTCGCTCGGATGATACCTCATCGAGTGAAACGGAGACCGGCCCGTTCTGTACTAACCGTGCGCGTTACAGCATGAGATCGGTAGCGCGTTATTCAACGCACGACGGTCTCCCGAAGAAGAGCGCTTTTTGCTCTGTCCATCCGTGTCTCTTGGTGGCCATTGTATCGAGGGCACGGAAGCTACACATCCTGTTGGTTCGTTAGGAACGTTTCCGAGAGCACGTATGGAGTGGATTGGATTGACTGGGAGACAATTTTGTGTACCGAGTTTGATCGTTTCCGTCGTGATGCCCAGAACGCAGAATAAGTAGTATGAGGAGTGCGGCTCATGTACCAGCTCACCGTAGAACAACTGACTTGAGCAAGTAAGGCCGTGTGTCGGAAGCTGGCAGTCACAGCATAAAGCATTTCCGCGATCTTTCTCCGATCCACGAGATACGTTCCTCTTGGTGAATACCTGCGCGAAGAGAACAAAAGAGGGTGTGCTTGTAAAGATATCCTAGAACGTACTGCTCTGCATACGGCATTTCGCTTGGGCTACTACTAACTGCGAGAGGCTTGCTGTCGGATGCGCGCTTTAGTGCGCTGCCCATGCAGAAAAGCTAAAAGACTGTATTCGCTCTTTACAGAGCTGACTGCTGCTCCTCGTGTGGTTCGTGGACCCTCTCGCTTCTCGGGCACGAGTGTCTGCAGGCCGCGCGTTGCACGTACCGAGAACAGAAAGCAGAACTGCTCGTTTGAGACGCTAGGCGCGGCAGGGAAACGAAAACAGTCGGCACTGTCCTGTGGTAGTCCCTGCTCCAGGGACTTTTGGCGGTGGCTCTTGAGCCAGTCCACAAACACTGAGCGTTAGCTACGAGAAAAAAGTGTGTTCTGGAAAGCCGGTGTAAAATGGCGGAGCATCGAAAGCGCAAGCCGACGAAGTGTCTGCGGAATCTTCTCCTCACTGGAACTCCGGGAACCGGCAAATCTACAGTTGCTGCGAAGTTTTGTGCGAGAATGCGGTTGAACGTACCTGCAAACGACTGGCCTGTTCATATAAACGTCTCTGAACTGATCAAGGAGAACCCGTCGCGGTTCGCTGAGGAGTTTGATAGCGAACGCGACTGCTTCGTTATCAACGAAGACGCCGTAGTTGAGCACCTAGAGCCCATAGTGCAAAAGTGTAATGTGGTCTTAGAGCACCATTCCAGTGACTGGTTCCCGGAACGCTGGTTTTCCCGAGTTGTGGTCCTGGCCAGCGCGACTGATGTACTGTATCGACGACTCGAGGCGAGAGGATACACGACGGAAAAAGTGCAAGAAAACGTAGAAGCAGAAATCATGCAAGTTTGTGCAGATGAAGCGATGACGAGTTATGACCGCAAGATTGTTGACATTTACGAGAACAATACTGAGGACGATATGGAGCGAATCGTAGGGAACCTCTGCGAATGGTGGTTGATCAGAAGTTGATCTGTCGACAAGCAGCAACCTGCTGCTCACTCGGGCAATATGGGCACTTGAATCTTGTGTTGCCCCTGGGCAGGCGGTTCACTGTTTCTTTGCAGAGCACGTGGCCACAGGGGAGCAAGTACGGCGGATTCGTTGGAGTGCTCTGCTCTCTGGAAACTGGGCAGACGAATATAGAGTGGTATTTGTACTTCTTGCCCAGGTCTATCTCAACAGGAAGTTCTTCCCGTTGTGTCCAGGATTCACGCGTTGCGAGCAGTCGAGTAGCGCGCATCAAAACTGGCAGTGCTATCGTTCCGCACGCAACAACGCTGTACAGGGGACTCTCCTCGCTTAGATCGAGATGTGCCCAGAAACAACGCCGAAAGGATTGCTCGGCGTCATCGGATAGCGCAGAGGTAAAAAATGAGGCATATGGAGATTTTGCGATACGCGATACGAAGGCAAAGCAACCCATAAGTTGCTGAATTTCCTTAGTCTGGGAACGCTGGAAACGAGCAAAATGCTGGCGGGCGTATGCCAGGGCCTCTGGTAGTCGCCTTTCCTGTAGATAATTGACGAATCGCAAACGATGAAGTTTGAATTCCAGTTCACGTAGTTTTTCGGCAAGCGCTTGACGTCCAGCGTTCGTGGGTACAGACGGGGTAGCGCTGTGCGGTATGTATGTCGAGTCCTGCATCCTTTGCGCCGCTGAGCTCTCCGAGGCGCCGTCCTGGCTATCGCTGCTTCGCTCTATCCAGGAAGAGACCCGCTGTGTCCAGAGAATAGCAGGCTCAAGCGTTCCGTGGCGAATATCGTTCAAAATAGCGTACAAATCCCTGAAAGGGAGTCGATACGTGTCCTCAAAGCTTTGGCCGGACTCTCTAGCGAAGGAGTCCGCGATATCGAAGTGACCTTCTCGATAGAGGTGCTCACCGATTGCTCGTTCAAGAAGTGTTTTCTCCAGCGGTTGAACATTGCATAGTTGAGAGATCTGTGGGTCAAAACAATTTTCCCCGCTTTTCGTGTACTTGGTAATTGCAGCTTTCAACTCCTTCTCTCGTACAGACAGAGTCTCGAAGAGAGCCAAAACTTGTTGCTGAAACTCTGCCAACAGCAACTTGCGTGCTTCTACAGATGTCGTAGGCGACAGTATGGCGACTTGGAAGCGATCCAGAGCATCCTTCAGGTTCTGGCACGCGTCAAAACTGGAGCCCGAAAGTTTCTTCTGTTTCGCGACCAGCCGCACCAGGTCCGCCGCAACACTCACAAGTCCAGCGCCGCGTTCTTTTGGCAACTGGCCGCTCATCAGAGCCTGTGATGTCTCGGTGCCAGACATGTCGCCTCCTGGGGGCCTTTTCCACAAGCGCCGACACGAGAGTAACGACCTCGTATACCAGCACAGGAACCGTTCCAGGACACGCACTCGATCTGCTTCGTCTGTTGATGAGTCGCAGTCGATCGCGGCCGTCGCCCCTGTTGCGGCCCCCAGCAGCAAAGGCGACAGCAGCAGCGTCGTGAAACAATACCGAGAGACGTCCCAGCGGGTATCAGTTGTTACTCCCCGAAATTACCATAGGAAATATGGCGCTGAAATATGCGGAAAAGAAAGCATCACGGTTGGCGCGACTTTTTCTGTCCGTGCTGACGCCCTGTTAAGCTTGGATGTTCATCGGAAGGGGCGCTGTGCTCCAGTAGATTCATGTTGCAGCGCTGCGGCTGTTGTATCTCTTTCCGAGAGATAAGATGTGGAAATTCTCGTTATGTGCCGCTCTTGTGCACTGAACATGCGTCTTGAAACTTGGCAATACATTGCCTTGGCTCGTGGGAGAGTGCATGCATTAGACGCCTTCAGCCGTGGTCAGTGCATGTCGATGGTGCCGTGGTGACTGGGAGCAATCCGCCATGGTGGCTGATAATTGCGCAAAACCCCGCTCAATACGGAGCAAAATACGTCTGGCGCTCGAATCCGCACCGTCACCACAGATATAGAGCCCGTTGGCAACAAGCGAGTCGCGATTATGTCCCACGTTTGGACTTGGTTGCATCGCGCCTGCGGTTAATGTGCATGCTTGCAGCTATTGCCGCGTTTGCGCCGGGCATGCGTGCCCGCCTGAGGCTTCCCCTCGTTATGCATTTCCAAAGCGCACTCGGGATTGCGCAGCTGCTACTTCAAGCACACACGAGCCCGAGGACGGCCGCCGCCATAGCATAGAGAAGTACCGCTGTTCGTGAATGCCGCCAGAGAGGTCCCCGAATGCAGCCTCTCTTCTGAACGAGGATTACTGTTCGGGAAGTCCAAAAGGATGCTCCTCTTGGGGGCTTGTATCGAGCGTTCGCAAGATTTCTCCTGACACGCGCTCGGAGGACAGCAATGCAACACCGGCCCGAGTGGTCAGCGATCTTTCAACTCCGGGGGCACTTTCGCTCTACCTACCAAACTGTCGATGGTCTGGACGCATGAATAAGCTGCTAGATTCCGGACTTTACGACGCAAAACAACAGGTTTGCGTCATGGTACAGAGGTGCGCCCTCGGTAGAGGTGCCTGAAGGACCCATTCCATGCCAGGCTGAACACCAGAACGATACGGCGCAGAAACAACCATCACGCGTTCAGATGATGCTGGTTAGATTCAGGAAGCCAGAAGTACCCACATCTGGGAAGCGGCTTGAGCTCCTTTGGACAGAGCTGCGTATGCTTTACTGGCAAGTGGGTCAATTAGAGTCCAGCCGAGCCAGTGACTCTCCAGCAGGACGTGCACACGATGCTGATTTCCGGTTTGTCGGTACGCGTTACATTCAAAGCAGTACGTTCTAGGATATCTTTACAAGCACACCCTCTTTTATTCTCTTCGCGCAGGTATTCACCAAGAGGAACGTATCTCGTGGATCGGAGAAAGATCGCGGAAATGCTTTATGCTGTGACTGCCAGCTTCCGACACACGGCCTTACTTGCTCAAGTCAGTTGTTCTACGGTGAGCTGGTACATGGGCCGCACTCCTCATACTACTTATTCTGCGTTCTGGACATCACGACGGAAACGACCAAACTCGGTACACAAAATTGTCTCCCAGTCAATCCAATCCACTCCATACGTGCTCTCGGAAACGTTCCTAACGAACCAACAGGATGTGTAGCTTCCGTGCCCTCGATACCAATGGCCACCAAGAGACACGGATGGACAGAGCAAAAAGCGCTCTTCTTCGGGAGACCGTCGTGCGTTGAATAACGTGCTACCGATCTCATGCTGTAACGCGCACGGTTAGTACAGAACGGGCCGGTCTCCGTTTCACTCGATGAGGTATCATCCGAGCGAAATGGTCGACCTCGATATGGGTGCTCAAACAGCGGATCACCGCTGGTCGTAAATATGGCACAGGCGCGTACGGTGACAACATGCGCCTCGCCCCCGGATTCAGTTGGGATCGCCCTCAAATCACCAAACAGACAGGATCGTTCAATGGTCCATTTCCTCATCGAAGCGGTTCGTGAGCTCCCAGTACCGAATTCTTCTGCACTGCTCTTCGGCAGTGCCGCTTTTCCATCGGTCAAACGCGGTCAGAGCGTATGCAATTGAGATTGGCGTTGAGCTGTCCCTCGTTCCAACTTAGGCTCTTTGGTTGCACCCAGCCGAAGGCGACTTCTGTTTCGTCAAACGCCGTCTCTACTTTCACGGATCCATAGACGCTTCGTTTGCATCCGCAACACCGTCCTACGACGACTCGTTCTCTTGCTTCACCAGGCCTGAACCGCACTCCCGCTTCTCCGATCGCGTGTGAAACCAAGGGGGCGGACAGGTGCACTACGGTGCGTGAGCGTGCCCGCGACAGAGCAGGTGAGGAAGAGCGCTCGAAGACTTGGAGATACATACACAGAAAACGCAAGTCTCAGTGCCGGCGGCCATCCAGTGCCTCTGAACCCCGAGGAAGAAAAGCGGGCATGCGATATAGGGTCCACGTCTATAGCACCGCGCCAACATTAGGAGATGGAGAAAATTCCGTTGGTTACAGAACAGCAGAATCCGTATGACAAGAGGACCCGGGAGGGCACCAGGGGGGAATTATCCGAGGGTCAAGATCACACTGAATATCCATTTGCCCACACTTTGTGAAACGGAGGCTTGAATCGAGCAAAGAGGGTGCTTTGCGACAGTTCAACCGAGAGAAGGAGACAAGCGTCGTGGCGGGTGTGAATCTCCGGTCTATCAACCTCAAGGACATCGCCGTACCTCTGGGTGAAGCGCTCAGACGCTACGAAGTGAATGGAAAGCACATGAGGCTGCTCAAGTTTTTCCATGGCTCTGTGTTATCTGGAGTCGGGCGTGATGGACGCCAGGCGGCATGCCAGCGGGTGGAATAGCGGCGTCAGACCCGATGATGGCGCTCTGAGCACCTGAACGAGTTGAGCGGGATGCGTTGTGCGCGCCACTCACAGAGCGTACAAGAGCGTGTATCTGGCTCATGTGGGCTATCCCTGGCAGGTTTCCATGAGACCGCATTGAGATCGCCAACCAGCGCGGTGCGATGAAACCACGAGCGCGCACCAGCTCACTTCTTCAATGGAGAGCAGAGGGAGATGATCGACAATTCGCGTCGTTTGGCGGTAGCCTGTGGCGCTCGACGCGCAGTGCTGCGCACAGGCTGTACTCCCGTGCCTTCGACGGCGGCGTGCAACGAGTGCACGAGTCGATTCTGCACTATTGCTGTCAATGCGAACAGGGCGATGTACGCGCATCACAGGCAGGGGTGCACGCTGGAGCTGGTAGAGAGGAACAGCGTAGAAGCGTGTCGGATGCACGGGCTGGTCAACGGCAAACTGACCGGGCGTCAGTTGACGAGGCCATCGAAGATAGGAGACTTGCTATGCCGCGGCTCGATCCGCAACAAGTGCACATGCACTTGCTGCACCCAGACCTGAGCGCCTCGATCAACTTACGGAAATGCCGGGAGCGTTCGGAGCGTCCCGCGGCATTGTGTCGAGCGAACTCTTGAGGGAATCCTTTAGTGCTCAGTGGAGGTATTGTGCTGGGAAGCTGATGCGTTGCAATGAATATGAATCGGTGGTCAGGTGGGCGGGCATTGGATATCTGCCCTGGGCGAGTCGCTGGTGTAGCACGGGTCAGCGAACCGGAAAGGCTGGAGCACTACAAAGATGTATGTAATGGGAACCTTCTCCTGGGCAATTGGTGAACGATAGAGGTGTTATATCATTGGATACTAGTAAGAATACTCGGGATATAACGAGAGCGTTTGGTAGCATTGCTACAACGCAGGATCGGAGTCCTGGTTATGCATTGAAATATTAAATAACTCTCAGCGGAAACCTCCGAGGGCGTTTTCAAATCAAGAGGGAAAACGGTTCGCTCGGAGTCTACACCTGTGTGACACTAATACAGAAAACTGAAGAGCTCGCTCTCTTCATGCCTCGAGATTTTCCCGACCTTATTCAGCTGACGTCCAATTACAAGGGTTCGTAAAGTAACCGATATCATCATCCTGTTCATACGGCCAGGCCAAGCGTCCACTCGCCTCGTTTTTTTTTCTGTTTAGCATGCTCGAATCAAGCAGACTACAAGCTTTCGCTCTTTCTTTTTCAGAGGTAACTCGTGAGCGTAGTGATCTGTGCAACGGGATTGATGAGTAAAAATACTTGACGTCGCCCATGCGCGACCTCTTCACAAGCTCATGCCGAAACTTCACTGAATTTCTCCCGTTAAATGATAAATTACGTTCGGATTACAAATTCAGCTCTTTTTGTGGCCATTTACGAAGCGGTATTCAATTGCTGTTGGATAGCTCTCACGGGATATGCTGCCAGAGGCTCCCGTCTCGTTGGTTTGCAGGGAAAAGAGTTTCGGACTGGGACTAGAGACATCGCTGCGGTCGCTCCCAGTGTAGGGAGTGTAACGATTTTGTACGACGCGAGCGTAGAACGGATCGAAATCCATCGATTTCTTCACCACCCTGGATTTTCGTTCCGGAACTTGTTTCAGTACGCAGAAAGTAGCGTTCCACAAATCCTCTATCCAATGGAGCAGCATGCGCTTACGTGTGCTGCGGACGGAGCATTCGCAATGGGAATCGCCCAGAAGAAGCCTTTGATCATGTGATAGGGCAGCAGGCGTCGAAAACAAAGACCGCATCAGGCGGAGCCTTCTAGACCGGTAAAGGGCGTGTACCGAGCGTTGAAGGAAGCGTTCACGCTTCACAAGGCAACCATCGGAGGAGCAGTAACGGCCGACACGTGGGATCACTTCAACTCTGTTAAATGTTACCGCTACGAGGGGCGACTTGGGGCTGCGTTCGAATGTGATGAAAATAGCAAACAGACTGTAGATCGCTTCTTCCGCCTGTGTATGAAATGCATCACCAGCAGCAGCAAGCAGCAGAGTCGGGACTTGAGTAGCGCCATCCACATCCTTCCCCTGGTGACATCGAAGCTGATGGGAACGGAGAGACCACCATAGAAATCCGCATATTACAGTGGAAAAGTAAGTAGTGGCAGAACGAGCCTACAAGACTAATGTTGATGATAGCGCGAAGAGACCCAAACGTCTGCTCGTACGTTCCTGTTAGCTAGACGGGACTCGTTCCGTTTTAGTGTGACATGGAGCCCATACTTTGCGTGGAGCTCTTGGAGGGATTGGACGTCTGGCATCCGGCAGGCCGCCGTTTAAGCTACGTGTATGGTTTTGTGCTGAAGTAGACGTGCGACGAGCTGCCTTCGTGTCCACTTGTACACATGCCTTCACTTGTTGGCGTCTAAGGAGCAAGCGGACGCGCACGGGTCGCGGACGCGAGTTGGCGCCAAACAACTTGAAAGTGTGCTCCTCCTCGTCGAGGTCGACGTTTTCGCAGCTCACAGAGAAGCGAAAAGTCTTTCCTGCAGAGTTCTCGCCGCTCCCTGATTCGATCTTTTGGGTGGAGCTTCGACATGAAGGTTCCATTCTGGCTATTTGCACTTATGGTTGCTTTGGTTTCGTTCAACGGGTGCAATATAGCGAAACCCGCTCAGTCTTGCCTTGGCTCGGGGCTCGCAGGCTGCTCGGCGCAGTTGTATTCTGGGAACCGGAAGGGTTGGTTCAGCGTATCCGGCTCCGTACAGGATACAATATTTACTCAGAATGAGCTTGCATCAAGCTTGGAGAGACTCGTCAGCCACATAATAGAACCTTTCCGAAATGCAACAGCGGAGGAGCTTCGCCACAGACTACGCACACTGTTCGAGCGCAAGACGTATCGCGTAACCCCGAACGGTGCACGCAAAGCCGAAGGTTGTGTCGTCTGGTCGTGGCAGGGAGGAAACCTTACGTTCAACGCACCGACAGAGACGGAAACGATGATGCACCGCACGAAACCTTTCTGGTACAATCGCTTACGCTGGACGTGGGAGCTGTTTGAAGCGATAAAAATGCCCAGAGACGACTTTGAGATAGCGCAGTGCCTGCATGACTGTGTTCAGACTGTTCGAAAGGAGCCGCAGTTCGCCAAAATGCCTCGGTATCCCGAACCTGGACCGATTCCAATTCTCAGTCTCATCCAGTGCTGCGGCATTAGCGATGATATTCCCGCACCAGTTTTTGAATCTGGCAGACCTGGCCCGAGAACGATTTTCTCAACTGGTCTTCGCGACTGGGATGTTGCTTGCGCGCTCCAAGCTGCTTCTGCTTTACCGTGGGCGTTTAGACTGCCCAAGGCAGTCTTCCGCGGCTCCGCTCGAGAATCTCTAGAGGAAACCAGACTTGCGACCGTCTCTGGGCGGAGAGGAATCCACGGACGCAGAGGGTCGAACGCGTATGGCCGGCGAGCCCTGGCAGAGCATGGCCGCCGACACCCAGCATTGCTGGATGTACTTGTCACAGAATCCGGGGGCAACAGAAGTGCCGGCGGCTTTATGTCTGTCCGGAAGTTGGTGAACTACCGCTACTCTGTGCATGCTGAAGGCAACTGTGGCTGGGCAGACCGCTTATGGTGGCAGCTACACGCTCCGCAAGTGCTGCTAAAGCAGCGATCACCGTGCGGTCTGTACTTCGAACCCCTGATGAAGCCATACAGAGATCACATCCCTGTCTCTGGGTCATTTGACGACCTCAGTCGCAAAGTAAAGTGGCTCCAGCGCCACGAGTCGGATGCTCTCGTAATGGCGACGAATGCAATGAGATTCGCGGAGGCGTACCTCGTTAGACGGAGCATACTCAAATACTTTGAGATGGTCCTAAACCAGTACGCACAAATTTGGCGACATCATTCTTATGGAGATCGCGGGCACTTCCAATCAGGAGGTGGTGGCGCTGAATGCCTTCGACCTCGTTTCGACTTTTGGTTCTTAGAAGAAAAAAGGGATGCAGATGCGGGATAGGGGCCCACCTCGTAAGCAAGCTTTCAAGTCGCGTTTACCGATCAGTATTGCCATGCATTCTGCACTGTCCATAAACGTACCCAGGAAGTGGCTGTCACTGCTGGTCGAGCAGGTTCCCGGAACGATGCTACGTCTTGCGTCTTGGACGATTATTGTTCCGGAGTATGGAACAGGCGGATCTTTTTTTGATTCGTCCATGATGTACAGAGAATCTACCATGATCATAATGGAAATCGTGCGCCCTGAGTAAATGTCGACAGCGGCCTGCGCGGAGCGCCGAGTTATAAACAGTACCGGGTAATTCGACACTGGAGCGAATCAAATACAAAGGTCTAAGCGTTGCAAATGAACCCCACAGGAAGGCATGGGTATGCGCCGGCGTGCTGCAGCGGGCAACTGGACCCTTCTCATCTAGTCATGCGTGAAGGTTATCATCACGATGGCCGGTAGTAGAACCTGAAACGCTTTCATCGTGGATGCCACCTTCTCGGGCCAAGCCGGATGGCCCTCATCACAATGAATGGAAGCAAAAGCCCGGTATCCTTTTATCCCGAACAGGCAAGGCCAGCAGAAGCATCATGTTTCGTAACAGACTGCTGCTCAACGAGCTTCGGATTCGACGGCGTACGATGCGAGCAGCCCCAGGCCATCTGCAAGCTGCAACGTGACAGAGATTATTCTCGCACAGCGAAAAAAGTCTTTCTCATTCGGGACGCCTGCATCCCTCGCAAGCGCTCGCAGCCACTTACGCGCAGTTTTGGAAGCTTCGTCTTCCACAAGCCGACTGCGAGGATCGCTCGCAAAATCATGATAATTGAGCACCGATATTCAGTAAGCGTTCTGCGAAAGCCCAATCTTTCTTCCTAACAACCACCCACAAGGCGATGCTACGTGCAGGTCGCTACCCCCGTAAAAGTCGAGGTTGTCGTACCACCTGTTCCACAGGTAAAGCGGTACAGCAACCGACCTGCTTCCGCGCACTCGAGCACCAAGTTTCCATTCCCAGTCGTACCGGACGCACGAAGGAGTTCATTCAGATCAAACCGAGTAGTTTGTGAACGAATAGTCGCCAGGTTTTGGTCGTTCTGTTCCAATGCAGACACGTGCGCCCGGAGTTGGGAAACAACAGCCCGCAACTCTGCGTTCTCAGCTGACGCTTTCCGCACAGCAACATCTAAAGAACTAGCCACCGTGCCAAAGCAGGTCCCGAAAGATCCTACAAAAAGACTTATCCCAATAAGTATGACGAGAGCCTGCCAAGGCTTGAGACTGAAAGTTTGCATCTTCGAACAATACTTGTCTTTACAAAACAGAGTAGGAAAAAGAATTTTAATGAGATGCAAGCGGCGTAAAGGTGCGTGTTGCGCGCCGTCACGCGGAGCATCCGTTGATCCCAGTGTCACGAATCGACGACACCAGTGCAACAAACAAGCGACGGCGGCCGGCGGCAACAACACATATCGATGGAAAAATTGCCACTACGTGCTGGAGATCACTGGAGGGATCGGATCGCATCGATCGATCCGTGTCTGCTCTGCTCACCATCGCATCTAGCGTTGTTTCTCTCAAAAATGACGCAACGGAGTTACCACCTTACGCCAGTATTCGTATGCTGCTTCTGGATTATGGCGTGGTTCGTTTGCATATTTACGTTAGGAGCGGTGGAGGCTTTGGGACGCTTTTCTCTGGGAAGTACAAGGGAGGGCGTGCTTGCGGCACTTGTAGAGGACAATATTCGCCTGCGAAATGAAGCACGCATTCTGCTCAACCGCTTGAACCACTTTGAGGCTTCGAACAGGCGTCAGATTTTGGTTTCCCACGGCAGCGTGCCAGGAGTCTATCCGTATGGAGGTATTTTCAATACCACCGTGCGTGCGAGCACGGGCAGCGGCGGAGCGGCGACTTCCGTGATTGAGTGCGCCGCGACCGAGAGAGTCCTGTACCGTTTTTCATGCCCAGCAGACGTTGTAGCCGCCACGACGATGACCGGTGTGATTGACTGTTAACGGAACGCGCTTCGAGCGTTCACTGCGTTTCGAAAAAGTCAAGTGTTTGCCAACCGAGACGATCCCGAATTCGTTCCAAACGTTTTCTGTTGGACCCAAAGTCACCAAGCGGTTGATGGAAAGGATATATATAGGTGACCTTCTGTGACCTCGATCGGTAAAGTACAAGCTTCTCCTCAGGTCGGAGCAGAAACTCGATGTCGTCCTCGCCGCCCGGTGGAAATACACTCGGTGCAGTCGCATGTAGATAGAAACCATCCACTTCGCGGACAGCGACGCCAGGCTCCGCTCTTACCGCCGCCTCGAGTGCCGACCAGGCTTCTCGAGGACTATCAGTGACTGTAGCATACGACCACGGCGCGCCGTACTTGACGGGACTCCCGATTGCGGAAGAGGAGACACAGTTTTCTTCGCTGCCACAGCTCCCGAGCGACTTGATCTGCACCGCCGAGAAAATGCCACCATCGGCACTGGAAACTGGCACTCGAAAAGCCCCTTCAAGCGAAAGTGCAATCATGACAGCAGCGCAAGCTGACGATCGTCCCCAGGGAGTAGCGGCCGTGGCCGCTAGTCGGAAGCTGCGCCAGCTCCTGTGCAGGGCGAAACGGCGAGTTCTGACCCTGGAATTGACCACAAACATGTCTGTACCCTAGAAAATCCTACTTATTCCTAACGTTATTCGGAAGTGTATCTGACGTTCGCGCAGAGGTATCGTTTGACCACCACAGGAACCTAATGGTGATCGATAAGAGTCAGCGGCCAACTGTTTGCAAAAATTACAGCGCCGCTGTGTAGCCGGGTAACCCGTACCTCAACATAGTCGCTCTTGAAAGCGTTAAGTTGGCGTTACAGGCAGTTCGCTGACTCCGAATCGAGTACATCTTTGGTACGAAAAGAATCAAGCAAGCTCTTATAGTCTTTAACGTCAATTCTGTTGAATCCTTAAGTGAAAGTAATCAACTGCTTTTTCGCGGTCCACGGCAAACGTGTTCGAAGTACGCTGTTTTTTAAGAATAGAAAATCCTAGGCTAAGTTATGGACTTGCAAGTCGCGAATCGAGGAAGGCCATCACCGCCGGCTGCCGACAGAAGAAAAAGCAAAAATCCTCTTCTCGCCGAACATCAAACGAAGAAAAGCAAGTGACGAAGAAGAAGAGCGGAGATATGCGAGAAAAGGCGTTCGTACGACGGGGCGATGACGAGGCTGTAGTGGCATAGAGGTCGCGAACTCTAGGAATCTTTGCAATGGTACGTTCCACCAGCGGCAGCAAACGCATGCAGTTCGTGGACCGAGACTTCAGCACCGCCATGAATATCAGACGATGTATGATGCTGAAGAAGAGAACTGAGGAGCTGACGCGATCCAACGTCGTGGTGCAGCCTCTCAGGCTCGAAGTGTGCCTGCGTAAACTGAAACCGATAGCAGTGGTCCGGTCACAAAAGTCTGGGAGACGTCTGCGCGTGGGTGTATCTGTATACACTCTATGGTCGTTGAACGTTTATCTTTTTGCCGATCACAAACAGAGACTGCGTGAATACGTTACGGGGCTGGCGCTGCGGATGAGCCAACTTCCATACGAGCTCGATGGAAGGGCCCGGAGACAAGGACACCGCAGCGTTCCAATGCACTCTGTAGGGTTTGTAACCCAACCTGTCTTTCACACAATGAACACATTTCCCACCATGCTCCACCAGATACGTATCTTTGTTTCCAATTTTTAAGAGACTTTGCAACAGATGCTGGATGCATCCAATTTTCTTTCCGTCAACAGGAGCTCGCTCGCATCAATTCCCGGTACACACACATCCATCGCAGTGCTGTTAGAGCGGCTGATGCGATTTTTAATTTCGGTAATGAAGATGTTTCAAGCCGATGTGATCCTCCAAAGCAAAATGTCTTACAGAGTCCATTGCTGTGGGCCTGAAACCAACAACGCCTGCTTGACTGGTCGAATAACAGGGTAGAGGTGAGCGCGCCATCAACTCGCATCTTGCGAAAGTTCTCCCCGCACCCGGAATTCGAAAACCAAGCGCATCACTGGTCGAACAGGCACCGAAACTCCGGCAAGGACAGCAAGATGTTAGATGTTGGAATGTCACCTTTGGCGTCGGTGACTCACGTGGGCAACGGCAGGTATTTGCACCTGCTGCGCATAAATTCTTGCCATTTTACTCGATGCATTAGAGAAGTGGCATTATTCAAAGCAATACGGCTGCGCACGATGTCTGCACCGAGAGCCCTCGTGCAGCAATTCCGAACATTAACGGAGAAAGACGTGCTTGAGCTTTTCAAGTAAGTACCGTACCAGTGTGAAACCTGTTTAGGCGACTCCTTCATGCGTTCGTCGCGCACCGCTTCGTTTTGAATAGTCCATCGTGCGGTTTGGTGCTATAGTCGTGATCAGCGGACACAAGCGAATTTTGAATCACGCAGCACCGCAGAAAAAGACAAGCCGTCGAAGCTCCGTGTCGACGACGTCTGCGCAGCGCTCAGCCGCTCCAACAAGTCATCGGTTGCAAGACCGATGGCCGTAATCGAGCTTTTCGCTCTTCTGCGCAGTGCGGGACAAGCGCTCGCAACGGATACACGATGCGCCACGTAGTGCATCGAACTGCGGCGGAATGGGTGAAACCGTCAACAGGGAGCCCTTTTTCTCGTCAAGTCGGGGTCACTGCTATCTGCAGCATCCTGTGGAGTATATCGCCTGCGGAAAAATATCTCGAGTTCCCTTGTCGTGAGCTGGCGAAACGTTGGACGCCCATGCGGACACGTGCGAGGTGCTTTCGTTCGGAGCCATTGGTCCACCAATGACTGCATCCTCTCTCGATCCAATTGCGTTCCGTTCTTCACCGCTGCCCTGCAGGCGAGAAGCGCTAAGCGATCCTCCAGACTGGATGCAGAACCGAGTGCTTGTAGCAGGAATTGCATCTTTCGCTCAGACTGCGACCTGGGGCAATCATTCTCAGGGTCTAGGAGTCCCGCTTCGATGAACATTTGCGGGGCGCGTTCCACTTTCCATTCCAATGGACCGATCATGGTCATGTGGATGCCCAGGGATTCTCGCAGCTCCTCGACCTGAGCTTGAGCGAACAGACCTCGCATAATAATTGGTTCGCGGAGCTCGACAATATTACGCGCCAGAGACGTATACTGGTCCCTGTACTTTTCGTAGAGCACGCGTTCGTGTGCGGTATGCTGTTCAATAATCCAAATATCACCGCTCTCCATATTGGTGGCGATGATGTAGGTCTTACCAATCTGGGTCATGGCTTCGAGTCTGAGCAGCTGGTTACTTTGGGGTTCATCAGCGGCACCGTTTAAGGCGCCTTCTTCCATATCGATAAGTTTCCGAAGATAGGTCGATGCAAATAAGTCTGCGGCGGATACCTCTGATAGCGGCATCGAGAAGCAACGATCGATGCCCTCTCGAAGTTTCTGAAACCAGTACTCGGGGTCACGTAAACGCATCATAGTTTTCATCGGGTGAATATTCCAATCGACATCTCTTCCAGGGCATCTTATGTGAATGAAGATTATCGGGAAGCGACCGGAAGGTAACGTGTGCTGCACATGGCTCAGCGCCGCGTTCACGAGGTCCGCGTTCTGTACAGCTCTACCGTTCACAGCCACAATGACCGCATCCGCCCGTGAGCGATGGTGCCCCCGGTCCGGATACCCGAGCACACAGAGGACTTGATCGCTAGCGAAAGCACCACACTCCTCAGGCGCAATTTCCATGATCTGACTAAACATGCGGATAAGGGCGTGCTTAGCTCGCTCTGTCTCCGATTCCTCGTCAGAGAATTCAAGTTTGCCGTATAGGGTAAGAAGATTGCGTCCGCTATCTCGAACTCTCCAAGAAACGTTCGGATGGCATAAAGCCGTTGCGCGGACGAAGGATAGGAGCTGTTGCCGCAGCTGCCTCTTGTGCGGCATGGCGGAACGCCGCGGGGCAAACTGTTCGTCGCAAAAGAGACCAGTGACCTGGACAATGGTTCCCTGGGGAAGGCCGACAGGCTCAACCGGTTTCGTTTCAACTTGTTGTGGGCTGTATTGAATCATGTAACCACAGGGGCTGGTCTCCCCTTTCGAGCGAACCTCAATACACGCACAGAGCTGGGATATTGCCCAGAGACCCTGACCTCGAAAGCCGAGTGTGTGCACCCGTCCAGCAACGAGCTGCTCCAGTGAGGCGAGCTTACTCGTCGCGTTCTGCTGAAGACAACGTTCAAGGTCATTTGGCCTCATCCCTCGTCCATTATCTCGTACGACGATATTGCCAGCATCAAAGTCGATGTCGATCTCCACCGCGGTGGCCTCCGCGTCCAGCGCGTTCTCGACGAGCTCTCGCACAGCAGCGACGGGGCTATCAATGACTTCGCCACTCGCTATTCGCTGAATGACCTCTGTAGGCAAGACGGAGATCCGCAAGGTCAACGGTACTGACCTCCTTGGGGATGTTCGTCGATAAACGGATCTCGGACAGAGCTTCAACGGCGTTGACGACCAAGGCTGCGCTGGGCTCAGAACAACCCGTCGTGATGATGCGTCGCTTTGCTGCAGCTTGCCCACGTTGCTCGAGATATGCTTTCTTCTGATGAAACAATATGATATGAACATACTTGACTACCCTGGTGGTCACTAAAACCGCACGACGACTCTCCACATCAGCGCAGCGGATTATCGGTGATGTGATATGGATATTCGTGTCTGAGAAGCCACGCCAACGCGTTCCCGCTGATCGCAGTCCGGTGCTTTTGTGGCGAAACCTGCACCAGATTCAAAGGGAACAAAAAGCCACTCATTCTAAGACTGAATTTCGTTCTTTCCGAGCTTTTTGTCAGATGAGCAGCCTCGACATCCGAAGTGCATCAGTAAGGGCACTGCGGATTCATGCAAAGCTTGAGGAGTTTCGGGGGTGTTTTCGGAGTGACCCCTTCGACGCTCTGCAGCCAGAATTCGTCCGTCATCGGTACCAGGACGATTCGCGACGGCCTCGAAGAAGGACCCCTAAACTAAGCGACGGCACCATTGAATTCACATGTACGAGACTCCAGGCCGCTCGTTTCCATGCGTTCAGGGTGTCCTACTCACGCATGCCTCGCACGCTCGACCTTTCTGTTCCAGGGCAACTCGTAGGCACAACAACTCGCGCTCCTTCGTTGACGGGTAAGTAAATCGACTTTATGCGTTGGCGGCATGCTCACAATATCATGCGCAAACTTCACCGAAATTCTCGCTTCGAAAAAATAGACTCCGTTCAAACGACACATCCGGCTCTCTTTGGAGCCAACTAGGCATCGGCTTTGCACAGAAGCAGTTTCCCGTCGACGGGGCATGCTCCCAGAGGCTCCCGGCTCTTGTCATCGGAAACCGGACTCGGGCTCGGGCTCGGACTTTAGTCATCGCGGAGGTCGCTTCTGGTACGGTCTGCATCACTGCCTTGGACGAGCGCAGCGGACATAGATCGAATTCTCTGGGCTTGTTCACCAACCGGGATTTCCCTTCCTGGGCTTGTTCACCATCGACATCATCGCATGGCACAAGTCCACTGTCGACTGGGACAGCGTGCGTCTGCGTGTCCAGCGCGCAGGGCACTTGCCCAGCGCATGACCCCGAAGAAGCCCGTGATCGTCGAGTGCAGCACCGGTCGCGCAAAAGCATGAGGGCATCGAGGCGAGCGTTCTGTGCACGCTCACGGCATGTATCTGGCGCAGGAACAAGTGCTCAAGCAACACAGGGCCTCTTGTCTGAAGAGACTGCGTTGTAGTCACATGGGATCACCTGATGACGCAGACAGGTCACCGCTGCAACAAGGCGCACAGCGTCTGTATACAACGAGGATGGAAATGGCAAACGCAGCGTAGATCGCAACCTTTGCGTGTGCTCGAAAGACGTCAACAACGAGCCGGAAGCGGCGAAATCGGGACTTGAGCGCTGCTATCAACATGGTTCGTCTGTCGGCACCTGAGCTGGTGGGAAAAAGATAGACCAGCGCGTTTGAAGCTGGATAGCAGAGTTAGGAACAGTAAACACGTGCAGAGACATCCCGTAGCGGCTTGTGTTGATGATAGCGAGAAGGGACCCAAACCTGAGCGTGTACTTCCGTGTTAGATAAGTTGGCCCGTTCCGTTCTATTCTGACATAGTTGTAGAGGCTGCCCCTGCCATTGATGCTTTCCTTTGAAAACTTGAAACCCCGCTGACGCGGCCCATTCCCCAAGTTGCATGCAGCGTGATCTCCGATGGCTGCGAACGCAGTAGCTTGCGAACGGTACAGGAGCGATCTCTCTAAACGCCATTTTCCGCTGAATCGTTCCATAACCGCTCGCCTTCGAGACGGACGTGCGCCCCACAGCCATGATATCCAATCTTTCGCATTCTGGAGGCGGTGGGGGCGGGAGGCGGCTATACGCATCCAGAGGCGATAGTCTCCATGATACCTAGAAAAGCAAGGGTATTCGGGATGCCCTTCCAGGCGATGTCGTGACGTATGCTAGTTGCGCTGAAAACAAGATGGTATGTACCACAAAGCAGATACATTACAGGTGGAAACGGACAATGCAGTGAATTCTACGTGAATTGCCAACCAAACTAGCGGGGTTTTCACTGATCCATGTAAACTCAGAGGCATGCGAGCGCGCTTGTAGGCAGCGAAACACCCCAGAGCACCCCAAATGCATAATGTATGGCGCTGTGCAACTCAAAAGGCCGCCCACTCTACTTTGCATCGCCACTTGGCCGGATGGTAAACGGAAGCTGTCTTCTTTTGCGCTCATGGTGCAAGTCAACTGGAGAATGAGGTTCATGTGCTAACTAAGGGCACCAGTAACCTATGCAGAGTGAAAGGATGCAAATGAGACAGTACTCATATGACACGTGTTGCGCGCAAAAACCGTTTTCCATGAGTAACGCATGTGGCTGAGCATCACAATCGAGACGAGCGCGATCATCTGGGAAGATCCTGCAGCGAAATCTGGCGCATGAAAATGAACGCGATGATCAGTCGGCGGTAGCGCAGTTCCCGGCAAGCACAGCGCCACGATGCGTAGCGATCGCGTTGCCCCACCAGGAACGGAACCCTGAGACCTGCCAGGAGGCGCGAGGAGAACACCTTTCGTTTAGACCTAAGACTGCCTGGCGCAGCGTTCACAACCGAACGCGCTTCTAGATGTTGATGTTGAACGACACACCAAGGTTCCCGGGCCCGACTCCGCTCGTGAACCCGTTCGGGCCCAGCAGACCCGCCTGCTCATCGGGTACCATGCTCAGCTGGACCTGCGTCCGGCCCTGCTGATGCAGCAGCGACATGTTCACATTCGTATCCGGAGGCCGGTACGCCAGCCCAATGTTCCAGTTGCCGAGCGCACCACCATACTGCTGCTGCTGAACCGCCTGCAGCTGCGCCTGCTGCAGCTGCATGTACTGCATTGCCTGACGCTGCTGCTCAGCCGCCTGGATCTGCACGTGAATAAGCTGCTTCCGCCGTGCAGAGATCTCCGCCATGGTCTGCTGCAGGTCGCTACGCTCATTCGCATAGGACCAGTCGGATCCGGGCCGCACGCTCTCCTCCGCCTCGCGCTGGAAAAGCGCATCCGCTGTGTAGAACGCAAAGTCGCCAGGAATCTCCTCAGATGAAGACGCAGTCTTAAAGTGCTGCAGCGCGTTCTCCCGAATTATCTGCAGCTGCTTCAGGAACAGCGACTGCAACGACGCATCGAGCACAGTCTCGAGCTCCGCCAGTTTCCGCTCGCGCACTTCAGTTCCCGCATACGCCTCCGTAGCCGATTCAAAGCCACTCAGGTACTTTTGCAGAAGCTCCTCCGCCCGGCGTCCAAAACCACTGATCTTCTCGCCCTCGTCCAGTTGACTCGCAAGCTCCCCGAGCTCCTCGGCGCTGTTCCGAAGCGCCTCGGAGAAAGCGGCATCGCAGTGATACGCTGCTGCCAGTGCCTCTGGCGTGAGCGCTTCCCCAGCGGCTCCTTCATCCGCCGCCGCCGCCGCCGCCGCCGCCGTAGCGACACGCATGGCCAGCGGCTTCGCAGCACGCATCGCCCCAGCGGGCTGTGCACGAATGCCCTCCCAGAGGCGTCGACTGAAGGCACCGAATCCATCCGCAGGCAGACCCTTGCTGTATTGCGAGGACAGCAGGCCGCCATCGCCACTGCCACTGCCACTGCCGTCTAGGAGGTCCCGCCGCAGACGCTGCACAGCGGCGTCGTAGGCTGAACGCGACGTGCGCGGCGACGGCAGCAGAGCTACGCGCAGCTCGAGGGCAGCGCGCAGCGCCTCCACCGAGTGACTCGCTGCTGTCGGTGCTGATGCTGCTCCGTCGCCGATTTCGCGCTGCCAGTGCTCCTCGGCGTCCAGCCAGAGAGACTCCGCGATCAACGATGCAGTGCTCTCGGTGGTATCCGCGTCCGCGCCCGTATCCGCGTCTGCGTCGCGCACCACGAACACAACGCAGGTGCGCAGGAGAGGGCCCTCCGCGTGAGCCAACTCGCGCACGATCGTGCTCAAGTACCACTGTGGGTCTGCGTCGTAGCGTCCCAGGTCGTGGTACCAGACGTTGCACAGAACAACATCGGACACACTGGACACGTAGCGGAGGCAGCGCTCCTGCAGCTGCTGCCCCGTCGCGCCTCCGTCCCCGCCGTCGATCTCCAGCACCAGAAGCGTCTCCTGGTTTGCTGCCAGTGCTGCAGAGACGCCGCGGGTCTTCCAGCGCCGACGCTCAGTCGCCCGCGCGTGCGACACCGCGAAACGCGTCCCGAAAATGTCATTCAAGAGACTCGACTTGCCTGATAGCGGGCTCCCGATGCACCCGACGACACGATAGCATTCAGCGCCGACATCGAGCTCGCTTGGGAACCAGGGCGTGCGCTCCAGCATCACGCCATGTTCATCAATGATCTGCAGCACGCCCGCTGGCGCACTGGCAGATTGCGCTGTTCCGTTGCTCATGGGCAGTGTTCAATGCTTCGCTGAAGGCACCTGGTGTCCCCACAGTTCAGCTCTGTACCGTATGAGGCTTTGTAAAGACTTGACTCCGATCCACTGTGAAGTGTATTCGGTTGGGTTCCGGGCGCAGCACTGCGTGGGACGCCGTCCGCGTTTCCAGCTGTGTACGCGTTTCTAGCCACAAGAGCGCTGCTCGCCACGGTAGTGACTCCGGTTAGGCGCGAGGTGACAGCACGTGCGCACGTTTGGTGTTATTTGGGCAGAGTTCCCGTCAGCAGGCTGCTGTGCCTTTAGGGCTGGGCCTTCTGGCTGCGCTGCAAACCCAACAGGAAGCTGAACTGCCGCAGTGCGCTCGAGTACGCCTAGGTCGTTGCGGTGCGCGCCGGCGTGTGCTGCTCGCGCTCAGGGTAGTTGCCGTAGACCGCGCTGGAAACCAACTAGGCACGCGCCTCGTCGTCCTTCTACTCGCAGGGGCCTCCTACCGCACTGCGCTTCTCGCTCGCGCTGCAGACTCGGGTAGGGTTCCGCGGCGCCGTGCTCAGAATTCGCACAGGCTATGAAACCTTGGTGCCTGAGAGCACGAACCTGTCTCCAGATGCGGTCGGGGCTCACCGGCTCAACGCGCTGGTGCTTTCCTCTCTTGTGGGTGCGCGCACGCGTAACTGGTCAATAGTGCTCGCAAGGCGTGTTGGTATGCAGCCCCTTCAAACTCCCCGTTTCACCGGGCAGAGACTCGGACTCGCTCACGCGTTTATGATCTGCGTACCACGGGCAAAGCGTCGAGTTGCACGCGCACCTAGCGCTCGAAGCTATCTATAAGAAAAGAATGTTCACGACACAGCGCGACGCTAACGGCGACGTCCTGCAGCCTGGAGTCGTCTGCGCGCAGCCAGCGGTCATTTGGCGACGGCGGGGCGGGCGACGCGGCGGCTGCGCGCTGGTGCAGCGCCCTGCTGGTGTCCGTATTGTCGCAGAGCGCAATCGCCGCACCAGCGCAAGGCGCGCGCATCCCAGCGGCAGTGCACGCCATCACTCAGGCAGGCAACCTGGCGCATCGTGCAGCGCACCCAGCGGCAGCGCACGTCTGTTGCCCATCCAGCTCGCTGAGCCTGTGAACGGCCAGGCCGCATGCCGGACGCTTCGGGCGCGCGCCTCTCGCGATTCGCACGAGCGTTCCGTTTCGACGCGAGACGTCGACACTCGCGTCAGCACACGGTGAATTCCGCGTACTGGACAGCATAAGGAGACGCTCGCTCTCGCTTGCTGGAGCCGTGTGCAGCGCACAAGTTGCGCAGCAGAAGAGCTGTCTTGTACAGACCGAGACAATATCCGATACGTCGAGCAAGCCACAGAGCTGCCGGAAATACACAACGAGGAAGCAGTGTCGCGAGCTGTTATAGCGCTACACCTGACACGTCGAGCCTCGGGGGTGCTACGACCTGCACGAGGGCAACGACGGCGCACGGCATAACAAGCACGGGTAGACGGGTGCTGGGCACGTTCGGCTTGCTGCGACGCTGGTAGGAACCGAACGGGGTGCTCGTACTCGCACCGCTCGCCACTCAGGGTCGCGATCGACACGAGAAGCGCCCACAGGGGAAACGATGGCACCACGAGCGCTGGACGCATCGTCGGTGATCTCGGAACCGCTGACACTGCCGCTGACGGGCCGCGCCGCACGAGACCGGGACGCACTCTTTGGAGCAAGCGCGGGCACTGCGCCTAACCCTGCGCCTGTGTCGAGGCGCAAGCAGCCAGTCGCTGGTGCGGAGAAGCGCCCCGCGGCCCGGCCGACCGTTGAACGGAGCCGCTGATGCGGCCGTTCGCGGGCTGGAAGTCGCAGGGGAAGCGGCTCCACCTTCCACATTCGCAGCAAGCACCAGTGCGCCGGACGCCGAGCTGTTGCAGAGCCGCCAAACTCAGGTTGAGCAGCTGCGGCGCCAGGCTACGGACGCTGCGCTGCGGGGGCGTCAGTCATCGCGCCGGGCGCTGCAGCTTGCACGAGAGGCGCGAGCGATAGGCGTCGACGTTACCATGAGGCTGGGCGAGCAGGACGAACAGCTGGATCGCGTGCAAAACGATCTGGACGAGATTCACGGCCACCTGACGCACAGCGACGAAATCATTCACGACATGCAGAGTTTCTGGAAGAAGATGTGGCCTTGGGCGCGCGATCGGAATCGGCGGCACGAGCGCTACGCCCCGGTGCTGGGGGCAGACGGGCCCTCGACGTCAGCGACGCGGCACGAGATTGCATGCCTGCAGCGCCAGCGCGAGGCGGGGACACTGAACCTGCGGGAACGGCCGCCAGCTGCTTGCTCGTCTGAGCGTTCGGCGGATGAAGCGCGAGCAGCTGACGATGCGCAGGTCGGGTCATCGCCAGGGTCGGTACCGGCGCACGCGCTTCTACAGGACGCGGTGGATGGCGAGGCGGCGTCGCTCGATGGCGACAGCGAGCGTCGGCGGGGTCTGCTCTCGTCGCTGCGGCGCGTAACGCGGCGGGTACGCGGCGTCGACGAGCCCGAGGACCGTGTGCGGCGCGAGCGGGCTGCGCTGCTCGCAGAGGGTACCGCTCCGACGGCTGCTGCTGGTGCTGCGGCAGCGTCGCCTGCGGACGCAACCGAATGCGCGGATGCGTCTGCGCAGGCCTCGGCGGCGCCGTGGGAAGAGCACGTTCAGGCACAGGATCGGGACCTCGACGAGCTGAGCGTTGTGGTGTCGGACCTGCGGACGCTTGCAGTTGGCATCGGAGAGCAGGTGCGCCACCAGAGCACCAAGATCGACGTGATTTCGAAGGACGTGGACTATGGGCGCGAGCGCATCCACGAGAATAACCGTCGCATTCGACGCATGCTCTAGAGCTACGGATGTGGCGGCAGCGAATGCCGCCGCCACTGCCGCCGCCGCCGCCTGGACGCACGCACGCACGCAGGTGTCTGTTCGTGTGCGCGGTGCGTGCGATCGAGGCCTGTATGTGAGGCCGGCGAGCGCTGCTGTTGTGTTTGACGGGAAGCGCGAAGCGCTGCATGCGCGCAGCGCCTCATCGATCTCATCGAACGATGGACAGGCGCGCTTGCGCACTGTACGCCAATGCGGGAGATGGAGGATGAGCGGTGAGGCCAGGAGCGCCTCGGTGTCTTCGGGGTGCGTCTGGGGTGCAGAGCTGCGAGGCAAGCGGCTGGCGCGTCCAACGCGAGATCGTTGTGTGTCAGTGTCGGGCGTTTCGTGGCGTGACTTGGCGGTGCTTCAGGGAGTTATCCACGTGCGAGGTATCCGTTGTCGATCGGCGGAGGACGCTGGTTCTGGTTCGCGCTTCTCTCTGTGCGTCACTGAGACAGGGGGCGGTACTGCATGGCATCGATATTTAATACCTGGATTGGCTGAATCACTTGAAATGAACTTCTGACCTGGCATTAGTCTGTGCGCCTCCAGTCCTGTTTGATAGACCATGATTGAATTGGATCCGATGTGAATGGGCAGAAGTGACTGACTCTATGAAGTTAATGATAAGACCTCACCCGCTGATCGAAGTTTTCGGTCAGTGAACACAGTATCTGTTCTAGCGGGGGGTCTTATGGGTTGAAATATACTCTGAGGAGTGAATTCCGGACCGAATGTAGCAGCACGTCCTCTTTGATTTTTATGTGTCTCTTTCGCAGGTATCCGACATAAGGAAAGTGTCACGCGGGCTGGAGAAAGGTCGCGGGACGTTTTATGCTGTTACTGCTAGTTTGCGAGAAAACATTCTTACTTGTCTATATCAGTTATTCAACGCTGAGTAGCTGGATAATCCACTCTTCTCGTCGTCCCTGTTCCGAACGTCGTGCACCCAAAACGGTGCTTGACAGACGCGATCTACTCGACCCTATCATCGTCGATCCATTCTACGCCGTAACTTCTCTACGAAATGCGACTAGACAAGCCACAGGATGGCACGTTGCTGTACGGTCCGTGCGAACAGTAATGAAGTGCCACGGATGGATGAAGAACGAAGCGCGACTCTAGAGGAGAACACTGCGCGTTGAACAGCACGCCAGCGATTTAGCACGGAAACGCGAACGCGTATGCCGGGATTGACCGATGTTTGTCTCGGTCACCCTCGATGGGAGATTATGATGGGGGTCTATGTGGTATTCCTCCATATGCGTAATGCAAGACAGGGGCTAACCAGTATCCGTCAAGAAGAGACAAACAGCGTGCATGACAACGACACAAGTCCTACTGGCTTTGCTATCATCGTGTGGTCACTTCCATATCGCCAAACGGACTAGTCCGTTCAACACCTCGTGCACCATCGAAACAGTGTTTGGCTTCACCGCCTCACGCATGCTTTTGTCCTGCTCTTTGACAACGTCGGTTTTCATCGCTCATGAGCGTTCAGGGCGCACACCGCTGGGGCTGCTGTTCAGCTGCGCTTCATACCAGCATCGATATCCGGGTTCAAGGCAGTCGAAGGCGTCATCTGTGTTGCGGAGCGTCTTTTGCGGACTGGTGGATCAATAGACGAGTCGTTCGGATCTGTGGCCCCGTTCTTCGACGAATCTTTCTGTACGAGCCTCACCAGCGCTGAACAGCTCTGCTGCTCGTATGCTGTTGCGCAGCAGGGGGCGGAAAGGCGCGCGTCGGTCCGCGAGCACACTCGCGACAACGAAGGCGACCACGAGGTGCATAAGGAGAAATAGACGCACACGTCGATAGGAAGTGTGGGCTTCAATTCCGCCGCCCACCGTGTGCGTATGGACTCTCAGGGAAAAAACGTAGACGAACTGCCGCGAACGCCTGTTTGTTGTCGCACCAAGTTTCGGCGAAGGACAGGATACCAGGGACACGGAGGTGAACGGTCCTCCAGAAGAGACGGCGAGCAGGTACCGGAAACAGACACCTCTGGAGCGGAAAGTCGAGTCTGAGCCGAACACCACGGCCGCAGTACCGAACACACATCGTTTGGGAGGATCTCCCAGACAGTGCGGTGCAGGGTGCCTTGGCTAGTCGCGTGGCGTCTTTCTAGGATACGGTAGGCCTAGTGTCTCTCGCTTTGACGCCCCTCGTCAAGCAGTAGTTTGTTGGAGTTCCGGATGCGAGGCTGAGCTGCCAGCGATGCACATTCTGCGGGAATACTTGAATCCAACCTTCGTGCGACGACACAGCTGGTACTCGGGACACAAGATGCACTGGGGCCTGATCGTGGAATCCGAGGACACCACAAACGCTTCCCAGCAAATACCCTGAGGTGTCGCTGCGCCAGTTCGGCGCTCGTGATATCGTCAGCGCAGGAGCAGAAACGTATGAGAAAATTACCGTCTAACGAACCGGAATCGTATGCGAGTCCGAGTCGAGCGCTGCATGAGGCGCATACTGTGTCCGTTGGGCCCGCTGTAGCTTCGCTTTACGAGTGGCGAAAATTGGGGACGGACACGAGCGGTATTTGGAGTGCGGCTGGAGACTGCGGACGAGCTGGCGGTGGCGGAAGAAGCCGAAGCTGTAGCGAGTGCGGAAGCGATCTCGCAAGGAGCGCGAGACTCGCTTCAGAGTGTCGGAGCATATCGAGTTAGTCTTGGCCTCGAGGTTACGGAAGTCGTACCTGGGGGCTGGTTGGAACGTGATGTCTGTCTGCGTTTCATCGTGGGGTAGAAGGTTTTCCGGAACAAAGCCCTGCAGAGCAAAGCCGACTACCTCATCGAGTGCGAGCGCCCTAGCCGCCTCAAGCATCTATCTGGTGTGATCCGCGTATCTCAGATCAAGGCGCATGACCGCACCGTAGACGCCCGTAGAGTGTATGACGGCAGGGATGAGCGACCACTGGTCTCTGAAGGCTGTGACGACACATGGAAACAGCTTTGCGAAGAGCGTCGGCCGATGTTGTCCAAAGCTTGTGGTTTGCAGGCAGGGCACGGGAAGCAGTTTACGGGGATGATGAAGTCCGACGGAACATCAATCTGGGTGCGCTTTGTGAAACCTATAAAACTCTTGAAATTGTTGAAACCCGCGAAACCTAGATCTGTGCCGAGCAGCGATAATAATTCCGAGCCGTTCGAGGCGGATGAAGAGGACGACTCTGTAGCGGGCTTCGATTCTAGGTCGAGGTCGCTCGTAGTCGTTGCGGTATCTCCGAAAAGGAAGCAGACAGCGCCCAGATTCTGAACGGAAAACGAGTGACGCCGCTTAGTTTTTCCAGAGCTCATAATTCACGGGAGTCAGGTTCCATGGACAAGAGGAGTCATCCCCACAAATTGAATGACGGCATCAGGACCCGTTTTTGCGTGCCGAGCACCGTGCCGTGCAGAGGCGAATGCTCCGCACGCGGTTTTCAGAGCGTCCATGTGCGTGCGGACGACACTCAGCAAGCGAGCATGAGCATAATCATAAATATAAATAAGCTTGAGCACGAGCACGAGCACGAGCAAAAGCATGAGCATAATCATAAATATAAATAAGCTTGAGCACGAGCTTGAGCTTGCACTGAGGCCGCCAACGATTTCGGTTGAACGGAGGCAAGCAGCGTGCACTCTCCTACTCTTTCACTGACTTGGCAACGTAACTGACCGATACTTCGCGTCGCGTGGTATGGTGGAGGTCGTGTATTGCGCGGCATGTTCTGTAGCACGCAATGGTTGCCCGCCTGCTCGCTCGATGGAGGCGCGCAACAAGTGGAGGCACCGATTCTGCTCGATTCTCGTTGATGCGCTCGGGACGGCATGTGTGCACGACGAGCACGAGTACACGCTGGAAAATATAGAGAGGAAGAGTGTGGAACGTTGATGGGCGCACGAGGTCTTGTGCGGGAAGTTTATCGAACGTCAGATGCCGAGCCAATCGCAGGCGTGATGCTCGCTATGATGCATCTCCATAAGCAAGGAGGCACGCGAGCACCCTCTGCACCACCGAGACGTCAACGCCTCGAAACAAGTCTGGAAATGTCTCGCGCTTGGGGACCATCCAACGACTGTGTGCTCGATGGAGCCTCCTGAGGGAGTCACTCTGCGCGCAGTGCGAGATTTGTGGTGAAACGCTGAGGAGCTCTGATGAACAAGTCCGTGACCTGGAGAAAGGAGTTTTTTGATTCTCGCCTGGAGCAGAGCAGTGGTATTGAACTGTGCAGGAATGCAGAGAGCTCGGTATACCGCATATTCAAGACCGCAACGGGTCTCCTGGGCAATTGTTGAAAGATAATGGTGGTCTGTTTGTCGATATCACAGAGTGTAATGTGAAGGATTCGAGAATCATGAAGGGTTTCCAAACATTTGGTCTGCATGGTGAGGTAAATTTAGCAGTATAGCTAAAGATCCAGAGGACTCCGCCACGAAAAACCGTCAGGACAGGATAACACCCCTCGCCGCTTGGGTCGTGGTTTTCTCCACACTTGATAAAAACGTTTGACGTTCTGTATCCTACATGGATCCGACGGGGGATTTCTTCGGAGTCTGTCCACCACGGAAGGAGAATAGAAAAATAGAGCCCTCGAACGAAGAACGCATTCGGATGATCATCTCAATCAGTGGAATCAAGTCACAGAGGCAACGGATACAGATCGGGCTTCCTCGGCAATCATGTTGCAGTCGCTGCGTACGGAATGCAATGCGCGTTGCAGCGCAGAACTGTTGCTGACGCGCATGGCACGTAGGAAGGACCTCTGCGAGAAGCAATGCAAGGCTTCATGCCAATTCTTCTTTATCGCGAATCCAGCCCAACGAAGAAAGCAAACCAACGCTCGTAAATAGTCCTTTCCTCGAAGCACGTCCTCGACGCCCAACCCGCGGCAACACTCTTGTGATCATGTACACCGTGTACCCGACGTAGACTGCTAGACCTGCATAGGCTATAGCGCCGAAAGAATCCCGCGTTAGCGCTCCTTGGAGTAGCATTCCAACATGAACATTATAAAAGTCAAAGGGTGGTTCAAGCCAGGCTGCACATTGCGGGTCGCTCAGTAGTTCATTCGGCGCGATGGTAAGGCATCGCAATGTGCTTAGTTGCGTGACAGCACCCGCGAGCGCTAAAATTGTTGCCAAGGGCCTCCATAACAAAAAGAGGCGCTCTAAAGAGCGTCCCTGGGTTGCGGAGACTCTAATTTCTTCTTCGAGATCACGCCACCAAAATAATGAGATTGGGATCATTACTTGCGCGACAAGCGCCGTCAAAAAGCCTATTGGCTGTTGCGCGATGTTAAAGAAAACAGTCAGCATGAGCATAGAGCTCGCTTGCCAGTAGCCAACCATAAGTCGACGGAGCGCTTCATGCGCGTCATCTTGCGTGAAGCTGCCGAAAAAGATCCCCAGAGGCGCCACAACGAAAAGCGGCACGGCTAGCTCGAAGTCCAGCCATACGAGAGTGCGCAACGCCGCTGGAGTGGCCTCGTTCAGCACAGTCGCAATCACAGGAGCACCTAAGAGAGTTGCTCGCAGAGCACGCCCATTACGTGGGCCTATGCGTTTCCGCCTGGAATCCGCAGGAGTGTAACGCCAAGCTACAGATCTTCTCACCGGTGACGTGCGTGAGTTACACAAGCAAAGCTTTTGCTGTTTGTGTGCGCCGTCTGCAAAGCTAAGCTCCTTTCCCTCAAAAGCTTTCTGATAAGTTGCTGCACTAACGAAGAACACTCTTTGAATGAGGCTGTTTGACATATACAGCAGAGCAATCTGAGCTTTCTGTCGCGCAACACAGACAACGTCCTCTCTTTTCTGAAACTATTGCACTACATCAAACACATTGATCACTTGCTGATCCAAAGGGCCGGTACGGCGCCGTGCCTGCGGCCGTGAAACGCCATCCGCAGGCTGCGTACGCGCAATGTACCGAGTGCAATAGCAGTATGCCGATCCCGTCAGAGAAGAGGCTTTGCTCGTGATGCATATCGGTCGGGATTCTAGGTGAGTCGCTTCTCGGAAATCGATATGTTCGGAAGACTGGAGTGAGGACTTCCCGAGTGTAGGCGATCTTCATCGATGGCATGATGGCAACGCGACACGTGCCGATGCAGCGCCCGTATTCATGCCTGCGATACAAGACGGAGGCAGCAGCATGGATTGTAATCACAGAGGCACGTGCTGCGTGTAGTTGGAGCTGTGTGAGATGGTTGGCTCAACCCCGGCCGTGAAGCTGCTCCATTTGGATCCCTTCGTTAGAATCTGCGGGATTAGAAAGATTCTTCATCGCAGTAACGTAAAATAGAGATCGGGAATCGCTGTGTAGCGGATTTTGCAACAACTCGCTTGCTGATTGTACACATACTCATCGAGTTCAGATGTATACCTGCGCGGAGAAACGATGCATCCTGGAGTGCTATCGGCGTGCTCACCGCTGGAACCAGGCGCTCTCCGGGCCTGCGCTCCAGACATGGAATGCCTCCGGGCTCGTTGCCGCTCTCGTTTCTGCAGGGTAGGACGGCATGGGCGCACCGCTCGGAGCCGACGCATCGGAAAGCATGGCCTGTGTAGATCCCCGATGCACTGGGAACGGATGCGCGCCTCCGGAGGCCTCAGCATTATCAAAAGGAACCCGCACAGAGCAGAAGGTTAATGAAAGTTTCTTTAAATAAAACATTCCGATTTAATCTTGTTCAGGTCTAGGGTCAAATCGAGCAAGTTTCTGAGCAAACAGGTGCTCGTGAGCGAGCACGGCGCATGCTTTGCCCCGTGCAAGGCGTATACAGCGCGTGAAGCTGCACTGAAGCCGCGGAGCGATGCAGTGTTCGGCAGGCGCCGTCGCTTCCGATATTTGCAGCGCCACTTTCGGGTTTATTTTCCATAACGAACCGCTTTACCCTAACTTAAGTGGCATCCGGGCTGATTCACGTCGGATTCAAACCGTGTCCAAGCAGTTGCTTCGGGAAAACGAGGACTACGGCCCACCGCTCGCTTACGCTAATGGCGGCGTTTCCACGAAAGAAGCATATATTTCTCTGCCTAGCATGCCCTGGGCAGTATCTGCGCACATTTAACAATCTGAAAAGCTTCGCAGCTACATATCGGCGAGTGATACTCCGCGACACTCGTGCCGGACGACAGCCTCTGTCAACAACCGAGATCGTCTTCCGTGGATGCAGGATGTGCTCAAAGGCCAAAACTTCAACGATTCTCGGAGAGTGCTCATTGAGACCTGCTCGGGAGACTGAATAAAATGCTCACGGACCATGCGAGCGGCCTCTGAGACGCTCGCGATTTCGTCAACCACTTCCATCAGTCGCGTCAGGTTCAAAGGGAACAAAAAGCCACTCATTCTAAGACTGAATTTCGTTCTTTCCGAGCTTTTTGTCAGATGAGCAGCCTCGACACCCGAAGTGCATCAGTAAGGACACTGCGGATTCATGCAAAGCTTGAGGAGTTTCGGGCGTGTTTCCGGAGTGACCCCTTCGACGCTCTGCAGCCAGAATTCGTCCGTCATCGGTACCAGGACGATTCGCGACGGCCTCGAAGAAGGACCCCTAAACTAAGCGACGGCACCATTGAATTCACATGTACGAGACTCCAGGCCGCTCGTTTCCATGCGTTCAGGGTGTCCTACTCACGCATGCCTCGCACGCTCGACCTTTCTGTTCCAGGGCAACTCGTAGGCACAACAACTCGCGCTCCTTCGTTGACGGGTAAGTAAATCGACTTTATGCGTTGGCGGCATGCTCACAAGATCATGCGCAAACTTCACCGAAATTCTCGCTTCGAAAAAATGGACTCCGTTCAAACGACACATCCGGCTCTCTTTGGAGCCATCTAGGCATCGGCTTTGCACAGAAGCAGTTTCCCGTCGACGGGGCATGCTCCCAGAGGCTCCCGGCTCTTGTCATCGGAAACCGGACTCGGACTCGGACTCGGACTTTAGTCATCGCGGAGGTCGCTTCTGGTACGGTCTGCATCACTGCCTTGGACGAGCGCAGCGGACATAGATCGAATTCTCTGGGCTTGTTCACCAACCGGGATTTCCCTTCCTGGGCTTGTTCACCATCGACATCATCGCATGGCACAAGTCCACTGTCGACTGGGACAGCGTGCGTCTGCGTGTCCAGCGCGCAGGGCACTTGCCCAGCGCATGACCCAGAAGAAGCCCGTGATCGTCGAGTGCAGCACCGGTCGCGCAAAAGCATGAGAGCATCGAGGCGAGCGTTCTGTGCACGCTCACGGCATGTATCTGGCGCAGGAACAAGTGCTCAAGCAACACAGGGCCTCTTGTCTGAAGAGACTGCGTTGTAGTCACGTGGGATCACCTGATGACGGAGACAGGTCACCGCTGCAACAAGGCGCACAGAGTCTGTATACAACGAGGATGGAAATGGCAAACGCAGCGTAGATCGCAACCTTTGCGTGTGCTCGAAAGACGTCAACAACGAGCCGGAAGCGGCGAAATCGGGACTTGAGCGCTGCTATCAACATGGTTCGTCTGTCGGCACCTGAGCTGGTGGGAAAAAGATAGACCAGCGCGTTTGAAGCTGGATAGCAGAGTTAGGAACAGTAAACACGTGCAGAGACATCCTGTAGCGGCTTGTGTTGATGATAGCGAGAAGGGACCCAAACCTGAGCGTGTACTTCTGTGTTAGATAAGTTGACCCGTTCCGTTCTATTCTGACATAGTTGTAGAGGCTGCCCACTTGGTTAATTGGATCATCCAAATTTATTCTCACGGTGATGGAAGCGCATCCAGGTGTGTGTTCGCAGCCGCGGCTTGACAGGCTTCATTAGGTGCATCCGCGAGTGCCGCATCAGTGTGCTTTGGGGCGCAGCAGCTGGTGGCGCAAAGCGGTGGAAATTAAACTGCCGCTGTGGATACAGGTATACCGTTCTATACCCCGTTTAGCGGACGCAGGTTGGCTTGCGAGCTTTTGAACTCTTAGTTTGAACAATTTGCACGCCCACGGAAATTGGCCTTGTCTACTCTGGGGAACGCGGCTGGTTTTCACGCTGGCTGGTTTTCGTTCAAAGCCCCAGGTAACCTGGCGTGCTGCACGTTTTCACCTGGCTCACCGAGCGGGAGACGTTTAGCGAGGAGGAGTGCAAACGAGCAGTGTTCGCACCGCTCTGGCAGCGCCATCGTAAAGATTGCTTTCGGCGGTGAAACTGGGGTTGCGCTCGAGGCGAAGAGCGCTACCTTGTGACCAACTTGTATTCGTTTCTGAGCCAGGTTCACTTGTGGTTGCTCGCGCTGCAACGGCTACTTATGAACACCCCAGAGCGCACAACGTCAGAGGTCGAACGGCGGCCGAGCGCCACCTCTTCTGTCTTTTTGGACGCTGAGGAGAGTGTCACTGGTTGGGACTCGGAGACGGCTACCCCCAGGCAGCAACTATCCGTTGATGTCGAAAACCTGAACAATACGGAGCTGTTAGCGGACGAGAGAGCGACATCAGTATCGAGTGCTCCTGAACAAGCTGAACGGCAGACCGCAGGATTTGCCTATGATGCCGAACTACACGACCAGTACGTGCAGCGCATGAACTGGTGGTGCATGATTTTCTGTTGTCAATGCGGTGGTGCATGCTGTGGCTGCTTCTCGAAGAGCGATGTGCGTAAGAGTCGCGAGAGTATTCGTCGGGAGACCTTGGAGCGCCAAGCGGTCATGATCGGTGAGTTGCTCTCAGCCTACGAATATGACTTATTCAACAAGGAGAAAGAGAACGAGACCTCCTCGACCCAGCGCACACCTTTTCTCTCGCTGTTTCCATTTTCGCCGCGTTCAGGTAGGCGCCAGGAACAGCCAGACGAGCTCGTCGTCCGCCGTGAGCTCATGAAGCGTTTTGCGCTTTTATTCGATCGTTCCCCGGGTTCTCGAAAAACTCGCAAATCGTACCCTGTCTTGCTGCCGCAGGACTGGCTACGCGGCGTTCAGCTCTACATCCTGCTTGGTGCTTTTGCTGATGAACCTGACCGCATGCAGAGACTGTGCATGAACTTGCCCCCTGTTTCGGTTGCACGCATCCAGTGGCTTCATCACTGGATGCGATTTGCAGCAGCCCCGCTGGGTCAGTATCTCCTGATGTTGGAAAGGCCGGCATCGGCTTTCATGAACTACCCAAAGTCGATGATTCACGCTCTAAGGATGCGCTCCGTCCCAGACTCGGCATTGCTAGCGGTTGCGCGACGCTGCAGAGTCGGTCTTGACCGGATTCTGCTCGCCCAGATGCGGTCGCGTACCTTTCTACCCGCTTTCATCATCGTAGAAGATCCCGTGACGGACAGCTTGGTAGTTTCCGTGCGCGGAACAATGTCCGTCAGCGATGCCTTTACGGACCTTGAAGGAACCCCCGAGCACTTTGATGTGCGCTGCTGCGAGGGATCGCCCGTGGGCGCAGGCGTCACGATAACAGGTACTGCGCACGGTGGTCTACTGAGATCAGGCGGGAACCTCTGCAAACGAATCTTACCAGTTTTGAAGCGCGCCGTCGAACGCCGGGGCGGGAACACGCGCATTATCATCACTGGTCACTCTCTCGGCGGCGGTGCTGCTGCACTGCTTGCGATCATGCTGCAGGCCCACTTGCCGAATGTATATGCGGTTTGCTTCGCTCCACCGCCAGCAGTGAGTATTGAAGCGGCGGAGAAATGCAAGGCGTTCATGGAGTGCGTTGTACGGGGGAACGACAGCGTTCCAAGAATGTCTTTGCCTGCAATCGCTCACTTCTTGCGCATCGCTTATTTGGGGAAGTCTCGCCTGAGCCGGCTGCAGAAGCTGGCATTGTTTTTCCGTTGTGGCTGTTTGTGCAAGTTTCCACCAGAGATCCGCGACGCCGTCTCGCACGTGACGTACTCGCTTGAGAACCGGCGCATGTTTGTGCCGGGCCGAGTATTTTACATAACAGAGCCGTCAACGAGAAACACATGTGGAGACAATTCATGCTGTGGGCCTGTCTGTCTCATTGGAGCATGTGAACGCCAGTCCGCCGAGGCTGAAGCACAGGAAAGCCTCCTCCACCGCCGTCTGATTCGCGAAATTGATGCCAAGGAGCTCCGATGTCTGGTTGGCAGGAATGGCATTATCGAGCATCACATGCCTTGGGGTTATGAACGCGCGTTGCGAGCGCTGCTTCGTGAGGCGAATGCACCATCCCTCCGACGAAAGGAGCTAGAGGAGCGCAAGCGGATCAGCGAGCCTGCGAATCCGGATGATCTCCCCCTGGAGTCTCGTTAGCTGGCTGGTGGCACCGCCGAACCAGCATATCGAATCGGTCTAGATGACCCAGCGCCTGGGGGCCTGTGTCCGCTGCAAGCAGCTGAACATTGACAGATTTTGGTGTGGATGCGAGAGCTTAAGCACACAAACCATTTCTGTGGAGTTCGCTTCGCAAGTCTAGCGAAAATGAACGGAGACTCCATATCTCTGCAGCGGCTTGGTGCAGTGACTCATCCGGCAGTCCGCGGGGCGTTCCAGTTACACCAGCCGCGTGCTGGAAAGGGTGCACATGGGCGAGCCGTCTTTATGGAGACGCTTTTTATTCACTCAAATGCGCGTTGGAACGCCGGAGAGGGTTTGCACGACGGCACCATTTCATCTTGGTGCATATGGACGGATTCTCAGAGAGATTCTGCGAAATTATTTTCATCGATGTTTCATGCTCGTGTTCGGAGCGCACACATGCATTGCTGGTACCGAGTTTCTGCGGCTGCGCATGCACTTATACGTTGCGAGCGTACAACATCATTGTGCACGGGCACATTCTTCGACATTGTGCGCCGTTTTCCTCTAGCATAGAAACATCTCGTCAAGTCGATCGTGAACGCTGACAGACATGCTTCATTTTGCATTGCTTTCATTCTATATTTTAATAATTTGGAACGAGTTAAAACTTGAATTTCAGGACCCGCTACCGTTGAACGGGTCAGCGAATACATCAGAAGCAGCGCGTGCCGCTACTTCGATGCGATCGCGGAGGATGAGCGCAGCTCAGCCTGAAACAGAGGCCCCGCACGACATGATGCGGTGGCAGGCTCGATCATAACAACGTGCTATCGGGGCCTCGAAATGGTCTTATTTCGGACGCTCGGAATCGGAACCTAGACCCGGGAGCACGATTGCCATGACCATAATTTGACGCAGAGGGAGAGTTTCGATTTGTGCCTTGTTCACTTTTCATGTGCGCCGCCGGGCGTGGCACCTTACTGGCCCGTGCACGCGATGGACACGCCTTGAATCGAGGCTCTGAATACTGAAGAAACCACGGACGCCTACTCGTGAGCGATGCGGTGAAAAGCTTTTGCATTGTGAACGTCTAGAATGGAGGTCATGCGCTGGCGGAAGCGTCCTTGATATCAAGAGTGCTGCAGCATATATCTTCGCCCAGATTGCTGTCCGAAGCTTGCGTTTCAGGAACCGAAATGCTTCTCCGGCAACATCCATGTCTAGCGCTGCGTGGTGCCGGCGAGAATGTCGCAGTCGTCCGCTCGTACCATCAAGACAAAGAGCCTGTCGAGGCCCGTAATACTAGCGGATCCTGGTTCGTAGACTCGCGACCAGTACCAAAAGTCAACGCTCTCGAAGACGCACCGAGGCTGCCTCGTTCCAGTGCGACAGGTGCGTCAAGCTTGGCGCCAGAAGTGCTATTGGTCGTATCAAGCCTTGCATCCACGAGGATTGCTGCCCTGAAGCACAGATCTCGTTGAGGCATCCTTGAAGAAACGACGGTCTAATCTCTGGCAGACGGCAACAAGTTTGCTTTCGGAATCGTCTGATTCATGTCATCACGCATCCAGCATGGAAAAGAATGGACACGTACACAGACGCAATCCGCGGAAGCGAGCAGCGGGCAGCAAAGCTCCATCCTTGGTGTGCAGACACAGCACAGTTGGATCTTCCCATAGGGCGGGCTCAACGCATGCGCCCAGCGATTCACGGCACTGCATGCTGTATTTTTTTGTGGACAAAACGTTTACTTAGGCCAGCGTTCTCCGATTATGCGCTTTTTTCTTTTCTTCCTTTTTTGTGTGTTTTTCAGTGCGCGGTGAGGTATCCATCAACCCCCTACTCCCATGTTCCATTACCTATACTTCGTCTCGGATATTCTGGTCGTTTCATACGTCCTATCGTGTGCCGAGCCTACCGAAAGCGACAGCAATAGCGCCTATAGCGCCGGTGCGGTCACTGCATGCTGTATGTGCGGCAAGTTACCGTTTGGATCGCATCCATCCCATATCAGACTAAAACTGTTAATAATTAGATAAAGTGTATCAAATGGGAAACTCGGTCACTAAGCCGCGGCGCGCTCGAATTGGCGCGAAAACGCTCCGCAGTCGTTGCCGCAACATTTGGTTCTAACGCCAGTGGCCATGCCAAGAGCCAGTCGAGGTGCAAACGGCAAAGCAGCTGAAGCGCTGCGGAGGCTTGCTGAAGCTCGTGAAAGCGGTAGGCGACCAAGTGAGGACTATGAGCTCGAAGAACCTGAGCGGGTATACGAGGCGGTGGACGAGGACACGTATCGATCGCGTCGGGCGGAAGAACGCCACCAGGTACGAAGCTTCATTGTCAAGGACCGGGCAACGTTCTCGGGCAGCTCCGAGGACGAAGACTGCTTGACGTATTCAGAGGAGGAGAGTGAAGGGCGAACAAGCGCTCGATCACGTGTGCGCGCGGGACGACAGCGAAGCAGGGAGCGAGGCTCGAGTGCTACAGTGGCGCGGAACCTGCTCAAACCGACTCAAACTCGTTTCCTGGGGCAGCCTACAGTACCGGGGACGCTCAAAATTGAGCAAGCCGCTCTGGCTACTTCCGTTGCGTCACATGGGCGTGTGCAGTCAGCCTCAAGCTCTGGTCGACGCAAAAGCTTGGTTGACGAACTGCTCGCTGAGCAAGATGAATGGGCAGCGGGCGAGGAACGCACGTTTGTCGCCTCGAGAGCGCGCGGAAACGATAGTCGCCCGCTAGATGCACAGCCAAATCAGCATCCGACATCGGGTGTGATATCGGCACCACGACGGCGACGTGGCGCCCAAGATCTGCTCGTGGAGAGTGGCCCGCAGATCCCACTCGAAAGCCGTTCAGATACGGATCACGATCACGAGCATGATCCGAGAACACCCAGTACCCAAGAAAAATCTTGGACGACTCTCCAGGCTGCAAATGCGAGCGATTCTGAAAATGACATGGAGGTGAACGACGTCGACGCCGACCTCCTCCTGGATCGCGTACTTGAACTCGAGGCCGAATACGCCCACGAGGCAACTGAAAACGGAGTAACTGCCGTAGAAGGCGATCTTCCTGGTGATCGCGTTCCCGCGCTAACCTTTTTCGCGCTCGACATGCAGGAAATTTTGGACAAAGTCTTCGTGTTCGGTCGAGCTCTGTTGCCGGAAACAAGCTCTTCAACTGCGGTTTGTGTTCAAGTTTGCGGCATTGAAAGGGAAATCTTCTTCTTGCCTCGAATGTACGTAGACTGCCCCGACGACGAGCAGGCAACACCACGTCCCTACCCGATCCTTGCGTCCGAGCAGGAGCCAAGATTGGCCCCCATCTCAGAAGGCATTGCTTTCTCCTGTGTCTACGAGGAAGTCAAGTCAGTTTTGCTGGCTCGCGGCATCACCGAATTCACCGCCCGTCGCGAGGAACGTTGTTTCCTTACGAACCAGATCGATCGTCGCCGGGCGGAAGTAACATCGTGTTTGCGTGTGCGATACCCGGCAAAGTATCGAGCTTTGGAAACTGCTCTCGAGGGCCAGACTTTCTCCCAAATCGTTGGTTCAAGAAATTCACCGCTAGAGAATTTCATACTTGAGCGATGCGTGCCAGGTCCGTGTTGGGTACAAGTCTCGAACGCAAGCCGCGTCACTGGGATATCATCATGTCGTTGGAGCCTTAACGTGGACTCGCCAGCTCAGTTCAGAGTGCTCGCGGCGGAGGAGATTCCAGCGTCGCAACCGCCAGGGCTGCGCGTACTGACGTTTTCCTTGCGCACGATCGCTGAGGCATCTCCTACATCGTTCGAAATAGCGATAATCTGCGCGACTGTATTCGATAATGTGCCCACGAACCGGAACTTGGGCGAAACGCCGCACCCTTCCATGCAGTTTGGCATCGTTCGGCCGCCAGCGCATGAGGCATTCCCTTTCGGTTTCGAGCGAATGATTTCGGGAAGAAGAATTCTTCGCGAGCGGAACGAGCTCGCCATGATCGAGCGCTTTCTCCGCGAAATCAATCAGCTAGATCCAGATGTCATCATTTGCCACCAGCTCCTCACGAGCCAATTCGATGTGTTCTTGAAAAGAATGCGTGAGCTGCGTCTCCGTGACTGGTGGCAGCTCGGCCGGCTTGTTCAGCGACGTCCTTTGCAAGATTTTCGAAGTCATATGCAAGCATCTGGTCGCGGTTTGAATCCTGCACTGGCTCGGCAAATTTTCGCCGGGCGGCTCTTATGCGACACAGAGGAGGCGGCTCGAGAGTACTTGCACAAGGAGAAGGACTATGGGCTCCGTGTCCTCTGCCGGGCGCTCCTCGGCTCCTACAAAAGCGCCGCGACGGGTAGCGATGGTGAATGGTCAGCCCAAGCCATGCGTTCAGTTTATCGCGAGGCGAAGCATCTCGTGGGGGCCATCGACTCATGTCTGGAAGACGCCAAGCTCAGCTTCCTCTTGGCAGACCGACTGGCGGTCATTCCGCTTACGAATGAGCTCGCCAGCATATGTGGATACCCTTGGGGTAAGACGATGCTTGGAAATCGAGCTGAGCGCATTGAGTATCTGCTGCTGCACGAGATCCACCGTTCTGGCAAGTACGTTGCGCCTGATCGGAGTTCGGGCCAAAGAGCCAGCATCCGACCGAAACGCCCAAGCTTCGACCCGACAGCGCAGGCAAGCGCCGACAAAAGGCTGGACGCTGCGAGAACTCCCTCCAGTACACAGAGAGGTGCCTCAACACCGACCACAACTGAGGGCAGCGCACTCGAGCTTGCGTCTTCAGCCAAACGGCGCAAACCTGCCTACCAAGGGGGATATGTGCTCGAGCCAAAGCGCGGTCTTTACGGGACTTGCGTTCTGCAACTCGACTTTAGCTCCCTCTACCCGTCCATCATTCAGGAATACAACATAGACTTTACCACCGTCACATTGGACTCTGAGGGAAACGCCCTCTTGCCCAAACATAGCAACGAGCTGGGCATTCTTCCAACCGTGCTTCGGAGGCTCGTTCAGCGACGAAGACAGGTTCGAGAAGCGGCTCGCAACGAGTCGAGCCCTGTCCGCCAGCAACAGCTGCACACCAGGCAGCTAGCGCTCAAACTGACAGCGAACGCCCTGTATGGTTGTTTGGGATACGTCCACTCGCGTTTCCACATTCGCGAACTTGCGGAACTGATCACACGAACTGGACGGGAAACGCTTGAGCGTACAGTAGAGCTCGCGGAACAAGTTTTGCTTCGAAAGCTCGACGACCTGGTTGCAGCGTCAAACGTACCGGATCGTGCTTCTGGGGTCCAGCCTCGCGTTATCTACGGCGATACGGACTCGATCTTCATCGACAGCGGGATTCCTTTTTCCTCTGATTCCGTGCAGCGTATCATGGAGCTGGGCCATGCTATTCGCCGCGAGGTTAATAAGCAGTACCATACTTTGGAAATTGAAATCGAAGCGTTGTATGTGCGTATGTTATTACTGAACAAGAAGAAATATGCCGCGCTCAAGTACCAGATCGATACCGGCTCATTCAGCAAGGAGGTCAAAGGCATCGAAGTCGTTCGACACGACTGGTGCGCGCTCGTCGCCGCAGCGGGCAACTTTGCCCTGGATCAGATTTTGGACCCAACCTGTGTGGCCACGGAAGCGAAAGACCGCATTTGCAAGTACTTGTCGGAGCTGGCGACGCGCATGCGGCAAGGACGCGTCGACCTAGATCAGTTCGTTATCACCAAACAGCTGACCCATGACCCGGATGCCTACGATGATGCAGCGATCCAGCCGCATGTGCAGGTCGCCCTGCGTCGGCGAGAACGTGGATACGTCGTCGCAGCTGGCACCTTTATCCAGTACGTTGTGTGCCGGGAGCCGTGCGATACTCGGCTTCGACGAGGAGAGGCAATCGATGGTGCTCGCGCACCCATCGATACCGTTGCACGTCGGGCGTGCCATCCGGATGAGTACCGCGAAGCACAGGGCATGCTGCATCTCGATATCGACTGGTATTTAGAGAATCAGTTGCATGCGGTGCTGAGGCGTATAACGGAGTCTGTTCCAGGCCTTGATGCCGCTGCACTGGCGTGCTGTCTTGGTCTGAACGCCCAACCGTTCCTGCGAGCTCGAATCATGGCCGACCAGATGACACCCGGAAGCACCGCGTCGAGTCAAGACCAACGTCGCAAGCTTCTTGTCGAGGATCTTTTTGGTGCGTTGTCCGATCCGCTCGTGGTGCCGTTCACAGCCCAGTGTCCCGCTTGTGATCAGCGGTTTCCCATCGATTTCCGCTTCGAAGGCGAACACATCAGACCGGCCATTCATATTGATCGTTGCCCACGACCAGCTTGCGGTGCCGTCATCCCAGTCACCGTGCTTAAGCAGCAGTTAATCGTGTTCATTCGCCACGTGATCCGTCGGTACTACACGAGTCCCGAACTGTTGAGAGGCCATGCTTGTCGAGCCGCCGACGACGACTGGCTCGCGCACCAAGACTCGGATGTTACGTCGTTCCCGTTGTCAAGTGAATCGCTTCTCCAGGAGGGAATCTCTGAACGCGAATATGGCGAACGCACGCTCTATGCGCAATTGGAGCGATTACAACTTGCCTTGGGCAAAAATTCCGACGATCCAGATGCGGAGAAGCCGTCCGGGGGTTCAGCATCCACAGCTGCTGTGGCGTTGCAAGCCCTTGTTCAGTCGTATCTAGATGCATGCGCGTACCAGTACGTTGAGCTCAGAGCCTTGTTCTCCTGACTCGGGGCCAGGAGCCGGCTGCTCCTTCGTGCCATTATGGCAGTGCTAGCACGACGGTGCTGCGATCGCACACCAGTATGCGAGACCGGTCGTGTACGCGCTCAGTGGTTCACGTTGATGACTTGATACATAGCTGGTCGTGCCGCGCTACCTCGAGAAGCTGATTCCCTCGCTCTCGAGGAACCGCATTAACAGCTGGGTCGATACGCTGACGTGCTTTGCTGCCAGCGTTTCCATAATTGCTCGTAACGGCACGCAGTCAAGTAAAAGAATACGCTCGTAGAGTGCAGAATCGGCTTTGATTGCATCGCGAATGCTTCGGAAGCGGATGCTGTCTCGGTCGAGAGAAGCAGGCACTGCAGCATCTGGGGCAGTCGATGGCGCCTCGGTCGCACTGCAGTCCGATATCGGGTTCTCGGTGTGCTCCAGCGAACTTGAATGGAGTGCCGCCTCAGTGCTCGCCTCGTGCCCAGAAAGGTCACTGGCGTCGTCGCAGAGGTCGACAACCTCGACGGCGTCTTCAGGGCGTGTCGGGATCGTCTCCGTTGGAGCGGGTAGCGTGGCGCCTCCGGTACCAGTGCGGAGCATGTCCCGCCCGATTTGAAGCGCACCCGCCAGTTGTGTATAGCCATTTCGATACAGTTCTATATCCTCGCATGAATCACTGGCGCAAACAGTCTCACGCTCACATGACTCCTGTGCACTGCATCCGTCGTGGTCGCTCGAGTAACGTGGCATCCGCCGCTTCTTCACGCACGCGAGCCGATCCAGTGCAGGTTCCTCGACAAAGCAAAGCGTTTGCTTTCGCCGCTTCTCGTTCTGTTTCCCCAGGTTTGCAAGGGAAATACGGTATGCAGGTGTACGTAGTGCTTCCCAGAGCCGTTCGGCGCTTGATCGCGGAATCTTCAGAAGCTCCAGGTCCGGCTGTTTGAGCAGGAAGAGCCGCTCGAGCGTCAGCTTCTCGCTGACAAGCAGTTCTGCGTAGCGTGCGACACCGTGTGCAGCCAGAAAGCGTCTCAGTGGTCCAAAAAGTCGCTCTTTTTGAATGCGTCTTTTCAAAAGCTTTTTCTCTTCCAGGGCACGTAGACGTTCGAGATCTGCGCGAAAACTGCAGCGATCGACGTGACGCCAGCGCCAGTCGAGCGCCCACGAACCAATCTCACGTCCACAGAACGGACACTTGACCTCCTCGTTACCAGAAACTTCCTCGGTTTCGGAAACTGATGCAGGTGCTGTAGTAGGACAACAGGTTTCCAAGTGGTGCAGCTGCTCGTAGAGGCACAGAGAATCCAGCGGTGTCTGGCACTTGCTACAGTGCATACATGAAAGGAAACCACACTCGCGCTGGGACGAACACCGGACTTGAATTTTTTTGAACGGCAGCGATTGGCAGCGACTCGGCAGGCGCCGAACTCGTAGTCGTTGCGGTATCTCCGAAAAGGAAGCAGACAGCGCCCAGATTCTGAACGGAAAACGAGTGACGCCGCTTAGTTTTTCCAGAGCTCATAATTCACGGGAGTCAGGTTCCATGGACAAGAGGAGTCATCCCCACAAATTGAATGACGGCATCAGGACCCGTTTTTGCGTGCCGAGCACCGTGCCGTGCAGAGGCGAATGCTCCGCACGCGGTTTTCAGAGCGTCCATGTGCGTGCGGACGACACTCAGCAAGCGAGCATGAGCATAATCATAAATATAAATAAGCTTGAGCACGAGCACGAGCACGAGCATAATTCTAAATATAGACATAAGCACGAGCATGAGCATGAGCATAATCATAAATATAAATAGAAACATAAGCACGAGCACGAGCATAATTCTAAATATAGACATAAGCATGAGCGTGAGCATGAGCATAATCATAAATATAAATAGAAACATAAGCACGAGCACGAGCACGAGCAAAAGCATGAGCATAATCATAAATATAAATAAGCTTGAGCACGAGCTTGAGCTTGCACTGAGGCCGCCAACGATTTCGGTTGAACGGCGGCAAGCAGCGTGCACTCTCCTACTCTTTCACTGACTTGGCAACGTAACTGACCGATACTGCGCGTCGCGTGGTATGGTGGTGGTCGTGTATTGCGCGGCATGTTCTGTAGCACGCAATGGTTGCCCGCCTGCTCGCTCGATGGAGGCGCGCAACAAGTGGAGGCACCGATTCTGCTCGATTCTCGTCGATGCGCTCGGGACGGCATGTGTGCACGACGAGCACGAGTACACGCTGGAAAATATAGAGAGGAAGAGTGTGGAACGTTGATGGGCGCACGAGGTCTTGTGCGGGAAGTTTATCGAACGTCAGATGCCGAGCCAATCGCAGGCGTGATGCTCGCTATGATGCATCTCCATGAGCAAGGAGGCACGCGAGCACCCTCTGCACCACCGAGACGTCAACGCCTCGAAACAAGTCTGGAAATGTCTCGCGCTTGGGGACCATCCAACGACTGTGTGCTCGATGGAGCCTCCTGAGGGAGTCACTCTGCGCGCAGTGCGAGATTTGTGGTGAAACGCTGAGGAGCTCTGATGAACAAGTCCGTGACCTGGAGAAAGGAGTTTTTTGATTCTCGCCTGGAGCAGAGCGGTAGTATTGAACTGTGCAGGAATGCAGAGAGCTCGGTATACCGCATATTCAAGACCGGAACGGTTCTCCTGGGCAATTGTCGAAAGATAATGGTGGTCTGTTTGTCGATATCACCGAGTATAGCCTTATACCATTCGTGGACGCTGACTAGATCCATTCCTCACTTACCATAAACAATACCTGCCCAAGTCCAGCAGTATTCCATGCCACCTGCGGCGCGTTGAACCACAAGATACGCGGCATTTGGCGTCGTGTCAACAATCGTGCGCCCACAGAGAGCTGATTTCGACCTCTCCAATGTTTCGGAGCGGTGCCGATGCCGGAGCAGATGACAGCGCTCTCGGCTGCGGTGCTTGTCCACAAGGCATCACCCTGGCACTCTTCCTGGTACGCGTGATCCGAATAGAAGGCTACAAAGGATCAAATGCGCTGGCGATGTTCTGCATTGCTTCCTGTCCACCTGCGTTCGATGCAGCGAAAAGTGCAGAAGCGCATCGCGCTGTCACTACGTTCGGTGCATTCGCCTGTATCCGGACACATGGGCACAAGATTTCGTCTGATGGTGGATATTTCGCAAATATCGATACATGCGTTCATGAGTGGTTTGCGAGCTCACCGCGCACGCATTCGCTAGCGGACTTTGCGGTGTTCACACGCAAGAAGCGCCCTGAGTGTCAAACATGCACGTACTGAACGCGATCTCAGGGTGCTCTCTAAGCGTACACAAATGATCATCTTTGCGATCTTGTGACGGAATTGGGATGTTGACGCGGACGCCTGCCCTCTGGAGGCATCAAAACAGCGGTGCTCGTTTCATACAGGTAATGATTGCAACAGAATAGCCCATACACCGTCGTAATTCCCACCTGCGGCTTTCACCGCGTAATAGGTTACAGATTCGAACAGCGAGATCGCCACTGCCTGGTATCGGTGCGGATTGAATGTTTTCAACAAGAGCGCACTCGCTGTTCGAGCTCCCGCGGAAAATCCTCGATCTGGATTCCGCGAAGTTGACCAAGCGCTTTGAGCGAATCGGCTGGAGACAAGCTCAAGTGCTCATTGATGAGCCCGTCTGCCTCTCTGTGGCACAAGATAACTGCACCGACAGCGTATCGTTCCGCGTAGGAGACTCTTTCCACGAAATAGATGGTGCTTATTTCGTTCGTGCTCCACAGGCAGCGAACGACACGTCATGAGAAGAAACTGCAGCTGGATGAACGCCAGCGCTGCAGTCGGCGCGTATCGACCGCTGTCGTGGCCGGGCGCCGCTGCCTGCCGGCGCTGTGCGGCGCTGACGCGAAGATCGCTTTTCTTTCCGGTACTCAGGAGCACGACGTGGTGTGTGTTGGGTGGATGGGAGCTTCATGGACGCTCTGGCGGGCGGAATACCTGTCCGATAACCGACTTCACTTTGGATTTGTGCCTGTTGGCTTCCCTTGCCGTTCCCGGCAGCGATGCGTCGGGAAGAGTCTGCGCCAGTGCGGTGCTTTGCGAACGCGACAGCGGCTGCTGCAGCCGCCACCGCCGCTCGACTACACCAGCGTTGCTGCGCTGGTTCACTCTGTAAAGCAGCGGACTGTTCCCGGTAGACTGGAAACTGTTCTACAACCGGACGCTCGAACCCTTTACCTTGGCCTGAGAACGCTCGAGATCCCACGGGTGTGGTTGACACTGTCGTGGCACCCGCAGCTCGCGCGTCTAACTGCGGTTCCGGAGCGCAAGGGCTCCGGCAACCAGAACGACGCACTACGGTATGGTGTGCCCAAGGCGTTCCAAGCCGAGAGCATGCCGTATTCGGTGTCGAACGTGCTGCGCTCAAGAGAGTTCCGAGACTTGATTCTCTGCGATTGTCGCGCCCCACTTGCTTTTGAGCGCCTCGTGGAGTTCGACTTGGCACGACGACCTGGAGAAGAGCCCATTTTGCGCATAATTCTGGAACTTGTTGGAACTAGAAGCAACCTCGTTGTACTTGGTGGCATGGATCGACTGGGCGGTCGCGATTCTGGCGATATCCTCGCGTGCGGTTACCAGCTGGCTGAGGGCAAGAGTGATCGGCCGTTTCGAGTCGGCGATCGTTACGTGTATCCTGCAACAGTACAGGCGAGTTCATCACGTATGCCATCGGTTTATCGGGACGAGGAGCCGTGGCGCGAGCGACTTGTGGCGACTGCGAGCGGGGATCTCATCTGGCGGGGCCTCACGCGAGCCTTCGTCGGACTCAGTAGTGCACTGGCGCAGGATATGGTTTCCAGTGCGCTCGGGTCGGATGCACTCGAGCGTTGCACTGAAGAGCTTGAGGCGTCTGAGTGGCACGCGCTGTTTTCAAACTGGCTTGCGTGGTTAAGTGCGTTGGAGCGTCACGACTTTGCTCCTCATCGAAAAGTTGGCGGCGCTCTTGCAGAAAAAGCATCGGGCCGCACCTCTTACTCTATGGTGCGTTGGCCAAATGAGGCTCCGTTTGTTCCCACTGATGCGTCTGATCTCATCGCAGACCTGTTCGATCGCTATGAGGTTTGCGTCTACGCGGAATCTATGGGGAAACGACTGCGCCGAGAACTCGCCCCAAAGCTGAAGCGGGTGCGCAATGCTCTCGCCCAGTATACGAATCGACTCGCTGAAGCGGAGCACGCTGACCAGTTGCGGGCACGTGGAGACTTGCTCATGGCGTGGCAGCATCTGTGGCAACCTGGCGAGACCTCCCTGAGACCTCCGTCCGAGGCCGCATCGGCGTTCGAGTCATGGAAGGGAGACGGCCTGAACGCGGTGTTGGAGATCGCTCCGGGGCGGACGCCCGTGGAAGAGGCTCAAGCGTGTTACCAGCGCAGTCGCAAACTGCGTCGGGCGGTGCAGGCGCTCGCTCCACTGGAACAGGCCGCGCGCAGAGAGCTTGAACACCTGGAACATTTAGAGTACATGATTTCCGTAGCGCTTGACTACGGGCAGGATCCAGACTTGGAGCTGCTTCAAGAAGTTTTCAATGAATTACACCTTGCGCAGGCACCAAAATCCGGCAAGTCTGTACCGTCCAAGCGTGGCTCGCCGACCCGTCGTGACGCAAAGGCTAAGGGCGCATCGAACGCCCGTCTGCTAGACCGTTGCATCCAGTTGCAAGCTGCAACCGAAGGTTCGAGAATCCTGTGTGGCAAGAGCCAGCACCAGAATGATTACTTGACATTTCGGGTTGCAACGGAGAGTGATCTGTGGTTCCATGCGCAGGGATGTGCGGGATCGCATTGTATTCTGCGAATGCCGCCCGGATTTGTAGCCTCCACGGACGATGTGCAGCTCGCCAGCGACGTCGCTGCCTACTTTAGCAAGGCACGACTCCAAAAATCCGTGCCGGTCGTTTACACTCAGATCAAGTACGTGCGCAGAGCCGATGCCCCGGGTACTGTGAAATATGCAAATGAACGAGTCATTTTCGGTGAGCCGGATCGAGCTCGGGCGTTCGTGGAGGAACGCAGCGCCATTGAGTTGAGCTCTGCGAGCTCTTCAGCGTCCAGCGCTGTTGAGTCCGGAGACGAAACGTGACCAGCGTAGCCAGATGCTTATCGTCAGGTCAGGAAAAGTGCATGTCGATGTGTGTCTGTTGAGAACCAGTGACTGGGCGTGGTATCGTGAGCTCAGCATGACCAACTCTTTCGGCAGATGCTGCACGAGGCGCATCGATACAAAAACTGTTCGGGTCCATCAGAAGCATAAGGAAGCTGACTGGCACTCTCCTTTTAGTGAATTCGTGGGAGACTGGGTGTCAAATGATCTCTGGGTGACCGTGGGACGTATCAGCGAGAAAGCACGTGACTTTGCCACTGGTTTCTCTGCTTCCAGCGTTCAACGCGGAACCCGCGAAAGGGTTTTATTTCGGATACCGCCGCATCTAGGCGTCAGCGGCTGCACGGATGTAATAGTCCCCCCGCCAGCGTCGTGCCCCATGCTTCGCACGCTTTGGCGCTGTGCTGAAATCCACGCTCTGTCGTTGCCCTTGTCGTTTGCGAAAAGCCCATCTATTGGACGAGGCCTGTTCATCCTGGCAATGATGTTTCAGGAGCCAATCTTGATGTGCGGGTGCAGGAGCGCGCCGCCACTTCATGAAACGCGCCTGGCATGTCGACTGCGATGCACCGGCATCAGCGTAGCGAGATCGGCGATAGATATGCACGCTGGGGCACCCAGCGCGACATACCACCGACTGATGCAACACCAGCGCAGAGGTTACGAGTTTAACGCAAAGCCCGGCACAGAAGACGTTCACTATGATACTCGGTACAGGGGGGGGGGCGCGTGCCTAAACCAACGAGTTTCCCCTCAGTGGTGCGACGCGCGCGTCTGGGGTCTCTTCACCGGAAGCGCATTGCCCCGCCTAAACCTGCCGTCCATCGTTCACGCAATGGATCAACCTGCCGTTCACGCATCACTGCCGCGAGCGCGTGCATCCATGCATGCAATCTGCTGTCCATCTTTTACCCCATCGATCAATATCGCCGTGCACGCATGCGTCGTCGCTTTGCATCACCGGGCGCGCGCACGAAGCAGATGCTCCAAATGTGCATCATCTTCGATCGATGCGTGTGCATTGTGCGGACACGTTGCGTAGATCGCGATCGGCAGCGCGCGGCTGCGGCTGCGGCTGCGGCTGCGGCTGCGGCGGCCGTGCGGAGATACGGCGGTATCCAGGCTGGCGCAGCGTGTCTGCGTGTGCGAAACGCGCACCATCCCGAGGCGAACTGTCAGACAAACGCGGTGACGTCGACTCAAGGAACCGGGCTGTGAGTATAGCGCTCTTTTGTGCTCTGGTATAGTAGGCGCAGACTTGGCTTAGCGAATGCGTGAGCGCCTCCCCAGTCCAGGCCGTTCGGGAACGCCTGCGCTGCAGTCTACGCGTGGGCACGATTCGCTGCAGCGGCTGCGCGTTCGGCCGGCGAGTTTTTCACAAACTAGCAGTGCAGCCGACGTACCAACTAGTCCTTTAGTGCTACCACCACTCGTTGGTGGCATGCAGCAAGGTGTTTCGGATTTTGGAAGAGCCTCAACTGGTCGGGGCCCTCTGTCTAGTGACGCGCCGCCTCCAAGCAATCGAACCGTCGGAATAGGCGGATCCGAAGGGGTACAGAAAGGCGATGACGAGGGCCAGGACGGCTTTTTCATAGGTAACAACCTGTTTCTCGCAAAAGGCCTCACAACAGCCGCCGCTTTGGCGGACGAACAACTGACGGGCGCGGCGCCTAGCCGGCTGGGCCCCAGCGGAAACGGCGAAAATAACCCACTGACGCTGAGACGAACGCTTTCCTGTATAGAGATAGACCCGTTTGGAAAAGCACAAGTACGCGTTTACACTCGAGAGGAACTCATTCGAGAGCTGCGTTCAGAGTCCGTTACCGGGAACACTGCGGTCGACGTGGTCGAGCTTGCCTTCATCCGAGGCGATGCCCGCGAAGAGTCGCAAATGTCTGGCGCGCTGGATCTGGCGCCGGTGACTGGTGGAAATCGACGCACCAAGTCATCAAAATCGAAGAAGAGGACCAAGTACGGCCCGATCCAGTCTCGCGATCTACGGTTGTTGGACCCGGCGTTCAGTGTGGAGCCGGCCTTGCATGTACGCGATCACGTCATTCTCGCGGTTTTCGATAATCATATCCGAGCTGCAATCCAGTCGCATCGCCTGTTTATTTTTGATCACGAGTCCAAAAGAGCGCGACGGGCTACTGAGTTCGTTGTGCAACGACTCTCCCGAGTGTCAGCCGAGGAGGCGGTGCCCTTTGAGTTCGTTGCGCTGGAGGCGCTTCTCATGGCCACTTGTGCGGACATAGAATGGATGATGAGAAACGTGGAGCCATTAATTGAGCGTGAACTAGGAGTTCTTTCAAGAGATCTGCGACGGAGTAATATCGAACGGCTCCGGGTCGATGAGCGCAGGCTCTCTCTTCTGCTTTCCCGAGCGCGGAATTTCGAGCACCTGCTCGAGGACATCCTCGACGAGGACGAGGACATGAGCCACATGTACTTGACCGAAATGCGTTACCATCCGGAAAAGTATCGTCTTCCTACCGATCACGAAGATGTGGAGCTGTTGCTCGAGAACGCGCTGCAGACGGTGCAGAGTCAGGTTCGTCGATTGGAGCTGCTCGATGCCGGCATCAATAACCTTGAGGAGATTCTGGAAATCAAACTGGATATATCTCAGAATCGCATCTGGTCGTTTAATATTTTCGTGCACCTTTGCGTGGCGACATTCTTCTTAGCTGCAATACCTGCTGATTTTTTCGGAATGAACTTGCAAATACCGCCTGACAAGGATCCGAATGTATTCTGGCCGTGGTTGCTGGTTTTTGGATTGAATATGGGCTTGGCGGTGGCCTTCTTTTCGCTTGCCATGCTGTTTCTTAAGCGACGACGATTGCTCTTTGGTCTCTTTAAGCGCCATCCGAGTGACTAGGGTACTGGCACGAGACATGCGCCAGCACCAGACCTCTGCGGGACAACGCGTGGTACCGCAAGACGCGCGACCGTTGCCGTGCTCGGGCGCTCTCGTCGACGTTAATCGGCGGATTCGTGGTGATGCTTCCCGAAGGACGCAGTTGATCTCGCTGAAACTTCATACGGTAAGGATACCAACCCGCCGCGCCCACCAAAACATACACAGAATCGTGAGCGGCACCGTGAATGCCGTGATTGCCACAAAGCCGATGAACCACGAAGCATTGGTGCCGTAGATCGGCAGTTGCAGATTCATGCTAAAGAATCGATTCACAACACCAGCGCCAGCGAAGACACAGGTCAGGACGGTCATTAACACACTGATGCGCAAAAGGCGATTTCGCATCGAGTCCAGTTGCAGATCCACTAAACCCTCGGTATCATCGATGGTGGCACCGAGGAGCCGTGCTCGGCCCGCCAGATAGTCCAGCACCCGCAGGTACGACTCGAGCAGCTCCTCCACCTGTGTGTGGGCTTTTGTCGGGCGCTCAGTGTCGGGGTGCTTCCGCATTTCGGTTAAATACATTCGAGCCATATCTTCGTCCTCGCTGAGCAGGTCTTGGAGCGCGTCTCGCACTCCGTCTACTCGAGATGAAAAGTTGCTCAACATTTGCTTCAAATAGAGCATTTCTTCCAGCTTCCTGCCGCTGATCTTGTGTGTCAACTCATTCAGGAGGCGCGTGAGACTCGGCTCGATACACGCGAGATCTCGTTCGAGTGCGACGCACACCTCGATCAAAACGGATTCCAGCGCGTGAAGTTCAAAGGGAATCTCCTGTTCCTCATCACTCTGGGCAGCGATGAGCCGCTCTTCGATGGATCGGGCACTCTGACGCACACTCTGATCATTGGGATTGAAGAGCAACATATGATCAGCGAAAATGACGGCGCGCAGATGCGCAAGACTCACAATGATCACATGTCGCCGTACGAGAATAACGGGCCGCGGTTTTGTGGTCGGATGGATTTGTCTCAGGTCGCGGCTTTGAAGGATACCACGCAGCTCAGCCTGGAGCTTTCTGCGTTCCTTCTTGCGCTGTCGCCATACCGCGTGATGAAGCGTCTCTTCGGACTGGGAGTCTGCTGGAATGCAGTTGGCGCTGCTCGGTGCACGGATCTGATCGTTCGCCCGCGCTGCCGCCAGAATCTCTGTTGTGGTGATTTTCTCAACCGTGGCATGTCCGTTAAACCCAAACCGGAAACAAAGCAATGTGTTCAGGGCGCGTTTTGGTTTCTTTTGCTCGGCAGGAGTGTGTTGTCCAAATCCGGCGTATGGTGTTGTCGCGATGGGTTCCGGCGCCTGGCCCCGAGCACGCCCGCTAGGGCGCAACGTCGGTGGCTGCGGAAACTCCTCATCGTGGCTGTCGCGGTGCTCAGGAGACACGTTTTCCGCACTCGAGGGCAGCGCGCCTTGTCTACGCTCACTTACAGGCGAATCCTCCGCACGGCCAGAATCTCTGTACAAGTCCCGCTCGTTCGTTGTAAGCGCTCCGTGCAGGTTCGTCTCGTGTTCGGGTCCGGAACTACTGCTAGGTTCAGCGTTGTCTGGGCGTTCGCGTGTGTGCAAGCTATCCGGGGTCGCGCGTTGCGTCGCACGCTGCAACAAAAGTTGGTTGCGAATCGACTGCTGAAAGAGTTCCAGAGTCTGGTTTCGAGATCGGAGGCCCTCGAGCGCACCGCTCGAAAGAGAACGTCGGAAATTCGTTTCCTTCGACGAGTACAGTCCCGACTCTGGAGCAGGCTCGAAAGGTTCCGCGGCAACTGGTGGCGGGCCAGTCTCGAGCAGGGGCGAAGAACCCGCCACCGCCACCGTCACCGCGGACTCCCGAGCGTTCGCCTCGCTCTCGGAGCAAGGTGGCGCCGGGTGCAAAATCGTCTCATCGTCCAGGCCTTCAGAAGCGTTTAGCGGTAGAATGGGAACTCCACCGTCGCTTTCAGAGTCTGACGCTTCCATGTTGCCGAGGCGCGAGCAGCGTGTGCCCGAATGCCAACCTCGATGCGCCAGCAGCCTTGCATAGCCGCATTTGGAGCAGGGGCAATGGAGCGGGCGCGAGGGCCGGGCATGTAGACGAAGCTGCATATTTTGGGACTCTGTGGACAGGGTAGCATACAGCTGATCGTTCTGCTGCGGCACGACAGCGTTGCTGGACTTGTGAGCACTGGGCCTTAGGCAAACAGCGCTATGCGCATGCACGTGGGTGCACAGCACCGCAAACCCATGAAAAGACTCCATGTGAACTGAGGTGTTGGCAAGAACAAGACTAAAAGTAAGAGCGTCTGCGAAAGTCCGCTGGGTGGAAGCCTCTGCCCACCGAGCGATCGAGAAAACTGCAAGAGGGATGCGGGCCTCCGTCGCGCTCTACCTGCACGCACCGACAACCGGGGCGGTGCTTCGCTAGACGAGCGGGTGGAGCAGCGGCGCGCTCGATGTCGCAACACACACAGACCAAAGCATGCTGTATCCGTTAAGCGCTAGGAATTTCGTATGCACGTTCAGATGCCAACATGTCGCGGGGTGGTAGAGTCGAATGCGCTGCTGGCCGGACGGCACAGCATCGCCGCATGATCGCGGAAACGGCGACGGCCAGCAGCTTCAATCTGTAACCTGTCTCCGTTTTGATGAATTCGCGCCAACTTGCAACGAGTTTCTGTTCTCTTTAAGCCTATGATAGAACAAAACGGAACAGGTTGTCCAATTCGCAGGTACACGCAAAAATTCTGGGTCTCCTCCCGCTGCGATCAACGCTGGCATTTTAGGGTATTATTCGGGGTCCGCTTCCTTTTCCTCTCTAGTCTCCGGTTCAAAATACGCTGGACTCTTCTGTCACTCCTGCGCCGTGCTCACCATTCGAAGGACGCTGATGGCAGCGTGAGAGCACCGATGTCGCTGGATATGGCTGTTGTCGACTCTTTCCATGAAGAGACGGGAGCAGCGGTCGACCTATCGCTTGCAATTCTCGGCTTTATACACAGCCTGTCGATGTGCGCTTCGCAGCGGTGATACAAGAATGTGGAGAGGTGATTCTACATGTCCACTACATGTCGTCCTCCGGGGGCCACTATGCGACATACGAATGCTTGCTTGATCGCTCGGTACATGGCCTTGACGGGTACAGAAGGCGCCGCTCGATGCCCCACGCCATAACCGTGCCCGATGCGGTTCGCGACGATCACGGGCTTCATCTGGAGGATGTCTTCGAACATTACTCCGGTCGCTGTACGTAGAAGCGCACACTGTTCAACTAGATTCAAGATCTGAGGAACGCGATGTTGTTCATGTTGCAGCGAGTACCGGAAAGAGAATGCGTGTTGGAGAATACGTCGAGAGATTGACATGCCTCTAGGTTCCAGTCGCGTCAATCGGCGACCTACGATTCAACGTTAGAGAGACAGCTGCGATAACACAAGCCGAGTCCGCGACCATTTTCGATGCAAAAAGAAACAACGGGAGTCTCTCGAAGCATAACTCGTGCGGCCTAACATGCTACTTCCGTCGAATGCCGCTCCGTAGCTTGCCAAAAAAAGACAAGGATTCGGCTCTCGATTCTCTGACGTGAGACGCTCGATGAACTTCCGCAACGCACTTGTAAAGAATGCGTCAAGGGGCGTTGTCTGCTTTTTTTCTTCGTCAGTCGTGCAATACGAATTGCAGCGCCCACGAGTTGCATTGAAAGACGTAGATAGAAAACTGAACTAATGCGAGATTTGAGCGTGCTACACGTAAGTAAAGAACAAGTCTGGAGGCTTTTTAGTACGCTTTGGGTAATCATATCGGTTCGTTTACGCACCCTTTCTCAAGCGCGTCATGAATCAGCTTGATTCCGGTGACCTAACGGATTCCGGTGCGAACGAGTCGCAGGAGCCACTTCGCAAAGACAACCGAGAATCCTAAAAGTACCCACGAACCAGTACACTCGTAATAGTGCATGTCGTACGTCGAGGCTGTACATCTAAGAAATATAGGTCGGAAAAATTCGAAAGATGGGAAGGAATCGAGCTGCTCCGTGTTTCATTCTAATCTGGCATGGCTGCAGCGGGGAATCGCTCACGGTTGCGTGCCTTGTATACGGCGCTCATCGTCAGCTGACATCGACACGTGCCCTATGACGACAGCGGCCTTGGCGCGGGCACGAGCTCGGGACCCTCTCGACTATTCCTTGAAGGCATTCTCGCACAAGCAGGCAAGGTCCCCTGGCGTAGTGTCATCAGAGCATTCACTACGTATGCCGTGCGGTATGACGCAGGCGCTGCGACGTGCGTGCTCTGCCTGCGTTCCCCGAAATGCAGGCCGGGAGGCGCGCTCGCGGATCGCCAGTAGCAGCACAGCAGCGTCTCACCGTTGTTGTGCTGTCCAAATATATCTTATTTATTACATGATTGATCTCTAGCGTTCAGGCTGCATCGTTGCCGCCGTCGACCTCTTCGCCATAAAGGCGACCGCAACGCGCGAAACTCGGCCAGCACCCGCCAGGAGCTGCAGTCCCAGTAGCCGAATGCTGTCTCTTGATCGCTACTATCCAAACAAAAACAGTGGTCGTTTTTTCTGATGCGCCAGCGCGGATCGTTCGTTCGTGGTGGAGCGTTCTCAGCGCGAGCGACAGGGCGCGGCCACGGCGGTGCAGGGCGCACTAGCCGTGCCGCAGATCCCGCGGACGCGGACCTCCTGTGCTTCGGAAGTTTCGTTCATGCCTGCGAAGGCGAACTTGTATACAAAGCGATCGTACCGGATAAAGTTCCGTATTTCAATGCGCCGATTTTTCTCGAGAACAAGGCGCAGATCGGACGCGTGGAGGAAGTTTTCGGTCAACTTAGTCAAGTTATGTTTAGCGTCAAACCTGTGCCGGGTGTAATTCCTGAGAGCGTTCGGCCTGACGACCGAGTCTACATATCTAGCAATAAACTCCTACCCGCTGCTGTGTTTACCAAGAAGGGACAGCAGGGCAACGCCTCAGGTGGCGCAAAGGCGAAACAGCGCAGGCCACTGAGGACACCCGCGACCCGCGGCGGGCGTGGCGGCTCTCGGCCATATCGCGGACGCGGCGGTGCCATGAGCACTCGGGGTGCGGGCTTTCGTCGACCGTCGTCCAGCTTTAGTGGTGGTGGTGGTGGTATCTCAAAGCGCCCGTACCGCCGGTGATATGGTGAAGCGGGCTCGCGATGCGTCTGTCAAGAACGGCGCTCAGCGTCTGTGCGTATTCCACGTATGTGCCTGTGCCTGCCGTGCAATCCCTCGACGCATAGGATTTTGCGTGACAGGAAGCGTGCGGTCTCGGACAGGAAGCATCGACGCAGACGAGGAATATCTCCTTCTCTTACGCAGGACAGCTTCCCGAAGCATCCAGGACTCTTGTGGGGTCTGAGTTCCAGCACCCGCGATTCGACTTTGCGAACAGACCTCGACGTGTGTCTCGACACGAGCGGTGCGGTTGCACTGCTGATGCTGGTTGCTGAAACACGCGCTGTCCCAGTTGCTCGAGAATGCTCTCATTTACGCCTATCCATTTGATCGGTGATATACTCGATATGCCAGTGTTGCGCATTGTTCGGTGCGTTTTGCAGAATACCTTTCGAAACGTTCATGGAATTCGGGTTCACCTGATCAACCACGGGCGATTCCTTCGACGAACTCGACAAGCGTACGAGTAGGAACACCTGTCGCCATGCTCTGCTTCTCATTCCACACGGTTCCCGCGATATCCAAATGTGCCCAGGGGACTTCCTTTTTCACAAATTCCTGAAGGAAGAGGGCGGCGATAATTGCCCCGCCCCATCGACCTCCTGTGATATTCTTGAGATCGCTAATTTTGCCCTTCAGTCCCTCGCGGTACTCAGGTGCAAGTGGCATACGCCAGACGCGCTCGCCGACAAGTTTGGCGGCAGAATCCAGCCGTGCGGCGATATCATCATGAGCGGTCCACATGCCCGAGTACTCCGTGCCGAGCGCGACAATGCAGGCCCCGGTCAGCGTCGCAATGTCGACCAGGGCATCCAAGTTAGGAATATTCTGCTGGGCGTAGAGAAGTGCGTCCGCCAGCGTTAGGCGACCCTCGGCATCCGTATTCAACACTTCAATGGTTTTCCCATTGCTCGCCGTTAGAATGTCCCCGGGATGGTACGCTTTCCCCGAGATCATGTTTTCACAGCATGCCGTAATGACGGAAAGCTCTAAATTGGGCGGCTCCAATGCCATGATGGCCTTCATCGTGCCGAAGCAAGCCGCCGCGCCGCCGCAGTCGAACTTCATCAGTTCAATCATCGAGCCGGCGGTCTTGAGGTTGTAACCGCCAGTGTCATGCGTTATGCCCTTACCAACGAGACACACGCGCTTTTGAGTCTTTCCCGGTGTCACGACGGGTGAGGTATATTTCATATGGATAAACTTGGGAGGGAGCTCAGAGCCCTGGGCAACTCCTAGAAAAGCGCCCATGCCGAGGCGCTCGCAATCCTCCTTCTCGAGGATGGTGCAGGTTATCGATCCTCGGGAGCTTTCGGCGAGGCTCCTTGCGGTTTCCGCGAAGAACTCCGGCGTCGCTACGTTTGGTGGCGCGTTCACGATCTCGCGCGTGAGGATAACGCCGCTGGCCATCGCTTCGCCGCGCTTCACTGCGGTCTCGTCCGCACCGAGGAGATCGATGAAGGCACCGCTGGGTTTCGTTGCTGCGCCCTTTGTCGCGCCGTCCTCTTCCTCCGATGAACGGAATCGATCATCGGTAAAAGCTGCGAGCAGAACGGCTTCCGCGAGGCGCTGCGTGAGTACTTCCGGCGCTAGCGATGCCTTTCCTTGCGGCGAAGCGATGACGACGCCCAAACGATCCGGTTGGGAGCTGTCGGATTTCAACTGCGTGCTCACAAAGGCACCAAACTGTTCAAAATATCAGTGTTGAAGTCGTCGTCCTTTCCAAGACAGTAAACGGCCACGCGCCGCACTCGCACGGTGATGGTATTGCTATCTCCCAGCACCAGGAGGTGTGTTGTGACAGAGCTTCCGGACTTTAACCTCGGCTCCGCGTCTTCAACGAGCTTTTTCACGATTCGAGCAAGATCTGGGCCCAGTAAACGATTCGCCCGTTCAGAAAGCTCGTATATCGTGGCACCAGTTCCGCCGCTGGCACTGGATGCACTGCCAGCCGCAGCGCCACGGGTCAAGTCAGCCGAGAAGAGGCCAATGACCAAGGTTTCCCCTTCGAAGGCGTGCGAGCCCTCCGACGGCAGCGGTCTCGCTCTCAACGTCGGTAGTTGCCGTCGCTCGGACGCCGGCCTCGGTCTCGTGGGTACAGTCATAGCCAGTGATCGGATAGGCGCAAATGGAAAGACGCTTCGCCGAGCAGCGGGACGCAAACGAGCTCTCTCCCAGCACGGCCCAGCCACAAACAAACAATTGCAGAGTGCGTCCCCTTTGGTGCTAGGGCGAAAACCAGCGATGAATTCCTGTCCGGAAGCAACGTTGCAACAGGAAAGATAAACCTATTGAAACGAGTCGCTGCTTCATGGGAGCGATAGCTTCAGCAGCGGGCGCAGCTGCCTCCAGCGACGACGCCCTGGCGCGCATCGACGCGCTCTGTTGGCCGCGGCGTTGCAGCGCTGCTGCCGATCCGGCCGTCGGTTCGTGAAGGCGTTCCCGGGGGGGCGGTGCGCGCGGCGCGGCTGTGCAGCATCACCGCGATGCATTTCCCTAGGAGCGGGGCTAGTCGAGCGAGCCTGTGTGTGAACGGTGTATGCGGCTGTATACTTGTCGTGTGGTTGCTCTTTGATAGGGTCGAACCGGTGTCGTGACAGTTGCTGGTACGGCTTTTCGTGCATTCGTTTTCGTGCAAAAGCACGGTCTGATTTGGCTCAATTCTCCTGCGTGCTGTGTGATCATAGGCAGTGAGCGTGCTGGAACGAGGCAGGGCAACGGAGGTGTAGCGCACGCGAGGCTGGGCGGTGTGCTCGGTGCAGCCGGCTCGATACCCTGGGGTGGCGAAACTATTAAGCTGTTGGAGCACGGTTCTCTGTTCTGGACTATCCGAACGCACGCGGGAGCTGTCGGGCTCGAGCGGGAAACTTTTTGAGCTTGGGAACTGCGAAAATGGCCATACGGCTTTCCTGAACCTGTTGCAGTAGAAGTTTGTACTGAACGCAGTTGAAGCTTGAAACAGACATCGTTTCTAGCAGAATGCGGTTTGCCTGCTGGGAGCGACTCCTCGCAAGCGCGAGACAGTCTGTGAACGTGCTTACGTCCGCTCGAGGTACGCGGTTTTGTCACAGACGTGCCTTCTCTGGACGCATGCCTGTCGGTTGGGACACAACGGCACGCAAGGCACTTGCGATGAACGACATGTTTATGAGGTTTCGTTTTCAGTATCGGAGTGGCGCTATGTACAGTTCCTTCTCGACATCACAAGGAGAAACCCTATTCAGTGCAGAGCGAGTTTCAGACGCAGCAGTCTGGCGACGACGTCTGGAGCAGCGTCGGCGCCGACAGTTTTACAGCGCGTTGGGCGGCGTTGTTGGCGCAGCGTTGATGACGTTCGCGGTGATAAAAACAATGGAAGACAGCATGATCTTCTTTTACACGCCGACGCAAGTATTGGAAGAATTGCCGCCAACAACTGCAAACAGACGGATGCGTCTGGGCGGGCTGGTTGTCAGCGGTAGCCTGCAGCGCCATGGCAACGGAGATGTTGAATTTGAGATCACGGACTTGGAGAACGAAGTTCTTGTCACGTTTAATGGGTTTCTACCAGACTTGTTCCGCGAAGGTCAGAGCGCTGTGGTTGAAGGATATATTTTGGAGCGGGAGAACGATGGACGACCGCTGCGATTCAAGGCCACTAGCGTCCTTGCAAAACACGATGAGAAGTACATGCCGGCTCAGGTTCGCAGTATGCTGGAAAAGAACCGGCCGACTCGCAGTGACACGCCCTAGTGTCGACATCTCGCACTCCATGAAAGCTTAAATGCACAAGAGCACGGGAGAAGGAAGCAGCGTGAACCCCGAATGGTGAGCATTGCGTGCCGCTACTGGCGTTCTGCTGCTATGGAGCCAAATCCGCAGCCACGGAACCTATTCCGGCTGCATCCTCTGAAACATATGTCGCTCACACAGCACTAGTTCTCAAGGAGAGGCCTGCGTCCTCAAACAGCGACAGCGCGTATTTTCTTAGAAAACATCCGGACTTTCGACTGATCAGCACCGCGGGATCGCTGGCGAACTGCTGGTATTCTGCGCCCGGCTTGATCGTTATCAACTGCATCCGCAAATCTCTTTATTCGATGTGACGCCATGCGTAGAGCAGTTTCAAATAGGAAACTTTGCGGATACCTAGAGTAAGCCGAAACTTGTTGGGCGTATTCGCGCAGAAAATAGCGGTATCCAATGCTTTCAGGGCTGTAATCTTTCAAGTGTTTCTCAGCGTGGCTTCAGAACGACAGGAATATGCAGGGCAAACGAATGATTAGGGTTGCAGAGCACAAGGAAAGGCCTCTGTGCTGTTTCCGCTGTGCGTGGATGCCTCGCGCACGGGCCATGCTTTCCGCGCCGACGCAAACACTATCGTTCGTCGCGGGTCACCGCTGTCGCACTTGTTGGAGAAAACGGCGTATTTTCCTCGTCACGCACTGGAACCGAACGAACCACGTTTGGAATCGCTGGCGCGACGCTCCCAGACGCAACAAACTTGATGGGAAACCTTCGAAAGGCTCCGCAAATTTTGCAGTGAAGCACTAGTCGTTGTCGGCGAACGCGTACAAACGTGTTTCTTCCAGGTTGGAAGATGCTGCCACAGCGCTTACAGGTGTGCCGCTTGACATTCTCACAGTCCAGTTGAAGGTTCACCCTCGTAGCGATCTTTCGCATGAGCAGCACATACGAGCGCGAGACCGCCGATAGGCTCTGTTGCAACGCCCTGGCAGCGCGCCACAAGTGTGCGACTCGGGCTTCTGCATCCCGTGAACGAGTGTTTTTGTAGTTGTTCTGCTTGTTCTGCTTGTTCTGCTTGTTCTGCTTGTTCTTCTGGGATGAAGAAGAGCATTGCTTCGCCATGCAGTGTCCCTACTGAGCGGACTAGAAGCGGCAGTTTTCAAAGCGTCGTTGGTGGTCACAGCGAAACGCTGTTCGAAAGTCGCACGTCGCCGACCGTGCACGGTAGTAGCGGGAAACGCGCGTTCGACATAGCGTTTCCAGCTGACGTGTAGACGCCTCCCCGTCTTTCTCGACCGGCCACCGACTACTGGTTTCAACTTTTTCTCATATAGTTCCACTTTGAGAGGTTGCCCCACAAGTCCGCTCTTGTCGTCTCTGGAGGTCTTCTCTCCAGCACCGCACATCTCCTTACATTGATAGCGGCATTAAAGTCAAGATTCACGAACTCCATACGTTTCTTGCCATCGTTCGTTGTACTTACTAGTGCAAGTAGCCCTCGCACTTTCGCCCTCCTTTCCATTTGCTCTTCGGTCAGCGGTCCGTACTTTTTTATATCCTCAGGGCTCCGCTGACACTTTTCCATCTCGACCCTTTGAAGTGTACATCCCAGTTCATGGTGTGTATAGGATGTTCGGAACTCATCTACAGTTACTGTGACGAAACGCCATGCACACTCTTTGTACGTTCTTGTCGTTGGAGCTGGTGTAGTTCCTTTTTGGGTCATCAAGCGCCCTGCTCCGTACGCTATTACAAGCCTCTGACTTTAATCCTCCTTCAAGGCGCTCAACTCATTGAAACAATTCACGAATGAACGCTGCTTCTGACAATACAAGTTCATACGCAGACGAGCCCACCGGGGCTTTGTATACTCTTTCCACAGGGCATCCCAATGCGCCATGCGAACTTCCATGAATTTCCAAAAAGCATCAAGGTCCGCTCCTCGGCTCGTCACCTCGCTCAAAGCTTCCAGGTGCTCCTTCATTCCTGCATTCCATGTCTCAGTTTTTTTCCTTGCATTCATGATTTCCGATTCTCGATCGTATCTCGCTCTCGAGAAGCTCAAAATTCGCATGTCTTTCTGACGTAAGTTACCATCAGTATCATCTTCCACACGCCTGGGCAAAGCGATGGTTATGATATTTGTGTTTCCAGGGTCCGCGTCAACGACAAGGTCGTTATGCTCCACCTCCTGCGTCGCAAGTTCCGCTTCCTTCTTATCTTCATGCTTCGCCGCGGCAGCCATACAGTCGTTATCCTCCACTTTCTGTGTGGCAGGATCCGCCGTCTTCATATCTTCATGGTTCGCCGAGGACGGAACTGGACGATCTCTCTTCAACCGCCGATAGTGTATACACAAGGCTACTCCATCGGTTTCGATCAACCCAGTAAGTACCTTTTGTTTGCTGGCTTTGAGACGTTTGAAATCGAAGAGACTCTTCCAGTACGTCTCCCGGTTTTCACCGGAGAATTCCTCCCTGCTAACACTGAACTCCGGACTGATCCCCTTCATGATGCCGTAAAGGATTCTGGAGTCGACAGTCACAAAATGTGACTTGATGTTGCACATTGGAACCAGGTTGAAGCGCTTCCCCATTAGGACAGCCTTCCGTCTCTCCCACTCTTCATTGTTTTCCCCACTCAGCTTCATCTCCGCTTTGCGTTCGAGTTCACGGTCCAAAAACACGAAGTACCTCAAGATGAGGAGGCAGTATCTTTCCTTATCTTTTTTCAACTCTGATACCTTTTCTGATGGATTCACCAGCCCCAAGACTGCACGGTGCTCTTGTATAACCGCACGGATCACAGAAGCTTCATTCGTGCTCTCGTTTGACGCCTTCTTCTCGACAAATTCGACCTCATCTTCACGCTTGCGATCTTTCATGATGCCATTGATAATCGCCCATTTTCCATTGCGGGATAGGCCCGGGTAGAGTGCAACCACGGCGCGTATTAAGAAACGTTCGAGGTTCGTTGTCAAATGGTTCTTCAGGTTCGTGATGCACTTCATCGCCCCATAGTCGTAAATATCGCGGTCACCCCTGCATCGAGTACCGTTGAAGCTGTAGAAGGGATGTTTTTCGTGGAGGGCACGCACCAGCTAATGTTCCGTCCGCGCTCTCTCTGTGCCAAGCATCAGGTGACGAATAAACGTCTTGTCGAGAAACTCGTCCGCAACCTCGACTATTTCCATGTGCGTCACGTCTTCGTACATCTCCCTCGCGCAATGCATCAGTTCTGACGACGCCTTGACAATACTCTTGGAGTACGAATCGAGACGTTTTTTGATAGCGTCTCGCAACTCTTCCCTGTAGGGATCCTTGATATGTCCAAGAAGGAAGGATTTCACCGCCTTCTCGTTGTACAGCCGTCTTTCTTGCCGCCTTCGACGTAGGGCCTCCCCCCTTCGGTTCCTCTTCTCTTTCTTTTCTTCTGGACTCGGCACTGTTTTTTGTTTTTTTTCTGGCAGCCGGCGACCTTGGGCCCCCAGGATCGTGCACTTTCTTTTCCATAACTTTCCTTTTTAGTATTTTTGAGAAAGAACGCTCTTTGAACCCTTCTGTTATATGCTGCGAAAAAACACTTGACTAGACTTGTTTGAGAGCTGACACAAAAATGAACTGAAAACTATACGTTGCCAAGATCTCAACGGGAATCCGACTTTTACAGCTGAACAACACGCTACTGATCTCAATCGAGTTTCCCTTCAACGGCGACATACGCGTCGTGTCTCATGCCTGCCAGATCCCCCAGGTGCACTCACCGGGCGCGACTCTTTTTTTCATAGACAAGACGTTTACTTGTGCCCGCATTCTCCGATTGTGCGCTTTTTCTTTTCTTACTTTTTTTTTCAGTGTGCGGTGACGTATCCATCAACCCCCTACCTCCATGTTACATTACTTGTACTTCGTTTTGGATATTCTGGTCGTTTCATACGTCCTATCGTGTGCCGAGCCTGCCGAAAGCGACAGCAACGGCGCCTAAAGCGCCGGTGCGGTCGCTGCACGGAGACAGAACGGCTTTTCCATACCACAGAGGGCGTCGGCTCGAGGCATGGTTCACCCGACGTAGAATCGGGTCTCGTCGTCAGTTTGAGCTCGGATAGTCTGCGGATGCAAGCTTGTCTTCGCTGCACGATACGCTGGAGAAACTTGGCTGTTAGGATACATCCTAGGAGCCGCCTCTCTCCTTCCTGGTCATGCATGGAATGCGTTGTTGTCGGTTGGCAATGCGAGTTTGTGCTTGACACCCACCACTGTGGGTAGGCGCAGAAAGCGCACTGGGCCCGTGTGCGCATCCGATACGCTGGACCTCATGCCTAGAACGTAGCATGTGAGTTTGTTCGCCACTAATGAGCGCTGAGGCTCGGTTAGCGGACCATCAGTTACCAGTGCTACACTCCGAGTGAGTGTCCGGCCTTCGACAATCACGGTGATGTCCAGCTGCTGCTGTCCCCCAAGGAGCTCGCTGCGCTCCTGCTTCCAGCGCGGGCAATGTAGGCCTAAATGTGTCAGCGTCTCGGGTATCTCGTCTCGACAGCAGGGACAGTGTGATTCCCAGTGCGATTCCAGTGTTCCTATACGGCTTAGAGCCGGTGCTGCCAGCCGGAAGCCACCAACGCGGATTTTGGCGAGCCACTGGGTACCTCGAGCAAGTCCCGGGAATTCCAGCCTCCTACCAGTACTTGCATGTGTATGCTAGGTTGTAGTTCCGGTATAGAGTCAAGCCGGCGTTACTGGCGCGACTGGTTCCGTGTATACGTTCCCATATGGTTGTTTGGACCGTTCGCTTGAGGCGGCGGGAGCCTTGTGCATTTCTGGGGAACGATTCGAGCGCATTTTCGCCTAAGAGGCGCTTCAGCCAAATATGCGTTGATTTCATCCAAGTGTTCTTGCGGTGCGTTGGGGTTTGCATGAAACTCCGACTGAACCAGGTGCGCATGGTGGGCCCTTTGGCCCATATGCGTGCCCGGCAGCCTGCTGCTATCGCTTCTGTCGAGGGTATTTGGAGTTCAAGTCCGAGTGCCAGCGCGGTGGTTGCTCTGCTCTGCACTGAGCATCAAACAACGACAACGAGTCGCATTGCCCTGTTGGCGGCTGTCTGCGGACGCGAGGCATTTGTGTGCTTCATGCCGCACCACCCAGCACCCCAGGTCGCAGGCTGGATGATACACATCCTTCGTGCGCTGGTACGAATTGCTATGCAGATAGAGGGGTCGGATGGGACTGGGCGTGCGATCGCTGTACGTCTATGCATCTTGGCGATCATCTCGTCAACGTGTGCGTTTTCGTCGAGCGTCGGCGTTAGACAGACCCCCAGGTAGCGATAGTTTTCCCCGATCGGAATTTCCTGATTCTGCAACCGCCACGAGCGATTGCGAATGCGCTGCGAGTCTCCATGGATGGCCATGACGCCGCACTTCGATGCTCCTACGTTCATCTCCCAGCGATCGGCCCAGGCGCTGGCTTGTTGCATGCTACCCGCAAGCGTTTCCGGGGCGGGTGCCAACAGCACTATATCGTCCGCAACTAGACGGCCTGCGAGGCGGTTCCTATGTGAGGGCTCCTCATCGGGCATCTCCCCAGTCTATCCACGGCACCTCAAGCCCGTATTGTCTGCAGTTTTTCAGCGGATCGTTGATGAAGATGTTGAAAAGGAGCGGGGATGCGCGCTCGCCCTTTTGTAGTCCACGGCGTATTCTTATACAAGGGGTTCTTGAGCCGTCGCCCAGTCGGATGCGCATCCACGAGTCTGCATAGAGCGCACGGAAGAACGCTAAGCACTTTCCGGAGACTCCGGCTCGTTCCATCTTCAAAAATAGAGCCTCGTGCGGGACCGTGTCAAAGGCCTCTTGGAAGTCGATGAAGCATACGTAAGTTGGTTGTTGGCCGCTAATGGAGCGACGTTGCGCCACTTCAATGAGGGTCAGGGCATGGTTCATGCACTCATCGCGGCTCCGGAATCCAGCCTGTTCTGGGGCGAAGAACTTGCGTTCCTCGAGGCCTCTCTGGATCCGGTTCGTGAGGTTGGCGCAAAAGTAGCTTCATGATTGACGGGATGAGGCCGATAGGCCGGTAGATGTTCATGTCTTTGTGTGTAAGAGTCCTTTTTGAGGATCGGTACGACCTCGGCAGTCCTCCGTACATCTGGGATGCACGCTTCTTCAAACATGCGTTGAATGAGCTCCAGAAGGCGTTTGCATAAGATTGTGTCAGGTTCATCTGGTATCGATGGTGTCCCTGTTGTCTCGTATTTTGGGGTCACCAGTTTCATCCACTCCGCAGGGATACCGTCGATGCCAGGTGTTTTGCGGTTGCTTGAGCATAGTAGGGCCCGAACAGATTCAGGCCAGAAGATTGGCTCGTTCCATTCCGGTACCGGGTCGAGGCGCGGTAGTTCTGCAGCATATTGGTGCCAATAGATTCGGTCTTGGCAGTTCCCAGTTGCGTCTTCATGCAGCTCTATCCCGTGGTCCGTCCAGGCCTCATTCACTGAGGCACGCTCCGTCCTCAGCGCTTCCTTATAAACGATTGATGTGAGCCGCAAGCACTTTTTTGGTGGGTCCAGTCTCGATCGAATGTAGCGCTAGGTCTCATCTTCGTTGGTGCCCTCGAGCATAAATTCCGTCAGGGAGTCGATTTTGCGGTTTCGATCCTCTCGTTTGTCTTCTCTGGAACGTTTCTTCTTTCTTTTGATAGCGTCCTCATGTTGCGCCTGTAGCGCCGGTAGCGCTGCCTTCGCTTCCTTGTCTCCGGCGTTGGCGCGTATGGCGGTGCGGTTGACGATCTTATAGAGTCGGTGGCATTCATCATTCCGAGTTTTGGTACGTCATTCCAGGTACCGCGGTTTGCAACTGTTGTGTTCTGGTGCAAGCAGTCCCAGTTCTCTGGCAATCTTCTGATTCCCATCTACATACTCGCGTGCCAATTGGTCAAAAGATTTGTATGCACGGCTTTTCGGATCTTCAGCGCTGTGAGCAGGTGCCTGGGTTTGGCGACGTTTTTCTTGGGTTCCCGCTGGGGTGCCCTTTCGGGGGATCACTTGCGATGGGCTCGTTTGGGGGGGTCTTCTTTCTATTCTTCTGTTTTTTCTTGTCGGTCTTCCTCGTCTTCTTCGGGCTCTTTCCTGAGCTGCTTTCTCTGGATATTTTGCATCTAAGTGGATCATGAGGTTTCTGTGCCTCCTTCTCCGTATCTGGTTGGGTCTCTTTACCTAATGCAGAGTCCTCCACTTGTATCAGTTCTTCGTTACAGTACTGGTAATTCGAAATCTCGTCGTCTAGTATCGAGGCCGTCCCACAAATATTCCATGATACGAAACCTATCGAGTCATAGCGCATACGGGAATAGGAATAGCGCTACGGTACTCCAGAGATACGTTGTCGATTTAGATACACGCTTCACGAGGTGTGTGAACGTACATGCCACCATTGCCCTCTGCATTCCAGTCGTTCATTGAGTGTCTGCCGCAGCGCTAGCGCGGAATCAGAAGTACATTAGTAAAGGTCGATTCGAATGCGACCTTTATCTTGCCGGACGCGTGTACCTCTCCTCAACCACAGGGGATACTCTACGAACCAACCTTTCAGCGGCTTCGTATCCGCTCCCCAAATACATAGGCGGGCAAGTCGCTTACTCCACCTTCGACAGTGAACATACTGGCAGCCGTCTTCAAAAGTATCCGCCGAGATTGTTTCCAAAGTTGAGGTAGGTACGCAAGGTAGGAGGTACAACTGAGCCCGAGTTCGAGGATAGATCCAGTATTTGCGCCGAAACCTGCAGCGTTGATTCGGGAGGGGCGAATGACTGCTCAGAACTCTCGTCAATATTTTCTGGTGCTACTGCCTCCGCCCCTCCGTTCGTTGCGGTCAAGGTCCCTGGCGTGGGCTTCCTTCCCCGTCGCTTAAACACCCCGCGTTAACCCATTTTCAGAGCTTCTCTGGAAAATCTAGACCTCTTAGGCGAGGGTGGTGTGTGGGGCTTTTAAGATAGTGGTTCTTTGATAAATAGTTTGCGACTAGTTTGCATCACGCTCGGTGAGTGCACCTGGGGGATCTGGCAGACATGAGACACGACGCGTATGTCGCCGTTGAAGGGAAACTCGATTGGGATCAGTAGCGTGTTGTTCAGCTGTAAAAGTCGGATTCCCGTTGAGATCTTGGCAACGTATAGTTTTCAGTTCATTTTTGTGTCAGCTCTCAAACAAGTCTAGTCAAGTGTTTTTTCGCAGCATATAACAGAAGGGTTCAAAGAGCGTTCTTTCTCAAAAATACTAAAAAGGAAAGTTATGGAAAAGAAAGTGCACGATCCCGGAGGCCCAGTGTCGCCGGCTGCCAGAAAAAAACAAAAAACAGTGCCGAGTCCAGAAGAAAAGGAAGAGAAGAGGAACCGAAGGGGGGAGGTCCTACGTCGAAGGCGGCAAGAAAGACGGCTGTACAACGAGAAGGCGGTGAAATCCTTCCTTCTTGGACATATCAAGGATCCCTACAGGGAAGAGTTGCGAGACGCTATCAAAAAACGTCTCGATTCGTACTCCAAGAGTATTGTCAAGGCGTCGTCAGAACTGATGCATTGCGTGAGGGAGATGTACGAAGACGTGACGCACATGGAAATAGTCGAGGTTGCGGACGAGGTTTTCGACAAGACGTTTATTCGTCACCTGATGCTTGGCACAGAGAGAGCGCGGACGGAACATTAGCTGGTGCGTGCCCTCCACGAAAAACATCCCTTCTACAGCTTCAACGGTACTCGATGCAGGGGTGACCGCGATATTTACGACTATGGGGCGATGAAGTGCATCACGAACCTGAAGAACCATTTGACAACGAACCTCGAACGTTTCTTAATACGCGCCGTGGTTGCACTCTACCCGGGCCTATCCCGCAATGGAAAATGGGCGATTATCAATGGCATCATGAAAGATCGCAAGCGTGAAGATGAGGTCGAATTTGTCGAGAAGAAGGCGTCAAACGAGAGCACGAATGAAGCTTCTGTGATCCGTGCGGTTATACAAGAGCACCGTGCAGTCTTGGGGCTGGTGAATCCAGCAGAAAAGGTATCAGAGTTGAAGAAAGATAAGGAAAGATACTGCCTCCTCATCTTGAGGTACTTCGTGTTTTTGGACCGTGAACTCGAACGCAAAGCGGAGATGAAGCTGAGTGAAGAAAACAATGAAGAGTGGGAGAGACGGAAGGCTTTCCTAATGGGGAGGCGCTTCAACCTGGTTCCAATGTGCAACATCAAGTCACATTTTGTGACTGTCGACTCCAGAATCCTTTACGGCATCATGAAGGGGATCAGTCCGGAGTTCAATGTTAGCAGGGAGGAATTCTCCGGTGAAAACCGGGAGACGTCTTGGAAGAGTCTCTTCGATTTCAAACGTCTCAAAGCCAGCAAACAAAAGGTACTTACTGGGTTGATCGAAACCGATGGAGTAGCCTTGTGTATACACTATCGGCGGTTGAAGAGAGATCGTCCAGTCCTGCCCTCGGCTGCGCCCGCGACGAAGGATGAAGATAAGAAGGAAGCGGCTCCTGTAACGCAGGAGGTGGAGGATAGTGACTTTCTCGTTGACGCGGCGAAGGATGAAGATAAGAAGGAAGCGGCTCCTGCGACGCAGGAGGTGGAGCATAACGACCTTGTCGTTGACGCGGACCCTGGAAACACAAATATCATAACCATCGCTTTGCCCAGGCGTGTGGAAGATGATACTGATGGTAACTTACGTCAGAAAGACATGCGAATTTTGAGCTTCTCGAGAGCGAGATACGATCGAGAATCGGAAATCATGAATGCAAGGAAGAAAACTGAGACATGGAATGCAGGAATGAAGGAGCACCTGGAAGCTTTGAGCGAGGTGACGAGCCGAGGAGCGGACTTTGAAGCTTTTTGGAAATTCATGGAAGTTCGCATGGCGCATTGGGATGCCCTGTGGAAAGAGTATACAAAGCCCCGGTGGGCTCGTCTGCGTATGAACTTGTATTGTGGGAAGCAGCGGGCGTTCGCGAATTTGTTCAATGAGTTGAGCGCCTTGAAGGAGGATGGGAGTCAGAGGCTGGTAGTGGCTTATGGAGCAGGGCGCTGGGCGTCGAAGAAAGGCACTACGCCAGCTCCAACTACGAGGGTGCACAAGGAGTGCGCAAGGCGTTTTGTTACAATACCTGTAGATGAGTTCCGAACATCGAATACAAACCACGAGCTGGGATGCACACCCCAGAGAGTGGAGATGGAAAAGTGCCAGAGGAGCCCTGAGGAATTTGCAAATTACGGACCGCTGACGGAGGAGCAAATGGAAAGGAGAGCGAAAGTGCGAGGGCTACTTGCACTATTAAGTACAACGAACGATGGCAAGAAACGTATGGAGTTCGTGAATCTTGACTTTAATGCCGCTATCAATGTAAGGAGATGTGCGGTGCTGGAAAGTAGACCTCCAGAGTGGACACGAGAGAACTTTTTTGGATAACCTCCCAAAGTCGAACTATATGAGAAAAAGTTGGAAGCAGAAGTAGGTGGCCGGTCGAAAAAGGCGCGGAGGCGCCTGCGCGTCGACTGGAAACGTTTCGTGTAAGGCGCGGTTTTCCCGCCACTACTGTAAACTGCCGACGTCGTTCGACTTAGAGCGGCGTTGGCGGCTGTCCGTTCAGGGTGGCCTCCTGTGCGAGCTTGGCGTCGATACTTGCACATATGGGTCGCATACAGCGCCTAGAGGTAGAAAACTTCAAGTCTTACGGTGGCAAGGTGTGCATCGGACCTTTCGTGGAGGGGTTTACGGCTGTCATCGGACCTAACGGCGTTGGTAAGTCGAACTTATTAGATGCCTTGGGGTTTGCGCTAGGCTTGCCCGCCCGCTTTCTTCGGGCGCAGCGCTTAGCAGAACTTATCTATCGCAAATCTGACCATGATGTTGTTCATGGGCAGGAAGTTGCTGGTGAACATAACGTGGACGGTGCAAACCAGTCCCACCGTGAAACGGCGGTGGCAGGGCACGCAGACGGCTGCGCTAGCGTTCGTCTCTTTCTGGAGGTTGCGCCCGACCAGGTGCTCATTTTTGAGCGTTCCATCGAAACGAAAGGTGTTGCGAGCTACCAGGTGAACGGTCAACCGCTGAGCTCCGAGGAATATGCGGATAAGCTGGCAGAACACTCGATCTTAGTGAAAGCTCGCAACTTCCTCGTGTTCCAAAACGAAGTGGAAGATATAGCGACAAAGTCGGGAAAAGCGTTATCTGCGCTCTTCGAAGAGATATCGGGATCGGCCGAGTTACGCAATGAGTACGATTCGGCCTTGGCGGAGGTTCGCAAGGCCGAGCAACGGCTCCATTTGTGCGCCCAGAAAAAGAGGGGCCTCCTGGCCGAAAAGAAACAGTGTCGCGCGCATTGCGATGAAGCTGAGCGTTACAACCAGCTGCAGCAACAGATCGCGAAGATCAGGAAGCTTCGCGTGCTGTTCCAGCTGTTTCATTTGAAGAAGGATGATTCCGAAGCTGAAGAAAGCACGCAGGGACTCGAACGCGAGTTGGAAGCTCTGCGAGCACGAAGAGTTACCATCGCCAGCGACCTGGAAGACCAGAAACGGGCTCTCGCCAGCATGCGCCGCGAACAAGCCGCCCTCGAAAAGCGGCGGCAAGCACTCGAGTTATCCCTCGAGAAGAATCTGATACAGCAAGCAGCTAAACGAAGCGAAGCTCGCGCTGCGGAGAAGCGGCTCTCGATGGAGCAGAAGGCCCTCGACAACCTTCGCACCAATCGGACGCGATCCAGGGAGGAGATTCATGCGCTGGAAAAGGCGCTTGCCGAAGTTGGAGAAGCGCTGCGTGCTTTGAACGAAGAAGAGGAGCAGGCGTTGGCAGAATTGCAAGCCGCTCACGGAGTGGATTCCTCTGCAGTTCGCAGGTTACGTGATGAGGCGGTCGCGAGCACTGCGAGCATGCGTGAGATGCTTACCACGGCCGAGAGAGCAACGGCTGCGCTACGCGCCATGCACAAGACGGAGGCGCAGAAGCTCGCGGCCTTAGAACGACGCTTTCGCGAGCTGGAAATCGATCGTGATCGTCTTTCCATGCAGATCGAGAAGATTCGGGCAAAAATCCAAGACGCGGAGAGAAATTTGGAAGAGGCCCGCATCGCAGACCAGAAGGCGCGACGGCGGTCCAGCGAACAGGCACAGAAACGCGAGGCGCTCGAGAGGGCGGCCCAGCAGTATCGCGAGCGTCTGCTAGAACTTCGCTGTGCACGAATGGAGTCCGAAAGAGAGCGAAGATTCCACGAAACCTTAGATCAAATCATGCGTCTGTTCCCTGGCGCTCGAGGTCGCATCGTGGATATCTGCCGGCCCGTCCAGCGACGCTACGAAGAAGCCGTATCTGTCATTCTGGGCAAGCTTGGAGATGCGATTGTCGTCGATGACGAACGTACAGCAAGCGAATGCATCGCTTACTTGAAACAGCAACGTGCGGGCACGGCTACGTTCTTGCCCCTTGCTGAGATTCGTCCCGCGCCCATTGATGAGAGCTTGCGTGGTATTGGTGGCACTGTGCGGCTCGCAATCGATGTACTCGAGTTTGACAAGTCATTCTTCCCGGCCATTCAGTATGTTGTCGGAAACGCCTTAGTTTGCGACAGTTTGGATGAAGCACGCCATGTTGCGTACGGCGGCAGTCAGGTTTCACGCATCTGCACAATCGATGGCACGCTGATCCACCGTTCTGGGTTCATTACCGGCGGCGCGGAATCCGATCAGGGTGCGTCGCGCACGCTCTGGGAGAATGAACAGGCCGTCTCTCTCAAGCGGGAATTGGATGAAGTTTTGCTGGAGTTAGCGAAACTTGGTCCAGTAGATTCGGCACAAGAGCGCAATGAAGCTGAGCAAGCCCATGAAGTGCTCCTCAGTACTCAAAGACATCTCGAGTATTTACGACACGAGCTGCAACAAAATGAGGAACGTGCTGTCAAAGTCAGCTCCCAGCTGAATGCGCTTCACGAACAAGTCTCCAAAGCCAAGGTCAGCGAGGAACAATGCCGGCATCAACTCGAACAAGGCGTCGCAAATGTATCCCAGATCAAAGAAAGAATCGAACGCGCAGAGCGAGAAATACTCGGAGATATTTCCCCGCAGAGTATTCACCGAAACGAAGAGTTCCGCGAGCGTCGCCTGGCGCTGACCTCCCAGCAAGCCAAACTGCGCGCTCGTTTAGAATACGAATACGCCAGAGAAGCAGAAACCAGCGAGCAGGACCTCGTCGAGCGCGTCCAAAAGGCCACCGCAGCCAGAGCTGAGCTGGACACCCAGATTGAACGCCTAGAGCGTGAGCAGGAAACACTCGAGCACAGTATCCGGGAGGCACTGCAACAACAAGAGCATATTCAGCAACAACTGGCAAAAATAGAGGAAGCTCTGGAAAAGATGCGCGAAGAAGAGAAGCAGCTGGCAGAAGACATCAGTTCCAAGGAAAACGCCCTGAACACGCACCGCGCAAACAAGGAGGATATCGCCGAGCGTCTGCGCGCCCTGGAGACTGCGTGTCGCATCGACCAGATCGATGTGCGTGCGCCCGCGACAGCAGCAGAGGCGGGTCGGGGTCAGGGCCGCGGCGCTGGGCATTCGAGCGATCGCGCACGCGCTCGGACGCGCACCCGTGGTCCATCTGGTGCGCAGTCCGAAGACCCTGTCCTATTTGCAGAGGATCTGGATATGTCGCTCTTGAGCGAAGAGCATAGACATGCGAGAAGCCACTCTGAGCGCATGGCCATAGAGTCGTCGTTGAATGAACAGGAACAAAGTCTCGTGGCAGAGTTGGAGCGCATGGCCCCAAATCTGCGAATCACGCAACAGCTCGATGATATCCAGCAGAGGCTCGACCTTGTTGCCACCGAGCAGGAGGTCGCTCGTGGCGCGCTTGCGGAGGCAAATCGTCGATGGTTGAACGCGCGCGATGAGCGTACGCGGCGCTTTCGGGAGTGCTTCGATCATGTCGCCGTCTCCATCGATGGCGTATTCAAAGAGCTTACACGATCAGAGGTACATCCCGTGGGCGGAAGTGCCTCGATCAGCCTCGAGTCCGCGTCGGAGCCGTACCTAGGTGGCATTCGCTTCAGCGTCATGCTCCCCGCAAAGCGCTTCCGCGAGGTGGATCAGCTCAGCGGGGGCGAACGCAGCCTGGCGGCACTGGCACTTGTCTTTGCACTGCGTGACTTTCAGAAGTGTCCGTTTTTGATTATGGACGAGATTGACGCTGCACTGGACCCCGCAAACTTAAGCCGCGTGGCGACTTACATTCGAGGGCGTTCCGTACAGTCCCATCCATTTCAAACGATCGTCATTTCGCTTAAGGACCAGTTCTTTGAGTTCGCCAATGCCCTGGTTGGTGTTTATCGCAACCCTCTCGAAGGTCACTGCAGTCGCATGCTCACCCTAGATTTGGATGCCACTGTCGCAGCGACGAACACTGCGGACGCCAAAGAGACGCCTGCAGACTCGTCGCCCAGTTAGCCGCTGCAGCAGTCTGGTGTCGCACCTGTGACGCTCTAGGGCCCTGCTCGAGTGCACCAGGCTCCAGGAGAAAGCGTGCACCCGCCTCTGACTTGCGGAGACAATCGCAACCGGCTTGCTAGTCGTTAGACGACTCACGCAAACAGTTCTAAGCTAAAAAAATACACCCGCTCCAGAGACTCGCAGAGTTTCCCCAGGTCCATAGAGGTGCCCACGACACGGGGTACCCCCGAGCGCACCTCGGATATTGGCGTGCGGGCAAGCGCGCACCACTCCGCATCCAACCTGCAAGCTCCACTGGTTGCCACCGAGAGTTGCATACGGAGAAATTGGTTCACTCATATGAAACGCTGCAACGCCAAGTGCCTACCGTGAGCACCCATACCGACACCTATGCTGTCGCTATGGACGCTCCATGGAGACGACGCGCGGCTTTGCCATATCCGTGCAGCTGTCGACTCGAGGTGCCTTGCACTAGCAGCAGCCCCAGCTGCAGCAGCAGCAGCACTGGATTGCGTCGAACGCGGATCAGAGCGGATTCGTGCGGCCGTCCACCGAGACCCGTGTCCGTTTCCGAACGCGCGCCGCCCGGCCGTCGCCGGCGTCGTCCGCCTACCTGCCACCAAAGGCGGGCGCACGTCTCCGTTCCCGAGCACTCCCCGTGCGAGTGCAGGTGTTGGTTCAGAGTTTTTGCCAGTACACCGGCTCTACTGGGGGTATGTTTGGTTCAAGACCGCACACTGAACGCAGGCAACGCGCTGGCAGAATAATGTCGGCATCAGTGTCTTTCGTGGAGTCAGTTCAATTTCTGCAGCGTGGCTTTGGCTCGCGTCTGTGTCGCGGGGTAGGGTGTCGGCGTCGCAGCTGCGGCCGCAGCACGCCCGACTTGCGTTTACCGTTCGAGCGCATGCTTGCGAGCGAAACCCGAGTTCGACCTCGAATAGCTGTTGTCGTGCAGCGGCAGTACGTTGCCGCTGCAGCGCCAGCGATCGATCCCCGGAGGCCCACCCGTCAGAGCCGAACCAGTGAACCACAGCGTCAGCAACAGAGCTTCGAGGGTTTCGGTACGGGTACGGTTTCGCGCCCCGTCGGGCGCACCTCGGCGGGTGTAATCATAAGCGTGATCGTCGTGAGCGCTGCACTGGGCACAGCCGGGTACTTCGGCGTGCAGCGTTTCTTGAAGCAGCGCGAGCAGCTTATCGTTGAGTTTGGCGAGGAAATGGTCCAGGCCCTGCAGTTCGTTGAGCGACGCTCTGCAGATGACATCCCTGACGAGGATCGACTGCGGAAGGAGCTCACTCATGTAACCCGCGTCTACAGCGCAAAGGCGCCACTCTGGGGACAGAAACGGCGAATGTACAGCTCGTTTTTGTACACGCTGATCCGAAACGTGAAATTGACGGTGGGCGGGATTATGGCAGCACGCATTGCGCAGCAAATGCTGGGTGTATCGGAGCGTACTGCAGAGCAAGTGATGAACGCGCTCACTGAAGAGCGACTCGCATCAGCGCCAAGCTTGCTGAGCAAGCTGCTCTTCCTTAGCGAGCGACTCGGAATGAACAGCAAATCCCTACGCATTCGCGACAAGCTCTCGTTCAGTGCCGAAGCTGTGAGGAGTTTGCAACAAAACTTATGCGAAAGCTGTTATCGGGACGTTATAGAGGAAAGAATAAGTCGTCTGAAGGAGGCGCGTGGCGAGCAAACGCTGACCGCGGCGGGCCTGCCGGGCCCCGGTCAGGACGCGGAGCTTGAGCGCTTCCGAAGGCGTCTAACGCGGCTCTCGCTCGATATCGAACTCGCTAGGGATATGCTGCAATCGAACAACATTCCGAAAGGGTACGAATTGCTCGGACTCGGTGAGCGCGATGCGCGCACGATCATCGAGAATTTCATCGCGGACAAAGAACGCGCAGTGGACGCCACAGCTCGCGACATTGAGGCTCGCGAACGCTCCATCATGGCTCGCCAGCGCGAATCCGCCGCTGAGGCATCTGGCAGCGGGGGCGCAAAGCCCGCAACCCACCGCTTCGAGTGCCAGCGGTGCGGTTACACCCTGTTTCCAGCTGCTGGGAGGGAGTGGAAGTTTTACGGTGATGATTTCAAGTGCCCGCAGTGCGGTGCACCCAAGTCGGACTTTCGGGATACCTCCGAGCAATCGTAAATCCCTGGAATCTCTCTATAAGGGCATCTGCTGAGCGCGCCGCCGCACTTGGAAAGCCTACACCAGAGCCTGATCCGCAGCCGGGGAACCGCATCGCATACGACCCGCGCACAAGTGACGCTGCACGCCGCGTGAGTGGCGCGGTTTTCGGAAGGGAAGAAGGGGCAGGTGCGAGGCGTGCCTCATGGACGTCGTTACAAGTCCAGCGCGTCGTGCATCGCAGCGAAGCGGTGCGTCTGCGAGTGGGCGCTCTGCATGCCAGCCTCTGGGACACTCGGTCTCAGCAGAAACGAACAACCCGCCTGCGTAGGAGCTTTTCATCGCTGTATCGGTTGCATCTGAGCCTGAAAACAAAAACCCCATTTTAAATGTTGCGGCGTTGGTTTTGGTGACGTCTGCGTAGCGAGTCCCAACTCGGATCTCGATACCTAGAAACTCGCTCTGAGCTTGCAGATAGCACACACATGCCGAAAACGCGCTCCAGACACGATTGATCACCTGCTGTGCCATTTCATGTCATCCACAGGTCATCCACCGACGGCTTGGAAAAGTTGCAGTGGCGCGGTAGAGGGTCAAAGTATGGCGTGGACGCAGACGATGTTGCGCGGCAATGACAAGCGCTGCCCGGGCATTTTTTCGCACGTGTCTGCATTGAGTGGAGCGAGTCGCCGTAGAAAACTCGGACGTGCGCGTGAAAGCTTTTCTTTTGCTTCCCATGGCCATCAACACCAGTCTCTGCGGGCTTTTCATGCGACTGCCTCTTTATCCGCTCTCTTATCTCCGGATTTGCGTACGGCTATCGCTGCTCTCCGACAAGCTCCGATATCAACAGTCGAATATTGTTGATGGCAGCGTTATTGTACAGATATCATCGCTTCCGGCTATTGTCGACGCCTATGATGCAGATGAGGCAGTTGCGAATTACGTTTCAATAGCCATTTTCATGTTCTTTGGCTGCAGCACCGATGCGTCCGTAGCAGCGGTGGCGCTCGGCTGAACTCAGGGATTTTCACGTGTCCACTATATATCCTGGTCCGGGGCCTGCACTGTGGCGCGTAAACGCTTGTTGCATTGCTCGGAATGTGCACATAACGGATACGAAAGGTGCCTCTCGATGCACGCCTCCGTTTCCGAGCCCGGTGCCGTACCCAACGATCTCGGGCCTCTTTTAGGCGATCTCCTCGGCGTGTGCTCTGTCCGCTCCGAGTACAAACGCACGTTGCTCCGTTCGATAGCGGATTCGAAGAACGCGGTTTGGTTCTTGATGAAATAAGTAGCAGAAGGGGCACCAAGAATGCGGAACAACTCGAGAAATATCGATCTCCCTACGCTGCGTTCGTGGAAAGCGTCGACGAACCCTCTATTGGATGCGATCGCTCCGATGATTCAGGTTTGAGTCTAAGACACTGTTCCATGCAAACAGAACGGACGGGAGCCTCTGGGAGCTCATCTCGCGAGAGGTATAAAGTTAGAATTTTAGTGAACTTTCTGCTTGAGCTTCTGAACAAGTCGTCATACGATGACATCGAATGTTTCCCCCAAAAAAGAATAAGTCCGACCACTGACAAGCAATTCGATAAAAGTAGCTTTCCAGCTCTATGTTAAGCATTGAAAGGGAGAAAAGGTTGCCGCATCTTCGAAACTTTAACTTCTAGACGCAAGGTCCCGCGAGCCGGTCGAGTGTGCCGGGCTTGCGCTCCATGTGCCTCTGCAGTGGCGGATGCTGCTGTGAGCCTTGAACAACTCGTCCGCAATGCAGTGTACTCTCGGACTCGGAGCGGCCAGGCCGTGTCTGGGCGTTGCCCTGGTCGCGGTGGACTCTTTGCATATCGCTCCGCGCTGCCGCATGCAGCGCGTCTGTCCGCGCGGCTCGCAGGCTCCCAGAATGAGTACGTTCTCCGATTCTGCCACTGGTGAATCACACCTCGAGGTACCACTCTCTAAGGTATGGCAAAGCCGTTCTCTCCCTATGATGCATACGCACCAGCGATATAAGCACTAGTGCAGGTGCAGCAAGGCAGGTACTCAGCACTCGATAGAACCTAAGAAACGACCAGTCTCTCCGAGAGAAACAAAGGGTAATGGAACCTGAGCGCAGGATGCAGCATGATAGACAATTTCCCAACCCCCGATGTACATCCTGCAAGCCAGGGTTCACGGTCAATCTTAACGATTTGTCGAGCAAAAAAAATCGTGTATCCGGGAAGCAGCGATCCCCAGTTGCGCGCTGATGCTAGGCATCTGGTACAGGCTCCCGCACGGTCATCGTTGCCCCAGGGCGCGATCGTTGCCACTGCGCCGCGCCCTTGCATTTTGTCGCACTCACTGGAAGCCGCTGGCGCTGTTTCGCCGCAGCGTTTGCGTGGCGCCTGCGCCTTCGCTCGCCACGAGCGCGTGCGCACGCATGCGCCTGCGACCTCAGAGGCGCGCGCACGTCCGGCCCTAAAGGGTAACAGTGCTCGCAGATACGCTGCGAACGGTGGGCACGTGAGGATGACTGCTTTATCCGCGGCCTTTGTAGGGTCTTTGGGACCTGGTACACGAATTCAATTGCGCTGTACGCGTCAGCAGTCAAGAGTCCCTCTGGGGAGCGGTGGAGCGAGTGCTCGGAGCAGTTTGCGCGCGGGACGTCCACGGCGCCTCGCGTGCTGCGCGCCGGAGGCCAGCGGTCTCTCTGAGCCTATCTTTCAGACGAGGACCTCAGCTGATGCTGAGCACGCCAGTTTTCCAAACGGTCGCAGTGTTCCGAGGAAAGAGTCTGGAGCCGCGTTGCCGGAAGACACCGGCGAGCACGCTGGGAGCCTACCAGCTTCGTTGCCTGTCGACGTGCCGTCACTTGGGACCGCCCCAGAGAGAACCAGTTACTCTGTTTGTCCCGAGCTGTTGTCGTCGACCGCAAGCACTTTCCGACCGTTTACTCCGACCGAGGCGTTTGGTGGCCTTGGCGTCTCGTGGGACGAGCTGGAGCCCCCGCAGCTCGGGGAACGGCTCTCGATTTTCCAGCGGGTAGCCGCTGACGTCGGGCCGGAAGCGTGGGCGCGAATTGCCTCTGCTGAGAAAATGGACGGTGACGAGGATGAACAGCTCGCCACGGCGGAGGGCTTCGACCGACTGCGGAAGCACCAGTTGCTGTTTGATTTCGAAATAAACCCCTGCCGCAAAGAAGAGGCTCGCGAGATGCTCATCCATCGAATGCGCAAAACGCGGCAGCGCATACTGTATTTGCAGAAGGAGATTGACAAGCTTCCGGAGCGACTGGAGAAACTCATTGCCGAACTGGATGTATGCACAGAGCGCGGCGATCGACGGCGGCGTCAGGACGTGCTAGCGCTCGGGAACCGCCTCTGGGCGCGACATCATGAACTGATCGACATCATCGCACGGGAGGAAGTGCGCATGGAAGAGTACTTGTATGTCTGGGGGCGTCTGCGTTGTAGCGATGACTCGGCGGATGTAACTCAAATTGGGGTGTGAATATGGTTTCCTCTGCCGGTGGTTTTGGTGTGGCACCGAATTGTACCATCGCGGGTACCGTGCGTGTCTAGGCGGCTTTCGGATGGATGCTGACACAGAAGCACGGAGCCATTCCGAAACAAACACGGCATTGCAGAGCTGCTATCCATAAAAGAGCATGAGCTTTTCAGGAATCGGACGAGTAATGGCGCGGGAATGTTCAGCATTACGATGCACTTGTTGAGGACAGGGAACTGGAATGCGACTGAATCGCACAACCCCGGCCGAATACAAAACGAACAGACACATTCCATGGACCATTCTCGATCGATCCCGTGACACTGGGCTTTCCAGCAAGTTATCGCCGCATGTGCACACGCACACGCAAAGCAATGACGCTGGCAAAGGGCCTCGACTCAGTCGTATTTTACTTCATGTAGCGCTTTCCAACGAATTCATTAAACCTGGCAACCTCTCCTTTGGATCCGTAGCAGACCTGAGACCGGACGTCGGTGCCAGGAATCGGGATGTCCAGTGCACTCCGTTCACCGTCACTGGAGGCACCGCCGGCGCGCTCGATTAGGAAGGCAACTGGAGCCACTTCGTAGAGTACACGAAGCTTTGCCGGCGCCGACGGGGATGCCGGGTTCGCAAACACTCCTTTGCCTTTGATGAGAATTTGATTACAGTCCGGCACCATGCCGCCTGTATAGCGTAGCTGATACTTGTTCTCCATCCAGTACTGGACGAGTTTCGCGTACCCGGGGTTATCCTGGGTCGCCTTCAGATTACCTGGCGCGAACAGCTTACCCTCATTAATTGTGTAGAATGATTGCACAAGTACCCACATCCCATGGTTCCCTGAAAAGTTATCGACAAGGAGAAACTCATGCGTTCCGGGGATCCCTCTCACGGAAACCGATATTGAGGTTCTTGGCCCATAGACGGCCATACCGGCAGCTTCGAGTTCCCGTCCTGTTATACCAGTGAGACGCTTACCTCTCCAGACGCCAAAAATCGTGCCGACGGAAAAATTTGTATCCACGATGGAGGACCCGTCGAGCGGATCCCATGCCACGGCAAACGTCGAGCCGCCGAGGTCCTTCTCAATGGGCTGCTCCTCGGAACTTCCGATAGCGACGACACGAGACGCCCGGAGCGCAGCCTCGATGGTTCGGTCCGCCAGCAAGTCAACTGCCAGCTGCTGGTCGCCGAACGCGTTCACGCACTCTTCCTTGTTGCAGGATGCAGTACGAACCTCGTAGCCGACGACTTTGCAAGCCATGAAGAGAGCCTCAATCGCTTTTGCCAGCTCCTTGTCCTCCTCCAGGGCTAGAAACTCGTGCAAACGCATGCCTTCCACGACGCGGTCGTCAATTTTTGGCATGGACACGATGCGCGAGCCCTCTGCGGACGGTACCACCGACATGCGAACGAGCCGGCATGCTCGCTTTCCTGTTTGCGGCTGGCTCAAGCGCCGCTGCTCAGTGATGCACTTGCGTGCACTGAACACGAACCTCGACGAATGAGTTAGGAAACTCGACGCAAACGCCAAATTAGCAGCCTTCATTCTACGTGGCACTGAAACAAGCGTCTGCGCAGAAACTGGAGGAGCGGCGCTTTGCTGCTCGCGTAGATCGCAGTCGTCGCCCCTGAAGGGGCGCAGCGGCCGCGGCGCGGACCCCGCCCAGCGACTGCCAGTGCCGCACCCATGCCGAAGCGACAGCTGCTGGCGCTCGGTTGCACGGCGCCCTGGACCGGCAACTGCGTGCGCGCATGGCATTGCGTGACAGTCACGAAGTTCCGCAATTGCCGCGGGTACCCGCAACTGTTTCCGTTTGCGTGCGAGCACGTTTCCACGCAGACCAGCGATCCGCGGTTGTGCGACGGGTATCAGCGCGCAGTGAAGCATCCGTCGTGCCACCAACATCCAAGCACCATCGACCGTACGTGATCTCGGGAGGCGCTGTTGCCTAGCCTCGCAGTTTCTCGGCCGTGTCCGAATACTATAGAACGAGTCCAGTTTTGCTAACTCGGGCGTCAACATGAGAATTTCGTGACGCTTCGCACTCTCGAGAGTACGAACGTTTGCGGGATTCTGATACGACTGCTTCCTTTGCCCCTCTATTATTCGAGGCTGTCGATGCGTCTGTCTCTGCTTTCCCTCCAGTCCCGTTATCACCACCTGAACGATAGGCATGACAGCGTTCACGTTCCGTCGTCGCTGCGTTCGGCTGTTTTCTAAGCATTTCATGCACAGAAGAAAGTTGATGTCTACGCTTCAAGTGCGATTTTCACCTTATTTGGGTTCGGCCTCGTCGCGTCCTTCGCAGAAGGTAGACCTGGGTGCGGTCAGATATTCGCATTCGGTCGTCGAACGCTGCTCGTCCAAGGGTCGCCCTGCGCCACGTGAACGCTCACTTCACTTGAAGCGATCGCAGCGATGACTCGAGTCCGAGCCGAGGACGTTTTCCATAAAAACGCAACTGACGGGAGCCTCGGGGAGCATACCTCATGAGCGTGCAATCATAGTGCTGGTGTCGCGTGCAGCTTCGTCGATGGCAAAAAGACAGCTAGATCCATCTTTGAAACGTAGTCGATTATTTCACAAGTTCAGAGAACTTTTGGGCATAAGCTTGTGATCGAGTCGTTAGAAAAACGACGTCGCGTTTCCTTCGTCGTCGGTCCAGCGGCGCGAATTGCTGCGCGTGTCAGTTGTGTTGAGAAGGTAAGATCCAAAAATTGAAGGATGCGTTGGTTTAGCATGCTATTCCTGAGGAAAGGAGATGATTGTAGGATTGTACGTGCGCATTGCAATCCAATATGTGTTGTTTTACGTACCCTTATTCGACGGCGCCGCAAATCAAATTGATTCCGATGACGTAACGGATCCATGGTGTACTGAGTCGAAGGGGCAACTCAGAAAACACGACCGAGACTCCTGAAACCACTCATAGATTTGCAACTTGTTATCGCCGTATCTGGAATGTCCAAAATGTATATCTGAAAAATTCGAAACAAATCGCTGTGCAGGAACAAATCGACGAGTACAGTGTTCCATTTGAGCATCGACGGTTCGTAGAGCAGGCGCTTATGCGGCAACCGACGCGGTGTGCAACGCTTGTCGCAGCGAGAAGCCGCTCGCCCATACGGGGCGTGCTCCGGTGCCGCACCAACGCGTCCGTGCCAACGGACAGGCCACAGTCCCACTGGGCTTTCCGCTCCAAAGTCGCAGCGTGCGTGGCTAGTGTCGAACGCTCTCCGAGGCGCATCCGGGGCAGTCAGAGCTGGCAATCGGGTGTGCTGCGACATTTTCGTATCGCTTGCCGCTGGGTTATCGCAAGCGCCTCGCGGTGTCAAAGACATGTGCGTACTGCGCACTGCATGCCTGAGGAGCGCGCAACCCCTGCCAGCCTGGACCTAGTGGTTGCATTCCGTATTGGCCGAGGCTCTGTTCGCGAGAGCAAAGCACGTGTGCGCCCATGGCTCGATAACCTATTGCTTTTCACACTATTGCATTCCGTGAGAGCCGTGTTCGAAATGGTTGTGGATAGAAGTTCTTGCTGAACGCGTCCAGAACTTCGCTGCGAACAGAGACTCATTTTATCCAAAGGCGGGCATGCAGTGTACTTTTGGCGCCGATGAAGACCCCACACACATGCCACGAATGAAAAAGGTCACTGAGCGTAAACAAAAATCGTCACTTGTTTCCATTCACGATCAAGACTCGGAGGGCGTCGCCATCTGGACAGCCCAGTTTGGTGCATCGGAGAAACGCTTCAGCATTCGTCCCGTCTACCAGCTCGGGGCGTTGTCCAGTCTCGAAACCAAATCCATGAACAACGATGGCGTTGCTGAGCGCTCACGAGACAATATCCGGAGGCGCCATTGACGTCCCATGGAGCAGCGCGCGCATTACCTGGAGTGTGCGGCAGCGCATTGAGTGGTGCGCACGTCTTCGAGCAACTGGCTCGGCCAAAGCATGTTTCTTGATCGGCGGCGTCGGCGTCGATAAGCTGTCTGCCGCTGCCCGCGGCGATATATCGCGAAACCCGAATGGAGCTCAGAGCGCTGCCTCTCGCATTACAGTACAGACGACCGAAGCACATCGGGCACAGGTCGAGCACATCCCCAAGCGATGAAGCATCGCGTCCTCCATCGTCGAGAACGCGTCGGAATAACCCTCAAACCAGAACTCGGATCCACGCTCACGAGAATCCAATCGATCGCGCTGGACTTGTGGTCTGCGAAGTAGTACCTGCAGTCGCTCACCGTGAATAACTCCAATGCACCATTTGGATGTCATGACAATACAGTCCAAAAAGAACATGTGCTGCATCGGTCCATACGCTAGCGCGATCAGCCTGGGTGCCTCACTCAGGTCGATGAGATGGAATGACCGATGCGTAGCACATGTATGGGCATCCACGAAAGCTCGCTCCATATCAGTGAGAACACTGGATCCCAGAAAATGAACGCGATGATCAGTCGGCGGTAGCGCAGTTCCCGGCAAGCACAGCGCCACGATGCGTAGCGATCGCGTTGCCCCACCAGGAACGGAACCCTGAGACCTGCCAGGAGGCGCGAGTAGAACACCTTTCGTTTAGACCTAAGACTGCCTGGCGCAGCGTTCACAACCGAACGCGCTTCTAGATGTTGATGTTGAACGACACACCAAGGTTCCCGGGCCCGACTCCGCTCGTGAACCCGTTCGGGCCCAGCAGACCCGCCTGCTCATCGGGTACCATGCTCAGCTGGACCTGCGTCCGGCCCTGCTGATGCAGCAGCGACATGTTCACATTCGTATCCGGAGGCCGGTACGCCAGCCCAATGTTCCAGTTGCCGAGCGCACCACCATACTGCTGCTGCTGAACCGCCTGCAGCTGCGCCTGCTGCAGCTGCATGTACTGCATTGCCTGACGCTGCTGCTCAGCCGCCTGGATCTGCACGTGAATAAGCTGCTTCCGCCGTGCAGAGATCTCCGCCATGGTCTGCTGCAGGTCGCTACGCTCATTCGCATAGGACCAGTCGGATCCGGGCCGCACGCTCTCCTCCGCCTCGCGCTGGAAAAGCGCATCCGCTGTGTAGAACGCAAAGTCGCCAGGAATCTCCTCAGATGAAGACGCAGTCTTAAAGTGCTGCAGCGCGTTCTCCCGAACTATCTGCAGCTGCTTCAGGAACAGCGACTGCAACGACGCATCGAGCACAGTCTCGAGCTCCGCCAGTTTCCGCTCGCGCACTTCAGTTCCCGCATACGCCTCCGTAGCCGATTCAAAGCCACTCAGGTACTTTTGCAGAAGCTCCTCCGCCCGGCGTCCAAAACCACTGATCTTCTCGCCCTCGTCCAGTTGACTCGCAAGCTCCCCGAGCTCCTCGGCGCTGTTCCGAAGCGCCTCGGAGAAAGCGGCATCGCAGTGATACGCTGCAGCCAGTGCCTCTGGCGTGAGCGCTTCCCCAGCGGCTCCTTCATCCGCCGCCGCCGCCGCCGCCGCCGTAGCGACACGCATGGCCAGCGGCTTCGCAGCACGCATCGCCCCAGCGGGCTGTGCACGAATGCCCTCCCAGAGGCGTCGACTGAAGGCACCGAATCCATCCGCAGGCAGACCCTTGCTGTATTGCGAGGACAGCAGGCCGCCATCGCCACTGCCACTGCCACTGCCGTCTAGGAGGTCCCGCCGCAGACGCTGCACAGCGGCGTCGTAGGCTGAACGCGACGTGCGCGGCGACGGCAGCAGAGCTACGCGCAGCTCGAGGGCAGCGCGCAGCGCCTCCACCGAGTGACTCGCTGCTGTCGGTGCTGATGCTGCTCCGTCGCCGATTTCGCGCTGCCAGTGCTCCTCGGCGTCCAGCCAGAGAGACTCCGCGATCAACGATGCAGTGCTCTCGGTGGTATCCGCGTCCGCGCCCGTATCCGCGTCTGCGTCGCGCACCACGAACACAACGCAGGTGCGCAGGAGAGGGCCCTCCGCGTGAGCCAACTCGCGCACGATCGTGCTCAAGTACCACTGTGGGTCTGCGTCGTAGCGTCCCAGGTCGTGGTACCAGACGTTGCACAGAACAACATCGGACACACTGGACACGTAGCGGAGGCAGCGCTCCTGCAGCTGCTGCCCCGTCGCACCTCCGTCCCCGCCGTCGATCTCCAGCACCAGAAGCGTCTCCTGGTTTGCTGCCAGTGCTGCAGAGACGCCGCGGGTCTTCCAGCGCCGACGCTCAGTCGCCCGCGCGTGCGACACCGCGAAACGCGTCCCGAAAATGTCATTCAAGAGACTCGACTTGCCTGATAGCGGGCTCCCGATGCACCCGACGACACGATAGCATTCAGCGCCGACATCGAGCTCGCTTGGGAACCAGGGCGTGCGCTCCAGCATCACGCCATGTTCATCAATGATCTGCAGCACGCCCGCTGGCGCACTGGCAGATTGCGCTGTTCCGTTGCTCATGGGCAGTGTTCAATGCTTCGCTGAAGGCACCTGGTGTCCCCACAGTTCAGCTCTGTACCGTATGAGGCTTTGTAAAGACTTGACTCCGATCCACTGTAAAGTGTATTCGGTTGGGTTCCGGGCGCAGCACTGCGTGGAACGCCGTCCGCGTTTCCAGCTGTGTACGCGTGTCTAGCTACAAGAGCGCTGCTCGCCACGGTAGTGACTCCGGTTAGGCGCGAGGTGACAGCACGTGCGCACGTTTGGTATTATTTGGGCAGAGTTCCCGTCAGCAGGCTGCTGTGCCTTTAGGGCTGGGCCTTCTGGCTGCGCTGCACACCCAACAGGAAGCTGAACTGCCGCAGTGCGCTCGAGTACGCCTAGGTCGTTGCGGTGCGCGCCGGCGTGTGCTGCTCGCGCTCAGGGTAGTTGCCGTAGACCGCGCTGGAAACCAACTAGGCACGCGCCTCGCCGTCCTTCTACTCGCAGGGGCCTCCTACCGCACTGCGCTTCTCGCTCGCGCTGCAGACTCGGGTAGGCTTCCGCGGCGCCGTGCTCAGGATGCGCACAGGCTATGAAACCTTGGTGCCTGAGAGCACGAACCTGTCTCCAGATGCGGTTGGGGCTCACCGGCTCAACGCGCTGGTGCTTTCCTCTCTTGTGGGTGCGCGCACGCGTAACTGGTCAATAGTGCTCGCAAGGCGTGTTGGTATGCAGCCCCTTCAAACTCCCCGTTTCACCAGGCAGAGACTCGGACTCGCTCACGCGTTTATGATCTGCGTACCACGGGCAAAGCGTCGAGTTGCACGCGCACCTAGCGCTCGAAGCTATCTATAAGAAAAGAATGTTCACGACACGGCGCGACGCTAACGGCGACGTCCTGCAGCCTGGATTCGTCTGCGCGCAGCCAGCGGTCATTTGGCGACGGCGGGGCGGGCGACGCGGCGGCTGCGCGCTGGTGCAGCGCCCTGCTGGTGTCCGTATTGTCGCAGAGCGCAATCGCCGCACCAGCGCAAGGCGCGCGCATCCCAGCGGCAGTGCACGCCATCACTCAGGCAGGCAACCTGGCGCATCGTGCAGCGCACCCAGCGGCAGCGCACGTCTGTTGCCCATCCAGCTCGCTGAGCCTGGGAACGGCCAGGCCGCACGCCGGACGCTTCGGGCGCGCGCCTCTCGCGATTCGCACGAGCGTTCCGTTTCGACGCGAGACGTCGACACTCGCGTCAGCACACGGTGAATTCCGCGTACTGGACAGCATAAGGAGACGCTCGCTCTCGCTTGCTGGAGCCGTGTGCAGCGCACAAGTTGCGCAGCAGAAGAGCTGCCTTGTACAGACCGAGACAGTATCCGACACGTCGAGCAAGCCACAGAGCTGTCGGAAATACACAACGAGGAAGCAGTGTCGCGAGCTGTTATAGCGCTACACCTGACACGTCGAGCCTTGGGGGTGCTACGACCTGCACGAGGGCAACGACGGCGCACGGCATAACAAGCACGGGTAGACGCGTGCTGGGCACGTTCGGCTTGCTGCGACGCTGGTAGGAACCGAACGGGGTGCTCGTACTCGCACCGCTCGCCACTCAGGGTCGCGATCGACACGAGAAGCGCCCACAGGGGAAACGATGGCACCACGAGCGCTGGACGCATCGTCGGTGATCTCGGAACCGCTGACACCGCCGCTGACGGGCCGCGCCGCACGAGACCGGGACGCGCTCTTTGGAGCAAGCGCGGGCACTGCGCCTAACCCTGCGCCTGTGTCGAGGCGCAAGCAACCAGTCGCTGGTGCGGAGAAGCGCCCGCGGCCCGGCCGACCGTTGAACGGAGCCGCTGATGCGGCCGTTCGCGGGCTGGAAGTCGCAGGGGAAGCGGCTCCACCTTCCACATTCGCAGCAAGCACCAGTGCGCCGGACGCCGAGCTGTTGCAGAGCCGCCAAACTCAGGTTGAGCAGCTGCGGCGCCAGGCTACGGACGCTGCGCTGCGGGGGCGTCAGTCATCGCGCCGGGCGCTGCAGCTTGCACGAGAGGCGCGAGCGATAGGCGTCGACGTTACCATGAGGCTGGGCGAGCAGGACGAACAGCTGGATCGCGTGCAAAACGATCTGGACGAGATTCACGGCCACCTGACGCACAGCGACGAAATCATTCACGACATGCAGAGTTTCTGGAAGAAGATGTGGCCTTGGGCGCGCGATCGGAATCGGCGGCACGAGCGCTACGCCCCGGTGCTGGGGGCAGACGGGCCCTCGACGTCAGCGACGCGGCACGAGATTGCATGCCTGCAGCGCCAGCGCGAGGCGGGGACACTGAACCTGCGGGAACGGCCGCCAGCTGCTTGCTCGTCTGAGCGTTCGGCGGATGAAGCGCGAGCAGCTGACGATGCGCAGGTCGGGTCATCGCCAGGGTCGGTACCGGCGCACGCGCTTCTACAGGACGCGGTGGATGGCGAGGCGGCGTCGCTCGATGGCGACAGCGAGCGTCGGCGGGGTCTGCTCTCGTCGCTGCGGCGCGTAACGCGGCGGGTACGCGGCGTCGACGAGCCCGAGGACCGTGTGCGGCGCGAGCGGGCTGCGCTGCTCGCAGAGGGTACCGCTCCGACGGCTGCTGCTGGTGCTGCGGCAGCGTCGCCTGCGGACGCAACCGAATGCGCGGATGCGTCTGCGCAGGCCTCGGCGGCGCCGTGGGAAGAGCACGTTCAGGCACAGGATCGGGACCTCGACGAGCTGAGCGTTGTGGTGTCGGACCTGCGGACGCTTGCAGTTGGCATCGGAGAGCAGGTGCGCCACCAGAGCACCAAGATCGACGTGATTTCGAAGGACGTGGACTATGGGCGCGAGCGCATCCACGAGAATAACCGTCGCATTCGACGCATGCTCTAGAGCTACGGGTGTGGCGGCAGCGAATGCCGCCGCCGCCGCCTGGACGCACGCACGCATGCAGGTGTCTGTTCGTGTGCGCGGTGCGTGCGATCGAGGCCTGTATGTGAGGCCGGCGAGCGCTGCTGTTGTGTTTGGCGGGAAGCGCGAAGCGCTGCATGCGCGCAGCGCCTCATCGATCTCATCGAACGATGGACAGGCGCGCTTGCGCACTGTACGCCAATGCGGGAGATGGAGGATGAGCGGTGAGGCCAGGGGCGCCTCGGTGTCTTCGGGGTGCGTCTGGGGTGCAGAGCTGCGAGGCAAGCGGCTGGCGCGTCCAACGCGAGATCGTTGTGTGTCAGTGTCGGGCGTTTCGTGGCGTGACTTGGCGGTGCTTCAGGGAGTTATCCACGTGCGAGGTATCCGTTGTCGATCGGCGGAGGACGCTGGTTCTGGTTCGCGCTTCTCTCTGTGCAATACGCCGATGAATCCGAGGTGTCTGCACCGGGATACAACCAGTGCCTGCAACATCCACGAATACGAATACATCGCTCGCGACGCCTGTCGTCGTCAACAAGCACTCGAGCCACTGCCTGTATCCACTGCGGACATCATCGTCAATCGCCTGCGATGGGCACGTTCACGTTGCGTGAAAGCGCACCCGAGGTTGTACAGCGCTCGCGACTGCGCATGCCAGTGGTAAGCGCAAGCACTCATTGGTGATCACGACCAGGCCTGGTCTCGTCGGTTCCCTTCTTCGGCATTCGTTTCTTTACCATTCAGGAGAGATCAAACGAATTTTGTCCTTCTCGTATCGTATACAGTAAACGATCCAAAAGTATCTCGAAAGAGCTATATTCGGGTAGCTTGACGTAGTTGGTGCAGGTCATGACCGTGGGCAGACACTCGTCCGGCGTCAGGCCTGCTTCGGGGGTACGTTTCACCACAGTCATTGGTGGCAGGAGGGCGTGGAATCCACCCATTGGCAGACGCGGTGAACCAGTGGCGAAGAGCAGGAAATGACGACGGTCGTCCTCGTTGAGGCTGCACAAAGCACGTACAAAGTTCCGTGCCGCCACATTTTCGCTCGTATATCCGTGGTCGAAACGCAGCGCAGACAGCAGCTCCTGTTCCGTCCACGGATGCAAGTCGGGTCCACAGAGCACCACATTGACTTCTTCGTTCGGGTTGAAGATACCCAACAGCGCCCAAATCGAGCAGATGCTCTGGAACCCTTCGAGAAACGCGTAAGCTGGTCGTGCCGCACAATCAAAGAGCACGTGCTCTTTGACTTGTCTAACGTAGTCTGCAAGATTATCCTTCGACACCGTCATAGAGCGTCCCCGAGGCCGCATTTCAATATGCGGTTGCCCAGGCAACGTCCAGTCGAGGCAGAGCGCGGCGATATCGCATGCATCGGCGTCGCGCATGCATGCAATCGAGTGCAGGGAGCGTGCGAGTTCCGCATCCACTTCTCCGAGTCGGCGGAGCGAAAAATCGAGGCGCTTCTTTGCGGCTCGGAATATAGCTCTATGCCCGTTCAGTCCTTCAGAAACGAGGAACCGCGCCTCTGCTAGCGCCCGCACCAACCGCCAAAACGCTGGGGAGAAGCGCAAATCCAAAAGGCGCCCGTCTAAGAACGCCTTGGCACAAAAGCGACCAATGAACTGGAAACGCTGCAGGCGCTCCTGGACGGGGGCTCCGCGCTCTCTGGGACCGATCGGTGCGGGATATAGGCCAGCGCCCGCGGAGACAACATAGCAAAGTCGCTCACGCAGCTCAGGTGGAAGCGCCTTGCCCGAACGGAGCAAGCGCTCCCTTTCGGCGGCCTTCGACGAGTCCTCCCACCAGAGTTTCAGATCCACGCGCTGCAGCTCCCGGGAGACCATGGAATAGAATTCTAGCGTTGGACCCAAACCCGTTCCTGCTTCATTAAAGTATTCAACTTCAATTAGCGCTTTCTGGTCGGCAAAGTTCTCCATAATCAGTTCGGCAGACTCGAGCAGACGTGCCCGGTGCACACGCACTTTCTGGCGCTGAATACGCCCGATACGGGCCTCTTGCTCAGCACCCGATGTGTGCGCTCCCAGGTCCGAGCGGCCCGTCGATGAACTCGCAGTGGCATGCTGCTGCCGTTGCGTGTCAGCACGCGTCTGCACCGCGCTCAACGCTCGAGCAATCCCAAAGCTGGATACTTGCACGAGCAGCCGTCGCGTCTGCAGCGAGAACAGCCCCGGACAGACACGCGGTACAATGAAACACCATGGCGGGAGCGCGGCTGCTGCTACCGCCAGTGGATCACTAAGCTGGGCGCCCAGCTTGTTCTCTAAGCTGGACGAGGCGAAAATATCTGCTTCTGGCACGAGCGGGTCATCGGCAGGCGGCCAGTGCACATTGTGGCTCCAGGCGGCGTCCAAGGTCGAACCGCTCTGGGTACGCGAAGCCTGGATCCAGGCGTGCAGTTCGGCATGGTGGTTATTCATCCAGTACAGCTTACCTAGGAGTGAGAGATACGAGCTCACATCCTGCGCTACGGTAACCTCATTCAAATGAAAGCTCCGTGGTACTTGGAACTGTAATTCTGCCACTTGGACGAGCTCGAATTCCGCAAAAGGCCCCTCAAACTGGTGCCCGCCAGGCTTACCGTCTCCGTTGGAGATTGGCTGGCTCGAGACCTGCCCCATTCGTGATGACTGGCAATCTGCATACGTGAGTGCATGGGTTTCGGACCAGAGACGAGGGCCCAGTGCTTGTCCCCCGAGTGTGGTTACGAGCGCGTGCAAGATTGTCTCCTGCGGAAGTAGCGTGTGTCCTCGAATACATAGAGAGAGTCTGGCTCGCCGGCGTTCCCCGTCGCGCTTCAGCCTGATGCCTCTCGAACGACGACCGCGGTCGATTTCCGAGCTAGGACATGGTGCGCCTGCACAGCGCCCAGCTCGTGCTGCATACGTTTCTGAAGCTGAGCGCCTCGAGTCGCGCCCGCTGTGCTCCTGTTCGCGCACAGGGCTCCCAGTCCCAGATACCTCGTCCGAGAATTCAATATCTACCGCCGGTAATGAACCGGAGAGGTTTGGATTTTCCAGACCATGCTCCGGACCAAGTTCATCAAAAGTCTCACCGAGATCGGAAAACTCGTCTGAGTCCTCCTCAGAGCCTGATGCGGTTTCTTCGGCTGCAGCTAATGCCGTTTCACCTGCGAGCGACGGGCGGGAACCAGCCTGTCGGCGACGGGTGCGATGCTCACCGGGTTCGTCCGACTCGACGGAGCCGCTCAACGCATCCTCATCAAAGAAGATCGCATGCTCGTCGTCGCTGGTGTCCGCTGTGGACTCCGTTGCGACCTCGAACGCTCCACTATCGTCGGAGCCATTTTCATCAGTTCCGGTCTCGAATACGGGTTCATCGCTTAGCTCATTGAGTTCCGCAGCGTCGCCTGTTACGCGTTCGTACAAAAACTCCTCAATAGTCTGCGCGGATGCGAGAGGCTCCACGAGCACCAAACTAGCCGGAAAGTCACGTAGCCGCGAGCCACTGCATCCACCTCCGCGCTGGAGCTGCAAGCGGAAAGGCTGCGATAGTAGACGTATGCCCGCAGATACGCTTCCATTTGCTGCCATATTCCGGACAACCTGGAAGCGCTCCGTATTCGTGAAAATCGCCACCAAACTGCGCACCAGACGACGCAACGCCCCAGGGGCTCTTATCGCAGCAACCAGGAGGTGACTGTATCGCGTTGCAAGCTCAGACGCAGCGCCCGGCTGAACGGAAAGGTACGCGTCCAGTGCCCCGGCCAGACCACACATCTGGACCTCGAAAACAGAGCAGTGCTCGAGCTCTGGAAACAGCGCTATGAGCGACTCGTGGTCGCCCTTTTTGATGCGCTCGACGAGCTCACAGAGCTTCCGTATCCGCTGCCGTCCTGAACTACGCAACGTATCCCCGAACCTGTCGAGAATTTTCTGCGCTGCATCCGTTTCAACGGCACTTTGCTCTAGCACGTGCAGCACGCCCTCTTTCACAAATAGTTCTCCAAGCGGTCCAAGGTCCTGTACGCGCTCGAGCATATGCTCAATCATACACATCACGGAAGCCCGTTCATCCTCATCAATAGGGTCATAGAGCACGTAGCCCAGCGTTGGCACAAGCTGCATAGAGAAACTCTGTATCTCTTGCTCGGATTCAAGAGCAAAAAGTGTCTTTTTCATTGCAGATATGGCGCGACGGCGGCCTTCCCTGGAGGTCTGATCATGCATCGGTGCACGAACGTTCAACTCAAGAACCGTTTGGAGGCGCTGTACCAGCAAACGATCCGGGGCGAGAGCATCCACGAGCATCAGTGCACTGCCAATCAGCGTTTCTGTCTGCGTAGCACGGTTCAATGGCACTGCATGGACATCAGCAGCGCCCAGTAGCTGCCCAGTCGAAGTAGATTCCTCTGCGTCCGATGCCACTCCAAGCAGATTTGCCAGGATGGCGCCAATACCCAGGCCGCCCTGAGCTGGCGACGTGAGCATTCGCGTTCCCAAACCCTCATCCGCTGAAGCTAAACTCGAGAGCGTGCTCAGTACGAGTCCTCTGTGCCGTTTGTCAAGCGATGCTTCACCAGCAGCGAGAACAGCGACAAGTTTCTCCATGGCGCCTCCGTCGTTTGCAATTCGCCTGAGAACCTCCTGTGCGTTACTCGATGCGCTAAAGTTGGCTACTAAGCGCGCATATGCGGTCACTCCATGCTCCCGAATGCGCGTATCATCACTGTCCAACAGATGACTGAGAAGCTCAAGGGCATCCTCTACCTGTGAGAGCGCCGAATCGTTCACTCGTGCGCAGCAGTTTGCGGCAGCCGAAGAAGCCATGCGCTGTATACTGGTCGGAAAGAAGTCGAGATGCTGCAGAATCGCGCGAAGGCCTCCGCTGCGCACAATGTGATTTGGAAAATTGTAGCTAAGGCGCTCGAGTGCCTGAAGGCACTGCTCCGCTAAATCAATGTATTCAACATGGAGGAGGAAGCCGCAGAGCGCCGGTACGGCCCTGCTCTGCGCGATACTCGCACCAACGCTCGGGCTAATTTCAACCATGTACGCTAGCGCCCGAGCTGCTAAAATCAGGAGCTCCGGCAGCTCTGGACAGTTCTGCAGGATCCAAACTAATGGACTCACCAGCTGCTCAAAGGAAAAGTTCAGGATAACATCCTCGACGCCGATTGAGAGCACCTCGCACAGCTCGTTCAACAACGCCATTAACGCGACGGTATCCGTTTCCGTGTTGCCCTCCGTGGTCAAGCTGCGCAGCTCGCTCGCGATGCGGCGCAGTCTTGCGGGGACGCTCGAGCCGCCAAAGCCCCCATGGCCAAACGATGGCAAAATCTCGCTCAGACCGGCTCCTAGATGCCGTAGGAGGCCTTGAAGTGTTCCGCCAGTCTCGGGCGGAAGCGACGAAGGCCCCCGCGGTGATGCCCCGCGACGGCGCCCGCTTTGGTGCTCTAGGGGAAAGCCCAGCGACGAGGCCTCGGGTATATCGTCGTTCGTTTCGAGCGGCAGCGAAGCGCTCGTATTAGGCTCTGTGTGCCGTCGGTACCTCGAGTGGTAGCGCCGGCGGCTCCGGCTCTCGCTTGAGTTGATAGAGCTCAGGCCGTCGTTATCCGCTCCTGTACTATCTGAGCCGCCCAGCATTCCGGCCGTGGCCTCGCGCAACGCCCGCTGACGTGAACGGCTCCGACGCATTCGCTTGGATCCTTGGCGCGTTGTTGCCGCGTGTGGTTCTTCCGCAGCGATTTTCGACTCACTTCTCGTTTCCAGCACTCTACCTACAGGTTCCTTCTCTAAACAAGCACTCCTGCGTTTCCGGTAGCGATGCCCGTCCAACGCCTGACTCTCCACCGCGCGTTGAGTGTTCCGCGCAACCTCCGTTTTCTCGAGTGCAGCACTCTCTACAGCTCCTGCGTGCTGTCCACTCTCTACAGTTGTGGTCTCTGCCTCTTGCCTTGCGAGTCCTGCTGCTCTCTTGGCCACGTTCGCACCCTCAGTGACGGTCTCTTCCCGTGCTCCTGTGTTCCGCTCCACGTGCTGCTGCGCTCTGCTCAAGGCCGACCTTCTGCGACCCCGTGCCATCGACGCAGGGGCCCTTCTCGCCCTCAAGTCCTGACACGGAGAGTTCCTCGACTAAGCGCCGCTGGAACGCACCACAGCTCCTGTCCAGCGTCTCGTGGTTGTTCCCAACCGCACCCGCCGTAGAACAGCTACAGCGCTAAACGTCACAAACAGAATAGTCACAGCGAGCGCCGCCGCTGCTCCGAGAATAAAGCCGAGTTGAGCGTGCTTTTCGATCCCAGAAACGAAAGCGATCCGGAGGTGGCGCCGCACCCGCACACATACATACACGCATACACACATACACACATACACACATACACACATACACACATACATACATACACACATACATACACACATACACACATACATACATACACACATACACACATACACACATACACACATGCACACATACACATATACACACGTACACGCATACACACATACACACATACACACATACACACATACACATACAGATTGATAGAGACAGATAGATGGAGTCCGAGAGAACTGCCAGTGCCGCAGCAGGCACAGGCGTTCATGCTGCTGCCTTCTGGACACGTGTGGATACAGGGCCTCTCATCAGCATCGTTCTGGGGTCCAGGAAGCCTCCGCATGGCGTATTCAAGTGCGAAAACGAGAGAGGTGGTGTTCTGAGGATGAGGAAGCGTTTTTGCGCTTTCAGCGAAGGCGATGTGTGGCGCCCAGTCCTGTGATTTCCCGCATGGAGCACAGCGGCGCACGGACGCCCCAGTGCCTGGGGAGCGCTCCATGCATGCCGTACTTTCGGTACAAGGGCGGCGCTGCGGATAGCGTCGTTCGCGCATCCGCGATTGCCTTGAACTCCATAGAAAAGAGGCCAAACTCCTCCAGCCTTGGCGAGGTCTCGACGAAAGCGGCTACAGCGCCGTGGACATGCGGACACTGGAGCTGTGCAGGGGTTACCATGAACGCTGCGCTGACCTGCAGATTGGGAGCGGACGCTTTGCACCAGGGCCTCGCCAAATTCTATGCAGTGCAGCATCGATGTATCGATCCGGACTTGTAGGGGTGTGGGATTGCTGTCCGTATCCGGGGAAGCGACCGTCGTGCGGCTCCGCGCTTTACCGTTTCCCTTTCGTATCTTTGCCTCGGGGTTGAGGGCGAGATCGATCGAACAGTATGGCTCCACCCGATGCCGAGTTTGCTGTGCGCGTGCATTGCACTCCTGGATGCGTTGCCCTAGACGCCATCACGCAGAGAAAGAACAGCTCTCCGCAGCCTCAATAGGCGTCGTCTCTAGACGGGTCATGAGCGGTACCCATTTCCCGATACGTCGCGCTCGCTTGTGCATACTGGGCGAAGTCGTCATCGGGCAGACGGTGCTCGCTGACTCGCGTTGCTATCGCGTTCTTCGGACCGTTCTGCATGCGCACTGAAAAGGCAGGCTCCCGAACAATCGCGTCTTTCATGTTTAAGCTTGGAATCGAGGATAGGTCTCTTGTCTGCCGATGCTCGCTGAAAAGTGGTCAAATCCGCAGCGTATTACAATGCCATTGCCCATGAGTGCATGCCTCTCACACGCGACACCCTGAACGTATGCAGACAGCATGTTATCCTGCGCTTTGCCATAGTCTTTGTATTCCGTGCATATGCGGAACCAATGAAAATGACTGCCAAAATGCTCTCCATGAACGAACCGCATGCCACGGCACGTGAGGGGATCACAGGCTATCTTCGCCCCCGGTGCCTGTCATCCGATGCGGATGCATATCTTCAGAACGCTGGTGCGCAGGGAGGCTATGCTGCAGCTTCTCCAAAGGGGCGATCTTTCAACCTATTTCGCAAGTTTACCTCTTTTTCGAGGAGGATTTTTTCTCTGCTAGTTCGCGCAGCATTGAAGCGCGTTTTCGCCGAGACTGCAGCGTATTCTCGGCAACTGCCGAGCCCCGCGTTTCGCTGAAGGGCTTCTCGAGAACAACTTTTGCTGCAGCGAAATCCTGTGCTGGAGCGGCACCTGAGGTTTGCACGTCGAGTGCCTGTTCAGTGCCCAAGGTACCCTCCGCGGCCGCCGCGAGCGCTCCCTCTGCAAGTGTGTTGACTCGCGGCATGGTTCGGGTGACGTGGAACCGACGAACGTGATGATTCCGGCTCCATATGACCCGCGCCAGCAGCCGCAAATAGGCGAGACGCTCATCCGGCGAGAGGCTGTACTTTTCTGCGTTGCGCACAAGCTCGACAAGGATGTAGAGAAAGCTCGCATAATTCGATACGACGGGCAACACGCGAACTCGTTTCGTCCCATATGCCGAGAGACTCGGTCTACCGCCTGGGCCTGGAACGAGCCCCGAGGGCGAAGCGGCGGAAGGCGCCGGGCTAGCACCTTCGACGAAAAAATTCGTGGATAAGAGCACGAACGGCATATAGCTACCAATGAATGGGTTCGCACTCGACGCATCGTCTCTGCGGACAAGAATCAGACTTTGTTTCCGCGGTAAGAATGCTTCGATCCCTAAAATTTTGGCATTGAATCCGCCTCGCTTGAGCGATGCCACGCGTCCGAACAGGAACCGTGGCTTGCCTTCATCAAGCTCCTTTTCTTGGTCAGCATCTGGCGGCGGCTCCCAAAGGCGATATCGCTCCGCCACCAGCAGTGGCTTGTAATACTGTCCAGAATAGTCTAGCACGGGTTCCTGGAAGTCGTCCTCTGTGGCGATGAGAGGCATAATCACTTCGTCCCCAACTCGACCCTCACCGAGCACCTCCGCAGGCAGAAACGGCACTTCACGTTTCAAACCAAAGTCAACGCGAATGTAAGGTAGTTCCGCAGCCACAATCCGCCCCCGCAGAAGCGTCCCGCTTTTGATCTCTGCGGCCATTGGAGAGCCCTCGAACGCGGTTCCAAAGTCAGTGGCGTCCGCCGCGTCATCGACAAACGACAGCGCGTTTTCGGAGGCGGCGCTCGACTCCGCCGCGGTGTCAGACAACCGACCTGAAGACGGAAACGTTCGCTCTGAGGGCTTCACCTCTTGAGCGGGCTCCGATGTAGCCTCCGAGCCTTGTTCGATCGATGAGCTGCGCTTGCTACCGTGGCCCCCAGCGGACTTCCCACTGTCGCTGTTGCTACTGCTACTACAGCGAAATCGGAACCAGGTATCGTACACGCGCCTCGATCCCAGACTTGTGGCAGCACAGCGGGTTCCAGTTCTCAAGTAAAGCGATGTGATAACCTTGCCGAGTACCATGCCTCATCGTTCTTTGTGGAGCAGGCGTTCGCACACGTCGCCACGCAGCAACACGCGATCGTTGAATTCGGCGCATGATCGACGCGCTGGTGGTGCTGTTGACGACCCCCGACTTGAAGTTCGCACAACTCCTGGGGTACGAAGCGGATTTCTGGTCACTTGTCTCGAAGCAGATAGCATTCACATACTCTGCAGATCCCAAGTAGGGCTCGTATGGTCTGCATCATGAAGAACTAGGCACGGGATTGTGATGCTACTCGCGCATACATACGTAAACCATCGGAACTTTTTTTGCAAAAGGTTGTGGAATCTCTTCATCGGGCTGGAAAGCCTGTGTTGCACCCGGACATGTGAATGACCGATCGGAGCTCGGTTTGCAATCGTAGTGTGGCCTTTTCAGTGCGACGAGTAACATCCCCGATCGCTGGAGCGCGTTGTTCACGCTGCTATCAGAACGGTGCTATCGAAAACGATAGAGCAACAAAATGGTGACCTGTGGCGCCAATCGCCTGCGTGTTCAAGGCACAAACGCTATACTCGTGCAGACTGAAATGAAGTACTGTAGCGGTCGCTCTGTTCTTGCATTGAAATCTTTTCCGATTTTCCTCATGCACGACCTCGACAATCGTGGTGCAGCAATAAAGGCGCACGGATTCATTGACAATTTTATGAATCTCGGTCGTTTTTGGCGGGCCTTGTGCGACGCGTTGCCGTTCGAATTCGTTAGGTCACCAAAATTGATATGATTCGGGAAGTACTCGAAAAAGGATTCATGAAAGAACCGACATCAATATCGAATTCATGCGCGTACGCGTCCAACCTTCTCGTTTCGTTCCGTATGGCATCCTGAAGTTCAGCATGCTTCAAATCTTCGTTCTTTCGTTTTGAAGGCAACTCGTGCACTGATCAATTCGCGCAGCTGAGTAGACAAGGGAACGAATTCGACGTCGTCCCTTGACAACTATTTCACAAGCTTATGCCGAAAGTTCACTAGAATTTCACCTCAAACAGTCAAATTCGCTTGAAAGACAAATGCTGCTCTCTCTGCGGCCATCGACGTATTGCCATTCGACGGCAGCATGATACCCTTCATGGGATATTCTCCCAGGGGCAAATGTCTCCCCTGTTTGCATACGAGATGGCGTTGGAATCGAACTTGAGTCCTTGCTGTAATCGCTTCTGGTGGAGCGCGCGTCGTCATTTTCCATGAATGGAACGTCGATCGATCGAAATTTCTCGATCTCTTCTCTAGCCTGAATTTTGTCTACCTGAACTCGACTCGTCATGGACGAACTACTGTTCCTCTTATCCTCGGTCGAATGGAAGAGCGTCCATTGGCGCCTGGGGCGGAGCGCGCACTCGCCGACGGGATCGCCCAGACGAGACCCGTGATCGCTGGCAACAGCACCGGGCGCAGCACCGGAGAAATGCATCGAAGCAAGCCCCCGTCCAGGTCATGGGCGTGTCGCGAGCGATGAGGCCCGCGTTCACACGCATGAGGGCGATCCTCGCTGGAGCAGAACGAGGACAGCGAGTGTTGGATACATAGAAGCACCGGGCCAAAAGCCAGTGACACCTCTGGAAAAGGCGCACCTCGGCTGTACGCAACGAAGATTCCCTGATCGCAACTGGCAACTGCGCATCAACGGTGCTGACAGCAACCGAAAGCTGCGAAATAGGGGCTTTAACGCTCCCGTGAACATCCTTCGACTACTGACATTGACGCTACACGCACAGGACACACACTGGTATGGAGAATTCCAGAGAAAAGAGAACGGAAAAGGAATCAGGTGCAGAAGAAACCGAAATGGTCGCGGGTACGTCCGAGTTAGCTGATGTGTCCAGTTTTATCCGAAAATGATTAGAGTTACAGGCAGGCGCAGCGCCATACACCGTTCCGAGGGCGACGCGCGATCGCATTGCCGCTGTGTTCCGCTACGGTGGGCGAGTCTCGCCCCAGTGCGATCGCTGGCCTGAGCGAGTGCTTCGGAGCGTACGCGCCAGGTTCTCTTCTGAGCGGGGTTTGCGTCGGGCAATCGCAGGAGACCATGGCTTGGGTAGCTCGTCTTTCGCACGTATTTCACGAGTTGCGAGTCGTTTACAACGCGCGCGATGCAGCCTCGGCAGGCGTGCGGCAGTTCCTGGAGGAATACTATTCATTTGTCAAGGAGCTCAATCCGGGACTCCCTGTGTACGTGCGTCCGTTCGATGGCGTTCGAGAACCTTACGTGGCGGTGCGGCGTAGCGACGGGAGCTACGCGACGCGTCAGCTCACGAACTTGAGCGCGCGCGCAGTACTGCGCCAGATCAAGGAGCTCACAGACGTAGCGTTGCCGCTGGACCCCGTTGTGCGTCGACGCCAGCTAGCAGATATTGTATAGCGCTGTGAGGGCGGGCTTGCGTCTTGTTTACCCAAGGCCAGAGAGGAGTGGTGTTTCCCCCAACCTGAAACTTACCGCAGAAAGTATCCGCTGAGGGCGTGGGACGAGATAATCTCCGGCGAGCGGGTGCCTCGAGCCTCTCGTCGCTCGCTCGCTCGCTCGCTCGCTGAGACTGGCCGTCGGCTTGCTCTCGCGCTAGTTCGGGGGCGAGGAGGCTACATACACGTAGGGTTCCGCGTAAACATTCCGCTGTCGCACTTTTGCAGCTAGAACCCCTAGGTGGGCAACTCGGATTGCACTGCCTCAATCAGTATCGAAGATACATGCGCGCGTGGAATAGAAACGACGCATACGAGCGACAGCCGCGCATCAAACACCATGGCCGGGTACCGGCCTCAACTTTTGCGCGTAGACTACGAAGCAGGCGGACTGCGCTCCTCTGCCAGTGAACAGGGAACACATTGGTGTAGCACCGGTCAGTGCGGCATTCGCAGAGCTCATGGATGCCTCTGAAAACGCTTGCACAATGCCCAACTGCAGGCTGTAATCTGATCGAAGTTTCTAGGGGAAAGCCACAGTTGTACAGGCCACAGCAAATGTGCAGAGTGCATTGAGCAAGTTGTCGCGGCGGTCAGAGTGCCCATGCTACAGATATTTTCGATGTTTGCGAATGCAGACGCTGTTCACGGGTATCAAAGCGATCGCTCGCCTGAACGCGCCAACGCGGAAGACACGTGCTGCCACGCTAGTATGATCGATGGCAAGAGCGGGTATCGCGCCACCCGCTTCCATTCTATCGTGACTACCTTGCTCGCCCATGCCCGCTACACGAAGAAACCTTGATAGGATCCCAGCGATGGCAAGCCTTGTGCATCCTAACGTCCATCGCAATCAAAGACCGCATGAAATCCGCGTGCGGATTATGAACGCAAAATGGCGCGCGCTGTGTCGACGACGTCGCACGGCGAGCGGGCCGATCGGATTCTAGTCAGCAGGCGATGCAGATGAACCTGCCGAATGGGGCCGCTTTGGTGGTGCTTTCGCTTGCTGTACTGCCTGTCTCATTTCAAGCAGATTCTGCATATCCTGTTCAATGTAGCAATATCCGCTCGCACGATCGATGTGCTCCAAAACTTGTAAAATCGAGTACGGGTCACGTGCACTGGCAGTCTCGAAGCGAACTAGACCGTAGTCGCCGAGAAGCTCTGCGATCGCTCGACTCAGTTTGGTACCTGGGTCATCGCCCTCTGCAATGAACATCAACGGGTCCTCGCTGTCTGCGTAGATGTCCAACTGGTACAAAAGTTGGGACGGTACGAGATTATCGCCTTCTGGACCACTGGCAGCGTCGTCGCGCAAGGTCCCGTCACGGGCGCACATCTCCGTTTCGCTCTCCAGTTCAACCAATCTTCGTTCGTACTCCGCCTGAAATAAATCCGATTTCATGAGCACGTTCACATGCGGTAGACCGAAATTCATCATTGTCATCAGGGAGATTACGGATGCCGACATGAATTTATGAGGATCCGTGCAGGTTTGAGCATCAACGATATTCACCACCACAGCTCGCAGATCAGACCAGCGCCGCTTTGGATCGTGCATCGTTAGGTAATGAATAACCTTTCGCGTTGCATTGTGATGCACAAACAGTTCGACCTGGCCCGGCATATCAACGATAACATAGTTTGCGCTGGCGTCTTTCTCGCGACGAGGCTGCGCGTCCATCTCTGGAGTGGTGCTGCGGGCGGTGTCCGACCCGTGATCGCTGCCCTGGCCATCATATATGTCTCGCAGTGCACCTTCCAGCCAATCAATGTTTTCCCAGAGATAATCCATGCAGTAGAGGAGTGCTCCGTTCGGGCCGAGCTGGAAGCGTTTCATCACGTTCTCGCAGACCACCAGCTCGCGAATGTCTATATCTGGTTGATAGGGTAGCACTTCCGTACTGCCGACACCGGGATCGAGATTGACGAGCGCGTGCGCCCGCCCGATGCCAAGCAGAACGCGAGAAACTGCGGCACAAAAGGTGGTCTTCCCGCTGCCTGGCGGCCCCGTGACGAGTTGCACGAAAAGCGGTCGCTTGCCTGAGGGTTCCATTACCTCAAGCAACTCTCGGTACACTCGCGTCTCCAGCACCGGTCTTTCGGAAACAAGTCCAGCGAGTCTTCGCTCGGATTCCCGAGAACCGTAAGGCGACAGCTTCCGGTTCCGAAGCAGCGTTCATAAACTTGAAGGACTCGGGAGTCCCCTGCGGAACCAATGGACGTTTCAGACGCCCTCCAACAGTTCCGTTATCTGGCGCTTCCAACGCGTACGCAACGAGTCACTACTGCACCATGGCAGTCATACGTTTGCTGCGCGTTTCACTGAAGCGGCAGATATCGTGCGCTCGTAGCAGGCGCCCGAAGCGCACGTTCATGGAGCCTGGCGTTTCGCTGTCCTGCTGGGCGCGTACGATCAAGTACAAAATTAACCAATAAAAGAACTAAAATTAAACGTTTCTCCCCAGATGGGTGGAAACTTGGAGAAGCGCCGGCGAGGTCCCGCGCGCCGCCCTCCATTCCGCGACTCGTTTCATTGAGCATTTTCTGAAACACTCGTTACGACCGAGCGCTGAACCATGACTCGTGTGAACGTCTTGTCTGATGCCCTCAAGAGTATTACGAACGCTGAGAAAAGGGGAAAGCGCCAAGTCATGATACGCCCAGCGAGCAAGGTAATCATCCGAGTGCTGCGGCTGTTGCAACGCGAAGGGTACATCGGCGACTTCACCTTCATCGACGATCACCGCTCAGGGAAGATCGTGGTTCAGCTAATTGGTCGCTTGAATAAAGTGGCAGTCATTTCTCCGAGATATGACGTCGCGATAAGAGACTTGCAGAAGTGGTGCGACGCTCTGCTCCCGTCAAAGCTGTTTGGGGGTCTGATCTGCACGACCAGCTCGGGAATCATGAACGACGCAGAGATGCGACGCCGCCACGTCGGCGGTAAACTGATTGGTTTCTATTACTGAGCATATCTGCCTGCAAGGTTCATCGTCGACTTTGTTTTATCGGCGTCTTGTTAGGACCAATACAGCCGGTGCCGAGAAGCATGCTGGACCACAGCGAAGCCTCGACGGTCGCAGACTAGCCTGAGCCTTCCAGTGGGCGTCGGTTTTTGAGGCGGGTGCGTGTTTCGCAGGAGCTGCCCCATCGTTCTTCAGATGGGACCAAAGGCCATCATTCCAGAAGCGGGGAAAAGTTTTTGACGGAAACTGGTCGATTTAAGTCAAATTGCACGATACAGAGGAAACTCGAGCGCGTAAACGAATCCCACACACGTTCAAGTTATCGTTCAGCGCCCGAAAGGGTTTTCGCTCAGCATGAACGCGACGTCGGCCGGTGGCGTACGAGCAACTGTGCACCACGCCTCGCTACCGTACTTCTCAACAATGCTCCTGAGCTGAAGAGCGTCGTTAGGAACGGGGTCAATTTCCAGGCGATCGGCAGTAAGAGCTTTCTGCCAGAGTTTGATCATTCTTGCCGCTGCGAACTGGATTTCGCTGCTTTGCCGGGGATCTTGGATGCCATGCAATGCCTGGGAGAGGCTTTCAGGCCATGACATCCTTGACGCAATCCAGACCGCGGCTGCTGCGCGAAAACTTGGCAAAATGCGGACACATAAAGGGTAGTCGACGAGGGCCAGTTCACACAGAAACAGCGCTAAACTGGCATGTTCCCGGTCAAGGCCGGCAAGGCCTGCATAACGACGCCAAAATGGGAGCGCAGTCACATCACAGAGCTCGAAATTCAAGCCCTGCAACAGCTGCGTCTCCATGACCTTCACCTGTGCTCTCGAGTAAGTTTCAGCACTGATAAACACAAAATCATCAAGAAGCGGAACGGTGATTTCTTCCACTTTGGCTGCAACGAGCATGCACGTCATTCCGACCAATTGCAGAACCTCGCGTGATACAGGTTGCAAGGAGAGGTACCGATCAAGGTAGCAGACAGAGAGATGAAGCGTCTCGGTACTCAACTGGAATTCACTCGCAACCTCTGCGAGCCAGTCAACGAGGATCGCTCGCATTCGAGCGTTGATGTGCGGCTCCTGAATGGCTTCGATATAGTCAAGGCGCGGTCGCCGCCTCGACTCCAGCTCATGGAGCGTCTCGTAAATTTCATCCGTCTCCTCTGCGCAGCAATGGATTGCCATGTTGGTCAAGTGCAACTCGGCTGGATCCGAGAGCGGGTCCGATGCCGCTTTCTCCGCTGCGAAAAGAGCATTGATCATCGGTGAATACGAGCCCTGGCGAAGGCGAGCGCACGCAGCATGCGGACAACTTGTTGAAAGCGATCTTCTTGGACACCGAACCTGGCTCAGAACTGTGCTCGGTTGCGACACCTCAAGGTCAGCTCGCTCGGCCACGCGTGTTTCGCAGGTCGCCTGCATCGCGAGCTCGGTTCCTGCGCCGAGGCGAACGGATCCATCCTTCTCGCACGAGACATATTCCTGAGTGGATATCCGAATGGCCTCCGTGCGCTTGCGCCATCGAGCGTATGGTGCGTCCGGCTGCGGCAAAAGCGACGGAATTCCCGACCAAGATGCGTTCGGCTCTGTGCCAGTGCATTCGGTTTTCGAGGCCTCAATGGAGACGCGACTGCCATGGCTGAGCGATGGCGCGCGTGCGCTTGCACTAGGCGGGCAAGTGCTCTCAACTCCGCCCCGTCTCGGTGGCTGGTTAGTCGACGCGATATCTCGACGCGGAACTGGTGGATCAATGGCTCGTCGACTGGCTCTCCCACGCCGCGGCTCCCGTCCACTACGAAGAGATTGCATCCGGGCTAATATATAGTTAGCCTACCTCGGGTATAAACTTGGCAAAGGGGCAAAGCAGCGGCTGCTCTGTGGCGTTCAGTTGCGGTATACCGCAAAGCCCAGCCGAGGCAAGCCACTGCAACGCCCGCGGCGTGCAAGCCACCACGAAGCCGCCAAAAGCCAATAGCTCCTCTGTTAACCCACCGATATCTTTTCGCAGCCACAAGCTCGTGATACCACGCTAGATCTAGCTCAGACTTGAAAAAGAAACAACGAATAGCGGCAGCTGAAGTGCAACGCCGCCCCAGCTCGCGGAATACGCGGGATGCACACACGAGCCATGGCGGACGCATCATGGCGCCTTCGGCTTTGGCGCGCCTTCTGGCTCCGCAGCCAAGCGGATTTGCGCCGCTGCGCCGCTGCACCTGGCGGCGATCGGCTGTGCAGGCGCGTTGCCGCCAGCGCTACCGTTCGATTTGCGGATCGCCGACCGCTGGTGCGCTGTGCTGCGGTGAAACGCGCACTGCGTCCATCGCTCTGCGCGACGTACAACGCCGGGGCAACGGCGAGTGCATACATGCGTGCGTGTGCGCTTTACAGTTGCCCGGTAGACTAAACAAGTACACTGTAGCGCAGCTGCGTTCATGTTCGTCAATGTTGCCTTGTTTGGGCAGTGTGTTGAAAACAGGTCCACTTTCGAGAACCGAATAACGCGTGGGCCGGCGCGAGCGCTACCGCGAAACAGTGCGCAGTCGCGAGGCAGGGATCACGCACGTCGCTGGCGCGCCTGTTCCACGCTGCACTGGACGCAACGCCTACCAGACCGAGGTGTGGTGTCGGCGCGGTATACGCTGCCAACTTTGGTGTTTGTGCTCGGCGGTCCAGGTTCGGGTAAAGGCACACAGTGCAGACGCCTTGCGGAGGAGCTGAACTGGGCGACGGTTTGCGTTGGGCAGTTGCTTCGGGAGGAGGCCACACTTCGTCGAAAAGAACCTCGCGGTGCATACCTTGAACACCTCCTGAGCCGCGGTGAAATAGTGCCGGGGCATATAACCATTGAGCTGCTGCTGGATCGCTGCGCCGCTTTTTCCGGGAAGAGTGGCGGCATTCTTGTGGACGGGTTTCCGCGGGCCCTGGAGCAGGCCGAGGCCTTCGAGCGAGCCGCTGGCGCGTCGTGCGCGTTTGCCGTTTTCTTTGCGTGTAGTGAAGATGTAATGATCTCACGTTTACTAGAGCGTGGGAGAACAAGCAACAGAACCGACGATAACCTCGAAACCATTCAACGACGACTGATAACCTTCCGACATACCAGCATGCCGGTGATTGAAAAGTACCGGCAGCTCGGAAAACTGGTCGAAATCAACGCCGACGCCGACGTCGACTCGGTTGCAGCAGCAGTACGCCGAGAATTTGCGATACGCGGTTTTACACGAAATGTAAATGTAGAGATTTGAAAAGGGATTCGCGGGCGTGTGCCGCTGCCGTCCAGCTGATCCACAGCACCGCTGCGTTCCCTACCCGCACGTCGATCCACGGGGCTCCCAGTGCGGGCGTAGAACGCCATACGAGGCCTGTCGCTAGCCACGCGATAGCGCAGGACGCGCCCGCACACACCAAGGACGCTCCATAGGCCATAACCGGTCAAACTGGTTCGCCGCTCGCAGTCGCAGCGGCATCGCGCAGAACTGTCTATTTTTTGGGTTTTGCTCCGGCCCCGCTGCTGTTGCCGCTGCCAGCACCACCACTACCTTGCTGTCGAGCCTTGATTTCCTTGAGTGCTGCAGCTCGCGCTGCTGTTTTCACTTGCGCCCGCGGGGCTTGTCGTTTCGCTCGAAGCACTTCAATAGACGCACCCTCGACCGGCTTTTGCACCGTCTTTACAGCGCGCCTCCTAGTACGCCTCTTCTCCTGCTCCTCCTGGCCCTTGCGGTGCAACCGCCTGTAGATGTACGTCCAGTTCAGAGACGCAGGTTTGCGACGCATGTGGAACGACGACTTGCACTTGGAGTTGGCGAAAACAAACACTTTGCCGTCAGACCGGACGAACGTAGAGCCGTGGCCAGGGTAAATACGGAAACCCGAAAAGTTGCAGATTTGTGTACGTACCACCATGGCTGGGTTTCTGCACAGAAGAGAGCCGGTTGTTGGCGCATAGCCGATGGTACGCCTGCACCAAATGACGCCGTGCCGCGCCACCGCCGCGCGTTCGATGAAGAAACGGAACTATATGGGTTATTTCTATATTTTTAGGGAAAATATGAACAGGCCTGCGAGCGCGCGCATCAGTGCGAAAATCAGCGCCTGAGCATGGGTCTAGGATTCCGAGATTCCCGCTGGACCTCCTGATCCCGAGTGCGCGTGGACGCTTATCAGCGTTCAGCTGAGGCAGTTCCTGATCGAAACCCTCTTCCCGGAACGCTTCCGTGTGAGAAAAGCGCCTTCTTAGGCAGGGGGGGTTTGTGCAGGGACCGCTTCCGTGGCGTCCAGCTTCTTCGCTGTTGCCGCGGCGTAGTGCAAGGCGGCAACGAAGAGGCGACAAACTTCCCACGAGCTCTGGTTTGCGCAAACTCTCCCGAGCGGTATGATGTCTTCGTTGCACCTAGCGTCGTGCACGAGTTTTGTGACGCGCTCGACGTATGTGGGGATAGAAAAGTTGGGCCGCTGCTCCGCAGCCGCCAGACGGGGTTGCAGCTCGGCTTGCCAGGTTGCTACTCGCTGATGGAGAGCGTTTTCTTCTTCAAGCCGTCGCCAGGCTGCGGCTGTTTCGTTCAGGTAGCGCCGACAGATCTGTTCAAAACTTTCGACAAGAGCTTGGGAATCGACGCCGGTCGCTTCGTGCTCCCCAAACAAAAACGCTCCTTGTTCCTCAAACGGGTCAGGGCCGAGTGCGTCCAATGCACCCAGCATTGCGTGACTTGCGTCACCGGCATGATAGGGGGTTCCCGTCTCAGTGACCGGCCCGATAGAGGCGTTTGTATTCAAATCGCCCGGGATGCGCTCCAACGATGAGCTGGGATACTCCACAGAGCTAGAGTCATCTTCGTCGCTGTCATCATCGATGGATTCGTACGCATCATTAGCGATGGCCTTTTTCTTTCCGCTGGAACACACTGAGCACCGAACGCGCTCGCATGCGCGCAGTGCGCGAATGCTGGCATCCAATGGTGGGAACAACGACCCTCGAAAAATGATGTGCATCCAGGCACGCGCCCATTCGCTGCCTCCCGAACTTGTGACGAATGACGCATCGCCCAAATGCGTTTGAGTGTTCACAAGATCGGAGGGCACCCCAGGAATGCGCTTCCGATAAAGGACCCAGTTTTGATACGCTTCAAAGGCAGAAACATTTGGTACGGCTCGACATGAGGTGTGTCGGCGGCCTTTTCGAAAGGGTCGCTCTCGGTCCACGACTTGTTGATCTGCAGGATCTCTCGTGTCATCCTTGTCGGGGAACATTTCCAGAAATTTCCATTGCCTCTCTGGAGACCCGCCGTGGACCCGGTTCTTCCGTCGCTGTCGCCGTCGCTCTCTCTGCTGTATGCTCGTATCGCGCAAGGTAATCTCTAGGGTTGGCATCAGCGCCTCCTGGGAGAGGTTCAATGGCTCTGCACCAAAGCCCCACTCTACATACTGAGCATCTGCGTCCTCCATCGCATTCGGCGTTGCGTCTCTGATCTCCACAGCGGGCTCGAAATCGCCCAGTGTTTGCGCCGTTTCCTCGTAAATTAAATCTTCAGGAGCAATACCCAGAAGGAGAGCACCACTGCGCCCATGGATCTGGGACCACCTCACCCACAGACGGTCCAAATCGAGTAGGTCTACGTCTTGTACCGGAATCGAAAAACCCGGCAGATTCCAAGGCGCCGTCGCAACGGAGTTGGAGGCCGACACGCTAGCATTGCTCGCAGTCCGCGAAGCTGGCGTCCGCCAGCCAGGCGTTCCTGGCGTTGCAACCGTGATCGTACGTGTCTCCTGGCCGTTGAGCCCTAACCGATAACTACTTTCATCCGCGCATGCGCTCAAGTATTCTGAATCGGATTCGGCGGCTTCTGGATATTGGAATCCGGGCTCATCCAAGTCCAGCGTTTCGAGTCGGGCGTAGGGCACGAGTTCGGCGATGTCCTCGAAGGCTCGCTCAGCCGCCACATATCTGCGATATGCCGCCATCGTGAGTGCCCCGCGCACAGCGCCACTGGCTGGGTTCAGCCCCCGAGCAGTGGGCAACGGCTCCGTTGCGGACGCAGCACTGTCACCTTCTTCGGTGCCGTCGACAGATCTGCGCTTTCCGCGCTGCTTGTTCTGAGTCTCTGCACGCTCAGCAGACTCCGAGACGAAAGCTTCTAGAGCCTGGTACACAAGCTGGTAAAGATGCTCCACTTTGCGCCCGTAAATATCAGCCGAATGCTGCACAAGAACAGCAGCGTCAGCAAAGCGCAGTCGAGCCTCCTCTGGGAGAAGCTCGAGACTTTCCACGAACTTTTCCAACTCTGCGGCAACATCAACCGACCAGTTCTCTGAAAGCTCCTTAAGCGGTTTCAGGAGTTGGCACCAGCGTGTCTCCAGCGAAGCGTCTCCCATGGGAGACATCGGCTTTAACGTCCGCTCCCACCGAGTAACACAGACGCTGTGCTTTGTTAGGGGCTTTCAAAAATTGCGCCACAGCGATCCGCAGGCGCGATGGGTACAGCACCTCTCGCGCCTGCGTGCGTGCGTGCGTGCGTGCGTGCCTGCCTGCCTGCCGATTCGTATTGCGCAGGAATCGAGGGGAAGCCTCGGAAATGCCACTTCTCCGACGGCAAGGGTGCTTTATGGATTCTATCAGCCAGAGGAATGATTTTCCGCGTTTTCCGGTTGCTCGAGATCATGCATAAGCCGCAAAGTTCGCTCTGCAGGGATCCGTGTCCTGCAGCAACACCTTTGGCCTCGTTGTGTTCCTCAGTGATGACAGATGTTGTTTGAACATGCTGCGTTGTGCTGGGCGAGTGCGATCAGGCACCCCGCAGCTAGTGAGTTGCCCAGAAAGCGCTTTGATTCGTGCAATCTTTTCAGCGAAGCTGCTCGGCTCTAGAAATGGTAAGGACATAGCGGGTCTTAGAGCTACATACCCGCTCGACCCTGGTGGAAGCACCAGGAGCAGAAGCGTGGGTTGTAAGCAGGTGTGTGTTTTCTCTTGCCAAAGGGACGATCGGCGCGAAACGAAACCTTTAGATGGTGGCCCGCTTCGCGGCCTTCACACGCGCTTCCTGATGGGGCGAAGCTGCTGTTCCAGCATCTGGTATCACAGGAAAACGCAGTGATGAAGACCCGACAACTGCCCTGAACATTGTCGATTCCCAGAGACGAGGTACGCGCCCTCATTCGAGTGCGGACCGCTTGGCATAGAGTCGGTTACGCGTTGCTGGTACGCATATGACCAGTACACGCACTGCGAACGCTGCTGCACAATAAAATAGCGGCACCTAGCGCCTTAACAGCGCTCGCGGCCGCGTACTGTACCAACGAGTTTCACGAGACCGTGCAAACGTCCCTGGAAGCTGGATGGCAACGACAGTCTGGCATCACGGGGCTGTGGACGGTTGGGCGCTCAAGGATGCTGGACGTAGGCGCTATCGAATGTAGAAAGCCTTCACGGATACTGGTTCCGCGTGTATCGTACGTGCCATATTAGTGCCGACGCACCGGCTTCAACGCGAATCCACCGGTACCAAGAGGCATGATTTTGCCGGGAGCATTTTTGTGGCAACCACACCACTTTTCATGGACTAAGATACTGTCACCACGCCGCGCTGGACCTCATTCTAAAGTTACCCTCAGCAGTGCAGCAGACAGCTTGTCGGCCAACAACACGCTCTGATTCGAGCGTGCCTTGTCAATTTACTCGGATAGTGCCCTTTGTCGGTCAACTCCCCAGCAAAACTAATCCAACAACCCGGTGAACAGAGTCGTCGAAGACGCTCCTGTGCCCACAGAGCTGCTCCTGGAACTGGACTCGCGGCGCTGTCCGAGCGGGTGCGGTAAAGGTCGTCGCGTTCTGCCGCAGTAGCTTGAAACCTCACTCGCAACGCACTGCTAATGCGCTACGGCACACTCTACTCGAGCAGAGACACTGCATACGTTCTGTAAACCCGCGACCCCAGAACAGGCTTCCAGCTTCACGGAGGCAGGGCTTTGGAGGAACAGCGTTTCCATCAGCACAGCGTCGAGCGGAACGCAAGTGCGCCTCGGACGCAGGGCGCCTCGGACGCAGGCAACTCGTTTCATGGTCTTCGTACCGCGGCGCTGCACAACGGACGACATACATACTGCGGTTCTGTTCCAGTGCGGGTATCGCAAAGACGATCGACGTCTTCATTGTGTGCCTCCTGCACTACTCTCGAGAGTCATTAGCACTTCTTGGTGCTGCGGGCAATGAGTGGCGCCGAGCAAGCAGCCAGCGAGCTGCTTCGGAGCCGTGGCGTCGATGTCGACGGCCAGCGAAGAGGAAGGCAAAACGGAGACGATTCTGCGAGAAACATCTTCTTTTTCATCGAGAACCAGGGACATCGTGCTGATCCAGTAGCAGTTAGTGAACAGTATCGGTCGCTTCGCAGCTGGGTGGAGAACGCACTGGACATGTACAAGGGCGAGCTCGTAAGTGTCTTGTATCCGCTGCTGGTGCATAGCTTCCTGGACCTGGTCGAGCAAGGACACCAGGAAGCTGCGGAGAGTTTTCTTAGGCGCTTCGGCAGTGAGTTTCAGGATCGTGGACATCGTGACGAGCTTATTGCGCTCTCCAGCGTCTCCCTACCGGAGCATATCGGCCAGAATGAAGTGGCTCGCCTGTTTCGGGAGAACAGGTATCAGCTGCAGTTTTCTGCCTATGGATGGCAGCTCTTGGTGTCTTTCCTACGAGACTCGGGAGGCTTCTTTTTCCTGCGCATACTCAACGAGCACACCCGCGTTCAGATCGAAACCGTCGGCACAGATCCACTAGCGGATGCTGCCGGGGTCACGGTGGATGCCAAAGCAACGGACGGCTTTGTGGGGGCAAACGAGCGCACGTCACTGCTGCGCATTCCCGTGCAATGGGGCCTCCTCCGTGAATCAGACTACGTCACTGAGGATACCGAAATTGACATCGATCGCGCCTACTTGGAGCGAATGGCTCGCGAGCGCGATGCGGAGCGTGCGGTGGCGGATACAACCGGCTCCACGGCGGCCGCCGAAACCAAACCGGGCCCTGCGCCTTCGGGGAAGACTCCCGGAAGCGAACGAGACAAAGCATCGACCGGCCGCAAGAGCGGTGCTAGAGCAGCCGCGATGTCCAGCCGCGGAGCGGACGGCACCGGAAAGACCTCCGACGCGAGCGGCGGATTTCTAGACATGTCGCAGTCGATACCGGTGCCTAGAATTTGGCGCTCCTCTGGGATGTTACCGTCACTGGAGGACCTGCGAAAGCGTGTTCAAGTGTCAGCAAACGCGCTCCCATCGGTGCTCTTCTACACGCTCCTGAACTCCCATGGGTTGGTGAATGCGATGGATATTTCGAACGATGGCTCTCTGCTCGTCACTGGCTGCGATGACTCCGTTCTGAGACTCTACAAGGTTCGACAGGAGCTTCAGAATACAAGCGAGTCGGACAAGGACCGCGGAACCAATCTTTCTGGAGAGATTCCCTCGCTTTCCGTTTCGCAGGTCCTGGTGGGCCACGCTGGCCCTGTCTACGCGGTCCATACCTCCGCTGACGGGCGCTACTGCATATCGAGCTCCGAGGACGGCACCGTTCGCCTATGGGATCTTCAGCTCGGCACAGACCTCGTAGCGTACCCCTGCCACGAATCACCGATATGGGATGTTCGGTTCGCGCCTCTGGGAAGATATTTTGTGACTGCCTCACACGATCGCACTGCGCGTCTGTTTTGTACGGATCGACTGTCACCGCTTCGTTTGTTTGCCGGGCATATGACCGATGTAGACTGCGTCAGCTGGCATCCTAACTGTAACTATGTGGCAACAGGTTCAAGTGATCGTAGTTGTCGTTTATGGGACTGTCGAACGGGCGACTGCACGCGGATCTTCTTGGGCCATAGGGCGCCGCTGACGGCGTTGGCGTTCTCTCCAAACGGTCGTCTTCTGGCGACAGCGGATTTCAATGGCACGATTTTGCTCAACGATATCGCTGAGGGTCGCCTTCTTAAGCGATTCTCTGAGCATACCGATGCCGTTTGGTGCTTAGACTTTTCGCAAGGCGATGGTTCGATACTGGCCAGTGGCGCTGGTGATAACTCCATTCGGCTGTGGCCGGTGCTTACAAATACGCTGGACGCTTCGGGTTCTTCCGTAGATGCTGTGCATGATTCAAGTTCGTTGCGCGTGATGCGAACAAAGAGCACGCCGGTGTTGGGTCTGCGCTTTTCATGGCGCAATTTGTTGCTTGCAGGTGGCTCGTTTCGTGCGTTGACCTAGGTTTCCGGTACAACAAGGCAGTCGTACCAGTGCGTTAAAGTATAGTGCACCAACTTGTTTTGTCGTCATCGCCAATGCGATACCGTTTTAGCATTGCGTTGGCGATCGGGAAGAGGTATAGAAACAAGAGGAAGCGTATGCGGATGTTGCTCATGGTAGAGGTTCTGTCACATGGACAGGTGTCGCACTATTTCGAGGGCGCGAGATCCACGTTTTCGATCAAGAATGCGATGGATTCAATTTCTTGCGTCGTGCGCGGGGTTTGAGGAACAGCAGAGATCCCTCTCTCTTGGTACGTATGCCTTTCCGGAATCCACTCGATGAACCCAGCTTGATGATGGGTTTCACGGGGCGAAATTGCTCCACGAAGCATCATCTCTTCCCTGGCTGGCTGTTGACCAAGTTGACAGCGAATAATTCCAGGATAGGAGGTCTCATTTCGTCGACGCAGCCGAGAAGAGCGCGTCTTGAGGAAACGCGGGCGCTCGGGTTGCATGCGCATGCGACGGGACACCAAGATGCCGCTATACTCAGGCAGCTTCAATACGTCATCCCATGATACTCGGGGATGTGCCTAGTCAGGGTCTCTTGCATGCTGCGGATACATGCGCGACTTCCGCAACGAGGCGCTGGATGACGCTCGTCTTTGTTTTGCTTCGCTTTTGGCAGGAGACGCGTCAGTCTCGCATCGACGGACCGCTGGGCGTGCATCCCCATGAACCGGACGGGCGCATGCGAGCCAACGTGGACATCAGCCCGCGAGATAGACGGCGTGCATCGACGAGCGGAATAAAGCCTGCAAGTACACCAGCACACTTGTTCATGAAGAAGCGTATACGTGCGTATACGCGTGAGCGACGGCCTGTTGACGCGCACTGGTGCACACCCGTGGGCCCCATACACGCTGACACGAGCGTACAGCGATACACCTCTGGTGTGTGTGTTTGTATGTGTGACACTGGGTACACGTCTCTGTTGGCCTCGACGTCTCCTAGTGTCCGTTCCCGCACGCACAAGCACGATCGCAGCGTTTCGACTCGTGAACACACATATCGCTAGCACGACATGCTTGCCTAGAACACAGTTCATAGCTGCCCATTCCCTGATCGTTGGCGTATGTTTGCAAAGCGGCGCATCGCATGACATTGCATCATAACGCACAGGGCGTTGCGCGATGATAATGACACGTCTCCGACCGAGACAACCCGGTACGCTGTACTGCGTCGCGCCTGCAAAGCGATGAATACTGAATCCTGAGTCATGAGTCATGAACGATGCGACGCCACCATCAGCGATCGATCGATTGATTTGACATAGTGTGGCGCTGCGTGCGCGCGATGCGGCGCCACCATCACCGATCGATCGATTGATTTGACGTAGTGTGGCGCTGCGTGCGCGCGATGCGACGCCACCATCAGCGATCGATCGATTGATCTTTGATACTGAGCGCTGTCCTGCAGGTGCACACCGGCGCTGGTGATAGCCTTCTACTTGTGGTCGGTGTAGGTCTTCTTGTCGCCCGTTCGGAACAGTGTTGAAACTCATAAAAGGTGCACTGTGTTGGTGAGGCAAGTTACTGGGCAGCGCGACTCGGAAAGGTCCTTTGCGATGTGCCGTCTGCAGCTGCGGGGTGCCGGCTGACGAGAAGCGCTGCGCTCGCAGGATCGAGGCTGGCTACCTGGCCTTGTTTGCTGTTGACAGCTAGCCCTGCGGAACAGGCCTCTCGCGAGCGTGTGGGCGAGAGCTGTACCGGTGGTCGCGATACCGCGCTTGACAGTTCGAGGGCGCGTCTTGAGCGTGAGCGAGTGATCGAGTCAACGGGTCAATCAGGGCACACACCGCTATTGTCTGCTGCGCGGGACGCCTATTGAGTTGCAGGGGTAACCCGGAGTCGAACGGCATCAGACAGTCGTCAACCTTTCCCCAGCAGCAGCGGGCGTGCGAGCAGCACCGTGTCCCGGCACTCTGTCGGATTCCTCGCTCGGGAGGCGTTCGAAACGCACGCACCGCGCTTTGCCCCTGAGCGGCGTTTCCGCGCACATCCACAGACGCAGCGTGAAGCGCAATGGACGAACGCGACGTTCTTCGGGTAGGCGTCTGCGCAATGCCGAAGAAAGTCGAGTCTGAGCCGATGCAGCGGATCCTCGCTGCGCTCACCTCGAGCCGCGTTGCGCACTTCGAGCCGATGATCTTCGATGCGAAGACGCTGTTTGAGCGGCCGATCCACGGGTGGCCTGTGTGCGATGCGTTAATTGCGTTCCACTCGGAGGGCTTCCCGCTGGAGCGTGCCATAGCGTACGCGGAACTACGGCGCCCGTACTGCTTGAACGGCCTGCGCGAGCAGCGGATGCTGCTGGACCGGTCCAAGGTGTACGAGGTGCTGGCACGTGAGCGGGTGCCAGTCCCGCGGCACATTGTTGTGCGCCACGACGGAGCCGATGTTGGCCGGACGGATACGCGATTTGTCGAGCACGACGACTACATTGAGTACTGCGGAGAGCGGCTGTTCAAGCCGTTTGTGGAGAAGCCGATTGACGCGGAGGACCACCGCGTATGCATCTACTACGCACGGCCCTTGTACGGGCGCCGGCGGCTATTTCGGAAGACGGCGAATCAGAGCTCTGTGTTTGAGCCCGGGTGGCGCCGTGTCCGTCGCGAGGGCGCCTTCATATACGAGGAGTTTATCCCGAGCGAGCACCAGAGCGACATCAAGGTTTACGCTGTTGGGCCGGAGTACGCGTACGCGGAGCGGCGAAAGTCACCCGTGGTGGACGGTATCGTTGAGCGGAACGCGCACGGCAAGGAGCTGCGATTCCCTGTTGAACTGAGCACCGCGGAGCGCTGCGTGGCGGCGACGATCACGGCGGCTTTCCGGCAGTTTGTGTGCGGCTTTGATCTCATTCGGCACGCCGACGGCAATGCTTTCTATGTGAACGACGTGAATGGCTTCAGCTTTGTGAAGGGATCCCAGTCCTACTATGAGTCTTGCGGGCGTATTCTGGCGGAGCATCTAGCCCGCGAGTGTGCGCGAAGCGCTGCGGTGGATGGCGAGCGACCTCGCAGTGCCCAGCGCTGCAGCGCATCGGACGGGAGCACGCCCTAACGGCGTGTAAGTTCGGGTTGGATGGAGTACGCGCTGCATCCGGCAGACAAGAATCCTGTAAAGGAACATGTTTATGGGAGCGTAACTCGGAGCCCGTTGCGCTGAAATGCCGCTAGCATCACTCGGGATTCATTGATACCTAATGCGGGATATCGTGCAAACGCCTTTCGCGGCAGACGAGAGTACGCATGAGCACTGGGTAAATGGATCATAGAATCGGAGAGACCGCCTTGTGCCGTCGTGTGTTCAAGAGATCGCCGTCTGGTTTCCTGTAGCCAACGGCAATTGCAGCTGATGCGCCCGCCGCTGATGTATGGCACGAACATCGTCGCATAGGCGCTCGGCGAAAATAACTGCTTACTGTTTTCCGATTTAGTCGCCAGTTCCGCGCACTTTGCTGAGCAAAAAAACGTTCAGCAATGCGTCGGCGATTCCAGCACCTCCTCAAATGTAAAAGCGAAGCGCTTGCGCACATAAAAGCATCGATGATGTGTTCCACGTATGCGATAGATGGGCCTTACGCATACCAAGCGGCGTCAAAGCAAGGATCGTTCGCGTTTACGACTAAACACAGTGGTAAAGTGTCGTAGCCATGAGGCGCAGCTGTCGCCTCCGTGCGCATTCGTTCCCGCAACGCAACGATGGCGACAGCACACCTACGATAGCAATGCAGGTCTCCATTATCACAGCGCATGGGCTTGTGCAAACTTCACGCCTGCCCCATGCCGACCTCAGATAGCGCCTGTCTCCTAAGCAGAGCGCTCCACCGAAGCAGCGCACGCTGAACAACACAACAAAGTAGCAGCAACCAGTTCGCGCCTCAGATACAGTGCCTACCCTACTTTGGCGATATCAACGCAAACGAAGATGCCTGCGCGCGCAAATGCACGGACACACGCACACGGATGCGCCGCAACGTGTGCCCTCACGCGTGCGCATTGCCGTGCAGCGATGGTGCGTGTCCGATGAGCGCGTGAACGCCGCACGATCCGCGATTCGAATCTACCGGAATGACGTGCACGCAGCGGTGCGCATGCGTGCCGGCTCGATGCGCCTTATTTCTTGGTGATTCGCGAGCGCCCTCGTTCGAGCAGTCGGCACGATGCTCGCCCAGCTGCACGCCGATCACTCAAACGAACAGCCAGCGGGGGTTCTGCGCGCGCGCTGCGGCTGCGGCCCCCGAGCGCCATCTCCGAGGCGCAAAGCGCGGCGATCGCTGCATGCCCGTCCGAGCACCGTGCCGTGTCACGCACATGCGGCGACTGCTGCGCCAACGACATTCAAGAAGCGACTGGAGCAACTGTTCCAGCAGCAGCAGTAGTTGCAATGCCTATCACTTGTTGCACGCAAAGGTCATATCCGCCTCGACGGCAAGTTCGCCATCGACGTAGCCTCGCCCGCGGCACTTAGCGATGCCAAAGCGCTTGCGTAGCGCCATCACCTGGCACTCCATCACGAGCACGTCACCCGGACGCACCGGCCGCCGCCAGCGCAGATTCTCCACCGAGGCAAACAGAAACAGCCTCCCAGGCTCGCTGTCTGGACCGCTCAACAGCATAAGGCCGCAGCACTGCGCGAGCGCCTCGAGCTGCAGCACACCAGGCATAATCTTGGCAGACGGGAAGTGGCCCTCGAAGAACTGCTCGTTGTACGTGACGTTCTTCACCGCCACGATCCGCTGCTCGGCCGCACACTCCAAAACCTTGTCCACCAGTAGAAACGGGTAGCGGTGCGGGAGCACGCGCTCAATGGCCTCGGCGTCCAGCACCGCTGCAGGCAGCGCAGAGCGCCGCGACAGCTCCGCTACGTCCGTGGGCGTCGACGGCGCCGGCACTGCACTCGTCGCGCTGGGCGCTCCGCCGTTCGCAGCCACCTGCTCGGCGCTGGCGCGTGGCCCGCACCACCGCCGCTGGCGCGGCTGTGTGCGTACACCGCAGTCAGCCTGGGCAGCGCTCGTCCTCTGGCACGGTCGCAGCAGCAGCAGCGGCGGCGGCTGCAGCCTCGCAGTGGGGCCGAGGCAGACCTCTCGGCAGTTGCGCCTACGAGCGAGCAATACGCTGTCTGCTCGTCCAGTTGAACAGAGAAACATGTACGAGGCCTATGTTGGAGCAACACACTGTATAATCGAGGGTGTTGCGCACAAGCCTAGCGGCGCTCAAATACTGAATACGTGTGCATACCCAAAATCGCAGGCGATAAGTGTCGGTCGATGCGCGTCACGCAATACGCGTCATGCGATCTGCGCAGTGCGATGTGCGTAGGTCGATACGCATAGTGCGATGCGTGTAGTGCGATGCGTGTAGGTCGTTACGCGCAGTGCGATGCGTGTAGTGCGATGCGTGTAGGTCGATACGCGCAGTGCGATGCGTGTAGTGCGATGCGCTCATGCAGCCTCGACAGCAGAGGCGCTGAACACTGGCAGCGGTGCTGATACTAGCCTTCGCAATCAACTGCATACCAATGCTGGTCATCAGGAACGATGCGCTGGCTGCTCGCAGCGTCAAGTGCTCCTGGCCGGCACCGAGCTGCTGGCGAGCATCCGTGCGCGCGCGCAGTCGACCGCCGCGACGCCACCGAGGCCTGCCAGTGTCCAAGTTCCAGACGCGCCGCTCAGGCGACCGCGGCCTCCTGCAACGTCCGAACCTCCCCTGGGGGCACAGATACGGGACCCCGCGGCACACGCGCCTCGCCGGAAGGCAGGTCCATAGGAGCGCCCACCGCGCCACCTCTGGTGACGGATACCGCTCCAGGTACAGGAGGCAATGGGGTTGCGGCACGCGTAGCAGCGCAGCGGATCCATTTTTAGGCTCGTGCTTGTGAATGCGCTCCCGAGACGCCGACGAGTGCCTCTGAACTGCATGCAGTCGATGTGCTTGCGCGCTCCCGACCTGCTCCCGAGTCGACAGCAACGCCAATCCTCTGGCTGGAAAGCAGCGCACTCGGGGCGAGGTATTCCAGCGGCAGAAGTGTGTGCCTGCATAGCGCCGTTGCTGCAGGCGCGACACCGCTGCGCCGAATCGCCCACTGTGCTGATGCCGGTCCCGCTGCAGTCCTGCGCTTCGGAAAAGGCGCCCAGCCTCATCTTTGATGCCGTTCCTCATGAGCGAGTGCGACCAGAGATAGCACTGCACGTCACCGCAAGAAACATCACTGCATTGGCCTGCTGCACGAAAATCAGCCAAAATCGCGCACAGTCCGCGTCGCTACACCATTTGCGGACTCCACGCGTGCCTTGGGTTCTGGAAATGTGCATGCTACGCGCCGAGGCATCCAGGTCAGCGCTGGCAAAGGCCTGCGAACCAACCGACAGCCGGTGCTACAAACGTGGGCGCAGGTCGCTCATGGGCATGCGCTCGCGTTCGTGACGCTTCTCCAGTCGGTGTCGCGCGCTGCTCGTCATCGCGCACACGTTCTCGCGTAACCGCTGGAGGCGTGGATCGCAGCTCGCCATCACCGTAGTCGACAGCGAACAGCTCCCGCTCCACGAGTGTCGCCCGCCAGGGCATCGGCGCATTCATACGATCGCAAAGCGCCGCGAACCCGCACAGCCATGTCAAAGAAACGGATCGCCTCCACTTGCCGAACTCGGGCGTGCAAATTAAGGTTTAGGTCTCTGCCCAGTGTCACGAACAGCAGCTTCTGCAGGCTTTCTCTGCGACTGCCTCCTTTTCCCATTTCTTTTCCGGATTCACATACGCCAATATCTCCGTTGCTTGTAACTCCGTTTACGCTGTCGAAGGATGTTGATGGCAGCGTTCAAGCTCGATTTCGACGCTCCGGATTGTTCTTGACGCATTTCGTGTACAGGCAGAAGTTGCGAACGACAGCCGGCTTTGCCATTTTCATCTTCCTTGCATACATACTCGATGCCCTTGGACGCAGCGGTGTATCTTGACTGTGGCCAGATGGTCGCGAAGGTACCCCAAACTTCGCATTCCGGGTGCTGCTGTGTATCGGCGAAGCGATCGCTGCGTCGCTCGGGAAATGCCGGTGACAGGCAGAGAAAGCTTTCACCGATGCCGACCGCGTTTCAGCTGCCGCTGTCGTATGCGGCGATCACGTCTTTCTGCTGCATGATTCTTTTGAAGAGCTATCTGTCTGCTGCATACGCAAGCGCAAACTGTTCCATATGATGGACAATCTGTGGAAGCTGATTTTGTCCATGACGAAGTAACCATCAGAAGGATACCTCAGACCGGAGTACAAATCGATAAATCTTGATCCGTCTACGTTCTCTTCGTTCAGCGCTACGACGCACTCTGCACTGGAAGCGATCGCTGCGGTGACTGGTCTCCAAGTCCAATAGTCTTTTCTACTGTGAGCAGAACAGACGGGAGCCCTGTGGCAGCATGCACCGCGACGAGTATGAAACTGTTCGTGAATGCCGTTTCTTTGATGACCATAGAGAGGGGCGGATTTCTCCTTCGAACCAAGTCGATACTTTTTCTTGATAAGTGCTCTGTACTTTCGACATGTTGTTATGAACAAGTCGTCAGGGGCCCAAGTCCTATAGTTTACGTCGTTCATCCAGCGCCGCGAATCGCTGCGCGCATGAGTTGCATGGAAACAGAAAGATCGAACAGTTGAAGAACGCGTGACTTGAGCGTATTGCGCTTGAGGAAAACAGAAGAATAGAGGCTTGTATTTATGAATCGAATAATGATTTAGGTCATTTTTACCAATCCTCATTCGATGTTTTCCTGAATCATCTTGTTCCCGATGACGTTCCAAATTCCAACCGCCAAGTGTCAAAAGAGTCACCCCGAGAACACGACCGGGAATCCCTAAACGAAATATGAATCCATAAGCCCATATTGCTGCACTTTCATGTCAAGGCTATCCCTGGAGAGCATGCTCGGAACAAAAAATCTCGTGGTACGAACAGAGCGATCAGTGCTGTGCCACTTTAATCTCATATGCGCTGATAGACTTTCACATGCATTGCGTTCCACACCCAGGGGAATGGCATCAAATGCTTCTTCACGGTTGATAGTGGATGCGTTCGAAGTGCGCTCAGTTGAGGAAACAAAAATTCAAGGGAAACTTATGGACATGAAAGTCGGGGATCCTGGAGCCCGATCATCGCCGAGCGCCGACTAAAAACGAGAAAACCCTCTCCTCGCCGATCGTCGAGTGAAAAAGGGCAAGCGACAAAGAAGAAGAGAAGGAGAGCTTGACGAGAAAAGTGCTTTGCCCGAGGAGACAATGACGAGAATGCAGTGGCCATGAGGGCACCAGCTTGAGGACGCCTTGCACTGGTGAGTTCAAACAGCGACAATGAACGCAAGGAGTTCGTGAACCGAGACTTCACCGCCGCTATCTATCTCAGAAGATGTGTGGAGCTGACCACGAGACCCGAGGAGCTGACGCCATCCAACTTCCTGGGTTACACTCTAATGCCCGCAGCGCACAAGGAAAAGCTGAAACCGTTCGCAGCGGGCCAGTCAAACAAGTCTAGGAGGCGTCCGTGATTACATATGTATGTAATCACCATGGTCGTGGAGATTTTTTCGTTTTACTGATCACCCGTACCCGCCCGCGCCTTGCGGAGCTCTCGCCCAAATCGCTGTCGTTTGCGCTGTGGTCCACGTACCGACGGTTCCAAGAACTGTCGCTCTACGGAGCGGGCGTTTTCGCGCTCCCTGGCACAGTGAATACGCTTCTTTGTTGAGAAGGCTGATGGAGCGGCACCTGGGTCGCTCGCAACCGTGCTGGGTTCCAGCACCTGGATATCTCCTGCGCTGGCACGCGCAGTTCGGCAGTTTCCAGTCTACTGTACGCCAACGAACCGCTATCGTTCCGACAAAACGTCTGCAGCGGCAGTTTCTCATGCTGCACGAGTTCCTACCGAGCACCGTCGGCACGTCGTCACGCGCCACAGGCGAAGCGAAAGGAGCTGCGTTCGACTGGTTGAACGCAGCGATGCAGGCTCAGGAGGCATGCCACGTGTTCGCCGAGTCACCGACGATTTGCCGCTACATGAACGAAAACCGCCAGGATCACCTGATATCTTACTTACGTCGCTTTGGCTCGGGGGATCTCGCAGCAAGCCTTGATGAACTGGAGCGCGTTGAAATGACCCAGGTCGACGAATACGGGTTTGAGCTTGACCTGATCATGTGCAGTCAAGCCCGCAACAATTGTGTGTGCGTTCACGAGCGCCTCTCGTGGCCAGATGGGGGTCACTGCGACACCGTTGAGCAGTGTGTCGAGAAGCTGTCGGACATGTCTCAGAGGTGCGGTCTTGGTGAGCTGAAGTGAAGCAGAGCTTGGCTCAGGGCCTGGTGAACGCCCAGCACCACATTCGGTTAATGACGAGCGCATCCTAGTGACATCGGTTGCCGTTCCGTGCACATCGCAGTGAACTCCATCCTGCACCATTGCAGTCGCAACGGCAGCATGCGTCTACAGGGGCGTTGGGCAGCGCTGGGCCTCTACTCGGTACAGGGGTATTCTATCACGGGCATTTAGACGCTTGGGAAGTTTAAAGCGTTTCACACGAGTTTTTTTTCAGGACGTAACATTTTCGTCTGCATATGCGGGATAACGCCGACAAGCGGGGTTCTTGTGTGCAGGCGCGAGCTACGCGCAAGAAAACTTCCAGGGCGCTGGCGCGAGTAGCGCATTACGAGGTACGCTCGCCGTTCTGCTCCCGTTGAACGGAACGTGCCGTTGTCATATGTGGGTTCCAGCTGCGGTTCCAGGCAGGACTCGGAGGCTAATGCCGGCTGGCAACAGCACCACAACCACTACCGCCAACAACAACAACAACAACAATACCAACAGAAACAACCGGGTTCGGCTCAGCGCGCGGAGCAACGAGGAGCAGGGTGCGGGCTTTCGGCCTGCTGAACGCGGGCGGCAGCGCTGGCGACGACCTCGCCTCAGCTGGGAGCAGCTCGAGTCGGAGGCACGCACAAACCCGTCGGAGTTTCGCGTTGGAACGGTCAAGTTCATCAAACCATATGGCTTTTTAGTGGACATAGGCGCAGAGCGGCTCGGTCTCGTACCGCTTCGCGAGGTTGCGGACCACTTTGTGCGCGACCTGTCCGCGGAGGCCGCTCCCGGGGACCGCGTGCTTGTTCGCATTCTCAGCGTCGATCGAGATCGGGGCCGCATTGCGCTCAGCATGCGTGACCCGTCGCGTACCAGAGAGCGCCGACCGACTCCAGCGGAAAAGTACGCAAGCGCACTGCGAACCTTGGGCGAGTGGGGTACACCAGCCTGGGCAACAGAACCCGTACCTTGTGCGGGGCTGGTAGAGGCGCAACGTCCACTCGACCAGGGTGCAAGTCCTCGGGATACCATGGAGTCGTGATGGGCTTTACTCGTCTGCCTTCCGTGTACGGGATGTGCGTTTGCGAAGCGTGCCGCTGCCAGCGCCCGATGAGGAAACGTCGGCATCGTCGTCCGCGTCCGCATCCATGACCTCTTCCGAGCCCTTCCCGGGCGCACTTTCTTTCTGCGATGTTGATGCTGGGCGAGTCGCGTTGTCGTTTGATGTTGACCGAGAGGTAGCGGCACCAGCTGCTTGGTCGTCTTCCTCGGTTTCATCGCGCTTCTTGCGATGCGCAGCGGAAGCACGGCTCGACAGGCGCTTCCTCCCCAGGGCATTACTAACCACTAGCATGATGCTCACAATCACCGGTGGTATGAGTGCAGCCAAGATCATCGGCTGCCGCTGGAAGAGTTCGATCATTCTATGGACCGGCTCTTGGACGCCGGCGCGCGCCAGGAACTGGTCGATGACGTCCACTAACGACTCGATCTTGCCGAGCACCACCTCAACACCGTCGAGGAGTTTCATGCGCAGCGGCCCGAGCTCGTTTCGATCATCCGTTGCCTTTGGCTTGCGCGATTCCTCACGCTCCTTTTCCACTTTGACCTTCTTTGCCCAGGTCTGAACAGCGAATTCGTCAGCAACCTGCGCGGCCTCTGAACCCGACAGGAAAAGGATGTTATCAAACGCGATGCCCTGATCCATCGTCCAAATTTCGATACCCACCGCTGTCACAGGCTGCAGCTGAATTTTCTCAACCCGGTAATACTCTGGATTTGGGATTTTCCGTGGTTGCCATTGCCCCTTGTAGGCGGGATTCGGTATCAGCGGCGCCTTCCATTTGCCGCGATACGACGGATTGGGGATCATCGGTGGCTTCCAGGCACCGCATCCGGGCGCGGTTGCGCATTTTGGATTGGGGATCATCGGTGGCTTCCATTCACCGTCCTCTTCATCGTTCCAGGCTGCAGGCTTCACCGCGTCCGGATCGGGTATGAGTTTCGGCTCATCGTCAAGCCACCCAGGTGGTTTCGTGACATTCGGATCCGGAATCTCGCGGGGAGCGTTCTCGTCCCAGTCGGCCGGTTTGGTAGCCGCCGGGTCGGGTATCATCTTTTCATCCACCCAGTCTGAAGGCTTCTTGTCTTCCGGATCATCGATCTCTTTGGGCGGCTCGATGGGTGGATCAAAATCTTCCCGCAACGACCCGCTGCGTTTCAGCTCCTTGTCCACGAAAACTTTGTAGATCTCTGAAGTCGGATCGACAACCAGTGTGTACAGGTGCGTGTTTCCTGTAGTGTACGGCATCGTTGGCGGACTACGCAAATGATGCTCGACGCTTTTGCCGGACTTCGGATTCACCGTCTTGATAATAAAGTGGACCTTGTTCGTTTCACCGCACTTGTCCGGACCGAACATGATAGAATACGGAGAGGTGTTATCGAGCTTTTCGAGTGGAATCTCTGTACCGAAGGGCTGCGTCAGGAGCTTGAGGTACGCTCCGCCGCAGGTGTGGCCATCCTCGTGCCGCACCTCGTACTGAACAACAAAGGGTTTGCTACTCAGGTCAACATTCTGCGTTTTTCGCGCGATCCCGTACCTATGGGCTTTTCGGGTTACGAGCAGCGCTTTGTCACCGGCAAGCGGCGCGTTCTTTCCTCCGCCAACCGCCCAAACGCCAGTAAACTCCGATGACGTAGATCGCACCCAGCGTTCGAAAACGGATGCCTCGTCGTCCTGGAACGATTCGGCGATGTGCACGACAAGTTTCTCCTCATCAAAAGTCTGTGGCAACTGACACGCATAACTGCCTCCTCTTGCCGCGGGATCGACAGTGGCGCTTGGCTCGGGTGTCGCGTCTCCCGCGCTGGCCCCTGTGGCTTGATCCGCTGACACCTCTGCGGCCGCGCTGTCACCAGCAGCCACACCTGCCACCAAACCCAGACCTATGTTCAGGTGAGTCGTGATTGCTCCCAACGCGAGACATATAGCCAAAATAAACAGAATAGGACGCCCAAACTTTACCATACTACCTTCCCTCTAGGCACTCAACGACTGTTGTCGATAACGAGCGTGCACCAGCGCACAGCGCAGAAGCATCGATTCGCTTCCGCCGCGCACGCATGAGAGGCACCCGCGCGTGCATCCATCGTCCTGCATGGAGGACGTGTCACGCGCGTGCGGATGCAATCGGGGGCGTAGGCATCGCTGCGGGGATGGGGGGGGGCCTAAAGCGGCATCGCGCCCCCGCACTCGTGACAGATAAACGTGGGACACTGACCTGCTCCGCATGGTCACGTTTTTTGAATTTCCCCTTAAACATTGTTTTAAATTTGTAGCCTCGACATTCGACGTGCTTTGAAATGGCCGAGGGACTCCCACGTACTTCGGAGATTCTTGGTCGTGCTTTTTTTGGAGTGGCGCGACTGACACTTTTCTGCTAGAAATTGTAGAGTCACCGGAGTCAAGATTATTCGCGACGCTCCTGAACACGGGGTCGTAAAACAGCCGATATCCGTATCCGATGCACACGCGCAAGCCTCCGCGCTTCTCAGTTCCTCACATGTAGCATGCTCAAATCATACTTGCTTTAGGTTTCGGCGCTTCATATTCCAGGCAACTCGTGGACGCTGCAGTTCGCCCCACGTGATTGACGAGAAACGGTACTCGGCGTCGTTCGCTGACACGTTCCTCACAAGCCCATGCCGAACGTTCTTCGAACCACTCACGTCAAATTAGACTGGAGCCCGTTCGAAATACAAATCATCAGCTCTCTGCGGGCATCAAAGAAACGGAATTCGACAACTGCATGGTACCTCTTATGAAATATGCGATCGGAGGCTCCCGTCTCCTCTGTTCACGTGGAACATGAGATGCTGTGCGTGAACCGCAGCGACCTTCTGAGCATGGAATTTTCGGACCGGAACGGGAGGCAGTGAAGCCGGGACCTGAACCCTATCACCAACATCCCTCTACTGCTTAATTCGAGCTGGATGGGCATCGGCGACCAGCATATCTACAGTCTGAGAGAAAAGAGAGCAAGCCGAAGCAGATGCAGTGCAAATCCTGCACTGCTTGGTGTTCATCACAGCATGAAGAGACCCGAACGTTAGCATCTACACCCGAATGATGTAGGTGGACTCATTCAACTTTGTCCTGACTTTGGTACGGATCGCGAGTTGTGGCGACACCAGAGGCGATTTTTTCGGTCTCACAGCACGTTTCCACGTAGAGCAGAGATTCCCTCGTGCGCGCGTCGCATCAGGACCCGGAAAAGCGTGCATCATTCCAAGCCCTATTTCCAAGATCCACGATCCAAACCTCCCTTTGGAGGAACGGGTCGTTTCCCACGTTCCACCGTGTGCCGAGCCTACAGGAAGCGTCTATGGTAGTCGTTGAACCGTCGGTGCCGACGCAGCACAGATACAGAACGGCTTTGGTAGACCGTTGCGGGAGTCGGCTTCAGAACGCCGCTCGCTGAAGCACGTTCGGCGCTTGAGCAACCTAGTATGACCACCGAAATAGTAAAGAAGCAGCCGTCGAGAGAGGAAGCTTCACTAGACGGCGAAGGAGTGGACGTCGTCATCAACGGTTCCGATCTTCCGCAAGTGATTTGTGCTGCGTCCCTTGCGGGCCTGGGGTATAAGGTGCTTCTTCTGGAGCCGAGCGAGACGTACGGCGGCTGCACGAGCGGACCACTTTCTGCAGCGCTGCTCTTTGGGGATCTTGACTCGGCCACGGATAACAAACATCTCAAGGGCCCTGTACGCGTCGTAGCGAATGGCGGGAACCGGCTGACGGAGCTGCGAAGCCAAGCGCTTGCAAACGCCTCCGCCTTTGTCCTCGAGTTGCAGCCGCGCTTCTATTTCGCGGCTGATGCCTTCCTGGACCTTCTCGTCGGCAGTGGGGCGGCTTCGTACCTGTTTTTCCAGCCAGTAGACAGCTTGTTCTGGTTGCAGGCTTCAAGTAACACGGTTGCAGACACTGTCGTTATCGACGTGCCGTGCACCAAGGCCGCCATAGCGCGCTCCCATGACCTCGGACTGACGGAGAAGCGCCTGCTCATGCGTTGCCTGCGCTCATGTTTTGTACTGAGTTCCGCGGCGACCGAGTACGATCCGCATAGCCCTGCAATGGATATAACTGATGAGGAGCGACGAGAAATGAACCGGCGTTGGTCCGCGGCGGGAGACTCGGCCACGTTGCTTCAGCAACTCGAAGAAGCGTTCGCGTCGGCGCCCTCAGACCAACAATGGAAACGCGTTGCGGCGCTAGTACATGATATCTACGCTTGGGGCATCGAGGACATGCCGACGGCTCCCGCGACCTGGCGATGCAGTATCGACCGCCTGGAGCGCTTCATTCAATCCGTCATGCGCTTCCACGCTGCAACGCCGTTTCTCTGCTGCAAGTACGGGAGCAATGAGATCATTCAGGCGTTCGCGCGCAGATGCGCTGTCAAGGGTGGCATCCTTGCAATGGACCGAAGCATTATGGCTTCAGCGGCTTGCGATGCGGAGCAGGGTCCAGACGAGAATGGCGCTGGGTTCGTAGTAGAGACGAATCACGGTGAAAGAATTTTCTGCAGGATCGGAGTCATCTCACCACAGCACGATTCAAATATCCATGTAGACGCGAAACTGGTACTTCGCTTCGCCGGGCTCACGAGCGAAGCGCTGCGACTTGGCGAACCAGGGCGTACGAATCGCGCTGCCACTGGCCACGCGTTTTTCATCGCTCGATTCAACGAGGGCGCGCTCGCCGCAGCGTCATCGTATTCGTCTGCCACGCTGTATATCTGGCAAATCAGTTCTGCGGCGGGTATCTGTATGCCTGGCTATTATGTGGTCTATGCGGAATGTGATCTGCAGCGGTTGCCTCGTCAGCAGGTTGCAAATACCGAGTCGACAGCATCCGCTCTGCACACCTTCCGGGGCATGGTGGCGCACGTGCTTCGCTGCATCGCGCCCGCCGCGTGCGAGGCGTGCGATGACGACGTGGCCGTGCTCGAAAGCGTGTTTGCAGCATATGCCTTTTACGAGGCTCCCGCACCACCGTCTGGATTTTCCGTTCAAACACGTGATGGCTCAGCGAACGTGTCGGTTCCGTACTCGTACGCTCGGATGGACAGGATCCCGCACGCCATCCGTCAAATCCTGGAGCATATCGTAGGCGACGACCAAAGAGCAGCATCATCCTTGGATGTGTTCTTTGGTATATCGCCGCCACCAGAGGGCTCCTCGTGAGCTGCCGGTGCCCCAGCGCGAGAACATGGTTTCCCAGTATGTGTCTGTTTTGAATCGCGATGATGAAGCCGCGTGTGCAGATAGACGCCTAGGCTTGTAAACTTTACGAAATAGTTCCTAATTGCTCAGCGAGGCGCATGCGTTGGTCGGTGCGTGTCCAGCGAGGCCGATGGCTACACGCATGACGGCATCTCGACCCCGGATCAGGGCCGGGAGCATTCGTTCAAACTGCGGAACGCTCGAGGCGAGGCAGCGCAGGCGGTGATGCAGCCTAGCGTGCGACGCACAGGAGGTACCGTCCTGTCGTGCTTCCGCGAGTGCATGCGGGTTCCTGGCGGCGACATGCCCCATGGCGCCGCAGGCACGATGCAGTGGCGGTCACCAGCCAATGCATCAGACTTCGAAACGACGTTTCATTAAACATCGCTCGAAGCTGGTGCTTGGCCCGCTGAGCGCGTCTTGAAGCGACCGCTTGATCATTACGATCGCTTAATGCTACCCTACTGACCATAAGCGGGGGTTCGCGACCCCACTCAGTATGAAGCGAACCTGCACCGAGTTGCAGGACGGCAACGAAAGTTGGTCTCGTCGACGTACCGGGTGCTTCAAGGGATGGACCTGCAGCGCGAAGTACCAGGCCGCGTCGCGTGCTGAGCTGCCTCTTACTGTTTCTTGACCATTCGCTGCATGATAAACAGCGATGCGTCAAGGAAGCGCTCGGCACAGTTCGATAAACATTCTGTCTCCGAGCTCGACAGTTTGCTGCCAGGCTTTTGGACGCATTTGTCCCAGCAGAGCTCTGTGAGCTTCGCAATTACTGCTTGCACAGCAGCCTTTTGGTTTTCTTGCTCTAAAAAGTTGCTAAACTCTTGCTGCGCGGGGCTAGACGGCGAATCTGACAGATCCCCAAACCCACTCGAACTACTTGAACCAAAAGACATGACTTGCGGACAGTTCGGGTGATACGGCCGCTTCCAGCGGGTCACAGGAGCGAAGGCTCTCGACGACCGCCGGGTAAATGAATATCCACGCGCCGATCCCTGCCAGCCCTTTTCGACCGGCCGCTTCTATCGGTTTGCGTTTATCTCGAGGCACACTTCGAGCGTTAGAAGCTGCCGGACGAGGTTGGCTCCCGTCAGCTCCGCGGGTCTCGTCGTCAGCTCCGCAGGTCTCGTCGTCAGATATGGCTGGCGGGGCTAAAGTCTCGGTTCACGAACTTTATGCGTTTATCGCCACTGGTTGAACTCATCAATGCAAGGAGTCCTCGAACTCGTGCCCTCAGTGCCATGTGCTGCTCTGACAGCTCTGTGTGCTTTTCTACCGCCGAGGCGCTCCGCTGGCTTCTCTCTATCTCGATCTTCTCAGGTGTAGAGCCCAGATCACTCCTTGGACTTCTCATCTCTTCAAAAAATGAACCCACATGTTTATGCCGTTAGGTAAGGACCTTACCGGATGGAGAAGGACTTGCACGAGGAAGACTGCACGTGCCCCGGTGTGTCATCGTGTGCTGAACGCTTCAGCGATTCGCTCAGAGGAGCGATCATTACGTTTCACGATAGCAAACACTCCCTCGACGCGGTTGAACGTCGAAGCGTACGGAGGAATGAAAAGCAGCTCTACTTCCCGATAGAATCGGCAAAAGCTCGAACGCAAGGGCGATTGGTGAAATGCTACGTTGTGTGATAGGTGGACATCACCAGATGTCAGGCGGAGAGTCTTTAATGATTCGACAAAGTGATTGCTGTCGTATGAGCCTTCTCTACGAGCGAAACTGAGGTCGCCAAATATATCCACTGCAGCCAGAACGGAGAATATCATTCTTCTCTTCGAGTTTGATCTCTCATATAGCGAGTTGTCCTCTCTGCGAGTAGCCATATACGCTTCGATCGTTTCGTCCGGAGAAAGTCCAATTGACTGAAAAAACAAACCGTCGTCCCTGTGCTTCTCACCGATCGCGACATTCCAGGAATTCTGTCGTTGCGATTTCGGTGGAGGATGTTCTCGCTTGAACTAGGACTCTTTTTTGCGACTGTATTCCAGTGTTTTCAGGATCACACGTACATCCTGTTGAGAAACATAGAAGCCCGCGGCGGCTGCCATCGTCGCTTTTTCCTTCCGTAACGTGTTCAACGGATCATATTCTACATTGACCGCAGGCACACTTTGAGCATATCGGTCCTCGGCTCGAAGCGCATTTCCTTCTTTGTTTCGGTGTTCCCGAACCATCTGAGTACAGAGATATGACCGACCCCGAGGATGAATGCAGTCCTCCTTTCGCTGTTCAGTAAAGACTGTATCCTACAGACACTTCGTCTACGATCTATACGGTACAATGCATCCTGGTTTTTCTGATTTCCTGCTGTGCACTGTGCGAAAGCATACGACTGCACGCAGCGGGGTTGAAACGACCTCGAGTTCGTTGAAAGACGACAAGTGCGCACTCGGCGACACCGCGCCAACGGCACTTGTACGGGTCTGTGTGCGTTGCTTCGGATGCTGCTCGTACAGGTTCCATCGCGAGACGAACGCGCCTCTGGTACCCGCGAACCGACATACGCTGATGTTCACGACACCCGGGACATGACACTTGATTCTTACGACGCTTCAGCCGTGACAAGACTGGATACATATGCATCGGATTATGGACGAGGAAGAGATCGCTCACGCTCGAGTCGCCTTTGCATGGGATGGTGCACCTGGAGCGCGCTAGAGTCGTGGTGCGACGCAGCGTATGACACCACGCACTGTCTCCATTGGGCGCTGCGCGAAGACCCATCCATGAGAACGTCCACGCGTGCAAACAACTCTGTTTTCTGATGCGGCCGGGAGTGCTCGTGGTTGCGCGTATCGCACGCAACTGCTGCTGCGCTCCGGTTGCTCGAAGCAACTTGTTTATGTTGAATTTGCTGAGCGTCATACAGGATCGGGCTCGAGTGCCAAGTGAATAGGAATTGCACAGACAGGTGTGCTCCGGATGCCGCGATCGGTGCCGCATGTCGTCGCCAGCGAGCGTCTAGCATAATCTCTCGGCCTATTTCATTGGTTTCCTAAGGATAAAGCAAGTGCCCAGTGACTTGCAAATGCCGTTGTGCGATTTGAATTCCTTGCATATACAGAAACAGGCTCCTAACTCGCCGTTGAATGAGGTCGCGCCCGTCCAGCAGTTCCGATTTTTACGAAGCCACTGCATGCAGCACGTTCATGAGGCGCGCAGCCGCCAGACGTCGAGATCCCATCCATGGAGCGCGATCCTGTGAGCCCGGCAGCGTATATATGCTCGTTACGTAGAGACAGAGTTACCAGTCATCGATCATGCACCCAGATGGAAACGAAAGCAGACCCAGCAACCAAGCGTCTGCGTCGACAGGGGAAGCAGCGTGTACCTCACGTGTCGCTGGCTTCAGTTGAGAGCGAATCCATCCTCCAAGCGTGAGGAATCCGTCACGGCCTTGTGGATTTGGCTCCAGCTGGTGACCTGCGATCTGAAGACCCGCTCAGACGATCTTCGGGACTGCGGCGTACATACACTGTGATGATTCGCGGTTCTGCGCGTGACCAGGAGTTTCCATCAGCATTGTCGGTCGTCGGAAGAGGCATCGGCCACGGCCGCGGCATGGTCCACGACGCTCCGTTCGGAAGCACAACGCGTAGCAATTCGAAACGCGGCCGAGTCGCCCGGCGTACAAGCGTGCGCACACCGCCCATCGTCCGCGGTCAGGATGTACAGAAGCCCACCGAGTTCACGCGCTCTTCTACCAGGAAGCTGTCCGAGTGTAAAGGTTAGTGACTGTCCAAAACCAGTGATTCTTCCAAACGGCTGCGTACTGGCGACCACCGGTGTGCGATTGCCTTGCACTCAGAAGTAGTGACAAGAGATGATCCACTATTTGACTCTGTCAGCGCTTTGGGTAAGAGCCCTAGCTCCGAGAGATTCCCAGTTCGAGCGTACTCATCTTCGTGCAAGTGCAAGTCGTTCCAGATCGCCAACGCGAGAAGCTTCACTTACGCTCTCAAAACACGAACACTAGTTAAAGTTGCCCACACACCGAGGAAACAAAGAGCCTCCTGGGAATCCGAGTTATACGTACGCTTCACAGAACGTCCGTGTAATGCAGGGGAGCTTGCCGGTTAGGGTCGCAGCGGTGCGTCCCCGGTGAAACTACTGGGAAGCGGCGCGCGCATGCAGATCCGAACGTGCGCCAGCGCATGCGCATCGCGTCCGGGATCGGGCGATGTCCAGTTCGTCCCATTGTTTACACTATAGTACATGATCGCGTCCGGGATCGGGCGATGTCCAGTTCGTCCCATTGTTTACACTATAGTGGATGATCGCGTCCGGGATCGTGCGATGTCCAGTTCAACTCATCATAATCCATGACTGTATCATGGCATGCGCAGCTTCGAGGCGCGCATGGATCAGCCGCAAAGCTGTCTCCCCAGTGAGCAGCAAACGCAAAGTCGCTGCACCGATCGAACCCCAATTCCATAACAGGACCGTGACTATTTTGGTCTCTGCAGAGGCAAAGCATGCGCTGAATCGCGAAGTCCATAGCGTTGTAGTCGGCAGCTCGATTGCATCTGAGAGCATCCGCTTCCGGGCATGCCTCCTAGACCAAACCAGACCCGCAACAGACATCGATAGGTGCTGCCACGTTCTCCGTACTGCGTCTAGGGGTAGAGATCGGGGCTGAAGCATTGGTGCCTGGGGCGAGCCTGCTGTTGCGGCTTGCATGGACGCTCATCATTTGGCACAGTTGCTTATCGTGGCTGGGCTAGTCGCCAACACGAATGAACCTGGACAGAGGCGCGGGCGGTCCTCTTTCCACTTCGCATCGCATGCGCAAATCCCGAGACCAAAACGATCCTCCTTCGTACGCATGGGGCGCATACTCCAGCTTATATTGCCTCGGCTGATGAGAAAATGCTTCGCGCTCTGAATTCGTCCACATCCGACAATCAGTTTGAGGTACTACACATTGAAGCCCGCATCGCCTCGGCTGATGAGGCAAATGTTCCACACTTTCAAAGCATCCACGTATAACACTCCATATGAACGCCCACGCGCTCTTTGGACTCAAGCAACCCGCGCCTTCCCGACCGTTGCCAGCGTAGCAGCGATACCAGTGGATCACCTCATCGACAGTGACCACCATTCATGGTTGCCACACCCTTAAAAGCGCGTTTCGCGGAGCCACGATGCTGCGCACCTCGCTTCCTCAGTGCAGCGTCGGCTTCTGATCTGACACACCTGCCAACACCGGCAAGCGTCTGCGTTCATCGAGCGACGTTGTCGCCTCTGTGGCGAACGCGCATCAATCCAGCGAGTATCGCGTGTCGCCACGGACGCTTCCGGCACGCTGGACGAACGATAGAGCGTAAGGTATGTCCAGTTTCTCCGAACACAAGTATGGATATTCGAGCTTGGAACTAGGATACAGAACGACGAACGCTTTCCCAGATGCGGATATCGATCGCTCCGTCCGAGTTCCCGAGCCTGTCAAACAGAAACAACCCAGCGTCGCTGTGCGCCAATTCGAGCCGCGCACGCTGCGGGCGAAATCGCGGCAGTCGCCCGGGAGTCCGGCGCCGCAGCCGTGCACCCGTCCGTACCCATCCACTCGTACTGGGAAGGTGCGCTCGACTGGAACACGCCTCGCCTCGCCTCGCCGTACGGCAACATCGGAGAGTTCTTCAGTCGGCAGTCTCCCGGAATACTGGAAAGTTTTCTGCTGTCAACTGGTGCGTAGGTAAGGTTTTCGAACCGGGCCTCAGGGAAGGTTTGATGAACAAACGGCCATGCTGCTGGTACTGTGGCACCCCAACGGCGGCAGGGGCGTCAGCCTCGGGCGCGTGCCAAGCAGCGGCGCCTGACGTCAGCAGTGCTGCTGCTGCTGCTGCTGCTGCTGACAGCGAGCACTTGTCGTTCAGCGCTCTTCTGATGAACTGGAGTCGGGCTGTTGTTTGCAGAGGCTGTCAACGAGTTCTCGCCGAGCGAGTTGTTGACCTCTGCGAAGCGCCGTGCACAAGTTGGTGCGGGCTGCACGCCTGGAACCTCACTAGTGAGCCGGGTGCACCAGAAGTGGGAACTGGCCGAGAAAGACTCAAAGCGTCTGAGGGCGAGGGGGGAGTTTCTGGCACGGCAGAGTCTGTTGATGCCGCTGCAACGGTGCTGGAAAAGTCGCCGGCGTTGGGGTCCGAGCTGCTCGAGCTCGGCGACGTCGCCGGAGCCGACCCCGCCGCCGACCGCCTCTTTGAGCACTTTGTGGTAACGCCAGATATGCACTCTGAGCCGTATAGCTTCCTCGGGTTCACCGGAGCGCCGGAGGATCCGTTTGCATCGCAGGGACTGATCACTTCCGCGTGTTTTCTGCTGCCCCGAGTGGACGCATTTCCGCTCGTTACGGTACACAAAGTAAGCGGTGCGCTTGCCGAAATGGAGCGCTTGCTCAGCTTTCTGGGGACTTCATCGACGCATTCATCCGTCGTCAAAAACGAACACGATCGGGGAACAATGTCTGCCTCGAGTGCGGTGCTGGTGACGCCAAGTCGGTCGCAGACGCCGCTCGAGGATAGCGACCCGTCGGAAGACGAGAACGACCTGGAGGCGCAGGAACCTGTGCAGCCCGCTGAGGTGTCATCCTCTGTCTCGACGAGGGGTCAGGCTGGTGCGGAGGGGCGACCATCGCCGGCGATCTCCGTCCTGCTCGATGAACAGAGCAGCAGCGCCTTTGGGGATGAAGACGCAGCCGCCGGAGCACTGCTGCGCGCCTACGTTCGCGTCTACTTTGTGATTCTGGACGTGGTCTACGCGCTCCAAATGGAATCCGAGGCGCTCGAGAAAGAGCTGATCGAGACTGCGCTCGCGATGTACAGGGTTTGCGTCGAGCGCATCTCGCTACGAAACCGCATTCCCGAGGCGTTTGCTGTGGCGTGCATCCTCTTGGCATGGGAACGGGTGGTTGTCCGCCATACGCACCGGGTACCCGCGGGGCAAACAAGCCCCACAGACGGCTGCACGCCCTCGGGTATCGAATCGGAATCTCTGCTCCAGTACCGAGGATGGAATCCAGTCTTCGTGCGACGTGTTGTTGAGGCGTCAACTCCAGTATGGCCGCAAGCGAGTATTGCACTGGTTTACGATTACATGCGACGGGTTCTGAATACGCTGTTGGAGCGCCGACCAGATACCGTGGAGGCGATCAGTCACGAAATGCCGAAATACTGCGCGCTTCTTGGAGTCAGTGCAGCGGTTGCCGATCTCGCGCACAGCATTGCGGAGCAGGCAGTCATCCACGGTGTGTGCGCTCGGCGTACAAGCGTCAGCGTTTGCGCTGCAGCCATTTATTTGGCGAATCATTTGGAAGACGCTCGACGCATGCCCAGTGGTGCCTCGAACCGAACGCAGAGCATGGACGGGAGCGCACATGCTGCCGTCGTCCACGATCCCGTCCGGTTAAAGCAGCGTGATATCGCCGAGAAGCTACAGCTGTCGGAAGTCACCCTGAGAAAGGCCCATAAGGAGATTCTGACACATCTGGATGTTGTGCTGCCAGCTGGCTACCGGCCATCGGGGGTGCTCCGGCGATGTCTGCCGCCCAGCTATCAGCGCGTTGCCGCAAGCGCACTTCAGCGACTGGCAACGCAAGAAGCACTCGACACAAGTGGTCAGAAACTCGCGAATACGGGCGACGGTATCGCTCGCGGCCCAGGAGCGCCCACAGATCCAGCAGCCACCACCGCCAACACCGGCGAGCACAGGACACACGTCCTGCCCATGGACGCCAACGTCGCTGCTTCGCGTTCGTCGCCAGCGTCTCTGGAAGCAACGTTGGACACGTGTCGCGAGACGTCCATCCAAGCCTCCCAGCAACCGGTGCACATGGTGCAAGCATCGAACGAGCACCAGTGCAGCGCTTTGGCAGTCACAGGGGCGCCCCCAGGTACACCGTCCACTACCGAGGATTCGGCCGCCAGCGTACAAGCGCTGCCACGAGCACTCGGGCCGGCGGCGTTGTTACGCCAGTGCCGTATCACAACGTTGCCCCATACGCCTGGTGCCGCAAGCTTGCGAGCGCTTCTGTACCAGGTCGGCTTATCAACGCCGCTCGTGGATGCTATTGTTGACGCCGCCCTGGCGCGAACGTTGCCTGTTCCGATTGGGTTGCTGTTGAACCTCATCGACAGCGGCTGGGTACCCGTCTGGGCACAGGCGTCTGCTGCGACCTGCAACCGGACACTCGAGGACGCCACACAAACCGCCAGCGAGCGTCATGCCCGAGAAAGCTGTCTAGCACCGCCAGCACCGCCACCGCCACCGCCACCGCCACTACCGCGCTTGCCGAGTGCTCGCGCCAGACTCACCCCCATCCGTGACCAGTCTGGCGCGCTAAACACGAATCCATGAGCGAGCGTCCCAGGCGCAAACTTTTGGACTCGTGCGTATGTATGTATGTATGTATGTGTGTGTGTGTGGCGCCCTAAACATTCAGCGAGTCGAGTGGCGGCAGCGTAACCCCTCGCTGCTGGATCTCCTGACGCAGCTGACGCATGTAATCGATACGAGATCCGCGTAAACAGGTCTCGTAGACGATTTCGTAGACAAGCGGCGACGGCTGGTACCCATAGCGGACACCGTATTCATGTAAAAGATTCATAGCAGTCTCGGCAGCGGCTGCCTTGCGAAGGCACTGGAACAGGGCGAAGAATGCTTGTTCGCTCGGCATAGACGCCTTGAACGGTACACCGTCGCTGGACACGCGCTCCGGCGACTCGCAACCGAGTTCACGTTCGAGCGCTCGCATCCAGTTCAGTGCCGCCTGGACGTCACCACGACTAGCCGCTAGCTCCAGCATCGCCACATATGCAGTTTCGGTCGGTTTGAGGCCAGATCCCATGCTCCGAATCCGCTCTATCGTTTTCACTGCTTGCTCCTCGTTTCCCACTTGAGCCCAGTAGCGCACCAGAAGCGACAAGGTTTCCGCGTTCAGCGACGTGCTCTCCTGGCGCTGGGCAAGGTCCTCGAGCACAGCCCGCGCCGTCGCCGCATGACCCCGATCCAAGCACAGCTTAATCAGCGCGTTCGCAACTGGAACTGAAAGCGGCATATTCCGTTCAGCCATATGGATATGGATCGAAAGCGCCCGCCGAATGTCACCGCCCGAGATACAGGCCAACATCAACTGTTGCAGCAGCGCGCTCGAGGGGCGTATGCGGCGTCGTCGAACCTCCTTGAGAACCGACATGGCACGCTCGGCTCGTTGCTCTGCGGGCGGAGCAGTGCTGACGGCACGTGCGATCGCCGTAAACACTTCCAAATCGAAGCGACACGCTGTTGCATGCAGTAAATGCTGGTAAAGGTGAAAGATAATGTCCAGGTTGAGCGCTGGCAGCGTAATGCGCTCAAAAGTGTGTCCCGCTCTGGCGGTGGAACGCAACGCCGGTTTGCGCGTTGCCCCCGCTCCGCCGGCAAGCTGCGCTTCCTGACGTCGAGCAGCTTCTGCAGCGGCATTGAAAATGTGCGCAACATCCGATGGTCGAATCCGGTAACCGAGCGCTCTCGAGTGGGCCATGACCTCGAGCGACTCGGTGACGAGGCCCTCGTCCGCGCAACGTTTCAGCAGTGTTCGCAAGAGAACGCGCGACGGCGGATGAATTCCCTTGAACGGGGCCGGTCTCTCACCCGGTCGATATTCGACAAGGAGATCGGTCGCCTCAACAATTTGTCCCAGGCGGATGGCGGCCGACATTGCACTCTCCAGAACGAGCACTGGCAGCTGGAGCAGCGGATCCACCACCGCTGTCGACGACGTCGCTGCTACGGGAGCAGCATCGCCGCTCCTAGCGGGAGCAGGAACAGACACCGCGGCTGTCTTTGTATCCACAGATTCCGGTAGCTGCCGTGCAGGTGGCACGACTTGGCCTCTATCTAGCGCCTCTTTGGATGACGCGAACTGGTCAGTGGCGGTTGTAGCCGCTGGTGCTCGCGACGTCTCCGCGACGCGCAGACGCTGCATCACCCGTGCATAGCGCTTGAGCACTTTCGCTACTGTCCATCGAAACCAGTGCATGATGCGTTCGTCTGCAATTGGTCTCATGTGATCGGGAAACAAGGCGACACCGAGTTCTGCAATGTATCGGAAGGCTAGGTAGCGAGCCTCACGCGTGACCTGTTCCAGTTCGGAAGCGACATTGTTTCGGGCGGCTTGCTCGAGCGCCGTCGTCATCATCCGAACGATTGCATCACTGAAGCGAAGGTATAGAGGAGCGTGCCTTTCCACACAGAGTCGAATGAACTCGGCTAGACAGCCGACGCTGGGTGCTGTTCCCGTGAGTGTTGGCAAGGCTTGCAGCAAACGAGCAGCCCCGACGAGCCCGGCCCGAGAGCGATCACAGCGCTCGATGATTTTTTGCACCTGAGTGACCTGGGGGAACTGCGGTACGTCTGTTGCGAGTGCACGCTCCTGATATGCAGCCAGGAGTGCACGAGCACCCTGGTTGGTACCACGCCGGCGGCGCCCGTGCAAGAGCAGCTCCAGTTGCGCCCAAATGGCACTCGCTGGAGACGCTGGCTGGTTTGTTTCCAAGCGGTCAGCTGGTCCCGCTTCTGCCGCGCCTGTTCGCCGTGCTGCTTTTCTTGCTGCTTTACGCGAGGGTCGCTGCGCACGTTGCCACCAGTGGTACCATCTGGAGCCAAGTATCGTTGCCAGTGCAGCACTGTCGTCGGGCTCGGCGAGTTCACGCGCCATGGCGGCCACGGCTCTGCCGTGTTGACGGTACTTTACGCTTCGCTCGTCGCGGTGCAGGTACCGAAGCAGGTCCTGCAACTGGCGAACATCGAGTTTCGCGGGTAAGATGCCTTCATCAGCGCCACTGGAAAGCTGCTTCGCTCGCTTGGCACTCCTCGATGCACTTCGAGTCAATAAACCCGACGCCGAGGCCACGGGAAGTACTCGGGGCCAGTGCGTCACCACCAGGGACGGCAGGCCTCGACAACAACAGCGTCGCAGGACGCACATGTTCAGGCTTGAGCCGGAACCGGCTCAGTGCATGCCGCTCTCGTCGCACAGCGCATAGAGAGGTCACCGGAGACCTCGCAGGGTGGCACGCGCCACACCCGTTGACGACCCGTTTCGCACGCCCGCTCGCTGTGAAAAGTTGACGGCACGCGCTGCTGCGGTGCGTTGCGCTCCCGCAGTCCACAGCGCAGTCCAGCGGTCCACTTGGTTGCGAGACTGCTCTGTTCTGGGCACGAGACCCATATCGAAGAGAGATAGAACGGGTACTAGTTTATTAACTCGAGTGTACACACTAATATTTGAATATCTTCCAACGATTATCAACTTTGGTATTTGTAGGCGCTTTCTGTGGCACCCTCCTTTGCTTCCCTCGCATCTCCGAATGGACATAGGGCAATCTTTCCTGCATCGCTGGCTCTGTTGTCAGCAGTCGATGGATGTTGATGGCAGCGTGCAAGTCGGGTATTCTCCGATTCTGGCTCATGCGGAAGCATTGAATGCACCGGTGGTAGCCATGAAATCGGGACGCGAATGCGATCATCAGTACGCATCGACTGTTGGCAACGTAACGGACTTGGCTCGCGTGACCCGCGCCTGCGGGAAGCCGGACATTAGAGCGGAGAAAGGAGTATCCGACGCAGAACAAGGCCGCAAACGCTGATGCTGAATGACAGAGGAAAGAAATACAAACATTAGATTGTACACTCGAGTTCGTGAAGTGGTGCCCAGCCCATTCCACGCCCGCGTTGGTGTAAAAAGTCGAAAAATCTATGCGATGGACGCAGTAGCAGCTGCGTTCGTAGACACCTCGACTGGGTGCCTGAACGGTCGTGCAGAAGCGTCCATTTGGAGATCATCTGGATCCCTGTACAAACAAGTCATTTAAGTACACTATTGTAATCACTGAGTCATCTTGGACTCGAGCGTACCACACCCGCGAGCGACGCCCTGATGCGCCCGCGCAGTCGGAGCGCAGGCAGCGATTGGTGCAGGGATTCGCAAGCAATGGACGCAAATCACTTTGCTGCTCATCGCTTCCGGAAGTATCGTTGGTGGACGCAACTGCACGATAGTGTCCGGCTGCCAGCGTACATCTATCGAGGAAGCATTGCGCCTTTTTCATTTGATTAACTATTCATATGGGCGTTAACTGGCGTTTACCAGAGACCAGAGCTTTTGTCGTAAGCTCTGCACCGGTTTCACGCGCTGCAAGCAGGTCACCGTGTACCATGGGCAACCGCTTCTCGAGTTGGGTCTGGTCTGTCGCTCCGCTGCGTTTCTTGCGCTATCCATTGACGTCGCGGCGTTCTCTGGAAACCCGTATGAGCCAGCAGGATAGCGGACGGTCCTTTTCGGTTCATCGCACAGGCGAGCGCGCGAGCTCGAGCGTCGCCACTGCGGAGCGGATTCAGCGGCGTCCGATCGAGGTTGAGCCTCAAGGCGACGATATCGAACCGCCGGAGGGATTTATCGCACCGGAACCGCGGTTGTTTCGCGTGCGAAATGATCACTTTATGGACTTTTTCACCGGGGCGTTAGCAAGTCTCGTCCGTGGCGGTAGCGGCGCCTTTGTAACTGGTTACCGTCTACGCATCCGCGACAACGCACAGGCCCCAGCGCGTTCATCATATGAAACAGGGGATCGGTACGGTACGACGACGAGCACGACGTCAAGCGAGCGTGACGTTGGTGCACAGATGCTGGAGCGTCTCTATGCACGAATCGAGGAGTCGTCGGCGTTTCTGCCGGCGTCGCGCCCGGCGGCAGGCACGCTCAAGCTGTACGAGTTCGAGGCGTGTCCGTTCTGTCGCAAAGTTCGCGAGGCCATGTCAGCGCTCGATCTGGATGTACTCATGTTTCCGTGTCCGAAAGGCGGTGAGCGATACCGTCCGTTTGTGCAGCAACGCGGTGGCAAGGCCCAGTTTCCATTCCTCATCGATGAGAATACCGGGTTTGAAGGATACGAATCGGATGCGATCATCCAGTATCTGTTCAAGACGTACGGTGATGGGCGTGTGCCGCTGCCGTTGGCGCTGGGGCCGGTCACGAACGTCAGCGCCGGCATGGCTACCATGATGCGCGCGGGGCGGGGCATGCGCAAGGCGGGTCCATGTGCGGTGCCGCGATATGCGCTGGAGCTCTGGGCCTACGAAGCATCGCCGTTTTCGAAACTTGTTCGGGAGCGTCTCGTTGAGTACGAGTTGCCTTACGTGCTGCATAACGCAGCGCGGGGCTCTGTGAACCGAGAAGTGCTGCGCAACCTCACCGGGCGCGTTCAAGTACCGTACTTGATTGACCCGAACACGGGCATTTCCATGTTCGAATCTGCTGAGATCCTCGATTACCTCGATATGACGTATGGTCCGAATAGCAAGAATGTTGGCAAGCGCAGGAATCGCTCTAGCAGCACTGGGCTGAGTTCCAGTGCACCGCACCAGCAGACGAAGGCCACTGGAACCGCATCGGCAGCGATGGGCGTAGATGCCTCGGCTGCCGCCACTGCAACTGGTGCAGCGGCAACCGCGGTTGCATCCACTGGTAGCAGCAGTACCGCATCTGAATCCAAGCCAACGAATCTGAATCCGGATATTACGCCCAAGGACGAGAAGCTGGAAGCGTACTGCGCAGATCCTCAGAATGTAGACTCGGATGAATGCCGCGTCTATGATGATTAGCGACTGCCGTGCGATCTCGCACCGTTGTGACTTGGGGTCTTTCGGTGAAGCCAAACTACCCTAAAGGTCGGTGTATATCAACGATTCCCGAGTCTGGATGAGCACTGCCCCAGCGGACGCCTGCTTGAACTCCGGATCGCGGGGTCCGTTCGGGTCCTGCTCGCTCGGGCTTGTCGCAAGGAAGTTGCAGGTAACCCGGAATGATCGCATCCTCGTGATGCGTACGGGATTAGCTGGCGTGCCCAGTGTCGTAGAGAAACCAGGTGCTCTCACAGGGATGCCAAGATACGCCAAGATACCGCAGCGTTCACGATCGCTGCATCAGGACACCATCAGGTTTCTCTCCTGAGCCGAGCATTCACGGCAAGTTGATGCGCTGGGCTACGGCTTGCAAGGCGATTCAGCACGTACGTTGAGCGCATTGCGTATGCTGATGTCAAAGCGACGCCCTGGCTGCAGGGTCAGAGTTCGATGCACGTGCGCGTGCTGCTGCGCTTGCAGCGCAGGGAGACTTCCATCAAGTTACCTGCGGCCTCGCTTACTATTCATAGCACCATACTTGATGCGCAGATACACGATATGCACACGGCGCTCAGATATGTTCAACGTTCTACGCCGATGGCGCCGCGTTGTGCTGTGCAATTCTTCACGAAAGTGGTAAGCAGCACGGTGTTGAGCAGCATACAAGAGTGCCATCGACGCTGCCATTGGCAGCGTCGATGGATCCATGCAGTGCAGTGATGCGGTTCACGGTGCTGCTGCTGCTGCTGCTGCTGCTGCTGCTGCTGCCTGCATCAGGGTGTGAAAATGCCGCTTCAGGGAAGCTACCGCTGTGCTCCTCGATCTTGAAGCATATGTGGACACTAAAACGATAAACGCTCGGCAAACCGTAGCGTGCATAGAGACACCCAGTCACAAACGCTTCCCAGCAAAAATTGCCAGCTGCCTGTTGTCGACTTCAGGTTATCCAGGAGCAGAACGAGCCTCAGAGGCTGCACCACAAGTTTGGATTGCGACAGCGCCTCGAGTCCCGTCTTCGGCACCGCACATTTTTCGGATATGAATGGCGGCGTCCGGGTTGCGGTTCGCGACCTCCATGCGTTTTTTGCCTCTGGTTCAACGCCTTAACGCAAGGATTGCTAGAACTCGTGCCCTATGTGCTACTACAGTCTCGTCATCGTCCCATCGGACAAACATCGGTCCTCTCCTATCTCTCGTCTCCATCTTCTTCTTCTTCGTTACTTGCTCCTCTCTGCTATATGGTCAGCGACACGAGGATTTTTTCTTTTTGTTTCTGTTGAATCCAGCGACATCGAATCCTCTGGGATCCGCGACTTCTACGTCCATACATTTCCCCTGGATTTCCATTTCTTCAAATCAAGGCACTTGCATTGCGTCAGCTATAGTACGCGAAATAGCATCTGACGACACGCACCTCAGCGTGGCGCCTCGTGGAAATGAACGCTTGTAGAAAGAATCGGCGTGCGAACGTATCGACTCGGTGGCGTAGACGCCGTCGCTGGCGCTCCGGTTAGCCGGCGTCGCGCAGCAGCGCCTGCGCCACATGAGCTTTCCGCTCCCGGGAATCGACATAAACGTTGTCTGGGGTACGCTAAGATTACCGTTGCTCTGCTCCTGATTTCTGTATTTCTGTATCTGGGAATTTGCGTATTCGCGTATCGGGGAATCGACATAAACGTTGTCTGGGACACGCGTAGATTACCGCTGCTCTGCTCCTGATTTCTGTATTTCTGTATCTGCGAATTTGCGTATTTGCGTATCGGGGAATCGACACAAACGTTGTCTGGGACACGCGTAGATTACCGTTGCTCTGCTCCTGATTTCTGTATTTCTGTATCTGCGAATTTGCGTATTTGCGTATCGGGGAATCGACACAAACATTGTCTGGGGTACGCTAAGATTACCGTTGCTCTGCTCCTGATTTCTGTATTTCTGTATCTGCGAATTTGCGTATTTGCGTATCGGGGAATCGACATAAACGTTGTCTGGGGTACGCCTAGATTACCGTTGCTCCGCTCCTGATTTCTGTATTTCTGTATCTGCGAATTTGCGTATTTGCGTATCGCCAGGGTCGAGCGAGTATGCTACCCAAGCATCCGAGGGTGCACGACAGCGCAGGCACCGATGCTACCTGCCACGTCACCGCGCTGACCTGATGCAGACCGGTACGCCTCCTCAAGCAGGCAGCCTTGCGCACACAAATCACCGTCGCAGGCTGGCGGTATTGATCGAGCTCTGTTTCCCAACGGACTGCACAACGGGTGTACTCCGAATATGACGCCCGTGTCGCTAGCGCATATGGAGCTCGGAGAACGACATGGATTCGCTAGCGTCTGCAGACGGCCTCTCAGCAGGGTCCAGCATATATGCACGTTGACAATCAGGGATTCGCGCCAGGGCAGGTGCGTGCACCGTCGGCACGCCTGCTGCTTCATCTACCTATTTGGCTGCGTTTTCAGCGCAGATGCTAGCACAATTTAAGCCACACGCGTTGCCTGATGCGCACACAATGTAGCAGCGGGTGCAATGCATTCATTAGCACCCTGAATGTTATCCAGGAACCTGGCGAGTACGCCCACTTGCCCAGTCCTGTTCATCGGCACGCCAGCGACTGGAATCTTTCGTAGCGCCGCAGCGCTCGACGCGAGTCGATACGGAAGGCGCGCATCGCCTGTGCATACGCTGCATGGACCTGTGAGCGTTGCGTCTGTTTTTGCTTCGTGAGGCTTTGTGTACACCGCCTGCGTACGCTCTAGACACCGCCTGAGTGTGCCTTGCGTGCCCCGCGACGTGCGTCCACAGCCGACTCGGACACAGCGTCTACATATGGCACCGGACGCGTTCCCTGGGCGACGTTTCTCGGCGGAGCACTCGATTCGAGTCGCTGCCGCTTTCATAGGCATTAGCTTTGTGCTAGCGTACGCGTTGCGAGAGTGGATCCGCTCGTCGCCGAAACTGGTTCTCGCGACTGGCGTTTTGGCGTCCCTGTGGTCAGTCTACACGCTCAGTCTGTGCAGCGCCTGCCGCGTAGCGCTGTTCAGCACTGCAAACGAACGCCGTCGCACGAAGCCGCTGGGGTGGATCGCCACCGTACTAAGTGGGGCGTTCGGAGGTCTGCTTGGTTCCCGAATCCACGCGGTCTGCTTCACCACTTCGGTGTTGCTGTACGCGGTCTGGGTCTGGGAGCTACAGATACCAGAGCAGTGACGCTTGAATACAGCAGCGCGCAGCGCGTGCGCCCTCATGCCAACCTTCAAAAGAAGCACCGGCCGATGCTGGAGCGGCTTTGCAACTTGCGCTTGCACAGCCCGAGTCTGGACTGACTTGCCGATCGGGATAGTGCCTATAGCTGCAGGCATGGGAACACTGTCCCCGCGGTTCACGATGGTGCGTTCGAAGCTTGCGTCGCCAGGCTGCAACTGCAGCGTCCCGGGCCACTCAGCGGATTGCGCTTCCGCTACGTATCCGGAGCGGGACCAGGCTGAGGACGCGGAAACACCGGGCGCCGCCAGCGTCTCCCAGTCTAGACACCAAGTTGTTCCATTCAGGGAAAGCTGGCCGTGTTCGCAGTGAGCGCGATGAGCGTTTGCGACGCTTTCGCCATGGAGCGCTGCGGGCGAGTCAGCACTAGGACGCAGAGACGAATCCCAGTGCAACCAGGAGCTGGGATGCGTTTCGTCGATGCGGCATGGACTTCTGCATCGACAGGGACGGCGAATGGGGACCGTTTCGTTTGATTTATAGCCTTCTGCGCTTATGATGCACGACTCGTATGATGCCACGCGGCACACTCGATGCTTCCTGGTAACTGGGGACGCGATCAATTCGACCTAAAGCGCATCGGGTGACCGACATTCCGCCGCCAGCCAGTGCACGGTACTAAAACGTTGCAGAGTCCTCTAGGTCGTCGTCCGGCAACGCCACGAGATCTCTGTACCCGCTCAACAAATCCGCGAAGCGTTGCCGCTGCCGAATGATGCGCCAACGATTACCCTGAACCATGAGCTCGCCCGGTAGCACCTTCATATTGTAGTTGCTCGCCATGGACATGCAGTATGCTCCGCTGTCCATTACAGCGAGACCCGTGCCGGGTGCGGGTAGCGGAAGCACCCGCGCTTTTCCCAAGAAATCACTCGATTCGCAGACTGGCCCCACGATGTCGTATGTCGCCATTTGCTCGCCGGCTACTCCGGGCTCAGTCAGGGTGATCAACTGGTACGCTCCGTACAGCGCTGGTCGAATCAGCTCCGCCATCGATCCGTCGACGACGATGAAGCGCTTATCGCCATTCCGTTTGACTCCAATGACCCTACACACCAGGATGCCGGCATTCCCAATGAGGGAACGCCCCGGCTCAATGATGAGGGTTAGGTCGCGTCCCGCTAAACACGGCCGAATCGCATCGATGAGCTCCTGCGGGGTCGGGATGCGTTCGCCTTTCCGCTCATAATCGATCCCGAGACCACCACCGATATTCAGGAAGCGAATACTGTGGAAACCACGTGCACTGATTTCGTCGATCACTTGAAGCATGGTCACAACATTGTCGTGAAAAAGTTCCACTTTTTTGATGGTGGACCCCAGATGCGAATGGACACCGACCAGCTCGACCTGTGCTTCATTTTGTCTGATTCGATCCAGAAACCAGCGCAGTTGATCGGTGCGAATACCAAACTTGCTCGTTGCAAGCCCAGTGCTCACATACGGATGCACCTGGGGATCGATGTCAGGGTTGATGCGGAGCAGGACGCGTGCCTTGCGTCCTTCGCGCTTCGCCGCCGCTAAAATATTCTCGAGATCGAACTCCGAGTCGACGTTGATGAGACACTCTGCTCGAACGGCAAGGGCGATTTCCTGAGGCGTTTTCCCGTTTCCGTTGAAGACCGTGCGTCGCATATCGAAGCCGGCGAGTCGCGCTAGGCGCAGTTCGTTGCCACTCACCAGAACTGCCCCACATCCGCGTTCACGCACAAGCTGCATAATCATCAAGTTGTTGTTGGCCTTGACAGCGTAGCCGATGATGGCATCCATACCTGCCAGCGCTTCCTGGTACGCTCGCACGTTCGCCTCAATGCGGCTCTGCGAGTAGAGGTAGAATGGCGATGCCTCAGGTCCCAGGGCGTCTTGAATGTCCTTCACGCGCACCTCCTCGCAGTACAGGAACCCGTCGCTTCCCACTTCGAACTGGGGTGCTGGATTCTGCACCGCAGGCGCTGCAACGACCTGCATTCGAAGCAGCTGCGAGGCCTGCAGGCCGCTAGACGAGGCTTGACTCTCGACGCCGTGAAAAGGTCGACGGCACCAAGCCCCGATCGTCCTCCGTCGCCGTCGTGAGCACGCACCCGACCCCAGACGCAACCAAGACGCCGACGCCTTGGCGTATACTCCTACTGCAAACATAGCCGCCCGAAGCAAGTCCAGTGCGGCTATAAAACGAACGTTGTGACGAGTTGGAAGCGTAGGCACACGCGTCCTGCCGTGTCTACCAAAAGCGAAATTTGCGCTGCGGGTGCGCGGCGCCGGTTTTTTTTTCATTGGACAAAAGGTTGCCACAGGCCAGCGATCCCCGACTAGGCCTTTTTATCAGCACGCGGTGAAGCAGCCATCGATCCACGCCCTACTTCCAAGTTCCAAAACCCATAGATCTTCTCGGGTATGCTGGTGGTTTCATAATGTCTATCGTACGCCGAGCCTGCCGTGAGCGTTTAAAATAGCGCGTAAAGCACCTCTGCAGTCGTGGCACGGAGACAGAACTGGGTTGCCATACCAGAGAGGGCGTCGGCTCGAGACCAAGCTCATCCATGCCAAAGCACACTAAGCCTATCCGAAACTGCGCCCTTGACCACCACCACCACCAGCAGCAGCAGCAGCAGCAGCCGCGAACGCTTTCCAAGCATCAAACGCTGCATAACCGGTGCACAGTAGCGGCGACCGACGCGACCTAGACGAAATATCTCCCGCCGACATGCAGACGCCTAAAGGTCTTTAACGACCTGCCCCATACGAATGGCTTCAGCTTCCCCTTGTACAATTCGGCCCTGAGAGGTTGTCCAACAAAGTTGACTCGTGTCAACTCCGGGGCTCTCTTTGCCATTACTGCACATCTCCTGATATTGCTGGCGGCGTTAAAGTCCCGGTTCACAAACTCCATAAGTTTCTTGTCATTGATTGTACTTACTGATTCAAGTAGCCTTCGCATTTTCGCCCTCCTTTCCATTTGGTCGTCTGTCAGCCGTCCGTACTTTGCTATATCCTCAGGGCTCCGCTGGCACTTTTCCATATCGACCCTCTGGGGTGTACAACCCAGTTCATGGTGCGTATACGATGTTCGGAACTCATCTACAGGTATTGTAACAAAACGCCGTGCGCACTCTATGTACGTTCTCGTAGTTCGAGCTGGTGTACACCCGTTTTGGGTCTTCCAGCGCCCTGCTCCGTATGCTACTACGAGCCTCTGACTTTCATCCTCTTTGAGGGCACTCAACGGACTGAAAAAGTTCGCGAACGCCCGCTGCCTCCCACAGCATAGATTCATACGCAAACGAGCACACCGGGGCTTTGTATACTCTTTCCACAGCGCCTCCCAGTGAGCAGCACGAACTTCACTGAACTCCCGAAAAGCATCAAAGTCCGCTCCGCGGCTCGTCACCTCGCTCAAGGCTTCCAGGTGATCCTTCATTCCTGAATTCCATGTCTCAGTTTTCTTTCTTGCATTCCTTGTACCGGATTCTCGATAGTACCTTGCTCTCGAGAACCTCAACAGACGCATGTCTTTCTGACGCAAGTTGCCGGCAGTACCATCTTCCGCACGTTTGGGTACTGCGATGGTTATGATATTTGTGTTTCCGGGGTTCACACCTACCGCAAAGTCGTCACCGTGCACTTTCTGCATCGCAGGATCCGCCACCTTCTCATCTTCATGCTTTGTCACGGGCGCAGCCGAGGGCGGAACTGGACGATCCGCCTTCAAGCGCCGATAGCGTACACACATGGCTACTCCATCGGTTTCGATCATCCCAGTGAGTACTTTTGTTTGCTCACTTTGAGACGTTTGAAATCGAAGATATGCTTCCAGTACGTCTCCCGGTTTTCACCGGAGAACTCCTACCTGTTAACATTGAACTCGGGACTGGTCTCCTTTATGATGCCTTGGAGGACTCTGGAGCTGATAGTCACAAAATGTGACTTGATGGTGCACAACGGAACGCCATTGAAGCGCTTACCCATTAGGAGAGCCTTCCGTCCCTCCCACTCTTCATGTTTTCCTCTCTCAGCTTCATCTCCGCCTTGCGTTCGAGTTCTCGATTCAGGAATACGAAATAGAGCAGGATGATGTGATAACATCTTTTATCATCTTTTTTTTTCATATCTGATGCCTTTTCTGCTGGATTCGCCATTCCCAAGACTGGACAGTGCTCTTGTACAACCGCACGGATTACAGAAGCTTCATTCGTGCTCTCGTTTGGCGCCTTCTTGTCGACAAAATCGATCTCATCTTCATGCTTGCGATCGTTCGTGATGCCGTTGATAATCGCCCATATTCCTTTGCGAGAGATGCACGGGTAACGTGCAAACACGGCGCGTATCATGAAACGTTCGAGGTTCATAGTCGAATGGTTCTTCAGGTTCGTGATGTACTTCATCGTTCCGTATATGTAAATATGACGGTCACCCCTGTATCGAGTACCGTTGAAGCTGTAGAAGGGATGTTTTTCGTGGAGGGCGTGAACCCACTCATTTTCCTTTCGCGTTGCCTCTGTAGCAAGCATGAGGTGACGAATAAAGATCATGTCGAAGAACTCGTCCGGAATCTCGACCGTTTCCATGTGCTTCACGTCGTGATACATCTCACTCCCCGAATGCATCAGTCCTGACGACGCCTTGACGATGGTCTTGGAGTACGAGTCGACACGGTTCCTAATGGCCTCTCGCAACTTTTCCTTGTACGGATCCTGGATATGTTCAAGAAGAAAGCTTTTCGCCACCATCTCGTCGTACAGCCGTCTTTCTTGTCGCCTTCGACATAGGGCCTCTCCCGTTTTGATTCTTTCTCTCTTCCGTTTCTTCTGGACTTGGAATTTTTTTTGTTTTTTCTGGTAGCCGGCGACACTGGGCCTCCAGGATTGTCGACTTGCTCCTACATAACTTTCCTTTTTTAGTTTTTTTAAAAAGAATACTCTTTAAACGCTTCTCTTATATACTGCGAAAAAACACTCGAGTATTTTTACTTGAGGGTTGAAACAGAAATGAACTGAAAACTATACTTTGCTACGACCTCAACGGAAATCCGACTTTTACAGCTGAGCAACACGCTCCTGCTCAGGATCACGTTTCCCTTCAACAGCGGCTTACGTGTCGCGTCTCACGCCTGCCTGATCCCCCAGTTGCGCTCACCGGGCGCGATTCTCTTTTTCATAGACAAGACGTTTACTTGTGCCAGCATTCTCCGATTACGCGCATTTTTCTTTTCTTACCATTTTTTATGTGTTTTTTTCAGTGTGCGGTGACGTATCCATCAACCCCCTACTCCCAAGTTACATCATCTAAACTTCTTCTCTGATATTCTGGTCGTTTCATACGTCCTAGCATGTGCCGAGCCTACCGAAAGCGACAGCAATGGCGCCTATAGAACATGCGCTGCAATGCATTGCATGCGCCGCCAAGACCAAGCCCGGAGACTAACCAACAAGTCACTTGCAGCCTTCCGAGAAATGATAACGAATTATCAGTACATTAACGAAGAAGAGACACCAATAGAGGACTGTACAATAGGAAAAGAGACCCAACCAGATACGGAGAAGGAGGCACAAAGTCCTCATGATCCACTTAGATGCAAAATATCCAGAGAGAGCAGCTCAGGAAAGAGCCCGAAGAAGAAGAAGGCCAACGAGAAAAAATAGATGAATAGAAAAAAGAACTCCCGAACGAGCCCATCACAACTTATTCCCCGGAAAGAGCACCCCAGCGGGAACTCAAGAAAACCGTCACCAAACCCAGTCACCTGCTCACAGCGCTGAAGATCCGAAATGCCGTGCATGCAAATCTTTAGACCAATTGGCACGCGAGTTTGTAGATGGGAATCAGAAGACTGCCAGAGAACTGGGACTGCTTGCACCAGATCGCAACAGTTTCAAACCTCAGTACCTCAAACGACGTACCAAAACTCGGATTGTTGAATGCTACCGACTCAACAAGATCCTCAACCGCACCGACATACGCACCAACGCCGGAGACAAGGAAGCGAAGGCAGCGCTACCGGCGCTACAGGCACAACATGAGGACGCTATCAAAAGAAAGAAGAAACTTTCCAGAGAAGACAAACGAGAGGATCGAAACCGCAAAATCGACTCCCTGACGGAATTTATGCTCGAGAGCACCAACGAAGATGAGACCTGGCGCTCCATTCGATCGAGACTGGACCCACCAAAAAAGTGCCTGGGGCTCACACCAATCGTTTATAAGGAAGCGCTGAGGACGGAGCGTGCCTCAGTGAATGAGGCCTGGACGGACCACGGCACAGAGCTGCATGAAGACGCAACTGGGCACTGCCGAAACCGAATCTATTGGCACCAATATGCTGCACAACTACCGCGCCTCGACCCGGTACCGGAATGGAACGACCCAATCTTCTGGCCTGAATCTGTTCGGGCCCTGCTATGCTCAAGCAACCGCAAAACACCTGGCATTGACGGTATCCCTGCGGAGTGGATGAAACTGGTGACCCCAAAAGACGAGACAACAGGGACACCATCGATACCAGATGAACCTGACACAATCTTAGGCAAACGCCTTGTGGAGCTCATTCAACGTATGTTCGAAGAAGCGTACATCCCTGATATATGGAGGACTGTCGAGGTCGCACCGATCCTCAAAAAGGACTCCCACACACACAAAGACATGAACATCTACCGGACTATTCGCCTCATCCTGTCAATCATGAATCTACTTTGCGCCATGCTCACGAACCGGATCCAGAGGCGCCTCGAGGAACGCAAGTTCTTCGCCCCAGAACAGGCTGGATTCCGGAGCCGCGATGAGTGCATGAACCATGCCCTGACCCTCATTGAAGTGGCGCAACGTCGCTTTATTCGTGACCGACAACCAACTTACGTATGCTTCACCGACTTCCGAAAGGTCTTTGACACGGTCCCGCATGATGCTCTCTTTTTGAAGATGGAACGAGCCGGAGTCTCCAGAAAGTGCTTAGCGTTCTTCCGTGCGCTCTATGCAGACTCGTGGATGCGCATCCGACTGGGCGACAGCTCAAGAACCCCTTGTATAAGAATACGCCGTGGACTACAAAAGGGCGAGCGCGCATCCCCGCTCCTTTTCAACATCTTCATCAACGATCCGCTGAAAAACTGCAGACAATACGGGCTTGAGGTGCCGTGGATAGACTGGGGAGATGCCCGATGAGGAGCCCTCACATAGGAACCGCCTCGCAGGCCTTCTACTTGCGGACGATGTCGTGCTGTTGGCACCCGCCCCGGAAACGCTTGCGGCTAGCATGCAACAAGTCAGCACCTGGGTCGATCGCTGGGAGATGAACGTAGGAGCATCGAAGTGCGGCGTCATGGCCATCCATGGAGACTCGCAGCGCATTCGCAATCGCTCGTGGCGGTTGCAGAATCAGGAAATTCCGATCGTGGAAAACTATCGCTACCTGGGGGTCGGTCTAACGCCGACGCTCGACGAAAAGGCACACGTCGACGAGATGATCGCCAAGATGCATAGACGTACAGCGATCGCACGTCCATTCCCATCCGACCCCTCTATCTGCATAGCAATTCGTACCAGGGCACGAAGGATGTGTATCATCCAGCCTGCGACCTGGGGTGCTGAGTGATGCGGCATGAACCACACAAATGCCTCGCGTCCGCAGACAGCCGCCAACAGGGCAATGCGACTCGTTGTCGTTGTTTGATGCTCAGTGCAGAGCAGAGCAACCACCGCGCTGGCACTCGGACTTGAACTCCAAATACCCTCGATAGAAGCGATAGCAGCAGGCTGCCGGGCACGTATATGGGCCAAAAGGGTCCACCAAGCGCACCTGGTTCAGTCGGAGTTTCATGCAAACCCCAACGCACCGCAAGATCACTTGGATGAAACCAACGCATATTTGGCTGAAGCGCCTCTTAGGCGAAAATGCGCTCGAATCGTTCCCCAGGAATGTAGAAGACTTCAGACGCCTGAAGCGAACGGTCCAAACGCCAATATGGGAAAGTAGACACGGTACCAGTCGCGCGAGTAACGCCGGCTTGACTCTATACCGGAAATAGAACCTATTATACACATGCAAGTACTGGTTGGAGGCGCTGGAATTCCCCGGACTTGCTCGAGGTACCCAGTGGCTCGCCAAAATCCGCGTTGGTGGCTTCTGGCTACCAGCACCGGCTCTAAGCCGTATAGGAATACTGGAATCGCACTGGGAGTCACACTGTCCCTGCTGTGGAGACGAGAGCCCCCGAGACGCTGACACATTTAGGCCTACAGTGCCCGCACTGGAAGCAGGAGCGCAGCGAGCTCCTTGGAGGACAGCAGCAGCTGGGCATCACCATGATAGTCGAAGGCCGGACACTCACTCTGAGTGTAGCACTGGCAACTGGTGGTCCGCTAACGGAGCCTCAGCGCTCATTAATGGCGAACAAACGCAAATGCTACCTTCTAGGCGGAAGGTCCAACGAATCGGATGCGCATACGGGTCCAGTGCTCTCTGCGTCTACCCACTGTGGTGGGTTTCAAGCACAAACCCGCATTGCCAACCGACAACAACGCGCTCCATGCATGACCAGGAAGGAGAGAGGCAGCTCCCAGAATTCATCCTAACAACCAAGTTTCTCCAGCGTGTCGTGCAGCGAAGGCAAGCCTCCATCCGCAGACTGTCCGAGCACGAACTGACGACGAGACCCGATTCTACGTCGGGTGAAGCACGTCTCGAGCCGACGCCCTCTGAGGTATAGAAAAGCTGTTCTAGCTCTATGAACTATCTGCTCCAGCATTTAAGGCGCAAAGGCGGATACGGAGGGGCAGGTACAAGGCACACACAATAGGACGTATGAAACGACCAGAATATCCGAGAAGAAGTATAGGTAATCTAACTTGGAGGGAGGGGGTTTTATGGATACTTCGCTGCGCACTGTAAAAAAAAGTGAGCAAAGAAAAGTGTGAAAAGAAACATACGCCCATTCGCCTCCACAAAGGCGCTGCGCGCACACAATACAGCGGCTGCAGCGGCTGCAGCATCATCCGCAGCGCTTAACGGCCTCTGTTCGTGTCCTCGGTGTGACGATTCTTGAGGTACGGTATCCATGTCGTCACTGCCAACTTCGTCACGGCTTATGAGTTTGAGGGAACGTACGGAAATACCGGTGGTCGGAGATGACGGGAGCCATATCGACCCGTCAAACTCGTGTTCACCAAGGCGGAGCCTGTCCAACAGCAGTCGTGGATACGAACGAGCATCCCGGGGTCTGACACGGGTCGCGTCCGCGTCGTCAGCGCTGTCGCTTGTGTCGAACCCGAACCTGTCGCTGTTGGACTCTGAGCTTCAGGTTGTAGAAGACTGTAAGGAGTTCCCGGTCGTGGTCGTTGTGGTCGGTGCATCAGGAGATCTGGCCCGCAAGAAGACGCTGCCGGCCTTGTTCTCGCTCTTCTACCACAACCTGCTGCCGCTCAGTTTCGCAGTCGTCGGATATGCCCGCTCAAAGCTCTCCGTAGAAGAGTTTCGAAGTTCAGTGAGCTCGAATCTAGTCTGTCGCGTCGGAGATCGCGAGTGCTGTGAGGCGAAGACGAGGGCCTTTCTCGAACGCTGCTTCTACTTCTCTGGGCAGTATGGCTCTCTGGAAGACTGGTTGAATTTTGATCGCTGGCTTTCCGAAGACATCGAGCCGCGTATGAACCAAAGCGACACAGCAACTCGGGGGGCACGACGCGCGCCCGGGCGTCTGTTTTACCTGGCGATCCCGCCGTCGGTATTCGCGGAAACGCTGCGCAGTATCAGTCGCGGCGCCATGGCACCCGAGGAGCTTGGCGCCTGGACCCGAGTCATTGTCGAGAAACCATTTGGGCGAGACTCAGAGTCCTACATGGCGCTACGTGACCTAGTCGCAGAATGCTTTCCGGAGGAGGCACTTTACCGCATTGATCATTACGTGGGCAAGCCACTGGTTGCGAACCTGACGACACTTCGACTTGGGAACTTTGTTTTTGATGCACTCTGGAATCGCCACTGCATTGAATCCGTGCAAGTGGTGTTCAAGGAGGATTTCGGGGTCGAGGGTCGCGCCGGCTACTTCGACGCATACGGCATCATTCGAGATATCCTCCAAAACCATTTGCTGCAGGTCCTCAGCATTATTGCGATGGATCCGCCGGCGTCGCCGCACGCTGCCGATATCAACGAGGCAAAACTCCGGCTACTGTACGACATCAAACCGTTGCATGCGAAGGATTTTATCATCGGCCAGTACGATCGATATCGGTCGGAGCGAGGCGTGCCGAAAGACTCGTGCACCGCCACGTTCGCAGCGTGTGTTGTCCAGATCGATAACGAACGCTGGCGAGGTGTCCCTTTTGTTATGCTCGCTGGGAAAGCGCTCGACGAGCGGAAGGTTTACGTGAAGGTCGCGTTCCACGAGACACCGAATCATACGTTTATACCGGAGGAACTGCGTGACAAGCGCAACACGTTTTACATTGAAATCCAGCCGCGTCCCGCGGTCGAGCTGAGCTTTATCACCAAAACTCCCGATCTGGAGGGACGCGTTGTCCAAACCAAGCTCGACTTGGTCTACAACGAGAGCTTCAGTGCGGAAGCCCAGGACATGCCGGACGCCTACGAGCGGCTCATTTCGGACGCCATTGTGGGCGACCGCACACTCTTCATCAGCGACGCCCAGATATCGCGCGCATGGGAGCTGTTCGACCCTGCCCTGAAAGAACTGGAGCGAGATCCACCAGTTCAGCCAGTTATCTATCCGTATGGTAGTAAGGGACCGATTCTGCCCGAGACGCTGATCAAGAAATACATGGCAGGCAGGATGCAAGACTGATCCGCGTCGGCGGTAACGCCAAACTGATAGCCGTCACTCGGACAGCGTTCTTTTTCAGGGAGCGCAGCGCACACGCGTATACAGGATGATTCCAGTGGCGCGTGTGTGCTGCAGAGAGCACACGCGCGACTCGTGATATCTAGATGCGTGTTTGCACCGCCATTGTGTTTGTATATGACCAGGAACAGTCAAGCGTTTTTTTGCAATAGATCATGCTACAAAAGAGAACCCATCATCACTATGGTGAATTGTTTCTCGTCGTCCGCCCGTCGAAAGCGATCCAACGCTGCGGTGACGGTGAGCAGCACCGCGCCTCCAGCGCGATGTGCACACGTCCCGCGGATGCGGATGCGTTTGCGGCAGCGGCGGTGTTTATGGATTGCACTGCGCTTAGTTTTCAGAATCGGGTAGAGCAGCGCTATGCTGATAACCACCGAAGAGAAAGACTATGCACGCACGCCCGCCCGTAGACGGCAATGCGCAACAGCCGTTCCGGTCGTCGGTACCAGGCGATCGGTCGTTGTGCAGCACAATGGTACGCCGCCCTTGGCAACGCTTCCGCGGATATCCGGATGCTGGCGCCCGGGCACTTGTAGCGATGCCCTCCATCGCGTGTCTGTGTACAATGGCGCGCAAGGCTGCCCCGCAGCACCGGATCGCAGAGCACTTGGTGCGGGGAACGCGTCCGCGGCCGGCGGCCGGCGGCGATGGCGATGCGCGTTCTCCTCGGAGCCGTTTTCTGTGCCTTTCTGCTCTGTATCCGAATTTCGACGGTTGACAATTTTTACGCTGTTGATGCTGTAAACCATGCGCACGAGTGCCCGGGAGCAATGGGTTCATTGCTACAGCACAGATTTCGACACGGTTTTGACACGATTCGGGCTCACGCTCAATGCGCTCGGCAGGTGCCCCACGCTGCTGGGATCCAAGGGCCTCGAGCTCACGAGTCGGCATTGGCAGGTAGTTCGCCTCGATGCGTATGTCAAAAATAAGAGGATGCTCTCAATGAAATCGTAGCTGGGCGCCCGAGGGCCTCGTCCCAATTCATCCTGGCGCAGTTGCAACCGCACTCCAGGGCCTTCTTTCTCCTGCGCGGTGGTGGACGCATCAGATCGACAAGCTCCCCCGTGGTTGCGCCTTGCTGTGTACCCAGGACAATAGGATGCATTTGCACTGCATGTGCTGCACGTGGTTGTCGGCGGGGCGTTGCCGTCGCAGACCATAGGCGCAACGTCTCATAGCACAGGAGCACCCAATCGAACGAGACGTATCCGCACACGCGAGCGCCGCCCGGTAGCACGACGCCATTCGCACATCATCTGCAGACGCTTCCTCGTTCTTCCACTGCCTGTCCAAATTTATGTCAGCGAATAAAGACCTGACTCAGCAACATCGCGAGCACGCAGCCCGTCTCAGGCACGTACCACTCTAATGAACACTTTGTTCAGCGAATATCGCTGGACGCAGGATGCCTTCGCTGGTGCGCCAGCCATGCGAGCGTCGACTTGAGCGTCCACGCCCTGGACACGTGTCCTTGTTGAGGCTGCAGCGCGGGATCCGAGCGCGATACCGGGGCGAGGCACATACGCACACATGCACGCATCCATGCACACACGCCGATTTCGCGCGCGCTTCGTTGCCGAGGCCGTGTGACGGCGAGCGCCCCCGCAGCGTGACATCTCGCATGCATGAATTGACGCACACGCATTCGCATGGATGCATGGCGCGCTTCGTGGACACCGCAGCTGAAGCAGACGCTGCGCTCCCCGCGGGTGTCCGGTAATGCAGGACAACGAGGAACTCCATACGAGCACAGAACAAGTGGATTCAGGGGCTGCACTCGGGCCGTTCCAGACACCCGAAGGAGAGACGTACTGGAGGTTAGGCGATCCGCGGAGCTTACGTCGGGTCATGGTGCGCAAGTACCGCGGCCAGGTACTCGTCGACATTCGAGAGTACTATCGCGACGCCAAAACCGGAGAGGAGCTGCCTGGACGCAAGGGTATTTCTTTAACGATGAAGCAGTTTCGATCGCTGCAGACGTTGTTGCCCGATATTGAAGTTGCCCTACAGCAGGTGAGTCGGAACGACTAGCGTTGCTCTGTGGTTTGCGCGCGGCCTTGTTCACGGCGTCTTGGGCACGAGCCTTGTGCTGAAAAACACAAGGCAGCACTCGAAAACGCAAACCGTCACGTGTAAACAAAGTGCACGAAACACAGGAGCGGCGTGAGGGACGTGAACCTCCGACCGACACGGCGTATGCGTCGTGTGCATAGGACGGTGGCTTCGGGTTTCTCGCTCGCGCACTGCATACGACTTGGCACTGGCTTCCATGGTGCAACGTGCAAGCGATGGATCGGCCAAGGAGCGCCTGAAGACGCGTGCCGTCCATAGGGACAAACGTATCGATTCGAGTCAAGTGGCCGAGAAGCGCCGCCCTGCAGCCGTTCGGGAGCGCCGGAACCCCACCGACCCTGGACCTCTGCTCGAACAGGCGTTGCGACGGGAGACGCACTTGGAGGCGTTACGCGCTTGCTCACACACAGCGCAGTTGACGGGGTATCGGCTAGCAGGTTCGGCAGGCAATGTAGTGTTCGGGACGTCACCATATGTGCACGCTTCACGGAGGATGCGATTTGGTTTGGCGGAAGTAGAGCCAGCTCCGAGTCGCTTCCGTTGCATATTGAAAAAGCCGCGTAGCTACTGTCGCAACATTCGGCTTGACCCGTTCGTAAGCGATAGGGAACTATTGTCGGCGCTCAGGTACCGGACTAGGCTGCGTAACGCTCGTCCACCGGGGCCGGCTCGTTCAGCCAATGCTCGTTCGCAAATGCTCGCTACTAGCAGACGCCATACGCTCCGTAATAGAGATTGGTGGCCAAATGGCTCTCCCTACTGGCATGCATTCGACCATAATGAACATGTTGCTGGTAAAAATTCGAACCAGGTGCGGCACCGGTTTCGTCGCTAGCTGCCTCTGAGCTTCATAGATGTGCACCAGGACGCATCCAGTGCAAGCGACAGGCGCCCCGTATCCCGCACGATCCTCTCTTTGCGCACTGCGTGACGCTGGGTTACAGCACGAAACGTCGGGGTCGCACTAGCGACCCAGCCACGGTGCCGAGCAACTGGTGCACAGACTCGTCAACGAAAAGGTACACCTGGCGACGACGTCTCGTCCGGCCATGACTCACACCGGCAGCGCAGAGTCTGCTGCGGTCTCGTCTCGCTTCACTTTACGACGGAGCAGGGCCGCGGCACGTCCATGGCATCGTGAAACGAGACGATTAAGGGTGGAGACGCAGCCACAGAGTCCGTGGCGGGTCCACCATCCACACTGGGAGAGTACGGCTGCTCGAATCTGCGCATCCGTCAGATAAGAGTAACGCTCGTAGTTCACACTCTCATTGGTTGTGAGGTCGGCACAAAAGTAGAAGTAAACCTGTTGCGCAGCCAGCGGAAACACCAGCAAAGGGAACACCACATGACACACCAGCAGGAGCAGCGTCTGCGGCATTGTCCGCACAAGCCCGCCAAACCCCAATTGGTACACGCTCCACGCATAGGCCGGATCGAAAAACACAGCACGGACCAACAAGGACGTGTAAGAAGTCTCAAGCCATAGCAGCGACCAGAGCCACACCAGAAACGCTCGATGGTTCGACGCCCCAATGGTATTATTCATCCATGGACAGTAGTGATCGTAGCGAGCGATGCACTGATCCAGCACAATACAGTGCTTCGCCCGCGGCGGTCGGACGTTCAAACACGAAAAGCAAAAGTAGCGCTCAATAAGCCTCGGTTCTGTAAGGATATCAAACATGCCCAGCACCAGCGCCCGGGCGTACGCGTCGCTGCCGGGCGAGAGTGTCTGCACCAGCGTGGCTAACTGCTCGACCGCACCTGCTTTCCGCTCCGAAGGCGGTATCGCCCGGACAAGCGTCAGTGGCGAGATGCTGGCCAGCGACCCCGGATCCCTATACGTGGTCGAGACCGAAGCGAGCGCGTTCACCACCAGCATGAGGTTCAGTAACCAGAAGCTCCTCGAGTGGAACCCGCCGTAGTAGCGCCATAACCATCTGTAGAGGACGCTCGTCGACGCGATCATTAGATAGTAGTAGAAATAAACGAGTCCGTGCAGGTACAACCCATAGCGTCCGTAGATCACAATTTCACGTAGACCCTGGAGCCAGGGACGTAACGCAGGAACGCGCTCACTAGCCAGCGTCACGAGGCGCTGCCCCAGCGCCAGCACACGTCGTTGCCAGCCAGAGCGGCTCGACGCCTGCTCCGAGTGCAGGTCACGAGTGAGTGCTCGCGCTGCGACTGCTGAGAAGAGGTCTGGCTCTTGGCCTAGACGCAGCCACGCTTCCACGTATTCGCTAAGGCGCACGTGGCCACGGTCACGAGCCAGTTCATGGGGCAGTACACCGGTGCGGCTGCGAATTCCGGGCGAGGCACCACGCCGCATGAGTGCTCGCGTGATACGAAAGTTGTTTCGTTGCAGCGCTCTGTGTAATGGAGTCATGCCACTTGCATCCACTGCGTTCGGATCCGACCCGTGCACCACCAGCAGGTACTGCACCAAGTTGAGGTGTTCGCGGTACGCAGCCCAGTGCAGCAGCGTGTGCTGCTCGCGGTCTCGGATGGCGTCCAGCGAACGCTGTTTCCAGGAAAGCGCGCCACGTCCTGAGCCAGCGTTTGCTATCGCGCTAGCGTTGGACGAATCCTCATCGGAGTCCGCTCTTGATGCATCGTAGATCGCAGCGAACCAGTGCACCAGGTCCAGGAAGCCGTACTGGGTAGCGTGCACGATGGGTGCGTAGCCCCGAGCGTCCGTGGCGACCGGGTCGGCGCCTGCAGCCACCAGCAACTGCGCAGCGGAAACGTGTCCGCCAACTGCCGCCCACATGAGTGGCGTCTGGCCCCGCTGGTCGTCTCCACGGGAGCGTGCATCGACCTCGGCGCCTGCGTCGAGCAGGAGCTGTGCGGTCTGGCACCTTCCCTCGAGCGCAGCCCAGTGCAGCGCGGTGTGGCCGTCTCGATCACGGTGCTCGCGTAGCAGCCACAGTGGACGCTTGCTCACCAGTTCCAGTAGACTTGTGTTTTCAATCGATGACGAAACGAGAAGCGGTGGTCTGGAGCAGGTCTCAGCACCTACCGCTGGCCCAGCAGCGACCGCTGCTTCAGAGCTCACCGCCAGCGAGGCTGGTGTTCGAGCAAGCAGCGCCCGCGCCTGCAGTCGCAACTGCTCGATAACCGAAACGACAGCGAGTTCATTGCCACTGCGTACAGAACGGCTTAACTCGTCCAAATATGGCTCTAGGCAATACGATAGCATAGCAACGGGCACTCTGCTACAGCAGAGCAGGTCATGGCATCTGCAGGGCGCGGTGGTATTTCGGAGAGCGGTGAGCGCACGCGCCGCAGCGCCGCTGCGTCCTCGACGGCTGCTCAGGGCGCTTAGTCGGAGGCGACTTTGGCCTGCCTGCCTGCCTGTGTCTCGTAAGTCGTGTGCTTGGCGGTAGATACGTTTGGATTCTTGAATTGATGCGTATGTATGGGTACAGTTGTATTTGATGGTATAGGCGTAGATGATCAGGCACACGTGGCTGTAGATGCGTCCGTGCATCCGTGTATCCCAGTGCACGCACGCACGCACGCACGCACGCTAACCATTCAGCTGCGGTAGCTGGGCGCCGCAACGTGCCTGGAACGACGCTGGCGACGACCTCGTTCGTTTCCAGACAAAACACCGTAACGCATCGTGAAGACGACGTTGACACAGCAGAACAGCGCTGCACGACCGAGGCTCGCGGCAAACAGGGACGTGATCACGCGACTGGAGCTCGCATGCTCAGCTCGTGGCAAAGCTGGGCTGCGTTGCTACCAACAGCAAAGAAGGGTGCTATGTGGGCGCTGTGGACAGCGAGCGCACGCTTTGACTCTTCAACAGAGACGAAGTTTAGGTCTGGACGGGAGGCCTGAGCGCCACAGCGGAGCGCAGCGGTCTCGACTTAGAACAGGTTCGCGACACCGAGATATCGTTTGGATACGTAGCGCCTACGTACTGCTGTGAGGCTGGAGCGCTTGCTGCTCTGCAGCAGCTCCGTGACCAGGTCAATGCAGTCGACGAGGTTGCTCTCCTGATAGCCGGTGTGGGCGTAGAGGGTTTCGTCCCATTCACGCTGCGCGATCAGCCGCCGGGAAACCAGGGCGCATGACGCGGCAACCATACTGGGGGCGTGCCGTAGCGTCCGATAGTCGACGAGGCACAGTTCGAGGCAAAACTTTGCAAAATACTGTTCACGCTCAGAAGCGCCGGCGACCTTGAGCCAGCGCTCGAGAAATTTGAGGGCAGACGGTATCGTCAGATCGAATTTGAGAACATTCAGCATGACGGCCTCCATATGGAGGATTTCTTCACGTTCGTAGGCACGATCGGAAATGTAGACAAAGTCACGTACCTCGGGCGCGTATATTTCCTCGTACTTGCTTGCGATGAGCATAGCGGTAACGCCGACGAGTTGCAGTTTCTGCCGAGCGACCGCGCACTCGCTGAGAAATCGGTCGATGATATTCACCGTCAGGTAGAGTACTTCGGGAACCAGGCGAAAGCGCTCGTGCACGTCAACAAGCCAATCGATGAGGATCGCTCGCATTCGCTCGTTGATGTCTCGCTGTAAAGACATGTAATTCGGGTTTGGCATCCATTTGATTTCGCAATGCCGATAGTACGTATAGATGTCGTTGACCAGAAAAGAGACTGCCAGGTGATTTTCCCGATCCGGGGAGTCGACGTGCCGCACGCAACTGTAGTCGATAGGTCTCACCACTCCGGTGAATGCAGGTAGCTGCCGCGGGAGCAGCGCTTGCAAGAGCATCTCGTTTGAGAGGGCACTCGATTCGCACTCGGCTGCTGCGAGCGCCTCTGGCACCTGGGCAGCGTGCGTTGCCAGCGTACCACGGCCGCTGAGGGCGCTGCTGCCCTCGCTCCCGGCAACACTGGAACTCACATCTTGTCGGACTGTATTGGAGATATTTCCAAGAATTCTTCGACTCCGCCGAATGGGTTCCATAGCGGGCAGCCTGACACGTCAACGCAGCCGTTAGGCACCAAACTGGTGGACGCTTCCCCCTGTTGCCAATACGTAACCGCTGCCGAGTTGCCCCTGCGTTTGTTCGTCAGTGCCCGCGTAGGTCCTCGCGTGCTACAGCTATAAAGCAAGCTGTCCCTCGTCTAGTTGCACAAAAATCAGGCCCTGCTCTGCACTACGCTTGCACTGTTTCTTGAAACACCCAATGCGATCTACTTGACCGTTTCCGACGCTGCGAAACGCGAGCAAAGCGAATCCCCGAGTTGAACGTTCTGCTGATCACAACCGTAGCCCAGCCACTGAACTGGCGTATGCAAAGCAGTTAAAGGTCGTTCGTAGGTCTCGTCCCGCCTGAACACTGGTCCAGCTGGCTGGATACCCGGAAGCCGCGCAACGAGCGTCGCCCCACAAGCGGCAGCCGAAACGCTCTGCCAGCGCGACCGGGCAGCGAACACTGCGCACAGCGGGATTTCAAATCGCGAGCGCATCATTCGAACTGGCCCGATGGATGGGATCGATGCGGCGGCTGCGGCTGCGGCGGCGGCTGCGGCGGCCTCCATGAACGTCGATTCGGCAACGGCAGCTGCGGGCGCCAGCATCGACGATTCGGCAACGCCTGCGCTGGGCGGCGCAGCGCGGCAGCAAGCGAGCGCAGGGACGACGCCTGTCTACCAGCTGACAAGGCAACACTGGACTGATCGATAGGTTCCTGATTTCATATTTTTCAAGGGTTTTGATAAGTGTATAGTGTCTGCGTTCCAAGTGCAGCGATCAAGGGCGGACGGAGAGAGAAGCAGTTTCCGGATTCTCGAATGTCTTTACGTGGTAGCTGGTTCGAATCTTTTTCAGCTCGGACACGCTTTACGTGACGGGAAGGAACTTGTGATCGTAGGGTAGGATAGACTGGGCGTGGAAACCGAAGACGACATCCATAGGAGCCCTGTGTACTGATTAAAGGCAACCACCGAGCGGTGAAAGGTGCAACGCTGGTGCAAAGGGCGCAAAGAGGGACTTTTGCACAGGAGACGACAGGCGCAACAAAAGCGTAGATCGGAACTGCGCTTCAGGCGTCAGACTCATTGACACCAGCCGTGAGCAGCGACATCGGGACTTGAATGCAGTCATGAGTCTCTTTGGACTGTGCACTGTGGAGCTGCGTGCACGGAGAGACCGGCGCGTTGAAAGCCTGAGCCACCCGAGGAGCAAGGGAAGCAGTCGCAGCAAATGCCCGCAAAGACCTGCGTCGATAACCGAGGGTGGTCACCTCAACTCTAGAGTGCTATCTCGGTTGGCCAACATGAGCCCGTTCGATTGCGTTCTAACGTGGGTATCGAGGGGAACGCACGCAAGAAATGACGCGTATCTTCGAGCGGGAGTATCGGTAGTGACGGGTTCGTCGTGGACGTCTCCAACGTCCGAAATGCCCAGAATCTCCCAGAGCAAGTACGCATGGTAGCTTGCGGAACCTGGAAACAAGGCGTGGAATGCTGGACGCTTTTCCAGTCGCTGATATCCATTGCCCAAGCGGGCGCCCCGTCTACAGATACGGTCCGTCGATCGAAACCGCGGGGCATTGTGAATGTTCGCACGCTATCTTGACTCCAGTTCGGCAGCGTCGTAGGCGTGCGCTGAGCGCGTGACGTCGCTTCTGGAGCACCGCTCCGTCGACGGCACGCTTCACGATGCCGCGTTTGTCAGCGGTTGCGTAGCCGAGCCCCGAGCGAACGTCTGCAAGGCCATGTCAAGGCCGCCACGACCTATGCGACGTCCACGGCGTTGCATCGAGTGCAGCGGCAAGCACCGACACCGAGCCTGGTACCGCGGGTGTCCCTGGCATGATGGAGCATCCGCTCTGGATGAGAGCCGTGTCCCTACGGGTGCCGGGGCGCGAACTTGTTCACAGATCAAGCGAGGTTCATGACTTTGTGACTTGCATCAAGCTCGCGTTCATGGGAGCCCAGTGAGACCCATCGAATATACATTGTAAAAAATACGTAATCACCCACGCACGGCAGCGGATACGCAGTCGACGCTCATGAATTATGTGTCGCGCTGCTTGTACCCGGCTCTGAGCCCGCGTCTCGCGCACAGGCTACAGTACCACTACTACTGGAACTACCACCACCACCAGCAGCAGCAGCAGCAGCAGCAGCGTGCACGGTGACGGCGCGTGAACCAGGACAGTGTCCGCAGAAGCGATATGGTGAAGCTCCTGAGTCCACGAATCGCACTGGATTCCCGCACATGCACAAACACCGCGGGTTTGCCGCCGCAAGTACTCCACATCCTCGCGTGGACGCCTCCGGTCCAATACGCCGTGTGTAAATGCTCGCAAGGAGCGTTCGCGGATGCGTGCAGGTGCACATTCAGCAACAGCACATCCGATCACAGAAAAAAACTTGGAGGTAGGCTTTTGAATGATGGATGTTTTTCTGAATACCCATAGCCATCGCACAATCATCGCTGCCTGGTCTCTGTGTCAACGCTCTGTCGATCAGAAGAAAAAAGCCCGACACTTCCGCGCCCAGATGTTCTGCCAGATCGTTTCCGAAACGAACCCGAGAGATGTCATACACACAAACACGGGGCTGCAGCTTCGCGTCGGACTCGGTTCCGTTCAGAGCCGACACGATACACCCGCTCTGAGTCGGAAACACATCGTCGTGGGCCGCGTTCCTCGCAGAACGATCGATCAGGATGCAGCACCAGAATCTTTCGAGCATACTTTAGCTCCGTAAACAGGCGGCTTTGCATGCAAACCCACATGATGACCAGTTTCATCCGAGATCGGGTGTAGAGCAGGCGAGCGCGACGATTCACCCCAAACCGGCACGGAAACAGGTATGGATTTGTGCGCGAATAGCATTCCATAGTGCACGCTTTTGCCAGGCGGGTAACCAGGGCACACGGGGCATCGCGACGCGAGTCATCCGACGATGAAACCATCGGAACATTTGATGACGGGTACACAGCGTACTCTTCGTTTCCCTGCAGGAGAGATGTGCTCACGAGGTGTCCTGAAGAAAGGCTCTCGCATGGAACTCGGCTCGCTGGATAACGTCCTCTGGGATGCCGGCGAGGCGAGCACACTCGATTCCTCGCGAATGCGCTGCGACCCCGGGTCGCAACCTATAGAGAAATGCGATTTCGTGGGCGTTGGTATCGACGCGGGCGCCCATGTGGGCAAAGACAACGGAAACGGCATCATCGTCATCATCACCACTACGATGATGATGATGATGATGCGCTGGGCGGAGCAGCGGCTCTGTCGCCAACATATGGTAGTGAGTCGCGAACAGGGTCAGACAGCGAGTCCGAAATGTCAGATACCACAGCGCTGAGTACGCAATAGCGTATCCGTCGAAAGTGGAGGTACCCCGTCCCAGTTCATCGAGAACGACTAGCGAGCGATTCGTTGCATGGCTGAGCACTTCAGCGGCTTCGAGCATCTCCACCATGAACGTGGACTGCGCGCGCATGACGCGATCGCGAGCCCCGATTCGCGTGAATAGTCGGTCGACGGGCACCCGTATGTATGCACTGCTCGCTGGCACATAGCATCCCATTTGTGCCAGAATGACTGCAATAGAGACCTGGCGTAGCAGTGCCGACTTGCCAGACATATTCGGACCCGTAAGCACCATGGACGGATGTTTCGCTGCATCCAGTTCGAAGTCATTCGGTACGAATTGAGAAGGACCGCGGCGCAGGGCAAGGATCGGATGCCACAGCTCCTTGAAGCAAAGCGCTGCGGCGACATCCTCGTGGGATGCGGCACGATCCAGCGGCTCTGCAAACACTGGGCGGGTCATCGGCAGCCCTGCCGCTCCCTCAAAGCTTACGTTCGCGAGCGAGGTTAGCGCGTCGAATTCACCGAGCATCCGAGCGACGCTCAGCCACAACGAGTAAGATGCATCGAATTGCTCGAACACGGTACGGGCGAATTGCGCCTCTGCCGTTTCAATGTCTTCTTCGACACGATTCAGGGCCGTCAGCAGGCTCCGGATGGTCGGCGTCCAGTAGCGGCGGTGTTGCTTCGTTTGCGACATGAGCACGAAATCGTCGGGAATATTTCTGACATCAGCAGGGAGCTCGATCTGATAGCGCTCTTGGACGCGATGGTAGAAACGTACGGGCACGCGGCCCAGGCGGTGACGCACTTTTGCGAGCTCCTCTTCGAGCTCCCTTTCTATGCGTTCTTTTTCGCAACGCGCTGTTGCCAGCAACGAATGAGAGTCCGTGCGAGGTCGAAGGACGCCAGTGTGGCGAGCAGCGTCCGCGTCGAAAACTTGCCCATCGAGAAACGCCCCAAGCGTAGCCTCAATGCGGGCAAGCGGCACGGCGCCGTCGCTGAGCAGCCACCGAAGGCGTCTCGAGCGCCTGTGCGACTCGGGCGCTTGCGCTGCGATTGCCCGGATTCGTCCCACAAGTTCGACTGCGGTCGCAAGCCCGTCGAGGATGCGAAGAAAGTCGCGCACCTTGCGTTGATTTGTGTCATCAAACATGACAGCGCCATGTCGGTCTACAGCGAGCGCGTGGATACGAACGAGGCTCCGTTCAATATCCGGCAGGCTCCGCAGACAGGAGAAGAGATGCTGCTGGTGTTGCTCCTCTGCGGATTCCATCTCGTTAGCCCCTGATAGACTGGTGAGCATCTGGTGGATGTCCTCGATTGCATCCAGACGATCGCAAATGCGTGCGACATCGCGGAACGGATGACATAACCACCGGCGGAGGTAGCGCCGACCCATGTTGGTCGCGCAGCGATCCAGAAATCCAAAGACAGAGCCGTCCTTATTGAAGTCAGCACTAGTGCGGAACAACTCGAGACCTTCCATCGCGGCTGCATCTAGCTCAAGGCGCTCATACAGCTCCGTGGGCGCCATGTCATGCAGAGAGTAAAAGTTCCCCAAAGGAAATACCTGATCTGCGATAAGCAGCTCATCTAGAAAGCTGGCAGCGCCTTGGCAAGCACGTAGCGCGAGCACATCGCTGCAAATTGCTGATAACTTTGCGACGAGCGACGCATTCGGGGGCACGTCCCGAAGCGTGCGCCGATGAACTTGGACGTCCGGCGCCGCGCAGCTTCGCACGAGAAATTCAAGGCGCTCGGATGAAAAATCGAGAATGACTTCGCGAGGACGGACGCGAACCAGCAGTGCTTCAAGTTCGGTGAATCGCTCGCGGCTCGTATGCAAGACCCCGAGATGCACGGCTGCCGTTGCCACGCACAGGTAGCATATGCCAAGTGGAATGGTCTCCGTACCCGGGACACGATCGCCTTCAACCACGATCATGAGGTAGCGCGGTTCCTCGAAGACGTCGTCACCCGCTTCATCTACGACAGTTCCCTTGGTGAGAATCTTCACCAGCCGGCGGTCGCAAACTTTGTTCGAATTCGCCTTGGCGGCCAGCACAGACTCGACCTGCTCTACGCGCCCGACACGATAGCCTGCGTCTACGAGACGGATCGCGTGCCGGTAGAATGCACTTTCGGGAACGCCGACACAGCGCATATCAGCGCGCCCGATGCTGGTGTAGTTCAGCTGGAGAACCCGGTGACCAATATCGGCATCAATGTCGTAACACTCGTAAAACTTTCCTTTTTTGAAGAGCAGAACCGTGTCGTAGTAGTTGCGCTTGATTTTCCAGAACTGGAGCTGGAAAGGCGTCATTTTTCGTTCTGCCTCGGGTGGCACAAATACCGTTGAGGGATCGTAGTGAGGGTCTGTAGGGCTTCGGCCTGCCGAGTCACGGACATGGACACTCCAGGGGTGCTGTGCAGACCATTCATCGACCGCGGCGCTGCCGTTAGCACTCCACTTGACATGGGTTTGCGGGCCATGCGTCCGTTTCGGCGTCGCGCTTTCACTCAAAAGCCCACGAGCCTCTATATTCACGACACAACGAGCCGGCTCCGGGCCGCTTTCGAGCTCCGCAGCAGCTGCTCTACTGCACCACGGCACGAGCCGTGAGCTTCCTGCACCGCTGAGCGGACTCGCTGCGCGCGGTTCCTCGCCGACGGTCAGGCGAGGGCGCTTTCGACTGCCATAGTCGGAGGCGGGCGTCACAAATGACGGTGGTGAGTCCTCACTTGCCCCAAGACGCAACCACCCACGGTCCGATGGTCCCAGCGGAGTTGCCAGAAACGTGTGTTCGCCAACTCTGTTGCAGGAGTCTTGGTGCGCTTCACCAGCGCCGGATGCTAGAACGCCGCTCTTCACGCTTTGTGTTCGCGCTGCAGTGCCAGTCTCCTCTTCCCTGTCCGCCTTGGACGACTCTGAACGACGTACGAAGTACCCTAACAGAGATGATTGTTGTATCGACTTCATCTCGCCTTGTAGAAGCCCGCATCTACCACTTCAGCGCAAAAGGCGCGAAAGTATATGCGCGTGTCGATGCAAGCATGGCGAGCATGCGTGCGCGTGAAACAAACGCATCTCTGCGTGCAGTGCGTGCGTGCGTGCGTGCGCGCCAATTCGCCCTCGAAGGGCATGCGGGCCATCGTTTTTCCTCCGCCGATTACATACCTGCGGGTGGAGCGTTCCTCGCCAGGCGCCCGCCCCGTATTCAGCGAAGCGCCGCTTCCGTCATGACGTCGTTCGCAGGAACTTGAAATCAAAATTCCACGCGGATGTATCGAGCAATGATGACGGTTCATAAAAGCGAGTCGTAATATAGATATATCCGCTGCTTGAGCGCTGCAGACGAGCGTATCCGCTGACATCTCTGCGCATTTCATCAGGTAAAGCAGTGCACCATTACTTTGGAATTGCGCGTGATTCAGAACTTTACAAGAGCCAGTACTCCTTTCGTAAACAAAAAAACGGTGTAGTAACGGTTCCACGAGGCGCGTCTTCGTTGCACACCGACATCGTACAAGCCGTAGTCTGCCGCGTGCTTCATTCAAAGCACGATCATGGCCCACGATCAAAACGACATACCGTAGACATGGGAGAAAACAGAGCGGAGACTAGCACACTCCCACGGGGGTAGGTCAAGATTGGGGCACAGTAGATGCCATTGCACCGGAACAAGTCGCATCGATGAAGGCGCGTATATGCGATGCCGCTCGTGCCGCTGCTGCGCCCGACCGCCCCAGTGCTCGGATTGCACCGGTTCCTGAGTGCGGCTCCAATGGCCCCGCCAGCGCATCGCGATGAATCTCATGCGGCATGTCGACTTGTGCTGTGTGCTTCTGGCTTGATCAACGCACGCTCCATGTCACGTCTCGTTTTGTCGTTCTTGAAGTACTCGCCGCTTTCTACTACGCGTAAGCATTGTGTTCTGCTCATTATCGGAATCTTCAGGGAAAACCTGTTTGTCGTCGGCGCTCCCCGGATCAACCAGGGGCTCGTCAGGTGCGTTCGGTATTGCTGGCGCAGCGTGGCGCGCCTTATCCGTTGCTCGAATATGAGCTGGGTTCTTCGCCCGTTCAATGCCGATGAACTTGCGGGGTGAGCGTTTATTCGCTCTTCGAGCTTCCGGTACCGCCGCCCAGCTACAGATAGGGCACGCGTCCATATCATGCCTGATCGCTGGGCAATGCTCACGTCCGAAGAGAATCATGCGCACATGAAGCTCTGCCCAGGAAGACGGATCCGGAAAGACAGCCTTCAGTGTGGACTCGGTCTCCTCGACAGACTTGCCGCCGAGGCCCCAGCGCTGCGCTAGTCGGTGTATATGCGTGTCGACGGGAAACGCTGGCTCCCCGAATGCCTGTGATAGCACCACGGACGCGGTCTTGTGGCCAACCCCCGGGAGCGCCTCCAGCTCCGCAAACGTGCGGGGAACTTGGCCCCCGTGTTCCTCCAGTAGACGTTCAGCTATGCCTACCAGCGCTCGGGCCTTTCGCGGCGCGAGCCCCAGTGGTCGAATGATCTCGCGAATGCGTTGCTCACCGAGGTGCAAAAGCGCCTGTGGCGTCGGTGCCAACTCGAAGAGTTTGGGCGTCACGCCGTTGACTTTCAGATCGGTGCACTGGGCGGAGAGCACCACAGCCAGGAGAAGCGTGAACGGGTCTCGGTGTTGAAGCAGTGTTCGCGGTACTTGAGGATAACAGCGCTCGAGGTTTTCTCGAATTCGGGCTGCTTTCCGTACAAGTGCGGGCGTCGGCGGTTGGAAAGCCAGGAACCGAAACATCAGACTTAAGTGTTGCATTCGCGATTCCTCCGGCTTCGCAAGAGGAGCGCGCATAAGCTTCAGAACGCCCAGGGCTTGAAACATCCGAATGCTCACCCGAAGCGTGCGCTTCAGCTGCGCATCTCTGGGCGTTCACGCGCTCAGGAGACGTTGGCTGGTGCACATCCAGCGACGTCGGGGTGGTAGCGGGCGCCATGACGTTGCACGAGGCACTGCAACGGATCTAGAAGATGATGTATATTTATATACTTAATGGACGCAAGGTCGATCCTGTCGCCCTGCATGAAGCGCTTCTGAGCTAGCTGCGCGTCGCTCTTGATACAGTGAATCACGTGAGACTGGTTTGCTTCTCCAACGCGTATCGATCCATGTTTCGGGGTCGGTTTATTCGGGGAGCCTCCAGCTGGCTCGAGAACTGGAGTGTTGCGAGTGGTGCCCGCAATTTCTGCTCCCACTCGGAACTGCCTATGGAGAAAAGCCGCCTCGTGCAGGGCGTTTTCAGCTCCGTGGCACCTGCATATGACCTAATGAACGACTGCATGTCACTGGGTCTCCACCGGGTATGGAAAGATCACTTCGTACGACGATTGCGTCCGGTGAGCGGCATGCGCATCGTAGACGTTGCAGCTGGCACTGGTGATATCGCGTTTCGGATATGGCAACGGGAGCCGCGTGTCTCTCTTACTCTTCTGGATCCTAACGAGGAAATGCTATCTATAGCACGGAGACGGGCGGCCGCTTTACTCGGCAGGTCGCGTTTTTCAGACAGCGATCATGGCGAGGAGCTCGCTCCCGGGCCTGCTACCAGCACACGTTCACAGCCAGCGGGTGTCGCGGGCACGATGCGTTTTATCGTCGCTGCTGCAGAGCGACTACCGTTGCCGGACGCTTTATTCGACGCCTACACTATATCTTTTGGCATGAGGAACACGTCGGAGCCGCTACGAGCCATGCAGGAATCGTATCGAGTATTGCGGCAGGGTGGTCGTTTCCTGATGATGGAATTCGCCCGCGTTCGTGAAACCTTCCCGCTGGTACAGCAGCTCTACGATGCGTATTCCATCAACGTTATACCATGGCTCGGCGAACGGATTGCCCGAGACCGCCATGCCTACGAATACCTCGTTGAGAGCATTCGGGCGTTTCCCGACCAAGACGAGGTCTGCGCTATGCTGGAACGGAGTGGTTTTCGGGAGGTCACGTTCGAAGATCTGGGCTTTGGCATGGTGAGCATCTATTCTGGATGGAAATTGGAGTAGCTCCCCAGAGGAATCGGGCCTGTTAGGATCAAGTACAAGAGCCCAGCACAAGGCACACCATCGGAGTGCTTGAGTGATGTTGGGGTCACGATCGCTGCTGTCTGGCGGGATTTTGCGATCCTCGAGGCAGCGCGTGAAGCGTTGCTACACAGTACGGTCGGATTGAGCCCATTACATGCAAATCACTGAAGATACACCGCTCAAGGCCTAATACCCAGTGAAGAGACACAGCGGACCTGAAGAGCGCTGCCAGACGGGTACATTGCATGGAGTAGGGAAACTCGATGGCGCCGTGCTATGCACAAATGCCTCGTTTTGGATACGCTGCCAGATTGCTAGAATACTACATAGCCACGTCGTGACGGAGCCACACTGTCGCATTGCCATTTCGCCATATTGTTTGCGCGAGGCAGCATGTTCCAAGCTACGCATATACGCCTGCAGTCGACCAGAGAATTGTTTCTCCATCCCCAGTTGAAATCAGTGATCGGGGCGGCCGTACAATGTCGTGCGGCCCCGACGATACTTCATGGTGGCAATAGCGACTCGCACTGCTTAGGATTTGTGCGCACCCGTCTCTGCCGATCAATATAGAGAGCATTTTATGGAACGCAATGCCGACAGAGAGATGCTCGCGTCGCCGCAAGGAACGTCTCGTCTTTGCGTGCAACATTTCCAGCATCATGGACCGGCACCTGTCGCGGACCTGGGGCTCCGCATGCATATTGGCGTTTCTCGACTGAATCTTTTGACAAAGGGCTTCGCTCGCAACATGCTACAATTCATGAAAGCAGCTGCCTTGAGCTCTGGGGCGTCCATGTTGCCTCCGCGGCGATCATCACACAGGAGCGGAACACGTCCCAGCGATGCCCAACGCTTCGTGGACCCGCTGTTCAATTTCAGTCATGATTTTCGACTGCTCTTCCGTTTCATCGCAATATCCGAATAGATGGCAAAGACCGTGAACGGCTGTCTTCAGTACATGTACATCAAACATTTCAGAACAACACCCCCGGGAGAGGACGCGTCGATACCGCCTGTACAGAAACGGCGTCGCGATTACCACAGTTCCCAGATCAGCGACGGTGATACCTCCGCGACTTTGGTCGACATACTGAGGCGGCTTTGCAAAGCCGAAAGCAAGCACGTCGGTAACCCGGCTTTGTTGGCGATACTTGGCGTTCAGTTTCCGCACGGTGGCGTCGCTCGCGCACCACACGGCGGCGTCCACAGCAGTGACGCCGCTCAGCGCAACGGGCAAACCTGGTTGCTTCTCTAGAAAGCGAAGCGCTCTCCCCAAGTTCTCGTATAAATAGTCACGTTTCAACGGAACCGTGCGTTGGGTAATCCGAAGCAGAAGCATCGATCAGCTCGAGTGCGAGCTGGTTAGCGTCGCTCCGCGCACCAGCGCCTGTGCTCGCGAGTGCTCAGCGACGTGAACCAAGGACCCGGACGTGCGGCGTAGCGCTCAGCAGACACGTCTGTTGAGCCTGAAAACCCGTGATGCTCCTACAGAGCCGCACAATTTACCTGTTCCCGAGGTAGGCAACATCCACGGTTCAGCGCATAGTGCAACGCTCGTGCTGCAGCGGCGGTAACGCGTCGCCACGCCCGGTGAGAAACGACGCGCTGTACAGGGGTGCTTGCCGGGTGTTCGGCGGTGCCCTCGTTGCCGATCATTTCTGCTTACTCCTGGAATGTGATCTTGGCAGCCTCGATGAAACCTATGCAAAATGCGTGCCTGCTGTCTTTCCGAAGCTTCAGCTGGCGCATGGGTGTCCAGGTCCTGGGCGAACATGCCGTACTTCTTTGCCGACATGGTGCAACTGACGTCACCATGGTTTCAACAAGGCATTCCTTAGGATTTAGATCGTGATAGAACGCCTATGCACCGCATGTTGCAGCCTTGTCTCGCGCGTCTGGCACGAGAACCGAGCGTCTGCGAGGAAACGAGGACAAGGAGCTGACGCCCGTCTAGCGCTGGCTTTTCCCCAGCATCAGTCCAGTCGGACAATGACGTTTGCTTCTCGCAGATGACCGACGATATTCGAGTACTGCGCCTGCCAAGCCTCTGGGCTGACGACGTAAGACGCCTCGGGAAGCTCAATGGAACCTTTCAGCTGCAGCTGGATACCATGTGACGGCTGCAGCCGACTTCGTGGTGGAACCTCTGCTGAACAGTAAAATCCTGGCAAGTCTTGTGTTCCACGTGACTGGCCGCGGACTGATATATGCATAAAGAGGTTGCTGGCGCCCGATAGCGCGTGCAGCGCCCCGCCACACACCAACCGCAAGCTCTCGAAACGCCAGGTTTTGGTCCAACGCAACTCAGCGTTCCGCATGGTAAGTTTACCGCCAATGAGACGATCCTTACACGATGAACGGAAGAGGAGTTCGCCTGTGCGCAAGTTCAGATCCAGTCCAAGTTTGTATATTGCGAAAGAACCAAACAGCCGCTTTCGCACTTTCAGGTAGTGGTCCACACGTCCCTGCTCACCAGCCGCACGAATGATAAAGTGCGGTCGATCAGCTGATCGACTGTTTCCTAGCTGATCGTCGACGTTTGTGCTTGCACTTTTCGACGCAAGTTCCGGGAGCGTCTCGGTGCATCTGTCCAATACCTGGGACGTGCGCTCTAAACCCGGTGCAGGGCGACGACCAGCACCGGGGCGGCTGCTGCGCCGCGGTGTTGGCGCTATGAACGTCCCGGAAGTTTGGGCCGGCATATGAAAACGCGACTCAAGAGTTCCAGGGACGCATCACCGCTAGCTTCAAGCGCTGACGTGGAGCAAGGATTCAACGGTGCGAGCGTTCGCCACTACACAAACGGCTGTTGTACCGCGTGCGCTTGCGTGTTTCGCGGCGCCCTGCACCAGAGCACTGAATTCTGGAACATCTTGAGCAGCATACGCTTTCGTTGGGTTTTCCTCCACGGTATTCTACGAATGGAGTGTATCGTGTAGATTGAACGAACGTTGCGGGAAGACTTCATGGAGTCTCAGCTGTCTAGCGAAAAAATGCGTTACTTATGCAGAGACGCCACAGGATGTGAAGTTTTCGTACCGTTGCTACGAACCGTGATGAAGAGCCACGAATGGATAAGGTACAATGCTCGGGCTTGTATGCGAGACCGTCGCCCGCCGAACAAGACTAAATCGATTTCGTCATGAAATGCGAACACTTTGGACGGGAATGACAAGCGTCCGTCGCACTCGAAAAGACTCTGTTCAGGAGCCATCGCATACCTGTCTATGAGAAGTCAAAGAGCGGCAAAATGCTGTTCGTAAAGAAACGACAAGCGACGATTCCGACAAGGTCAACTGCATCAGCGATTCAATCGAGTAGTCATGTACAAATCGCCGAACAGATAGAATCGATAAACTCCGGATCTCTCGATGAAGCGAGCATCGCGGTTGCCCCTCCCCGCATCCTTCTGACACGCTCGTAGGCGACGTCGCTTTGCATCACTCAAAATGGATCGAGGAGTACGCAGCTGATACTGGCGTTGCGCTGCTCTTCGTGGCAACCTCGTCTCGCTGGATCAATTCAATCGACGACGTCGTCTCTCGTGTCAAACGCTATTTTCACGCGCACGGATCAATGGACGAGTCGTTCGCAACCGGGTCTCTGCTCTTGCAAATGTCGTTTTCTAGCTTCACCAGCCCTGAACTGCTGTGCTCCCCATCTGCTCTTGGGCGGGAGGGAGCGAAAGGACCCGCTTCGGTGCGTGGGCGTGGTCGCCATGGACAAGTTGACGAAAACGTACTTGAGAAATCGTTAAAACCAATAGACATAGAAAAGGCGCGCTTCGGTCCCACGGTCCACCCAGTGTACCAGCATCTCAATAAACAAGACGTATACGGAGTATAGCTCCCACATCTATGTCACCCATTCCAGTGAAGGAGATGGTGAAGAAGGAGCTGGCCTCGGCGAGCAAGTATGAAGATCTCGAACAACTTCGCGAAGTGCATTGGCGAAACCTGTACAAGTTTTTTTGTTTCCCGGAACGATCGAGACTGACGGAATATCTACCTGTTTGCGCTTTTCGCGAATCTCAGACCTGCGTCGAGCATGGAGACTCATTGGCGACCGTTCAACGGAGACAGAGGGAAGGGATTCGCGGTGAACGGGGATGCTCGGTTGGAGAAAATCCTCGCCCGCGTCTGTTTCTAAATCAAGCGGACAGAGCCAAATACCTACGCAGAAAGCAGATGAAGTTGCTTAGCTTCTCCAGGCGCTATGTTATCGAGTATCGGCTATGCAGCACATCGGGAGGCATTCCAGCGAGTGGAATGACGACATCAGGACTCAGGTCAGGGATGTCAGGACCCCATTGAGTAGAGGCTGATGCGCTCCGGCTTGCATTCACAGAATACATCAGCATTCAACTGGCTCATGCGGACCAAATTGGGCAGGAATGTCTGGGGCAGCGCTGGGACAGCGAACGGGTTCGGTTGTGCGAAGGTAAGAAGCGTGCACTCGCCACCGTTTTTAATGAGTTGGAAAAGGACCTAACCGATAAGTCGCATCGTTTGAAGTTTGCTGCTGACGCAGGGCAAAGTACAGCGCGCAATGGTTACACTCCTGGTCCTCTGGCGCGAGCGTACCAGTTTAGGAATCGGTTCTGGACAGTTGCATGAATGAGTTCACGATGGAATACACGCGTCACGAGCACGGGCACTTGGTGAACCTGTTAGACAAGAAGCAGAGCCCGATGCGCGATATGATGTGCGCTAGGCCGACTGAACATGAGAAGCTTGCCAAGGTGTGATCCTACCAGCAACCATGCGTGGAAGCACTTTCTGCACTGAGACTTGAACGCTTCGATCACCATCCGGGAATTTCTCGGGCTGTCAAGTGGCTTTATGGTGTGCGAAGCTCCCAGCGAAACCTGTTATACGGATGATAAGCGTTGTGCTGAAATACTGAGGGCTTTGGATGAAAAATGAGAGGCTAAGAGCTAGAGAGGATTGAAGGCTGGCCCAAGCACAGCACTGGTAAGCCAAGGTCAGCACTTCAGCGAGGCTGGAGCGTCCTACATATGCGCCAGGAGTGGTGTGTCTGGGCAATCTGTGAAGGTTAATGGTTTCCCTTCATTCCATATTACCTGAGGATACCGGACGCACGGCAGCTTGAGCCTACCCGTGAACGCAGGGCGCATCGGGCTGCGAGGACGTCTCCGCCTCTTGCTCAAGTTTATCAGGTATCGGTGGTTCGATACCCCTCATCGACGGTATCCAGTATCCCTCTATTCTTCATGTATGTACGTGTGCGTGTCCATTGGTTATCCATGCTTGTTTCGCGGACACAGCGTCGGTGACGCTGCTCCATGGGCTTCTTGGCGCGGCAGTGCGCACCGAAGACTTGGGCAGTATTGCAACGGGCCGGAGACTCGGCAAAGCCGTGTGATGCGGATGTTGTAAGCCGAGCTGCGGGTTACCCGCACTGACGCTCGCTCAAGATCGTTATGAGGTTCGCGACCTCGTTTGCGATGGACAGGGCTGTCCAAGCTCGGAACAAAGACGGGCCCACCGCGTCGCATGGCATGAGCACGTGGCACTCTCCGGTTTCGACTGTCGTTGGAACGTCGTGAATGCTTCGCCGGTGGTCCAGGGTTGCGCCCAGCGAATACCGTGTCGCGCAGTGCCGGGCCAGGAATAGCTCGCTCACGAGTGCTCGTATTGCGATATACGTGCGCAGATTCGAAAGCGAGCGAGAGAGCGCGCTCACTGAGCGCAAACCGCGAAGCATATGCAAAGCCTTTTCATTTCTGAATGTGAATCGCTTGCAATGCCGCTGGCGGATAGCCACGAGCACCACGTTACGCACCGACAACGGATGCAGGGATGCAAGAATCCAATTTCGCTACCAAGAACAAAAATATTTGCAAACTAACCACTAGATAACCGCTTCTTCTCCTCTTTAAGCGTATGAGTTGAAAGAAGGAAATGTTTTCCTTGTATTCGAAATTTGAACTTCACGGCGGAAGTTCGCAAGACCCTGACGTGTCTGCAAGACTATTGCTCTGCACGCCTTCGCGGTGGTAGGTGCTGTGGCGAGACCTGAGCAGCTCGTCCCCAATACAGCTTATTCTGGGTTCAGCGACAGTCAGGCTGTGTCCGGGCGTCGAAGCCCTGGACGCAAAGGACTCCAGCGCTTCGCACTGTCCCAGGCAGTAGGTCGATCTGCGTAGTTTGCAGGCTTCCAGAGTTATCTTGCATCCCGACCGCGTGCCGAGCAAACCACGACTCGCACCGACGTCCTCAGTGATATAGCAAAGCAGAGCTGTTCCCGCGCCGCATCCTCATCAGCGGTATAAGCGCTATCGCGGACGATCCGAGCAGTCACTCGACGTACGATAGAACGTATGAAGCAATCTGAATACCCGAGATTTCGTACCTTTCATGGAACTTGAAGCCGCGGTCCAGCGTGATGGACGCTTTCACGTAATTGAATATCCATCCTGCAATCTGGTGTCCATCGTCCACAGAAACGTCGATACCCCGAATGGGAATCATTTCAGGTTTCCGGGCAGCGATGTCCGTTTCCGTTGAGTCGATACAGCGCAGCGTGCGCTGCCGTCCATTCGTCAGCGGCGAGCGCCGCCGTCGTGTCGCTGGCGATGCGGTAGGGCGCTTTTCCAACGTTCGTGCGGAGCGCTGGCGAGCTTGACGTGTCAGCGCTTATCGTGGAGCAGACAAATCCGTCGGACCTCTTGGCAGAGCAGCGCCTCCGGGTTTGTATTATTTTGTGAACGACTTGTTTCTTTTCTTCAGGACCTCGTGTTGGAACTTGTAACTTGGAAAGCACTGGTGAATTATGGCTTCAACGCTCCATCCTGACGTTACGTTTCCTTCGGGAACGGTGGTGGCGGAGTACGTCTGGTTGGACGGACGCCTCGGGCTTCGCTCGAAGCCGAGAACGCTCGAGAAGAAATGGAAGTCTTTTGACGAATTGAAGAAGAACGTTTCGAAATATTTGCCGCGGTGGAACTATGATGGATCATCAACAGATCAGGCACCCGGTACAGACTCCGAGGTCATTATTTACCCGCAGGCTGTATACAAGGACCCGTTCCGCGGAGGCGATAACATTCTCGTCATGTGCGATATGTACACGCCAGGAGGCGAGCCCATTCCGACGAACCACCGCTATCAGTGCCAGAAGGTCATGGAGAAAGCAAAGGATCTTGTTCCGTGGTTCGGCATCGAACAGGAGTACTTCATCATGCGCCCAAAGGATCACAAGCCGATTGGGTTCCCTGAAGATGGCTCTCTGCCGGCGCCGCAGTTCGCGTACTACTGCGGTGTGGGGGCAAGCAACGCGTTTGGCCGCCGCATCAGCGACGATCACTACAAGGCGTGCCTGTATGCCGGCATTCAAATCAGCGGCACGAACGGCGAAGTTGCCCCTGGTCAGTGGGAGTTCCAGGTAGGCCCGTGTGTGGGCATCGACTCTGGCGACCAACTGTGGATGGCGCGTTACATTCTGTCCCGAATTGCCGAGTACTATGGATATGACATTGATCTGTCGCCCAAACCGGTGGTCGGTGACTGGAACGGATCCGGAGCGCACACCAATTTCTCGACATTGCCTATGCGCAAATCCGGAGGCATCGAAGAGATCTACAAGGCAATCGAGCGTCTATCGCTGAAGCACAAGGAACACATCGCTATGTACGGGCAGGGCAATGAGAAACGTCTCACCGGTAAGCACGAGACAGCTTCCATAGAGTCGTTCTCCTGGGGCAAAGCCAGCCGTGCGGCGAGCGTTCGCGTCGGAAACGCCACCGTCGAGGAAGGCTGTGGCTATTTTGAGGATCGGCGGCCAGCGGCGAACATGGATCCCTATCTAGTGACCATGATGCTCGTATCGACCTGCTGTGAGATACCTATTGAGAAAATGCCGACGCCATAAATATGCATCAACATGCGGAGCTTGCACGGAAGGGGGTTTGGAGACTCGCATGGAAGCGGAGGATTGGGCTGAACGTTGGGCGCTGTTCAATATGACGACGGTTTGCTGTTGACGCTTTCGTCACGTTTGTAACAGTAGACGAACAGAAGGTAACAAATGGAATTGGTAAACGTCTGCATTCGCTCTGAACCAGCCAGGTAATTGGCCAGTCAATGTGTCAGTCTCCGGGTGGGAGACGGGTCTGCACCGGACGGGCGGAGCCATGGCGAACGCGGACACCACAACGGCGAGCTGCAGCCCGCTGCGACACCGGTGCATTACCGTCCATGGTGCAAGGGCGACGCATGGACTCGAGTTCCGCCCCAGGTACGAACACGTTCTACCACCAGTTGAGCGGCTGGTGGTCGTTACAGATCCGGTTCGCTCCGAAAGCTCCAAAGTTACGCTTCCTGATTCAGGTCGAGCACTGTGCCGTGGGATTTTGTTGGCGATCCGCCGTCGAAGGCGTCCTGTACGGTTGAGCAGCATCCCTGCACGTATTACACGCAGATGTTACAAACGCTCGTCGCCGCCAAGTGCGCACTTCTTTTGCGAATATCTCGAGAATCATCAGCATTGCTGGACTGCGAGTACGCGTGGGTACCCAGAGCGTTGGCCTGCTGTGCGCAGCGTATGGGCGCTTTGTCTGCCGGATCCGGAGGTTCCCCGAATACAGCCGATGGCGATTCGTGCAATTTCGACAAGCCATAACAAATGCCCCGAATTGCGGAATTCTAAATTTACGGAAGCGAGTCTTGGAATGAGGTACCAGCGTGGTCTCCAGTTACATGCAACCTTATCGACGCAAGCGTGCCAAAATGGTATAAAGAAACATCCATCGTCGATGATCGCGGGTCTCTCACACCGCTTTTCAAATACGACAGCGCAATCGCGTCCGCGAATCCATTCACATGCAACCGCGCTGCGCCGCGAGACGCCCAGCCAAGTCTTGTAATGCCGTCTCGAGAAAGCGGGCGAGTTCTGCATAGGTGACGATGAGGCGCGAGCGCCCATCCCTCGAATGCAACAGCATGTGCTCCTCGGTGCGCGCATTGAGTCGCCGCAGCTCGTCTCGGATGCGTTCAAGATCGAGATCAGTGCCGTGAAAGACCCGATCGCGAAAGAGTTTCAGGAGGTACCGATCACCGACTTCGGACCACTGCGGGTCGCCGACGACATCCGCACGTTCCGTGACGGCGGCAAGTTTAGAGGCAACCACGAAAAGGTCTCCATCGGTGAGCTGTTCCTGTGCAATGGTTTCCAGCGCATCACCATGGTTCAGCGCATGCTCGTACGGGGACCACACGCGCGTCACAAGGATTTGATTCCACGCATCCGATGAGATTTGCGCGGGATTGGCCAGCATCTGTAAAAACTTTTCAACATCGGCGGAGTAGAGCGCACGGATCGTCTCGATTGCTGCTCCAAGCGACCGCACTCTGCCTTCCCGAACCGCATGGGCATTCGAGCGGGCCGCCAGAGCCAGCAAGAGCTCGCTCAACGCTATCCAGTCTTGCTCCTGGTACTCGGGTACCCTGCTGAGTACCAGGTCCTCGTCATCGGGATCGAACGCAGCAGGTATCCCGAGCTTGTTCAGTTTTAGGCGATTTGGCGCAACGACGAGGACGTGGTGTGCCCCGATCGCGCCGTACGCGCTCAGATGATACTGCTGATGCAACGCCTGTACAGCGGACACCAGTTGCAGTGCGAGCACCCAAAAGAGCTCCTCCGACAGGCTTGGAGTTTCCCCCTGAAAATAATATTCGAGTACCGTTTTTGCTGTGGGATACATATCGTATACGAAAATGAGCTCTCGGTCCGTTGCGTGTCCGTCTGCCCCGCGGCCATTCGCGGGCATGCCTGCTTCGCTCCCGGACGCAGCACGTTGCCGATACAAGTCCAGTGCCGCGAACGCTTCCGTAGTGAACGCAGCTCGCAGCGCAACAATGTTCGGGTGACTGACCGCACTATAGCTCCGAAATGCTCGGACAACGCCGTCGGAGCGGGCTAGCATCGGTCCCAGATAGCGTCGGAGTGCGTAAGCTCGCCCGTTCTCGGCTGAGACGGCTTTGTACACCACGGCAGTGGCCGACGGGTTGGTTGTCGGCTCTAGCGGAAGCAGCGAGTGGTATTCGCTGACGTTGAAAGGCAAGAGTGCTGGCGGGTCCCGTACGCATCGAACGACGAGATCGCCAGCAAGTCGCCAACGGACTCGGAAGTCTTCTTCGAGGAAAGCGGTGAGCAGGGGTGTGTCTGCTGCCGCACGGGTGAGACGGCCACGCCTGGGCTTTCGTACACCGGCCGCCGTACCCCGTTCGTTCTGTTGTGTCGATGAAAATCCTTGAGCGGTTGGTCTCGCTGCGATCAGTCTCTCTCCCGAAAGTGTCAAGGCAGCCAAGTCTGGCTCAGTTGGTGCGTGCTCGGGTGCCCCAGACCCGGCAGGCACAAACTCCGCAGCGTCCACCGCGCTCGCGAGTTCGCTCTGACTGGTGTCCAGCGTTCCAGAAGAGCGTCCTCTCGTGTTTCTATTCCGCATGAAAGGGATCTATTGCTTACAAACGCAGAGAGTTCACTCTGACGGTGAACATGATCAAAACTGCTCGCTACCACGAAGTCCGGGGCTCACGCTGCCGCTACAGCAGAGCGCACCAGCGGCGCAGCAGCAGCAGCAGATCGTGGATGCGTGCGCGCAGGTGGCGCCCCGCCTCGAAGCATATACTCCATGAAAACGGAAGACTGAACTGCTCGCTGTGTTCCTGATATTCTTTTTCGTTTGTTTCCAAAGTTTTTTTTACTAGATACAAATCCACGACATACTCAGTGCAGTGATGAGGGACTAACGGACTCGTACGTAGATTTTGGATTTCCGGTGGTGTTTTCGGAGAGGCTCGTTCGATGTTTTGCCGCCGGAGTTCTGGACGTCACCGGGCTCAAGGTAATTCGGGAATTCATGGAATAAGGATTCGTAGAATAACCGATATCGCTATCCGATTCATTCGCACTAGCCTCAACGGTTGTCCCTTCCTTAAACGTAAGACGCTCGAATCACGCGCTCTTCAGATTACCGATCGATCTGTGTTGAAGCAACTCGCGCGCGCAGCAGTGCATGCCGTTTGGTTGACGACGAATACAAGTCGCTGTGCTCCCTTGGCGACTTGTTCACAAGCTCATGTCGTGTGTTCGTTGAACTTGTTATGTCTAATACTAGATTAAGTTCGGAAAACCAATCCTTTCCTCGTTGTGGCCTTCCGCCAAGCGGTGCGCATCAGCAGCATGATACCTTTTAAAAAATATGCTCACGGAGGCTGTCGTCTCTTCTTTTTACGTGGATGAGGGTCTTGGGCTCAGACTTTAGTCACTGTAGCGATCCCTTCGAGTCGAGATCGTCGCAGGATCGAAATTTCTAGGCTTGAACTCCGGCCTGGATTCTCCTTCCGCTTCTTGTTCTATCATGCACAACATCGCATGCCACAAACCTTTTATCGAAAGGAAGAGCGTACGCCTGTGCATGCAGCGAATGCAAAACTCGCCGAGGGGACCACGAAGAAAAAACCCGTGATTCCATTTTTTTCAATTTTTTACAAAACGTTTACCCTGGTCGGTGATCCATCTACTTTCAAGTTCCATTACCCATACGTCTTCTTGCATATGCTGGTTGTTTCGTAGGTTCTATCGTGCGCGGTGGCTCCCGCTAGCGCCCACTGTAGCGCCTATTGCGTCGGTGCGGTCATAGCACGTAGACAGAACAGCCTAGGCTTACCATTGAACACGCTGCGACCAGGGCGATGCCCAGACGCAGCCTAGCTACCTTCACTCCCAGAATAAACTGCGTTGCGGACGAGTTGCTCAGATTTCACTAAAACACCTGCCACTGCTGAGTCGAACGGAGCACGAGCCTGGCAGACTCGCCCGGCTCGCGTGATCTTCTACCTATTACGTAAAATTTTTCCAATTCGGAAACCTTTTCTCTCCATTCGCGTTTTTTGTAGAGGGGCAAAGCAAGATACTTATATGCTCGTGAACCGTACGTCTGTGTTCTTTATTTTAAATAGCGCGCTCGATACGCGCACCTGGGCGATCAGGCCGTCACGAGATACGGCGCGAATATAGCCGTTGAAGGGAAACGCGACTAGGACAACGCGTTTTCCTGGTAGGGGACATGAGACTCCAGATTAGGTGCGCGCACTGTTGCTGGGGGCCTTGGCGAACGTATGACAACGGCATCGCATGGCGAAATAAAGTGTGTAGATCCAACGAACAAGTTGGATTCGCGATGTAGTCGTAGCAAGGCATAGTTTTCGGTTCATTCGTGTTTCAAACCTCAAACAAGTGTATTCAAGTGTTTTTTCCCACTATATGACATAAGCGTTCAAAAAGCGTTCTTTTTCAAAAAAAAAATAAAAAAGGAAAAGTTATCAAAATGCAAGTCGACGATCCTGGAGGCCAGGTGTCGCTGGCTGCCAGAAAAAAAAACAAAAAACAGTACCGAGTCCAGAAGAACGGGAGAAGACGAAGAAGCAAAGGTAGGAGGTCCTACGTCAAAGGCTGCAAGAAAGACGACACTATAACGAGCTGGTTGTGAAAGCCTGTCTTCTTGGACAGATCAAGGTTCCGTGCAAGAAAAAGTTATGAGGTGCCATTCGAAACCGTTTTGAGCCGAACTCCATGACTGTAATAAACGCGTCGTCAGGACTGATGCATTTGGCGAAGGAGATGTATCGCGACGTGACGCACATGGAAACGGTCGAGATTCCGGACGAGTTCTTCGACTTGACCTTTATTCGTCACCTGATGCTTGCTACAGAGGAAACGCGAAAGGAAATGAGCGGGTTGACGCCCTCCACGAAAAACATCCCTTTTACAGCTTCAACGGTACTCGATACAGGGATGATCGTCATATTTACATATACGGAACGATGAAGTACATCACGAACCTGAAGAACCATTCGACTATGAACCTCGAACGTTTCATGATACGCACCGTGTTTGCACGATACCCGTGCATCTCTCGCAAAGGAATATGGGCGATTATCACTGGCATCACGAACGATCGCAAGCATGAAGATGAGATCGATTTTGTCGACAAGAAGGCGCCAAACGAGAGCACGAATGAAGCTTCTGTAATCCGTGCGGTTGTACAAGAGCACTGTCCAGTCTTGGGGATGCCGACTCCAGCAGAAAAGGCATCAGATATGAAAAAAAGATGATAAAAGATGTTATCACCTCATCCTGCTCTATTTCGTATTCCTGAATCGAGAACTCGAACGCAAGGCGGAGATGAAGCTGAGAGAGGAAAACATGAAGAGTGGGAGGGACGGAAGGCTCTCCTAATGGGTAAGCGCTTCAATGGCGTTCTGTTGTGCACCATCAAGTCACATTTTGTGAGTATCGACTCCAGAATCCTTTACGGCATCATGAAGGAGATCTGTCCGAACTTCGATGTTAGTGGGGAGGGCTTCACCGGTGAAAACCGGGAGACGTACTGGAAGCATATCTTCGATTTCAAACGTCTCAAAGTGAGCAAACAAAAGTACTCACTGGGACGATCGAAACCGATGGAGTAGCCATGTGTGTACACTATCGGCGGTTGAAGAAAGATCGTCCAGTTCCGCCCTCGGCTGCGCCCGTGACGAAGGATGAAGATGAGAAGGAGTCGGATCCTGCGACGCAGAAGGTGCAGCATAACGACTTTGTCGTTGGCGCGGCGAAGCAGGGAGAAAAGAAGGAGGCGGATCCTGCGATGCAGAAATTGCAGGATAACGACTTTGTGGTAGGCGCGGACCCCGGGAACACGAGTATCATAGCCATCTCAGTACCCAAGCGTGCGGAAGATGGCATTGACGGCAACTTGTGTCAGAAAGACATGCGACTTTTGAGGTTCTCGAGAGCCAGGTACTATCGAGAATCCGGTATCATGAATGCGAGGAAGAAAACTGAGGCATGAAATGCAGGAATGAAGGATCACCTGGAAGCTATGAGCGAGATGACGAGCCGCGGAGCGGACTTTCAAGCTTTTCGGGAGTTCATGGGAGGTCCGCGTTGCTCACTGGTATGCGCTGTGAAAAGAGTAGACCAAGCCCCGGTGGGCTCTTCTGTGTGTGAATCTGTACTGTGGGAAGCAGCGTGCATTCGCGAACTTTTTCAATGAGTAGAGTGCCCTCAAAGAGGATGAAAGTCAGAGGCTGGTAGTGGCGCATTGAGCAGGGCGCTGGAAGACCCAAAAAGGGACTACGCCAGCTCCAACGACAAGAACATACAAAGAGTGCGCACGGCGTTTCGTTACAATACCTGTAGATGAGTTCCGAACATCGCATATACACCATGAGGTTGGGGGGGGGGGGGGTGCACACTTCAGAGAGTGGAGATGGAAAAGTGCCAGCGGAACCCTTAACATATGAAAAAGTACAGAGCGCTGACGGAAGAGCAAATGGAAAGGAGGGCGAACGTTCGTGGACTCCTTGCACTAGTAAGTACAACTACCAACGGCAATAAACGGATGGAGTTCGTGAACAGAGACTTTAACGCAGTTATCAATGTAAGGAGATATGCGGTGATGGAACAGAGACCTCCAGAGTCGACACGAGAGAATTTTGTTGGACAACCTCTTAAGGTTTAACTATATGAGAAAAAATGGAAGCAGTAGTAGGTGGCCGGTCGAAAAAAACTGGTAGGCGTCTGCACATCAGTCGGAGACTTCTTGTCTAGGGCGCAGGTCACCAGTACTGTATACCGCCGGTGGCAACGTTTTTCTTTTGAAAGGCGTTCGCTAGCAGCGTCCGAGGAAGTAGCAACCGCAGCGCGGTAGGCGTCAAGCCTGGTGGACGGGTCGAATGACTGCCGCAGTTTCACCACTGGCCGGCGACGGAGGCTTTAAGGATCTCGAATGTGACGAACCTTGTACAGCGATATGTTTTACGGGAGAAGATTCCGTTCTTCTCGCCGGTCTGGTGGACGGAAGCGTGTGCACCTGGCGAACGTCTAGCGAAAACCTCCTCTGGAAAGGTGCTTTCCAGGAGCAAACCCACGCCTCCGTTCGGGTCGTTGTGGGAGGCCCACGACGGCGACTCGCTGCACTCGGTTTCTCAGACGGCGCTTTGGCTCTTGTGGACGTGGAAGCGTGTTGTTATCCGTGGAATATGCGACTGCCCCGCCGACGAGCTCGAGATTCCGTGACTGCCGCCGCTTTTCTGTCGCATGACGGCAGCGGAGCTGCGGATGACGCACAAGTCCTGGTATGTGGCACAGACCATGGTCGATTGCACTTCATTGATGTGCGGTTGAGTGAATCCTCGAACCCCGTGGTCTCCGTCCATAAACAAGAAGACTACATTTCAGACATTTGCACGGCAGGTTTCGAGCAGCCCCGGGAGGGCACTGCCTGCTGTCTGTTAAGCGCTTCAGGCGATGGTACCCTCGCGATCTATGATTGCAGGATGGGCAGCGAAGGCCAAAGAGTAGTTCGGCGTGCATTGTCCACGGCCTCGAATGACGAACTCTTGACCGTCGCGATGTTCGATAACTGCCGGCAGGTCGTCTGCGGAACCCAGCGTGGATTCGTGGACGTAATACAGTGGGGAAAATGGGACCAGCTTGCTTATCGTTTGCGGATACATCCGACTACAGTGAATACAGTGGTGTCCTTGGATGCACGGCTTGCGTTGACGGGTGCTGATGATGGCGTCATTCGAGTCGTTCCCGTCGTTCCACAACCTACTGCGGAGGTTTTGGGTGAGAATTTTGAAGGCATGCCGGTTGAGGCTCTGGCCTTAAATGCGTCTCGCGAGCGGCTCGCAAGCTGTGGTCACTCAGATGTGATTCGGGTGTGGCACATCGCGAAGCACCTCAATACGGTCGCGCGTGATGGGTGCGCTCACAGCCGCGGGCATCCGATGGCATGCGAATGTCGTGGTTCGGATTCGGAGTGTTCTGGTTCGATATCATCTCCGGAGGATCACGGTGCCTCGGCACGTATTGAAGCGCCGCGCGTGAGCAAGAAAAGGCGGCGGAAGCACGAACATGTTCCTTCATCCGACGCATTCTTCGGCGACCTTCTGTGAGGCAACTCGATCGGATCAGAGTGCATTCGTCATGAAGATGAAATACGGCACTAGGCGGATGACGACGGATATAATGCGAGCGGTTTGGCACCTCTGGACTACCGGGGAATGCTTTCCATGTGTAATCTCTTCGCACGAAACAATGCAGCGAAAAGTCAGAGTGTCACACTGCGCGGTTAGGAGAACGCTGCGCGAAATCGCTGGTGCGCGCCGTCCACGAACGGGTGCTGCATGCTGCGGATACATGCGCGACTTCCGCAACGAGGCGCTGGATGACGCTCGTCCTTGTTTTGCTTCGCTTTTGGCAGGAGACGCGTAAGTCTCGCATCGACGGACCGCTGGGCGTGCATCCCCAGGAACCGGACGGGCGCATGCGAGCCAACGTGGACATCAGCCCGCGAGATAGATCGCGTGCGTCGACGAGCGGAATAAAGCCTGCAAGTACACCAGCACACTTGTTCATGAAGAAGCGTATACGTGCGTATACGCGTGAGCGACGGCCTGTTGACGCGCACTGGTGCACACCCGTGGGCCCCATACTCGCTGACACGAGCGTACAGCGATACACCTCTGGTGTGTGTGTTTGTATGTGTGGCACTGGGTACACGTCTCTGTTGGCCTCGACGTCTCCTAGTGTCCGTTCCCGCACGTACAAGCACGATCGCAGCGTTTCGACTCGTGCACACACATATCGCTAGCACGACATGCTTGCCTAGAACACAGTTCATAGCTGCCCATTCCCTGATCGTTGGCGTATGTTTGCAAAGCGGCGCATCGCATGACATTGCATCATAACGCACAGGGCGTTGCGCGATGATAATGACACGTCTCCGACCGAGACAACCCGGTACGCTGTACTGCGTCGCGCCTGCAAAGCGATGAATACTGAATCCTGAGTCATGAGTCATGAACGATGCGACGCCACCATCAGCGATCGATCGATTGATTTGACATAGTGTGGCGCTGCGTGCGCGCGATGCGACGCCATCATCACCGATCGATCGATTGATTTGACGTAGTGTGGCGCTGCGTGCGCGCGATGCGACGCCATCATCAGCGATCGATCGATTGATCTTTGATACTGAGCGCTGTCCTGCAGGTGCACACCGGCGCTGGTGATAGCCTTCTACTTGTGGTCGGTGTAGGTCTTCTTGTCGCCCGTTCGGAACAGTGTTGAAACTCATAAAAGGTGCACTGTGTTGGTGAGGCAAGTTACTGGGCAGCGCGACTCGGAAAGGTCCTTTGCGATGTGCCGTCTGCAGCTGCGGGGTGCCGGCTGACGAGAAGCGCTGCGCTCGCAGGATCGAGGCTGGCTACCTGGCCTTGTTTGCTGTTGACAGCTAGCCCTGCGGAACAGGCCTCTCGCGAGCGTGTGGGCGAGAGCTGTACCGGTGGTCGCGATACCGCGCTTGACAGTTCGAGGGCGCGTCTTGAGCGTGAGCGAGTGATCGAGTCAACGGGTCAATCAGGGTACACACCGCTATTGTCTGCTGCGCGGGACGCCTATTGAGTTGCAGGGGTAACCCGGAGTCGAACGGCATCAGACAGTCGTCAACCTTTCCCCAGCAGCAGCGGGCGTGCGAGCAGCACCGTGTCCCGGCACTCTGTCGGATTCCTCGCTCGGGAGGCGTTCGAATCGCACGCACCGCGCTTTGCCCCTGAGCGGCGTTTCCGCGCACATCCACAGACGCAGCGTGAAGCGCAATGGACGAACGCGACGTTCTTTGGGTAGGCGTCTGCGCAATGCCGAAGAAAGTCGAGTCTGAGCCGATGCAGCGAATCCTCGCTGCGCTCACCTCGAGCCGCGTTGCGCACTTCGAGCCGATGATCTTCGATGCGAAGACGCTGTTTGAGCGGCCGATCCACAAGTGGCCTGTGTGCGATGCGTTAATTGCGTTCCACTCGGAGGGCTTCCCGCTGGAGCGTGCCATAGCGTACGCGGAACTACGGCGCCCGTACTGCTTGAACGGCCTGCGCGAGCAGCGGATGCTGCTGGACCGGTCCAAGGTGTACGAGGTGCTGGCACGTGAGCGAGTGCCAGTCCCGCGGCACATTGTTGTGCGCCACGACGGAGCCGATGTTGGCCGGACGGATACGCGATTTGTCGAGCACGACGACTACATTGAGTACTGCGGAGAGCGGCTGTTCAAGCCGTTTGTGGAGAAGCCGATTGACGCGGAGGACCACCGGGTATGCATCTACTACGCACGGCCCTTGTACGGGCGCCGGCGGCTATTTCGGAAGACGGCGAATCAGAGCTCTGTGTTTGAGCCCGGGTGGCGCCGTGTCCGTCGCGAGGGCGCCTTCATATACGAGGAGTTTATCCCGAGCGAGCACCAGAGCGACATCAAGGTTTACGCTGTTGGGCCGGAGTACGCGTACGCGGAGCGGCGAAAGTCACCCGTGGTGGACGGTATCGTTGAGCGGAACGCGCACGGCAAGGAGCTGCGATTCCCTGTTGAACTGAGCACCGCGGAGCGCTGCGTGGCGGCGACGATCACGGCGGCTTTCCGGCAGTTTGTGTGCGGCTTTGATCTCATTCGGCACGCCGACGGCAATGCTTTCTATGTGAACGACGTGAATGGCTTCAGCTTTGTGAAGGGATCCCAGTCCTACTATGAGTCTTGCGGGCGTATACTGGCGGAGCATCTAGCCCGCGAGTGTGCGCGAAGCGCTGCGGTGGATGGCGAGTGACCTCGCAGTGCCCAGCGCTGCAGCGCATCGGACGGGAGCACGCCCTAACGCCGAGTCGGCTCGAAATGCTGCGTGGGATAGACGATTTCGTATAAAGTTCTCCCAAATCTACGGAAGCGACTCTAGCACGGATTGAGGCTTCGAAGCGGCGCGACAGCCGCGGGGAAACGATATCCCGAATGTGTGTTGGGGGCCTCATGCGTTCGGCAAGCCCGTTTTTATGGTGAAAAGGCGATCATGCGAGACAGCATTCCAAAACAGCTTGTCCAGAATTACTCGGTGGACAGCGCACCATGGACCGGGCACCGCTCCATGAGACTCATCTGTCTTCTACACCGAGCAACGTCTCGAGCTTGGTGATCCATTCGACCGGCAGCATTGATCCTCTGCAATATGCGTGGTGTAAACCCTGGTCACGATCGTAGCTGCACTACTTCGAAGCAGCAGCCGCGTGCACGTTTCGCGCCCGTCTGCAAACATCATCGACAAATCGTGATGTCTGCGCTTGATTGCCACCCATGGCTCCGTGCGAATGTTGCCTGCCTTGACAGCGCATTTCAATCTGAACGCAGCACATGTTGCGTGCTCGAATCAATTGCTGGTTGAGCACAACTTTGATCAGCCTGTGCGCCACTGTGAAGCGGACCAGCCGCTTAAAGCACTTCCATTGCCAACTGTCCGGAACTGCATCGACTCGCCACACGCTCACTGCAAGGTTCCAGCGCTTGAACCGCGGTATGCGGAGCTTTTGCTCGTCCAGCGGCTTGTGTGGCAGCTTCGTGCTGCATCCTGTAGAGGATGATCGCGGTCGGAATGCTCGAGACGACCCTCGTGCTGAGGCACTGCGAGCATCACCCAGCGTCCGTTGAGGGCGTCCCTGTGCATTTGCATTGGCACACAGCTCAGACTCGCGAATGACTGTCCGTTTCCGTGTCTTAGAAAAGCAGCTTCTTGCTCTCCTTGCCAGCGGGCCGCTTGCCTTGCATCACATTTTTCACAACACCCATTTCAACAGCAGTTTTTGCCCAATCGACTGCTAAGTTGTCTGGGCCCATGGCGCGTGCACGTGCCTGTTCCTCACTAAGGCAGGTGAGCACTCCGAAAACAATAGGGACAGCGGTGGTCATCTGCAGCTGCATGATGGCAGCGCTCGCCTTGTCCGCGATAACGTCGAAGTGGGTTGTCTCTCCCTTGATCAGGCAGCCTAAACAAACGACAGCGTCAACGCGCTGCGTCTCAATCATGAGCCGCGCCCCAAGCGGTAGTTCAAAAGCACCGGGTACTTCCAACTCCACTATATTTTCCGGGGAGACTTTGCACTCCCGAAGCGTCCTTTTCGCGCCTTCCAGAAGCGAACCTGTGATCTCCTCGTTCCAGCGCGAGCGAACCAGACCGATGCGGAGGTCGGACCCGTCCAGCGTGTCAGAGAAAGTGACCCTTTTCGTGGCACTCTGAAGGCCTAGGGCATTGTTGTGCCTTATAGACTCGGTACGGTGAGTGGGTCCTGCTTGGAAGCGCTTGCTACACGCGCATCGGTTGCTGTACGCGGTCACCCAGTCGAACTGCGACGTTCTTTGCGAGACCCTACTAGCAAGGTGAGCCCGCCGAGTGATAAACGAAGAACTGAACACAAACATTATCCAAGCTCGCCTCTTAACAGTTTCTGCGTAACTAGGGACGCTCTTTTCGGACCACCTCGCTTGTGGACGAGTGCGAGAGCGTTCGGCAGACGTCCTCACTGGCGCCGGTGTCGGTCGCTCAGGTGCCAGCTGCGCTGAGCGCCCGATCCAATCAAGCAGGCGCACGGCACAGAAGAAAGGTGACGTTCAGCAATGCGTCGGCGATTCCAGCACCTCCTCAAACGTGAAAGCGAAGCGCTTGCGCACATAAAAGCATCGATGATGTGTTCCACGTATGCGATAGATGGGCCTTACGCATACCAAGCGGCGTCAAAGCAAGGATCGTTCGCGTTTACGACTAAACACAGTGGTAAAGTGTCGTAGCCATGAGGCGCAGCTGTCGCCTCCGTGCGCATTCGTTCCCGCAACGCAACGATGGCGACAGCACACCTACGATAGCAATGCAGGTCTCCATTATCACAGCGCATGGGCTTGTGCAAACTTCACGCCTGCCCCATGCCGACCTCAGATAGCGCCTGTCTCCTAAGCAGAGCGCTCCACCGAAGCAGCGCACGCTGAACAACACAACAAAGTAGCAGCAACCAGTTCGCGCCTCAGATACAGTGCCTACCCTACTTTGGCGATATCAACGCAAACGAAGATGCCTGCGCGCGCAAATGCACGGACACACGCACACGGATGCGCCGCAACGTGTGCCCTCACGCGTGCGCATTGCCGTGCAGCGATGGTGCGTGTCCGATGAGCGCGTGAACGCCGCACGATCCGCGATTCGAATCTACCGGAATGACGTGCACGCAGCGGTACGCACGCGTGCCGGCTCGATGCGCCTTATTTCTTGGTGATTCGCGAGCGCCCTCGTTCGAGCAGTCGGCACGATGCTCGCCCAGCTGCACGCCGATCACTCAAACGAACAGTCAGTGGGGGTTCTGCGCGCGCGCTGCGGCTGCGGCCCCCGAGTGCCATCTCCGAGGCGCAAAGCGCGGCGATCGCTGCATGCCCGTCCGAGCACCGTGCCGTGTCACGCACATGCGGCGACTGCTGCGCCAACGACATTCAAGAAGCGACTGGAGCAACTGTTCCAGCAGCAGCAGTAGTTGCAATGCCTATCACTTGTTGCACGCAAAGGTCATATCCGCCTCGACGGCAAGTTCGCCATCGACGTAGCCTCGCCCGCGGCACTTGGCGATGCCAAAGCGCTTGCGTAGCGCCATCACCTGGCACTCCATCACGAGCACGTCACCCGGACGCACCGGCCGCCGCCAGCGCAGGTTCTCCACCGAGGCAAACAGAAACAGCCTCCCAGGCTCGCTGTCTGGACCGCTCAACAGCATAAGGCCGCAGCACTGCGCGAGCGCCTCGAGCTGCAGCACACCAGGCATAATCTTGGCAGACGGGAAGTGGCCCTCGAAGAACTGCTCGTTGTACGTGACGTTCTTCACCGCCACGATCCGCTGCTCGGCCGCACACTCCAAAACCTTGTCCACCAGTAGAAACGGGTAGCGGTGCGGGAGCACGCGCTCAATGGCCTCGGCGTCCAGCACCGCTGCAGGCAGCGCAGAGCGCCGCGACAGCTCCGCTGCGTCCGTGGGCGTCGACGGCGCCGGCACTGCACTCGTCGCGCTGGGCGCTCCGCCGTTCGCAGCCACCTGCTCGGCGCTGGCGCGTGGCCCGCACCACCGCCGCTGGCGCGGCTGTGCGCGTACACCGCAGTCAGCCTGGGCAGCGCTCGTCCTCTGGTACGGTCGCAGTAGCAGCACCAGCGGCGGCTGCAGCCTCGCAGTGGCGCCGAGGCAGACCTCTCGGCAGTTGCGCCTACGAGCGAGCAAGACGCTGTCTGCTCGTCCAGTTGAACAGAGAAACATGTACGAGGCCTATGTTGGAGCAACACACTGTATAATCGAGGGTGTTGCGCACAAGCCTAGCGGTGCTCAAATACTGAATACGTGTGCATACCCAAAATCGCAGGCGATAAGTGTCGGTCGATGCGCGTCACGCAATACGCGCCATGCGATCTGCGCAGTGCGATGTGCGTAGGTCGATACGCATAGTGCGATGTGCGCAGTGCAATGCGTGTAGGTCGATACGCGCAGTGCGATGCGTGTAGTGCGATGCGTGTAGGTCGATACGCGCAGTGCGATGCGTGTAGTGCGATGCGCTCATGCAGCCTCGACAGCAGAGGCGCTGAACACTGTCAGCGGCGCTGATACTAGCCTTCGCAATCAACTGCATACCAATGCTGGTCATCAGGAACGATGCGCTGGCTGCTCGCAGCGTCAAGTGCTCCTGGCCGGCACCGAGCTGCTGGCGAGCATCCGTGCGCGCGCGCAGTCGACCGCCGCGACGCCACCGAGGCCTGCCAATGTCCAAGTTCCAGACGCGCCGCTCAGGAGAACGCGGCCTCCAGCAACGTCCGAACCTCCCCTGGGGGCACAGATACGGGACCCCGCGGCACACGCGCCTCGCCGGAAGGCAGGTCCATGCGAGCGCCCACCGCGCCACCTCTGGTGACGGATACCGCTCCAGGAACAGGAAGCGATGGGGTTGCGGCACGCGTAGCAGCGCAGCGGATCCATTTTTAGGCTCGTGCTTGTGAATGCGCTCCCGAGACGCCGACGAGTGCCTCTGAACTGCATGCAGTCGATGTGCTTGCGCGCTGCCAACCTGCTCCCGAGTCGACAGCAACGCCAATCCTCTGGCTGGAAAGCAGCGCACTCGGGGCGAGGTATTCCAGCGGCAGAAGCGTGTGCCTGCATAGCGCCGTTGCTGCAGGCGCGACACCGCTGCGCCGAATCGCCCACTGTGCTGATGCCGGTCCCGCTGCAGTCCTGCGCTTCGAAAAATGCGCCCAGCCTCATCTTTGATGCCGTTCCTCATGAGCGAGTGCGACCAGAGATAGCACTGCACGTCACCGCAAGAAACATCACTGCATTGGCCTGCTGCACGAAAATCAGCCAAAATCGCGCACAATCCGCGTCGCTACACCATTTGCGGACTCCACGCGTGCCTTGGGTTCTGGAAATGTGCATGCTACGCGCCGAGGCATCCAGGTCAGCGCTGGCAAAGGCCTGCGAACCAACCGACAGCCGGTGCTACAAACGTGGGCGCAGGTCGCTCATGGGCATGCGCTCGCGTTCGTGACGCTTCTCATTCGGTGTCGCGCGCTGCTCGTCATCGCGCACACGTTCTCGCGTAACCGATGGAGGCGTGGATCGCAGCTCGCCATCACCGTAGTCGACAGCGAACAGCTCCCGCTCCACGAGTGTCGCTCGCCAGGGCATGGGCGCTATGGACCACAGGCCAAGCACGCTGCGATCGGCGCGGAGGCCTCGCCCCTGAAGCTCCTCGTGCCGCACAGGCGTCGTGTAACGACCGATCGTAACCAGGAGACCACTCCCGTCGGAGAGGCCGTAAACGCCCTGCACCATGGCCTTTCCGTACGTGTGGTCTGGCGCGAAACCCACACTTACGAGCGTAGCTCTGCAATAGTCTCGAAGAGCGCCCGCAAGGATCTCACTAGCACTCGCAGTTTCATGGTCTATGAGGACGACTAAAGGCAGCTGCTGGGCGACTGCCAGCGCTTGATTCGGTTCCCGACTCGAGATCGGTATGACGTCGCCATGACTACCTTCAAACAGTGCGACGGGTACGGAACCGCCGAGAAAGAGGCCAGCAAGATCCAGGGCCTCCTCCAGAGATCCGCCGTGATTCCTCCTCAGGTCCAGCACCAGGCGATCGATCGAATCGACGACGCTGCTCGCATGCGCTACTGATCCGGTCTGGCTAATCCCCAAAAGATGTGACAAGGCTGCCTCCATCTGAGGCAATGTCGATGCATTGAATTCGTGCACGCGGATGATACCCGTATCCCCGAGACGTTCGTAGTCTACGCTGTTCTCGAGAGACGATCTCGATGAAATGCGATACTCGCGAACAAGTTCGATCGGTCCGCGACCCCGGATCTGCAGCACGACTTTGCCACCATCAGCTCCCTGCATAAGCGCCGCGGCTTCAAAGGGTGCAACTCGCCCGCCACGTACATCGACACCGTTGATAGAATCGACGACATCGCCGATCGCGAGGTCGGCCTTGGCGGCTGGTGTGCCCGCAATCGGAGGGCTCGCAACATACAAGTCACCTTCCGCTACGGGCACTCTTGGGATGACGCCAAGTTCGAGCTGCTCCCGTGAGGCGCCGGAGTGCGTCGCCCTGCTCACATCGTTATCCGCTGCCCGCAGGAGAAGTCCCAGCCCCGTTGTATCGAAACGCATGAGTTGTGCGAACTTTTCCGGGCCTAGCATCCGCGTATAACGATCATGCAGCGGCCGAATGAAATACTCCTCGATTCTCTGATGCGCTGTCATGAAATCCGTTGGCGGGAGAGGCTTCAACGCTGAATCCAGCCAGCTCCGCTGCAAGCGATCACCCTGAATATGGTTCTCCCTAAGAATACCGTATGCTTCGTACACGACGCGCACCGGTGCCGAAACAACTTTCTCTGGTGGGAGCGCAGAGCTCTCAACAACTCGAGACCAAAACACGAGGGTAACGAAGAGCACACACGCGACGCCTCTCTGGAGATGTCGCCACAGAGCGAGGTCTGTTCGGCTTTGACTCCAGTTGACTGCGCTGCTCGCGGTCTGCACTGGAGATCGTGCCCCTACGCGACTTTCAGGAGGCGTCCTTCGCTCACATAGGCCCAATTGGAAAGCCTTCGCCGTACTTGGGGCGCACTTTTTCCACGAAGCAAACTCCCGTCGCGTAACGCCGCCTAGTGACCGCGGACTCTGGCAAGGTTTGCTGTGCACGAACCAGCGCGTACTTGTCTTCGTTAGACGAGTGCGCGTGTTGTCTCTCTGCGAACGCAGTCTGACCTTTGTGGTTCCGTCGAGCGGCCAAACATCGGGAACCGCCGCAAACAGGCCCCCAATCATGACCCCAGAGGCTGCGGGACCCTAGCTGCTTCGTGCCCCAGGATGCACGGAGACTCACCCTGACGATCGAGCGCTGCAGCATCAGGCGCACTGAGCGCGCCTCGGGTCCGTTCCTGCTCCGAGGAACGCTGCGGCCAGATACATCGCTACAGCACACTAGATATGTAAAAAACTGTATGTCAGAAGTTCCGCAACTGACTCTTATATTGAGACTCCTGAAGCGTGCGCTCAAGTACCAATGCATCAGAAGCCTCGATGCGGTTTGTTGCTGGATGAGAGATCCGGCTGAAGAATCGTTGATGGTGAAGGCAATCTCGGGCGCCTGCGCTGTAACAGGACTTGTGCAATTCTTCTTGAGGGGCAGAAGCGAACGAGCGCCAGCGGAACACGCCACGTGAGTTTCGCTGGACCCTCGGTGCATACCGCTGCGGCCGCTGTTAGGTCAAACTGAATGCGAACCCGTTGCACCGGCCACGCCCTGAACAGAACCATGGGACGGCACGGTGTTCGCCACTTCTCATTCCGTATGCATCGGACAACGCGCGCGCAGTTGCCAATGATATCGATGTCGAGCGCACCTGTCGTGAGCATCCAGGTCCCAGTGCCAGCGTTTCACTCTCGTTTCCGAACCAGCGGAAGGAACCAGAATCGACTCGTCCCGCTGTTGTCTACGCTGGTGCTTGCTATGTTGGTCAGCTTCGATTGCCACAGCCGGAGGCTGTGCTTGGCTTGACACCGCGCCTCAGCGACAGCGCTGGATCACGGATTGCTTCCAGTGCTGTGCTGAATCTTCGATCCAGCGAATCCGCAGCTTGCCGTACGGGCATCCCGTGCATTTGCGCGGGAGCATGGCCTGCACACTGCGACCTAAGCTAGGCATTCGCGCAGCCCCGGGGCGCATCACTCGGCATAGAGCGCGTGGCAGCATGAGGCTCTGCGGGATGAAGAGCGCAGTGCGCCCGCTGTTGCAGTCAGAGATGCAAAAAATTTTCGCAAAACGATAAACGTTTCTCAACCATGGAGGGTAAGGATATCTACCCACGCGCAGACGTCTCCCAGCCTTTTTTTGGCCGGCCGACTCTTGTTGGCCTCAGTTTCCTTCCAGGCACACCTCGAGCCGGAGAGGCTGCCTCACGTAGTGAGATCGCGTCTGCCCCGCGCGTCTCGTATTCGGTACCACACATGGTTTGCTATCGATGACGGCGTTGAAGTGTCGGTCGACGAACTCCATGCGTACAGCGACGTTGGTGGAACTCAGCATCGGAAGGATACCTAGAACTCGTGTCCTTTTTGTTATTTCAGTCTCGTCTATCTCGTCTATTGTTCTTCTTCGTTACTTGCTTTTCTTTGCCCGACGGTCGACGAGAACAGCATTTTCCGCTTTTATTTGCCTGGCACTCGGCGATGGCAGGCGCCAGGATCCCCAACGTTAATATCCATACCTTTCCCATAGATTTTTTTTCATTTTGAAACCATACGCACTGCGAACGCATCTACTGTGAACAGCGAAAGCGCATCGGATGATACGCACCTGGGCGCGGAACAGAACTGAGATGAAATGCTTGAGCGAGACCTCCGCGCGCGCGACTCGTAGCTGACGTTTTGAATTCGATTGCCTCGTGGAACGAGATTCGCACGCTGCTCCCTACCATCAACCAGCACTCACTACCGAGATAACAGTTAAGAATGCTGCTTTATACCCAACGTGCCCACTTTCTGACGAACAAAGGGTTCCTTTGTGCTAGCACACAGCGCTTGTCTATGGGGCTGTTGGCGAATAAGAATCGGATTGGTTCAAACAACACCACAAAGACCCAGCTGCACGCACCCGGTCGGGAGAGTCTCCTTCGTAACCTTGGTTATGTGGCGACCTGGCAGTTTGTTTTGGTCGGGGCAAGTCTCCTGCTTGTGCCGCAACTCTACGCAAAGTGGGCTGGTGGGGCCGCTGCCGGGGAACTCGGGGCGACGAGGCTCGTCGCAGGAGCGAACTTGACTGCCGCGCTTGTTATGCACAAGCGCACCACTGCGAGCGAGGTTAGCAACGGGTTTGGGGTGCTCGCGCCTTTCCTCGTCCTGGACGCGTACCAGGTTGTCTCACTTGTTCTCGCACGGGCTACCTTATCTCCGCTGGGATACGTCTTAGGAGGTCTTAAAGTCGCGGAGGCTGGGGTCGGCATCGCGAACTGGGTTCAGCGTCTCAAGAAAAACTAGTTGGACAGTATGCCAGTTCGTTTGCGTGCATGTCGCAGATTTCGAATGATTTCACGTATTTCAAAGCTAATAGAATTCACTAGAGTAAATGCCGGGAATGCTAGCATTTTCTTCAGTGTTTATACCTGTTCGGTACCGGATCCATCACACGGCATGTAGGTCGCTAGAGCCTCTGCCGTGTCAGCGCCACTGACTGGGACGCCTGCGAGGCTGATTTCCATTCGAGGTCGCGCGCCAGTTTTCGCGGAAATGCCTTAGCGTTCCCCGGGTGTCTGACATTAGAGGCACTACATAAGGCCCCAGCGGCTTTCACCACTGCATCATCATTGTTTGCTCTGCTCAAGTCGTCCACCAGCGCGCGAACATGCTTTCATGTTCGTCCTCTGGGGCATGTGGTTTAAGTGCGCCCGCGGATTCAGCGGGATTCGTGCGCACCACAACCAGTGTGTGAGCGCCGAATCTTCTGGGGCGTTCACGGATGTCCGCGGCAGGCGTCTTTTTCAGGGTCGCCGCCCTATTTGCATGCACGGTACTGTCGTCACGCAGACAGCGCTCTGCAAAGCAAAGTCATGCTGCAGAGTACAGCGGCCGTCAGACAGTGGCGAACCCCGCGTCCAACAGAGTCAAACGACGAAAAGAACACGATACGACGGGTTTCAATCGCGGGGCGCTTCGCTGACTTCCGACGGGTGCTCCACAAGCAACGCCCACAACAGCCAACTCGCGAACGACGCGAGGTCTCTGGGTCCGGGCACAAGATGCTCGAGATGCGCGGACGCTCTGCTCGGTGGATCGGCGCTCGTGACCATGGAATTTTCCAAACTTTCACTTGTTTCTATTCCAGCTGTGATCGCGCTCGACAGAGCGTCCATCGGGAGCGAAAATGCGTGGTTGCATTCAGAGCATTCTGCTACGTTTCAAACAAGCACCTATTTGGACGCTCTCAAGCCTCCAGCGTCAAAGGAAACCGCGTATCCAGCCCTGATTCGAGTTCGTCCCGAGCACATCACAGTATCCCGTTTTAACATCGAACAACCTCGAGTAACACAACCACAAATCCATAAACACCTGTTTCGTACAGACTTTTGGAACGTTTCGAGCACCACGTGTGCATGGACCGGCACAGGAGCACGACTTGCCGATGGCGGTTCGTACGGTTTTTTTTTTTCCGATGACGAAACGTTTACATTGACCATGTATCGCAGAATTTGGGATGGATAATGGCTTTGGGGAAAGCGTCCATGATGAAGGACCTACCTTCAAGTTCCATGACCCAGACTCGATTCGAACGATGCATCGGCAGCCTGCGTATGCGCATGGAGGCGGTTCGATCTGAGCGCGCTGCAAGTCCACCCCCATGGGTGTCCCATCCGAAAAATCTTCTTCGTGGAGACGCATCGTCGTTACGCTCTGCGACCTGACAGCTTACTTTTGGAGACACATTTCATAACTTTAAGCTGCGGATCTTTAGAAAAACGTCACGGGCTTTCTTGACAGAACGTATCTTGTCCTGCAACGTGCGCTGGTCGTGCCGGCTAGAGAAGGTCGGCGCTACTGCACAGCATACGATCAGATCGGTTGTTCGCTTGCGCTCCGTTCCTTCGCGTGCACGCTATGGAAACTGGTCCAACACATATGGGCAGAGGCCGTGCTCGCTGTGCTCCGGGCAACGGCGGAGCGCATGCAGTTCTGTTCGTTCCGGCTAGACACCTGTTGCGCGAGGAAAGAAAAGCACCAACGTCACCAAGAGTGGCGTGCTCGCGGTACCGCGACAGGAAGCTGCTTCAAATACGCTCCCTGCGTATGGAACAATCAAGCCAGCGACTGCCGAAAGGAAGGCTAGAGAACTTCTTCGTGCTACTCGGGAAACAGTGCGTGCGGGAGATCCGTGGCACCGTCGAAGCCGTTGCAGCTGCCACGACGCGGCAGGCGAAGACTCCGTCCGCGTCGCAGGCGCGTCTAGCGGAGCTCGCGATCTCCGACGAGCTCATCGCCAAACGCGAGAGCCTCCGGGAAAGTGCAACGCATTACCTGAAAGCGGCACCATGGCTTTCGAGAATGACCTATACTCTTTTGTGCCGCTTGATCGAAATGCTCTTTCGCGACAGACCCATCGAACGTTTTTGGTTTCTGGAAATGGTTGCTCGCGTTCCCTACTTCTCTTTTCTATCAGTGTTGCATTTGTATGAATCGTTGGATCTTGCTCATCTCACGGAGCTTCGGCGCGCTCATTTCATAGAAGAGTGGAACGAAATGCACCATTTACTGATTATGCAAGCGCTTGGTGGCGACGGCCGGTGGCTGGACCGCTTCCTCGCATATCACGTGTCTCTCGTGTACTACTGGGCACTGGTTCTCCTCTACATGATCGCACCAGCGGTCGCGTACAACTTCAGTGAGCTCTTAGAAAAGCATGCCTACGACACGTACGCGGTGTTCATCGAGCAAAATGAGACGCTGCTGCGCACGCTGCCGGCACCTTCGGTTGCCCGAGCGTACTACGAAAGCGGTGAGCGCTTCCGTTTCCGAGCGGACACCATCAATGCAGAGACGCACGCGTGCGAGGGCCCCCCGGTTGCGACGCTGTTCGACGCTTTCGTGAACATTCGCGATGATGAGGGCGAGCACATCAAAATGATGGAATTCTGCCAGACGGAAATCATCAGCACTGGACAAGCTTCGGCGACAGGAGACCAAGCCGATCTGTGTGGATCGAGAGCGGCGGAGGCACCAGCACTCGCGGGTCTCCTGGCGACTTTCTCGACATGCATTCGTTCATCGGAAGATCGCGATCGCTGGAATCGCTGGCAAGCAAGCGCTGAGGAATGGAAACGGAAGCACAGCAGAACGCCAGTGCCATTTCTGAAACCATCTGGAGCCGCAAGTGCGCAGCTGACACGCAACTGGAAAGTGCACGCTAACGAGGGGTACGCCCCTATCCCCGAAGCGACGGACCGAGGTGGACATGCTCTAGAGAACGGTCATGTGGGGCCAGGAGCGTCGTCTCCGACAGCGTAGTCCAGCGCAGATGATCGTATGACGCCCCTCGGCACGCTCACCGCTCTGTAACTGCGGCGACCTGGCGTGTGGCGGTCTGTCAGGTTCGCGAGTGGCAGGCATGTGCCGCCTTGTATCAACGCATCTGCAGGTGCGGCTAGCGTTCGACCCTCGCAGCTGGCAGCATCCTCGCGTTCAGAAGATTCTGGTTGGATTCATCGATCACATGCCATGGAGAATCAATAGATCATTCAGTCGACATGTCGCTACTCTTTGTCATGCATGGTGCGTGAAACCCGGGACGTGAGAACCTTAAAAGTCGTAAATCGTGGCTGATCTCTTGTTGTGCGGATACTTCTGGGGTGACGCTGGACCCGATTTTCACAATCAGCGATACGTACTGAGACTATTGCAGTTTGTGGTGGAAGAGCACCCACGAACGCCGAGCCCCGCACGGCGTTCGTTTGCTCCAAAGTGCGATCGCAAGTGACGGCCCTATGTGGCGGCGATATCCCGTTTGTCGCTCTTCTTGGAGCGCATCCTGCGTTACCGCTGGGTCTATTGAGGGACCGACGCATCACCGCAGCGCAGTGACGAGCACATTCGACGGGGCCTTCCTGTCGACGCTGCCGAGAGTCATCCTTCGCGAGCACGTCGTTCCGTGCTAGCCGCACCCGTGTCAGATGAAGATGAAGACTGAACTGCTCGCTCTGTTCCTGCCTTTTGGTCTTTTTTCGGAAGTTCATCAGTAGCCGTACTGCCTCAGCATTCGATATGCTGCTTTTCGGGATTATGGTTTTATTAGTAGTTTTCGGATTCTCGGTGGCTTTTTTTGGAGTGGCGTCTGCGATGCCTCGCCGCTCGAGCCCTTTCAGTTACGAAAATCGAGAGCGTGCGCGACGCTCACGACAAAGGGTTCGTAAATGAAACATGATCTTTATCCAAAGCATACGTACAAGTCTGTATTCTTCCCGATTCATGAAGAAGGCATGTTCAAATCATGCTTGCTTCAATTTTTTGGATCTTTCCGTTCCGGGACAACTCGCGGGCGCGGCAATTCGCAGCGCTGGATGAACGAGCAGAAAAACTCGACGTCCTCCAATGACGACTTGTTTGGAAGCTCTTGCCCAAACTTTCCTGAAGTTGTCAGGTTCTATTACTGACTCATCCCGGGAGACAAATTATCCCCCTTTTGTGGCTATCAATGACAGGAGACTCAACGGCAGCATTCTATCTCTCAAGGGATAGCCATCCACACGTTACCATCTTTTCTATTTGACTAAAACGGGTTTTGGACAAGTATTTCAGTCGCCGCAGCAATCGCTTTTGGAAGCGAGTCCATCAACGCTTCGCTAGCAGGGAGCGGAAACGGAACCGAATTTCTCGACATAATCCCCGGTCCGAATTCTTCCTTCCGGCAAGTGTTTCATCATGGACATCATCGCGCATTACTAATTCTTGATCGAACGAAAGCGAATACGCTTGCGTGTGCAGCGGACGGAGAACCCGACAATGTGATCGTCCACAGGAAGCCAGTGATCTTCGGTTTCGGCACTGGGCACGGAAACGCAAAAGCGCATTCGGGGGATCCTTCTGTACCCGCCAGTGGCATGCATTGACCGATAAAGCATCGCTCCGTGCGCTCCAAGGTGGCTGTCAACAGAGGAATTCTGGTGGTATTCTAGAACACCTGACCACAGCCGAGTGTCACCGCTGCAAGCGCTTACCCATATTGTGTAAATTGAAGATACAACTGGCAAGCCACGCGTACATCGCAGCTTCCGTCTGCGCATCAATAGCATCGACAACAGCCGAAAACAGCAACATCGGGACTCGAACGATGCGATCAACAGCTCCGACTGCTGACCGAGGAGCGCTAGGGAACGAATAGACCGGCGTATCTATAGCTATAGATAACAGCGAGCAAGCGAGAGGGAGGGAACGGAAAAAGCTTCAGGAAAAGGACCCCAGTACAGGCGTTGATCACAACTGAAAGAGCGTCCTGCACGCTAGCGTGTACGCCCGTGCTGGAGGACTCGTTCCATTCGACTCTGAGATCGTTGTTTCGTGCCGCTCCGCACGTGATACACGCAGCACGAATGCCGCCACCACCGCTGATCGGGAAGCGCCACCACAGCCGCCACGCAAACACGCATATGAACATCGCGAGGGGCGCTCCCGCGGGCTTCCCCGCGCAACGCTGCCGGACAGGCGGTGACGTGTGTGCGCGCGCAGCCTCGCCCCCGGAGTCGAGGATTGCCAGAAATCTCCGCGCCTTCCAGGATTTGTTGGGCGTTGTGGAACGTGAGCTTCGTTCGAGAACCGCTCATGACTGGTTTCATTTCGACGCGTGCGGGTGTATCTTCGACTTGGAGAGAGCCTGGAAGATGGCAGACGATACGCAGTAGTCGTAGTGGCGGCAGGTGTTACTTCAGGTGCCGTCGTCAGTTCCATCTCTGGGCGCGCCGCGACGCCAAGGCTCCCGGCAAGTCCGCAGCACGCGAGCCGGTGAGTAACAGTACGGGGGAAGCGAATGCGCTCAAGCCTCCTGTGCCCTATGGGTCAATGCTGGAGAGGGAACGAAAGGAGCGGCCTGGAAGTGCTGGTATTCTCGGTCTCCGGAACTTTGTGAGAGAGTCGCGAGCAATCGCACTTGATTTGTACGATAAACTGCGGGGCATTGATGAGAGTCGACGGCTGCCGGGCGCTCTGGCGCTGACACTGGATGATGCGGCCGTCAATGAACGAGAAAAACGTCGAGATGAGCTTACCGGGTATCTCTCGAACGCGCCGTGGATCTCCCGCGTGCCCTACGAGATCGCGTGCCGTTTCCTGGACTGGGCCTTTACGGATCGTCCTATCGCGCGTTTCTGGTTCCTCGAGACCGTCGCGCGAATGCCGTACTTCTCGTATCTGTCAGTTCTTCATCTTTACGAGACCTTCAACTGGTTGCACCTTGCGGAACTCCGACGAACGCACTTCGCCGAGGAGTGGAACGAACTGCACCATCTGCTCATTATGAGCGCACTCGGCGGCGATGCCAAGTGGTCGGATCGTTTTCTCGCATACCATCTGTCGATCATCTATTATTGGCTACTCGTCGTTATGTACATCGTATCCCCGCGTCTGTCGTACAATTTTAGCGAGCTGCTGGAGAAGCATGCCGTGGACACATATGAGCAGTTTCTCACAGAAAATGAGCATCGTTTGAAAGCACTTCCAGCACCCGCGATTGCCGTTCGCTACTACGCGAATGAGGTGGCTTACACATTCCAGGCTTTTGGTGATGAGAATGGATCTGCAGTGGAGACCAGTCGGCCTCCTGTGCAGACGCTGTATGATGCGTTCCTGAACATTCGTCTGGATGAGGAGGAACACGTTCGGACAATGGAAGCGTGCCAGAACTACGATCTGGTTGAACGTTTGACTTCATCGCCGTATCTACGTGAACAGAGCCCGGAAGATGGCGTTCCCGCACATGCGGACAAGCACGCAGAGGAGTCGTCAGCCGACCAGACGGGCAGCCGCGCCGCCTGGAACCGCTGGGCTGACGCTGTCAACCAGGCCGGGCGTCGACCCGGACCTGACACGCGCTCTGAAGACGCAGACCAAAAGCCTTGAGACCTCTGCTTGAAACAGGGTATGGGGAATATTTGTCCAATTTTATGGGGAATCAACGTGGCACACAATCTATGGTGCGAAAATCAATGAAACAGGGTAACGGCAACGATGGAGCATCGAATGCACTGTAAACGATACCGCGCTTCAATCGATGCAGCTTTTGAAGGTGCAGCGCTCTGGTGCGTGGCCCGCTCGTCCGCATTTCGCACAAAGCGGCTTTTTATAGCGCAGGCTCGGATAGACGACTTCGTAGAGCTCATTGCTCAGGCGCAGGAATTCATCCGCTCGAATCGCGAGTCTTGCCATGATCTCGTTCCATCCGAGACTTTGTTGCGTGTGGAGCGCTATCTCGGGCGCTCGACGTAGATCCCAGGAGACGGGGCCTTGGCTTGCCACCGGCGAGGTGTAAACAGCAAATGCCTTGAATAGATGGACGTCGAACAGGCGCACAGCTTCCAGAACATTGTCTTCGAGTTTCTGGTCCAGCATGCGCTCAACGAAAGCCCTGCCGCTTTCGCTCATGGGAATGCGTTCATTCTTCACCGCCAGGCTCCACGCCTGGACGTGCGAAAACAGCAGCAGCACGACAACGAACTGCCGTTCAGTGAAAGACGGTAGATGGTCTAGTGCGTCCAGTATTCGCTCGAGAGGGCTTCGCGTGGATCGCGGTGCTTCGCCCGGCTGACTCGCGCCCAGCTTGTCGGCCTCGTCCGCGACCCAGCGGTCAACGGAGAGCGCGTGGTTCTCGATACCATCCAGCCAATGGTGGACGACTGACGCTAAGTACATGTTTCCCATCACCAAACTACTCCAACCAGTACGTGTCGTCGACGAATCTTCGTGGGACCTCCTTGCCGAACACTCATCGCCAAGTAGCAGTTTCTGGAACTTGGTTCCGAGCGCAAGCAAGTGACGCTCGTGCTGAAGAATCTGCGCCTCTTGCAGTTTCCCTCTTTTAGCGTCTTCAAAAAAGCGGTGGCTCGTGATTCGCGTCCATAATAGAAAGTTTCTCTGCACTATCTGAAACGTTGCCGAGGGCACGTACACGAGCGCACCGAGCACGCTCATCGTCTCCCGGTACGTTTGCTCTGCAACCTCATCAGGCTCACTTTGACTTCGTTGGATCCAAGGCTGCCCCAAGTCCATACGAGAGCCGCGTTGAGGGAAGGCCCCAGGCCGCGCGTGTGTCCCGCACGTGCCGAACGTGTTGCGTTCAGCGCGGACAGCGTTGCCGGACGCCGCGTCGAGGACAGCACCGTTCGCGTTGCAGGCGAGGGTGAGGGCGGCACGAGGCACGCCCGCGTGCTACTGCGGGCGCTTTTCGACGGTATGTAGGTGCTGCGCACTCGCTGACACACGGAGTTGCGTGATGATGATTTGCGTTCGATGAATCTAAGCAAGTCGTTCCTGAGTGCTCAGGTGTTACCAGAGGCAAGCGAAAGAGACCTCAGTGTTGTCGGCTTCGCTTCTGCGTGCCATAAACGCCGGAGGTTTATTTTCTTGAATTTGTGGAAGCTACAGCACGCTGTCAATTGGCTGATGCGTTCAGGTCGACGAATCTAACGAGGTTCCAATCGCATATTAAAGTGTTGCCAGAGGGAAAGTCGAATGGATCTAGATCCCGTTGTGTACGCTACTGTGCAGCATAACAACCAGAGATTTATTTTCTTGATGAATAGAAGAAGGAGAGATGCAGCGGCGTGCTGCGTTTCGAGCGCATTCCAAACGCTCGCTGCGAGGTAAGCTGCACCTCTACAGCGGTTGCCGCACAGGGACGGAATGGCTCTGTGTGTACCTTGACGGGTTTCGGCTCGCAACGTGGGTCACCGGTCGACGAGTCGTTACTCGCCATCGTTCAGTCATTCGGGAGGCGTCAAGAGAGACCTGCTGGTGAATGCGGCGCAAAACAACACGCTGCCTGACCACAGCGAACAGGGCGACGCCTAGACGCAGGCCGCCGCGTCCTAGCCCCAGAAAAAGCTGCGTTAAGGATGATTTGCGCAGGTCTCACTACAGCGCACCAGACCAGCGGGGTCGTCTGCCTCGCGGGGCTAACCGCCCAGAAGGTAAACGCTGGAATACACGGAAAACTATTCCATTTTCATATCTCGCCTTTGAGGGAAAAGAAACAGATAATTAGCTGCTAGTTCGTACTTTGCTTCTGCCTCTCTCGTATCCCGACATGATGCGTTCCGCGCTGGCGCGTCTCCCGCACAGCACGCCTGGGAACGCGTGCCGAGCGTCGCCGCAGCGGCGCTAGGCGTTCGTTGCTGCTCATGATGACGCCGTCACGAGACGGTAAACCGGAAGAAGCGCACCGTTCGGCTGAAAGCGCGAGTTCTGGGGAAGGGTTTCGTTCCTGGAGAGCCCTTACCCGAAGGAACTGGACAACTTTCGGTGGTATTTTGGCGCTAACCGCATCTGTCTACGTGTATACCCTATATCGAATGCGTTCCACGGCGCCTGGGGATCTTCGCAAAACGCTGCCGTTGCCGCCTTCCGATGAAAAAACGGACAAGTAGCAACATGCTATCGTTCATCTCTTTGAAGATCGTTTATTGTGACAGAACGAAGTCTCACGCACTGCACTGATGGTGGACGGCGCTCGCCACGCAGTGCAACGGCGAACGACACGGACACGCCGTTCAAGAGTCGAGTTCCACACTGGCCCGACACTCGGTCAGGTTTTCGTGCAGCGTTCACGCGAACTTTGAAAAGCGATATCCGATAACGTTGGTAGCGCTCTGAAGTCGCGTGTATTTTGAAGATCGGCGCGTTTGTACCTCGGTGCGCCAAAACGTCGCAGAAAAGCATGCGCTTCTTCGACGCCGCTGGCGCCTCAGCTGTGCACAACTCTGTCCACGCGTAAGGACGCGAATGAGCGGGCATAAAGAGTGCAGTACAAGCGATCGGGCCGTACTGTCGTAATACATTTGGCCTTGGTTTCGCATGCGTTTCGGGTACGAGAACGTGCCGGTGGTCAGCAACCACTGGATGATGTAGCGTACGCGATCATTGCTCTTTTCCAGGATGATCGTGAAGCTTTACGAATATTGCTGGTAAGGATTCGACGCGTGCGCGTTGTTGCGACCATATCCCGGGTACTGGTATGTTGCGTGTGTCGCTCAGGGACGGGTTCAGGTGCATGGAAACTTTGCGCATGGTGGAATGTCTTCGCGGATGGGTTGCTTCTAGAGCCAGCAGTGCGATGCGTCCAGTCCGTCCCGAACCATACCCCCGTCATCCTTGGTAAAGAAACGTTCCATTTGGGGCGATGTCAGGTCTTTGGGCGCTAATGCGACTGACCGGCGTATGCGACCAGACGGTGGTTGGCGCTCATGCGTATCGCGCTGGAGCTCGTGTGCGGTACCCGCAGTCTCCAGTTCCCTGCGCTCCATATCGAGATGAAGTGCTTCGCAGCTTCGAGCATGGTGCAAGAGGTTCGTTTCTCCAATTCAGCCAGGGCCCGAGGTGCTCGTGCTTATTTTGCGCTGAGTTTTCGTCACCACAAGGGTTGCCCTCTGCCCGAGCTCGACACTGAAACGACACCGGCATGCCTGAGGCGGCTCGCGAGCGCTGCATGGATCAAGCGAGGCGCCGGCCCAGTGCCGTCAAGGTTTACTGCCCTGGCGGCCGGTGTATGCAGCGTACGCTTGCCGCATATTGCGTGTTGCACGAGTTGCGGTGAAGTCACCGGGAGCCGTCCTTATCGGGTGCGGCTGTGGGTGCTACTCGAGCGCACCTGCCAGGGCAAAAACGCTGCCTGCGTGCCCACTTGACGGGAGGCACGGACGGCGACGCTGGCGTACGTCGAGCGAGGATCGAACTCGCGACCTCCTGCGTGTAAGGCAGGCGAAATCACCACTATTCCATCGACGCGCGGCCGATGTTCGCTTGCGTTCAAAATTGACTTATAAAGCCCTTTGGCGATCGCGCATCTCGCGGGCGGGAGGGTCAAGCGCGGTGCGAAGCGGGGGGCGGGGGGCACGCGAGCTCTCGCGCTGCGCCGGAGCTGCGGCGTGCGTGCGTGCACGTCGTGCTGGTTGCATTGCTCGCACGCAAGCGCGTTGCATCACGTTTCAGCACGTCACCTGCTAGAGCGTTCCAGGAACTGACTGACTCAGGACCTCAGTATGGCGTTCATCAGCACACCTTTTGCAAAGGTTTCTGCAAAGCGTGCAAGCGTTTCGGCTAACCGACGCGCACTGTGCATGCGGTCCGACGCGGACCCAGTGGTCTCGCGCCGAGCGCTGCTTTCGGGAGCGCTGGCTGTCGCCGTTGCGGCTGCGATGGCGAGGGCGCGCCCAGCGAACGCCCGCATCGACTATGAGGGCGTCGGTTATCTCGGCGGCAGCGATAAAGTTGATGTGAACAATGCGAACGTGCGGGCATACCGCAGGTTCCCCGGTCTCTATCCGACGGCGGCCAAGAAGATCGTCCAGGGCGGTCCGTACAACTCCCCCGAGGATATCCTGAAGAACCCAGAGCTCACGGAACGGGACAAGGAAGTGATCAAGCAGTACATGGACAGGTTTGTGGCACTGCCGCCAGCACCAGAATATTTCACAGACCGAGTGAATAACGGTATTTACAAGTAAGGGATAAGGCGCGGTAGTGTGTTCGTCGGTTTCGTAGACCGGAGGTGCCAGGGCGATCCTTCGTCACACTTTGGTCTCGAAAGGGTATTGGATTCACACACCTAAAAAGTTTTCAAGTACTTTTATGTTTCCAGGTTCGTGCGAGGTACGCATGGCAAGTCGGAGGCCGTGCTTGGTCGTCGAGGTCGGTCGCGCGTTGCTCCAACCCAGCATGCGCCCGCAACGCCGCTCCCCAGACGCAAGGCGGTTCGTCGACGACGACATGTCGTTTTCGCATACCGCTCGATGCAGCACAGATTCCGATGCGTTGCCAGGGTCTGTACAGCGGGTCCTGTGCGCTACGGAAGAACGCCGAACTCGGTGTAGACGATTCCGTCGTTGCACCGCCGCAAGCGGTACTGATGTGAATGTCGAACGCTGCGCTTGGCGGCGGTATCGTCCGCACGACGCTCACTACTTGAACAACGCGTGCGTGACCTGTTCCGTTGCACGCGGACTGGAGTGACAGCCGAGGCTGGCAGTGCGCCCGTATCGAACCAGAACCGGATACGAGCGCATTTCAGCCCAAGTGGGGTCCTTGAAACGAGCTGTAGCCAGTCCCAGGCCAAATGTGCTCCTGCCAGGTGCGTCGTCGAGGGTATAACATATGGCTCGAGCTCCAACCTAATCAAATGGCATCGAGCGGCGTCAGCCACGCTCCTGTTGAACAATATGATGTGCTGCTGCATGCTCCTCAGCCGACGGAGAATGATACAGCCACAGTGCTGCGTGTGCGTCACCATTCGAATAGGGCCGTCCACTGGGCGCTCCAGCGTTGTCCCTGTCCGCCCAAGTGACGCCTCATTCTGGGAGGTGTCGGAGCACGGCAGCGTTGCCAGCGCACTCGTATCGCCATCCCGTGAACGTGTATCGCAGGCGCACCGTGTTGGTTATGAAATGGCTTCTCGAGCGCCTGTCAGCAGCGTTGCACCGGGGCGATTCCCTTACAGATGCTTTCGTTTTGCATGATGAAAATATCACATGCCGTTGTGCATCTGGCTCCATCGTCATACGCGGGTCGGCGTGTTCTTGCTCTGGGTGCAGCGCGACGGCATCTGTCAAGCAAATCCCGGAGTGGAAGGATTCAGAACACTCTTCGTTGTTTTTGTTCGAGCGGCCGCGGGCGGGGCTCGTTGGGAACGTGTATGCCGCAGAATGAACATGACCCAGAGGAGAGCGTCGCGGGGCCTGTCACTAGCACATCATCGATGTGTCGTCTCGCCGACCCGCGGGCAATAACTTATCCGTTGCGGGTCGTCGTAACGACAACAGGCACGACAATGGCAATGATGAGTATAATCAGGAGGATAATAATACACCACATGAGTTTGTGCGAACAGCGCTGCAGTCTTCGCGCGCGTTGCAGGTTCTTGACCCCTTGTTTGACCGACTTCCGTGTGCCTTGAACATTGGTCTCGATTTGATCGATAAGCTCCCCCTGAGACTCAACCAGGACGCTCAGATCTAAGAACATCTGATGGAGCTCTCGAATGCTCTCCTCAAGTGAGGCAATTTCACGATTGCGCATCTCCAGGTCGGCGATTTCGTCGCTGAGCGTTCCCCGCTCCAGATCGAGTTGCTCTTGCTGGAGCATTGGACGCAAGGTTTCCGGCTTCTCGGCAAAATCGCGAACCTGCGCATCGTCGAGACCGGGGCGCATGTTCCGCAGCTTTTCAAACATGGCTCCCTGCATCTGTTCCTTCTGCTGAGCCTGGAGGCGCTCGTACTCCTCTGTCGCCCGCATGAACTGGCGAATGAGTCGCTGATGTTGGTTCACTCGTATTCGCGCTTCCCCACTTCTGTCTGGGTGTTGCTCGCAAAAGCGCCGGTTGTCGTCGGCCATGGCCTTGAGGTCGATCTTTACTTTTTGGGCAACCTCTTGTGCGCGTGTCTGGAGCGTGGTGATATCCGCCTGAATAAGAGCCACTTTCCGTTTGTCGGTCGTTCCTGCCCTTTCAGAGTAGAGCGGCGTGAGCTGCGCAAGGATATTGCGATAGAACGCGATTTGGTTGCTCAGCTCATTGACCTGACCAAAAAAGTCGACCAGGAACGAGTCGGAGGCTCCCTCGGCCTCGGAGGCACCGTTGCCAGTGCCCGCCCCGGACTCCAGGTCTGCCCTATCCTTCGCGCTAGGTGCCTGTGGCTCCAGTGACTCCTGATCAGGAGCGTCATTTTGCTCACTAGAAGATGGAACAGCGAGCTGGTTTGGCTGTTTTATTTCACCGAGTCTATTTTGCATCTGTCGTTCACGACACACACAAACACACGAAAGCGCGTCGACTTGTTAGACGATCGTTTGCGCATCGCGAAACGGATGCCACATGGAACGTGGACAAAACTGTCAGGAACGGCGGCGTCGCCCAGAGCACTTTTCCGCCTCTGCTTCCGCCGCCTCCGCCTTCCTCTCCCTCTCCTTCTCCTTCTCCTTCGCTGCACCGGTGGTCGGCGTCAGAGGGCTATCGCGATCTGCTCTGCCACTGACCAGCAACCGGAGACCAGGAACTACTCTTGGAAGCATCATCGTTCACGAATGCATTCACAGCCGTGGCATGCCTCGGATGAGCTACTGCATCAATGTCCTCTGGATTGTGTGCGTGACGATGAACCAGGTCCTATGCGGCTCGCATCTGTTCAAGCGACCTGGTCCGATTATGTCGCTCCATCGACTTGTGCAGGATGCTTTGGACGGCCCGGCGAGCGGTTTCCGCTCACACCCGCACATACCTCCCCTGCCAGAATTATGGATCTAGAACTTGCCCATGGGCATCGGCCTCGGCACGCTTGACGCGAAATCGTTCGATCCCGCCCTGTCCTCTTCAGTGAGATACATTGGGAATGAGGCGGTGAGCGGGACGGTACGATTCGAGCTGGCGGACTTGATGCTGCTCATCGTATGGCAGGTGCCAGCCGTCTGTACACTCCACAAGTGCACTATTCTCTGCGAAATGCTTGCAACACTGTGCATCCCGCTTGAGCGCCGTGTGACCGAAAGGCTACGCCAATCGCAACAGTATAGTCAGGAGCGACAGCAAAGCCGCAGCCGTGGCCACTACAAGCACATCGCGGCGTTTCCTTCGACGAATATTCGCGACGAGACGCCCGACTTGCGGCAAGGAATCCGCCATCGCTGTCATCCGGTGGAACATCAACGCAAACGTCTGCCGCTGCCGCACGAGCTCATCCCGAAGAGCCATACTCTGCCCAAGACTAGCATCCACAGCCTGGTGTGCTCCATTAACATGCGTCGACTCGGACTCGAGGTTCCGGAGACCGCGTTCCAGGTCCGGCGCTGCTCCAGGCAGGCTACCAGCACCGCCACCAGCTTTTGTTTGTGAACGCTGCCGCTCTGGCGACGACACTCGTCGCGGACCCACCAGGTCGAAGTACTCTCTGACTTGTCGAAGACTGGCTCGCAGACGGCGGTACTCGATCCGCGACTCTGCAAGCACCTCCTGGTGCCGCTGCAGAACCAGTAGCAAGGCAGGTTTTCCCTGCTCATCTTGTGTAAAGGTTGTCATCTGCCGGTTTACCTCTTCTAGTTGCCGCAAGCAACCCTGTAGGCGCGTCTCCAGCGCTTCCACCCGCTCAAGTTCGCGAGCGACCTGGTCGTTCCTTCGCGACGCATCGACCACGCCCAAGGCGGACCCAGAGAGCGCAGCGCATGCCTTGGCAAAGTCGCTGAGACTACGCTCCACCTCACCCTCGAGGCGCCGAGCTTCCACTCGCAACTGCTCCCAGCTGACGCTCATCTCCCCGACAGCGTCGCCCTAGAAGCCGTATCGCTGGGCTCGGTGTCCTCTACTGTAACGGGCGTTGCGCAACCGCAACCGCCTCAGAGGCAGGAGTTCGCCGGTCTGTGGACTTGTCGGAAACGTTGCGACAGGCGAAGCACACACGCACACACCCGCACGCACACACACACAGGTATGGTGTTCAACAGCTTCGGATGTGCACTTGTTGGTGCACCAGGCGCTGTTATGTATTGTGGATACGGTGGCCTTGCACACGTACCGTACGCACCCTTCGCGTCACCGCGTCTATGGAGCGTATCGTGCGCGCTACGACAGAAAACACTGTACATGCGTTCGTTTATCCCCCCAGGAGTATCGCAAACACCATCAGTACCACACGGTTCGGCGTGCTGGCATGATGATGTGCAAGGCTTTCTATACCAGTGAGTTCTTTTTAGAGCAAGCACATGGGCCCGGGGTTTCCCCTCTCTGCCCCGGGCTTCGTTTCGACACAGCGAGCGCGCTGCGTTTTGCCATACAAGCGCTTCCTTCCGCCCGCCCTGGGTACTACGCCAGACACGAGTAACGTGTTTGTGCAGAAGACTCGACACAGCGCTGTTGATTCGTATCTAGATGGGGACGGGCTCCGCTTTGAGCACGGGTCGAATCACCAGCCGTTCGTTCTCGATATCGGCGACAACGGTTTGTCCATCCTTGATACTGCCGCTGAGAATGCCCTTGGCCAGCGGTGTCTCCAGCTCGCGCTGCACAGCACGACGCAGCGGGCGAGCGCCGTACACTGGGTCGTAGCCGACTTGGGCTAAAAAGTCCAGGGCGGCTTCGCTGGCCTCCAGGTGGATGCGGCGCTCACTGAGGCGCTTGTTCAGCTCCTCGACCTGCATGCGTACGATTTGGTGCAACTCGGTACGCATCAATGCATGGAAGATGATGATCTCATCGATTCGATTCAGAAACTCGGGACGGAACTGCGCCCGCACCGCATCCATCACCATCCGGCGCATGGATTCGTACATGGCGCCCGTTTCATCGGAGGTCATTGAGGAGAGGATGTGCTGAGAGCCCACGTTACTCGTCATGATGACGATACAGTTGCTGAAGTTCACCGTACGACCCTGGGAATCGGTTAAACGTCCATCATCGAGCACCTGAAGCAAAACGTTGAACACATCCGGGTGCGCTTTCTCAATCTCGTCCAGCAGTACGACCGAGTAGGGACGTCTGCGCACGGCCTCGGTCAACTGGCCTGCTTCCTCGTAACCGACATAACCAGGAGGCGCTCCGATCAGGCGCGACACAGAGAACTTTTCCATGTATTCGCTCATGTCGATGCGAATGAGGGCATCCTCGCTATCGAAAAGTCGCTCCGCAAGCGATTTGGCCAGCTCAGTCTTACCGACGCCGGTAGGCCCCAGAAACATGAAGGATGCAATGGGTCGGCGCGGATCCGCGAGACCGGCTCGGGAGCGTTGAATCGCCTCCGAAACCGCTCGAACAGCGTCGCGTTGACCGACTACGCGTTTCGACAAGTCACGCTCCAGGCTCATGAGTTTTTCGCTCTCACTCTCCGTAAGCTTTTGTACGGGAATCTTGGTCCACGCGGCAACCGTCTGCGCAATATCGATTTCCGTGACCTGATCTCGGAGGAGCGGCATGTGACTCCCGTTGCCCGCCATCGGATCTAGAGACTCCTCGGCCTGTTTGAGCTCCTTCCGCAGTTTGGGCAGGCGATCGAACTTGAGCTCCGCAGCGCGATTCAAATCGTACACTTGTTCCGCACGGTCGATTTCGAACTCGACTTGCTCTATTTGACTTTTGAGATCCTGGATGCGCTCTAACATGCCCTTCTCCCGTTTCCATTGTTCTTCAAGTTGCCGCTGGCGCTCGCGCAATTCCTCGATCTGTTTGTCTAACTGAGCCCGACGTTCGACGGTCTTTGTATCCGTGTCCGATTTCAGGGAGACGCGCTCCATTTCCAGTTGCAAAATGCGACGATCAAGCTCATCTAAACTCTGCGGCTTGCTGGTGATCTCCATCTTCAGGCGCGCAGCCGACTCGTCCACCAGGTCTATAGCCTTATCGGGAAGGAAGCGGTCTGTGATGTAGCGATTGGAGAGAACTGCGGCCGCAACGAGCGCGCTGTCTGTAATACGAACACCGTGGTGGACTTCGTAGCGCTCCTTCAAACCACGCAGGATGCTTATGGTGTCCTCCACAGATGGCTGGTCTACGAGAACCTGTTGGAATCGTCTCTCGAGAGCCGCGTCCTTTTCAATGTACTTGCGGTACTCATCCAACGTGGTTGCACCGATGCAGCGAAGTTCGCCGCGCGCAAGCATCGGTTTCAGCAGATTGCCCGCGTCCATTGCACCGTCGGTCTTGCCGGCGCCAACCACGGTATGGATTTCGTCGATGAAGAGAATCATCTTGCCCTGGGCCTCGGAGACCTCCTTCAGGACTGCCTTGAGGCGCTCCTCGAACTCGCCCCGGTACTTGGCGCCAGCGATTAATGCGCCCATGTCCAGCGCGATGACCGTCCGATTTCGAAGCGACTCGGGCACATCGCCATTCACGATACGCTGAGCGAGACCCTCGACAATGGCGGTCTTCCCGACACCGGGTTCACCGATGAGCACTGGGTTGTTCTTCGTTCGACGCGAGAGGATCTGCATCGTGCGTCTGATTTCCTCGTCTCGACCGATGACTGGATCCAGTTTGCCCTCCCGCGCGGCCTTGGTAAGATCTCGTCCGTATTTTTCAAGCGCCTCATAAGTGTTTTCCGGGGTCTGTGTGGTGACGCGCTGACCACCACGGATCGACCGAATGGCCTCTTCCAGTTTTGCTTCGGGTACATTCAGCTCATTCAGAACGCCACGCTGGAGCCGCGAGTCCCTCCAGGCCGCTAGAAGCAAGTGCTCGATGGAGATAAAGTCGTCGCTGTACTCGCGCTGAATGCGTGCCGCAGACTCGAGCGTCTCCCGCAGCGAGCGTCCCATGACCTGCGAGCCAAGCTCGCCCTGTACCTTCGGCTGCCTGTTACAAAAGCTGCGCACGCGTTCACGAACTTGAGGCAAACGTGCCCCAGCTTTGTCTAGAATACGAGTGGCGAGTTCATCGTCGAGTAGCGAGAGCAGCAGGAACTCGGACTCGATGACTTGCTGCTGGTAGTCACGTGCGAGCGTTGCAAGACGTGCAAGCGCTGCCCATGCCTTTTCCGTATACCGCTCAGCGTTGAGCAAGTTTCCATCGGGCCCACCGCCACTACCTCCTGCAACCATGCGCGGCCAGCGTGCAACTTGCACCCGTTTGGGCGGCTTTGCAACTCTCCAGCTGCGCTGCACGAGGGCACGAGGCCTCCCGCTGTGTAGCGAACGGCCGGCCTCGAGCCACGACGAGGACGCAGCACCCAACGGACGCAACGTATGTAGTTGCTGTGAGGTTACCGACCAAACAAACATTTTGTTTCCTTTCTCGTTGTTCTATGTACACTTTCAGCGAGCAGCAACACCAATGCCGATACTCCGGGAGATTGGCTATACTCGGCGAGGCTATGCGATCGATGCGCTTCACCATCGCGTAGGCGCGTCGATTCGGGAAGACTCGCGCAGCTGCGCGGCATTTCCAGGCGCCGAAAGCAGGAGCGGCACGCTGCGCGGATTGCCGCCTGCGCGACACGCGTATCCAAATGAGCGTGCATGATACGGCTGTGCGCTTTGTAGACATTATTCTAGTTTTATTCTATTTCTTCTTTCCGACACGCACAGCCGCGCGGTGCCATGCGCAGGTTCCACGTGCTTACGAGTTCATACGTCGTTTTCGGATGCTCGATCGCGGTTTTGGTGTGGTTCTTTCGACGCTTTGCCGCTGGAATTCCTTATATCACAGAAAATATCATGAATCGTGGTGTCATCCAACAGGAGTTCGTAAAATAACTGATATCACACTCCAGAGCATTCATGTAAGCATCTAGTCTGCTTCGCGCCTTACGTGTGCGGCACGCTCGCACATCCTATATTCTTCAAAATTTCGCTCTTTCTGTTTCCAGGTAACTCATGGGCGATACAGTGCGCACCGCTGGATTAACGACGGAGAGGACTCGACGTTGTCCCCTGACGACTTGTTTATGAGCTCGTCTAGGAATTTCACTGAACTTGTGAGGTCAAATATTCGATTGCCTTCAAAACAGAGATCCTCTTCTCCTTATGGCCATCACGAAAACGGATCCGACAGCATCATTATGATAACTCACACGAGATACGCTCCGAGACGTTCCCGTCGCTCCCATTAGCATGGAAACAGGGCCCTGCTCTCGAATTGGAGTCATCCCAGGGATCGCTTCAAGTGTCGAGCGCGTCATCGTGTTGCACGAACAGAGCAGGGGCGGAACCAAAGTTCTCGACTTGTTCTCTATCCTGGATTTGCCTTCCGCGGCTGTTTCATCCTCAGGTACATCAGGTTCAGCAAATTTCCCATTGAATGAAGCAATCTGCTCTTGCGCATGCGGTGGCCAGGGTTCTCGCATGGGGCATCGCTCAGAACAAACCCGTGATCGTTGCGGACGGACCGGGTGCGGAAACAGAGCAGATCTTCGACGACAGCTTTCTGTACCCGTCAAGGGCATATACCCAGCGATGAAGTATGCATTCAGGCGTCACAGAACGCTGCCCGGAAAAAGGAGATAATAGGGACGTACGGGAAACTTTCGACGACACCGAGGTTTCAGCGCTGTGCAGGGCGCCCAGAAGCGGCGGACACTCAAGGTGGCATTGACAAACGAAGTGCAGATCACGACTTCTGATGGAGGTTGAATTACGCGGAAAGCAGCCGAAGCGTTTCCCTCTCGGGACTTGAACCCTGCCGTCAACATATAACTCGACTGCTCGCAACGGACCCGGAGCGCACCGAGAGACCAGCGCATGGAAAGCCAGGCGATGGGAGTGAGACGAAGAGAAAGCCGTCGCATGAAAAGCCCACAAATACTTATATGAATAACAATTGGAAGAGACCCAGAAAATTAAGTGCACGCTCGAGCTAGACGGCCCGTTCTTCTCTCTTCGAAGCGGTCTGTACGAGGCCAGTCGACGCGAGCTGCTCCCGCGACGCTCCAGATCTAGAACAAATCTGTATAAACTACCACCGGCCCATGGCATGCGCGCACTGCAGGCCTCCGCAGCCCAGTACCGGGTCGTAGGCAGTACCAGCGTTCTCGCAGACGTCGGCGTTACGTGGGCGTTCTTGTTGTTGTCGTTTCCACGGGTACCGACTCAAGCGGCTTTGCGCTCCACATTGTGCTTCCAAGACGACTTGTCTTGAAGGTGCGAAGGTTGAAGGACTCTGGTTTCTGCAAAACATGTGGGTAGGAGGTGCGTGGCCGACACCCCTCGATAGCGTAACGCGGGTGTTACCCGCGTGCTGGCGCCTGCACGCTGCCGCAAAGTGGAAACCTTCCTTTCACAGACAGGTGACGGTGCCATCGAGGGGTTACGCACCGCAAATCAGAGAGCTGAGTTCAAGTAGAACTGAGGCATTGCGGCGTAGCATACCACTGCGAGCGCAGCTTGAGCCCGAGAGCAACGAGCGAGGCTCGAAGCCAACTGCAGCGAAACGAGCACCTCGCACGAGTCGTCGAAAGGTGACTGGGCTCAAGGCTGCACGTTCGAGCAAAACCGCAGTTGCGAAAGCGACCGCCCAGAGCGATGGAGTGCAGCACTCCACCGAGGCGGCTGAACGCTCGCCGTTGGACAACGAGGCCGCAGTTGGAAACCGCAAGGCGCTAGTCATCGTGGAGTCTCCGGCAAAGGCGAGAACAATCCAAAAATTTCTACCGCCGAATTATATTGTCGAGTCATGTATGGGTCACGTACGAGATTTGCCTCAGACTGCACGCCAAGTACCTGCAGAGCTAAAGGAGCATGCATGGGCGCGCCTCGGCGTTGACGTAGAGGACTCTTTCCGTCCGTTGTATGTCGTTCCGGAGAACCGCCGTGAAACCGTAGAGCGTTTGCGAGAACAGCTGACACAGGCGAATGAACTCGTGCTCGCAACTGACGAGGACCGAGAGGGTGAGGCCATCTCGTGGCATCTGGTGGAGCTCCTACAACCTCAGGTGCCCGTTCGGCGCGCAGTTTTCCATGAAATTACCGAAGACGCTATTCAAGAAGCCTTTCAGAGCTTTCGTGACATTGACATGAACCTGGTACACGCGCAGGAAACCCGAAGAATTCTGGATCGCCTGGCCGGTTACACCCTTTCACCACTGCTGTGGAAGAAGATCGCGCCGGGGTTGTCGGCTGGCCGGGTCCAGTCTGTCGCACTTGCCATGATTGTGGAGCGCGAACTCGAGCGACTGCGCTTTCGCTCAGCCCAGTACTGGAGCATCCTGGCCCAGCTTCGTATCGAGCACGTGCAGGGCACCGAGTCACCGATCCTGGAAGCAGAGCTTGTTCGCATCGGGGAAGCACGCCTCGCTATCGGCAAAGATTTCGATGGACGTACGGGCAAACTCAGAGAGGACGTGCAATCTGAGAACACCAATGGCCGTGTGAAAGTGATCTGGCTCGATGAACCAACTGCGAATAGACTTGCGGCGGAGGCCCAGTCTGCACCGCCGGGCTCTTTTCGGATCGTCTCGATAGAGCGACGTCAGGTAACGCGTACACCGCCTCTGGCGTTCACGACTTCAACCCTGCAGCAGGAGGCCTCTCGACGCCTCCGCGTCACCACGCTTCAGGTGATGCGCGCTGCCCAGTCTCTCTACGAAGGTGGCTACATAACGTACATGCGAACAGACTCTCCGCAGTTGTCCATGCAGGCCACAGAGGCTGCCCGACGAGCAGCAGCAGAGCGCTTTGGCGCCGAGCAGGCAGTCCCCGCTCAAGCGGCGCCACGCAAAACGTCCAAGAAGCCGAAGGGTGCCCAGGAAGCGCACGAGGCCATTCGGCCGGCCGGGCGCGCCTTCACGCCCCCGGAAGCCCTGAGCCTGGAACCTCTCGAGAAGCGCCTCTACGAACTCATCTACTATCGTACGCTGGCTAGTGAGATGCAGCCAGCGAAACTCCGCCAAACAACATTGACCATCGAAGGTCCAAAGGAGATGCTGTTCCGGGCGAGCGGCACCGAAGTAGAATTTCCTGGTTGGCTCTTGGCCTACGAAGCACTTCGCCGCGTACACGAGCATGTCTCCGAATCTGGGAGCGCTGCTTCCGTTAACGAGGACTCTGCACTCGATGAGCAGGGATTACTTCCGAGAGACGTGCACCTTTCGGAGGGCGACAGCCTCACCGCGGTCGCTGTGGACCCCGTCCTGCACGAGACCAAAGCACCGGCACGCTACACCGAAGCGTCGCTGGTCAAGGAGTTGGAGACGAACGGCGTGGGGCGACCCAGCACCTACGTCAGCATTATCGAAACGCTCCTGGAGCGTTCGTATGTGATCCGGAAGGGTTCGTCCGGTTCGGCATCGAGTCTGGTGCCAACCTTAACCGCGTTTGTGGTCGTGCGCTTCCTCCAACATCATTTCCCCAACTTTGTAGACGTTCGTTTCACCTCCGAAATGGAGGCTGCACTTGACCTCATCGCCAGAGGTGAAGCCGACCGCATCGCCTACCTGCAGCAGTACTACTGTGGCGAGTCGGGGCTAGCAGCTGCGGTGCGGGCGAAAAGCGACACAATCGATGTCAACGAGGCACGACGAGTCTACCTCCCTGCGCTCGAGGGCGACGCAGCGGCTCCAGAGGTCACGGGTGAAGCGAAGACCACCGCTGCCGATGGTGAACGAAAGGAGTGGCCGAAACCGCTGGTTTATGTGGGCCCGTATGGACCTTACGTTGTCTACGGCGAGAAGGTTTCGTTGCCGCGGGAGATATCGGCCGAGCAGGTCACCCTGGACACGCTGCGTCGTCTGGCGGAACAGCGCAAGTGCGCTGCAGAGCTGGGCGTGGATCCACAGACCGGGATGCACGTCTACTTACGAACTGGACCCTATGGCCCATACGTTCAGCTGGGCGAGGACCCCGGCTCGATGGCAAGTCACACTTCCACGGAAAAATCAGCAGCACCCAGTACCGATGACGCAGCGCCTACCGACAAACAGCTCGATTCCGCGAGAGAAGCGTCGCCAGGTACCAGTGCCCGTTCGACGAGACGCGCTCGAGGAACGGGTACGAGTGCCCGAGCTCCCCATGAAAAGCCGAAGCGGGTTTCGTTGCCGTCGTGGCTGGACCCAGCACGAGTTGATCTCGAACTTGCGCTGCGCCTGCTCTCCTTGCCGCGGATTGTTGGCGAGCACCCGGCAACTGGCGAAATCATTCGCGCAGGCTACGGTCGTCTGGGTCCGTATCTTCTCTATCAGGACAAGTTTACGAGCCTGAGCAAGTACGAACCTGGAGGCGCCTCTGACCCGCTGTTCATTGATCTGGAAACGGCAGTTCATATTCTGGACACTGCGAAAACGTCCAAGTCTAGATCCAGGTCGACGAAATCGAAAACCAGCGATGCCGCTGAAGAAGCGAATGGGGCTTCATCGGAGTCTGCGGACGCAGCACCTACGGAAAACGACCAGCTCAAGGCACCGCCAAGACGCGGAACAGCGCCTCGAACTCGCTCCCGCAAAACTTCCGGTTAGGCGCGTCGCAACCAAGTATGGAGACACGGGGGGGTCAAAACCCCCGCGGGCATAAAATAGAGCGTCCATAGGCAGGTTCATGAGGTATTCGTTCGATACGCGCTGTGGCCCGTAGACACGACGCTGCGGTTCGCGTCTGCGTTGCTCTTCGTTGTTTGCAACGCGCTTTCATCCGTAAGCAAGCGAGTCCGACTTGATTCCGCGTGGATGTGTTCGATGCTGGCCGTAACGCCTGGTACCGCAGGTCCAACGCTGCAGGCAGACTGGGCGTCGCACTCGTGCTCGTCCCCAGTGAATGATGATCATTCAGGGAGGTATGGGTTGTGTTTCGACGTACTCGGAGTTCTGCTGCAGAAATGATACATGCTCGCCTAGATGCCGACAAACATCGCGCACGTGGAAGTTCCTGGTTGGACGCAGCGTTCTTATACCATTGAACAAGTGCGCGTTTGTGTGACAGTGCCGACGCATTCACCGGGAAACCTGCGCGTCTCCGAGACCGAAACGTATCCAGACGTCGCATTTGGAACAAGACGTACCAGCGTTGGAAAAGCGCTCACCAGTCCAACAACATCCAAGTCGCCATGACGTGCACACCTCGAGCACCGCGCTCGCTCTGTTGTGGTATACTCGCCAGGTGCGAGACGGTACACGCTCCCGACGCTCACCGCAGCCGTTCTTTTGCGCCTATATCGAGCGCACAGCTGCTGTTTTCAGCGAGATACCTTGGAATGCCGCGCTTTGGACAGAGCGACCGGCGAGTTTAGCTCGAGATAGAGCACGCTGGCCTGGTTGCCACTGCCGAGCGGGACCCGCGTGTACCGCGGCAAGCGCACAAGCGAGCCGCCGCCGCCGCCTCCAGTTGCGCCGGCCTCCCGTGGCTGCCAGTACCGCCGCCATGCACTCGCCATGAGTGCTTCGTTTCGGGAACGCTTGGCGCTCCAGTAACTTGGCAGCCAGAACCTGCGCTGCCAGGCGCGAACGGTCGCAAGTGCGCGCCAGAAGAGGTGCACGTACGAGAGCATGTTGTGGCTCAGTTGCATGGACTGCCGACCCTGCCGCCTGGCCTCTGTAATAAGGTACCAAACACGATCGTAGAGTCTTGCTGCAAGGTCTAGTCCGATAGAGAGTCCAGCGGTGCTCGCACTGAGCCAGTACGGTAGCTGGGCGAGCGTCTGCGCGAGCACGCCTGTGGCGGCTCCCAAAAAGACAACGAGCTCTAAACTCGTGATCAGTACTTGAATGTACAGCGGCACCGATACCACAGTGCGGAGTGTGTACCGCGTCCAAGTGACAGGACCACCGGTCATCTCACCGCAGTTTCATGTGTTTGCATGGGCTTGTCTGACGCTCCAACACGCCGTTTCCGACGAGCGTCCGATAGTACGGGATGTGCGGCGGCGGGGGAGGCGCTCCAACGCACATGGCAGCTTGATACCATTTACGCCATATATTTCTATTCATAAACAGTTCTTCAAAACTAGACTTTCCACTCCATTCTGTTCCACACTTGCTCCAGTGTGTACACCAGGAGCTCGACATCCCTGTGCGGTGTACCCTCTAGGTCGTAGACAAAATGCCTATAGAATATATATGCTTTACTGAAGTGTGCATGGAGAACTGTATTCCTCCTTGAGGTCAGTCATACTATTGTGCTCAGATGCTTGAGGAAAACTGAAAGAGGCGAGTAGATGTGCTCTGTGCCAAAAACTGGTATCCGCAAAGGCCGCTTGCGGTCGCTAGCAGCATATGATCCGTTCGTCACCTTGCGGAAACGAAAAAGCGACGATACGAACCGCCACGGGCGTCTCTGTTTCTCAACCGCTTATCCGTGTGATCCGACAAACACTGGGATACAGTCGCAAGAAAAGTCCCAGTTCAGTCAGGGCCATCTTCCACCGCAATCGCAAATTCTACAGAGATCCTCGAACGCCACGATCGTTATGCACCACAGGGACGTCTGCGTGTGTGTTGCTCCAGTCGATATCGGTATTTTGTAATCGAGAGCAGCTGCATGCGGACATCGATCTCGACCAGAAACATCCCAGGGATGTGCTGGACTCCACTCAGTTGTCGCTTTGTTGTCCTATGCACCATTTTCCCGTAAACGTGCACGCTTCCAGATATGTGACGCACTTCAACGCAACTTTAGCAAGGTTACGATGCGGCGTTGCGCTCGACTGGGGTATTGTGCAACCGTCGACTTCTGGCAAGCGCGTCGCAGTCCGATGCAGGCTCCAACGGAAGCCAGGGTACCGGGGAAGCTCCAGGCGTTGACGTATGTTGCGCATGTATCCATACGCACAAACATACCACGCACAAATAGCACGCTATCGGTTGACATCAAGGCTTCCGCTACTGCAGCTTGGTGACGCTCAAGGCGCTCGCCACAAACCGCGCACCCAGCGTCCTCAACTCGGGCAACGCGTCCCCGGACTCTGTTCGGGCGTTGCTATCACCTGAGGCCTGTGCACGCCCCGGCTCTGGTGACACCACCGGCGCTATACCACGCGAAAGCGTAACACCGTGAACCTGAAACACCACACCACAGAGCCCAGCGGTGCGTCTTGTGCGACACCACGGCACCAGGTCTGTTGTTTGGTATGGAAGCAACCACCAGGGCAGCGGACGTGCCGGAGCAAAGTGATGATCCCCTGCCAGCACCAACAGAGCTCCAGTATTGGAAAGCACACGAAGAGGGCCTTGCAGGTCTCTCAGAGCCTGTGAGCGGGACGTTGCGTGCACGGCGAGACCCCGACTGGGACGACGTGGCGCTGCCGCTGCCCCCGGAGGCCATGCACGCCGACTACGGCCGGTTGGACTCGAGCCTACGTGCTCGCATGGACGAGTTAGAGGCGCTGGAGTCGAAGCTGGAAGCAGAACGCGTGGCGCTGCAGGCGAGAGGCCCCAGGGAACCACCAAACTGGCGAGGTCTCTTTCGTCGAGCGAAGGCGTCGGATAACGATAATGATACTGACGTTCGTCAGCGTTTGCAGGAACTGCAGTTGCACGATAAACCGAGCACAAAGCCGAAACCGAGCGTCCCTAGAGTCGCTGCGGTAACGAGTGCAACGACGAAAGCCTCAGAGCCAGAGGCGGCTCCGCGGCCCCTGTCGAGGTTCAAGCAGCGGCAGCTCGCGAAGCGCGCCCAGGACACGCGCTCGCCATAAGCGTAGACCCGCGTTCGGCTTGTGCCGAGTTTACAATCGAAGAAAACGTTGTGAGCTGCTGCCTCGATCACTCGAGCTAGGCACGGGCAGCCAGTATCAAACGATGGAACAATTCGTATTCTGCGGCGTCGATGGAGGCAAGGCGCTGCAGCATTTGTTGAAGGGCAGCGGGAGGCATTCGCGCAAACACGTCTTTCACGAGGTCCAGAGTCGACGGCTTGAGCTTGCCCTCGACAACAGCAACCTGGCGCGCAATCAGCAGAGGTATCATGTCGTACAGGTCGCTTCTATTGGGCAAACCTGCATGCATCGGCAACTGAATCAGAGCGGTGATGGCTGCATCAGCCTCTCCGAGCTCCGCCTGCAACGGCAAATAGTCCAGCACCGCCTTCAGAGACGTTGGTGCAGTAATGCACTGTGGATGTCGTAGGGCGATTTGCAGCAGAGCCGAGGCGGCTTTATCTGCCGCCTTTTCAGCGTCCTCATCGTCGCGTGCGTTCGGATCGAGCACGAGTTGCTCCAGCGACTCTGTGATCTGGAAGTTTCGATTCATCTCGGCGAAGAGTTGCTGCTCAGTGCACTCAGCACATATTCGAATGCCGTAGGCGGCAGCCGCCTGCACATGTGCCTCTGTATCCTTGAGGTACGCCGCAAACGCCTGAAATGCTTGCGGCAAAATGTGGACACCGAGTGGACCGCTGAATTCCAGCCATGCGGCCCAGACGTTGAGGGCCGCGCTCCGTTCACTCGGAGAATGCTCCTGGGATATCATGGATGCAAACAGGCGCCCGACTGTGTTGATCTCCGACATTCCCGTTGAATTCGTTTCCGAGGCCGTTGTGGGGTCCTCCGCGCGCCACCTCCGACCGCTGGTCCTGGCAGGAGCATCCTCATCGACGTCATCGTTATCGTCGTCATCATTCGTTGATGCTACCGAACGAATCGGCGTCTGAAAGGCCGCGAAGAATCCGTTCGGCCCGTTGTGCTTCAGGAGGGTGCGTATGAGGTTGCTGCAGCCGAACAGCACCTCATCGTCCAACTCGTCCTCCTCCTCGAGATTGTGGATCTCATCGTCGTCTAACTCATAGTCTTCTGCTTGGGTGAGGAGTCGCTCGCGCACCCGCTCTTGACGCTCCTTGAGGACACTGAAAATGAAACAAGCAGCGTCCAGACATTGCTGTGTGGAGAGCACGCCATCGCCCGCCACCTCTAGCATGTTATCCAGTGCCTCAATCATGGACACCTGCACCTCCACCTCCGGTTCGTTTTGTGCTGCATGACACAGTTTGGGGAGGAAGAAACTCACAATCTCGCGGACGGCTTCTGCGGAACGTTGCACATCACCCTGGGAGGTAAAGTGATCCGCCGTGCACTCAACCAAGTCTGGAATAGCCTCCGCCGCAAACTGGCGACATTCATCATGATACCAGAACTCCAAGTTCTCTACAATAATCTGCGTTATGTCCATCAGATAAGGAAACAGGGAACCTTTCAGCTCCGCGGCGAAAGATGCTAGAATCGACAATGCGATGGCGCGATCCTCCAGGTTAAACGCTCGTATTCCCAGTTTCTTGTTGCCCAAGTCGAGCATCGTATAGCCGTCGTCTGAACGCTTTGCCTGGTCCCCGTTACCGTCCTCTGTGGTGGCGACTGCCGCTCCCGCTGCACCGGTATAGCCCTGAATAGCGCCGTCGCGGTAATCATTAGCATCCTGAGCTTCCTTCTCGTCCTGGCCAGGAAAGAACTTCATGTCCGGCTTCAACCGCGCCATTTCGCATATCGTTGGCAGCACGTAGGGCAAATATGGTTCAAACTGCTTGCCAAGGCTCTGACAAATGCGCGCATAAGCCTGCATCATGTATCCTAGCTGTGGATCATCGGCATGGATTTCCATGTTCATCTGACTGGACACCAAAATCTGCATGATTTCATCGGCGTCAGCACGGAAACGTTCAGCACCCACCGCGACACCAATCAGCGTCATGCATTCCATGGCCTTGCTCCGCAAGAGACGGTTCCACTTGTCATCAGCGCTCGTTTGGCGGAGAAGGTGTTTGAGTGGCGGCATGAAGTCGTCGTAGTACTTGTTGAAGGCAGTGCCAACACAGCCGGCAACAGCTGCTACCGCCGTCATGGCCTGCTCGATCGCCAGACGCGAGTTGCTGTTCAGCAACGAAATAAGTTTGCCGACGACCGTGTCCAGGTAAGGAATCAAGTTGGCGGCGCTGGCCTCATCGCAGAAGTTGATGAGAGCCGCGGCTGCATGGCTTCGCACTCGGTTACATGCGTCATCCATAGCGTCAATGAGAGTCGGCACCACATGCCTGTGGAACTTGCGTTGCAGCGTCCCGCCAAAATCGGTACTCATCTGGCCAATACAGTTGATCGCCGCCCAGCGTACACGAGGATGCGGGTCCTTCGTCGCGCCCACCACGAGCTTGAGGACGTCTCCAAGTTGCCGCTCCATGTGCTTCTCGCATCCCTCCCCAATCTGATTGATCGTCATGATCGCTGCGTAGCGGAAGCGCCAGTCGTCGCTGCGTTGCAGAAACTGATCAATATAGCGGAAGGCTTTCGGCACAACAATTTTGCCCCCCAGTGCAATTGCGATGCGATCAAGAGATCCCTGTGCGGCCTCTAAATTCGAATACCCTGAATCGTCTTCAGCAGCATCGCCCTCAGATGCTGAGAGTGAGTCTTTTTCATACCATTCCTTTTCGTCGTCGATTTCGGTCATCATATGCATGCATGCAGTTATAAGCTGTTCGACGATTTGCTGGTTTTTCCGGGTTGAGCTACGAAGATGCTCCGCACATACCGTCAGAAACTCCAGGGCTATTTGGCGGGTTTCGTCTTCCAGATCGGTATTTCCCATCAGAGCCAGCATGGACGATGCTAGCGATCCAAAGTGGTCGCGGAAGAGTCGCGGCTCGCATTGCAGCATCTCGATAATCTCCTCGATGGTTTTCCTGGTGTCCTCCTCGTCGCCGGCAGACATGGCAGTCTCGATGGATGCGCCTAACAAAGGAATCATGTCTCGAAATTGCATACAGTCTTTGCTTTCCGCAGTCTCTAAAATCGCGCGCAACGCCTCAATGGCGTGTTCTCGCACCTCAGCGTCCGGGTCCATGAGCCCTGGTCGCAAGATCTCGTGTAGTTGTCGCAAGTGCGGGCGAAGCGCATCGTCATCAAGATAGTCAAGCAGGCAAGCCAGGAGGTTCAGACCCGAGGCTCGATGACGCGTCACCGTGCTCGTCGCTAGCGCGTACACAACGCTGAACAACTCCGGCCAGGGTGCCAGTTCCGTGTCTGTGTTTGAAGAATCCACACCACTATGTTCGGCGATGACAGCACCGCCAAGCGCTGCGACCACAGCACAAATCTTGCGCAGCTCTGATGGTGTATAGGTCTCGGTACCGTCGGTCTGAAGTGCAAGCAGAAGGCGCTGCCGTGCCCTCGTAATAACACCCATAGCATTTGCCCCGAGAGACGCTTTCTCCAGCGTCGCTATCCGCTGGCGAAGTAGCACTGCAGCTGCGGATCGAATAACAGTGGCTGCTGACGGATCGGCTGTACCGAGCGCACCCGCCGGTGCTGTACAGAGAAAGCTCAGCACGTCATAGGTGGCCACCGGTTCCGTAGCTACGAGTTGGTCAAACTCCGCTTCAGCCTCATGAATTGTCGCTGTAACAGGTGACTGTAACCTGTAAAGCAAAGCAACAACATCCCCCACAAGCCTCGGTGCGACGAGTTCGGCACTCATCACTGCACTCACGAATAGCGTCGTCACTTGAAAGCGGCACAGGGAAGCCGCACGGTTTCTAACGCGTCGACGCGCGGCGCGCGCTGTGACATCCAGCCGCCGCCGTCACGCGGGCGCGTTCAACGTGTCCACCTCGAGTGCTGCGCCTCGAGCGGCGTTGGATACACGAGTCTTTGGAGCGGGTGATGCCTCCGGCGGGGTCCAGGGCAGTCATTCGTATCCTTTGATGGCGCCTGATTCATAGCGTGTGCTAGTACCGATCTGTGGGCAGTTTTAGAGGACGGGTGCCGGTCGATAGATCGTCCGGGGCTGACACGTCTTCGTTCTGCTAAGAGCAGCGGTGATAGGCTTCCATATGGATAGGTATTGTGTTGGCGCTTTCGAGCCGAACAGATGCCTTTCGGATGATGCAGAATATCGACGTTGGTAAACTGGGAAGCCATTCGCTAACACAGAGAGCTTGGGAAACTCTTGTAGAGGATGAAATATTCCTGAACACGGACCTGGCTGGACGACGATCTCTTCTCGCCTTGCGGAAATGTGGATGGGGTGCTCGGTGCGCGCTCCGCGGCGGGCGGTATCTCGGAAGCACCGTACGACCTTGTCGACGGTGATGCCGGCGCCTCGATGCTCCGACCTCTAGTTTTCAGTTGAATGCTGTGCGTTCGAAATGCCTCCTGGGGAGAAGAATTCCTGCAGCCATTCGGGAAGTGGCATCTGCGCTTGGCGCTTGTGATGCTACGCTAGCGCGCCAGATGCACGCCTCCTCGATGACATGCGTCTTTGATGCCAGCGTGCTACTCGTTCTTTAACGGGCATGAGAAGAAAAAACCTCGTTCGTCGAGTTCCTCGAATGGACTCTAGGCGGTCAGCGTCGCTATTATAAATCACTTTGCCGCTCGAACTGGTTGCACTGGAAATATCTAGTGGCTATCGGTATGCTGTAACAGAGGTAGAACCCGCAAAACCGAACAAGCATTCCAACGATGACGCCGAACGTGCCCAGGGGCGCTGCTGTTCGCCTGCGCAGAGCGGCGCGTGCTAGGCCTGTCTGAACGCGGGACGCAAACACATCCACATACGCGTACGCATCCATCCAGTGCATCAGGTGGCCCGCATCACCTCGCTTCTACCGAAACTGAACGCGTCCGCAATGAAGATACTTAGATTTGAGGTGAACCAGACACGCAACATCGGTCATCCATCAAACGCTTGCTGAGCACCGAACCGCTCACATTTTCCTAAACAGACCCAGATGGAATTCCTTTTTATTTTGCATACAGATGCCCTTTCCATGGGCGGGATCGCGTCGCTTCAGCGTTGTCAACGCTGCAGGCATCGCCTTGACGCTTGAATGATTGGCGCGCGTCGAATCAATGGCAATTCTGGCGATCCTGCAGCCCCGGTGGCGGCTGCTGTCCGGTATGCGTGCGCGGTATGCGTGCGCGGTATGCGTGCGCGGTATGCGTGCGGTAATTGGCGCGAGCCCGCGAATAACCGCCCGTAGACGCAGGTAAACAGCGTTATTCCAGCCGTCGATAGTGGCAAGTACGTTGAACCGGTGTGCGGGTGCTCCCGGAGAACCAGGATGTTTTCACAGGTTGCAGTGCGGTGAACGTGTATAGGGTATCAGAGCAAATGTCTGGTTACGCAGTCCGAGAGGACCGCAGTCGTCCTGCGTACGCTTGTCCAGCGTCCGCGGACTGTGTATACGCGCTGGATGCTGCCACACACTCGGCGAGGCGGAAGCTGCTGTCGTTTGCACAGTTTTGGGCGCATCAGCGTATGCACCAGCACCAACCTAACGAAAAAGAAATCGAACAAAGTGTGAAAGGGGTGGAAGCGCGTCCGGCTTGGACCAGGAGCGCTGACGAGGAACGGTGCGCGCCCTGGGAGCAGCGACTGGACAGGGCTTTCCACTGGAACAACCACGGCCGCGCCGACCTTGACCGGAACGCGTACCTTTACGGGTTAGTTATGGGCGACGCGTTATATCGCGAGAAGGCGTGGCTATCCGTACGAGGGACAGAATGGGCTCGGACCGCCGACAACGACGAGGTCCGCGGCGTCTACCGAAACATACGTTGTGACTGGGCGCCTTGCGGCGTGATGCTGCGTGACCTCACGGAACTAGCAGCACACTGTCTCACGCACCTAGATACCAAGTATCACGTTCCGCAAAGCGTTCGGACACAGTTTGGTCCAGGACAAGCTGTGGACATCCTCGACGGCGAGATGATCTGGTATCCGGCGCGCATCATAGATGCAAGTCCGGGTCGTTTTCTAATTCGTTACGACGACGAACAGTGGTCACAGGAAGAATTCGATGAGTGGGTTTGGCGAGACAGTCCCCGCATTGCCCCGCGCGGCTACTACACTGCAAGCAAACGAAGTCTTCCGCAGGGCACATATTTGCCTCAGAACAACGCGAATCCTCCGCGAGACGAAGGCAAAACCGCTGCGATAGATGCTGTTTCACAAGGGCGTTATCGAGTTAGACATTATACAGGACGAGCAAACCGCAAACGAGCGTTGAATGCTTCCTTTTATCGCCGTTGAATTTCGAGCACCCTGCCCTGCTGGCCATGAAAAGCACTTTTGAGCTGGGATATACCGGGGTTGCTGGCCTAGGAACGCGCAACTGTGGGCTGCTATTCCGCAATGCCACGGAAATGAAGCCGCTGCTCCGCTCGAAATGATGATTCTCGCAGCGGCACTTGCCACGGGCGAAGAAACAGTGTCGCAGTTTGCGGCATTATGCCGGAATCTCCGGCCGTCCATGAACCACCGTGGTAAGAAGCAATTATCGGCGCTTTGTTGCCGGTCTGAGCATGAAAGTTTTCATCCAAGGCGGCAGGACTTGCTGGCGTTTTATCACGCGGTTGCGAGTGAGCCGGCATTGTTCGGACCGCGCGGCGTTGCCGACCGCTGGCATTTCCGCCCCCGCGTCCAAGCTTGAATTTATAACAATTTTCTGCGCCCTGGTGCGCATCACATCACCACAGCGAGCACAGTCTGCTCAGCCTGAATACGGAAAGTATCCAATTGTCGTCGTGGCATGGTTTGTCGCAAACACACTCAGAGGCAAATGCCGGAAATGGACGACAGCTCGAGCCCACGGCATTTGTACTCGACAAAAACGCTGCCGTAGATGTTTTCTCGGGAAGCATGCCTCGCGGGCAAAAACTGAAACGAAATACGTGACGTAGACGCTACGGAATCGTGAGACGTATGCGCGCTTCACGATGATTGCCTGGCGGTTGGTCATACCCGGACGGGCGACATTGGTGGCCTCGGGGGATGCACTGCACGTTCGAGCTCTTTCATGCGCGTGTGAGTCGCCTGGACAGTATGATCGGCCCGGTTGCGTCCTGAATACTGTGCAGGGCGTTACTTGGCAGCGCTTGAAACAATGGATGCCGCGTCTCGCAATGCCGCTGAGCCTACATGTTCTGGGACGAGTCGCTCCGAGGCGCATGGTCCTTGAGTCCAATACTTGAGGGCAATCGCCTTTCAGAAACGTCTTTACTGCGCTGGCTCCGCAGCTCGATTGCGAGCGAGGCGCTGTTCTGTGGAAAGCACTGAAAAGAGTGCATGAACTCCCGAAAATGCGAAACAAGCGGCCTGGTACCGCGATAACCCGCCAGGCAAGTACCGACGACAGCCGAGTTGGTGATTCGTACTCTCGCCCATAGTTTTGCTAACTTTGAGCCCAAATCAGCGGACCGCTCGAGTGCTGCTCGAGTGTCCCGATGCCATGCATTCATCCATCCATTCACGCATCCGACCGAGTCATCAGCTCTCGTGCCAAGAGCAACGCTGCGAGACGGAAAGTGATGCACCAAATCGCGTTCCACTTGCACCGTCAGGATCGCGAGACAAAGTGCGCACGAAGGCTTTCCATAGAAGCTGCGATAACATCAAAGAAGAACTTTTCAGTGCGGACCCGAGAACGTTCAACTTTTTGTGACCGTAGCACATCTGTGCCATCAAGGCATCGACTGCGCTCTCTCAGTGCACAGAACCTGAACGATATCTCGTATTCGCCCGCAGGATCAGCTACCTATTAGACCAGATGACATCTCGGCGGTGGCAGTAACTTATCAAACGCCAACATTTGGTTACATGGTGTGCAGTCGCATACCGCCATAGCAGCAAACGCCACGTGCCCGAGGGATTATCGCATCGAGCTCGGGGAGCATACGCCATTCGACAGGCAGCATGGATAAAGGAAGACAATCGATCGGCATACAGCCTCGCCTACGGGCACGGCATGTAGTGAACTTTTGTATCGCGTACCGAGGAGGCGTGCAAGGATCCTAGGGTTCTGGTTGCGCCTCGCGCACTGCACCTGGGGCCGCTTCACGCATCGCGATCAATCGTGTGCGTGTCGCGAGCGTCGCAGAGGGGGCGTCACGAACTGCTCGTTGCGGGCGTTCAGAGCGTTTTGCATGATGCATCGATTCGCGATACCTCAAGGCGCTGAGTAGACTCCGCCTCGGCATTGGTTCCCATACCTGGCCTTGCGCAGCAAGCGGATACTGCTATGTAATGCCGTCTACGCTGGCTCTACTGGTTCGCCTGAATGCGATTCTGTGCATCTCTGACTTCCAGAGGCCAATCCACCACGAATACAATGTAGCAAATGTAAAAGAGTGCTAGACATAATTCTCCCATAGCAAATCCTAACCAAAATCCATTGACACCCTGACGAAAGACAAATGCAAAGAGCGCTGCTAGCGGAACACACCCCGTCCAGAAACCGAGGAAGCTCGCAAGAGCACCAGTCCGCTGCTTCCCGATCGATTTGAGAATCCCCACACTCGTGTACTGCAAGCAATCCTGAATTTCAAACAATGATACGAAGAGCGCGGCCTGTGCAGCTCGTTCGCCGATATAAGCATCATTTGTGAGCAGTCGTGGCCAGCGATCGCGCGTGCTCGTCAGTAGGATCGCAAGAAGTATGCCGGCAACCGCGGCTACCATTAATCCCAGGCGAGCGGCGAGTCGTGCTGCCGCTGCACATCCCGCTCCGACCAGATTCCCGACCTGAACGGACACGCCAATATGGATCGAAAGCGGTAGCATAAAGCAGAAATAGACGGCATTCATAAGAACTGCCTGAGTCGCCACCGCATCTGCCACGGAACGATCTCCCGGATGCGGCGGTAAACGCGCGGCCATAAAGAGCGTGACTTCAAACGCGCCCCATTCCACGAGCACCCATGCGGTTCCGGGGAGTGCCAAAGCAAGAAAAGGTGTCCATTCTCGCCATAACTCGCGGAAGAGGGCACGCGGCGCTCCGTCATGAGCATCGTTCCCGGACGCCGGCACTGAAACGTACACCCCAGACGGCGACAATAACGAATGCCAACATTGCTCACCGAGGCGCCACTTGTACATCACGAGCGCAAGCGTTCCCAGGAGCGCCCACTGACTCAAGGCGAGTGACAGCGCTGCACCGCGGATACCCCAGTGCAGTCCCGGAATGAGCACGGTGTGGAAAAGGACGTTGGCAACTGCCGCTACGAGGGTCACCTGAATGATGGGCCTTACGATTCCCTGAGCCTGAAGGAATCGTTTCAGGACCTCGTACAGGATCATCGGAACGAGTCCGAGGGTGTACCATCGGCAGAGTGCTGTTGCCAAGGCTACAGTCTGATTACCTGCAGCAGCTGCAGCAGCAGTTGATAATGATGATGAGGCCGCCGCAGCCGTTTCCGGTGTGAGCAGAGCAGCAAGCACGTGTGGCGCCAGTCCGTTCCAGAGCAGCGCTATTAGTGGTGCAACGACGACAAGCTGAATGACAGCACCACGCAGTGCAACCAGCGCCACAGTGCGATAGTCACCGGCTCCGTACGCATTTGCACAGAGCGTATCCAAAGCGGAGCAGAAGCCCGCAACCAGCGCGTTTCCTGTGATGTTGACCAGTGCCAGACCTAGACCTATCGCAGCGAGAGACTCCGGATCAGTCCAGTGACCAATGAAAGCGGTGCTGACAAGCGTCAACGACGCCTGGCCAACGTACGAGAGCAACACCGGCAAAGCGAGCTGCGTGATCGACTGGATGAGCTCCAGTGCAGTGCGTGTACCTCTCTCCGTGCCGGCTTCGTGATCAACCAGCCTCTTCTGGCGAGCGACGGTCGAACGGTCCCCAGTCACTGTAGAGTCCGCTTTGCCGGTGGGTTCCATTAACGTTGGTTCCAGAGGCCTTCCTTCGTCGACCAGCGGTGGTTCAATCATCAGGCGCTTCTTGGCACCGTGAACCGTGCCGTCCAAACCCGACTAGGTCCAAAAGAGGCTTTGGGTGTTCGCGTCAACACCAGAGCTAGTCTCAGTTGAACTGAATGACCTCTATGAACGGCTGCAGTGGTTCGCGGAAACCACGACAAGTACGTCGTGAGCGTCGCTGCGGATCGCAGGCAACAAACGACACCTCGATATCATGCAATGTTCGTGTCTCTATGCCGTGTCCAACGCCGCGAGTGATACTTCGCTGAAGCTATCTATATCGAGCATTGCATTCCTGCGTACGTCGATGCATACGTAGTACGAGATGCTTGACGATTCATCGCAACATGATCCATGAATCTCCGCAGGCCCCAGTGGATACACGAAAGCAGCTCGTAAACGAGGTATCGAGCGAGATTTTTCCCAGTGCAAACAACGTCGACCATATCATTCACTGCTTTGGATTTCCTGTTCCAACCGGACGAGACCTCGTTTTCCGTCATGGAAGCATCAGGAACAAACACTGAACAAATGCTGATGTCCGTCATTCCGGTACAATCCGCCGTTTGCCAGGAAAAGCGCCTTGAGAACACAGCGATCGTACTGAAAAGGTTCGTAATAGAGGCGATGTTCAGGAAAACATCATGTTTTTCGCTGTAGAACGAATAATTCGATGCGTTGAAGCAGGTGAAATTGTGGAACTGCGATGTGCACCTTTGCAGTGTCCGTCATCACTCCAGGGGAACTAGTACTCGGAAGACTGCTCGCGGGTGTTCACGCTACAACTTACGAAAGCCTCGTTTCACCGAGCGCATCGGAGAATTGCTTCTGCTTGTTGGACGGGCAAATCCACGGCCTTCCAGGATTGCATTGCCGAAGTAACGCCGCGCAGAGACTTGCACGTCAACCGTGGTAACCATGACCACAGGCTGACGCTTCCAGTCCGGTATACGATGCTCGGGGTGAACGCCCGTGTCGCCTTAGCTCGGGGTACCTCGGACCCCGGTGCAACACAGCCAGATCATCCGAACTTTTGTGGAACATCGCAGTAAGTACTGCTTTTAGGGTAAAGTGCACGGCATCACAGATTTGATGAGGCCAAGTACGATACAAGTAATGCAGAGCGACCTGCGACACACTTCAGGTAGCTCTGTAATATCAATGAATCATTTCCCGCCAGACAGCGGACATGCCTGGCGAAGCACGGCGCTCATGGGCGTCCAGTCTCATGACACAGCACAGAGCACAAGGCTTGTCTGCGAGGCAAGAGGCTCGCCTACTGGACCGATTGGCGCTGCGCCCCGGATAGACATGCGTTCGTATCCGTTGGAGCGAAGCTCCGTGTAGGCGGACACGTGCGATGGTCGCCTGCCTCGCTTCCGAAAGCAAGCCTGCTTCCGCGGGAATTTCTGCTTCGATTCACTGATCTTGCATATGAAACCAAAGCAATATGCTGCATGCTTGAGGACGCACTCGGACTATGCGACATCACGCTGAAGCTTAACTTGTAGGCGGATGCTACATGCAGTGACCCTCATGATCTCACGGATTCGAGTTTGTATGCATCATGCACGTGGAACAGAACCGGTTCGTTTCTGCTTGCATTTCACAAAGGCATTCAACGGTACCGAGAGCAAGCGCATTTTCCACCCGGTTACGCACCCGTGAAAACTGACAGAGCACCAGCGTGTCTGGCATCTCGTGCGTTCACTGGCGGGCGGTAACCACCGGTATACTGCTGCGGCGTTCGAAGGGCTTCATGGTGCACTAGTGTACGCGGTTTCCTCAAGAGACGTACATCCATGGATCACCGACTAGACGTGCAGAGAACGCGCATACGCTTTCTGGGACGATCAGTTTGCGATTCACGCCTCCGCCTGGATGGATGTAGCAAGGAGCCGCGCAGGGAGCGCACATCTGCGACCTCGGACGATCATTTTTGCAATACATACCTCCAAACATCAAAGCTGCTCGTGTGTCCACCACTAATGAACCGGTTTTTGCCGCGCCCAAAGACCTTCCGATCCAGAAGACATTGCTCGTGCAGCCGCAATACCTTTACGCTCGTACGCACGATGTGTTCTGCACGAGTAGCAGATGCAACCTGGCTTCGACTTGACGCATCTGTTCTCGATATACGGCTGCGTGCAGGGCTTGGAAACCGCTACGATTTCATGCATGAGACGTCCTGCGACAGCAACCGAAACACCTTGGCTTCGGGTTGACGTCACTGGTCACCATGGCTGCATGAGCGTGTTCGCAGCATGTGTGCCCTGCTCTGCACAAGATTCGGAAGCAGGTCGCTCAACGTGCACGAGGCCATTCGTCTTCGCTTTGCGGCGCGCTCTTGGACTGAAGCCCCGTACCGGCGGAATCCGTGCCAACGGATACCACATCCGACTCGGGCGGTGTCGTGGTATCCGTCGTTCCATCAGTGGAGCGTTCGTTGAAAAAAGGGCCCTCATTGAGCCCTTTTTCGTAGCCAGCTCGAAAAGCTTGAATGCTTTCTCGTAACGCCCGGATGCGAGACTGAACGGCTTGCTCGAGAGACTGTGTTTCTCCGGGCGCCTCAGCTGGTGCCCCTGTTCTTGGTGCTCCAGCTGGTATCCAAGCTGCCACTTGTTTCCACTGCTCTTTCCAGAGCGGCGAAGCTGCTGCGCTTGCCGGGTCCCAGCTTCGCACACGTTCGTGCAGACTGCGAAAAGCTCCAGCCCAGTGCGCAGCGGTATCAGCCGGCGCGGCTGAATCAGCAGGAGCCGCAGTCGGCGCCGATCGAGCTCCGTAGCCCCAGGTACGAAAGTAGATCTGCACAAAGTGTCGCAAGAACTGCCAGCGGTTCTTATGAGTACTCTGTATCCAGTCCCTGAAAAGCGGTTCGTCGGCATCGAGGTGCTCCTGGGCCGCTAGAGCCCGTGTCTGGCCTCCGCTGGAGCCGTCCGTCGCCGTTCTCCGAACCGTGAGCGGCTCGTCTTCGTCAAGTGCTCGGTACTGGGCGCGCCATTCCAGGCGATGTAAGCGCCAACGTGCTCGAAGACGTCGACACTGACGTCTACAGAGAGCGTACGTCTGCAAGCAGCGCTGCTTGACTGCCCGCAGACGGACACGAACCCTCATAAACTCGAGGGCGCCTCGGGTTCATGAGCGATACTCCAAGGACGCTCAACGCCAACACCGGCATCGCATCCGAATGGCGCTGCTGCTACTGTTGCTGCATAGGTGCGGAGGCGAATATCTTCTAGCTCCCCGAAATGTTCATCCAGAGCTGAGTAGCGGCCTCCTGCCGCGCACATGCGTCGTTATGGTTGCGAGTGCTAGTGAAAGTGAAGCTGAAGTGGACCTGTTTGAGGAGAGCGCGAGTGATCAGGAGCAAGCGCTACCAGTGGCTGAAGCAGAAGCGACGGCGGCGGTACAGCGACTAGTTCCTCACGAGCACCGCCCAGAGGCCCCGCAGTGCTGTTACGTTCTGGAGATCGCATTTCAGACACCAAAGCACGCTTCATGGGTGCTTCGCTCCCTCGAACTGGATCCAGAGCTTCGACCTAGACTCGTGGAGAGGCACCTTGAGGTCACTGGCAATCAGTTGCGCGTCGCGTTTCGAGGCTGGGACCGCCGCGTTTGTCGCAAAGCCATCAACGCCTTTCTCGACTCGCTACATACTTCCGTTGACGTCCTCGAACGATTTCAATCAGGAGATAGACCTTGGGAATCCGGGGCTAGTGGTTAAGGAGGCCTGCCAGATGAAGCTTGTCCGGCTTTCGCGAAACGACGGAGGGATTCGGCGTTTTCGTCGCAAGAGAAGCGATGACACGTAGCGCCAAAGTTTGCCGTCAAGTTGTCGACTGGGGCGCCCAGAAGCAAGTTTACTGGAGCATCGCGTGATGGATAGAATCCGCATGAATCGCGGAGGAGCCACGTCATAAAAACGGACCAAAATGAGTACCCGTTGGTGGCCCGTGCCGAGTACCTGCTCGGAGGAGTTTCTCGTATCCAGTGCTTCCGTCCGGCATCGAATGGTCGTGCATCTTCTCCGGCGTACCACATGTTATCTAGGAAGTGAGAAACAGTCTCTCCGGTTAAGCTTATCGACGTCGGAAACAGACAACGGAAACTGTCTGGTGAGTTCCGCGGCCGCAGCTCCGTATCCATCTTGCCAATCGGATACATCGGAACCAGTAGCAATCCGTAGCGTTTCCGAGTACACAGGTTGCAATGTGTCATCACCAGTTGGAACCAGTAGCACTCCGTAGCGGTTCCGAGTACACAGGTTGCAATGTGTCGTCACCAGTTGGAACCAGTAGCACTCCGTAGCGGTTCCGAGTACACAGGTTGCAATGTGTCGTCACCAGTTGGAACCAGTAGCAATCCGTAGCGTTTCCGAGTACACAGGTTGCAATGCGTCGTCACCAGTTGGAACCAGTAGCACTCCGTAGCGTTTCCGAGTACACAGGTTGCAATGCGTCGTCACCAGTTGGAACCAGTAGCACTCCGTAGCGTTTCCGAGTACACAGGTTGCAATGTGTCGTCACCAGTTGGAACCAGTAGCACTCCGTAGCGTTTCCGAGTACACAGGTTGCAATGCGTCGTCACCAGTTGGAACCAGTAGCACTCCGTAGCGTTTCCGAGTACACAGGTTGCAATGCGTCGTCACCAGTTGGAACCAGTAGCACTCCGTAGCGTTTCCGAGTACACAGGTTGCAATGTGTCGTCACCAGTTAACAGTGATCGGCACCCGAGGGCGCTCCCAGGGAGACGTCACCGGAATGCGCAAACCTCGGAAGCCTCATGGGGTATCTTCAGTTCATGGTCAGAGTGCTACCTGAACTTATACTTCCTTCCGTCGCTGTGCAAAAGCTCGGCCTTGGCTACGATTTCGAATTAGATGACGCTTGAGCAGGAGCTCTTGTCCAACAACTGCTAGAGGCGCGCGTTGCCTCGACACCTGTCTTGTGTGCTGGTACTGGCCCCGCACACGCATTGCCTGGCAACGATACTCGCTCGTGAACTGTGCGATCATGTGATCCAAAGAAAAGACGCAACTCTCTCTCAGTTTTTGCGACTCATTGCAAGCCTCCTCGTAAGGACTCAGATGATGTCAACCACGCTCTGGCTCGTTCGCTCGCTTGCAAGTACGGCAACGGGCTTTTGCTCACATCAGATGACACTGATACGCGCTGTTCTCCGCGGCATTCGTGCGTTGTTGGTAGCTGCGGTTCAACTCGAGTTCCTTCGCCGTAAAGAGGCCATTCTGCAGCGCAAAATTCTGAAAAAGGCGCTCCTGCTCTGAACGCCACTTTTCGTAGTGAGACCAGCTTACAACCCATTCTGGTATGATTCGTTTCTGCCGCCACTCGAGTACTTTTCGCAGACGCATTGCCTGCTGGGCCTCAGACACGTCTCCATCCGCAGTCAAAGCTTTCCGACCGGCAAGCGTCCGCCCCTGCTGATGAAGCCGTTCCTCGAACTGCCGCACATACTGAAGAATGTGGTGGCGGCTCTTCCACTGCGCAATGATTTCATTCAACTCCTGTTTTCCTCTGAAGATCAGAATATCAAGGACCTGTGGGTCGCGTATATCACTATTGCGCTCGAACTGGTCTCGAATCACCGCTTTAAGCGTGTTATAGTCCTCAGCGAGCGCAAAGTCAATACGCATCTGAGGAATTTGACGCAGAAATCCCCGGTATAACGCTCGCACTTTAGCCTGGGCCTCCTCCAGCGTAGCTGAGGCATCCACGGTCGCGTCGCGTCCACTGGCTCCGGTCTCGGTGTAGCTTGGCCGGTTCACACCCCGAGCTCCAACCACAAGCACGGGGTCGGAGCCGTCAGGAGTAACACTACTGGTTGCTGCAGCCCGGCAGAGGCTCGGGGAAGCAGCAGAGCGCAACCCCGCTGCAGCTCCCTTCTGCAACCTGTTCAAGCTTGGACGCACATGCGCCTGCATCCTGAGCACTACCTCGTGTTTGCAAAACGGCACACAGCAGATAAAACCAGACTACTGTGAAGCAGAGACGACTGCTAAAAAAGGCACACTAGCAACTGCGTTCTATACTTGCCAACGCGACCAGGCACTGGCGACTAAGAATCGTTGGTATCGATTTCAGTGCCTTCGCTGCGCTTTCGATGTGCAGTCGTATGATCAATCGATCGAGCTCTGGGTGTAAACAGTACGCTCGCCATTATCTGACCTGACCTGCTCTGCTCTGATCTGGACTTTGTGTAACGTGGAGGCTTCTCCAGGTGCCGGTGGTCTCTATTCTGGTTCCCAGGGCGTTCGCACTTCCGTGGGTCGCCATGCTGGACAGGTCGTTCTTACACGATAGGAAAGCAACGCGAGGAATACGAGCATCGGCGTCAGCGAGGAGCTGGCATCGGGCGAGCTTCAAAGGTTTCCCTTTGAATATGTCTCGGTCTTGCGCGGCTCGTGATGATTAGACTGCGTAAAGGCGCTCATGGAGTCGTGTTAGGCGCAGGTCGGGATGCGACCGGCGCGACAGATAGCTCGATACCGAGACTTTGCGTTGTAAGCGCTGCCCCAGATATTCTACGTCGTAAACGAATCACCTGTTGACCGTCAAAGTCTCCACACAGTTTGAACTCGAGAGTCGCGGAACCCTGGGAAACGCCGGGTATTCCCGCGACCGGAACGCCTAGAGGTCTGACGTGCTTGGCGCGCTCGGGCGCCCCATCTGGCAAGAACTCCCGATAGCCTGCACTCCTCGTGATAGAACGGGCTATTGCTTTGCGTGATACACGCACAACCCGTCTAGAAAATGGAAGTTGGACCGGAATCCAGCGGTGTAATCTGCAGTGCGGGGGTCGTGCTTTCGGTAGCATGGCGTGTGGTGCATGCGCCGAGGCCGTGACGCTACGTTTCAGGAGATAACGAGTTGGCAGAATGCCGCTGGCGCTGTCGGAGATGGCTCGCTGTCAGCGACTCGCTCGCAGTGAAAACTTATTTTGGAAGCTCCTCACCGGTGGATAGCAGCCGCGTCGATGGCGTTCCGGCTGGCGCAAACGAAAGCTGTCCGCATTCGCATCCATAGAAGCGATATCAAGGGCAGCTTATTATTTCCGGACGACTCTGAATATATCGAGCTGAATGCATGGGCAGTGCGGCGTTCACGTACGCTTCAGACCTCGTGAACATGCCTCTAGAATACTGGGCTTTGCGATAGCATGCGTTCAGGAATCTCAGTACAGGTTGCGCTGAAATGCTGGGTACCTTTGGGCGTGTCTGCCTCTACGCATCATTCGTGCATCGTGCTGGCGGCTCCAGAAGTCAAGAGCAAGGCCTCGTCTTTGTACCATGCGTTACGGAGGACACCGACCTTAACAAAACGGTGGGCATGTACACTGCGAATCAGCATGACCACTAAAATTGCGGATATGATAGGAAAGATGGGTCCGTCTTCCTCGTACCCGCTTTCGACACGTTTCATGTCATCAGCGTGCGCAATTATGAGCCAGTGCTCTTCTCTACTTTTTGGGGGCAACATCCTCGCCCGTGTTTCATAAAGGCGATCGCCACTTTCGCGATGGTCACTCTTCTCATACTCGTCCCTGCTTTCGAGACTTTGCATGCCATCCGCGAGCGCCATCCTGGCAAGGTTTCGTCTCTAATTGCCGCAGCAACCTATTCGCCCGTGTTTCATGAATCTGAGCACCATTGCAGCGAAATTCATTCTGGGACGCTAACGCCGACTCATCTGGCTGCGACTCGCTCTGCTTCGTGTCCACAGAGTCCACGACATTTCCAGATCAGTCAGGAGAGCTTCAGAGAAGCCATCTACCCTGCATCCGTATCGCCGAGAGACACCTCTGCGGAGCCGCTACCGGCCCTCAGCCGATGATTATCTCTCAAAAGCACGCCTTCAAGGCTTTTACTTATGAAGGGAAGGTGATGAAATCGGATTCGCAGAAGATCGTTCGCTGGTTACAGCACGTCCCCCGGTGCTGCGGCGACGAGTATGCGTTGCATCGTAACCCGTTAGGTAGCGCCAGAAAAGCTGCATGCCCTCCCAGATGCGCAAAAGACGGCTACCACGCCCGCCGTATCGTTGTTTGCCCCAGCTGAACGGGACATAACCATATAAACGCATGTGTTCAATCTGGCGCTTCATGGTAACCGAGAATAACACGAGGAAATACAGAACAAGCACAGGCCAGTATACTGGCACATCAAAAATTGGGACCAGCGTAGCAACGAACGACATCGCGACACTTTTCAGACTTTGCCACCAAAACTGGAACTCGGGAAGACGTCGCACAAAAGGACGATACTCAAGATTCGTCCCGTTCAAGGGATCAAGCTCTGCAAAGGCGCCAGTTGAACCACTCGTCCGACGTCGAATCGGGAGGGCGATGCGCTCATCCTCCTGAATTTCGTTCACGTCGCGTGGTTGCAAAAAGCCGAGCATCAGGTTAAGATTGTATATGGCAAGAGCGTAGGCAACAACGTAAAATCCTTGGGTCCAGTAGACACGCAAAGCAAAGAGCGCTCCAAGCGTCCAGAGTGCCAGCCAGCGAGCCGTGCGGTGCGGCACGGAAATGTCTAACCAGTGCTGGAGACGACGCCTCCAACGATACGAATACCGCAAACTGTAGGAACGCACAATACCCAGCAAGTTTGTGTTTTCGACAAAGTCTGCATCTGATGCTCGCATTGATGAAGAAGCAGGGCTACTCGAGGTCAAGTCAACGGGGGCCGCACTCGTTGCCATCGTCGAAACGCTCCGGCCGAACACCGGCCCCGCAGGCTGAGGTATTCCGGGGGCGGTGTGTTCTCCACTTTGAATATTTGTTCCAGGTCTGATGGTAGTCCAAGTGGTGCCACCACCATACGGCCGAAAAGCGTTGCCGGGTAAAGCACCTCGATCGGCAGGACCAGCGCTCATCGCAGATTCGCCAAAGGGTGTCCTCCGTGTTCCACGCCAAACTTGTGCAGCTTCTGCGCGGCTCTCTTTGTGCAGGAGACCGCTACAGTTGAGAACAGCTTCTCAGTTTCTTTACGAAGGGTCACGTGTCGTCTCTCGGTGCGGTAAAAACCGCTTCTGGTGACCGCTCAAGCCAGGGTGACGCCTGTTACCCCTAGCCACGCACTGGGAGCGCTCCGCCGTACCAGGGTGCGCGGTTGGGTTTTCTCGCTCGCAGCAACGTTATCGCCACTACCAGAAACGTCGAAACAAAGCGCCACTTGGCGAGCAAAGTAACGAGTGACACCTGTCGTCAGAGACGCTTTTTCGCGCCTCTGTTCACTCGTTGGGGACAATCGACAGCAACGGTACAGAGCAAGAAAGTTTCGCGTCGATGGAGGAATTTAATATCCACCCGCAGAAGCCTACCAGCGTTCTTTGCCCGGCCCGCTGTTATCGGTTTCAGCTTATCCTCATAAACTTTGAGCCTGAGGGGCAGCCCCACAAAAACTGACTCGCTTAAGCTCCGCGGGTGTCGTCTTCAGCACCCCATATCGTCATATACTGATGACCGCGTTAAAGCCTCGGTTCACGAACTCCATGCGTTTGTTGCCTCTGATGGAACTCTTCAGCGGAGGGATTGCTAGAACTCGTCCCCTCTGTGTCAATACATGCTCGTCATTGTCCCGCCGTGCAAACACCTTTTCTCGTTTATCTCCCCTGTTCTTCCTCCTCTCCTTCTTGGTCACTTGCTGTTCTTCGCTCGATAGTCGGCGAGAAGAGGATTTTTCGTTTTTTTTCCAGCACCCGGCAGTGACAGCTCTCCAGGATCCCCGGCATCCATGTCCATACCATTCCCTTGGATTTTATATTTCTTCTAATGAATGTACTTGGAACGTGTCTGCTATACACCGCGAACACGCATTTGTTTACATGCACCTGGGCTTGGAACCCAGTCGAGGTGAAATACTAGAACCAGATCGTTTTCCGTAGGTACGGCTCTTGTGCGAGCGTTCCTGCGTCGTCAGCTATATATAAGCGGTTGAAGCCAAGACCGGCATCCTATTTTTAGGTCACGCGTCTGATCCAGTCATCGAACGCCCGGGACGAGCCTGGCCCCCCGGCTGAGACACCTTGCTTGCTCACTGTGTCCGAAAATTCGATGCTGCTAGCTTCCCAACAACTCGGTGAGAAACGTCGACTGTAGCGGGCGCGCTGTGCTTCTACGCTACCGGCAATTGGGGTACAACCTACGACCATGGTGTTCACGGTTGGCACTCCAGGTGGAGCGCCTTCCACCGTCAACCAGCAAATAGGTCTCTTCTAATCCGTCTTGGTGCCAGCGCTTTCCTACAAGGCAACTTGGTATATCCCGCACATGGATTTGCACACGGATCGCCGCCTTCCAACAGCAAGATGTGTATACGTCTGGTACCTTGAAGTCTCAGCCTGTTTGAGGAACTAACATGTGCCGCAAGCCGCAGCCGATTTGCATCGAGAAAGATCGTCGGCTCTAACCGAGGATCCGAAAGTACGCAATGGACATCTGCACCAACTGCAGCATCGACCATACCGCATCATACATCCGAGTATCGCCATCAACCTTCAAAATCTTTCTCATCATAACCACCCCCAGCACCATTCAAACTTGCCTTTGGGGATTCATGCCAGTCCGCCCGACAGCATCCGCTGGGCGCCGTCGACGTTGCCGGGGCACGCACGTCCTCGCACCGCTGGCTCGACGCAAGTTCCATCCAACCAAAACGGGCGTTCCTATTGGTCTGCGTATGCCTTCGAAGAACAACTCGCGCAAGTTTCGGGTTAAGCAGGCCCAGAAAGAACAGAACCAGGTAAACGCAGTCAATGGAGGACCAGCGAGCGAACACCTGGTCAACGGGATCAACGCCTTGACCGTCGGCACTGGACCACCTGGGGACCGGCGATCTCTGTTACCGCCACCGCCCTCGGAACCCGGTGAGGACGGGTACTTCGTCGAGAGAACAGGTCCTGACGCTGCTACCAGACGATCAGCTTCCTTGGACATCTCCATAGAAGGAATCAATCTCATGGTTGGGCGACGAGAGTTGCTCGCCTCAGCCACCCTGAAACTCACCTACGGACGCAAGTACGGTCTGGTGGGGCGCAACGGCGAGGGTAAAACACAGCTGCTGTGTGCGCTGGCACATCGCCGACTCCCTGTGCCCTCACATATCCGCATCGCTCACGTCGAGCAAGAGGTTCAAGGCGACGACACAAAGGTGCTAGACGCAGTTTTGCAAAGCGATCGCGAGCGCGAGTACCTGCTTTACTGGGAGAAGCGGCTGCTACAAGACCAATCGGACTGGGCAGGCGAGGCCCTTATGGAAGTTTACGAGCGTCTAGATGAGCTGGATTCTGACGCAGCGGAGACTCGGGCATCCATGATCCTGCGGGGTCTCGGCTTCACCGCTGAGGCGCAGCAGCGACCCACGCGGGAGTTTTCCGGCGGCTGGCGCATGCGCATTCGACTAGCGATGGCGCTCTTCCAACAACCGGATCTGCTGCTCCTCGACGAGGCCAATAACCATCTCGACTCGGTATCTTTGCTTTGGCTCGCCTACTTTCTCCGGGCGTGGCCCCGGACAGTGCTCATGGTGTCGCACGATCGGTGGTTGCTGAATGAAGTCGCCCAGGATACGATTCTGCTCCATCGAAAACGCCTTGTATACTATGGTGGCAACTACGATTCTTATTTGAAGACTCGTGCAGAGCAGCAACGACACGCGTTAGCGGTGGCGAGTTCCCAACAGCGCCGTGCAGCGGAGCTCAAGAACTTCATCGCACGATTCGGGCATGGCCATAAGAAGATGGCCCGCCAGGCGCAGAGCCGCATGAAAATGCTACAGCGATTGGAATCCGAAATGATCGAGGTCGATGAGGACGACCCCTCGCTGCGGATTGAGTTCCCTGCGGCAGAGTATCTGCCGCCGCCGCCTTGCATCTCCGTCAACAACGTTGGTTTTCGATACAGTCCTGATGGTCCGATGCTCTATCGCGACCTCAATTTTGGGCTAGATTGCGACTCTCGGGTAGCGATTATCGGACCTAATGGGGCGGGAAAGTCGACGTTTCTGAAGCTTCTCGCTGGGGAAATTGTGCCGACCGAAGGCTGGATCTCGCGGCACCCGAAACTGCGTATCGCGACGTTTGCGCAGCACCACGTGGACTCCATGGAGGACCTCGAGCGCAGCGCGGTGGACCACATTCGGAGCTTGTGGCCAACCCTTGAGGTGGCCGAGTGCCGAGCGCTTCTCGGCCGTTTCGGTCTGAGTGGCTCGCTTGCCACCATGCCCATGAAGTTGCTTTCTGGGGGCCAGAAATCACGCGTGCAATTCGCGGTCATGGCGGCGATGCGCCCGTCTCTCATGCTGTTCGATGAGGTCACCAATCACTTGGACATGCAGACAATCGACAGCCTAGCGATTGCTCTGAACGCATTCCCAGGCGGTGTCGTGTTGGTAACGCACGACACCCGTTTTCTGAGTTTGGTTGCAAATGAGATCTGGGTCGTCCGACCGGGGAAGTCTCCTCAAGAATCGGGCACCGTAGAGGTCTGGAACGGAGACTACGACGACTATAAGGCGGCCATTGAGCGAGAACTGGAGGAAGCAGGTCTTCTAGCTGCAGCGAAGCAGGAGGCTGCAGCGCTTGCGCTCCAGCGCCTATCTTCATAGACAGTGCTTCGTGTGCAATGCCCGTTGCGTAGAGGGGTCAGGGATCCCAGATATCCGGATCCTGCAGAGTCCCGCGGTTGCGCGGTAACCGCTGGAACATTCTCCACAGAGATGCACTGTATCAGGGTATCCCGCGCACGCCGTCCATTGCGACATCCGAGTGCAATCGTGCACGCAGGCGCCTGGGGCTGGCGCCCTACGCCGCAGGTGCGTGCAGCAACTGCCGTCACGATAGCATGCGAGCGCCGTCACATGCGTGTCGAGTTACGATGCGTGCTGCTGCTGCTGCTGCTGCTGCTGCTGCAGTGCTTTCGTTGTTGTTGTTGTTGTTGTTGTTGGTGGTGGTGGTGCTGCTGCAGTGCTTTCATTGTTGTTGTTGTTGTTGGTATGATCGCCGTGGTGTCGCACGCCCTGTGTCGGAAAGCGTGCCGCTGATCATATCGCTACAATGTGCACCAGACGCATAGAGAGAAGCTTTAGGTGACGTGCTAGGGACTGGGGCTCGTGCTGCCCAGAGGCATCCGCTTCACAGCGTGTTGGTGATTTTGCACGACGGAAAGACGCTTTGATTCGTGAATACGCTGAAGAGACTCCTGTAAAGATATGTATCAACGGGAAATGCTTGCATGTTTTGGCCAAGATATTATAGCGTGTGGGCACTGTATCCTGAGCCTCATCGATTCGCGTTCCAGCGATGTCGCTCGCGCGATCGCCGCTGCGCCAGCGATATGACGACGACAAGTGCGAAACCGGTCTCGGCGTTGGCGCAGCGCGGCGCCATGCATGCTGCTCGCTTGACTCGTCTTCACGAGCAGCGGGTTGCCCCCTTATTTTATCAACCATATAAAGGTCTATCACTTTTCCCGAATAAAGTCTCATCGAGTGAGACGGCCATCCGTCGCTCCTGAAATACGCGTTCATGGTCCAGTGCGATATCCATCGTGTACTGTTCAGCGCGGAACGATTTTCCGTTGAAACGACCCTTGTTTTTTGTTCAGGCGGGCCTCTTCATCACCACTCGTATCAAGGGGATGGCAGCCTCACATCCGGTGGCTTTTTGGATGGTATTTCACGGAGAACGTACGAAGTGGAATGGAATGACGAGTAGAGAATCGCGCATATATATTCTCAAGAGTTCTGATTTGGGTGCACGACGCCGAGAGCAAGTATTACGAGAAGCGTGATGCATCCGATAGCTGAACGTAGAATAACTCCCTTGTAGAATTAGACAGATATTCCGCAAATTACCTACGACGACACCAAGTCCTCCAGCGACCCGTTTCCATTCAGCTGGATACATTCATTTTTTCAATTGCTGCGAGAAAAACAAACAAAAAAGGTAGGCGAGTACAGACCTTCCATAATGCACTGCTCTGAATGTAACGATGTGTGCAAGGCACCGCCCGATAATACGTTCTGCGGGTGCTCGCAGAGTCAGCGCATCGCGCCTTACACCGGCTGTGCACTGAGTCAGTACGTCCTGGGGGACCCAGGTGTGCAGCCACAACGGCATCACGCACCGAGAAAAACGCCTGGGTACACTGTCACGTGAATCATTCACGCAGGCCGCCATGCATTGACACACGTGTCACAGGAACGCCCCATGTTGCCAAAGCGGCACGCGAGTGCTTCGTTCCATGGAGCCTGCCAGCCATGTATGCACGCTGCAGCTCTTTGTTCGGATACCGCAAGTCACCTGAACACCCCCACAGACGTATGCACTGAGCACTGGGCGCAGCGCGTACGGCCCCAAATCCTGCTCCATATCGGCTGCACGGCACGCTGTTATGGTGCATACTGACCCCGCCGCCTCAAGCGCTGCAGCTGCGCGTCGTGTGCACCACACACCTACGAGCCGTGCGGTACCCGGTGCAAGGTACTGCACCCAGCACTCGATGCTGGACCTATGCATCCGGGTGCCGGCCAACGCCAGCGCCCGTGCGCGATGCGCCTCTGCCCTGAACAGGCGCCTCTCGGGAGACACACGCAGACACGCGGGATTCGACGCTCGCAGGAGGCGCGCCCGCGGGCCCTCTGAACCCGCCGCCCTGCATCGATCACGTCGCGATGCGCGCGTCGATTCAGCGTAATCGCATATGCCTCGACGTGACAGCGCTCGCGAGACTGCTGCTGCTGCTGCTGCTGCTGCTGCTGCTGCATCTCGGGATGGCGGCGGCGGCGGCGGCAGCGCTGCACACGCACCCAGCGCGTGCATTCAAGATGGGCGCAAGCGCGGGCGCCGCCGCTGCGCATGGCCCAACGACGCCCTCACTCGATCGGATAGAACGGATGGTGGAGTGCGCTCTCAGCTCCAGAGGACCGGCACCACAGCTCAGTATTTGAAGAGTGACGATCGTTGCGTTCCGTTCGGACGATTGCTGTCGTCGCTGGAATATTTTGCAAGGAATCGTCCGTGAAGGCGTATTCGGTCGAGGAGGGGTTTATCGGTGCTCACGTGTAGCGACGCTGGAGAGTCGGCACGCCAACGGACAGCGCAACGGCTAGCGTGAGCGTGCAGCACCGAGGCGTCGACGGTCTGCTGGGAGCAACTGATTGCTCTCAGCTTGGTTCGTACGTGAAGAGGTTTGATCGGTGATCGTGATTGTCGATTCCTATGCAGAGGGCACACTCTGTCCCTTCACAACTAACGCTTCTCTCTGTTCTACAGCGAGACGCAGCGGCAGCGGAAAACCTTCGTATTAGCAAGTCGACGCTTCTACATGTACAGAATCAACAGCAACGGCAGCGCCAAGCACTTCAATCTGGGTATGGTGGCGCTTACCGGAACGGGAGCCAGGCACCACCACCGGCTGCGTCATCGACGCTGGTGGCTGCACTTGAGGAGGCGGCTAACGGCGGCGACGACGCTACCGCCAGTGGGCGATCGGCAGTTCCTGGGCGGCGCTCAAGAACGGAGCGAGGCCTGAGCGCTGAACGAAACACCAACAAGCCGGTTGGCGCCGACGGACGCACCAGCCGACAGGTTCCAGAGCGGGCCGCAGGTACGCATGAGCCGGAAAGGCGAGCGAACTCGGGGGCAGGTGGTCGGCGAACGTCGCCCGCGGGCACCTCCGACGTCGAAGTGCAACGACAGGAGCGCTCGACGTGATACGCGAGGCATCTCTTGATGAAGAGCTTGAAGAGCTTGATGACCTGACTTTGCGGGAATACTGGAAGCGTCTCGACGCATGGGGTATAACGAGCACGAACTCGAGCGCAAACTCCTCTCCGCGCTCCAGTCCAGCCATCTCACCGATCGAAATGCAACTGGAAGGTGGTACCAACGACATGAATGGTCTTCGACAGGCCGCATCGTCGGAGTATCTCCAACGTCGCAGTTTACCACGCAAGGATGCGATGGATGTGTTGGCTGAACAGCTGCATGCCGAGCAAGTTCGGCGAGAGCGCGACGCCGAGCGACAGCGTCTGCTGGAGGCTGCGCGCTCGCATCATTCACGGACGTCGCTGCAACGCACCAACGAGAGCAGCAGCTCGAACGAGGGCTCTGCGTCCACACCGATGATGGGTCTGCCCTGGCCGGCAGACTCGAACCATTTACAAGGCCATGATCATGTCATGCAGCCACCGGAAATGTGGCGTGTGCAGGCGCACGGTTTTCTCGTCGGACACCAGATGCACACCAATGATCATGGCGGCTGGTGGGTCGAGCGCTGGGGCCAACGCCGGGTCAATGCGAGCGGGCCACTCACTGGCGATGAGCGAAACGACTACGTACGATTCGGGGACAAGTTCGGCATTGATCCGGACGGCTGCAGATGGTCGGAGTGGTGGCTTGAGTTACCAGAACGGCCGGGGGTTGCTCGTGGCTACAAATGGGGTCGCAAAACCAACGGCTCCGAGTGGAATGATCAGTGGGAGCGTTAACCAATGTCGCTCGTGTCGTCGTTTACGCGTGTACCTTCCATCATCTCTTTTTTGAGGCCGTGTATATTTTTCAATACAAGAAATAATGGGCTTAACTCGCATATCGTGCTTTTTTTGGGGCGCTCTCTACTTGAAAGAAGGGCGAATCGCAGGAAACTTTAAAAGCCGTTGCGACTGCACCAACAGCTCTATCGGTCCGCGAACAGCGCCACCCAAGGAACTTCGAACTGCCCGACTGGTTGCGCATACACTATCTTGCCGCAATCAGGCTCACTGCGCAGCGCTCCTTTAACCAGGTCACTGCGGATCCCGTGTGTCCGAGCTAGGGCGTCACGAACCAGGCCCGCACGGCGTCAATCACCAGCGGAGTCGCTCGCAGCACCAGAAAGTACGCTCCGAGGGTTAGCGCGTTCTGACGCATCGCCGCGTGAAGTTGTTCTTTTGTTGGTTGTGCACTTGGTAGAGTGGCGGGATCCATGACGTTCACGTGTTGGCGTGCAGAGCGCGTCCAGCGTCCAGAGACAGCGGGCCGGGTGGCGGCATGGCGTGCGGGTTGCACACGCTTCGCCTTCTGGATAGGTACATTTATGCATCTTTATGGATGATTACGGACGTACTGACTTGCTCGCCTGCACATCGCGTCCGCTTCATGCAGCTCCGTTGAATGGTACATCCCTATATATTTTGGAATATTTATGCCAAATCGGAATAAAATGAACAGTCTTCGGTTCGACTCGCTTCGAACCGGCACATGGCGAGCTCCACGAATGATTTGCTTCACGACCGCTATACACTGCGCTGGGTTCGAAACACGTCGCTTGCGCCCTGCGAGAAGCATCCGTAGCGCGGATACCGCCTCGCTTCGTGCCGCAAGAGACGCAACACGAGAGAGATATCATTGTCGCGCACTTTAACGCTCGCATGCGGCTTCTGTGTGCCCCACGGGTGTAGGGGAGCTGGCTGCATGCTAATCAGGTGGCTCTGGTGTTCGGCCTCGACTAGCGCCTTTTTGTCCGTGCAGCATCCGCACCTGTTTAAGCAGCGGTGGTTTCACGCCCAACAGCGAAGCTGGAGCCTTGTATCGCGCACGCGGCGCACGCTCTGCCTGGACTTGCGTTTGAGGAGGCTCTTGGAAGCGAACAGAACGCTTCGATTGGTCGGCTCTGTTCTCGGCGGGCTTGCGCTGGTGCTTCACACGGGTGCGCCCCCAGTGCTACGAGGAAGCGATCACCACGCAACTGGATCACTTGGCTTCGTTGTGAAACGGACTCGCAACATGGCTTGGCGTGCATCTGGGCACACGAACGCTGAACTTGTTCACAACCTGAAACGTTTGGGTCTTATTGAGTCGCCGGTGGTCGAAAAGGCTTTTCTGGCAGTCGACCGAAAATACTTTGTGCCAGTTGGGCGGCCAGCATCGGTCTCTTTATCAACGCCAAGCACCTCAGGGCAGCAGCAGCAGCAGCAGCAGCAGCAGCAGCACATGGAGCCATCTGCCTCTGCTACTGCGCAAGTTCGTGATGCGAGTGCACCGCAGCCGCCCGCAGCCAATGCGCCGTTGGGCGTGTTTCCTGGACGACAGCATGAGGAACGCGACGAATTTGCACAGAACGATCCGTATGAAGATAGCCCCCAGTATATTGGATACTACGCGACGATCTCGGCACCGCACATCCAGGCGATGTGCGCGGAGCTGCTGCGTTCACACATCGGTCGCCCCGGGGCGCGCGTATTGGATGTCGGCAGTGGGACCGGCTACCTGACGGCCATCTTTGCAAAATTAGGCGAGTTTACACTGCAGTTGTCGGACGCAACCGAGGATATTGCAGCACCGACGCCAGCGACAACGAGAGCGCTGCTTCCTCGCGTCTTCGGCATCGATCACGTTCGTCCGCTTGTGGAGGCATCACTGCAGAACATTCGGCTGAGCAATCCAGAGCTAATCGATGAGCAACGGGTTGCTTTCAAGGCCGATGATGGACGGCTAGGTTGGCCCGAATATGCTCCCTTTGATGCCATTCATGTTGGTGCAGCTGCGGACGTTGTGCCGCGAGCGCTGCTGGAGCAACTCAAGCCCGGAGGTCGAATGGTAATCCCCATTGGACCCGAGGGTGGCGATCAGAAACTCGTGGCGATTGATCGCGACGAAACAGATCCATCCAAGTACATTCAAAAAGATATAACGGGTGTTCGCTACGTTCCGTTATGCGATTTGGCGTATCAGTGGCAGGGCGCCCTTAATGCGGACACCGAAGAGGAAGAGAAACTGTGACGGGTCCTGGTGTTCGAGTTCGCGAACTGCAGTGAAGGCGCGTCATTTTACACGTGCTTTCGAAGGGATGCTTGGATTGCTTCCGGAGGTTTCCAGCAACGCTAGGGAAAGCAACTTGGCGACCCGCGAGCGCCTCTGAGCCACAATACCACATGGCACGCTTCGCTGGGTGCTTTCGAATGCCATTTTCCGGCATCGAGCATTTGGACACCGGACCATGACATCAGGGATGCTTGAATTGATGTTCAGGGATACGTGGAGCGACAGCGTGCGCATACATTGTTCAGGTTTCTGTGCGGCGTACTGCAGAGGTTTGTACATGGGCGATGCCCTTGGTTGCTCACACCGAAGAGATAGCGCTTAGGATACGGCGCTCGCTTTCAATGGTGCCGTTCATATCATCGGTGATGTTTCGTAGTGCCGCTGGCTTTGGACCTGTCATGCGAGCCTGCGTGCGTTCGTCTTCTCGTATGATCTTTAGAGAGAGGTAGCGCCAGTGACCGCAGTATTGCTATGCGAGCTTGCATCGTTGCTTTCGGTATCGCTGGTATTCTCTAAATACGCTGGCGATTGCAGATCGATTGTGCCAAGGAGATGATGCCGTGAACCTTGTGTTCATCCTGCGCTTTCGTTTTAGGGGCACCATCCGCTGCGTCCTCGCTGACGAAGCGGCCTCGTGTCCGTTCTGGTGACCGTACCGTCTTTAGGTCGCTGGGTCGCGGAAAGGATATCCCTGAACTGTGAAGGGTACTTCTGGGAAACATATATGTACAAAAAAGTTTTGATTTGTAAAACAAGTCACCCGTGCGCAACGCAGCGAAAATGTCTCGCGACGATAGGGGAAACGAATACCGTTGTGCAGACGCCTCCTATCCGGTTTTGACTGGACACCTCTTATCGGTTTCAGTTTTTCCTTGCAAACTTCGAGCCTCAGAGGCTGGCCCGCAAAACTTCGCTCGCTTCAGCTCCGCAGGGCTCGTCTTCAAGATCGGCACATCGCCTGATATTGATCGCAGCCTTAAAGCCTCGGTGTACGAGCTCCATGCGTTTATTGCCACTGGTTGCATACACCAATGCATGGAGTCCTCGAACTCGAACCCTGAGTGTCACTGCGGTCTCGTCATGGTCCCGTCGGGCACACACGGTTCCTCGCCTATCGCCCATCTTCTTCTTCACCACGTGCTCTCCTTCGCTCGACAGTCGGTGAGGAGCGGATTTTTCCGTTTCTTGTCGAACCTCTGGATGGCAGGCCCCTGGGATCCTCGACTTCCACGTCCATACCATTCCCTTGAATTTTTTACGTCTTCAAATGAACGCACTTGGAACGAGTCTGCTGTACACCGTGAACAAGCATTTGTTTACACGCACCTGGGCGCGGCACGTCATTGACATGAAAGACCAAAAGAGATTCGACGCTCACCAGAGCAGACCCCTGACGAACTCGGTGGGTCGTCGGCTTGCGCCCGCTGGGTCGAACGTTGACCAGTTAGCAAAGCAAGAGCCTGCTGCAGCTCCTTCACTGCGGTCTCGTCGTCGTCGAACTCTGCTGCGCTCAGCGCTGACCGCACATGTCGCCTAAAGGCGTGCCGCGTGCCCGCTGTGACCCCGTTCCCAGGCGAACCGAGCATATCATCTATGGATTCTCTGCGTTTCCTTTCCTGTGAGGTCTCATTCGGAGACTGCGCTGATAACGGCTGCAGCGAAGCCGGCGCCTGCCTCTCGCTGCCAGCCGCTCCGTCGAACGCTTCCTGGCTGCGGCTAGTGATGCACTGCTGGTGCGTCGACGTTGGAGGCGGGCTTTCATCGTCGTCCACAGACTGGGGCGAGGCATCAGATCCCTCCGGACTTACAACACCGGTACTGTTCTGTTTGCCAAGGCTCGAAGACGAGCCCTTGTCTGGCACCGGTGCAGTACGTACGCTTTGGGTGACTTCCACACACTCGACATTGTCTTGCGTTGACTCCCGAAGCGCTCTTCGAGTCATCACGCACTTGTATTGAGCATATCGAATCTGCTGGGAAAGCTGGTCCCAGAACTCAGCTGATACTGCTGCGCCAGTACCCCCAGTGCTTGTTTCCGAGTCCTCGCGCCCCCGGAACTGTTCCAGCGCTTGCAGGAAGATAGACGCGGCATAAAACTTCGCAGCTGTCTCTGGGGCGGGTTTTCGTGAGATGGACTCCTTCTCAGCTCTTTCAAATATTCGCGACGCAAAGCGGTGCAAGTACTCCAGCGGAGTATGCCGAAAAATCGACGACCACTCCCTAGAGGAGAGGATTCGTGCCTTCAATGCCTCCAGATCGTTCATTTCCTTTGAGAGAAAAGCAGCAATCCGCTTTTGTTCATTTGTATGGGTCAACTGCCGGCGAATGCCAAGGCCCTGCTCTACAGCATACAAACGAGTGAAGTACGAGACTACAGGTTCAATGTGGGCAACCTCGCGGCCCCGCGCAAAAAACGGGTACAGGCCCTGCAGCGCGTCAGGGACGTCTGCTATACCGTCGAGCTCGCTTTCCATGCTGCGACCACACTCCTGCAAACAAACGTCTTTCAAAACAAAAACGCTGTCGCCAGCGGTGTACCGTAGTGGCAGTGAACGCGCCCTAGACAAGGAGTCTCCAACTGACGTGCAGACGTCTCCCAGTTTTTTTCGACCGGCCACCTCATACAGGATACAACTTTTTCTCATATAGTTCAACTTTCAGAGGTTGTCCAATAAAGTCCCTTCTTGTGGACTCTGGAGGTCTCGTCTCCAACACCGCACATCTCCTGATATTGATAGCGGCGTTACAGTCTCGGTTCAAAAACTCCATACGTTTCTTGCCATTGATTGTACTTACGAATGGAAGTAGTCCCCGAACTTTCGCTCTCCTTTCCATTTGTTCATCTGTCAGCGCTCTATACTTTTTTATATCCTCAGGGCTCCTCTGGAACTTTTCCATCTCGATCCTCTGGAGTGCACAGCCCAGTTCGTGGTGTGTGATTACGATGTCCGGAACTCATCTATCGGTATGGTCACGAAACCGTCTGCGCACTCCTTGCACGTTCTTGTCAACGGTGCTGGTATGCTCTCTCTTTGGGTCACCCGCCGTCCTGCTCCATACGTTACCACGAGCCTCTGACTCTTGTCCTCCTTGAGGATGCTCAACTCATTGAAAAAGCTGGTCAACGCATGCTCCCTTCCCACAATACAAGCTCAAACACAGACGAGCTCACGGAAGTTTGGTGTACGCTTTCCACAGCGCCTCGTCATGCGCAGCTTGAGTGTCCATGACCTCTGGAAAATCTTGAAAATCCGCATGTCGGATCGTCACCTCGCTCATAGCTTCCCTGTGATCCTTCATTCCTGCATTCCATGTCTCAATTTTCTTCCCTGCATTCATGATTCCCGATTCTCGATAGTATCTCGCGCTCGAGAGCCTCAAAAGTCGCATATCTCTCTGACGTACTCTACCCTCAGTATCATCTTCCGCACGCTTGGGTACAGCGATGGTAATGATATTCGTGTTTCCGGGGTCCGCGCCGACGACAAAGTCGTTCTCCTGCACCTTGTTCGTCGTAGGACACGCCTTCTTGTTATCTTCGTGCTCCGCCGACGGCGATATCGAGGACGAAACAGGACGAGCTGCCTTCAACTGCCGATCGTGAACACACTAGGATACTCCATCGGTTTCGATGATGCCCGTGAATACCGTTTTCTTGCTCGTTTCGAGACGCTCGAAATCGAAGATATTCTTCCAGGGCTTCTCGTGGTTTTCACCGGTGAACCCTGTCTTCCTTACATCGAACCCCCGGACAGATCTCCTTCATGATGCCGTAGAGGACTCCGGCGTCGATCGTTCCAAAATCGAACTTGATGATGCATAATGGAACGACGTTGAAGCGCTTCCCCATTAGGGTCGCCCACCGCTTCAACGACTCTTCGTTTGCTTCCTCACCGTGCTCCATATCCGCCTCGGGATCGAGTTGTCGGTCCAGAAACACGAAATATCGCACGACGAGGCGATCGCATCTTTCCTTGATGTTTTTCAACTCTGATATCTTTTCTGCTGGATTCGGCATCCCCAGCACCGCACGGTGCTCTCCTATAACCGCACGGATGACAGAAGCTTCGTTCGTGCTCTCGTTCGACGCCTTCGCTCCGACGAATTCGATCTCATCTTCATTCTGACTATCGTTCGCGATGCCATTGATGCTGGCCTTTGTCGCTCTGCAAGACGGGCCCGCGTCCAGCGCAGACACGGCGCGTATCATGAAACGTTCGAGGTTCACGGTCATGCGGTTCTTCAGGTTCTCGTGGTGCTTCATTGCCCCGTATTCGTAAATATCCGCGTCACCCTTGTATCGAGTACCGTTGGAGCGGTATTTCGCGAAGTTTTCGTGGAGGGCATACATTCGCGCATTTCTCCTCGACGTTTCCCGCGTGCCAATCACCAGATGACGAATACAGGTCTTGTCGAAAAATTCTTCCGGAACCTCGACTGTTTTGGTGTCCATCACGTCGCGATACATATCTCTCGCGATATGCATCAGTGCTACAGCAGCGTTACAAACACGCATAGAGTGCGACTCGAAACGGGGTCTGATGGCCTCTTGGAGCTTTTCCGTGTACGGATCCCTGATGTGTTTATGAAGACAGGCTTTCACCAGCATCTCGTGATATTATCGTCTTTCTCGCATCCATCGACGTCGGGCCTCCCGCCGTAACTTCTCCTTCTTGTCTCGTTCCGCTTTGCTCGGCTCTGTTTTTCATTTTTCCCCGGCAGCCGGCAACACCAGGCCTCCAGGATCCTCCATTTCCATTACTTTCCATTTTTATGATAAGAATGCACTTTGAAAGCGTTTGCTATGAACCACGAAAAATCACTTGACCATAATACTGTAAGGGCTGAAACACGAATGAATCGCAAGACTATATTTTGCTATGACTTCAACGCAAATACACCTTTTTCCCGTAGAAAAACACGCTGCTGATCAGCATCGCGTTTCCTTTCAATGGCGGCATGCGCGTCGTTTCTCATGTCAACCAGATATGGTCATATGCTTGTGGACCGCGATGCGTAAAGGTGTCCAGTTTGTGCATTACAGGAAAAGTCAATAACCGCGTTCTGTTTTATGTTCATCGCTCTCGTGTGCAGCGCAGTTGCGTTGCCTGTTCTCCGTCAAACAATGCTGGGCAGTGGACCGAACGCTTTTGTGCCGTCGACTGGTAGAAAAGGTTCGGAACGAGCTCGAGCAGCGGTTCTGGCTATAGCGCTTCAACGGATAGCTCTGCAATGTCTGCATACGTTTCATCGAATGAGAGCACTGCCCCGCGGGACACGGCGCCGACGCTGGGTGGTGGTCTCTTCGCCGGCGTCCTGCCGAGTCCGAGTATGATGCCCAGCCCCAGCATGACAGCCAGCCTAGGTGCTGGCGTTGTTATGATGACAGCCGGGTGAACTAGCATATGTTTGTGAGCAGGATTGCGACTCGCTTGAGTATTCGAGGCAATGCTCGGTCAAAATGCTCGCATCACGGTTCCCGTACTCATATCGATCTCACGTTCTTTGACCGGGAAATGGTACGGTACTGGTGTCAGCGGGCGCAGGAAGACCCACTCGTAGATTTTTATGGCGGCTCCAGTGACGTTCCAATCTCTGGACAATGTCATCATCACTAGCACGCCCGTGGGGACTGTATCACGGCAAGAAAACATGGAATGAAGAGGGAGCTTCCATGCGGAATCTGCTGTAAATGCTTTCCAGGTTTTCTAGCATCATCATTCAGCAGCATTCGCGCCAGGCTGAAAACCCTGTCCTTTACGTTCAACTGCCCAGAGATTGCGTTGATACCCGCTGCGGTGTATAGTAGAGAACGGCGCGCTCGTTCCGCGGTTGCAACGGGCGCACGTTTGGTTGGCCCCGCTGCGCTGCCAGGATGCGGTCCACAATTCGCTGTGGCAACGAGTCACGATGGGTCAACACAATCCACTTGATGTTCTCGGAGCAAGGCGGGGTCGTCAGGCTGCCTCGGTAATAGAAGAAGCTGGGCCGTGCCTCAGGGTCCAGCTCCTCGGCGGCCAGCGCCACGCCTGACTCGATTTCTCCGGCTGGCGATCGTGATGCCAATGAACGTGCAGTGCTTTCTCGCAAGAGCGTATCCGCAAAATTGAATTCCACGAAGCGTGTGGTTCTCAGTCTACCGGGCCGAGATGGTGCCGTTTGGCTGGTCGCTGTGCTCGATGGTGGTAGCGACGAGTTCGATGCATCGGCGACCAGAGACTCAACGGGGATACTGGCACGCGTAGCGCCGGCGGCTGCTGAGGTGTAGGTCAGCGAGGTCTCGCCATTCGTTGCGCCTGCATCCTTCTGTGCCGGAGGCTGACCAGCTGGTGCTTCATCCAGCAGTGAGAGCAGCTCATCAAGCCAGCGTGGAACCGGTGTATCAGGCGCGCCTACTGCCGCTGCGTCCGCACCGCTTCCGTCGCTCGCTGGGTTCGCCTCGGGAACCGCACGCCAGATGCGACCAATCACGGCAACATCGTTCTCATCCGCCACGTTCCGAAACACGGCGTGCATTTCGAGGTCACCACGGAAACGTTCGATGACATGCTCGCTCTGAGGTGCGTGGAAGTGAATGTTCACCAGGCGGTACTGTTGCACTTGTGCGTCGCTGAGTTTGACTGGAGTCGGCGCCTCAGTTGCCGCGACCGATGTGCCATCGCCATCAGTCACCTTGGGGAGCTCTGGAGGGAGCTCTCGCAACGTCAAGGTCGCTGCTGGAAGCGGCGCTTCAAAGCCAGTGTCCTGTGGTAATTCACCGCCAACGGGCGGTGAAAGCGGAATATACTGCTCGAACGTCGCCGTCGGCGGGTGGATATCTAGTGGAGACGGCTCGAAGCGTTTCCACTGCGCAACTTGACTGGTTATGTCGAAGGGAGCGGCCGCAGTTGAGTATTCGAAACGCAACGCTTCTCGCTCCGAGAGCGCTATTGGCGACTGGAAACGTCCACAAGAGCACAGACGGTATGCATCAGCGAGACCACCCCACTTGGACGGCCCTCGCTCTGAACCGTAATCCCAGCAGAGGTTCTGGTTGGCTGCAGCAGCCTGCGGGCTCTGCACGTCAGGCACCTGCGCTTGCGTGTACGTTTGCATTGGACTAGCTCCGTCTTGGTTGCTCGGAGCGTTCACAGCACCTGCCGATTGTGCAGTGTCGCACTGTGCGTGCACGAGTTCAGGTTTGCCTAGAAGAAGCGCCGTGGAAAGCAGCACTACGGCCGCTCCTCGATCCCGCGAGAGCGCTATTCGCAATAGTCTCTCGGAGCCGCTTCCGAAATGAGTTGTCTCTATGCAATGAAAGACAACGGCATGCGGCGATGCGTGCACCGCGCGAGACGCTACGCCGATCGACGAAGGACACGTGTCCGACGCCGCATTGGCACATGCGTGTTCGAACCTGCGTACTGCACTTGAAATCCGGTGTCCTATATCGGAAACTCACGTAGAATGCTCTCTTGCGCTAGGCGCTATCGCTGGTGTCGACGCTCCTGCCCATCTCAGTACCGCCCTGAAGCACAGTCGGTGTTGTGGCAGGCTTGGATCCCGATCATGCTTCCAGAAGACGCGTAGCGTTCGCAGCGGCGTTCGCTTGTGTGGATGAGGTATGCATCTCTCCACTCAACAGGAGTTTCGTTAGGTTTATTGATCGTAACCAAACTAGGCACGGTATGGCTCCTGAACTCGTATATACGTTTTTTGTGATGCTTGTAATGCATGCCGCACGGACGCTGCAATGAGGAACTGATTTGAATTGTGCTTCTATCCGGCGTTATGCACTGTCGACAATGACATTGCTTATCGTTGGCATGCTGTCGTCGTGGTCAAAGTTATGATGGCCGCTACGTCCCCCGGATCCGGTGATCTTGCTAGAGGCATCGCGCATGCGGCGTCTAAATGTACCTTGACGTCTGAGCCTCGCATTTCGCCTGGCACGATCGAGGCACATGACAAAATCACATACTGTATTCTGCTCTACTCTATCCGTTTACTGCCAATGGCGTTACTTATATGTAGTGGTGGAATCGCCAAACCGTAAACTTTCACGTACCACCGCCCGTTCCATATGCTCCCGGATACTCAGTGGCTACCCGTTGATTTTCCACTCGCATTAATCATATCGCGGAGCGTATGGATTTTCTTTCTTTTACTGCTCAACGGAGCCGAAAAGTTCATCGACCAAGAAGAGTATACATATCTACAACGCGCAGACGCCTCCCAGCGGTTCTTTTTTAACTGACCACCTACTATCGACTTCAGCTTTTCCTTGTAAACTTTGAACCTGAGAGGCTGCCCCGCAAAGCTCGATCGCGTCAGCTCCTCGGACCTCGCCTCCAGCAACGCACATCATCTGATATTGATGGTTGCGTTAAAGTCTCGGTTCGCGAACTCCATGCTTTTGCTGCTTCTGGATGAACTCACCATTACGAGGATTGCTATAGTTTGCGACCTCTGTATCACTCCAGTCTCGTCATCGCTCCGTCGTACAAACACGTTTTCTCGCCTATCTCCCATGTTCTTCCTCTTCCCTATGTGCTCCGTCACTTGCTCCTCTTCGCTCGATAGTCGGCGAGAAGAGGAGTTTTCGTTTTTCTCCGGCACTCGGCGATGACAACGCTCCAGGATCCTCGATTTGCATATCCATATCATTCCCTTGGATTCCATATTTCTTCACCTGAACGCTTCTGCTACGCACCGCGAACCAGCGTTTCATGACACGCACACGCGTGGGGAACTTCATGGAGGTGAAAGCCTCGACAAGCATTGTCCAATTTCATGCTGCATTGTACATATGCCGTTTTATACAGTTTCCGAATGCCACTGCTGGCTGCGCGCGCGCAGGCATCCAGCGAGCGATGCGTCGTGGCGTCCTACGAACGCATCCATGCGACTCGTCTCGCAACTGCGTTTCACGACGAAGGCTCAAACGCAATGCGCACCCTTCCGGCTTTCATTTTCCCTCTAAACCTAACGCTCGAGCAAGTATCCTCAAGCGAAACTCTCTCACAGCGGGAAACGCGACCGAGAACGGTTGTACGTCGGGCAAGAGCGCGCCGTTCAGGGAACGGTGTCGAGTTGCCAGCAAACGCACTGAGCACCACTTGGCCTCTAGCCTCTGTTTACCCGAGTGTCTTGGAAATGCAGTGTGCTCAATCAAGACAACGAGACTCCATTCTACTGCAGAGGGCAACGGGCACCGGCAAAGGGCTCAAGTTCAGGTTCGTGAACAGCCACTCGGCTGATGCGAACGACGGTCTGCGTGCTGGTTCCGGTAAACCTGGTAGCTTGAACGCGCGTGGCTTTGCTGGTGGCTCCGGAGGCGACGGCGCTTCAGGAATGAACGCAAGCGAAACGGTGCCCTTGCCACCGTGGTCCCCACTCAGCGCCTCAAACGACGACGACGACGACGACGACGATGACGACGACAGCAGTGCAGAGATGCCGGACGGGAGCGAGGCTGGCGAGGCTGCATCGCGCCCTCGACGCGCACTTCTGCTCATCTCGGATACCGGCGGTGGTCATCGTGCTTCCGCGTATGCCATTCGCGATGCCATGAACGAACTCTATCCTGGAGCATTCGAATGGTTCATCGTCGACATGTGGGCCGAGTGGACGCTGTGGCCTTTCAGCTCCATGCCCCAGTCGTACCAGTTTCTGGCTAAGAATCCGCCTCTATGGCGAGCTACATATTGTTACGGGTCGTTTCCGCTCACGCGACGACTCACCGAGGAGGTCACAAATGCGATCTTGCACGATCGCATCCGCGCAGCGATAAACTGCATCCGACCTGACCTGGTGATTTCGCTGCACCCCCTGACTCAGATGCTGCCTCTTCGGGTACTCAAGAAGATGGGCATTAGGGAACGAATCCCCTTTGTAACTGTGGTAACTGACCTGGGTGGTGCGCACGCAACCTGGTTCGATCCCGACGCGGACCTGGTGTTCGTGGCCTCGGATGCGGTGCGGCAGTTGGCGATCCGTTGTGGTGTGCATCCCGAGCGCATTCGACAACACGGTTTACCAGTTCGCCCCGAGTTTTGGGCCGATGCCGAGAGAAACTACGAGTCCGAGCTCGAATCCCTGAATCGAGCGCAACGCATCCTCGAGTCGCGACGTGCGTGGCGCCGGCGGCTCGGTTTCCTCGCGGAGCATCGGCGAACAGTTCTCATTGTTGGCGGTGGAGATGGCGTTGGCGGCCTCACGCGTATTGCACGAGCGGTCGTCGAACGACTAGACGCTCTGGCGACGGAGTTGCGTGCGCAGTCACCACCTGCATCGCCGCAGTTCCAGGTCATCGTTGTTTGCGGGCGCAACGAAAGAGCGCGCAACGAACTGACGCGCTGGGCCCGCGAGCGGCAGTCCCGACACGGTGATAACGCGCACACCACGGAGACGCGTACGAACCTAACGGTATTCGGATTCGTTTCCAATATGGGTGAGTTGATGGCGGCCGCCGATGCCATTGTCACGAAAGCCGGACCCGGTACCATCGCCGAAGCATTGATTCGGGGCGTACCGATAATGCTGAGCGGCTTTCTCCCGGGCCAAGAGGAAGGCAATGTACCTTTTGTGGTCAATCATGGTGTGGGTGAATACCACCAGGGACCCGTTGCGATTGCGAATCGTCTCGCCGAGTGGCTCGCCGACGAGACACTCCTCCTGCGTATGGCGATTCGTGCACGGGATCTGGGCAAACCGCTGGCAACCTACGAGATCTGTCAGGATATAGCAGAGCTGGCGCAACGGTTTCCAGGTTACCCCGATACACCGAACGAGTCGGATACGATCATGGGGCAGGCTCCGGGGAACATGCGCGAGCTACGCAACGGCAACAGCGATCGTGGTGATGTGGGTCTGGCGGCGCCCTCGGCGGCACGCCGTACAGACAGCACCGACGCTCAGCGCCGGCCGCTCGATGCCACTTGTCGAGCTGCACGACAACCGCAAGCTACCTGGCATAGCAGAGTCGTTTCCGTATCCTAGTGACAGCCGTGCTGGACTAGAATGCGAGGGGTCTTCCAGCTCGTGCATAAAAGTTAACGTTTGAGCCGCTTTCCACTGAGATCCATACAGGGTTTTTTCTGTGATTTCTTGCTTTTCCTCTGTCTTGTCTCAGGTTTGAAGTGCGCCGCTCTTTCCTGTTCCTCCAGCTCCGTAGTCAGCAGTTGACAGACGTTGGTGGCAGCGGTAAAGTGCCGATTTCGCTGTTACCAGTTCTTGTCAAAGCATAGCACGCCCAGACGGAAACTGGTATGCAGACATCGCTTGGCATGTTGATCGTGTTTTTTACATAGGCTCGATGCGCTTTTCGCAGCGATCGAACTCGGATGTGGTCAAGTGTTCCTGCGTATCCACCGTAGGTGCTGCGCTGAGCACCGCCAGGAGGCGAGTGACCGCTTGCTTCACTGCTCGGTACACGCAACGAATGGTAGCAGCAGGTACACCTCGATGCCCTGCTTTTCTCTGCCCAGTGCCGTACCGAAGAACTGCGAGCTTCTTGTTCTTCTGGGCGATTTCCCCGGTCGGGGGTACGCTCTCCGCAGCACGCGCCAGCGCAGCGTGTCACCTTCGATATAGAATCAGTAGTGTGTGATGTTGTCCTTGATGCAACGAGACCCGGATACGAGAATCCGGGCTGGAGCACAAGTCGAGAAATTTCGATCCTTCTACGCGCCCTTCGTGCGAAACTGTAAGGCACTCGCCACTAGAAGCCATCGCTGAGACGACTGCATCCAAGGCCGGTTTCCGAGCGAGCGAAAGAGACGAGCGCCTCTCGGAGCGTGTCGCATGGGACGTATCGAGCTGCTGTGGACTGCCGTTTCGTCGATGACCACAGCGAGAGGAGTGTTTCTCTCTTCGAAGTGAATCTAATCTTTGGCTTGAGAAGGTTCGCGAAGTTTCCGAATAAGCTTCTGCACAAGTCGTCCAGAGACGGGATCAAGTTTTGGTTTTCTGGTCGCTCCAGTGGCGCGAATGCTTGCGTCTACGTTTTGCCTTGAACCAGAAAAGTCGAAAAATTGAGGACTGCGTGATTTGAACATGCCCCACGCAAAGAACGGACAAGAATCGAGCATTGCACATACGCACTGGATCTTGGAATCGCTTACTTTACGAAACCTAGTTCGAGGGTGTCGCAAGTCATCTGGATTCTGGTCAAACAGCGCATTCCAGGTGCAACGCGTCGAAGGACTCTGGACGTAAACGCAACCGAAATAGCCAAAGCTACGTATGCCTGCCTACGCCACCGTTGCCGTCATTCGACTACTACCAAGACGCTACATCTGGGACTGGGGCGGGAGGCTATTGAAACGCCCCCACAGAGCCAGCAGTTCAGTCGTGCATTCCTTTCCCTACGCCTGGATCACGCGTCAGCAGCTTCTCGTCGCGTGCGGTCTCGAACACGCCTCGTTTAAACGCCAACATCGGATCATGTTCCCGAGAACGCTTTGCTCAAGAGCTTGGGAGCCAGATCGACAATCGCGCACTTTACATCCGTCGCTCGACGTAGGATTCACAGGGCAACTTTGGCATGGCAGCCACTGCAGCCACGCCTCGAGCCATCGCGATACGCAGTTGAGGGGATGCAACCAGAGAAATCGTCGTCCTTGTGCCGTGGTATTTGGCGGTGCCCAGGCATATGCCGGAGTCCGTTGCGGAGACTTTAGCGCTGCTGATTTGCGTGTCTATTCAACGCTAGGAGTACGCTACTTTTCTGGGTAACCAGCGCGAGATTCGAATGGACGCAATTCTCAACCGCATGAAGGCAAGCTGAGCGCCCCTGATGTTTGTTCGTGTTCGTGTGCTTCTGGACGAGCTTCTCGATCATTCAACGACACAAGACATCGACAGCCTTGCGCCAACAGCCGAAGAATCCGGGCGCATCTTCCGAAGATACCAACCGATCCAGCGCTATGCGCTGCTTTCTATCGATGCCCTGCTGCCGACTCGAGCAGCAACGCGCGCTACTCGTCAGCACCACGCCACCTGGTTCCGACCCGAGTTCACATCAAAACCATTGACGCATTCGGAAAACCCCCATTCGTGCTTGAACGCGAACACTATACCAACAACCATGACGGGCTTTCTATCAGTCGCTGCAGGTCCTGCAGAAACGCCAGACTCGCTGTTCGCTGCACGCGTCCTGCATCGTAGCTGAGAGTGAGCGTGGCAAAACGCAGTCGCTCGGTATCCAGCGGTTCCACGGATGACTGTGACGTCAAGTTTGCAGCTCTCGGAACAAGACGCCTCTGAGGTGCTCCGATCGCCAAGATACCTGCCTGTGGTGGGTTGATAATCGCCGTGAAACGCGCGATCGCCGGTACCATCCCCAGGTTGCTGATGCTGAACGAGCCGCCCTGGAACTCGTGCAGTTTGAGCTTGTTCTGTCGAGCTCGTTGAACAAGATCCTGCGACTCCGCAGCTATGACACTGACGCTTTTGGTGTCCGCGTCGTGAATGATCGGGGTAATCAGACCGGTCGGCGTGGCGACGGCAAACGCCAGGTCGACTCGTTCTGCGTTGGTATTCAGCGATCGATGCTCCCGCAGTGCAATCGCCACTGCACGAAGGAGCAAGTCGTTGACGGTGAGTTTTGGTGTTCGAAGCGCCTGCAACGAATTTGCTGCCAACATGTTGATGGTCTGGCGAAGCTCGAGCAGTGCCTCGAAGTTCACCACAATGGACTGGTACGCGTGGGGTGCCTTTTGTTTGGACTCTAGCAGGCGTTCCGCAATCACACGTCGTACCTGACTCAGGGGAATATCGCGAAACTGGGTTGTTGTTGTTGTTGGTGTTGCTGCTGCTGGCGATGGCGATGATGATGTTGGTACCTGCTGGTGTTCTCGCGACGGCAGCACCCTGGAGCCCTCAGCTGCCGTACCTGTTCCCGGCCCATGCGGTGTCGATGACACGAAAGAAGACGACGACCGCTGCACTTCAGCAGCGCTCTGTGAATCGCGACGCGTCGAAGCTGCCCCAGAACCCTTTGCTGCAGCCAGCACGCGCAGCAAGTCCCCCTTGAGGACATGACCGCGAGGTCCACTGGGTTGCAACCTTTGTACCAACGCCGCTGGTAGTTCGTGATTCGCCAACATGGTGGCCACTGCCGGTCCATACCGCCACGGCAGCGGCTCGGATTCCTGTTCAAGTTGCTGGGTCATTGACGTGTCTGCCTCTGTGGAGCCCGACGAGGCCTGCTGCTGCTGCTGCTGCTGCTGCATCTCCGTCGCCAGTGCATACCTTTGGCGCTGAACAGAGGTGCTCTCCGGTTTCGTTGCAGAATTCCAGTCCATACGTTGCAACGCGGATACGTGTTCTTCATCTTCAGCCAGAACGGCAATTAAGGTGCCCACGGGAACGTCCTGGGTGCCGTCGGGAACAAGAATTTTCGCTAAAATGCCCTCTTCCTGACTTTCAAACTCAATGGTGGCTTTATCGGTTTCGATCTCCGCCAACACATCCCCGGCGGTTACAGGTTCACCCTCCCGTCGCTTCCACGCCAAGAGGTTACCGGCTTTCATGGTAGGTGATAGCGCTGGCATCTTGATCGGAACGTGGGGCGGAAGCGAGTCCGCTGCCGCACTCGAACGCCTCCGAAGCGCACCTCGGGGGCGCCACCGGTCCACGCACGACAAACGGGTACCTGCAGCGACACATTCGGTTCTTTGTTGCTGGTCGACCACCTGACAGAGACGATGAACTAGACCCCAGGCTGGACGCTGCTGTACGTAGCGCCCAGCTGGGTCAGATCGCGGCTGCTCTGGACGTCGTAGCGCCCGGCTCCCGTCACCAGAACGAATGAGGTTGTGTCCACCGAACCAGGCTCCCACTGATCGTCGCTGTATACCGCATCGCCACCACCAGCTCTTGGTTTGCAGGCGAAGCATCGCTTTGGTTGCTTCCTCGACGCTCGTAGAGGCACGTGCTCCAAAGCGCTCCGGTCGCCGCGAGTTCGTATCGGACACAGTCGCTCCCGAGCGAGCTGCGCCAGCGATTCCCTCGAAGCGAAACGTCGGGCATCCTACGCCCCTGACGGAGGTTGTAGTGCTGATCGCCGCAGTCGAGGTCGGGGAACCGGTTCCGGGAGGTTCCATTGATGGACTAGGAGTGAATGATGCGTGCGACGGCGACGACAGGTTATGTCATCAAGTTGAACGAAGCGGTTTTGGGGCACAACGTCACAGGCAGCGACCAGCGCCTCGCTGGGCATTCGGGTGCCAGCAAGTGCGCGTGAACTCGACCAGACTCGGCATCGCTTAATTGGGCCGTATACGAGTGCCTGTAACTGAGCGGGGTACGCCCTCTATTTGAACACGCTTCAGGCAAGTCTCGTGTGGGGAGCGACAACGCCACCGTGTACCGCCCCAGGTGCGCCGCTGTACCAAAGGGACAGAGCCTCAGAAAATCGTGAAACCTCAAGAAAGCTTTCGCTTTGATGCAACACCAAGTCTTCATGAAGCGTGCTAGCGGATGCACAGACTCGGGTGCTGTTGGGGAACGCGGCTTGTTGGAAGCGTATGCCATCGGAGCCGGGAGAGCGGCGGGAAGCCTCGGGCCTGCGAACATCGCCGCACGCCATACATGATACTGCGTCGTTCTAGCAGTTCTCCAGTGCGGGATTTCAAGCAGGCTGCGAATGATATCAGCAACGCGTCCTAGTAGGCGCCTCCTAGACCAACGTCAGGTGAACATGGAACACTGAAATGTCCGCGGTGTTCCTGCTATTCGTATGTCCCGAACGTTTCTAGACGTGCAGCAGCGATATTCAAGGTGTGGCAATAAAGGCTTCCGGATTCATATTCATGTATGAGGATTCTGGCGCGTTGGTATCGGAGTGCGGACTTTGACGTTTTGCCGCTGGGATTCGTCACGTCACCGGAGTCAAGATCATAGGCGCAGCGCTCAAGCAAAGGCTCCCATATCTCGCTACACCGTGATCCGGTTTATACGTACAATGCGCCACGCCTCTCCTTTTCTCATGGGTAGTGCATGAAAAAATTACGCATGCTTCACGTTTTCGGCCTTTCTGGTTCCGGGCAACCCGTACGTGCAGCCTGTCGTGCCGTTCGATTACAGAGATGAAACACCGACGTCGTTCTTTGACGACTAGTGTACAAGCGCATGCCGAACATTTCTTGAACTTGTCACAAAAAACCGATTCCGTCCGAACGAGGAATCATCTTGTATTCCTGGCTATCAAAGCAACGACATTCCACAATAGCGGTGTGATACGGCGCAGGGGGTATGCTCCCCGAGGCGCTCCTCTCGTCTATTCCCATGGAAACGACGCTTGGGCACGGAAAGCAGTAAGCGCAGGGATCGCATCCAGTGGGGCGCTCTTCACCGCTTTGCTCGACGTGAGCGTGAACGGATGGAGATTTCGCGACTTGCTCCCCAAGCCGGGGTTTTTTCCAACAAAACCCAGCGAGGCACATCGTTTGACGCTGGCACAGACGGTATCCCGTCCATGAACCTGAAAGCCGGTGCTAAGAGCGTCGGCTTCGCAATGGCCCCCGCGCTCGAGCGACCGTTCAACGCCCACCTGACCCAACGAGGTATGCTGCGCGCACGTCAAAAGGTCTTGCGGGTCTTGCGGGGACCACGGTTTCCCCGGAGCTCGCCAAGATGCGCCCTCCGCTGAACACAGCGCGCGCTCTGCATCCAGTTAGTTAGGTATGCAACGCGCCAAACAGGCTGACACAGCGAATGCCTGTCGTCGCATCTGCCGGGAACCGCTGCAGCAGACGCCTACGCTGCTCGTTCATGGTCCATGCGCTCCTCAATAGAGTGAGCGAGCGCAAAGAGACGTTGGGCGGCCTCACGGAGACCGCGTTCAGCGCACATTTCGGCGTTGAGATAGCCGCGGACCTCGGCAAGTGCCAGACCAATCGCTCGACTATTCTCGTCTTCGATTGATCGAGCCCAGGTGCGTTCCTGTAAGGCAGTGCGCCACTCATTCAAGAACTTGTCTATGGAATGGAGGACGTGCACGGCTTCCGCTTGGTTCAGGGTTTCGTCTGGGTCAGCGAGCAATACGGAGCGCTCCAATTCTTCGCATTGCTTGGAAGCACTATTCGCGAGGCTCGCACGACGATGATACCAGGTTGCTGCTGACGGTGTCGAGGTATCCAGGGCCTGGGGCGGCGCATCTTCACCGAAAGCCAGTTTTGACGGTAGCGGTGGCGCTGATAGAGACCCTTCTGGTTCATGCTTGGTTGCGTGTCGGGTTTTTGGCTGCGGTGTCTTGGTCAGTGCGGGCGGTGTGGTGCGCCCTGCATCGGACGCAGGCGCCGCGGGCGAGCGCTTCACGCGGCGCTTTGAATACGGCGTGTTTGGCAGTGCATTCGCGGATAGCGCTGCTCTGTGTCGCCCGGTACGCTCGAATGCCTCAGTGCGGGATCGTGCATCAGCGAGGGGTAGCTGCGCAGCGTCGCCCGGTGGTGGCATTGGTGCGCCTTGCCGGCAACCGTCGTGCCGGGGATCACCGCTGTCACTTTCCTGGGAGTCGGATTCGTGAGCTTTCGCTGGACGAATATCCGCCGCCTTTTCTGTATCAAGATTCGCGTAATGACCGGATGTGTGCTCGCGCGATGGTGAACGCGTCACTGTATGCACTTCCGCCGCGACCTGATGACCCGTTGCGGCATTGGAAACGGGCGTAATGCCCTCCCGATGCGTCAGCTGCATGAGTTGGCGCTGCAACGCCTCGAGTTCCCTGCACAGCGCATCCATCTCATCGCTGAACGCGGGCTGCTCACCTTGTTCATGGCAAGCGCTAGTCGGGCGGACGAGACGCTTTCCGGCTTCGGAAACGACGGATTCTGTCTGGGCTGACGGAGCTGCCTGACAGTCGGCATCAGCCTCGTGAGCCGGTGCCTGCACCGCTGCTTCTACCGCTGGAGCAGTGCCTTCTCGTGCATCACCCTGACTTGGTGGTGTTCGCAACGACAGTAAAAACGAGGAGTATTCGCGATTATTTGCGGACATACGTGCTTCGAGTGGCTCCAGGCGCTGACGCGTATCCAATAGGTCGCGTTCGAGACGCTCACCTCGTTCGTGGCATTGAGCCTCTATCCGTTTGAGCTCGACGCGGCATTGCTCGAGTTCGGCAGCGATGCCCGGCTCTCGGCTTATGCGCTGTAAAAGGCGATCCTCGAGTGCTCCCATCTCTGAGCGCATGGTATCGCGTAATTTTTGGAATGCTTGCAACACACTGGCCTTGCTTGGACGATTGACGAGTCGGGCGTCCAAGGCGTCCCGGTCTACCTTATCGACGAGGCACTGACGCATCTCGTCTCGAAGCGCTTGCACGGCTCGCGCAACACATCGCTCTACGGTAGTTTCCAGTGGCTCCACGAGACCGGCCGCTCGAAGCTGCTCGCGGACGATCTCCGGAATTCGGGTTTGCCAATCGATGCCGCTCGCCATACTGGGTTTCTCGGTCGAATTCTCTTGTCTCCGCTGGTCTTGGAGCAGTCCCGAGAGCTGCGCCTGCAACGAGCCAATGGTCTTATCTAGACGTGTAACGGCGAAGAGGGGGCTCGGCTCGACGGCTGCAGACGGCGTCGACTCGTTGCAGCCAGATCGCAAGAGGTTTCCGGCGTTCTCCTGCAGTTCCTTGACCTGCTGCTGGAGCGCTGCCAATGACTGAGCGATTTCCGCGATGCTCTGCTCGTTGTGCTCCGCAACATGTTCTTGATTCGCTCCCGAGCTTGTACTCCGACGCGCTTGCTCCAGATGCCGCAAGCGCGTATCGAGGCTCCGCACCGATGCGGCGGTTTTGCATGCCAAGTTCAGAACGGCTTCGTGGAGGCTCTCAAACTGAGTCTTACTGTCTTGGTGGGTAACCGTTTCGGGTCCTGCACCACTTGGCTGACGCTGCTGCGCGGCTTGCTTGCGCTCGAGGCTGCGAATGCGCTGCTCACAAGCACGAACGCGTTCCTGCAGCGGAAGACACGTAAAAACCTCCTCCCAGTTGGACGGCAGAACTTGGTTTTCGAGTCTCGATACCCGAGAGAAGACGTGTCGGAGGTGCTGTCGCACAGCGAGTGGAACGCGCTTCCACTCGCCCTGACCGAGTGAGAGCGCTCGAATGAGGGCGCTGTCCGACAATAGCTCCTCGGAGACGTCATCGAGCTTTGATGCTTCCTTTTCCACAGTCTGAAGGTTTTCCTGCTGATGATCTCGCAAGATCCGACTCATGGACGGCAGACGAGTATCGTGAACAGTGGAGGCGTTCCTTGCCGGGAATCGCTTTGAAGCGAAAACGCTCCCGGCATTTGAAATGGATCGGTGCACTTGGTTTAGAAAGATACAGTTATGTACAGTTAAGTCGCATTCACGTCCAAGTTCAAAACGCTGGCGCTCCAACACATGCCCGCCACGCCTGCTCTATCCTGCTCTAGACGCTCACAGTACAACATACTTGTTCGAAGCGGTTCCCCTGTGGTCAGCCATGCCCGCGAATAACCCAGTAACTACCGACATCTGACTTTCACAGCAAATGCGTGGTGTGTTTATGGCTAGCGTCGGCCGCAGCCACGCGAAGCGGTACGAGCGTGCGCGTTGCAGACGCGGCGCTCGACTGTGGATGCTGCAGACGGCGTTTTTTCGGGGTGCAGGCTGCAGTGCTGTCTTCTGAACCGCGCTATGCATCGCGTCGCGTCGTTACGTGCACCAGCAGCGACCACATTGTACGTGTTGTGGGTCCAGGAGCGTGCCGGATCGGCGTACGCACACATGCGTTCATAACTTGCACCGGAAACCGCCTATGCAAGTCGACTTGCTGCTTGTTGACGCTGTACACAGGATGTATATCATGCGAGCGAGCGTAGACCAGCGTATACGCTATCCAAGTCGATATAAGGACGACGAGCGTTTCTACACGGGAGACAGAGCGGCGACGCTTCCGCGCCAGTGCGATGCGGCACGTGATCCCCTGAACGAAAAAAAAACCCTTCGGGAGCACCACATCCATCAACGTCTATTTCCGCTACGCGAGAATATGCATGAAAAGCGGGCCCAGTGACCATAGCGCTTCGGAGCTGGCCAATAAAGGCAGGATCCCGAAGCTGCCGCGCCGGTGCACAGCGCGCTGCATCGAAGCATGCTGCCTGCACGTTCGAACAACTGGACGCTTCGCTTCCGTCCACCGCGCAAGGACGTAGGACTGATCTGAAGGCACCTTCTTAGCGATGTTGGTACTGAAATCCCATAAAACAGAATCCGGGCACGATCTGCGGTGAACAGCAGGTACCAGGAACGTACGCTGAAGTGTCGCGTACGATCACGTATTATCCATGGAAGGCCAGTTGCCGACGTCCTTCGGAAGGCCCCGGCATCGACCCAGAGGCCACGAAAACGCCCTGAACGCACCACGGACACTGTGAATGTATGTATGCACATGTGCTTACTTGCCTGCATGCTTAACAGGTCTCCAGCGGTGCGCTGCCGGTTCCCCGCTCCACGCTGCGGGCAAGCGATGCTTGCGGCCGCCTCGAACGCAACCGAGCGTCATCGAGAAACCGCTGTCATGTGCGACTGCGACCTTGCTGCAGGCCGTTGTCGAGCGCCGCGAAATGACCCGCACTTGCCACACACACACACACACACACACAGATGTCTCAATGAAGCTGCCCTGAAATGCTCATCCAGGTTGCCGCAATGCTATTCAGAACTCAATCAAGTCGCGTTCCGCCTGAGCCGGCCGCGAGTTCGACTCGGTTGCGGCCAGCGATTCGTTGTTGGTCTCTCGTCCGAAACCGTCAGACACCAAGGCATCATCGAAGCGAGCCCAGTCTTCGGCAAGCGGGTCGGCAACGGCATCAGACGCATCGGCATTCCAGGTTGGACGCAAGGCCGCAGAGTGACTGGCGTCGGCGGCAGCGGCCTTGCCCCCAGCCGTACGATCGCACTCAACCGACGAAACGCCCGAATGTCGCTGCTCTAATGTAGTTTGTTGCAGCAAATACTCCAGTGGAACTGCCGATGGGACCGCATGCTCCGTAACACTCCCCTGTGTTGGTCCAGCGGACGCGCCCGCTGACGCTGGCATCGAGAAGGTCCTCTCGGCGGCAACGCCTGGATCGTATCCAGCACCAGCACCAGCACCAGCACCAGCGCCTGCACCAGCTCCGCTAGCGTCAACATCGTCGCCCAGCACGGAAGCGCGGTCCGCTGTGGTGTAACTCGTCATCGAAAAGCGGGGTCCGCCAAACTTGGCAGTGCTCTCACGGCGCTCGCCACGAACCCAGTCCGCGAGCGTACCAACCAGACGCTTCACACGGCGTTTCTGTGAACGTCTCACCGCAGCGCTGCCAACAGGAAGCGCCAGACTCGGATCCAAGGAGTCACCAGTAGATGAGCCACGTGCTGTGCTGTGCGCCCGCAGCGTCGCCTTCTCTGCTGCAGCGAGCGCAGATCGCGTCGTTTCACTCATGCCGGCAGAGAAGGGTCCCCAGGCAGCTTCGGGGATTTGCTGGAGCTGGGCAAAGCCAGCGAGGCGCCCAACCAGCTGTCCACTGCGAAATAGCGGCACCTGAAATGGATGCCGCTCCGCCAGCCCGCGCGCTGAGAGCACCAACGAGCCAGCGACCTGGTCGTCACCGACCGGTGACATCATCATCAACTGTGCGTAAATGAGCTGCTCCTGAATTTCCGCAAGCTCGCTGGGCAGGTACGGCAGTGCAAATCGCCCTGTCCAACGCGGGGCACGATTCATCACCGGACCGGAGAGCGGCGTGCTAAAGATATCCGCTAGAATATCACCGGAAAAGCTCAGATAATACTGCAGCGGGGTATCTGCATGGTGGAGTTGTTGAGCGCTGCCAGCCGCTCCAGTCGCCATCACCACCGGTAACTGATGAAGCACCGCCTGTAACGAGTCCAGCACCAAACTGACCCGCACCGGGTGCAGGGGTATCTGGGGTCCAATGCGCGCTGCGTCGATGTACTCGTCAACCGCAACCGCAATATCCTGTGCTTCAATGCGTCCAGAAGCTGCCAAGCCGGAACTCTGACGTGCTCGATGAGGCGCGTTACACGCCAAAACGGATCGTTGGTCGATCACCGTATACTCGGAGCTCGCGGTGGTCACATGAACTGCCCGTGCCGCAGCGCCCAGCATCGCGAGGCCGCTCAGGTCGCCCAGTGCCCCAGCAGCGTACCAGTAGTCCCACTGGAGCAGCGTATCCCGATCGGAGCGCCCGAGCTGGAGCGACTGCAGCGCCGGGAGCAACTCGCCGCGTCCACGCAAGCGACCTCCGACGAAACATACACTGGTGCCGTAGAGACGCAGACCAATCGCCACAAGGCCGCTCGGACCGTGCTCCGCGGCTACCGAGGACTCACTGACTTCGGCTACGGTGTCGGCGGCGTCGATGCGCACCAGCACGGCAAGTGCAGCGCCACCGCGCGGCAACGCTCTCGCCGCCGCACATCGGTACAGGCCGTGCGCCTCGATGTCCAGGGGTAGAGCGGCGAGCCCGAACCTCCTGCCCGAGGCACCAGAATCCGGGAGTACCAGCGCAATCACGGTTGGTGGCTGGTCGGCCGGGCCCGGCAAGCCCCAGTCTGCAGCCGTTGCAGGCCAGGTAGGCTTGCTGGCACTCGCAACTCGGATCTGAATTCGAAATGCCCCCGCTGGAGCATGCGGAAGCAACGATGCCGGCACCATGAGTCCGTAGTTGCCCGCCCAGGTGAGCAGTGCACGCAGGAAAACCTCTCGCAGGGCCGGGTGAGGAAACACGAGGTCCAGCGGCATCGGCTGCTGTTCACCGCGGAAGCGGAGACGCAACCGATATCGCCCTCGATGCTGTTCGGTGCGCTCGTACTGCACCAGGCTCTGGCGTGGATAACTGTACTCGATGTGCTCAGGGGTCCGAACGACGAGGTCTCGGTCTCGGAGCAGCACCATGACATGGACACGCTCGCCGCTTCCGGTGAGCCACTGCTGCTGGTCGAACATTGTCCAGACCGAATCGGAAGCAGCGCCAGTGCCGGCGTCTGGAAGCGGTACCCCAGAGGCGTCTGCGTCGCGAGCCACAGTCGCGTATCCTAGCATGAGGTCATAGGCGTCTTGGCGATCGTCATCGACAAAATGCTTATTGAAAATGCGCACTGCCGACTTGAGGCCATCCTGCAGGAGGCCCTTGGTGGAGCGTTTCCCACTACGTGCAATATCCGCCTTCATGGCTGCAGTGCCGGCGTACTGGTAGGAAAGCGCGTCTGCGTTATTGCCCCAGAGGCGCACGAACGTCGACTCACCGTCCGGGGAGAGCTGGATTGACCGCTGCGCTCGTCCGGTCGCGTCAGGGGATGGTCTGCTCGTGCTCGTGTCCCGCAAAATGAGGGCCAGCTGCTGCTGCAAAACCTGTTTCGCGAGTATACTCTGAACGACACCAGTTCGATCCAAACAATCCACACAATTGACTCGGAAAATGCCAGTCTGCAGCTGTCGCGCATCCAAGAGAAAGCCGTACGCGTCCAGATCGTTCAGGAGGCGACTCAATAGCGCACAGATGCCGCGCTCGTACTCCTTCCCACTACAGTGACGATGAAAGTCGAACTCGACAAACCGAGGTGCCCAGCTGGGTCGAGCATCAGTGCCGCGACTCGCGGCCAACTCTACCTGTTGGGCGTACGCTCGTGCCAGGGTCGACTCGGAGCCTTCGCTGTTCACGAGCGATACCGCAGTGCATCGTCCGTAGGAGCGGCTGAGATTCTTGAAGTGCTGCGTGAACGCAGCCTGCGACTGCAACAGGGGAGCATCGAGCTCCGGCGCTGGTCGAAGTGCTCCCTTGGTTTGTCGCCAGAAGACGGGTATCGAACCTCGGAGCGTGACAAACGAGGTACAGCGATGTTCATGGAAGACAATCTGTTCGGTTTCAACAAAATTCGCGACATGCCCGGACTGGTCGATCCCCCGAGAGTGGTAACGCGTGCCGGCACGCTTTCGACTCTTCCGGCTCACGACGGTGACGTAGACGCGCTCGATCCCGCCGAGGCCGTTCGCCATAGCAGAGCTGTAAATAGGGAGTTCGACGGTACCGACGTATCCCATGATCGCACGAACTGCCCAGGTGCTTGCAACCGGGCCCAGTGCTTCCACCATGGGCTTGTTCCACCAGAAGCTGGAGCCACTGGCTCCAGTGAGCTGCTTCTGCTGCGTGCGCACCAGGTCAGCCTCGTAGCTGAAGAAGAGGAAACCCGACTCGAGCATCTTCAGCATCGAAACAGATACGTCACGATCCGTCTTCACTGCTGGCTGTGGATGTAGTTTCACCAGTCGCACGCGGCTGGCAGTGTAGACCGGCGCTAGTCGATAGCTTGCCGAGGCTCGCGTCGACGCTTCGTTGCCTGGCGGTGAACTCGTCACTGGCAACGGGACAGAGCCAGCGCGCTTCACTTCGGTTACGGTGACCAAGTATGGACCTGAACTCAAGAAAGTGGCACCTAGAAGCGCTGCCGCAGCGTCAATACCGAGCACCTCTCGGGCGTTGTAGGCACTGGCCGGCGCCGGCAGCAGGTACGGCTCTGCGTGGAACGGGAGCGCCAGCTGTGGACCCGCCGTTCTCTCAAAACTCGCACTGTTTGCTGCGTCTATGACAGCATTTGGTGATGCTGCAGGATCCGGTGCCCAGCGAGAGCAATCCTGAAGCACGAGTCCGGTGGGCAGATGAATGACGCGCAACGCTCGAGGTGGCGGTGCTTCTGCTGGGCGCGCTGTTGCCATGTTGCTAACCGGCACCAGGCTTGGGCCTATGCTTCGGATGTTCCGAACCCGAAAGCAACCTGTGCGCGATGTGGCACACAGTTGCCACGAACTCCGCCGCAGCAGCGGTACTGTTGCTGGAAACGCAACGTTCCGGGCGCTCCGCAGCCGCTCCGCCCGAAAAAGCGCCTGTCGCGAAGCGGCCTGGGCGGGACACGGGGGCAGCGTTTGATGTTCATTATTGTCTCATTTAATGCTGGTGGTGCATGGGGCGCGCTCCTCTGGAAACGTTCCCCCTACGTTTGTCCACTGGACGGTGTCGTTTCATGGGGTACCAAGTTGCTTCGCAAGTTGCTCGGCGTACAAGTATGCCCCTGGTGCGTGGATGCATTGCTTGAGGCGTTGACAGGAATCGAACAGAATCGAATCCTGCACTCAGTGTACGCTCCCGTCGACGGAGCGGGCGTGCACCCCTGGCGCTGCAGCTCGTCTGGCGTCGTCATCTACCAGCGAACGACGCGTCTTGCAGAACAGTTGCTTTCGCAACTCCTTTGGACAAGTTCGACGACGCACAAATCTTACCGCTGCACAAGCGATACAGGTGGCGAACGCTGCCCAGTCTCGTGGAATCGATGGAAAGCGCGTTTGCATATGCTATATGGACGCGCACGTAGGCTCAGCATGAAGCGTACAGAGCGTTGTCCTCTGCTCAACACGGCTCTCAGCGCGTTCACGCGAGTCCCGATACCGTTACGCCCCTTGTTGGCATGCCTGCTGGTGTCCGTCATTTCGGATTGCCGTTCAGACGGAGCGATGGAAACGTTGTGCAGCTTCATCTGCTTCCCGTTCAGGTCTTTGGCGGTATCACCGTGATCTAGGGATTCGACAAGCGCCATGACGCGGTTCAACCGCAGATCCACGCGTACCAGAAGGTGTTTCTCTTCGTCTGCGTTGAACAGTTTGCATTGAGTCTCGGTGCTCGACACGGAATCAATTTTTACGAAATGAATGCAGATTGAGATTCCATCGAACGCCATCATCCCGGTCCATTGCTTTCCATTTTCTCCGAGTAAACCAGAAACCTTGGAGGAGCTCTGCCTGTGCTCTTCTCGAAGGTTTTCAAATACGTCGTAGTTGCTCGCTGAGACGGGCTCCTTCTTCGCCTTGTCTTCGATTTGGCGCGGTTGCATACACGCATGCATGCGCTCGCTATACTCCATGTATGTTTGTATCGCTTGGCATGCAGAGGCACTGGATGACGGACGGTGCTGAAACGCGCATGTTCTGTCTATTGATCGACGATTCCTCAAGAATCCTGGTCATCTTCTCTGTCGCAAGCACGCCCACACATCAAAGCGCCTTTGCACGCGCTTTTCCACGCACGAGCAGAGAAACAACAGCGTAGTTCAGGGCTGCTGTATGTACTAAAGCACAGTTTGTCAAAGCACGATTTACAGACACACGGGATCGTGGATGCGAACGACTCTTCTATTGATCGGGCAGCGCGACCGTGGCGTTTTCCAACCCGATACGACGCCACTGACTGTATGCAAACAGGGAGAAAATCGGCCAGCGTAACCAGGAACGCAACGCCGATCTCAGCTGCAAACTCCTTCACCGCGTTTGATCGATGGAAAGCGACGTCATTGAAGAGCACCACATAAGAATTCGGGAAAGCGAAGCCAAGAAAAGTGCTTGGATGAAAAACGTGGTGTGAAACGAGCCTGTCCTTGTTGGCGATTCGCAGGCGACCAAACGATAGCATTGCGGCTTCAGTTCATGGTATCGGCGTGCTCGCACGTCTCCTCTTTGCGGAGAGCGGTTTGTCGCTCTTGGAGTGCCCACACACAGGTTTATGATTTTTCCGAATTCAATCTCATCGACTAAGACGGACATCTGTCCACCGTTGTTAAGGGCGCTCGGGTTTCCATACGTCGTCGATATTCTGTTGTTCGACGCGCGTCACTCTATCATAGAGATGATCGTTTCCCTTCATATATCCGTATCTTTTCGTTGCCGCTCGAATCAACTGTGCGAAAAAGTCCTAACCCGGGGGTTGTCTCATGGTATTCCTTAGAACACGTGTTGTGTGGAATATGTTGACGAGGAAACAGTCGTGCGGATAGCGTTTAAAAAACGTTGTTTTTCGTCTGCGTGCTGTTCAGGACAATACACAACAGACAGTTGGATACTCTACCTGTACAAGTAAGACTGTTGTTCCGAAATCTAGCAGAGACAGCATCGAGTCTCCATGCAATTGTTCTCCTATCAACATGATGCGATCGTTTTTTGTTTCATATCTGCGAGAAAAACAAACGACAGTGCAGGTTGGAACGAGTATGCCGCAACGCACCGCTCTGCATGTAACGCACTTGCTGTCCATCCATGTAGAGTCTCGTGCGTTTTCACGATGTGTAAGGGACTGGAGGCCTCCGCACCAACTCCACATTGCTCTACAGGTTCGCTTTTGTTTTCGCAACATCCAGAATGAGAATCCAGAGCACTTGGTTCACTTTTCTTTGTTGGTCCATCATAAAACATAACCCGAACGCTGAAGCCCCAGCGCCACGACTGTAAAGCGGCTAACCAGAGGTCATCCCGCAAACGAAAGCGATGGTGCCCGACGCCGACGCCAGCGATGGATCGTCTTCGAGTCTCGGGCTCAGCGCACGTCGAGTGTTTCAGCGGGCTGCAGAGCACACGCAAGAACGTAAAGCAGTATTTTCGGGTTAGCGCATCGAGCGGTCTGGCGTGATATACCCAGAAACGACACCCACACCCAGACGCCTTCCAGGGAAGCACCGCATACAATGATCCCGCCGAACGACACGATGCAGGTGCTGTCGTCGACCTTGGTCCTTGCTCACTGTTTTCCAATCAGCACTTTGTGCGACATGTCGCGTTTTATCGGGGACTAGGGAATCAGAGGCGCCAAGCTGCTGAGCTAGTCGCTGTTCGGAAAGAGGAACAGCTCCAGGTAGCGTCGTCTGCTGCGCGTGACGCGCCCGCGCTCGGCCTGCTGCTGGGAACAAGAGCCCTTGGCAGGTCGCGGAAAGCGTCCAAGTCCCTATTAGCACAGGCGTGAGCACAGCACACGCGAATGCATTGCCTCACGGAAAATACTGCCGTCCGACAGGTTCCCGGGTGCTGTCCTGTTGCTATACTGTCCATGCTGAAAGCCCCGCGGTGCCGTTCATGATGCTGCACACAGCCGACTATGACGATACCGAGCCAGGAAGCGTTGTCGTCGTCGTTGTCGTTGTCGTCTCCTGGGCACACTCGAGGTGCGCTGGTATACATCGCGCAGTTGCCAGCGTCATGGACTGAGCGTTACTGTCGCCACACAGGGTGCTCGCGACGGGCCTTGTATCTGAAAACATGAATGATTGGGGTTCGCGGGGGCCAGCGGCTACCAGCAGGAGCGCATTCTACATAGCTTCTCGACCTGAGCGATTCGATATACGGCACGTATCCGCGGCATGACTCGAGTGCCGGAGTTGCTGCCATTCACCTGGTTTTCATGAGCTAGAGGTGCGGCTACATTACGCGCTGCGCATTGCCTCGGTCGCAACGGGTGTTTGCCGGGCCCCAGTTCGGACCACGAGACGACCATCTGCAGAGAGGGAGGCCAGCATGGCGTTTCGCGCAGCATCGTGCCATGCAAGCGCCACAATAAGGTCATCGTGGTCTCGAGCGCTCTCTTCAAATGTAAAACCTTCGCAAAAGATCGTCGGGGCATCGTTGTCGCTGCGCACCTGATCGCCATCAACAGCGCCTGTCCTGTCTAATGATGAAATGGACGGCGTTGCTGCTGACACGGCTGTCTGTAGACGGCCTCGCCAAGTAGAGACCACTGGCTCTTCATTCGCACCGTACGCAGCAACCGCTACGCGTATGCTCGAATCTAACGCTTCTAGTGCGATTGCAGAGGCAAAGACGCTCCATGGTGCGCGATCACCAACGGCAGAACCAGCGAGCTGCTGAACTTGGCCTCGGAGGAGATCCAAAAACAGCAGGACGCCATCGTCCGTGGAGGCAACAATGCCCCCGGACTGCTGCGGCATGCGTGCGGCTGCCAGCACAGTGCTGCTCAAGCCGTGTGGAGTCGTCGACTGCAACGCATGGAGTCGCAGGGCCTCGTTGTCGGTATCGCACGGGAGGAGCTCGTAGGCTCTCTGGGCCAGGGACCCACATTCCGCGGCTTTCTTTCGTGATGATGTCGAGGAAGCAGCATGGAGCTCGAACTGGCCGGCGATCGACTGTTGTCTGCGGTCAAACAGTAGCAGCGCGCCGCTGGTGTGTGCAGCGAACACCAGCCCAGGCGCTTGCTCGTCGACAAAGCAGGCGCAGGTCCAGTGTAATGCGGCAAGCTGGTGTCGGCCCGTATAGATCATTCTAGGGATATGTGGTACGCTCCAGACACACTGGGTCTGCAGGGTGTTTGCGTCGAGTAGTTGTAGCGTGTGTGCCAGGCCTAGCACGACGCTTTCGCCGGTGAGCGCCACATCCATCGCTTGAAGCGTTTCCGGATGTGGAAGTTCCGCGTTCGGCACTGGCTCCGGATTGCTCACAATGACATGCTGTTTCGCAGCCTCTCCGAAGCAGCCGAGGGCATCTTCTAGTCGAGGTAGCCGAACGGCCTCCAAGGCCGGTTTTCCACGCTCGGCATCCTGGCCAGCGCAGTAGACAACGGGACCCAAGCCACGAGCCAACAACGCTATCTGTGCTGTTTGCTCGATCGGTAACGCTGCCACAAAGTGCAAGTCTTTCTTTTCAGGTGCAAACTCGACGAGTAACAGTTCACTGCGTGCACTCGAGGAGAGCCCGCTTCTGTACGCGGGTGTCTGTGTCGCGGGCCTGCCGCCCGACGCTACCACGAAACGCACTCTGTTCCGAGCCGCGTCAGACAGCTGCCCTGTACTCCCTGTGAAGACCGGAAGAATGCCGCGGGCGGGTTGTTTGATCCCGATCGCAGCCGAAGCTGTCTCCATGGTGCACGAGGGAGAGGTTCCTGGTGTTCTCTCTGCACTCAGGACACCAGCATGGTGCAGCTAGATCCTGTTGCTGGTGAAGCGTGCCACGAGCAGCGCACCGTTCAAGCGCAGCGTGCTCGATGCGAAAGCACTGGTAGCTCGCTGGGCGTGTCGGTCGTCCCAGTCGTAGCGTTTTCGCGCACCAGCGGATGAGTTGCAGTGAAGGAGTAGAGCGGCATAGGGTCGAGGCCAGCGGGTACGTCGAAGCTGTCCCAGTACGAATAGTCCATAAAAGTATAGCATCCAATCAACCCTCCGTTCGCCTGAAGCGTACCATGTCCGTTGCTACCCTCTGTCTTCCGTTTCGATGGTACTCCATCCCCAGGTATCGGTAACCAAATGCTTTTTCGCGGTTTATAGAAGAAGCGTTCCGAGCGCGTTGATTTTGAGAAATAAAGAATCTGAGGGAAAAGTATGAAGGCGTGGATTTCGGGTACCCGGTGTCGTCAGGCGCCGGAAATAAACGAACAAAACATCGTATTGCTGCCGACAATCGAGCGATGAAGAGCAATTGACGAAAAATAGAAGACGGTTGGAGATAGGGGAGAAAAGGTGTTTGTAAGACGGGACGATGACGAGAGTGTAGTGGTTCAGAAGGGCACGAATGCGAGGAATCCTTGCAGCAGTGCATTCAACAAGAGGCAACAAACGCAAGGAGTTTGTGAACTCGTGGCCTTCTTGCCATTTCCTTTTCGGTTAGCGCTACGTGCTTTCCTATCTCCCAAGCGGGTCGCTGGCAATTTCCCATCTCGATCCTCTGGAGTTTACAGCCCAGTTCGTGGTGTGTGATTACGATGTCCGGAACTCATCTATCGGTATGGTCACGAAACCGTCTGCGCACTCCTTGCACGTTCTTGTCGACGGTGCTGGTATGCTCTCTCTTTGGGTCACCCGCCGTCCTGCTCCATACGTTACCACGAGCCTCTGACTCTTGTCCTCCTTGAGGACGCTCAACTCATTGAAAAAGCTGGTCAACGCATGCTCCCTTCCCACAATACAAGCTCAAACACAGACGAGCTCACGGAAGTTTGGTGTACGCTTTCCACAGCGCCTCGTCATGCGCAGCTTGAGTGTCCATGACCTCTGGAAAATCTTGAAAATCCGCATGTCGGATCGTCACCTCGCTCATAGCTTCCCTGTGATCCTTCATTCCTGCATTCCATGTCTCAATTTTCTTCCCTGCATTCATGATTCCCGATTCTCGATAGTATCTCGCGCTCGAGAGCCTCAAAAGTCGCATATCTCTCTGACGTACTCTACCCTCAGTATCATCTTCCGCACGCTTGGGTACAGCGATGGTAATGATGTTCGTGTTGCCGGGGTCCGCGCCGACGACAAAGTCGTTCTCCTGCACCTTGTTCGTCGTAGGACACGCCTTCTTGTTATCTTCGTGCTCCGCCGACGGCGATATCGAGGACGAAACAGGACGAGCTGCCTTCAACTGCCGATCGTGAACACACTAGGATACTCCATCGGTTTCGATGATGCCCGTGAATACCGTTTTCTTGCTCGTTTCGAGACGCTCGAAATCGAAGATATTCTTCCAGGGCTTCTCGCGGTTTTCACCGGTGAACCCTGTCTTCCTTACATCGAACCCCCGGACAGATCTCCTTCATGATGCCGTAGAGGACTCCGGCGTCGATCGTTCCAAAATCGAACTTGATGATGCATAATGGAACGACGTTGAAGCGCTTCCCCATTAGGGTCGCCCACCGTTTCAACGACTCTTCGTTTGCTTCCACACCGTGCTCCATATCCGCCTCGGGATCGAGTTGTCGGTCCAGAAACACGAAATATCGCACGACGAGGCGATCGTGTCTTTCCTTGATGTTTTTCAACTCTGATATCTTTTCTGCTGGATTCGGCATCCCCAGCACCGCACGGTGCTCTCCTATAACCGCACGGATGACAGAAGCTTCGCTCGTGCTCTCGTTCGACGCCTTCGCTCCGACGAATTCGATCTCATCTTCATTCTGACTATCGTTCGCGATGCCATTGATGATGGCCTTTGTCGCTCTGCAAGAGGGGCCCGCGTCCAGCGCAGACACGGCGCGTATCATGAAATGTTCGAGGTTCACGGTCATGCGGTTCTTCAGGTTCTCGTGGTGCTTCATTGCCCCGTATTCGTAAATATCCGCGTCACCCTTGTATCGAGTACCGTTGGAGCGGTATTTCGCGAAGTTTTCGTGGAGGGCATACATTCGCGCATTTCTCCTCGACGTTTCCCGCGTGCCAATCATCAGATGACGAATACAGGTCTTGTCGAAAAATTCTTCCGGAACCTCGACTGTTTTGGTGTCCATCACGTCGCGATACATATCTCTCGCGATATGCATCAGTGCTACAGCAGCGAAAAGAACACGCATAGAGTGCGACTCGAAACGGGGTCTGATGGCGTCTCGCAACTTCTGCCTACGTGGATCCTCGATATGTTTGAGAAGACAGGCTTTCACCAGCATCTCGTGGTACTGTCGTCTTTCGTGCAGCTTTTGACGTAGGGCCTCGCCCTTTTGCTTCTTCGTCCTGTTTCGTTCCTATCCCATTAGCACTGTTTGTCGTTTTTCTCCGCCTGCCGGTAGCAAGGGCCCTTCAGGATCCCCGACTTGCACCCGCATAGCTTTGCTTTGGCGTTTTTATTTCGTCAAAACGACCGCACGTCTTTTTGGCCTTAGATGAGGGCTTTCTCGGAGGGAGCGTGGCTTTCGCAAGAAAAACGACATGTGCCCCGATGTGTTACCGAGTAATGAACGCTCAGCGTTTCGCCCGGGGGAGCGATCATCACGTTTCACGATAGAAAACACTCCTACAATGCGCTTGAACCACGGAGCGCACAGACGAACAAAAATCACCCCTACCCCGATAGAATCGGCAAAAAGCTCGAACGCAAGCGATATGGTGATATGCCACGTTGCCCAATAGAAGGACGTCGCCAGACGTCCGGTAAAAGTCTTCAATGCTTGGACAAATTGGTTGGTGCTGTTGCATGTGTCTTTTCTACAAGTGAAACTGAGGCCACCAAATAAATCTTCTAAAGCTATAATAGATGATGATTTCGTCGTTCTCTTCGAGCTCGATCGAACGTACAACGGGCGTCCTTCACCTCGAATACCCATTGACGCTCCGAGCGTGCCTTGCGAAGCAAGTTTCATCAACTGAACAAACAAACTGACGATCCGGTGGTTCCTATCGATCGTGACGTTCCAGGGACTCTGTTATTGCGATTTGGATGGAAGATGCCATTGCTTGAACGATGACTCTTTTTGAGATTGTATCCCAGTGTTTTCAGGATCATAGGCGCGACTTGGTGAGAAACAGAGACGCCTGTGGCGACTATGATCGTCGCTGTTGCTTTCCGAAAATGGTGATCAACGGATCGTTTTCTAAGATCGACTGCAAGCGACCTCTATGAATATCGATCTCTGGCACGGAGTGCATCTACATTTTTCTTATAGTTTTCGCCAACCATCTGAGTACGTCGGTATGACTGTCCTAAACGAGGAATGCAGTCCTCCTTGGACTGTTCAGAAATGAATGTAAATGCTACATGCAAATCATCTACGATCTACACTATGCATTGCATTGCGATTTCGATCTCCTAGACATCGCAGCGGAAGTGAAACAGAATTTAGTACAAAGACTACAAGAACGGAAACCTCGGGCCTCTTTGATGGTAGCGTTCACGCATCCGATAGATGCCAATATGACACATCTGGTGAAAAAGCAGCTAAACATTCGCGTCGATTCGTTTTCTGGGTCTGTTCAGGGCATGGTGCTGGCATGTGCGTGCTGGCACTCACCAGCACTCACTGAACGTTGCTTTGCAGTCGCGAAATGCGAAAGCATCCCGCTCCAACGCGAGTTCGCGGTGATGAACTTGTCTTCAGCATCGCTTCCAAAGTCCGAATGCGACCAGCAAATGCCTCTTCATGGGAAGCTTGCGGCAAATACCATTTCAGTTTGACATGGATGAATTCGTGCTCGACATTTCACGAGTGCAGCGCAAGAGGTCAATTCACTGTCCGCTTACACCTGTGCATGCGACGGCAACATAGAAACCGCAAACGAGTGCTCTGCATTCATTGGAAATACCCTGCAGCATAGGCATCTGGATCCCATCCAATCGTTCAGAGCGCTTTTCCGCACGGCGCTGCTGAGGGCGCACTGATCCGTAAAACGCTTGGGATGTTTCGGAAGACATCTCGCTGCCTTTCGAGTCGAGCTTGTTGCGAGAGGAAAACCCAGCAGCCGGGGGACGTGCACGAGTTGCGTTTTTGCTATGAGCGCTGCGCGATCGTCATCGACGAGCATGGTGAGTCCGGCAGCGCCGGCGGACCCCTGTGCTAGGCTCAGGGAGGAGGCGCTGCGCTGCTTCGGGGAAGCCAAGCGCCAGCCTGGGGCACACGATACCTGTCGCGAAAAGAAAGAGTGCTATCGACGCTGTCGTGACCTTTGGCTGGCCGAAATACGCAAGGCACGACGTGGAGAGCGACTTCCGAACCCGGCGGTGACGGGCCAAACGCCGGACACCAGCTAAACCTCGCTCTGGGTGGTAATCGTCCGCAACCTGTGCGGCCGACTGGGATGATTTCCACGTTGAAAGCACCTTTGGACTTTGTTGGCTTTTTGGGGAGTCTTCGCAGATCAGAGCTGTTGTCGTCGAGGTTACCCGCGGCCGCCTGCTCGCTGGTCGGCACTCGAGTCTGGGGCAGCCTGGTGCAGGCGACGTGCTGCGTTCGCTACAAGCAGCGCGTTCTGCGGTATCCGGAACTTTGTTATTCCAAGACCTCTTTTGGAGCGCAAGGCGCCACAAGCGGTAACGAGCATCCAGTAGCAAGCAAGCAAGCTGGCAGAGACGCGCCCCCGATAAAGTGCACGTGTGCAAGTATGCCTGCAGCGCTGCCGTCGACAACGGACTTGTCTCTGTGCAGCCAGTGCATGATACCGATATGCGTCCGTTCACGCTTCGTCTGCATCAGGCCAGCAACTGGTCTGATGATATTCTCCAGGCAGCGATTGAGATGAACCTGTCGTGGGGCTGTCTGTTTATGGAAGCGCGCCATGTAGGTATACCTTGTCAAGAGTTGGTCGTGGGAACAAGGACGCCTCTCCATTCCGTCGTTTTGCGTCTCGTGTAGTACTCGAATCCGATATCCACCGGTGCATCCAAGGCGCTACGTTCAATGCCGTGGAGCGTGACCTCGAGACACTGCCGGGTTCCCGCTTCGTGCGTGCCCTTCCTGAGACTGTTTCGCACCGCGTTTCAACATGTATTCGGAAAGGACGCGTCTTTAGCGCTGCTCCTCGGTTCCATCCATCACAGTCTGGTCGTGAACAGACGCGTCGAACGTGCGCAGCAGAAACGGGAACCCCGAAAACGTCTCGTTACGAGGCCGTCTCCGCTGGCCCACAGGCCGTATGATCGCGCATTGCACTACGACCAAGTCAAGCTAAAAGCATGTCGTTTACCATTCGAGGTCTGTGCGACCGCGCGCTCCAACACGTTAGGTTTTTTAGAGAACATCACTTCCACCACGGATTCTCACCAGTTCGAAAGTCGGTCTCCTTCCAGGGTTTGATCTCTACGAACCCGTCATCATCCACTTCGGTATGTGCCAGAGCGAGCGACAGCGGAGCCGGACCGCGCACCACCTTCCCTGTACGATCGTACTGCGAACCATGGCACGGGCAAATGAACTTGTTCTGTGCTGCGTTCCAAGGCACCACGCAGCCAAGGTGCGTGCAAACAGCATTCAGTGCGTAGGTTTCGAGCTCGCCGGCGTCGTTCACAACAAGATACGTGGGCTCCCCGTTTAGGCCCTGCACAAGGTCACGAGAGCCGGGGGGATGCGTCTTCAGATAATCCTCCTTCTTGATAGGCGTCCCGAGGGCGTCCTTTGCAATCACACCGCCTGAGCCTTTGTTCTTCAGTGGCGGCACGAAGAAGCTGGCGTACGTGCCAAGCATGATGCTTGCTGGGAGTCCAACTGAACCCACTAGAATGAGGTTCAGCAGCGTGCGCTTCCCCATATCTGGGATGTAGTCGTCATCGGATCCCGAGGAGCCGCCACCGCTGCCGCTCCCTCCACGCGCGTCATCAACTGTACTCGGCCGCGCAAACGTCATGCGCAGCGCCACGCGCTTCCTGCCCAGCGTTGTAGGCTGGCGTTCGACTGCACCAGGATGACACCGAGACACCGTTCTAAACGTAATGCTATTTGTTGTAAGCACGAACATTAGCCAGAGTTATAAACAAAAACGAACCTACAAGTTGAACTCGTAGAAGAACGCAAACGTTCACACACAACACGAACAAGCAACTCGCCTTGTGATCGTCGACGATGGACGGCAGCGTGCTCGCGATGCAGGGCTTCGGGGGCGCGCGGCGTTGGACGCTACCGCCGCCGATGGCGACGCTATAGACGCTGCCGCGTTTTCGCTCGATGTGCCTGCGCTGGAAAAAAGGAACGCTGCTATCGCTTTGAGAGACAGCAACATCTGGGTATCACTGTGGTAAATGAAGGCCAGCCACTTACTTTGAGTGTAGTACTAGCAACGAATGGTCCCGTAGCTGAGCCCCAGTGCTCGCGAGTGGCCAGTGAACTCATACTCTACCTTCTAGGTGGAAGGTCCAGTGAACGAGATGCGCACACGGGACCAGTGTTACGCGCACCTACTCACTGGTGGGTGGCAAGCACAAGCCCGAGTCGCCAACCGAGGGCGACGCTTTCCGTGTACGATCACGCAGGAGAGAGGCGGCTCCCAGGATTCATCGTAACAGCCAAGTTTCTCCAACGTGTTGTGCAGCGAAAGCAAGTTTTGCATCCGCAGGCTGTCCGAGCGCAAACTGACGACGAGACCCGATTCTTTGTCGAGTGAAGCACGCCTCGAGCAGACGCCGTCTGTGGTACGGCAACGCCGTTCTGTTTCTGTGCTACGACAGCACCGGCGCTACAAGCGCTATTGAGGCGGATGTTCACGGGCAGGCACTCGGCGCCCGATAGCACGTCTGAAACGCCAGTACATCCGAGACGAAGTATGGATTATGAAACTTGGACGTAAGGCGTGGAATGACGAAAGTTTCACCGCGCGCAGGCTCCAAGCGCACAGAGTCGCGGCACGCTCGCCTGTGTGAGAAGTTTTCACATGGAACAAAATCCGCTGCCTTTGCTGTTGCCGCTGATTGTTCTCCAATGACAAAACATTTACATGGTATTTGGATTCCAGATAGCGAGATGGATAGGTACTGGTGATCGAAAAAGTGTCCATCGTGATGCACTCTACCTCCATGCCCCATTACTTATACTTACTTTCGGATGTACTGATCGTTTTGTGCGTTCTGTAGTGCGCCGAGTGCCTGCTTTGAGCAACCGCCTTAGCGCCTAAACTGCTGAAGCAGATACTGCACGGAGATAGAACGGCGTTGCCATACCACTGAGGGCGCCGGATCGATGAACGCTTCACCTGATACAGCGTTGGAATGCACAATAATTCTGGGAGCCTGTAGGCTAAACAGACACAACTACTGCCTGCGAAAGCGCGAACCGATATATTAGGAGTCTACTGCGATCCGGGCGACGACCAAACACAGCATCCCGCGTCTAGTCCCAGAATGAACTGCGTTGCGGACGAGCTGCTCAGGTCTCGCCACAGCGCCCGCTACTGGGGGGAGCACGAAGCACGAGTCTGGGAGACTCGTCCTGCTCGCGGGACTTTTCGCCTAGAGGGAGGATTCTTCAGAATATGGAAACCTTTTTCCCCGTTTTCAAAGTTTATCGTAGAACGGGAGAGAAATTGCTGTATCGTTGCTCGCTAGTCGTGAGTCTCTCTTCTTTGTTCTACATAGTGCTGTCGATTTGCGCACCAGGGAGATCTGTCAGTTTCGAGTCACGACGCGTATGCTGCCGTTGAAGGGAAACGCGATCCTGATCAATAGCGTGCTGCTCTAATGTGCAAGTTGTACTTGCGTTAAAGACGTAGCAAAGTACAGTTCTTCAGTTCATTTGTGTCTCAAACCTCAAACAAGTGTATTCAACTGTTTTTTCGCAGTATATAACTGAAGCGTTCAAAGTCCGTTACAAAAGATAAAAAAGGAAAGTTATGGAAAAGGAAGTGGAGGATCCTGGAGGCCCAGTGTGGCTGGCCGCCAGAAAAAAAAACAAAAAAATAGTGCCGAGTCCAGAAGAAAACGAAGCGAGAAAGAAGCAAAATGGGGGCCCTACGTCGAAGGCTGCAAGAAAGACGTCTGTACAACGAGACGGTGGTGAAAGCCTGTCTTCGTAAACATACCAAGGATCCGTACAAGGCAAAGTTGCGAGGCGCTATCAGAAACCGTGTCGGGTTGTAATCCATAACGATTATAAAGGGGTCGTCAGTACGAATGCATTTGGCGAGGGAGATGTACGAAGACGTGACGCACGTGGAAACAGTCGAGGTTCTGGTCGAGTTTTTCGACAAGACCTCTATTCGTCACCTGATGCTTGGTACGGGGGAATCGTCGACAAAGAAAGAGCTAGTGCATGCCCTCCACGAAAACTTCGCAGAATTCCGCTTCGAGGGAACTCGATACAAGGGTGACGGAAATATTTACACATGCGGGGTGATGAAGTACATCACGAACCTGAGGAACCATTTGACTATGAACCCGGAGCGTTTCATGATACGCACCGTCTTTGCGCTGTACTCGGGCCTGTCTCGCAAAGGAGTATGGGCGATTACCAATGGCATCACGAACGATCGCAAGCATGATGAGATCGAATTCGTCGACAGGAAGGCGTCACGCAGGAGAAGGTTTAAAACTTCTGTCATCCGTGCGGTTATACAAGAGCACCGCGCAGTCTTGGGGTTGGCGAATTCAATAGAAAACATATCAGAGTTGGAAAAAGATAAGGAAAGATACGATCGCCTCATTCTGCGCTATTTAGTGTTCTTAGACCGAGAACTCGAACGCAAGGCAGAGGTGAAGCTGAGTGAGGAAAAAATGAAGAGTGGAGGAGACGGAAGGCTGACCTAATGGGGAAGCGCTTTAACGGCGTTCCGTTGTGCAACACCAAGTCACATTTCGTGAGTATCGACTCCAGACTCTTTTACGGCATCACGAAGGAGATCAGTCCCGACTTCAATGTTAGCAGGGAGGACTTCACCGGCGAAAACCGGGAGACGTGCGGTAAGAAAAGTATCTTCTATTTCAAACGTCTGAAAGTGAGCAAACAAAAGATATTCACTGGGATGATCGAAACCGATGGAGTAGCCATGTGTGCACACTATCGGCGCTTGACGACAGATCGTCCAGTTCCGCCCGTGACGAAGCATGAAGAGAAGAAGGATGCGGGTCCTGCGATGCAGGAGGTGGAGGATAACGACCTGGTCGTTGACGCGACGAAGCATGAAGATAACAACAAGGCGGCTCCTGCGACGCAGAAAGTGCAAGATATCGACTTTGTCGTTGGCGCGGACCCCGGAAACACAAATATCATCACCATCGCAGCACCGAAGTGTGCGGAAGATGGTACTGACGGTAGTTTACGTCAGAAAGACATGCGTCTATTGAGGTTCTCGAGAGCTAGATACTACCGAGAATCGGGAATCATGAATGCGGGGAAGAAAATCGAGAGCTGGAATTCAGGAATGAAGGATCACCTAGAAGCTTTGAGCGAGGTGACGAGCCGCGGAGCCGACATTGAAGCTTTTCGGGAGTCCATGGAAGGTCCGCGTTGCTCATTGGGATACGCTGTGGGAAGAGTACACCAAGCGCCGGTGGGCTCGTCTGCGTAAGAATCTGTATTGTGGTAAGCAACGTGCATTTGCCAACTTTTTCAATGCGTTGAGCGCCCTCAAGGAGAATGAAAGTCAGAGGCTCGTCGTAGCGTACGGAGCAGAGCGCTGGGCGTCCAAAAAAGGGACTACACCAGCTCCGTCGACAAGAACGTACAAGGAGTGCGCACGGCGTTTCGCTACGATACCTGTAGACGAGTTCCGAACATCGTATACACACCACGAACTGGGGTGTACGCATCACAGAGTGGAGATGGAAACGTGCCAGAGGAGTCCTGAGGATATAAAAAAATACGGAGCGCTGATGGAGGGGCAAATGGAAAGGAGGGCGAAATTTAGCGGATTGCTTGCATTAGTAAGTACACTCAATGATGGCAAGAAACGGATGGAATTCGTGAACAGAGACTTTCACGCAGTGATCAATGTAAGATGTGCGGTAATGGAGAAAAGGCCTCGATACTGGACACGAGAGAACTTTGTTGGACAACCTCTCAAAGTGGAACTATATAAGAAAAAGCTGGAAGCAGTAATGGGTGGCCGGTCCAAAAAAACTGGGAGGCGTCAGCACATCAGTTAGAGACGATTTGTCTAGGGCGCGTTCGCCGCCACTGCTGAACACCGTCGGCGTCGTTCGACTTTTGCAAAGTGTTCGGTATCGGTGTCGGTGACGGTGTCGGTGCGGTGTGCGTTTCAGTTGCTGCCCTGCGCTTTCGAGCATCAGCTTATATAACTCTGTGCACACGTGAACTGCCAATGGCTGAGACTTGCTCATTTCGCGGATACTTGAAGGGCCATGGAAACTGGGTAACGGCACTCGCCACGCCTCCGGACTCCGTAGACACACTGGTTTCGGTTTCTCGCGATAAGACCCTGATCTGGTGGGAACTCACCGGCGAGGAGGGCGACTACGGGCGCCCGCGGAAGGCCCTACACGGCCATAACCACTTCATAAGCGATGTGTGTCTCAGCTCAGATGGCCAGTTTGCGTTGACGTCTTCTTGGGACAAGGAGTTGCGGCTCTGGGATCTGCAGCTTGGTGAGTCGGTCCGACGTTTCGTCGGGCACCGCAAAGATGTGCTCTCTGTGGCGTTCAGCCCGGACAACCGCCAAATAGTTTCGGCTTCACGTGATCGCACGATAAAGATGTGGAACATTTTGGGCCAGTGCAAGTATGAGATCGTGGAAGACTCGCATACCGCATGGATTAGTTGCGTGCGGCTATCGCCGTCTCCGGCGGTTCCGTGTTTTGTTTCGTGCGGCTGGGATAAGCTGGTGAAGGTCTGGGATCTGGCCACCTGCCAGTTAAAGTTTAATCTGGTCGGTCATACTGGCTACCTCAACTGCGTCACCATCTCACCAGACGGAAGTTTGTGCGCCAGCGGCGGACGTGACGGCTCGGTGATGCTCTGGGACCTACAGCAGGGGCAGCACCTGCACACACTCGAGGGAACCGAGGAGATCTATGCGCTCTGCTTCTCTCCGAGCCGCTACTGGCTATGTGCTGCAACTAGCAGCTCCGTGAAGATCTGGGATCTCGAAACCAAGTCCGTGGTGGAGAACCTGCGTGATGAATCGTTCTTCGGCCCAAAGACGGCCCAAGCGCCACCGTGTATCTGCATGGCGTGGTCTTCGGATGGTGCAACGCTGTTCTGTGGACACACCGATAATCTCATTCGCGTTTGGGCTGTCATCTAGAGGAATGCGTATCGACGGATGGGTGTACCGTGCACGAGAGGCGGCGCTGATGGCATTCACACGACCGCGGGTGCGAGCATAGCAGCCGTTCTGACGACGACATGCGAGGGCTGACGCCCAGCATGGCAGCCTGCTCAAGCACGGGCCGCTAGGAGCCATGGAGCATTCGCCGGCCGGCCTTGTAACTTAGAGGCACCGGACAAGCCGATGCTTAGCGACGACTGCGGTCGAAAAGCGTGAAACCGCGTGAGTTCTGTGCCATGAGTGCGTGACGCTTTGATGGAGTAGCTTCGAGTAGCGACTCGTCACTATGAGAAAGAGGTGATCATCACATCATGGCGCGTTGGTGTTCCCTGGTTGTACGGAATGTGGATACTGTCTGGGGTCCGGCGCAGCGAGTTGCCACTTGAGCGTCTCGATATTGCTCCTTTGGAGCGCGCACGCAAGCAGCCTACGAGAACGTTCGTTTGACGTATTTGTCTTCCGTATCAGCGCTGCTGCTTCACTGGAAAGCGATCGGTTCGCTTTGGTGTAACGAAGCGAGTGATGCACGAGCTCTGAACGCCCGACGGAACGAGGCTGTTGTGCGAACGCTGGCGGCGCCTGTGCGTCGCATGTCGGCTAACCAGGAGAACACCCATCGTGGAGCGCTTCTTCTTCTTCTTTTGCGCATGCGTTTCATTCATGTATGTCAAGGTACGCTGTGTCTGTTCAAGTGCACGGATTGTGCTTGTCGTGGAGGATGGCGTACCCGGGTCTTCAGCGTCCGCAGCACGACGCACGAGTATTAGATTTTTGTTTTGTTATCAGCTTGCGGGGAAGGTGATGAATAGCACGGCACCCTTACAGGAAGCATCATCCTGAGCAAGCACTGGTGCCAAGGAATGCAAGTCTTCAGTTCCACGTAAACGGAAATGTTTTACTGGTTCCGCGGACGGAGCGCGAGTCACCCGAGAGATCTGACTGTATCTAGCGCGGAGCATAACACTCAAGTGGCGCCTGCCCACTGGTCGTTGCTGAAGCTTCCTCTCAATTCGTGACTTGTTCTTCGCTGCAACCGCCACCGCCGCGGCATAGCGCACGCAGCGATCCCGCACCATAGGTAATGTAACTTGGAAGTCGGGGATTTGATGGATACCTCACCGTGCACTGAAAAAAAACACACAAAAAAAGTCAGAAAAGAAAAAGCGCACCATCGGAGAACGCCGGCCTAAGCAAACGTCTCGTCCGTGGAAGCGAAATCGATCCCGCACCAGCGTCCATCTGCTGCGAGATTGAGATGTCCGTTATAGCCAGATTCGTGTCCTAGCCCAGTGCGTCGTTTCGCGCCTAAATCGCCACCAGAGGCGCGAAACGACGCACTGCATCCGGATGCCGCACTGCGGCCTGTACGGCTGACGGTGCGTTGCGCACGTTGCGCGCGTTGCAGCTACAAAACGTTGGCAGTGTCCGTTTGGAAACAGCGTTCCTGGACGTACGTAGCTCGCTAGCTCGCTAGCAAGCAAGGTATATTTTCTCAAGCGGTTGAATACACTCCCTGAATCCAGGGAGTCGCACGCTTCAAGCGACAGGTCGCTGCTACAGGTGCGGACACTACTGAGCTGCGCACCGTGGACACGTCTGCGTTGCGCTAGCGTGGCCTCTACTCGTCAAAGAAACCCCCATGGGTGCCTCGTCGGATATGGTTACGGATAGGAGCACAGTCACTGCTACGGAAGCGGAGGTTGGTCGTCAGGGTCGGGCGGGGCGGGCGCTCTTCGTTGCTGGGTCACCTCCGGTGTACAGCACGTTTCACCACAACGGTGGTGCGGTGTCCATTGTAAGCGCACCGACCGGGAGTCGCGGCCTTTCGACAACGATAGCGGCCTCGTCGAGCGGCGCTTACCCCACAGCGAGTCCGTTTACGCCAACAGCGTCGCCGAGTGCGGGCACAGAGGGGCTTGGGCGCCCGTCGTCGGCGCCTGCGGGCGCCAGCGTCCTGAATGGAAGTTTTTTCGGGCGCTCTGTGGGCTTTAAGCTGCCTACGAATAAACAGAGCGCGATTTCGTCGGCGCGGGGAGGCAGCGGTGCCATCAGCGATAGCAATGCCGTCAACGGTATGCTGGCGCTGGACGTCAAGGAGGGAAGCCGAGTCTCACCGCCGCGACGCGGCTCGACGACAGACGCCAGAAGTTGCCTGGAGTGTCCGTCAGACTGGACTGTAAGCGAGCTCGCCGCGCGGCTTGTCTCGGAACCTGATGGATGCAAAGCGACGGAGTGTGCCTGGAGTCCGCAGGTATCGGGTAGCATACCGCCGCGCTCGCCAGCGGCCTATCGGCATACGCAGACAGGCGCTGTTCCAGAACGAGGCCGAGACCATCCAGCAGGCACGAACCTGCTGGACTCGCATCGGATGTCGAGTCCTGGTATCGACCCGTCGCAGGAGTTGATATCCGTCGACAGCGACTGGATACCTGCTTCTGCTTCCTATTCAGCTGTTAGCGTGATGTCATTCTCGCCGAGCGGCAACGAGGTGGCCCGAATGGATCTGGGCCGCTCGTCCCCGTTCCGAGGGCTCTCGTTCGATGATCTGAGTATTATTGAGCGTTCACCGCGCAAAGAACGTTTAGCGCAAATGCTGCTGTCCACACGTGGCAACAACGTGCGACGTTTCTCGCGTTCACCGCTCGGCGCGACGCCCCTGTTTAGCACCAATCCCGGGTCTCTAGCCGATGCCTCGGCGAGCGAAGACACGCGTTCGTGTCGCGTCTGTGGTGGACGACGCATACGGCCTTGTTTCGACTGCAACGGACGTGGTCAATTTCAGCGCATTGAAGTCCAAAACCATGTTGTAGGCGGTGAAACGTGTCGCGCATGCCGCGGCACAGGTATGATCGACTGCCCCGCCTGTGCTCGAGAGTTGTATAGAAAAGCGCGTGCAGCAGCCGAAATCAAGCTTGAAACCGCCACCCGTGATCAAGCGGCACCAGTCTCGCTGCCCGCTGCATTGACATCACGACAACATGAACCAGCGGCTGCCACGCCTCATGCCATGGGAACGGAAACCGCGTCGGCGCACAGCGTGCAGGATTCGCTTGCCGCTGCCGCGACAGAGCATGTGGTATCCAGCGTCTCTGCGAATGCTGAATGGGAACCCCAAACCTCAAACGTTGCGGTTGGAAAGCTGACAACATGTACAACAGACGGCCATGGTCTGATTCCGCTCTCCTCGTGACTCGCTGGCCAGGCGTTGAGACATCTCCGCATGCTCAATGCGTATCATACGGACCGGTGATACAGTGCAAGCACGCTGGCGCTACATACCTTTCACAGGGCAGCAGGCTGAAATGGACAACGTATCCTACGCAAGACAATCGAGTTTACAGTGGTTCCTCTGGGTGGCTCGTAGTACGAGAAGCCTCCGCTCGCCATGAGCTATGAGCGCGCGTTCACGCGGCGAGCACGTCCTCCTCCTCCTCCTCCATGCACACAGGTCCGCCGCAGCCCTGTGCTCAATCATCCCCATATCCATGAGCGCTGGCGACGAGGCACCTCCTATCTCATTGGAAATCGCTACGAGTCGCTTTGCAGACAGTTTGCATCACGAGCTGCACAGGAGCGATCGCGTGCGTCGGTCGCACGACGCATCTCATCTACCGACCGTATGGATAATTGTGTGTCGATACAGTCCCACGAATGTATCGTTGTGTTCTAGTCATGTAAAGATTACGCGAAACATCGTGAGCGCACTGATCAGTGGCGTTGCCGGTGCTTATTCCAACCAGAGCATCGGCTCTAGCGTGACATTCGGCGTCGCCTGTTCCAGCAGCGCCTGTGAGGCAGATCCCGGGATACCGCTTCGATCGCAGGCGAGCAGCGTCGCCAGGACTTCGACATGATCCGAGGCGCTCGGCTGCGATGGTGTTGTCGAGCGCTGCGTCAGCAGTTGCAGACGCAATCCCTCGAGGCGGGCAGCCGCGGTTTCCCGCCAGCCTGCGCGCAAGCCCGCCGCTAGAAACTCGGACGTGCGCAAAAACTGCAACAGACGCCCGACGCAAATCACCGGGATGGAAGGCATCGCTTGTTCCGATGCCGATTGCGCTGACGCGTTTCCGTTGCCAGCGGCTGGAGTGTGGACAGGGAGCTCCAGCGGTGCCTGGGAAAACGCGGCCGCCAGATGGCGACCGAGCGCGTGCCCGGCGCGATACAGCGCTCGCTGGGCGATGCGGTTCCCGGTTGGCGCCCGCATGTTCGTGCCAGCCTGCTCGGCAACTAGGTAGCCGAACTCTACCATCCGGCAGCGAGGCAGTGGTCCGCGATACAGGCAATGCAGCAGCGTTTCCAGATCTGCGCACGCAAAATGTGTCAAGGCGAGCGCGAGCAGTTCATCGGCAGCTGCCTTGCAGGCCGCACGATCCCACGGCTCACTCGAGCACTCAAAGCGCATGCCGTCGAGGGCACACAGCGCATACCGCAGCGCATCCAGACCGAGTACAAAGGGGGAACCCTCGTCTCCAAGTAGTGGACCATAGCCTCCGATTCGAATATCTAGGCCACCGGCGATGTCAGCGGAGACACGAAGATCCTTGCGCATGCGCGGATCGGCGACCAAGCGACACAGACAGCCGCGCTCGCTGGAAAGCAGCAGTAGCGCGATACCTTGGCGCGATGCGACTGGGTCAGCGGGCGCACTGTGGCCGCGGATGGTGCCTCCGCTGCCTGCGAGCATGCTCAGCGGTGACGGCCGCAGCACGCTGATAAGCGGGAGGTTCACTTCATCCCAGCAGACGACCGTTACAGGGCAATGAAAGCGCCACTCGAGACGCTCGGCTACTGCACGTTGATCCGCGCTTGATCGTAGACTATCGATGACGAGGCCAATCCCAGCGAGGCGATAGTCCGCAGCGATCGCTCGTCGTCGTCGTGATTTGCGTCCACAACGCTGAGCGATTTGGCAGAGCACACTGCCCAGGTTGAACGCGTCGAAGGTGTCGTGCCAGTCGCCATCCAAGCTCGCATCATTAGCGGGCCCGAGATGCGAGCCCTCTCTATCGCTTGCCTGCAGACAGCAACGAATCCAGTCCGAAAGACGGCGCTGATAGGCTTGCATCGTACCATCCCGGTGGTGCAGCGGTGCCTGCCCGGAGCCAGTGCGACTGCAACAGCACGCCCGCGGCTCCATGCCGCCGTCGCCGTCGCCGCTGCTGTTTGTTGTCACCGTGCAGCTGCGACTCGGGGAAACGCGACGGCACCGTGTGCGATAAATGTTTGCTAACGCATACGCTTCTAGCAAAAGTATTTCCACTGCCTGGAGCAGGCGTTCCATCGGCGTTGCGTCCTGTTGTCGCTTTTGTTCTGAACTGAACGACAAAGCTTTTTCAGTGAACTGGGCCAAGAAGCGACATGCTGGCATATGCAGCCTCGGCGTGCTCGCGTGCGCCGGCGCTTCGGATATCTCAGCCACACCTGGGCGCGTAGGGTATTCCTCATTCGCACTAGACTCGGCGACTGCACCCAGCTGGGGTTCGCCAGCCTCGTCGCCGCCTAAAAGGTCATCGTGTGCGTCCGCACCAAACGAAGATGACGTAACTGCAGTTAATGGATTCGCGAGTAGCGCCGACGATGCCGTCATGTACGGTACTACGAGCAGGTCGACGTCGTCGACGTCGAAATTCGCGTCCACCGGCTCCAGGAAATCCGTTCCCTCGCCAGCAACCGATTCAAACCAATGCGGTTCGGTGTCCTGCACACGACTTGCAATGGCATCGTTCCCGCGTTTCCGGCGCTGGCCAGTCCCGGTTGTCGCCAGAAATCCATCCGATTGCGTTGGCGCTTGTGTTCGGCGTTGGTTCGCTGATTCACTAGATGGGCGCTCCTCGAGCGGCCCTGTACTTGGCGAGGACGGAATCGTGCACGTCGACGAAGACGAGGCCTTGGTCGGCCTCCCGCAGCAATCGAGACCACGAGCGACCCTAGCAGGCTCCGATGCCGGTGGCGGTGTTGCGTAACTGCAGAAGCTGCGCACGCCATCCTGAGGTAGCGTGCTCGACAACCCTGTCGCAACGTTGCCAAGCTCTTCGTATGCCTCGTACTGGTCCAGCTCCCGCGGTAGCGATACTTGCTCATAGAACCAGGGATGCGTCACGCTATCCGGGTTTTGAAGCTGCACATAAAACGAGTCACCCCGGGATTGCATCGCGCACGACGGGTATCTCGAGCTGCTGTTACGACCTACAGTCCGACCGGAACGCTGACTCGCGCAGGCGCCAGCGACTGCAGCGCCGATCCCTGGTCCAGTGCTGCAGGAACAACGCGCGTGCTGCTCCCGCAGTGCGAGCGTTCCCTTCGTGCTTTTCCCCCCGGAACCAGGGTCCACACCAGTTTCGCGGCTATGTGCACAGTTACAACGCAGCGCGTCTGTAACGTCTACGAGCGCCACATGACACTCGCGGCCGCGTATCGCCAAGCCCAGCACCACGACGCACGTGTCAGTTTTCCCTCCTAATTCGTCATCATCCCTGCCCACTTGATTTCGCAGCCCCGGTGCTTTCTTCGTCATAATAAGCACAAGCAACCTAGAAATAACGAATAACGGCTCTCTTACAGGCACCGTCACGAGTTGTATGGCACCACTTGTCGAGGCGGTACCTGCGCAGCGCGCCCGCCATACCACTCCCACTCGACGACCGTACCAGCGCACGACGGTGCCATCGGTCAGCCCGTACCGTTCACCGTATCGAAGCTATTCATATCCATTCAAACCGGCGGCTTACCTTCCTATGCATCCCAGCGCTTCATATCTCTGCAAGTGTCAGTTTTAGCGACCGGTTGTCACATGCAGAAATTTTGCAAAGCACCTTTGGCGTCATGTAGATGCAGCGGCGGCGGCGGCGGCGGTGGTAATGCATGCACGCATCTGCGTGTCCGCTACGTGTGCAGCGCATCGCGATGCGTGCGATCGGAGACGCAGGCGCGCGCGCCCCGTGCGGATCGGTGCGAAGGGTCGCGATCTGGCGACGCACAGCATCGCCGCTGCGCTGCGCGTTTGCATCGGGTGCTGATCCTCGAGCCGACGCCCTCTGTGGTATAGAAAAGCTGTTCTTGCTCAATGAAGTATCTGCTCCAGCGGCTAAGTTCCCAAGGCGGATGATTAGGTTAGGTACTAGGCACACACGACAGGACGTACGAAACGACCAGAATATCCGAGAAGAAGTATAGGTAATGGAACTTGGAGGTAGGGCGTTTGATAGATACTCCACCTCGCACTGAAAAAATAACACAAAAAAGTTTGAAAAGAAAAATGCGCATCATCGGAGAACGCTGGCACAAGTAAACGTTTTGTCCATGAAAAACATCCGGTGCTGATGCGCGTCGCCACGTGCGCCAATGCATGCATGCGGGCGCCGCGGGAGGCTCTCGCCAGGCTCGGGAGCGCGCCCCCATGTGTCAGGTGTTGGCGCTGATCGGATCGAGTCACCGGCGTATGCGTGGGTGCGTGCGTGTGCGTGTCTGTATGTGGATGAGTATGGAGGTTGCAGATGGTGCCGCTTGCTGCCGATGAAGCATTCGCTGGAATATCCTTGTGGCGTCGTTGCAGCTGACGTGTTATTTTCGCTACTTATCAGTTAGCGCACGGCAGCGTAGAACGTGGTCATTTTGGCGTTCGAGAGCCCGCTCGAAGCGGTGTACAGGAAGCGCAGTTGAGCTTGTGAGACGGGAACGTCTATGTTAGTCCAATGTTGCTGACCTGGTTGTCGTTCTGGATGCGGTTGTGCTGTGCGGGAAGCGCTTCGTGCCATTGCCGGCTCATCCCGAATTCGGCTGGGACCGGTGCGTGGTACGTGGATGTATGCTTTGCATGCCATCAAGACTGAAGGATTTCGCACTTGCCATCTCCTGTCGAGGCTTTTTTAGGTCGTCTGCAACCAGCTGAACGTTGACTGTGTGTAGGCGTCTCAGCGCGGATGGTTTTTTTTGATCCGTTATGCGCAATCTCATGGCCAAGTTGTTCGGGCGCTGGGCAGGCGCCGACACATCAGCGTGTCCAGCATGGGGACAGGCGCCTGGAGCAGGTTCGCCATCCGATTGGTCACCCGTTGGACTGCTGCACCCTATGGTTTCTACAGGAAGATGAATCCAGGGCTGAATGAACGTAGAGTCCATCGAAGCTGACCAGCGGTCTCTCGCCCGACTTCAGACTCCAATCCTGTATCCGAAGATAATATCTGGATCGATGGAGCGATCTTGCAGCCTCGGAAAACTCAGCGCAGACCGTGAACACTCGCGGTATACCTGCATTGCCCCGCAGCAGCATGCGCATCCCGCGCTCGGGCAGTGCAAATGAAGTAGACTCGGTATTCAGTGGGAACATGGTTGTCGCCAGACATTTGTGCAACGCCGCCCGTATGCATACCTGGACGGTAGGATTGCCCGAGCAGTTTCCGTCGCAGGAAGCGTGCGAGGCATACGTGCAGCGTGGCTGGACAGGGTCCCGGGCGGGCGGCCTCTGCTGCAGGGTGAGTCTGGAACGACGCTTCTCGTAACGCTCAAGCGCATCGTGCTGTCGATTCGCGTCAGGGATCAGACGATCGCATGAAGCATATGAACAGTGGGAGTCTTGGAAGCGTTTGTGGGCGCACGACCTCCGAATTGAGCCCTGCTGCTGCTATCCTTTGTATTGAACGCTGTACTGTCCGGGATTTCAGGCCTTTTTCGTGCGCCGCGTCATGTGCTGGGTGTAGCCGTGCGCGACGCGTACGCGGCGGTCCTGACGCGCTGCAGCACTACGAGGTTAGAGGCGCTCGACTTTATTGTGTTTCACTTTCGCTGCGTCGATGCGAATGGTACTGCGCATTGCGTAGGAGGAGATCGAATTCACGATGCAGTGTACCGTATAGATTGTGGACGCATCGCCTATAGGATATATATACTTGTCTGAGCAATGCACGGAGGACCGCATTCTTCATTTAGGTCAGTCATACCATACTAGTCAGATTGATGAGGAACACTGAAAGAAACAAGTAGATGCGCTCTGTGTCAGAAATTGGTATTCTTAAAGATCGCTTGAAGTCGATAGTAGAAAACGACCTGTTCAGCAAGTCATGAAGAGCAAAAGCGACAATAATAGCCATCATGGGCGTCTCTGTTTCTCAACTGCTCTTTCGTGTCGTCCTGTAAACACTGGGATACAGTCGCAAAAAGCGAGTCCAGTTACATGTACGACCATCTTCCACCGAAATCGCAACTAGCACAGAGTCTCTGGAACTCAGCGATCGGTACGAGGCACCGCATCGTCTGTTTGTTTCTCCAGTGGATGAGACTTGTTTCGGAAGGCACGGTCGGAGTGTATAACGATATTCCCGGAGAAGGGAGCCCGTTGTACGTACGATCCAAGTCGAAGAGAACGACCACATCATCATTTGTTCTGGATGGAGTGGATTCATGTGTTGGCATCCGTTTCACTCGAACAGGAGGCGCATACAACAGCATCAATCGCTTTGCTGAATGATTGAAGACGTTTCCCTGACACCTGGCGAGGTCCTTCTATTCGACAACGTGGCACTTCACCATTCCCTTTGCGGTCGAGCTTTTTTCTCTTCTATCTGGTAGAACTGCTTTTCATTCCTCCGTACGCTGCATGATTCAATCCCATCGAATAAGTGTTTTTCTATCGTGAAACGTAGTGATCGCTCCAGTGGGCGAATCCCTGAAGAGTGTTTACCACGGTGACAAAATGAGGAACGTTTCGTCTTTCTTCCGCAAGCCCTTCTCGCTCAGGGAAGGTCCTCACCTAATGCCATAAACAAGTGCGTTCGTTTTTGAAGGACAAAAACCCAAGGGAAAGGCATGCACATGTTAGTCAGGGATCCTGGCGGGTCGATGTCGCGGGCTACCAGGAAAAACGACAAAATTCTCTTCTCGCCTACCATCGAGCGAAGATGCGCAAGTATCCGAGAAGAATAGGGGATATAGGCAATGAAACGTACTTGCCCGAAAGTATGACGACGAGACTGCAGTGGCACAGAGGGCACGAATTCGAGGACTCCTTTCATCGGTGAGTTCCACCAGCGGCAATAAACGCATGGAGTTCGTGAACCGAGACTTTAACACCGCCATCAATATCAGACGATGTGTGGTGCTGAAAATTAGGACCGACCGGCTGACGAGAGCGAATCTCCTGGGCTAGCCCCTCAGATTCGAAGTGCACACGGCGAAGCTGCAGCCGAGAGCAGGCGACCGGTTCGAAAAGGCTGGTGACGCGTCTGCGTATCGGTGGATACATGCGCATTCAATATTTGTACAGCTTTGTGCTTTTTTAGGACGATCTGAACAATTAGATATCCTAAATGGGCCGCAAAGCATCCATTGCGAGTGATGGAAACAGCATCAGCGACAAAACTACATCTAATGATTTCTAAATAGATCTTATCAAACTAAACGAACAAAACGATCCTTGGCCTCATCAGGTTCCTAGATGCATCATGGACGCCCCCCGCCACGCGCAATCTTTCCCGCGTTTTTCCGCTTCGCATTGGAGCTGCAGAGACGGCACCGAGTACTTGCACAGAGGAAGCCATGTCACTCTCCGTGCAGCGCATCCACGAGCTATGGTTAGAGGAGTTGCAGGGATTGGGCGCCGCCCCGGACCATCCTACAGAACCGGTAAAATTCTTGCACAGCATCCAACTCCCTAATCGAGCGACGATTCCGCGCCTGGTCTGCCGCAACGGGCGCTGGCTGCTGCTTAGTCAGGAGAGGCAGCGTCTGCAGCTATTGGCCGGAACTCTTGTTCGCATTCGTGGTATGGTGCAGCACCACGGTGAAGAACAATACTGCCCTTGGGGCACCGTCAACGAGTACACCGCGACGTTTTCCTGTGGTTTCGCCCCAGAACTGGGGCCACTCGAAACCGTGACGCATGACCAGCTCGCGTCCGAGACGCCTGAAACGAACTGCTGGGTGGCGCGACGCCCGCTTTTTCTCGAGCCCGTGCCGGGCGATCGCTTCTATTCGTTCGACGAGTTTCTGGTCAGTTCGTCAAAGGGCGTCGGCGACGAGGCGGCACTCATCGACATTCTCGCAGATGATACTGCTAACAGCAACGAAAGCGGTAATGAAAGCGTTGAGCGCACCGAATGTCGTCAGTGCCCAAATGCGACACACGGAGGCCAAGTGCAGTTCAGCAGCAACGGCTGCAGTCGCGCTAGCGGCATGCCGAGTGAGGCGACGACCTTGGCGGCCCAGAGTAGGCAGGCCGCGTCCGTTGTCGTGTACACATATGGCAACATGTCTGAGCACTCCAAGCTGAATGAGATCGTGGAGGCCATTGGTTTCTTGGAACTCCGCGACGGTTCCCAGCTTTCCGGATGCCTGGATGATCGTCGCGATACTGCAGACTCGGACATTTGCACTGACATAGAGCAGCAGCTCGTTGTTCACGCGCTTCGAGTCGAATCCGCGGCTCGAGTACGTGTCGAAACGGGTGACGGATCCACGATGAACCAGATAGCTGTGTCCCGTGTTGACGAAGGAAAACTCGCAGATCCGTACTGGCGCCTGCAGTCCTTCTTGAACAAGTTCCTCTTCCGTGACCGTGATCATCTCGCGGCGTCGTATCTTGTCTATACCTTGATCGGATCGCGAGGACCCCGACCAGCCACACGAATTGTGCTCCAACTGAGCTTGCCGCGAGACACGGACTCCATAGCGGCAAAGCGCTTCGCTCGGCGCCTGTATCGCGTGCTGGCGATGCTGAACGTATGCTGCCAACGTCTACGCGTCTCGGTGGCGGCACTCAATGGGAGCTCCTGGACGCCGCACCAGCGTGCCGGGGAAGACCGACTGGAGCCTACGGTGTTGCAATTGCCCCGCGAAGCTGCCTTGGTCGTTGATGAAACCTATCTCGAGTCCAGCGGTGGAAGCTTGAACCAAACAGGTGTACAGAATATGCGAACACTCGCTGATGTACTCGGTAGCGGGACCATTCGGTATCCCTACGCTTACACGGAGGGGCTGCTTTTCGAGGTTGACTGGTCCATAGTCCTGCTTACGATTGGACGCGGCCTGGTTCCTCAGGCTATGCTGCACGCTGCGCACACCATCAAGCGTGTGCAGCTGGATGCATCCGTCTTGGATGCAGACGACGCCGGGCTCGAGAGCAATGCGCATTCGCTGCGCGACCTGCTCCCAGTGTCGGATATTGTTGCGTCCCGCGAGGCGCTGGCGTGCATACGGCATCGTGCATGGCCGACTATTCCCGATGATGTGGCTTCTTTCATCGAGAGCGATTTCGTCCGTTTGCGCCAAGAAGCGAGAACCCGATGCCTGCAAAACATTGATGGTCCGGCAGCACCAGACGCCGAAGCCCTCGACACCATGCTGCGCCTGGCTATCTTGGAGTCTCGAGCCCGCGGGGAGCACCAAGTCTCTAGGGAGCGTTGGGAACAGATCAGGGCTATTGAGCAGGAGCGACACCAACGTGTTTCTGGCTCATAAGTCTGGACCTCGGCAGGTCTTTGCTGGGTAGCACGTGGTGCAAGGCGTCCGCTGTCAGGCCTGCGGCGGAATGGAGCGCGGACCCAGTCCGTAGCATACCAGAGGACTTTTGAACGGCTGGCCGTAAGCAGCACATGATGCGCATCCCTTCATTCCCTGCAAGGTCAAGGTTTTCATCGTTCAGAATCAGGGACGCCAACCAGATTCCGCCCGAGCAGGCACAGCATCCATGATGGAGGCAGATGCGAGTGGCGGCGAGACGTCGAGAGCAATGCGCTACCATGCGTTGGTGCTTGGACAGCCACGTGGTGCGTTCCTCTCAAGACACTGGATGCGCCTTGCATACGGGTATCCCTGGAGCAGCTACCTAATCCCCAGATGTGGTCGACCGGCGATCAGTCGTTTTCATAGAGCCTTCGGGTCGATGCCGCGCTTCTCAGAGACAGAAATGGGCGAAGGGCACCAGAACGCGTCCGGATGCCGGCACCTCGCTTGCCGCTGCCAGGTCTTGGATGCTGCTCACAGCATAGCGCATGCTCGGGTCTTTTCAGACGATACAGCGTCGAGACTCCCACTTCCATATCCGTTTACTGAAGCACATAGCCGGCCTTGATGACCAAAGTTCGATTCTCTGCACACCGCGGCGTCCTTGGGGAACCTTTCGCACAAGTGCCGCTGATGGCGTCTGCGATTCTCGCAGACGCCAATCCCGGTGTGCACAAGTCTGCACCAGCCACGACGCCTAGTCGTTCGATAGAGAACTGTGTTCGATTCAAGAGCCGCACTGAACTGCTTGCTCTGTTCCTGAATTTCAATATTTTTCCGGACTTGAGATATCCAGCCTCGAGCATCGATGTGCAGCGATAACGGATGACGGATTCATACATGGGTTAAGGATCCTCGGTCGTTTTTTTCTCAAGTGGCTGCTTCGACGCTCTGCCGCCGGCATTCCTTCCATCATCGGTATCGAGATGATTCGCCAAGGCCTCGAGCAAGCCTTCATAAAGTAACCGATATCGTGAACCAAATGAGGTATACAAGCCTCCACGCTTCTCCTTTGCTTACTTTTGGCGTGTTCAAAGCACACAAGCTTCAAGATTCGGACCTCTCTATTCCAGTACAATGCATGGGCATAACAACTCGCAAGGATGGATTGACGAGCGAACATACTCGATGCCGCCGCCTGACTTCCTGGTCACAAGCTCAGGCCGGCGCCTCGTCGATCTTGCCCAGCCAACGAATCGATTCTGTCCGATACATACATGCACCTCTCTATATGGCCATTTACGAAACGGTATCCAACATGGCGTGATCCCTCCTCGGGAATCTGCTCCAAGAGGCTTCAGTCTGTCATGGTTGCAGGGTAAGGAGTCATGTACTCGAACTTCTATCATTGCAGCGATCGCTTCCACCGGAGCTTGCATCATCGTTTTACGCAAAGAGAGCGTGTACGGACCCAGGTTTCTCGACTTGATCTTCAGGCCGGAATTCGCTTTCAATAGTTGTTCTATCATGGAAAAATTCGCGTTCCACAAATCCTCCGTCGAATGGGAGGGCGCGCTTCTGCGCATCCAGCCGATAGAGTACTCGCTAACGAGTTCACCTAGAAAGAGCCCGAGATCGTAGGGTACGACACTGGGCGCGAAAACGGAGGAAGGCGTCGTGCAGCGCCTTTCGTATGACACGGAAACGAGACCCAAACTTTGCCTCGTAAATTCGTGTTAGCTAGGCGGGATCCGTCCCATTAAAGTCAGACTTGGATGTTTGAAGAAACGAGTAGGTGAGCGTGTGAGCGCTGGTCCAATAGCATGCGTTCGCTTCGCGCTCCCGCAGGCAGTAGGTCTGTCTGCGCAACTCGCAGGCTCCCAGAATGACAATGAATCCCGACCCTGTGCCGAATAAGGCACGCCTCCAGCCGACACCCTCTATGGTATGAGAGAGCCGCTCTGCTGCCGTGCCACACCTGCACCAGCGATAAAAGCGCTCTGGTGGATACTAGCGACAGGCACTCGGCCTCAGAACAGCACCTATAAAACGACCAGTACACCCGCAAGCAGGTCCAAGTCAACGCTCTTTAAAATAGAGCGAAGCATGATGGGCGCGCTCAGTGCTTTCGATGTCCATCCCGCACAATCTGGGATCTATGGTTCATAGGAACGTTGAATCAAAATAGAACAAAAAGACTAAAACTGCCCACGATGAACGCTCCGATCTCGTCGGAGGCACGGCCGGGTGTCGTGCCGCGAGGTGCGTGCTCGCGGCGCCGCGCCGTGCGCTCGCGGCTCGACGCGGCCTGGATCTGCAGCCGCTGGATTCGCGGAAGACTTTGCACTGTAGGCGTGTGCAGCCGCAGGGAGTTGTGTGTGTGTGCTTGTGTCTGCGCGTGCGAACACCTTCTTGTTCAGACTTTGACACTTACTTAGCTTGAGCGTTTTCCAGCATGCTAGGCTTTGTATCCGGAACTGCTTCCTTGACGAAGAAACGAGGCGGCCGCTCGGCGCAAGCCTGCGGGTCGGCGGTGACGCGTCTGCGGCTGCAAGCGGGTGAGCCGCAGCCAGTTTTGGCGAAGGGCCGTCTACCCAGTGTGACAGCGTTTGCTGCTGCGGTGCTGCTGGCGGCAGCGACTCACAGCGCAGTTCTAGAGCCGGTGCAAGCGCTCACTGCTCAGGACGTGCGGCAGCTCTCGTACGAGCAGGTGAAAGGAACGGGCCTTGCCAATCGCTGCCCCGAGGTGGTTTCATCGAAGGGCAAGATATCCCTTGACAAGACTAAGAAGTACAAGGTTGTGGATTTGTGCCTGGAACCGAAGCAGTTTCTAGTGGAGGAGGAGGTCGGCCGGCGACGTGGCGAGAGCAAGCGCGAGTTTGTGGACACCAAGCTGATGACGCGAGCAACCTACACGCTTGCGAATATCGAAGGGGAACTGGTCAATGAGAACGGAACCTGGAAGTTTATCGAGAAGGACGGCATGGATTACGCTGCAACAACAGTCCAGATTCCGGGTGGTGAGCGTGTGCCCTTCCTCTTCTCCATCAAGAAACTTGTTGCTTCTCTCAACAACGCGGACGATGGCATCTCAACGAGTACTGAGCTTGGTGGCGAGTTCAAGGTTCCCAGCTACCGCACCGGTATGTTTCTGGATCCCAAGGGCCGAGGCATGGCCAATGGCTACGACATGGCTGTTGCGCTTCCGGCACTCGAGGCTGACGGCGCCGTGGGCCAAGAAGTCTTGCGCAAGGAGAATGACAAGGTGTTCCAGGAAACCTCGGGGCGCATCGAGCTTGCTGTGAACAAGGTTGACCCCACGAGTAACGAGATTGGAGGCGTGTTCGTGAGCGAGCAGCTCTCGGACACGGACATGGGGGCCAAGGAGCCGAAGAAGCTCCTTCTCAAGGGCGTTTTCTATGCCCGTATCCTGCCGTCAGACTAGTTTCCAGGATCTCTTGCGCAAGTATTCTAAGGATAAGGTGTGACCTGGCACGAATCCGTGCCCGCTCAGGGTCGCGGTTGCATCGGCGGGGACTTGGCGTCTTGTAGTAGTTACAACGTAAAGCAGTGAATTCTGGAATACCCGTACCAGCACGCCCTAACTGCTTTCAGGTAGGTATTCATCAAAACAAATGTTTCCTGTAGATACGAGACAGGTCGCCGGACGACTGAATAATGACCATGCTGGCTGGCGAAAAGCGCCATGCTTGAAAAATGCAGTCATTCTACGGTCAGCGGATGGATAAGCCACGTCTCTCCTGCTCCTCATTCTTAACGTCGTGCACCTGAAACGGTTTTTGTCAAACTCTATTGCAGGACGCTCTCCTCGTCAATCGATGCGTTGTTTAGGAAATACCACGAGAAGAGCCACAAGCAGTGCATTCTCCATTCCGTTGGTACGAGCGTTGATCAAGAGACCCGAATGGATGCAGAAAACAGCGCGCGTCTATGGGAGCGAATCCCGTGTTGATCAACGCACTGTCGACTCGAGACTGTTACGCGAACGTGCACGACATGAGGACAGACATTCGTCTCACTCGACGAAACCTCGTTCGGGGGAAACGTCAGACCTTTGTATGGGCACTCAGAGAGGAGCAATTCGGTGTTCTTTAGAAAGAGAAAAGGGATAAGACGAGAATGTCAGCCCTGGTGACGATTCGTTCGTATGGTAGGCCCCACAAAAAGCCCACTGGACAAGAGCTTCGAAAATCCATTTTTCGTTGAAACGCTCCGAGCATATACCTATTGATATTCTTTCGCCCTGCTCGTGGATTACGTCATTTCGTATCATTCAAAAGTGGTCAAGTGGTAAGCGACTGAGATTCATGTTGAGCTGCTCTTCGCGCCAGTCAGTTCTCCCAGGTTTCATGGAGTCCTGGACGTCTTTCCCTTTTGTCCAACGCGACTTGGACGCTCACATATCTGTAGACGGGTCACTTGCATCCGTGACACTGTTCTTCAGCACGTTACTCTCTAGTTTCAACAATTCTGGAACACACTGCTCCTCCTCTGCTCATGCTGGGCAAGGTGCTGTTCGTTTCGTGGGCGCGCTCGCGACCGAGAACATGACAAAAAAGTACCCGAAAGATAGTAGATATCCACATGCATGGGAAAGGCGAGCCTCTGTGCTACCGTTCACCCAGTACACCTGAATCCCCTGGAAGAAAAAGATATGATGTAGAGTGACCACATCCATGGCATCCTGCCGATTAAAGAGAACGAAGAAGGCTATTGAGAAGGAACCACGAGACAATGAATTGAAAGATCCTTCCGTAAATGGAACCTGGAAGCTCAGGAAGGAGAAACTGTTGAAGCGGAAACATTGGACCAAAAAACCTGTCGAATCCTCTGCCTTGAAAATCATCAACAGGAAGCATCTGTCGTTAGGATCTGGGACGTCGTTAGAGATCGTGTAGCCTCTCACTCGAGGAAGGAGTCGCGCATAGTTTCCCTCGTCATGAAACACCGCGTCAAGCAGTTGTTCGAGGGAGTTCCGCATGCATAGCTGCCGTCTGCCCACAATTCTACCGGAATTTCTCGATCAGATCTCTGTACGATATTCAAACCATTGCTCGTGACAGATCATCCAACAAGGCCTGATCATTGGATCAGAGATTTCCGCAGAGAAACACATACATACATACATCCACAAACGCTTCCCAGAAAAACTTGACGTGTTGCCGCGCTTCAAAAACGTCGGCAGGGCAAGTACCAAAAAAGAATCAAACTATCCAACTTCAAAACCCACATGTAGGTCCAGCGCTTCGCAATCTGCACTCGGTAAGCCTTGTATACTGAACTCTGTGGTCAACGAGAGTGGAGACCGATGGAAGGAATTTTTGAGGTGCCGCGGGAGGCGGATGACAAGCCCCTGGCCGAGGAGATTGAAAAGGTCGTGCGTTCGGAGCTTATGTCGCAAGGAGAGCAAGACTAAACCCAGATTGTCCCAGCTCGTTGTATTGCCATTGGCGTCGGACTAGTCGACGTCGAATCCGAAAGATGGCCGGGGACACCAGGCTGCATTCCTTGCATCTTGCGCGAAGACGATTCCCTGAACAGCACCCTCAGGAACAGAGCAGACGTTCTCTCCGAATCGGGCGCCCTGGCCTCCTCAAAAAAGCGTATGCGATGCAGTCTCCATAGGTGACATTCTGGCCTATCCCATCAGGGTCGTGAGTCATGCGCTGTCCTGTATGGTGTCTCTAGTGAGCTACGGCTGCTCTCCGCACGCAAGTGTGAAGTATTCGAACCAGCGCACGAAGCGCACTGGCGTTGTTCGTACATGTTCTCCCGTTTTATTCATCGACAAACTGGAAAGAATATTTCGGGGACTCTACAGACAGACGGAATACCGAGGTGCAGGTACACCACGAAACCTACGCCGCACTCGAGTAACGAGACACATTTTCAACCGGCCCAAGTGGATACAGATAAAAACGGTAGAATATTCGTGGATTCCGCTTTGCAGGGCGTTGTCGTCATCGCTGTATCTCTGAATGAAGAGCACAGAGCCAAAGTCGTGGACAGGAAGCGGTTGAACCTGATCAGTTTTTTGAAGGCTCAGTATCATCGGAATTCGGGCATGCTAGGTGCCAGGACACCAACGAACAAGTGGAATGGAGTGACGGGGTCAGGACCGAAATCGACGCACTAAGCACCGTATTGAGCAGAAGGGGATGCTTTCGAAGCGTCGTTCAGAGACTATTGGAGCGTCCAAATGACTCATATGGATGACGTTTGGCAGAGGTACACGAAAGTCACGCTGATGACGCCAACTGTTCCGGTTGTTTGGAGCTCCGCGACGTGCTTTCAGCAACTGGGTCAGTACGTTGGAAATAGAAACGGCGTACAAGTCGGGTATTTGGATTTATTCCATGGCGATAAATACGCAGTTCAGCGCATAGCTGCGCTTATACTCCTTCAACGTGAGCGCACAACGAGTAACCGATTCCATTCTATACAATTCCCATCGAAGCAATCAGGAAGACATCCACACGTCACGAGCACGGGTGCCTGCTGAAACTGGTAGACAAGTCGCGCATGAAACAGAGCAGAACGTACGATATGGAGTCCGACCAGTTGACCAAACATCAGATGACGGTACAATCGAAAGTGAGAGGTTCGCTATGGTATGGTTCCAACGGCGAAAAGGCGCGCAAACTCTTTCCCCACCCGGTCTTGAAGGTCTCGATCGACATCCGCAAATCTGGACTACACCCGAAGGTTCCAGCGGTAAAGTTCCGCGCGAACCTGCAAGCGAATCATCTTGTACTCCATATGGACATCGTGCTGAAACGCTGAAGAATTCCACTGAGATAAAGCGTTGACCTGGGGGCTGCGGGCACTGGATTCCCATCTGGAGCAACGCACTCATATGGTACAGTTCAGCAATTCATCAAGGTAAGTGCGCCGAATGGATCTGCTTCTGGGACGGTTTCCACGGGCAACTGGTGATCCATCATTGTGTTCCAGTATTCAGTATGATTGAGAATACGACGTAAACACTGTTGGAGCACAACGCTTGAGGGCGCTCGCTGCTCCACGTGCCCAAACGCCACCAAGGAGTAGCGAGCAGCAGCAAGCATCATGCCCGTACGAGTGTGGTGTGCAGGGCACTCCTTTTGTCTGCGGATATAGCGCTTTTCATGGTTGTGGACAGGAAAATCTCACTAGATTTGTACGCCGGAGCAATGACCGGGGAAGAGAACTCAGCTTCTCCGAAGATGGGGTCCCGTTCCAATACCACCACCACCACCACCACCAGTACGGAAGGCATGCTGCCGAGGCGTCCAGTCTTGATCCAGCGACCCTGCAGCTACTGATCCTCCCACAGACGTTTGCTGATGTGTCGCATACGCTGTGATCAACGCGCGCTACTACTACCACTGGCAAAGCTGCGAGCTCCACCCAAAAGCAGCATGGCGTTGCAATGTCTCTGAAACGAGTGTCAGCTCGCGGCAATGTATGCAGCGTACCAAGGTGCAACTCGAGGCGTTGCTCGTCAATGCGTATCGGGCGCGCGCTCTCTCTTTCTCTCTTTCGCTTCAAATCAGCAGCCCTTGCACTTGGTCCACGAACGCATACACTCAGGAATATTCCGCACAAAAATAGCGTGGCCCTTAGAGTGGTGGATCACGTAGATATTGACTTGCCGACACGAGCAGGGCATGAGCTGTGACTGCTCGTTGCAGACACGAGCGCCTACTCTGTAGCAGCACGTCCAACCGACAGTGCAGATGCGTGGAAACGAACTGAGGCCATCCAGTTCGTCACTCGCGTGACCCATGGCGTAGCGCATCCTCCTTGATTCCCCAGTCATTTGGTTTTGATATTGCACAGTGTGCGACATCGCCGTGTGCACGGATATTGTTCGACGTCAGCGAAGCCTCGACTTGTCTGCACCGCCTCAAATGAGGAAGAACGTTCGTATAAACGTAAGCACAAGCACACGCACTGATGCACAGAGACCATGTGGTGACCTGTTTGGGGAATCGTAGCTCCGTTACATAGCATCGATGCTTCATCACGCTCGTCCACGAGTGATGTGACCTGAGTTCCGATCAAGCCCTGGCCGCCGTGTTCGTTATGAATGTCGTCACTGGAGTTGCTCCTTCGTTTGCCGTTGCTCATAATAACACTCGTGTACAGCAAGGAACGAAATGATGCTCCAAAGTACACAATTGAACAAGACCGCGGCATGCGCTGCCCGCGTCAGCACCCGCAGTCCACCGAGCACGACATGTTAGGGTGTTGCAGGTGCGCCCCAAGGATGCGTTGGTCATTTGAGACATTCGCTGGAGACAGGATTGCATCTGCATTGCCAACAGGACGGTCACTTGCGCATGCTCTCAGTTAAACGAACCATTTACCGTGCTCCTTGGAGGCTACACGCGTTTTGCCACGATGGTCGCCTGTCGTGGCGGCCGCTTTGGCAAGCAATTGTCCCATGCACGCTGTCGCACAGAGCCCGGCGCGTCGTCGCCCTCATCATGGCATCAAACGGGTTGCTGAGCGTACCGCGGCTCCTGTCCAGCTCGACAGGAATCGTTCAGTCGTACAGGCCAGCATCAACGCTGCGCAGACAATCACAGAAAAAGCGCTACCACTTCCCGATGATGAAATCTACAGAACTGCGACCTGTGCGAGGTTGTACGGGAGCTGCAGGATAGAATCTCCATGTAGGCGTCCATGATGTGACGTTTCGGGATTCGCTGCACTGCACGGACTGCTTCATTCTCTAAAACAGAGGTGAAACGCAGCGCAGGCGCCAAATGCTGCCTTTCATGAGCTTGACGCTCGAAACGTATCATCGTCCAGTGTGCAATAGATATGGCCCTCGTTCTGGAGCGCGTCGCAAATACCGCGCACTTTCGTCGTGCTGAGCGCTATCCTTTGCGCAATGTCCGTCAGCATCGCGTCGCGATTCCGTGCGGTCTCCTCTCGAATGCATTTGAGAACTTTGAAATGTTCAGGAGGAAACGCTGCTGGGATTTCCAGACCAGGAGCTTGCTGGGCCATCTCCTTGGGTGCCCCAGATCCCAGCGAACTGCGATGCACCGCTTTGCTGGGTCCCGCCTTTGGTGATGCCGGCGACGATGACGCGCCTGCGAGGGCGTTCCCCGCGGTTGGATACCCTCGAATGAGTTGCAGTTTCGACAGCTGACACAAATTTTCGTGATATCTGAGTTCAACCTCACCGTCCGCTTTGCGTATGGCGCGCACGTTGAGGACTCGCCTGCCGTCCACTTCGAGCAACTGTCCGAAAACCCGTACAAGAATCCCGCTCTGCTCGAGCGCTGCAAGCGAGCTACTACTCGTGCTAGCCATACGGGCCCAAATCATTTCACCACTCCTGTCGTCGAGAAGCCATAAAAGATCAAGAGGTTGCTCCCTCAGTTCTTCCACGTAAGCTACTACCTTCACAATCGAGCCCTCTGATATGGTGATGCTCTGGTGTTCATTCTCATCACGCAGAACAAACGTATTCGTCACTGGATCATGGACTGCATGCACCAGATCAGCGACACGGACTGGGAGTAAACTTCTACGCTGGTCACGTAACGAGGACCCCGAGCCGACTCCAAACCGTGTTGAAGCGTTTCCGCCGGTACGCGCCGGTGACTCGGGGAGAAAACCGCCGCCTCCGTAGGCGCCGTACGTGTTTGAATAGTCCATAAGAACGTCAGCTTGCGTCAGTTGCAAGTCGTTGAAAGCAGCAGCCCCAACTTACGGCAACCAGTTGATCACTTCACGCTGATTCCAGGGAACAAAGAGCGACGGCGAGTTTCGTGCGCTTCGCTTCAGACGTAAGCGTCGCTCACACTTTTCCTCGAAGAAAAGAAAAGTGCGCGCGCGCGCTCGACGCTGCCGTCGGTACCCGCCAAATCTACAGGCTGCGGTCTAGGCGTCGCTGTGAGCGTTTCGCGAAGCGTCTAGGCACGTTCACTGGTGGACGCTCTTACAGGTGTCGCAGAGAAAAGCACAACCGGAGGACGTCTGACTCGTTTAAGGGACCAAAAATCGCCAGAAAGTTTGGATAGCAACGTCGATGCCATTGCATTCTGCGGCTGAAGACGCAGGGTGGAACTTCACCGCTGAAGTTCGGTGATGCGTCGACAGCTTCCTCGATATGCGCTCGAGCACGCCTCCTCTGGCGCACTACGGATTCTGCTCGTGAAAACCTAAAATCGTCATGTTTCCCGAACTCTCTTCTTCTATTCCATTGGTCATGAAAAGGACGTTTGCGTCTATTGCTAGCGCTCTCGACGCGACCTGGAAGCAACCGAGTCATCGGAATAGCGTACGACTGGGGCCGTGGCGCGCTGCGGCACCTGCCAGCCAGTGCCGACAGGTCACTCGGTGAACACGCACCGGTGGACACGCTAGGCGAGCATCCAGATGGGATTCCATGTTTTACGGGGTCGAAACGAAGGCTCTATTCAGAGAACCCTGAACGCACGACTCGTATCGGCAACCAGGGAAGCGGCTACCATGTCACTCCAGCCAATTTGAGTCTCCATATTCACAGTCAGATTTTTCTTCGGGGATCACCGTTCATTCGAGCGATCCTTCGAGTGTCGCATTTGTTGTGCGCGTCTGTTGCAGCGCGAAACGCGCTGTTGCTGATGCCCCTCTACAGACAGAATCGCAGTGCCTTACGCCTATGGGTATCGTCAAAAGGGATGGAAGCACCTGTGCGTACCAGCGGGTTGCGCTCGACATTCGCACTGGATGCAAGTGTCAGAGTGTTTCGTTCATATTCGGACTAGGTGGAAGCACGTGCGGGCGCTTCGCTCCGAGGTTGTGACGTTGCACGACGAGGCGCCTCCGCCGGTGGCATGGCTGGCGTTCGGCATTTTTCGCGCGGATGCCGCTGTTGCTATCGCAGAACCCGCGCCTCGACGCATGCTCAAGTCGAGACCTCGTGAAAGCTTGTTACAGAATCCGTACGTTTAGCGCTATCACGGACGAATACGTCGCAGTGCAGGCAGTCGGCTGGCTGTGTGCTGTGCACCAGCTTTGAACGTGGATCATCGGGCAGCGATGCAGTCGAAGGCGCGAATCACGAGCACGCTCCACTGCGGCAGGTGCTTCATTCACAACCCGAGGGCGCGACAGGAAGCTTGTCACGAGAGCCGTAAAAGCTCAAGAGCGAGCGCTCATGGATCTGTGCTGTCACCAGCGACACCGCAGATGATCGCTTAAGAATCGCCCTGGACCGACGCAGATCGAGGCCTCTTGCGAGCGTCTCGCATGACGCTCTGGTTCGAGTTCGCTTGGGGACTGGCTTCGGCTTCGGACTCGAGAATCCGCTTTTCTGTGGAGATGTTGGACGTGGGCGACGTTTTGCCAAGCTGGTCGAAATTCAGGGCGGGCACTCCAGACGGATCATGAGCGGATGCGTCGCCAGATCGATGCGTTGCGTCGGCTTCGACGCTAACACCAACTTCCTGCAAAAACGACTCCATTTCCTGCTCAAGCGAATCTACTTGCGGTTCTGTTTCGTGCCGGTGTGCAACAGCAGCTCGAACAGCTCGCTCGGCAGCGAGACGCGCGATCCGAGCGTCCTCCCGCAGGGTGCCATTCATCGCAGCGAGTTCCCGCAGCTGTGCTATCTTGAGCGCATTCTCCTCGTCGCGCCGGGGCACAAGGATCTCTTCTTTCAGGTATTTGGCACAGGCAGCGACTCGCTGTCGAGCGTCCGCACCAACAGCCTCGATACGTGCATGCAAGGCGTCGTCGCCTGCGTCGCGCGAACGTGCGCCTCGTCCGCGAATCAGGAGTCGACACCGAAATCGCTCCTCAATTCGTTTCTGCGTGACACCTCGCGGTCCAAGCACCAAACCTGCAAAGTTCATATGCGGGTATTTGTCGACCGGAAAGTATACTTTCGACTCTGCTCGCGGCGGCGGGCAACCCGGCGGCAACCGAAACTTGGGGTCCAAGGCAAACGCCTCAAAGAGTAGGTCATCGCGTTCGGCGGCAAGTATGGCGCAAGCTCTTTGGAACGCTGTATTGACTCGACGTCCCGCACGATCATAGACTGGAGCGATAATACTGTCCTTCTCAACGGGCTCTAGAACTGCTCGAAAGTTGATTCGCTCCTCGCCTCGCAGCAGGCGTCCTATTTGTTCAACACGCTCTCGGATTTGCTGCAGTCGCTCACTGTTCCGCGGCATTCCCCTAGAGTCTAAAGCTCGCCTCCAGTTCAACCAGTTCCAGGTAGTCTGTGCGTACTGACAACTCCAGACTGGATTTTCGGTGACAAACGCGGCAGCGACAGCACCAGAACTGCAGGTGCTTGCTGCCAAGAGCGCCCCGACCGCTGCCACCGCTCAGTCCGCAAAACGACTCGAGTCGCGCTCTTGTCCCCGCCGTATATCCTACGAGAGCACGTCTCGTCTCGGGGTGACGCACCAGCGCCCGTCACGCGGATACCTGTTGCTCGCCGGGTCAAGTGTGGAAAACCTGTCGCAGCAACGCCGAAGCCTTGTAACCCTTCGGAGCGCACGCCTCCGCAGTGCGTCATGAGTCACCGGGGCATGGCGAGTGTGCGCGGAGACGCCCCTGGACCTGGGTTGGGTTCCTGTCGCCGCCGTCGCACTGCAGCGCGTGCCTGGAGTGTACTGTGGTGATTGCTGTCGTAACTGTGCCGAGGGTGTCACTGCTTCCTCAAGAGATGGGTTATCGGTAAACATGCATGTATTCGCAAAACGCCCTGGTATCCGCTGTGCAACGCATCCAGCAGCAGGCTCTAGATGCGATACTAACCTGACGCGCTCATCTGAAAAGCACAGGCATCGCCATAGGTGCAGCAGTCAGCAGCCGGTACTCACCAGACGTCGCACGCACTGCTGGCGTTGTCACCGACACTGGACGGCGCCAAGCGCTGCAGCTTTGCAACCCCTGGTTGTTATCTCCCATCTCATTCAGGATAGGTATCCTCGCTGGGGACGTCATTCAGCATCGAGTGCCTCGAAGACACGCGGCGCACTGCTCGCCGTGCGTCCACGTTCCTCGAAACGGCAACTTCCTTGACTCCGGATGCAACCGAATCGCTTCCTGTACCTCACACATGAATACCAAATAAAAACTGCGTACTGCGACTGCAGCAGTCCAGGGAAATGATGACGTTGCCCGAGACACGCCACGCATGCGTTCTCGCTCACCGCTGTGCCATGAGCAGGCGCATTGAGAGGCCCCACACTGCATCCATGCCCGCATCGTGCATGGAATGGCATGCGTGAGGGCATCACACCGCACCAGTGCCCTCAGCGGATCGAGTCTTTCACTGCGTTGCCTTGAATATCGTCGAAAACTAGTATGCATACATGTACGCACACACACACCCACACGCATATGTACACAGCATCTTCGAAGTGTCCTCCTGGAAACCTTGTATTAGGAGCATCCTCTTGATTTGGTGTGCGTGTATCCGTGGCCAGCGCGGCACGCATCTGCATGCCGACGACGTGTCCAACAGCACGCAGATGCGTGCGATGTGACGGCGCGCCGCGCGCACTCCAGCTGCAGCCTCAGACGCCAGCTTCGACTCGGAGCGCTGGTGCGCAACGCTTTGGAGTTTCGCGTTCATAGGGGGCGCTCTCTGGGGGCACCATCAAGCACGTTTTTGCCCTAGGCTGCTCGTTGAGCACTTCTCCGTGCTACCCAAGCAAAGGCTGGTCACAGCTGTGGTGTAAAGGACAAGATTCCAGGCCGACAACGGCCTTCACCTTGTCTCGAGCACAGAAGCAGCGCAAGCAACCCCTGGTGGTTGGTTACGTTCCTCGCGCACCATGTTTAAGCACCAGAACGTTACGCCGGATGCAGGGGCGGTGTCGCCCCACCGGACTCGGGTCACGTTTCTGGTTCGTTGCCGACAAGTTGTGGACGCGGCCGGCGAGCAGTTGGTGCTGGTCGGAGATCATCCAGCGCTGGGCAGTTGGGAGCCAGCGCGTGGCGTGCCGATGACCCGTCAGGAGCGCTCATCTACCCCGGAGCCGGTATCGACTAGTGCGATAGGTCAGCAGGCGCACGCAACGTTGAGCAGCTCGCAGCAGAGCTCCCGCGCAGCTTCCTGGTCGTGCGAAGTGGTGCTCGATAACGGCTCGCAACTAAACTACAAGTACTGCATCGTTGCTCGCGACCCAGATTCAGGTGTCATCGACCAGAGTCACGAGCCGCGGTTTGAGAGCTTTGAAGGGAACCGCAGGCTGAAAGTGATGGGCATCGCGATGCGCGTTGATGATCACAACTTTGGTGAGCGCTACGACGCTACCGACGAGTCCCGCATTCGGGTGGACTACGGCAGAGTGTTTGGCGGTTTCGAAGCTCCTCGCCAGTTAGAGGTTCCAAGTCTGGAAGGTGGCAGTGTAGGCGAGCAGCTGCCGTACAGCGGTGCAAGCTCCCTACTGGGCACGCTGCCACCGTTGACGAATCCGCCCACGCTCATTATCGTGATTTACCGTCTCCCGGTTATTGCAAAGAGATCGGAGCGGGGCTGGTCGTTTTCCTGGGACGATGATGCACTGTATCTGACTTCGCTGGGACTTCGGCGAGGTCTCGATGGAAAAATTCGAATCCTCTGGGTCGGCGTGCTGAACTGCGACGACGAAGTTCCGATCCACGAGCAGTCACACGTTAGTAACACGCTGTATCAGCGCTTCGGCTGTATACCGGTGTTCCTGCCCACGGAAACCCGAATGAAATTCTACCAGGGCTTTTGCAAGGGCGTCCTGTGGCCGCTCTTTCATATGATCACTGAGATTATGGACGAGGAAAAAATGGAAACAAAGAAATTCGATCGAAGCTTGTGGCATGTGTACTGCACCGTGAACCGCAAATTCGCGGATACCGTGGTCGCCGTGTACCACGAGCACGACCTCATCTGGATCCACGACTACCACCTGATGGTGTTGCCATCGCAGCTGCGACGGAAATTATCCGGAGCCAAAATCGGTTTCTTCCTACATACGCCCTGGCCGTCAAGCGAAATCTATCGAATGTTGCCGGTGCGCGATGAGCTTCTCCGTGGACTCCTATCATCATCACTCATTGGATTTCATCTCTTTGACTATGCGCGTCACTTCCTCTCCGCCTGTGTCCGCTTGCTCAACCTGGAGCACGAGTCATCGCGCGGTGCGCTTGCAGTGGAATACTCGGGACGACATGTTATGATTCGAGTATCGCACATCGGGGTGGATCCCGACCGCTTTCGTGAACGCCTCGAACATCCCAACGTGCGACAGGCTGCGGAGACCTTGGCCGGAGATATCCACGATCGCATCGTTCTCTGCGGTATTGATGATCTGGACATTGTTAAGGGTATTGCGCTCAAACTGCAGGCTTTTGAAACGCTCCTCCAAACGTACCCAGGCTACCATCGCCGCCTCGTCTTGATGCAAGCAGCGATCCCGAAGGCTGCGCGCGTCAAGCCCTACGTTCGCGACGAGATTCGATCGCTTGTGGAGCGCATCAACGGCCGCTACGGCAGCGCAGAGTACCGCCCAGTAGTGTACATCGAGCGAGACATCACCTTCGACGAGCGTGTGGCCATGTACAGTCTCGCGGATGCTATCTTCCTCACGCCGATCCGCGATGGTCTGAATCTGGTTCCCTATGAGTACGTCGTATCGGCGTCCAAGAGCAAGGGTCAGCTGATCCTCAGCGAGTTCACCGGCTGCTCACGAGCACTTTCTGGAGCAGTTCGCATCAATCCGTGGAATCGAGAAGAGGTTGCCGCTGCGATCGACTCAGTCCTGCAAAACAACGACGAAGTGAAACAGCGAAAACACGCCGCTGATTACAGCTATGTGTGTGAACACACAACAGCCACCTGGGCGTACTCCTTTCTGTCGGATTTGGAGCGGGCCTCGGAGCCCGTTCGGCGACTGACCAGGCTGGGTCTGGGGTATGGTGTAGGTGCCCGCCTGGTCGAGTTCGAAGGCTTCCAGCATGTCTCGCCAGAGACGCTCTCGAAAGCGATGCGCGAGTCGTCGCATCGCCTCATCCTGCTGGATTACGACGGAACGCTGACCCGCGCCGACCAGCGCCATGCGCGCATGGCGCACGCCTGGGCGAAACCCTCGGAGACCGTCATGCAATACCTGGAGGCGATTGCGGATAATCCCCAGAATTTCGTAGTCATCATGAGTGGAAGAACCAAAGAGGTCCTAGAGCAAGCCTTCAAAGACCTTGACAAAGTCGGTCTGGCAGCTGAGCACGGGTTCTACTATCGCTGGAACGGCTCTTGTCCGTGGCAAGAGAGCAAACCGAATGCGGATTTGTCGTGGATTGAGGTTGCACACGAAATCATGTTATCCTACATGGAGCGTACCGATGGAAGCTATATTGAGCGCAAGACCGCGGGTCTCGTCTGGCACTACAAGGATGCAGATCCGGAGTTTGGCAGTTGGCAGGCAAGCGAGATGCACGACCATCTGGAGTCGGTGCTCAGCTCACTGGGTGTCCAGGTAATCTCTGGTAATCGTTGGGTGCAGGTACGACTCCGCGACGTGAACAAGGGCATCATGGTGGAGACCATTCTTCGACACTACACGCATCCGACTGACGAGGATCATGCGACGAACGAGGGGTCTGCTATGACAGCAACAACGAGTACGACGACACCTGGTAGTGCTACAGCTGCTGCTACAGCTGCTGGTCAAGAACCTGGCCAATTGCCGGACTTTGTGCTCTGCTGTGGTGACGATCGCACTGACGAAGACATGTTTACGCGCATTGATCGCGCGTATGAACGATGTCCACCGGCAGTGCGCTCGCGCGTCTTCACCTGTGTCATCGGTGTCAAGCCCAGCAACGCCCACTTCTACATTCGGGATTACGAAGAGATGATGGAGATTTTGGCGGCACTGGCTACTGCCTCCATGGCGGTGCGCCCGCCACGTTCAGCCACCCTGGAGGATTTTCGTCTTTCGATGGCAGCGGGTTCACCACTGCGTTCGGATTTGAGAACCAGCCTGGATAACGATCGCATCGCGCATAGTCTCGACACCAGCGACGATGCGAATACTACTGGAGCAGGTCTTCAGCGACGCTGGGGTCCAGGACGGCTCGGAGCCTAGTGCACATCTGGAAGCATCGCTACAGCCGTGGCGTCTTATGCGCCACATCAGCGTCGCTGGTGCTAGTGGTACATGGTAAAAGGCTGTTGCGCCGTTTGGCGCGAACTCACCTGGGCCGATCTGGTACCCTGCTTGGCCCGCGAACGCTCCAAAGCGGCAGTATCCAGAACGCGACACCCGGCCTCTACAAGCTGGTGGATTCGTGCCGGACTGGTTGTGCACGGGTATCCAGAGGCGCAACACGAGCGTGAGGTGCAGCGGCATCACCCGCGTGGTACGATTTGAGCAAGTTCTGTCCTTTAAATGTGCCATACGAGAAATAGAGAGACCTTTTTTGCTGTCTTCTAGCATCCAAATGCAGGGGTTTCGTCATTAATGTCCGGCGTGCTTTCACAAAAGTTCCGTCATGCACCGGCCTTGCGCGCAGTCGTTGCATGTTCAGGGAAAACTGGGGTCCGCTGTCTAGTGACGCATTCCAGCCGCGGATATCTTAGGGTGCCTGTTCGCCAGGGGGCATATCCTGCTGGGGCTCTATAGCCATATCGGTATCTGCAGCGGTATCACCGGGATCAACATCAGCAGCGGCTGTATCAGGAGCAGCATCAGCGGTATCACCGGTTTCAGTAGCAGGTGTATCAGGAGCAGCATCAGCCGTCTCAACATCAGCAGCAGTGGTATCAGTAGCAGCTGTATCAGGAGCAGCATCAGTATCGGCGGTATCAGGAGCAGTATCGGGAGACGTTTCCTCTGGACCTGAACCGCTCGCTGACACTTCCAGTGGATCCGGAGCAGATTCCATGGCTGGTGCTTCCGCGTCCACACCAGCAGCATTTGAATCACCAGCAGGCTCTGGGGCAGCTTCTGAAACATCTTGTGGTGCACTGGCCTCCGTCCGAGCATCTGCTGCGGGCGTTCCTGGTGCTGATGCCTCACTAGTCTCCGGCTCGAGCGCAGGAGGCGCGTCCGTAGGCGTCTGCTCCGGTGCCTGCGCTGACTCCTGCGTGCGCTCATTCTCCACTGATCCAAAAGAGGCACAGTGCTGAACCATTAGGACAGCCGAATACGGTTCCATGTGGAAAGGCATCGATACGCAGGTCATCGAGGTTTCGACGTCCTCGGGGAAACCGCTCGCTCCAGCCAGCGCGAAACAGTCCATCGGTGCAGGTGCCGCTGTATTGAAGAGCACCGCCCAGCCTGACTTGCCGTCGGCAAAACGGGGGGCAGTGATATCGCACGCTTCGTGTGAGGCGTTAAAAGCGATGTAAAGGTGGCGACCTTGCAGTGCTGGTGCCCGTGCACCACGTATTACAAACGCCAAAAAGTTGTTCGGATTTTCCCAGTTCAGGGGACAAGCGGAGGTGTCCGCCAATGGCTCCTCTGAGCTCGTGTCATCATCACGCTCGCCTACGGAGCCAAGGGCATTGCAGAGTACCGCTGCCGAGGCGTCCGTGCCACACCAAACAAAGTCGCCGCGAGACTCGGAGAGAAAGCGGCGCCAAATGGGGGCAGTCAGCTTGCGAAAGTGCACCAGCGTACTCACAAAGCGGAAAAGGGAACGAGCTTCACCGGACTCGGATGCCAACGCATTCCAGTGGAGATAATTGAGCTCATTATCCTGACACCACACGTTGGAGTTGCCACGCTGGGTGTGGCCGATTTCATCCCCGCTGCGGATCATAGGGACTCGGGCACTGCACAGCAGTATGAGGAAAAAGTTGCGCTCCTGACGACGTCGCAGACGCAGCACGTTCTCATCGTCGGTCTCGCCCTCGACACCACAGTTCCAGCTGAGATTGTGTTTCTCGCCGTCGCGGTTGTCTTCGCCGTTTGCCCAGTTTTGGGCATCGTTATAGGACACAAGATCGCGGAGGCTCATCCCGTCATGGCAGGTGATAAAGTTGATCCCGTACGCGTGGCCGTTCTCCTGGAGACCCCGCCGAATCTCCGCCGGAACATTCCCTCCGTAGATGTCCTCGGAGCCGCAAATCCGGGTGGCCATCTCTTGGATCATGCCGGTGTCGCCCTTGATGAACTTTCGTACGCAATCGCGGTACTTGCCATTCCAGTCGGACCAGCTGGGTCCAAATTGTGCGAAATGCCCCACGACGTAAGCGCTGAGGTCCCATGGTTCTGCAATGAAGAGCACGTCTGAGAGGGCGCTATCGTTCTTCAACGCTTGAATGACTGCTGGGAATTCCATGAGATCGAAAGGAGGCACCGTGGAGCGGAGAAGGCATGCTGCCAAGTCAAAGCGAAACCCATCGACTTGCATATCGTTTGCCCAGAAACGCACGCAATCATGAATGACCTCAATGCCTGCCAAAGAGTTGCAAGCGAACGTGTGGCCGCACCCAGAAAAGTTCACATCGTTACCATGATCGTGCAGATAGTACTCTCGATTCGCGAGTGCCCTAAAGTGGTAGGTCTTCCACGTCTCGGCGGTGTGATTGAAAACAATGTCGAGAATGACGGCGATGCCAGCACGGTGCAGTTCGCGTACCATGGTGCGAAACTCATCCAGAACATGGCGGTAGCGGTACGCTCTTGCCCACTTTCGGCGCGCAGCTTCCGAGGTGGCCGCCCCAATCACCGAGAAACGGTTCATAGGTGCGAAGAATGCAACCGTCGAGTAGCCCCAGTACTGGCAGAGATCTTCCCCAGTGGAAGGGTTCTTCTTCTGCCACTCCAGCTCATTGAACTCGAAGATAGGCAAAAACTCGACGCAGTTGATGCCAAGCGCTTTCAAGTACGGAATTTTTTCGATCACCGCGGTAAAGGTTCCTCGGGGGCTGCGGATATCCTTCGCCATTGCCGTAAACGAGCGCACATGGACCTCGTAGATAACCATGTCGCTGGCTGGTATGTTGGGCTTTCGCACGCCTTGCCAATCGAATCCGCTCAGGTAGTCGAGTGGAGGTATCACCGCAAAAGGAGTGTACTTATTTTTGCGCTTCTCTCTGGCATGAAAATCATAATACAGCGGTGAGTCAATGATGCGTGCGAAAGGATCGAGCACTATCTGCGCACCCTTGCCGCGACCTACGCGCCATGCGTACCGGTACCCAGCCAGAAGCGGTTGCACCGCCACGTGCCAGACTTTACCCATTCGGTTTTTCCGAGGATCAAGGCGCAGCTCGACGCAAGAGTCCAGTGCAAGCACTGCAAACCCACTGCTGTCGTCGTTAGGCGGCTCGAGGTTCTTGTCGTCGCCGGCTTCAGCGTCTTCGGGAATAGCTTCGAGCGCACCGCTGCCTGCAGCGAGCGCACTTCCCTCGGGATGATATATGATCAGAGACATGTGCCGCTGCTCAGTGCTGTAGATCGCAAAGTTGACAGTGTTTGCATCGAGCGGGTGACACCCGTACGGACTCGGTTTGCCTCGGAGGACGCGGCTAAGCCAGGGCGCTCCAGTGAGCGACTTGCGCGACTCAAGAAGAATCGACGCTGACGACGTCACCCGGCGAATGCGTCGCCCAGTTGATTGATCCAGCACTTCATATCCAACCTGTGAAGTCTGGTTCCCCATGAATCTACCACGTGGTCCAAAAGTGTTCCGAAGAGCGTTTGTAGCGACACCCGCTGTGCTACGGGAACGGTTAGCTAATGCCCCCCAACCGATAGGCTACGGCAGTGAGGATCGCGGCACCACCAGCAGCAGCAGCCGTTACGCCAAAAAACGCTTAGCAGATGCTTTACTCGGCGGTCGGCTGTGCGTACGGCGCAGCGCACGTGCACGTGCGGTGCCCGTGAGGCCGTCGAATGCGTCGATTGCGCTGATGCTGCTGCTGCTGCTGCTGCTGATGCTGCTGCTGATGCTGATGATGCTTTCGGAGGTGGCGCTCATTGCCGCCTCCGCTTTGCGATTTAGCCGATCTCCCGTGCAAGGTGGCGCTGCTGCTGCTGATGATGCTGCTGCTGCTGATGATGATGCTGAAGATGCTTTCGGAGGTGGCGCTCATTGCAGCCTCCGCTTTGCGATTTAGCCGATCTCCCGTGCAAGGTGGCGCTGCTGCAGCAGCTGCTGCTGATGATGATGCTTTCGGAGGTGGCGCTCATTGCCGCCTCCGCTTTGCGATTTAGCCGATCTCCCGTGCAAGGTGGCGCTGCTGCTGCTGCTGCTGCTGATGATGATGATGCTTTCGGAGGTGGCGCTCATTGCCGCCTCCGCTTTGCGATTTAGCCGATCTCCCGTGCAAGGTGGCGCTGCTGCTGCTGCTGCTGCTGATGATGATGATGCTACGTTCGATGTTCGTTCTAATTCTAATATGTCGCTGCAGGGTAGGCGTACGTTCATGGAGCGAAGCGATGCAGGCTAGTAATAAGGATCGTGTACTGGATATCTTGGAGTTTGTACGCTGGTGTTGAAACTTGTACGTGACTTTCATTGTTGTTCTCTATGAGAGTAACTGCGAGGCGATCTGATGGCATTCGATACGGCAATGCAGCTGTTCCTGGATGAAAAGCAGTTCCGCTGGTATCTCGCTCGATAGCACTGGCGGATCAGATGCGTCCTCGTAAGCGCGTCACGGGATACGTCCACGCGCTGCTTCTTTCATTGGTACGGGGAAACGCCTGGGTTCTCTCACGCCTTGGTTTCTTCTATGATAAAACGAGCGCTTTCGTTTCTACGACGCTTTGCACGCACTTATCACTGGACTGCACGGCCCGTACCCTCTGCGCGTCCAAGCTCGACACTGTAACGTATCCAAGACGCAGTACGGATGGTGCACACTGCCCGTGCTAGTGCGTCCCTATTGCAAAGCGTCGGGGCAGATGGCTGCCCAGCGGCCTGGCAGCGGGCCGCAAGCGTACGCTTTCCTCCTGGAAGACTCGGGGATGTTGTATCACGAACGAGCGCCCCAGAGCTGCCTCCATTCCCAGACACCGACTAGTGTGGTATCGAAAACGTTCTCTTCCAGTGGTTTTCTTCGCCGCTGTCGTGCGGATTGCCAACACAGTGGTTCACGAGAAGGAGCACGCCTTCTGCCGGGTGCCGAACCCCGAGCACGCTGCCGTGCGCAGCATCGTTCCGTGTGGATGCAACCATACCGGAGACTGCTAGCACGCATCGACTACTGTTCATGAGGCGCTGTCTAGGAAGATGCCATTGATAAGGCGCACAAAACAGGAATTCGCATGGCGCTCGCGACACTCTCCTGTGTTCTGCAGACTTGAGCCCAGCGCATGTCCAGTACGTTTCCGCTGCATATGGAGCGCACTGCAGCCATCAGGCGTCAGTTGCGATGCCGTGCAGGACGCTTGTACAGGATAAATGCAATTGAGGCTCAACCATGGCGTGTATTTGAAAACATAATCAGGAGGCAACGACGTTGACATCTGTGTGCAAGAGCCCCCAGGGTAAGGCTCAGTTCCGGCATTGGCGGCCCCGGGGCACGGCGGACAATGGCCGTACGCATTCGGTTTGGAGTGTTTTACTGGTAAAGGTGCTGGGGTGACTGCTTTAGACTTGCTGGACACCCGGTACAGAGCCTATTGGAAAAGCCGTGCTTTCTAACGTTTGTCAGCTTGATCAATCGTTGGGAAGCGCTGCTTCACCTGCCTTAGACTTGCTGGACATCCGGTACGGAGTCCTTTGGGAAGCCGTGCTTTCTACCGTTTGTCAGCTTGATCACTTGTCGGCAAGCGCTGGTTCAACTCCCTGAGACTCACTCCGCAACGGAACAGGCCTTTGTGCACAACCCAGACTTCCAGGATTCCGCAGTGTGAACAAGCAACGTCGGGTTCAGCAGCGCTCAAAATGGAGCAGGTCGAGCTTGAGCACGCCATTGTCGAGGAGATCAGATCAGCTGGGAAGGTTGCAAACTCGAGAGCGTTCGCCGAAAGACTCAAGGTGAACCATGAGGAGCTGGTCGCCGCGCTAAACTCCATGTATCGTCGCGATCTGGTTACACTGACGCAGCTGGAGCCTGAGGTAGTGCTCAGACTCACTGCGGAAGGTGCGCTCTACGCCCAGCACGGCACACCAGAGTGGTGTCTTCGCGAAGCGCTCGAGCGCCGAGGTCCAACGCCAGTGTCCGAACTCGACACCTTGCTGGAAGAGTTCTGGAGACAAACTAGTCCGAATAATGCCTTGGATAGCTCCAAGCTGGCCAAGATCGGAATGCAACAGGGTCTCAAGCTGGGTCTCTTTGAGCTTGACAAGCGCGTCCGACCTCCGTGCGTGGCCTGTGTGGGCTCCTCCGATTCCGAGGCTGTACACAAGCTGCAAATGCTCCAGAAAAGCCTACGGGCGCTCCATAGCGGCGCACTGACCGCGCTTTCCGGGGATCATGCGCTGGATGCTGCTCTGGTGGATGAGATCTTGCGAAGGAACCTGGCGACCCGAAACAAGCTGAAGGTGTTCGCGGCATCCGCGGGACCCCGCTTCGAACATGCCCTTGTAGAGCAGTTGGCGGATCTGACTCGCGAGATGCTCCTATCAGAGTCGTGGAGAAATGCGACGTTCAAGGAGTTCAACTTCGAGGCGGCGGGCGTGGCGCCCGTGGACGGCGGCCGACTTCACCCTCTGCTCAAAGTGCGCGAGGAGTTCCGCCTTATCTTCTTGGAAATGGGCTTTACGGAAATGCCGAGCAATCAGTATGTGGAATCTTCGTTCTGGAATTTTGATGCCTTGTTTCAGCCGCAACAGCATCCCGCACGCGACGCCCACGACACGTTCTTCCTGAATGAGCCGGCGCTCTGCAAGCGCATCGGCGATGCGTCCCCTGCGACAGAAGCCTACGTGGAACGCGTTCGAGGCGTGCACGACCAGGGTGGCTACGGGTCCCGCGGCTACGGCTATGCCTGGGATCATACCGAAGCGATGCGTAATGTTCTGCGGACGCACACGACTGCAATATCAGCCCGGATGCTGTACCGAATGGCCCGGGAGTTGCAGGATGGGAGGACAGATGCGTCGAACTTTGCACGGCGAATGTTCTCCATCGATCGGGTTTTCAGAAATGAAACCCTGGATGCCACCCACCTGTGTGAGTTCCATCAGGTCGAGGGTTGGGTCGCGGGGCCAGACCTCTCTCTTGCGGATTTGAAAGGAATAATCTCTCAATTTTTCCGACGAATCGGCATGCACCGACTGCGCTTCAAGCCGACGTACAATCCCTACACCGAGCCTTCTATGGAGATCTACGCGTATCATGAAGCTCTGGGACGTTGGGTTGAGATCGGAAACAGCGGAATTTTCCGACCGGAGATGCTTCAGCCGATGGGATTACCCCCGAATATTCAGGTCATTGCCTGGGGCCTGTCGCTCGAACGTCCAACCATGATCCTCTATGGACTCAGCAACATTCGCGACCTATTTGGTCACCGTGTATCCCTGCAGACCATTCGCGACAACCCCATCTGTCGCCTCGGGTGGTGACGCACTAGTGCACGCCCGAAAATCGTCTTTGCCGATCCTCTGTCTCGGCTGGCAGCGCAAGTGCTCGCTCTGAAGCTGTAGAGACAGCGCGGTGCGAACACTTGATATGGGAGCTCCAGATCGACTTCGCTTTTACCAGACGCATATGAAAATGGAAACGATGTACGAGTGCTTCACTGCGTCAGACGATGATCTCCGGCATGCATGCTTCCTGATCCCATGCGCCCTGTCGAGAAGCTATCCAATGCTTCGATCATCCAGCGATGCATCCGCCTGGGCTGCATAACGCGATATCCCAGACGATGTGGAGGCCGCGCGCGGGCGCTCGGCCAGCGTCAACACCGCACCTGTCGCGCAGCCCAGGATCGCCTGCGCGGGGCACCAGCAGCGCTGGTTACAAGTCTTGCGCACGGAAACCATGCGGTGCGCACTGGAACGTCCACGCACGCGTGACGTTCGCTGGGTGCTCGCATCACACGCCCAGCGTATTCGGAAACCCTGCAGCGCTCTGCTCACGCGTCATGAAAATACCTCCCGTCGTTCCTGTATTTCAGACCCGAGAACCTTCTCGCGGAGCTGTTCCTGCGCTTGAACCTGCAGCAGCAATCGCCTCTTCGCCAGAGGCGCACGGTTCGTACTTCAACGACGCCAACAAAAAACCAGTCGCTTGCTCCAACTCACGCCCGCCTAGCGTCCACGAAAAGTAACGCGCAAACGCTCCTGTACTTGCGTTCAGCGCCTCATAGAAAGCTGCATGCGTCGGCGCTGTCCGTTCGCGCACGCGTGATCGATTTTTTTTCATGGACAAAACGTTAACTTAGGGCAGCGTACTCCGATTATGCGCATTTTTCTTTTGTTACTTTTTTTTTTTGTGTTTTTTCAGTGCGAGGTGAGGTATTCATCAACCGCCTACCTTCATGTTACATTACCTATACTTCGTCTCGGATATTCTGGTCGTTTCATACGTCCTATCGTGTGCCTAGTGCCTGGCGAAAGCGACAGCAATAGCGCCTATAGCGCCGGTGCGGTCGCTGCACGGAGACAGAACGGCGTTGCCGTACCACAAAGGGCGTCGGCTCGAGGCGTGGTTCACTCGACGTAGAATCGGGTCTCGTCGTCAGTTTGTGCTCGGAGAGTCTGCGGATGCAGGCTTGTCTTCGTTGCACGACACGCTGGAGAAACTTGGCTGTTAGGATGAATCCTGGGAGCCGCCTCTCTCCTTCGTGATCATGCATGGAATGCGTTGTTGTCGGTTGGCAAGGCGGATTTGTGCTTGACACCCACCAGTGGGTAGGCGCAGAAAGCAGTGGGCCCGTGTGCGCACCCGATTCGCTGGACCTTCCGCCTAGAAGGTAGCGTGTGAGTTTGTTCGCCACTAATGAGCGCTGAGGCTCGGTTAGCGGACCATCAGTTACCAGTGCTACACTCAGAGTGAGTGTCCGGCCTTCGGCTACCACGCTGATGCCCAGCTGCTGCTGTCCTTCAAGGAGCTCGCTGCGCTCCTGCTTCCAGCGCGGGCACTGTAAGCCAAAAATATGTCAGCGTCTCGGGGATCTCATCCCCACTCGCGTGATCGATGCAGGCGCACACCTTGCACGCATGCGCTGGAGACACGTGTACGCACGGAGGCGCTGTGCGGGGCGCTGCACGCCCAACGCCATCTGCGTGCGGGCGAGATCGCAGCTGCCACGTGGCATTTGCGCATCAGTGCTGCTGATGCCGATACCTGCTTCCGTGCGCCACCGGGGAACCTCGCCGAGCAGCGTGATCGGCCACACTGCCGCCGTGTGCGTATGAATGCGTGTGCGTGTGTGTGTGTGTTCATTTCGCAACCCGTTTGTTGCGTGTGCATTGTTGACGAACTGCGCATTTGCCTATCGCCTAGTGAAAGGGGCGTTTACGAGAGCACTGCAGGGTTTCGCGGGTGACACTCTTGTTGTTTTACGTAAAAGGCGTTATTTTCCAATGCTGTCGTTCGTTTCTGCGTTGTGGTGGCATGCGCGACACGGTGTGGATATGCCGGGGTTCTTGCCCGGAGTGCGCTGCGGCCTCTCGTCTGGGCTTGTTCGGAACCGAATGATATGGTCGGCTGCCACAGCGGCCAAGGGTGGGAAACCCAAAGAGGCTAGTCGCGAGCAGGCGAAGCGCCCCGAACGCAAGGACGACGACAGGGGCTTTCAAAAGGGTGGCGGCGGTGGTGGCGGTGGTGGTAACGGCAGCGGCAAACCTACCAAGCGCGACAAGTAATGTGGAAATAGCGGCGTTTAGCGGTGGCAAGACGGCGTGCAAGCGTTCGGAGGAGCGTCATGGAAGCCTGTATGCGGGTGGCGTGCAGCTAGGTTTCCGGTCAGAGAGCGTTACGTAAACGAGAACTGGTCTTCGTGACATCGTTTGCTGCATCATTCGCCATTTGGACGTCCAGAACAGCGCTTTCGAGCTCGCATATGCCGTGTTTTTTCTCTCTCTCAGTCGCGTTGGTATGTCAGCAATGCGAAACGATTGCGAGAGCGGAACCGGAAAACGCGTATCCTCGCATACACGGCTGGACGTTGTGCAGCCACGAGGCGGCAAGTCGCCAGGCACCTCAGTTCCCTGCATCGCTGGCGCGATACTCCTTACCTAAAGGTAGCCGCGCTCGGGTTGTCCGCCGCATTTTCCTCATACAGATTCGGTCTGGCATTGTCGGCTTTCTGGGATCCGCTCTAGCGCCAGAACCTCCTCTTCGTGCTCTTGGAGCCAATGCTCTGCATCCATTGCAGCCATACAACCGCTACCCGCTGCAGTAACCGCTTGGCGGTACCGTTTGTCCTGCACATCGCCCGCTGCAAAAACGCCGTCCACGCTCGTTTGTGTCGTTCCTGGTTTCGTAATGATGTAGCCTTGATCGTCAAGAAGCAACTGCCCTTTCAGGAATGCAGTCGCCGGCACATGGCCAATGGCAAAAAATAGACCACCAACCTCGAGTTCGTGCTTTTGATCATCCTTCGTGGACTGAAGCGTTATTCGACGCAACAGGGTGTCTCCATGCGCAGCCACAACGATCGAATTCCACAGGAACTCAATTTTCTGGTTCTCAAATGCTCGCTTCTGCATGATCTTCGACGCACGGAGCGTATCGCGGCGATGGATAACGTACACTCGACTCGCATAGCGCGTGAGAAAGAGCGCCTCTTCCAATGCAGTATCACCACCACCGACTACAGCGATCGGCTTACCTCGAAAGATAGGTGCGGCGCCGTCACAAACCGCACAAGCAGAGATACCGCGCTGCCAGAAGCCACCCTCACCACTGCCAGCACCAGGAAAGTCCATGCGTTTCGCCACCGCACCAGTGGCGATGATCACGCTTGCAGCTAGGACCACGTGCTGACTGCTGTATATTCGGAAGGGGCGGCTCTGGAGATCCACGCTTTCAACAGTTTCCGTCAGGATCTTCGTCCCATGCACCTGAGACTGTTTTCGAAACCGATCCATCAGCTCGAAGCCGCTGATTCCCTCTGGGAAGCCCGGATAGTTTTCGACGTCAGTCGTTGTCGTAAGTTGCCCTCCGGCTGCGATCCCGTTTGCAAGCATGCCTTCGAACATGATTGGTCTCAGTTGCGCGCGAGCTGCATAAATTGCAGCAGTGTGCCCCGCGGGACCCGAACCGATGACGCACAACGGCGTTACCAGCGGTACTGCGGAGCCGTTTGCAAGAGACCCGTTCCGCGCGCCTTGCTCGTCGCTCATGTGTGCGTTTGGTCGCCTGAAAACACGAATCCCCAAGTAACTGTTATTTCCAGGATGTATGCTTGTCCAAGTCAAGCTCCCAAAGCGCCTGAGCAGCAACGTTTCGGAATAGTGTACGGTTTCACGCACTCCGCTCTGGATACACCAGTAAAGAAGCTGGTAACGCGGGAATCCCATGGGGTGATCAGTAAGCGCGCGACGGCGGACGGAGGCGCGCTCGATCGGCACCGCCACGTTCACGAACGAGTGGCTTGCAGCAGCGCCTCCACTACGGGGAGGTCGCGGAGCTTGTCGGCCCTTGAGCCCAGTCTTTACCAAGGACAGGTACCGATCGTTCACAGCTTAGATCCAGTGGGATGTTGCTTGGTGATGAACGTAGGGTTCTCTGGGATGGAAACGACAGCAGATAACCTCGCCGCAGCTGGGAGCGGGGTGCGCTGCGCTTCAGCTCTTCCACAGCTCCCGCTCATGAGCGTTTATTGCGTGGTGCATTCGGTTCTATCGTGAAGCGATCGTGACAGCTCAGTAGCGCGATCCTGTGCATGCTTTGTGTGAGTCTAAGTTTCCACGTCCTGAGCGTGCTCAGCGCGTTGATATCGACGTTTTGGCAGATGTCGGCATTCGATAACGTCGGAATCTCCTCGCACGCCCAATTGTAGCGTGTTCTGCTGCCTGCACTGCATATATCGGCATTGGATGGACGTGGTGCGTTCATGATGCGGGACATTCCATCTACCTAGTGACGGTGGTTGCGCTCAGGCAGCGCGGGTGTGTTGCTCCGACAGCTTTCAGAAACGGCACTAGTGTAACTCGGGTTGTAAAGCATGCCGAGGAACCACAGGGCTCTGTAACGCCGAAGACTATGGAGTCAACCCTGAAAGTGCTCGCCTCCTCCCGCCAAAGAGCTCTGTCCACAGGTGTACCACAACGGTTGCCACCAGCGCTGGCGAGCACGTCTCGACTCGAACACGAAGCTGCCCAGCACAGCGTACGGCCCAGTGTGTGCCGCACTCCCTCTCTGCCTGAACCGAAGTGTTCCGTACACCCTAGGCGAGACAAGATTAGGTGAAAAACCTTCCAGTTTGCGCATCCAGCGGAGGCAGCAGCTACTCAAGTCGTCCACACCTCCGCTCCATGACGGCTCGCGGGCCCAACGGGCAAACAGTTGCTACGCGCTCTTCACACGTTGCAGCTGCAGGCCCTGCGCATTGAACCAGACTGCCCCAGTTACGCAAATACCCCTATTACCTAAACACCTACATCATCCAGGTTCGTTTCATGGTACATGATCAGTGTATCCAACGTAGCTATCGCAGCAGCATCACGTTGGATTATCGATAGCAAAGGCGGCTTGCCAATGCGCTCCTGCCGCCTCCAGAAGCGGCGATATCGCGTGATGGCATCGCTGCTGGGCGCGCCGCCAAGGATGGCTGTTTCGTGATTCGCTACGCGTAGCGAACAGGGTTGCTCGGTGAAGTGATTCACTGCTAGGAGCGTTACTCGACGCTCTTCCCGTGCTAAAGACGATAGCTGGCTGAGAAAGGGGCTCCACTGAGGCAGCATTCGACACTTGTGTTCTTGAGGGGCGCCGTTCCCGATCGAGCGGGAACGTTACCGCAGGTGCTGCTGGTTTCTTCAGTTGCTGTTCGAGGCCTGCACGGGGGTTCTGTTACTGCGCCTCTCGGACGCGGTTCAGAGCAAGCACATAGAGCGCTTGCAACGTCTTGTGCCTGTTTTTGATCATGTTTAGCTGCTTGACGTCTGTAGCTCAGGGGAACGGGCGGCTTCAGCGCACCTCTAAACAAGTGCCGCTGGTCGCGCGCCGGGAGAGGCGCCACCGACTGGCGGTTCGCACGCTCCGTCCTGCCTTGGAGAGCTCCCTCTCTCGTTTCACGGAGCAGGAGCAAGCGTTTCCCACACTAAAGGCGGACGCGAAACCCAAGACGGCTTCAAACTCACGGACAGCAGGCGTTCCAAACCGGTTGAAGGAGGAGGAAGGCGCTTGTTTCGTAGAGTTTCTCCGGAGAGCGGTTGAGGACTGCCGAAGGAACGTGCAGGCCGGAGGGCACGGCACCGAGGACCTCGTGTGGGAGCGCGTTCGCCTTGAGGCAGAAGCTGCGGCGCGCGAGGAGCAGCTCCTTGCATCCTTTCTTTACGCAACTGTCCTGAACCACGACACACTGGAGGCGTGTCTTGCCTTCCACCTGGCCAATAAGCTCGCGTCAACGACGCTGCCCAGTACCATGCTGAACGAAATCATTCGAGAAGCGCTGGAGAAAGCACCGGAGGCGCGTTACGCCATTCGACTGGACTTGTTGGCGGTGGCGGATCGAGATCCGGCGTGTACGCGAGTGATCGATGCGTTGCTTTTCTTTAAGGGCTTCCACGCCTTGCAAACGCATCGAGTTGCACATTGGCTGTGGAGCCAGAACCGCCAGGCCCTTGCAATGTACCTCCACAGCCAAGTCTGCAAGGTGCTACAAATCGACATCCACCCCGCAGCAAGAATCGGCTATGGTGTATTTATAGACCACGGAACCGGAGTGGTTATCGGCGAGACCGCGCGAGTCGGAAATAACGTCAGTCTGCTTCATCACGTGACTCTGGGTGGCACTGGTACCAAGCTCGGGGATCGACACCCAAGGATCGAGGATTGTGTTCTGATCGGGGCCGGTGCAACGATTCTGGGGAACATCACCGTCGGCTATGGCGCTATGGTCGGTGCGTGCACCGTGCTCACGAGCGACCTGCCGCCGCACTCGACGGCAGTAGGTGTTCCTGCGCGAGTTATTGGTGCTCCGCGCACGAAAGCGCCAGCTTTTGACATGGACCAAGACCCGACACACTGTCGCAAGCGACGAACAGCAGTAGAGCACCCGGATGGCAGCAGCCATTCGCTGCCAGAGACGGGCACCGTAGATGTTACTTCGACGTCGACGAATGGCCATGCGCTGGACAGCTAAGTAGCTTTCGGAGCTGGACGCCCTCGACCCGCGTTTTTGTACACTAAGCATGACGTGGATCATTTCATGTACAGGTAAAGGATGCATGCAGGTTCGTCAGATAACGCGAGCACATACGTTGTCATGGAGTTAGAGGACACGATATGCGGTCGGCGTTTCAACGAGCGCGCGAGCGGGACTCTTCGGGAAACGATTCGCACGCGAGCCTTTATCCTTGGTGCTCAGAGCATCTCAAAACGCCTCTGGAGCGCTGCGATACCCAGGTGGTGGTCATGTGAAGTGTATTTCCTGTTGATGACACGTTTCATCTGCTGGATGCGAGAGGTGCCGGCTCACAGCGGAGGCTTCTTGCCCTCTGACGACCTTGCGGTAAACGGTTCGAATTTGGAGACCCGGTTTCATCGACCGCACCTCTGGCTAGTGGCGGAACTCGGAGTTCCGGTGCGGCAGCAAGATGGACGCTCAATCGAACGCGGATAACCACTGCACAATCGGAGATGCCCTGTTCGTGCGTAAACGATCCTACACCGCAGCAAAAATTCGATGACGTCTCGGGCGGTAGTGCTTGGATTCTGGATACCCAGGCTAACGCTTGTAAGCTCAGCGCGCAACAGCGGCAGCGGTACTCTAGCGGTCAGCGATAGCGTGCCAACGAATCGGTTCGAGGCCAAGTGACTGGAGGTACTCGTTCGCCTTGCGGAAGTGATTGCATCCAAACCAGCCTCCTCGAGCGGCAGCCATAGGGCTCGGATGTGCAGCCTGCAGAACCAGATGACGGTTTGCATTCACCCGCGAACACTTCTCCTTCGCGAAATTGCCCCAGAGCATAAAGACGAGTCCACGCGTGCCGGCGAGCTTCTGCTGATCGAGAACGCGGATGACTTCATCCGTGAACTTTTGCCAACCCCCATGCTTAGCATGGCTGCCCGGCTTGTGCGCTTCAACAGTGAGCACAGCGTTGAGTAGGAGCACACCCTGGTCTGCCCAGGCCTCGAGACAGCCGTGGTTTGGCGGTCGGAAGGGTTCCGGATCACTTTCAGGGAACTCACGTGCGAGTTCACCGTAAATGTTGAGAAGAGACGGTGGCGGCACAACACCCCGAGGTACACTAAAGCACAGTCCGTGCGCCTGGCCTACGTTATGGTACGGGTCTTGGCCGATGATCACCACTTTCACCTTCTCGAGGGGACACCGCTGAAACGCATGGAAAACCAAGTTCTGTGGAGGGAATATCCGTTTGCCCTGGGCAATCTCCTTCTGTAGGAATTCGTTGAGCGACGCCCACGACTTGCTTTGAAAGTGTGCAGCTAAAGCTTGTCGCCAGCACGACGGCAAACTCGGTTCGAGAGCCGTCGCGGTCGCAGCAAGCGCGTAGCCCGCAGGCCGCGGCACGGGAAGCACCTGTGCCGCTGCAGCACCTGAGGTCGCTCTCGCTTTCACGAAGCCGTCGAGGGTTCCGCGGGCAACGCTCGCCACAAACCCGGCCTTCATATCACTGGAACTCTTGGAAACGGTGACGGCAGGCGGCGAGAGGTCCGTTTCTGCACTGTGTAGCGCGAAGAGCAGGAGGTCGTCGGGGGCCTCCCCAGCCCCGTGTGCGCTCGTCTGTTCCGAGAGTTCACTGAGTGCCCTTTTTCTTCCACTCGCAGGGGTGAGGCTTCTCTGTTCGTTCTCCACGACGAGCATGCACAGGCAGTTTCTTCAGTGGAAGCGTGCCAACTAGTGTCGATCAGCTCGAGCTGGCGAGAAGCGCGCGCTTATGCTCGTTTACCCGCCACGGTGCGGCTGGGAATATGCGCGCGCGCGCGCGCGCAGGGGAAGCGCTTTCGAGGTTCGTACTCTCCGCAGCACTTGCATCCACATAAAGTGGAGCGGGTCCACTAACACAAGGATACACGCTAAAGTTTTGGTTTCTCCGCAGAGTCATGAAAACCAGCGTTTCCTGCATTCTTATTTGCGTACTTTCCTCTCTGTTCTCTTATATCCGGGTTTAAGAAAGCGGTCGTCCTTGGATTTCCAGCTCCGAGCCTAGCAGTCGAAAGATATTGATCGCAGCTTTAGAGTTACGAGCTCAATGCTTGCTGTTGCTGTCGACGCATCTCATACAGAGCGAAAAGGTCCGTTCTACGCTTGGCTTGTCATTTTCAGCTTCGCAGTATACATCGTCGGTGCGCGCTTCCGAGTGGTGACCCTTGATGGTGGACATGCGTTCCCATGTATCGGTCATATCACCCTCTTCGGGCGCTGCCCATTTGGCACGCAAAGAGTTGATGCACCGCTCGGTACATGCAACTGACGTGTATAGAGGGCTTCGCTCGATACCCGCCGCTGTTTCTGGGCCAAGTGCTGTACTGAACGATCCAGGACATGTTGTGAGCGATCTCCGCAGCGAGAAGTCTACGTGCTAGACGAGCAAGTGCACGCTGTACCACTTGATTCAGAAGTTGCGAAGATCGACGTTCGCCATGATGCGACAGGTACCTCTGGAACATTAGGGATGCAGAAAAAGCCGGAGACTTTCTATGCGTCTATGCTCCGTCTGAGCAAAAGCGGCTGCGGACGCCCCACCTAAAGTGATTACTGCAATGACTAGCGTCTGTATCCAACAGACTTATCCAGGCATACGAGAGAGCCGAACGCCTCTGAGAGCCTATCGCATGAGATGTATCAAGCAGCTGTGGAATACTTCTTCGTCGATTGCCTCAAACAGAATAGGATTTGGTATTCGAACGAGATTGATCATTAGCTCACGTGAGTATTCCAATGTATGGTTAGCATGAACGAATGAGCAAGTCGTCGAGGAACGACGACATGGTTTGTCCCTCGTCCATCAAATGCGCACAATGACACGCCATTGAGCGGCCTCGAAACAGAAAGATCGAAAACTTGAAGAATTCGTGATTTGAGCATGCAACACGAACGTAAAACAAAGGAATAGATGCTTTCACATATGATTTGGATAATGATATCGGTTACTTTACGAGGGCTTGTTCGAGGGCATCGCGAATTATCGTGATTTCAGTGACGTTGCGATTTCCAGCTGTAAAGTATCGAAAGCGTCACTCCGAATAAACAATCGAGAATCGTTAAACTAGCTATGATTCCGTAACCACTTTTGCTCCACACTGAGTTTAAAGACTGTACATCCAACCAAAAAATTCGCAACAGAAATCGAAAGCCACCTGCAGCGCGGGCACCTCAGTGTTCTACGTTCGTCGGACACTGGCGTATACACCGGCTCCCGCCGTTGTTCCCATGGTCGTTGGCAGCGTTGTTGCCCTAGCGCTGGTTGGGCTGCTGTGGCTAGCGCTTTGTCGTCAGCTGGTAGAGTCGGAACCGAGGCAGGTGGCCGCCTCCGACAGTTCCCGGGCATCGTTCGGCTTCCTACACCCGTCCTGTGCCGGTGGCGGCGGCGGGGAACGCGTCCTCTGGTGCGCAGTTCGAGCACTGTGCAGCGAAACCCGTCGACTAGCGAGCGACAGACCACAGAACGGCTCGACACCGCATAGCACGATCGTCGCTCCCCGCGTTTGGCTTTATACTGCTCGCTATCGTTCCAGTGTCGCCGAGATTCGTGCTTTTCTGGACGTGCGGCTCGCCGAGCAGTTCGGTGCAGAGGCTTTCACGAATGCTGTCCAGCAAGTGAGACTGGTGCCTCTGTACACTGCTGTATTGCTGGAGCCTCGTTGGTATCCTTATTTTACCATGCTCTTTCAGTTGCTTGCCGGGATGCCGGTTGCTGTGGAGATCATGCTGCGGCACGCGTCTTTCCTGGTCACGCACCTGTTGAGCAAGTGCGTCAGCTGGTTTCGGAAACGCTACCGAACGCCCTTAGAGGATTACAGGCTGCCGTCGATCTTCCTAGATACAGTGGGCGTCCCGCTTGCTCTGCTGTGTCTCAAGTGGTGGACTTGTGGGCGTATCCGCACCGGCGCCTATGTTCATTATCCATTCGTGTCGAACGAGATGATGTCTCATGAGCCGAGGAGCACCGGCTCCGGCTCGCGCAAGCTACGCTCTGTATGTCGTCGCGGGTACTATCGCGCTGTTGTGCTACCGCTTTATGCGGCGTGCGGGGCGGCCACGGATCTCGTGATGGCGAACTCATCGTGGACACTGCAGCGAATGGAGCAGTTATGGTGCGGGAGCGGTGCTAGTAGTTCGCGTGCGTCCTGTACAGGGCATCATCGTCGAAATATCTTCCTCGTGTACCCGCCGTGCGGTGCAAGGCGGACGCACTCGTCATTTCCTGCGCTAGAGAGGGACGCAGTGCGCCAGCGCGTCGTCTCCATTGCTCAGTTTCGCCCCGAAAAGCGCCATGAGACTCAGCTGGATTGCTTTGTGGAGTTATTGCAGCGGTATCCCCGGGAGACCTCACAAGCGCGTTTGCTCATGATTGGTGGTGCTCGCAACCATGCCGATCGAATGCGGGCCGAGCGTTTGCTCCAGCGAGCTGTAGCGCTCACAGGATCCGCCTCTAGCGGCGGCCGTATCGAGGTTCACGTGAATGCAAGTCGCATCGAGATCGAAGAGGTACTAGCTGGAGAATTTGGATGCTTTTTACATACCATGGAGGAGGAGCATTTTGGAATCAGCATTGTGGAGGCGATGTCGCATGGGCTACTCGTGATTGCTCACGGATCCGGCGGTGCAGCACTGGATATTCTGCGTCCCGTTTCGCCCGACTCGCCTCTGGGGCTTGTGTATCGCACTCGACATGAGCTCACTGAATGCCTGGCAGACGCTCTATTTCGGTTGCCGGTGGCGACGCTTCAATCAATGCAGAGGCGGGCCTACGCACGAGCTCAGCGCGAATTCTCAGATGAGGCATTCTCTGAGCGATTTCTTACGGCGGTCGCTTCCCTTTGTACGAAGGGGTGATCCCGCTGCTGCTGCTGCTGCTGCTGCTGCTGCTGCCAGCAACAACAACAGCCCTTGCACCACCATGAATGCATGATCAAAAGATGTCATGGTACGTTTTGTCGGATAAACAACAGTTTTCTTGCCGAGCAAGGCGACAACATCCACCAACACGAGCGACTGGGTTTGAGTGCGGCGCATGCCGCTGTGCTCGCTCGGAAACCTGGACGCTGACCCTTCACGGGCTAGATCACGATCTTTGTACGCACCAGGACGCGAGTCTTCAGGACGACGGCACGGTGCACGTTCCGTTGTCGCGCGTGGGCGCCACCACAGTCGCAAGCACAGGCCTGCTACCCCGTGGCGTTTCGATCTCATACCGGGAGTTTCGGTTCGAAACCGATGCCACCGTTCGTTTCCAGGTATCCAGAGGCTGCCGATAGGCGGCGCAGTATCCGCCGAACAATGCTGGTGTCGACAAGCTGACCCAGAACCGGAACCTGTCGAAGAAACGTCATCGCGATCGGAATGAAGCTCAGGAATAGCCAGAGCGCACCGACCGCTTGGACCAGAGTCCCCAGCACTGGCCAGCGCAACAGCACCAGGCCAAAGCCGCCGAAGAAGAGCGCACTCGCGCGAAGTTTTCTTCTTGAGAAGAAGAAACGGGCGGCTCTCTTGAAGCCCAGGATGAAAAAGAGCGACGAGGTGAAAAGAACACTTGCTATGGAGATCAGCCCCGTATCAAAAAAGAGTACAACACCGAGCCCATAAAATAAAACGGAAATTGCGCTCAAAGTAACCCCAATCTTTTGGTAGTCGTTCATGAGGCGCTCTCCTCGAAGCAACCTCACAAGCGCAAAGGCAAACGTGTCGATGTATAATAGAGTGTCCGCGTTCGACCGGGCGTCCTCGGTCGCTGACGCGCATAGACCGCGAGGCTGCCGACCTCGACAGGTCCGGTGCCTACAAGACGAACGAACAGGTGCAGTGCTCAGCAGACGTTGGCAACCTTGTTGCAAGATCTTCGGCAAATATCACGGAGAGGTGCGTCTGGAGCCGGTTTCTGACAGGGAGTCTACGCGGCGTACAGCGAGGGGTCCAGTTGCTGGGCTACTGGAAGTTTACAATCGACGGAGGAAGGAGGTTTTAGGCTAGAGGGACGGGAGCCTCGGGCAGAGTTTGGGCGGGCATGCGGCGGCCAGACGTTCCCGCTCCAGCGAGTGCGGAGCCGAGGCAGGGTGCACAAGGCTGCTGCTGAGACTCGTGTCTGCTCGAGTCCCGGAGAAGGGCTGGCGCTTGGACGCAGAACCCTAGACCCTTGTACGTGCTAGATTATTGTGACTTTTGGGCGGACTTGAAAGCACCGGCAGCGTAACCTGCAGATGCGCAGTCTCTGTTTCAATAACGGTCGTACCCGACTGCTCGGGTTTGCGGAGAGCGCGAAGTCTCTTTCCGTTGTGAAGCGGTGGCCTGTGGCAGCATTGTGCAGGCGTGCTCTCTCCGAATGACCACTGCAGCGGCAGTGGCGGCGCAACCGAGTCCAACCGAAGCTTCTACGGCAGACTCGATATCCGCAGGGTAGATAGCTGGGTCGTGCCCCATGCTGAGGGACCACTGTTCTGAGGCTTTTAGAACGCGGAAGCTGCATCGGAAAGAATGACGATCCGTTCCCTGTTCACTGGCAAGGATTGCGCATCTCAGAGGCTCTGTTTAGACTCATCGATGGTACGAAATTGAATGACGTTGGCCTCTGTCTGTTCACGAATCCTCCATCATCAAGTATTTGATACTGTGAGCTGGTACATGCTTCTGAGATCGTTCGTTCATCGAATGCCGCACGGGGGTGCATCGAGTGTCGATGCGTCGACATTATGAACGTTATTATATATCTTTCTGATTCACGCTCGTGACCTTGTGTGCCAGTCAGGGCGTGCTTGCCGCTTTTGCGAATATTCGAAAGCGAGACGCACGCAACAACGCGCGAAGGTTGATGTTGCATTGAAAGTGCGACTCCTGCCGCGACAGCATGCCCACTGAATGGCATGGGTTCCATCGTTGCCCCATAAGCGACCAGCCACGAGGCATTTGCGCACAGGTTCAATCACGGTGGGCGAGGCGCAACCGGAGGACGCGCCCAGTGCTCCTCGCTGTAGCGTATAGCCGCAACGTAGCGCTCTCTGCTACTTTCCAGGTTTTCTGATGCGCCATGCCAATCGCGACGCTTCTGGACCAGAGATGCCGGATGAAGTGTTATCGAACCCATCTCTGAGCGATAATCCATCTGCGGCGGTTAGATGAGGCGTCTGTGCTTCCACGATCCAAAATACTACCGACGCCGAAGCTCTTCCACGGATAGCATCCTTTCGGCACTGGTGATATTTTGCGGGAGATACATCGCGACGCGCTCTGGTTATCCCGCGTGGCTCATGCCGTTCCTCGGCTGGGTCTTTGCTGAGCCATTTTCACTGGGATTCTGTGACCAGCAGGTGCGCTCGCCCGCCAAGCAACCATCGATCGCTTCCATCGCTGAAAAACTTAAAGAAAGAAACGAACTTGCAAGTTTACCTCAACGAGAACGATGCTTCGCGCAGACCACAAGCGCCATGCCCCCAGCGTGCACCATCGATCGCAAGACCCGATCAGAGGCCCGGCACTTGAGCTGACGCAGTCAGCAGGGCAGGGTCACCGATGTTGCGTAGGCGTCCTTCCGATGCATCACGAGAATGTACTCCCACGTCGATACGTTCTCGTGGAAGCGTCCTCAGTGCGGATGCGGATGCGGATCCGGATGGTGTCCGAAGAACCATTCGACGGTTATCAGCGAAACCTAGCGGGTCCCTCAGTACGATTGTGCTTGTGTTGTATACAACTCCCCCAAGCGATGCACGATCACTCTGTTTCCTCCGTGCCGTGCTCGTTGCTGACCGGCTCGGCGTCTCGCACGCGAATGCGCTTAGCTCGATCGTTAATCTCGCAGATTTGCGCGGTGAACTTGTCTCCTGGTTTGATCGATTGCAGGGTGCGCTGCTTGTTCTGCCCCCAAAGATCGGAAACATGCACAAAGGCATCCACTTCTGAGCCGATGTCTACGAAAGCGCCAAAGTTCGTGACTCTGCGCACAGTGCCCTCGACGGTTTCGTCGAGCTGATAAGAACCCACACGGCGCCGGTTCTCAGAGTCGGCGTAAACGAGAATGCGACGTCCATCAGCTGTCTCAGTGGGGGTATACAGATTTCGTGCGCTGGAGGTGTTCCTGCCCTGCGAGCGCTGCTGCCCCGGTGGAAGGAACGAAAGGGAAAGTCTCCGCTTTTCCAGATCTATGAACTTCACGTAGACGGTAACCTCATCGCCGCGAGTCACAAAGCTCTCGGGATTCTCAACGTACTCCCGCGAGAAATCACGAATATGAACAAGGCCATCGAAGGGTATGAACTTTTTGCGCTCGCCCCAGGTGTTTGGTAATGCACCGGCCGTGTCAGCGGATGCCGCCTCCTGCTCCATCGCATTCAGTTCAGATGCACCCTGTGCACTCGTTTCCGCAAGGCCATCGCTGGAGGCGTAAAATGAGGAGCTGGAATCCTCAGCGTTGTCTACCTCGTAGAAAACACCGCAGTCCACGAAAGCTCCGTAGCTTACAACGCCACACACCGTACCGCGAAGTTCTTGACCCGGCTGCAAATCTGTAAGCTTGTAGGTTAGCGGGCGCCGACGCATCGTTGAGGCAGTGCGGCGACTTGCAGACGGGGTGCGACGGGGGCCGCTACCCTCGCGCCGCGTGCGGCGGCGATAGCTATCTGGACCAAAACGCATTTCCTGCGAGAACATTCCCTCCTGCGCGTCAGCGCTCATAGGCTCTGCGGTCGTGAAGGGCGTTGATTCAGCAGCCACACCGGCGTCGAGCTTCGAAACACCTTCCGACCCACCCGCAGGTGTTGAATCACTGTTCACAGTTGGTTCCATCTTCTCTTCTGGGAGCTCCGCCGAGGCCATCGTCCAAGTGTCCATACGGAGCACAGCGCGTCCGGGAAGGGAAGCCCTCCTCAGTCCGAAGCGATTCAGGGGCGCTCCCCAGAACACATCACAACGAGTGCGCACGCTGCTAATGCGAGAACGCGCACAAACCCCAGCCACCCGACACGCTGTGTATATAATAGGGACAAACATTTTGTCCGCAGCGTAAGCACTATATACTGAACTGAAAGAAAGAGTTGGTAAACTTCGTTCACGCACCGCGCAGTGTCGTAGTCACCGGCCGAAATGAAGCTCGTAAGAAACGAATGAATGGAGGGCTGTAGCTCGCACGGCCGGCGGCGGTGGCTCGCACGGCCGCCGACGGTGTTCAGCAGTGGCGGCGAACGCGCCTTAGACAAATCGTCTCCACCTGATGTGCAGACGCCTCCCAGTTTTTTGGACCGGCCACCCACTACTGCTTCCAGCTTTTTCTTATATAGTTCCACTTTGGTAGGTTGTCCAACAAAGTTCTCTCGTGTCCAGTCTGGAGGCCTTTTCTCCATTACCGCACATCTTACATTGATCACTGCGTGAAAGTCTCTGTTCACGAATTCCATCCGTTTCTTGCCATCATTGAGTGTACTTACTAATGCAAGCAATCCTCTAAATTTCGCCCTCCTTTCCATTTGCCCCTCCATCAGCGCTCCGTATTTTTTTATATCCTCAGGACTCCTCTGGCACTTTTCCATCCCCACTCTGTGATGCGTACACCCCAGTTCGTGGTGTGTATACGATGTTCGGAACTCGTCTACAGGTATCGTAGCGAAACGCCGTGCGCACTCCTTGTACGTTCTTGTCGACGGAGCTGGTGTAGTCCCTTTTTTGGACGCCCAGCGCTCTGCTCCGTACGCTACGACGAGCCTCTGACTTTCATTCTCCTTGAGGGCGCTCAACGCATTGAAAAAGTTGGCAAATGCACGCAGCTTACCACAATACAGATTCTTACGCAGACGAGCCCACCGGCGCTTGGTGTACTCTTCCCACAGCGTATCCCAATGAGCAACGCGGACCTTCCATGGACTCCCGAAAAGCTTCAAAGTCCGCTCCTTGACTCGTCACCTCGCTCAAAGCTTCTAGGTGATCCTTCATTCCTGAATTCCAGCTCTCGATTTTCTTCCCCGCATTCATGATTCCCGATTCTCGATAGTATCTAGCTCTCGAGAACCTCAATAGACGCATGTCTTTCTGACGTAAACTACCGTCAGTACCATCTTCCGCACACTTCGGTGCTGCGATGGTGATGATATTTGTGTTTCCGGGGTCCGCGCCAACGACAAAGTCGATATCTTGCACTTTCTGCGTCGCAGGAGCCGCCTTGTTGTTATCTTCATGCTTCGTCGCGTCAACGACCAGGTCGTTATCCTCCACCTCCTGCATCGCAGGATTCGCCTTCTTCTTCTCTTCATGCTTCCCCGCGTCAACGACAAGGTCGTTATCCCCCACTTCCTGCGTCATAAGACCCGCCTCCTTCTCATTTCCTTCCTTCGCCGCGTCAACGAGAAAGTCATTATCCTCCAACTCGTGCGTCTCTGGATCCTCCTCTTTGTTTTCTTCGTTCTTGGTCACGGGCGTAGCCGAGGGCGGACCAGGACGATCTGTCTTCAAGCGCCGATAGTGTACACACATGGCTACTCCATCGGTTTCGATCATCCCAGTGAATATCTTTTGTTTGCTCACTCTCAGGCGTTTGAAATTGAAGATGTTCTTTAAGTACGTCTCCCGGTTTTCACCGGAGAATTCTTCCCTGCTGACACTGAATTCGGGACTGATCTCCTTCATGATGCCGTAAAGGACTCTGGAGTCGATGGTCACAAAATGTGACTTGATATTGGACATCGGAATCACGTTAAAGCGCTTCCCCATTAGGAAAGCCTTCCGTCTCTCCTACTCTTCATTTGTCTTTTCGCTCAGCTTCATCTCCGCTTCGCGTTCGAGCTCCGGGTCCAAGAACACAAAATACCGTACGACGATGCGATAGTATCTCCCCTGATCCTTTTTCAACTCTGATATCTTTTCTGTTGGATTCACCAGCCCCAAGATTGCACGGCGCTCTTGTATAACCGAACGGATGAGGGAATTCTCATTTGTGCTCCTGCGTGACGTCTTCTTGTCGACAAATTCGACCTCATCTCCATTCTTACGATCTTTCGTAAAGCCATTGGTAATCGCCTATATTCATTTGAGAGAGCTGCCTGGGTAGAGTGCAAAAACGGCGCGTACCATGAAACGTTCGAGTTTCACGATCACGTGATTCTCCAGTTTCGTGATGTACTTCGTCGCCCCTTATATGTAAACATTCGAATCACCCCTGTATGGAGTACTGTTGAAGCTGTAGAGGGGATGTTTTTCGTAAAGGCCATGCACTAGCACATTTTCCCTCCGCGTTTCCGCTGTGCCAAGCATCAGGTGTCGAATAAATGTCTTACCGAAAAAATCGTCCGGAATCTCGACCGTTTCCAAGTGCGCCACGTTTTCGTACATCTCTCTCGCCAAATGCATCAGTCTTGACGACGCCTTGAAAATACTCATGGAGTACGAATCGAAACGTTTTTCGATAGCGTCTCACAAATTTTCCCTGTAAGGATGGTTGATATGTTTAAGAAGACGGGCTTTCACCAGCATCTCGTCGAACAGTCGTCTTTCTTGCCGCCTTCGACTTAGGGCCTCCCCTTTTGCTTCTTCTTCTTTTCCTGTTCTTCTGGACTCGGCTCTGTTTTTTGTTTTTATTTCTGGCAGCAGGCGACCCTGGACCTACAGAATCGTCGACTTGCTTTTTCATAGCTTTTCTTTTCATTTTTTTTGTGTGAAAAAGAACGCTCTTTGAACCCTTCTATTATATACTGCGAGAAATCAATTGAATATGTTTACTTGAGGGTAGAGACACAATCGAACTGGAAACTATGATTTGTTACGACTTCCACGCAAATACAGCTTGCCCGTTAGAACATCAAGAAAACGTGTCGTCACGGTCGCGTTTCTCTTCGAAGGCGACAGATGCGTCGTGTCTCGTAAGTGCCATACTTGGAGATGCACGTATCGAGCGCGCCATACAGGAAAAAGGACAGTGACCTACGATTTACAAGAAACGATATAAAATTTTTTCCCGCTCTACGATAAGCGTTTAAGGGGAAATAGATCGCCGTACTATCGGAAGCTTATGTTCGAGGCGGAAGGTCCCGCGAGCCGGTCGAGTCTACCGGGCTAGAGCTCGGTATGCCTCTAAAGTGGCCGCTGCCGCTGCTGCCGCTGCTGCTGCAAGACCTGCGTAGCTCGTTCGCAACGCATTTTATCCTGAGACTATGCACAGGACGCTGCGTTGGGCCTCGCCCTGGTCGCAGTGGAATCCTAGTACAGCACTTCGCGCTGTCGCAGGTAGTAGGTCTGTCTGCGCATTTTGCATGTTCCCAGAATGACAAATAGCCCTGATTCCGGTTCAGGTGAATCATTCCTCGAGCGGACGCCCTTAGTGGTATGGCAAAGCCGTTCTGTCTCTGTACAGCACCTGCTTGAGCGGTATAAGCGCTACAGCGGGTGCTCACAACAGGCTCGGCGCTCGATAGAACATACGAAACGACCAGTATATCAGAGAGGTAGTATGGATAATGGGACTTGAGGACAGGTGCACTATGATCGAGATATCCCCGGAAGCCATCGTGCGTTCCGAATTCTGGGATGCATGGGCAATGCAAACGTTCTTTCATCGAAAAGAAAAAAACGCTCCGGAGGCGGACTCGTCATCGAGACGCGCATCGCTCTGGATCGAATCTCCGGAAGGCGCTTCTGGGCGATCGCGAAAGCCCTCAAGTGCATCTTTGTGTCCTCAACGGATAGCATGCTTTATTCGGGGCGCTCAGTCTCGGGCGTTCCCTCTGACTTAAAGCAATAGCTTCGTGGATCCTACAGCTGTGTTGTCAAAGAGCACTGTACCTAGTTTTGGCGAGGCCTATAGTGCTGGAGAACAAAACGATCACGGGTTTGTAGCGATCTCGGCACCAGTGCTGGAAACAACCCTGCACTGCAGCTCGGGCGATCTGAAACCTGTAGTCGGACTTTTTCGAAGATCTGTCTGGCAAGGAAGCAAATCGTGGAACTGTGCTCTTTGGAATGACGTCAGGGATCGACGAGGCAGCAGCTGAGCTTCAGGGAAGTCTCTTTGGGGACGTCTCGCCTGCGATCGACACGCCGGGTGCGGCGCTTGCACGTTCGTACCCCGTCCGCATCACCGTTGTCGGAGCTGGTGACGTTGGCGTTGCTTGCGCCTATAATATTTTGACCCGAGATATTTGTAGTGAGCTGGTACTGGTGGACGTTCTCAAGGACAAACTCAAGGGTCAAGTTATGGACTTGCAGCATGGAGGTGCGTTCTACAGCACCCGCATCCGGGCTGCCGAGTCCTACGAGGATACAGCACATTCGGCAGTATGTATTATAACGGCAGGTGTGCGTCAGCGGCCCGGAGAAAGTCGTCTTGAGCTCATGGATCGCAATGCCGCATTGTTCAAAGGCATTATTCCGCCCCTGGTGCAGTATTCGCCGAACACAATCCTGTTGGTTGTGAGTAACCCCGTTGATCTATTGACACATCTAGCGTGGCAGATGAGTGGCTTGCCTCGCGAACGTGTGATTGGCTCAGGGACATATTTGGACTCTTCGCGTTTCCGCACACTTCTGGCGCAGCGGCTGGGCATCGATACCGCTTCTGTCCAGGCCATGGTACTGGGCGAGCACGGAGACTCCTCGTTTGTGTACCGGAGTGGTATTACGGTTGGTGGCGTGCCGTTGCGAACATGCTTCGAGCGCATGACCGACGCTGCGAGCGCGTCCACAGCATTCTATGATCTGGTGAAAGGTGTCCATCAGCAAGTTGTAGCCGCGGCTTACGAGGTCATTAAGCTGAAAGGCTACACCAACTGGGCCATTGGCAGCGCTGTTGGAAGCATCGTTACAACGATTGTGCATGATCGGCGCAAAGTGCTGCCAATAACGACGCATGCGGGCTCGTTGCGAGGCCTCGAGTCGGCGGATGTATTCTTGTCGTTGCCTTGTGTGCTAGGTCGGAATGGTGTCGTTGAAGTACTACAAATACTGCCGTTCATGGAAAGTGACGAGAAAGAAGACCTCCAATCCAGTATAGAGGCACTCCAGAGCACGCC